ATTCCTATTGCTTGTACTGAAGAACTCACGTCTCTCGGCTTTGCCAAAATCCTGAGAGACTACGTCTACGTACCCTACGGGGTGATGCCGGAGAAAGTCATATCAGACCGGGGCTCGGTCTTTGTTTCCAAATTCATGAAGGAGTTCTACACCCTCATCCACGTTGAAGGAAATCCTTCCACTGCATACCACCCGCAAATGGACGGACAAACCGAGAGAGTAAATCAAGAAATTGAAAAATACTTGAAGATGTTCGTCAGTGACCGGCAGGATGACTGGAGTGAATGGTTGCCGTTAGCAGCCTTCACCCATAATAACCGACAGCATTCGTCTACCGGGTACTCCCCGTACAAAGTAGTGTTCGGGAGGGACGGACAGGTCATCACAACTTCACAAAAGCCAACGGTAGTTCCAGCGGCGGAGAAATTAGTCACCGAAATCGAAAAGGCGCAAAAGGAGACGAAAACATCCTTGGAAAAGGCGGCGGAGTCAATGAAGAAAGCTTATGATAAGCACAAAGACTCAGCCATCGAATATCGACCAGGGGATAAGGTGTGGTTGGACGCGACTAATCTAAACCTCCCGCGCCCCACCAAGAAACTCGGAGATCGTCGGGTGGGACCTTTCAAAGTCATCACCAAGAAGGGGGCCTCCGCGTACGAGCTAAAATTACCCGTCCGATGGAGGATTCACAACCGCTTTAATGAATCTCTCCTAACCCCTTACGTCGCACCCGCCTTCCCGAATCAACCGCGACCCGAGAGACCGGCCCCCGAGTTGATTGACGACGAAGAAGAGTACGAGATTGAGGAGATCGTGGAACAGCGAGACAAAATCATAGGACGTGGAAGGACCCGACGCGCGATAACAGAATACCTGGTGAAGTGGAAGGGTTACCCAAGGGAGGAGAACTCCTGGGTCAAACGCTCAAACATGGCCAATGCGGAGGAGCTAGTAAACGAGTACGAAGCACGTCTACAACGGATTTATTGGGAGGTGAACAAACATGGGCGAACGGTGGGAAGAGACGACAACATACCACCGGACGCTAGAACACCTTACCATGACCCCAACACCCCATGCGTCACGGACATCGAAACCGTTTGTTCCTCCGAGTGTACGAACCCAAGACACGGTGATTCCCAATCATCAGTTGCAATGAGAGAGGTCACTGCCGAAGAAGCGGAAGGCATACCCATCGTACAGGAAACAACGGACGAGGAAGACTCAAAATTGGACCTAGCGAATCTACAAAAAGTGTATGAAAATTGGGACTTCGACTCCGAAGATGATGACAACGATGATGACGACACGTGGTCCTTTTACAGTCAATCTGCACAGAGCGGGGAGGAAAGTCAGGGCTCATTCGAGACGAACGAGTCTTGAGGAGGGGGTAATGTTACGGTTATTCTTTTCTTTTCCTTTTCTTTTTCTTTTCCTTACGTATTCACGCTTACTCTATGCTGCGATTTCGATCGGACGTTGCTGCGGCACTATCTTTAGCCTACGTAACGTGTATTTAAGTAGAGCCTCAGCTGGTCTAAACCCCAGCTTCGGCTAAGGTTTATTCTACCTAACTTGAACTCCGTCCTTCGTGACTATCTGTCCCATCGACTTCAGTCGCCTTTGGCTTGTTGAGCGTGGTCTACCGAAGTGCGAGTAGCCACCTTAGCACGATCTAAGTCGATCAGAGTTAGTGGCTTACACTTGGAAGGACGGGGGAGATTTGGAGGAAGGATGAAGGGTGACGAGTGGGAAGGAGAAGGAACGGAATTTGCCCCGAAGTACAAAAGGGGGTTTGTTTTTTCGGGGCAGGACACCGGGAAGAGCCGGACCGCCGGTTGCACGGAATTTGAGTTGCCGGTCCCGAAGCCTCCGGAGAAGGAGTACGAGAACTTGGAGGCCATGAAGACAATCAGAGATAACCCGCATCTGTTTAAAATCACCACGCCAATCAACGTTGACGAGCTGCAGAAATCATTGGAGACTCACCCAAACCAAGAGTTTGTCCGCTCTGTGATCGAGGCACTCCAGGAGGGTTTCTGGCCTTGGGCAGACACTCAACCATCGGGTGAATTCCCGTTGACGTGGGACAATGCCAGGATGAGTCCACGGTCTGATATGGAACAGACGTTCATAGACAGGTACCGGGATGAAGAAATCAAGGCGGGACGCTTCTCAGAACCTTTCGGGCCTGAGCTGTTGCCCGGGATGTATAGTACGCCTGTACACGCTGTGCCCAAGCCTCGTTCAGACGAGTTGAGGATGGTTTCAAACATGTCCACGGGTCCCTACGCTCCCAACAGGATGATCCGGCATTCGGATATAGCTGGATCTCGCCTGGATAACCTGCACATGCTTTTCTCTGCGATTCTGCGGTACAGATGAAAGACGCCAGAAAACGCACGAAAGGTCCTAGTGGTCTTCAAGTCCGACGTCTCAAAGGCCTATCGGCTGTGTCCAATGCACCCACTGTGGCAGCTCAAGCAGGTTGTGACCACAGGATATCTCACCAGCGAGCAGAAAGCTGCTGGTGGGGTTGAAAGTCTGGTCAGGACTGTCGACTGTAATAACAACTTTGGAGGGAGAGGTTCTTACCGCGTGTGGTACAGCGTCAATGGCCTCATCACTTGGATAGCCATAAACATCGAGAACATCAAGGATCTAGGCTGTTACGTGGATGACGACTTTGGGTTTGATGAGTGGCGAAAGCTCGAGTACTACAAACCATACGACGCATTCTACCCTTCGAAGCAGACCAAACTACTCAAGTTGTGGGACCGTCTTGGCGTTCCCCATAGCAAGCCTAAGCAGCTGTTTGGCTTGCAACTCGTTGTCATAGGATTCGACGTCGACCCAAACGCAATGACAGCAACCATGCCCGAGGACTCCAAAGCTGAGCTTGTACTCGCTATCCGGCATTTCGCATCGTCAAACCGCCGCAACCTGCAGGAATTCCAGCAGATTGCGGGATGGTCTAACTGGTCTTTCAACGTGTTCCCCCTCCTGAAGCCGGGGTTGTGTAACGTGTATGCCAAGATGGAGGGGAAGACGAATCCTTTCGCTGGAATTAGTCTCAATGCCGCGGTGAAGGATGACCTTGGCTGGCTTGCAGACCATATTGAAAAGTCTAGCGGAGTGTGCTGCTTTGATGAGTTTGACTGGGATCCTCTATCTGATGCTACTGTCACTATCCTCTGTGACGCTTGCCTGAGCGGCATGGGCTTCTGGGTGCCGAAAATCGCTTGCGGGTTTGTGTGTCTGACACCTGACTTGCCGGATGGAGAAGAAATCATCTTCTTTTTCGAGGCCTTGTGTGTATGTGCAGCGATTCATTGGATAGCAGAGACGCTCTCGCCAGAGCTGAGGAAGAGAGTTACGATCTTGACAGATAACTCGAACACCGTCGACATTTTTAATTCGCTGAAGGCGTCCCCCACCTATAATCCCATACTGAAGTCCGCCGTCGACGTGATGATCACTCACAGCATCGATTTGCGCGTTCTTCATATCCCAGGCTCAGAGAACGATGTCGCGGACGCTTTGTCGCGTTCACAGTTCTCAAAGGCCCAGGATCTTGTGCCCGATCTCATTATCCTGCCGTTCTCACCCCCTCACGACATGCTGGGGGCATCAAGATGTTGATAGACGTCACTCCCGGGTCCAGACAGAGGGTTCGTGAGCCCTGGACCCTGGAGAAACTCCATCACGAGCGGTGCCTCGCTCTAGGCTCCGCTATTGACACATCAACCCTGGGACCATATAACTCTGCGCTAAACTCTTACATCACCTTCTGCAAAATCCACAATTTCCCTGTGAAACCAACCGAAGACACGCTCAGCTACTATGTCGTGTTCATGTCTGCCCATATCAAGCCTGACTCTGTCAGTTCATACCTGTCTGGAATATGTAACCGACTTGAAAATATCTTCCCCGACGTCCGCGAAGTCAGAAACTCTCCAATGGTCAGCCACACACTTAAAGGATGCAAAAGACTGAAAGGCTCAGAGGTCAAGCGGAAATCCCCTCTCTCTCACGACAACATCCGTCATGCGATCAAGACCCTGGGCCAATCCACCGACTATGATGACTGCTTATTCCTCGCACTGCTAGTGACCGGATTCAATGGCCTTCTTCGGCTCGCAGAACTCAGCATGCCAGATGCGAAAAAAGCACGCAATTGGCGGAAGATCACCCGGAGAACGACAGTGGAGTGGCTCTCTGAGGGTTATGCATTCCTCCTGCCAGCGCACAAAGCCGACACCTTGTTTGAAGGGAATAAGGTCATTATCCCGGAGGACGACGACCCCACCGTCAACCCCCTCCCTGTTTTCCGGCGTTATCTCAAACGCAGGGACGATCGACACCTTGTTCACCCAGCACTGTGGGTAACCGCTACGGGTGCTGTCCCGACGCGCTCCTGGTTCATGAGGAGGTTGCGCCAGATTTTCCCGACCAAGAAGATCGCTGGCCAGTCCATGCGGGCTGGTGGTGCCACAGACTTGGCCGAGCGAGGGGTGCTCCCATACCTCATACAGGCGTGTGGTCATTGGTCCTCAGACGCATTCAGAATATACATCCGAAAAAACCCAGTCTTGCTGCTAGCGATGATTGACTCATGAGCGCCCTCATTCTAACAGCCACCACGTACATTCCCCACGCACTTCAGTTCTATTACCATATAGCGCTCATACACGCGGTGCCCGGTTTTCCCCCAATTTGACTTGTGCCCAGAAGGGCAATTTTTCCGTAAACTTGCACGATAAGTCGGACACTCGTCGACCAATTAGTTTATGCATTCCCATTGTTCACCCATAACGAATACAAATCTTCATCATGTCTCATGTTAGTAAAAATTGATGCACGACCAAATATTCGGTCAAGAACGTCGGTATCGATGCTAGCCGTTGCCGACGCGAGACATCGTGACGGGTGCGATCGCTGAAAAATGACGCATTGTTTGTCACTACAGTGTAAAGCAAATTGATAAGTCAGCAACCCGCTGCTGAACTTCCAAGTCTAACTGCCTCACTGCTCCCTGCCATTACAAGCGTTTACGACGATGGGTAAGCTGAGCTGCCATTTCATGTAAATATCTTTGACACAGAATCCAGGTATTCCCAAGGTTCGTGTGCTTTGCAAATGGTTGACAGACCAAAGTATGAAGTGACCTGTCCATGTTCAGTTTTTCAGATACATATCGTGCGTGGTCCTAAGAATAACATTAAATGTGCTGATCTGATAGTATTTTAGAGAGCGCTATCCTCTAACGTCCCAGCTTATTCAGGAAAACAAGATACCCGAATTTGGCAAGCTTTACTGCACTACACTGAAAGAGTTTCGTTAACTGAACCGTTTGTACAGACAATCTCTATCTGGATTTCAATGCAATCATTCACAACTGTTCGTATATCATTACTGCAAGCTCCAGGACATAGCTTAACACTTCTCCAGGCTCACATCCGAACGACGACGATGCCCATTTCCGACTCTCAGAGGAACAAATATTCACGTCAATTTTCGCGTATGTCGACCATCTTTTTGGAAAGATCAAGCCAAAGAAACTCTTCTTTATGGCTGTTGATGGCGTTGCCCCGCGCGCCAAGATGAATCAACAAAGAAGTCGGCGGTTCAGGACGGCAAAGGAGGCAAAGGAATTGAGAGAGAAGGCGGAGGCCAAAGGGGAGAAACTTCCAGAGGAGAAGGCATTTGACAGTAACTGTATCACTCCTGGTATGCTCCGCTCTTTGTCCTCGTTTTGTGATCTGACAGTGATTCAGGGACACCTTTCATGACCCGTCTCTCCGAACAACTACGATATTTTGTGAACAAAAAGATAACTGAAGACTCAAATTGGCGGAACGTGCAAGTGGTTTTGTCTGGACACGAGGTTCCAGGCGAAGGTGAACATAAGATTATGGAGTACATTCGACTTTCTCGGGCACAACCAGATTACAATCCCAATGTCCGTCACTGTCTCTATGGCCTGGATGCCGACCTTATTATGCTTGGCTTGTTGAGCCATGATCCACATTTTTGTTTGTTACGTGAAGAAGTCAAATTTGGCCCGGCGTCGAAGAAGAAAGGAGGAACCAAGTGCGCATTCTTCTCTGTTTTTTAACCCTATTGACTCACGATATATACTGTAGTTTGGAAAGTATCAACTTTTATTTATTGCATATATCTCTCATGAGGGAATACCTTGATCTTGAATTCCACGAAATCGAATCCCGGCTACCATTCCCCTATAGCCTTGAACGTGTCATCGATGATTTCGTTCTTCTGGCTGTATTTGTGGGGAATGATTTTCTCCCAAACTTACCCGATCTCCACATCCACGAGAATGGCCTGGAGAAGTTGTTTGACGTGTATAAGACGGTTTTACCTGGACTAGGTTTGCTCTTTACTCTCGGACGCTGCGATACGTATCTAATATATCACAAGATGGATATCTTAATGAAGGAGGAAAAATCAACCTTCTACGGCTGCAAGTGGTTTTGGACGAAATGGCCAAATGGGAGCAAGAAGTATTTGAGAAGGAATATGCGGACCTAAACTGGTACAAGGGGAAGCAATCTAAGCATGTACAGGAGATGGAGTTGGCGCGTGAACGGTCAAAATTAGGTGCGCTGAAGTATCGCTACTGGCTTATGCATGCACACTTATCATTATTTGCAGTATTGACACGCCCGCAGCGTGTAATTTTTGAGAAGGTTCATGAATTCGTGCTGGGCAATGACAAGAAGGCCAAACTAGCTATGCCGAACGATTTTCCTGCCCGGGAGCGGAAGTTCATTGGCTCTTTGGCAGAAGAACTTCATTTGTCCATCACATGGGATGAATACGACGATAATGTCAATTTGGTTACCTTGAGGTTTCCGGGCGCTTTTGAGGAGTCGTCTTCCTCAGAGGACGGACAAGAGGACGGAAAGAAGGACGGTGAAGATGAGGGAGAGTGGGAAGATGTCGACGAAGAAGACGAAGAAAGTAAAGCCGCCATTGAAAGGATCTTGAAGAAGTATGCCAAGGCGCCTGTGATGGATGAGGATGAGGATGGGGGCTTCGATGCAAGACACGAACGATCTATCCGGGAAAAGATGGATGAATGGAAACGGAATTATTATAAGGTGCGGCTTTTGATCTACTCAAGGCATCGGTTAAACGAATTATCAGGGTAAACTGGAAATATCATATGATGATCCGAAGGCAATGGGCGCCCTCACTTATCGATATGTGGAGGGCCTTCAATGGGTCATGCATTACTATTATAGCGGAGTGGCGTCATGGGGATGGTTCTACGACTATCATTACGCACCTAGGATATCAGGTTTGTGGAGTTGATAAATCCCATGGCGAATAGTTTAACTTTTCGACGAATCTCAGATCTTCGAGATGTAGACAAGATGACGTTCAACTTTGAACTCGGAGAGCCGTTCAGACCATATGAACAGCTGATGGGGGTGCTGCCTGTGGCTAGCAAGGATCATATACCGCTAGCATTCCAGGTATTTTTATACCTACTCGATCCACCCTAGCGACGGCTGATAGCTTTCTAGGATCTTATGTATGACCCCAACTCACCCATCCTGGATTTCTACCCCTTAGAATTTGAGCAGGATCTCAATGGGAAAAAGCAAGACTGGGAGGCAATCGTTAAAATTCCTTTCATTAACGCTGAACGTTTACAGAAAGCCATGGCCTGTAAGCTTGGTTTGTAATCATTGCGTTAATGACCACTAAAGTCCTACTCATAGCTCGTGAACATCGGCTGACTCCTGAAGAGAAGCGACGCAATGGCTTTGGTACTAGCACCAAGTTCACGTATAGAGTTGGCGGCGAACCTACTCTATATCCTTCTTCTCTCCCCGGTTTTTTTCCATCGCTACACCGTTGTATGTGTGTCATGGAACCTTTCGATCTGCCAACGCTAGATGGACTGCACCTCGTTGATGGCTTGGTTGAGGGCGTTTCACTGGGCGTTGATGCGCTCGCTGGGTTTCCCTCCCTCAAAACCCTGCCACATACATCAGTCCTTGGTTTTCATGGCGTTAATGTGCACGGATCGGAGAGTAGAAATAAATCAATGGTCGTGCACATTGAGAATCCACACGAAGGCCGGAAGATTGCTGATATCGTCAATGAAATGGTCGGAGAAAGGACGTTCATTGGCTGGCCGTTCTTACAGGAAGGCTTAGTTGTGGCGGTTTCGGATGCTCTCTTCAAATATGAGAAGATGTCCGTGGTCCCCGGGACTGCCCCCAAAGTTGTGTCAAACCCGCATTCTCCTCAAGGCCTAAACTTTTGGAAGATGAAGGCGGAGCGAATAGAGCAGGTATACTCGAAGAAGTGTGGGGTGATCACGGGAAATGCGGAAGTTCTTCTCCATGTTCGGCCATTGAAAGGTACGGTTCTTCTTTGGGGGTACAAAACGTATCAGTATTCTGACCGGCGTCGTAGGTTTGAAGCGCCTTGAAGATGGTGCCTTCGTGAAGGATTACGAAGGCATCGAGAAAGAAACGGAGCAGGCGATTCAGATGACCTTAGGACATGTAACATCTGAAGATCCCCGGTATATTGAACGCCCTGCGCCGCCACTGTCAGAAGAGTTCCCAGATGGGAGCAAGATCTTCTTCTTGGGTGAGCATGCTTATGGCGTTGCTGCGCAAGTTTCCGCCACTACAGAAACGTCCCTTTCTGTAAAACTTGCAGTGCGTGCTCTATAACTTTTGCCGATTAATGTCCGTGGGCCTGATTATGATCTTTGTCAAGTTATTTCCATCCGAAAAGTCCGAGAACGACAAGTTCAAGGCGATTGTCCAGGACCGGACTTCTGAGCGGTATTATCCTTCATTCAAAGCAGCCGAGATAGTCGGCATTTCTGGGCGTGCGTTATCGAAAATAACGTCGAGCTTCATGGTTATAACTTCGGACGGCGTGAAGAATAATCTGGGTCTAAGCTTGAAATTCGAAGGGAAATCGATGAAGGTGATTGACTATTCACGCAAGGAAGGTCGGAACTGGGAATTTAGTGAGAAGGCAATCAAGCTCATAATAGATTACAAGGTAAGTCCCAACAAATGCCGATTTTCGCACACCGCTGATGTCGTTGACAGACAAGGTTTCCTGATATCTTCCGTTCACTTGACAAGCCCGGAGATGGTAGGTCCTAATAGAGACCTATATCATGCATATTCTGACTTTGTCTTAGCAATGGCCAAAGCGCCGGAAGCACTGCCAGGACCGGATTCCGATGGGCGTGTCCGAGAAATCAAGGTCTGGCTCAAAACTCAAGGCGTTCGTGACTTTGAGCCTGTATCTTTGTTTTGCGATCAACTGACAAAGGTGACCGTCCTCATTTCATCAAGTTCTATTACATCGACTGAGTATTCTGACAGAGCATGGTCGATGAGATCGAGAAAACGGCTGACTCCTTCAATGCCAATAAGTCTCCCACGGCCATCAAGAAGGTAATCGTTAAAGGTATTCCTCGGCAAGCCGTTCTCAAGCCTGCTCACGCCGTGTATCGCCTTCAAAATCAACACTTTGCTCTTGGAGACAGAGTCACGATGATACAAGATTCTGGAGCAGTGCCCTTGGCCGCTAAAGGCATTGTCATTGGGTTGAATTCCAAATCTATGGATGTGGTCTGGGACGTTCCATTCATGGCAGGAACTACATTAGGTGACAAGTAAGCCTTACATTCTCTGTTTCCGTCCTAGTCACAAAACGTTTTTGTATTTAGATGCTCACAGTATCGGGGATTGACCGTTGACTTCAACTCATGTCTTAACTTGACTAATCCCCAGTTTGTCACGCCTACCAACCCTAAGGCACCTTCGTCACCAGCAATTACAACACCTTTCAAACCGCGTTTTGGCCCATGCCCTGCTATTCTACCTGCATCGGGACAGCCAGCCGCCTCTGGTTTTCGGCCAGCTCAACCGAGTCAAAAGTAAGCCATTCGCGGAAACACGTCGACCATGCTAATTCCTCATTCCATCAGGCCGTTCTCGCCCATTTCCATCATGTCGAATCCTCAAAGAGGTCGTGGTGCATACGTAAACGGACGCGGCGCGGTGCCGACAGGAGCTCCTCGATCATCAGTGCCTCCTTCAAAAGAATCATCTGCCCCATCTATGAATGGGACAGCTGTGAATTCCAGACCAATGCGTGGTTTCAACCCTGGAAGAGGACGGGGAGGATTTGGCCCCGGACTTCGGGGTAGAGGAGCGTTCACTTCTAACATTGATCGTGGTCGCGGCAATTCTTCGTATCGAGGTCGAGGCCGTGGGTCATATGCCGCTCCTTTGCCATCATAAAGTATAAGCTTCCATTCAGCTACAGATGTATCCCTCCATGATCGTGCAATGGTGTTATTGCTACAGGTTATCTTATTGTTGTTGTATTCTATCACTTGCAATCTCAGTACGCCTAGGAATGTCTATCTACATGGGGTTACACTATATGAGTGATGTATAATTACGGAATCCGTCCGCGCGAAACCCAAAGGAGGTTCATAACCATTCAACGGTCTGCGGATTCTCAGATTAGTTTCGGCCTTTTTTAGCGTATGAAAGAAATTCGCACCGCCGGTGGCTTTGAAGAGATGTCGTAGGTAACACGATTAATGCCTGGCACTTCGTTGGTAATACGGGACGAGATCCGGCGAAGGACCTCTGCTGGGAAAACGTACCTAACGAGACTCATTGAGCACATCACACGGATTAAGTGTCGGGTACTGACCAATCAGCAGTCATGAAATCCTCGGACTGCACAGCGCGCAGGGCGATGACCTTTGAATACGAGGATCAATTGAAATCTGTCGGCGGAGAAATAGAATTCGGGCATACTTGTTCGTAGGTTCTCTGATCACCCATAACTCCAACGGCTCTGACAGGTAATAAGACGGCGAACGCCTGAGCAATCTCATTATATAGCCCGGCTTTACGAATCTCTTCGATATAGATGTGATCAGCTTGTTGGAGTATCCTGACCTGATCGCGTGTGACGGGTCCGAGGATTCGTATTGCCAGTCCAGGTCCAGGGAAAGGATGTCGTTGGACGAGCGGCGCAGGAATAGATAATAAGCGCCCCAAAGCCCGGACCTCATCTACATATACATGTTTGACATCAATGAAATCAGTTGGGAGTTATGTAAATCGTACCTTTGAAAAGCTCCCTGAGAGGTTCAATCAACTTGAGCTTCATGTCCTTAAGGAGACCCCCAACGTTGTGGTGCGTCTTAATCGTAGCACTAGGTCCCTTGAAGCTAATGCTCTCAATGACATCGGGATACAGAGTGCCTTGCAGTAGCCACTCCACCCGCCCTTTCCCAACCTTCACATCTTCAATTTTCGCTGCTTCTTCCTCAAAGACATTGATGAAAGTGTTGCCGATGATCTTGCGCTTTTTCTCGGGATCCTCTATTCCTTCCAAGCGTTGAAGGAAAAGGGAGGATGCGTCAACAACTGTGAGGTTAACGCCAAGATTTTTGTTCAGCATCTCATCAACCTGGGCGGCCTCGTCAAGGCGAAGAACACCGTTATCTACCATAATCGCATGAAACCTGAAATATGTCAGTTATATACTACTCATAGCGACGACCCGAGGAACCCACCTATCGCCGATGGCTTCATGCATGAGCTTCGCGGCAACAGTGCTATCCACACCACCGCTAACCGCGCCAATTACACGACCCGAAGAGCCGCAGATTTCTCTAATGCGGTTGATTTCCTTGCCGATAAATTCTTGCTGGTGAAATGTTGGTACACACAATCATAGGAAAGCACATACAGAGACTCACCATCGTCCAGTTAGGCCTAGACCCGCATATTTGCAGGATAAATTGGCCAATAACTTGTTTACCGCGAAGGGAATGAGTGACTTCCGGATGGAACTGGATCCCATAGAATGGCTTAGAATTATGAGCGATAGCGGCGTATGGAGCAGTACTCGTATGGCCAATAACGTGGAAATCGGGTGGCATTTCCGTAAGTTGGTCACCGTGCGACATCCATACCTGTGAAACGATCAGAAAGTGCATGCTTTTTTCAAGTACACCGCTACGCTTGCCTGCATTTCATCTCCTAGACCCTCAAATAGAGTGCCGGCGGACGAATTCGCATCTTCTGCCTTGGCGATCTGAATTTGGGCAAATCCGTACTCTCGGTGATCGCATTTCGCTACTTTTCCCTTCATGGTCCACGCCATTTCCTAGAGTCATGTGTCGTTAGGATGGGAAGACAACCGTGGCGCTTAATCAGGTGTACCTGCAATCCATAACAGATGCCTAAGACAGGAACCCTGAGGTCGAATACTGCCGGGTCAACATGAGGCGAATCCTTGTCGTAGACAGAATATGGTGATCCAGACAATATTACACCTTGGAGGCAAGTTAACCTCCGGTGCTTGCGAAAACTTTCAAATGGAAACCTTTGGGCTTGAAGTCGAGATCTCTAATCTTCACCGTACAAGGCATTAATTCAGCGTAGACATTGTGTTCACGACATCTTCGGGTAATAAGATGGCTGTACTATGGTCAATCTTTCAGTAAAACATTGCAAGACTGCTTAGAAAGCTACCTGTGAGCCAAAATCAAGAATCAAGATAGTATCGAAGGAGTCGTGTATTTCAGCCATGGTAGAGCCGACGATAGAAGAAAATGTTCGGGTAAGGCCCCGGTCGGAATGTTCCACTTCAATTTGAAATTTGAGACTCGCTTTCGCAGCACGTGACATTCGCGACCGAAATTCGAGATTTGAAATTTACGAGCCTCTTTGTTACCCACCATCATGATGATCTGGTGCCTCTGCTGGTTCCTGGTCCTGACTTTCCCTCCACTTTAACGCCGAAAAGGTCCCATACAGATAGTAACTTTACTTCATCGGCATATGTGCTTTCTCTACCAGGCCGACTGGCAATACCAGCTTCAGCAGACGGCGAATTGGATTGAATAGCTGGACCGCCAGCTCTCATAGGCTTTACATCTCTGTTATCTAGTTTCATTCTAAGTAGTGGAAGATTCTAACCGCGATGACCGAGCCCAGTCATCTCCTACAGAAGCAGACCGTTGACGATTCGCCCACCTGAGTGCCTGCAAACTCAGTCGCCACTTAGTAGAATTCTTCTGTCACGTCTGATGAATCATTTCGACCCAGTTCCTGTGCCTCTACTGCATTGCGTTTCCTCAACGCCCGCAGTCACGTTTGAGACTGTCTCTATGTCTACCAGCCTGTACATGCGGCCACTGCCACGTTATTGCTAAAGGAATGCTAATGCTGATAGACGGTACTAGGCGTAGTCTCACGCGAACTTGGTCCTCTACGCGATGTATTGTGTCGGCGAAATCGGAACCGACGCGCAACATGTTTCACGCACTGGTAAGGACTTGTCTTATTCCTGATGCAGATTATTCAGCACGAGCACGATAGGCTGCGCTTAACACCAGTCGTAAATTGTTTGGATTATATGCCCATGCGGCGGACACCGTTGACAGCCTACCCGTCTACCCTCTAAGCGATTCAACCAGTTTGGCATCTGATTATTTGCTTTCTGTGGGTCTGTATCTCTTAATGCTCATTTCGATGGCAGCGCGCAGCTTGTCGAACTTTGAAAGTCTTCTCAGTTCGTATTCAGGGTCTGCCGCGTTCCATTTCCTTTAGCCTTGTCCTAGGACCTTTTCCGATATGCATCTTTTTGGTGAGAAACATGTCCTATGGATGGCACCGTGACGTCTGGCATCTCTCCCGTATACTAAGTCCGCTTGGTCCACTGTGGCGTGCCCTGGGTTCTTAGAATTCTATCCTTTTTCTAGAGTCTACCACACGGCCGTACCTAGGCACAGCGAGAACCATCGAATACACACTATCATCGAGCGACGTTCGGTGGGTGGTTATTACGCGCGAAGCTTGTTCTTGCTTGGCTTTCTATGGCTTCTTTGTCCTGGATTTCCAGGGTTATATTCGGCGATCTAAAAGACGTTCAAGCCCCGCAATGATGATGATGATGACCTCTGCCTTGCCGAAGCGCTGCAGGGTCAATCGCCAGGACATACTTAGCTCAATGATTCTTTCTGTGGGTTGGCTGAAATATATACAGCAATGGGAAGCGGGCATTTGCGAAACTACTATTGAACTTAAGCGAGAATCGGCATGTGATAGGTGCGTCAAAACTTTGGGGATAGCTGTGAATTTCAAGCTCAATGTTCATGGTCAGGCCGCGACGTGATGGTTCTACTTGCACCGCGATGGCGACTGAAAGCCATACTGGTTCCAGGTTGGTTGACTTCATATTTGCCTATATTTAATTCGGAGCCTGACGCCGTGGACTTCCTCCGAGGTCTTATCTACATGGATGTGATCAACGTTTTTATCCTGATCACATCGGGAAAGCAAAGCCTCGTCAATTTTGGATCTCGCCGAGGAGATCTGTGATGTACGTCTTTTACACATATATTTCATTTTCTTTGCACCTAAGTTGGTGCCTTTGTTAAGCGTTCATAGTTAACCGACGGCTCCCACCATTTCACCAAATAAATGGGTCCGCAAGCCATTCAGCATCTTTCTGAAACGACGAACCCTTATCGAGCAACGGGATTCCGATGCCTTTCCTTCTGAGCAACGTGAATACTTGCATTTCACGCTGACTTTCAATTCCAACCTGCAAGGGCTGTATTAAGTGCTCAACTCCGTCAGGAGCAGGGGCTTTCGTTATCATGCACTCATATGATATGATGAAATCTTCCAGCGCTCATCCTTAGTTATTGAGTCCTCAATACAAAAGGACTAGTTCCGGTTGTTTCTGGGGAAAGAAGAATCAATATTGGCAGGATGAGCCTTCATGCCTTGGATCCCGGAACACAACTTGGAATAAACAAGTAACCGGAATGGCGGTGAGCCCTCCCATGTCCGATGCTCCGACCATCCGCCGCTGGCTGAGCTCGATCGACTACTTGCCAACGCCTTGATCTCCACGGAAGGCCTTCGAAACATTCAACCAACACCACCCTTAAATTCAATCCTGAATTTCCCAGCTTGTCGGTTGCGCATTCTTGGTTGATAATTGACTATTAACTTTGCATTTCAGGGCTGGCTCGTGGGTCGTCCGAGGGCGCAAAGCTCCAGGGACCGAAAATAACAACCATTTGAGAACAAATAGGCTTTGGTACTTGAGATCTGTTAGTTCGGACATGATCTTCCGCTTTATCAATATTCGCATGTACCATAATGCAACGTCTTCCTTCCCGCTTAGAGCCGTTCCGCGCTGCATCTCGAATGTGACGAAAAAGACAAGTCCGTGAGATCGAAGAAGTGTATATACGGAGAGATCAGTCTGGAGACCATTGACCCTGCAAGCACAGATGAGAACCGATGACGCAGATTTTCCGCAACGCGCCTGAGGGTCCCGAGGGCAAAGTGGTTACAAGTTACGCCGTGACGAAGAGGCGATGGTTCCTCAGGTACACATGCTGCCATATGGGTATAGATATATATCTTCTGACGATTGGTTATCCGGCTAGCGGTTCGTTTCAACCGAACCGAGAGCCGAAAACATGGTCATCGCTTTGGTCACTGCGCAACCTATTAACCTCTAATCACAGCGGCTGTCATGTCTTCACAAGCGAGGCTTCAAGCAGCAATGTCGAGGCGGATTATATCTTGAAACAGGGTTCGAGTTCCATTCACGATGAGTATGGAGGAGGCCGAAAAGGTACCTCCTGATGCTCCATTGGATTCATCGCAGCTGTGATAGCAAATCTCCTCGAATTTGAGGTGTACGTTATGTTGAAGGCCGGAGGAGTGTGCACGTTTACGCCGAGGGAATAAAACTAAAAAGGAAATCCAGGCGGGGACACCCGTGTGAAACATCATCCTGATCACGCCTCGGCAACTTTATCCATCTTGTTCACGTTTCTCCTCGCTCTTCGGTCAATCCGCGAGTTTTCTGTTTTGAATTGGTGCGTTACTTGCACTTGATGGCAAATGGTATTGATTCTGGCCTTGTATTGGACTCTCAGGCTCGAATACTAACCATATGCCTGGCTGTGACTGTACAGCGTGAAGGATTGATCAATCCCCATTTGTTATCTTCGCGGACCAAATATTGATCATATTCGGAATCAATATTTTTCGAGTAACGCGGAAATTATCTGTAAAGCCGTCCAAAAATACTTTTCTTGGCCTCTCCGTAAAGCCGGTAACAATGACAATTACGCATCGTTTAGATCTGTGTTGTACGTGGGAGTTGGAAATGCCACCACACCTCCGACTCCCCTGATTTGGCCAATTTCAGCGGCATCGAGGATTATTTAAACCATGCTGTCAATCTATCCTCCAGCGCTTGATCTGCCTTGAAACTTCTCTAGTGCAACACTACCATGGCTGCAGTCAATATGCTCTCTCGTGAACGTCGATCCTGGACTGCCAAGGAAGACCAACTCCTCCGCGAGGCCGTTCAACGAGGTCAGCTACTTTGTTCTCCTACTCCCCATTACCAATATTGACTCTAGGCTGTATTTTATAGAGGATCCTGGTAACCCAAATCCTTCCAAGTGGCATGCTATAGCCAAGCACGTTCCCGATCGCACCAACAAAGACTGTCGCAAGCGTTGGTTTGCCAAGATGGCGTCGGACGTGGTCAAGGGCGGATGGGCGCCGGATGAGGATGAGAGACTTGTGAAAGCTATTGAGCGATATGGTACAAGGTATACCGTTCTCCCCATTCTCCTTCGCTACGTTTACTCATCTTGTTGGTACAAGATGGTCTCTCGTCGCGTCTTTGGTGCAAACAAGGAACAGCGATCGTAAGTGCTCACTATAGCTGTTCACAACACAAAACTCATATTCGCGCTTCGTCTGCAGAATGTGCCAAACGTTGGACTGATACTTTGAACCCCTCAATCGACAGGACTACCTGGACGCCGGAGGGTGTAAGTTTACGCTTTCTACCTACTCGCGCATTCACTTATGCTATTCTGCAGGACGCGCTGTTGATTAGTGCTGTTAACGAGCACGGAAAGCTGTGGACGAAAATCGTCAAAACATACTTCCCTGGGCGAACGGGCCTTTCCGCTAAGAATAGGTACGAGCTTGCATATCATCGGGGTTGTATTTCTCCTAACGAAGACCGCCGATGTTAGGTACAATAGTATCACCCGCTTTAATTCTGACCGTGGTGGTCGCAAGTCGTCCGTTAGTTCCTATACAACACACCGTAGCTCTCATTCAGAAAGTGCGTCCTCATCGGCGAGTGTTTCTCCCATCACACCTTCGATTCCCATTCCCGAAGTCCCGAACTCGCTGTTTTCCAAGTCCCCAACGGATTCACCTATCCCCTTCTCACTCGACCAGTCCAGCTGGGAAGAACCATCGTTCGGACCTCTTTCAACTTACGGATCGTCTCGGTCGCAGTCGGGATCCCGTGTGGCAGGGTCAGGCTTCAACTCGTTCGAGAATTCCGTAAATCAGAACGTGCCTCCGTTCCATGAGGACTCTCTTCTGGCATTCCAACCTACGAGTTACGATCCCTCATTTTCCTCACAACTCCCGGATGGTCAAGTCAGCAGCTATGATATTGCTTCCTCTGAGTCCCTTCGTGCTGGCCCTACTCTGCCTCACTTCGGCGCTATATCAGCGTCATTCGACAATATAATTGGGGAGCACTGGGCGAGTACTACTCAAGTTTACGATCCTAACCACTGGGAACGATACCGAGTGCCTCCGGCAGGCGGGGCTTCATCGGTGAGTGCAACCCTGTTCATAGATGATTCTCCAGCTCATTAGTTCCGCAGCCATACTTGTATTAAATCATCTTGGATGCCTGTGACCCACTTCTTTTCCTCATCGTTGTCATAACTGTATACTAAGTACTGTACATCATTCTTGCATTCACTACTTATTCTAGATCACTGGCATGGGCATTGTTTCAATCATTCCTCCCCTCCCACAGTTTCGGGATGTAGAACCACCGATAAGTATTTCTATAAGTATAGAACCGCGACCGTCATAAGCCACACCTTTTGGCCCTGTATTGTAATAGGCAAAAATTATACAAGATTTTAAAACGAGTTAGAGCTAGAGCTAGAGCTAGGGCGGAGATGTTTTTTTGAGTTTGAAAATCTTGATGATATCTCCTCCGATGGAACGCGGAATAGTGGATCCTTCCGATGTCGTGAGTGCGACTATGTCAGCTTCTTTGCTAAGTCAACATCCATGACTCACGGAAGGCCATATTCGGAGAAGTGCTGTGCAGTCTATGACGTCAGTTGTCCGCAGCACTTAGGGTGCTGTCCCTCTCTCCGACTCACAAACATGTCTGAAGGATCGTCCTCGCAAAGTAGAAGAGTACTTTCTGAACAGTTAATTCAGGATAGCTTTCACAGCTACCTCAAATCGTCTCTCACACAAGCAAAAATTGAACGACTCCTAGACGAAAGTATACTAAGTAGCGCGGAAGGCGACCTGATGATAACCGGTAAGTCGCTTTTTTAATGTGATGCACTGGAACTAGTTTCGATTTTTCATATTATAGGCCCTGCCTTGTGCCTTTATTTCGCTGCTCTTCGATGCACTACAAATCCCCCTTCTGTACCTCTTCCCCGGCGGGGTAAATCCTCAGAACCAACGGAGCTTTCTGCTGAAAACTGTCCACCGGCATTCACTTCATTTCTTTCTGTATGGGCCAAATCAGTCCCATCCATCCAGGGACTAGCACCAGAGCACCAACATGATCTAGCGCGTATCATCTGTGGACTCGAACCGTTATCTATCCCCCCATTACCATCATTGCAGGGTATCTCAGCAGACTTGCGTGCTGTAGCTATTGAAATTAGTCAGAGGCGATCTTTCCAAGATCAATATGCCTCTGATCTCCAGGCGGCTCTGGATTCAGGTAAACCTCTCAGTAGTCCCAGAACAGTGAAAGCTTCATTTGTTCCGCCACCTTCCTACGACGCACCTCCCCACCAAAAATCTCCTCGGTCTTCTATTGACGGAGCACCTCCAGCATTGCCCCAACGTGCAAACCGTGATCTACCTCCACAGTCTCCGGCACATCTATCACCACAGGCTGCCAGCGGGTCAAGCGGATTGCCTTTACGCAGCCCCTCTCCCACCATCTTAGCGCCCAACTCGCCTGCAATTGAGTTCATACGTGAGACATTATACGCATCTCTAGCCGATGCCCTTGATCGTCAACCTACTCTTCGCACCCTATTGAAGCGCGACCTTCCCCGTGCATATTTCGCATGCGTGGCCTTTGCAATCCTTGACGTTGCAACGACGTCTATGACACCAGAAGGAGGGGTAGTTGGTGTTCTTGGACAACCCTTGATGCTCTCGGATTGTCCAATCCAGCTTCAGCCGTTCATGATGGAACTTGCGGCGATTGGGAGGGATTCGAAGGAACTCGAAGCGGAAGACGATAGAACAGCGATGCAATATGCGCAGCAGGGAAGGGATATACCAGCGCCAAGGATGGAGAGAGTTCGGAAAATCTTAGAAGAAGGTGTTGGATACAGTGATCGCCACCGGGACGAAGCAAACGGCAGGCGAAGCGTTGAGGGAAAAGCCGTTGCGTTCGCGAACCGCATCAATGCCCTTAGTCTGGGTATGACTAAGTTGAAAGCGTTCAGGGAACGGCAGGAATATGTCTTCACAGTCCTTGCAGGGATAGGTTCGAACTGAATGGTCCGTTCTTGTTCCTATCGCCCGTTCTACCGTTAATCTCTACTACTAATACTAACCTGCATGTATTGATATCTCTGTTTATTTGTAGCGTCATGTATCTTCTGATATATATAGAGTCAGATGGGAACCTTATGGCCTTTCTGGTGGCCCTGGCCACCTGAACATCAAGGGCAGGCTGAGGTTGAAATCGTATCCAAGAAATGCGGGACCCACTCGCCGGGTGCATTATGTTCGCCAAGTACTTGTCTATTCTCATGCGGTACCGACATCCGAGATGGCCGGCCCGAGCGCTGAAGGGGCGGTAGCGAATTGGATGCGTTTTTGGTAATTTGTCTTCAGCTTCCAGTCGTGCTCATTTCAAACGCCTTCCAAACACCCGCCACCGAATGTTCATAGGTGTTTCCAATATTGTTCAGCCAACCAGCGTTGTCGTTGCACCTTGAAAGCCTATTGGGAGGAAACTTGCCGTCGTTGACCGACGCAGCATACTTACTATTAGTAAGGTCCCGTAAGCGACTCAAGCTCAAGAAACGACATCCACTTAATTATTCATGGCATGGTCGGTACCGGTCATGACGTGATTTTGATTTCTGTAATTACAATGCAAAGTCGACGCTTGACGGAATGATCTCATGACTGCTGTCAATGGATCCAAGACTTTCCGTGGATTCGTACTTATGGTGAAGTACGTTTGTTCCGACTCATCGTTGCATGTATTAACGGTTGGCATCAGGTTATGGTTCGACATGTCCGTTCGGTATTTGCGGGGCCCGTCGTCTGCCACCCAGTTTGCCAGTGATGGTCATGGTGACTTTTCCAAGTACCTAATGATTCGTCGTCAAGTTCTTATGGTGTCAATTAGATAATTCGGTCCTGATGAAAGGAACCATTGGATGCCGATGGATTTATTAATGTCATGCTTCTCTATATGATTGAATAAATTATTCGATCAAGGAACCAACCTCGGTGCTCATCGCTGTTGGACCGAGCGTGACCTAGTATCCTGCTGCCACTATGTGGTCCAAGGTCGCCACCCAATTGCTGACGGAAGGTTTGTTATCTCTGCCCTGAATTCTGGGCGTACGAACTTGAGGTAATGTTATGTATTCTAGGATCCGACTTAACAGTGTTGGATGCTTTTCAAGTTGGTGCCTTTGTTATGAACATGTTTGTAGTATGTACACACTCCGATCTCCTAAGATACTTTTGCCATAAACGAGCTCTCATATCATTTGGTAGACCGGGCGATTGGTCTGCTTGTCTGAGTTGTTCCATCCCAAGGCTTGGTTAATCTCTTAGCTGGACCTACAGGAAGTGATTCAATTGTATCTGAATCAGGATATCCACGTTCTAGTGCAGGCAAATACAACCCAGGGACTATCTGTTGTAACACGCGCACCTAGGAACTCCAAAGAGGAGGCGAAGACATCGATCATGTGAATGAGTATGCGGTATTAACATTGTTAAATAACATTTCTGACAGAAGTCACCTATCATAATTCTGCAGAGTTAACTGCCTTCGGCCGCCTCCTGTTTCATGTAGCAAGCTGCCACGGTAGAGCGAAAGATGTCCCACGACAATAACACCCTTTGGTCCAATCCTTCTACCACAATTTGAGACTCTAAGTCGTCAGCAGAGCATCTCGCTTCCAAGTTAAATATTAAATGCTGAAGAGTCAAACAAGTCTGAACCTACTGTGTTTGGCAACACAGTACCTGACGTGCCTGTGGCGCCCCTCGAGCCAGCGGCGAGATGTGCAAACAGGTGTGCGTGTCCGCCGGCAAGTTCTTTCAAATTTGCTTCCGTTCATGTGGGTGGTGGTAGTAACCGCTTCGTATTAGTTAGTATTGCTGCGGGGGTATATTTATTTCAAAGCTGTGTTCATTGCCACTGATATGGCGTCTCAGGTTCCCTAAGGCTTGGCTTTTATTCGCCAGGTCTTTTTGTTTCTTGTTAATCCAAAAGACGATTTTGTAATGGTATGCAGTGTTTTAATAGATACCCCCGCTAGACTCGGAGGACTCTCAAGGTATTGGGTGGTATTCAATCAGACGCAGCATTGTGTTAAGTTCCCGGAAGAGAAGTAGCTTTCACCGCCGATTGAGGTACGACCGCCTCAGTAATGTGGTATCATCAAGCGATGGTAACGGCGAATGGAGGCGCCGCCACGACTTGTGACACAGCACTTGTGCACACGTACGTTTAAGGCGCCTTCAAGGATTATTTGAAGCTTACCAGTAGCAGGCCAAGGAAATACCCCAACCGAATTCTGATCAAAAACAGCGAAACGTCGCTCACCTTGACCATGTTCAGCCAAAGTCGTTTTCTACCGCTGCTAACCTTGATTTCACGTGTTATTGCATTATGGAGAAGGCACAGAGATCTCAACAAAAATAAATTCGGATTTAAGTTTTGATGAGAACTGCAAAGCGATGCAGTGACACGATCGGCAAAGACGAAAATCTAAAAAGAGAAGAGAGACGTGGTAATGGAAGCCCGGATCAGTATCACAAAACATTAGACGATCGTGTAGGCGTACCCCGAGCAAGGAAATTTGATTGGCGAACAAGAAGATTGCTGAGAAAAGCCGCGGACATCCGACCAACAATGTCGGAGAGGCGGTATTAGCCCGCCGTCCATCTTGAGTTATACCCTCCCAATCTTCGCGTCACTATACTGGTACTGGCCGCACCTTCCGTACTTCACCGCGTAGGACTCTCCGCCATTCTACTAACTCCGCGGAACAAGAAACTCGGCAAGATACCATTTAATCTGGCATGCGATTCCATTCTCTAGTGTTTCTTAACGGCCGCTGCTGAGATCTGAGAACCGTACCAATAGCGTGGTTAAACGTGAGTATTTTCGATGCAAGCGAGTCGTGGTAGCACATGTTTCTGAAACTAATAGAATGTCGCTTAGCATGGAAAGTTGCAGTCTGAGTTTAGAACATATTTGGCGCGAGAGTGTCGGAGAGCTCTGAGGGTCCAGTATTAGCACCAGCATCAGTATTAATATAGTATAGCTGGGACATCCAAGGGGATAATAGATGGAAATGGAACGCTGTTTGTCCACTTCAGAGAGCTATTGTCACCGGTCCGAAATGAGTATCATCAGTGCATTGTGAGCCATACGGCATTGCGTCGATTACATGGGTTGAATGTCCGTTATCTTCCTAAGAAATCCTAGAATATGGGGTCCGCATGTGATTTCAAAGGCGTGGCGTTCTGGATGCGGTGAACAGTTGGCAAGGGTCTACCGTAACACGCATCCAAGCACGACAACTTCTCGGCTAGTCCGAGCCTAGAGTCCTAAATCAAACAATCAAAATCCTGATGCCCTGCGCAAAGTGACAAGGCGACAATCGGGGAGATGTTGATTTTTACACCTAAACAGAAGGATATTTTGACAGGTCGTTGTCTGATGCACATTTCAGTGGCTAGCTATGAGAAACGACACGTAGAGAATCATCGCGTTTGATATCGACGGGACGCTGTCGAAGATAGAGCGTTGAAAACTGTGGCTGCTGGCCCGGCAGAGCCTCAGCACGACGATGCTATCAACTTCTGTCCTTGGTAAGAAGACTTTAGTCAGCGGGCTTCTCAAAACGAAAAAAGTATGCCTAATACCACAAAGTAGCGCTGGCGCCTTCGTTGAAGATGGAAGGAGGAAAAGATCTGGGTCGGGATCCGGGCCGGAACGGGGTCAGGTGATTGGAGGACAGGTTATTTAACTAAGTCAAACTCTCATTGAACACTGTATTTTCTTCGTATCCGACGTGTTTCCTAAGCAAAAATACGAAGCCAGCACCCACGGGAGAAGAAGAGAAGACTTTGATCAGTAAGGAGACACATGGAAGACATCGGCATTTCGGATAAAAAGAACCGTATACCCAGGCCTCTGAGTTTATCGATCTTTCTCCTAAGCATCGCACTCAAACCCAAAGGTTGACCATGGTCTTAGAGCTGTACGGATCCCCTTACTCTACTTGCACCAAACGTGTCGCGGCAGTTCTCCACGAGAAAAAGGTTCCCTTCGAGTTTTGCCTTGTTAATCTCGCTACCGGTGAGCACAAGACGCCTTCCTACTTGGAAAAGCATCCCTTTGGTGTCGTCCCATATATCGTGAGTTTTATATTATTCTTGTCCTTTAGCATATCTATCAGGTGGGTTGCAGGATGACGACGGGTTCATTCTCTACGAGAGCAGGGCGATAAGCCGATACATCGCACTCAAGTACGAATCCCAAGGCACGAAGCTCATCCCCACCGATGACTTGAAGAAGATTGCGCTTTTCGAACAAGCTGCCTCCGTCGAGCAGAGTTCATTCGATCCCTATGTCACTACTGTTGGGATGGAAAAGATTATCAAACCGTAAGTGCTGTTCATCATTGTATGGGGTCTGCTTCATTATTTCGAAAGACGATTGAAGGGAATTCCGGCAAACGAGGCAGCCGTCGAAGACGCCCTCACCTCTCTGTCGGCAAAATTAGATGCTTACGATGTTATCCTTTCCAAGCAGAAATACCTCGCCGGAGATGTAAGTCCGAAGTTGATACAAGGCTGTCTGGGCGCATAGAGTTGATGGGTCTTTGGCAGGATGTTACCCTTGCTGATCTATTCCACATCCCTTGGGGTGTTCTTCTCGTCGTCGCTGGTAGCGATATCATGGAGAGCAAGCCCAATGTTGCCAGGTTTGGATTACATCTCCTCACGTTCCATTCGTTGTTACTGATTTTTCCCTAATAGATGGTGGAAAGATATCACGTCGAGGCTATCCTGGGCCGCCGTGAAGGATGGCGTAAACAGTGTGACATCTTTCTAAGAGAATCGGCCTGCTGACTCAATGCACATGTAAGAGGGATGAGAGATGTGCCCGAGCTAATAAATAAATCGAAGCTAAACTGAACATGCCGATCGTCCGGACTTCGAAGATTTACTTTGTCATAAAAAGCTCCTCATGACACGTCTGAATTGTCCAGGACGCAACAGACAACCAACAGAATGGAGCCCATTATCAGCCTTCGACATGTGCAGAGTCATCAACGTTTCATTGGAAACATTAGACTCGCATAAGACTAGCAAAGTGGCATTGAGAAGGGATAGTATAATACAGTTGCTGCGATGCGTGTACAAAACAAAGCCGAAGCCAAAACACACCAACCGTCTGTCTATATAAGTAGTAAGTATATAAAATACGTGGTGTTATTATGATATTGCCAATGTTTCCTTCCACCGTTGTGCAATCTCTTCGCCCCCAAACACCTCTTGTAGAACTTCTCTCACGTCCTCGACATATACAAACTTGATGCCAATTTTGACACTCTCAGGGACGTTTTCCTCGATATCTGCTCTGTTGGCTGCGGGAGCGATGATAGTCTTGATACCAGCTCGGTGAGCGGCTAATATCTTCTCCTTCAGGCCGCCGACCGGAAGGACTTGCCCGACGAGAGATATCTCTCCTGTCATTGCTATAAACATATGTCGTGTATCAGCCCTGGCAGGATGAAGATGGTAAAGGAAGCTTACCGATATCCGGGTTTATTTTTGTTTTAGTAAAGAGTGATACGAAGGCAGACAGAATTGCAGTCCCTGCACTTGGCCCTTCCTTCCCAATGCTACCCTCAGGCATGTGTACATGGATATCCCGATCTGTCAAGAACTGTGTCTCCGCGTCGGGTGTTATCCCGAGCTCGAAAGCATGACCTTTGACCCAGCTAAGACCGATCTGTGCACTCTCCCGGATGACCTCGCCAAGCTTGCCGGTGAGCTGGAGATTTCCTTTGCCAGGCATACTCTATCTGGAATTAGATGACGTCTGTCAGACATATAAGTGTTACTAACCATAGCTTCGATAGGCATTACTGCGCCAGATCCATTGCCAAGGTATCCGAGACCAGTACTCACACCAGGAGGAGGGGGTTGTACATACATCCTGTCTTTTTGATATATCGGCGGACCAACGTAGTCTTTGAGGGTTTCCGGGGTAATCCTGACGTGTACTGTATCAGGTATGGACATAGGCTTGCGCTGCTGGGTCGTCACTGTCATCCTTTCACCTGAGGGATCTGGACCAACTGATGGCTCGTTACTAGGAGGTTCTTGAGACTCAACAGTGGTAGTAGACTCTGCGCCCGATGAAGACGTTGAGGTGACCAAAGGCGGCTCCGGAAGGGCCTCTTCTCCGAGCTCCTGGACAAGCGTCAATGCGGCTTTTCGATATATCTGAAGTCCAGCAATAAGATTATGGAAATATAGTAGGAGCACAGAGGTACGACTGACCTTTTCAATATGCTTCTTCAAATTTCGAACACCACTTTCTCGGCAGTAGTACTTGATAAGTACGTCGATGGCAGAAGGATCCAGGACAACGTCGGCGTTCTTGAGACCAGAAGCCTCTCTGGCCTGCGGACCGAGATATTTATCCGCAATGACTGCTTTCTCCTCTGAAACATAGCCGCTAACTTCAAGGACCTCCATACGGTCAAGAAGAGGTGCTGGGATGGTATCAAGATTATTGGCTAACGATTATTTGTGAGCGAAGATGACTAAAAACGAAGATATTCTCCTACCTGTGCAAACGAAAAGGACACGCGAAAGGTCAACAGGGACATCCATACTTGGCGACATGATTAGCAACGTAAAAGAACAACAGATAAATCGCGTACTAGTGGTCTAAGAAACTGTTATTTTGCTCCGGGTCCAACATTTCTAGAAGTGCACTAGCGGGATCACCGTTAATACCTCGTCCAATCTTATCAACTTCATCGATGAGAACAAGAGGGTTCTCGGTTCCGACGCGTTTGAGTGCCTGGATGATTTTTCCTGGTAGTGCCCTTGAAAATACCCAACGATCAGGATAATAAACGGTGAAAAAAGCATACAAACATACCCGACGTATGTTCGGCGATGCCCTTTGATCTCGGCAACATCGGTCAAGCCACCGACTGAGAATCGGAAGAATTGTCTGTTGAGAGCGCGCGATATTGACTTGCCAATCGATGTTTTTCCTACACCAGGGGGTCCAACGAGACAGATAATCTTTCCTTCAACTGTGCCGCGTAATTTTCCGACGGCAAGGAATTCCAAGATTCGATCTTTAACGTCCTTGAGGCCATAATGGTCTTCGTCTAGGACAACTTGCGCGTGCGAAATAGAATAGTTCTCCGGAGAGTGCTGACCCCATGGAATCTAAAGAAAAAATGGTTCAGAGCAACGCTACAGAATGCAAAGGCAGAGACGGCGCACTTGAGTTAGCCACTCCAAGTAGTTCCTGGTCACATTTGCCTCAGACGCGGCAGGTTCCAAGCCAGCAAGCTTGTTGATCTCTTCGTCGAATACTTTCCTAACAGTCTCCGGCATTTTTAAAGACGCGGCCCGTTCTTTGAACTTCTCGATAAGCTTGTCCTTTCCGTCTGACTCCATACCCAGCTCCTTCTTGATACCTTTAAGCTGTTCCATGAGGTAGTACTCTCTTTGACGCTTCGCAATTTTGCTGTCAACATCCCGGGAGAGCTTGCTTTGAAGCTGGGCATTGATAAGTTCCTTCTTCAACACCAGCAAAGCTTTTCGTAACCGATCCTCAACAACCAAGCTCTCCAGAACGTCTTGTAATTCTCCAACTTCCCCCGTTGACACCGCGGCGGCAAAGTCTGCCAGCTTGTCTGGTTCATCGAAAACGTTGGACGCGATTTGATTAATCGAAAAGTTGGTAATCTGATCACGGAAGAGAGGGTTCAACTGGGCGATGTCTTTGAAGACTGAGACGATCTCAGACATGAAAGCACGTATGTACTGATTGTCCTTGTTATACGGCTGAGTAACAAGATTTTCGACCTCGACGATGGATATGGCATGGTTGTGCAAGAAAGAGGTCTGTAACGGTCCTATCATATCATGAGATCAAGACCAGGGTATCAGAGCCAGAACATACGAACCATGAAGAGTCTGAGGAGTTTGTTCCGATGTTGGAGTAGCCGGGGGAGTCACAGTTTGAGCGTCTTCCTCTCCAACTGATTCTACGGTCGCAACACCGCCAGCCTTGACCAATGAGGTGATCTTGATCCTGCGATGAGGATAAAGAACGGCCGTCAAACCTTCTTCCTTATCATCCTGGCCTCCAGCACTGAAGACGCTGGTTATCTGAGCGAATACACCGACAGGGTGCACAGTATTGATATCCGTAATGACATCACTGTCAATGTTCTCGTCCTTCAGGAGAAACGCGCCAAGGTACGGTTGTCCACGCTTCATCATCTCCTTGATAGCTGCAACTACTTCAGGGTTACGAACAACAACGGCCTTGTAGAATCCGGGAAAAAGTGGACGACGAACGATGGGGAGAGCCAAGACTTGGGGATAGATTTCGGGAACAGATTGCTTTGCGATTGCTGCTGGGGATGAAGGACGTGACGATGAAGGAGGTGAACTTGAATCTCCGGAGTCATGATCATCAGAAGAGGAAGAAGCAGGTGGAGAAGATTCTGAAGATGACCCTTCGGAAGGATTTTCGTCATCCTCAGAACGCAGCCGCGCCTGGTCATCCGATAGTTCCTCTGCATCCTCTATCGCTTTCTCATCCCCCTCAGATGGACCATCCGCTGGTCTATGTTTGGAATTGATCCAGCGAGGGTTATTAAGGGATGGCGTCCGGTTAATGAACGTCGAAACGGAGGAGGAGAAGAAACGGTGGTCCAGTCGCTCCAATATGCGGTCATGGACCAGTGACGACGGCCTGTACACGACATTGAAGTATGACAAAGCGCGTCGAGGACATTGCTGTCGGAAAGACAAGGGCGCACCCGGCCGAATACCTTTTCCAATCCAGCTCATGGACAACCACAATTGTAAGCTCCTCCCTCAGCTGGGCCGTGAACTGGAAATTGCCGTACACCCGAGAGACGGATAGATCTGAGAGGCGAAGGAAAGAGAGAAGGATGAGAGAGAACTTTCTTGACTGACGCAAGCCAAATCTAGTGTCTGACAAAGCGGCAGAATTGCCAAATTTAAGTTGAAGATTAGATCATCAAAATACGAGATAAGACCAGGCACTGTCGAGAAAAGTCATCTAGATGTCCTCCATTGCTCGCCACAATTTCTTTCTCCTCTGTATTTTTTTTCTTTGCCAGCCCAAGGCACTCTCAGTTATGGGAACCTATTCAAAATGCCTTCCAGAGAAACACAGTGGAGGATGAGACAGGCGGTGTAAGTATTCAGGACAATTTTCTCTCCAATCCACGAACTTGCTATTTCAAGAGTGTTTACCTCATAGTAGTCATTAGAATGTGACATTTTTGCCTTCATAACAAACCAAGATTTTCCAGTTGCGAATAAATTACCCAAATGCATTGTCCAAATTCAATAAAAGTATGATCGATAGCAATATCATGCCACTAATTCTTCAGGACTTCAGTTCCAAGACTGACAAGGTAGACCTTGACAAAACTTACCTAACATTTACTCGTCGTCGTCGTCGTCGGTCAACTCCTCGCCTCTCCTAATACCACCATGCTCGTCGTACCCATCTTTTCGTGCCCACCAACGACCGTCAGTATACGGTTGGAGCCTCAAAGGAATAATGAGCGTATACAGGGGATATTCTTCGAGATTAAAGAAGAGCTGTAGGTTTTTCCGTCGACTAACCAACCAGCAAGTAAGAAACTGTTGGACAAGGCATGATCAGACTCACCCCAAATCATAACTGTTAACGAAAACATCTCCCCGGTTCCGTGCGACGCGTTTGTACACCTCATAATCTTGCGACTCAACAGATGTCTCGGCAGCGGATATGGCGGTTAGGTGCCACGCACACATGATACCCACAGCGAGACAAAGTACAGCGGAGAGGATGTAGATGAGGAGATACAATGTCAACGACACTCTATAACGCCAGGAAACGTGCATGCCCAGACCAAGTGCGACCAAGAGCTGTGGATATCCGAACAGAACGAAAGCGAACGTGGCGATAACGAGGTAAGCCATGAACATGACGAAATGGCGCTCGTTATGGAGGCCTACGCATTGATTGATCCCTGCAAGATGTCAGCACCAATGGAACAAACATTTGAATGCAATGGACACACACTACCATCCGATTAGCATGACAGAGTAGCAGAAAGAACACGCTGAACGCACAGGACAATGATGGTCGTACTTTAGTACGCATTTGTTGCATATACGGCAATGATGGGCGCGCTCTGGTCTCATCATGGCACATTTGCTACATTTCGTCAGCCCCGCCTTAGTTGTCCTTGCATTGACGCCTACGCGTTTCCTTTTGGCTGCCCAGAGTCCTCGTATTGGGGAAACATCGCCATCGACGAAGCCAGGCGGGACTGTACATACCCACCAGTAGTGTGTCCACATGTTGACCGCCACAAGGACGCACGGAGGTATCGTAAGAAGAGGGAGAGGGAGGCTAGGCGATATTACGTCGACTACGCCGGCATCAGGATGGTTCGAATGGACGAAAAAAGCTACGTACAGAAAGCCACGGTTCCAATGCTCATCAATATCACAGCCAATGCCACAAACAACGGGCCAGCTGCGCCAGTCACACGGTCGCCCAGTCGCTCCAGAGTTTTAAAGCATCGAAATACGGTACGCGAGCAGATCATGGTAAGAAATAAGAGACTTAAGTTGTGGGCGCTTGTTTGCTCATCACGACGTCACTACCCAGCATAACAGATCGATATCGAAAGTACAAAATGAGGTACGAAAAGCAACAATAAAAATGAATCAGATTAGATATAAACTCATGTCCTCCCCGGTGTACTCCCCCTCTTTGGCGTTCGCGGCGTAGGAGGCGGGACACCCGTTAGCCTTCGCTCACTAACACCACCACCTCTCTCCTCGACCCTCTGTACCTCCCTGACCGCTCTTCTTGCTGCGTCACCAACCATCGCAGGCGGACGCTCCCGATCTACTGTCCACAGTGCCCTCAACAATTCCTGTGGCGGTGGTTCTCGTGTCAAAGTGCCGAGCAGGCCTGGGGGATTTGCGTTGGATCGCTGCGCGAGGCCGGTGGAAAGGTGGCTAAAGCGCTCATCAAGTGCACGCTCAGCTACAGACGCAGTCACCCGAGCAGCGTTCTGGTATGTGTTCAGCATGTCGACCTTGAATTCAACGTCCTGGAGGAGTGCTTGTATTTCTGGCCTGTCGGTGCCGTTAAGTATGTGTTGGGCAAGGGCAAAGCTAGGATGGTCGGAGCCAGTCTCCTCCTTCTGCTTTCCTTTGGACTTGGTACTGATGAATGCATCGTAGAAACTCTTAGCCTTCTTCCACGATTCGTCTTCTTCCTGTGCCCTGTCAATGAGACAAAAATGAATATAAAGGAAGTTTAGTAGATGTGAAAGCCGTACTTTCGGATCTGTTCAGTATAGGTCACCTCAAACCGCCGATTGCTCATGTTCTGCTCATTCTCCCGCAGTGCCACTGCCACTGAGCCATTCCTATTTCCTCCTGAAGGGCCAGAAGATGACGTCCGGACATCAACTTGCCTCTCCGCTAGTAGCCTCACCATCTCTTCTTTCGCCGTCTTCATCACTCGTCCCGCTTCTGGACTGAGTCCTTCCTCTCTGCTTGCTGCTCTCAGAGAACACCAGACGAGAAGCACCCTCATCCTCTCTGCATCCGGCAACTCCACGTCAATATGCTTAAAGAAGCTCTTCTCATGGACACTTGGATGCGGCTGGCTAATCCCTGTGGCCTCAAAAGTCGCACTAACCCGCTTCCCACGACCGCCCATGGAACTGCGTCGACTGGGCGTCCGGCTAATATCGTCGTCGTTCCCCTGATATTGTTTGATGGCAGCCATTGCACCCCCGCGCATTGCTTTATTTCGTTCGATTATCGGACTGTCTGTCTCCAAAGCTGCCAGTGGTTCTGTCCTGTCAACGCTCTTACCTTTTCCCTTCCCTTTATTCTGCAGTGCCCTCGAGCTCTTGCGTAGGTGGGCGTTCTCATCATCCATCGCACGAATATCAGATGCCATTGTAACAGGATCCCCGGGCGACGAAAGAATGTCGCGAGAGCGATTGGTCGCGGGGGGTGGTGTCGCGGGACGCGTAGCAGGGGTTGGCTTCGAGCTGGAGGGTTTCGCGGCCTTTGATTTAGCTTTGTTAGTAGGCTGCTGGGAATCTGCGCGTAGTTTCTTTGTCGGCGGCTGGGATTGAGAAGGGGGTGGCTGCGAATTCGACTGTCCGGCTTGTGGTTGTGCACGGACGATGATGAGCCCGCCAGGCTGCTCCTCTCCATTCAACACTAAAGTATTAATAAGTAAAAACAATCCTGTCTCCATAGTAGAATAGCATACGTTTCCGTTTATTCCCCTAAACACGAAATATTAGTTGATACTAGTACGAACTGCCGTATGGAAGCCAACATACCGCATCCTTCTTCGCCTTCTTTGCGCCCAGCGGATTATCAGAGAAGTCGCCTTTCCGTTTCGCGTTGGTCTGTGATGATGACATTGTGGCCGTTAGCGTACTGAGCATCGCCCGCCCCCCGACGGCTATGAGCGTTCGAACGAGAGCACGTCGAGCGGAGTTTGAAACTAATTTTCTCACGATCGCATGATCAACACAAGAGGCAACTGTTACTGTCACGCGTGACGGGACGCGTTCGAATACTTCGAATAACGAGCAGGGCAGGGCACGAACAACCCTTGAGCTTGAAGCTTGACTGCAACCTACATAACTTCCCTCGACTTTATTATTGACTCAGGAAATCCGCTCCGTCTTATCTTGCAGAGACCCACTTAGTAAAAATTTTCATATGCGTATGCACATACATTTCATTCTTTACTAGATCTGTCCTTGTTTGAGACACTGTCATCGCAGTGCATATCATACTCTTGCTTTGACAGGTACTAGCTCAAAAGCATCCCAAAAGTCTCTTGAATCTAATGCACGACCTAGCGTGCTTATGTCCCTCGGAAGCGCCCGGACGGATTCATCGCGCATCAGTTCACGGACCCACTGCGCCTTCTCCTCTGACCATGCTGAGGCAGTGTCCCACCAATCGTAGACTCTCCCGTCCGTCAGCAGCCACCGCTGTCCAACGGCTTTGGAAGGGTTCAGATGCACCGCAAGTATCGCCCGTGCGACGTCTTGGCCGTGAATCAAATGAAGACCGCCCTGGAGTTGCTGCGATAGCAGGAAATTTCGGACGAAATGACCAAAAGACGTACCTTCGCCTTTAAGGCCTCTTTTGTGGGCGCAACTCGGTCGACATAGTTCTTTGGATCCCTTGTTCCACCCCACAGGCCCGAAAGACAGAGCACGCTGCTCTTTGTCTCAGGCAGGGCCAGTAATTCCTCTTCCAAAATGACACGTGGAGTCTTTGTGAACGTTGAATGGCGGTCATACCAGTTGGTCGAGGTAGGTTTGGGAACATTTGGCTAAAAAGATGCTCAGAGTCGAACATGAAGGAAGGAATCAAACGCACTGTGTCATCCCAAATGCTCGTAGTCCCAAGCTGTACCCACAATTCTTGCTCGTCCCTCCCGCCCTTCCTTGTCCTCCCGTATCTCTGCACCAATCTTCTCACTGCGCCCTGGGTGGTTATTGGGAATGTCACCAAAACTGTCTTCACATCCGGCAATTTCTTGCATTGTTCGTCTAGTTTCTCTTCGCTCTCATCATCTTGATCAAAGTTGAATGGGATAGTGGTATAAGGGTCCGTGGATCCTGAACGTGTCGTAGCAGCCCACTTGACGTTCTTTTCCGTGCAAAGTGGTATGAGGAATGACGCTGTCCATCCTGCACCGAGAATGAGAATGTCGACTGGGGACGAAGATGACATCGATGAATAATGGTGGCATCAAGACATGGGCGCCTGTTCTGAGGTTTGTATCATATGATCGCTGCCGCATTCGAACGTCGATCTCAGATCTAGTACTTGGAAGCAACCACTACAGAAATAACCTGCAATGCAAGGACAAAATTGTCCGTCTGTATTCAGCTTCGTGGGAGGGGTGGTGAGATAAGTATATCAGCTTCGTTACTCCAAGTAAGTTTCCAGGCCTGATATCTTCAATCAATCAACTGAATCTGCCATGAGTAAGGGACATACACTGGTCTGCACAACCGGTCGCATTCAGTTACCTGTTGGATGATCTATTCCGGCAGCAAAGCCGCTATCTTCTCCAGGTCACGATATGGTGCCTCTGCACCAACTGAATGGATCGTTCGGCAGGCGTTAAATCACTTAAAAGCTGGCAACTACAATCCCACGCCCTTAGAGTCCCGTCCTGATAATGGCATCTGGAGCTAGCCACCTTCTCGCTCTCACCTCTTTGATCACTGCTTCTGTTCAAGAAATTGTCTCTGCATATCCGGATATCCCACATCCTGATTCTACCTCCTTTGGCATATATGATATTCCTGAAAACATTCCCCCGGAGCTCACTAGGGCTATACAACGCGTTGAGGCAGCGTGTGCACAATTGAGTTGTGCCATCGCTAGCCCTGGGCATACCATTGTGAACGTGGGTTTTACCTTTGTCCGTTCCTCCTTCTGTGTTCTACTACTGATCTTTGAGTAGAAATCACTTGCTGTAAGTTACCATCAAGTCATACTGGGTGTTCGTTAAGTGGTGAGTTTGCGGTGATATACAGCATGCAGAGCCGGCCGCTCTTCTCGTCGTTACCCAAGCCCGCATCGCAGATTATCTTCTTGATAAACCTGACGGGCTTCATGTCTCGGAGCTAGCACGACTATCAGGGCTGGACGAAAGCAAATTAGGGCGCATCCTTCGCTTGTTGGTGACAAGCCATGTGTTTCGTGAAGGTCTGTCATATTTTCATGAAGCTAGAAGACCTTGCTAATTAATGAGTACACTCTGTCAGTCAAACCAAACGTATTTTCAAACAACCGATTGAGCATGAAGCTCTTCAGCTCTGATCCAGTCTCAGATACCGTCTGCCTGCAGACGGACGAGAGCCTGACAGCATCGGCATATCTTAATGAGAGTATGACAGCCAAGGAAGGCCTGAAGATTCCATTCGAGCGCGCGACAGGGCTTCCCTTCTTCGAATATCACAAGACCGTACGTCTCACCGTATTACTCCAATAGCATGATTATAATGTCTGCTTTCCAGCCAGAGGGAAAGGCAAAAGGTGATCGTTTTCCCCGCGCGATGGTTGGGTGGGGGAACGTTACGGGCAAGGGGTTACTATCTACGGTCTATCCCTGGGAGAAACAGCCAGCTGATACGACCATATGCGATATCGCTGGGGGAAACGGACATGTTACGATGGCCTTGATGAAGGCGCATCCGCACCTCAAAGTCGTACTACAAGATCAGGAACAAGTCATTGCAATGGGGAAGCAGTTCTGGAATCAAGGATATCCAGAGGCAGTAGAAAGAGAGAGGGTGCAGTTCGTACCTTTTGATTTCTTCCAAGATACTGCGGTTGAGGGTTGTGATTTCTATTATGTACGTTGATGCTCTCTTTGTTCGTCCCTTCTCGTGTTCGATTGGATACCCTTGATAGATCCGCTCCATTTTGCGAGACTGGCCAGACGAACAGAGTCTTTTAATCCTCAGCAATGTCCGGAGGGCTATGAAGCCTTCAAGTAGGCTTATTATTCGTGCGTTCTTCCTCGATCTGAAACTTGTTATTAAGTGCCTCTTAATAGATGATACCGTCCTTCGACAAGCCGTGCGCACAACATCTGCTACTCCTAGTCAGGATGTTACATTCCAAGACATCGCCCCAGAACCACTTTTACCGAATTATGGTGCTGCCCGCTTACGGACGTACGAGCTTGATATGATCATGATGAACCTCTTGGGGAGTGCTGCGCGGACTCTTGACGAGTTCCTAACGCTGTGTGGCACATGCGGTTTTAAGTTTGAGAAACTTTATGAGGCGGGAGAAACCGATCTGATTGAATTCAGTCCAGTTTAGGTAGTAGTGTATTGGGCTTGCCTTGGGTTCGAGTGAGTGTGCAGTGCGAAGTCCTAATGATGAACTGTTTCGAAGTGTATTGCTTAGTGCCAGGGCCATCAGAGTTAGGTCCTGGAAAATACGATTCTTACAAGCAATTGAATCGGTACATACCGATCGCTATAAGTAGTTCTCACTTTCGTTTCATGTTTAAAGTTGCCTTTCATGCCTTAATAGCCATTCTGATGATACCTATAACACATGATGTGGATTGCGTTGACTATCCTATGGTGTGTCGACTCCTACAATAAATGTCCTCATAACGACCTGGCACGAAACAAAAGTCATTCAAATTTTCATGTCCCGGTATGCCATGGCTGTCGACGTCAATATTCGAGGATCAGCGATGGGCCGAACCTAAGGTGAATTTTAACTTCTCCGCAGCGTTTCAGTTGATTACTGAAAATTAAATACACGACAATGGTACGTTCTTTCATCCATATACTTGGATCCCTGCCTTGCTGACGAAGTCCCGTTCTCGTCTTCAATCTAATTAAATCATTCATTTTCCCGTTTTACCGAAAGCGCTTTTCTTTGTTCACAGGTCCTTTCCATCAGGTATAATGTATAAGTCCGCAACGTGATTGATGCCGTCAATCAAGACCCACTCCCCAGATACTCATGATCGAGAACATGCAATTACAACTTTCATCAGGACGGACGCAAATGGCCTTGCGCTACACAATACTTCAAATGCTGGTGCTATTTCAGATTCCAAAGTGCTACGTTGAGTTGGGGAGACTCGCCTTCTAATTCCATTCTCACCATCATATTCTAGCGGCAATTCCTTGTCTTATTCTTGGATACACCAAGGACAGTAGTAAACCATCATCCGTTCCGGCGTACCTTTGCTCCAGGAGTCTTCCCTCGGGCTCGTTTCGATGCGGGCTCGATGGCTTGGAGCATTCTCCTCAGCGCCTCTTTCTCTGGCCCGCGAACTCTAGTCTGACACATCTCGCAGCAACCGCTGTCTGATGAACTGAAAAGATACGTTAAGAGATGGCATCTTTGAATTTAAATCATATTTCCGCCACTTCTGAAGTTCGTATCCTATCACGTCTAGCATCTGACCGGCTGCTTTCGGGTATCACTCTTTCGCTCTTGACGACAAGGTTGATCTCAACCCATCAGACACTCCATATAAACAGGGCCATCTCTCGTCTTGAACGAGGTTTCCTCGGGGATATTTTGGCTATTTACACAGTCGGCGTTTGTTGACCATCCTGAAGAAATTCGTTCCGTTGCCCATCAAAGCTCTAGTCATCTCTAATGTGATACTTATTCTATCGAGAACGGCTCGACGTGTCCCATCAGCCACACTGTCCTCTATCTCCGACGGTTTATCTCTCGGCATTCTAAAACACATCCAAAGCTGACATCCATATCCCCCGGACATTGTCCCAGATGGTTTACGCCACCATACTAGATGGTCGGCATGTGCAAACGGATCATTTTGTGTAAGTTTCGACATGGCCCGACTTTCTCTAAACCCACAAGTAAAATCATTGTGTACTATTAGTTACTTAGCGCACATCAATTTCGTTTGTTTATCAAATCAAAATATAGGAGCATGCCATTTTGCGGTGGTCATCTATTGGAAATATTCTTTAGCAAGCCAGTCCTCATCACAGCTGACGTCCTCTGACTTCGTAGATCTAATTTTAACAAACTGCGCCGGTGAACTGCGCATGCATAACACAGCGTGCTTGGCTATTGACATGAGTGAGTCAATATGTGAGCTGTTACAATTGCGCGTGAGATGTAGTGTTCCTTCCTATTTCCCCTAAGTCGTAGTGCATGGAAGCTCGTAGCCACAGAACTACACTGGAGAACTCGATTCACACAGATGTGCAAGGAACAAGCTCGGTATTCGTGAGACGACAGTACAGGTGGTGGTAAACCAAAGAGACGTGACGTGGCAATCCTCGTATTACGTCACACCGGGAATAGCCGATGTAACCGGCATCCGGGTTACAGTGCGTCGTAGATCAATGGCACTTTGTTCACTACGCGAGGGGTTGGAGAGATAATAAAGAAGCAAACACGAGTTATTTTCTGCCAGATCCGTACTGTCGCCGACGTACAAGGCTCGTATTCAAATTTACGCACCATACGATGCGGAACTATTTAGTATTGAGGAATGCAACAAGGCGGTGAGGTTTGGCCGGTATTTAATATGTATCTATCGTATCACACATGTCCTTCTTGTATCATAGTGGATGACTTTCCATAACGATTTGGAGTTCCAAAAGGACTTTCAGATGTATATTAAAATTATTTAGAATCCAAGTATCGTAGATTTTCAAACCATAACACCGTTATCCTTGACCTTGTAGATTCTGAAATAAACAGTTCGAACGTTCTTTGCCCGATCTTGATCTGCTCTGCTTTTGGACTCTGACCACATGGACGACACGGATAGGAATGGCGGCCATCCTCAGTGGTGAAGAACTGGAGTTCCTGGGGGTGGACAGGATCAGACATAGAGAATATAAATATCAGCTAGTGCTTCAAGGATGTGCTGAAAAAGACAAAAAATGCCCGCATTTTATATTGGCAAGAACACATCACCACTCAGCGAAATTACATGATGACGGGATGCAAAGTCTCTGTAGGATACATCTTTTCCCAAACATCAGAGTCCCACCCTTCATTATCTCCCACAAAATTGCGACAGGATGAGCAAAGGGTGTCACTAAATAGAATGTTATTGGCCAGCAGACAGGACAAAACCGGGGAAACTGACAGGAAACTGATCTGAGGGCGAATTGGTGAGCATCCTCAACATTTTCACGGTCCAACAGTGTGTCGGGAGGGTGGAAAAGTACAAGTTCAGTTAAATTATTGCCAGCTAATTAAGGAGTGCGTCGTCACCGTGTCTGATCGGAATTGAAAGGAAATTGAAATACGGCATCCCAAAAGAGGAAGCTGGCATTTGGAACAGGTTTGGATGACGGTTTGAAGCTGGAAGAGAGGTCCGAGGCCTCATCCAGATGGGTGGTTTGGAAGTGGGTCGAACGATCCTGAAATTTTTGAAACAGCTTACCAATCGCACCGGCATGTCGGCAAGTCACACTCTAGAACGAAATCTGAATTTAGAACCCATTCTAAACGTTATGGAAAGTCATCCAGTATAAATTCAGGAGAAGTGGAGCTTAAGCGACAGGTTGGTAGCACAAGTTCGATACTCGCCCGATTACCAGTCTGAAAGGATAAAATCAACACGGAATTGTGGACGGCCCGGAAAGCACGTGGCCGCGTTTGAACCTTCAGCCCGAACTTCCATCTGTTGTCAAGAGTCAAGCCTGAAACTACCTGCTACTTGATTCATCACATAATTCGCATGATGCATCTGCAGCATCTTGAAAGACTGCGAAAGGCAAACGGAAGGACTCGAAGTAAGCGGTAGAACAGTTTCCAGGTTCGCTTTATTGAATTTGAAACTTGCTCAGTTTTGAATAGATGACCAGGTTCCCAGGATTTACCTTTTGCTAGTACTCAGACGTAATGGATCTGAAAGTTGTAAATGGTAGCACCGTGTGTGTTGCCTCTTCGGAGTTCACGTTCAGCGTGTAACCATTTTCAACGCTGTGAAAACAACAAAACACGAGCTGGAGATTCAAGAAGAGGCCGTGCCTCGTTCCTTGCAAACCTGGAAAATGTATAGGACGCCCTATATGCTTTTCAGCACGAATCATATAGAACAACGAGAGTTTGCGCAACGGCCATGCCGTTGCTGATACCTCAAGAGTCCACTCGTATCCCCGTATTTTCTGATGCGCATATACTTACTACACCCGCATCTTTGAGCTTACGGTAGCTCGCATTTACAGCGCATACCGCCGGGGAGAGCGTGCTGATACGAGAAACGGACTTTCGGGCGCATGAAGGCGGAAATCAGTGATATGGGGATTAACGTGGCAGTACGCCCTGCTGAACATCCCGTATGTCTACGCAATTTCGTTATTCTCGTTCGTAACTAATCATTATCTGCGCGAATGTCAGGGGGGTATCAACCAGGATCAGGTTCCCGCCACGTCCATCGTTACGTTCTCTTTCATTGACAGACTGGAATTCCGGCAGCAATTTGATCGAGCGCTTCATGAAATCCGACATTCGTACGCGTCGTTAAAAGAATCTGCTCAGTCCCTCATGTGTTTCAAGATTTCCCTCCATTACCATTATCTATCTTCCTCTGGTCTGGTACCTCCATGCCGACTCTCTTCTCGCTCATTGCCACATTCACACTCTTTTTGACATGTTCTTACGCTGCTGTACCTGCTTATTCAGACCTTCATGTCGTGAATCGATACATAGCGCCTGATGGATTTAATCGCTCGTAAGTGGACAACACGACGTCGAGCCCATGAAGCCAATTTCTTGCTTCCAGTGCTGTTCTGATGAACGGTGTTTTTCCCGGACCTTTGATTTTTGGATATACAGTATGTTGACATGCGTCTTAGTATCGGATATATATATTCTGACTACAGTCAAACTTCAGGGAGGACGATTTCGCTTGAACGTTATTAATGAACTTACCGATAACACCATGCTTCGAAGCACCTCTATTGTCCGTTCCCATGTTCCTCCCGGTGTCCCATCTAATCTGGCGTGCAGCATTGGCATGGGTTCTTTCAGAAAGGAACCAATTGGGCTGACGGGTAAGGCTTCCCATCAACATCGTCATCTATACCAATGTTTTATGGCAGCGCTTCTTTCGTCAATCAGTGTCCGATCACTCCCCAAAAATCTTTTTTATATGATTTCAGAGCTCCCGGACAGGCTGGAACCTTTTGGTATCACTCTCATCTGTGTATGTTCTGTTACATGTCGATCATTATATCGTTAACCGTCCAAATTTTAAGCCACGCAGTATTGCGACGGACTTCGTGGACCTATGGTTGTCTACGATGTGCTGGACCCTCATCGCTGGCGCTACGACATTGATGACGGTACGAATGCTCCGGTCGGTTTTGAACAAGTTCTAATGTTTCTTGTAGAATCTACCATCATTACTCTGTCTGATTGGTGAGTCGGGACTATGTGATTGTACAGAAGTTTAGTTTTAACATCTGTGCCTTAGGTATCATACCCCAGCGCCTTCTGCAGGGCGATTTCCTACTGCAGAATCCACCTTAATTAATGGACTTGGTCGCTATGCAGGAGGACCAAGCTCATCCCTCACCGTAATTAATGTTAGGAGAGGACTTCGCTATCGTTTCCGTCTAATCTCGCTTTCATGCGATCCCAACTACACGTTCTCCATCGACGGACACACTATGACAATCATTGAAAGTGATGGTGTTAGTACTCAGCCCATTGACGTCGATTCACTGCAAATCTTTGCTGGACAACGCTATTCCTTCGTTCTTCAAGCTAATCAGCCCCTTGGTAACTATTGGATACGCGCCAATCCCAACGCCGGATCGACGGGTTTTGAGGGTGGCCTCAATTCCGCGATTTTGCGATACCAGAATGCACCAAATGTAGATCCGACAACGAATCAGACTACCAGCACGCGGCCACTACGCGAAAGCTCCCTTGTGCCTCTTCGAAACGCAGGTGCTCCTGGACGCCCTGTACCAGGTGGAGCCGACGTGAACATCAATCTAGCCATGTCATTCGACCCGACTACTCTTGACTTGAAGATCAATGGAGCGAAATTCCAGCCTCCCAGTGTACCCGTCCTGCTGCAGATCATCAGTGGAGCACAGTCCGCGAAGGATTTGTTGCCTTCGGGCTCTGTGTATACGTTACCTTCAAACAAGGTAATTGAGTTATCGATCCCTGCATTAACAGTGGGAGGACCGCACCCTTTTCACCTGCATGGGGTATGTTTCATCTCCTGTGTATGGGATTCTTTGACCAACCATGATTTTAGCATACTTTCGATGTCGTGCGTACGACAGGAAGTGAGACTTATAATTATGTCAACCCCCCACGCCGCGATGTGGTCAGTACTGGACTAGCAGGTGATAATGTCACCATACGGTTTACTACTGACAATCCTGGACCTTGGTTCCTACACTGGTAAGCGTCGATTTATAGGATGGTTCTCTTGCTATCGCTAATGATTCCTTGCCAGCCATATTGATTGGCATCTCGAAGTGTGAGTTGGTTACTACTAGTTCTCCATTGGTGCTTTTGGCTTATGTTGCGCTATCATGTTCTTCAGGGGCCTTGCCGTAGTGTTCGTCGAGGATGCAGCTGACACTTCGCGGATGAACCCTATCCCAAGTACGTTGCTTTACTATGGCTTAGAGGTCTTCTAATTGTACCACTTAGATACTTGGTCCGATCTGTGCCCCACATACACTGCAGAAAACCCAGATACATCGGTACAGATTGTTAAAGCATGAAGTAGACCATGCACTGGTCATTTTTTGGACTAGATTTTCAGGGTGCAGGAGATCTTATGTGGACTATTTTTTATTACTCTTTATTGGCATAAATGGACAATCTGTAACAAGTGAATCTCATGGACCTTTTATAATATTCAGATGGATAAATCAAGGTGTGGCCTGTTAAGTTGGCGACCAGCCGACGTGCAACGCGTCACGGCAGTGGGCTGTGCAGCAGTACGAGACCCTTATGACTTCATCCACTGATACGCATCCGCAGCTGTAAATAAGCAGTGTAACTTGCTCAAAAGTGCCGAGTTGGTAGATTCCTTTCCCTAGTTTTCCACTGACCATGATTGACAACAAACCTTTCTTTCCGGATGACCTTACGCCAGCAGAAGCGCCTCCTTCATACGATGCTAGTACGAGTACGAACGTCCCGACAAGCGTCGATTCGAAGAACCGACCAGTAAATGCTATCGCCGGCCCTTCTTCAAGCCGACCTCCTGTCACTTCTCCTACCACCCAAAGAGCCTTCCATGGGAGCCTGGCAGCCCAATCATCTAATTTCCCGTACAGCACTTTCAGCTGGTTCTCTTCTCGCTCCACTAGAGAAACCAAATCCACCATAACATCCCTCATCCGAGACCTTGTCCGGCCCCCAAATTCATCCTTGGCATGCAACGAAATCCTCTCCAGCTGCGCCGAAGCTTGCACTTCCTATTCCCTATCCCTCTCCTCCATCCTGCAGGAAAAGTTCTGCGAAGGCCACACACCTTTATATTGGGCGATCATAAACAAGCCACGGCAGACGGAGGAGGAGAGCGAAGAGCTCCTTTCGGCTCTTTTACGCTACTCCGTACCTCTGACGCCCTCGACGATATCCGAGCTCCGTCTAGCATGTCTCGTCACCTCAGACCAAGATCTTTTCCGACACCTCCGGCGCGAGCTGAATCCCCTCTCAGGGACAGACGACATGCTCCTAGGAACGACGGGCAGTGACGACGTACGCGTAGTAGACACCAACGCCACCGAGGGTGTATTCGCTGCAGAGATCGAGATCAGCCAGTTTCAGAAGCGTATGCGTGTAGGAAAAGAGGTGGAGGTAGAATTTATTGCCCAAGCGCGATTGTGGCGGCTTTCTTTCTTTGTGATGTCCCGGGACAGGCCTCGTAGTCCTCGACGAGGTTCGTGGTGTGTCGGGCTGTCCTTGATGGAGAATAGTCCGCCGACATGGGTTGATTCGAGGTTGATTATCCAAGATCAGCCTGCCCAGGACGTACTAGACGAGGAGCAATCAAAGCCGAAACCAACAATTTCCCTAAGAATGAAGTCCCCGGCGGAGTTGGTCCCAACGAATACTTTCGCCCATGCCCGCCAGACAAAACAAATAGTTGTGTCACTGGAAGAAAGTATTATGGGTCAAACACTGCAGTTCGGGTACGTGGCCGTATTTTCCTGCTCTTCTCCTTGTTCCGATTATTATCTAGGGGAACGTCGTACATAGCTAATGACGAAGTTCTGCGCGCGCGATTGGAAGCACGTTTATGCAAACCAGGACCCGAATGTGTTATCATGTGAAAGCACCTCCCGAAAATATGTAGGTCCTGCTGCTACCCATCTCAGAAAACGCCGTTGAATTAACGAGAGTCAAGATTACCCGAAATAATCAACAACATTTCTAAGCTTATGATGATCCTTTACCTCGTCAAATTCACCCATCCTTACATCAATAATCTGTTGCGTAAACGAACTAGAAGGAGGGAAGTCAGACGCGCTATCTATTCATCAAGAAATTTCCACCTCACCTCCTCCGACCACATCCCTTAGCCGCACTCAGAAAGAAACTCGCTTTGATTCCTATCACCTTATCCAGGATCCCCAACACACCACTATCTGTCATCAAACGGTTGCTGCCTTCTAATCTCTCCGCCAGCTCCACGATTTCAAACCCATGCAAGTCGCCACCGTCATCAAATGCCTCGAGTAATATGTCGACAGCCTCATTATGCCAATCACCGAAATCCTTGAAAGTACTCGACTTGCGAGTGGCGGCTAAACGAGGTCCTCGCAGGGCGTACGGGTAATCACTGGCGAACCAAATTTTGCGAATGTCAACGGAATGGAGCGCGTCAATGAGGGCGTATGCACATTGTGAGAGCGCATCGTGCGGGACAGACTCCATACGCCAGTGGACCATGACGTATTCTTCTGGTGGAGCAAGCTTTGACGCGAGTGAGAGTAGAGAGGGCGAGTAGGCGAGCTGCAGAGTGCTAGAAGAGGGGAATATCGGGTAACGAAGATCATAATTCACGACAAGGACGTCAGGATCTCCCTGGTACGTTTGAATGATGCCAAGTAACTCCTTGAAGATGGGTTTTTTGAGTTTGGAAGGGTTAAGGTATAGAGCGTCGAACCCGCGGAAATCCAGAGTGCTGAAATGTGTCCCAAAACATTCAGGGAGAGAAGAGACGTCATTCTGAGCGAGGTGTACATTAATTTTATCGATGACTATCGGGGTCGATGTCATGTTGGGGTTGGCTTTCAAGGCGAGAGTGAGAATCTGCGCAGTTTGACGGGATGTACCCCGCTGGAAGTCTTCCAAACTAATCACATCAGCGCCAGCGAGCCTGAGCTTCTCGATATCATAGTACGTGTCAAAATCCAGCAGATGACAAGCCCCCATACGGCTCCTCCCCACTCTCGGAAGCACGACAGTCCGGTTGAGCTCTTTGGATAGCTGGATAATCTGCGCCAAGTGTACACGCGCTTTGGATTCCTGTTCGGATATCCGGGCGGGGAAGAGAAATCGGTTTGGGCCATCGAACGGCTCGGGAATTTGGGTGATGAGGGGAGGCCATTGGTAGCCTGAGCGAGAATCGCGTGTGGGAGGAGAGAGTTGGTTGAGGAATGTACGGTCGATGATGGGAGGTTTCCATGATGAATTCGGTGGATTATGTGCGATAGGTTGAGAAGGAGACGGTGTAGGTAGGAGGATCGTTGTTTGCGGCACATCGTTTGTTAGGATCGTCTCGTTCGTATATTGGGCTTCCACAGGCGTTCGAGGTATTGATAGAGACCGGAAATGAAGGTAAGGTCGACATATCCATCCGAGCAGTAGAAATAGAGGCAACGATATGCAAAACAGCACCCTTCCACGACTCGGACGCCATCGTTGAATACGATCCCCATAAGAGAGATCGTCACGCCCTTGGTGTATCTTGAAATTATCTTGCAGAAAAGCGGGCCCAAGTGTTGGATGAAGGTCGTGCAGTTTCACTCGAGAACGTAGGGTGGGACTAGGCCCCAAAGGCGTCATGGTGGTTGCTGGTTGATCGTGTGCTTCGATTTGTTTGCACTTGTCATATCTTTAGCCTTAACATTTCACGACAGCAATTTTCGTAAAGTGAAATGAACGTCTACGCGTTTTCTTTTTTTCACCTCGCCTGAACACCAGCTAAACATTTGTCGTTGGAGGTAATTTGATTGAAGACGAGGGGTGGTTGTCTGAAGGATTTTAGTAGACCTTTTATACCACGTCTCTGGTGTCTCGAGAAGGATCCATGGATGTCGATGAGAGACCGGGTCATGGTTTGTGGAGATGATGGTCAGAGGAAGACATCTTTTTCGTATGCTAAAAATAGTATACAAGGACTGATCGTTCTTTTGAAAGTTACCAGACGCGCCCCCCTCTTCTCGGAGCTCGAAAATGCTGCATTCTGTAATACGAGCATTCTGTTATTGAGACATCGACCAAGACAGGATGTATGACTTTTTTCGCAAACGCCGCGTTGCAACTTGAAAGGCTTTCAAAAGTCTGTCCGAATTGCTGTATCTAACTCCTCCTTGGACCTATCACATCGCACTCCCAATTCCCCTCCTTGCTCCTAAAAACTTTGGAAGCCTCGTCCATTATCTGGTTTCACTCAAGCTCCAAGGAAGATTGCAGGGGGGGCTATAACCCTATGAAGAATCACAAGGTTTCCTCCTCGATGACTGTTCAGATCACGATAGTTATTTTCGACCCAGTACGCGACTCTGAAATGTCTCTCTCCATCGCACCACTAGTCTCTGATACCATTCCTTCTCGAAAACGCTAGCAAAGTATAGAAGGGCTGCCAAAACGCTAACATTCTCCAGTCTCCAATCACCCAACTATACAACCATGTCCAAGTTCGCACTCGCCCTCGTCGCTCTTGCCGTCCCCGCATTTTGCGGTCTCGTCAGCACCGATACGGACATGCAGGACCCGTCGTGGAACCCTGCTTGGACGTGGCCCGGGAGCGGCAAGGAATGTCCCAAGGACGTGTCGAAGGACTGTCCTTGCTTGACGGATGTGCGTTTGTTCCCTCCCCGTTGGAGTTGTGACTGATTTTTTCGAATACTAGTCTGTATGTGGATTCGAGTGCCCCAAGCAGTGGCCCGACACGGACTGTATCTGGAAAGCCGTATTTGAGAATAAGAACGATTGGAGTGGATGGAAGACGGGCAAGTACACACCCATCACCACCGGATATGTCTCCAAGGACACCTTTGAGCTCGGTGAGCGTGTTTCCTCTACCGCCAGTTTAATAATACTCACCTGCGATGTAGACTGCAAGACCCTTTGTGAATCTCACGACAAATGCAACTCTTGTCAGGGTACGTCGAGTTACCACATGTCTTTCATTACCTTTATCTTACATATTCCCAGCCTTTTCGCTCGAGGAAGAAGCAGAGCAATTCATCTGTGCGCTCTTTGCGGAGATCATCGACGGCTCGTCCTGGGAGGATGATTGTGATGAGGATGACATTGAGAGCAAGTACTATAACACTTCTTGCTGGAGCTCCAAGTCGTAGAAGGGTGATTACCATTGGACTTTTGTAATATATATATGTATCATCGTCAATTGAACGTCTTGCGCGACTTGTAATTCCTAGGTGTATTCATGCGGATTGATCGCTCTACCCCGCATCCTTCCCACTAAACCTAGTTAGTCAGCCACCAAAAGCACCAATCACAACACCAACTCACCTCGGACCCAAAACCCACATAACAACACTCAACCCCGCCAACAACTGAAGAGCCCTAACAGTCCCCGATATCCGACTAAACGCTATATGCGCCTTGTGCTCATTCGAGTGTCGCTGGGAGACATTCTGATACGACGGGTGTGTCGATGTCGGTCCACTACCAAACTCTACCCCATGGTGGTGTTGTTGTTGGTGGTGTTGATGCACCGGTCTAGGCTTCCTAGGCGCCCAAGCAAACTTTGCACTGGGTGGTGTATTCCTCGTTTCCCATGTAGTCCTGAAACTCGTTCGCTCGCGTGGATGGGGTGGTACGACAGTCAAGAGGGTCCTATCATATGCTCGCTTCTGCCTGTCGTCCGACAAGACAGCATAAGCCTCCGAAGCACGACGGAAATGAGTTGGTGAATCAGGGTCGTCCGACAAGTCTGGATGATGTGTCTTGCTTAGCTGTAACAAAGTTTCAGTACATCCGCCTTTACACTACCATTCTTACCTGATAGAAAGAGGACTTTATCTGAGCCTTGGACGCATTTCTTGGTACATTAAGTGCGTGGTAGTGGTCAATCATGGGTATGTAAGTTACGTAAACAAGCGATTATATACGGCAATAAATGCAGAAAGGCAACCACCTGCGATAACAGGCAGTGTTAAATTATCATCCAGTCCAAAATCGAGTGACTCTGCCAGTGCACTGACCAGACCAGCGTAGGCACCGAATACCAGTGTCCCAGTCCAGCCCTTCTCCGCAGGAACCCAAGAATGGCCCCCAATCCCGCCCCAGAAACCGAGCACGATAGCAGACCCGGTTACTGCAGCAGCAACGAACCCTGCAAGGCTCTTCTTCCTCGACCACGGCAGCTTCGGCGTCCACCGCCCGTACATCCTCCCAAACGTGCTCGCAGCCGTGTCTGCCCATGAGAGGATGAGGATAGACACCACGGCGACATCCAGCGGCAAAAATGTGAGCACGATGTTGACGCCGAGGATATAATAGATGACGCCGTTTGTCTGGGTGAGCTCGCTCGGCCGCATGAGGGGACCGAGGAGGACGTTGTACAGACTGGCAAAGGGAGAGCGGGGAAGGGTAAGCCGGAGGATGTCGGCGGGGAGGATGACGAGCAAAAGGGACGTCCATAGAACGCGTGTCACGGGCGCTGGTGACCCGCCTGAGACGTACAGATACAGCGTCCCAAACCCTGCCAAAGTTAACACGAAACATATCGCAACAACGACGGAAAAACTCACCTATCGAAGAATGCAACACCTTGCGTGGTATCTCCCAGTCTATCTTGTCTTTTTCCTTTTCCTTTTCCAAAGGTTCATCGTCCTCAGAGGAAGGATTCGACGACTCGTCCTCTACCGGATGTTCGCCCAGTCCTTCCAGTTTGCGTATCACTTTGCGTGTTATCGTCTGCACACCAGGTGTCGGCGAACGCGAAGACGACATCATAGTACGTAGTGGAACAAGGTCAAAAAGGGGGCTCAGGGGCAGATTACTCATTCAGGCAACAAGTATTTTAAGGGCTAATCTAATACACGTATCCCAAAAGTTTTCCACCAATGTTCTTGCGACGCGCCTCTTCGTGGTCCATGATTCCACCAGACGTAGTCTAAAAGGCCGTTAAGCACATGTTCAGTCACCAGACTCGAAAGAAAAAAAGAACCCACGAGGATGATGATTCCGAACCCACGGGCAGGCAGCAACAAGTTGACCCAGCTCTCAATCTCGTTGTGCTTGACGTTGTACCGGGGAGAGATTACACCAGTCTTGTTCAGACGCCCGTTAAGCTGGATCACAATCTTGCCAGAGCGGTGGTCGTCGATAATCTCGAATTCACCAATGTAACCTATCAAGAAGAAAAAAAGAGTTAGCATCCAATCAAGTTATGCATGCATGTAGCCCCATCCGTGAACGCCTATCCCTAGCACTAGGACACACGCTGTATGGTTATCCGGGGCATTCAATATTTCGGAAACGTTAAAACGATGCCAGCGTGTAGTAAAATGCGCCAACACCGTAGTTATCGTCCGAGAGAAAAACTAAACAAGTACCCACCATGTCTCTGCATGACGCTCAAAAACTTGACGACGACCTTGGATGACGGCCGGATGAGGACCTGGCGCTTGCCACGGCGCTCAGCATTGACGATATTGTTCAAGCAGTCGTTCTACCCCCTCGTCAGTAAAGCAAGAATGGATCCTAAGGAAGGCTACGCACGAGTACGGAGACGCGAACCATGTTGTCGGCCCTTTTTTGATATTTTCTGGAGAGACAAGTGTCAGCAGCCCGGGGAGTGTCGCCAACGAGCGAGTCGGCCGGGCAGAGATTAACGCACCTTGAGGGTGGAGGGTGAGGTGGATGGTATACAAGACCTTGCTCACCTAAGTTTGATTCACCCTCTGAAGCAAGCGTGGGAACCAACTATACAGTTCTCCCCAAGCCACCTCGGGACTTGCCGTCCCCGTCTTCATTTTGCATTCCCTTCCCAGTACCGACCGACACATTCAGTAACATGGTCAGTCCGTCGTTAACTGTCTCGCCGACGTCTTCACTGATTGCATTGACAGGGCCGAGTTCGCACCAAGACGACAAAGAGGGCTTCCCGTGTTCTCATTGAGAAATAGTACGCCCTTCCCAGTCAACCATCCTTAAACTTGCCCTTACCCTTCTTATAGCTACCCCCGCCTCACCCTCGACTTTCACACCAACAAGAGGATAATCGATGAAGTTGTACGTACTCCTTCCTCCCTTACCCTCCCCACCCAACCCTGACCTTCCCCTCCCCACAGGCCGTAGTCCCCTCAAAACGCCTCCGCAACAAAATCTCCGGCTTCACCACCCATCTCATGAAGCGTATCCAAAAAGGCCCCGTCCGCGGTATCTCCTTCAAGCTCCAGGAAGAGGAGCGCGAGAGGAAGGATAACTATGTCCCCGAGGTGTCGGCGCTTGATACTAGTGCCACTGGGCTGGAGGTCGATGCTGAGACCAAGGTGAGCAGGGGATACGAGTGTGTGGTGATGACGCTGACGATGCTTTTTTACAGGAACTCCTCCATGCGCTCAACTTTGATACTATCCAAGTATCCGTTATCCAGCCGGCTATTCCAGAGAGGGCCCCCAGGAGGGAGAGGAGGAACGTTCCTGGTGCTGGGCGGTAGATGGTTGTATGCACTCGAATCGTATGCTTTCTATATGCTAGGCGTTATATGACATTTGAGGCGTAAAATGCAACAGTCGGCTAAGAAGTGTTCTATCCTGTCGTCGGGCTTTACGTCGATAGACAACTCAATAGCACCTTCCTCATGCTTCAGAATATTTTCGATTTGGTTTCAACTTCCTCTAACTGTTTGAGTGTTATGGCACGTTACATGCCCGGGTGATTGTTATACAAGTCGCACCAGCATTAATTATGATTTCTGAAGAGTTATTAGCTGAATTTGGCAAAGCTTTCAAGGACGTTCAAAGGTAGCATTCAGCACCTTATGATACAAGAAAACTCCAATTCTCCAATCTACGACTTGGAGCTCCAGCAAGAAGTGTTAAAATACTTGTTCTCAATATCGTCCTCATCATCCTACCAAGACGCGCTGTCAATAATCTCCTCAACGAGCGCACAGATAAACCGCTCTGCTTCTTCCTCCCACCGACCTACTAACGAGCCGAAAGCTTCCAAACCGCTACGGAAAACCACAGCTGCACTCTACGACTGACCAATTTGATTGCGCTGGATGTAAATATTACAAAAAGTCCTTGGATATCCATGATATATATCACCACACTCCTAGTCTAGGACTTGGAGTTCCAGCAAGAAGTCTCGTAGTACTTCTTGCCGTTCTTGTCATCATCGCAATCCTCCTCCCAAGTCGACATATCGATGATCTCCTCAAAGAGCGCACAAATGAACTCTTCAGCGACTTCCTCGAGCGAGAACGCTAGCAAATCATCCGAGTCAGACAAAAGTAGGATGTAGAAATAATTCGACATACCCTGGCAAGAGTTACATTTCTCATGAGCCAAGCAAAGGTTCTTGCAGTCTGATTCAAAATAGCCAGCCAAAACCCACAATCTCAAAGAGAATCACGCTTACCGATCTCAAAGGTATCTTTGGAAACGTACCCAGTAGTAACGGGGGTATACTTTCCCGACTTCCATCCACTCCAGTCACTCTTGTTCTCAAAGACTGGCTCCCAAGTGGCCTTGGTGTCGGGCCACTGTTGAGGGCACTTGAATCCGCACTCGGTCTATTCAAAAATCAGTTACACTCTAAGAACGTAGAGGAGAGAGCAGACGTACATCGGTCAAACAAGGGCAGTCCTTCTTGACGTCCGAAGGACACTGCTTGCCGTTCCCAGGCCAAGTCCAAGTAGGCTTCCAGGAAGTGTTATCCATGCTGTTGGAGTCATCTCGTCCCTTGTGGTGGTGTCCCTTGACGTGCTTGTCTCCTTTGTGGTGTTCGCCATTGCCTTTGTGCTCGCCCTTGTGTTCAGCCTTGACCGTACCGGAGAGCACGGGGGCGACGAGCACAGCGAGAGGGATGAGAGTAGCGAGTGAGAAACGCATGGCGATGAAAATTCAAGCAGGTAGTAGACGAAGATGCTGAGCTTGGTCTGGAGGAATACTGGCATTTCTGTAGGCTTTTTATACGCTAACACGTAGAGTCAGAGAGCAGAGAATTGCGGTCATGGATGTCCGTTTGGTAGTTGACAATGACTTAGAACTGCGGTGTCAGAACTGCGCGACGTTGACCAGTGGAGGGGGACATAGGAAAAGACATATCACGTGTGATGCCCATAGTGGTTGCACTTGAAGAGGTTTACGGGCACATGTCGCGACTCGATCGCGTTGAACTATTGAGAAATCAAAGTAAAATCCACCAATACTTTCACTCATAGCGCAGCTAAAGATAGTATATCCTCATGAAAAGATAAACAGCCTAACTTAGACTTTGACGAGTGGACTCGACGTCGTGTTCCGAGTGAGTTCAGTGATCATTAGCGGCGGACACAACGTTTCAGGCTCCACTGTGAACGGTAAATTTAGCCCTCGTTTACTACGAATATTTCCAGCGGCTCAAACTTTTTCGTTCGATTAATCCTGCGTGTCGAACAGTTGTTGACCGTAAGAAGCCTAAGACCCGGGGAGATGAGATCCGGGCGATTCAACGCCCAATATTTTCCAACCGGACAGCGAAGGTATCACATACAGAATGCATTTCAGCTACTGTAGAACAAGGCTTTACAAATGTCCTAATATCGCCCGCAGCGCTTGATGGAAAGGGATCCGGTTTACTAGTAGGCGTTCCGCATAGCACAATGACGGATAAGCTGAAAAAAGATGGGGGATAGGCGGTCGCAAGGATGGTGAGTCCGCCTGGAGAAACTAGATGAATTCGCAGCCCTTTTATATCTCTTCGAATGTCTGGCGGCATCCGCCGTCAGTAGAGTATGACGGCGCCCAGTGAAAGATTGGAGAGGTTTGTGGCCGTGCGTACTAAGTTGCTTCAAGACTCGCCAAGCATCCTGCTTCGCCGAGCAAATCTGAGGAACTCTCTGGCCAGAGCGAACGTTGAGGTAGAAGTTCAGGCGAGAGACTTCCAGACTAGAATTCATAAGGCAAACATAAAATGCCGCCTCGAAGCCCGACGGTTGCCTGACGCGGTCGTTGAGAGCGGAGAATGAAAGGAAAGTTGCAGCGCGTCGGCAAATGCCGCGTTGACTCCGTCGTCGGAATTCTAACGCGCAATCTCAGGCAGAGGTCCCTCTCTTTCGGTTCACGGTAAACTGTTACCTAACGGTTCAACTCTTCGTTAGCACGGAAAGCGTTATGGAACGCTAAAGACCTCGAACGAATCACGATCGCCTGTACCTCTGGTCTCTGGTGTGGTGAGGCAAGCCTCAGCCAGGAGGACCTTTAGGAAAGACAAAGCCTTGTTTATGGAACCGACGTCAACGTTCTAAAATCGTACACGAGCACCTTCGACGGTTCACTTTCGACTCCACATTCATCGGCCCTACTGAACCGAAATGTCTCCGCTTGAGCACCCATTCTCTCGTCAAGCTGATCACTCTCCACCTTCATCCCCTCATCTCTCGGAGGCTAGCAGAATTATTACCGGCGACACCTCGGTCGTGTTTACTGATTATTATTCGAAGACTTGCCTGGCCTCGCGACGCCACCAACCAATAATCTCCTTGAGGGGCATCTTATTACTGACAACAGTACCGTCCATACACATCCTTAGGCTGCTTAGGACAATCAGGAGCCACTCGCAATCTCTCCCTCATGACAAACACGAATATACTCCTTGCTTTTGGTATCCTTGGTGACTCTAGCAGCTACTCAGCCTTGATACGTTTATCTTAGAGGCATACGATGGCTCACTGTCTTGTCGTATTTTGATTATGACGAAGCGGGTGACGATAATCAGAGTACCCCAGAGGAATCCGTTGCAACATCGATGTAACTTGCGGTATTGAAGGTAGACCTTGAATTACACTTTCAAAATAGTTGAATGCAACATTTTTGCGCTCTCGTTGTACTCAATGCTGTCGCTCAGATGGAAATTGCAATGATATGTATTTGATGTTATGTCATTTTGGGTTCTCATCCCAGTCGAAAATGCATCGCGGCTCTCAGTACCAAATGATAGCTCGGAAGACCAATACGTACCAGCGAGGTGCTGACTTTATGCACAACAACCAAGATGATCATAGTGCATCTGGTGGGAACTTAGATCGCGATATGATTTAATCGTAGAGACTAGGTGATAGTCCTTCAGCTGTCAAAGAAAATGGTGGATCACGCTGACCTTCCCTATACCATCAACTGTCCGAAGAGTTGAAGCTGGGCCGTTAGCTTCTGTCATGTCAGATGCGTCATCGTGACACTGGAGAGAAGGTTATAGTGACTGTTGATGTTGCGAGAGCTTCAATGAAAGCGCGAAGATCAAGATCAAAGTCCACATGAGTCCATATTTTAGTACATAAATATCCATACAGTCAGTCTGTCACAAAGAGTGGGTTGAAATCAAGGAAACTACATAGATATAACGATGTGTCCAACTAATAAAGGGACCAGCAAGAGCTCCAAGACGGCTTGTAGCCCCAGGTGCTCCAGTCGCTCCAGTCGTCACAGTCATCCTCCCAGGTCGTGAGATCAAGGATCTCCTCGAAGAGCGCACAAATGAAAACTTCAGCCGCTTCCTCGAGGGTGTAGACTATCATCAATAAAATATCAGTCACAAGTCGTGCGCCGATAGGTATAAAGAGACTTACCCTGGCAGGAGTTACATCCTTCATTGGCCAAGCACAGGTTCTTGCAGTCTGAGAGAACCGTCAACGATATGTACACCACGGAAAACAAGACTGCCTACCAATCTCGTAAGTGTCCTTGTTGACATATCCTGTCGAGTACGGATTCTTCTTCCATCCGTTCCACCCGTTCCAATTCTCGTAGATCGGGCGCCAATTATACGTCGAGTAGTCATCGCCGGACTGAGGACACTTGATCGACCCGTCGGTGCTGCAGACCGGCTACAATAGATACACGTTAATGGATAGGTCTGGCAATGAGAGTGGGTCGATGTACCTGGGTAAGACAAGGACAATTTTCGGGAATGCTGGGATGGCAAGTGTTGTACGTGCCGGGCCAGCTCCAACCGGGGGTCCAGGGAGCCCAGTCGCGAGCTTGGATGCTATCTTCCTTGCGAGCACTGATGGTGCCGGCGAAGGCTGGAGCGATGAGGGCAGCGAGAGGAATGAGTGAGAAGATCATGGCAATTACTCGACTTGTAAGAAAGTGAAGCTTGAGTGAAGGCTTACAGCGATGCCATCGGTCCTTTTATATCACTTCAACTCGACCTAGGAAGATTCAATTCTGAACTGATGCTGTGGAAAATTGTGCGGAGGTGGCGATGCGGATCCGGGGCAACTAAATTTAAGGTAGAACCAAAATAACTACCCCTTGTTCAACAAAATGGGAAGGTTTGAGTGCGGTACAAGTCGAAGTAGCGGGAAAGACATGTTGAATGGCGGTTCGCGATGCCAAGAGTACGCCAAGAGTAGACAGATTAGTTGACTGTGAACTTTTTTTCAGCCCAAGTCGTCATATAGTATCCGCTGCACACGCAAAACGCTAAGTCATCGACGGGGAACCAGTTGCCGTTGCAAAGTTATTGACGACTAATGAACAAGGTTCATGTTGTTTAATCAACTTGGACTTCTTTCATTCGAGGCCCAAACACCAGCGATATCGATCTCGAATAGCACCAGAACATAGAGATACGGTGCTGAAGCAAGCGAGAAGGAGCAAAGGAAATCTGATTAGCTAGGTGATAGTTAAAAAGGAAAAGACTAGGAGGCCGCCGCTCGTGCGAGGTACATACGTGATTACGTACAGGTGTCGTCCTGCATCTAACCTAGCACAAGATCGCCTTCGCACGAGGGGACCCCCGACAACTACTGGTGTCTTCGGGACCGAATACTCTTACTACTACTGAACAGCACTCTGAGGTCCGAATTTGGTCCATTACGCCTCACTCATGTTCTAGCCAAGGCTGCCAAGCACTATTTCCTGGAATTCAAAGTTCGGCAGTACAACTTCAAGATGGTGTGGGTGGAGCACGAGATACCAGCGCAGTGCCTTCAACAGTGCATTATTTCTCGAGGCTGTCATCATCTGTTCGTGCACGTGTCTATAGTACGTGCAAGTATAGTACGTGCAAGTTGAAGACGGTGAAACGCAACAAAATATGTTATCCGGTCGTATGTCTCTCCCGCTTACACCCATTTCGTCAATTTCGCGCACTGTAATGGATAGCCTATCAAATTCGCGGCATTTAGTTATGTCTTTCCCGGTCTCAGGCTCTTGACTGGCACTGCACATATTGTATCTTTTGGTTTTGTCCAACAAGACTGGCGACTCTCTCGAATTCAATCATGCAAGGACGGACTAGCTTCACCGCAACGGCATTCACAGCATCCATGAGTCCACAGACCTGGAGTTGTATAAGAGGACCCCAAGATTGTACAGACAATCCTCATCAACCATCTCCATGATTTTCGCACTCATTCCTCTCGCTGCCCTCATCGCTCCAGCCTTCGCCGGCACCATCAGTGCTCGCAAGGAAGATAGCATCCAAGCTCGCGACTGGGCTCCCTGGACCCCCGGTTGGAGCTGGCCCGGCACGTACAACACTTGCCATCCCAGCATTCCCGAAAATTGTCCTTGTCTTACCCAGGTACATCGACCCACTCTCATTGCCAGACCTATCCATTAACGTGTATCTATTGTAGCCGGTCTGCAGCACCGACGGGTCGATCAAGTGTCCTCAGTCCGGCGATGACTACTCGACGTATAATTGGCGCCCGATCTACGAGAATTGGAACGGGTGGAACGGATGGAAGAAGAATCCGTACTCGACAGGATATGTCAACAAGGACACTTACGAGATTGGTAGGCAGTCTTGTTTTCCGTGGTGTACATATCGTTGACGGTTCTCTCAGACTGCAAGAACCTGTGCTTGGCCAATGAAGGATGTAACTCCTGCCAGGGTAAGTCTCTTTATACCTATCGGCGCACGACTTGTGACTGATATTTTATTGATGATAGTCTACACCCTCGAGGAAGCGGCTGAAGTTTTCATTTGTGCGCTCTTCGAGGAGATCCTTGATCTCACGACCTGGGAGGATGACTGTGACGACTGGAGCGACTGGAGCACCTGGGGCTACAAGCCGTCTTGGAGCTCTTGCTGGTCCCTTTATTAGTTGGACACATCGTTATATCTATGTAGTTTCCTTGATTTCAACCCACTCTTTGTGACAGACTGACTGTATGGATATTTATGTACTAAAATATGGACTTACCTTACTCTCTGGACTCGGATTCATGCCTTTGAGTATCGTTTAATGGAATGCATGTTCACAGGGAAGTACTTACTAGAGTCATACCTGATCGACCACTTTCTTTATTTTCCCAACTTTGCGGACTAACTTGGCTTACCGGAACCAAATCAACATGCTACCTACAAAACGATTTGTCTTCGTCTTCATTCTAAAGTTGTTGAAGGCGAACGCGAAGAATACGGACCGCATGTCTCCGCGTCTGTGGCGTGGGAACTTGAATCTTTTTCTGAGTTTGTCCCATGATACTGAGGCATCTTGCCCTTCGAATCCGACCTGTACTCCAACGCCGTTTCTTCAGCTACAAATCCTTCCCAGACATCCAAAAACTATGCACTATTCGAGTCGATAATATCCCTCGAGGCTATGATGTTCCCCGCATCCTCAAATCTCTCAAGGCCAACCCCGTGGAAAGGCTTGTTGCAGAGAAGAATTATCTCATCGTACGCTTCCTTTCCAACGAAATGGCAATGCGCTGCATCGAGGAAAACGACGGTGTTGATGGCATGTCGGTAAGGCTGATTGGCAACATGTCTGACCGGTCGGCGTTCTTGGTCGCTGCAGTTGGATATGGAATAACACGGACATGCATTGTTGAGAACATTCCACCGGGTATTAGGGCGGGAACTTTGAAAACTTTAATTACTCAAGACAAGCCTATGGAATACTGGAAGTACGATAAACAGAATCTCCGAGCCGAGATGCGGTTCATGGATGTTTATCATGCATGGCTTGTATGTTGTTGGTCCGTCTTACATGCAGTCGTTTACATCTTTCTTACACAGACCAGTGCCGCTCTCAACCAAAATACTACCCTCAATCAGTGTCGGTTAACCTACACTGATAAAGACGACTTCTATATGTTTCCAGAGTGGTACGCGCCACAGGAAATGGATCAGTCATATGTGAGGCGGGTCGTGGCCATATCTAACATCCAACCAGGGATGTACAAAACATGCTGGCAGTGGACCCAAGAATTCGACAAGATCTCTCCAACGCTAGTCTATAGTGGTTATTGGCCTGGCCTTAAGGTGTGCTTGTCCTCGTCGCATAGACGTACGCGATATTTAAACCACTCTCAGGAAATGTTGCTCACCTTTGCAACGTCGGCAGCCGCACAGCAGTTTGTGGACACGTTCCAGACATTGGCGGATTCATTACCCGTTCAGCTCAAGGTGGAAGAGGACAAACGAGATCCTATCAACCGGGGTCTTATCACAGCTCTGAGTCTCGGCGCCTCTCGAAAAATTGTCGTCGAAATGGATCAGGGTCACCTAAGGGATTGGGACGAGCATGTGAAATCTTATGGAGCTGTGAGAAGGATTTCCACGCACTGGTCGTACGTCCCTTAGCCTGTCTGTTTGAACGAATCGTCTGAAACAGAAATAGAGACTCGTCGTCTCAGGGAGAGGTGGTCTACGAATTCGATAGTCTATTCAAAGCCATGAGGGCCCTCTTTGTTTTGGCCAAGCGGGGGAAACGGTTGCCTCAATTTCAGGGTGTCTGTCTCAATTTTTACGGCGCCAAGCACCTGGAACCTATTGAAATAATGCAACGGTGGTGACATGTTTGCGAAAGAAATCGCTCGAGGAGAGCGCAAAGTTGAGGCTCAGGCTTCACAACGTAGTAGGTCAAAGACGGTTAAAAAATGGGAGTCATGCTTACCTCTTGCCTGATAGAAATTGACCGCTTCGCTACAAAGAGTCGTGTCCATATCAGTTTCGACTGAACGTCTACGTTTTGAAGGTGCAAATCAGCCTGATATGTTAGCGCAAGAGATAGATGGGAGTATACTAGATGTACCACCTTCATTCGTAACATGTGATGTTTTTCAAGTGGATTTCGACATCGCCTCAAGCTTACACCATAAACTGAAGATGGTGCCAACGCACTTGCACACCACGAGAGAAAGGAATAACGCTATGCCAACCGTTTTCTCCTAAGCTACTAAGTTACCTTCAGATATAGTCGCCAACATATTTCGGCCTATTTAGAGAGGAGCAGTCGTTTGTGCGCGTGATGAACTAGATCTTGGAGTGGTAGTTTTATCCTGAAAAGAAAGATGATAGTCACGGTCACAAATCATACCTGTTCCGTTCTCAAACTCATCTTGTGTTTTTCTGGTCTATTGTGACGGTAATATGGAAGATGACTGACTCCACAACAGCATGGGTTGCTTGGTCGTCAGCTTGCCTTGAACATTGACGATTAGTGACCAGTAACTGGATCTAATTTTATCACGCAGCCTCTTGTATCCGTACGTCGGGCATGCTTGATATCGTGCCGTATGATGATAAGATGAGATGAAGGAGTCATTGTAATAAATATTGACAGAACGATGCTAAATTGGCAATAAATAAAACATAGGTGAGTTCATGTTCATGAGCATGTGTGATAGGATAAAACTGGTCATACTATTCCTCAAGTTGGGTGCCATATAACGAACGTGATTAGAACCAAAGCCAGGAACGTACTTTTTCGTATAGCTTAGTAATAACTGCACGGGCTACGGCCGTCAATTTCTCATACGACGAGGCTTCTTTCAGAGTTTGCAGACTCTTGGTTAGCCACTGAGAAAGCTAATAATAATTTGAGTAAATAAAGCGCAGTGGAAACAGAGGAATCGCTCACTTGAGCATGTTCTTTAGAAGACTCCATTGGAGCAGGGTCCGGCGCTGGCGCTAAATTAGGAGGGGGGAGAGAGGCTACACCTTGTCGGGAAGGAATAGGAGACGACTCTGCAATACTTAGCTTAGGCGGTGTGTTCGAAACCACGGGTTGGGCACGCCTCTGTACGACAGGAATCGCTATCGACGCCCATGATTCGGTAAGATCAGGTGGGGATGGAGCAGGAGACCCGCTACTGCGTGTCCTCAAATCCGAGAATGGGGACGATTGCGAGATGCTTCCGAGATCTACTGGCTTTGCGGTTACAAACAACTTGAAGAAGCAGACATCCACATCTTGGCCATCTGGCACAGTAAACGTGAATGGATTCATGCCACCGTTCCCATAGCCAAGCGTGAGTGTTGACCCCTTCTGAAGGCAGCTGTCAACGGATCCCTGCTCCTCCTTGTTGTTAGGGCTCATTTTTGAAGAGTACCAAGCATCTAAATCATTCCCAATAGATGTCAGCCATAGCTTTAATATGAAATATGAACATACCTATCTCAAAGCTGGTAGCATCAAAGTAAAAGAGATACACATAGAGATCAACGTCGGAAACGTTACGGATCGTGAATCCATAACTAGGAGATCGATTCCAAGGAAGAGACGTGTCTACAACGAATTCAATGGGTTTTTCCTCTTCTTTGATAGCGGACAGTAAATTGTCGCCGACAGGAGTGAGACTACGTCCAACACGCTGCAGCTTGTTCATCTCGATGGAAACAAACTGTTCTATGGGTAGCGGACTTGGGATCGTAAGCTGAGCGATAAAGCGGGCAAAGCCATTAATGACACTTCTGATGTGCGCAATGTCATTGACTTGAGAAACACGAGGGAACCGCGAGGCAAAGCCGATGTTCGGACTGAAAAGACGGATGTTACTCCCTCGGTCGAAATAGACGACTTCATCTTTCACCGTCAGACAGAGGTCTGCATCGTCTGAGGTTTCGGCGGCAATGACGGGGGCCGTAATCCTAGGTTCATAATCCTCAGTAAGGATCCGGGTAAGGATGTTCGAGTCATTGCAATAGGTGCCAAAGTTGGCACCGGAAGCTTTCTGTAATCGCGCGTACCAGACGCGACGATTCTTATTGGAAGTTAGGAACCCGGGGTCCAAAGGAATGAGGAAGGAAATGAACGTCTCCACTTTGCTGACCGTAGCAGCTATAAATGGATGTTTCAAGTCAGAAAGATCTGTTCTGAAGATTTCAAAGGTAGAGCCGATAGTTATGCCATGAAGCAGTCCAGCGTGGAGTACAAAGTGAGGTTCCCCTTGTTCATGACGGCAAAGAATCATGGAACTATCAGCAGGTTCTTCCCAAGAGTCGAACAGACGTCGAAGGGTGTGTCTCCCTTCTAAATGCGGCGTTTGGCTATGAGCTGTTCAGCTTAGAGCGGTGCGATTCAGACCAACACTTACAATCCTGGCATAACTAGACGATGGATCAATGATCTATACGTCAGTTCGTTGACAGGGTTCTTTCCCATGATCTTGAGCAATGCACGAGTAAAGATGCCTTGTCCATCTACCTCCCAGGCTGATTGGCGACGATTGCATGCTGCGAGCAGTACATGCGAGTCCCAAAGCGAACCCGAAAATCCCGACGTGATCTTCACTCCAGAAGATCCACGAGAGACCATGGTAGAATCGCAATCGGCGGAGAGTTTTGGAGGATTAAGGATCCGACGTGACTTCGCATTCTGTACATCGGCTGGCTGCATTCCACGATTGATGCCAGCGGCGTGACAGCAGTCGAGGATCAGTGTCTAAGCAGACGTGAATTTCATTGTCGACATGTGAGTATTCTAGAGTTACGCCACATACAATGTTATTCCCCTTGGCAGTTGCCAACTCCAGTAGAAGCTCGCTAATCGTTCGATCCGGAATACCTTCTACAACCTTGTCATCAGCGTATGGAACTCCAATGTCCGTAGGACACAGCATTTCTATTTCGTTGTCATAGGTTTGCCAATCCGTCCATTCATCTGGCTTGGGAGTCACTGCTCCATGGCCCGAGTAATAGATGATGATGGCCGTCATTCCTGGGACAATCCTCGGATTGTGTGTGAGACTTTTGAACCCATCAATGATAGCTTTTCTTGTTGCCTGACCGTTGCGGAGACTGACGATGTGTTCCTCTGGGGTTCGCAAACCTTCAAGAAGATAATTCTCAAATCGATCCGCATCAGCAACAGCGGCCAATAGATTCTCATATCCCTCGTATTCATATTCGTCGATGCCGATGACCAAAGCAAAAATGCCGCGAGTCTCTCTATAAGTTGAATGATCAGTCAGCTCCGATCTCAACACTGTACTACTAACGGAGTAGGGGGTTCACGGCTCAGCGTTGTTCCTTTTGCTACCCAAGCATTTTCAGTTGGAACCTCTATGCAAAGATATGATTGCAATATCAGCTTGAGAGAAGAGAGGCCTTACCAAGTTTACTAACTGAAAGGAGGTTGTCCTCTATAGCATAGCTTGCAAAGCGAGCGTCAAGTGGATTCTGGCCCTGCAGAAATTGCTGTGTTAGCCTAACAGAATTCGAAAGAAGGAATTGTCGACTTACATCTTTTACCATACTCATCCAATGCCCGTCGTGGGTGAGTGCGATTTGAGCACCAGAGAACTGTGAAGGAAGGGAAACTTGAAGGTTTGAACTAATCGTAAGATTTCAGGGAACACCTACATTTTCCAATATGTAATTATTTATCAAAACTGACGGATTGATGGCCTAGCATGTACGCGTTAGAACTGAAATAGTATCAAATCGAGCACTGGTGCTCACCTTGTACTGTTTCGAGAATGACTGAACAGAGGTATTCGTGTATAGATTGGTGTGGGAGTAAGGAATGTCCAAATTCGAATAGGTATTAGGTTTGGCAACGTTACCACGACTGCCAACTGCCAACGACTGCTGTCGCCGCTGGGAACCTTTGGCGATACGTCTAGAAGTCGAAACCGGTCCGACAGCCAATCCTTGGAATGATGGATCTGGACGAACAGAAATGGAATATCCACGTAAAAAGACGGTCTGGCTGGCTGGCATCCCGACCGTGCCAGGAAAATAACTCTGTGTGTGTATGCCCTTCAAATTTTGTACGTCCCAACTGTACCGCATCGAACCATCCAATCCTGTAGTACCTGTGGTCGAAAACTTCGGCGAAATGGACGGTGAATCTGACGGACGCGAATAACAAGCGTTGCCCCAAGAACGACATTTGTCGAATCCAGTCACCAGATACAGCATACCATTACGGATTTGTCTGTGCTGTGCGGGGCTGTTGAAATATTTGTACCAACTATGAGCGTTGGCAGCCGCATATTTTTCGAGAAGATGGGGGAGGATGGAATCATATCGTTCCCCGCCATCGGGAAGGACAAGAATAGCGGCTTGAGCGGCTGAACACGTAAATTCATACCCACGTCCTGCTTCGAATTTTACGCGAACGCTATAGAGATACGTTGTCAGTAGAAGTGGCAGATCATTCAGCACATGCAGGTGAAAACATACGGTGGCTGGTCAAGCCGTATCGGCGACTGGCGCCCAGAAGAAGCAGTGAGCACTGTATTTTTTCCGTGCAATTCTAGGCGCTTCTCTACAGCGGGCTCCGGGATGTCTTTCAGTGGTACGAAGTCGGGAGGAACCCTGCCGAAATTAGAGGGATTGTTCACATCCGTGCACACATTGAAGAGATATGCGAAACCACCCTCATCGGTGAGGTATCCAAGGTCGCCAACTCGCGTTCCATCTTTGGGATAAGTGGGAGGAAGGTTAGGATCGTGGTTGGGAAGCCAAAGGGGATAACCGTGGCCGAGAGTCGACATTAGTTGGACGTAGACGTCCTGGTCGCATTGTCCAGCCATTGAAAATAATCGGAATGCAGGTGTGATTCTACTTATACAACGGCCTCAAAGTTGCAGTGCGCCTTCAGCATGTAACCGATCAACTGCAGGCTGAAGCATTGCTAGGCTTCTCCCACATGGCTGATGTCTTCAAGTTTCAATGTAGAATAGCATTTAGTGTTGAGTTCCATACCATGACAACGTTCATTAATGTGCTTTTAGTCTAGAGATTTTGAACCTTCCATGTTACCGAAAGAGTCTGAGGCAATCGGTAGGGTCGACATTGACGAGTTCCCGAAATCTTGTGATACAGCGGATACGAAACACCTCAAGCAGAACACACACCATGAAACTGACTACCACTTTCCACGCTACAAAAACTGAGAGCATTGATTGAGATCCGGACATCGGCCCGCCCCAACACCAGCTGGATGCCTGTTCTAAAACTGAACGGTGCCATAGCATCACATTGACACGATACGAGACTCTGAAAGACCTTTTCAGTATGCCTTCAACTGTGCCCGAATAGATATAGCTTACCAACATAGGGATAAAAGGACGGATAGGTAGCAAATCTGAGTGCAGAACCGAGGCACAGGGAGGCCAGGGAGGAGCGGGGGCATGTAAGGGAGCCATGAGGATGGAAACGTGAGTAGCAGAAGGGTGGGAAGGGTGGGAGAGTCGGTCAAAGCATGCTAGGTATGCGCCATTGAAAAGGGGATAGCCACCTTCAACGCCGACGATACAGATTCCGGCGCTGGACAAGAAGCGACGAACATATTGGTGGATGTAATAGTATATGTCCTGACCGACGATTAATCAATATAGAGTTACCGATCACGCGAACTTTCCGAAAGGTCATTGAAGGTCATTCGAACTTCAGTTTAGAGTTAGATGACAACCTGAGACGTTGGGAGGATGTTAGCTCTGGAGATCTGATGGGAGACTTGGTACACACGAACTTGCTCTCAAATGGGGCCAATTCTGTATATCGATTTGGCTTCAGAGCGTTAGGACCGCGTGTCATGAAAGCAAGTAGTATGCACTTGCATCGCCGGGCCGAGCATCGTATGATAACCGGCCCTCAAGCTCAAGGCTCGACCACTGCATCACGCCCATCAACAACGTTCACTGTCGACTCATTGCTTCCAGTCTGCTGACTTTGGTGTGGTGAATTGCTTGTCGGTGCATGGCAGCGGCTTTATTTAGAGTTTTGCTGCGTTCCACCTCTTCCTTTCAACAGAACAACACGCTAAGCACAAGCGCTCACTGTGCATCATTTCGTTTCTTTCACTTCAGTTTTAACGCATTCCCGATCACTGAATGTTTACGATGGTGCCAAGGGAATATGTAGTATGTTCAACTATGAATGGTGTGATGGCCTTGTTATATGGGCGTTTGGTGGATCTATAATACATACAACTACCTCAAACGCCAGTCGGACTCAGTATAAGCGTTGACTTCTCCTAGGAGCCATGTCAACTAATTTCAACGTGTTTCTTTCTTCGAAACCATATCAAGGTCTGTGGAAGACAGGAGCGCTGAGACTCTTTTACACAAATCTACATTATTGATTACCAACGGCATTCCAATAGGCGACCATGTATGAAGCGGTTGTCTACTTATGGCTGTATCATATTAACGGCGATACGGCGTATTGATATCAATGCGTTTTATCGAGCTGCAGTGGCATTTTGGTATGTGCAACGGTACCAACACCAACGCCATAGATACGAAAATCTTTCCGAGTGAATAAAGAGTCAAAATCTCCTCCTCCTCCTCCTTGTCCCAGACTGTAAGTTGCTCGCATCTATTCGGCATACTTAATAAAACAAAGAACCCAAAATAACTCTTGAAAGAATTGTATAGGGCAGGTGAGCGTCTAATAGGACCCTAGACACCAAATAAGTGGGGACAGGTGTCCAAAGCGATGAAAGAACAATGCCTACTCAGAGGGAGCTAGTTTTCAGGCGTCTTACGTCTCTGTACAATAGGGATGACCAACGAAGCCCAAGAATCGTCTGGAGGAAGTCCCAGAGGCCAGTGTTGTTGTCCAGCACCGCGAGACAACCGTTCGATCGATTGTTTAAGGTTTCTGAGGTTCACGGCCACAAAAAGTTTGAAACAGTAGATGTCCGCATCGTCGTGGACATTAGTTGAAAGCTATTGGCTTCATGCCACCGTTTCCGACGCCAAGAGTAAGGTTTAAACCTGCTTTGAGGCAGCTGTCGACGGGATCGGGCACCTCATTGTTCGCAAGGGGGTTCCGGACCGTCGTTCCAGAACACTGGGTTGGTCGGTCGTCTTTGAGCTTAAAAAAATTCTCTATAGAATTTTTTTGTGCTTTGGAGGGTACATAGGTATGATATCGCATAAATACAATATATTTCTAGGTAAAAAAGACTTTCCCTCACCCTCAAACTGATACCAGCTCACGAAGACTTAGGAGGGATGTACGCAAGACGTAGGAAAGGTGCCGAGGTTGTCCACGGCAAAGACCGTTTCTCCCTTTCCGGCAGAGAGGACCGGCTATGACCGGCAACTTTTGTGTACCCGGTGGCAGTGTGCTTACCAATACCGTATGTTATGCCCATACGGAGTATGTTATTCTCACGGTGGTCGGTCGGTCGGTCAGACAAGGGCTTAAAAAAATATCGAGTGGATGTAGTTTAAAAAAATCTCGGATCCCCTTGATTATTTGCGCTCATCCGTAGATGGTACTAAAGCTCTGGGTGTGCACATGAAGGTTAGCCGAGCAAGTGCATAAAAAGTAAACATACATACCTATCTTGAGGCATAGAGATCGATACTGCAGTGGTTATAGATGGTCAACCCATAACTGGGCCTACGAATCTGTGGCAGAGACGTATCCACGACAATCTGGATTTCCTTTTTATCAACAAGGAGATTATCGCCGCTTGAAGGTTATTCCCTTTCATTAGAAGAAAAGAATCTTTGTCCTTTCGGTAATAGCTGCTACTTGTTTTCTTTTTTTCGAAGGAAACATTGTCTCCTTCCACCATGAGGTGAAGATCCGCCTTGTGCTCGTCAGGGGCAATGGCAACAGGAACCTTGAACTGCGTATAGCAGACATGGGCAAGTACCTCTTCTAGGAAACCCAAATCCTGACCATAGACGAGCAAAGGAGGGCGAGAGGCTTTCGCCAATCGCGACGTCTTTCCCTCGATCTGGCACAGATCAGTAGACCACATATGAGTCCAACAAGCTTCTAGGTTGCAGGAGCTACGACCGAACACCTTTCTTCCGAACCGCATCTACTGAGTCGCGATGAGTGAATGCGACTCCGTGGATCCGTAAGCTGTTCATCCACTTGTGCCTGTATATAGGTATTTTGATACGTTCTGTAGGATGTCGCGACATACTCAATCAAACCGACGATTGGTCTTTGTCAATGAAGAGTAAAGACCTCGCTTGATCTTAAGCCCTCCGTGTATCATAAATGTAACCTATTCGCTGTTCTTGTTCCGCGAATTTGAAAAAATAATAATAAAACTGACAAATTGAAGATATTTCTTGGAAGGCCTCCTGCATAGAGTGGACAAGTCTAGCCACTAGAACCACTAGAAATCAAAGAGGTAGGGAAATTTGTTCGAAGCGAGGAAAGATCCGTACTCACTCTGATCTACTGAAGAAGCCTAGTTATCGGACTCATTTCGACACCTTTCCTGTAGAATAGGGATAACTACCGAAGCCCAGGAGTCATCCGGACGGAGGTCCAGATGCTGAGGCTGTCGCGTAGCGCCGCGAGACATATTATACGATTGTTCAATACTCCCAAGATTTAATGGCTTCACGGCAACATAGAATTTGAAGCAGCAGATATCGATATCTCGGCCCTCAGGGACATTGAACTGAGCAGGGTCCATGAAGTTGTTTCCAAAGCCAAGAGTAAGCTCTGAATGCGGAGGAAGGCATGTATCAACTGGCACCCCCCTGTTGTTCGTCACGGTGCCCATCTGGGGATTGTACCAACATTCTAAGGACGAAACCAAAAAGATCAAATGGCAGAAGGCATATATATGCAAACCACAAACATACCTATATCGAGGGTGGAGGGGTCGAAATAAAATAGATATGCATAGAGATTGATACCGTATAAGTTTTTGATCGTAAACCCATAATAGGGATTGCAATTTGGTAGAGACATGTCTACGGGGACCTTGACAAGTTTCTTGTCAAGGTCAGGTATTAGATTTTCACCGAACTTGTTTAGATTGGGCCCGTTATGTTGAAGTTCATGCATTTGGATCGAGGCAAACCTGGTTATGGGATGTCTACTTTTGTTGGTGATATGATAGGTGAAATTCGCGTAGAGAGTGATGATTTGTCGGACTTGTGCGACATCCTTGCCTATCTCGGATGTATGGCCCGGAGTAAGGCGCGGCTCCATCAAGGTGAATAGGCTATTTCCTTTCATTAGATGAAAGGATCGTCCGTCTTTTCTGTAATAGCTATTTGCTTGCCCTCTGCGGAAGGAAACACTGTCTCTTTCCACTAGGATGCAAAGATCCGCCTCGTTCTCCTTGGATGTGATGATGACAGGAATGTCGAACGGTGCCTGGTTGTCACCGCCGAGTACTGCTTCCAGGAAACGTAGGTCTTGACCGTACGCGAGCAAGTTGGGACGAACGGCGTTCGCCAATCGCGCATACCCGACGCGAAAATCTTTGTTATTGGTGAAGAATTGGGGGTCTGAAGGAGTGAGGAACGAGGAGGACTCTGACGTCACTGCCTCCACGACCGCAATCCCGAGCGAAGGCGCGCCAAGTAAATCCGTGGAACAGATCTGGTATTTGGAACCAGGAGTGATGCCCAAAACGTCACCGGCTCCTAATGATAAACGTAGTCGGCCATCTGTTACTTCTCGACGGCAGGCGATCATTGAGGCATCACCGGTATTTCCTGAGGGGTCAAAAAGGTGTCGAACAACATTGCCTTCTTGGTGAGGAGTCTGGCTATGTATTTGTTGACGTTATTCAGCTCGGGGAGATAATAAAAGTCAAATAATCGCCTACCTTGCCCAGGACGGGATAATGAGATTATCCATCAAAGACCTGTATGTCAGCTCAACCAAGGATCTTTTCCTCATAACCCGGAGCAATTCTTCGGTAAAAACGCCAGCGCTGTTAATCTCCCAAGCAGACTGATGACGACTACATGCTGCCAAAAGGATATGCGAGTCCCAAAGCAGACCCGAAAAGCCTGAACAGTCCGGCGCTTCATTAGATTTACGGGTGCGAGAGTCGTAGATGTCGGAGTCGCATTCAGGGGAAATTGTTTGGGGGTCAAGAATTTGACGCGGTATCGCGCTTGGATTACTATGCGGCGCTCCACGATTAATGCCCGCAGAATGGCAACAATCGAGTACCAGCGTCTGAAATACTCTCAGTCAGAAACGAGTTGAAGGATTTTGAGACTGGTAAGACGTACAATATTATTTCCCCTTGCAGTCGACAAATCAAGGAGCAAGCTACTGATCGTGCGGTCAGGGATTCCTTCTACTTTGACTTTATCTTCCCCTTCATGCGAGTCCGATTCTGGGGACATCATATCGAAGGGACACAACAGCTCAATTGTGTTGTCGGGAGTATACCAATCCTTCCATTCGACCGGTTTCAGAGCCATGGCCCCATGTCCTGCATAATATATGATAATTGCTGCGTCGCCTTGGATGATCTCTGTATTTTCCTCTAGGCGCCTGAACGATTGAATGATAGCCTCCCTTGTGGCTTGCTCGTTGCGTAGGTTAATGATATTCTTCTCTGGGACGTGCAGGGTGCCTCGGACGAACTCATAGATTTTCCCAGCGTCTGGGGCAGCGCCTGGTAATTTTGGATACTTTGGACAGTAATATTCGCTGATGCCAATGATCAGGGCAAATATTTTATCATTGAACCTTTTTTTGGAGCACTGATTAACAGAAATCTAATGCTCAACAGTTAAATATCTTACGATGCAGGTGCTTGGGCAACTTCCTTGCTCTGTAAACCGTGACATTGTCATTGACAGAACGTGGCCATCTAGAGAAGAGTGGACGTACATCTGAATTAGTAGCTGTCTGCGGCGCATCAGGAGCGGTTGCGACTTTAGTATCCGAAGGCTACAACAATTCATTAGCGCCGCAAGCAAAGAAGAGCAGGTCGCGTCAAGGGGGGCTAGCATGGATTGGTGACGGTGGCGCTTAGATAACCCGGCTCAAGCCCGGCTACTATTGTCCTGCCGGTAATCAATGATTGATATATCGCGGAAGCGCACATGGTTGCGACACACTCTTCCTTGATTGGATACTGATGCTCACCTTTTCGCCTATGTGGAATTTTTGAGCTGGAGTGTCATTCTGCATGCTTGAATCGAGAGTCAATACTATATCGGGAGAAAGCAGCCGAGAGTTTTTGTAAGCTAGTCGGGTGGATAAGAGGATGGAGTTGATTAAGATGAAACCAGAGGAGACCGTAGATTAATAGGTTAGTTATCTTACTGGTACAGCTTCTTAGAAGTCAAAGAGCTGGCTCCTAGATGCACCATCAGATAGCGGAAGGAATGATGGGTTACACTTCGTCGTAAAATGACAGAGCACTATTTTATAGATAATGAGGTGATCGCGAAACTCCCTGAGTACTTGCAAGACCATATGCGTCTGTTGGGAACTTCTGGACTTGCGCATAAAATCCTAAGCTAGTACCGACTCGGACAGCTGATCCAAGTCAGGCGCTCTCATACCGTAAGAATCTTGTTCTTCAGCGCTTGTTTTCAAGATAATCGAATGTATAGCTGGAAATGATCATCAAGGGTGATGCTTCTTCCGACTCTGCAGGCGTAGGGCGCTGCAAGCGCTGAAGTAGTCAGAAACACCGTCTATACCGGAGGTTACATACGCAGGAGCATCGCGGGCCAGAGGATTAATTAGACAAATCATCGAGTACGAAGGAAGTAACGTGTAACGAGGCCCAAGGGTAAATATAGTTTCGTTACCATGAATGGCTACCACAAGGCACACCCGGACCCTGTAAGGCTTTAGCTTCAATATGGACCGGAGAACGGCAGCATCCTGAAAGTATCATTAACAAGTGCCTATCGGATCAATCTTTAAGAAATAGTAGCGACAGGATCGGCGGTTTACCGACTGGCCGTGAAATCCAGTAATTCGAGCCCGGTCGCAGATGGTGCGTATCGAATAAGGTTTGGTCCTGCAAATAATAAAAACAAGGTCAGATCGTCGTTCTGCACTCCGAGAAGCGCGGTCACTCTGTGCAGCCACAGATATGCGCCGCGAAGCGAGCGAGAACAGGAAGGAGACGGTGCGGCATGACCAGCAGCAATGCCTGTATGGAATGGATCCCCATCTTCAAGCGCCAAAAAACAATTAAATATCTAGTTGGAAGGTTCGAGCAATTATGAAGGTCTAACTCTGCGGAATTAAGGTTTAAGCCTCAAGAAAAAAAAAGTCCTTGATTAAGGCCTTAACCACAACACTGGCGGAGAGATACAAACTTTCATCGCGGCATGCCTGCTCCTCGTGTCGGCCTGGAAGTCTGGAAGTCCGGTAGGATCTCGTATCGATAGCAGCAGTCGTGGACATGGCCGAAGGTTACATATAGTTAACCTACATCCTCCGAGCAAGAGGAGGAATCACTGGTCGAATCGAGAAAGCAAGGCAAGGGCAAACAAGACTAGCCCAAAATACTGTGGTCGGCATCCTGTTGCTTCTGAGTACAACGTAAGAACGTTCGTTATCATCTCCACATGGTACGCTGGATGCAACACGTCAGCGAATTTACTAGCTCTTGAGCGCTAAAAATGAAGCGCTTAAAATCAAGGTGGAGACGCACATAGATAAAGGTAAAATGTCAAGAACCTTCCAGATGCCGAGAAGCAAGTTCTGCTCGAGATGATAAGAGGTTCTCCCAACAACCTATTCACTATCCCATAGATTATTTCCAGTATCAATCTATGTTCTATTTGCAATTATTTCTGGTCAAATCTACGTAATGGTATATCGGCGGCAACGGGAGTAGTGGTTCAAGTGGGTCTATTATTCATATGTTTCTCATTGGAGTTGCGAAACGAAGACCCCTTTACGGATCAGATACGGCCGCTACGTAGCAAACATAAGTCAGAACCAACGAACAAAAGTCAAAATTTCTGTAAGATCGAAATGCCCATAACTCACCTTGTATAAGGACTTGAGAAAATTCCTTTTGAAGTCTTGGATCGGGTAATCCGGCGAGATCAACCTGGACAAGAGGTGACGTTAATAGCTCCGGAGAGGAGGCTTCAGGCGGCAAAGCTGAGATGACGATGGTAGCAACGAAAAAGGAAGACGAGGAGAAGATGCGTCGCTGCCACGCCCAGCCTCCACGCTGTGAGAAATCTTGGACTGGATTGGAAGAGTCCGCTTCTGTATGATTGGAATTGTCATTGAAGCCCACGATCTATCAAGAACGGGCGGAGACGGGGTGGTATTACCACCGCGCCGTAGAGTCGAAACTGAGAAAGGGGATGAACGTGAGATGCTTCCAAGATCTACCGGTGTAGTGGTCACGAAGAACTTGAAGAAGCAAACATCCACGTCCTGGCCGTCCGGTATAGTGAATGTAAAGGGAGACATGCCCCCATTCCCAAAGCCAAGAGTCAGTGTTGAATTCCGTTCAAGGCAAGTGTCGACGGATTGCTTTTCATTATTACTCGAGCTCATCTTCGAGGAGTACCATGCATCTAGGTCACATCAAAACTAGGTCAGCTGATATCAAGGTCATGAAATATATGCATACCTATTTCTAGGGTGGAAGCATCAAAGTAAAACAGGTAGGTGTACAAATCGACATCAGATTTGTTTTGGATTGTGAAACCATAACTAGGATGTCGATTCAGAGGTAGTGATGTATCTACATCGAGTTGTATATGTTTGCCATCTTCGACAGCAGATAACAGATTTCCCCCGTCCGGACAAAGGTTAAGCCTTCCAACATGCACTAGTTTCATCATCTCGATAGTGGCGAAGTCGGACATGGGGACGGGGCTTGTCATCGCAAGGTGAGAGATAAAATGCGCGTAGTGATCAATGATGCGCCGGATGCCAGTGACATCATCGACACTAGAAACGTAGGAGAGTCGCGGGGAAAAGCCAAGGCATGGCTTGAAGAGACTACTACTTCTGCCACCCCGTTCAAAGTAGACAGTCTCTCCTTCCAACACTAGGCAAAGGTCTGCTTGGTCTGGTTGTTTGGTAGCGTAAACAGGAATCGTGAAGTTGGCTTCGCTTATCCAGGACATTAAACTTTTCGGGTGGTAATGTATGGGCAAGCAGGTTTCAGAAGCTTCTATCAGTCGCGCGTACCAGACGCGGCGATTTTTGTACTTTGTGAAGGGGGTGAGCTCTGACGGGGTAAGGTAGGACACAAATGTTCCTACTTCGTCCACAACTGCAGTTGAAAGTAAAAGCGAGTCGGATACAAGGTCTGTTACATATATCCCGAAAGTAGAACCTTTCGTGATACCGTGAAGAGATCCTGCATACAATGTAAAGTGCGATTGTCCATCCTCGTGACGGCAGAGAATTCTAGAGCTATCAGCGAACTCTCCGGAGGACTCGAACAGAAACCGATGCAAGTGTTTTCCTTCGAGATGTGGTGTTTGGCTAACATTTCAGGTTTAGCTCGTAGTGGGGTCAAGATTAGACCAGCACTCACAATAGTGGCATAACAAGGCGATGCATCAATGATTTGTACGTCAGTCCCCGTGAAGGCGTTCTTCTCATGACCTTCAGCAATGCGCGAGTAAAAATACCCTGCCCATCTTCCTCCCACGCAGATTGATGACGGCTGCACGCCGCCAATACGATATGCGAGTCCCACGACGAGCCTGAGAAGCCCGAGGTGACATTCAATCCGCGAGACCCGCAAGATGAGATCGTGGAGTCGGAATTCGGGGAAATTTGTGGGGGGTGAAGGATTCGACGCGATTTGAGTCGCGCGTCAGGACGCTGCATACCCCGATTAATGCCTGCAGCATGACAACAATCGAGTATGAGCGTCTGAAACGGTATCAATAACGCACATATGATATATACAGCATGTGCGACGTACAATATTATCACCCTTGGCTTCTGACAGTTGCAAGAGAAGTTTGCTAATTGTTCGATCTGGAATCCCTTCTACGGCATTGTTATCTTCATCCAGGAGGCCCATATCGGCGGGACACAACATCTCGATGGTGTTGTCGGAGGTTTCCCAATCGGTCCATTCGTCTGGCTTATTGGCCACAGCCCCATGCCCAGCAAAGTAAATCACGATAGCGGACCTGCCGCAGGTAATGTTTGGATTTCGGATGAGGCTCGTGAACCCGTCAATAATAGCCGATCTTGTTGCTTGTGAATTGCGAAGGCTGATGATGTTTTCTTTCGGAACTCGCAGGTCCTCACGGAGATATCCTTCGAATTTATCGGCGTCACTAGTGGCCCCTTGTAAATTTTCGTACCCTGAGAATTCATATTCGCTGATACCCACGACCAGGGCGAAAATAGCGTGAGTTTGCCTGGCATGGGAAATCAGCTGGCGCCTATGTCAGACAAACTCGATATCTTACGGAACTTCAGAGACGTCTCGACCATCTTTTGTTATCAATTGAGAGCGATTCTGATCCTACGAGAAATTGTTAGCTAGTCTAGACTAAAAGTTGACAGGCGTACATGGTCTACCTTTTCCATCTGTATACTAGGGACAACATCGACGTCGAAGGACTAGCAATGAAAAAAAGTGAATTAGCGTAGGACATGTTGTTAGGGATTTCGTGGCTTACATTATTCAGAATATGATCATGTCTGTCGACCTATGATAGTACATGGGATTAGCGCCGTGCTTGAAAAACAATGATCACAAGATGCAGTATGGCAACGACATTCACCTCATCGTGTCTAGGCAACACTGGGAGCAAGGGGGTGGCTTTTCTAGATGTATTGGCTGTATTGGCGTTGGGAGCGCCCATCCATGGCGTGGACACGCTGAGGGTACAAGCTGGTTCCTCATCGTCTGAACCGTCTGAACCCTTAAAGATACCGTCAGGATTTGACACCAATCTTACTGCCGTTTCTTCAGTCATCCCAACATCCTAACATTAGGTCATAGCGCCCACAGTTTGTAAAAGCGAAGAATAAGCTCACCTGTCCGAAACTTGAATCTAAGGCCGCATCGCCTGATGATATGTTAGCATTTTCGGTACAGTGTATGTCCACCCTAGGTGCTAGAGGCTGCTTGGAAGGGTTTGCGTTGGTCCTGATGACCTTTGCTAATCGAAGCCCTAATAATAATTTGTATCCAGAATGCAGTGGTGATGACAAGGCTGGACGAACCACGTTCTGCTTCGTCTATCGCAGCACCCGTTTTTGTGTTCGAGTCCCGAAGAGTGCAGGCCTGCCCGCAACTGGGGTATCGATAATCGAGAGTCATTGCAACGTGTATAGGTGTGTTTTCTCGTCATTTGCCAGCTGTACGTCTTTATGTAACGTCCGAACATGCGTCCCGGCATCACACAGGCATCCGAGGCGTATGGGATGGGTATTGTAATGTTCATGATGATCGGTTCGGCACAGAATGGTCAGTGAGGAAGATAGATCGTGTTCATCCGCTATACCTATCATATCATAATTACAGAAAACGTATAAGAATACACACAGCCTTGTAGTAAGTAACAAGCAAACAACAGTTAGAAAGAGATGAAAAGATAAAGAGATGGACACTATCATGACCCAGACGAAGCTGTAGCAGCAACACGCTTCTCTACTACTCGTCGGTGCGTATTATTTCTCAGATGTACCTCAAAGTTCGAGAGGGTCTCGCCCGGACCAGGTTTGTACAGCTACATGCACTGGTCAGAAGTAGCCGACTCGCCGGAACACCAGAACACACCTTGCCAGGACAGTCCAGACATTTAATCCGCCACTCTGGGTCACTATTCGCTGTGACCTTGCGGAGGGCCACCTCAAATTTATCAGATGGGAAACGGTATTGAATGCCTTGCATACAGGTGGCTAGCCATTGAGGGGGCTGGGTACCGTCTATCGTCAGAACACTTTTTACAGACGACGGCTCAAGTCTGCTCACCCACGATCGCTGAGAAGGTGGTCCCGGAGGCCCGGATTGACTAGACGGTGGCGCCGATGGTTCTTGGACAGTGGTAGAGGTATCCGGCGGCGGCGGTGGCGGTGACGTGGAAGCAGGTGCCGGAGGAGGAGCGGAAGAAGCTGGTGGAACAGACGGTGTATGACTACCGGTCCCATTCGCTTTCGCCCGCTGAGCCAGGGGAGCCTCCGACGCACTTGATGTCGTTGACACAGGAGAAAGGGCGGTTTCCGCTTTCGACGGAGGTGGAACAGGCGACAGTCTGGGCGCAGGTTCTTCATCTGGTTTGATCCGGGGCGACTGAGGTTCTGAAGCTGGAGTCGTTGGGACTGTCCCACTTTGTGCCCGTAGCGCAGCAGCACCTCCCTTCTTCTTGCCAATTGTTCTTGCGAGCTCACTGTCCCGTTTGACATTTGAATGGAAATCAGGATCTGTGTTGTATTCAACCGGCCGAGGACGACGATGCCGATGCCAGAACTTGCCTAAAACAGGGGCCATCAGTATCATCGCAAGAACCATATTTAAGTACGCACCGCAAGTACCGCATTGTGATTTATCTCCCAACGGACCTTTCCTCCTGCCAATAGCGATACTCTCAGGACAACCACAGTTAGAACAGTGCCATACACCATCTATGAAGTTAGCGTGCTGGCCGTCAGCGAATTCCTTCTCCTTCGCTTCTCGTTCCAACTCCTTCGCCCTCTTCGCCGTCACCACCTTCGGGAGAGCGTTCATGGAGTGCGCAGCATCACCATCCAATGTGGAAGACGCGCCATCTGCAGCAGTAGAAGCAGGCACCGATGTGAGCTTGGCCCGAGGCCGTAAGACGGACGGAGGTAGTGGCGGAGCTTTGAAGTGTCCTTTCGGCTTCTTCTCTTTGGGAGCGGCAGGTTGTGGTTGTTGGGGAGCAGTGGGAAGTGTTTGAGGAAGGAGGGGTGTCCCGTTTTCGGATGCCACCATATTTGCAATGGTGAGTGAAGCTGCTGCTGCTGCTGCTCTGCGCGACGTGGGTGCATTAGCGGCAACTTGTAGTGCAAGGATAGCAGGATCCAGTTCGGGAAACCCAATGGCAGGCGTGCGATAGGTCCTGATCGGCTCTCGGTCTGGTAACGCGACGCCTCGCCGGCCCCTTGTATTTCGTTTTCGCCGCTTATTCATGTCCTTGTCACGCTCCTTCTCGTGTCGTTCGATCTCGCCGTCACTAAGATAGTTCAGCATCGGTGTAAACGACTGTACTTGATCTAGTGCTCGGGCACCCGATGATAAGCCGGGAAGGAATGACATCCGCAACTCGTCATCTTGTATCGGCGTACCATCGGATGGATGTCCAACTAGGAAGAGGGACTTTTGGTACGCCTGCACCTGTTCTCGGATAGAGTGGGCGATGGCAGTTCTGGATCAACTTGAATTACAGTGTTCGATCTGGAAACGCTGAAAACACACCTAAATTCACCGCCCAAGCCTAGCTCCTGAACATATATGTCCGCAAAGCCTTCAGGGGACGCATGCGGATTTTCTATATCCCATTCGAACTGGTCGTCAAGCTTCATCGCCCCAACAATGATATCCAGCTAGCGCAATTGGGTGAAAATCCTTCCAGACATTATAGCCTTGGAAACCTACCTTGATGACAATCCTCATGTCTTCGTGTATCTCATTCTCATCCATATTAAAGTCCTCTGCGTTCATGATTTGCTCGTCTTCAACCACTTTCCGTCGTTTTCGGCCCTTTTCAGCTCCATCAACGGTAAAATCTTTCCTCACGCGTTTTCGCCACTTCCGCCACCACGACGCGCTCTCTCCATCCAACTTTCCTGTCTCCGGAGCGCCCGATTCATCGTCGGCAACATAATCACCTCCTTCGCCATCGTAATTGGTCGAATGTGCCTTAAAATCGCTGAGTTGATCCTGAATAGATTTGACGATAACGGAGTGATAGCTCGAAGATAGGTTATAATCTTCAACCACGGTCTGTGCGAAATTCTCCGGAGTTATCACAGGGTCTGTAATGAAAGTCAGCTGCCGAAGTCTTTTATACAGACAAATAGATATACCATTCAAGTTCCAAACGAATGTGTCCCGCATTTTATGATGCTGCTCGACATCAAACTCCAGTCGGATGGGTACAAGCTGCTCTGGCAAGTTCGCATACCGAGCGTCGATCTTTCTAGGCCTAACGAATGGTGATAAGCATCGCAGCAGATAAAAGATGGGAAAAAACACACAGCTTCAGGCCCTCCCTTTTGATGACTTTACCTCGTCTGCTATCCCTTCTAGGTCTTGAATTCGGATACCTGACATCGAATCCTCTTCCTCGGTTACCCCATGGTGACACGATGGCCCCCAAACCAACATTTACGCCGCCTCCTCTTTCCCACCACCTTTTGCCTAGCGCTTCCCGCTCCGCTGCCATCCGCTTCCGCATCTCCCCATATACGTTCTCGTACTCCTTATCAAGCTTCATCCAGTCCTTGACGTCACTGATTTCTGCTTCGCTCAACTCCGGAATAAGCTTCAACGAGTCCTTGAGTGGTACCGTAGTGATTTCTGTTACGGCAGGATTTGTTGGCGGTAGCGGAGGAAGCTTTGCAACGGCTGGTGTAGGGGTCGCCGACGCTGCAGTGGAAGCAGGTGCCGGAGCCGTTACAGTTGGCGCGGTCGATGCGGGTGTAGGAGCACGAGTTGGCGTAGACACTGAGGCGGAAGCGCTTGGAGGAGCGGGAGTCGGCATTGTAGGCGGGCCGGAAGGTATGGCCGCAGGCACAGGCGCTTGTTGGGGAGGCTGCTGTATCGACGGGAGAGGCTGTGGTGTCATCAACGCATTCAAATTTGTTGGAGTTGCCGTCCGCGGAGTTGTGGGTGTTTGAGGGACAGCATTCATTCTGTTCGGCGTAGGCGTTCCTTTCATAGCACCATTAGCAACAAATCCAGTACTATTCGAACTCGCAGACATGGGCCTCGTCGGCGAAACGCTTCCGGTATTGCCAATCGGGTAACCACCACTGGTTGCACCCACAGGAGGGAACATGCTAGGGCCAGCGCTGTCGATCCTTGGGCTTCCTGCAGTGCGAGCACCCACAGGCGACGTCTGGCCATGCTGAGGATATATATTTCCGGGCTGCTGATCAGACATCGGTTTGGGAAACATAGAAGGGTTCCCCCCTCCTCCACTGCTCATCATGTCTCCAATACGGCTAGGCGGACGGACCTGGTCGACACTGGGAGCCCTTCGCATACCCATCGCAGTTCCTGGGCGCACTCCTGGTGGCGGAGGTGGCATCATAGAGGGTCCGTGTGAGCTGGCACTAGACGGTCTGTCGTTGCCAAACCCAGCTCCCGGGAACTGTTGCTGAGGTTGAGGTTGAGGCTGCTGCTGGGGCTGCTGGTTCATCATGCCTCCCATCTGCGCCATCATCTGTAGCTCTTGTTGCCTCTTGATTTTCATGGACATTCGCTCCATCACGACTTGCTTGTCGTGCTGGCCGAGGCTTGCGAACTGTTCACGGGTCATCCCCGCCATTTGGAGCATCATGCTGAACTGCTGCTGTTGCTGCTGGGTCATCATGCCAGGTTGTGGTCCGTGAGCGACCGCTGGAGTAGGTTGGGGTTGGCCCGTCATCATATTGCCGCCGTTCATGCCGCCGAACTGGTTTGTGAATCCACCGCCTCCGCTCATTGAGCCACCGAGCGACGTTGCCGTGATGCCGCTCATCGACGTTCCGGGGCGCTGCATTGACATGCCGTCGACCAAGTTCGTAGGTGGGACACCACCGGCGGTATTCATCATGTTGGGTAGCGGGGTCGAGACACCCATTCCGAGGCCGCCCATATTCATGCCGCCCATGCCCATGCCCATCCCTGCAGTGTTGAGATTGCCGCCACCGCCGCCGCCTCCCATGTTCATCATGTTCATGTTCATTCCACCGCCGCCGCCGTTCATCATTCCTCTCTCGCGAAGAATCTGGGCAGGGCTCATACCTCCACCACCACCTCCAGACATCATGTTCATGTTATTGGCCATTCCACCTCCCATGCCACCTCCCATGCCGACCCCCATAGCACCCCCCATATTGCCTCCCATGCCTCCGCCCATGCCTCCGCCCATACTGCCCATAAGTTGGGCGGGGTTGATACCTCCCGCGCCAGAGAGAAGAGCTGCCGGGTTGATGCCTTGGCCATGAGCTTGTTGATGAGGGAAAGGGGACTGCGAAGCTGTAGGGTAGGATTGATTCATGTGTTATATATTATATGTTTTGACGGTTCTGTCAAGGCCATCGTTTAGTGAAAAGATAAATGTAGAACGACATGCTCACTGTCGATAGGTTTCCAGCGAGTCGCAATTCCTGTAATGACTGTGAGCATTTGCACGAAATCAGCTTGAAAGGAAATATCAGTATATTGTGTACTAGTCTGACAGAAGCGCCTCTCACCGAAAAAAGGTCGAGCGCTGCCCGGCGACGAGGACAGTACACGTATACAGAAGAAAAGCTTACCTGAATACACAACTAGGAGGTCATCAGTATGGTAAAATGGCAGGAAAAGAAAGTTGCATACAATGAGCAGCACGATGAGCAGACTCTATTAGTAGCAGCAAGGAATCAGGATACCACGCGTAATCTTGGGAAGGGCGCAGACAGACCTCTATGGTAGCATATCCAACGAAACAGAGAGATAATAGCAAACGAAAGGGTCGCGAAGACGGGACGAGCACTGGAAAAGCGATAGCGTGGCGGGATTGAGCAGAAGGTGTCGGCTTGCGCCCTTGTTGAAGCTGGTTCACAATCAACCGACGTCTGTCACGTTTTTGTCACACCCGGGTCACGTCACCCGTTTCCCGACGATGGGCATCCCAAACGGTACACAACCATCTCTAGCAGAGGCAATGGCTACACCGACGGGAGATGGTCATGAAGGGATAATTTCAAGTTACATTCGCTTTACTCCCGGCGTAGTTTTCACTCGTTTTATTTTTTCTGATCAAGATCTAGATCTTACGTCCGTTTTCCGGATATTGCCTACTCCCCCTCGTAGCCTCACGAGTCCATTTCAAAGGGGCGAATAACCGCGTTCTCTCGAGGCTACCGCGACCTCGTCGCGACCCGTTTTTCGTCCTTCCCCTCGATACATAGCTCTCTGGGAATTTTTCTTTTCTTTTCTTTCCTTCTCTTCTGGATATCGCCATTCTGAATCACACGGAGACGCCGCACGTATTCAACTACAAGTTCCGAGCGGACGATCCTCCTGAGTATGAATGCCCCACCTTTGGTTCACCCGCTACCATATCACGTCATCAATTATTGTGCCAAGTGCCCTGACTGAGGTCCCCGACTTTCACATCCAGGCAGCGTCCAGTCCCGTCGCAGGCCTATTATCCAGGTGGATGTATATTTCAAGCTTCTCTGACCATGCGATTCCGGAACACGAAATCCTTTGCAAGGTTTCGATCGTCAATTACGCGTCCAAGGGCAACAGCATCTTTCCTTATCCAGCCATCTCGACTCGTCCGGTTTCGAACTGACAAGAATGAATCCGAGCCAATTGACGGTATTGCGCTCCGATATCCGTCAGTCACATTCTCAGAACCACGCACCCTTGTCTTAGGCCGAGGTAACGACCCGAACGCGGAATCGGTCAGCAATTCATTCTTATCATGTGTCGGCCTCAGTTTTCAGATATCTTTAACCAGGCTGAATCAAAGGAGACCCTCCTGGGAGAGGGAGAAACCTTTCTCTACATATATTTTCGTCCAGTGACCGCTCAATTCGGAACGGAGGTAAATGAACATTGTACAACGTGGTCATGTTTGTCATTTCCTTCGAACTGTTGTGCAACAACGCCACCATCGTAAAAGTAAGCTTCGAAGTTTATTGCAACCGCATCATTTATTCATATTGTTCCAGTCTCGTTGCAAGGTGCTGAACAGAATCATTGAGGACGTACAAGTTCCTGGGAAAACAAACATACCGGCTAATCCCTCCAGGTCCGTAACATTCCGGCAAATGTACTCTGGTGCCTCGTTTTCAGGCCCCTCAACATCAAAGCCGTCAAAGAATACACCATCGCAGCCTGTACTACACTCGATGTCTACAACTGTGCATCCCAGTTCGCAGTTAGGTCCATTCCCTAACGAAAATAAAGAGACTTACTCTCATTGGTTAGTGCGGTCCCGCTCCAATTCAGAAACTGTAGGTTCGCAAAAGTAAGCTGAGACGGCAGATCACCGCTGTCAACATTCGCTGAGTGTTTCGATCCAGAACACTGCGTGGCACATACCTGTGTCCATTGTTCGTTTGATACAAATGGAGCGGCTGGTTGACCCGGTCCAAAACCACGTTCTTGGCAACAATATTGGATACAAAACCTAGCTCCGTCAGATGCGGTCCGAAAGATACCCATATGCGCACCTCCTCCTCCGCCACCGCCTGTCGGCGGGGATCCGTTAACGGTGTCAGTCCAAGTTTTGAAGTAAACCTGCAAATGTTGTAAGCCGTTTTGTATCATCATGTATGCGCATCCCACACTCACGCCGTTTGCCATGTTAGGCTGCACATTTGTGTCTAATCTCACCATCTGCAACATATATGTCAGTTGTTTATATGCAAGATCGAGATGATACGTGCTCGCAGGTCCTCCATAAGAACGTTGTTGACAATGTCGCTCTACAAATCGTTATCGTCCATAGCGTAAGAACATGGAAGATACGCACCAAATTGTAATATTGCCCCAAGGAACCAAATGCAATCCCGTTCCCTCCGCGACAGGTAATGTTTCGAGCGAGTATGTTGGTCGAGTTCTGTCGCTATCAACAAGAGAATGCAGAAAAGCTTACCACCTACTCCTTTAATAGCCAAGCAATCATCCCCGCATGTTACATCCCAATCCAGCAGCGTAACATTGTCGCTTCGATATGTGTCTATCCCTGTAGGAGCATTAGCCTTCATTCAGAACAAGTACTATCCACTGACCATCCGTATTAGGAACAATACTGAACATCCTTTATTTAGTGCTTTATCAACAGGATGGGAGAGGATACTCACTTCTGACCTGCAAACACTGGATTGCTATTGGTTGCGTTGCAGAGCATCCCTTCATATCTTACGCCGCTCGACTCGGCTACAGCGTTACACCAGAATGGGGGGGATTCAATGCGAAAGTTCTTCACCACAGAATTGGTTGCACGGTAGAGAGTCAGAGATAGAGGTCGACCATCACCGTCAGCCCTAGTGTGTGTCGTGAAGTACTCCCACCATGGCTGGTCAGCGATGTGAGCGGTGGATGACGTACGGCGTTCTATCGGACGCACCTGTCCATTACCTTGGATACCACCCTCGTTATGCGCGTCGATGATGAAGTCGGTTCCTGTCACAACAAACCACGAGGCTTGGCTCTGGCGGGATTATCAGGCGGTTGGGATGGAGAACGTCGGGAACGAGGCACCTGTATGAAAACGACCCTGTACGTGTTCTCTGCATCTAACCAATACTCGATGTCCGGTTGAAACTGAATAAATGCGCAGTATCTTATATCAATCAAAGCCGCCTTAACGAAGATGAGACCCTTACGCTCAAATACCCGTACAGATCGACCTTGGATGAATGCAAATCCCACGTCATCTTTCTGTTGATGATCGAGTTAAAGTGTAACGCCGATAATCGGATCTAGGGATGCGTACCTGGTAATGTTATACAGTCCGGGATTGAGCACAGTCCAACCGTGTCGCCCACATTCCTCAATGGCTCTCTCGACCTTCATCGATATTTCCTTAGGTGTATTCAAGGAAGGAAAGGATGCGACTCACTTGTTCTGTATCATCAGCACCTTCCCCCAAAGGACTAATCTCGCATTTTTTCGCGGTAGATGGTGATGCGACAAGTATAAGGGTAATCAAGAGCTTGGTAAGTGGGAAGCGCATTTTTCGTGGAGCACGATGTCTTCTTCATGGTAGGCCATATATATATTCCAATCAACTCCTCCGTTAATGTTCTACCGTGGTCACATTAGGTGCCCCTCTGATGCGTCACGAGCGAATAGGTATACAAGATGGTATTGGTACGGGCCGGTACATACTACTTCTTACAACATACAACAATATAAAAGTAAACTAAAACCAAGTGTAGAAAGTGTCTGTCCCAACCGAAGGAAACGCAGTAAATCTCTCATTTCTACCATCTCGTTGTACGGAGGTCGAAATCAGTCGTCAAAGATCCCGCTGCAAGGACTCTTCTGCCAGAGCCGCCTATACGACGCATGGACATCGGCTGCCGCACCGGGCATCAACACATTCCTCTTCGGACATATCCGGTTCGCGTCTTCTTCTCCTTCCTCCTCCACGATCTCCAAATCACCGCTCTTGACATACGGCCTCGCAATCTCATTGCATAGCTCATGTATGCACTCGACCCCATATACTTCTATCCAAATCTTCGCCAGCTTCGCAACCACACCGGTCACGTTCTCTGCCTCCGTATCGACCACTGCGACTTGGTAGCAGTCTTCTACTCGCTTGGACATGCTTGTTAACGTCCAGCACTCTTCCAGAAGGCTATCTCGGAAGTACACGACGGACTTGGTCTCTTCCCAAGGAAGCTTCTTCAGTCCGGCTCGCGTATTCGCGCGTCTTGTGCGTTTGCACCAAATCTTAGGTGTCGAGCGTACAACTTTACCCTCCTTTCCTCGGCGAGATAATACCATAAAGCTCTTCTCTCGAGTGCATGCATTGACGAACGCCTCAGCCTTTGGATCGTTCAGCGAAAGGCCCATACAGACGGTGATGTTCATTTCCGTCTCCGACCATTGCGGCGTGTGATCGATGATGTCGTTATACTTTGTAACAGTATAGCGATGACTGAAGTCTGAGTATTCAAAGTAGTTGACTATGGAGCCGCAGAGCATGAGGATACTCGACCCATCGACGTTATGGTAACATTTGAGCGTCGATTGGTTGAGATGGGTCCAGGTAAGAATGGTGTACTGTGTCAAGGCTATGACCTCATCCATCTACGCGCCAGGTTAGTACCTCCTATAGAATTCGATGAGAACATGACTTACTGTCTTGCAGGTTTTCCGCAAACACCCATAACACCGAATTATAGAACTGAAATGAGCCCAGCTGCGAAATGGTCGGGGTCCTGTAGTCGGGTCTTTATAAACACGTCCACCCAGGACGACGACATAACTCGCAGAATCGTCTACCGGCCTCAGGACGTCATCAATTGCCGCTCGAGCCTGATCCGTGAGTAGCTCTACAAGACCAGTCCAAAGCTTGGATAGTGTTTGGACTTCCAACTTCTCATCCCGAAGAAACTCCATCGCCGAAGTGTAATTCTGAGATGTGACCATGAGGGATGCGTCTGTGTATACTATCCGCCGGATAATAGAATTGATCACTTCGAGCTGTTCATGGTACCACTTGGATTCGGGATAAGCACAATACCTCGAAATTCGGGTGTAGATTTTCTCTCTGAGGATGGTAGCCTTCTCTCGTAGTGCCACCTCCAGCGGGTCTTCCACTTCGGCCCGGACATCGTGATAGCCATCATCACTGTTTTCGATGGACTGGGGGTGGCTGGCGTATTCCTCGGTCTTGGTGGCTCGTAGTGGAGCCTCGTCATATCCGGAACAGTCCACATCAGGCTTTGATGTGTCCACCGGCCGCTTGAGGACCCAAAGTGCGTTCTGAGATGCGAGAATGAGTTCATACGCCCGATGCTCTACTTCTTCGAGAATTCTCTCCACTTCTGATTGCTGTTTTATGAGCATTCGCCAGAATTGTTTATGTCCGAAGTCCTGCTGAATTATCAGGACAGGTGAAGGATAAGATATGGTATAATACATGCCATATCGTTTCTGAGAAGGACGTTAGGATAGCTTTTATATACGTTGCGAAGGAGATTCTTACCCAAAGAAGCGTTCAGTGAAGTATGCCCTAGAATCGATGCATCTGTTTCCTTGGCATTCAGATATATTGCGCGAACTTTGAACAAGAACACACACCTAGTAACCAAGTGGTACTTGTATAAAAGAACCTTGTTCCAAGATCCTAGCCTCTCTAATGACATGCATGACCTGATCTTCTTCGAATTAGTGCAAATGGTATGTTGTTCGAAAGCATTGAGAGCAGCGTGGTGAGCCTTGTAGTTGACATATAGCTTGATGCGCTCCTACGAGACAGCTTCAGCGGCGTTCAGTAGAAAGATGAGGAAAAGTCCGACTTCATTATGGCGAGCACACCAAAGGAATCCTGGTTGGTTATTCACGTTACAAGGTCTCTTGTGGGAGTCAAGAGCGGCGCAGATCCCGGAGCATTCTTGAACGGAAGGCATTGATTCGAAGAGCAGTGGAGAATGAGGGGTGTGACAGTAATGCAAGGGTGACGACATTAAAAGGTAAGTAGCGCCGTGTTATAAGAGTCAAATACGCTAGACAATGGCCCTGTTCCTATCGTACACGTGAACTATTGACTGCGACGCGTACCGCGCAAGTAGCGAGCAAAGGCAAGAATGAGAGAATTGACTGGGAGGGTCCTCATGAATCGAGTCAAGTGGGGCACTGGTGGACTTTACAGTACCGGTCATAGTTGAAATGATAAACTCGACTTGGGACTCTCTCAGATGTCCATTAGATAATGCTACCCGACTGTTGCTTCAACAACCATGAGCGTATAACGATCGGAGTAGCTCTCCAATATGGAAATTTCTGATCGGCACTATAGTAGTGATCGAATGTTGAATCAAGCCTGGCAGCTTCCCACACTCCTGGGTTGTTGATCCGGGTCTCTGCAAGGAAAGAGGCTGTTCTGAAAACTGCAAAGTGCAAAAATGACATTACCAAGGCTCGAACCAGCACTCTGGAATCAAATCTGTTGTTATAACCACTTAACCATAACACATCACCATCAATGTTTCGAACTAGTGGGGACCCGTAAAGACTTTAAGAACACTTATTGAGGTAATATAGAAATGTCAATTGCACAGTATCTTTACGATGTATCATTCATCAAAATCTAATACGGCAAGTCAAGCAAACTCCCTCTCGATGTCACAATGCCCATAATGAATCAACATTGGCATTTCGACTGAAAAGACCACTCACACACATTGTTACAGTTCATAGCCTTTGAGCAGCTCATAATCACTATGCATAGAGTCTATGTACCCTTGTCTAGCTTCGCAAACTACTTTACTTCCCTTAATACGGAGTCACTACGATTGAATGACCTCCGAACTCCCAAATACCTCTAATCTGAGAATTTCACCTTCCTCGAGGTGTTCCATTCAATTTTCTGTATCGTAGATTCGTACCCAGTGCTCTCTAGTGGATAACTTGACGCAAGTTAAACTTCTGGCTAGATAATGATCGCAGTGGTAAATTTCGGATATTTGGACAAACCTTGACTATTTTGACTATGATCACCGCGGCAAGTTGAAGAGCGCTCGAGAAGCACAAAATCATGCCAAAAATAGAAGAGTCAATGAGAAGCGCGAGTTGTGTAGCCAATGAGAGCGGCGACGGAAGCAGGTTCCGACATCCACCTGTTGTATAGTAGATATACAAAACATGTATACAATTGATTTCCACTAAGTTGCTCGGTACATGCTGGTACGTGCATAAACATTGTTCAATGAAGCTCACGGTGATAACTAACGCATCATTCAAATTGTATTCCGTGAGAAACACAAGGGATATACTTAGTATTTAGATGTAGGTTGCCATGAGGAGACCCATGAAACTCGTATTAGAGGTAATTGGAGACACGGCATGAGCCATATGCATTGAGTTTATGTACTGGTAAACGAATCCGGAGGTTGTGGTAGAAAGACTCAAGATCAACACTCATTACACAGTGATGATAGTGAATACGACGTCAGGATTAGGTAAGGGAATGTAACTGTCACTGTTATTCCTCAGCGGGGTGGCAGAGGGAGATCTTCTCACCGTGCCTGTAGGATGTGGGTGAAGTAGCTTTCCCTTTTTTCGACGTGGAGATGGCTGTAGCGTGGCACCGGATGTCATTGAGGGAACACGGATGAAGATAGAGACGAGGCTAACATAACAGTTGAGTAGTATTGCTTGTGACTTGCCTAGATTCATTACATAGGACTCTTGCCCACGCGAGAAAATATAATGGTAACGAAGTATGTTGACCTGTTAAATTGAATAAGCAAAAAAACACGCTGAACAAACACCAGGGCTACGCACCCCCAAAGCAAAGTCTAGGCCCAGTCGAAGTATCTAGTGAAGGAAGCATAATTTTTTTGGCCGTTGGAAGGTCAGACTGCATCACGGATAAGAAAGTCGACCGAACTAGCACATGCGGTCCATAATGAAACTTGGCATTAGGAATCATTTAAGCCTGATCGTCGTCCTCAGACCTGCCAGGGAACACCGCCCATTTTCCAACCCAACGTCAGTTATATGACCCTGAACCGGCTAATGTCAAACATACGTTCGGTAAGAATATCCAGAGTGGAGACACGCGTAGCCGGCGTTGCGTCGGCGTGGCAGTGACTGGTATAAGGCTCGAATGATTCAGTTCATCAGCATTCCTCTTGTACCTACACTTCCATCATCCTAGAAGAAGACTTGTCTTGTATACCCCCGAAAAAATGGGGACCCAACAAAGTCGCCGTCAAAGTACAAAAACCCAGCGTTCGAAGACCCCACCGTCTGGCATAGACCCCCTCGCCATCATCCCTACGGCTGCAGCACTAAAGAACCAGATCACGGCGGTATTGGCGAAAAAGCATGACGACGGCACGAGGGAGGTGGTCAGCAGTGCACAGAAGGTACGGACGGATTTAGATGTGGCTGTGTGACGCTTTAATTGCAATTGCGGGATGAAACGAGACTTTGATCAGAGATACCATCTTGCTTTCTACCTTCATCCTCCTCTTTTTCGCCTTGTTTTGACCTTGCCCAGTAACCTTTTCGAAGGTTTCATTTCCAAGACAGGAGCGCTCACCATCACGTCTAGACTCGACCGTCTGAGGCGTCCGTAACCTCCACATTTCCAGCGCAACCAGAGACCACTGCAACGACAATGGCTCCAGTGAATGCTACCGTTCCTTGCCAGGTACATTCGACTGTATACCCTCCAATCCCTGACCGTATCTACTTTGCATCAGTATCGCACCGGCAAGACCCTTGGAAGCGGGACATATGCCATCGTTAAGGAGGCCATCCACATCCAGACGGGGGAATACTTCGCTTGCAAGGTTATCAACAAGAAGCTCATGGAGGGCCGAGAACACATGGTACCCGTCTGGCATCGTATCTTTGGGTCGTCCTACTAATGGTCGCTACAGGTCCGGAACGAGATCGCTGTCTTGAAACGTATATCTAGCGGGCACAAAAACATTGTGACTCTCCGTGACTACTTTGAAGTATGTATACATCTTTATCTAGTTGACCAGTACCTCACAGATTTCTACAGACCTCTCACAATCTTTATCTATGCTTCGATCTTTGTACTGGCGGGGAGCTTTTCGACCGGATATGCGCTAAAGGCAACTACTACGAAGCGGACGCTGCTGGCCTCGTTCGCACTATTTTCCAAGCCGTCAAGTATATCCATGCCTCCGGCATCGTTCACCGCGACCTCAAGCCAGAAAATCTTCTCTTTCGCACAAAGGCCGAGGAAGCCGACATCATGATTGCAGATTTTGGCCTCAGTCGCGTAATGGAGGAGGAAAAACTAAATATGTTGACTGAAATTTGCGGAACGCCAGGCTACATGGCGCCCGAGATTTTCAAAAAGAGTACGCGCTATATCTAATTACGTGGCTGACTGCTGATTGCGAGCATAGCCGGCCATGGGAAGCCCGTCGATGTTTGGGCTATGGGCGTAATCACGTATTTCCTACTCGCGGGATACACTCCCTTTGATCGTGACTCGCAACAACAGGAGATGGAAGCCATCATTGCTGGCGACTACAAATTTGAACCTCATGAATATTGGGCCAACGTTAGCGATACCGCTCGAGACTTCATTCGAGACTGCTTGACAATCGACCCATCCAATCGCCCCACAGCAGCACAATGCTTGGAGCACAAATGGCTTGCGGACACATTGCCTCACTTCGTTCCTGACCCCGAGAACCCAAGTGGTGGTCCAGCTGATCTACTACCACATGTCAAGAAGGCCCTCAATGCAAAGCAGCTATGGCGCAAGGCGGCATTTAGCATTACTGCACTTAACCGTATGACTGCTCTCGCCGGTAACAGCCATCTGGACCCGCAGAAGCAGGAACTGTCGGATAACGTGCGATTGTATAAAGAGGAGAGTGCGAAGGAAGTAATGGAGGTAAGACGTTTCGTATCTACAGCAACTATAATACAATTGACAGGACGTATCAGAATGCTTCTATCATGCATCATCACAATATGAACCATCCCACTGAGTCGTCTTTGGACATCAGGCAGAGTCTGAAGAAGACGGATGATATTTCGGTTGATGGAAAGAACTCGGACACCTTGACAAGTAAACTTGCCAAGGTTAGTCTGGATGCGAAGGATAAGGAGGCGAAAACGGCGTAGAGGTCCATGGACTTTGACAATACTACTTTACCGGGATGACAGAATTGTTTGTACTAAATATATGAACTCCGTTTGATATCTTGTAATCATCAACTCGGATGCAATCGTAAGTCATTCCGGGCCTGCGAGAGGCTGTGGCACTGGTTCGGCGCAGCAGCGCAGTCAGAGGATGGGACCTGCGTGGACCTACAGCATACGTAACATCTTACCCTAGTCCACCCCGTAGCATTCACATGCCTGCAGCGGCCTTGATGTGCCAGCGCAAGCTGTAACTGTTCATGTCTGCCCTTTTACCTCCTTCCCGGGCAAGACTTGGTGGTACGTAGCATCTTCTGCTTGCGCTAGCCAATTCTTCAATAAAGATTCCCCCAGAATGTCATGGCTGAGATCGACCTAGAGGATCAGCGAGGAAGTAGTAGAAACGACGATCTGCTCTTGGTACTCTCTGTATTGAAGGCACGTTCCTTTATTCAATAGTTTCGGTTTTTTTATTCAATAATATATCACAGCCAAGTGACGATACATACGATGCCTCCTTGAGCCAACGTGCCTTCTTTGAGAAGGCTACAACAATCGTGAAAAAGATATACTGTATAAACGACGCGTTACAAGAGTTGCTATTCACCCTCTACGATTCTTCACACAATTGTACCTGTTCGCTTCCCAAAGAACTATGTGACATCTTCTACCAAGGACGGGACGATATTGCGAACACAATGCGATGCATACTGGATTCCATGAGTGCGGTCGACGGTGCCCTGCGTTCTCTTGACAGAGCTCTCGGCAACCCCAGTCATTCCTGGGAGGAAACTTGGCGCTACATTGCCGATTTCCGCCAATCCGCTCGTACCGCCGAAGAACAATGGCGCCAGACCCGTGCTTACCTTGTCGACGAGTTTACCACCTCGCTTCGAGATCGCCTATTTTCACCCTACAACCCCCTCCCCCGTCTATTCTCCTGGACTGTGTATCTCAAATCTGGTGTCATTTTCCCACCTCTCCAAGCTTGGGGACTCCTCGCCGAAAAAGTGGAGGACATTTGCGGAGCGATAGATGAAGTGCTGGAGATTGTAGGCGAGGTCGAATCGTTCATCCTCAGTGTCCGTCGAAGGATCCTGCATGTTCAGTATGACGCGAATACTCTATCACCGGAATTACGAGAGCAGGTGGAGGCGGCGGGACATAAGCTTCGGTGGACCTTCACCTCTCATTATCTGATAATGGATGACGGTGTTGCGGATATAACTTCTATATCCGCTCATATTACGGACGAGTCTCTTTCGGAACCTCAAGATTCTTGGTCTCAAACGGTGACCAAGGGAGCATTGTTTGGAGTGGGTTTCATGGTCTTGAAGAATCTCTGGGAGGAAAGTACGGGTGTCCCTGCTTTCTCATAAATTCTCTTAAAGGGCATTTTTTTGTTTCTGTTTCGGAGAGTAAGGTCAAGGCTCACAGCTACTACTCAGATATTGATCTGCATACGTATCACTTCCAGGCGCTTGTTGACAGCCAAGTGTATGATTACACTGTAGACAAAAAGAAATCCAAACAAGAAAAACCATGCCGTGGGTAGATATTATTACACGAAACGGCCCAACGGGTGTCGCCGTAAATCAGTCGGGGTAGCGCGTTTTCTTTGCAAAAATGATAAGGACTGCAAACAGTGACGAGATTGCAATACCTAAGAAAATTGCGCCACCCCATGCGGTCCTGAGGGAAGCAAAGTCACTGCTAGGAATGGCCAAAGCTACATATGCTTTACTCCGTAGTCCGATGTAGCTGCTATTGCACCAGCAGTTTGAAAATCCATTTCCCAGCTGTGCCAGACAGAATCCAAATAGGAATAGCGCGTTGAGGAACGCCAAGGTCTTTCCTGCTCGGGAAAAGCGTCTGGACCATACAGTAAAACCGCTATCATGGTTCGGCAATGCAGTGCCACAATTAGCTCCAACGGTTTCCTTCCTCCCGCAAGATTCTGATGGAAGCGTAGTTTGAGAGGACTGACAAGCCGATAGAGGCTCGCTTGGCAGATTTGGTGCCGGCATCGATATTGGGATCGCAGTCAACGGGATATGTGCTAATGTATCTGTTGCGATTTCCATGGCAGGACGAGGCCCCGGCCATGTAGATGAACGATGAGCTAGCCACGCGGATACAATCATGCACCACCACGCCACTGTCGAAACCAATCCATAGATAAGGAAAGATAAAGACCGACATCCCAGACCTACAGGAAACGTTAGAATGAAAATGGAGTGATATGATGCATCAGCACCTTTTGTAGGCGTAAAATAGATGACGACTATGCCTGATGCCGTGGAACCCCATTGGACTATCAAAGCTGCAATTGACGCTTTTAAAATCCGGCACCCCACACTCTCTCCTTGACATTCCACAGGAGTTTCGTGGTAGCAACGTGAGATGATAACGTCTTTAGTACCATCTCTGTGTTCATCGTCGATGGTACCATTGCCTCTGATGAGTCCACGAGCATGCGCTTTCTCGGCAGCAGAATGATACAACTGGAAATAGTCGAGCACCACCTGATTCAGCCAATACACTCGTGCGAAGTCAAATATCGGCAGTGTACAGTAGATGTCATCGTTTGGAAAGTTCCAGCGAGACGTGCCAGGTCTGCACAGGGTTATTGGATGCTTATTTGGAGGACACTTGTTGAATTGTCCGGGTGTGTCTGACGCTATGACAGCCTTACTTCCCGCGCGCAGTAGCTGACTTTCGAGCCACCGCCTGTCGCACTCGGGAGATAAGACTATCCATCCTACAACGACCGGATACAGCCAGAGCCAAAGAAGACCGATGCTTTGCCCGCTGGCGTTGGAGTCCTGACTTGGACTATTGAGTGCATCGATGATGGTGAAGATGAAAGCAATCAAAACCCAGATGAGATTGAAGAAGGCAGAGATGGTCCACCCGAGTCGTCGAGCTTCCAATGCCTTGACGAGCCCTTCCCACCATACATCATTTTGGGGGAGGACGATAATAGATGCTATCACTTCGTCTGACGGTTCAAGATAAAAGCAGCAATGCTGAAGGGCATTGAAAGCTCTGGCAGTGTGATTACGATTGGGATATCGCTTAGCAGTGTCAAGGAGGCGACCGATCCAACGAGTGTTAAGGGCGGAAAGAGAAAGGGAATAAATGATAAGGGTGGGAGAGCCGACGGCGAGAATGATGTAATTAGCGTTTTCGAATAGGTCGTTTGCGCCAAAAGGAAGTTGCGACAGTAAAGCCAACCATGGAACAAGCCAAGCGCTTGATTCCTGAGCGAAAGATGGAAATGAGAAGGGCTCCGACCCTCGACCACACGCACGATAGCACAACTCAAGTGTCACGGCAGTTGCGTTCTCGTAGGTCAAAATTGAGTTTCCGTCCTTATCCAAGACACCGTCTAGCCCATAGTTTCCCGACTGGATATCATCTAAACATTGGTTGAAATTGACGCCAGCTGCTGCTGGTATAAGTAGTAGCACCCAGACAAACAGGTCTGTGGACAAATCATGTCAGTTAACGACGCATATATGGTCATGAAGAGATAGATACTCACAGCGCCTTGTGGAAGCCATGTATGAGGTGTCGTGCTGGGGGTGTGCAGAAAAGCTCCTGGATCAACGTGAGAAGGGGGCAACATAATCGCCTGAAACCCTTGTCCACCTGTCTTGTAAATGTTGCCTGCGGTGGTACAGGGTCAATAGCTCTCAGAATATATTGACGCAAATATAAGTAACAATCAAGATGACTGAACGTAGAAGATACCGACACAGCATCCGTTCACGGAACACGTCAATCAATGAATGCAGCCCGAGGCAATACAAAGTGGCGCTTAGTTGTGAACGCCGGGAAAGCGCTGTGTCGTCATTTCGGTATAATTCAAACCAAGAAAGTGGATGTAGGATGGAGCGCGTGTCCACTAAGCATCTGGCTGGACAGCCATTTATACGGGCGCAAATTGATATCAAGGGCGCAACGAGAGGACTATGGCATCAACGGTTCAGTGAATCGAAGGCGATGATGTAGAGGAATTATCTGAGAAACTTAAGGCGGTCTGTTGATGAAAGATGTGGGGATTCAAGACAAGGTAATGCCACGATGCACATAGATAGAACGTCGGAGACTCAACATGTACTCCATGCGTAACGTCTATCAAGAGCATGGAACACAATATACAGACGCCATGTTAAGTGTACGAGTGAGACAAGTCACATACATTTCTGTTTCATGCTATAGGCACATTGTTCCGGAGAATACGCACGAAAATGGGATATAGTCAGAATGTGAATGTTTGGGAGTAGACTAGTTGGAGCAAAAATGCGGTCCACTGGCCAAACCTATGGATGCATGGTTCGGAAGCGGTTTCCTATAACGTCCCGGAGCTGTGTAGACGGAATTGCTTCCGGGAATGCCTTTCTCATAAGCCTCGTTTGACTCTTCTGTTCGTACGCAAAAGCGTAACCAATTAGGTCGAACTCGGAGAATGCCGAAGCAAAGAATGATAGACCAAATGGGACTCCAGGTGCCGGATACACCGTCTCAGGACCAGCACTTTCGATAGTGGTGTTGTCAGGATAAAACCCCAAGGGGACTATAAAAAAAGTCAGGAACGAAATCCTATGAGTTCTGGCCTCACCAGTCACAATGGGATACCCGACGATAGCTGAGGGACATCAATTGCTGGGAAAGGGTTGATGCATTGCGACTCACCTGCAATGGTCGTCGTGAACCCTGGAGAAGGTAGAACTAGCGCGTCTAGGTCAAACTCCTTCATGGCGGCATCGATACCCATGCTTCCGCCAAGCTCCCGGTCGATTGCTAGAGCGCTAAAGTAGGCATCGTCGAAACCATTAGTGGCCTCGGATTCTATCAGCCTAATAAATTCTTCAGAAGGGGCTTTTGAGACATATAAAACAATTGGACACTTGCTCAGACTGATCGGTGAAATTGGCTGGTTCCTCAAGGTCGGGATGATCATCGTTGAATTTGATCAGGTCGGTAAGACTGCGTACTCCCGAAGGATTCTTGATAAGGCCGGAAAAATACCTGTTCAGTTCAATCTTTGCCCAATAAGTTGATCGAATGACAGTCGCGGTGAAGTAACAGTACCTTAAAATCGACGTCTAATACAATAGTCTCATTGTTGGACCTCAGAATCTGCTCCGCCGAAGGAAGATCAGCGGGATCCACCACAGTTGCTCCCAGGAGCTTGATTGTCTCGAGAGCAATTTCAAACGCGTCCAAGACTGGTTGATCCAATCCCGACAGCGAGGGGTCGAGGAAAACCTTTCTGGGAACACCAATCCGCTTGCCAGCGAGAGCACCCATTCTTAATGCTCGGGTATAGTCTGGAACGACAGACGGTTGTGCCAGAGTAAAATTATCGTTAGGATCCTTGCCTGCGATGACGGATAGCACAATGGCTGCGTCTGCCACCGAACGCGTTATAGGTCCAACGGTGTCCTGGTGGGATGAAATGGGTATTACTATGAATCCTTACATTTTAGCCCGCTCACTGTTTCGCAGGTTCATTTACTCACCTCCAGCCCTTGATGTCAGGCCCACTGTCGGCTTAATACCTGCAACGTTGTTCTGGCTCGACGGGCAGGTGATGCTTCCATCCGTCTCGGTGCCGAGCGTCACTGCCGCCAGACCAATCGACGCTGCTATGCCAGATCCCGAGGACGAGCCACACGGATCTGCACCAGGAAAGTATGCACCTTTCGATTGTCCGCCGCGGCCGGACCAGCCCGATGCTAGGCGTCCGCGGAAATGAGCAAATTCAGAGAGGTTGGCTTTGCCAAGGATTTTAGCGCCAGCTTTGCGCAACCTTTTGACTACGCCAGCATCATCCGGAACTACGGAATCAAGAAGACTGAATGAACCTGCTGTGGTGTTCATCCCTGCGCGACGGATATGAGTCCGGGGTTTTGAAGAGAAATTAAGTTACCTTCGGAAGCAACAGTGGCGATATTGTCCTACAGGACGCGTTAACAATAGCATATAGCCACGCGAAGAGCACACTTTTAAGAGAATAGGAATGCCATGTAACGCGCCTCTTTTTCCGCGCAGTTGTCTTTCAGCGTCCATTTCCGCCGCCTGGGCCAACGCCGACGGGTTCGTTTCAATTATGGCGCGAAGCTCAGGCCCTTGAAGGTTGACTTCGTCAATTCGTGCAAAGTATGCCTACAACTTGTTGCAGCTTCTTTGGAAGGAGAGTGGTTGAAACGTTGAAGGCGCACCTTGATTAGATCAACGCTGGTGAACAGCCCCTTATCCAAGCCATCCTGCAACTCCAACACAGATGCCTCATAGAGATCTGGGAAAACATCTCTAGCTGTGCTCTGTTGCGGAGAAATTGCATGATATCCCGTTGTCAGGACTGCGAGTACCAATGCAAAAACGACTTTCATCCTGTTCTTGCGAGGAAGGGTTCCGATTCTTCCATCGAGCTTGAGACTCTTATCGCAATATTCTTTCCCAACGCCATGTGGAATTGATAAGAGTGTCGTCCAGAGCCGGAAAGCCGCCACCAGACTGTTCCACTTACTAATTGAATCGAAAAGAAGGCAACGGATGCAAGATAAAACACATAACCACGAAATTGCATTCACTGTCAACCGTATTAGACGGCAGCTGAGCAAATACCGAAAGCTGAAGGAGGAGCCATGAGAAAAAAGCGGTGCTTTCGACGTCGCGTGTGTTATTCAATGACCGTGATTAGTAAAGGAGCAACTAAACAGGTGATCATGATCGTAAATTCGTGTACATTAATAAATTTATCCGTTACACAAACTACCAGCGTCTACAATTTTGTCCCTATAGGGTCGTCACGAATTAAATAAGATTAGAGTTCATCCACAGGTATAATCATATATCCACGTTCCCAGAGAAGATGGTATTCATGTCGATGACCGTGGAACACGAAATGCAAGCAGAGCGTTTACAGCGGCTTTCAATGATAATCTTGGTGATGAGATAGGTTGAATTGTCCGAGGAATGCTGGCAGCGTCTGGATTGTCATCGGCGACTTCGAAAGATGAGTGTCGACAGCAGTTACGCAACTGAAGATGCTTACCGTAAAGCACGGGGGCATCTAGCTTGGTATCAAAGTAAAGGGTGAGAGATCCCGAGGTCAAGAACTGCCCGCACAACCTCCCAGCTTCTCCTTCATGTGCAATCACACATTTGGTACGGATGCCCTGTATTCTCAAGGCCACTTGGGCTCCGGCTGTATCATATTCCATCAGACAAGCTGCGAAGTAGATTGGACCACTCACGTTTTAAGCTCCCAGAATATCCTAGTGCTATCAGAGTTTCGGGTGGGACGTGCGACTTTCCGATGCCCGTATCGAGGATGAAATTGGTAACGATTGAGTTCCGCGGAGTACCGGTGTATTTTGAGCTCGGCGAGGTGTCGAGCTCTACGGCGAAGCGCCAGCCCATGAGACCCGCTAGTTTGCCATGTGAGATACGGAGACCTGCACATGGTATCGTAGTGATGTCCGTTGTTGGCGTCACCATGTCGGCTCCCATCACCTTGTTTAGTTCTGTCCGACTGTGCTGTGGAGGGTATGACGACGATTCTGATATGTGTCGACGGTGATAGTCCCACTTCTTAGGAGAGGAGGGGAAGCTATCAATGCTTGGGGCGCAGGTACTCGAGGCGTCGGATCTGTGGCTGTAGAACGAGCCCGAGCCCTTGCGGGGGGATGTAGTAAATTTCTCGTCACCATAGGTATAGCCCTCCATGTCGTATTCTTCCAGGAACTTGATTTTGCTGTCGGTGGGTCGAAACAGTCTCCCAGGGGGCTGTTAATGAGTGTCAGAAAAGAAAGAGGGTATTAAATAACGATATGGAAGTAAAGCGGCCAGGTGGCCAGGGCTAAATCAGGGGAACACCGGTAGAAGACTCACCACTCTTAACAGCTCAATGATTCTACTGGAGTCGGCGTGTACCCCTTGTATGACACGATCAGCGTGCAGGGCTCTGAGAAAAATGGTCTTCCGTAGAGTTGCAACACCCTCTGATTGTCGGCCTTGTCGTATCAACACGCAGCCCTTATTGAATTGGACTTCTGCAAGATGGAGAGAGAAAGCAAGGCCAAGTTCGTCGTAGTGTCTGCATTTTAATGGTAAGATGGACGCTGGTAGAGCAGACAACAAACGGACACCACGCTGCTTCCTTTCATTCGTGATTCTGCTGCAGTAAAGTCGTCCAGCGCCTTGGCGAGCTTGTTCAGGGCGTGATAGCATACGCCACGTTCATAGTACCTTAGTAGAGATGCCAGTGAGTTGACTGCAGCAATGCAGGTGACACGACGCACGCAAGCACCAAGGACGGATCTAACGCGATTGCTCTGGTCAAGGACCTCACTGCTTCGTTGTAATTCTCGATCCTTCGCTGTATCAAGGCCATATTTACCCAAATCTTCGACGTATCAACAATTTCCTACCGCCGATGTAAGTCCCAGAAACGCTCAAAAAGGTCGTCTCAACTCACCTGGAATAGCACCAGAGCCTTAGCAAAGTTTCCTGCATCATTTGCCTCCAATGCCGCATTCCATACCCTGAGCTCCGTCTTCAAAGCAGCCAGGGCCATTACGGATCCTGTCTTGAATTGTGATACCGGTAAAAGATAGGGAGGAGAATAATTCGATACGGAGTGATATGACCGTCTTGACGGCCTCCGAACTTTGTTTGCTACCGGCTAATCCGGTCCGGTTTCGGTCAATTACCTCCGAGTCGAACTTGGCGATCGTTCACGATCGAATTCTGTTTTTCAAGATCGTTACTACATTTACTATCATTCAAGTTCTGGCATCTTGGACCATCTGCACCATTTTCTTCAGATTTTTTGGATCAATCTCAGTATGGTCTCCTTGCCAGGCTCATGGCTTCTCTTGCCTCGGGCGAAGGGCAGGATTTTCATGGTCGACTTGTGGAACATATTCGAACGCCATATCATTGACATGATACGTGCCTTGACAATTACTCTTAAAGAAACGATAGTCGTAGGAAAATGACCCCAACGCCTCAGCTTCAGCTCTGCCACTAACCGTTATCGCATGCAACCTGGTTTGCAGAGATTAGAGATGAAATGTACTACTGAAAAGCATATGTGACACAAGATTTTATTACTCTTTGCACTACATGTACATATATAAATATCAGTCTTCTCTGTCCGACATCGCACTGTCAAAATTGTTGCAACCGCCCCTCCGAGTTGACAAAAGAATTACTCCGTTAATCTGACATAACATGCCAACAAATGCTTCTTGCCCAGAACATTGTTTAACGTATTCATCGTACTTGTCATTGAAACATTGATAAGAGGCCTTGTAACCTTTCGCTTTGCCATCGATTAAGTAGCCCCTATTGCTGATGGCGTTTGACCAAATTCAATTTGAATTTGAACGTACTTGGTATCCCACTTTCACGACTACAACTAAGCCCACCGCCCTCCGGGTTCTACTTGTGGAACTCTTGATGTGTACGGCACGGATACCTGATTATTCTCTTCTTATGAACGACTGGTGCATTGCGCAAATGGAATTCTAGCTTGTTACTTACAAAGTTCCGGCTCAGGGAACGCGAAGGTGTGTCTCTAGACAGAACACGCAACACTGAAGGATGCACATGCGCATCTTTCGTCTTCTCGAAAGCATAGCAACGCCTGTAACTTCATTTGACTGTCCTTCTCTTCTGACCATTAATTCCTGAACGTCTGTCGTTCCCTCTCAGGCTACCGCTCTCCGTCCAAGATCTCGGGACCGTCTTTCGGATTACTGCATGGTGTTATACTATTTGGATATCCATTGATTAGGGCCTGGTCAGCCTTGCTCCGCTGAAGTGCAGATTCTGTCAAGCGCACATTCCTTTCTACTTTAACTTCAATATGTTTGGTCTGACTTTGAGAATATCTAGGATGACACCTTTTTGCCCTCGATTCATGAAGGATGCAGAGGCTGCTATTACATTGCAGCACTTTGTGCGGCAGAAAACTGTCTGATAACGCGGTCTAGGCGGTCCATATTTTTATGTCTGACAGCGCTAATACCGCCTTTTGTCCGTATATTACCTGAATGTCGACATAGTGAGTCTTCGCACCTTCGCTTCATCCTTTCAGTGCTTGACTTGCTACGTGGCAACAGACTCTCGCTAATATTTAAAAATTGTCCAATTAAGCAGAAATAACAGATGGATGCAATATGATACAGGTATGTATATGCAATAGATCGATAAATATCAAGGTAACTTAAATCGTTAAGGTGGTCCAGCTGTCGCATGTGTCCGTCCACCTTCAGATGATAGCAGCTGCTCCCTCTCTGAATCCGAGTCCATCTGCTCTCTCTCTTTCCCGTGGCTCCCTTTGTGACCTTGTCCCCAGTCAAGCTGTGTCGCAGGGTCCCAAGGATCACTCAACTCCCCGAACTCTCCTTTCCAGCCATCGTAGTCACCCACCTTCGTGACATCGCTGTTGACGGTATATTCGGATAGCATCCTTTCGCGCTCTGTCCTTCTCATATATGCCTCAAATCTCCGCCTCCGCTTCTCATCCTCGCTGATCTCCAAGTCTGCCAGCTGGTAAGCACCAGGACCATGCTTCCCGTTCCGCAGGCGAGCCCACCACGATTGTTTCTTGGGGTTGCTATCTCCTCTTCCAAGGGTCGTGGCTATTGCCATTTCGACAGCGGAATTGCCATCTGTTCCCTCATTTATCTGATTTCGCTCCCGCCTCCACATCGTCCACCTCCATAGACCAAACATCAGGAAGGCCAAACCAAAGAAGCTACCCACTCCGATCAGTGCTGCGTATCCAATCTTTATGCCTCCTCCGTTGCTACTGCTTGGCGTTCCGCTCGGACCACTGGCCCCATCTAATGCCCGTCCTTCCACTCTCACAGTATTGAACTCGGACATCGCAACTCCCGGCTCTGTCAGACCCATGAGACCGAGTTGGTATCCACTATTATCCCCCTTGCCATTCGTCCCCACTGCTCCGTCGAACCCAAGCACCATGTATACATTCCGCAGGAAGGGCACACCCAAAATGATGTCTCCCGCATTTGCGGTGTTAATGGAAGAATCACTGGCCTGAATCAGACCCACACATGTGGTGGTGTCGCCAGAATTCTTCGATTGTAGCGCCGTTAGATCGAGGGGATGCACCGAATACACCACCGACTTTGAGCTCATCTTCAATGTCAGCGTCATATTCAGAGGCGTCTTGCATGGAATGTAATACTGTCCATCAGCTCCGGGCCCTATGCCGACTGCACCATATATTCCATCCGCAATTGCCTTAGTCGTCAGGATTATCGGCACACCTGAATCTAACACTGCTGTGGTACCACGAGCCGTCGAAGGTAGTGTTACCACTCGCTCTTGGTCATCCACCCACACACTGACTCCCTGTACCGTCACCTTCCACAAGGTAGTGCCCATATTAACGCCCAAGTTGGACGTACTCGTCACCGGTCGAGTGTATTCGATGCTGTCAAGACTACCTCCTAACCACTCTGGCAAGTCACTCTGTTCTGGATGTTTTGCGATACCTAGAAGCGGACGACGGCCCCCGAGCGCACCACCGTCAGGACGAGTCATAAGAAGACCCATGAATTGATTGGTGGAGGAGACGGATGACGACGAAAATATGTTGGAGGAAAATGTAGCTCCATCTGGCGCGTTGGAGTCCGTAGCCGGTATGAGACTTGTGATACGGGAATTGGAGGGTGGGGAGAGGCCAAGCACTCCTGAAAAGCGGGATCCGAGGGGTTCACTGACCACGACAGTGGCAGCGGCTATGCGGAATTTGGTCGAGAAATTTGAGGATGGACAACAGCAACTCACCTAACGCCTGCGAGCCTATAGTGAACTGGTCGTTGATATCAATCTCATCCCATACAACGGTACCAGTAACGTTGCCAATCAGATAATCGATGTCGAATAATGCGCCTGTCTTGATGACGGAGGTACTTTGGCTTGAGTCGTAGAGGGGACATGAATTTGAGCACGATGCGCAATCGGTAGACGCTAACCACTATATGAAACCAAAGCGATGAGCTTAATACTTTGGAAATAAGATCATGGACGCACCAGATCGGCTGAGCCTGTGTCTACTTGGACGCTCAGATTTTGTTTCGATGATCCAACTAGGAGAGGCAATGTGTAAGACCTGTACAGGATGATGTTTTAAGTCAAAAACATGTGGTGACAAACGGAACACAGACGCGTCAAAAGCACTGGAACCGACGTAGTTCAGAGGGATGAGGACACCATCATCGTCGCGCGGTTCTTGCTTCTGCTTTCCTTTCCATAGCGGCATTTGTCGAGGAAGTGTTAAGGAGGGGGACCTAGGCACCGCATGAGATGACCACAAGACATGAAACATGTATTGCCGACTATTTACTATATTCGGTGCCGAACTGAATTGAGAAATATCAATGCGGGGAAGAATAGCCGCATACTGCAGCTTAAAATTAACGTGTTGATTGCAGGTTGAAAGTTGAACCCTTTCCAGATACATGATAATTGTGATCCCACCAGGATAAACATATTTTCCATGCTTAGGAATTTTACGAAAAGCCCACAGTCCACAGAGAATATAGGAGAAATCGTGGGATCCAGCATTCCCGGTGGACCTCGGAAACCTCCATAACTTGGCGTTGACCTCATAGATGTTTACCAGTCAACACGTGCAGATACTGGTCAGAGAATTCTGTCACCATTTGCATCTTCCCATCTCGCGGAATGGTACAATGAAATTACGGTATCGGATAGTGCCCGGAGCTTAGCCCTAACCATGTTCCAGAATGTGGCAGGCACTCAACACCCAGGCGTTGATGATGGTGACGAGACCACAGCCGAATGTGACCAAAAGATGCGACAAATTTCAAGATCAGTATAAGCAGGACAAGAGCGCCAAGACATCAAGAATCCAAATGGAAAGCAAGATAACGAGAGAGCTACTTATAGGTATGTGATCGTCAAAGGAAGAACCTCTAACGGAACACACCGCACCCCACTACAGGTCCGTAGTCTCATCCACATTCAATATCAAGGTTGCGTAGAAAAGAATCATCTCCACAAAGCTGTCCGCGCTAATCGCTACGTACAGATTCGTCAGTTACCTATCCACAAACACGCATAAACGATGCCTACATTCATTGACCGTATGGGCTCCACCACCGAGAGAGTTAGTTCCGTTACCGGAATTCTGGTGCTTGTACCGGAAAATGTGCGGTGTCAGATTCCAATAATACTTCGTATCGGTGTTTCCTGTCGGCATGCCAGGCCCAACGACAATGTTGTCACCCTCCAAAGAGCGATACGCATTGTAGGTTGCCTTAATTGTCCCCGACAGCAGTTTGTATGGAACAGCTTCGTTTCCTGTAGTGGGGGTCAAAGGGGCAATGTCAAGATGAAGGGGTGAGCTGAGGGTCAAGTGTCCTTTGGTCGGTACTCCACTTGGGATAATGTCTTTCCCAAAGGCAGTATAAGTCAAGTTGAATTGTTCTGCCAACGATACCAGGAGATTGGTATCATGTTCAACAGTCTCAGAGGCGGAGCTAAGTAAAAGGTAAAACAAGTGTAATTGGACGGTCAGCAAGAAACTCGCCTTTGAGTCGATATACGGTGGTTGATAATGGCCCACGCTTGCTCAGGAAGTGCATTCGACTTAACTCCCCCGTGGATAATGTCGATCGCTTGGGTAGTTCCCACCAGACTCTTATACAAAGGATCTTGAAATAAGACATCCTCAACGTTGATGAGAGCCTCATCAGAATCAGCGGATCGCTTGATGTCGTTCCGTAGCTTATCAGGAATGTCCTTGCTATACTCCGCAAAGCATTGGAAGAGCTCATATGTCGGCGTTCCTCTTTGCTATACGCGTAACATTAATTATCAGACAACAAAAGAACGTGTAAGGAACGTACAAGATGAACCTCGTAAGGGTTATCTTCAAATTCGACAAGCAGCCTTGAAAGAATACCGATGCTCGTGTGGTCAGGCTTTGATCATCATATTAGTACGGCACACACCAGAACTACGTCAGAACAGGAAAAGCTCACCGGAACACTGCTGTGCCCACCAGGTGTGGCGACGTCGACCCGTACATTCATGCTGCCCTTCTCAGCGACTCCCGGAGTGGCAAAGACGGTTCCGTACTCTTGGCCAAATCCACCACCTTCGTCGACTAATAAGGCTAATGAATCCTCGCCATAGATCTCCAGAATCTTAGGCGCAAGGTGGCCTGCTCCCTAAGAACACGACAGGTAGGCAAACTGCCAGAAGATAAGAAGGGTTTTGTCACCTGGAGTCCGCCAACTTCCTCATCAAAACCAAATGCCAGAATGATAGTCCTCGTTGATTTGAAATCGTTTTCTAAGAGTATTTCAAGTGACGATCTAAAGCAAAGCGTTAGATGTAGTTATCAATGAACGAAATAGGCAGACAGGATGCCGATCAAGCCACTTTTATCATCGGAAGAGCCGCGTCCCCAGATACGATCACCATCAAAGTATCCAGAGAAGGGCGGATGCGCCCACTCATGAACAGTGTTAGGATCAACGGGAACGACATCTGGACGCTTTCAGATAAAAATGTGATAAAATATACAAACATGCGCACCCTGGTGGGCCAATAGAAGAAGAGGTTTTAATGACGCTTCACTTCCCTTCCAGGTGTATAGCAGACCATACGTATTGACTTTCTCGAGAACAAACGTCGCGTGTCTGTTTGATCGCTGATGGTATTACAGGGATGACAGCGTCGTTGATATGAACTCACACTAGGGGGAAAGCCTCGGCAAGGTACTCATGGAATCTACCGTGTATTTCCCATCGGGAATCCTCGCCGACGGGACCCATATCGTCGAATGTTTCCCCACTTGGATTCAAGTCAAAATCAACTCACTAGATATAAGCATGTGCTTACGGAATCTGAACAGCACTACCGAGCAACGATGCTGCCTTCAACTTGAATTCCTGGGTAGCAATTGTCTGAGTCGCTGTTTCCCAGATGTCTACATTCTTTTCGGGAACCAAAACATCAGCTTGTGGGCATCCAGGTGAAGCCAGCAACGAGACATCATTCCGACCACGAATGCGTGTGCCGTAGCATCGGAAAAGAGAGAGGGAGGCCCATACAATGAACAGAAAGGCAACTCCGAAAAACTTGAGTTGAAATTGGGACCGCCTGGGCTTCAACCCGTTGGTTGATGGCAGAGTATACTCTGGCAGCTTTGCCTGCATGATGGAATCTGGATGAACGATGTGAGTCCGACAAATGAAGATAAGAATCCAAGACGTTGATAAGGCGCAATGCGCGTGGTTGATGATATTCTTTGATATTGCACTGATATTGCGCCAATGTTCGCAGGTTCGGGATTAAAGGGGAAACGGAACGAGAATGGGAATGTGCATGTAGGGCGCTTATCCCCACCAATCACTGATCCTCAGCCTATTCTCTCTTCGTGATTATGACGGGAGTCGCATCGTGCAGTTATGATCCAAAGGCTACGCCAAACAAGAACACCTACCAATGAAATGACGTCCAATTGACATGTATCCGGATTTCGTCATGATCCCTCTTACCCCAGAACGCGACCGGTAATTCTACGTTTCAATAGCCGAGTAAAAGTTATCGGGTTCACCTTGTTGCTTCTGACAGCGATCTGCAGTAAGGGTACGTCCTTAGGTCTCTCTTTTCCCATACATACCTTACCCAGAATCATCCAAGATGATCCGCTATCGAGGAATCTTGAAACACTCCCTCTCAGCTGGCCGTTTGCTACGAAGTCGAGGAATTCACGCGACATTGGCGCGTCGAAATGAAGCCACTGAAGAGCTTTACGATCCGAAAGCCGTGGAACGGGTTGAGGACGAAACGGATGTTTGTATAGTTGGCGCAGGACCCGCCGGTCTCAGTGCTGCTATTCGTATCAAGCAATTGGAACGCGAAAAAGGAAAGGAGGTCCGTGTTGTAGTATTGGAAAAAGGCGGAGAAGTAGGCAAGTTTTCCGTCAATATCTGAGACCATTACAATCTAAACTATGAGTAGGCTCGCATATCCTCTCTGGGTGTGTACTTGAACCGCGGGCACTCTACGAACTGCTTGGTGATCCTTCTACCTACGCGGCGACCTACGGATCAGATGCACCACTGGGCCAAGCGGCTACCTCAAGCAAAATGTTGTATCTTACAGAAAAGTTGGCTCTGCCGGTACCACACCCCCCTCAGATGGGAAACAATGGTGTGTGTTTTGAGGTCGTCAAGTTATTTGCGTTGCTGAAATTTACCTAGGAAATTATATAATATCTCTCTCGGCATTTACGCGCTGGCTGGCGACTGTCGCGGAACAACATTATGGCGTTGAAATCTATCCCGGATTTTCGGGCGCGGGTTTGTTATTCAGCGAGGACGCAAAGGCGGAGGATCCGTGGAATGGGTGGGACGGGAAGTGGGGCAAAGAGGTCACTCGCATATCGCCCAAATGTAAGTTGAAACCTCCTTTGTTGCCAGCCTCAGCCCGCTAAAGCGCATATAGCCAGCTCAACATCATCGGGAAAGATGAAAAGCGTGCAGGGTGTTATTACCAACGACGTCGGTATTTCACGCACCGGCCACCTCAAGTCGAATTTTGAACCTGGAATGGTCTTCCGTTCAAAGGTGACGCTACTCGCTGAGGGAGCTCATGGAAGTCTGAGTAAACAAGTATTGGGGAAGTATAACTTGCGGAAGGAGAGTGAGCCGCAAACTTATGGCTTTGGCGTTAAGGAGGTATGGCGTGTTGCTGCAGAAGACGGAAGTCAAAACAACGGGCGATACAAACCAGGGGAAGTGGTTCACACACTTGGTTGGCCCATTGACCCGCAGACATATGGCGGTGGTTGGGTGTACCACATGGATGGCGGACTAGTAAGCTTGGGACTGGTCGTTGGGGCGGATTGGAAAAATCCGTATAGGGAACCGTATCGAGATTTCCAGATGATGAAGCACCACCCTTATTTTAGGAAGCTTTTGACGGCGTCCGACTCATCGTTCACACCAACCCGTATCGCTTACGGAGCTCGCGTGTTGACAGAAGGAGGTCTGCAATCTATCCCCCTTCTTCATTTCCCCGGTGGTGCACTCATTGGTTGCTCCGCTGGGTTCGTCAACATCGCCAAGATCAAGGGCGTCCATAATGCTATGAAGACAGGGATGCTGGGCGGCGAGGGTGCATTCAATGCGCTTGGTATGTTCTGTTTCATATCTGCAGTCCAGAAGTGTAACCATTGTTTCAGAAAAAGCGGACGAAGATACACCTACCGACCTCTCATCGTATTCGCGCGCCTTTACCAATTCGTGGGTGTATGACGACTTAAATGAGGTTAGAAATATACGGCCCTCGTTTGCGACAAGCTTGGGAATGTGGGGCGGAGTGGCTTACTCGGGTATAGATACGTTGCTATTGAAGGGCCGTACCCCTTGGACTTTCCGGCACACGAAGGAGGAGACACGAAGGGAATACATTGTAAGCAATATTAATGTCTCTAATCAACGAACGGATCTAGGGCCTGATAAGTATTACGTTCCTAGAACGCCACGCCATCATTCGACTCTGCGCATACGGAACCTGCATCCAAACATAAACCGATCAAATATCCTCCCTTTGAACCGCCGTTATCGACTGATTTGATGACAAGTGTAATGTTGACTGCAACGGACCACGTTGAGGACCAGGTACCGCATCTGAGGGTCACTACTATGAAGGATTATATCAAAGATTGGTACGGCGAAGGAGAGGAAGGAGAACTGGACGCTCAAGCCAGGCGAAGGAAGCACGTGGAAGTTAATGTCGGTGAATATGCTGGCCTACTCGGCCGTGCCTGCCCCGCTGGAGTTTATGAATATGTCGATGATGAGGTAGGTTTGAGAGATTTTATCGGTGGCGAACGAAGTCTGATTGTTGCTATGCTTAGGCCTTTAAAACGTCGGAGGACGGAGAGGGTGCTAAAGGCAAGAAACTGGTAATCAATGCTCAGGTAGGTTGTACCACGTTCCGGTGCAGCGCTATATCTGATATGCCGATGTAGAATTGTATTCATTGTAAGCTTTGCGACGTGAAGGTGCCTTCTCAGGACATTACATGGACAGTCCCCGAAGGTGGAGGAGGTCCGAAATACAGTGAGTCTCCTGAATTAATTGCATATCTGGGTTAGACTGACGCCTATCTTCAAGCTGTTACATAAAAGAATGTTCTTCGACTTGATAATATAAGACATGGACAACTCTTGCGTTATGGTTAGAATGGAGTTCAGACAGAGCGGAAAAGATCCATTAACACAAATGTAACAAACTTGTACGACATACAACACGAGGAGATGGTCTATACATACTCATACACTCATCTTCATGGGAATAGCTGGATGCGGATTGTACCCCTCGACCACAAAATCGCTATAAACGAATTCTTCAATGTCGGCGATATCATCCCTGGCCCATTTCAGTTTCGGGAACACCCTCGGTTCCCTCTTTAGTTGCTCTTCGAGTGCGTCCACATGGTCACGATAGACATGTGCATCTCCGAGTTGAATAATTAACTCCTGGGCATCGGTCCCGGTCACACGCGCAATCATATGCGTAAGCAACGCATACGAGGCAATGTTGAAAGGAATGCCTAACCCAAGGTCAGCAGAGCGCTGGTACATCAGACAAGACAATTTTGGCTTCTGATGTGGAGCGTCTGCGGGTGGGAGATGAACATAGAACTGGCAAAGAAGATGACACGGCGGTAAAGCCATTAAGGGAATATCTAAGGATATTACTTTTAGCGCACCCCAGATCAATGCATGGAGCCACGTACCTTTAGGATTCCAAGCACTTAGAATAATACGCCTGTCGGTGGGGTTCTCGATGATTTTACGGATACACTCCTTAAGCTGATCCACTCCCTCTGACGCGTAGTCCTTATCACAGTCAACGTATTCCGCGCCAAAATGCCTCCATTGAAAGCCATACACAGGGCCAAGGTCCCCTTCCCTGCGATGACCTAACCCTCGACCCTCTAAGAATGTTTTTGACCCATTCCCATCCCAGATTTTGATGCCCTTTTTGGATAGCAGCATCGAATCTGTGGATCCGTGGATAAACCAGAGTAACTCTTCGACAATTCCACGTAGAAACGTGCGTTTCGTCGTCAATAAAGGCAGGGTGGAGTCGGCAAGAGAAAAGCGCAAAGAAGGTGGCGCGAAAATGGATATTGTGCCAGTTCCTGTCCGATCTATCCGCGAGTCCCCAGTGTCAAGGACGCGTCTGATCAGATTTAGGTACTGATATTCGTCGTGTTCGGGGGTATCTTTGCCGTTTATAGAGGACATAATGGTGGTTGAGGATCAACCTCTTCAAGTCGCGTCGTGTCACAACTGTGACCCATCTTCTCGGCATCCTCGGCATTTTCTCGGTTTCTTAACCTGCTTCGACGGCCATCACCACGTTAAGCGCAATGAGAAAAAGGAACCGATACGACGCCCATAGAACTTCCCAATAATGATTAAGAATAGCATATAAAGTGCGAAATAAGAGTCAAAAACGGTATGTAAGATAACAGAATGCGTAGATAACAATGTTGCGGAGGATGAAAAAATATGCGACAAAGATTGCTGATGGGTATGAATAATGATGCTGTCCAAGTTCCATTGCGTTCCATAATTGCAAGTGCGAGTGATGAGAAAAAGAAAATAAACAAAACATATAGGGAAAAATATTATCATCTCAACGTCGGATAGGGTAATGATATCCGTCGGATCCCCCGCTTCCAGAAAGCATCACCACAAACCAGCCAAACATCGACATTAAGAACCTCACCATCCACGCTGGGTCTGCCCCAACGCCCAAACCAGGACGGAGCTGCATCGCCAGCGCGATATCGATGGGTGAGCGTGTCACACGAGGTCGGGAAGGAGTAGGTCTTATTTCTACTTCCTTCGGTGCAGAGACAGCTATCGCCGTCTCCTTGGACTCTGGCTCAGGGAATGCACCTGGAAGACCCGACGACAAGGTCATAGAAGATGCAGAAGATGAAGGCGGAACCAGGGAAGAATCGTTTGTCTTCTCGACTTCGCTCTTGACCTTCTCTTGCATCGCGCCTAGCTTCTCAGTGTACGAGGGAAGGCCATCTGCTGATGTGCTGGCACTGAGACCTAGTGGAGGCGCATCGGACGCGCGCAGTGACCAAGCTGGTCGAGCAGGGACTTTGCGTACTGGAGACATCGGCAGAGACGGAGGTGTGGGTGTTTGATGCACCAGGAGCGAGGAATCTCGTTCTGTGGGCGAGATGGGTAGCGGAATGAGCTCCGGATCGGGGAATTCCTCCGTAGGGGGAGCATGCTGGTCTAAAACCAGCTGCAAAGGCGTGAGCTCCGGAATGGATACATCAGCAGTAATATCCTCCAAATTCAAGAGCTCCGGGCTTCGCTGTGCGACACCGACTGAGTCGACAGGAGAGGCTGAAGAAGAATCAAGTACGGCAACAGGCGAAAGTGCAGGAGCATCCATCGCCGGCTGAGAACTGAGTTCAGCGACAATAGAAGGATCCCCCTCGGACGATTCAGAAGGTGGGATGTCTAGCATTAACTGCGTTTCAGGAGATGGACATTCTGCCTCATGAGGCAAGGAAAGAATAATCGTATCAGTCGCCAGTGATTCTGATCGCTGGGGTTCTGCTAAAACCTCGAAAGGGTGACGGAATGAATCCTTGTTGTCGTCGGAATTATCATAAATGTCATAATTGTCGTGTTCTTGTTCGTTGATATCAATCGTCGCTGGTGGTCCTACTAAGACCGGGGGTGTAGTCTGATTAGAATTCAACGCATCGTCTAAATCGCTGAATGGGTCAGAGTTATCAGAAATGTCCTGCAGTTCTACGGTTTCTGATGCTTCAGAAGATTCCGCATCCAAAGAGGAGTGCACGACAAGCGCCCCTTCATCGAGAACAGCGGCTGCCCATAAATTCTCAGCAGCCGAAGAGATGAGCGCATCTTCGACTGACTCCCGTAGCAATGTTGTAGCAGTCTCCGCAGCACCCCCGTCCGGTTTCGCGTCCTCATCGGCTGATATGACTTTTTCATCAGCGTGAAGAGGCGAAGAAATTACTGTGATGTCCTGAACCGAATATTCATCGTGAACATTTGTGGAGTTTTGAGCCGGACTAGGAAGGAGTAGTTTTTGCTCGGCAACCTCGTAAGCAGTTTCTTGTGTTACGGCGGACGTTCTCGTAATTCCCATGAACTCGTCATCAACAGAGGGCAAGGAAACAACCTCAAATCCCCACCCCTCCTCGTCCCACTGACTAAACTCCATCAAGGGCTTTTCCTCGTGAGAAGAGTGGGGCAGAAATGTGCCTTCATCCCGCGTTTTTTCAATCTCATGGGCATCATCAACCGCCTCCGTTGCCACAGTCAGATCCAAGGCGCTGCCACCCTTTGGCGAAAAGTCAATCAGAGGGTGATCTGAGTCACTATGAACGAGGGTTATGTCTTGCTCAAAGGAGTAGGAATCAGATAGTGACAGGGAAGTCGCTTTAGTGCCAACAGCTGGCTCTGGGACTGCTACCGAAATGAGCTGTACAGGAGCCGCCAGAACTTGTGGTTCCATCACCATAGGCTTTAATGGTGCATCGGCAATGTCAACACTCCGATTCGACAGTGTCTGTCGAAGACCAAAGAGGGTATCCGACGACACGTTGACGTCTGCTGTCCAAAGGCTGGTACTCCCGTGCAAGGCGTCATTCACGAAAGGTTTCCGAGTGTGAATGCCATCCCTAGTGCTCCAATCCTGTATTGGAGACAAGTCTACTAGAAGTTCATTCGGCGTATTTGGAGTGGATTTGGAGCGTGGTTCTGAGGCAAACGGCCGCAACTGTATTGGAGCATGAAGACCAATAGATCCTGCCTTCGGCAGACTAAGACTTTGACTCCGACCAGACTTTTTCAATCGCGTCCCGACAGCCCCGAAAGTGTCTATTGACTTGTGCGCTTCGATACGTCTCCCCAACCTGGTAGGCGGTAAAACTATGGGAGGCACATTTGGGGGCTGTACGACGTAATCCCTGAACTCTGGAAGTACCGATGCAGTGGTTGTAGGGAGTAATTCAACTCCATCAAGTCCTAATGAGCCCTGGCGTCTCCGTCTTCGGGAGAACCATCGCTGTAACCGCGATGCGACAAATGCGATGAAAAGGACTACGGTGCTATAGGAGAGCAGTGGCGCGAAGGAGGCAAACATGGGAACCTGGCGCGCGGGTGAGACGGCCATTGTGACATCATATGACGAGTTCAGAATAACTGTTCGTGGGAGAATTGATAACGTTGAGAGACGAGGCGGCTGAGGTGTATCTTCGTTTCTGATTGTCCAGTTTGAATCATCAAAATGGAAAGGGAGACAACTAGACATACCCTTCGGATGCGAGAAGGTGGGTGTTGATTCTAATTATTCCGGGTGAGTCTTTGCACCTCTCAAACTGAATGAAGAACGTACGAATGTTCAGTATGAACCTGTGAAGAATCGTCCACAACCGAAGTAATGCCTTCGCAGCTTGCACGTGAACGTCAGATAACGGGACCGTGACGACTACGATGACTGACAAACCTCGGCATTTCAGATGAACAGAAGGCTGCGTTCTGCATCAAACGATCAGATCTAAAACCAATTCTGAATGAAAAATATCAGGGCACAGCTCTTGAACGTACCGTTCGGACGCGACGACCGGCGGTTTTTGAGATTTTGGTCTAATTGCAGGTAAGATCTGAAGGTTCGAAAGTGTGATAGAAACGTACAGATCTCTAGAATGAAGCCGCGAAGAGTCATACAAGCCCAAAGGACCTTCCACATAGCTTACGTGACGGGCATCAAACGTGATGCACAATGATCTACAGCAAATAACACACCTTGGCGTCTCGGACGCGGGGAAGACCATGCTAGGCATCAGAGCATGTGACCTTATTCAACAATTAAAGAAAGAAGTAACCAAGACACGCTCTCAACACGTACCGTTCGGATGCGAAGACAACGAGGTCCTGACTTTTTGGTCTAATTGGCCACAAGCGCTTGAGCTCGAAAGCTTCGAGGACTGAATAGGCAACGTACAAATCTTCACAGGAATATCCGAGGCCTTGGCTCACACCGGGAGTACAAACCCCATTCCTTACGTGACGGTCAGCGCACGAGAATGCGATGAGCATGGCCAATAAGCGGACCTGTGCGACTCGAGGGCGGCGTTGACCTTTATCGGACCTTGGAATCTGAGCCAGGAGATGATTGGTAGGAATTTTTGGAAGGGCGAACTGGCACATACCCAGCCTGATACCGAACAGGTCTCGTGGTCGCAAATTCGACCAAAAGGGAGAGCCAAAAGACGGCAAAAAAGAGAGACGACACAATCATCCCACCAGCTTGTAATGGTGAGTATGAAGGCGAAAGGAAAGAAGTAAATGAATACGCACCACGCTGCACATAACTTGTCCACCTCGTTGGCACCACGAGGAAATAATCCACGCACGTGACGGCTTTCTGACACAACTCAGGCCATCGGCTTGGAAAGGAAACAGAACCAAAGAAAGTTACATAAACGTCCACTCGATTTGCATCGATCACTGATGCCCGCTTCTCTTGGACCTGACCAGTGACCACGATGCATAGTCATCACTCCCATTCGGGTCAATTCTGCAAGCACGCGTCCGGGAACCTTGAGGATGTCGTTCTTGAAGCTATACATCAAGGCTTCGACGTGTACGGCCTTACTGAGCACGTTCCCAGATACCGAATCCAAGATCTCTATCCTGAAGAGGCAAGTACTAAGTGCCAGGTACAGGCTTCGATCAAGTATCTCACTGCTCATTTTAGGAAGGAATGTCTTTGCCTGATCTCGAAATCCAATTTAACGCGTTTCTTGATGAAGCGCACAGATTGAAGTCCTTATACGCAGACAAGATCAATCTGCTAATCGGATTAGAGACGGAATACATCACTTTACTGGATATTGACAACCTCCAGCAATGTCTTCGAACACATGGGGAGCGTATCGAATACATCGTCGGTTCCATACACCATGTCAACGGCTTACCCATAGATTTCGATTTCGACACCTTCCAAAAGGCTTTACGCAGCTTATCATGTGAAACCGAGAAAGAAACACAGGAGCATTTCCTTTGCCGCTATTTCGAGGCCCAGTACGATGTTCTTCAGCATGTGAAGCCTGAGGTTGTGGGACATTTCGATCTATGCCGTCTATTTACTCCTTCATTGCGTCTGGACGATTATCCAGCGGCTCGGAAGCTCGCAGAAAGGAATATTGCGTATGCCGTTGGATACGGCGCCTTGTTCGAGGTCAACGCAGCCGCTTTCAGGAAAAAATGGGACACGGCTTACCCCGCGGGAGATGTCGTCGAGGTGTGTACACAAGTGTCTATTTTCGTTTGTCAAGGGGTATGTTTTAATTGCTTCCATATCGGTTTTGGTGCGGTCCTCTACCCTAGATCATCCTCAAACATGGCGGACGGTTCACATTGTCAGACGATAGTCACGGACCCCACGCTGTTGGGTTGAATTATGACAGAGTGGCCAAGTATCTTCGAAGCGTCAACGTCGCGGAGCTGTGGTATTTACAGAGCTCAATGAATGTCAACGCCGCTGGACGCAAGACTCAGTCCGTTAGGCTCGAGGGTGACTGGTGGGACCACACATTCTGGCATGGGCGATTGCACTCAAGAGATTTTGGCGAATGAGATGTGGCGTATTGTATGCACCCGAGGTAATTTGTGGGTCTTGCGTGCTTTCGTACTTTTAATCGTATCTATCTATATTGCCATTATCATCCACTTGGCCTATTCTTGACAGTGATCACGGAATTAATCAAGATTTCGCCCTCCATGCTTCATTTAAAATTGGGCACCTCGCTAGGTTACCGGTATTGGAATACGCGGCGGCGGCAAACTCGCAAGAACGATCAGGACTTTCTTGGGATACGCGCCTTGCGCGTACTATATGGAATGCGACGTAGTGCGCCATATGTCAATATTTCCGGATCCTTAGCGACGGCTTATTAGCTTCCGACCCTTGTCCCTGGACTTGAAAGGTACCTCGCGGGCCCCTCCACGAGAAGTTCTCGTAATGTAAGCATTTGTTTTGACGTCCGCCCTAATTCCAAAATCGCATCACGGACCAAGCATTCTTAGTCTATTCTTGGCAGCAATTATATTCGGGCCACTTAAATCTCTATTGTCGCTATGTTGTTTGCCGCGTAAGCACTGTTTAATCTCATCCCGTCTTTCTAAAATCAATGCTGCACACCATACATCTTTGATCCAGATCGTGCTTTAATTATACTTCTTCCCGAACAGAGCTGAGTGGTTGAAGCTCTGCCTAATCCCTTGTGGCCTAAATAATGTTTCCTTCCATCCCGGCCATTACGCATTGCAACACTTTCCTTTTTGTAATTTAATTCAGTTAAGACAGGACGCATGAAGCAGCGGTTATTAAATAGAGGAGGTTTTACAGCGAGGGTATCATCAAATCCTTCAGACCTCACGCCGAGTCCACAAACAGTTCACCGCCTATTTTCTACAAACGTACGTGACCCTACTGAGCTTATAAGGAGCAGTAGATCACAAACTGAAATACCCTGCAGCCCCCCCATTCCATCATGTGCTATCGCAAAATTGATTCGACAAGATACTCTTGTGGACACGACACCCCTCATGGCGATCAACGGGTATGTTGGGCTTTTACCATCACCGTCATAATATCAGAGCCTAGTCTATGACGTCCGCAGATCGATTGCAATTCCGCTAGGTGCAGATACAGCTCGGCCCATCTGGCCAATTGTCACGACTGTAAGAGTACTTGCAAGCAATGGTTGGTAGCCCATTACTTTATCCCACCTTCAGGCTCGCTAATGACTACTTGGACAGGCTGCGGCCCTCACAGAATGTGGTCACAAAGACGGCTCATTCACTTTGTTACCATTGCTCACTGCCCCCTGCGTAGTGGTATCGAGCCGACCAATACTTTGTATTTTGAAGGACACGCTGGGCGCTCATGTTTTCGTTTTGCTTAGAAAGAGGTTATTAATAGATTCGTATCTAATCTTCGCACGTGGCTATCTACTCTTCGCGTACCTTGTATAAAGGGGGCAATAATTCGCAATTTATCCTGTCAACTCTCTTTTAGCAGCCATGAACATCAGTGCAGATCTTTCGTTGTCTCAAAAAGCCCAATATCTGCGAACTCTCCCTGCCGTTCGCGAACGTTGTGCGCGCGTGTTCGATCTCGCAAAGCAAGGGAAGCTTCAATACTTTGATTATCATGCGGACAAAGAGGGAGTTATCACGGAGTTTTGCAGCGGGATCATTGCGGTGAGTCGAGAACAGAGACAGTATTCACACTCATTTAAACGGTCGTTTCCAGCGTGATTTCGGAACGAATTACGATAAGGTTCGCACCTTTTATCAACGAAGTTAAACGACTAATTCCCTGTAGGTGCCCCCTCATGGACGAATTAGCCATTGCAATATCGGACGAGATCGAATCACACCTTTGCTCCAGCAATGGACTACTTCAGTCGGTACTAAAGAGGCATGCAAGCGTCTCGTCGACCTTTTGGTGACCTCTACTCTTCTTGATGCCGGCGCAGGCAAAGACTGGGCCTACACGGAGCAATCCACGGGAGAACGATATTCGCGATCTGAAGGCTTGGCCGTTTGCTGCTTACACATGTTCACGGAGGGGTATTTCTCAAGCAATCTAGAGCAGCCGCACCAAGTCGATGGTACAGTACTCCGTCGCATCTAGACCATCATATCCCATGCTGAAACTAATTCATAGCGGGGGCTTTGTTCAAGGTCACCGTCGACTCAATGGCGAAGCATATGCAGGTCGATGCGACCAATCCCCTTGTCGGTCTCGACGGCCGTACTTCCCTGCTTATCAATTTATCCAAAGCTCTTAACACCAGTCCTAATTTTTTCGGGCCCGACGGACGGCCGGGGAACATGCTCGGTAAACCCTATAACCTTGAAACTGTAACCTTTTTCCGAGCTTGTTTTGTTTTACAGATTTCTTGGAATCTGAATCAATTGTCGAAGGATCTATTCGAAAAGTTCCACTTGCCGCGCTTTGGCAAGTTCTGATCGACGGACTCAATCCCGTCTGGCCTGCGTCGCGTACAACCCTTGCCGGTGTTTCTTTAGGTGACGTCTGGCCTTGCCCTGCCCTTAAACCTACTGCGTCTGCAGAAGCAGATGATCTAGTTCCCTTCCACAAACTCACACAATGGATGACGTATTCCGTCATTGAGGCAATTGAAACGGTGATGAAGTGGGACATTGTCGGCAAGGAGGACATGACGGGATTGCCTGAATATCGCAATGGTATAACACACCTTGTGCCTCGTACTTGTCGGACTCACACGAATATGCAGGCGGCCTCTTGATCGATCTGGGTGTCGTTACACTTAAGCCAGGTGTCCTGCCAACGGACCCGGTCTCTCTATTGCCCAAAGCCGCAGCTTCGCATCCGGCGGTGGTGGAATGGCGCGCTCTCACTGTTATTATCCTGTAGGTAACCTGGCATTCCAACTTCTCCGTTCTCATATTCTTCGCTAGGGATAGAATTGCCGATAACATTCGTGTCAAGTTGGGTCTCACGCCTGATCAACTTAATCTGGCCCAGGTCCTGGAGGGTGCGACTTGGAAGGGTGGGCGAGAGATAGCGAAACAAAAGCGTCCCGAAACCGGAGGTCCACCACTTGACATCGAGAGTGACGGGACAGTGTTTTGAGACGGCATTGAAGACCTAACTTGAAGAAATAACAATGATTACCTTACAGAGTGTGTTATTTACTTGTAGTGCCCAGAAATAAAATAAGTTACACGATATCTCTGCAGATAGCTCTCTTGAAACACGGAGGAACTCTTTTGGAAGATATCAACGGTGTCTGAGTTCCTTTGCAAGTCGCCAACTCAACACAAAGGCAATCAGTGCTGCTATGCCGCCGATCCTGATAGGGAGTTCGCTTACTGATATGGCACAATGATTTCCAGGGAACACTCACCGGAACACATACACCACCGAATTTGACCCTTCAGCTGCGTTCGTGATACTGGCAGCCTCGGCTCCGTTCTTTGCGGGGCTGGCGTCACCAGCTACTCTAGTATCTTTATCGAAGACAGCGAAAATAATGGACGAGACGCCCGTTACAAGGAACTGCGGAATCACAACAAATATGTTATGAATGCCCTGAAAATTTTTTTATATCAGGTTCACGGGCAGGAGATAAAACACAAAGGACCTACCAGGATGATGCCCGCTTTTGCGCTTAGGTCCTCGGTAGTTGCCCCTTCTCCTGTTTCTCCAATCTCAAGATCCGGTCGTCGCCGTCCGACTAACACGGCATCCTCACCCTCTTCTTCGTCCTCTTCATCCAAGTCAGCACGATTGCCAGAGATATCCACCCTACTGACTCCAGCATCAGGATTGCGCATCAGCCTTGCTCTTGATGATTCTCGATCTTTGCGGTCCGCTTCGGCATCAGAGTCGGAATCTTGTTCTGGATCCTCAAACACGACCTCTTCCACCCCTGCATCGAAAGACCTCGTGTCCGTGAGCATTATAGCACCCGCGTCACCGGCACCAGATGTTGGTTCCGTCAATATAGCTTCACCTAACTACACGATGTAAGTAGAAGACCATGACAGAGTTGCCCGACTCCACAGAACGAACCAATGCAAATGGGGCCCATTGAACGATGGCCCATGAGAACCCCGTCACGGTTATCAGAAAGGTTGCGCCCTTGACTGAGGATATAAAGCTTTACCCCATGATTATTAACTCCGCCTGACACATGAATGCAGAAACTCACAAAGTTCCCAACATGCATCCAGCAAACACCGCGTGACTTACAGCCCACAGGCTCGCAAGATGCACCTTGATCGTGTCGGGAATACTCCAGGACGCCGACAACCTCCCTGCCGCAGTATGATTTGGCGTATACCCATCCGTTTCATTCAGCGCCCGAGGGTTATCGTATCCGGCATTAAGATGACGGGCAGGTTTGCGACGCGTTTTGACGACAAAAAAAGGGAGAAGAACATTCACTGAGAGAGCTAATATTGAGGAAAAGAAAAGAGCTCGAGACCCTAGACGCGTAGACTCTGCCTCCAGCGTATCTGCGTTGTCCTGCTCTGAAATGACTGTAGAGTTGATTAAACCCAAAGTTGAAGGGCCGATAGACTCCGTGAGGAGTAGAGAAGTATAATATTCCCGTTTGTGAAGGTCACCGATGTAGAGTGTGGTATAGAAGAGCAGCGGAAACCAAGAAATCCAGGTGCTAGGGACGAAAATGTCAGCGCGACGGCAATAAAAAGACCATAAACAATCACAAGAATTGTATTATGCACTAAGTAACGGCGATGCTCCGTTAGTGTGAATGGTAGGGGCGAAATATTTGACTAACGATTTGTTTAATTACTCTAGGCAACGTCCGAATATTGGTAAATATTATCTTGAATTGCTGGATGAATGTTCGGATGAGCGGGCTGAAGGGTCGGGCATCAGTATTTATGATGCAATTGCAAACGGTAGACATAGCTACCCTTTGGGACCCGGTGCTGTTGGGAGGAGAACTCTTTCCTTAACCAAAAGGGCCATCGAAGTGTGCCCGGCAAGTAGAATGAGGCAGACGATGATACTGAAAACCTCAAGTTCGGAATGACCAAGAAACGGCAGAAGGGAGGGAAGGTCCAGGTTACCACTAAATGTGGAGTATATTAATTGCCGGCAGGTGTAGGTAACATAGGCTCACAAGAAAAAGCCAATGACACTTCCTAGGCTGAACATTGCCGCCGCCCACGCATTTGCGGCTGGTTGCTGTGAGGCTGGCAAAGTGTCAACGAGAAGGGCACGGTCCACGGCCATGACTGTATGTCACTATGATGAAACCAATTCATACGGGGCAAAGATAATAATACCTGCATTGATACTGAAATCGATAAAGTATATCGAAAGAACACCTAGCCACACTACCAAAGATTGCTGTCCGCGGTAATGAGCATAGTCTTCCCCGAAGGTGCGGCGAACTCACCTTTGACGTGAACCAGGCCCCGACCTGTTTCGTCCATCCCAATAAAAGCATCGCAGAAATGCATATCAGCACGCCCCCCATCATATATGGTCGTCGTCTTCCCCACCTCGACGTGCACCCGTCAGCGAGGACACCAATTAATGGCTGCACGATCAAGCCAGACAGAGGTCCCGCTACAAAGACCATGGCCATGGCGGACTTTGAAAGACCAAGAGAGAGCAGATATGGCGACCCATAAGATTGTTCTACAGACCAGAAAAGCTGAATGCCTAGAAAGCCGATGGTGAGGATGGGTAAGTGAAGGTGTTTAGGACCGTAAATGTAGGCGTGTCCGGTGAGTCTGCCAGCATTGGCTTCATTTGTGCCAAGCGAGGTGAAGCTGCCCCCGGTCATAGCGACCTGTCCAGTCGTAGGACGTTTTGAACAGCGAAAGCGCCGTTGTCGTCTTGAGTGTCGTTGATGTCGTTGACAGAATGCAGTGGAATTTACATAAGTAATTTCTGAGCAGGAAAGGAAATTTGTGCTCACGAGTCACCTGCTTTCGTTAGCTGCATTCTAACTTCAGTTTTGTGGATGGAAAACTAGTAGAAAGCTAGCGGCATCTGTATAGTGTCCTTATTTGATTTAACACGTCAAATAGGCAGGCGAACGGGTCGCTCCCTAACAGCACCAGCGGCATCCGCTCAAGTCCAGAAGTACTACGGCACTTCTAAGTATAGGCGACAGTTGACTTCCTTCCCCTCCCAGGATCTTCCCTTCCCTCAGCTGCAAATATTTACAAGCTGTCGGAGCACCGTCTGCGATGTTCGCCTGGTAGCTATCATCGCTCAAGTCGTGGCCTCTAGACCCCACAGTTCGTTTCCAGTCACGACCCGAATCCTTTTTGATAGCCTTCCTCCGTCCATCCGTCGTCCATTACGACGCCGGATGGCTTCTCTTTGGACGCCAGAACAACATCGGCATCTCGGCCTAGTCGCCTTTCTCGAACTTGTGTACTTTTGGGGGATCTTTCTTATCCGCGTTTTCATATGGACCCGATGGCGGCGCCATCTAAGAATACAAGCATCCATCCCTCTGCCTCGTTCTTCCCTCTGCGATCTTTGCTTTACTGCCTTGATCTCTCCTGGCTGCAGCACCCTACCTTTTCTCAATCTTCACGTTCAATATGTCCGATAGTTCTTATACGACACACACGACGACCTCAGATACAGAAAAAAATGATCTCGAAAACACCGAACCGCTGGACGGGGGAATGCAGGCATGGATGACTGTTGCTGGATCGTAAGTGAGGCTCGACTTGGTCATGGCCAGTTGATTCAGTCGCGATACAGCTGGATGATCCAGTTCTGCACACTGGGGTACACGGCTTCCAGTGCCCTACGAACACCATAGATGCTAAGCTTTCTTGCAGATATATCAGCGCCTTTGGCGTTTATCAAGACTATTACACTCGCGACTTCCTTTCCCAAAAGTCACCATCTGAAATCAGGTTTCCAACGTTTCTCTACCCATGTTTCATCATACTCATGCTACGTTTCAGTTGGATAGGTAGCTTTCAGCTCTTCATGCAGTATGCGCCTGGAATACTCGTTGGCCGTGCCTTCGATTCTGGTTATTTGTATGGTCTTCTCTGCTTCGACATTCCCGGGGTTCATTCTATTCCTAGTCATTACATGATTGCTGCCGGATCTTTCATCCAAGTGGTATGTACATTCATGCTGTCTTTGACGCATCACGGCCAATACTACCAAGTCAGTTTTCTGCGTATACTGAATAAGATCATCACTAAAGCCTTCAAACAGGTATTTCTTTCCCAAGCTGTGGGAATCGGGCTTGGTCAATCTCTTCTATTTCTTCCGTCCCTCAGCATCATCGGCCACCATTTTAAAAGACGTCGAGCGTTTGCCACTGGTGTTGCCGTAACGGTTAGTAAAACGCCTTCCTTGTTAGTCATTATTGTGGTTGATGATCAGCTACGCAGGGTGCATCGTGCGGTGGTATAGTGTGGCCTGTTATGCTGAATCAACTGGGGCAGCGTACGTCATTCGCAAACGCGATCCGGGCCACGGGTGGCGTGGTGGCAGCGCTGCTCTTCTGTGCCAATTTGATGATGCGCACGACGCGGCGAGCTCGTAGTGCGCACGTAGGTGGTGACATTCACATTGTGAAAGACATCCTTACGGATGGTGCCTTTATGGTTTCTGTGATTGGGTTGGTCTCGTATCTCATTCTATTGAAGTGGCTCTGATTTTGAAAACCACACATTTAGAGCATGCTTCGTCTGTTTGGGGTTTTTCTTTCCTTGTACATCATGAACCTTCTAGCTGCTTATTTTTAAACTGACATGCCTCTCGTTCAGATTTCTATCTGCAGCTTTACTCCATTGACAAAGGAATCAATCCGAACTGGGCTTTCTATACCGTGCGTAAGCTTTACATGCGTACACCATTCATTTCTCACCGGTCGGCAAATAGCTTGCAATACTAAATGCGGGGAGTGTCCTTGGTCGCCTCCTTCCCAACTTCTTCGCGGACCATATTGGGCCATACAATATGATCATTCCTTGCATCGCCTTCACGTCCTTTCTCCTCTTCGCTCTCCTTGGCAGCGATATCAAAGATGTAGCGGGAATCGTGGTATTCGCACTGGCCTACGGATTCTTCTCCGGCTCATGTACGTGCTGCTATCAGTTATGAATCTTGCGAAATGAAATAATCTACTCCCATCTCAGACTATTCGCTTATTCCCTCTCTGATATCGTTGCTAGCCAAGAATATCAGCGAACTTGGGTCAGTATTTCCTACTCTGACGAGAAGCTCACCGCTTAACACTTTCTACAGTACGCGGATGGGCGTGGCTTTCTCATGTGTTGGTCTGTTCATGCTCTTCGGGTCGCCTATCGATGGAGCGCTTTTGCGTACTGATAACCCCGATTCATATGCTTGGAGTCGATGCCTCGCATTTTGCGGCGTAAGTTATTGATGTCTCTCTCCATTTCACGATGTTGATGGGTTTCCTAGGCAATGGTGCTTTGCGGTGCGGCCGCCATGATTCTTTCTCGTGTACTATTCGTTCACAACGGAAGACACAAAGCAGTGGGCCGTGGTCAATTGATATGATAGGAGACATGAGGAACAGAATGTAGTTCACTAGCACCTCGTGCGGGGGAACTTTATTATCTCACGAAACTAACGACATTATCATGACGAATTCAATGATATACTACTTTGCATCCCTTCCTCCACGGAGTTTACTTTGCAAAACACTGCTGACTGTGGGGTAGATTATATAAATGAACACTTTGATCCACAGCAAAAGTAGAAATATTGAGAAGTATACATACGACAATACAGAACATTGTGAACTAAAGAGGTTTTATACCCATAAAGAACGTGGTGTGAAGGAAGTAGGAACTAACAGTGAGTAACTTAGAACGAGAAACCGTGGCTATCGTGGAATTAGTTGACTTTGGCCTTCTTGGTAGAAACAGGAGTAGTCAGCGCCGCCTCATCAGCGCCTCTTTTCTTGTTAATTGTGTTCTGTAAGGAGATAGAATTCTGAGTGGTAGAGGTGGCGGTGGCAGTGGTCGAAGTAGATCGGAGTTCAGGGTGTTTTTGCAAATACGCCTGTTGTGCACCAGGAGAGACCATGACAGACGAAAAATGCATCAACTAATATTATCTGTTGAGCAGAAGAAAGGAGAATGGGGATTGGCCAAGACATACGGAACGACGATTCTTATTAATCCGGTCCTGTTCTTCTCTTGTCAGCTTCCGATGAGTAGCGCTAAAGCGAAGAACTGAGTGCATATGGTATAGCAGCTATCAGATAACGTACACGCATCCGTGCTCCTTGACCATCTTATTGAACTTCTTTCGCATGTCAGGAACCAGGTGGAATTTGACGATCTCTTCTGTAACCGGTCCCTTGCTAGTGTCGACAGATACGAGATGCTTAAGAAAAGCACTCTCTGCCTGATTAGATTGATTAGTCAATTTTACAGGTAGCCACTTTAGAAGCCAATTACATTCTCATAGTCACGAAGGACTCGCTGCGAGACGGACGCAAAGCTACGACGGTCTACAGAGTCTCCTAGGCCCCCGCTGAAGTATTCATAGCCCGAAGAACCGAAGATATCTTCGTGCAAGTAATCAAAGCCTCCGCGATACATTTCGAGCAGTGCGGACTGAACGGCGAAGAAGGATAAGAAATGACAAGATGTCTTGGTGGTAAATTATTGACGTCAACAGAGACCCCTTTAAAAGACGTGACCGCGTTATTGATGTTTGTTGTCAAACCACGCCACTTTCGCGTTGACATACAGGAGTCAACGAGTACCGAATCAAGTCCTTTGCACGATAGTCTAATAGTAAGGTATACGATATCAAACAGTGTTAATATCTAATGAAAGACCTTCAATATCACCTAGGTGGAGCGTCCCAAATCCCAGTGAGTCTTAAACGACTCAGAAGAGAAACGACGCCGGTGAAGTGAACGACGGCGTCGTGAGTGAGACGGCGTGTACACAATTGTGTCAGAGCCGTCAGCGGTACCGTCTATACCAGTACAATTCATGGAGGATTCTGCCAGCTTGGATCCCTTGATTTTCGTCAAAATTACATCTGGGCTGGAGATAGAATTAGGAACAAGAGACCGACGAGACAGGACCATTCTTACTGTGTTCCAACGGCCTCTTCCTCCTGGCCTTCCTCGTCATCCTCGTCATCTTCGTTATCGGCATCAGGTAGTTCCATGCCGAGATTTTCCAGAAGGTCATCCATGGCAGCAGCATCCTGTCAACAATTAGAGGACGTCATGGGCCAGGAAAATATACAATATACGAACCCAGACCAAAAGAATAGGCGCAGAACTGGTCTTTGCATATGTATGCAAAAGGTTGTGTACACAGTCATCGTCTGATTCTTCTCCTGTGCCGCTAAGAAGGACAATTAACGGCGATGCAGGGTTGAGTTACAAATGGAACCTACCAGGAAGTATCAATTCCCATTCCGAGACTATTTGCGAGAGGTGCTGCAGTTGCCACGGCGGGAATGCAGGTACCCGTATCACTGTTCGGCGTGCATGAGGCAATGAAGCCTAGACTGAGGTTACCAAAAACCTAAACTGCCTCAGTTTCTCGAAGTAACCACGAAGAAAGATGCTAACCTCTGGAATGCAGTGACCTGCTCTATGATGCCCTATAGGCGTCAAACCCGGACGATGAAGAGATGGTGTCTCCGCATTGGTGATTATGTAGACCGTGTTCTCGATTGCAAATGCAGACGCCACGAGAAGGAGGGGCACGAATGCGTTGAAGAGAGTCAGCATTTTGGTGAAAGAGTGTGATGGGCAAAGAGTGAACGAGATTCAGCGCGACCTCAGTTTGCAATCTGCTGTGAATGGGGTCTTATATGAAGTCTTGAATGTTCCGTCGGATATTGTGCGGAGGAGAGCGCAAGTATGACATCATTTGGCGGCTTTTGACAGATCTGCAAGCATTTCTTCAGTCGAAAAAAAGATGTTTTGTTCGTTTCTTGATTGAAGCCCTGGTTGTCGGGAATAAAGCGGCAAAATGAGTCCATCAAGTCAAGCCCCGACACAGATACAGAATTCGAAATGATCTAACCAGAAAATAAGCATAAGACCGTTTTTTGGACTTGAAAATTAACACCTTGTCTCGACATGAATATAGGAAATAAGGTCCTGAAAATAAGCCGGGTACACGGGAAGTGACTTCTTGCTTGTGTCCGATACGCACACTGCGTTCCTCTCCAAGAGATGCTGCAGATAGAATTATGCATACTGACCAGAAGCTGGAGAGCTGGAAGGAAGAGGAAAGGAGGACAGACAGGTCTTCCCCACTTCAGGAGCCACTATGTACGTGTTAATCCCGGTTTTTAGGTAAAAGGCGGCAGCGACTCCGATTACTTCGCTCGTGAATCCACAGATACGGAGACGAGGCAGAGCATTGCGATGAGACCGTAGACAGTTGGGATGCGCTTTCCAACCAGTCTGTTCGCCCTCTTGGAAGTTGGCTGCAAGCCCCTCAGTATCAGCCCATGACGTCCACGAACCTTTGCCACCCCAAATAGCATCTGCCTTCAAGTGCATTCTTCCTTTGGGTGTTTGTGCCATCTACTCAATATCGCACGCTCCTGAGCATTTCGAGCCCCCACTCCCTAATCACTGAGATACGCAGCGCGTCGCAGAGACATTTTATAGCGCCGACCACAGCTGAGAGAATCGAAGCGCCAAATTGTTCAAGAGGAGCGGAATGGAGGGTTCTCCCGCTACAAAGGCCCGAGGGACCTTAGCCGGAATACGGAATTGGCACAGTTCTGTTGAAATGTAAGTTCTAGGTATGGAAGAGCGATAGCCGAGACGATCACGTCCGTAGGCCAAATTTCCCCTTCTGTCCAGTCCGTGATGTCGATTTAAAGTTTTAAAGCAACAGCGGAATATTCCCTCCGTTCGTACGTCGCACCCCACGCACCCCATGTTGATTTTGTCCTGATGACCCTTTGCGTTGCAAAGCGAATACTATGTAATACCGGTCCGATGCCAAAACGAAATATGTTGGCCTGGACAGAGTATCACAGCTCGGAGATTGTACAGCGCATGTATAGTTACATCCGTATGTCCTCGGTCTACGGGATCGTTATACGCCAGCTGTCCCCGAAAAGAACAACTGAAAGATGGCATGAGGATCTCACTAATCTTTAATTAGTATTAATGTCAGCGCATAGTGGAATGCACTCTCAAAGGCGATGTCCAGAGCGACCTCGACACGCCTTTGGGAAATTTTTCTGCCGAGAATAGGCTAACAAGAGGCTTCCAACCTGGAAAGGAGTATCGATAGAGTGTATGTGCGTTTAAGTTCTCTACCTTTCATCGGATGCGAGATAGACTTTGTTGAAACGAGTTAACGCGGGTTTGAACGGGGAATCAAATCTGTACCTCAAGTATGCGATGGAGGTTGTGACAGGGAAAGCGTGCAGTTATACCAGGTCGGCAATGTCATCGATGACGAGTCTAACCTTACTCTGTCGTGCAATGGCTGACGTCGCAAGGCAGGCGGATCATTCAACACTCGCTTGATGCATCTTACTGTGGTGGCGATGGCCTCATTGCATCCGGATACTAGACCTGCAGGATACGAAGGTCGGTCTCGACATCTGGTCATAGGTAATGATCAAACAGCCACTAGGCTTATGAATCTAGGAGGCCTGGGAACGTGATCTCGACTTCGTATAGGTATAACGAAAGCGACCCTCAGTGTGAAGTAAATGGAAAGATAAAGTCTCGATTGCGTCTTCAATCCCCGAATCCCGAACGGCAGCTAAACTGGAGCTGATGTATCTGTGTTCTTTCCGTCGGAGGATAGTGGTGCTGCCGGTAGGTGACTTGAAAGTATATTTGCCGTTCTCGATTTGGAAGACAAGAAATAACGGGCTATACTTGAATGGCCTGCGCAGATTTCGGCGACACACGTACAAGCCGAGGCAGTATCGAGAGGGGACAAGAGAGTACCGGGAAAGTTTCAATCCGTACCGGTCGCTTGTCCATAGATTACAAACGTGGCTGCAACAATGATTGTTCCGTGTCCTGTAGGAAGCGAAGCGGTTGATAGGTCGACTTCGTAAATGCATTAAAAAGAATCTGCTTGAAAAGAAGTCATCTTCGATGAAGAGCGCTTCTCGAATGTGTTCAAGATCCTAGCATACCAGAGCGATGCTGTAAAGTGTCTGAATATGCCCCATCTATGAGATACGATAGAAGTAAATGGAACGCGACCGGGATAAGTCCTAGTGCGCCCGTGAACCTTTAGCGTATTCATTTTTTCGGGAAGAGTCGTGGGTTCCCGGATATCTCCGCGAATGAGTAGGGTCGCCTCTTTAGTTCATGAGGCACTAGAGCAAGATATGTTGCCATGGCTAACTTTAGGGTCGCTCTGGTTTACGGGACATCGGCCTCAACACCAGATGTTGGTGCTATCTTGAGGCTAATCAACGATGCGCGTATCGCGGAGGGTAAAACCGACTATTGGTTTCATCAATTCTGCAGTAAGCGCCAGCGTGAGCCCGCGGTGCTAAGAAGAGATGTTGAATCACCGTTGTAGCTGTATCATCCGTAGCTTGCTGGTGCCGTGTATGATATAACCACGGGCGGCAATCAAGGGTGTAGAACCGGGATTTGATTCTGTGCCAGGCTGGGATCCTGTGACAAGTCTAGGAACACGAAAATTGGAGGAGTTGCTGTACCGATGGTCGGTTTTGAGACTGCGAAGCGTCTCAGTTTCTCGTCAATCGTTTTGGTCGGAGTTCTGACGTCGTGAGAAACAGTTCACAACGACCACGCAACAACGAATAGAGAACCCAAGAAACGGGCAACTTAGCATCTAGGCTGCAATTTGACCGAAGTAATCCGGGCTAAGCTAACATATAGTCACTCCACAATCTCAATTGAATAACTCTGACAACAGTGATGTACCTTACCTAGTGAATTGTCGGCTAGTAATCGCGTCAAACCAAATGGGCTTGAGTCCACCGGCGAACTTGCCGACCGGTCCTTAGCAATAGTACTTAGCAATAATAGCATTGTTGCGCGTCGAAAACGGGAGTTATGCCAGAGGGCAGCATGAAAGGTGTAACGGAGCTGAAAAATGTAGAAAAGCACTGCAAACTGCCTCAATACCTATCAGGGTCGCAATGGCAGGAGCATACCTCTGATGGATGGTAGTGTTCCCGACGCCGGGTATCGCCGCATTGGTGAACGTTTTTCGGTCTCCGCCTGAATGATGTACCGGACCGCACACCCGAACGGCAGGAAAAGTCTAAGTGGCGTTGACATTCTGCCACCTGAGATCCATTGAATCTTACACTAACTTCCCGCTTGCTTACATTTCGTTCTGACCCCGACTTTTACTGCATTGCTTTTCCTGGAAAAATGCAGCCTTTTATCGATGGTATCATTCCAGCTCCCTGGGACCTGAAGGCCATGCTGACCATGCAGTCTAATCCGAAATTAATGTTCGTCGCTGGACGAATTGATAGGCGGAATGGCAGTGGTTCCTTCGCCGATCATATCATTATGGATAATTCCGACGACATGTCCTTCATGGCCGGACCATGCTCTTTTCTTTACCTAAGGTTCGACGGAGGATCTTTAATGATTCCCAATCCAAGTTTAATCAATTATTGGCCAGGCCTATATATACGTGACAAACAGGTTTCATCTTTCCCCACTCCGTCTTTCCAGCTACTATGTATTGGTATCAGATCTTCCAAGACGGTCCTGAATACGAGGCGCGCAGGAAGAGGTCTACTACCTTCAGCCCCCCGAATGTGACGCTTAAGGATGTTCGCGATGCGGTACCAAAACATCTCTTCGAAGTTTCTACATTCTGGGGACTGTTCTATGTGTTCAAGCATCTGGCCATAACCTACGCCTTCCATCTCTTTGCCACTAAAATCGATGGCATTTCCCAATTCCTCGTCGGCGACTCTGACGACAGTTTGATGAGACCTCTTCATAGTCTCATATCTGCTTTCCTTTGGCTCACATTTTGGGCGTGGCAAGGCTTCGCTTTCGCAGGCATTTGGTGTCTCGGTAATTTCATGCCGTCAGTTTAGCGTTGATGTGTATGTGCTCATACCCTTTAATATTGCAGGGCATGAAGTATGTGGCGCATCACAACCTGGCTTGCTCTATTTCTTATAGGCGTTACCATCAGGCTGGCCATGATGCCATCTCCTCATACCGCATCGTCAATTCCGTTGTCGGTATAGTGCTCCATACGTTTGTATTGACACCGTACTACGCATGGCGCGCAACACACCGTTCACACCATGTAAGCACGACCCTTCTCTTATTTTCCTTCTCGTACGATTTCTCGTTGCTTTTAGAAAGGGACTAATCATATGGACCGGGACGAGACTTACATGCCTCCTACGCGCAAAGATTTCGAACTTCCAGATGGAAAGGTAGCCGTCCGAATGGACTACGCCGAAGTATTGGAAGAAACCCCGGCCTTTACACTCTTCAAATTATTTGTGCGCCAATTCTTGTGAGCTGTCATCATTTCTATCAAACCGACGTCGCGCTGAACCAGTCCCAGCGGCTTTCAATTATATCTTTTGTGCGGATTTTTTGACATTTTACATCCTCACATCAAAACTTAAAAATGTTTTAGACATAATCGGAAAGGAAATGCGAAATATCCGGCGTGGACAAGTGTAAGTCCTGGTCGTCTTCTTTTGTGGTTAAACTAAAACTCGGCCTGTAGCATTATAAGCCTTCGTCCCTGTTATTCAAACCCGAAGAACGTAAGTCGGATTGCACCTCTGTCCCCATCTCCTGCTAATGACGAGAAGGCCGATCGATCATCGTGTCAAACATCGCCATCGGTACCATGCTGTCTATTTTAACGTTGTTGACCTACACATCTGGTTGGACATCTGTCGCCAAATTTTATTTCATGCCTTGGCTTGTAAGTAATCATCTCGACATATTCGCATGCTCTGATTCTAATGGTTGAGCAGTTCCAGCATAACTGGTATGTTATCACCGAAATTCGTCTTTTCGGTTTCCTGATTAATCGACTTACCAGGATGGTCATGTTCACATATCTGCAACATAGCGATCCCACGATTCCTTATTATCGAGGCGTGAGTGGTCAGCCGCTCTTATTACCCACGCTAATTCGTCTCCTCAGGATCAATGGACATTTGCTCGCGGAGCCTTGGCAACGGTAGATCGCCCCTTGTTCGGATGGGTCGGCAGGGTTCTCCTTCACAATGTGCGTTTTTTGTATGAGCAACGGTCTTCATGCGCTCACAGCCCGATATAGATCAGCACCGACCACTTAGCCCACCACTTTTTTGTCACTGTACCCTTCTGTAAGCTTATCTGTCTTTTCGACGTTTCCTTCTGCAACTTAGAATCCTTAATCTAGATAACCTTCCTGAGGTGACGGAAGCAATCAAGCCTGTACTCGGCGAGTATTACAACTACGACTCTACGGTCAGTGGCATAGTCGGGCGTACTGAATTATCGATCTGATGATTAGCAGGGTGTCCTATTCGCTTTATGGAGATCATTCACTCAGTGCATATTCGTTGAGGATGAGGGTGATATTTTGTTCTTCAAAAATCAATACGGAGAAGCTGTTAGCGAGCCTGTAGTTGAGTTCTCGTAATGTAAATATAATACTACTTAAAAATGCTACAGCTGACTGGCTGACGTGCAATGGAAGCCTCTTTCTTATCTATTACGCTCTGCTGAAGTTGAAGTCCCAGTCAGGCACTAGAACGCGTCATACAAAGCATCGCGGTAAATACAACTCTGTAATTAGAACCGCCACAAAATCAAGACCGAAAAAGTGCTGTTGATTGCCCATTGAATCTGATCTCACCACTAATGACTTGAAGTAATGCATGTCCAATCTTGATAACCAATTCGAATCATTATCCAAGTCTGCGCCGCTTGGATGTCAAGGTTTCTCATAGGCTCGGTACCATGCTCCTTGAATAGAAACCCGAGAAACCCACGCGATGATACTGTTAATCTCAACATGACAAAGAGTTCGGCCATTAGTCTGCGTTCGGAATCATGCAATTTTACAAAGGAAATGCCCGTAAAAGACCAAGTTTCACGCCGGGTAATAATAGGGATTTTTCTGTCGGAGCGCCCATCCTTATTTTGACTCCATTCACTACTACGATAAAATTACAGCAGATCCCCGAGCGCGGCCATTTCGGGACCTCCGGATTCCTGGAAGTAAATTAGTTATCGAACAAACACCAAACAACCAGTGCCTTACCCTCATTCCTATCTCCCAGTCTAAAAAAATACGCATGGTATTAGCAAATATATAGCTATGATTGCGAGAAGAGCGGCTCACAGCTATAGATAATGGTGACGGCCATCAGAATACCAGTTCCACTTCCAATCGCACCCATTAAATCGGCAGCAACAGATAGAAGACCAAGAATGGCGCCACCGAATGCAGCGGCGGTGGGGATGACACGTTTCAATTCCTTGTACATGGAGCCCTCTCGGTGACCAGCCATGACCTGAAAGATACGGCATGAGTTACGAGAAATGGGAATTCTCAGAAGAGCTATCTAACCATTTGTTGATCCTTGAGTTGTTTGGCGACATCTCGGGGTCCGGAGCCGGATACTTCTATCCATGTCTTAGAGAATAAAGCACAGGCAGAGAGCATGAAGGTAATGTAGACGGCAGTGTGGATGGGATCGAGGATGGCCTCTTTCAAGTCATGCGGTGGGGACATATAGTACGCGATGCCGGAGGTAGCTGCAAGTTGAGGTGAGTTCTCCATGGGCTATGACGCGCCAATCAGTATTGAAAATGAGATGGGATGGTATGTATGAACACTAACCTCCCAGACACCCAAAAGCTTTACGAAGAAGTTACTAGGGAACCTCGAGGCGAGCATCTGAGAGATGATGAACACATTTGACGTCAAAGCGGACTCCAACATGATAGGCATGTTCGAAGTGTAGAATAATTTAACGGGGTAGGAGCCACGTTGGCCGCGGAACCGGTTGCTCTTGACAGGAATCTCAATCCTGAAACCTTGGAGATAGATGACAGCGGCGAAGACGACGATGGTGGCAATGAGGTTCATCACGTTGGGGAGGCGATCTCTCCAGAAAGCCTCGCGCAGTGCACGACCCTTGTCATTCCAGGTGAACAGAAGATGGAAGAGCGCGACAATAGCGCCTTCAAACTCTGGACCACGTCCAGTGTTGACAGTGGTGGGCGAAAAGGCTTTCCAGACGATGGATTCGCAAATGTTGGTAGCGATAAAGAGTGAGATACCGGATCCAAGGCCGTAGCCCTTTTGTAAGAGCTCATCGAGGAGAATGACGATAAGGGCGGCGACAACCAATTGGATCATGAGAAGAAGACAGACGCCTGCGCCGAGGTCCTTTGGTTGACCGTATAGACCTGTAAGGACATACACGGTCGCCTGTCCGAACGAGATGATAAGAGCAAAAACTACAGAAAATGTAAGCAAAGGTATGATCGCGCTTTCTAGATCACTCACGTTTCTGTGCGCCCGAAAACAAAGCACGATCCTCCTTCAAGCTGAAGTCGACCTCAATCAAGTTCGCACCGGCGAGTAATTGCATGATCATTCCAGATGTGACGATGGGACTGATTCCCAATTCCATTAAGGTTCCACGGTTCGAGGCGAGGATAGTTCGCAGCCAATAAAGAGGGTCCGACGAGTCCGACGACATGATTCCGTAGAGGGGCACCTGGGAGCACACCAAGAAAATTAAAAGACTAACAGCCGTCCATAATACTTTTTGGTTGAATGGAACCTGCAAATGGCTTGAGTTGTATATCTCCACAACATGTCCGGCTACGCACTTTGCGATCGGGCGAGGAGACCTCTGGAAGGATAGGCAGGAAAGGACGGACGAGATTCAGAAACCGAACTATGCAAAAGACATGTCAGAAATCGAATATTGAAAAGTATATCTCTACTCACAACCGCTCATGATAGAGAAAACGAAGAGTGTGGCAGTCCTCAGCTAAATTTCCTACCAAAGGTGGACGTGGCATACTTACATAATCAGAAATGCACGTGATGAACACGTCACTCACGCATCACTACTGCCGCCACGGCTGAGGTATGTAGGCCCGGCAGGAAAATCTTTCTTTGAGAAGACTCCTTATTGGATACCTTGGTAACTAGCACATTCGAAGCGCATCAGAAGCAAGATATCATATATTCCACAGCTAATACACTAAGAACTTGTCAAAAAATTTGTTAGTCTCGGACTACGCAGGTTGCTAATGCATCACTGTAGTTCCGCTGCGAGACTATTGTACTTGCTGCACAAGCCATTCCATTCAGGACTTGGCCTAACCCTCTCTCGGATCACGTCGGGATCAGTGATAAGCGTCATTTGGAGACCAGCCAACGCGTGCCAGATGATATGGCTGTGAAGTAAGTATGCACCTGTGAATTATGAAGCACATTGAAGCCGAGAAGGCTAGCTCACCAATGTACATGCAAAACACCTTTTCCCGGTCCGGCGGAATAGGCGTTAGTCAACTCGTGTATTTGTTAAAGATCACACGCACCAACAGCAGGCGTCCGGAACCTAATAATTGTTGTATCTCCAATAACGGGGATGACATCTCTCCTAGATGGATTGATAAAGTTCTTTACTCCACCGGAGTCCCCGGGCTGAATAACATCAAATGTGGTCTGCGAAATGGGCGCGTTAGAAGTCCTGGACACGCATTTCAGATAAGAAATCTACCCCGTGAATGTGCATAGGATGTCCGCCACCATCTTCGCCCAAGGGCATCACCATTTGTACTAGAGCGTTCGGCGGAAGGGCTATGATGTTACTGTCTTCGGGGAAAGTGTCGTTGTTATTCATGATCTGGGTCAGCGTAGGGACGGACGGGTCCTTGTAGGAGATATCGTTGATACGCCATGTGTCTAGTGGATCTGTCTAAAATGCTGTATTAGATGAAAGACTGAGCAAATCCTCTTCAGCGTACCGCTGTAGCACCCTATTGTATTGGGCCGTTAGCGGTTTAAGAAAACCTGTGAGAGCACCATTGAAGTATGTACCGTAGTGAAATTCAACGTAATATTAACGTCCGGCTCCGCGTCAGGACCCCCTGGCTGCAATGAAATTATATTCCGTGCCTTTCATTGCTCTAAGGAACGTCGCTTACGCTTCCAGGATTGATCAGAGGCTATGAAATCAGGGCATCGGCATCGCTTAACGCAAAATGAAAGAATATGGCACACACGTGGAGCTGTGTTTCCTTCAACAAAGTGACATTTGCCTGGGGGGTTATCGGGTCTTCGATGGGAGCACCGGCATAACGAACGATACCTCTGGAAAGGGTAGCATTCACTGCTTTCCGTTAGTCGGAGGATTTTTCACACCAAGAAGTACACGAACAGTTGGGGTTCTTCGTTTGAGTTCCACCACGGGGGAAAGACCTAAGCCAGTAGTTTCCAACGGGCTGTTGTTTTACGTTGGCATCCTGATGAAATTGAATGACCAGGTAAGAATCCGTACCTGATCGGCGGCGAATACGACCGAGTATCGCTGACCTGCAGATGGCTGATAAGAATAAAATCAAAGAGCGGCACGAGGCAGGGTTGACGCACCGGCTATATACAAGAGTCAGTGACAAATTTTTAACGGCTGAAATCTAGATCACTTACGGTAGACCTCTAAGCCTTCAACTTCGACGAGCTCAGTAGAGATACCATCTTCTTCAATGACCGTCAGGTTATGTTGGTCAATGAAGAATCCAAAAACAGCGCGAGGAGCATTGCTGATCAGCCTGAGACGGTAACGAGTACCAGAAACAACATTAAACACTCCGAATGGGACATCAGGTCCACCTAAGTGACGTTAGATAGTCTCGCATGATGAAAATGATACGAATGTACCCTGCATTCGACCAACTCCGTTGATGAGTCCAGCGTCATAGATCCTACGAAAAGGAGGATCGACCGGAAGCTAAATCAAGCCGCAGTACGCCACTCACGGAATGCTTTCTGTTTCCTGAAAGATGTTGAAATCGTCGGTAGAAAATCCATGGTACCATTCTCCGAGCTGGAAGATAGTGGAGTCATCGTCGACATCATATAAATGAAGATGAGGATCTTTGGGATCTACATTGCGAGTATAGCGCGTTGCAGGATGAAAATAGGCATGATCATACCATATATAATTAAAGGGCCCCTGAAGGGGATTCTCAGCAATTTATGTTTTCTGAGAAAAGGGACATACCTCAAACCATCAACGTATTGAACTCCAAGGCCTGAGCGATATAAAAACGTTCCCGCTTGGTTCCCGGTGTCGATGGTATACGTGAAAGACGTGTTAGGTGCGATTGGGCACTGCGTCACGAAACTGGTACCATCAAATTCAGGATGGCCAAGTTGTAAAAGCCCACTCCAGTTCTGACGCGTCAAAAATGGGTCGAAATATTGTAACGATAGTGGTCAACGAAGGGATACGCACAATACTCGTACTCGCACGCATGTTTGGGTTCGTCAGTTCATTCTTGACGTTAACCTGATCGTGACATTACATGAGGACTGAGCCTAAGGATAGCAGAAGCATCAACTGACCGTGATAACATCGCCTTTCTTCGCCGTGATAAGGGGCCCAGGATATTGCAATGTTTCTGAGGTGAACCCAGCCAAAACGGAGCTAACTCTGCGTGTTAGGAAACAGATGAACATTTGTAAAGACTTGACTTGCTTGCGCTCAAAACCGTCAGGAGATGCAATAGCATTCCCTATGACCAAGTCATAGCGAACTTGACCCGCGCAAACCAGGGGCGCAAGGTCCACGACGATGAGGATAACAAGAGCCAGATGTTTGAGCATACTTGAACCGAATTCAAGAGTAGTTTAAGACGGTTTGCAACTAGCTCCTTTATACTCTAGGATATCGAATTGTGAGATTGCGCAACCGTGCATTCTCAAGAAAGAGTACAATTATTCCAACACAAACCAATGAATCGAGTTGAGCATGATACCGACGCAGGGGAACACCAATGAGACGCGGAGACAGAGATATTGACTTCTCAAGCCAAGACTTTGAGGCAAATATGTGATCTCTGACGCAGCAAGCAATGCAGTCATCCTAGTGGTTCACGGCGCTAAGCAATGAAGTCCGCCTCCCCTGGAAAACCCACGCAAGTAAAAGCCGGAGTAGATGCGATATTAAGTCTGCAGGGGCATCCGATGTTCGTGGGGGACAACGTCACAACCAACTTGAAAAAAAGATGTCGGTACCGAAAGCCAGGAAACATAGCACATGAGTGTGATCCAGCCTTCCTCCCACACGTCACGGTCATGGGAGAACATCTCAAAACCGCGAGAACATTTGGCACTTGGGATACAGAATTTCTGCCCCAGCACCCGATGAACGCATCATTTTCTCCGTTTTCCGTCATGCATGGAAGATTTGACACTTGGTAAATGAAGGAATCCGAATGGTTGACGGAATTTGGACCTGGTGGCTGTGGATGCTTGTTTGAATCAAAAGCGTTAGGGCAAACTCGTCCCGGAAAGTGCCGTGCGCTAGTTTGAATTTTTCGACACCGCTTAAAGGTCGCACGCAAGTCGCGCTCCTAGTTGATGACACATATTTTATTTGGCCTGGATACGGACGGGTGATAGATGCCTATCAGCGCCCATTGATTGTCCAGACATTGGAAGGTGTGCCACGACATCGGCCAGGTATGTGACTAGTTGTGGGCGCAACGAACTAACCGTCGGCTTAGTGTTCCCGTTAATTGAAATATCACCGCAAGCCTGAAGGTGCGATACCCGCACTTGAAACGGGTGTTACCTTGCATGAGGCAGCCTTTGATTGCATGGACTCGCAGTGGATAGTATACTTGGTTAAGCATCAGAAACGGAAGGACGGCGCCAAGAAATGTTTCAAGATGAGAGCCTTCTTGTACCCGGTCCCAATTTGCTTTTAGGACTCATAGCGTTATCCGAGCTATCATCCGGTGGGGCGATCGCGATGTACGTGATGCCGAATCTCCCCTGTCTGCCATTATATTTGGACGGACTGAAGCGAGGCAGCGCTTAGGAGATCTATCTCTTCCTCTCCCTATCCACGATGGCGACGACCTCTTTGGCCTCTCCAGTCCCCCCTTCCCGACGACACAGTCTGACGCCGCCTTCTCGTCGTCCTCTGCGTTCTTCCCCGTTGGCAGGGCCGTCGTTCAATCTTTCTCCCGACGGTAGGCTCGAATTGTCCCCCTTGGACGCGGCAAAGGCCAAGCCAAATAGAATATCCTCTACACCAGACTTGCCCTCGCTCAGTGATGCTCACTTGCAGTTACCCAAACGCATATCGACACCGCCAATGATACCCATTAGATCCTCGTTACCCTCACCTCCTCCGTCACCTCATAATGCTTCACACCGTTCAAAGCCTCGCGATAGCTTTGTTTCTTTGCCAACTCATACCCAAGTCCCTCACTTTCCTAGAGTTTATACCTCCAAGTCAACCCCGTCCTCGCCGTCTTCGTCGTATACATCTCTTCCGGACCAGTCGTGGCTTACTGCTAATCCTTACCTCACCACCCCTAAGTTTTCTAGGCTGAGTTTGGGATCACCTAATGTCGTAATGCCAGTGTCGGCGAAAGAGAGAAGAAGAAGCATGGCTTCGGCGTCTGTAGATGGGCACACCAAAGTTTCATCGGCGACCTTTGGTAAGATCCTATTCTCGGTAGTTTCATCCAGCTGCTAACCAAGGTACAGACACAGATAGGAAGGCGACGATGTCAAGACGAAAGTCCATTGTTTCTATGTTTTCCAAGTCACCGAATGTCTCCGTTTCCTCACCCCCTCCAGCACCGCCGACTTCCACGCGCTCCGCATCTAGTATCCGTACATCCCGAAGCTTACGCTCACTGCGGAGCTTTCGCAGCAGACGGTCTACTTCCACATCCACCTCCGAGTGTGATGTTATCGCAGAGATCCAAGACGAATTTGGTACAATCAAGGAGGCAGACGTGATTTCGGTATCGGAGTCAGATTCTGCCTCGTCCGCTCCTTCACTACCAACACCGGCTTCTTCGACCAAGTCGGATGTAGATCACACTGATCCTATCATTGAAGTCGGTGTTTGTGTTTTGTCCACCTCTGACTCATCTCTAAAACCGTTTCAGGAACCACCGACGTCTGCAATCCCTCCAAGACGCGTAGCTTCACTCCCTCGATTGTCTACTCTTCTCAAGAGAGCCAGGTCGCAATCTGTGGGTTCCCCGAAGAATAAGCCTCGTACCACTCTTCCTCAATCCCCTTCACTCAAAGATGTTCAAAGAGCCGCCGCAGATGACGCGTCAGCTCATTCACATAATGCCGAACCCCCTCTTCCTTTTCCCTCTTCTCTTGAATCGGTGCCTGCGAGGCATCCAGCCATTCAAGTCTTGGATCAGGTAGTTGTCGCCCCGGCGCCACGATCAAAACATACGAAAGGATTCTCTTTCTTGTCGTTCTCATCATCCGAGGATCATCATGAATACTCTACCCCTGAAAGTGGCAACAACCTGACCACTGAATTGGTTTGCCAGACACCTACGCCACCTACTCCAACGACACCAAAGCCTACCATCAGAAGGCAGCCAGCGCCTCCCCCTGTCATTCCCATTCCTTCAACACCAACTCGATCTCCCCCTACGTTGTCAACTGGCGCACAGTTACGCGCTTTGACCCCTTCTCCCACCTGCACGGAAGGAAGTTGCGCGAGTACTTCCCTGGTAACGCCGACTAATCTCAGTCCGATAACGCGTCCTCCGTCCTTCCTTGCGGCACGTCCAGTCGTAAAGAGTAAGTCCCAGAGCTTCCTTGGCATAGCTACGGACGAGACCACGCTTGGACAATCCCTTTCTGCTCTAAGTTCTCCGGTCAATCATCGTCCAACCTCATGGGTCGTATCTTCCGATATTGCCACACGTCCATCTTTACGTTCATCTTCCTCCTTCACGTCGAACTCGCTACCTACTTCGCCTACTCGGCCCCCGTCTACTTTTCCGTCACAAGGTCGCAAGTCGAAGGCAAAGGCGCTCTTACTCCTCGGTATTGGAGACCTTCCACCTTCATCTACAATGCAAAGTGGACATAATGCGCTTCCTCCGATGCCGCCTACACTATCCCAACCGCAGACCACTACCTCAAGCCCAACGGGTAGTAGCGGTGTAAAGCGATTATGGCGCGCCCTGACAATGAGAAAGACTACCGCTGGCTCCGGCATGTAGTTTGGGGATCTACTACGGAAATTCATTATATTGAAACTAAAACTTTAATCGCTCTTTGTATACCGTCTTGAGCACGGACCACTCTCTTGATGATACCGTTTTTTCTCCTGATATACCTGCCTATCTATTCGGGATTATTGCAAGGCTCGCCGCTTTGCACTACTTTATTTCTTATACCTATATTCAACCTCGTTGGTGCTAAAGATACATATCTTGAAATAAATATGTAACACTATTTTCGAGTTGCATCATGAGCAAGTTGGTTCAGCCATGTGCGGAGGCGCTTGTAAATGCGCTATTTTTGTCCGTTGAGCTACACCAGACACAGCTTCCATAATTGATTGCTTTCCGTGATCGTAAGGTACGCCTTATATGTGCTCATGGGTCCCTCCAGCATGCCTCGCGATTGCGGGGTGGCACAGTTCCACCGCCCTAAGGTTCCTAGCGACTCGGAAGACAGGAAGTTTTCAGTGAGGCAATCAGCTTCTATGAGAAGCTGATGTTCCTTCTCTCCGTTGCTCTCGCGATGATTCAACGAGGTAGACTCAATTTTTTAGTCCCTCAATATTTCACTCCGCTCTGACATGCGTGCTGGGAACATAAAAATAGATCCACGAAACGCATGGTTGCTGTATGCTCCATTCCTGTGACCCCTCTGTGTGGATCCTAGTAGGTATCTCTTCAAGCTAAGTAATATCAACTCCGAGCAATAACAGAAAATGCTGTATTACACAGCCACATCGCAACCCCGATATGGCAGCATTATCTCCATTTACTCTACACAACCCAAAGACTACTGATTCTGAAAGCACGATACCATGTGTCATGTAAACCTCGCTCATTTGAAAGCCTGCGTCTTAACTCCGTCATTTATATTGTATTTGTCTGTGAACGCTGACGTTAAATATTATTCGTATATGTACCTTGGCTGGATGTTTTGACAGTTGACTGATAGTACCACCTACAAAGCCCACACGGATGTCGAAGTTCTGATTTTAGTTTCTATAATTCGCCTGCTTTGGTGGTTACGTTGTTTATACCAGCTTTTGTGTTCCTCACCAAAACTGCTTTCCGTAATGAACGATGGGGTTAATGCAGGTGTCGGCATTAATTGCGGAAAAGAAGAAGACTGCGATCAAAAATAATTTTTGGTTCAGGTGCGCAGATCTGCGATGATCCATTCGGCACGCAGTCGGTTGAACGGAAGTGTGGAGACAGCACGATGAACTTTCCAGAAAAACAAACCAATGTAAAAACCGAATAAAAACCTTGGCAGTTTAATCGCCGTTGAAATTAGAAATGTCGTTTCAACGCGTACATCTTCTGGAACATACACAGAGAGAAAAATAATGGCAAAAACAAGCACGAGTATGACGGCGACTAGAATAGTTAGGAAAGTCCTGTTGAACCGCAACCTGCAAGCGCAGCTCGCGAAAACCCCGGTATTCCACGACATTTTTCCAATACGCTTATTTCTGAAACACTATTGTAGCTGACTGCGGTAAGTCACGAATGACAGATATGTTTAACGCCAGCGTATGACATATAGGATTCTCGTCCTGAATCAATGCCGTAGCTTGTTGCTGGTATCGACGGCTGAACCAATGGCTTGTCTTCAAGCTGCGGCGGAGCATACCCGACGCGACAATCGTCGTTTGTACGCCTCGATCGAAAGCCCGTCTCCGAAATGCAAGTGAATGTTTGGAATGTTGTCATACACATCTTACATGACAGGCGGTAACCGTCAAGTTCTCCTTCCCGGCTCCGCGCCAAACACCCCAATTGATAAATGTGCTGAAGGACCGTCGACAACAGTCGGATAGCAGCTCCTTGGGGATAGTTCCGAATAAGGACATCTTGAAGATCAACGTAGGGAATCCGCCGCACCGACGATCAGACAAGCTCATACAAACGTTAGCCTTGAGACATGGTAATTCAACCACACGAATACATCTCTTCATAAAAGCTCACATTCTATCCATTCTTTCAGAGGATGGCAATTAAACGGGAGGCAGCTGCCTTGAAAGAATATTAGCAAACAAGCTCACTTTATGGGAGACACATTACTCGGAATCGCTAGACACACTACTTCCGGCACCAAGCAATGACGGCCTTGGACTCCGATCCCTTTCCTTCATCATGAGTGGCGGAGAACCTGACCTCTCCCGTTCTCGCTCCATCTGTCGACCATTTGGAGGTGTCCCACTCCTACTACCCCTTCTCCTCGTGCTGCCCGATCTCATATGTGTGGGTGTAGCGTCCAATACAGGTGGGCTACGATCCCAAAACTTTAAAGTATTCGTAACCTTTCCAAGCCAAGTGTTAGAACACTCCTGCCGAGCTCGCTCCGCCCTCTTGCGCTCAAAAGTTGCACGATGGCGGCCGTACGAATCTTGGAATGATTGAGATATACGCGAGGAAAATATGAGCTCGCCACGAGGGTTGGAGGAAGGAGGAATAGGTGCAATTTGCACGCTGGATCCACGGCTGGAAGATCGTGGCGGCGGGGAATGTGCACGTGGTTTCCGCCAGAAAAACAAGTTCCATCCAGGTTTCCGTACATTGAGATACATGTTGAAGGAGCGTAATGCTCGATTGGCATGTGGAACATACTTATTGGCGTAGGCAATCTTCTCCGAATACATTCCCGAAGCAAAGAAAAGCACGAGCGTAGTCATAGAGATAAGGAGCAGAGTGGTGGGAAGGTAGGGATAAAACGGAACTTCAGCCGGTGGCCGGAAGTCTGGCCGTGAACTGAACAGAGACGCATGGATTGCTCTGTAAGGATTTAGCAGAAGAGATGATTCTGGAGGAAGAACAATTTCAATGAGCAGGAAGAGTGTAGAGAGCAGCAACTGCAGCAGGAATACTATTGTCAAAGAAATCAGTGGGTCAAGGTTGCGGCCGACATGACGTGTACGCACACTGGTACCGCGATTTTCGAGCTTGCAACGAGGCTGCATTCGATTTGAGACGTTCTTCAAAGAGCAGCAAGTCTCTATAAGTCGCAGAATCGTTGGGAGGGAACGGCGACGGCGACAATGGGCGGCGTAGTGGTGGAGTGGAACGAGGCGGCATCGATTGGTGGTGCTGAGGTTAGGGTTTGTATTTCACAGGGGCGCACGTGGTTATCTGCCTGGCAGTCGGACCGGATCCCCGTATGCGCGTGCTTCTCCCACACGTGTCTTGCTGCTCTCCTTGTCTCGCCAGTCATGTCGGAGAGCTGTACACCTGTGAGTAGCTCGACATCTCCATGTGTATTGTTTCTTACGGGAATTTTTATTTATTTAGACACACGACTGGTTCACGGCGACATTGACGTTTGGTCTTTGTACTGGACTGGTCATTTCGTATGTGCCCCAAGTCAGTGTCGCTTCTTTTTACTTGCTACCAGTCGAACTCACGGAGGCGAATTTAGCACTTGAGAATCATACAGAAAGGCTCTTCGGAAGGTTTCAGTCCATGGTTTCTATTCTTGGGCAGTACATCGTCTGCCTCGGGCCTGCTGAACATGTGCGTTGCCTTCAGTCCAAGAGCACAATTTTCCTTTCCAGTCACTGTCATTTGTTCTGCATCACATTCTATATAATTGAAAGCTGACAGAAGCTTCTTCGATTTAGGGTGACGATGCAATGGGGCATCGTCCGATGCTGCCGATTCTTTGTATGTCTCCCTTCTCTTGCTGTATACCGCTGCTCAACGCCGTGTATAGAGCTTTGGAAGCTGCCTCGAGATGACAGCTGGCGTCATTCAAGTCGGTTTGCAGTGGGCCATGTTTACGTTTATGTGAGTTACACGTTCTGCACACCTGATGGCACTATTGACTTGAGACTCTGGCGTATCCAGAATGGTTCTATATATGATATACTACCCTCCCCATCTCAAATATTCGGAGATAGATGTCGACGTGCATGATTCTCGTCCGATACATAGGAGAGTGAAGACGCCAACCTTCACTTCCGAATGGAGCCAATCGATATTTCTCGGTTGGATTACGGCAGCCCATTTGTGAGTACATATTTTCGTGGACAGTACTTCAGATAATAAATTGTTTAGTGCAATAATAACTTTCACAACCTTCTTCCTCCTTCTCACGTCACCTACCCCGTCAGCTTCTCCTCCCGTTGACCCCTACACACCACCGCAGTACATGGACAAGACGTTGGCTAATTGGGCTACTTTCCTTGGTATGTTGTCTTTTGTTCTATGTTATGCGCCATACTAACATTATGTATCTTTGTAGGTGTTTCCTCCGCACTTCTAGCGGCCATCCAATATGCGCCTCAGATAATACACACTTGGCGCGCACGATTGGTTGGTGCACTTAGTATTCCGATGATGCTAATTCAAAGCCCTGGTGCTGTATTAATGGTATTAAGTATCGCGCTGAGGTGAGTTCAACCTTCATCTTCTTTTATTCATCCTTCTGCATACGCGCACTAATGACCTCTTAACCAGACCCGGCACAAATTGGACCTCATGGATAACCTTTGCTGTCGCTGGAATGATGCAAGGAACTCTCCTGGCTCTCTGCATCGCGTTCAAAATCAGGCAACGCAGGCTACACATAGACGACTTTGGTGAACCTTTAACCCCGCTACAGCAGTACTCTCCTCTTCCCGAGGCGATGCCTGGACTTGTTATTGGTGAAGGCGAAGACGAAGTCGCCGTGAGGGTAGCTCTGGCAAGCGAGTTGGAAAGCGCAGTCGAAACCGACGTCAGATCGGCAGGCGTGAGACCTGTGCTAGAAATCACTGTTAGGCCCAGGTCAGGAGAGAGGGAACCGCTACTTGGAGAGCGTGCCGGCAAGAGTACAGAGGATGTCAAGTCAGGTGGGTGGTTTAGTTGGGGGAGGTAGGCATACTCGACAGGTCTGGAGACGAAAATGCTTAGAGCATTTGTACATGTCCATTGAATATTTTAGTAGTAATAATTCTTATTGCAACGAGATCTCACGTTGTTGAGTCTGCATTTCGTAAAGGCTACTCATGTGGCCAAGCAATCGACATTTTTTAATAATTCACGGCCATCATCAGCATGTACACTCCGCATCGTGAGCAGTTCCTTGTCGATGGACGCCAGCAAGAACGGAGACATTTTCACCATCCTCGCTGGTCGCCTTTTCAACCCTAACATTGAAGATTTCGTTGCGAGTCAACTCATTGTCGTATCGAAAAGAACTGAGCTGATTGTCGATGTGCATGACTACATCACTGGCTCTGTCGACATCGATTTACGCCATCTCACGGTTTTGCCTGGATTCGTGGACGCTCATGTTCACAGTATGCGACGATTCATGTCCTTCATCCTCAAGTGACGAGCTTCGCTAGTGTTCCTTCATTCGTATGCCGAGACATCGTGGATGGACCAGCTAACGAAGGAGAGTCTTGCTGAACGCACCATCAGGGCTACTGTTCACGCCAGAAAGACCTTGCTGGCAGGATTCACGACAGTTCGGTATGTATGTCCGTTATCCATTCCAACTGAGGCTCAGTCTTGGCGGTCAGCGACCTGGGAACAGAAGGAGCGGGCGATGCTGATCTCGCCTTGCGTCAATGCCTTGCTGGCCCGAATCCTATCATTCCTGGCCCAAGATACTTCTGCGCTAATCGTGCTCTCGTTGCCACTGGAAGCTATGGTACGTGACGGCTCGAAACAAGGAGACATCCTGAAGGGCTCAGACGTCGCAGGTCCGAAAAGTTCGATACATCCACACAGTGAAGGAATAGAAGGCGTTACTGGAGCAGAGGTCGCTGATGGCATAGACGAATGCGTCAAAGCCGTTAGAAGACAGGTCGGAGCTGGCGTAGATTGGATCAAGGTATGTCCTCTAACCACTCCGTTTCCTTATCCCTGTTCACCTGTCGTCAGATTTATGCAGGTATGCTTCACGTTCTTATTCACTACATCCTAATAGCATAGTATCAGACTCTTCTGTGCGTTCTAGAGTCGCGCCTGTCTCTCCTGTCATTGGAGCTCGTGCCATACCTACTTTCACGTACAGCGAGATCAAAGCTATGGTTGATACTGCACGCGCCCTGGGTGTCAAAGTCGCTGGACACGCCAAGACAGCAGAAGCGGTATCAAATCTTCTCAATGCTGGCGCGGACTCCATCGAACATGGCTCTCAAATGTACAAGGATGTTTCTTTAATGGGCGCGTTCTGTAATTCGCAGTCAACAATGTGGAATCCTACCCTTGCTGTTTATCATTCCATGCGGCACGACAGTCCCCAGGGATGGGAAGACGTTCAGACCTCCTTCCGGCAAGCGTTAGCGATGGGTATGGACAATATCGCATGTGGAGGGGATACAGGTCCATTCCCTCACGGAGATAATGCTCTGGAGATGAAGTTGATGGTCAGACTTGGTGCACCGTGGAAAACGGTACTGAGATGGGGCACATTAGGCGGTTGGAAGTGTATCAGACCGATAAACAGGGAGGAGGATCAGAATGGAGGCGCGGGAGATAATGATATTCGGTTTGGCAGCGTCGAAGCTGGCTGGGCAGCTGATTTAGTCGCATTGGAAGGGAGCTTGGAAGATGATTTCGAAGGAACTTTGGATAAGGTGAGCTTCGTGATGAGGGGAGGGAAAGTGTACAAGTTGGATGGAAAGGCGGTAGATCTTTGACAGTAAGCTTGTGTTGATGTAAAATTACGAGTTTTCTGATGTGTATTTTTTTGATCAAAGTGTTTAAGAACGTTCAACCGGTTCCTCGTGTCAAAGTACAAGATGGAAAAAGTCATAAAAGTCATTACAGCCAATGCAATGTCTTATTTTATGGTGTCCTACCACCGCCCCTAACACACAGCCAACCACAACCAGGCGCAGCTCATTATCCGGATCTAATCCCTTCAAAACGTTTGTCCGGGTTCAAGCCACATTCATGAAGCGGAGGTACTCACAATAGAGACAGGGTAACATCCCCATGTACCCTTGCCTTGATAGAGATATCCACAGCTAGGTTCAAATCCAGCCTTAGCTTGAGCGTATCCTTTCCCGGGTCGGAAAATGGACTGTCATTTTTTTGGTTTCCCGCGACGGCATGGCTACCTTTAGCCCCACGGCGACGTCGGCGGGGTGCGTCTCCTCGTTCGGGAGAGGGAGCACGAGAAGGAGACATCGATTCGATGTCAGTGAAAGCGAAGGGCGCGAATTCAGGTTCGGGCTGGGACATGGCTGGGTTGCAGGACACCAGCTAAGTGCGATAGTGCATCCTTTCGATCTCTTCGTCTTTTATCGCCAGGACGAACAAAGCCCCACAGGACAGACGGGGGCAAGAGCGTCATGTTGATGTCAGATGCGACGAAATATCTGCTACAGTGATGTTCTTAGAACAAAAGTTGGAGCATGAATCCACTCGTCGTGCTATATTGAGGTTCCCAGAATAAAGACTCGATCCACCATCCCTCACGTTTCTTTCAAAACCTAGGAGCATGATGGAGCGATAAGAAGGGCATAGCAAACGGGGAATTACAGCAGAATACATTGGTAGTGGGCCTAGCGGAAGGAGTTAACGTAAAGAGTTCGTATTTTCCTCTTTTCCGTTCTACGTTCTGAGGTGCTTCACTATGGGATTTACTGGCCCGCGTACTGTACTAGCCCTGTTTCCTCAGCTGAGCTAACGTTGCTTGACATGGGTACACAAACATGTTCCTGCCTGAACCATCTGTATCAGCTTTCACTTTTACCGCTTGTGTGTACTGGTGTGAACAGAAGGCGTTATTTTCGTCTCATTACTAACTCATGCTCCCACTCTTATCATGATGAATGGGCACAGTTGCCTAGTCGATCTCCTGTGCGTTCTTTGCTTCTTTGAGCTGAATCAATCAAGGCGCTCATCTGGGTTTCGTTCAAACTATTGCATTTCTACATATACGCATAATATGAGATGATGTGGCCCTCGAAAGTGGTATTATTGAGTATTCTCTATCGCTTCTCGGCCATCGATATCTGAATGACTATCTCCACGGGAATTTCTCTATCTGACAGTCACCGCGAAGCCGTTTGATAATATTACTGCCACAGTCGGGATCAAGGCGCAACACACGCTGTACGCCACCGCTATCAGCCCCCTTGGTGATTCAGGAAGCATCAATCAAAGACACGACTATTACGGAGAAATCTACGATATATAGAAAGTAGGCAATCGGTATTCTCGCGATTCCCAGGTTATATTTGTTGTACGTACAATATTCAGGTCGATTGCTGTCAGAATATGGTTTTAGTTATCGAAGATCTTTAGTGGGTATGCGGCTGCTAGCATCTCTCTTCAGTGATTTACTTACTTTCTGATTGATGATGCTTCTATCTCGATGAGCCATTTACCGCAGGCCTGTCTTGACGTGACCACTAGTAAGTCCGTCATCCTTCTAATTCTCATATTCCAAACGAAAGAATCGATGACTGCAGATGTCTAGATTGCACCGATCTCCCAGTATGAGTATTATTTAATAATATACATGTAACCTGCAGGTTCTTCAGATAAGTAATATTGTAGTATACACAAGGCATGATGAAGCACGAAAAATACGAATACCTCTCCAAAGCTAGCGGCATAATATTATAGCCGTTTCCATCCATCGTCCTCCTGCACTGGCCACTTCAGGTTGTCCCTCTCGAGTTCAACGGTCGGTGTCTCTGCTCCACTTTCAGCACTTTCAACAGTATCACCCCACCTTCCGTTCGGAAGTCTTTCTTCGTACATCAGACCCTCTCTCTCCTCCTGCACGCCACGTTTTCCCCACTCTCTCCGCTCATGGGTTTCCACAAATCCTTGAAGTCCGTGAAGCTTTTTCTGAAGACCAGGACCTAAGCTAGCATGACGCGATAGGAAGGCCACTCCGTCTTCAGCTTCCCTTGCTATAAGCTGTACACTTTCCGGTCTCTTCCTTCGGCTCCCAAGTCCAATGGTGGATGCACTGAGACCCATGGAAGAAGTTGAGGATGAGTGATGATGAAGGGTCTTGCTCCGACCTAACGTTCCAGTTGAGACACTCGCAGGTCCACGCCCAATGTTTCCGTCATCACTGAGTCCTGGATGACGAGGCGGCGGTCTACTTCCATCCTCACTGAGCGCTGGGTGTCGTGGAGGCGGTCCCGACTTGGCTGTGGCCAGTGCAACTTGTTCCAAGGAGCTCACAGACATCGGTGGGCTGGGAAGTGGATTTCCACTCGCACTTCCGCTCCTGCTACCGCTGTCGGAACTGGAACTACTGGCCTTTTTGACTGGGAAGGGATTATTGGAGTTATGCAATGGCACAGAATTGGAAGAGCTTTTCAGCACCCCAATAATCCTCTCTCGTTCCAGCATCTCCTCGGCCTTTTTCATTGCACTCCCTTGTTTACTCGCCTGCAGACTTTGCTTCATTAATACTGTTGTGTGAACCGGCACTTTCCCATTGGTATGTAACAAAGGTTTCGGAGGTATAACTGGGCCATTTACGGATGGCTTAGGCGGTACGGCAGGCCTCTTTGGAGGGGGAAGGAGGGGTTTGCTGGGTTTGCGTGGGGGAAGATCTGGCGCTGGAGCGGATATAGACGGTTTGTTAGGTGAAGTAGATCGGGCCGTTGGTCGTGCTGGTGTAGCAGGCAGTGAGGTTGATGCCGGTTTTAGAGGCGGTGGTGGTCGCCGTGTGGGAGAGATAGAAGGTGGTCGTGGCGGTGGCAAGGACGTCGTCGATGGTCTTCGCGACGGAGAAGCTGTAAAAGGGTTGTTGGGACGGTGACCAGGCGTGAATGGATTAGTTTGCGGCGGCGGCGAAGTTGAAGGAGGCGGCGGGGAGGCTGATAATGGCGGTGAGGGTAGTTGGGCTACCAAAACGTGACTAGTCAGTAAAATAAACAAACTTTACTAATATATATACGTACGCTGGATAAATGCCAGGCCTCGATCCAGCTCTCGTCCCGGTTCCGCCTGCGCATGCGCGAGAAGGCGCATCGCGACGTAGAACTGTCCTCTCGTCAATGTGTCCTTCAACGCCAGCTTCGGTGAGAAAATCTTGAGCACATTGTCTACCGGGGCATCGGGATATCGTCCCCTTAGCCATGCTCTGGTCTCTCGCACATTCAAGTTCTCGTCGTCTGCCGGTGCGATGCCATCGAGAATCGAGGTATATGCGGCGTACTCGCCGTCACTAAGCGCAGAGACGTGTAGGGAGAGCGGCCGTGTGCTCATATATTGGACTTAATAGTGGTGGAAAGCAACGTGAAGCACGGTAGGCGAGAACGTGGTAACTTGGATGCCTTGGTTCCGTCATAATTATGTCAGCGTCGCCACAAGTTTAGCCGGGATAAATCGCCGCAATCGGCAACTGCCAAATCTGTCCTAGCTCAAGTTCTCCATCCGTCGAAATTCAGAGGGCAATACAAGCAAAAGGAATTATCAAAGTAAGTATCTCTAAAATTATACATAGGCTAGTACACTATTGTAGGTATTGAAAGAAACAGCGCCATAAGGTATTATCTATCGAAGGTATTTATCGACTCAACTAAGTTAAATCTAATTGTCTAACTAAACGCTTGGGCATGACGTTCTCTGACAATGGCCAACTGTGATTCTAATAAGATATTAGAAAGGGTACGCTATTAATATTCATCACGAATGTCTTACCGAATATTTTCCCTCGTTCTGCGACACTAGACATGGTAGTCATCAGTGATTTAAGCAGCTGAACGGGCTCACTTGGCGCCCCTGACGAATTAATGCTGTCGTCGCGTGCATCAGATATCTCTTGGATAAGAAACTGACATACATAAGTCCATAGAACCTACGACAAACGTCAGCAGCGTCACGTGTAAGAGATCCCAACAGGCTCACGGCCAGAAATGCGTTAAGCGACAGAACTTCTGCAACATTGATGGTATCTAGAATGTGAACGATTGGTCGAACAGAAGAAATGATACGTCCCCTGGATGCTGGGTTAATCGCAATAAACGGCCTATGCAGCTGGATCACGGCGGAATACGCAAGAGTATAGATCATAAGAGCCATCCCATGCGAGATGGCTGCTGTCATTGCGGGTATCGACGGCATATCTTGCAAGAATCGCTGGACTAAAGCGTCCTGAGCAGAAAAAGAGTCAAAGAATTGTCGCGCTAATGACTGAGGCATGTCTGTTAATAGATCAATAGATGTACTTCGAAGAGCATGTATAAGACCAACTAGGCTGGAACCGGTGACTGATTGTCGACGACCTTTCGAATAGAATACTGGCTTTCGCATATAACGCAATCATAGAAGCCCCATCGCTGCCGTCAGGAACTGCACGAGACAAAAACTTCTGGACAGTTTGACTCGTTCGGAATTCGGGAGAACGATAAATCTTCAAAAGAGTAAAAGTAAACGGTGTGTTGACGACAATGGCTAGGAACACACCTGCGAATATGATTGCATTTCCAATGGCCAGGGTGTATCAATCGTTTCGTATATGATATTCGACTCTAAGGGAGTCCAGCAGTTATTGAGTATCATAACAGTCCAGAATCCGTTAGTTCTCTCTCCTTCCTCGACAAGATCACTAGGATCGGGGAGACCCACGACCCCGCCTCCTTCAATCGAGCGAATTTTGTGGAATCTTGCACCGAGGAGGAGGGAAACAGCGGCACTAGTATGGTACTTCCCTTCAAGCATCCTTGCGTTTCGGAAGAAATATTGCGCGAGAAGAACTTCTGCTTGAGTACGATGGATGATCTTGTGTGTATGAGTACTTGACAGAGCTGCGGAAGTCTGCTGCACTGCGGTAGACAAAAAGTAGGGCTCAAGAGTCAATAGTTCTGGGGAAGTGGATAGATGGACGCCCCACAGATAGACTGCCTGGAGCAATGCAATAGAAGGTGGTTCCCATCCAAAATCGTCAACATTCATAACCGTGTTGGTAAAGCGTCCTACGTTGAGAAAAAATCCAATCTCGGTGCAACATCGCAAAAAAGAACCGATTCTATCAAGGGCATAAAATTATTATGTATGAGGAAGGAGATAGAAACTCACATCGCTTGGTGGAGTTGTACCGGGAGCTTCTACAAGTTATGGTGATATCAAGTTTCGTGAAAAAAGAACAGATACTCTGATTCTTTAACATACCTCCGGTACGGACAGCAAGTGAGGAGACGCAGGATTGGGCGAAAAGCTCGACGCTGAAGCGGGACATGAGAATTCACCTTCACGCATGAATGGACCGGCGACGTACCAGAGCTTGAGGCTTGATGCTGAGAACTCTGCAAGTTTCCAGCCACTGAATATGGCTGAGTAAGTCTGACCGCTGCATTAGAATTTGCGGGTAAGGCTTCAAGCTCGCGAATTCGAGATTCAAAAATGGCAATTTGTTCTTCGAGAAGCTGCGTTCGCGTAGTTCCAGAGTCGCTATATTCGCAGTCCCGTAAGGCAGGTACAGACGCGCAGGTCCCACATATGGGCTTTACACCGTCGCATTTCTAAAGCATACGTAAAAGTTCAGTTCCGAGGGTCTTCCGGCTTGCACGAACGCCGTCGGTCAGGACACCCACCACTTTCCTGCGTCTGGTAAATTGTTAGCCTTGCAGCTTAGGATTTTTCGAAATTGAACATCGTACCGGCAATTCAAGCATGCACTACCTTTCTGTAGGGGATGCGAAGTGCCAGAAGACGTGGATGAGGATTTTCGATGGCCGAGCGAAGACGACATTACTAAGGGTCTTAGAGAAGACGGAAGACGAGTTGAGGACAGTCTTTGAGAATGAGGCATATATATATCAATACCTCCAGAATTCTGAGTTTCTCATGCATAATACAAGTCTCTTCTCTGTCCGGCAGTCACGGTAGTGCAAGTACTTGAATGCGACCGCGCAAAGCGGCGAACGAAGGTCTCGGGAAAGGGCGTAGTAGCGGCAGCAATTTGACGCCGGCATGATGACTCGAATCGCTTGCATGAACAGAGCGCCACCGGGCTGACAAGAAGGTTCAATATAAAGTTGGAGCACATCCGTAGTCAATCCGTAGTGATTCTTTTCAAACCTTGCTGCTATAGTTTTCCAAGGGAAACTTGACTGCTAGGGCTTGGTCAGATACAGAGCATTGTCGACAGTTACTAACGGGTTGCCTCGCAATGACGAAGAGCGTAAGATGGTCCTAAGATAGCCCGCTGGGAGGGCTACTCGGATCGTGCGGGATGCATCGGATCAGGGATAATTATAGGATCTGGATCGGCAAGTAAAAATATCTTCTAGCTTTTGGAATAAACCGGGAAACGTCATAGGCACTTTACCACTATAGCAGCAGTTGCGTACATAGTTGGAGAAAGTCGGGAAATGTAAAGGAACAAGTTTTCGGCCAAGGGTCACGGAAATACGGAGGCACGGAATCCATTCTCTCTATTTTCTTCAACAATGGAATTAACGATTAAGAATTAGAATGATGAACAAGCGACTCCCTCCGGGATTGGGCCCATTATCCATGCTGATGCCCAAATATCTGCAATGAGGCGGTATACTGACGGCGAATATCGGTGAGCTGAGCCTCTACAAAGCTTGGTTACAATGCGAAGGAATGACATGAAACAAAGACGAACCTAAGTGAGGCCAATGTCTAGCCCCGGTGGATATCGCAGCCATGATGAGATTCAGCAGTTGCAAAGGTTCATTTCCAGTTGTGGAAGCACCTTGACCACCGGATATTTCTCGCATCAATAATTTGCAAGTGTTTACCCACAGGACCTAAAGGCGACAATTCAGAGGCTGATGAACGTCATAGCAGAACGGACATACTCCAACTATAGGATCCAGAAACAGGCTCCTTGATATGTCAATGCTCTGAATGATCTGAGCAATGGCACGAAATCCTGTCACGGTGCGTCCGTGAGAAGAAGGATTCCGGGCGAGAAAGGGGGCATGAAGCTGTATCATAGCCATCTGTGCAAGGGTATGAACGACAACGGTCGTTCCCAGGCTTGACTGGCCTGCCATGGCTATTAGTGATGGCAGCTCCTCCAAGAATCTCTGAATGACCCTTTCGAGGGTAGAGAAAGTAGCGAAGAAACGCGCGGCCTCTTGTTGTTGCATACCTAGTGTTGTAAATTCATGATAAATCAAAGATATAGTAGAAGATAGAATGCCTTACCAGGCCTGAATTGGGCGCCCACGCGAGAAGCCTGCTCATAAAGAATGGACGCCTTGGCGTGAAGAGCTACTATAGAATTGCAGTCATCAGTATTATTAGAAAGGAACCTTTGAATAGTGTGACTAGTTCGATATTGTGGGGGGCGATTGACCTGACGTGGGGAAGCTCGTGAATACAGGCAACTATGAGTTGATAACAACAAGACTAACCTGGTGGTAGCTAGCCATATCTAATGGCCATGGAAGATCAACTCGCGCGTCTGGAGCCATGTACGATATATTGGAAGGGGAACCATCAGCCGCGGACCAGCAGTTATTGAGAATGAGAACTGCCCAAAAGGCGTTTATCCTCTCGCCTTCCTCGACCAGATCCACTAGCGGCGGAAGCGTAGCCTCAACACCTACATATAGGCTATCAGCCGATGTCGGCTCAGTGGATCGAATTCTGTGAAGTCTGGCACTAAGAACGAGGGATACTGCTGTACTTGTATGGTATGTTCCCTCTAGCAATCTGCCCTTGCGTAAAAAGTAGTTTGCGAGAAGGACTTCAGCTTGGATACAATGTAGAATGATCTGTGGATGGCGAGTAGAGAGGCCTTGGGCGACCGCTTGTATCGCGCGCTGGAGAACTATAGGTTCGTATGCGGACAGTTCGCTAATTGGAGAGAGGTGAACACCCCAGAGATACACTGCGCTGAGAAGTGCTGTGGATGGCGGTGTTCTACTGAAACTGGAAAGAGAGTCTATAAAACGGGAAATGTCCATGAAGAATCCGATCTCGTAGCTTCGTTGTACGAAGTGTTGTAAACTTGAGGTGCATCTGAGTCAAAGGCCCGTGGAAACACAATATGATTATACTCACATTGTTTCACGATACTTGATAGGGAAGTCCTGAAACAACAGAGGACGTCAGTCAGGCTTCAGTGTAATAGTTGGAGATTGCGCACTACGTCATCTAGGAGAGGTTGTCCTGTCGCCGACGCAAACTCTGCTGGACGATGTTGATGGTAAGGGTGGCTAAGGGTGATTGAAGAGTCAGAGTGACCTGGTTGTTCTAAATCTTGAATTCGACTTTGGAGGACGGATATCTGTTCTTCAAGAGTCTGTGCCCTGGTTACTCCTCTATCTGAGTATTCGCAGTCACTAAAACCTGTAGATGCAAGGCAGGGCCCACATACGGGCCTCTGACCATCGCATTTCTGATCGACAAGGAAAAAACGGTCAGCATATGTGTAACGAGAGGAGAGCACAAGTAATTATTTCACTATTTTGCGACGTCTTGGAAAATGCAAAATCAGTTACATATTTGCGCATAGCAACAATGTATCTCCTACCTGCAGTTCAAACATGCGCAACCTTTGTGTAAATGGCCAGAGGACCGCGACGACGACGACGAGCTGCCACGAGAGGATGAACTTATTTCGCGAAGAGAAGACATTTGAGACTGGCGATTGAAGATGGCGTCTTGGCTTTTATATACGCTGAGATCTGCCGAAGGTGGGGAAGCTTGCGTAGTCGCTCAATAGGATGAATGAATCTCCCAAGTTGTGCTTCATGGTGTATAAGTACTCTAGGAGACGTGGACGCATTTGCAACAATGGGTTGGTGACGTCACTTAGGTCCCATCATTGGACGGAAGCGAAGGTCGAGTCAGTTTTCCAAGAGCGAATGAGCGTTCGATATTTTCTTGCCATAACTTACGCGTCGCAGATGCCGAGCGTTGCCCTAGTTGCAGAGTCAAATGCCGCATGTGTTCCACATGAGCGAGTCATACCTTTATCCGACAAGGCTGGACCTTGGTGGCTGAGCAAGAAATATGTATCATTCTCTGGAAGAATTCTAATCCAGAGACCGACGATTCGCCCCCGAGCAGTGTTATTACTTGTGCGGAGAGAAACATGTTCGGTCACGAATATTTGGTGCCCGTTTCCTAGCGCGACGTTGAGAGCCTAGCGGCGGGAAAGCTTATGGTCATCTTCATATTCCCTGCACAGTGTATGGCCAATCCCGGCTAGCGCATCGGTTTCCGAACGACAAGCAGCTTTTGTAAAACTCAACACTGCTTTCGGTGATTTGGGAATAACAGAGTTGCAGGAAAATCGCTTATCTGACTCTAGTCTTCGGTTGGCAGCGCGGTAGTATTACTTAGCACATCCGCTGAGTGTGAGTGACTGTGCAAAGGCAGTGATGGCCGAATCGCTGCCTAGCATCTCATTTCATGAATGCTGACTGTCTTGGAGCAGAAAAGCATCAAACTTTCGGGAGATGCCGTATCGCGCGTCGTATCAGACATATCTCTTCGAGACGCTCCATTTGCAGTTTTCGAAGACAAAGGAGTACATCTTAATTGAAAGCATCAGAGCAGATGACGTGGGAGATAATGAAGGTACGACTCTTCCATGCTGCACCGGAAGATGGATATCTCAGCTGTACGGTCTTCTGATGCAAAGAACCAGTGCCATGTATTCAGTCCGAAAATATGACCGGGCTGCGCTCTCAAGTCGACGGGAAAAAATCAGAGCAGGTGATTGATGAATATACACACGGATAAGTCACTCTACCTCTTGACGCACGATACTGAGCCCGCCATGCCAGAAAACTGAAGAAAATCTGTTACTAGCACTCAGTCGGTGTCGTCGGAAGAGCGGGGTACATATGCCACGTGGAGTCGTACTTAAATATCATCGCTGCCATCACCTCACACAAACGCCTCAGCAAAATCTCGGACGGCCCAGCTACAAATCGGTACGTAATCTAGTCCATTACATACTATAGCCAATCACCATCAACGATGTTCAGCTGAGATGAATCTCGACTCCCAAACCGCTTGATGAATCGATGACCCTTTTATTCACATCCAGCCCTGCATCTCAAAGTGTCCGTCCGTGTCCATCTGATAGGTTACTCTGGTATCCGTACCCTGGGGCCCAAATATCCGCTCGCTCCTCGCTGTTATTGGGGGAAGAATCAAACTGTGCCTGCTGTTCGGCTTTCTGATTCGCGGGTACCCTCCGTCGTTATCTCTTATAGGGATCCGCAGAAAATCCATCGGCTATAACCACGGTATCCATTCCCGGGAAGTTACTTCTTTAGTCGCGCGGAGAAATCTGTCCAAGAAGTTCTGATTCCGTGGATAACCTCTGAATCTTGTGAAGACCTTCACCAAATGGGTCCAGGCACGTGTAGCTTCCATACTTCTGTCTCCCACTCCGTAATATAAACTCGATATAAAAGCTGGTCCCACAGTCCATCATAATCCGTCTCTCAATTCTAGCAACCCCCGGATCCAGCCTCTTGTTTTTCTTTGACCTTTTACCATGTCTGCTGGTAGACTGCACGCTTCTGCTTCAACCTCAACAGAAACACCACTTTCCGTTCCATCTTCTCGATCGTCGAGAATGACCCCAGAGGCCCCCACTTGGGTAGATCCCGCCTCGTTGCCTGATCACGGCGACACCTCTGCGACGACAGGAAATGTCAGTGACGATATTAAACGGCTCAACTACAACACGTATTTTTCATATGGTGTTGGAGATGAGGATTGTTTCGGTTACCACGCCGGCAAAGATGTCAAGTTTGTCGATATCAACGTCGACAGACGCCTGGAACATCATGGCCGGCTTGAAGCAACCACAATCGCAGAAGTCGTCGTTAGTAAAAGTACGTTCGGTTCATCTTGATGCATTAAAGCTCCACTAAACGTGTGCTATTCATTCACAGATATGTTAAACGGTGCTGGCATGCTCCATGGCGGCTGCATAGCATATCTCATAGACAAGTAAGTTATATGAATTCTGGGAGGAAGCCTGTAGTTCTGATGCGACGGTGCCAAATCAGTTGCTGCAGCACCCCACTAGTCGTCCTCGGTTTAGTGCAAGGCTCCAACGGCGTTGGCGTGACACAAGGGATGAACGTTGTCTTCCATTCCCCCGCATTTTTGTGAGTCCGTGTTTCAAGGTTTTTCAACACGTTCTGACCGCGTCATCAGGGGCGCTCGCATTCGCATCATAAGTACATCGGTATCATTAGGCAAAAGAGTTATGACGTCTCAGTGTGAGGTACGTTGACATTCTGTCCCTTATTTTCGGTTTCGTGTTAAAATCATCTTCAGGTTGTCAACAAAGACACCGGGAGGATCATCGCTTCGGCTTTCCTGAATAAAATGCAGCCAGATATGTCGAAGCTGTGATCCTGACTCGTGTTTTCTTGCGCATCGTATATCCACTATGCACATTTTTTTTTGTTTATTTCTTGCCTATTCTCGGTTTTCAGGATCTTGTTTCATCAAAGCATCGTTGTATCATTAGACACTTGCAAATGTTATATTCCGTGGTGTTCGAACACCGAGGGTTTTCATATCTCGAATCAGAGCACAAGCTATCGACCCTGTAGATGTATTTATTCGTCTATCTCTTTCGCCCTGCCTTCATAAGCGCGGACTTTGGCCATTCGGCGGAGCTATCACTCTCGATCCGATGGCCGCTGGCTCGACTTGTATGGTGTTAATGACACCTATGGACAAGACATGACACCACTGATATTCAATAGGCGCTTGGTGTATACTTATACTACATGACCAAGGTATTTTCAGAGCAGATAACGTCAGTCATTTTCTATTGCTTAAGAATTCTCTCAGCACAGGTCAAGGCAATAATATCCAAGACCACTGGAAAGAAAAAGCAACTCATTCAACGCTTCGTTTCAGCCACATTGCATAATTATCGGACAAGTGGATGCAGATGCTCAAATCCCACTGTGGTCTAGGGTCGGTTTGATCCAGGGATTCCGATTCCCGTTGTGGGAGAGGCCTCGGATAGGCGCCTTTCGCAGCTCGAAGGATTTATTCCATGGAGATTGTGAGAGATTTCGTCGGACGTAGTACCACTGAAATGGAAAGCATGAAACTAACATGAAATTCAAAGTGAAACGGCCGCCTCTGTCAACGAGTACTCAGGGTGTCAAAAAGCAGTTTGTCAGAGCTAACTACTAACCTGCAGTCATAGCTTGAAATGATGCATGTATCGATATCGCCTTCCAAATTTCATCCACAAAACTCAAACCGGCGGCAAGTACGGGATTCCCGATTCCCGACGCACTTTAAGACTCCGATATTCTCCGATTCAACTACCATCGGCAGCTGTCTGATTACGTACTCCTCCTCATATTTTTTCTTTGCGCGTCGAGTTCAGGATGGCGACGATACAGACGAACCCGTTACCGAAGACTTACACGGCTCCCGATGCTCCAGTGTCGCAACTCTCATCCTTCAAAAAACGACGGCTCTTGCCCGCAGGCCCCGCATTCATCGAACATCTTCGATTAACCATTCACCATCAAGGTTCCTTCTTGAAGCACGATTTCCACAATGAGAAAAAACGTCAACGACTTGAAGAGCTCAAAGGCGCGTCTTCAAATGGCGAAGACGATTTGGGCGTTGGCGATGAACCGGAAACGGAAGAGCTCTTGGCGCTAGATCCCAAAGAGTGGAAGGTATTGCATGGTTACCCTGCAGACGTTCCCCGTCTCTAATCTTATCAACAGAAACAAGATCATTATGCCGTGCTGGGACTTTCTCATCTTAGGTTCAAAGCTATGCCTGAACAAATCAAGATTGCTCGTATGTGTTCCTCCCACTTTTATTTTCATTTTGCATTAACAGCTTTTTCTTTGAAATAGACCGAAAGAAGGTCTTAAAACATCACCCTGACAAGAAAGTCACGATGTCGACTCCGCCGAGTACCACCTCTCTCCTCACCGGAATCAATCTCAACACCAACGATGATGCCTTTTTCAAATGCATCCAAAAAGCCCACGAGGTCCTCACTAACCCTGAGAAGCGCAGACAATTCGATTCCGCCGATCCCCAGCTGCTGGAGGAACTGGAAGAAGACCTCCCTACGGCACAGTCGATGAAGGCAAACAAGCAGGACTTCATCCAAGCTTTCACGCCCATTTTCGAGCGGGAGGCCAGGTTTTCGAAGAAACAGCCAGTACCTATGCTTGGCAGCATCGACGCCAACAAGCAACATGTGGAAAGCTTCTACGATTTCTGGTACAACTTTGATAGTTGGCGGAGTTTCGAATGGTATGACAAGGAGGTCAATGAAGGCAGTGACAGGTTCGTGATACCCTTTTTCTTGTTCCGAATTTCGAATGACGACAGTTTCTCTTGACTGTAGCCGTGATGATAAGCGCTATACCGAAAAGAAGAACAAGAGTGAGCGTGCTAGGCGCAAGAAAGAAGACATCGCTCGTGTGAGGAAAATAGTTGATCATACTCTGAGGTCGGTGGCTCCAGGCGTAACAGTATACAAGTTTTCTGAATGTCTGCGGTCGCAGTTTGGATCCTCGCATCAAGCGCATCAAACAAGAAGAGAAAGAAGCAAAAGAATTGAAGAAGGCCGCAAGGTCTGCTCCAGCATCAGGAGCGAACACGCCTAAAGGGAAGAATAAGGCCGAAGAAGAGGCGGAAAAGAAGAAGAAAGAGGAGGAGGAGAAGGTATGTCTGTACTATGTTTCGTCCTTGCTGTATTAATCTGTCGACTAGGCTGCTAGGGCTGAGGCGAAGAAGCAGAAGGCTGCTGCTGCCAACGCTGCCAAAAAAGCCCGGAGACTGCAAAGAGCTGCAGAGGCAGAGGCGGGCGCGGCATAAGTTTGTTCATACCCCCGGGAATATATGATGTATGTAATAATCCCGGGAAATTTTCAAAAATCTTATTATATCCTATAGAGTTGTGCACCACATGTACGGGCTCGGGCTTAGCCAACGTCTAAATTTTGCTGCTACGTACGATGCTGTAGAGATGGCGCCGAAGCCATGCCTAATCAATCGGTGCTTTCGTTGATGATACAATCCCTCAATTGGTGAAGATGACTTAGTATCATGCGAATGGTTTGCATGATAACTTTGAAGGCCTTTCACTATCTACTAAAGCAAGCTATATACCACTCTCGTTTTCCCTAATACGATGATCCATGAGGCCTTGAGGATCAATCCTAGGATGTCGCAACTCGATATACTCTTCCACCAACTTGTACGCCAAGACGTTGCGGATAAAGACGTCTTGGCTTTCATAGTGGCTACCCCCGAGCTTCACCAATCGGGAGAATATTCTGAAGCTTTCTGATTAGCTTAAAGATACGCTATTTTTGACTTTCCTTCTCGAGGAACAGGCACCGTTATATGTTTTGACAGTTCGAATGGTCAGTCTCTCTCTCTAGCTATGTTTTGCTGAGGGCGTAAGACCAACTACGCTATACGTCCATCGTATAATATATCAAAGCTATGCTGTCCGTTCAGCATTCTCTCCCGTTGTCGCAAACCTTATGATTTACTCAGTGCTATTCACCGAACAGTATGACGTCATCACCCCGCCTTGGATCGACTGTCATACCGTCACTTGTTGAAAATCGGGTCTCAAAATGATTTCTGACAAAAGCAGTGGGTCCTTTTGCTTCTGTCTCCGATGTACGGTTGTGCTTTCTATTCTTATCTCTCGGCGCCGCTGATTCGCTTCAGTATAAGTAGGAGCCACATGGTATTTCGATGTGTGCTCTCCTTCACCGCGACACAATGCTCCTCTGGACAGCTCTTCTCCTGCTTTCAGCCTCCTGGGCTGGAGTCTGTGCCCAAGAGCTTGATCAACGGCTCCAGCAGTTACTCAGCGACAGGCTGTACCAAACTAATCTCAGAGGCCCGCGATGGAGTATGTTGAACTCATTGTCTTGTCGTCGTTCTGACGTGGACCTATGATGTAGCGGGTAGCGACAACCAGAACACACTAACGGACTCTGTTGCAAGATCCATGCGAATTGCAGGTCTGACAGTCGACACGCTAAATTATACTATCAATAGGTGAATGAATTTTTTTTTCAGCCACACTATACTGACTGTCTATTCGTTATGCAGATGGGATGCGCGATGGTGGTCACTCACACTTAATCTTCGTAATGGTTCCTCTATCGCACTGCCTACTACAGGATACTGGCCGTACAGTGGCGATAGCGGGTTGGAGGGAGTTACAGCACCTATGATCGACGGAGGAACTTTTGGTCTCTATCCAGATGAGACTGCCGATGAAAGCACGCTCAACCTAACTCAGCTCCGGTCAGAAACTCCTGGGACTGTTCTGTTTTTCGACAACCCAAGTCCAACAAGGAACTATTCATTACCTGGTTATAGCTTACTTGGGTAAGAAGCCTAAAAATGTGTCTCATTGGATGTGTACTAAAGCTTTCCCGTAAACTCAGTTCTAATGTTGATCCTGGCGATATCCCAGAAGTGTGTTCAATTTTGTTACGCCGTTCTAAATTAATAATCGCCCGATAGCTTGGAAATCTGACCAACCCGCATTGGCAATCAGCAAAAACCTTGAACTGGACGGATATGAAAGCTCGGGGTGTATCTGCTGTTGTGGCGTCTTGGGTTCATACTTCAGACGATAATGCTGCTTTGCAGTTCCTACCGAATGACGGTTCCGAGGACCAGTACGTACCAAACGAGGTTCCTGCTCTATACGTCGGAAACTCCACAGGAGAGACGATACGCCAACTACTCACGGATGCCGAAGTGGACACGGCGACTGTGGTCTTGGACGCGCCAAGTTATAACTCGTCAACTCAGACTGTTATTGGGCACTTGGCGGGTATTGCAGGCGGTAATGAAACCATCATTGTGTATACTCATAGTAAGTGCGTCTCATGGAGACTCAAACAATGATCTAAGTGTAGAGAATAGGTGATGGGCCTTCAATCATCGAAGAAAATGGTGGGTCACGTTAATTTTCTGATACCCATTGTCAAATAATGAATCGCCACACGTTGCGCGTCAGGTCCCATTCTACTCCTTACGATGGCGGAATACTTTGCGCGCCATCGGCCAAGAATCAATATTGAGTACGCTTTCATCTCATCATCTTATGGTGTGACTGATTTTATCGGCGGTTTAGTTTCGTTATTACGACAGGGCACATGTCCGGTGGTCATCTGAGTGAAACACTCTGGATGAAAGAGCGTCCGGAGCTATTGACAAATGCTGTAGCAGCAGTTGTTTGTGAACATTTTGGAGCGACTGAATGGAAGGACGATTTTAGCAACGGAGCTCCGGAATACAAAGCGACAGGAAAGATTGAGCCTATGTGGACTATGGCGTAAGTGCCGTTATTGTCGCTATCTTGTCCACCTCAAATCTCCGCCGCCCTCTCAGAAATAACTCGTCTCGTAGTACATTACTTCGGCATTCATACATGCACTCGCTGGAGGGCATTGACCAAGATATCCGAATGGCCCTTCTCTATCCCCGGACAGTTGATGGTGTTAGGTCCAGATGGTACGCGTTTCTGTGCTTCATTCGGGACGCTGTTGGTAATTGTAACATTCCAAGGTACGGAGCAGGCGGTAGTAGCACAATGGGCCGTTCCAAACTCCCAACACTCGGGTAAGAATTATCAATCATCTGATATTGTTCTATCTGACTTTTATCGCCATAGAATTATACCTCAGCCAGACTATTTATGGGCGGCAATGGTGGATGGTGGGTGGAGCAAGCTATCGATACCCATTGCGGTAGAGCAGATAAACACTATCTTGAGGCTTATCACTCGGTTGGATAGTGATTTTGCCAGTTAGACATCGTATACCTATTAGACCTATCCTTTATATCAGTCACATACATATCTCGGTAGTCGGTACCGGCTCCGACATCCGATGTTTGTCAGCAGCCTGGCTGAGAAAACCTTGACCACTGTCCATGTCGACGTCGAGGCAGTCATGCTCCTTATCCTTCACTATTGCGCAAACAGGTATATCGAAATCCTTGTTTTCTCCTCGCGTAGGAAACGTCTCGCTGACGCGCAATGGCGTTGATAAAATCAATATTGACACCCCTGGACTACTTGTGAACACGTCGCGCGGCGTTATACCTCATCTTTCCAGAGATCAACACAAGCAATGCTCAGCTGTGCGCTGGGTGCACGTTCCATTCGAGACGTTGTGAGTCCGTCGGTTGATATGGTGAGCTGCCGTAGTTCTCATTTGACGCTTCGCACCTTCATTGTATCATAGCCTAGAGCATAAGCCTCCCGTACCAACCCTACAGACCGGACAGGATCCTCTGCATCGTTTTCTTGGATATCCTGTCGATAAATTTGTGGTCTCGATGTCCCTTCGGGATCCTCATGATGGACGGGAGGTGCCTCCGAACGGAAATGCTTTCGTTTCAGCCAATAGTATCCGTGGCGTTCGTAAGGTGCGCGCCCTACGATACTATTTATTCTTTACGGGCTTATTTTTCGGTGTTGTAGGTCTCACCGGATGAATGGCGATCATATGTCCTAGCCTGCAAACCCGATATCGTCGTGCCATTGTCTGATACCCCCTTCACACCACCACCTTATTCTCAGAAACGGCTAACGAAAAGCATTGAGCGATCCTTTACTTGGTTAACCCACTTCCTTCAACCTATCGATGGCTTACATCCACTGAACGTCTTTGTCCATCTCGGAGGAGGAGCCAGCATTGCAGCGAGAGCGGCTTTCTCTGAAAGCCTTCTAGAAACCCTGCATGGTAAAGATGCAGACACAGTTAAGCCACTAAAGTCATTAGATGAAGGCGTCACAGGTTACCAATTGGACTTGGTCCCCCTTCGTCTAGCCTTGTCTGGAGTCGTTTCGGAACCCATTAATATCGACACATCTCCTGTTCCGACAAATCCTGACATCAAAACATCTGATGTTGTTCCCCTACTCCGCTCATCACTATCCCCTCTACCGGCGCACAAAATCCGTCTCGTGAGCTCTGCAGAGTCACCTCACGAGATGTTGACCCTTATTCAGCAAATTGGGGTAGACCTCTTCGATGCCCAGTGGGCTCAACGGGCTGCCGACATCGGAATCGCGCTAGATTTCACCTTCCCCGTAGGTAATTTCGGGACTCGGCGACGGTCGAATGGCAAACGGGATCTTGGTCATAATCTTTTCGATCACTCATATGCAGAAGACTTCTCCCCATTGGCAAATTGTTTCGTCGGACAAGCGGCTCACAGTGGTGATGTGCCTGTCTGCATGTGCGGAGCCTGTTCACCCGTTTCCCCACATGCACGGATAAGCCACTCCTACTTAGACGAGAATGCACCAAATGGCGGTGAGATTGGACCAGCGTTCACACGAGCATATTTACATCACCTGTTGCATACGCATGAGATGTCGGCGTATTCCCTATTGGTGCTTCATAATCTCATTGTTCTTGATGCCTTTTTTGCCGGTGTGCGAGATACCATCCGGAGCCTCGACGACGAGACGTTGGATCTAGAGTTCTCGAAGTTCTTCCAGGAATACGATGAAGAACTGCTAATTTTTGATGAATCGAAAGCCATGTGGGGCGAAGTTGAGATGGCTCGGGGAAAGGGACGACTCAGTAGAGAGAAGGCAAAAGAGACAATTTGAATGGAAGGTGCACGACAGCTGTATGGAGATGTCGTCTCATATACCATTCATTTCATAATGCCCTAAAGGTACTTGTCATTTTATCTGTGCTACAGCGACATCCAGAAGTTTAATCGTGCTTGGCAGTTGTATGTACCCACCCACATAGAGGCATATATGCTATTTGTCTACAATTCCACGCCAGCTCCCACAAAAGATGGACTTTTGTATAAACTCGACCGCAACCGGTTCGATCTGAACGCCGATAGGCACTACCCACCATGGTTCATCTCCACCATTGATGGGTCTCACGGATGCCACAGTTTCTGTGTTTGTCTCTTCAATCTTGCCTTACATACGTATAGCAGATAAATGATTGAAAAGGCCGTTGGCTATGCCTACCCACTACTTTGTTATCTTGAGATCCGCTGTACAGTGCTTGGCCACTGTCATCCGGCAATTCGCTGGGGGGAAAACATTCTACCTTCTCATTCAGCCAAGCCCTGCTGTCTTCTGTGAGTGTATCAAGCTTCATCCATCCAAATGCGACTACCCATTCTCCAGGTTGTTCTTTGCACTTATGGGTCAATGACTTCCACGGAAAATACCGATCAGTATAAACCCAGGGCATCTTCCGCCAATACCTTCTAGCCGGTGATTTCAGAAGCAGCACACACCCGGTCGTTTATGCTATGGCTCAGGGAGATGAGATGCCATTGGATGATTGGCTCATTATTTATGATGTCCATTTCCTCGATGAATATGTCCGACCATTTGATTCCTTGCCAGCTTTGGACATACGCTTGTTCAGTTGGACCTATTATCTGGCAGCCGATTTGCCGTAGAGACCTTCATATCCTGGCGTCTGACTTTCTTAATCTCCTTGACATCGCTCAGAAATACGACTTGATCATTACGTTGCTGCGGTCTTGCTCCTGTGTGATGCCATTCAAACAAGAGGACATAGGAGCTTAACCCTGGATACAGACTCATAGATATGAGCAGAGTCAGATTATCGTCTACTCGTCTTGCCTTTGCCTCACTACTTCTTGCGATTGGGTTCTTCTGCTCTACCGCGTGGGGTTGCTTGGCTCAGGAATAGCGACAGCTGAGCGTCGTAGCGTTTGCGTACTTGACCGCTTTTCCAGGTCCGAAGTGGCGGTACAACACCTCGCTACATCCGCCAGTAATTTTCAGCTTTACCCATATTCATCCGTGCACGCGGAACAAATTTACCGCTATAGGAGCCGCCCAGAGCAACTAACCGGTCATCATTAGCCGTGATGCACTGCCCTTTTTGCTTGCTTTTCTCGTCTCGATATCATGGCACGACGATACCTATCGTCACGTTTGTCTCCATAAATGTCATTCTCTTGTCCGGGACTATATACCTTAACTTTCACAACATTATCGGGCGCTATCTCGCTCCTCAGTATCAGGTGCAGCCGCTGCGAGCCATATCCCAGTCTGCGCGACTATCTGAGGTCAAACCGTACACATATGCAGACTTTCTACCATTGTCAACGAGTGAAGATCACTCTTTGGTGCGGAGCACTGCATGGGTTCCCTTGAGCTTGAGCGAGTGCACCTTTGGTATGCCAGGCCATTACGCGCCGTGCGTAGCGCAAAGGTTAGAACAGAAGGTCCTCTATGCAGAAGAGCTTCTCTACCCGTCTTTCGAGATTCGCCAGCCTTATTTTGCCTCGGAAGCACATAAGGAACGATGGAAGGGGGCTGCAATGAGAATCATAGAGCGTGGGGTGCTACAGAATGACGGTTGGCTCGTGTATAAGGGACAATCTGGGCATAACTTTGTGAGCGCGTTAGATTGTGCTTTCCTGCGTAGGATCCTTACGGTATAATTTATAATTATAGGTGTTTGAAAACGTTTCATACAGACATTCAGACGTCTATGACCGCTGGTCGGCTGATTCGTGTATGTCAAGCCTCGTTTCTTCGGACGGCCTCAAGATATTTGACCCGCTTGAATTGCTGGGAAGGTCCAAACCCCCCACCATATATCGAAATGCGATGATAGCCTCCTCACCCAACTTGTCCTCCTTCCAACACCATCTGGACCGTATAACTCATATAGTCACTCAGGGCGCACATCTCACCCTTGGCAGTGATCTCCCATATGTTATCACAGGACGGCAAGGCAACCAGTTCGTGCAACAGCTCTGGGAAAGACTGGGCTTTGACGATGAACACGTCTTGCACAGCGTCAACACAGATGTGTATGCGGAGAATATGATCTTTTCGTGTCGGGCGGTCTCGGTTCATCCGTTTCTCTCGTTGAGGACGCTCGAGGCTTTTGCGATTGATTCGATGAAGGAGTCCTCTACCAGGAATAAGGTGGGTGGTATCGGTTACTTTCCTCTGCTTACTCACCATGTCGTAATGACTAGATCATGTACATAATACGATTCAACATTCATGCTAAGAACGGAGGACGCAGGGTACTCAACGAATATGCGCTTCTTGATGCCATCCATGCGCTGCTTGCAGAACGAGGCAAGGGAGAAGAACTAATCGTCTTTGATGAAACTCAATATGGTTCTTTGTCCGAAATCTTTGACTACTTCAACGAGAACGTCATGGCGGTTGTAGGCCCTCATGGAGGAGCTATGTATCATCACCGCTGGGCGGCTCGAGGCACGCTTGTCATAGAGATGATGCCTACAACGTTCACCTCCATGGAAATATACGAAGAAGCGCCGGTACTTTCTCAGACCTATGCGGCGTTGGTGGTTGAGCCTAGCTCCCCAGGGGGACGGGATATGATCATCAATCCTGAGGATGTAACGAAGCTCTTGAGGGAGCATTTGGGCATACCGATGAAGAGACCGCGTCATGCAAAGCATATGGGATACTTGGTAGTAGAGGAGACGGACCAACCTGATGATGATCATCTGGCAGAGGACCCACTGAGGGCTAGCTATCAGTGGAGAGAAAAGGAGCTTGGATTTTGACTGTAGCGATCTGCTTGTCAGTATCACGGAACAAGACCGGACTTGGAACTCATGGATAACATATCTAATTGCGCTACATTTCGGCGCAGATCTTGTATGCTGTTTGGGTTCGTGTCAGTTGGTGATCGTGTATCACCGCGAGAAATTAGCAGGGTCAATGCCCGATCATCTCAACCGCAGATTCAAACCAATTAGCCCACCACCGGGCGTAAAAGTACCATACATGTCCGTTACTCTACTCCACATCATACGTCGAAACACCAGGGGAACTCAGAAGGAAGAACGGAGGGACCGGAACAAGAGGGAAAGGGATCCTGAGGACCGGTATCTCCACCGCGTCAAGTTAGTAGTCAGTTTACTTGTGGCGGCTAATAAATGCTGAAAACAAAAAAAAAGCCCGATCAACATGGCTTATCTCATGTCTTTTTCAAATTTCATGTCTCGATACGTGGCTTTTCATCGCATTACTTCTTCGGATATTTGTTTTTGTCTTTGTCTTTCCCTTGTACTATATGCGACTATATAGTATACAGACCAAACAGCAAGAATCCTCACCTTTGTATCTAGTGCTTGCAGGTAAGTTTACATACAGCTTCTCCTCACCTTCGTACTGTACTCACTGCTTGCAGTACTTCGTAACGTGTAGACAAATTCTTTTCTCAACTAGCCACGACCTCGGACTACGGTCCGGAATTTCCCGATCCTCAGAACTATTGCCACCACTGCCACTTTCACCGTGTCCTACTATGTCGGAATCCGCTGCAAACACATCTGTCACACTCGAGGCTTTCGACAAGCTGAAAAACCTGGTCACCGCTCTTTCGTCACAGCTCTCTGCGCTTCAAGCTGAAGTTCAACTCGATTCCCTATCTCAGTTTACGCAGCAACCAGCGCCCCAAGGTTCCTCTGCCCTTTTTATAAGCCCTCTAACGGGCAACTCTGCAGCTGGTGCATCTCCTTCCCTTTTCAAGCTCTTTCCCGAGGTCGAGGAGGCTACAATTACATCGATCATTCAACATGAGTTTCGCAGCTCTGACCTGTATAAACTCGACCCACGTTATCTTTACTATAACGCAGAATGGAAGACTTTGGAGCACAGCGGTACTGCTCCTGAGCACCCCAATGATTTGTCGTTGAAGGAGTGCAAGGCTCTCAGCTCCATCATTGTTCCTCTGTCCACCTACTTCTCCATTCTCATCACGCACAACCAGCCGACTGGGAAATCTGCCTTGCTTGCAGTCCAGCTTTTCCGCTACATTGTTCATCTCGCGAGAATTGCTTCCGAATACGAGTGGCATGCGGTCGTCTCATACCATATGGCGTTCTTCACTAGACGACGACGCGAAATGATCCACGGCGACTACGGAGGATGGGGGCGTGTTGACCTTGAGCTTCTTGGTGAGTATCTTTTCCCTAACAGGAAAGCCAAGGCGTCTTCTTCCACCTTGAAGAAAGCAACGCCTGCGGATCGCTCAACCACGCCATGCCGCAACTTCAACATCGGTAAATGCATTGGAGCAGTGTTCCCGAGGTCGCCAGCATATCTGTTCTACTTGTGGTAAACTGGATCATGGTGCCCATACTCACAAAGCATTCCCATCGTCCTGACGTTTATAACTCGAGAGGAAAAAATACTAATTCGCGTACAACAAGATGTACAAAGTCCTATGAAATGTAAAAGTCCTAAACTGCATATCACACTTAGTACCGAGCATTCCAGCAAGAAGTGTCGTAGTGATCGTTGTGATCGCTGTGCCCCGCCTCATAGTCCGCCTTCCAGGTCGCAATGTCGACGGACTCCCCATAGAGTGCGCAGATGGACTGCTCCTTTTTCTCTGGTGAGAAGACTAGCAAAACCGTCAGACGAGAGTCCAATGAATGCGAGACTTGGACGTACCTTGGCAAGAGTAACATTTCTCGTGAGCCTCGCAGAGGGTCTTACAGTCTAGATTGTAGCAGTGAGTAGGCGCAGACTGGCAGCAGGGGAAATGGGTTTACCGAGCTCAGATGTGGCCTTGTTAACATACCCAGTAGTGATGGGAATGTACTTGCCCGACTTCCATTCCTTCCAGTCGCTCTTATTCTCAAACACTGGTTCCCAGGTACAATTGGTAACGGGCCACTGTTGGGGGCATTTGAATCCGCATTCAGACTGTTCAAAAATAAGTTGAAAATCGCGACTGAGCAGAGTTGGGAGCAGACGTACATCCATCAGGCAAGGACAGTCTTTGTGGACGTCCGAGGGGCACTGCTTGCCGCTACCAGACCAAGTCCAAGTGGGCTTCCAGGCGCTACCATTGCCGCCGACGTCTCTGCCATGATGGTGGTGTCCTTTGACGTGCTTGACTTTGGCGAGATGTTCGCCTTTGTGGTGTTCGCCCTTGCGCTCAAACTCGCGGGCATTGATAACGCCGGAGAGAACGGGAGCGACGAGTACGGCAAGGGGAATCAGAGCAGCAAGTGAGAAACGCATATTGGTAATTGTGACTGTAGAAACAAGGATAGCGAGTTTATCTGGGAGCTACTGGCATTTCTGGAGCCTTTTTATACTTCAACACCATGCGGACATGGAGGTCCGTAGCCAATTTACTCTGAGATTGTGACGTCTATCTCAGAGGAGCGCGACGTAGGTGATGATGTTGGAAGGAAATACGTTTCATGGCGGTTGGTGTGGTCGCACTTGAAAAGATTTGCGGCTACGTTTTGACCTAGGCTCGATCCGCGCAAAAAATAGCGTCTAGTACGGAGGGGAGCGACCTCGATGTTCGACATCCTTTGCGTTGAATTTTTGCTGCTAAGGATAGCTGACGACGTAAGTAAAGTTTCAGAACAGTGACGTTTGAGATCAGGATAAAGTAGTCCTGTCGTACGAACGGCAAATTTACCTCGTTCACCGTTTCGAACGGCTCAAACTAACATCTGAGAAATGCTGGAGGGAAATTGGCGAAAGACAGTTCAAACTGTTGATAACCGCCAGACATGGCTTGTGAGAGGTGAAGTTCTACGTATGGCCGGCGAATTTACCTCGTTCACTGATATGTTCCGAGCGGCTCAAACCTTTGCGATCGGGAGAGCAAGTGGCACCAGACAGCCGTGTCGAAATACCCGTAGGAGTGGAGAAGCAATTCTAACCCGCCAGTATGATACGCCCTAGAAGATTCAGCAGCAGACGCTCTCCACAACGAAAACGCCGCATACCAATGAATTGTTGACCCTTTGTAGCACTTTGTATGTACAACACCGCATTTCCCGAAATAAAGAATCATCATGGAGCTCAGTAGTAGACATTCCAGCATGAAGAGTCGTAATACTTCCTGCCATACTTGTCGTCGTGCTTGCCGTCGTACTTATCATCGTAGTACTTGCTATCATCACAATCGTCCTCCCAGGTCAGGATGTCGATGATTTTTCTTCAAATAGCTCGCACATGAACTCCTCTGCTTCTTCCTCCTCCGAGTAAACTGAAAAAAGGGGTCAGGTAAATACTGAAACCAATATATACATCAGACGTACTTTGACAAGTGTGGCACTTGTAGTCGTCCTTGCAACCGTGCTTCTTGCAATCTGAACAGAAGGCAGAAGTGAAAATGGACTCGGACAACATAGAAGAGAGGTGCGTACCGATCTCAAAGGTGTCCTTCTTGATAAACCCGGTGCTGTAGGGGGTGTACTTGCCATTCTTCCATCCCCTGAAGTCTTTCTTGTACTCTCTCAGGTGCGTTATTTATTGTTGGGCTTCTTCCTCTCCGACCGGTCGTCCTTGTGGTCACCAAACTCGCGGTCGTTGTCTTTGTGGTATTTATCGTTGTAATCGACTTTGCCATCGTAGTCGCCTCTGGTTTGGACGGTGCCAGAGAGGGCAGGGCCCACGAGGACGGCGAGAGGGATGAAAGCGACGACTGAGAATCGCATGTTGATGAATGGGCTGTCCGTCTGGAATATTTAGTGCACTTTTATTTCCCCTCAAATGCCAAGCGATACTAGTATTGTCTGGGACCAACCACTCTGAACCCGAAGAGCATCGTGTTGAGAGTAGGATAGCAACGAGGAAACGATTCGTCCGTATCTGATCCTTCGAGTGAGTGCCAGTTAGATACGGTGCAGATGACAGGAAGATGATAACACAAGGAAAAACATTTCAGTTGCGCCAAAAATATATGAACCACCGAAGACATTCATTTAAGCCTAGGAAGCTTGTAGGTTGTGCTGCGATCCTCGCCGCTCAACACCTGGTGTGAGTCTAAGTCCTCGACGAGAAGGCGCTATGTCCATTCGGCGACTGAATGCACCCAAGATACGGTACTAGAGATTTTGCAGCACAGAAATAAAGGAATCCCTGACCGATGCCCGACACAAAGTTCATGCGAAATGGAGAACGGAAACTGAAGGCAGTGACGCTAACGTAATCCAGTGTTGTGGTTAAGGCCTTAATTAAGGACTTTTTTTTTCTTAAGGCTTAAACCTTAATTAAGTCCGTAATTAAGGTATTTTCTTAAGGTTAATCTCAGTAGGGGAAAGCTATTGTTGGGGCTATAGACGACCTGATTTTGGGTCGTTAAGGGTATTTTACGGCTCGTTATTTCCTAGACTAGCTAGTATATACCTGTGGAATGCATGTGTCTCCATTTTTCATACCCTGGAAGGGTCAAGTGCCAGGAAGGAAGGGGAGTCTTGCCGCTCCGGCTTCTTCGGCAACCGTGCCGGAGTTCCACTTAAGGTTAATTGAGCCTTAGGAAAATTGGCCTCGCCAATCAAGGGTTAACTTAAATGCCATTTAAGGCTTAAATTAAGCTAAGCTTAAGACCTTAACCACAACACTGACGTAATCTTCCTTCTCGGAATGGTCCGGCATCTCCATTCTAGGCTACTCCGCCAATTCCCGGCTCCTGTTCCGATTCTCTCTGGATCAGCTCAAGTTCTGCTTGCTGCTCAATTTTCGATCTTGTTGGGTGCTTTTTGACCTCAAATTCTAGTCATTGAGTACTAAACTTGTTTTTCTTGGAATTATCTGAGATATCTTATGCCTCCAATCCGTATCCTTCGAATATCAATCCGCGCTGGCTCTGCCAAGATTAAAGTCCTTCCACACACACTCCACGGCGAAAAAACAAATCTGAATTATGTATTATAAGTAATAAACAGTCGTGATGCAGTCATAATCAACAATGTTAAAGTCATGCCAAGTACGCAAGTTCCGTCAATCTCCTACTTTCATCATCCTCAATATGACTGGTCTCCGTCATAATGGTGCCGTGACTATGAATGGTAATATCGAGTAATGGTCTCAATATAAACGGAGACGAACTGCCGATTTGAACCCCTTCTTTGTATCCCTTCTCGAAAACTGAAGAGGAATCTGTGGCACAAGTCAGAGACGAGCACAGTGACGGCGAAGAAGGTGTAGAAGATTGTACGTCGTTCGACCGACACTCGCCAGGACGCATAGAGTGGCGACAATCATCAGGGGTCCTATCCAGCAGTGGCGAGAGAGTAATATCTGCGGATATATCCGAACCTTCTCCACGGCTGGAACTCGTTTCAGCATATGATATATCGCTTCCCATGGACCCTCGGTGCGCATCCACTTCGGCGAGCCACTGTAGTACATCTTGCGTGACTGGGCGTGCTTCATCTTCGTGCCATATCTTATCCTCGCGCAGTTCGTTTCCTGTACCCATCTCTTCCACAAGCGTTCGTGCATCCCATTGGGATTCCCGACCGCATATGCTCGTCGTCGATCGAAGCGGGGGCAGTAAACCTCTATCCCGAAGTGCTTCTTCCCGCCGCTGCCGAATTGCGCGCTCGGATGAGGACGAAAGACTCCGCGATGAAATAGATATTCTGTGACAGCGCTTAGTGGCAAATATTTTAAAAAATCTTCCTGAAAAACTGACCTTTTCCAACGGATGTTTTTGTATCGTTTTGAAGATTCGTTGGTTTGTTCGTTGGATTCGCTACATCCTGTAGAGGTCATCAGTAAACTGCAAGTTCATTGTGTTGATTATGAACAAGAACCTTGCATAATGCATCGGCATGCTTTCTTTACGCCGTTGAAGAAAGACATCTTGAGGTAGAAAGTAGGAAAGACGAGTGACCACGGGGAGCACGAAGGTGAGGGGCGGCGTAGCGATATTTTAGAGGCCACTGTCCACGAAAGATGCTGGATATATAGCAGCGCTGAGTGCTGAGAAGGTAGCTGAAGGGACGTCTCCTAGCGATTCGTGATGTTGATCTGATTAAAGGGCATGTTATATTGCCAAGTGGCGTCACTGTGTATAGATATGGAACAGAAGGCCCCCGAGACAGTTGCAAGAAGGCTGCAAGTTTGGAGCCGTGGAGAGTTATGTTTAAGAACGCATTAAACTTGGAATCCGAGCGAGTTAGAATAGGGTGTCTGCGATGCTAGTGACATCACATCACTCTAAATCAAAAACAAAGAAGGTGATCTTGGTTGATGACAACGAGGAATCAAGCAGGATTTCGGTTTCGATGGAAATCAAACGTCAAACACTACGGCAATGAGACCAAAGCATATGGTCCTGCCAGGATGTGGCGAAAGCGCAAGCTAGGCGTCCTCGAAGAGAAAACAACTACAAATCGGTGTTTATTCCTTAACGTGACCGTGGCAGTCGCCAAAGCCTTTGCGTGGGTGCCGATGTGGATGAATCACAGAAATCCTGAGACTAGCCCCTGGTCATCGAAAATTCTGCGCTCCCATTTTTTTCCATACTATCCACGACCAAGATGTTTTAAACAGAGACACCCGAGCTTGCGGAAGAAGTCTTCGTTACAATCCAGTGGCAAGACAGCTGAGCGACAGTGGTCGTCGTAAAAGAAGCGGAAACCGGGCCGAACACCGCACTACCCTTGTTCTGTATTGCCACTTTGGTCCCGCTGCCTGCATGGAGTATAACCATCCTCACAGTAAGAGAGTGATCTTGACTTTGTCGTAAATCATTGTACGTCTTCAAGACGAGTTTGGATGATGTTGGAACACCTTTCGCGGCAGGGTCTAGTGCAAGGGTGTTGAATCTATCATTCAGTATATTGAGGCTTGTCGTTTTCTACTTTTGTTCTCGTCCATCTTTCTAGAGATATCACGAGAAGCGTGAGGGAAAAATGGCAAAGACACAGTGATAAAAACAACGGAAATCTCCTGCATTACTGGAGGATACACGGCAACAAGTAATTACATAACAGCTGTCTCCACACTGAGGTTAGACTACAGTCTGGAGGGAGAGATCGATAAAATCTTCCAAGGATTCGTCGAACTGAAGCCAATTAGAGCAGAAAGATACGGAATATCTATAATCTTACCTGCAACATTAAAGATGTAGGCCACGGGGATACTTTCTTGTTGTTATCCAGATACCCGTACCGAAGTTGACGTCTAACATTGTCCTCAATCTTGAACCTATACACATTGTTCAGTGCTATTATTGTAGAACAATGCTATTTGGAACCATCCTTACCGACACAACACACCCGATTGACCTGGTCCCCGACATATGCCAGGATAGCTGCACACAGCTCGCAGTGTTTCGCTCAGAATCTTAAGAACACTATAAACATGGTACAGAAATACGACGAATAAGCACACCTTCATAGTGAGCGACTCTCCTAGGCATCTTTTAGACGAATCCATGAGCGAGACTCGATGACTTAAAAGATGCCTACATACTGTGATAGTCCGAAGATCTCTTGCTGCATGTTTCCATCTAGAGCTGGTTCTAAGCCAACTATAGCACACATTTAAGTTCTCAGATTCTGTACCGTAGTACGAGATAAACACGCACTTGACGCCCCGCGGAAAGTAGGATCTTCGCCTGCGCTTTTCAGCATGCAATGGGGGAAGTAAACGAAGTGGAACTTACGCATGGCACCGCGAACACGGCTTTCAATGTCCCCTGTTCGAGACTCAGGCCTCAGACAGATATTAACAACGTTGGTCAGAGCTAAGAGCGCGTGAATGACACGTATTAATGTGATATATGACGACCCACCCAGAGACAGTTCCACGGACGCACCCACCATAACGGCCAAAATCGTGTTGGTGACTTCATCTCCAGGAATCCCGAGGTCGACAAGACGTTTAGCAAAGTTGATGTCGGGTCCTTGGTTACCGCGCCCGTATAGCCAAAACGCATTTTCAACGAAGTTGACGATGGAGAACTGACGTGCTTGGTTAGCATCGGAAAGAATTGCACATTCGCAGAGATTTACTTTATCAGCATATCTGAAATGATTGGCCAAGTGCTTGACATCGTGGCGTACTTTCTGCTGCAAGTTTACGAGTCTGGATCCCTCTACGTCCAAGAGTATGCATCTGTCATACTGCGTATTGAGCCAAATGATTGCAGGGATGGCTGTCACGTACTCGTAGATATTTCCCAGGATGTCATACAACTCCAATGGGGTATACGATCCACGGTGGGAACCCTTGGTCAAAGAAATGCCGGCCTATAAATCCGTCGCATGAACCCAAAGATGTACTAAAAAAACCTACAACACGCACCACTTCCGTTGCAACAAAACCAATCGTTAGAGGTTTCAAAACGTCACGGACGATATCGATCACACGCTTCTCGCATCCCACCTTGCAGAATGATTGCTCCGACATAAGCGTAATGGTCTGGGCGTAGAAATACTGTCCGATCTTGTCCTCTGACCCCATGAACGCAATGAGCGCGTTCAATACAACTCGACGGCGCTCCTCGTTATTTTCAACGATGTAGAAGCTATAGAATATCGTTAACTATACGATTATACGAGGATACGAGGATGAGAAGAGAAGGCTTACCCTTTGCCTTCGGCTTCTAGAACATTTGCCGCCTTTCGAGCCTGTTTAGAGCCAACACTCGCAGTTGCTTCCTTTTTCACCGGTCTCTTCAAGCCATATTGATCCTCTAATCCCATTTTTGTCAAGTGAACCTTCATTGACTGGGGTGTCATCAATGGGAAAAAAGCATAAACGTTGTTCCCATCCTCGCCGAACTCACAGGGAAGGGTTCTGAGGAATAACTTCCCGAGAGCTCCTCCAAAGCCGAAGGCATTGGGATCACGTTGACAATCGGCGAAACCCCAGGCGGTGAGGTTGGCAGGCGTGAAGTCGCGAGTGAAGAACCGGTCACCACGTGTAAGGGCAATCGCATCGCTGAGGATAGCACGGCTAATTGTGTAACCTACAAAACATTTGAGAAATGAAGATACGGCGGCAGTCGGAGTACCTTACCCGGGCATAACCCGGCTCCGTCAACGAGTGGTTTGGCTTCCTCAGCTTGCAGCCCAACATACAGCTCAAGACTATCAATGTTGCCGTATAGCTTCTCCGCAGCAAAGGCAATGTTGGGGTCGGAATTCCATTCTAGGAATGTAGAGAAAGCTGCCTTTATATCTCAGAACTTGGGTACTTGATATTGCCTGGTATCACCTACGTCTTAGTCCTAGGAACTGGAAAATGTCAACGAGATTGGCCATGCTTAAATGAATGCCGAACCTTTCGGAAATCGTTAAGAGAGCATACACCCCAATGCCGATTTTGCTCTATTCCTAATATCTCATGGAGCCGCATGGAAGCTTATGACCAGCATCAGTGTGCATGTTCCTACCGTCAGGCGAAGAAAACGTACGAGGTGTTCCCCTTGCTCTAAAAGCGGCTGCAGGCTCGTCGGTCCTAGAAGTAGTGAGCAACGACTTGAGTTTCTCAAATGGCTCACACCCTACGCATCGTGCAAAATCTTGGCCAAGTCTTCGTCCTTAAAGTAGCCGTCCTTTCTTCGAACCATGCTGGAAAAAAATATTAAGCCGCTCCTTCCGCTCTATCCAAACACTTAACTCACTGTCCAAAAGTCCAACGGGTCACGTCCGGATCCATTTCGCTCAACTTCTTTCCAACAACCTTGAAGTCGGCTAAGGAAATTTCATCGTATGCTTTCCCGTCAAACATATCGTCCATCAGGTCATTCACCCAGGTTTCGTCTTTGGCACTTGTGGTAGCATGCCAGCGGTAAAGGCAGTTAAACTAAACATGAGTTAGGAGTAATCGATGTCATTCAATCAATATCAGAGAACATAGTAGCCGTACCTCAACGCTGCAAACATTCCCTTCTCCGCGCTCGAATAAGGAATGATCATCTTTTCGAAATTCCTAGAACAAGAGTGAGCGTTATGGTGAACAGGCAGTCGCCGCATAAAAAGTACGGACACCAAACGGGTTTAGACTCCAGCTGCTACCCTCTCGTACGAGACCCAAAATGCATGAGAAGTAGTCAGAAAATACAACTAGTTATATCAACTTTTCGTTCATGTAAAATTAAGTGGGTGCATACCATTTCCGAACCAGCCACAGTTGACCAGACGAGCAGTCTGAAATAACTCTTCATCTTGTTTGAGAGCAGCAGCTGCTGATAACAGTAATGGATCCAGATATGCACCACTTTCGTTAACTTCGAACAATTTTTGGGCGATGTACTGAACAGACAAGTTAGCCTCTCTGCCGTCAGGACTGTCGGTTTACACTCACGTTGTGATTCCTACAGAACAACACTAGCAGAGCACAGACAGCGGGCGGAAGCAGCATAAGTCTGTCTTCGGCGAATACGTCATTGTGCAACTTTCCATAACCATCATACTTTCGAACTTTGCTTTGGCTTGCTTCGTTATGCCCATACAAAGGTGCCAAATCTACGTAGGAAGACGTCTCGTTGATGCTGATATCATGGCGTGATGTTCGGAATACCCTGTGAAGAGACTCAGAGGGGAGAGTTAAGATGTCTGATATTCCACGTACGTATGTACGACAAGTGCGGCGAATGCGAACATGAGGGAAGACAATCCTCCCGGATGCTTGACAAACTGCGCAAGGCATTGACATAGTGCTAAGAATAAAGGAAATACTTACCCCGTCACGCTTCAAGAGACTGAAACTGGGGAATTAGGGTTGACTCATGCAAGATTGGAGCCAACGTTCACGCACGTATCGAAAATTAGGCCAGCGTCTGGCATTTCCCGCCCCGGTAGGGGATTGGACTGCTGTACGCTCCTAGCGTAAGGTGTTCCCGCCTTTCCCATGTCTGGAGATAGAATGTTGTTGTTTGACCCGTCAGCAGTGCGAAATTTATATTTGTTCCCAATATACGTAGCGGGAGGGTGAGTGAGGTCATTATACACTAGAAAAGCGTGTTGACTTTCTGATGCCTAGTCAGAACCGGATGAGACGTACATAAAACAATAACTTTGTTCTGGAGACTCTGAGAAACTGATCCGGAAGGAAGGCGAGCGAGGAAGGCGAGAATATGCTCGAGCTGATAAGAGGATGTAAGCAAAAAGGATCATATAAATGCGATTGTAATTACCAGGAGCTTTCTATCATCCAAACTATCGTTATGACGTATCGCATCGATGACCGCAGCCTAGAGATTTACATGTCATATTCTTGCCATACTATCGATGCGGCAGGATGACTTACAAGTGTAGAGTGATCCAGTGGTAACCCCTTCTTGACCAGTTCTCGGAAATCTTGGAGAATCTTTGGAAGTCCAAGACCACTGCTACTGGTGAGATCGTCCGATATTACAGGTTGCGACATGCTGTTAACTGTCCTTTTGTTAGAGTCTTTCGACTCGAGCGCCTATAACGAGACCGTCACGTTGGGTGTGAACACCATTGTTGATACAACATACATATGTTTTCGGCTGAAGTTCAGGATGATGGGTTATGGGGGAAATCCTGGTAGACTGGGACATCACAGCGTAGGTTGCAGCGCGGTGGGAAGTTGTTGTGGGCTCCCAGCTCGATATATGCTGATATACCAAGCTCCAGACAACAGGTCCAAGATCCTTATCGACGTGCACACATGCTCAACTCAATACTGAAGGTCCTTACGGAGTGGGGTGAAACTTGATCTTGATTAAAAGTGTTTGAATGTCTGCAGCTGCGTTTTGTTTAAGTTAAAAAAAAAATAATACCTATGTATTATCCTGCATGTAAACATATGTCCGGATATGACAGCCACAAGTTCCACCTACCTCTCGCATCTCTTCCTCTGCTGCTGAACCTCAACTACCGAACGATCTGTCGTTCCTTGCAGGTGATTACCCGCGCCCACCTCGTGATGGATGTCAATCGCTGTTCCATCATCCTTCTCGTCCTTTCCCCTGTCACCTGTCTTCTTCCGCTATTTCTATCTCTGGGAATCTTCTGAACGTCCTGCAGCTGCGTTAACGAGCTCTAGGTATCGGAAACGTTCTCAATCAGATGTTTGAAAAGAACGTATGGGGCTGAAGCTTCTGCTGTACTTAGCTTCCGGTCGAACCATGGAAGTTGATGGACTGTAATGGCAGACATATTTAATTCCTGGAGACCCGGCCGCCACGCAAATTGAGCCAGGAGCCTAAAGATGCCTCATGTAGTAAGATGGCGAAAGACTTTAATTCCCGGGCATTCAAACCCTATCCCCGTGCAGCAATGTCTTTTCTTTCGAGATTCAAAAGAAACAAACGGCCCCCAGATAAAGCTTGAAGATTGAAGTCGCAATGTGCTAAGGCCTCGTGGCGGGTGACTGACAGAAAAGGAGGTAAGTTATGTAATAATAGCTTCGATCACGTTGACTCTAATCGAGATTCGACACCACGACGCGCGTTGCCAACTTCGTTGCTTTGCTTAACTGAAGCTCAAGCTAACTTGATAGCGTCACTACTAGTATGTACCGATGTCTAAGGCGACCCAAATATCTCCAGTATCCCTTCGGAAAACCTGAGGCGAACCAGCGAGGACTCTTCAAGTTGATCAATACCGTTTTAATGGTTCAGTTACTGTACTGGCAGTTCCTTTACTCAGAATGGAGATAATAAAAATTTTAACACATTTCTATTTAAAGTCCAGTTTTTCTGGTTGGTTTGTCCTTTTCATTTGCTTTCTATCATCTGTTAATTTACCTTCCAGTGACTTACTTTTCTTTTCACAAACCTCTCTTGTGGATTGAACTCCGAAGTTTGAGGCACTTAATACCTCAAGACGGTGTATATATTTTCAAGTGCGGATTGGTAATTTATGATAAGCTTCAATTGGAAGCAATTACACGGGCGGTCGGTGCAATTTGACCTCGCAGGACGATTCATGATCCAGACGTTGATACAAATCTTGGCACTCTCGGTGTTTAGATTTGGATTTGATAGGGAAAGAACCATTTCATTAGGATCCGTGAGTTCACGGCCCTACTCTGGTAATGATCAACACACGAGGAGCACCCTTCTTTTCCATTGAGTATGGTGCAGCTTGTTCCTGTGATTCTACACTAATGTACATGACGATCGCTTCTAGCATACAGGTGGCACTATCTTGACTATTGCGTCATGGTCGCGCTTTATGGTCTCAAAGGTGGACAACCTAGCGAAGCCAGACCCGATAGCGGCAGGTTCATAGGGCGCTTTATCCTTCTGGTTTGTGTATGATTAAGGTGATACCATCAGTATCACCCGTAGCTCCAGCTGACAATTAATGATACTAGTGCACTAGCAGATAACTAGAATTGATTCAGGCGAGGAAACATCCTTTGAATAGTATTGGATCACACGCGATATCTCACTGCGAATTTGAGTGACAGCACTTGCCGGGATCGACTCATCTTCGTTTCCCTCCTCAGGGCCTCACAACTCGTCCAAATGTCACTTTACGACTGGTGTATCATGTATTGTTAGCGGTACATTGCCTCAGTGCCAGTGTTTCCTACGCATCAGATCGAGTGCCAGGAAAGCAGGCCGAGAATCCAATACTACTAGATCCGAATCCTACTTCTGACCGTTGAGTTTAATTGCAGCTAGGTGTATTTATACATGCGTGTACTTCTATTTCGCTCTCACTTCTCATCTTTCGCCATGGTCATCAAACCAATCATAGCTGCCGTTCAGAATTTTTACATCCTCACCTGGGATGTTGGACTCTCCATTTTCAATCTGTTAACACCAAATCTCAAACCTGGACATGTCATCCCAGAAGGGCACCCCGGCGCAGGTGGGTCGTGGCCCGAGTATATTGCCCCCAAGGAAGGCGATAGCAGGTGCTCGTGTCCGGCTCTAGATGCCTTGGCTAATCATGGTGAGTGTTGGTAATACACCGCTAACGGACTCGTATTTATCAAAACGCTAGGCATACTACCCCACGACGGGAAAGGCATTCCACTCCAGGAGCTAACACGAGTCGTTCGGGCTACATACAATTTCTCTCCTTCGCTCTGTTACTTCGTGCCATTGTTCTGTGCAAGAATGCTAGGGAAAGATTATAATAAAGGTTCGAAAACTGACTCGGCTCAAAATTTTCCCTTTTTTTACTGAGGCAACAATTTTAGACGTCGTGGATCTATCTGAACTGGATTTACATAACGGTATTGAACACGACGCCTTACTCACAAGTGAGTATTCGCCATTCCCAGTCTCCATTTGTTTGTCTCTAATTTCTCTCAAAGGACAGGATCTGTATCATGAGCCCAACCAGGCGACTCCTCATCTTCCCTATATCGAAGAGCTTCTCGCTTCCCCTTCCGGAAAAGCGGTGGATGGTTCTTTGGGAGCTCCAAGTACGTTGCTTTTATGATCCTCTCTACAAACTACAACACCATCTGACTGGAGTAAAGTTCGTCGACAATGCTTACGATAATGGGTGGAAGAGTTAAAGACCTCGAATCTTTTTTGGTCGAAGAACGCATACCAGATGGTTGGGAGCCTAAGATCCTGTCGAGGAATGGGCTAACGATCCTGGGCTTCAATCGAACAGCCATGAAGGTGGGATACGAGACGAAAAAACTGACGGACAAAGCTGAGAAGGAAGATTAGGCGCAGATTTACAAGTTTAGAAGAATTATGACAAAACCTCTGTATCCCATTCTCGCTCTGAGCGTATTTTTTTGCAGATATTTATTCAGACCTTTTCTAGAATTACAAAGAATACTTAATCACGCATTCAGGCTTGTCAAATACTTGAATTCCTTCTGGCCAATAATCATACATGAGATATTTAAAACGCAAATCAATATTTACTCCTCCTGGTCGGCCTCCAAGATCTCGCGAGCATGGCCTTTAGCTTCTTTGGAAACGTTAGGATCTAAAAAAAATGGATTACTCAAAGTGAAGTGTTGCAAGTATACAAGAAAAGCTCACTCTTCAAGGTGGCCTTGTATCCACCTAGCGGAGACATGGGTCAGATAATGGGGCTACAGAAAAAATCGTTCATACCACGCTGATTGCCGCTCAAATTGACATCATCGTCGCTGACGGGTACGCGAGTAGCGCCTTGGCTGTAAGACTGCGGGTCCACTTCGCCTTCTTGCATGTGCTGCAGTTGGTCGGTGGCACGCTCTTTGGCTTCCTCAGAGACATTAGGGTTGTGAACGGTTGCTTTGAGACCGGCCGCCACGCGGACGGGGTCCTTGCCAGAAGTTTCTGAAACCTTGTTCAGCCTATCAATAGGTGCGTAGGTGCCAATAAATATACCGCGCTGAGTAGACATGGTTGAAAGAGGTAAATTGGAGGGGGAAAAAGGGATAAGTCGCTGGTCTTATATTCGAGAGAAACCACAAATGAGCGCATGCATGATATAATGGTGGATCATTGACGCCATAAGTGACCACAGTGAAACTACGCGTGTTATCGATGATCAAAGTCTCCGTCATCATAAAAATTGTGTTTAGGAATCCATCAGGACTTTAGTTATGAATCATTACCATAAACAATCCTTCGGCGCGAAGAATATGAGTTCGACAGGCTGAATAAATGTTTATTGTAGCTGAGCCTCTCCGAACTTGCAAGCTTACGCCGAGACATAGAGGGTTCACTGGATAGGAAGCAGTGGAGCGTGTCTTGGCCGGAACAAGTCTCCCACCATGTGGCGGCGTATGCCCAAAATCATGAAGGGTGATGCCTAATCGCTGGGTCCTGCTTCGATCGCAGATTCAAGTAGAAACCGTAGGGAAATCGGTTTAAGGCTGTGGCTTTGGATCGGGAGCGTGTTCTTTCTTCTGAATCAACTGGATATGCGATATGTAAGTCACTGGCAGAAGTCAGTGGTCGAAGTTCGTGGCGCCGGATGGAGTGATGGGTGTCAGCGGAAACCCAAACAGCGTTCGACGAACGGATGTCGTCGTGCCGGGCTTGGCTTGGCTAAGTACAACGTGTTTCAGGATGATTCTTCTAGTAGCCAGAATTTCGAGACGCGGACGATCATAGATTTCTGGACGTTGGGAAAACATCGTGGAGAAGGTCTGTGGTGGGACGTGAACATTCTCGACGTCACAGATGCACCACAGTTCGACACCAGTGACGCAAGATACCGCTCCATTATCCCAGACCTTCCCTGCACGCCGAAGCAACATCAACCTTTCATTCCATATTTCCAATGAGACCGACACACTCCGCATCCTTGCCAAGACCGTACTACGATTATTCAGCTGGCTTCATGCGCAACAAGGCATTCCACTTTGGCCGGAAGAATCTTGTACATGTTGTTGCTTTCGTCGAGCCTTCTTCTGACGAAATTTGAATAGGGCTTTGGTGTGGCAACTCTAACAGCTTTAACGGGCGCGGTTTACTGGTCGGGATACAAAAAAAATGAGCATCAGCCTGCTGAAAGTAAGCTCAAGTGTAAGATATGAGGGATCGGATTGACCTCGCATTGCAGATACGCTTACAAAGTCCGCAGAGAAACAGAAATATTGAGTCGAGTTCCACGTTGAATTTAGGCTAGAGAACCGAGTTCGCTATCTCATTGCCAACTCAAGAGTACTCCTAGTAATTACCAAGAGGCAGATTACTGAGAAGCAGTATTCAGCTTTGAAATGAAGTGCGACGCGACAGCTGCAATCGAAGCAAACCTGATCCGCCATAAGCGAGAATTGACATCTTGGTGTAACACGTCGCCAAGCACTTCGAAGTCAACTTGAATGCCACAAGGAACATCATAAAATCCCGATAAACGGAAGCTGTAATACATTGAAGGACTAATTACGCCGTCTTCGTCGATACTCAACGTTTCTCGGAGTCTGCGGTGTAGGAATCATTGTCTGCCAAGGATAAGTATGTCGAAGGTCTTGTCAGCTCTGAGAGTCAACTCACGTAATAATTATTAGCAGGGAATGGCTTTGGCAAGCGGAACTCCAGCTCCCGCACCAGTGTGGCGAGAATCGTCCCGACCTGTAGATATGCAAACTATGAAGAGAACCAGTCAGCTAGCTCAACGAGACAAAAGAGCCGATCTCACCTGTTCCCCTACACATCGATGTCTTCCAGCGCCAAAAGGCTGATATGGACTCTCCGTTCCCTTACTAACGGCACCAAACCCGTAATCAATCTTTTCGCCATGTTCATCAACATAGGTTTCGAGTGCCTGCGCAGCCATGCCTTCCGGGTCAATCCATCTGTATGGATCAAACTTCATAGCATTCCGCCACACTCGCGGGTCCGTATGGCTCACTGTCGGCGATGCAAGAACATAATCTCCCTTTGGTACGACATATACGCCATCCTTCGAGGGTGCAGCAAGAGATGGAGGGACGGGAACGTCCTCCCTGACGTGTCGCATGATAGTATGAATGGGCGGGTGCAGACGAAGCGTTTCGCGGATGAGCGTGTTCATGAGCGGAAGTTCGCGGGCTTCATCGTAGGTCATGGGACGCAGTTTTCTGTCGGGCGTGCCAAAGAATTTTACTTGTTCTTGGTAGATCTTCTCGCTATCGAGGGATTGTCAGTTTATCAAGGAACGCAGAACAAACAGATATCTCATACGCAAAATCAGGGTCATCTGCCAACCGAAGAACCGCCCATGCGCCTGTCGAGGCGCTCGTATGTTGACCTGCCATGAGAAGCGCAATCATGCAGTGTGCTACTTCGGAATCTGTCATTGGTTTTCCACTGCGATATACTTGTCCACTGAGTGCAGCGATCATATCTAACTCTTGCTGAAGCAGCCGTCAGCAATGATAACGAGTAACATGGTTAAGCCTTACGTCGTCCCCCTTTGCTTTTCTCTGTTTGACGATATCGATGTAAAAGTCAGATATTTTCCTGTGCGCTCGATCACGTCGCCGGTAGTGCTCCAGAGGCAGATTAGGAAAGAAAAAGTTCATTGGTGTAAACCCGCCATCCAAGTCAGCTATGAGCTCCGCGAACGACTTGTCGAGGGCCGCACGGATCTGCTTTCCCTGCAGAGTTCTGCTCGCGGTGAGGATGGTGATCTCCGCAATAACCTGGCAAGGGTCAAACGAACCCCACTCTCCAGCGCGCTTTGGATCCTGGTATGACTTGAACACAGGTTCGTTGCTCAAGTACGTCTCCACCTCGTCTTCAAACATGCCAACGTACGTGCGGAATGATTCCGTTGATAAACCGAATTTGATGAATTTTTTCTGTTCCATGAACTGGTGATTGGGTATGGCATAGACAACATCATCGCCAAACACAGGTGAGGTCATATGCTGGAAATCAACGCTTAATCTACAAAAGACATGGGCGGCCGGACGAAGAACGAACCTTGTAGGCATCTTCGGCATTAAATACCGTAGACTTTCCACCCAACACAAAGTTGTTGCCTTTGGCTCCCAACGCAACAGTGACACGACGACCAAGTAAAATGAAGGTGAATACATCGCCGTACTACATGAGATATCAGCTGTAGCGTCAACTTGCCAAGGGAACCTAGAGCAAAAAACCTTTTCCTGGCATGCAAATAGAAATTCCAATGGGTCGCTACCGTATTGTACACTCGAGCCTATGAACGGGAACCAATGGAAGACTACTGGAGGTCTTGAGCGATCTTGAGGTAACTGCAGGCCCAGGTCAATGGATTATTTTAGAGAAAAAAGCCATTAATACTCACCATCTGCCTCAAAACATTGAAGACGACTGCAAGTATTGGAATGTTCACGAGAAAAAATAGGGCATAGCGCGTGTTGAAGACCTGAGCTGGGTCATCGAGGAAGTGGTCTATGAGCGGTACCGATGCGTTGAAAGCCATGGAGAAAATGGCAAGATTGAGTATCTGCCATCTTTATGTACCTATCCCTCCCATCGAACCACATTTTTTCCATTAATATTGTGGAATCGTATCACGCCGGGTCCAGACTGGTGGGGTCAGGCCAGACCACAGATTTCAATAGGATGCCCGGCCTTTAATTCTTGGTACTGAGGGCATTGATTCTAAGTTGTGTTGGAGGAATATGGCATCGATGAAGGCTGGAGGTTGACGAAAGAGATTAGGCTGCATCTCGAGCATCGTCGATGGGAACAGACTCGGGCCGTACTTTCCGACTTTTGTAGTCAACTTTCCCACGCCTGGGTCGGTGCGGGGTACGGACCGTACGGCTTCTTGACGGTCTTCAAGATAGAAAGCTAACGTTTAATACATTTGATTGACCCGCCAATACGTTTTTATATTCTGCTCTCATCATGTACGCGAAGGGCATGCACCGTACCTCACTATAGCTATCTATGATCATCTGCATGAGGTGACCCCCAAAGAAGGGTCCTCGTAACACCGTTTTGCCACGATTCTACGCGTCGTCTTGCCAGTATCGACATGGTAGATCTATCCGTACCAATAAATCCAACTCCTCCCGACTGTATGACTGCGTCGATGAGGACGGGGTACCTAGTATTCAATGATGAACACAAGACAACCAAAGCCGAGTCAAACGGCAGCTCACCAATCTCCGTAAAGTTCCTTCGTCTTGGAGTGGTCGGGCACAAACCAGCCTTGCTGTGCAACCTCTTCCCACCAACTCGCGTTCCTTTCATCGCTTGTCATAATAACATGCTTAACATCTATACCCTTAGTTTGTAGCAGTTCGTCTTTCACCTCCTGTACCCGTCTAGCAATGACGGATATAGAAGGAAAACATTCTCCCTGCGGTGCACCCCAGCAGTAGTTCTTGAAGTCAGCGTGCCGAGCATGAATACCAATGTACTGCGCCAGATTTAGTACATCAGAAAGAAGAGAAGGCGATAGAATGATACCGCGGGTGTGGGAGCATCGTCTTCCAAACTTAGTGCACGGTTGATATACTTCTTCGCTAAAGCTTCGAGGGAGGGAACCCAATGCATGTGCTGAGCAACGAAGCGCCAGGCAGGGCTATAGTCGTTATCGTATTCGAAGGGCTGAAAACGTTGAATATTGTTTGATATCTATGAGAAGCCGATACGACCCACCTGTTGTGCGCAGACATAATATAAATAGTCATAGCAAAGAAGTTGTTCGTCCGGTGGAAGTGATACGTTTAAAATTGGTGAAGGAAGCGGTGTTACGAGATTGGCGTTTCGCGCTTCTGGAAAGGCGAATTTCGCCAATGTCCAAAACGTAGTATGTGAATCGTGTTCATAATTCTGAATTAACTTCACCCAGTCAGGTAGCTTCGTATATGAGATGTCTATGCACAAGAGGTCAACCAGAAATTAAGATGGCGAGTGATAGATGATCGCCCTTACCAAGCTTCAGGTGGTCTAGGACGGTGCTCCCACGGGGACCTTTATCTTGATTTTGTGATGTCGCTTCCCAAACGTTCCAGCACCCGAGTCCATCTAGTTCTGGACTATTCGGATCCTTCACATCTCGCCATTCGAGAATAGGTCTTTCTAGCGCTTGCCGAAGGCGAGGAACATCAAAAACATCGCCAAATGCGATTGGTGGTGCCGCGGGACCAATATGCGAGGGAGTAAACATGGGCAATATTGGTACACGCTCGGTGATCATGCCCAGATATATCAGGTTGATCTGGGCATGTGAAACGGTCAGCAGCAGCTCAAGCAAGTGCGCAGAAAGAGCCTGAACGACTAACATAAGTCATCACATCATTTGCTGCATAGGAACATGAGCGTCGGTACCCACTGCTGCTGAAACAAAGAGATAGGTACTCACTCCAACCGGCAGATATCCATGAAGTGATGTATTTGATGTCAGGGAGTAGATTATCTGCGAAACTGAGAACAGCGAAAAACAATAGAAATGCTTATCACCTACCACCAAAGTGCTCAGTTGGTGGCCCAACAAGGGAGTTCAAGGGATCGAATGGATCTACGTTGACATTCTTGGAGAATTCCAACAAGGGCGACGCCTCTGATGATGTCCAAAGCCAAAATCCCACCAAAGAAACGAGCGCGACCAGAGACACCCCAACAGCGGCACTAATGAAAAAGCTTCCTTTGCTCTTGGGTTTGCTCCAGAGCGGAGTGGAAGAGTCCGTTCGTGAATGTGTCGGCAAGGCTGCACCGTCCATAGATGACTGTTGACTATCTATGAAGACACGAGCGAGATGTAGATGATGAATATGCTAAGGAATAAGGAGGCCTTGGCATTCTCACCATACGTCGTTTCTGAACCTAACCGTGACCATCGACATCAGCCAGTTTTAATAGGAACTGATTGACACCGCACCTTTCAATTCATTTTTACCTTGTTTCCCCCCAAATTGGTTCGCTGGTGCACATGCTTTGCTCGACGCCACCCCTCCATATTGAAATTCGAAGATCCTCAAATGAAAGTGAGAACAGTGATTCAAAGGCGGCGCCGGAGCCTAAATGCCGACTCGCACTTGTGCCGCTTCTTGTCCGCTCGGCAATTCTGTCGTTTCAGAGCGCGAACTTATCATCATGATCCAGGAATGTACGCATGCCTCGTGCATAAAGGGCAGTGAACTGATGGGAACCGAGAGATCAAATTTTTATACGCTATCACAATAACACGAGAAGATGATGACCTGGCACGACTTGTAAAAATGCAAGATGTAAATCCTCAGAATGTAAGTGTTTGACCCGCGTTAGCCTCTACTGTAGCACGGACAGAGGCGGTAGCGATGAGACTGTAGCTGTATCCGAGTTGGGAAGCAGTGATGGTGCCCACGTCGGCAGCTACAAATTATCTCGGTTGGTACGCTGATAAATTGAGGAACCAGGGACGTACTATTCTCTGCACCTCCGAAGTCTGCACAAATAGGTAAGTATCGCACTCTATCTGCAAAAAAAAACACACAATCATACTGACCATTGCCTGTGGCGACTGCGTATCCCTCGTCCGTGGAGTACAAAGGCTTGTCGGTGCCTTTCGAATAACCTTCTCAACCTAAAGGCTCTAGAATATACAACGAATCTCTCACCTGTCCAAACGTTGTTCTCAACAAGTAGTTCGGCACCGTCACGAGTGTTGATTCCGTCATTGTTGTCATCGTAAACGTTGTTGAAGATGTGTCCTATCAGAATGCTGAATACATGCGCAAGATGTGATAGAAGAAAGAACGTCAATTACCTATACCAAACCTGAAAGACGGGGTACGAGAGTTGAGGTCGTACCACCAGTTGAGGGCAAAGGTAACCCGAATGGCTGCATCTTCGGAGCCATTACTGTCGGAATGACCGACGAGGGAAGCCTTCCAATGTGTGTAGAGCTTGCTATTGGTGACAGTTATTCCGTAACAGCCATGAGTGATGTCGAGAAGACCGTCGTAGCTAAATTCAGCAGCTTCACTAGATGTTCTGATGCGCGAAAACCATGCTCACTAGTCCTAGAAGATGGTCAATGATGGCTAACATAGAAAGAATGACCTGATACTTACTTTATCGTGGTCTCTGTCACTAGAGAGATCGACATGGTCGACCCATACCTGAGACGCGGCCTGGATACCAATGGCATCTCCGACATCTGCAAGAACCTTTTGGATCTTGACGTTCCGGATGATTACGTTCGATTCGTCGAGCACACGAAGTCCAACACCGTCGAGCACTAGACGTGGTTGAATCAAGTGGGAAACTAGGAGTACATTAAACTTACAAGAACCGGCCGCTCCAAGCACAGACGTGTTAGAACCAACCTTAACAACAGCGCTTCCGGAGATAGTTCCTATAGACATGAAATGTCAGATGCCTGTGTCCTTCTGACACTTCCAAGGAGCAAAGACTAACCAGAGATGATGACAATCTTGGCACTGTCACCCGAAACAGCAGAAGTGAGTGCGGCCAGAGTCGTCACTGTTGTTGTGGTTCCACCCGCTCCACCAGTAGTTCTAACCCAGAGTCAATGAAATGCGGAAATATCGAAGACCAAGAAATGCAAACCCTCCGTTCAAAGTTGCGAAACCGACGGTGGCCACATCGCTGACCGAAGCTCTTTTAAGCACTGTCGGCGGTGCAGACTAGAGATAGGACATGAAGTCAGCACAGTTCTGCCATGAAGGAGAACACGCCCACAATGACGGAAACGAATTGAAGAGCAGTAACAGCGGCAATAGTAGCGAACCACTTCATGGTAGAGCGATAGATGAGGATTCCAGTTCAACCAACAGCTGGTTGACTATCCATGGATTTTTTGAAGCTCTTTTATACTGTTAAATCGGATATGTGTCGGAGAGAACCAGTAATTCCGTAGGAAGACTACAGAACTGCAATGAAGGCGTTATAATTCTGCGGACCGTTCTGACCGTCCGGGCCTTGAAGATTTCGCGAGACTCAGGGAAATTTTGGAGGTCACCAGAAAAGTTCGCCGGATGAGCACACGATGTGGAATCATTTGTTGCGCGACGGTGCCTAGCTTGCTGTGATCCAAGGGTAATGGTCGCCCTATAAATAGCATTGTTATAACTGGGGGTCATAACTAGTGTCGGCATGGGTCAGTTGAGCCCCACGAATTGATGGAATGCACCCAATAGGAACTAGCATAGACAGCGCTACGTTCGAAGAAACATTTTCCAGAGGATAATAAATCCAACATTTTTCCGTCATGACGACCTCTCGGGCCCGCCACTGCACATGAGTCCAACTGGTATACCCTGGATCAATGACAACGGAAGACACGCTTCAAGCGAAATTCCCAACATTGAAGAGTGAAAAGAAGTCAATAAAGAAGACAGCAGCATACGATGGTTCGAGCTAGCATGCACATGAAAGAAATTCACGTTCATTCACTTCCGATGCGCAGCGTACGAGAAGTTTGAACCTCGGAGACATTGACTATCTCGTGGACATTGATGTTCACGCGCTTGAACGGCGTATCAGACGATGGAAAGAATCCAACGGCCTTTCGTTACCGTCCACCTGGTCAACCACAACGGGAAACATCAAACCTTCGCAGGCACTTCGAGTTCAGCTGACCCAGTGAACGAAACTGTGAGATATAGCTGCTCTCACCAGTACTTCTTTAATGTTCACCACAGGTTTCTTCGGACAAGTCACGGTATTTCATGTCAATAACGCGAGCTTTACGGCATGGCTACGAGAGGACATCAGGAAAAAGATTGCTGGCTATTGCTAGTTGTCGCAGCTTGCAATGCGATACACATGCACACAAGCAAAATGACAACAGACTCCTCGTGCCGAGAACTAGTACCTGGTGAACCGTGATGAGATCAACAAGGGAGCTTCGTAGCATGAGTACACGGACCTATTGCTCCTTCTTCGCCTTGTCCGTGAGTTTCTTTGTCTTCCATTCCACCTTGAAAACAGTTTTATTGAAAGCCTGGAATGTTAGTCCCTTCCTCGAGAGAATCCTAGACTCCCAACCATCCGGAATACGCTCCTCGACCAAGAACGACTCTAGATCTTTAACTCTTCCACCCATTATCGTAAGCATTGTCGACGAACTTTATTTCAGTCAGATGGTGTTGTAGAGAGGATCATAAAAGCAGCGTACTTGGAGCTCCCGAAAAGTTTGTGCCCGAAATCCAGCGAAAATTCGGGATTAGAGCTGGCCGCTTCGGTGCGGCGTTTGGCTGAGAAACGTGCGAGGTCGTCGGCGGTGAGAAGGGCCGAACCATCCGCCGCTTTTCCGGAAGGGGAGGCGAGAAGCTCTTCGATATAAGGAAGATGAGGAGTCGCCTGGTTGGGCTCATGATACAGATCCTGTCCTTTGAGAGAGATTAGAGACAAACAAATGGAGACTGGAAATGGCGAATACTCACTTGTGAGTGAGGCGTCATGTTCAATACCGTTATGTAAATCCAGCTCGGATAGATCCACGACGTCTAAGATTGTTGCCTCAGTAAAAAAAAAGAAGGGCAAATTTTGAGCCGAGTCAGTTTTCGAACCTTGATTATAATCTTTTCCTAGCATTCTTGCACAGAACAACGGCACGAAGTAACAGAACGAAGGGGAGAAATTGTATGTGGCCCGAACGACTCGTGTTAGCTCCTGGAGTGGAATGCCTTTCCCATCGTGAGGTAGTATACCTAGCGTTTTGATAAATACGAGTCCGTTAGCGTTGTATTACCAACACTCACCATGGTTAGCCAAGGCATTCAGAGCAGGACATGAACATCTGCTATCGCCTTCCTTGGGGGCAATATACTCGGGCCACGACCCACCTGCGCCGGGGTGCCCTTCTGGGATGACATGTCCAGGTTTGAGATTTGGTGTTAACAGATTGAAAATGGAGAGTCCAACATCCCAGGTGAGGATGTAAAAATTCTGGGCAGCATTTACGATGCCTTGGAGTACCATGGCAAGAGATGAGGTGAGGGAGAAAGAAGAGCGACGTAACTTCCGTATGCATTTAGCTGCACATCATCTCGATGGCTGGAATGGTTGCACGTGAGACGCACGAGGCCTCTGACGCTGGCCAATGACAGCTGTAATGTTTGAATGGTGACGTGAATGTACCTTGGGAAGCTCCCGTTAATGCATTAATTGAGTCTTGGGCTAAGCCAAGCAGTTCTTATTCTGCATCAAAGTATAATACACGTCCGCTAAATTTCTATGGAACTTCAGCAACTCTGGAGTGGGAAAGTAGAAGAAAACAGATACCTAGCTCTTCTACCATTTCTCATAGTCAAATTGACCGTGTAAGCGTGTCAAAATCTTCATGTACTCGGGTTCGTTCTCGGGTGTTATACGGCCCAAACGTATTAGCAGGTCGATAATTACTATTCTTGAAAATCAGACGATGATTCAAGTACTGAGTGCATGACTTGCCCACTGCACAGTTAGGTTTGAACAACCCCGAACGTAACTTTGGCATAAGGTCGTCGAGATGAAGAAACTCAAATGACTCGACTTCACCATCCAAAGGCTTAGGCTCAAAAACGGAGGGATCTGGGTGATTTGCGGGGATAGCAAGATCATAAACGTATCTTGTAGGAGATTAAAAGTATATAGATTACAGCAAAAAAGAAGGTACTCACTCCACTTCTGGTTGCAGCCAGCCCGCGGACGTCCTGAAGAAATAGCTAACAGCTCCAGTTCCTCGCACGTACTGTCGAACGACGTCTTCTTTAATGCTAGCTTCTTCCATACATTCCTTGACCAAAGAATCGAGGATGCCCATTCCACTGGGGATTCCTCCGGCAACAGTGTTATCAAGGTAACCTGGCCAGCTGCATATATGTGCGATGAGGTAAGAATATTTATCAAGACATAATAACCCACGTAGGCTTTGTTCGCGCACGAGTCGGTATCCACATACGAAGACCTGACGCGTCCTCTTGGTAGATGGACATATGTACGCCGTATGTCACAACGCCGAAAAGAGCACAGGCCGAGCGCTCCATCTCGAATGCGTAGTTCAGTCCTTCGTCAGAATTGTCATCCTTCGGGTAGTCGTGAGGGCCAAAAGGGTCGCGATAGATGGGATACATCTCTGCTCTCCATTTCTTAGGTCCGCAAACATCAGGGAAGAGTTCTGTATCTCGCCATCGCTCACACAGTTCCTTCATGGCAGCTGTGCGTTTCGATGAAGTATCGAGCCACGATCGAAAAGAGACCCGCGCGTCTTGAATATCCCAGATGTCCGGAAGATTGTTGTCGTGACTGGTCGCATTTTCCACTTCCAGTTTCTCGATGATGATGGGTCGCAATAGGCCGATAATGGGAGCCTGTGATGATGGAGATAGATGGAAAGGTACTAGCCGCTCGCTGTCGAACGTCGATGGATGAGGAGAAGAGCCATGTGGCCGTACATTGTCGCAGATGTTGACGAGATCCAGAAACGATAGACTTTTGAACGTCATCGTCTGGAAGAGGTAGCCGAACCCTAACCCGAGAGCCAGCGCCCTGAGCACTGCTTTGAAAATTGAAATTCGAACCTTCAACTTGGATTTGTTAGAGGGTTGAAAAAGGTACGACTACAGGAGCTCTCGATGCTCGAGCACAATACAATGATCAACCAAACTAATGCACAACGGTTGTACCGAGCTCAGGAGACTTCCGACTGACTTCGTCCGGTGTCAGTGCCATGTGGAGGTTTCGTTCTTAGTTTCGCTCTTGTTATATTGTTATCTATCGGACCATCGCTTATATGCACGTGCGATTCTGCCTGCCACCAAAGTAAGGTATCCTTCGCAGTCTGTCTAACTATTGAAAGAAGATGATTTTCGTTCTGATGTTCATAAGCTGCGGTAAGCTAGTCAATATCTTTGATTGAAGTTGCGAGTACAAGCAGCACGTTATTGATGCACAAATGAGGATGGTTATGTCTACGTGAGCATGACACGGATAGGATCCGTGTCGGCCACTCCCCCGTTCCATTCGTGGTTCTTTGAGACTTCTTTGAAACCGCTCAAAAGCTACCTGGAAACAGATACCCCCCTGTTCCCACTCAACGTCTATCCATGACCTACAGTTTCAGCGGCCCTTCATCAAGCCGCACACTTATCAAGAAAGTCGAATCTCCTTACACCCCGCGAGAAGTCATTCAATGGCTAGAATCTATAGGATACAGACATGAACTCACGGAATCTGACATAGCTTCTGGGAGATTCCAGACAACCCTCGAGAACCTTCATGTGCTCAATCGTTTGCACCTCGTCGCATTCCCCTTCGAGAACTGCGATATGCATTAGTGAGTTCCAAACCCCAGTCAGCATCTAGCCAGCTCATTAAACGCGGGACTACATCAGCACATCAGACCATTCCATGGATGTGACACCTCAGGGTATGTTTCGATGCGCCATACTTCGCGGAAGAGGGTCGTACAGCTTTGGGCTCAATACGCTATTTCTCGGAATGCTGAGGGGGCTAGGATATCGGTAAGCTCCTTCCGTCCTATAAAGGAGTGAACTAGAAACACTGTACATAGTGCGTACGCAGGGTCCGCTCGAGTTAACGAATCAAGTCCGCGGAAACTAGGTCCTTTATCGCACATGATCTTGCTAGTCCAACCAGACTCCGAGACCCATTTTCAACCAGTTTGCCTCGTCGATGTAGGGTTTGGTGGGACATGTCTTACGAGGCCGATCTATCTTCGTGACTGTGCCATTGTGATGGGAGCGACATCCTCAGAAAAACATCGATTGATTCGGGCCCCACATCCTTCGTCGAGCATGGACAGCCAAGGTGAGTGTATTGTTCGACCACGTTTGAATGACGATAAGGTACCAATGCGCAGATGCAGATTCCGCCTTACTATGGCATCTTCAAATATCTCGATCCGGCAAGTCCGAGTCATCATGGAAGACTTTATATGCATTCTCAGAAAGCGAGTCCTTCCCAGAGGACTTCATGAGGGCATCAGTCTATATTTCACAGATACCGAGCGAAAGTATTTTTTGGAAGAATCTCATTTGTGTCAGGTACTTTGTCGTCGATGGAGAAGAGCAAAGGCGGTTAGGACTCGAATCAAGGGCAAAGGATGTGCATCTTGGGAAGTATATCCTCTTTGGCAACGAGATTCGAAGGTCGGTGGGCAGCTGTCAGCAAGTGCTTCAAACATTCAGAAGCGAAGAGGATCGAATACAGGCGTTGAGAGATTATTTTGGATTCGATATTGATGACAAAGCTGTGTGCAACATTGTAGGACGAGCCGCTGCTCTTGCAGCGTGCACAGCAAAAGCCAAATGCAATGTACAATAAAACAGCCTGAAAACTGATATCAGTAGAAATATTCGAGAAAACGGCAGTACAGTCAAGTGCAGCAAGCACTTGGGAGGGCGTACTGCAGGCAGGTGGATATTTATCCTATGTGCACACACTTGGTCAAATCATACCGATGCCACCAATCAACGAGAATATCCTAAAAGCGGCCTTCACAGGCGTAGCGACGCGTCAGTCGTAGCAACTAGGTCGTGGAAGGAAGGAAAAATAGGACGCAAAGGGACTTCGTAAGAGCGATGACGTCGGTTAATAATAGCAGCAATGTGAGAGGCGCCCTCTTGAACTTATACCACCATCATCGCCCTCTGCCAATATGCCTGCACCTCCAGAATTCATCAAGTTCATCGACGATAATGCTGAAAGTGTTATCAACCGTCTCGCTGAGGCAGTTGCAATCCCAAGGTCAGATCTGTCGTGACTCGTTGTGCAATGCTGCCTAACTGATCTATCGGTTCCAGTGTGAGCGGCGACGCCAAGCATAGACAGGATGTCTTCAAGATGGCCCACTGGCTGAACGCTCAGCTTAAATCATACGGCGTTGAAACCCGGCTTACCGATCTCGGAAAGCACGTTATGGATGGTCAGGAGCTCCAGCTGCCTCCTGCGATTCTGGGAAAGATTGGAAACGACCCGAATAAGAAGACCGTGCTTATCTACGGCCATTTTGATGTTCAGCCCGTACGTTCTTGGGTCGACCATCATGTCCTTCAATCTCATGATTTTCTAGGCCAATCTTTCTGATGGATGGTCCTCTGAACCGTTTACGTTGACCATCAACCACGAGAATGGACAGCTAGTGGGACGTGGATCCACAGATGACAAGGGTCCCATTCTTGGTTGGCTCAATGTTCTCCAGTACCACGCCGAGAACAAGAAAGAGCTACCAGTCAACATCAAATTCTGCTTTGAAGGGATGGAAGAGAGCGGAAGCGAGGGACTTGATGAACTTGTTGAGAAGGAGGCACAACCTGGAGACTGGTTTGACGGCGTAGACTGTGTTTGCATCGTATGTCTTCATTCATTTAAGATTTATTTGTGGTGGTAATCTCCCGACTTTTTAGTCCGATAACTATTGGCTCAACACCCGAACGCCCGTCCTGACTTATGGATTACGCGGAATTTCTTACTTCAAGATCAATATCACCGGTCCTAGTTGGGATCTGCACTCTGGTGTCTTCGGACGCACGATACACGAACCTATGACCGACCTCGTTATGCTTATGTCCAAGCTTGTGGATACACAAGGCCATATCCTTATTCCCGGCGTGGAAGAAATGGTCCCGCCAGCATTTGCGGATGAACGCTCTATATACGAGAAACTGGATTATGCCATCGAGGACATCGAAGCAGCCGCCGGTGCTAGCATCGCACTGTCTTCCGACAAGGTTGAGGTGCTGATGGGACGGATGAGATCGCCAAGTCTATCGCTTCACGGAATTGAAGGTGCATTTTATGGTGCTGGCGCTAAAACTGTCATTCCAGCCAAGGTCGCTGGGAAGTTCAGTATCAGGTAAGTATGTGTAACTCTCGAATTCTTTTCACTGATCACGCCTCTACAGACTAGTACCCCCTCAGACACCAGAGAACATTGCGCCCCTTGTAAACACGTATCTGGAAGCTGAATTTGCAAAACTGGGAAGCAAGAATAAGATGGTGATAGAAGAGCTTCATGGAGGTAGGCCGTGGCTGGCAGACCTGAATCATTGGAACTTTGAGGCTGCCAAGGCAGCTACCAGGGTATGAACTCCTTCTATTCACCATTGACTTCGTATTCAAATTTTTTTTTTGCAGGCGGTGTACAAGCAGGAGCCCGACATGACGAGGGAAGGTGGATCCATACCCGTTACGTTAACATTTGCCGAAGCTCTTGGTGCGAATGTTGTCCTTCTGCCTATGGGGAGAGGGGATGATGGTGCACAGTAAGTTCATTGATTTTTTTCTTCTCGTTTCTAGCATTTATCTTCTATGTGACAGTTCCACGAATGAGAAGCTAGATCGCTCCAATTTTATCGAAGGAGTAAGCTTTTTTAGTTCAGTTTCAACGGCAAGAACACTGATGTAACGATAATAGTCTAAGCTTCTAGGCACTTATCTCTACGAACTTGCGGCCGTTCAGGGGAAGAAGTAAACTGATTGATGTACTAGTAAAATGGAAGGAGTGGAAGACTGTATACTAACAAGTGCGGAACGTCAATCGTCGGCTTGACTTTTCGATTCTGAACTGTTATGAAAGATCCTCTGTTAGCTCTGCGGTGCTCCTGTATTTGAAGCACCAAAATCGTGGGCTGTTTCTTTTCCAGCGAAGGGACTATCTTAGGAAATTTTTACCGCAGTCAACATATCTCAGTCTCAAAGCTAGGGCGGTATTTTCGACAGCATACCTTCTCAGAGGAACGGCTGCTCTGGTCGTAGATCAGGAATGTTGGCTACATACAAACCGAGGTTTGAATCTTCCGCCATCGATCGGCCACCTGCCTATCAAAAACTTCAAGGTGCTTGTCCAGATCAACAATCCATAACCTGGTGCATAAAACAGGGTCTTTTTCTTTGCTATTCTTCGTCTTATCACGAAGCGCGAAGTGAGTATTTCCGTAACAGTACTATGTTAACAAAGAAAGGTAGACTTTGGGAGATTGATAGCCTTCAAGCAAGGCAGCATAACTTCTCGGTTCTGGTGGACGGTAAGAGCTTAAGGTTTTGGCCCTGCAGCGTGAGTGCCGTAAGGCGAGATACGAAATTAGAGACGTTCTCGTTCAGCGCTACGGTCCTCCAATGACGACACACTGCAGTGAGTGGCCACGGAGGATATCTAGGGTCCGAAGAATCCTGGTCCCTGGTGCCCGCGCACGATAGAAGTATCTTGTGTAGAACAGAATCAAAGAGGATCCCTAATGGGAGGTGAGATGATTCTGGCTTCTTTGATACGGGTCTCAGTCTCTTGGCGACGGGAAATCAGCGAGCTGAGCTTATTGCGGGCCAGAGTAGTTCGGTGATCAAGATTTTGCAAGACACGCGACTGATTCGGCTACCGTGGCGATTAGAACAGATTTTTGGGGGTCGGATGGTGCTTCATTATTTTATGACAGGCTTATGACGCGTGAATACTGGGATTAGACGTGCCATTGGCGAGTTGTGATGTGATACTGCACTGCGGGCAAGCGAAAGTTGAAGACATAGAATTAGATAGAAATTGAAGGGTATGGTTATCCTGTGTAAACGTAACATATTGAACGTCCTGTTTCGGGAACAATTAGCATACACCAAGGCTGGCACAGTCCGAGGAATCTCGGGTTGATGTTCTTGGCTGCTCCGTATTTCAGATCCCCACAGCTAGACTCATCAGTCCCGGAAAAAAATACCCCTGTACGGTATATACTTACCCCTTCACTGTCAGCGCCAGGTAAAAAAAAAATGAGCACACGACCAACAACGCGACGAGGAGCAGCTGAGCAGTGAGCAGGTCAATGTTTTTCAAAATGCGACCCTGCATTGTCAGCTGGTGACTATCACGAGACCTATGCATTCGCGTAATGATGTTGAGTCGCGCTCCGTGGAATGATGATGAAATGTTCTCTCCCATTGTTAGGATGTGGCCATAGAGGCCATTAGTATGTACAAGATCAGCCGTGGTAACTCCTACGAAGGTATAGTCTGAGATCCGATCCGGAAACTAGGTGTGTTTACAGTGCCGCAGCCCGCTTCGCTATCTTCTGGTTGAGTTTAGCCTATTAAAATTTGTTAGCGCGAGTATGCTGCAATTAAGGACAACGTACGATGACAGCATCCATGTAGGCAGTAGTGACAACCCAGTGTTCTCGCTTCATGTTAGAACCATAGAGGGACAACGCGAGATCCTTGGTCATGATACCATCCTTGTCGATAACCTCGATACAGGCACTCTCGACGTCAAGACAGAAATCACGAAGAGCCGGGTTGTTGTCGAGCTTGGCACGGTGGATCAAACCTCGGGTCCAAGCAAAGATGGACGCGACAGGGTTTGTCGACGTTTCATTGCCCTTCTGGTGTTCCCGGTAGTGTCGTGTAACCGTTCCTGTTCGAGGCGTCAGAGTGAGACAGATACGAGAAAGACCGAAACGTGCCATGTGCAGCTTCGCTCTCAATAATCTGGCCATCTGGTGTGATAAGTTCACTGGTCATCATACCCAGACTGCCGAAGCCTTGTGCGAGAATGTCACTCTGGACATCTCCGTCGTAGTTTTTGGTGGCCCAGACGAATCCGCCGGACGACTTGATTGCTTGAGCAACCATGTCGTCGATGAGCCTGTGTTCATAGTAAATTCCGGCCTCCTTGTAGAGTGCTTTATATTGACTACGCGAAATTTAAAGTTTTGTGGAACGAAGAAAGTCTGACGGACGCACGAATCGTAAATTTCCTGGAAGATATCTTTGAATCGTCCATCGTATTTCTTGAGGATAGTGTTCTTTGTCGACATGAATAGAGGCATTTTTTTGGCCAGAGCCATCTTGAAGGAAGAGTGAGCGAACCCGGCGATGGATTCATCCGTGTTGTACATGCTCATGGCCACACCGGGGCCCTTGAAGTCGTAGACATTCAGTGTTGTCGCCGGGGAGCCATCAGTCGGAGTATACACGAGTTGCAGCTTTCCAGGACCAGGTGCAACAAAGTCTGTAGCTCGGTACTGGTCACCAAAAGCGTGTCGACCGATTACAATTGGCTTGACCCAGCCAGGAATTGGCTTTGGAATTTTCTCGAGGATGATTGGCTCACGGAACACCGTGCCCCCCAGGATATTCCGGATCTGTTGCCGCACAGGAGTGTCAGCTGGAGCTCCGAAGAGTACAGGTGAGGCTTACCGTTCCGTTTGGACTCTTCCACATCTCCTTCAACTTGAACTCTTCGACGCGAGCCTCATCCGGCGTAATCGTAGCGCACTTGATGCCAACCTTGTGCTCCAAGATGGCGTTGGCAGAGTCGATGGTCACCTGGTCGTTGGTCTGGCAACAGACTCAGTAAGAGAGCGTCAGAAGAGAATAACCGACGCACTGCATCGCGGTTCTCGAGGCCAAGGTCAAAGTACTTGATATCGAGTTCAAGGTAGGGTAATATGAGCTGGCAAGTACAGGTAAGGGCGAGCTGCAGCACACGACTTGAAGACTGAGACGAACCTCCTCCTTTATTTTTTTCCAGATGATCCTGGTCATCTCGTCGCCATCGAGTTCGACGACGGGGCCTTCGACGACAATCTTGGTGCTCATGCTGCTGGCTAATGGGATGGTATTAGTTGGAAACACGGAAGAGATAGGGGGCATATTATAGCTCTGGGGGCCGTCCTATCCCAAACCGGATCGCCACAGAGTAAATCGGCACTCACGCGTCGTCGAAAAATACCGCCCAAGTCCCTTCGCTGTCTGTCGGTGAGCCTGCCCTAGGTAACTGCATGCCAGCAGTCGGATATTTCGTGTCGAGTACCTTCCCAACATGGTGGTAGCGGTCGTAGAAGACGATGAATAGGCTGGAGAACTGAACGCGCCGCTTCAAAGTTGGCACGAAATTTCAATTCCTCTCACAGCCGAAAGGAACAACGATAATCAAGTCAAGGATATTGGTAAGGTCCAACAAGATATATAATCCGGATTCGTGATCACACGCTCAAAGTTGCACGCTGGCAGTGATCACGATGAAGAGTCTAGGCATCTTCCTTAGCCGCAATATCGGAGACATACCACTTTCTATTTTTCTAGGAAAAACAACGGGAAAAAAACCTGAGCTACATGAGAATGAAATGTTCTACGTCGCTGTAATTTACTTCGTCGTCGCCTCTACGTCGACCGATTTTACATGCGCCTCGGCCGATGAACGCCCGACGGAACGCCGTAAAAGACTAGAAAATACTGATGGCTTATCCATGGTACGAACTCGTAAGACGAGTCCGACGCCCACGGCACCTCCAATAGTATTGAGCAGTATAGCCCATACAACGACGGCAAACGGTTCATCATCACCTAGTATCGGTCGAGCAATCTCGGCTACAATGAGCGCAATCTCGCCTCGAGCCACCATTGCTGTACCTAGCAGGGTAGCTGACTCGATGGTTGTCAATATATGGAGACCACTATCTCGGTCAGGCCAGACGAGCATCCAGATTCCCACAGCGGCTTTCGCGACGCCCATGAGCAGGGAATATATTATTCCTCGCCATACAACCCGATGAGAACCATGAACTGACCCCAGTAGCCTGATGGGGAGAGCAGCCCCGATGGACGCAAAGAACAAGGGCGATAGCAACACTTGCAGAATAGGTATGATGTAGATAGTGAACGCATGGATAGGTGTGATAATCTGATGGTCTTCTGTCTTATCCTCGCATTCCTCGCGCGATGATAGCGCGAAAACATGAGTGAGCAACGTGCCAGCAAGATATGCTCCAAACAGTTCACTTGTCCCCGAGTAATTCGCACCTGCCACGTAACCTGCCATTACGAAAATCAACATCGACAGCTGTACACGTTGAGTCCGTAGTCTGTCTTTCCACGCAGCTGGATGATGGAACAGTAAGAAGCGTAGGAGCCGTGATATGATGAAAGTGAACAGTCCAAACGCCACCGAGACCATGATTGGCCGCACGATAGTCTGCCACTTGATGGACACAGACGCCTCGTCGACCGAAGAGATCTCAGAGATGATGGCGGCAATGACTAGGCCCACGATGTCATCGATGAGAGCGGCGCTCAAGAGCACTACACCTGGACCGGGAGTAAGCAGTCTGTAAAGGTGACCAGTAACGACACTGACCTGTCCTCGTGTTCTTGATCTCCGGACTTAGCAAAGCCAAGGTTGTACCAAGAGATGTGGAACATAATGCTGCACCAGCGGCGAATCCCTGGAGAACTGTATACTTGTATCCAACACTGAGCAGGAGGATGGAGAGTCCGATGGGGAGGCCCACACCGGTCAATGCCACCAAGAGGGATAACCAGATATTCTTGTACAGCAGGGACATGTCGGTAGCCAGCCCTGCCTCGAAGACTATTAGCAGGAGCCCGATGTACCCAATGATCTGGAAAGTGGTTTGTACGTCCGTTGGAAGGATATTGGCGGCCTCTGGTCCATAAATTATCCCTACGACCAGGGAACCTAGCAGCCCAGCCTCGATAAGATAGTTGGCGACCCCTTCCGCAAGGTTAATGAAGAAAAGAAAGGAGGCGAAAGTAAGAAGGACGGGAATTTCAGGAAGCGTATATTCTAGCATTTTGAGAGTAACTGTATCGGACATCCATGTAGGAGACGTTGACTTTCGCCTTACGCCAAGTCGCGGAAGAAATGGAAAGGCTCTCCGCTTCACCGTTCTCACGATTTTGATGTGATCGGTAATTTCAACTTTATTTTGCAAGTACTCTATAGAAGGTTCATAGCTTCCCGGCCATCATAGTCCGGACAACGATTCTTAAGGTTTCTCGCCTATGAAAAAAGAGCGTTATCCTTACATCTTGGGGATTGCGGAGATATTGTTTGTGCGGTCATTAGGATGTAGCCGCGGTTCGAGGCGGACAATATGTACGGTAGCTCAAATCTCGGACTACGGGAATATACGGTTCGAACCGACCTCCAAAATTCAGGAGAGTAAGCGAACAGTACCAAGCCCAGATAATCAAGAAGTAATGTGGACTATTGACTACCGACTCTTTGCAGACAACATCATGCAGACTTGAGTACTAAGCGCATCTCTTAATCTATACTCGTGCGGTTCTTTCAACCACGATGGTGACAATCTGCAAGATGTTCGTGCGAGTCATTTGGTCGCCAAGTGGTCCATAACCATTAGACCCTAGTACCGTACAGGCTGACGATCGGTAGATCACGAAGATCCTGGAAAGCTTCTGACTAGCGAGGGATACAACGTTGACCACTTTGTTCCTTTCGCTTCGTTTGAGGTCACAAGATATTGTACGGAGACAAATATTAGGGAGATGTTATAGCCGTGAAACAAGAATAGGAACTCATCTGTGAACATTCACACATACTAATCGCCTCGGATTTGTCAATGTCAAGATTGGTAGAGGTGAGATATGAGACGAAGAGCGTGACAGATTCTGAGATATCAAAGGTCAGGGTCTTGACATGAGGCGGTCTTGGGCTCAAATCTAGACAAAAGCTCCAAAGTCCACATCCAAACCGGACAAAAACATACACCAGCATCAACGTCAGGTTGCAAGCCCTCAACCCGCCACCAAGCATCGATGTATTGTCGCTCATCAGGAAGTTTTGTACTAGTCTGTGGCGATTCCTCATGAGGTTGAATGTCATCATCACCAAGTTCGCATCGATAGTTTTTTTGCATGCCAAGGTACTAAGTTAGCGGGATTGAGTAAAGTGTCTGCAGCATCGGAGACGTAAAAGTCCAGAAATAACTTTAAAAATGCCAGTGTTCACTATGGATTCTTCCCTCGTGCCACCCCCATGCTTCCTGCTCATATACGCAGGAATGACGACTTGAACGAGCCAAGACTTCGAAGGCATCATTTCATGGTATAATGGCCGGTACATTCTAGGAGGTGACGACCAGAACTTGGAACTTGAGTGCCATGTTTCCTTTCAACGGCGACCATAAAACTTGACTTTTCCGTTGCAACGGTATGTCAATCGTTTTTACATAACAGAAAGACAGACAGCGACTTGGATGTTATGAAATAAACAGGGGCGGTCAATTAATAGTGCGGCGCAGTTCAGGAACTCAGTCGAGTCGATACCCTAGCCTGAGAATTCGATGAGTCCTGGGTTGGTTCGTTAAGCAGATCACAGACTAAAGAAAGCTCGTTGGCCGAGAATCGTGCCAGCATTGTGTAGTTCAAACATGAGCCTTCCAAAGCACCAAAACCCGACATGAATTTGTACGCAAAGCTGTCTAGAGCCTGATGGGTGTTCTAGAATAGCGTGGTAGTGACAGAGAAGCAAATGAGCGGCGACATAGGGTATTGAATAGCATGCCGTCACATTGGGAGGACGGTGGGCGAAGAGGAAACCGGCAATTTTCAACACACATCAAGAGAGATCAATGATAAGAGAATCCCGACCTATCCTGTTAATAAAGAGAGAAAAGAAACGCAGACAAAAGACAACGGAAGAATAAGTAAAGGGACGGGTCAAAAAAAATTTCCGAAAAAGATAAGATAAGATAACACCAAACCTAATCTTGTTTCTCGCGCACGAGCCTTCCACTGTCTTCCGCATTTGTTCCTCATCGTCCTTTGTTCAGTCCGCGATGCCGGGCACATCAACTTCGCTCGATTCCCTCAGCTCACCTTCGCCGTCACCATCGCCTCCACCAGATAACTTGTCTAAAGCAGAACCTAGCAGCGCGGGTCTGGACGGTGATTCAGAGCTTTCAGAATTGACGGAGGATGAGCAGGACGACCAAACGAATGGGCATGGCGCTAATGGCAGTAGCAGGCGTGGAAGAACCCATTCAGGTGGCCGTGGCATGCGTCCTTCGCGTCGGGGTGGTCGACGAAAACGCAACAGTATCGTACCAGCACCCATGTGGGGATGGGCTGCAACAAAGTCGTCGAGTGCCGTCGAAGAAGAGGAAGAGGAAGAGCGCAGTAAGCCTCATAATATCATGGAGGAGGAAGAGGAGGGTGAGGAGGATGCCGCAGACGCTGACCAGCCTAAGCAATCCGGCTTGCCCATCGTGGCTGACGATGAGCTCGATCACTCTGTTCCTGCACCACCACCACCCGTCGACCAGTCGCTCGGTTCCGTTACTCCCGCTCCTCCAATCCCTTCCAGTCACGAAATGGCAGCTTTGGACCTCGTGGGGCTGGCCTTGGCAGTGGCCGAAAAGGAAAAGAACACCGACATGTCACGCAAGGAGTCTATCGACAACGATGACGATGGAAAAGATGAGCTCGCCGACGATACTGACGGCGAGGTCTCCGATGATGACCCTGCGCAGCCCGACGTCGATCGCGACAATGACAATGACACCGATTCCGAGGAGGAGCAGCTGAAGGAGGAGGAAGAAGAGGAGGAAGATGACGACGATCCCAAGGCCGTTCTTGAAGACGAGCTCGAGGAAGACGTCGATATGACTGCTCCTCCTGTTGAATCTATTGCTCCCGTCGTCGCAGCTGCTTCCGCATCGTCTATAATGGCGGGCTCAGGTGTCGTCGACCCTGGCTCCCCATCTCCTTCGGCTTCCGAAGGTTCCCCCTCTCCTGCCTCCTCGCGTTCTCCGTCCCCAGCTTCACCGCTTAAATCTCCCGTCAATACATCACTCTTGGCCCAGCCTGCTACTGCGGCCCCGCCAGATAATGCAGATGAAAAGGAGGAAGAGGAAGAAGAAGAGGAAGAAGAAGCCGAGGAGCCACCCCCAAAGCCAGACATTCCACCGACCACGAAAGGGAAGGGAAAAGGAAAGCAGAAGCCGGAACTTAACATCGACGCCGAGGACCAAGATCAGGACGTCGATATTGACGCCGATGTATCCCTTGATGATGATATGGAGGTAGAGATGGAGTCAGATTTACAACCTGCTCACCGTGCGGAGGCTCTAGAGGTACTCGCCGGCATCGAATTCAAATTTGGACGGTTGAGGGAAATTCTCTATGTTGAGAGAATGCAGCAGTTGGCCTGGGAAGAGACTCTTATTCTCGAGGGTGTGTTATAATCTTCTCAAATTCCAATTTTTCACTCATGTCCTGTTTTCCTATTCAGGTACACATCCCGAGCTCATTCATTACCAGAAGGAGTTAGCTAACCGACGAGATAAACGCGTCGAACTCGCGTCGCGTAAGCGTGAACTCGAAATTACCACTATCATGAAGAGGAGACGCGTACATGAAGATGGAACCTGGAGTTGGTGGAAGGTATGCTACCGTTGACGCGCTGTTTTACTGGTTCTGATGATATGCATAGCATGAGAGAGATCAGCTCCAAACTGATATGATCGCGGATAACAATCGTAAAAAGAGAAAGTTGGAAAGAGAGCGAAGGGCCGTCGAGCGGCCCCAGTCCGGTGCGTTTACAGTTTTATTTCTGTTGCCATATTGCTGATCCTTGGCATTTCAGTCCGACGAATTCCTAGTATGCCACAAGATGCACCCCAACCCCCGACATTACGCCAGATCATTGATTCATTTCCCTTTGGCTCCAAGAAGCAAAAGAGTGTTCCTTCTACTTCCCACACCCACACAGTCTATCCAGAATTGTCTACGCTGCCCCCTGCAGAAGTGGCCAGAGATTTGGACTTTATATATTCACTTCGACGCCAGTTCGAACAACCGCGAATTCCACCCTCTGGTATGGGCTCTCACATTAACGGACCAACAGGACCTCTTCCTATGCCCTATGATGCTTATCCCGAGTCGTATCCGCCGGGCTTCTCTGGCAGAGATGGAAGGATGCCTCCACCGTCCCAATCATCGTATCATCATCCACCACTCCCCCCACCAATGATGGCACAAGCTGGTCCATCTTCAATACCGGCGTTTCCCGGCTTCAACGGTAATTCTAGCGGTCCAAACTCAAATCGCGGTCACCACCAACACATATCTTCTAGACCTGGAAGTCGTGGTGCTTCCATACATAACCCTTCTGGGAGTACGATTCATGGGCCTTCACCATTTGCACCCATGGATCAGGATTTACCTGGTCCTGGGGCAAGTGGTTCCCATCATCCGCCACACCCATTCTTTGGGTCTTCTTCACAGCCTCCTTCCGGATACCATGCTCCGTCACGGAGGTCATCGATGTCTCCTGCCCCAAATGGCGCATCTAATAAGGGTCCTGGGCAATGGATGGGTCCTGGAATGGGAATGGGTGCGTTCGGCCTAGGTGGACCATCAAAAGCGCCTGATTGGATGGATCGTCGAGCTGATTTGGAGGAAGAAGATCGGAGAGAGCGGGAACATCGAGAACGAGAAAGGGAGCACATGGAAGCTGCCGACCGTCGAGAGCGGGAGCAGCGAGAACGGGACCGGGACCGGGACAAGGAGATGGAGCGACGAGAAAGGGAGAGAGAAGGATACCATATGCAGCCGCCGCACGTAATGCATCGACACTCTTCGCATCCCCACGTTAATCCTGTACCGCACTCCCACCATCACCATCGGACCCATCACCATCATGTTGTCCACCACCACCATGGCGCGGTCCCTCCGGGCCCTTCGTTGAGTCCCCGTTCGTCTCGTGATTTCGAACGACCACATAGTCATCCTGGCGCCGAGATGATGGGCTTTTCTGCTGCAAAACCACCGCCATCGCTTGCACCTCCACATCATTGGAAAGGGGAGGAACCTCCAGACTTCAGGAGCAAACACAATGGTCGACCGCCAGCACCTGATGATCGTGAGCGACCAGTCGCGGTGCCGTTCGTGATGGGCTCGTCAACACCGAATCGGTCACCGCGGAATTCGTGGAATGCACCAGATGACTATCGTGCCGCACCAAACTATGTGAGCTCACCAGGACATAGATACTCTTCGGCCTCCTCTACCTCTTCAAGAGCCGGACTACCGAATCCCATGACGGTGTCACCGCAGACACGGACACTACCTCCCCCTACCTCACCAAATCGGTACCGGGATCGAGACGATCCGTTAAAACACCGCGCGTTGTCGCCGCCGGTATCGAAGATGGGCATTCCTATCTTGCCTCCACTAGAGGGCAGAAACTCCGCCTTGGTGCCTGGAGAGGGGAAGAATGGCGCATTGCGAATGGTCAACGGGGAAGGACCTGGCCTGAAAGACGGGGCTGTGGGCATTGGCCTGCACGCAGGGATGAGAGAAATGGAAAGGAGAATTTCGCCGCCACCGCGGTTAGGGTTGGCACCACCAACCAAGTTGATGGTCGATGGACTATAGCGTTGTATATGCTGTTTACTCTTTTCTGTCCCCTCCGTGTCGCCCGTCGTGTTGTTTGAGTTATGGTTTTCCTATATTGCTGTTGTCTTCCGTTTTTTTAGTATATATTTGGTTCCCTATATTATCTGTTACCTGTCTACATACATAACGTCCTTGCCTGTCGCAATATAGTGAGGCTATTATTGTCTTGTAACACCAGCAGAAAGTTAAAAGTGCCTCACTTTTAATTACAGGCTCTATGATCGCGTATGCATGTGGCCAAGAATTTTTATTTGCCTATTTGACTACGTGGAAAGTAGCCCTTGTGGATTTGACGGGTATCGATGATCGGAACTGCTGTTGCTTCCGACTACTAGCGACTACCACAATCAAAAATATAGAAAACCTATTTAGGAGTACGAACTCGTGCTGATGAGAGTCGTCAGCGTCGGGAAAAACGCCGGGAAAAACGACCTGTGATCTTCTGTAAAAAAGTTGGGCTGATTTCATGAACGAAAACAAAAGTTCCGTAGTTATTGGAGGAAGCATGATCCTTCGTTTCTGTCAATACGGCACCGACTGGTTCGATCAGATATCTGAAGCGATCATACGGAGAGATTCTGTCGTGACGCAATATCTAGGCCAAACAAACAAAATTTCATAATGCGATGGGGGCGGACCGGCACGGACCGATCCGAATGTCATCCGCTGCGGTACGCACAACGCCTACATACCGCCCAGCGAACACGCGGACCATTATACTTCACTTTACATAGGAGAAAGGGGTGTCACGATCAGTACGAGATGCCGGAGCGACGCATGCAGTTTAGTCAGTTGCGTTTTCATCAACTCTGGATAAAAACTCAAAACGCACGTCTTCGCAGAAAAAAAAAAGAACCTAGGCACAGAGCAAAAAGTTTGAAATGGTTTCCGACGGTTCGAAACATGCGGTAGTGTTGCGCTACCGTTAGTTCTGGAAGCCAGCTAGGAGCGCCACGGCAAATGCAAGGGCAAGAGTCAGGCCGAAACATGGAGCGATTGTTCACGATCGCGGAAGAGGGGGAAAGTCGAGAATTAGGGACTAGCACGGATACGGACCCGTGAGTGCGCCACTGAATGTCCTTTCCAAGTTCCAAGGCTCTCACACTGGAATGGCCGCGGTGGTGGTTATTAAGCGCAATTCAAAAAATTTTGAGTTGAACCGCATCCGAGCTCCGAACGAGGAAAGCAAATCGCGTACTGAAGGCGTGTGACTGCGGATCTGAGTCTCAGGGATAACCGGAATCCTGCCTATAAACGGATATGGCGCATTATCTCGATCCACAGAAAAGAGTAATTTTGCATGTTTTTATCAGATTGAGGGGATATTTCGTACCGCGTTCTAACCTCGGCCGAATCGCGATTTTCAATCGGTCTAAGAACTTTGCTTTTCACCTTATGGATGCATCCGACGCTTTGTGAGTTTCTCTCTTTCGTCGTTAACGTCCATTTGGCCGCTCTCCCTTCCTCGTCCCCCCTCAGGTCGCCCAGTGCAGCCATTCCTGTCCAGGTTCCTGAGAATGAGCATCTTCTCAGTCCAGGACTCGTCTTATTTTATTAATGACAATCCTGAACATCCTGATTCTACAGTTCATTCTCAGGTCCCTGTGAAGACTGAGTCTTCGCCGTCTCCGGATTTGTTACCGGCTTCTGCTTCTCTCCAAAATATTCGCTTCTCGTTTCGCTCACAGCCCTCTTCATCCCACGGTTCTTCTCATTCATCTTCTCGTCAACCTTCCGAAGCGCCTCCACTTGTTCCCCAGTCCGTCTACCGTTTTAGTCAGGATACTTCATCAGACTACGGACTCATGTCCTCCGTCAACTCTTGGTCTCCTCAGCACGAAGACTCTCAAATGGACGGACACATTGGTCTCCAGAACGCGATGTCATTCAGCGACGAGTATGACGAAGTGGGCGACCTCATAGAGTTGCCCTCCATGGCTGGAAGCAGTGGTGGTTTAACACATCTCTCGGGTGTCACAGGAGAGAAGCCAATCCGTCGCAGAAGTAGCAAAGGTGCGCCTCCAATAATTTACTTGACGAGCTCTATGTTTGACCTTACCATCTCGTACTGCCCAGCATGCGACCAATGTCGTAAATCCAAATGTAAATGCGAGCGCACATCTCCCGAAGAACCTTGTCGCAGCTGTGTGATGCTCGGTACTCGTGAGTGTCGAGTTTTTACTATTGTCTTTCATTGCTGTCTGTCTGGCTCGCCACTTTGATCAGATTCTATAACTGATATAGCAGCACCGTCATTTCCTTTCTGGGCTTGGCGTGATTTCCCTGCATGCCATGCACATTGTGCTTTTCTCACTCTTCTAGCCCTTCTTGTTTTCCGCGCGTTTTCCGTGGCGCTACCCTGTCTTTCTTTTGCTGACCATTTCGGTTATTTCTGTAGCATGCACTTTCCTCGGGCCCTCGCGGAAACGAGGACCACCGAAGGGATACATTGATGCCATTGAGGCTCGCCTTCACCAAACCGAAGCCCTTTTGGGGATCATGATCTCATCAGCGGACCCCAGAGCGCAGACGCTTCTTCAAGACATTGCGCAGGTTCGTGTCCTAATTTATCTTTCTTCCGTGTTCTTCTCGGTACTAAACATCTATCAACTTTCTTTTTTTCTCATGGGAGAATGAATGCTTCCATCCTTGATTTCATCAAGAGCGACATCAATGTGTCCACGGGTGTCATACTCGTACTTCTTTGCTGCTTGGAACTCTAGCCCATGAGATCCGTTCATTCTGTTCCGTTCCGACTTTGCTTTAGCTCCCTGCAGGGAAGTTGAACTTTGCTGACTCTATTATTTACTCAGGATTCCCTTGCAAGAGAGATCATTAATCGCGTCGACAATTCCCCTTACGGCGTAAAGGGTCGGAAGGGCGGAGATGGCGAGAAAACAGCAGGACCTTCCAAGTCGCGGCACTTGACGGCCGAACTAGCTTCTCAGAAAGCTGAAGACAGCAAACCTGAACTTACATCAACACAGTATGTCCTTTCTTGTCGGACGGACATTTTTTTAACTCATGATCTGTTTCAAAGTCCATCCAATGAATGGCAGGATCGAGTCACACATATGCTTGACCTCCTTCGCCGGGATACAGCCGCCCGATCTACTGTTTCCGGGCCTTCAGATACACCTTTACCAAGTTTGAACCATCAACAAACGTCCCAATCCCGTTCGGCACGCGATTTGCCTTCTCTGATAACTTCAATTCCATTGAGCCGGTCAACTTCGTATCAACACCCTGAGCACGAATCTGCATCTGCAAGCGATGGTAGCCACTCACCTGGTAGGAGATTACGACGAAAAGTCGACAGCGGCGATGTACCTTATCCCTCATCCGCCCCACCTTCCGCGTTGTCTCCAATCCGTTCTAACAGTGCGTTTGATTTCCGCTCGTCGGTATCACCGGGGCGTGCAGGGAAGAGTGCTGGTGTCATCCGGAGGTCTGTAAGTGACATTGTAAACAGAACGGTACCGACACGGAGTGCCAGTCCCGCAAGCTTCAGTTCTGAGAGCGATGAGGATGATCTCCTTGGCGCTGTTGGTCAGTTAAGCTTGAATGAGGACGAGGAGGTACGTTATCACGGTAAAGCCAGTGGCCTCTACCTCCTTGGGGGAACAGAACGACATGACAATAGAAACGAAGGCGGTATCTGGTCAGTCGCCTCTATTTGTTCCCGCTTGAATCATTGAGCCTGAATGTTTGTGAACTCCTAACAGGCGCTTTCCCAAGGCTAGGGTATGGCCCGCCCTACCCACTAGTATTCCCGTGCAGGAAAAATCATCTACCGACCTTCCTTCACCTGCGTTGCAAGACCATCTACTTAATCTTTATTTCACTTACGTGCATCCATCTCTTCCCGTTATCCACAAGCGCTCCTTTCAAGAAGCGTACAAGGCGGGGTCAGTACATTTATCTTTCGCACTTTAACAATGTCTGATTATCCGCGATAGCCCCGACACGCCACTGTCGGAGTCGGGTGCTCGGTCTCCTTCAGGATCTCCCTTCAACCGCCGTTCTCGACATGTACCGAACCTTCTCCTCCTCGTCATGTTTTCCCTGGCTACCCGATACGTTGATGACCCTTCAAATCCAATGCCATCGCCTGATAGTGGTGTGATGTGGGCGGCCGGCGACCAATATCTCGACCGCGCTAAGGTATTGCTCGACGGGTCTTACTCGAGCTCAAGACCGACAACTTGTCAGGCCTTGCTCCTTATGGGGTATCGAGAAATTGGTATAGGTGCTATGGCTCAGGCATGGACCTACATTGGCATGGCCATACGCATGGCACAGGATTTAGGTATGCAACGGAGCGCGGATGGCTGGGCGCGGCGAGAGTTAGGCGGGAAACTCTTTTCGGAGGCGGAGTTACAAACACGACGAAGGATTTGGTATTCATGTGTTGTCATGGACAAGTATGTCTCGTCCTATATTGGTTGGTCCATTTTCATCGTTCTGGGTCCTTGCGTCTGAATTCGTGCCCGTGCGCTAGGTCGGCCGCTGGCTATATTTGAGCGGGATTTCGACACTCAATTGCCGGGTGAGTTGGATGTACGTATCCCCGGTCCTCGGATGCCGATGTCAACTTGTTAACGAATTGCAGGCAGAGGAGCTGGAAGATTGGAAACCGCGTACCCCTCTAATGCAAGATACCCGAGAAAAATCTGGAAGGCCTAGTTATATTATATCTTGCTTCAATGCATCAGCCACTCTATGTATGTCCGTGTTCTCTCGGATGAAGATGATATTCACTTCCTTGTAGCCGGCATAATCAGCATGATTGTCCAAGCCATCTATGCTGTTCGTCCGGTGTCTAGTCGTCATGCGGAATCGGTCTACCTAGAGAGTATGCTCGACAAATGGTACCTGGAATTGCCCGCCCATCTCCAACACGATCCTGTATCTCTAAAACACCCGGTCCCGCTGCCACATGTCTTAACGCTTCATATGCAATACTGGTGCGCAGTCCTCCTTTTACATAGGCCATTGTGAGTCTATGAGTGCTTTTCCATTATCATTACTAAGGCGCGTCATAATAATAGCATCAGGCATGTTATCCGAAGGTACGTTGAATTCACCCTTGTTAAAATCCTAAATGCCATCTCATTTCTCTTCTATGGTAGTCCAAATCCTAATGAAGAGGACGGCCGTACGGCGTCGCAAAAGAGCTATGAGCTTTGCGTGGGAGCGGCGAATCATATCACTGCTATCGGTAGGCCTTTCCTTATCTTGGATGCAGAACCATCATTAAAATTTCTCAATCGAAGCTACCTTATACAAAGAGACGTACTCTTTGAGGGGATGTCCTGTCTTCCTTTGTTACTATGTTTTTACAGCTAGCATTATGCATGTTACAAGCGGTGAGTGATCTTTCGAAGCCTGATATTTGCCATGCTCATCAGCTTCTAGCCTCTGTCTCCCCCGGGGACCCCCAAGCACGCCTACGGCTTTCTAAATGTATGGAGGTTCTCAAGGCTATGGCCGTTCTCTGGCCAAGCGCTGGTCGAGCTCATGAGCTTCTTCGCGGTGCCGAAGTGAACTTCGGACATCAGATTCGCTCTGCTGAGCCGCTAAAACCAGTCGATCGGTACAAGCGTCCAGCCGAAGGGTCTCTCGATGATCGCAGCGTCGGGATGCAGACTTACACCAATATGCGACCGTCTAATAACTACACTGCCTCTAATCTTCACCCCCCTCAAGCATTTCCAGCGAACGGCACCACGGACGTCCAGTATACCCAATCCTCGTCGTATTACTCAAACTATGATCGTCCTTGGGCGTCAGAACACTCAAGTCAACATGTCCCATATCCTGGACCGTTATCTACTTCTGCCCTTCCACAGGTATACAGTACTGGTCTGGCTGACGGGCGTCCTTCTTTAAACCGAACTGTTAGCCACGGAATGGAGCATCATCCCCGATATCCTCAATACTGGAATGATTATTCTACTTATTCGCCTTTGGACCACGGGGTTGAATACCCTCAGACAGGGGCGGTTCATGAGCCTCAAAACCCTCTCACCCATTTGTTCATGCCGGAACAATATAACGTTTATAGTGAGTCCCCACCGCACCTTGTCGTTGACGGCATTCAAACTTCTCTTCGCATAGATAACACCACTTCCTCCAACCCACAGTAATCCCTGTCTTTGTCCTTGTTTTGTATTGTAGCATTTCCTTGTCCCTTCGCTCGGCTAGTTTATGATATTCCTATTAGAAGACCCAAAAGTTTAAAATCTATTGCTGTATCCTGTAGCCTTTCTCGTACTCTCTACACGCCACTGCTAACGCAAAAGTAATTGGATAATTAATGACCTACACTGATCGGTAGTGATATACGATATACATAGTCAAAATGAATTTCATGTTGATCATTGAGAAGCCAAGAATGAACGAAGATATCTAAAGCTCCCGTACAAGGGTACTGGTGACAGCATAATCGACCGTTTCAAACTCCTAGCCGTTTAAGCACCTCACCAATCCCAAGAGAATGATCAATCAGTTCGGTTGCATGGCTCGACTTCCAAAGGGGGACGCTTCCGCTTCACACGGCTTGGTGTGACGTTCCTGGCGGACCCATATAAATCCATCCAATGGTGTCCAAATCTCACTAGTACTGACTTGAATACCTTACGCAGACAATTTGGACCTCCTGTGGTCAGGGAGGCACGCTCAACTTTTCCGTTAACCTTTACTTAGCTATTCAGAAAGAAGCATCAAAATCGATCAAAATTCCGGTTCGCTGGTACAGATGCCCTATTATCAGAGTCAGGGAGTGTTCAAAAATAAGTGCAATAGAGGACAATTGGGGACAATGCAATGTCATTCAGTCAGAACAAACATTTATGGCAATTCCAGGTTATTATTGAGTAGTACTAAGTCCCCGCAACTAACTGTCGTCTGCCTTCCTCGGCGCACTCCAGTCTCTTTCACATGGCCAAGACCTGAGTTAGCCAAAAACGAGGTGTTCACGTCGTTGGAAATGACGTTGTCTCGGTGTCATCTTAAATGGATGATTATCTGTGGTTTTTCTCGTACACCAATATCACAAACGCGGGTGCGATTTTGGGACGTCCGAGCATGCGCCTGGGTCCCGGCGGCGCCCATCCCTGGCCACTGGTCACCGAATTTGATCAAGCCTGTGGTCCTAAAAATCATTATGAATAGCGCCGACCATAATTACTTCCACACTTCCACCTAGATCCATCTCATATCCTTCATCGGACATACAAGTTCTACCTTCGGAAGATATCCCAGTCGTTTCTAAAATTACAAAAGAACCAATACACAAATAATGATTAGATGGAAATTCGGGTTCATAAATTCGCTCGACCCTCCCTAAACCCACTTTCAGGATGTGTATTGATGAGCTGAGCCACCGTAATTCGATTTGCTCAATTGCGCATACTACTGCAACGTCAATGCTTAGGCAAATAGTGAGCAAACCCGGCATCACATAGCGAGCGAAGCGGTTGATGGCAGATATTCTCGTCCGTTTAGAACAGGAAGTCTCTTCATTTCTTCTCGTGTTGAATTCGCATTCGTATCACTCTCTCGGTCTGTTTTCGGAAGAGAAGAGTATGAGCACGTTTCACGTCGAATTCGCGTGACGTGGCATGGTAAGAATTGTTATGAAAAGTACATTTAACTCCAGTTCGATAATGGTGCCTCCAGAGATAACGGCTCCTCAAGATATCGCGCCCAGACGGTAAGTGACCAAATGTCATGGAACTGGCGTTTAGTGCAAATAAAACTTACAAAACGCACGCATTTTTTAAGTTTGGCCTACATAGGTGCGGGATGGCCGCAGGGGAAGTGGCGGCTGCCTGAAGTAGGTTAAACCACGTGGTGGTTGAATGATCGACATTTGCCATCAAATTTCCTCCTCCGCACAATGATATCTGACCAACCGGCTGCGAACTCTTTCCCAGCTACATTAGATGCTATTATCCCCAGACTACCAGAAAAGCTTCGCAAGCCAAAGGTCGGTATCATTTGTGGGTCTGGGCTGGGTGGTCTTGTAGATACTCTTCGAGAAATCGTCCTGATACCGTATGATACCATTCCTGGGTTCGCACAAAGCAGCGGTATGCGAATGTTTTAGTCTGGACTGTTCAGAGCTGAACAAATTCTAGTACCTGGCCATAAAAGCTCACTAGCGTTTGGAATAATTGGCGCTGGGGAAGGTGTGCCAGTTGTTGCAATGCTTGGCAGAGTCCGTTTCCTCATTTTTGGTTGAAACACGATTTGACATAGAGTCCGATAGTTTCATCCCTATGAGGGCCATAAGTTGTCAACTGTCGTTTATCCTGTCCGAGTCATGGCAAAACTTGGAGTCACTGATGTTATTGGTGAGGGCCTGTTTCGCCTTGGCTGTTTGGCTAATACTTATGGAGTTCAGTGACTAATGCATCTGGTGCCCTCAATCCTGATCTTGCTGTCGGAACAAGTGTGTTTTCGTTCATTTATTTCTGATCTCTATGACATGAGTACGTACGTAGTTGTCGTTATCCATGACCATCTGGCGCTGCCAAACCTCACAGGGATGAACCCTCTGCTCGGCCCCCTGATCTCTCCAGAACATCCCCGCTTCTTGGCGGTATCTGATGCGTACTCAGCATCCCTACGACGTCTTGTCTTCCTCGCTTCACATCAACTTTCTCTCGGAACAGACGCACTTGCGGAAGGCGTCTACGCGTGGGTCAGTGGGCCTACTTACGAGAGTCCCGCAGAAGGAAGATTCCTTCGGAACGCTGGCGCAGATGTAGTTGGAATGAGTACCGTTCCAGAAGTTGTAGCTGCCAGACAGGAAGGCCTGAATGTCCTGGCATTAAGTCTGGTCACCAACGCTGTCGTTATTCCGGACAAATACAGAAGCGTCAAGGAGGAAGTAAAGGCTGAGGTGAGACGTCTGCGATGTACGCCTAGAATTGACGCTGATCGGCCGTAGCTCATGGGGAAGGCGATTGAACTTTCTGTGCCTGAAGTTGTGTCACATGCAGAGGTGTTGACAATTGGTCAAGAGAAAGGCAACGTAATGCGCCAGCTAGTAGAACGGGTTATTGAAATGCTTTCGCACAGTTAGATAATAGATATTATCAAGAGACATACAGTTAGGCGATACCGCTAGCTAACGCAGATGCTTCGTAGACAGATATTCTTCTTTACAGTATGGTCGGTGGTTCATATTCGAAAATGCAAAAATTGCCGCTTATAGAACTGATTCGGCTACTCTACAAAGACAAGAGCGATGCTTTCGACGCCTCAGAACCATTCTTGTTTCCTGCTGTACTTATGCGTCCCCTGGAAGTGTCAAACAACGATCAAATAGAATAATTTGCACGGAAGTCCTCTTCGGGCCCTTCGGAAATACGACCTCGGTATTCGAGCCTGAGCTTCTGCTTTTAATCAAGACATAACCTTTGCGTACGTCCTTATGTCCCTTTGAACGAGCCAGACGATTTAGCGAGTCCCCCGGACTGAATCGGCCCAAGCCCAGGGCAAACCGCTGTGTGTGTGAACTGTAAGCTCCAAAGGCACAGCCTGTCATGTTTCACAGAATGATTTAGGTTACCGACTTCGCCGACACTGAAGGGTGACTAAAGAATGCTCAGGACCTTCGCCGCTCGCTTGGAAATACTTGACGGTGGACGGGAAATTTCTGATTGCGCATGTTCAAAAAATATATAGAGTCCGAGATATTCAAGAAAGTCGCTTGACTTGCACCCCTTGTTCACGAGGCGACAGACGATAGCTCCGCTAAGCAGCCACACCATCAGACAGAGGAATGGCAACAAAGACAGTGACATGGACGGAGCAAAACCATAACGAGGGCGCGTGGTTAATGAACCTGACGGATCTGTAAATTTCAGATTCTTTTTTGCAATAAACATTTGTCCTACCCCGTAAAGGCAAAAAATTGGATGATGATAGACAGCTCGTAACAACGTCGGTAACAGAGAGCGCAGGCTAGGAGAGGCTAGGCGCAGGCATGGCTACAGTTCCTGCCATACATTCTCCGCCGTTTGTCGATTTATACTGACTTGCAGGTATGTGAATCCAAGTCATAAAATTTTCAGTTTCACAAAGACGTGTATTCTGATATACGAGATAAATATGAGACATAAATCGCAATCTACATGTTGGGGTCGTAGTCCCTTCGGGTTGAGCGCCTCTCAAGGTATGGCACTGTTTGCTTCCCTACTTCGGTTGTCATAGAACCTCTGCACAGAGATGACGCCGCATGAATCATGAGAAGCATGAATCGATAGAGAACCAGCGGCGACCGAATCAAGCCAGGCCGACAGGGAGCTCGACAGGGTTTTTTTCGGTGTAGGGATGTCCTGGGAAGTAATTGACCTGCCAGTGACTTCCACAGAAGATAAGCAAAATGAGAGCATGTATTCCGAGAACTGGTTTTTGTGAAGAAAGTTCCCAGCTAGATAGCTCTATAATGGCTGCGAGGGAATATCAATTCGGCATATCCCGGGCTGATGTAGCGCATAACTGTGTTAACCATCACCCTTTAAATGCTCGTAGTATGAGTGCTGCTCAGACATCCGCCGATCCTGGACCAGTCATTCCAGCTATATCTAATAGTAAGGCAAATGTCAATGATGCAATTGTTACTACATAGATTTTTGTCGACTTCTTTTATTCTTCTTCTTGTAGCTCAGTTACCGAATCTGCAGTCAGAGGTATGACTGTTATATTTCACCACCGCAGATAAGCGAGCGGTTCAAGGCCCTAAAGAACTCTGTAGGAAGCGTCTTTGTTGCGCATTCAATCATGTGGGAGCATGTTGTCACCCTAAGAGGCGTGTAGAACGGAAATTAAACTATTACATCTCTAATTCGCCGCCGTCTAGATGACGCTTTCTCTTCATTCCGCGTTCGAAAAGAAGATAAATTTTACCTAACCGCCGTGAACGCTCATCGACACGAAAAATCGAGTTTAAAGTTGAACTTCTTGAGACCACGTGATTATCGGATCAACGCATCGCGGGAGCGCATGCGACGCCAATCAAACCTGAGATGGAAGAGGATGTAGTGTAACAAATGCCTAGCCAGAAATTACGTTCGTTTCCAAGGGCCAGAAATCATGCTGGTTCTGCGAGTCTGCAAGTAAAGATCCTTGTAAATTGTAATTGAATTCAGTTACCCTGTCATTCACAGTCATAAACAAGGGGCCTAGTTCATTGTCGGTGACGTAGATAAGCTGGATTTTCTGGAAATGCTTCTTCCCTGACTATTACACATCGTCCTTCTGCAACAATAGATGTCATGTTGTTTGCAACCGAAACTGCTAAGAAGCATTGTTTAATTAGTAGTTGCCAGAATGTGATGCAAGATGCACACGCAAGCGCCTTTCAAATGCCAGATAGATTCACAGAGAATCAGATAACGGGAGCCCGAAGGCTTCTTAGTTCCGCCACTCTGGCTTGTTCCCAAGGGTCGCGCATTTTTACGAACCCTTTAGAGTTTGTGGTCATGATGTTGCAGGAATCCTTCTGGAGGCAGTAACATGAATACATACCTAGTACCCCAGATACTGTAGGTATCCCTGATGAAAGGCTTAAGATCCGCCGAAGACGACAACACCGACAGACAACAGAAGCACACACGTACAAAAATGGTTTAGTTGCATCAGCGTGGACGCAGAATAAGCATGTGATATAAAACCAAATATAATACTTAGTGTTGAGTTCAAAGGCTAACAAGAAAGCAGTGTCAGGTCAGGGTGACTGGTAAAAGCAAGACCTCAAAGAGTTACGATACGTGTGCCGAAATCAGCTACGGAATAAGAAAATGCAGGCCCAGGACAAGTCATGAACATTAGAGACAGGGGTATCTGTAGTCTATGTGCCAGAGCAACGACATTGGGCGGATCGAAGGAGTTGCGAACGATTATCTGAAGAAGAATATGTGCGTCAGCATTGGAATTCGCCGTCAAGATTAAGCTACTCACCAGATCTATCGTAATTTCTGGAAAGGCTTCATCCAATACTGTTAAAGGACATGTTGAGCATGGTCAGATATACACACAACTAACGTGTTACTCACTTCTGGCATTTACCTCTAACTCCGAAGGGATACCCTCCTCTTCTTCGGCAAAGTGGATGATATTCAGGGACGAGGTTTCCTCGTTCTTTTGCACATAGAGGATCATACGCATCAAGTAGCTGATCTGGTGTACTATCAGCAAATGTCGACGAGGAGAACTGGAGAGGATACTTCATCAGTTTTAGCCAGTATACAAACGGGCTTACGCTTTAGTCTAGTCATCGCATTCATCAATTTATTGTCCCATAACTTTGTTGCATTCCACCGCTGCAGGACTGGATATTGATCATATATCCAATAAATCCACCGCAAGAGACAAGTCTTTTGTTGCGTGATTGAAAACAGCATGGTAATGAAGACAAAGTAGGCTGAGAAAAACCTGTTCAAGGCTGAGAAAAAGTGTAGAAGCAAATACTAGTCCCGTACCCAAACGTGATCGGATCGATAGCAATGTTACCTGCAAATACAGTCGGGACAACAGCCAGTGTCAAGAACACTATTGATACAGGAGTTTTAGGAGTCCTTGTTAGACGGCCACGATTGAATTTCAGAAGTAGAAGGCATAGCGGGAATAACGCCATAACCGATAACCACACTAATGAGAATCTGACCGTGACATCAGTAAATGAATCGGTGAGTAGGTCAAATACATACATTTTCGACATAATAACAAGGCTAGCGCCTGTACTAGCATAGATGACACCACTGAATGCCGCGAACGAGAGCACTGACACATAAGAAGATCGGAAGAATGGAAGCGGGTGAACGAACAGTTGAGGAAGGACGTGATCATGGGTCAACTTCTCAAATAATTCGCATGCGCTCAGTATACCTATAGAGTTGAGTAAGTAGTGATGCAATAGTAAGTAGCTGACATACCAGTTAGAACGCCCCCACATAGCACAATGATAGCGTCTACAACTACCCATACTCTCAGCCACCTGCCTGCTGACTAGATTGAACTGAGTGAGATAACATATAAGACAAAGGTTCTGCCTACCATCTCGGCGAGGACACTGAGGAGATTGTCTGCTTGCAGAACAACCTCCAAGGGAACTACCGCCATCACCAGAACCATGATAAGGGTATTCAGGATTATGGCGGGGTAATGCAAATTCCGAAATACAAGAGGCAGTGCACCGGGCTTAATTCGAGCGATGTAGGCAGGTACACCTGAAAATGGACGTCACAAAGAAATCAGCCTTCGAGGGAACGTAAAAGCAAACATTCAAATCCGGTCAAGCCGAGCATTCCAAGGCACCAGCCATCGAATACATGCCTTGCGAGCTTACTCGTCGAAGGAGCTTGGTTGGAAATCCAATTTTCGCGAAGTTGGTCATTACCGATATTCCCCCAATGAATGGCCGATGCGACCATAAGGACGATCATGGTTCCGACCTACGGCAAGAGCGTCAGACTGTTTACACCGATTTGCCAGCAGACATACGTGGAAAGAGAGAGACGCTAAGGCAAGCCGGGCACTTTCTCTGATACCGCTGAGACTGATAATGGTAAATAATACCAAGACAATGATAGCTCCGACAAAGGAAGGGAACGGAAGATCAACCTCCCCTGATAAATACGTCGCCGCCGTTGCCGCAGAAACAACCGACGTACAGACATAATCTAGCAATAAGAGCGCTGCGCTGATCAAAGCGAAAGATTTGGTGGAGACGTTAAGTCTAAGCCAGTATGAATGAGAGACAGAACGAAAAGAACAGCATATATGCATACATATAAGAGTAGGGTGCTCCTGTTATGGGCAGAGCAGAACCAAGTTCCGCCATGATTGGGCGCCATAAGAACAGCGTCATAGTCGCGATGAAAAGAGATATAGGGGAACTAAAAGAGATCCATGAGACGTCAGAAAGGAAATGGCTATGGAGTGGCTCACTATATGCTTGCCACTGCAACAACGGCAAGTAGGGCATAGAACACGCTACCCAGTACAGCGTTGCCAGCCAGCGCACTTGCAGTGAATTGACCGAGCACCTTGGAATCCCTAGCACTTCTTACATGCGATTCCCCGGCATCGCGCTCTGCCGCGTCAAGCTTGAACTGGGAAAAGGAGCCCCATCCAGCAAATTCAAACTTTCCAGAGAGGTTCAAGAAACGCGAGGGCACCGTTGTAGACTTGAGACCTCCACCATCCTTGGGTCTATTTCGCTGGCGACGAAAAATAACATCATAATGGGAGTCATGAAAGCTGGGTGGCTCAATGTTGTCGACGACACACGCGCGCGTAGTAGCTAGATAGAGAGACGCCATCATGAGAGCTACAGCTAGGCGAAGAGAGCCATCCTTTTACTCACGAGAATCTCGTTGCAGAGGGTTGATGGCAATCCAAGACGCGTCTCGTTCTATTTCGTGCTCGAGCGAGCGGTCGTCACAGTTCTGGTGAACTGAGGACCGATTTTCTTGCCATTTGCTGTCACCGGACATTAACCTCTTTGGTTTTCCCTGTCCTTCTCTCAACGACAGATTTGTGTGGTGGTGGCACAGAAAGAAAGACAACAAAGTGGTGACAGTGAAACCCGATTGGGCATACCCGACCTGTCGGCATTTTGGCGAAGGAGGTTGCATTTCGTCGCTCCGTGGTGAGCGTCGGCGTACAAGGAACAGATGTGGAGACCATGCATATGCATGTCTGTTAACATTATTGACTCTAGAGCTTGTCGTGGAAAGAGATCAAGCAAGAACAACGAAGAAAGAAATAATAAGTATGCCGGCATGGTTTTAGATAAGATTCTCTGCTATGGTGGCGGGGGTCCTCATCACACTGACCTTCCACGACATCCACCATGGCATACGTTGCAGTCGAAGCCGACGAGGTGCGCTTGTTGCCTATATTTCCTGAAAGAAGCGTGCTAAAGACTGGTAGCGTTTAGAAGAGGGCCCAGAGGGTCTCCAGTTCAAATGTACTGTGGAAATGTAGCTCAATGCCCGTCCATTTCTTGACGTCTTCGAAGCATTTTTAGGATCGAATACTAATGATGGCTCGGATAATGGAGGGATTGGTCGAGGCGTAGGAAATACCGACAGAGGTGCGTCATCCCCGTTGTCGTTGATGCTGGTATTGACGCGAATGCAGGCTACCTTCAGGACCGACCTCACCAGACTAAAGGCGGCGGCGGCTTTTGGACGATAGAATATTATCAGCCATATTTCGACATTGATACTAAAACAGTACGTAGGTCGTAAACGTCTGTTGGCTGCTGCTGAACGTCGTCATAGGTGCTGACGCGGTGTTATTCGACCCTTCTACCAACGTCAACTGACTACCTGTCTACCCACCTCAACCCTGCGGACCTCTACGGTCCCTTTTGGACATTGACAACCTTGATATTTGCCCTGTTCCTGTCCTCAAGTCTCGGTGCATCCATTGCAGCGTACCTGTCGGCCCCGGGAGCAGAATACGACTACGACTTTCAACTTCTTTCCATCGCCGTCTCTCTAGTATACGCATATGGACTAGGGTTGCCTGTCCTGCTTTGGATAGCTCTTCGCTACCTTGGCGTCGGTGAATGGAGTGTCGTGGAAGCTGTAGCAATATGGGGTTATGCTATGTTCGTCTGGATACCTGTCTCCGTGCGCTTCCATTCCATCTTTCCATCTGTTCCAGCACCTGACTTGTGTAGGTCCTCTGTGTGATCCCCGTGCCAATTCTGCGTTGGATCCTCGTGGCCGTTGCATTTGTTCAGTCTGGCTATTTCTTAGTCAGAAACGTGTACCCCATTCTGGCCTCCGTGCGACCTATCTCTCGCCTCTGTTCTATATTTACTGATCATGTTCTAGGCTGAGGCTAAAGCGACCCGACTTATAATCATTGCCATCGCTGTGCTACATGCTGGACTGGCATTGTCCTTCAAAGTGCTATTTTTCAGCTATTATGTGATTGACAAGATTGGGATGGATATCCCTCTTCCCGGCGGTGACGAACCATCGCCCTAGTAGCATCGTAGCATAGACTTGGTAGAGAGTTAGCATTCATTTTGTAATTTATGAGGAAACCCTAACCCTACCTTGCGAAATCTGTCATGAATTTTTTTGACCTTCACTCTCACAAGGCACAACTCGTTGCGACGGCTGTCGTGGCCACCGTCGCCACTGGCAGTCTTTTCTCTGCGCTCAATGCATATTCTAGACGTGCCAAACGGCGTGCTCTCAATGACGATGTTCTACGTTCTATCTCAACCAATGGGTCTAATTACAATATTCAAAAGCTCTTGGACAAGCCTAAGCCTACTGAGGAGATAATGTTCAAGCCTCGCGACACTCCTTTCGATGAGGGACTCATCAGGGAACAGCTTGCTCGAAACTACGCGTTTTTTGGCGACGAAGGCATGGCCAAAGTTCGTTCTGGCAGCGTAGCCGTCATTGGCTGTGGTGGTGTGGGAAGCTGGGCAGCCGTCATGCTGGTTAGATCGTACGTCCGACGCCAAATTTGACGCGTCCATGCTGAACTCCCCCAGTGGCGTGTCCAAAATACGTTTAGTAGACTTTGACTATGTCACGCTGTCTTCGCTCAATCGTCATGCCACGGCGACAGTGTCAGATGTGGGGATGCCGAAAGTCAAGTGTATTGAGAAGGCCTTGAAGCAGATTTCTAGATGGGTAGAGGTCGATTCGCGAGTAGAAATTTGGCGAAAGGAAGAGGGTGCCATGCTGCTTGACGGTGTTGACTGGGTCATCGGTTCGTACTTTTTTGCCAGGCAAGCGGTTTTACTGATCCCTCCCTAGATGCCATTGATAACATCACGACCAAAGTTGACTTACTCAAGTACTGCCACGATAATAACATCAAGGTACGCTTGTCCTTTTCTCCAAACTTAGTCCTATCAGATAACACTACCCTCCAGGTCTTCTCCTCCATGGGTGCTGGCGCTAAATGTGATCCCACGAGGGTCCAAATCAGTGATATTTCGTACACCATTTATGATCCGCTTGCCCGTTCTGTTCGAAGGAGACTGCGCTTGCTCGGCGTCTCCTCAGGAATACCGGTGGTATACTCCACAGAAGTACCGAGCGATGTCAAACTCCTCCCTCTCCCCGAGGAAGAATTCCAAAAAGGCGCTGTCAAAGAGCTCGGCGTGTTCGACGATTTTAGGGTCCGCATCCTACCCGTGCTCGGTATGTTTTGCCATGTCTGCCATCTTCTTACTGAGCATCATTTTACAGGTCCCCTCCCTTCGATCTTTGGATTGCACATTGCAACGTATATACTCTGTGATTTGGCAGATAAACCCATCTTAAATCCCCTACCCATTAAGAACCGAAGAAAACTATACGAAAGAATGCTTCGAGATCTTCTCAAACGAGAGTCACAATTTGTCGGGGAAACGATCAAGTAGGCCTATTTTCATCTTTTTGTCGAAATGCCAACTAAACCTTGGTGGATCACGCGTAGTAAACTCCCTATTGACGATGACGATGTTTCTTTGATTTTGGAAGATTTCTACCGTGGTAGATCCGTTATTCCACCCCATGAGGTTCCTACACGGCCAGTTTTGGTACGGTGGGACTTACGGCGTCCTCTTAGTCTGGATAACTGCGTTGTGATGGGCCACAGCGATGGCGAAAGGCATATGAAGGCTTGTCGGACAGAAGCTGGCGAGATTCAAGATCCGAAAAACGTATGGAACGATAAGGTTCAAGATGTGGTGGATAGGCGCGTCCGGGAAATTGGGCAGTACCTACAATGGCAGGCTTGAGGCGCTTGGGAGGATGAGAAGATTCCGTCATGATTTCTTGTTGATGCAATGCTGTAGGACAGGTTCTCCGTGTGATGCATCTTTTTCTCACCTTGTAAGCGCTGCGCGCTGAGACCTATTTGAACGATAAGCACGCAACGATCTCTGTTTCAAGTCGCAAAGTGACGAGTTCGTCTACTAGACGCGACTTTATTAAGCACACCGCCCGTGCCGTGATGAAAATTCGGAGAAGTTACATTAAAACTCCCGCGAAGCGCCGACTGTGCCTTTGCCACCCTCCAGGCATGCGCTCTAGGTTCTCAAGATAAGACATTCCTGTCAATTCAGTATATTGTGATTTTCTGTTTGAGAAGCTAGCATTTCTACCCCGAATCAAGGGTTAGTGATACCGTTTCGTTCGCCGACAATGAATGGGTATAGTTCTGGGGACTGACCCATGCTTAACAGTCTCTGGCTCGGTCCCGAAGCGACGAGGATGATAATTCTTCGAAGCTACGGATCCACATCGTGGGGTATGGGGTTGTATTGGGTTCAATGGACCCACAGAAGTAACCACACCCTCGATCGTCCCAATACACCTGTGCCACTTGGCTCGGTGGTTCTACGGTGTTTCAGCCACTCCGTAATAGATGCACTACTCACCTGATAGTCCTGAGCTGACTCTTTCACACTGAGGTCCTTGATCCTACGCAGAGCAAGTTTCTTTTCTAATTACCTCCTCCCCACAGCTGATCATCAATTTCGGTGCGGTCAAAGTTAAAGAATGCCGCGGTTACTTATCATGACTGGGACTTCAGGCACCACGCGGACGCTCTGCGACGATACAAAGTTGGTCGGCTCTATTTTAGTAGTCTAGTACTGAATCCGTCGGAAGAATTGTGTCTTAGATTGCGTGTGTGCCTTTTTACTGAAGATCTCTTGGGTGATTGGTATTAGAAGAATACTGCGACCGATCATCCTTCCGACTTGGGGCAGACCAGATCGCTTTCTCGGAGAGTGTGAGGATCTAGAAGCTAGAACTAGCAATAATTTGTACCAAAACTCGCCAGGTATAGTACTCACGCTCTAGAAAGAAGAATAAGGGGTCCGGTGGCACGTTTCACTTTGAAATTGGAGAGACATAATTCCGGGGTCTGCTGTGAGTATAACCCTCCTCATACGGAAATATTGACCATACTTTTGGCACGGAACGCGACGGGAAAGACACGCGCTAGAATCTTGCAGCGTGGGGGTTAGATGGTCTATTCAATCAGATATCTCTTGGTGGGTATGTTAATCGTTTTCGGAAGATCTACTCGCCATTTGACTTTCTAGACGGTTCCGGTTCCGGATAACTGATATTCATGACGATCGTGGGTGCGTGTGAATTGAGTTTCGAACGCGTATATAATCTATGTCTCTCTTGGTTTATCCGCCATCTTACAATTTCGCTCTTTCACTCTGCCTGCGATCGCTCCGATTATGGCTATCATTGTTCCTAACGTCAATCCCACGACCATTGAGGACTGGGCATGCTCAGCAGAACTCACAAACTCGTTCTTGCTCAATGAGGACCAAGCGCTGCGGGCCGCTCTTAAGAACGCAGAAGATAAGGGGTTGCCGCATGAGATAGCGGTACCCGCAGAGCAAGGAAAGCTCCTGCAGCTCCTCGCCACATCAATACGAGCGAAGAGAATACTGGAAATTGGTACACTTGGCGGGTACGTTCAGCACGATGGTCACCATGTTTTGGTAGTTAACTGTGGTCTTGCATAGTTATTCAGCGATATGGCTAGCCCGCGCATTACCTGAGGACGGTGAACTCGTTACTCTTGAGCTAAACGAGAGATATGCGCAGGTCGGTGAACTTTTGTTTGAAAAGTGACCAATAGAATTTCATCTTGATGTCATTGATGATACAATTGTTGATCCTTTCGCTTACTCAGGTGGCTCGTGAGAACATAGCAATTGCCGGGCTATCATCTAAAGTCAATGTCGTTGTGGGTCCCGCCAGAGCAACGCTTGCCAAAATGAAGTCCGAGCATCCGTTTGATTTTATTTTCATCGATGCGGACAAGGCGTCGAACACTGATTACTTCAAGCACGCAAAGCGACTGGTACGGAGAGGTGGTACTATCGTAGGTCTCTGCCATTTGCCGACATCGTTCTCATTGGTAAAAACCTTGCGTCTCAGATTGTTGACAACATGATGCTAGTTGGTCTCGTGGCTGATCCGACATATACGGACGACAACGTCGAGGGCGTTAGGGCACTTCTGAAGGAGCTCAAAAATGATCCTGATGTCGATTGTACTGCCGTTGGGACTGCATGCTATAAAGGATTTGATGGGTTTCTCTATGCCGTCAGAAAATAGGCTGCACATTTATCGGACATGGATGTGGACTCGGAGATCAATGGCGCTTTACTAATAATTTTACTCTCATCTACCATCATGATTTCTACAATGATTTTTAGGATTTCCAGGGATGGTGTCGTTTCTTGTATATACAATTAATTTTTTAACAAATACCAATTACACTCTCTAGCTACAATGTACAATATCTCTACAGCAAAAAAGTCCCTCCGAAAACTAATAGATACATATGCAAAGAAACGAAAATGAGTCTAGGTAAGATGCGTCAAGAGTGTTCGTCGCTGAGATGACACAACACATAGAGTGAGGAAAGTACCAAAAAGGAATCCAGTTATTGCAACGGAGATGGTCTCTGCGATCATTCCCCGGGGTGTAGATGGTGAAGATGCAGAAGTGGACGACTCGGTCTCCTGGCATGATTGCTCCAGAGACGGATGCATGACTGCAGAGAATGGTGTAGATGGTGCTGTAATGAAATGAACTCTTGGCGTAGTTGCAGTCGATGAAAAACGACGTCGCAGGATATGAGGAGAAGATTGGGAAGTCAGAAATTGCGATAGTGACATGGTATTCGCGGAATGGACTCGAGGTGGAGATATTTCGTCACATTTAGAGAGGGTCTCCGTAGAATCGTCTGATGAAGTCGGAGTAAGGGGTAAAAGAGGAGAAGAGTCGCTCGATGAAGAAGAAGGGGGGGTCGAGGGAATAGTAATCCGCAAGGATGGTGCAGTGCCTAGTTGATGCTGCGATGGAGAACTTGCTGTGAACCCGTCCTTCAACCTTGTCTGGTCCACCGTATTGCCTGCCGCCGCTTCATGTTGATCAAGCCTATCTTCCAACGAATAAACAACATCTTCAATGTCGTCAATAACACCTGCCAACTCTAGGACTTCTCCAAGGAGTGAAGCATGGTGTTTTTCCCGCACTTCCTCCGCCAGCAACGACACCATTCCGTTCAAGACATCCTGCATCTCCGCGGGATCTTGAGGATCAGGCCAGGCAGCTATTAGAGATGCTAACTCCGCAGTCTTGTGGACAGCCCAGTCAATGTCATCTGCAGCGGTTTTATGGAACCATGGGTTAAGCAGAGCAACTGCGAGACGTATAGAGCCAACTATGGACTCTCTTAGTCGCATTTCGGTCGATTGTTTGAAATGTCGGTCTGTCATGGCTTCACAAAATTGTTTATATGTGGATTTTTTGTTTGTAAAATCCCACACAACGCGATTGATTAGAGACGTTTCCGTCATCGAAGGGTTGGCGGGGATTTCCGACCGAAGGAAGTATGAAGGCATCTTTTCGAGAATAGAAAGAAGGGGGACAGAAGCCATAACAGACGTTAACGGGATATACCCGTATACAACAACAGATTGCGACTCTTGGGAGAAATGGTACCAGCGCCAATAATGATGAGGCCGTCTGTCAAAACAATGAATGTATCAGCATTCGGAATACTCAATAAACAGATTAGGAATCGTACTCATCAAATGTAGCCTTTCTCAAGATCTGAACAGCTGTTGCTGCCTTTCCCTTCAGGGAAGCCGCATCGATAACGGCGATTTCAACGTCATGCTTGACGCCTGATTTATACCGTCGAAGAGCTTCCCATATTGCCCAGGCAAAGCTAAAAGACGTAGAAATGAACGGAGAGGATGAACGAGTTGTCCAGTCCAAATGACGTGCAACTTCCTCGCATGTAGCGATTTCAGTCAATGGCCCAATTGGACTGAGCGACTCGATAGCGGAAGGGGGTGATGTATATTTGGCGTCAAATTTGGGCGCTATGCAGAATATCTTGGGGTCGTACGAGATCGATGGAGAGGCGGCTTTGGGCGTATAAACCCGGAAAAGGAATGGATTTTTGTCGACAAGGGAATCGAAGTCATATTCTCCTTCGAAGCCATGTCGGGGTAGACATCGGGAGTCGTCGTCAGGCATGTCACTGTTATCCGATACAGCAGAGCGGTGATGGTGAAAGTTAAGGAAGCTTCGAGTCGAGGATCGATATAAATGGCCCCGAGGTATCTGGCCGCATTCTGGATGGTGAAACGGAATAAGCCTCCCGGATCACACGTGCAATGATACAAGCGTGATACATGTAACATCGTGCACATCATGGCGCACTTACCTGGCACTTACAGCCTGCCTGGCCGTCTAGGTACGGATAACGCAAGGCTGCAAGAATGTAAGAGGGAATAAATAGTTAGTTTAGAAATATTTGCAGTGTCTTTCAAGAATGCGGTCCGAGATATGGAATATCATCTTGGGAAGGGACCCGAGCCGAGTCCGACACGGAAATGATCAATATATGCATATGACGATCAGAAAATAAGAATTAAACGACGTAGCTTCATTTCTCTTCGTAACCTGAGATCTGAAGGTGAGTAGCAGCTCCTTGTAACACAAGCCTCAAGGCCTCATTTATCCGTCGAGGGTAATTACTATATGGACCACTAACTTCAAGTCATGCGGTTGTCCATCCCCACCGTTGCAACTGTTGGAATCAGTTTTCTCTTCGGATACATGGGGTTATACAGTATAAAGGTGCGTCAAGCTCTTTGGTGTTCGCAGAACGTAACACAATATTTACCTCACATGTAGCCATACCCCCGCGTCGTCCTTGACCACGAGTCGCGGTACCCATGACTTTTTACTTTGCGAGAAATCAGCGTGGTCTTGTGTTATATATTGTGTTGAAGCTGCCGACAATTCCGTAATCTGCGTAGAACGTCGGATGACTGATGGCCTTTGCGTTGAAGTCGGACATCGTTCTCCAGAGCATTGTACACCCTAAATCCGCACCATACCCGCACATCCTTGGCGGTTCGACATCCAGCGTTCAACATTCAAGTCACCACTCCGCACCAGTTGCAGAGAACTCTAAAAGCACCCGGGCAGTGGGAGAACTGAATGCTGAGCATTAGCGCTGAGCTATGATCACGCCTCTCCTCAGCGGGGAAAGAAGCGTCACAAACTTGGTTACCCTGAAGACGGGGGCAATTTATAGAGGTTTAACCTGCCGCTGCCCAAAAGGTATTTAAAAAAAGAGTGGGACAAGAAAGCCCGTTCACTGTTCCCCATGGCTGCCAAGCGACCAGTAACCACTACACTGAACGTTCTGTCCTCGCCTCGACGCTTCTCCAATAGCTCGTCGAAGAAGTCACCCGTGGCACTCTACGAAGATGGGGAGTCCTTCAACAGGTCGCGAATCTTAGACGTCTTCGATGCACCGACAAAGGTTACACGGCGAGCAGCGACGCCCCCTTTACAACAGCAGAGTACATACATCTCATCGCTCCCCCCTCCCATCATATTCGACGGGCCGTCAGGATCTCGGCCAAGAGCTTATTCACAGCATGTCGTGAACGCTGCACCAGTAGCTGGCTCCATTATGGAAATGTTTGATGGGCCCTCAAGGCCCCGCGCTGCTAGAAAGACATCTTCGGGCAAGGTTTGTTTGTAGCTCCTTCTGTACTTGCAATGATTTCACCGAAATGGTTAGGGTACGGCGAATAAATTGGCTGTCGCAACGGGTCTTACCGTCCTGGGAGCAACAGTAGCGGTAGCTAATGCGAGTGAATAAGATCTTAGAGTGCAAAGTATGTCAGACCGCCTTTTTGGAAGATAAAGTAGAGCTCACTATGTATTACAAAAGTACTTGAAGGTCAAGTAAGCGACAACCGTTCGATTATATTTCAAAGGTTGTTGATGTAGGTTAGTTGAGATATACCCACCAAAGAAGAAATCAATGCCCTTGTTTATTCGAGATCTGTAGACATAAACCAGTGAGGCCTTGGCCTGACGTGTGTAATTAGACGATCCATCGATATGTGCAATTTTCCAGAGGAATCTCTGCGTGCCTGTGAAAGTATACTTAGCGACAGTCAGGGATCTTATAGATGACAAGGCCTACCGTCCATCGCTTCTTGTCGCAAACGACTTTATTCAAATTGCGCACGGCCAGCATCATCTTTTCAACGTCTGCAGGTCGCAAAATAAAATGAGCGCCGTGGGCGGTGTGATCGTCCGCGTCAACCAGAGTACGGAGTGTCGAAGAGCGTCCAATGGCATCCATAAACCTGGCGTGAGTCTGATAGAAGGGAATGCATATTAGGAGTCGTTGCTCAGAGCGGTGAAACACGTACCAGCGGATCTTTAAAATTGGGGATGCAAATGTGCAATGTCTCCAGGTTTCTACAGGACTTGCAAACAGCTGTGAGGGATTCAAGCTTCATCTCGCAGCCAAGAAAAGCTAGCCTCCGGAGTGTGAGAGCGTATGAGGCTAGGAGTTGGTCAATAAAACTGCTTCCTACGACGACTTGGGGTTCGGGAATCCGAATCTGGAAAGAGGTCAGAGGTGGAGCAGAGTGCTTCAGGTGCGCAAGAATGTCCGCTAGCATGCTAGGTATTGGAGATGAAATCATTGAATAACGAGTATCGATTGAAAGATGGCGGAGACGATGCAAGGAGGGTGGGTTTTTTTCTAGCTGACGAGAACTTTCGAAAGCAGTGAGCGAGAGGCTTTCGAGTAAAGGCGTGTGGACTACAAGCCGGAACAGAACCACATGGTCAATTCGCTGACAACCCATTACGTGTAGGTGCAGAAGATGAGGTAGATTTTTCAGTGCAGGTTCGAGGACAGTTTCATTGAGTTCGGGAGAATTCTGGACAGGAAGTTAAAGAAAAAGTGCAGGAAAGAATTAAATATACTTACGGATAATGTAAGAGTGGTCAGCGTCTTCCCTAGCAATGCCGACCATTTTGGAAGGAGGTCCATGACAGCCCACGACCCATTATCGAGACAGAGCGTCTCCAGATGCTCCATCTGTATTAGACGTTGCGCCGGTTCTGGCATGATTTCAGCTGCAAAGATACGAAGGTTGCAGAGTGATGGCTTTATTTCTTCGCCCAGCAAAAGAGACGGGAGGACGTGCTCGCTACACCGAAATGAAAGTAGATTGTCGCACAGATCCAGGGCCTTTTTGCAGTCGCGGAGAAATCGAGGGTCGAATTGAGATTTGTGGCCAGCGGACTTGATAGTTGGCACGAAAGATATTTCTGGAGCCAATTAATGACGCAAACCTACGGACGCCACTCTGTCGACGTACCGACGTGTTGTACATACTTCGCCAGATGTTTAGCTCTTAGGATAGAAGCAAATGGGGACATCGTCTATCTCCCAGTGAGCACAACGTTTACCTATATTTTAACGAAAAGACTAACTTTTGGATATCTTTTTCCATGTCGAATTGAGTACCACAACGTCTTGTATAGTCTAGGCAAAACACCACCGTAGAAGAAATTGCTGACCAAAGCCACCGAAGGCAAATCATTGCCAGAGAGATACGAAAAGATGAGTTCAAGGACGTCGAGATTAAGATTGTCCGCTGTCACCATTCTTGAGCAGTCGATAACTTTTGCGTGTTAGCACTAGTGACCGTCGGAAGCAGAGATTGTTTGCGTCTGCTTGACCGGGGCATCGGGCCGCTGGCTACAGCTTACGTCACACAAAGGTTCCGATCGTCATCACAAACGACTCAACGCGACACAGAATCTCAATCACGTTAGTGCAGCTCTCCTAGGAAACACTGCCAGTAAATTAGTTTTATCGACATTTTAAATTTCCTAAACCAAGCAGTTCTTGCATATAGGCTGTCGAATTTGACAAGACGTTCGGTGCTATGTGTCACTAGTACCGGTTAGATTAGTTGCGAGTCTTCTTTGAATACTGCTATATGTAGGATAAGTTGTGACCACTTCCTCTCTACCGCCATGCCGGATTCCCTCTCCAAATCTCCAGCTGACGATATAAGAGCTCTTGTAGATGAAGGCTCGAAAGCTCCAGCGGGCTTTCTGGCCAGTGTGCCGGTGCATGTGGACACACCGCCAAGCTTCTATTCCAACCGGGAAATATGGTTCATTGTCAGCCTTATATCTCTTGCTGTTTTACAAGGTGTGTATCACATTTTTCAACTCCATATTTCTTCATGCTTTTCTGCGCTTACTATAGCCCGCTCCCGACTATGGTTTACTTTCCTGCTATCCCTACTTTGACGCAGGTTTTTCATGAAACTGCTGAAAGTATTAATCTCACTCTCACGGTCTTTTTGGTTCCTATGGCCTTGTGTGAGCAGCTCCAATAACACCTGCTTACAGCTAATACTTAATCTTATCGTGTTGGTAAACCCCCCCTGTTGTGTGACTCGCTGTCTGACAAGTGGGGTCGGAGACCTTGGATACTCGCAAGTTTCATCATCTTGATTGCAAGTTCTGTGGGCCTTGCCCTCGTACCAACAAATACATTCTGGCTATTGATACTTCTCCGATTCGTTCAATCTGCCGGATGTTCCGGAATTTTCGCTCTAGGTTCGAATGGTTCTTTTATCTTCATAGTTTTTTTTGCCTCTTATGTAATATCGTGGGGCTCGTAGGTGCCGGTATTATAGCAGATATCACTGTCCGTGAAAATCGTGGCGGCTTCTTTGGGGTGTTTATTACAAGTTATATGGTCGGCCCTTGTGTCGGCCCTGTAATCGGTGGCTTCCTTGCACAATATCTGGGCTGGAGGTATGTCATTCTGTCCCTTGTCAGTCTTTTGTTCAAATCCACGTACACAGGTCCATATTCTGGTTTCTGGCAATCTCTTCGACCGTATCTGTTGTCTTGATACTTGTGTATGTACTCAATTGTCTTTTTTTGAGGGTATCCCACTGATGTACACGTGGATACTACTAGTTTTCTCCCAGAAACTCTACCTTGCATAGTTTGGGATGGGCACCTTTCGCAACTATTCGTTTATCGACCTTGGATTAACGTATTCAAAGGCAAGACACAGGAGGGCTTGTCACCTGTTGATATACCGTCTCCAAAACACTCTACAATCCATTTCGGCTGCTTATATACCCGGATGTGCTCATTGGCCTTTTCTTCGGAGGTTTACCATTTGCCATACAATATAGCATTTCAGGAACGTTGGCAAGCGCATACTAATCTCACTATCCGTTTCTCAATGGTGGCAATGTTGGTCTCTGCTATCTGGCAAGTGGAACAGGATTGCTCATTGCCGCATTTTCAAACGGAAAACTACTCGATTTTGATTATCGTCGAGCTCGCGAGAAACTTACACGCGAAGCTGAGGAGAAGGGCATGCCAGAGCAAAGTACCTATAATAGCGAGAATTTTCCACTGGAATATGTGCGACTCCAGAGGACTCCCTATCTCATTGTCATGTATTTGGCGTGCTTGATAAGTCGGAGATGGTGCATCGAAAAGTCAGTGTTTATCGCAGGTCCCCTAGCGCTCCAAGTTGGCCGTACGTTTCTTCACCATCTAGTCTTCTCGGTTATGCTGACTATGAATTGCTCATAGTCGATTTCGCCTCTACATCTATCATGAATACGACGATGACGCTCATGATAGATGTTTTACCTAGTCAGAGTTCATCCATAACCGCTTGTGTATGTTTTCACCCAGGAAGGCCTCCTTTCACCGGCAGCTAACGTTCAGCAGGTCAATTTCGTGAGAGCTTCGCTTGCTGCTATTTTGGTCTCAGTGCAAGACAAATCCATATCGAGGAGCGGTTATGGATGGACCTACACAGTTTTGGGTGGAATATGCACTCTGCTGCTTCCTTCGGTGGTCCTAGAAATGAAAATTGGATCCAACTGCCGGAAAAACAGGCGAGAGAACGTCACGACTGCGGCGTCGGTATCAAACTGATATATTATAGGCTCGGTCACCGAGTCATTGCCTTGTGGAATAAACTCTGAAGTCACCATGTTTTCTTTCAAATATGTCGCTGTGAATCCAAACATGCCGGAGCTGGTAGGATGACAAGGAGGAGCCGATATCGTACAAGCACTTCTCAGTCGCACGTGATCGTGCAAGATTGTATTGCAGTTATCCAGCCACGGTCCCAGCGATGATGACTTTGTGAGCTTTATTGATCCAGTAGCGGCAGTTGCCGGGTCCCCGATTCTTTCCCTTGGTTCAAGCTGCTCAATAAAGTGGTAGTGCAAAAAGCTCGCTCGGCGGCTGCGCCGCCAGCTCGCATTTTGCACAGTCTAAATCTAATCACCTGAGTGCGCTCCGTTCGATGACCTATACTAAGATTGCAAAGAACAATAAAATTTCCGGCATTAAAATCGAACTCATTGATGAATTGTCATTTCACACTAGAGGCCCCAAGGAAGGTGAACGTAACTCAGTCTGCCATCTAGTATGCAAGAGATCACAAGTTGGTGGGCGTCTGAACAGCATCTTATAATTACATGCCCTACGCACCTGGCACCATCTCAAGAAAGAAAATATTATCTCTAATACTGCGCACCTCATGCCATCACAAGGTCGATTAGTCCACAATGAGCACATCACAACGTTCATCAAACTGTTACATGACAGTAAAAATCTGACCATGAATGGGTACAGTGCACTTCCCGAAAACCAGACACAACAATCAGCACACATTACTTGCTGTAGCAAAATGTTCTGATTTGCAGGTTCACATCAACACTGAATTCTCTCGCTATATCAAATCTACATGATGTAACAGGAAAATCCATTGAAGATAAGCAGATGCATAATACCACAATGCATTACCAGAGTGATAGCACTGAAGCAGATTTTTATTAACCCGCTGAGTGGGGCTGTAGAACAGACAGTAGTTGAGGGCATCTGCAGTCACAGAGCAGAAAAAGGACAGTGAAGGCAGGAATCACTTGCGACGTGCAAGCAAAAAAGGTGATAGTAGGTGAGAGGAAATGAAGAGGAAATTGAGGTCGACAGTTTTCCGACCAGCCCGCAAACCAATAGGAATTCGGAAAGAAAGACTTCTCAGCCACAGCGGCAACCGCTCGGCAAATACAGTTATTTACCGGTCATTGCAACACCATGGTTCAATGAAACACTTAGCCTCTTGCTCTCCCTCCCTTCATCCTTCATCATTAATTTGTATTGCATTGCTGATGTGTATTGTATCTTCATGTTCTACAGTAATTCTTCATATGTGACATGGATAATATTCCGAGAAATTGAGGCTTCTGTTCTAAAAATATCTATTTTCTCATGAACTCAAAATCTGACCCAGAAATGTGTGTCCTCCATCTGAATGTAATCACCCACAAAGGCCTCAATAATGTTAATGACCTTCTGAAGAACCTGTATGACAAGTTTGAGACCAGGCGCCCATTATCTGAGGAGTCTAGGGCATAGATAAAAGTGTGGTTCTGCCAAGCTATTGCCTTTGATGGACAGTCTGACAGTCCAATGCGCCTATTATTGCCCCATTGCCTCCGAATTTTATTTCTCCTCTTGCTCAATTTTTTACTATGCCTGGACATGCTAAATCAAACTTGAAAAAGTGCCAGATTACTCGCAAATGCCATGACCAGCTAATGGAAAAGGCAGTCATTGCACACAAGAATGAGCTTGCCAAACTACCCGGTGCTCCTCAGAAAGATGCAAGAAAAATCTGCAAAGATTTCGAGGCTGTATATCAGAGGGAGACTGGAAAGGAGATCTCGCTTTCTTATAGCACTCGAGTGATTCCAAGTTGCTGACTAATGAGGTTTGGGTACATGGGCCGGACTGTTTCAATGACTCAAAATAGCCCAGAATACCCACGCCACAATAATGCTGTGAAAGCGGACTTGTACCCGCACCTTTGAGCATCTTTTTTTTACTGTATCTTATTGTTGCATAGTATTACACATTCTTACATTCAAACCTAGTCAAAATTCCCAACCAATTGGAACCTACAGTAAATATCCAATTTTGCTGTTTCATTGACCGGTAAATAACTGTAAGCCGTTGCGTGCCGGATGATCGCCTATCACCAAAAATTACTAAGCCGACCCCGAGTATAGCCCCTGTCCAGACAGTTTGGCACTGCTCAAGACAGTTACGCCCCGATAATAACCCTCTATCGTTTCCTCATTCTTCGGAAAGAATCGGGAAGGCTATTCCTTTTTGGAAGAAACTCCAAGGAACCCTGGTCCCGGGAAATTTATGAGTCTCTGTGAGTAAGTTTTGCTATCTATAGCACTATTTTGATGCCAGGGCTGACCCTGTGGCTCTGAAGAAGGCTCGACTCGCATAGAATGTACCACACGCTTTCTTTATTACGATGAACGGTCATGAGACTACTTAAAGCATGCATTTGTAAGTATCACCTCGTCGCTCTTTGTCCTTGACCCTCATGTCTAAATCTTTGTCAAACTGTCCAGCAAAAAGGATCAGAGAATCCACGGTCTGCGGAGACCCAGCCTCTGAAGCTTCCGAAAGTACTCGGGCTATAGATACGGCTACTGTACCAGACGTAGTCCCAAAGTCATATACGCCTGGAAACATTTGGTTTGTTGTCGGCCTCGTATCTCTTGCGGGTCTTGCAAGGTTAGTTACCTATCGCGTCGCGGTCCCTCGAAATGCACTCAAGGATAGGTCGTATCTACAAGCCCATTTCCTGCAACCATATATTTTCCTTCCCTCCCCATTTTGACGCAGGTGTTTCATGAAACAACCGAACGGTTGAACTTGACTCTTACCATCTTTCTGGTACCTATGGCCGTCTGTGAGATTCCTTTAAATTTGTATACGGCTACCGATCTAATATTAGGTACATAGTCCCTATGGTATGGGGACCACTATCAGACAGATGGGGCCGACGACCCTGCATCATCGCAAGCTTGGTCATCTTAACCCTTACTTGCGTCGGTCTTGCCCTCGTACCAACTAACGCGTTCTGGTTATTAATGTTTCTTCGATTCCTTCAATCTGCCGGATGTACCGGCACTGTTGCTCTAGGTTCGAATCGCTCTTTCCATCTTCGTAATAGTATCTCTGATGTCTCATCCGGCTGTGGATGCGTAGGTGCCGGTGCTATTGCGGATATCACGACGCGCGCCGATCGTGGCGGCTATTTCGGAGCTTTTAACGTTGGCCCTATGGTTGGTCCTTGTGTTGGTCCGGTAATCGGTGGTTTACTTGCTCAGTATCTCGGTTGGCGGTAAGTCAATATTTGCGTAAGCATTCCTTCACTGAAGTACCCAGTTCCATTTTTTGGTTTCTGGCAATTTTTTCAGCAGTATTGCTCGCATTATTGCTCCTGTCTGTGTGTTTTTTCAGGATCGCTTTCATGTTTCTCACTCACTAGTATGGTTTTTTCAGATTCCTCCCAGAAACTCTGCCTTGTATCGTTGGAGACGGCAGTATAAGGCCGTCATTCATTTACAGACCCTGGATCAAAGTATTTCGCCGAAGCGATTGTCAGGACTCAGTTATCGCCCACAGACCACCTCCGAAGCCCCTTTGCAATCCATTCTCACTGATTGCACATCTCGACATTCTCGTCGGGCTGTTTTATGCAAGTGTTTCATTCGCCATACAATATAGTATTTCTGGAACGCTAGCGAATGCATACAAAGTACACTACCCATTTCTCAATAGCGCCAATGTCGGTCTCTGTTATCTAGCCAATGGAGGAGGCTTGATTCTCGGCGCAATTATTAACGGCAGGGTTCTTGACTTTGATTATCGTCGAGCACGCGGTAAATTCCTGCGTGCTGCTCAAGACAAAGACAAGGCAATAAATGGACATGTACTACGGAACTTCGAAAACTTTCCGCTGGAATCTGTACGGCTTAAATGGAGTCCCCATTTCGTTATCATGTATGCGGCATGCGTGATAGGCTGGGGCTGGTGTGTAGAGAAGTCTGTGTTTCTCGCAGGACCCCTGTCTTTACAAGTTGCTCGTAAGTTTTCTTTAATAATTTTCATGGCTATGCTTACAGCCATTGTAGTCGGTTTCGCGAGCATATCAGTTATCAATACTATCATGACGCTTATGGTGGATCTCATACCCAATCAAAGTTCGTCAATAACTGCTTGTGTATGTCTTTTATGCAGCGATGTCATTGTCTTCAGATCTGAATCTTCGATAGGTCAATTTTATGAGAGCCTCGCTTGCTGCGATTTTAATTTCGGTGCAGGACAAGGCTATTTCGGGCGTCGGTTACGGATGGACCTACACAATACTGGGAGCGATTTGTGCTCTTATGCTTCCTATGGTGTTTTTACAGATTAAAATCGGCCCCAATTGTCGAGGGCGTCGGCGACAGAGAGATGCCCCGCCGGCCTCTGTCTGATTGCTTTGGTATAGAAGACATAATAAAGAACCTTCCTTTCGCATCCCATTTCTAGTAAAAACGCTAGTAACTCTTGTGCTTTACATACATACACTGCAATGCTCACGTTTTTCTCCTTCGGCGAATCGTAGGCTGGTCCCTGTTCGTCCAAACAATGTGCTCACTACCGTTGTGTATGCGGTCTCGATATAGCCAGGCCATTTCCTCTGCTCGGTGATCACGTCCAAGTGGAGGAGAGGACCCTGAGAATTCTTTCACATCGGGGCAGGCTGCGATCCGTGTAAAATTCCTACAGTAAGGTGGGATTATTAGGGTTGAGGTGGAAGGACTGATAGCTGAGATCGAATGAAACTGGAGACAATCATTGAAAATGGATCATGTTTTCACCTTTTCGAAATTCTATGATACACGGAACAAATATCTACGCGAATTCTTTCGAGGACAATCCCTGATGATTGACAAACTAATTCTTCGACTGCATAACACTTGCGGAGTATTTTCGATTTCTGATTAACAATAAAACAGAAGGTGGTGTTAGTAGGGAAGAAATAGGCAAACACTAGTTACCCACGCGCTCTTGCTCAGTCTCGAGTCTTTGTCGATGAGATTTACTTATCACGCGATCGTATCCTTGCCATATATGAAAGTACCAATAACAGTCACAACAAAGGACGAGTTACAGTTCAAATTACCGTAAAATATGAAAGAACTTCATGGGTAGGTAAGTGGCTCCGTTATGGTTTGCTCGTCAGCCTCCATAATCCTTCCCGTACATCTACTAACTTTTCTCGCCGAGCAGCATCCATGAATGCCGACAGTTGCTCGATGGTCTGATCGTACCCAGGCGCAAAGTGAAGCATCGCTTGTATACGCTCGAGAGGAAGAGCGGTGAGATTCGTGAGCATACCTTCAATGAACTGTACAAACAAACCAGCGAATGAATAGCAAAATAAAAATGACGGATCCACGCTCACCTTCCAGTAAACTCTCATCTGTTCGGCCTGATGTTGTTGTGCGGGCAACATGGTAGGGGTATACTCCTCTACAACTGCTGCAAAAGATGTGAGAACACTAGTGATAATCTCAGGAGATGTATGAGTACCTAAACGGGAGGGATCCACAGGTTCGACGGTCTCGGCGACTTCAAGTAACTTGAACGAGCCATCCCTTTCCTCCTTCAGAACACCCTTATCAACCCACGTGAGGAGCGCCTTCAGGGCTGCACTTTTGCTGATAGGTCCAACACGAGTGACCAGTTCGTCTATAGACCAAACATCTATGAACAAAACAGATCAGTAAACGGTTGTGGAAATACAAGATCAAGTACTCTTTTCTGAGAAAAGTTCAATAAAGGCAGCTTCGAGCGGAGGAACGTCAACTTCCAAAGTCCGGTCCTCCAAAAGAAGCTCAAGGTGTACAGCGCCGAGATGAGGTAGCCAACGCAGTCTTTTGTCTGGTTTGAAGGTAGAAAACTCCTTTGCATACTGTTCTTGAAAGCTACAGATATCCAAGCCGCTGAGGATCAGGAAATATCAGTAAAGTCGAAAGCACATACGTTTGGAACTGTCCGGGCATGATAATCTCGTCGGAACCCAACATGGGCCAGAAGTGCTTTGAAATGATGGTCGGATGGACGATGGACTTGCGCACAGCCATAATCAGAAACCTATGAAATCAACGCGGTACAATCACCTACTGTCATCTGCGATTGCACATGCCCATCTATTCGCTTTGAATCCGTCATGTCTTTCAGCATGACTTCACAGACTTGTAGCGCCGCCTCGCCAAAGCGAATCTTGAGGATTTCGATGTTTCGTCGCTGTAAGACTTCTCGCTTTGCGAATGACCACAGCCAAAGGACCAGATTTGACACACCTCTCTTTCAACCTTTTCGGTATTTCCATCTGTGATCGCGAGGAGACGTTGGGCAAGTAAGATCTGGAGTTCCTTGATGAAAAGGTCGTTCGAATCATAGATGCTGACCAAAGTGCCAAGAACATCAGTGTGCTTGTTTGCTCGGAAATCTGCAAAATCAAAGTGAATGGCGATTGTCGCTACGAGCAATAACAACGAACTTGGTCCTGCATCAATAGGCTCTGGTTCCCAATTTGGATCGCTGTAGTCTTCAATTTCGATTTGTTGCAGTGGCTGAGGAGGCTCGTTGTCGTCAACAAGTGAGTCACCAGTATCCTCATCTCCCACGAGATTCGCAACGATACTTCGAATTGTGTCCGGCCGTTCCCTTGCAAGATACTTCAGCGGGAGCCGCGTCAATGCAACATACGCAGCCTACCTGAGGTACCGTCGTATTGGATCCGCAACCTTGAATAAGAGAACGCCAGGAGGATCGATGATCCGCATGCACTTGATTGTGGCTACGTATTGTGAAAGGATAAGTTTTGTGTCCGCACCCGGATGAAGCAATCTCTTGTGGTTCCTGTAACATCGTAAGATATAATTCTCGTTAGAAGAACTGCTAACTCATACGCTTTCCGTAAAGATTTCACTAGTGCCGCTCGCTGATCCACTCGTTGCAAACATTCCTACAATCAGTTGTCAGCAATTTATGGGAACGGCCTCTGCTTAACCGAGCTCACTTTGAGATCCACTAGAGCGGGTGACGATTCAGGGAAGTCTATGATGATATCAAAAATTTCTCGTGTTCTGTGCGAGGTTCTCAGTGCATTATCTTTACAGACCACGTCAATATCACCTTAAATCGCAAAGCGTTTTTGTCATATGGAAGTCAAACCTCGATCCAACACTGGACAGCATTACCACTGCATCTTCATCTAAGCAGAACTTCGTCATGTACTTGAAAAGAAAAGGGGCGAAAGGCGTACTTGTAGCTGCGCCTCTAGCATACATCATTAACATCCAAGGCACGATTTTTTGGGACATCCAATTCCGAAGTTCGGGCAACATTGCTGTTTCCCACTTACTGGTGCAGGTAGCGAGTACATATGTCTCTATATGCTCGTACCCCACACTAGCAATAACACTCTCATATCGATCAAGGAGACCAAGTATTTCGAATATGTCCCATATTTCGCCACTGAGCGTCCTTTGGGGAACATCTGGATCAAATGGTGGTAGAGTAGAGGCGCAATATGCTTTGAAGCCGGAAACGAAGCTAGGCGGGAGGATAGCAAATAGCTGAGTTTGAAAGTTAAGTGTGTATGCCGCGCGAATGGTTTGACCAAGGCTGGAGATTCCATATGAGAGGTGTGTAAAAAAAAGCTTGACAGGCTTACTCTGCAATTGGTAGCCAGGCATTGAACCATTTGAACAGACGATAGACGAGGCTGGAGATGATTTCAGGATCAAGGGAAGCCTTTGTCGAGAATAAAAAGCTGCTCCAAAGAATGTAACGCCACGACGCACCCCATACTGCTCCATGTACCGGTCAACGTCCCGCTTTATCAAGTAAAAGTATTGTCGCACATCGTCTATATTCCCATGCTCAGTATTGCCGAAAGGGTCACTGAAGACGAAGAGTACCCATAAATGCCTCCAACAACACAGGCAGCCTGCGGCATTGGCTAACAAGATCGAACGCGTGCTTGACAAGCTCCATGTCTACCTGGACATACTTAAACGTGAATGCTGCAAGACCAAGTTGGACGCACTGTATTCCTTGGGAGGAGCTGGATCGTTGAGGTCCTTTGGACGCACAAAATCTGTCAGAAGAGTCCATGCCTGAACCAATGCAAGTCAAGAAAATCCTCTGACAATACGCGTCAGCACTCACCTGGCTGAAGGTCATAAGGCCCGATATTCCAGGCTCTCCGTGGTTGAGACGAGCAAACGCGTCCTGCCATTTCTTGCCGACTTGCGATCGCAGCGCCTCTGTCGCCATTGACAGAGGTAGAGGGCAGATATGACACTGAGTGTCGTCGTGGTCGTGGCGGTTGTGGGTACGGTTCTGCGGAGGTCGGCCCGATCCCGATGCGGCCGTGTCACTCCGAGTACTGTACCATTTCGATCAATTCGAATGCGACCCAAGAATTTTCGACCAAAAAAAATTCAAAAGAAATCGGAATAATCGAGAAAAAATCATTTCCGTTGCCAGATTTTTTTGCTGTGACGCGTGACATTCGAATTGAACGAAATGGTACAGTACATACACTGATACAGTGCCGAAATAGTGAATGGTCCTGTTCACTACTCGTTGCTTTTCGTGCTTCCGGTTCTCATGGCCGTCGGACATCACATACATTATTTGTATCATGATCCAATGCAAGCATTCACCCATGACTATAACAAAATACTAATTGGTATTCGAGGCACCCCAAGGTCCCTTCGCATAGCCAACGACTCTCCCATTCGGGCATACAATTACAACCGGCGCTTTCATGTGCGAGCACTCTGGGTGGGAAAGATAACTATGTACAAGTACAGGAAGTGTAGATACAAATACAATGGGGTGGGTACACGAAAAAGTATTCAACACCTAATAGGATGGCGAGAGCAATGAGCATTCAGTACTAAGAATACATGAAAGGGAATCAACGTACCTGGTAGGATGGCGAGAGCGTTGAGAGGTCTCGTCGTCTCCACCAGGTTTATATCAATAACGGTGAGACAAGCCGTGACCACCTGAGGCGGAAACGATGTGTGCGAGGCAGACATGAGAGAGAGAAAAAAGGGAGGTCATGGGCTCTTACCAATTGCCCTTGTGTAAACATCCTTTTTAAACCCAATGAAATGAATACGAGATGTATATGCTCTATCGACAAGAAGAGATATTCTATAAGGTATTACAATGCTCTATAAATATCCGCTATGCACAATCTATGTATGAATCTATCCAAGAAATGAAGGTCTAAGTATATATCTGTTATCAAAGCGTGGTATATGTATCTGTTCCCGAAAGAGCCCAAGAATGTGTGGTCCAAAAATAATACGGTTCAAACCAAAGTTCCAGCATCCGAGTGGTTGTCAGCAGTAACCTTCTCATCCACAGTAAAAATGGAGTCCTTGAGAACATCTTCATCTTTTGCGTTGAAGATGAGGCCCTTCCAAATCGCCTTGACGGTTAGGACGATCAAGACCAACCAAGTGAGAAAAAGAAGGGTGTCCATGACGACGTGGACAATGAATAGACCTTGAATATTCAAGATTTTCCCGAGTACACCTGTAGTGGAGATCCACCCCGCTAGAAGACATCATAAGAACGCAGCACGACAGAAATGAAAACCACTCACCATTTGGAAATGTCAGAGCCCAGCCTTTTCCAGGGCCATTGCATTAGCATTTTATCGCATAACAGATATGAGTACTCACATCCTAATATCTCGTCCAAACTTTTGTGGAGCTTGAACCAGTACGGTATAATCCCAAGGAGGAAGAAGAAGACGGCCAAACCATAGAGTAAAAGGGCTGCCATCACACTTGCAGCATACCAAATCTCCCCGGCAGCATTGGATATGATGCCATGCGCCGGTAGACTTCAAGCAATCAGCGATTGTAAGACAGAAGGGGAACCGAGTCGACTTACATAACACTAGCGTGATCGGCTAAGTTGATTAAAGAAAGGGCAGTGAAACCTGGAGGACCGCAAGCAACAAAGGCACTACTGGCCTGGTGTCCTTTTAGAAAGCCCGTCTATACAGTCGCTGAGCCAAAGCAATACCGCTATAATACTGATGCATACCATGACAAGCCTAGGATACTCAAGTCAGTTGTGATAGTTTTGCATGTGTTTTCCAACTTACCGCAACAGATAAATGCCAAGATAGAAGAAGGTCATGAAGAACCCGAGGCCTGGGACAGTGATTAGATAAACAAACAGGAGGCGTACAAAGCTTACCTTGGAAAAAGTACCCGACAAACAATACTCCCAATGCTCTGGGGTCCGAAGGGTCCATAACCCTCAGAACATTAAATGCGACAACCCCAGTAAGCATCTAAACAAATGATGACTGGTCAACAGCATATCTGGGCGACAGAGAAAGCGCAATACCAGAGGAAACACCTGCGGTTTACATGTTAGAGGGTCAAGAGATTTTGTAAGGAAGTCATCTTACTAAAAAAGCATAACCGGGTGTGAAGCGCAATATGTCGTGAGGTTGATTGAACCAGATCATGAGCATTGGGAAACAAGTCATCAGAGACAAGCCCACGTAAATCCTGGAAGATGTCAAACTCGTGCTCGGGTCCTCTAGATATCTGCTCACCAAAATAAGACATACGCGACGTTGCCGCTGGCAGGTCCATTAATAATTGCGTAGTTGATCGTCCCGATGATGATCGTAGCAAATGATAGCACCTGAGCAACGATTATTGGTTGTGGACAGTCCATACTGTACGACGCACCATCATCGGAGGGAAAAGCCCTTCCACCGGATCTTGCAGCAGACGCCAAGCTCGGTGAGGGAACTCTGAGATTACCATTAGTATTTGCTATATGTTCGACCCACAAATCATAACGCACCGAGCGCTTGGACTGATAATGCAATGACGTTCAGTAGGAAAATGGCCATGTTCAAAGACCAGAACCCGGTTTCTACCGACGTCAACCAACTAGGATGCTCTTTCAATCCAGAGAGCGTCACGAAGACAGCGCCCGTCCCCATTCCAATTGGAAACTAAAAGCTGTTCATTAGCTAGGCGCACGCCGAGAAATAGAGAATGCGCACCGACTGCCAGGACCAGCCATGTATGTGGCGAGTAAGTGAGCTAACTCTATTCGGTGTCTTTGTAATAGTAGCTTCAGCGATTCGATTGAGAGACATCGGGGGGAGGAATTCGTACAACGAGAGAAAGCAGTGGGAGAAAATGTGCGCTACGACCTCAGGCCTTTTCACTCATTTTCGTCATGAATTTTGCACGGCAAACACGCTGGCCGAGCATCCACCCACGGCCATTGCAATGGGCCCCATCGGAAGATATCGGAAGAACCAAGGAAGAACCCCAGCACAGCCGAGAGAAAGTCTGGGCAAGGGCGGTTGACATATAAGGACTATGTGGTGTCGGTTTGCCGCCGCCTAAGAGCTTTTTGCTACTTTTGCACTGCGCTCTGTAGATAAGGCGCCTTTTTGAGGGCGAACAATGACAGCACATGCATCAAACACCCAGTCCTGACCATGTAACGAAACAAAATGTCCCGCAAAGTTTCATAACTCCAGGTTCGTTGGCTCTGCTCCGAGCATGGATTGGGTACCGCAGCGAGACGTCCGTTCTGAAGATGAGCCAGTTAACTTCCCACACTCATTACGAGCACGCTGCGCGCTCAGTTCTGTCAGTAGCAATATAGTCTCGGTTGCGATCATGCCTCGCAAATACTAGACGTTTTTTGCCGTCGAAGGTAAATGTTTCAAAGAGCGCTGTTGGAAGCAACATGCTGGACGAAGGAACTAATAATGGGATGAGAGCTGGAGCAAGAGCCAGCGTTAAACCCGCATTACTCCGGATTCCCGAAGCGGAAGGGCACCGCCACCACGTGAGAAACTACGACTGTCGATCGCTTTCCTTTCCTTTCCTTTTCGCCTCACCATGAAATATCACTATATGACTGCGTACCGTTGAACGTTCCTCAATTCATCGCTACAAAACCAATTATTCTATAATGATGGAAAAGAAAAGGAAACGTCTGATTTCTGGTTTCGCCCGTTCTGGCCAGCGTTCTATTATGTGAGTGAGGGGCTTCATCAGAATCAGATACTATCAAGTGACGTTCAAAGGGTAACCAACCCTCCTACCCCTTCTGCGTCTGTCGGTTTTCGGAGCCGCCAAGGTGTTGAAGGATGCTTATCTTGCCGTAATCAATTTGGTTCATGGCCCTGTCCGCCTATTAACGTGCCGGAGAATCGGAAAAACACGTTTTTGAACCATAGACGCTCAGCGTCGAACCATCATCTGCTTCTTCCCTTCTCCCTCACATCTGAACGTATGGCAGTAATATCGACACCCATTACAGAACTCTTTGGCATCAAGCACCCGGTATTTCTAGCTGGAATGAATGTAGCCGCTGGGCCAGAGTTAGCTGCTGCTGTTTCCAATGCGGGGGGCTTAGGAGTGATTGGGGGACATGGATACACACCCACTATGTTGCGGCAGCAGGTGGGTACCTGTATTCTTCCGTGATTGTTCATGATTCCGGACACCTTTGTTGGCAGATCAAGGCCATTAAGAAAGACCTGAACAACCCCGGCCTTCCCTTCGGTGTTGACCTTCTACTCCCTCAAGTCGGAGGTAGCGCGCGAAAAACCAATGTAAAGCTTCGAAACGTTCACTTTCCCATATTTTGATAATGGCTTCAGTACGACTATACCAAAGGTCAACTCGACGAACTTATCGACGTAATAATCGACGAGAAGACATCACTCTTTGTATGCGCTGTCGGAGTGCCGCCTAAATCTGCGGTCGACCGTCTCCATCAAGCAGAAATTCCGGTGATGAATATGGTCGGACATCCGAAACATGTTTCCAAGGCACTGAGTGTAGGTGTCGACATTATATGCGCTCAAGCCGGCGAGGGTGGCGGTCACACTGGTGATGTACCTGCTACTGTTCTCATTCCGGCATGCGTGGACGCAGTCAAAGGCCATAAATCCCCGCTCAATGGAAAGCCTATATACGTTATCGGAGCTGGTGCGGTTCATGATGGGAGAAGCCTTGCTGCTAACTTAGCTTGGGGAGCCCAGGCCGTTTGTACGTCCTTCTGTTACCTTGTTCTGGGACGACATTGACAAAAAGTAGGGGTTGGTACCCGTTTTGTTGCATCAGTAGAGGCCGGTGCCCCCAAAATCCACAAAGAACTCGTTACGATGGCTAGTTTTGACGACGTTATCACCACCTTGATCTATACTGGGCGACCGCTTCGATGTTTGCGGACACCTTATGTACAGGACTGGGAAACAAATCGCCAAGACGAAATCAAAGAATTGACGTCGAAGGGGATCATTCCCGCAGACAAGGACCTTGAAGAACATCCGGAGAAATCTATCTCAGCTCGCCCATGGTTGATGGGGAAGGTTTCTGCGGTACGTCCTTTGGTTCTTCCAGCATCTTTTCGCTCATACTTTGTGCTGCTCAGCTCATTCACGACATTCTTCCGGCCAAAGATATCATTGAAAACATGATCAACGAGGCAGCCGAGATAATCCAGCGGGATGCATCCCGTGTGGTAAAAGCTAAGTTGTAGACAGTCGGTTGTAGTGGTATTCGTCTCTGAGCAGTAAATATTGACTCGATTATTTAGCCCCTTACGCTCTATCAACAGCACCGAAACCCTCGAAGTTTTAGTAAATCGCGAGAATAGTCATCATGAGCTCGGTCGCCGATCATGGATACACAGGCACAAAGTTTTCTGCGGTTATCTATCAAGCGGCCTTCGAGGTTTGTCCGATTGGGGATTAGCCATGCGAGTCCGGATGCTTCGGGACCCGTCAAGCGCTACTTTGTCGCTGGATGAATGGAACGCCGAATAGTAGAATGCGGGTTCTTTTCTTTGGGTATTTTCCTCGTGTTGACATTTCCGCGCGATAATTCTGTCAAGTTTAAATCCTGTGGAGAGATTCCAGCGAGAGGTGCCGGAAGGTAAGCACCGACGCGAACACGTGCAACCTGATGGCGGTGCGTGAACTTGGTCTTCGACCACCGTGGTCGATCAGCTTCTCTGTAGTTCTGGTCACCTCTAACCCCAGTTACATTCGCTTTCGCTAGGCAAAAATTGCAAGTATTACCAATAACCCTCAGAGACAGCGCAAGGCACCTCATTTATTTTTTTCGGAATCGATCCACGGATCAATTAGACTACGTCAATGCCCACTGTTTAGGAAAGACATATCACGCCAGTTTGGGAAGATAAAAATGTGTCTATCTGGGTAGGAAATCTCGAAGGTTCGAGGATCACCCTTCGACCACTTCAGTCTAGTTCCCACGACGGCAAGACAACCGCGAAGATATAGTCATCGCCGTTAATACCACCATTCCTTCAGAAATAGACTCGTTGCGGCACCGCAAGCCTAGGCTGGCACAGATATAGCAACTTAGAATTCTCTGCAGTGCAGGATTCTATCAGGCACCCGTTAAGGACGGCGGAAGTTGGAACCAGCTTGTCCTACCTTCTGACAGAAGAATCGGTGCAAGTAGAAGTCAACGTTTGTTGCCATTTTAAAACACTCAAATTTGACCAGGAAAAAGATAATATCATTTTCAAATCAACGCGCAAATCGACCAAATGAAAAATAGGTATGTAAAACGAGTGAAGCTATCGGTATGTGATTTCGTCCGTGTCAGTGATATGACGATGAGAAGGCCCCTCAACTCTTTAGAGTCCAATGTTGATGGGGGTGCAACCGATGGCAATGAGACCGTTCTGGAAAACGAGTTTAGACCTCAGCATTGAACTGTCAGCACTTGAATGATACTTACGAAGCTGTTGTCCTCGCAGCAGACGGTCTGAGCTGAGCAGCTGTTTCCTCCGACACCAATGACGCTGATTGGGGAGCAAGTTATACCGCTGCGAAGACTGCTTAGCGATAAACACCAGGGGATGCATACACAGAAACTTACACATCGGCACCGAGGTCACCCAAAACGACGCCAAGGAGGCCCAGAAGGGTAGAAACTGGGTTGGAGGTTGCCTATATAATGGTAAATATTCTTGTCATCGAGAGGAACGGCGGGCGGCGCATACACTCTGAACAGACTGGCAACATTGGACTTCTCCAGTGGTGCAGCCGCTGGTTCCGCCACGAGGGATAGCACTGCCAGCCACGAACAAGGGCATGGCGAAGAAGAGGGTGAAAGCAAGAGCGTAGATACGAGCGAACATGGTGTGCTTCGGTGCAGGTAGGCGAGTGGTAAAACTGCAAAGGCTGTTTGAGCTGATGAGTCGTAGTGTTCATGCATGACTTTTATACCTTTCAGAACCATCGGTACCTCTCAAAACAGATATATTCCTATGATTCCTCAAAATTTTTTTTGCGCAAAAAAATAAAACAGACATGTGAGAGCCCTATCCTCCGATCTGATGTTTACGTTCCCCGACCTATCCTTCCATTGCTTTCATTTGGCACATCACAGCTATGCCCGCCGAACCGGCACCTTTCTAATCCCTCAAAGATGTACTCATCCCCAGCACGCATTGATTCCCGCACCTTGCCCTTCTGCCAACTTTGACGGGCAGACGCATGGCCATCCCTCTTCAGGATGTTGTTCCAGGCTATTTTTATTTTAATCAGTGCTTGTCCGAATAATCAATCTGATGTCTCTCCAGATCAGTGTCTTGGCCATAATTTTTATGGATGGTAAGAACCTAAAGCACACCAACGGCATTCATGCGAAGGACCACGTGCACATTCTTTGGATGGGTACCCTTCCGTTTTGGGGGTTCGTGAAAGCTGGTCTACCCGCGTCATTGGCGTTCGTGAGTTTGCGCTTTCTATCCTCAACATGCCGCTTTATTATGTATAATCATATGGCTCGACGTCCCGAGGTTTTCAACAGTCTCTTGGCGCCTGTATTTCGCTTGAGCCGCTGAGCGTCGAAGTTTCAAATCGGATGACATTTCCCCCTCTCCCTAGTTAAATCAACAACTAACGCCTTCCAGACTGTTTCGTAATTCAAATAGTAATGCAGGGATGTACTGTCCTTAAGATGTACCGATATTGGACGGAGGTGAACTGGTAATGACCCGCAGGGAAGACCCAGCCACCAAGGCGAAGAAGAGGACGGACATAAAATCGAAATGGCTAGGCTGTGCAGGGCGGTGAGCGCAACATTATTGTCAGCTTGAAGGACCCGAACACCGCCTAATCATTGGTGTAGTAGTCGGCCCATTTTCCTGCCGATTAAGTCTAAGTGCGTTGGCCGCTCCTGGGTAACGTCTCGCTAAGGTACCGCGACGACTCGAAGACCTAAAGTGGTATGGCAAATTATGAATGGCATGGAATAAAAAGCCTTTTTGGCGTGGTCCCCGATTTTTTGCCGTCGTAGAGTTGAACCAAAATTATCGGTAGAGTCCTCATGCTCAAGACCCGTACTCCTTCCTCTAATAGGACAGCTTTTAAGCGCATAGCTTCGGACTAGAACCAGCCTTGTTTCTATCGTTTTCCGCTTTGTACTTGAAGACTTGTGGTACCGGTTCCTAAATGCTAGGCAATATCTATATTTCTTTGGGAAGGATGGTGAGGTTTGGAAAGTGTCTACAGGCGATCTTAGCTCTCTTTTCTCATCGGACTCCTCGTGCGACGTATCTATCACAGATCTACTATTCTAGCTGATGTCTCTTCCACTGAAATACTTGGATCTGATGCTCCATATTTAACTATGTCTTCCCACTCCTTCAGGGGCATCGTCAGGAAGCACATCAGCAAACGAATTAGAACACTGAAAAATCCTGTAGGTATTCAGCAGTCCGGTATTCTAGTCGCTCCGTTAGCTTCCAGGAATCGAAACACGAGCATATCTTCGCCAGTCAATCCCTACATATACTATAGGTTTTCGACGTCAGAACATAATTACCAACGAGACCCATGCATTCAAGCTCCACCTGCTGTTCATGCTCATCGACCACGTTGAAATCGAGGACTTCTCAGATTTTACGACGGAAGCCTGCAACTTCGTAACGACACGTATTGTCATTGGCTCGCTTGAACAAACGAAGAACAGTAAGGTGCCTGCCGAAAAACTCAAGCGGCACATCGGAGTATCCTGTACTATAGGACAAATTTTACCGAAGAAGGCCTAAGAACAACTGTGACCTTGGAAGGCAGAAATATCGCAATGAGTCCGAGGAATTAAACCAAGCTATGATCGATTTCTTGAACGAAGATGGTTCAAAACTTAGCGGGCGTAGGCGGGTGTTCCGTGATCTTTTCGACCCTGTGGTTCGCAAATTAAATCCTGGTAGTAGCATTCCCACGGCAAAAATAAGTCGGAGAGATCACAAGGTCGAGGGTGGCTTTCAAAACGCAGACAGAACAGCTGTTGTAAGTCATGCACTATTCCAGAAAAGTACTATAACTACCTCATGGTACAGTGCTTGTGCTCGTCGAAGCCGCGAAAAGATGATTTTTGACGGAACATTTAATCAGAATGTCAGGAACGACACGTTCACGTTGTACGGGAACAATAATCGTGAGGATAGAACATACACGAATTCGTGACGCACCTAAAACAGCTGGTAAGCTCACGTCGTGTCCTGGACGGATATATGAGACTTACATTCCGACGTCCCCGACTTTTCTAACAAGAGTGAATTAGATGAAGTATATGCCCGATGCTCTGGTGCGCAAGTTCTTGTTTTAGCCTGTAGAAACGATGCTACAAACAAGTGAGGATACCTGAGGGATAAAAACTGAATGGGCCCATACCACTACAGAGTCCGGTCGCATTTCTCCGAGACGCTGATCGTTGGAATGAAGAACACTCGTCCAAACAGATCATCCGCCGCTGAGGTGACAACTCGATAGTAGTAACTTCATCGAGGGACTTATGCCTGTACTCACATCCACACTTACCTTGCGCACTTGACAAGGGCTCGTGCCAATTTATGGTCCCTTACTTTGTCGGATCCTGCATCGCTTCATGGATCAACCTAGCATGACAGTAAGAATGCGAGGCTCAAGTAGTGAGGTCCAGGGTTGGCGATCCCGGTAACGCCGTGGGAATGAGCGGTAAACATGAGCGGGATCGAGAGCGACTACGCTCCATCGCGAAGGGCCTAAGGCTGTTTGTATTCTAGGACATTGTGAAGAGGTTTCAAGGACTCCGAGGACGACGCAACGGAAAGTATTGATCATCAGGTGCATTGATGTATTCACGGTCGTATATGTTTCCCTGGAACTTCCTATTGTCAGTGAACGAATTCTTTGAGGGTAAAAATGCTCCAATTGTACAGGCCTACGTCCTGGAAAGAGAGGGGAGTCATCTTTCACGGTGTTCTTGCCTTGATATGCAGATATTTAACATACAAAAAAAGATTACCTTAGAGTTTGCCACTGAGTTCCGACGGCCCGGTCGGTCCAGGGGTTTACTCAGGGTAGGCTGACTAATCATGGGTGCAGTGCCGCTGTGGCTGGACAGACTCAATCCCGATATCTCCCGCGCACCTGTACGGGACGGGGTACTTGGTGTAGTTTTCTTGCTCGAAAAGCCGATAGAAGTCCGAATGGATATTACTGTAAGATTTATATTTACTCGTGCTACTTACCCAATGCCGCCCGTGGAAAGACTTGGGAATTCGGTATATGCCGCCAGCACCAAGGCCAAGATCCTTTTCACCAGAATCATCATCGGGTCCAATTCCCTCTGACTCACCGTTATCCTGTGGTTAGAGAAGAGTATCGAACGGAATGCTATCCAGGAGAGCGACTGCTCACCTTGACCTCGTTGTCAACCTTTCCTAACATCGAGCCCCACCCAGAACGTACGAGGACCGACCATGGAACGACGATTCTCTGAGGAAACCAGCTTCTTCTTCTTTGGAGCCAGAAATATCATCCATAGTCTCGTAGCAAGTTGCTATTAAACTACGGTCGAAATCGAACAGCAGGATCGACGATTTTCCTTTTCATAGAGCGCTACGGCAAGAGTTGGGTTCATTCGGAGTATAAACCTGTACGTCTAGCTCCACTGTTACTGCGAGTACGGTCAACGAACTATCTGTGCAGGTTGTAGTTGACAGCGTGCTTGTGTGCCATTTGGGAGACCTTTGCCTTCCTTAACTCAGCTCTGGATCGATGTCAAGGAACCTCAAGGAACTCATGTTTTACGCTCGGACGGCTTTGGAGTTTACTTATATCTTGGACAGCCTTGGACATGCAGTCATCCTCGCAATTTCTATGGTGGTCAAGAAAATCTAATACTGGATGCTGGGCGGCCTTTCTGGCTTCCTGGTGCTTTCAAGTCTTGGGACAAGAATTGGTGATCTTGTAGTATCAAACAGATGATGGCAGATTCGCCTATATCTTCAATGGCCTATGAAGGGTTCTCCCTCCTTTCTGCCATTGGCCAGCACCCCCAAATATGCTGCAGGACCTTTTTTAGCACACGAGGAAAAGCGTAGCGCGGACAGTTACTGCTTCAGCGTGAGTTCTCAATTAATCTGTTGACCACACTGCCCCACGTTTTCTACACACGCTAAATAAGTTTATTTGCAGGCTACACATCTCGGAAATTACAAATGCACGGCGTTCATGAACAGCCTCAGTCAGACTCAGACTCGGATCTCTCCTGCACTGCATACCCGCCAACCAACCTTTTGCCCGGAAAGGTCTCAATGGCAATACGAGAGCAGCATGTTCCGTCCAGATTTGCCTCGACACGTACCTTCGCATTTGCGGTTGCAATCAGTGTCGCACGGGGCGAAACTCGAGGCTAAACTGTCCCTGCTACTCCGTTGCCAAAAAAAAAAGTACTAGACCCGGAGCTCAAGTCAACGTGTTGCTCAGTATCATAGCATTTCGGAGCATCACTGCGCAAGCCTCCTGCTCATGCTCTCTAGTTCGAACATGGAGCCGGAACGCAACTCCAAGCGCAAGAACGGGGAAACCACTTATCGTGTGCATGGAACATCATTGGTTGCCAGAAAAGAACTCGAGCTCAAAAGCCGCGCGTTCGTTTGTCATGGCGATTCCAGACGTTCTCAACATGCACGATTAATGGGTGCAGGGTGGAAAGAGACGCTGATTCCCGGCGGCTCCTGATCAAAAATCCGCTCTCCAACCGCTTTCGCACGGGCACCATACATAGGTTGTCCTTTGTATCACGGACAGAGAAAGCATATACATGGGAGATCCTTTATGGACTTTGGTTCTTCATGACGAGATTTCGGGTACTGGCGACTTGTAAACGCCGCTCTCCCAAACACGGAATGTCGTTTGTAAAAGAACCGTACGCTTGCAAAAGTTACCGATAACCGGAGACGTAAGGGGTAGAGACAGATGATTGGTTTCGCGATTTGTATGTTTAACGGAACCGAAGATTTGAATGGTTTCGTATGTGTTCTACAATTGGTTTAATGGTTGTATCAAAGGTTGATCATCGTCAATCTCGCAAGCAATACGGGATAAAAATGCAAGCGCAGAGACGGGAAGAGACATTATTCTTGCTGAGAGCCAGAGGAGCGTGTGTCGGGAGGCGGAGGTGTGCTCGAAAGAGCCAGTCGTACGGAACCGAAGAAGCATGTATGTGGCCAGGTCTGGAAGGTGATCGATGAGATGGCGTTGAGGAATTTCCAAGGATTTAGCATGTTCAGTTTGATCAAACATGACCGCTTTGCGAGTATTTGGAAATCACGCGTCGCGCATATCGGAATTCCAGGCTAAAGTTGATCAAAGCGTCCGGGAAAAATCAGACATTGTCCTATTGTCTTTTGGGTGGCGGTAGTCAGGGCCGGGACGGCATCACGCCAAGGATTACCCGGGTGAGATTAGCAGAAAGCAAAGGCGTTTATGTGAGTGCTGTATAGCAGGATTTTTTGTCCTTATATTTAATAAACTTCTGGTTGTACAACCAAGGATTCAAGGCTCGACGCGATCGTGGCAGAGGGGGAAAAAGACGCGCGATCGGAAAAGACCACGTGTTCGCCCCAAGGGAACCTCCGAAGGGATTCCCTTTGTTCCCCTTGTTTACCTCATCCAAGGTGTGCTTCTGAGCCAGGATGCATCATGGCCAACAACACTTCGTTTGCCTACTACTATGGACAACTACGACTACGAACACGACGACGATTTTATCGATGATGACCTGCCTCCGCTAGTCGAGTCTACATCGTCCTCGTACATCCCCCGGCCTCCGAATGCATTTATTCTCTTCCGATCGGCGTTCATCCGATCTCAGCGCATCTCGGGGCGCGTCGAGGGTAACCACTCAACTCTGAGCAAGATCATCGGCATGTACTGGCGCGCTCTGACGAATGAAGAGAAGCAAGAATGGGAGGCCAAGGCCAAGGTCGCGTTGGAGGAGCACCGGAGGCGATACCCGGACTGGAGGTTCCGGCCGGGAGTGAATGGTGGTCGGGGACGTGGCCGTGGCGGGAGGGGGAGACGAGGGCGAGGACGTGGCGGCGAGGGCGACGGGCGGGGTCGGGAGAAACGAGGAGGGGATCCCGAGCGGAACGGGAAGATTCTCGACTTGCTTGTCGAGGGGAGGCCAAGAGAGGATCTGGAGAGGGCGGTGCAAGAGTGGGACAGAGAGCGGGGCAGGGCGGGAAAGCGCAGCCGCTCGGTACCTTCCGAGAAACGACCCGGCAAGGCGGCGAATCATGCGCGTACCCAGTCTTCGTCGACCGGATACCAGGCTCTGGTCCGTCTATTCTTTTTATTTCTTCTTCCTTTCCACTGACTTTCTTTACAGGATTTCGCAGCACCAGCTCCCGTCGCACCTCCCCAAGGCGACGTGATTCAGTCCAGGCAGGGCGTGTATTCGTTCACACTCGATCCATCAGTCTACAGTCCTACCGAAGACGCCCAGTCGCCATGGCACACGAACCCGTATCAGTCTTCTTACACGAACCCCGGATCTACGCATATATCCAGTTTTAGCACGCTCAGCGGGTGGGCGGGCGACTCTGACATGCAGAGTCCAACCACCAGCGCCTTTGGAACCACCAACGTAGAGCAGCCCCGTGAATACAGCGAGATGCAGACGTACGACAACTTTGCCGACGCGTCATACAATTCATGGCACGAGGAGCGTCACTATTCTTTTGATAGCAACGAGCTGCACAATCCCTTTTCCTACGCATCTGAATTCAATCAGTATCAGATCCCTGGGCCAAGCTCTCCTGGACCTCCCTCGTCTGTCCCTTCCCCAACTTCGCCCTTTCAGGTCGGCAGCGCAAGCACTTTTAGCGACTTGCGCTTCATCGATGAAGGATTCCGCTTCTCCTCTTCTCCCCCTCAGGAAATGGAAGGAGAACCGCTGCAAGTTGTGCCATTCCAGCCTGTGCAGGTCATCGATCGGAAGGGTAAGGGCAAGGCATACGAAGAGGAAGATGAAAGCGTCACGGAGGGGTACGTGAACTGGAATTGAAAAAAAAGAGTCAACCCGTCTCTCTTGGGTTGCATAATCTCTTGCATGCAAGAGGAATATTCTCGTGCTTTGAGCACTATTCGTTGTTGGTTCCCCTTTGCAATTGGGGTTGTATTATCTATCACTTCTTTGTTGTCGTTTCGATTTTCTCACTTTGTCTTCGCTTTTCGTTTTGGCAGTCTTCTCCCTGCCATTTTTGTTTTATCTAGAATTGAATTGAATGTGGCTCGCCGTCGGCCACAAAACTTGGTGCAATGATGCGAGCAGTTTGTTTGATCAATGCGTGGAATTCGGCTTTCTTCAGGTTCAGCCTGCGATACAGAACGACCGGCCGGTGTCTTGGAGGATTCGAGAGGTGTGTATAGCGAATCTAGGCGTTCTGGTGCACATGCGTACCTTGGTGGATACCCTCGGATTTTAGGTATTAGCGAACTGCATAAAACACGATGGCCAAGGCCATGCGGAGCGCTGAATACCCTTCCAGTCCTAGGCCTGGAGCATCTCTACGCTTTCCTAGAATTTCACCGTCAGTGAAGAACGACTATTCGGCTTCCAGTTTGGCTTTTCTTTAGGCCTCCCAGGACGGTTTTCTTGCCAATGATTCCTGCTTTCTCTCGAGGCCTGTCTAGTGTCTATCTATCGGAGCTCTTGATTGCATCCCTTTCAGTACTACCCTTCAAGATCTGACCCACCGCTGGACGAGCATGTCCTGCTGCTATTTGCTACGTATGCATGAACCATACAAAACCTGGAGCACCCATTCTCAAGGCGCCCTGTTGGATAACCTAAAAATATAATACAGCTATTCTTTCTATGTTTCCGGCGCAATGACTTGCACAGCAACGGATGAAGGTTATCCTTGTCGAAACCTTTTTATACGCTCCACAAGTGTATCGAATATCTCCCACAGTAAATCCTTCGCGAAACGCTGAGAAGCCTCAGACTTGACTAATACCTCCTTCATCCCCCCAACCTGCTCCTGCAACTGCACAATCTGTGCCTTCAACTCTACAATTTCCTCCTCCACAGTCATATTCGAGTCATGTCGAGCCCTCTTCCGAACCCGCTCGTCATCGTGATCCAGCTTGCGCTTCCCTATTCCGGGTTGGCCTTTGGGACACGCAATCCCAAACAGCGAGCATTCGCGGCATTTTGAGGTCTTCCTGTTTTGGAACATGCATGGGTGGCCTTTCTTTACGCAATTGAGGCACTGAGGGAAGCTCAGCTAAGCTGAAATGTAAGGAGGGAGAGATACCCACCGCTGGCTCCATGGCGACAGGAAAGAGGTCTCAATCCTCTATCTTGACCTTGCAGACGGACCCTCCAACCAACGTACGTGCGGGGGTGGGGCGTATGCGTGTAAAGACAAGCGCTGTCCAGACAGCAGTAGGGCATCTCTTTTTCAATGAGCGGAGTTCCTCTTGTGTAAGATTCCATGCGAGTTCGATGATCTTGGTGCACCATTCATTGCGCTCGCTGACTGATTCAGGAGGTGCGCAGTCAGATGAGGTAAGGATACGGAGGATCTAAGGTTTAGTTAGAGTTGACTGGACCAAGTTTAGGTGCGTGTGTACCTTCTTGAGGCCATCGGAGTCAGGAGGAGGTGCAGGAGGTGTCTGGGCGGTCTTCAGTCGAAACTCCAAAGCTAGGGTGAATACCCACAGCGGTTTTTTGGAGCATTTCAGCGCCAACTATACATTCCCAATGTCTGATTACGTCTTTCTCTGCCAGAACAGCCAGTAGTTGCATTAAGAGACAGAGATCAATGAACATAGTCAAACGACCAAGTTTTACATCACCTGTAGCCGGTGAATCTCATCGTCGCGTTGCAACTGAAGAGCTTCAACAAGAGCCTTCGAGTAAGCCTCTAGGATACCAATATGATACGGGGCAAGTCTCGGTCCAGGCGTGATGCAGACCTGAAATTCTGCGGGTCCGATAGCGATGATAGTGGGAGGATTGGAGGGGGGCATATCCCTAATGAGATTAGGAACGGTGCCATTTAAAGGCATCCCCTGAAGGCTTGATATAGATAGCCAGCCGCTCACTGACAGACGATCCGATCGACAATCATTGCATCATCAACTCGAAGCCGCGCACTCATTTGAAGACTAACCAACGTGTCACGATCTGTCTGTCTCAAGCTATCCGACCGGGAAATTTCACTATCATTCTCGTTGGCTAGCAGACGATTCCTATATTGGTTCGGAAAAAGAAAATCAGGGTACCACTCTGAGACTCAGATTGTCAAACATCCTTCTGCCACTCGGTATCAGACACCAAACGGCCTGCCAGTACCAGCTCCTCTAATCTCTCTCGAATCACTTTCTCGTCTGAATTAACTAAGAAGCACATTGTTGGAAAACAAAAACTCACCGCAGTGTTCCTCAGTAAGCCTACGTCCGCACCTGCTTCATCCGAGCGGAGCCGTTCGATAGTTAGCTCTGGTATATTCATATGATGGTATACCCGTCGGAGAGGGAGAGTCTGATGGGATGCACGGTACCGTATGCGAATCCAAGCTCACTGCATGACTGTGCTCAGTGAATAGATCATAGCCTTCCGAGCTGCCATCCCTTTCCAGCCACCCACTTTGCCTCGGGGTGCAGGCTGGGAAGAGAAATGCGTCGGCTAGAACCAGATCGTTATTGAGACCAGGAGCTGACTCGGAAAAGGAGAAATCTATTGGCGAGCTCGCACTTGACTTTGAATGCGCAGCAGGCGCCGTGTCAGGGTTGTCAGAGTCTCGTCCATGACAACTCCTTTTGTGCCGTGATACCGCGGGATCGTTCACGTACACACAGTCCTTGCCGCGGGTGGTACATTTTGAGCACGGTTGCTCCAAATCGCATTTGGCTTTCGCCTGAGCGCAAGCCTTCGGGAATATATCAACGCTGTATAAGAGGCTTAAAAGACGAACTTGATACCTGACAAGACATCTGGCGGGAACGACGGACAGTCTTAGTGATCCTAAAATAAGAATCTTAGCACCTCTGTTAGCAGAAAGGAAACAAAGAATACTCGCTGGCCGTTAATAGCTTTACATGTTTTTGCATGTCTGTTCAGGACATCGCTTCTGCTGAACTTGGCGAAACAAGCCTGGAAGGTCCCATGGTATAGATGCAAAGTCATGAATCATATGACTGACCGTACACCTGTAAGCACGCTCGCCAGTGTCTGTCAATAAATTAGAGTAAGTGTAACGGGCTGAAGAGCGGTGGATACACTTAGTATTACGTATATGGAGATGTCTTGAAAGGTGTGTAGACCGAGTGAAACTGGCTGGGCAGAATAAGCACTCGAAGGTCCTCGATTGTAGCATAGAAGTATTTCCGTCCTGATCTTTGGTGAAGCACGAATTCATGGGGTGGAGAAGATGGTATTGTCGAGGAGTATATATACAAACCTAGAAGAGCAGGTGTGATATCAGGTTCGTAGCGTTATTGATGGGTCATAAGTGAACGAAGGCACCGCTGGAACTAGATGCCTCGTCCGCAGTACAGAAAAAGAAAAAGATTGATGTCAGGGTTCGTGTAGGGGATTTTTTCCCTAGGCTGAACTGGATGCAGTGCTGACTATTGTTTCCAATGATACCGTTCGCGAGACTGCGTCTTTCTTATAACTAACATGTAAATGGCCATAAGCTACTATCGAGCCACGATTACTGACGCATGCAATACCGAGGTTGTTCTTCGTGCACTGGGCCTATCACACTCTGATTGCATATCAACGTAATCCATGAGAAAGGTGCTTCATGGCCTTTATGATGCGTCTTTCTTAATTCTGTTCAATAGCTGAGCCCACCGCAGTTGATTTCTGTGTCTGAAAGACAGTATCAATCTAGAACTGGCCAAGCATCGCAGTCTATACAATCCTAAATCACAAAGTGATCAGTTTGCTATAAATGTGTGATAGTCGAAATTAACCACTGAAGTGACTTGTATCACAAGTACGCCACGTTTAATCGCTTGGGCTGTCGAAGGATTTCACCCTTAGTAATGGATATTTCTCTATGCCTGCCATGGACTTATGTGTTTTCTGTCAGCCCTGGAAGACACATGCTCAGATGCGCTACAGAGTCCGCGATAAAGCCTGCCTGTAACTATGAGAACGATGCTAGACAAACAAATCAGAGAAGCAACGAAAGACAGTTCTAAAGGTACCAGTAAATGTTATCTGGTTGCTTCGAAGTCATTCGAGGACCTATTAACAGTCGAGTGATAGTGATGCCCTATAGGTAGGAGTGGAGGGTATGTTTAAGTCATTGGGCTAGGTAGGGGTTCCTGCAGGTCCAATAAACCACGGAAAACAGGTTTAAGGTCAAGCGAGAGCTGTCAAAGGGGTGATTTAATGTTGATGTGGCATTATTAGTGTAATATTCGGGACACATATACCCCATTCGACTCCTACATCGAGCCTCAAGACGCATTTTCGAATTGATCTTGGCAATTAATGATGAGAAATCTTCTATTCGTGCTTGATTATGGATGTCAGGAGACGTGTGGTCATCCTGGTACACGCAGAATGTGGTTCCGAGGGACTAGGACTGGACATTGGAGGTGATCGTTCGTTACGAACGAGTCTTGGAAATACGTCGAACTGTCGGACATTCCATTGCTAATATTCGGAAGATGATCGTCATGCCAGAAGAAGGGAGGTAGAATAGGGTAGAATTTGGGAGATAAGTTTGATGCTGCGGTCCTTGAAAATTTCAACGCTGTCACTTTAGGTGACTCGGAGATGGGGTTCATGCACAAGATGCTATTGAAAGCCTGGTCGTGGTCTGCCATAGTCAGATTTTTCTGCTGTAGAATGCATAGGACGCTGCCACTGATCTAGAGTTCATTGAGAGCATTTCCATCAACAACCTAGGGTGCCTGGGCCGATAACTTGAACGTGAACTCTTGGCCGCCGACGTGGCGGATGCGTTATGTGCTGAAATCTTTGATGATTTTAGGAAAGATGATTTTCCCTCTTTGTAGGATGAAGCGGTGGAAGCCCAATCGCGGGAGCCACTGGAAGGAGGCTCCCACTGTCGGCCTCTTGTGTGTTCGAGCAAGCTACTAGCAGCTACGGTTAAGTTATATATTTCCTATTTTAGAAAAATTCGAATTCCTCAAAGTCACATGATCGAGTTTCTGTACCGGGCTTCGCCGAATATCCGAGCTGCAACGTCCATCGCCCTGCTACGCCTAACTCTACAGCACCGTTTTTTCTGCTTCAAATCTTTCTATGGAAGTGCAGGTATCTGACGCAGAGCTCCCAGGACGCTCATCAGAAGTCTGGTTCGTTGATGGCAACATCATCATCCAAACAGAGTCGACTCAGTTTCGTGTCTACCGCGGAATCCTTGCTGCAAACTCTCTAGTGCTAAGCGACATGCTCTCTCTATCTCAGCCAGACAAAAAATACATGGTCGACGACTGCCCCGTTGTTCATTTTCACGATTCTCCGAAGGATATGGTGCATTTTTTGAAAGCCTTGCATTTTCCTCGGTGCGGTTGCTGTCTGCGATATTTCAGTAGCTGGCTGACGCTTTTCTTTCGGATAGCTACTATCAGCCTTTAGCAACTACCACCTGGAGTATCATCTTAGCTATGCTGTGCCTTGGCAAGAAATACGAAGTCGAGCACCTCTTCAAGCCTGCTTTCAAACACTTGTCAACAATTTTCCCTTCGACTCTCTCTGGTTGGCTTTCTAGAACGTATGAAGGCATAGAAAACTTCAATGGACTTCCTCTGGCTATGTACCAGCTAGCCAAAGAAACTCAGTGCCTCTCTTCTTCCTGCATCCATGTACACTATGATCATCACCATGAAGGTTGAGCAGGTTCTCAATGGTGTCACACTTCCTGACGGATCCCACGTCGACATCTCTCAAACCGACAAAATCCTATGGTGTCAAATGCGCAGCTATCTCCTCACACTCCTCCGCACGAAAATTCTCCGATTCCTGTTTGATGATATCCCAGGGTGCCAGAATCAATGTTTGTGCAACAATCATAAGTACGGCATTATACGTGATCTTTCGAAGTCGACGCGCGTGTTCAATTTGCCCGGTCCTGGACTGTTCGACGTACCTCTGATCTGGGAAGGAGTCAAGACCCTGCTCTGCATGTCTTGTGGCAATACGGCTTTTGAACAGTGGACCGCGGCGCGGGAGAAAATGTGGGAGAACTTGCCAGTGATCCTCAAGTTATCCAGTTGGCAGGACCTTCATAAGTCTAGTCCATAGGTACCGTGTTCTCTGCCCCTCGCCCTCTGATTACTGTCTCTGACTTCTTAATAGTGAGAAATTGTGAACCATGTAATATTGTACTATCAGAATCAGGTCTTGTCACTACGCATTTGACGTATCTGCCTTATCGTGGCATAGACTGAGGCCAATTGCTGAAAGGACGGGCCTTACAGAACTTCGGATCAGCCAGAGTCAGCGCTTCCTGGGGTAATCCGCAGCATTTCGCGAAGCCTTCGGACGTTCGGAAAATTATCGAAGCTTTGGCAAATCCGGGTCAGTGATGATCCGAGCTGGTAAGAACTACCCACCTGTATTTTGTTCTGAAAAGGCCTCACAAGGATTTCATGTCTCTTCCCGGAAGAAAGCCATAAGCATGCAGATAGGAACATTCGATTCACCTATCATCACGCCACCCATACATCTCAGAAGGCCCCCGGTCCGAGGTGGGGCGAAAGAATGATATTCCATTCCTAAAAGAGCGCCTGCGTCTCTGTCGGAAACTAACCCAAGTGATTGCAGACCGACTGACCGGTCACAAATGGATAACTTCACCCAGTTGTTCGGTTCAAAATGTGCGCGTATGCTTGAGCACTCCCGCTCCATCGCCGGTGAGTCAAGAACTCGTTAACACATGTGCTCGAAAGTCCTTCGTGGCAAATTTCCTGCATGTATCTAGCGATGCGCTGTTAAATTGGAACTGGAAATCTACCGCAACTGGACGCTTGTCTCGTTCGGCCGGTACTTGCAAGTGTGTTCTAGGGAAGGTATCGTCTTTTCGCAATACAAATAACCACGGTACAGAAGCAGAGCAGAGTGGGAGAAGAGTATTTCTGGCAAAGGGTCGCCATTAGGCCCGCTGCGTTAGCCTAAGTTGAAGCTCAGTACACCGCGTGTGGCCTCGTGATATCTGTAAGTTTCCCTTCGATTTCAATTGAAAATTCTTTGCTGATGCTACTACCCACAGTCCACTCGGCATTTTGGCAGGCTTATCGTTACTAGCGATGCGATATTCTGTAACCTCTTTCCAGAACAAGTGCGCGCCCTCAAAGTGGCAGTAATACAAAATCTACGGATAACATGAAATCTAGGCTTGAGGACGATTCCATCAGTTTTTCTGCAACTCGTCTCGTGTAGACTTTTCACAGTTACAGATGCCCAGGCCGTTGCGTGCATGTCGTCGGACACAATTTTACGAAACTAAGATGGTGGTCGACCTCGTGAACTTTCGCGTAGGTGGCGCTATTGCGTGCTGTAGTTCCATTTCAAGTATGTTTTTCCTTGTTGCTTGTTGGCTCTCTGTTTATCGGCCTATTTTTTTTTACAGTGGCATCTTGCATTTACTATGAGCCACCGGCAGAGGGTGCCTAGTCTCGTTATTTCTTGCTTCCGCCCCTTGATACGTGTATGCTCTCAAGACTCAAGGGTATTCTCCTACAGACGTGGGTACGGCCGTTCAATGCGCTTTCTGTTTTCAGATACATCGAAACAATCGTTCCCGTGTTGAGGGTACCGGAGTGATACTCCTCTGCGTATGATTGATCGTTTCTCAGGATTGAATGACGTTCGCGGGACTGAAGCCCCAGCGATAAATCCGGCGGCGTATCGAGGTTTTCCCGTTGTTTCATGTTAGACTACCTATATCAGGCCCAGGTGGCGGGGGATTCTGTGCCTACCAGGTCCCTCACCTTCAAGCTGGATGTCTTGATGCGCCCCGCTTGTTCTAGGACTTGGCGGCCGCTTCCTCAAGTGATCCTCCGAAAGCCATTGAGATTGCAACCGCGTTCACATCTTGGATGGTTACGGATGGTTAGTGAAACTTCATTGACGGCGTCGATCACTTTGATTTCAATACACGGGTAACGTTCCTTCGGTTTTGCCTCGGTGACCGTTTCCAGCTCAAAGCCTCACCTCAGCTCAAGTTTCCCTGGCTGGATACGTTACTGGAAGTCGAACGGGTAATGGATCTCTACACGCTCCAATTTTGCTCTAACACGTTCCAAAACGACGTAGCTAAGGATTGTTATCTGTATAAGGGGTACGGAACAAGGGGCAACAGGGAACAGTGACTGTCATGCCCCTCTTCTGCTGTCTATGCCAGAAGGATTGTCACTGATTCCGGACCGCAAAGTCCCCATTTGTGTGTGCTGGGCTCAGGTCTGCAAAGTAATAGTGTTCATATAGCCTGTCTAATTATCATTATCGTTGCACCGCTATTTGGCCGCCAGAGTTCTTCTCGTTATCTGCGTCGTATTCGAAACAGAAAAAGTGAAGCGAGGAACATTACGAAACCGGAGATAAGAAGCGAGCTTTGAATAATTTGACTAGCACCCCTGAGCCCCCACCTTTCTCCTCTCCCTCTCCCGTCATCGTCTCCAAATAGCTGGGACGCTTCTATCCATATTTCCTGTCCTTTGGTCGCTGCAGAGCCGACCAGGAGCTCATTATCTTTACAGCCATCGTCATTAAAGCCTTTGGCAGCTGTTAGAAGCACTTCTTGGATCCTCGCTTTTGCTATTTTTCATTAGGTGAGTTTGCGCTTCGCAGGCCTTGAACAAGGCACTGATATTACCGGTAGCTTCTTTTAATTTTAAGAACCGACCTTTTCTTCCACTGCATGCACCTCGAGGCTTTCAAAGAACTCCAATACCCATCCTCGTTTCGATTCTGCAATGCTCATTAGGCTCCTACCAGCAGCTTCGCATCCTACCGTGCTCTTTGCTATCACATTTCAGAATCTTCCTGATGATCTATACAATCCCCACGCTTGGACGACCCATCTCAGTAATTTGAGCGTCGATGGCCTCGATGCTCCTGAACTTGTTCATTGTCTCGACAAAGCGGCATTCATTCCGAGTATCCTGAAGGAGGTTACCTTTGATGTACCCATGTTGACGATTTCCTGTCGTTTTGCGGATGGGTCAACCGAGGAGTGGCCTCTTAGGACTGCTGGGTGTCTTCAAGCTCTTGACAGCGTCTTGGACGATGTAAACCAGTCGGCCGTCGTGACTGAAAGGGAGAAGGAGCGGGAGAAGGTCAAGGAGAAGGAGCACAAGGACGGACAGCAATCGTTGAATTCCCCACCAACGACTGTTAAAGTCCCACGACATAAGAAACAGCGTTCCCTGCTTATGTCTTTGGTTGCGTAAGTCCGCCATTTTTTTTGCCTATTGCATCTAACAAGTATCGTGCCTAGGTCTATCGTGCAATTACCTTCACCGTTGGCTTCCCATACTCATTCTATGTCTGCTCCCATCACTCGAGTACCATCTCCGGTCCCATCCAGGCCTTCACCAGAGCAAATAATCGTGCCATCAGCTCCGACGCTCACTCCGAAAGCTCTGCGTCGTCGTGCTCGCTCTACGCTGGTTGACACTTTCCGCATGTATGTCGTGGGCGAGCTCAAACGGCGTCTTCCTTCGGGTGGATATTATCCCTGGATCGTAAGAAGCATGCTTCGCAGGGCTTCTGACACTATGGCAGATCTTCTTCAACAAGCTGTGGAGGTCAACAACACATTCGTGACTAGCCCCTTTGAAGACGAGGGATATTTCCCTCCGCCATCTTTAGTTACCTCCCCATTTTCTTCCATTGAGGATGACGAGGGCGACACCGATACGGACGGGAGTTCTGTTCACACTCCTTCCACGGCTTACTTTAGTCTCCGAAGCATGCATCCTCGTCATTCGCATGCACCGGAAACTCCGACGGACTATACATCTGTGCCTCGGCACCTGCAAGGACTCTCATCTGACGAATTGTTGGAGTATCAAAGCCTATCATCGCATTGCGTCCGACTGAGACAGCTTCTCATCTTACAAGAAGCAAAGGAGGAGCATCACGCAAACGAAGTCCGACAGCGCGACGCTATTTTGGAGATTCGCAGCCGAAGGCGAGCATGGCAAAACAAGGCCTTGGTAGCCCGTGTGGGGGACATGAATGTTGGTTTGGCGACTCCCTACACAAGCTCGCGATTGGCTCAGGTGTCTTGGTCCGGTGAGGATTATGAATATATGCCGCTGTCTCACGACAACGATGCGGAGAAAGAATACGTGGAGGAGTATGAGTATGATGGAAAGCTCAGTTTGGGATCGAAGAGGACGAAGGGAAGGAGCGATGCCAAACTTTTTCCTGTCAGCGAGGAAGACGAAGAAGAGCCGTTTAATGCGCAGGAATACGAACTCGAACTTGGCCTAGACGGCCTGGATGACGTTGATGCAGCCTTGAGGGCCTGGAAGATAGAAGATGGAGATGAATATGAGGAGGGCATCGTTAATTATGCTGGAATCGGCAAGCCGTCTATCCACTCCAGAATACGAGCCAACAGCTTGCGCGTAAACCGACTAGGCCTAAGGCCGAACGTCAACGTCGAATCTCTCCCTCGTCATTCTTCGACTCTTAGCGCGACTTCCCTGCTTTGCCAGCCGTTGAGAATAGAGCGACCACCCGGCTACTCCAAGGTTGATGTCACTGATCTGGAGCTTGGAGGATATAAGCGGTTACTGGGAGACGAGTTTACATTGTCTATGGACGTCCCTCTTAGGATGCGGGTCCAGGAGCAGGATCTTCTGATGAAACGGCATAATCCCCCTGTTCTCAAGATGGACCCAAATTCGGAGAGAGATTGGCTATCTCCTCGGTTCGCAGACGAGGGAATCGTATCTTAAGATACGCGCCTCTCTTAATCGGACCCCGGCGGTCCTTCGCCATCATCGGCCCTAGCATTCTTGTTTTCATCTTGCTTTCGCTGGCATGCCCCGTCAAAACAATCACCCGTTGTACTTTTACGATGCGCATTCACCAAGGGTCTCAATCATCAATCATCAATCTCAATCGTCTTAACTTCAATATACATATTTTTCTAATATTTTCTTACGCATACATATCACATATCTTTATAGCCCACTTCATTCATTCACCACTCATAATAATACCCCTGCAATCACCACGGACTTCCGGTTTTTCATGTACCATCTATTAGCATACCATTTCCCCTTGCATTGCTGTCTTTATTTTGCTCTTGAACTTTGCTTTTGATGCATCAAGCTTATCATGTCCCGCGATATCAATGATTCGCATTACGACCTCTTTAGTATATACCGGTAATTAATGTTCACTCCGTTCTCAATCAATCAAGATCTTTTGGCATTTTTAGGTTGTGGCGTCGCACGACGCGTCTGACTTTCAAGTTGGAACGCGTTAATGGACATGTGATCTCTGTCGCAATCGGATAAGACGGAGAAGACGGATAATCATTCAAATTTTCATTCTCCTTCCATCACCACCAAGCGCCACTGGTGAAATTTTCATTCTGGCTTGAGAAAGGCAAGCAGGAGCATGGAAGTCGGCCTGGGAGCTTGCATCCCCCCAGAGCTGTTTCCAGAGATTATCCGTCATGTCGAGGAGAGGGAAGATTTGGAGGCTTGTTGTCTCGTCTGCCGCGCCTGGTGTCGATTCGCACAGCGATACATTTTCCGTACCCTCGACCTTTCCTACGAAGTCGAGTGCGCGATATGGAACGCGCAATTTAACGCGTTCCCTAGACTCGTACCGATGGTGGAAGAGGTCATCCTGAATGGCAGTCAGGAGTATTTCTCCAGCAACGATAACGACGAGGAAGCTTCAGACCCTTGGTTCATGGAGGGCCCAGAAGCGACCCATCTCGTCTCTCGCTTGACAAATGTCAGGTACCTATCACTTTCTGATTTCCAGGACTTTAGCTCCGACCTTTGTTGGCACCTCACCAGCTTCGCGTCGCGCGTCGAGGCCCTCAACCTCTCAGACGTGTATTTCTCGGAACCTGCCGACCTCTGCGTGCTCCTCGCTCTCATGCCGAACCTTCATTGGCTTGCCCTCCACTGTGTGGGCGATTGGACGGATTATTACGAGTCCGGCAAGTTTCTGCTCATGCAGGTCTGCGTTCCCAGAGCGGTTGAGTTGAGAACACTCATGCTGTTTGATGCGTATGAACGTGTGGACCTCATTGTGTGGCTTCTCGGCCGCTTTTTCGATTTGAGGGGGTTGGAAACCCTGCGAATCTCTTGGGACGTGCCGACAAACACCGATATTAAGGCGCATCCGACGAGGTATAACCTAGTGGAGAAGCTCTTTATTGCATGTTTCACGGTCAGGCATATGTCGTTTTCGGTTTGCAGGACTAACCATGTTGATCAGTGTCTTGGTATGTTCATTACACCGTTTGATTTCTTACGACAGTCTTATCTAGCTATTTAGAACATTTCGTTAAGGCCAAGAGTTTTCGTTGTTTCCAGTCGCTGGAGACGATTTCATTCTCAAGCGGAACATCTACAGATGTTGGCAACTATCATTGTATTGATTTGAAGAATCTTGGCGTACCTGTGAAGATCCTGGAATGTCTCCCAGGGCTTTCAGTCTATCAAATCACATTTCACTTGATGGTCGGTCCAAGAACGTCTGGAGATCTCGAACGTTCCACTTATCCCTTGCCGTGGGAGGAGCTGGACAACCTATTATCTTCGTCCCGCTTTCCTGCTCTCCGACGAGTAATATTTTGCTTCTGCATTGATGACCTCAATTGGGAGGGTGACAAACGAGAGGCGTTCCCTACTAGGGATCATTTCATGAATTTGGTTACGTGTTATCTTCCTCGATTGGCTGCGAGAGATTGTCTACGGTTCGATTATGCTAATGTGTGGGATAGGGACGGTCAGTTTGCTGTTCCTTTCTTCCGATAAGGCAGCTCAGATGATTTTGATTGTAGCATTGAAGGAACAAGCAATATAATAACGCCTGATGATTGAAGAGGCTCCATATAATACTGTATACATTGTAACTGGCCATATTCACGGGGCGGAACACAGAATGAATCTGAATCACAAATTTCTTATAATCAAGTTTATATAATTGAGGGTCCATAATTTCAAGTTTTATATCTGCGCGTCCTAAGGTTACATGCTAATGTCAATCACATTTTGACGTGTCGGCAGTGCTCACAGTGGCACACACCTATCCACAGCTATGAGTACCTCGAGTACCTACACAGCCGGAGTACTCACTTATCTCTTATCTCATAAAGCTGGTTTACTGACAGCCGGCTCGATGCCATACCAGTCACGTGAATATCAGCTGATTCAATTCTGACGTTTTGTCGTCTGAGTCCTTTCCGCCTTCACAGTGACACCCACGAGAGTCTACTAACATCAACAGTGATCAGCTATTTCATGGAAAAACAGTCCGAGGAAATGCACGCAAACACGAACAATGAAGTGGGGCCTGGCGCTTAGCATTCCTCCAGAATTATTTCCACAGATAATACGAAACGTCCCACTGAGGAAAGATCTCTACGCATGCTCTCGCGTTTGCCGCGCCTGGGTTGGATTTGCCCAGCCTTTTGTTTTTCATACCCTCTCCCTATGGCTCGCGTCGTATTGTGCAAGGTGGAACAGGAAGTTTGACGCGTACCCTCATCTATGATCTGCTATCCATGGTCAAAGAAGTACACCTCTATGGCGACAAGGAGTATATCTTAGCTAACCCGGAGGCCTAGGCGGGCTCGTACATGGATGTATATGTAATCCCTCTCATGAACGAGCCACAAGTTATTCGCCTCCTATCCCGCCTTGTGCACGTCCGATACCTCTCCCTGGACAAACTGCATTTAAAACCTGATCAGCTCCTACCGTTTCAGAACATGACGCGCGTGGAAGCATTAGACCTTTCTCGCGTCTATTTTTCCAACCATCACGAATCTTGCCGCTTTCTAGAACAAATGCCAAATATCTCCGCCCTCTCACTTGATTTTTGTGTGACCCAAGGCCATAGACGATTTGCGGCAGGCAGTTAGTACTTCAGGACCCATCCGCCTCAAAACATTGATGCTGTGTAGGCAGTGTAACACGGATGTCGAGGTCGACCTGTTCTCTTGGCTTCTTGGGACATTTTTTTACTTTGTCGAGCCTCAATACGATGAAGATTATGTGGAAAATTCATGTTGTTGCACCAGAACCAGGGACGTGCGCGCTGTACGATGACTGATTCTGGCGTGTTCTCATGCTAAGCATCCTCACCCTATCGATATCCCATTTTGTGATGCCAGGAAATCCTGATTTTTGGCTTGGTGAGTGTTAGCGATCCGTCTTTCTGTAGATTCATGTCTGGCCTAAGATCATCTCATAGAAGCGAAAGTTTTCGCATCATTCTGCCACATTGAGACAATCACATTCTCCTGCGACGTGATTGTTGCAGATTGTATTGCGTTGGAGGGTATCAATGCCGTCGTAAGGATCCTAGAAGCTATGGATGTCCCTCGCCTACATCGGATACAGCTCCACATCAGCATTTCCTGTAACGTCGCGGAAGACCCCGAGTCGGGTTGTTGGAATATTCCCTGGGGCTTGTTAGATTCCATCCTCGCGTCTGAAAGCTTTCCGGCTCTTGCGTGTTGATTTTTCACCCAAGTGGATCTCGAGTCTGCTAGAGAGAAGGTAACCAGAATGATCACGGACCAGCTTCCGAAGCTAGCTTCGAAAAACTGTGTTCTTATTGGCCGTGCTAGGTAGGACACGTCGCTAACAGTGTCCACGGTGAATCATTTTACTTGTGCTGCAATGATGATAACCGGAAGTACACCATTGACAGTTTCTGTCTTGTGAACTGCGTTTCTCCATGTTTCTATGACGTATTAAAAACTACATTACATTCTCTTTACTCGGGTTTAAAACTTGTTTTACGCAAGTCAATCTTGGTTATGTTGAATGGGTATCGCGTCGTGTCGTGGGACTGCACGTGAGTTATCCGTCAGAATCTGTCAACGACGGCTACAGCGTGGACTTAACAATTTTTTTTTTCAACAACACCTTCAAAGCAAGCATTGCGGATGCTTCCCCGGCATCAATATTATCCTTGGTGCCACTGAAAGGATGACCATGACCACAAACGCGCCGTATACGCCTGCGTATCATTCTGGAGCAGCATGCTGTCCGCTACAGTACGACGAAGGCTTTATTGAATTCTTCTTGCATAGACGCTGAAAAGGATCTCAACAAATCGGCCAACCATCTTTTATAAATGTACGTCCTGGTAAGTCAATTCACACCGGGAAGATATGTATTTTTGACAAACCAGATTTTTGAGCACAACTGTGACGTTTTGAAGCATCGTTTGGGGATCAACGAACTTCGCGTTTCGGAGGATCTAAAATCCATGCCGCCTGCCAGAGATAAAATTCGGGAGCACGCAATTTTTATGTAAAGTCACTGCCAAGGGCGACCCCCCAAAAAATCACCTTATTGTTCACATTCTGGTTTCCCTCAAATTCTTATCTGTCCGGTGTGATTAGCCCTTCATTAGCATGCCTTCTCAACACATTTCTTTGGAGCTTCGCGTGAGTCATCATGATTACGGCCGACACGGTTAATAAATATCTTACTGGAGCCGTCCCAATATCAGGCAATTCTTTTTTCAGAATCGCGACATCGTACATGATGGCTTGCTGAAAGTATCCGCAAGCACGCCGCAAACTGGAAAGTCATGAAACTTGACCAGAAACTCGTCCCGATTTGCCCACCATTTCGCCAATTTCGGGATTAGTTTGCAGTCAAGTTTCTTCAGTCACGTGATGATTTCAGTATATACTACCTGACTCAGACTGAAATTCTTCCGTTTGCGGTGTGAGGAGGACAGAAACCGTTACAGTAACTGGTCGTAGCGGCCCGTAGTATCGATCGGTATAATCTTACGACCGATGTTGCGGCAGATATGACAAAGCCGCTGCCGAGGACCTACCTCAACCTACCTCAACCTAGATCTGACTCTTGATAATTGACGACGACTACAGCCTCAATGTCGTCCCCATATACTGGCCCGTCGTCTCCCACGACAATTCTCTCTTTGCCTGCAGAACTCCTGGAGAGCATCATTGTCTCCAGCAGCCACCTCGATGGGCCCAGCGCTATTGTTTCGCTCTCCAAAGCAAAGAGCACTTTCTACGAGCTGATATACAAGAGCCCTGACTCTCATCTGTGGAGGGAGGTCTTCTTGTCCCAGTTTGATGACCCCAGAAAATTGGGCTCGCTGCTCGGTGTAGACGCTTCCGTGGATTGGGAAGGTGAATATAAACAAAGAATTAAAGCCAAAAATCATATTGTAAGTCGACGGTTACTGGCTTCTGAATACGTATTAACTGCTACCAGAAAGCACACCTAGACGACCCGCTGTCTGTATCCGATGACTTCGATCTAGAGGCTAGTGTTTCTACACTTGAGATACGACTATCACTGACCTTTACTCGGTTCTAGAACTTGGCGCCGCTCGTTCCCATGGTACTTGCGGCGCCAAGCATACCTAGCTCGTCCATCGATACCTTTTCAACCATTAGCGAGCCAATATGCCCGTGGCCCCCACTTTCACGCGAAGCAGTAATATCAAGCTCACTCAATTCGGGCTGGCTAGACGGTGCCCTATCTCATGGTTACCCTGCCAATGCGGTCTCTCGGTTTCTCTTATTCCAGCCGAAATTGGATGAACAAACCAATCCCCGAGACAGGGAAACCTGGGACCAGAGTTCGACAGGGCAGGCCTTCCATCACATCTTATTACTCTTTGGATTCAAGTGCGCACCCAATTTCAAGTTCTGGAGGACGAAAGGGTTGACAAGGGACAGCCTGGTGGAGAAAATCACCAGGAGGAGGACAAGATTTGCAACTACGGAGGAGGACGAGACTCAAGTCAAAGATAAAGGCAAGGGAAAGGCGAAGGCACGAGACATTGAAGAGATTACTTTCGACAATGTCATACAGATGAAGATGGCTCGGAACGCCGCCAAATTGCGCGTCTATAACATGAAATTTCCTGATCCACAGCGGTGTTGGGGACCGTTTATGCCCATACCGTCACTCGAACCCCGGAAACCAGCTAATGGCCCTGAACTTTTACCGATATTTAGGAACGGGAGCCCTCAGATCTTGGCATTTGGCCCTTTGATTGGTCTTGGTGAAGATAGTATACTGGAATTTAACGCCCGGATTGATGAAGACGACGAGGACGATCCAAATGACACGGACTATGAGGATCGCGAAGATAATGCTGATGAAGACGAAAATGATGACCCTAACAGACCTCCGCCATATCTTCCTCTGTTCCTTCTCAACCAAGCATTGGCTGGAGGAGATCCTGATGAAGAGCGACATCCAACATTTATCTTTCCTCCATTCCCGCACGAGCTTAAGCCGGACTGGAGCTTTTTGGCCAGCGCTCGAGTGCTTATCGAAGCGAATGTTCGAGATCGTGCTCATGTTGTGCATTCTGATCCAAGGGATCGAGAAGCATTCTTAGAAGCTATGGAGGCGCTGAAGAATCTGGATCACTTGAGAATGGGCGGTGCACCAGGATTTGAGTGGGATAAATGGAGACGGCTGAATGGGAAAGCGGAGGAAGCGGAGGAGATGGATCTAACTGTGGATGATAAGGGCAAGGGTAAGGAAGCCAGTGACGACGAGGTGGATGGTTGGGATTGGGCTGGTGTAACAGGAGAATGGAGGTTTGCGTCGCTTCTTGAATCTATCTACCTTTTTTTGATCCCTTTCATACAGGCGAATTGTGTGTTGGATGGATTACCATGGATTGATACGTGCGTCCCGTGTCTCGATTGTGCTTCTTTAGCTGACATCTTTTGCATTCTAGATCACAACGTGAGCACTGAGTCTTGTACCGAGTAGGCATCCATGCTGACCTGATTCATAGCAGGGCAGAGAGACGGCCATTTCTCATCTTTCGGAGAGCACAAATATGGTGGTTGAGACTATTCGTGTCATGCCTATGAGTCTGCGGGTGTCGGGGTATTCCAAGCCACCCACCCCTCCGCCTGATTACCATGGATCCGGCGACAACCCTCTATCTTCATTGGTCTATACGCTTCCCATCATCCGTGTCGAGGGAGAGTCTCGAGGATCAGACTTGGATGATGGCGCGCATAGACAGATTAGAGGAACGGTCAGAATGATCGGCGATGGTGCTGTGAGGTGGAGCCTGGTTCGTTCTTTGATTTTATAAAGGTTATCCGAGTATTGATGCGATGCCAGACTTCGAGTGAAGCTGGAATTCAGGATCCGGAGTGGGTAACTGAGAGTGTACAAATAGGACAGGTGGGCAGTGCCATGGGAATGATTGGGATGTGGACTGGAGTGGATCATGCCAGATCAGACCCCATAGGTAACTACACGTTCCCTTTGAGATTGGATAGGTTGTTGACGTTGTTCATAGGTCCTTGTTGGGCATGGAAAATATCGAGCCCATAGTATTTATACACGCGCATTATTATGTCTCGCGTTGTAGCATCAATCTACTCATCGTTTCTTTTTAGCTTTGATGACGTCCCTGCACGGCGCGGCACCTATTGATAACGACGCCGAAGGGTGGAGAAATTATAGTAATGACGAGGAAACGGCTTGGATATGGTCCACTATTATTCAACTACTTACTGGATGTCGATTGACGTCTGCCTAACTGGAGGGCGAATGTGAAATGATCAAGGTATGCATCACGCGGATTCCTTGATACCACGTGCCAGTCAGCTAAGAGCTTGCTATCATCGGTAGCTCGGGGACAACGGCATCCTCCTATTGTTATTTAGAACAATGCCTTGGATGCCATACGATACCTGATGCCACAAGGCGTCCTTCATTCCGCATAAGCGGAGCCACTCGACCGTTGCTGTAAATCGTAAAACACATATAAGTCCCAATCTTTTACAATATCCCTTAACTACCTTCCATCATGTAACGCCCTACCCTAACCGATGCATTCAACAACTTTCGGGTCACCCTGGCCCAGTACGCCAACGACGTGACTAGGTTCCCTGTCATGGTCAATGAAATCAAGCGTATTTTGGCTGCTGTCCAAGCCGCTCAAGATACAGCAGCTTTCTACGCTCGTACCCCTTACGACATACCTTCCGTTCTGAAGGAGCGTGTCGAAGTCGTCCCCGCTCTGGAATATGACAGACCCAACACAATAGACGACGAATTCAAACCTCAGCCTAGCGAACCCTTGAACTGGTCCGAAACGATGCTGCGTCGATTTCATTATCAAGTTTCTCCGATCAGGGACTATACGCGTTCGTTGGCGCTTCAATTCCGGCTCTTGCGGACAAGCGGTCCAGATGATTCTGTTGCTACTTCGGTTCAGTTGGATATAGAGTATGGGGACACAAAGAGTGAAGCATTTGTCTGTTGCTGGGAGAATCCGACCAGAGCGTCGGATGGGGAGCGTCGGATGGTGGGGCGCATGATTTACTCGAGAATATACTCCGGTGTCGACGGGGGCTCGGAGACGCTTACACCAATCACTTTTCTGGAACTTCTGCTCGGCGAAGAGGTTTGGAAGGCGGTCAACGAATTTAACATAACGTTGCGGGGAGCAGAGACAACTCTCGAGGACGTCATAGCGGAGAAAACTCAAAGGACGGTGGTAGTTGTAGAAGACACTTGAGAGAGGGATAGTACGTGTTCTCACAGCCCAGTCCAGTAAAATTAGGAGATAACAGAACTATTACCAGTCTTTCAACGGAGCCTTATGTGGCTGGTCCAAATCTGAGTCGGTTACCTCGCGTCACTGCGCGTGCATCGTAGTTTGTTCGTGTACGATGGGAAGGAAGGACTGCTATAAGCAAAAATAAGTAACAATATCGCATACTGGTTTAGACACTGACTGTCCAATGATTTCTCGATCTCTTTCCAGCTTGGCAGATCGAACATCTGCGGTAAGTTATTCCAAAAGTCTTCCCGCGCATTCTTCCACTGGACAAAAGCGGCAGCGTAGCATGGAGCGCAGAGGCCAATGGACTCCCACGGGATCTCGACGCCAAATAAGCCTGTCCCTCTACCCGGAAGATCCAAACTGTTGTCAGCATGAAGCTTTTGCAAGGTCGCATACTTCACCAAGTTGCACATTTTCGACGACTGGCAACTCGAAGGTGACCTAAAGAGAAATCCTAATATGTTCTCTCTTAGATAGGCTGTGAACTTTTCCCGGTTCTGAAGGATCAGGAGTTTCTCGTGGGCTTCAAGTTCGGCATGCGTTCCATCAGGAAGGGTAAAACCGTGAATGATGTCTTCTCCCCTATGGACTGTGGTCATGCTATACAAGCATCCAGGTAGTAAACTGAGATGACCCGTCTCTTTTGCGAGTTGATATACAGCCAAGGGGCGCGCTATAAACCGCTGTATAGAATGCATAGGTCTAGAGCACCAATCCGCGAATTTAATGGGATACAAAGCAGAAAACTGCTTGAAGGCTGACTCGTGAAGGTGATGTACTGCGTATTTCTTTCCCAGACGGAGCATAGCGAAAACTATGTCCCAGGATGTAGTCTCCGAGGGGTGGTAGTACCTAGGTGAGGAGATCTCCATGAGAAACGTCGTATCTATGAGTTCCAGGTAACATACCGGGGGAAATGGAGAGCGCCCAAAAAATGTCGGACATCCTGCGCCGAATCATAAAAATGAACAACCGGGCAACCATCCTGCATGTCTTTTTCATCTGGTTGTGCCAGTTCGAACATTCCCCGGAGAACAGAGGAGTTCATGGCTAATATGCCGCGATAGACGCGGAATTGAGTGGATTCCGCTTGAACGATGATGTTCCCGTCTTCGAACCAGACGGAAGAGCAATCGAATCCCTCATCAGGAGACCCCCCGCGGCTATCAACGTCCATGTCTATCAACGATAAAATAGACAGTTCAGGAGCGGTTGGCTTCTCAGCGGTGGAGGTAGAGATAGAGGTGTTACCGGTGCATGGTCCACATGAGGGAACAAGCCTGCAGACCAGACATGGCGCAGCATTCGGCTGAGATGATAGATATGAAAGACAGGCTTATCCGAGATAGGCGACAGGGTAAAGGGGAATATAGCTCCGACCAGCTTTGGAGAGCTTAGAACCGAAGTACGGAAAGGCGCCATATTAGCATCATACGGAGCTGATTGTATGTCCAAGGCAAAAGTAGTAGATTTTCCCGGTTCTTCATCCTCAGTATACAAATTTTACGAGGATCAGATACGGCTATGCGCATACTAGTAAACTGACAAATTGGCGTGATTTTCACAAGCTCGAACTGTAAATCTGTTTCCTGATGCTCTCGAGAGTACTAAGGTTTGCCATAGAATTCGCAATATCTCCTACCACATTGAGGAGATGCAGTGTACGATGCACATCGGAGAAAGAAATACTCAAGCTGAGCAAAGGGTATTTGCCATCGACCGCAAGCAAAGACAAGCAAAGAAGCGAGATCGAAAAAGAGGTTCTGAGGGAAGGGACGGAAAGCTCATCACGTGCCACGGTACAGGCAGCGGAGATGCCGTTCAATGCCGACCCATAGAAATTTCCTGCTCAAGACGTGCCCTAACTTCGACCTTTTACTTGCGTATCTACTATCGGACGCCAACCATCTACCTACTTCAAGTTAGGCGTGTTTTTATATGTCGCAAGTATGGATAACAGAATAAAATTTCACTATTGGCTGATGCTATGCAAACGCTACTACTTAGTCCCTGTACAAACATGATGAAGGCATCTCCCATAGCCTCCCGTCGTCGTGATTATATTCAGGGACGCAGCGAAGTGGAAATTGGGGATGTCAAATGTGAGTTTCATCCGTTGTTGCGTTTAGTGGTGCATCAATAGCCCGAGGATCCTCAAGGCCGTTGACGCCATCAAGATCATGATTGAAAGCGTAGAGTTGCTTCCTTGATAGAAACTCGACCAGGTGTTCTGGTGTACGCTATCAAAGCCTACCTCTACTTTTATCCATTGCTACACTCTAGCGTGCTCAATACGTGTACGTGAATCTAATCGGAGTAATTCGTTGTTCTCGTATCCGAGTCCAACGAATGATTAGTGACTACAGGGACAACTCAGATCAAGAATCCAGTTCGGAACGAGCATCAAGCTATCCATGACAACCTCATTCTGGTACTTAAAGTATGGTGCGGCGTCACAGCCCGTAGAGCTGGCTCTCCTACAGATTTCTAATGCGCCTGAATTACAGTTTCCTGTTCGTAATTTTTACTGTCTTCTGTCTCTATGCTACGTGAGCCGTGATTCAAGCAACTACGTTTGTTTTGTTCTACTAACCCTTGAATCCAGATCGACACACGCTAATAGCGAGGGAGTTTCACTCGACAGCTTTTTCAGTCAACATCAAGTAACTCCTGACAGCGACGACTACGAGAAGTTACTCGATCTAGCCGTCCAGAAAGTGATGGTGGGAGTTCGAATACAGCTACAGATCAATAAGAAGTTGTATGTATCTTCCTAACTCCTTCGCTGTGTCCAATAACAACTTGGCTGCATAGGTACCACGGATTTACCTGCGATAAATTCCTGTTTCTCGTTAGCGAGTCCACGTTGGATATTGTGGGTGTGACCATTCTAGCCCCAACCGAGAACGCCGGAAACTGGGACAAAAAGACTATGAAGGTGAGCCTTTTGATAATAGGTTGTACCACTATGTAAGATTGACATATTGACACTCAGAACAAAGTGAAAAGCACAGAGACCCTCGTGAAGATCCTCCTTCGTCGATGCACGTCGACGAGATGAAGACCATGGGACTATACTTACCTAGGGAACACATACTAGTCCTGCGTAGCCAATTGAATGATATTCTCAGCAGTTCAACGTCAACAGCGAAGTAGCCTTGATTTAACTTCCTCTGAACTTTAAGCAACGACATTCAACTGGTCGGAATGGCTGGGAATACATTGACAGTTGTCCTGCTATCATAATATCACCTGCCATGGAGGAAACCTTCAACTTTCAAGGCGGTGAGATACTTAACAATTCTTCCACCCTGTCTCCACCTTGATTATTCACTGTGTTGGTTCCGAATCACCTCGTTGTCTAGAAACTTCATCAACAGTAACACATCTTGGAAATATCCACGTCGTGGATGCATTGTCAGGTAGCCAATCGCCTCGTCTTTTATCTCTTGCATGTTTCTGATAGGAAATCATGAGAAAGGTGTATATTATATGTAAATTAAGCTGGAGGCCATTGGGCTAAGTTTGCGGAAGTATATTCTACGTAGGTGCCCCGGCCGTTATAGTAATACACATAATGCCAGGCATCCGAAACCCAATACAGAGTCAGAGCATGGCCGTTGTACGTGACCTGCTGAGTCTGGACGTCGCTCAAGCCCGAGCTTGTAGAAGTGCCACCATCGCTCTGATGCCCCGGTGAGTTCCCGCCCTGCTGGCTTCCACCTTGGCTTCCACCTTGGCTTCCCTGTTGGCTCGACTGCTGGCTGGAAACAAACGAGTCACGCATTGCTCGTGCAACTGCAAGAGTGTCTCGGTATATGTTATGTATAGCCGTATCGACATTCTGAGTCAGGCCCGAAGCAGTTTTAATCGCAGTTGCAGTAGTGCGTGCGACGGACTCCTTGGCTTCGAGATATCCAACGACACCAATCCAAGTGGACTGTTCAAATCTACTAGCATAGGCCAGAGAGCGTCCGTCTTGCGCTCTCAGAATGGCGCGCTTGGTCGCGGCACCTTTCTGCAAGTGAATAATGAGCAAACAGGAAGGAGAGAAATCGAGGTGATAATCAACATACAGCCAAGTTGACATCTCCCCTGATGAGGTATAAGTTTCTGTTCGGATCATTTAGAAGTCGAACGATATTGGTCGCTCTGGTATGAGAGACGCCTGGGTTGGTACAATAAGGTGTCAAAACATATGACACGGTCTGCAACTCGACAAGATGATCTAAGAACAAGAAACTCAATGACAAGAAACATCGAGGCAATGCAGATTGGACATACCACAGTGATTGCCCATGGCCTGCTGATTCTCGTACTCTTCCATATCCTGGTCGTCCTGAAGGTCTTGTCTTTGCTGAGTAGAACTCGTCTGCTGAGTATATTCGGATGGGCTGCTGCTGCCACCAGCCCCGGCGCTCGATCCACTACTTTCCTGGTAGTATCCTGGTGTTGTCTTTGATGACTTTCGCCCTCGTTTCTGGGCAAAAAAATCAGGAATGAAAGGGAAAAGAAGAACATGTTCTCACATGGAGGTTTGATGGGTACCTCTTTGTACAATCGCTATTAGAGGCGTCCCGTGCGGCAACACCACAGATTGAGACAGCACGCTTTTGGAGTTGATGATACTCTTCGCGGCGGAGTGTAAGACCAGGTATCTGCGCATGAGGGTTTAGACTAAATTTCGAATGGAGACAAGCAGGCTAACCGTTCCTCCTCGTCGTAGGATCTGAGTACAATGAATGAGTTTACTCCGCAATCGAGCCAAGTAGCCAGGAATGACTTACAGCGGCATCATCGCTATCTATTGGAGGAGCACTGTACACGGCTAGCGCGTGGAGAGAGAGAAGTACAAGAGGGAGTGATAGCATATCTTTTACCGGCCAGCGGCGAAGGAACGATATAGTCAGCTTCCGAAATGAATATAATTTATACCCATTATGTTAATAGCATGGCCTGTTGGCGTCTGTGAGTGAGTCAACTTGTTCACTAGACAACTCACAGGAACGACTCGTGCGCACAGGAAGGATGCGCCATTTCATTGCCAACATGGATCTTGGGGGGCAAGCATTGAGGTTTGACACCGGGTCAACGTAAAAGGAAGTACACTGGTGAAAACCATAGCAACTTGGGCAACATGGCATGCGTCATAGGCACGATAAGTTCTTCCACAAGCATACCAACAGTGAAATGTCACGACATAGGGAAGAAATACTGTCTGCAGATATTTTCATGTTCACATAAGCACGAACGAGAGCGTACATTTGAGCAAAGACAGTTTCGAGTCTATCTAACCAGGCGTCATCATGCATCCTAAGTAGAAGCAGGAGCAAGTTGCTTACCTACTGACCTGACGGCACTGGTGCGTGTACGGGATGATGCTTCGTACACGGTGGCCAAAACGGTAACTAAGCGCACCCACAGCATCACCTCATTTGCAGGCAGGTTTCTGTCCCGTGTAATTCAAATCTGCTGTATATATCACGCTCAGGCTGTGAGAAGAAAAAACGACGAATGCGCTGCACTATCATCAAGATCAAACTAGGGGCGAGAGGTAGTCAGTCTTCTGAATCATTTTTGGGAGTAGGCGGAGGTCAATTCAGGTACGCTCCATGCAGCAATGAGTATGATGTTGACACCCCTACTGCGTCGGTTATGAAAAGCGTACGGAAAGGGAATTTTAGAAAGGGCGTACCGGAATCTCCTAATAGAGAAGAGGTGAGTGCAGATCAATGGTGGCGCTGAGTCGATCCATAGATATTAGTTTGGCTTCACGAACAAAAAACCACTGCCGTCTGATGATGCGTTGCTAGACAACCTAGAGGCTGAGGCTCGAAACGCTAGCAAAGAGACGCATGGTGCGTTGAAGAATTGGTGAGGAGTAAAGTTTTAGTGCTGATGGAAACTGATCGGATATAACACCGTTCGGATTTCTCTGCAAGTATGTATCATAGCCAGAGTCGCGCACGGTTACACCCACTACGTAAGAGCCAGCATTCCCCCTTGCTGACGTCCTGATGTCTTCAGAGATATCTGTTGTCTTGTGTAAACGGCATCGTGTCAGCACGTGTACTATTTGCTAGGGCTGATAATAAAAATGGGCTAAACCCGTGAGAGCACACATTCGGAAGGCACGAACCGTTTAGTCACCCGCAAGGTGGCGGAGCCGGGTACGAAGTTCCCAAAACTTTCCACCGAATTCTGGCGTCCGCCTTGCAAACGAGTCGTGCAGACACGCACCTGCCACGTCCCGATTCCGAAAGAGTACGTCGCAGGTTGATTCGTCTTAGGCGTACAGTTTGAAGGTTTAGTCTACAACGACGTGGACGAAGAAAACGATGGAACGCTAACCTCGCCATTGGAACGAATAACGAAGGCTGTTCTACGACAGTGCGCAATCCTGGTGGCCTGTACTTAACTCGGTTCAGTGGACGATTCTCCGGCTTCAAAATATATTACCGAAGGATGCCGCCGCGTTCTGTGGCTCTGACCTTGGGTAAATAAGGCGCCTGTTCTCTGCGAAGACCAGTCAAAGGAAGACCGAGTAGCCCAAATAGTTGCCGACAACAGTCGAAGCTGTACTTCTTGATGAGTCTATCGTACTGGAAGACTCTATCATATCAAGAGCTTGTTGATTCTTGACTCGGCTCCCAGGAGCATGGGAAAGGCTAAAGTGCCGTTGATACCTGTCAATGGAATAGCCAGGAATCAGTTTCATAAGATGCGTTGCCGAAGGTCGAAGGGAACCATACTAAGATTTCGACTCTCGACGATGCAATGAACGCATTTTCCAAAAGGACAGGTCGACAAAGACAGTCCATACAGCTCTGTGGGCGTACAGCCGACGAAGAATCACGGTAACCGGTGCAGTCTTCACCTTCTTTTGTGAGATCTATCATAGGCACTGCAGTTTGCGTAAAGAGTTGAACCAATCATCTGTACGTAACTTGGTCTCGAGATGCCGAAAACAATACGAACACATACTCAAGTAGTAAGCTGAAGAATTCGGAGGCCTGGTGAAGAGTCGGTTAGCACGAAAAAGGGAGAGAATTGTCTTTGTTGAGGTTTCCTTCCGTTGGAATTGAAGTTCCCAGAAATCACCTGGGCATGTCGGAAAGACTGATCAGAGTTCGTCCCTGTCTGCAGTGTTCATCTTCAACTTCGAATACCATCGTGATATTGAATGATTGGCGCTAGGCTTCCCGTTGTTGGATCCGTGTATTCCAGCGAAATGTCGCATAAAAATGAGGCAAGCTCGACCTAGGTGCCCTTCTAGCACACGAGAATGGGTCGGTTCTGGACGGTACAGCTGCCAAGCCAGCGTCGATGCGGACGTCGCTGCGCAATCGCGGCTGGCCAAGTGAATGCGCAGGACCTGTAACCCCATTTGGACGACTCTGTATTGAATCATGCGGCTGTGCATCAAGTTCGACCCTGCTGCCGCGAGGCGTGCCCAGAAAAACTTATAAAGCTACCATCATGGAGCCTAGTGGGGTCCACCAGTCTCTATTACACGTTTACCACATCTGACACTGAAAATGGTTCGTTGGTCGCAGTACAATGAGGTGCGTACCGTTCACTTGCCGCCGCAGTGGAAGCATTGCTGAAACATTTTTTTTCCAGGATTCTTATCGCCTTCCCGAGGGTTTTCGGAGAATAGGATATGATGCAGACACCATGCGTTATACATTCTCCGACAAAAGGGGGAAGCTCTACCAAAGTCCACCTGGCGAGGAGTACGGTACCCTGACACCAGTCATTTCTACGTCGACTAGCAGACCAGAAGCCTTTTATTCAGGTTCGCTGCCTTTTCTTTTGTTAATAATTTACACCTTAATAATCCATGTCCGTCCCTTCAGACAGAACAAAACCCAAAGTCTCTGTCTCGACTAGTCCTGCTGCCAAGACGTTCCATGACTTTCTACCTTCCTCCGCTATAACATCTCCCTCATCGTCCTCGGACCGGAATTCACTATCACCGCCGTCGCCTGGTATGCAGTTCGTTAATGCCGCAAGGCGGACTGCGCTTCCCAAAATGCAGGGCGTTGTCCAGAGCTTGCGTCGATCCACCACGTCCGCGAATAAATCTGGCCACTCTTACGACGATGAGAGGCGTGGCCTGCTGCGGATCCCTTCGACCTCGACTACTGCCAGTTCAGTCTCAGCTAGCACTGTGGGTCGATCGAAGAGTTCTGCCACACAGCGTTCACAGTACCAGTATACCAAGACTCATTCGAGAAAGTCCAGCGTCTGAAACCAGTGGCGTCCCCCCATCGATATACTCGGTAGTCGTCAAGACGATGGATTATTCCCTACCTTTTTGTAGAACTTTTGGATTTCTTTTTGCCAATGCTTTGCTCGAATTGTATCTATCGTAGATTCTGTATGTATATGTAACTGTCATCATCCTTCCTTATCCTCACAAATGTTCTGACCTCAATGCACGATAATTTTATACTACCCTACGACCTACATCAAAGCTGTGGATCCTCATGGTTGTCATGCGACTTTTATGAGGCATCTGTCGTGCAAGAACCTGCGATGAGACTCCGCGACGACTTGTAACTTTGACCCCCAGTTTTATCAATGTCCATAAGATTCCGAGTTCTGGGATCGATGTGGCCAGAGTGTTGTAATTAGTCGGAGAGAACTTGGCATGCAGACGGTCTCTACTTTTGTGGAAACTTCTTTCACGGCCGCTTCCGCAGGCAGCACCTTATCTGTGCCTTTACACTTGGATTAGGTTCTGAAAGAAGCCGGAGGCGTCATCGATGGCGTCAAATACATGCGCCGGGGGTCTTGCAGTGGCTGAAAGGTATATGCTAAAGAAACCGATACTCAAGACCTCGCCGCTATCTGCAAATTGATAAAGTACTGTCTTACCCGAACCGTTTGACTAAGATTTAACTTGCGTTTAGTCGAGAATTGAGGGTACAGCTTTATTCACTATGAATTCCCGTTGTGGCTAATCAACGATATCAAAGCTTCGCGGCCCACAATTAGGATCTATCATTTCTTCCTGATTACAGCCTCTTACAGGCGAACGCACTTTGTGAGGTTCAGTTGATCTCCCCCTGAGAAGAGCCTGGTTTCCAGGGCGTATTCAACTTGCTTCCCCCCTTCTGCTTCGTCAATTATTAAGTTATCCTTTGTTAGCCAAGTAGGGTACTCGGTAGATCCGGATCGCTTTGGGAAATCTGAGAGTTCCGAAGGCCGCAAAAAGCACAAGGAACGCGACGTCGGATTCATAGAAGACCACATCGATATGAAAAAATTGAGGCATCGAGTCGGAGACAAGATCCAAGCATGCACTGACCGGTGCGGTGTAGTACCTTCTCTTCCTCGCTACCCTGCGAGCTGAGTGCGCCAAAGTTCTGGTCGTACCCGATATAAAGGTCCGAAAGCATCCGTGCCCCAAGAACGTGGTGGACGTGGCATCCAGTCGTCCATATCGGGAAAGAATCTACATCCATAAAACCCGGCGCCCTTTCCCTGGAACTCAGCTCTTCCCTTACCCCCACATTGCGTACCAGGAAATCCGATCGCCATTCGCGACCTTTGAATTGGGGGGGCGGGGGGTTATAAACGTGCTCACCGTCTTGCACTTGTCATAAGGCCCCAAGTTAGCTCGTTCATTATGAGCAGTCTCCCACGTGGTACAGGTCTTATAGACCAACCAATACCGTATTCCTCAGGCCAATATCGCGGCTTCACTATGCGAACTCGCGTTAGGGAACTCCAAAAAGCAGTTCTGGGTCGCAAGTAAGTCTTTTCGTAACATGCCCAATTTTTTAATGGTAACCAACGCAAAAATAGATATGCTAATGTCGACCGTCGACCTCTAGACCCTCCACCCGTCATCTCGATGTCCATCAGCGCCGTACGCGACGCGGGGACGAGTCGCCAACGCGAGGAGGAGATTGAGGACTACGGGTCAATATTTTATTCTTGAATCGTTTGCGTGTCCATCTCTGACGTATATATAATATTTTATAGCGAAGTACAGACAGCCGGGCTAATGTGCACGGTTGATCTATTTCCAGTTATTCCTCCACCTCCAGAACATCCTCTGACCGGTAAGGCCTTCCGTTTACCAACTTTGATATCTCAAGCTCAAGTTTAACTTTTCTTCTCAGATATCGTGTATCGGGAGCGACACACGGGGATCCCAATCCTCGAAAGCTCCAAGATGACAACATCCCTTGTCGGAGCTACGTTTGTCCAACCCAACCTCATAGACTGGGAAGGAAAACGCCAGCTCATGTTCGTGTTTTCCGTAAGTACCGTGCTTCCTTACAGATATATCTGACACAACTGACGCGCCACGGTGTGATTATTACAGGATTTAGCCGTACGACAAGAAGGGCAATTCCTACTCCGCTACCGGGTTTTCGATCTTTTCGCCCGTGCGCACGGCCAATCCGATCTGACTATACAGGCGGAATGTTTTGGTGGCGTATTTCGCGTCTATTCTACCAAAGAGTTCCCTGGCTTACCGCCTTCTACCGAGTTGACAAAGGTAAAAAGAAACATCACGCTTTTTAGAAGATCTATCTGATATGATGACTGCGTCCTTTGTAGCATATTCAGCGTTATGGGGTACGTCTTAACGCTAGAGAGACCGAGCGAAAACGCCGGAAACCCAGCGAGAGACCTCCAGAAGAAGCTGGTCAGTCAAAGAAACGAAAACATGAAGACGGGAGCGATCCTGAGCCATATGAACATGATAGTGGAGGTTAAAGTCTTGAACAGTTCCTATTTTCGTTCGTTGTCGCTATGCACTATGTATTCGTATCCCCCTCTTTGTAATACCCATTATGCGTGTAATTCTGTACTATTTACTTCGATTCCTGATGTTCGGCACTTGACTGGGAAATAATTACGACTTTGATGGGCAGTCTTAATTTTGTATTGACGCGTTTGCAGATCTAGTAGCCGGTGGCATCTGTATCAATCTTGTACCTCTTGGAACCTGGACGTAAACCGGTATCATTCGTAACCCCGGAATGTGGCTCAACTTCAAGCGTTTTGGCAAGATTTGTCCCGGCAAATGTCGCATTTCTCTGCCGTATAAATTTATTAAACGGTTGTGTCATCCTAACACATCAGGACTGGCTCTAGGCTATCGAAGGTTATGTAGGCATAAAAGTCCTAGGGACTCAATAGATCAGCGGTAGATCATAACGGCGGATTCGCCACGGTCTCATGCATGAGGACAAATTACTTCGCGTAAGTCACAATTCATTAACCGGAAGTTAGTACATATACAGATGATCTATTTAGTCGCTTCAGCAAGTCGCTGTTCGGCCTCTTTGAAGTTGATGACATTCCAAATGGCATTGAGATACTGAACGAAAATAAGTGAGCGAAACCACCAGGGGTCGAAATATACACGTACATCAGGCTTTACGTTCTTGTATTGGAGATAAAAGGCCTAGAGTATGAGCATGAGTAAGCGTACATGAAAGAAGAACTCAAGCGAACATGTTCCCAGATATCAACACCAATGAGGGGAGTATGCGCTGGATATAATCAGTGAGCTGCGGTGATGGCCCAAAAGAAAAGAGACTCACTGATGAGAGGGTCTTGATTGGCGGTAGTGACAATGTCCAACTTGCCGGACTTTGAGTCGTACCCCTTCAAATGCCGTTTACGTGAGACATGATTGTGTGAAGAGACGACGCGCTACACACCAGCCAACCCCATCCACTGCCTTGGATAGCAGCTGTTTTGGTATTGAACTCTTTCTTGAAGGCTTCAAAGGAGCCAAAGTCACGCTCAATAAGAGTCTTGAGTGGGCCACTCTCGAGTTTTCCACCCTCTTCAGCGGCGGGAGCCAAGTTCTTCCAGAACAAAGAGTGGTTGATGTGTCCTGTAGGGAAAACGTCAATAATGATGCAAGAAAGGTACAGATTTATTCTTACCACCGCCGTTAAACTTTAACGCACTCTGCAAGGCGATATGATCCTTGGTCGAAGTCGATTTGGCATACGCCTCCTCAGCAGCGTTAAGGCCATTTACATATGCCTGGTGGTGCTTTTGATGATGAAGCTTCATAATTTCCTCCGAAATGAAAGGTTCAAGAGCCTAAGAAATCCTGGTCAGTGCCTACCTAGGAAGTAAACCGGTGTGAACTACTCGCATTGTATGCATAGGGCAAGTCGGGAACGGTATGGAGAGAAGCCAGACGCACTACTCCAGCAAGAGAGCGACGAGAGAATGCAGGTCGCAAGGCAGTTCGAGCAATGGAGAGCATGGTGGGAGTCGGAACGCAAGCAACAAACAGGATGCAGGTTCAACCTCGTCGATGATGTCATGGTTTACTAATATTTGGCAAATCCTTTCCCCGCTTCATTTTGCTTCCGGGAAGGGCAGTTGCTTCTACCAAGTATCCCGTTAGTCTCGTTACCATCCTGTATATGAAGCAAGCTGTCGATATACAGTCTGGTCTTTCTGAGTTTAAATTTGGCAGGCGGTACAGATTTCGCTCAAAAAGGCTATGATCGGGTTTCGCGTGGCATGCACAGAGCACTATTTCAATGTTCGACACTCTGTTTTCGCACCTGGTGTATCGTTATCTGTTGAAATACCCAATAAATGCACCAAGCTTGCAAGGATGTCTTTTTTTTATACAACATTTGTCTGCATTGTGCAAAAACACATGAAGGTACCAAAAACTGTGAGATAGATGTGAATTGGGCAGAAATGAAGCCGTGGGCAACCAAGTAGATGGAAAAAATAATTAATATACACATTCTACACTGTTTCCAAGGCCCTACGGGCTCTTATTTGAGTCCGGGGAGTTCCAACGCTCTCAGAGGGTCCGTACGAGCCACGCGAAACTTCGATCATAGCCTTTTTAGGCGAAATCTGTACCGCCTGCCAAGTTTAAACTCAGAAAGCCAGGACCTTCTATCGTCGGCTTGCCACATAGAAGGTACTGTCACAGGACTAGTATCCCGTCACCCGTGCAACGAATGCCTCAGCAATGCCCTTCACAGAATCACCCAAAAAATGTTTTATTGCAGCTATTCGACATACATTTTACAGGCTACACTACACACTACATAACACGCAGCATCTAGATAACAGAAATCCATAAATTGATGCAATGATGTCGACAAGTTGTACGATGCATGACAATTAAATAGGCTGATAGAGATGTCGTACTACGCAAAACAACGAAAGCAATTCTACGGATCTAAAAATCTCCAAGGTCTACTTCCATCGTCTCAATAACCTCGGCTTCGAACGTCTTGGCTTTGCCATTTGTCGAAGGAACAAGCAGCGAGGTCTTTCTCTCCGGAGTCATCGGCGTAGGCTGAAGCCCGCTAGGAGTCCCCGGCCTGAAGAAAAGGAGGTTCACAAACATAACACAAGAGCAGAAAAACGAACCTAGATATTGGTGTGGCAGAGTTGAACGTCCGTGGAACAGTTTTTAACCTAGCACTCGGATCAGTCGGAGTAGCAGTCCCACTCTTCCCAGCGAGGGCACGTTTTCTCTCCTTTCTTCTTTGTTCGGCCGCCGCAATTTCGGCTTTGCGGACGGCCTCAGCGTTAGCCTTACGGTTCTTCTCGCTGAGTTTGGCTAATGTGTCGTCTTCCTCACGTCTGCTGTTTTTCTGAGGGCTGCCGACATCTTCGCCGTATTGAGCGACGAATTCAGCCAATTTCGCATCCAGTTCTGCGACTTCATGATAATCTAGACGACGTTGAGCCAGCGTACGTTGCTGCACCAAGCGCGCTCGTTCCAGAGTAACCCAGTTTTGTGATTTGGCCGCTGATATTTGGTGCTTGCGAGCCAAGATAGCACTAACATCCGCCTGGATTATCGTGTCAGCCACCCATCGTACATCAACGTGAAAACTTCACCTCGGTCTTTGGTTGCGTAACCAGATGTACCATACGAGCTTCCTTGCTCTCCAGCTCCCCCTTGGAGGGTAGCTTGACATGTTCAGTTTCGCAGGTATTTTTGAGACGGAGAAATTCTTTCTGTTCCCTATGGATAAGAGATTGTTATGACCACAGACTTCCACTGACCGGTTCGAACGGAGAATTAGATACTTTGTCCATCTGCCAGAGTTTCTTTGATGCGCCATGTTGAAGTTCGAGAGTCTGGTTGACCAGTGTGCTCTCAACCATATACGGTTTGACTATGTCAGCTCCGAGGTCTGAGGGAAAATGAATGGACAGGATACGGGAGCACAGGTATGTGACGTACTGATAACTTGACATATACGATAGATGTTCTTGCCGTCCTCGCTACCAATAAGATAGCGAACCCAAGTATCTGCAGGAATTAAACAGGGAAAAGTGGAGACTCAATTTGAACACCTACTCTTGACGTATTCTTCAAACCACGGCGATAGATAGTACTTCGCTATCATAGCACGAGTAAGATGACACTTTTCCAGATCATCCATGGTGATGGGTTGTTCGTCTTTGACGGCTTTACGGTCTTTTTCACCATCTTGCTCCGTCTTGCTGATCTGACCGTCCTCGTCATCCTCATCTGAGGTGCCCATATCCATGGCAGACGAAGATCCATCGTGGAAAGGTGAACCTTCATTCTAAGGAAGATAAGCATTATGATACGAATCAGACAAAGGAAGGCCACACGTGTTGCTTGTCGCTCTTAGCTCTGCGTTTGGCCTTGAGCTCATCTAGCTTGCGTGACTTCTCCTTCGTAAAACCCCGTGATGGGCGTGGTCCTAGGGCATTTTAAGATGTCAAAACAACACGCCAAAGGGACCGACAAACTTTTCGACGCTCTTGCGACGCCGTCCATGTCACCAGAACGCTGGTCTTTGACCATGCGTGAAATGGCTCGCTTGTCCAGCATGCGCTGCTTATCTTCTAATCGTCCGGTGATGATCTCTTCACGCTCAATCTCGGACATCTGCATGAGCCTGTTACAGAAAACATCGACCCTTTGCTGTCGTGTCGCCACTGGAAGACGTACCTGTGCTTGTCGGCTGCATCCACATACTTTCCCTCCAAAGGATAGGGATCTTCCTCATCTTCCTCGCTTTCAGGTTCATTCTCGTAGTCAGAGATGCTAAGAAGGGTGGAGAAAAACCGGTTCTGAAATGGGGATGCTGCGAGATCAGATTCCTAGGCTCACTCGGCTTTTCGTTTCTTTGAAGACTTTGTTTTCGATTTTCGTTTCTGTTTCTTGTCTGAGCCAGCCTCGACAAGCTCGAGCAATTCGTCGTCAAAGTCGGACATGATGACGGTGGAGGAATGGGAAAGGGAACAATTATTTTCACACGCCACGGTTCCATCGGGTCGGATAGGTTTCTAATTTTGGTCATCAACGCCGAGACATCTTCTCCAAACTTCGGGAGAGTTCTTGACTTGTCTTTATAGGCGCCATCGTCACTCTTCCTTTCGCAATCACGACTACCGTTTCCTCTCTATCCAACAGAAATGTTTGGCTGCTGTGTCGCTGGCCGTCTGCTACAGACAAATCTCCAACAGATTGACGAGACGCACGCGTTGTTTGAGCTACCGAACGCCAGTACCATTAACCATGTTTGCGTCTTCGTCTTGGGCAATGTGCCATTCCCGGAAGGGTATGGTGCTGCAGTCCACTTCCATTGGCCTGGAAAAGGATTCCAGCTTCTTGGAATGTGAGTTCACTCTATCATTGATGTCGATTAGCTTGCTGATTAGCTGCCCAGGATATCTAACGACAAGCCATCAGCGATATTCCGTTTACGGGGTTCCTTTTCCTCAACATCAACATATCGTGCCTTCGACCAAAACGCGCCGATGGAGGACAATGGAGACGTCACCGCCATCCTCGGATTGTCCATTGAGCCCGTTCATGTAATAGAGTCGCAACTGGCCGCCCTGCCTGCTCCCCTTACGAAGCCTGGAAACGACTTGAGCGCTAACCCTACACTTCTCGCAGAGAAGATTGTGAAGAACCTGTTCAACTACCTATCTGGTTTTACGGGCGGGGGGCCCATGACACCTGAGCTCGCAGTCCCGTTGGGATTGATCGCGAGATGGTATGAGAATTTCACTGGAAAGGTTAGAAACAGTGGACTGGCATTTTTGGAGAGAGAGGAATAGACGATCTCGTCGATGGTAGGTCTCGACCTAGTATCGATGAAGGATATCTGCATTTACATTTCATTTAGCGCGATCATATTCGAGGACACATATCAGCATGCGCTCCTACGCCGCACGTTGGCAACAATAAACCCCATATACATGATTATCCGCAAAGAAGCATTTGCGTTGAATACTGGACGGTGTTCATGGCGTTGGAGAATAATGGCGGAGTCTATATTATTGGCATTGAATGACATTGAAATAAGATCGTGTTACTGGGTGTCAGGATGATTTAGAGCCAAGCTGTCTCCGCACTCAACATTTTTAAGCATGTACCGTGGCTCGACGTACGTACTAGTCAAAGAACCTGGAAGAGGACATTGGTATCGAGAATGAGGCTCGAATATGAGGCTCAGTCCGAGACCGCCCTGCCTGACTGGGATAGTGTGTTGGGTACAAAAGGAGTCATATAGATTGCAGAAAAAATATTAAGCTCCTTTTGGCTGAAATTCGAAAGTTGTCAGCTCAGGAAACTGTGCTTCTTTGGATAGACTGAGGGGGACCGGGACCTACCTGGGCAGCGGTGCCATTGTTTCTAGGAACCCAGATACTTAGTATTTCCTGTGTTCGCGATCACGTGACCATAGAGGCAGGGGGAGTCCTTGCTACATAGACCATGGATCGATGAGCGGCCATTGACGTCCAAGTAAGCGATTTCTGCTAGTCATTAACATGGGGTCAACACATATGCACACTAACGTGCACTTCGCTTTGTGTTCTGGATTCAATTAGTGCGGCCATGTTGATACCCGGACGAACATGCGTTGCATTTTTGGTTTCTGTCCCGGTGAACGCAGCGCCGGCACGACATATTAGATCCTCAAAAAATAAATAAACCTGGAAGTCGCTTTGTCGGAGGTTCATCTTCGGCGAACGATGATGCTCGCAGTCAGGACGAATAAAAGATTCTCGAAAGTCAAACGAATAGAACCAGAAGTTCCTATTATGACAAAAGTTGTCATGAGAAAAGGGTATACGGATGAACTGGTCATTATTATTACATATAATGTTCCAGGAACATATGGCAGACATCGGTGAATGGTCTCGGGAACAGCCATCAGGAAGGGGTAAAGGGTGCTAATAGTGTTCCATGTGGTAACCAGTCCGTAAACAAGAGCATAGTGCAACCTTGCAGAGTGTTGTACATAGCCTACGCCAGATACTTTTGTACGCAAATGATGGCGACACTGATAGTATGGATACGCGTTTATCGAATGATGAGCCGTAACGCGTAATGCTGTTCCGAGACAGAACAAGCATCGGCCAAAGCTGTACTTCTGAAATGCCTTGTGCTGTCAATCGAATCTGACGCTCCTATCGCTGAAAAGGTCAAGGAAGACCGCCAGCGATGCGCCCTAGAATAAATTTGGAAACTGGCGGATACCCCAGAAAATGAAGGTTCTACTATTTAGTAGGATTCAGAGCTGGTGCCGGGCCAAAGTTTCACGCGGCCGCTCTGGCCGAGACATGGCTAGTGAACGTCCTTGGTAAAATATTCTTGGAAAGAAAAACTAGAAAATCGTACTGGTTCCAAAGGCAAGACAGTGACAGAATCTGCATTATTATACTGGAGTCAGCAATTGTCAGCCAAGTGAAACGGTGGGAGCAAAATTGAGAGTCCGCAGTGTGGCTGTGATTGGTTGCCACGCTTTCTGTTTCGTCATTTTCTGCCTGCCGTCGTCCTCAAACCATCTCTCTTCCTGACCACCACCCATGTCTGGTCGTCCAGGGCACAACAGCCAGGAGGGCTACCCTTCATCGTCGCCCTCCTCCCTCGACGCTCACCAGAACGACCCATTCAGCCCCCCACAACGCCGGTATTATGATAACGACTCGGAGGATTATGGTCGCAGAGATACATATGCTTCAGACAACAGCAATACTGGTTTCTATGATCAGAATGGAGCTTACGACCCGTATCGTGCGTTTGCTACGTTTTCTCGTTTTCCAACGTAACTAACCCGGTTCTTGGTAAAAGCCCCACAAGACACCGACTCCGATGGCGATGCTTACGGCCCACGCTATGCCCCTTCTGCGGAGTCCTTGGGCGTTCCCAGGATGGGAAATTCAGAGTCGTCGACGCCAACATTCGTCGATTATGGCCAAAGTGGTCGAGATGCTTACCCTGCTTGGAGTTCAGAACGCCAAATTCCTCTTTCCAAGGAAGAGATCGAAGACATCTTCCTCGACCTTACCCAGAAATTCGGATTTCAGAGGGATTCTATGAGAAACATGGTCCGTGAACTCCGTGCTCTGTTCAACATTTCACCTGACACTCTTGGTTAGTTCGATTTCCTCATGCAGCTTCTTGACAGCCGAGCCTCTCGCATGTCCCCAAATCAAGCACTGCTTACCCTCCATGCCGATTACATAGGTGGACATCACGCCAACTACCGTAAATGGTACTTTGCCGCCCAACTCGACCTCGACGACGCTGTCGGTCAAACCCAGAACCCCGGCCTAACCCGCTTGAAGTCCAAGCGAGGTTCTGGAAAACGGCCCCCGCATGAAAAGTCCCTCAACACCGCTATCGAGCGCTGGCGTCAAGCCATGAACAATATGAGCCAATATGACCGACTCCGACAGATCGCCCTGTATCTGTTGCTGTGGGGAGAGGCCGCTCAAGTCCGTTTTGTCCCCGAGTGCCTCTGCTTCATTTTCAAGTGCGCAGATGATTACTATCGCTCACCAGAGTGCCAGAATCGGGTGGAACCTGTTCCAGAAGGTCTGTATCTGAGGGCAGTCATCAAGCCGCTCTACAGATTCATTCGGGACCAAGGATATGAGGTCGTGGATGGCAAGTTTGTGAGAAGGGAGCGGGATCACGAGGATGTTATTGGTTATGATGATGTGAACCAGCTGTTCTGGTACCCTGAAGGAATCGCTCGGATCGTGTTGACCGACAAGACTCGCCTCGTGGATCTCGCACCTGCACAGCGGTTCATGAAGTTTGATCGCATCGATTGGAATCGCGCCTTTTTCAAAACATATTACGAACGACGCTCCTTTGGTCATCTTCTTGTCAACTTCAACCGAGTTTGGGTCATCCACATATCCCTTTACTACTTCTATACCGCCTATAATTCTCCTACCGTTTACCAGGTCAACGGAAACAACGTTCCCGCTCTACAATGGAGCGCTACCGCCCTTGGCGGCGCAGTTGCTACAGTCATCATGATCCTCGCCACCCTTACAGAATTCTCCTACATCCCAACCACCTGGAATAATACGTCCCATCTCACCCGCCGCCTTCTTTTCCTCTTTGTCACCCTCGGCCTTACTTGTGGGCCAACCTTTTATGTTGCCATTGCTGAAAACAATGGCTCTGGCGGCCAGCTCTCCCTCATCCTCGGTATTGTCCAGTTCTTTATTTCCGTAGTCGCCACTCTCCTCTTTGCCATCATGCCGTCAGGTAGGATGTTCGGAGACAGGGTGGCTGGGAAATCGAGGAAGTATCTAGCTAGCCAGACCTTTACTGCTAGCTATCCTACTCTGGACACCGCTCCCCGCATTGCCTCCCTCCTCCTATGGCTCCTCATCTTTTCGTGCAAATTTGTCGAATCCTACTTCTTCCTCACGCTTTCTTTCCGGGACCCTATCCGAGTAATGGTGGGAATGAAAATTCAAGGCTGCAATGATCGACTGTGGGGCGACGCTCTCTGTACAAATCAAGCGGCGTTCACACTCACGATCATGTATGTCATGGATTTGGCCCTGTTCTTCCTGGATACTTTCCTATGGTACATTATCTGGAATACTGTGTTCAGCATTGGACGGTCGTTCTCGCTTGGTCTTTCTATTTGGACACCTTGGAAGGACATTTACACTCGGCTGCCAAAGCGTATTTACGCCAAGCTTTTAGCGACCGGCGATATGGAAGTCAAATACAAGCCCAAGGTAAGTTTTCATGTTCGTAATGCGGGCGATGAATTGAATTCTTGTAGGTGCTGGTCTCCCAAATTTGGAATGCCATCATTATCTCCATGTATCGAGAACATCTTCTGTCTATTGATCATGTTCAGAAACTCCTCTACCACCAAGTTGATGGCGGTCCGGGTGCAAATGGTCGACGCAGTTTACGGGCGCCTCCCTTCTTCATCTCGCAGAATGACAAAGGTTTCAAGGGTGAATTTTTCCCGAAGGGTAGCGAGGCAGAACGGCGTATTTCGTTCTTTGCGCAGTCGCTAACGACAGCCATGCCGGAGCCTCTCCCAGTGGATGCTATGCCTACTTTCACGGTTCTCACGCCACACTATAGCGAAAAGGTGGGTTTTGAATTGAATGTCGCATACTCCGAAATGACGTTATCCCTCTGTTCAGATTCTACTTTCTCTTCGGGAGATCATTCGTGAGGAGGACAAGAATACTCGCGTCACACTTTTGGAGTATCTAAAGCAGCTCCACCCAATAGAATGGGAGAACTTCGTGAAGGATACCAAAATTCTGGCTGAAGAATCGGCTATGTTTAACGGTACGAATCCATTCGGAGACAACGAGAAGGCGCAGTCGAAGACGGATGATCTTCCGTTCTATTTCATCGGTTTCAAGAGCGCCGCACCGGAGTTTACTCTTCGAACACGTATTTGGGCCTCCCTTCGTGCCCAGACCCTGTACCGCACAGTCTCCGGTATGATGAACTACTCGAAAGCCATCAAACTTCTGTACCGTGTCGAGAATCCTGAAGTTGTCCAAATGTTCGGCGGAAATACGGACAAGCTTGAACGCGAGCTTGAGCGCATGGCTCGCCGCAAGTTCAAGTTTGTGGTATCAATGCAGAGGTATTCGAAGTTCAACAAGGAGGAGCAGGAGAATGCGGAGTTCTTGTTGCGTGCATATCCAGACTTGCAGATCGCATACCTCGAGGAAGAGCCGCCCAGAAAGGAGGGTGGCGATCCCAGGATTTTCTCGGCGCTTATTGACGGGCATAGCGAGTTCATCCCTGAGACTGGTCGACGCAAACCGAAGTTCCGTATTGAACTCCCTGGGAACCCTATCTTGGGTGATGGCAAGTCTGACAACCAAAACCATGCCATTATCTTCTATCGTGGAGAGTACCTACAGCTGATCGATGCCAATCAGGACAACTATCTCGAGGAATGCCTGAAGATTCGGAACGTTTTGTCTGAGTTCGAAGAGTACAATATTTCGACTCAGAGTCCTTATGCTCATTGGGGTCACAAAGAGTTCAAGCGCTCCCCTGTAGCCATCGTTGGTGCCCGCGAGTACATCTTCTCGGAGAATATCGGTATTCTCGGTGATCTTGCCGCTGGAAAGGAGCAGACGTTCGGTACACTTTCGGCGCGGTCCATGGCCTGGATTGGCGGCAAGCTGCACTATGGCCATCCTGATTTCCTGAACGCGTTGTTCATGAATACCCGCGGAGGTGTCTCAAAGGCGCAGAAGGGTCTACACCTGAACGAGGATATCTATGCTGGTATGAACGCTTTCGGTCGTGGCGCCAGGATCAAGCACACGGAGTACTTCCAGTGCGGCAAGGGTAGAGATCTTGGATTCGGCACGATTCTGAACTTCCAGACTAAGATTGGAACGGGTATGGGTGAACAGATGTTGAGTCGAGAGTATTACTATCTGGGTACCCAGCTTCCCATCGATCGGTTCCTCACATTCTACTATGGACATCCCGGATTCCATATCAACAACATGCTGGTCATCCTGTCAGTGCAATTGTTCATCGTAACCAGTAAGTTCAATCTGTCTGCCTTCTAGTTCCAGAGCTGAGATTTTCCAGTGGTGTTCTTGGGTACATTGAACTCGAGCGTTACTATTTGTCGGTACACGGAAGACGGGCAATTCATCGGCGGACAGGCAGGATGCTACAATTTGGACCCTGTTTTCGACTGGATCAAGCGTTGCATTCTCAGTATCTTCCTGGTGTTCATGATCGCCTTCTTACCCCTCTTTTTACAAGGTATGCTTATTTTGGTTCATTAAAAGACATAGCGTAACACTTATCTTTACAGAACTGGTTGAACGTGGAACATGGAAAGCCATCTTCCGTTTGGCGAAGCAATTCGGTTCATTGTCGCCCGTGTTCGAGATCTTCTCCACCCAGATCTATACCCATTCCATCTTGAGTAACTTGACCTTCGGTGGAGCGCGTTATATTGCTACTGGACGTGGCTTTGCCACTAGCAGGATATATTTCAACATCTTGTTTTCTCGATTCGCCGGTCCTAGCATCTACCTTGGCATGCGAACGTTGGTCATGCTGCTTTATGTCACCCTGTCACTCTGGACACCATTCCTGATCTACTTCTGGATATCCATTGTCGCTCTTTGTGTCGCTCCGTTCTTGTTCAACCCCCATCAGTTTGTCTTTTCTGATTTTATAATAGATTACAGGTAACGATACCGATATTCTTCTCATCCTCGAAAATTTCTGATCACGTATCCCAGGGAATTCCTGCGATGGATGTCAAGGGGTAACTCTCGATCTCACAACAACTCGTGGATTGGATATTGCAGGCTTTCGCGAACCATGATCACTGGCTACAAGAAGAAGAAACTTGGGCACCCGTCTGAAAAGCTTTCCGGTGACGTACCACGCGCAAGCTGGCATGCTGTCATTTTCTCAGAGGTTATCTTCCCTGTGGTGATGGCAATTCTCTTCACCATCGCGTATACATTCGTGAAGTCGTTCCCTGTGAACGGTGATACACCTCCCAGCCCCCTTGTACGGATTGCAGTCATCTCTTTGGGGCCTATCGTATGGAACGCAGCAATTTTGTTGACGCTATTCCTTATCAGTCTTTTCCTTGGACCTATGTTGGATCCGCTTTTCCCACTCTTCGGTTCCGTCATGGCGTTTACAGCACATCTACTTGGTGCCGTTGGAATGGTTGGATTCTTCGAATTCTTGGTCAGTATCATCTCATCTGCGAATTGTTTAGATATTGATGTTTCAGTAACAGTGGTTCCTCGAACTGTGGAATGTTTCACATGCTGTATTGGGTCTGATCACTGTCATATCGATTCAGCGCGCGATTCACAAAATTCTCATCTCTGTCTTCCTATCTCGAGAGTTCAAGCACGATGAGACCAATCGCGCGTGGTGGACTGGTCGGTGGTACGGTCGTGGCCTCGGTGCTCATGTCATGTCTCAACCGGCACGAGAGTACATTGTGAAAATCATCGAACTATCCCTGTGGAGTTCTGACTTGATCATCGGACATATTCTGCTGTTCATGTTGACCCCGCCTATACTGGTTCCTTACTTCGATCGGTTCCACGCAACAATACTATGTATGTTTTTTTCTTCTTCATCCAGTCCTTGATGTTCTGACATGATTCTTAGTCTGGCTGCGTCCCTCAAAACAAATCCGCGCGCCCTTGTATTCTATAAAACAGAAACGACAGCGTCGCTGGATCGTGCGTGCTACTAGTTTTTGACATTGCAGATCTAACTTTTAACTTGATGTTCTCAGATAATAAAATACGGGACAATATACGTCGCTGTAATCGCTCTATTCGTGTTACTAACTGCTCTTCGTAAGTTCTTTGAGTTTGACGGTGAGTATTCACTGAACTATCTTCAGCCGCTGTTTTCCGCACGACCCTTCACTTCGATTGTTCCGTATGCAACAGCCTATAACAGGACTACGATTTCTTCACGATTCTTAGACTCTCCGCACTGTACTTTGTTATTTTTGATTTCTCCGTCATGATTCCATTTGTGCTGGGATACTCTCATGGACTATTTCCAAGGCTGTCTCGCACAGCACGCCGTGGATAATTTTATCACAAGGACATTTACTGTAAGCCTATCAATACCAATTCTATCATATTGTCGTCCATGGTTTCGTCATGTTCCGAGCGGGTTCCCAGAGTAATGAATGTTTCATTTGGACTTCATACACGAGCTTAAGGTTGGGGTTAATGTTTGTGTTTCTGATCGTCGATAATCTATTGACCGCAAAATGTTTTATAGATACCAATTATCTTGGTGCAGACGATCATTGAACAAGTACCTGTTTCCCGCTTCGGCGCCGTTTTGGTTACCCCATTCCCTGATATGTAGACAATTTTACGCGACAGCTGATATTTCGTTCCGATCCTGATATGTTCATGGGAACGAAAGATATTTCAAGACTTGGGAATCTATTTCGGCATCCGTCATCTAGCTATACAATGTAAAGAAGGCGCTTCCTACTGCAAGTGCTGCAGTCAAGACCTGGATAGAAACTCGCTTCTATAGAGTCCAATGCCTTCCAGGTCTGCGCTAAAAGCGACACTCCCTCGGCCTTGTTACGGATATCTTGGCAGAAAAAACAACCGTGGTCACAATACTTGGAACTCGAACTTTTTATTCAAGATGGTGTCCCTATAATAATACGCTCTGCATTTTTAGAACATCGATGGCGCCTGGGCGAACGGCAACGTCGATATCAGTTTAAAGGCTGGGCGGATCTGGGTGCGTTTCAACCTGTAACGACTCTCATCATTTCTCTTATAATATGACGGAGGAACAAGGCCATTGCAAGCAGGGTATCAGTGTCCCTTGCATGAGGGGTTGCGAGCGGGCCGTTGTCTGCCGTTGTGCGGTCGCTACATCGCCGCCGTGGGTCAATAACTATCCAATATCTAAGTGTGTGCCTGCCACCAAATGGACGGTAAGTTACAAGGAACAGCATGGCAGGATTACAAACATGATATCATGAGTCACATCAAATTAAGCCGCACATTGATATTTTTCCCTGATGGATACCGTTATTCATGTTGGGTGAATGTGCTGCACCTTTCGAATACAATTTGCAGCCTATGATTGAACCAAGGCACGATATGGACGGTCTTTTCGATACACCACTTTTTGCCCGTTCGACTCGGAAGCGGCTGTTCTTATATGCATTCGCGGCGGCTGCTTCACAAGATCTTGCGCCGCTCGGAAAAAAGCAGGGCCAATGCGGATATCAACCCGTCAGATTTCTAATCTATCAGGAACAGTAAGATCCTCGGCTTGTAAGTAGTGCGCTCCTTCGTGTCCTGTATCCCTAGTCGCTCATACTCGCAATCGCCCATTGATAGCAGGCTTCAAGTAAATCCCACACCTACACCAATGATCACACGAGTAATACATTCTCGTTGTCATAATTTTGATGAAGGAGCGGCACCGCCTTCAAAGTGTGCCCTCACGGCCCTAGAAGCAATCAACTGAGACGGTAGCTGTGTCTATTATAATCGTTCAGCAAAGTACGCAAAGCACGGTAAGTTCGTCATCATCCGCTTGTATTTCTATATCAATTAAATGATCGTCTACTTCAATGAAGCTGATGTATCGTCTGCAATGGACTCGCGGTGTTCTCCAAATGTATACTTCGCCGTTAAAGATTCGGCTAAATTCAAGCTACAACTGATTTTCCGACAAACTATAGCGGACGCATGATCCTCAATATCCGTGATGCACGTCGCTTCATTCAACCAGTTTCATCCCTTGGTGGTGAACTAGAAATCTGGTCCGAGAAGGCTCAACGCATGGCCATGAATCCAGTTGCTGTGTTCTAGTCAACATCCAAACATCAATATTTACGCCGGGTGGAGGCAAGTACAATCCTGTGATCCAATTTCCTGATGTTCACGCGGTGTATACCAAAATAGAGCCCTAAAAGCACAAGGGGGTTCCTTTCTACCTACAAGAAGCTCTCTAGCACACCAGAGCGTGATAACCCGTGAGCATGGACCATCGCCATAGTTTCGTAAATGAATAAGACCATTTCCTTTGCAGGAAGTAGACCAGGATCATTGGATGCTTGGACCTCATGGTCATTTGCCAGAGCGTCTCTATAGAGTTTTGCGGGCCTGGCTTGGATCCGTACGGAATATAGCCTCTAAAGCAGTATAAATAGTGGGATAACCAGCTGGGCTATTTCTCAGTGCACCTTGCGGTCGCCTCGATTCTCATTGCAGAGATGAAGCTCTCTATTGCAACTGCTCTTGTCTTTGCCTCTAGTGCTTTGGCGCGTACATTTACGGTGTGTACCACGGTGCTGTCATGTTTCGCGTCTGCCTAACTGACATACGAACAGGTGTATAATGGTTGTCCTTTCACCATCTGGTAAGTTCAAAGAATGATGCTCTATAGAATTCTTCGATTGTAATCAAAGCTCATTTCTAGGCCTGCCGTGAGTTTCACCAAAATCGCTATGATTCTCAGGCGAGACTGAAAGTCCATCGCAGATTTTTACCGACTTGAACGTCGCCTCGAACGTACCCAGCTTCCCGACCGGGTTCGTTGTATTTGTCGGTGTCAATACTACATTCTGATTATATTTTTAGATGGGAAGCGGCTGCTTATACCCACGTAACCTTCTACGTCCCGGACAATTGGAAGGCAGGCAGAATTTGGGTGATGATTATTGCTTTTCTCCGACGAATTCGCGTTTTGAGATCGAAACTTTTTTGTCATAGGCGCGCCGGGACTGCGATTTCTCGAGCAACCCGGGACCGAATTCATGTCTCGACGGAGGATGTAATGGCGGTCTTGAATGTGATCCGCACACCGGGACGGTAAGTCCTAACCGTGTAAGTTGAGTTTCAGAATAAGCTTACACCTACAAAAGGGGGTACCACCGGCGACTGTCGCGGAATGGACCCTCCAGGGAGATGGCTGGCTTGATTATTATGATGGTATGCATATCATGCTCCGATTTCTTATTGTAGCTTGGTTGCTCATCACAGCGGTATTCAGTATCTTTGGTTGACGGCTACAACCTTCCTGCCAGAATTGACAACAACGTCGGCTGTGGTATCCCGTCGTGCCCCGTGGATTTGGGTCCCAACTGTTTGTGATCCTTCCTTTACTTGTAGAACACCAATTGACTGGAAGTATACTAGGTCCTGCCGCGTTGAAGGGACCCTTTGATTCTTCCGGATTTCCGGTCGGATGTAAATCAGCTTGTGTATGTCCACGCTACTAAACATTCTAGTCGTGTACTGTTATGACTCATAACGATTGCCCCTTTCCAGGTGGCCAACTTGGACGGCAACCCAGGTCTGCCCGGCCATCAATCCATTAAACGTTTTCTGATTTTTTTTGTAAACAATAGCCGACTCGGCCAACTGCTGTTCCGGAAGCCACAACACCCTTGCTACCTGTCCTTCATCTGGTTAGTCCGTTTTCAGCCTCCCCTTGATGATGAGCTGACAACGCAGCAGGTGTCGCATACTACAGCTACTTTAGTACGTGAACTTTGGTACTAACCATTCCTCTTCTTACAACACATTGACAGAGAGCAATTGCCCTAACTCTTATGCTTATGCGTTCGATGAGCCTAGCGGCACGGCCTTGTGGACTTGCGATTCTAACCTGGCGGCCGATTACACGTATGTTGCATTAGTCCATCCATTTTCTCTGCTGACACGGTGGTGTCTTAGGTTGACCTTCTGCCCGCCTTGATTGAGCTAAATTCCAAATTCATTAGTAGCTCAGAATTTCTGTTTGACCTCAGTCATACCCCTTCTCAATGTCTTAGTGATGTAACAAGATAGTAGTCTTCTTGTCTTGGAATCTCCTTAATCTTCGCAGGGATACGGTGACATCAGAAGACCCAATAGCTCTACTCTCGCATTGAGCACTTTCATTCAGCTGGAAAAACGATTTGTAAGAGACGTCATGCCAAGTTATTGCCTTGAAACCAGGGCAAAACCGATGGTAGCGATATTTCCAAGGATTTCCCGATGGAGATCTTAGAGATCTTAGTCGAGATGTATGTGGTTCCAAAGCAGATGGCAGATGCATGCTCTTGAGGGACATTACGGAAACCTCCCAAATATCATCCATAAGTTCTCTTCGATCTGTAGAAGCAGTGCTAAAGGTTGGTCGTGTATGGCAAAACCTTTGGCATAACTATTCAGCCACGTGGCGTCACTTTCCTTCCACTTCTTATGTGGCGTCGTTAATGTTCGGTCAAATCGGCTCAGTTCAGGGTTTCAAAGCTTTTCGACCGCAGCTTGGACTCTCCTATTTTCTTTATTTCCTTCCCCCCTTCTCCCAGGAAGCGTGGTCACTTTTTTTAACTCTCCTAATTCTCAATTGTTCCTAACACATAACTGTCAAAACACGGGGGATTGATAAATCTGTGAGCTACATAACACGAGGTCTTCTTATCGTGTCTCTGATTTATTTAGGGTTGCAAATTTTTCAACGGCAGATTTCCGTGAATGGGATATTGAAGGTACAGGCGCTAATAGGCAAGTCATTTACAACCGGGAGAAGTCCCGGCTCCTTCCTCATGTTGTTACAAAGAACCCTCCTCCGGAGCTACGTGGGGTTACCAAGCATGTGAACGAGCTTCGTCTCAACAATTCAATGCCTCGGTTGCCTTGCGGCTCGATAGTATTTCTCACCCTGTGTTTCAAAGCGTCCAAGTGTTTGTTCTCTTTTCAGGCAGCCCTTCCTGCATTTCTTCTAACACCACCGATTAAGCATTTCCGTCTTGAAAATTTAACCATAATCTCCCTGATTTCCGAAGACACCGGCGGGCGACTCAATGGGCCCTCGAAGGATGATCGTATAAGACGTGACAACCGTTGACTGTCTACTTTAGCTACTCCATAGCCTCACGTTGATGCACACTGTCCTTGTAGGTGTCGCATCATACATCAACGTCCAAGCGAAGACTTAACCTCTTTTGAACACAGGAACTAATTCAAGAATGCTAGAGAGAGAACTCTCTACTCTCTCCATTGACTCTTCGTCGAACCTGCCCATCGACAAGCTTCCCAACGAATTGTTGGCAAAAATTTTCTACCTTGCGGCAATGGAGACCAGGCACGACTCTATACCAGCTCCTTTTATCATCTCACAGACATGCCAACGTTGGCGGACTGTCGCGCTGTCGACCAGTGATCTATGGAAATTCATCAGTTTCAATTTCCCACTATCATCTATTCAGTACCTTCGGGCGAACAGCATGCTGTCGAGGTCTCCTACATTCCCGCTCGATCTTTTAATGGATTTCCGTGATCCGTCTTGGGACTGGGAAGAAGAACCTCACGGCTTCACCTCCAATGGCATGCGATCCGTAATCCGACTCCTTGAGCCGCACATCAACCGCCTGCAAGACGTAGATATCCTTCTCGATACCTGGGCACCGATGCATACCTTTTTATTAGAGACTCAAAAACTCGACGTAGCGTCATTACCAGCGTTAAAGCGACTGTCCCTTTCTCGTTGCAACGCCTATTTTGCTCTAAAAGGCCAGATTTTCCAACCCCAGCACTTACGAGACCCCTTACCGTTATTCGGTGGGATCCCTCTACCGGGACTCAATCACCTCTCCCTCGTCGGAGTCCACGTTGATTGGAGCGCTGCAGCCTCGTCCCTTAGTAATCTCACCAGCCTAGAGCTGAAATACCACGCCCCCGACGTCCTTCCTACCTGGAAGGAATTTGCGGACCTTATAGCCGGGTCCCCTGATTTGCGCCACCTCTCGGTGATCGGGTCGTGTCCCGGTGGCGCAGCAGGATCGACCTTAATTTCAGCCCTGATGTTGTCTCATTTCACTTTGGGATTCGTGGATGTGGACGATGCCGTTCAGTTCGTCTCTAGTATGCATTTTCCGGCACTGGAGAGCCTCTCGTTGGAGGATATCAGGAATGCCTTGGATCCCTTCCAGGCCATGCAAGACGCGTCCGCTCTTTTGGAATGCTTTGTCCGAGTGACGAATTCAACGATCCCATTGCATGGGATTCGGTCTCTGAAGCTTAACGAAATTTATACTACCAAGGAGGAGGCGCTGGATAGTTTCTTCTCAATCCTTTCCTCGGTGACGGAGATGGATTTGTCTGAGAGTATCCCTTTGGGTGCTCTTGAGCCCAGTCCTGGCGTCGTTCCTTGTCCGTTACTTCGCACTTTACAGTACCGTTCTTATGACGATTGGTCTAAAGTATGTTCTCTGGTCTATTCCAGACGTGACCTCGGCATTCCTTTGCACAACTTTCATGTCATCTTTCAACAAGAGCCCGATAATTTACAAGCTCTTTTACAGGCCGGTGTTCTTGTAACAATAGATACCAATTCCGACTCAGAAGAAGACGAGAGTTCATATTCATTTAGATCTCGTAGCCCTTAACTTCAGAGTAAATGTATGAAATGCCTTATCTATACATGAATGCGTGATTACAATATGTTGTTACAAAATCAGTCCAAATCATAGCAAAGGTAGCCATTCAGTCAATGAAAATATGCTCTTCTTCCCAACACGAACACTCCCCTGAAACGGCAGCCCATCTAGTTGCAGGCTATCATCCTCTGAAGGTAATCCCGGCACATCCACGCAGACAGCAACAGTTCCTACAAGACCAGCCAGCGCACCGTCAGCGCCAAATATAACCTGCGAAAGTAAATTAATAGTACCTGTGTCGTCCAGAAAGAGAGAACGTAAATACCTTGCTGACAAAATTACTAAACTCCTTCTGTCGTCCAGGTAGTACCTCTAATGGGACTTCTTCTATCTTCGCGCTTACGGCAAAAGCACTACCTCCATCTTCGTTGCTTTCTGCCGGGACGCACTTGGAAACCAGCCATTCGTCAGGCTGTATGTGCGCAAACGCATGATCCGGCAGTGGATCGGGAAGGGCAGCGTCGCTTTGTGGCGGCTCCCCATCGAACACCAGCACACCAGGTAGAACATGGCTGACGTCCAAGTCGATGTTCATACCCTTCGGCAAGACAATGCGAGCAAAGACAGTGCCACTCGCGAAGAAAATGCTCCCCCGAGGCTTGATCTTCATGTCATGAATAGTGACATTGCGCAAAACCTTAGGTCGAGGCCGAGGTCCCGGAAATACGGCATCCACTGATAGATTTGATACCAAGGGTGTTGAGATAGTTATTGGATTAGGTAGTGCGGAGAGGTACCGTGATAGAAAGGTAGAAAGAACGGAAGAAGAACCAGATGGTAGGGGAAGTACTGATCCCGTCATGTGCAGGGTAATATTCGGATGAGTCGTTGTGAATGATTCTGTCGTCACATGAGCAATTGGAACGTCTGGAGGAAAGGATACGACGAATGGGAGGGGTGGCAAAGTGAAGTTGAATGATGGAGGTGCAGGATCGATGATGGTCGCACAAGCCGCCAGAGTCAACTTGTCGTTGACAGTCGTTACTGAAAAAGATTCAAGGTTTATAAGATCTTCCAGGGAAGGAGATGGAACATTTCGACCAGGCTGGGGTAGTCCTGGAAGTCTAGGAACTAGCACATGTCAGAATGGCCAAGATAGTGGTATACACAAACTCACTTATCAACCGTATGACAGTGTTGACATCTCTGAATTTATTGTGAAGATTATGCCTCCAACCAGTATTGCCTAAGCTACCCCCTTCAACGGCAACCTCTCCAATATCCATTTTCAGAGCGAATGAGCCTTCTCTCCATGCCTCTTGGACAAAGGATTTCAGGACAGAACCGTTAGTCGTTGGCTGAATGAATACGGTTGTGGAGACGGGCTGAAGCCATGATAAGTCGTCAGGAGGATCAGCCGTTATGGCTATTTCCTGGGAAGGAATGGTGAGAGTTGCCAGTCGTTCACCATGCTCCGATACGACATGTACACTGGACATATGGACTGAAACACGGTCCAACTTCCGAATCCCCCATCTGCCTAGTGATTTCCACAGGTCCTGCACCAGATTATCCTGGTCGGCACTGTTCATACCGGTAACACCACCAGCGTCCAGGCCTATTCTTCCCTCTATTAGAGCCCATATTTCACCGGTATCTGTCATATTGAGTACATCCACGCGACTTGGGCCCTCAAAGACGAGTCCATCGTTAATGATGGTATCGGGAGACAGGTTTGAGGCCCGTGAAGCGTAAGACCATGCGAGTAATGCGAGGGCGACAACAACGACAACGCAAAGCAATAGGGAGATAAAGAAAACATAAAGCAGTTTATACAGGAGCGGTCGTCGAGACTGCGTGTGCAATGGCTCGATATCGGACACGGACGAGGATAGCGAGCTCGAGGCGGGCGGGATTAAAGGCGTGCGTTCGGTAGGAGGCTCCACGGCTCTTCCTTTGCCCTTGTCAACAGGACGTCCATTGGCAGAGTTGTTGAGGCTCATGCCTTAAGCCTTGGCGGTCACACAGTGAGCACAATAGAGAATCGAGCTTGCTCGTCGTGGAGGGCAGCTTCGAGACAGTGGGCACGTGTGTCCATGCTAGTGGCCCACGTGAAAGTCACTGAAAGGTGACTTCCGAAAATGACGATTTCTTCCAGCTGGCAACAAATATCAGTATTGCCTGAACAGTTAAACTGCTCTACATGAGGAGGAATAAATAATGTAATGACTGCTTGTAATGCGTAATACGTGTAGGCAGTAATAAGACAGAAAATCCTGAACGCTGATAATACATTAATGATGGACAAATACTGTTTATAAAGTCCTGACAGGAAACCAAAATGTCCCATCTAGCAGCCATTCACCAAAGAATTCTTAGGGATCGTCTGGCCATAGTCGTCGACCCATGTTGTATAATTAGGGTTGGTGTATGCACCCGAATAGCTTCAAATAGTTTCAGATGCATCTTATAGAAGCAGGGGAAGTGAACGTACGTCGAGATATAATCAGCCGTCGGAAAATCCTCCGGATCGCACCCGATGTTAATGTTATCCGGATCCTGAACAAGCGTAAGAAAACAGCAGAACACCCTTAGAAAACGTTTCAACCAACCTGGTATACGCGGATCCAATCTATGAGCATGATTGCCGGAAAGGTGAGGTGCTCCAAGTCTACATCTCCGAAGTTTGTCGACATTCCGAGATTCGCCAAGATATACTGCACATCAACAACATGTAAGGAAACGTACGACAGGCGCATGAAAGAAGCGCCTACGAACCATGGGTTCTTTTGGAACAGGTCGGGCAGAAATTTCGGTATCCGTGTCAGCTCCAACGCCTGCGGCGTTTATGGTCCAAGCCACCTTGCCGTCGTTTACCCATGTGATATACTGCGGAAATGATATCATTAGCATAAGGGCATGCTAGCGAAAATCAAACCCTCTCACAGCGCCGTCAGAATCGTACCCTGAAGAACATTGCATTAGCTCGCCATGCGGCCTCAGAACTCCGACAGTAGCTTACCAGGTTTGTACTGAAAGAATATCCCAAAATCAGCAGACTCTCATCTCGAAGCGTCGAATAAGGTCACCTCAAAAGCGTAAGTAGCATAGCATCCAGTCGATAGTTGATAGCATTCCGAGTTTGTCGTTGAGACCACTGAAGTTGCTTGCTGTGTCGATCCACCAATGTACGAGTTCAGTGTAGATATACTGCTATCTGCGATGATCAAGTTGTTCGTGCTATTATCCCAAACGTATCCCTTGTTGAATGGCTACCACATAGAATGGTCAAATGCGGCTAACGAAGCGCAAGAAGTTCACGCACTGCCCACTGTCCAGATTGCGATACTTCGCCAATTTCATCGCTAACTTGGGCTTCGAAGACATCTATTTCGGGAGCAGAGCGCCCGACGTATGTGCCATCAGAATGTTTAGGACCTGGATGGCTCTCGCCGTCGCAGGTACACCGCGAGAGACGCTGTCCAGGCAGATATGAGAGCTCATAATTCGAACTTGAGTAACCGCTAGTTAGTGCAGCCGTGGGTTCATCGTTAATAGTTTGGTTAGGCGCTGTTCCGACATCACAAGCGTCATACGTGTAAGGCCACTGAAAGCGAATGTAATTCACGCGCAATGAGGATGATATTTGACATACCATTCCGTCCAGCGTCGCGCCGTACCCTGCACGCCCTAGATTTCCCATAGCCCATACGGCGGGCCACAAACCGACAACATTACTGATCCCAGGAAGCTGAACAGAGGCAGCTAAATAACCACCGGTGAAGCAGAATTTGTTCCTGCAAGGAATCTATCAGACGGTAACACAGGTTGCACAAATCTGCCAGAAGGTTACCATGTCGACACCATACCTACGTCGCGTGCATCAGTGGCAGTATGTGTGCGGAGGTTAATGCTTACCTCCTTGGTAATCCAAGTCGTGTGTTTCTTTCTTGGACAAAGTGATTTGTAGAGAGCCATTCGCAGTCGTTATTGCTGCAGGATCATACCACTCCATATTGTTTGTTGCCTGAAAAGAAGTCATGAATAAATCATCAGGAACTATCCGGATGAACCGCACCCAGTAATGCAAATCGACTGCTTCCCAGTAAGGATCATCGCCAGAATAGAACGTACGCCCCTCTGTCTCGAACTCGTCCGAGAAGACAAGTTGCCACTCAGTTCCATCTCGCCACGAAGTGAAGGTGTAAGCATCTTCTGGGGTGTCCGCGTCAATGAGGCCGAAGTTACCAATATCGGGAACCTGAATAGGAATAACATCAAAACGCCGCCAACATAAACCATCTTCTGCTGACCTGGCCTGAAGCGTTGACTCCAAGATTTGAACTTGTTGTTGTCGTATTTAGGTCTTGCACGTATGTCATAATGGGATACCCGATACTGCGAAGTGTAAGGGACTGATAGCGTCAACAGCACTACAGGTACTCACAATAGCATAAGGATCCCCGTACAAAGAATCGCCAAGCAGCCTACGTTTGCGATCCCTCGCCTTGAGAAAGAAAGATCTGCATCTTCTACTATCTTTCCGCCGCGCACCATAGGTAAGTGGAGTGCATCATCAGGCTCTTCGACGTTTGGTGACAGATTAGAGCCCCACGTCAACGGGTCAGCACCGAGCGAAAACTATCGAACATTAATGGATGATCATGGTCTATGAGTTGGCACGTACTTTGCCAGACAATGACGGCGTTCTCGAACTTGTTGACCCCGCAGGATATGGATTGTCACCCTAGAAGGCTGGTGAGAAACCTGCAGGCGGAGAGAAGAAATGCATACCCATTCTGAATCACGATTGCGCAGCCTTTGTGATGGGCTACCGGTCAAAAGACTTATAGTGGACGAATCGAAATGGCCACTCCGTGCCATGATTCAGGCAGAAAACGTACGGATGAAAAGGTGGTGGAGAAGAGACGGGAGGAAGATTAAAGTCATCACGCTCGTCGCGCAGTCATCCCAAAAAAAGTCATTGTGATACCTGAACATCACCCGCGGATTCTATAAATATGACTGCGCAGTTATGGTCAAGGAAGATGCACCGATGGACTTCTAGTCATTCAGTGACTGACTGAGAATGACATATAGCACCTCAGTAGCACCCGAGAAAATGTCGAAGAATGGATGTTGTCTGTCGTTGATCGAATGAGAGAAGGCAAGTCGACCTCCGTCCTACCGGTGTTCTACTACCACCTTTGATGGTCGGCCTCGAATCCGTAGCCATTTCGTCATCAAATGAAATTAAAACGTTGTAGCATTGCGAGGCAGGGCGCTACGCGGTAGCTGCGGCGCGGCCAGGCGCGGCACTGGATCCATGATGCACATAGCCAAGCAACTATCACTGGGAATCTGCGACGGTGCTGTCAATGCAATGGGACAGGCCATCCATCGAAGGCTAGATGAGGGTAAGAGTTCCTTGTGAGATGGTGGCCGTTTGACAAGTTGTGGGAGCTAACCTGACGCCACAGAAGGCACCGCTTCCGACGTTACTGTGATTGGTGATATGGCGGCTGGAAGGACGTCCACTACCTGAAAAAACAACCGAAGCGGGGTCGTGATTTGACGACTTGACAATACAGAAGATTCATTTCCTAGACTGATGTTTGAATGCATCAAAATTATGCCTTGACTCAAACGTTTCACAGTTTAGGGAATCGCAGATGGTTGAGTGCAACAGCTGTAGCATCTATTGGCTACAATCAACAGTGTAATGATTTACAACAGACTAAAAAAGACCGACTAACAACTCAGCAGAATACACCGTAATTCATTCTTTGTGAAGACGCGAGACGAGCCAGTGTCGATATACAAAATATACAAGGCAGGCGATGATTGCGATGGCAAAAACGATGGTCTTCGACCCAATGACAGACACCTCTTTCTCAACCTGATGAAGAGCTCAATGGGGGTGACAAAAAGAAAGACATGACCTACCACAGACGTGAAGGGCGAAAGTATAGGTATTGTGAAATGAGAGGGTAGGAACCAACGTTGTGGACGTTGTGCACGACGCTGGTTCACATGAGACATGCAGACGATTAAGATTGCGAGAAATATTATGACACCAAGTAGGGCCCACTAGGATACGCGATCAGGAAAGGACGCGTCGAACACCAACAGGATAAGAACACACCGTCAGTTTCTCCATTCTCGCGATTTTATCCTCGTTTGCCTTCATGAGGGCATTACGTTCTCGCTACAAGGTCATTGTGGTCAGGAGACACCAAAACGAACAACCAATGCTCACTGAACGCTTCAGTTCTTCACCGAACGAAAGTGTCCGCAGTTCCCGATGATGCTCTGTTCGTGCTGACAGTAAAGTCTCTGCAGTCAGAGCCCGAGCAGCCCAGTACTGCTCGACGCGATTTCGGGGCGTTACATCGCCTTGAGGTGCTGGTATTGTCCCGCCGTGGTCAAGCGAATATTTGGTCGAAACACTGGTACCAACGACCTGTACGGCACCAGAGAACGGTACTTTCGTGGGCGAATCCGGTAAAGGTCGTTTCAATTTGTTCATATGTTAGAAACGTAGAGCACCTTCAAGGTGGTTGTTGAGAGAAGTACCAACATTACGTCATCTCACAGCCACAAGAGTGGGAGTATCCATAAAAAGCGTCTTGCTCTAGGATAAATACAGTTTATACTGGCTACAGCATGGAAATATACGGTGTAAATGGGGGGCGCATGGACGGGGCGGTCCTACCACTCGAGAGGCAACGTGGTACGTGCGACTTGGTGGCTTTAAGCCGATCCGATCAGCAAAGTTGACAGACAACCGCAATTTACGAGCGTCGTTGCTTCTCATTATCGCCCTGATCCTCCTCCCACACGGAGGGCGCTGTCGATCCAGCACGGTGCTCCTCATCGCCTGCAAGACCCCATCTAACCGCCTCTCTCTCGATCTCAGCGGTAGTGAGCCGAGGTAGCTCGTTGCCAACCTTGACATACCACTCGCCCTTTGTGTAGGCCTTGGCAAAGACAATGTCGATCTCTTCCAGCGTACGACCCTTGGTCTCAACATAGAAGAGCCAAATGAAAGGGAAGAAACACAAGTTGACGATGCCAAAGAAGAGGAAGGTGCCGAAACCACCGAGACTATCGAGCATGGGAGGAGTCCACATAACGACAGCAAAGTTCCATAGCCAGTTTGTCATGGTAGAGATGGCATTAGCATTCGTACGGATGGCGTTGGGATTAATTTCAGCTGGTAGAAGCCAAGGCAATTCAAGCCATGTGCTATAATAGATATTAGAAGATCGTAGCGGTCTAAGATTGCGGAACGCCGTACCATCCAAAGGCCATAAGGAAGAGGAAGAGGGCCACAACAGCACCGTACGTCGCAGTGTTCTCTGTATCACCTTTCACATTGTAAGGGATGAGACAAAAGCATGCAAGGAACTAAACGAAGCATTGAGATTTTGCTGTAAAATCGCAAGTTGACACTTACCATAGACAATGCTTGACCAGCAGTACCCCACAGGAACATCTTACGCCGACCGAGACGTTCAATCATGGGGTAGGAACCAAAGGCAGAGAGAGCATAAACTGTAGAGTTGACCCCTCCTAATATGAGTGCAAGCTGACGGTCAAGACCGATGTACGTCTGGAAAATTACAGGGCTGACGGCACGAGCGTGAATTTCATCAGTGATTATGAGATTATTCATAAGACGCACGCAAAGTAAATGATGGCGTTGCATCCACCAATCTGCTGGAAAAGCTGACTGGAAGCACCGATGAGCGTGCGCCTAAAGTGCTGTGAAGGACCGCCGGTGAAGACGTGTTTAATTTGAAGTTCTCCGACAGACTCGAGGGCTTCGACAATGACGCGCTTTTGCTGTTGGGTAGCCTCCGAGTCGACGCGTTCAGCACTCAAGGCCGCAACGACATGTTCTCCCTCCACGGTTTGTCCGGTAGACAGTAGGTAACGCGGAGACTCGGGTAGTTGAGAAATACCTAGGATAAGTAACATTGCGAATATGATCTGAAGACCGATGGGGAGACGCCACGAGAGTGACGTATCGATATAGGACAGTCCAAAATCGATCCAATACGCAATGACTATATTTGCGATCAGTTTCCAATCGCATAACTAGAATGAAGAGTCGGTCATACCAGTGCCCATAGCGATCATACTTGCTTCAATGCAAATATGGAGACCTCGGTTGTGAGCCTTTGAGCACTCTGCTTGCCAACTGGGGATCGTTGCGGTATTGAGACCGTTTCCGAAACCCGTGACGATACGTCCAATCACGAATTGATGCCCGGCTTTATGACTGCACATGAGATATGGAGAAACGTAAGTCCTAATTCATCGGAAACGAAAGGGATCATTCAACGTACCCAGGCATAGAAGTGATCTGGATAAGGGCTCCGATGGAGACCCAGAAAGCGCCTGCCGGAACCCCGTCAGTGAATACAACTGATAGAACGTGAAAACATGCAAATTCACCGATCATGATGATCTTTCTGCGTCCCAGTTTATTGCCGAACATGAGGGCGAAGATCGCCCCTGCAAGGCATCCAACTTCATAGATGGCGGTGTAGAATGCCTGCATTGTGGACGAGTGCTTGCTTCCAACATTGTCTGGATTGAGATCCGGAAATACTCGATAGAACTGAGGAGCAGAGATGATCCCCGACATCTGCGAAGTGTATGTTCATCAGAAGAGAAGAAGGGTCACAGGACGGGAAGACGCACGACTCCCTGGTCATATCCAAACAATAGAAATCCTAAGACTGGTCAGATGCCGCCCTGGACAATGTGGAAAGGGCCTATCTCACCGAGAGTAGCAGTAATAGTGACAGCCGTAAGGAGCCTATCGCCAGTAAGTCCCATGTAATGAGGTATGCCATCCTTGACAGTGGCGCGAACGCTCTCCGTGGAGACTTTTGCCTCGTACTTCTCAGATGGGGGAGAGTCGGTCATGACAGTCTTCAAGATAGATGTCAATGGTAGAGATAAGCAATAGAAGTCAGGATGTGAGCAAGCCTCAAATCGGAAAGCTTGCTGGAAGTCGGACTGTTATTGGCGGATAGATCAAATCACGCGTAAGCAGACAGCGACTGGAGGGAAACAAAGAAGCCATCTCGACGTTATCCCGTCTTATATACAAAAATAAAGGCAGTTTAGTAAGTCCGAAGCTTTTAGAGCTAGTGACGCACCAAGGTACACCACGCGGAAAAGTATTCCTGATCGCCCTTGGCGAAACGTAACATAAATAGAACCTCTCCACACTCCTCCCGTGGAAATTCGAAGTACACTGTATTTCATTTCCATACTCATAGTTTTTCCGTTCGCCCGTTCTCTTTGATCCAACATTCACGATTCTTTCTGGCATCACATATTTCGACTCTGCGACCAACGACCGATCAGAAAACCAGTAAGTCCGGATGTTGTTATAAACCAATTATTTGTGGGGCGTCGAACCTTGTTTTAGGAATCAGCTCCACAATCATGCAGCCATGTAACCGAGAGCGGACCTATGAATTTGTACTGCCGACTAGCGCGCATCGGGTCGGGTTGTTTCGGGTGTCTGCCAGCATTCTTGGTCCTAACACGCCTTCGGAAGAGAATAATTTCTGTATATTTATAGCATTAAGGAGCGCTATGAATGGTACCAGAAGCACCGCTAAAATTAGCAGAGTAAATGCGAAATGCTTCAGCGAACAATGAACAACGAATTGTCAATCCTGAAAGTTGAAGCACCTACTTTGGGTCTCCCAAGCTCCAAATCAGTACGGCCCGGTGGCCCATGTTTCTTCCGGGCTGAATTACTAAACACGAAAATTAGTGTGGCGCCAGACTGATGTAGCTCTTTATCAAATGTTAGTAATGACTTGAACGGCGCGGAGCTCGAACAGCACTTACCAGCCTACAAATTCTCGTAGGGCCAACTAGGAATCCTGAAAAGCCGCATGAGAATATGGCAGATATGAGAAATCTCAGCAAGGTGTTTCACTCCTCGTGTCTTGTTAAATATTTTAATAGATCGAATCATCCAATGACTGTGCGTGCTGTAAGGACAGACTCGCGGCCGCAGGAACTGCAGAAGCATAGCTAAAAAGAAGGTTGGCGGATGAGCGTGAGCGAGCCAGTAAGGCAGCTGAGAGCCATTAGAAAGTGATCATTATCAGCATCTACGGCGGCCTCGAGAAAAGCGGCTCGAAAAAGGACATAGAAACTTAGCTCACTTGCGAGGCCATCGCGCAGTACTGGTAGAAACGATCCGCCTGAAAGTTAACAGTTGCTGCCTAGATGCGAGCTAGAGCAGCCATCAAGACGAATTTCAGAGAGAGTACGCACTGGAGACAGACATATGCTGAGACATGACAGACCCAAATGGATGTATACCCAAAAATACGAGATTAGCATGCAGTCATACTGTAGCCTCAGAAGCACTTGAGCAAATTAGGACGAGCTTGTCGGTAACGGCATACGTAGTCGGGTCGTATACAGCGTTCATTTCAAAAAGCGATGGCATCAAGGATTCAGCATCGGGAGTTACACGTGGTGGCGCTTCCTCGAAATGGACAACGGCGGCCCGTGGGGGCACACCAGATACGGGCCGAAGAGCGCTTGTAGCAAATAGGGTGGACATGTTCCAGACTGGAACTCAAGTCACTATGGGGCTGGAATGAAAGTTAGGTGATCTGTTCGAAGTCTAGCCAGCATATCTATGATTGTACGGAGCAAATGTTGCCTCGCTACTTGTTAAGCGGTAGCTTCCAGAGCCTTTCATCCTTTCAAGTTCACATGAACAGCGATCTATGCAATTGCATAAATGTCAGCTATTCTAATCCAAAGTTAGATTGAAGAGATGTAAGTTTTCAGTGCAATGCAAGTTCGAGGACCTGGTAGATGAGACACCAAGTCTTTTATGTAAGCCATAAGACAGTTGTCGGCGTTTCGTGGGATGGGATACTACATCATAGGCACGGATTCTATGTATCGAGTAACGAGTAACAAGATAGTGACAGTTCTGGGAATACGATGAATAAAGTACATCCACCTCCATGGAACGTAGTGACACGCTGTCGTTCCCTTAAGCTACCATGGTCCAACGGCAGTCGAATGATGACAAACAGTCTGATATCCATCCGGGATTCCTCATGACCAGGAAATGGGGGAAAGCGCCACCTAGAGGCCGAACATGTCCAATAGAATGTGGATCAACCCTGGATAAGATGGGCTGATCGGTGGGGAAATTGGGGTCCTGATATTGATTCGTGGGGGCGGGGCATCGTCAGGGCGTGGAAGTGCAGAAGAAGCACTCGCCGACCATACGCAAACAAAACAAAGCTCTCGGCTTTGATCTATCAAAGAAATCAGAGTTTATTCTTCGGAGACCACTAATAATCACCCACATTCCTTGAATATTTCGGTCACCAATAAATATGCGACCCTGAGGGGTAGCGTTGCTTGCGCTTGTAGCGAAAAATGACAAAAATGATGACCCCAATGGCTAAAACAACTACAGCGCATACAACCCCACTAGCGATGGTTACGTCCCTCCGACCTTTGCTGACAACAGAAGTATCTGTGTTTCCAGAGGCTGGTGCTGAGGAAGTAGGATTGGAGGAGGATACTTGGGATTTGGAAGGATAGGACAAAACCGTGTCCGACTCAATTTGGATGATCGAGCCGGAGGCGACAACGGTCTGTGGAACAATTATTGTAATAGATTGGACTTCTTGAGTCGTGATGGTATTTGTGGACGACACGTTCCACACGTCCCGATCGTTATTACGCGCTCCAGTCATGCTAGGAAAAGGATATACGGGAGAGTACGACCCTTATGAAGGGAGTTCGCAGGCTCCACGTATCAATTGTACTGCTATCGTACCCCGGTTAAAGAACAGAGTTCGGGATGTCTTGGCACGAGTTGACCGTGGTAAGGCGACTCTCACGAGTTATCGCTGCTGATCAAGGGAAATGCCTAGCACTGTACAACGATGCGAGTGCGAGGGCTAAATCCCAGATAAAGGAGCAAGAAGTCTGATCTCTCTGTTGGTAAACACCGATGCGTGGGTTATTAGGTGATAGCGACCATGAAGTGGGCATCAAGCACGCGATTTAGATGCAAAAATTTGGGATATAGCTGTGAGAAACCCTTCTAGAAGTCCTAGACTATAGTCCTGAAGCCTTTCGGAGAATACAAAGTTCAGAGGAAGAGGTTAAGATAGTCGAAGATAGAAGCTCGTCCCTCGCTAGTCTTCAATGTCCAGGGGATAAGAGATACCATAGGCAGCTTATTGGAGAGGTCAGAAAGTTGAAATCGGTGCTTCTGTCATCTCTACTGGAACCAAGGAATGAAAATTGCTACGAATCTTTGGCGTCAAGTTCACAAATGACTCCAACGTCCTGTTCAGCTCATCAGTTCGACTGCATTCATGTATCAGTCAAAATTTGCGCCCTACCTAGGCCTCTGGTAATTGGTTCCGGTTCCTAGATGACAGCAAGAGGAGAGGTACCGTGATTGCGAAAGCGAACTTGGAAGAATCGAGCCAGATCTGTTTCGGCCCGAAAGTTCCGATGTCCACCTTGCTCGGAATGAGCCGGTTCAGGCTTGGACAACCACCGCATTCACAATCAAGAAGAGGTTCCCGTGAGTTCAATTATGATGGTTAACTCAAGGAAATGATTTATATAATGTTGGTCTTAGGATTGGCTGAAATGGCATGATTTCTCGATCTACCGTAAGAAATCGTCGATGACATTGTTGACAATCTGCAAGATGATCGTTCCGTCTTGATTTCCCTTCTTTCCGTCTCTCGACCATCGCGCTCTCGTGCACGAGTCTATTTATTTCGTATCATAAAAATCAAGCACATCCGGGACTTCAATTTGCTTTGTGTACTCTGTCGGCTGAAATACCGCCGCTCGTCAAAACGCTATACCTCTCTTGATCTTAAATTCACTTTCGCTGCTTTGGAAACTCTCCGTCGTCTTGTTAATGTCGACACGTTGTATCTTAACTCCTCCAACTCCCCTATCCTACAAGATGTTCTAAATGTTTTGTCGCCATTGTCTGTGACTACTCTGGTTCTCAGGCATGTTACATTCCAGGGCAACCCAGGTATTCACGAGATCTTCACTATGTTCTCCGGAATCAAGTGTTTCTCTGCTTATTCTGTTTTCGTCGAACCGTATGCTGTTGACGAGTGGCACAAAGGACCCCTCATAGATGAGCTCTCCCTGTACGACTCGTCGACCTTGGTATCCATCATGCCACATTCTGTCTTTCGTAGGCTTCGAAAATTGTCCATTGAAGGGTCCATCTCCGGAACATTTGAGACCACTCAGACACTCATGGATGTTACCCGCAACACGCTTCGAGAATTGTGCCTCATCAACCCTTCTGTGGAACGTAAGTGGCTTTTACAGGGGAGCGATGTCCACTAACAATTTCTTATGTAGAGAGAGGCTGGGGGTCTCTTAATGATCCGAATATCAATCGCATTCGGTCGCTCACCCTTCGAGTCTACGTCGGTGCCAGCCCACCCTACGCGGCCTATGCCTTCACGGACTTGCAGTGGTTGGCGCATGCTCTGAGCAAGATGCAAGGAGATGCGTCTTTACCTGAGCTTCACATCGTTTTCCAGATCGAGGATATCAACCTTCTCATAGTGGAGGGCATGGAGGATAATAAGCAGGATAGCCTCCTTATATGGCGTCTCACAAAGACTTGCGAATTACCTTGACCACTTGGAAAGGACCTCAGGAAATTCTTCTAGACGAGACTTCCTATCTGGAGGCATGGGAAAAATGGCTAAGACGCGTTTTTAATGATTTCCCTTCCACGAAACCCTTCAATATTCAATATCAATATGCGCAAGACAGTCAATTGCAAACCTTCTGGTGGGAAGATTTTTAATCCAGTACATCTCAACACGATTCCGTTTTTCCGACATTCACACCTGATTTCTCTCCGGACGGCATGTTTTGCATCATCTCAGTACACATTATCTTAGCCTATCTTAGCGGCCTGAATCATGCACGTGGTTGGGTTGTGAAAGTTTGGCGGTAGGTCTGCTTCTCGTTTGTGATGTTTCTCAAACTGTGTCCAGTTCTTTATCTATCTAGGTTACCATTGCGTACTTGCTCTATTTTTATAGCATCTACGTCGTAGAATCCGACCGCCAATAAATGAATGTTGAACTTCACTCGATGCTATGCCAGGTTAGCGCCTCCGCCGCTGTTATCGTTACGCAGTATCCTGCTCGCCAAAAACCGAAGCCTCGGACGCTTATCCATGATACTTCGACTTTATAGCGTTCAGCCTGACCGCATGCCGGTCGTGCGTACATCTACGCGAGTCCGAATAGCCAAAGGTCGGGACCTGCCTGGAGCGGGACCATGGTTCGGAGCGGCGGCTTAAGGCTACCATGCCGACATCCTGGATAAAACCTACCTTCTCTTTCTCGCTGGCATAGATAAACCAAGTAAAGTGAGTACATTCCTGCCGGGACGTGACGCAAGTGATTTGAATCACTGTGTAGAGCAAACAGAATGCAAGACCTGTGACGAGATCAATGCCAGGTTCGGCGCTTCTCTGTGGCTACCACGGGAGGCGATCAAAATATTAAATGCGCTGTGCGCATCTGTTCCCGATAACTACCGCTTCCGAGGGCACTCTGGTCTTTCAGTATGTATCAAAGAAGCTTCTCAATGCGAAAAGAGTGCTCACACTTGTCACCGCCTACCTCATCATCTTGATTATAACCGCCTATAAGACGAATGTTCGTAGCGGGGGTATGCTTTCGCTGCACTATATCCCTTTGTTTGTGGCCTAGCGCGCTAACCTGAGGTATCGGTGATCATATGTCCGTGCCTCACCTTTGTGCCCGACCTCTTCTAGACCTCAATTCTCCAGATTGCTGAATATCTTTCGGAACCTCACCCGCCCCTGGGCCACACACATTGGCAGCTGCATGCCTGGCTACTCTGTGTAGACGAAAAAGATTGAATATCTAACAGCGCCAACGTAACAACGGCCTCTTGTCCACAGCGGGAGGTCGTTTGAATACTTAGCCAAGTCAGCGACAGTTCAGAAATTTCCCTCCCCGCAATTTGTTCCCCCACTCCTCCTTCTTTTCGTCTCGGCGGTGCGGTACTCGATCAATTCCATCATCTTCAGCCAATTCATCGTTGCTTCTCGAATGCCCCGCGCCATTCAATCCAGCTACGTCAGTACCATGAGATCTTCCGCAGATCCCACTTCGCCGTTGACACCAGATGGTTCCGATCATGCTAGTTTGTTCCCCGCGTATGGAGAATTCGTCGACTGTAGGTCCCCGTTGTCTCGTGTATAACGATACATGTATCTAATACTCAACTCTAGGCGAAGCTTTGAGAGCTCAGACTCTCAATGCTGATGGAACGCCCAAGCGACCAATGAATGCGTTCATGATCTTTGCCCGTCTGAGGCGCCCACAAATCTCTGCCGAAGATCATAGTCTCCGCACTGGGGACATCAGCAAGATTTTGAGTAAAGAATGGGCCACAATGTCCTTTGTCAGTTATTTTTCTTACAATCTTTAGGACAGATTTATTAATATTCTGTCGTTTTAGAGCGACAAGGAATGGTACCAAGACCAGGCTAAAAAGCTGAAGGTGGAGTTCAAGAAAAAGTATCCTCATTATGTCTACCGTCGCAAGTCCACTCGTAGACGGCAGCAACTTCCTTCTGACTCAGCTGTTGGTCGCATTGACGATAGCGCTGCGTGGCAATCTGGATGGTTAGAAAGTCAAGAGAGCGACCTGGAAGATTCATGGTCGGGACGTTCTGTTATGGAGGATCCGGCACTGGATGCGATAATGAGTGCACGGGCCAGCCAGCTCCTGCATGAAGATACTTACAGGATGCGTAGAGAGGTGTCCTATTCCAAGTTGTATGGGACGAACGATGTTCTTCGTCGTATGTGTTTTTTCAGCAAGTTAAAAATATCTACTTACATTGCCTTTGAGCATAGGTCTATCACAGTTTCCTCCCGCTCATGTTCCATCGTACCACGTCCCTAGCTTCTTAGATACCTCGTTTTGCGCGGGTCCATCGAACTCGCCCTACAGGACGCCTATGACCCATTCCTTTACCTGATACTCCCAGGCATGGCATATCAACCATTCCCTACGCTCTGTTACGACTATGATACATGTAATCTTCCTCACGAACATCTTTTGAATATTGCTATACTTCTGCACTACTGTAGCACCGTTTGTACTTCTGTAACACTACCCCAAATAGATTTACTGGTCCATAATCCTGCTAGGACAAGTGTACATCATTGTATGACGAACTCTTGAATGAGCGAAAGTGAAAGTCCGGTATCGTATAATACGTCCACCGTGATTGAGTCCAATCGCGACTAGCATATAACACACCACCCATCGTCCCGAGGCTTTTCCAGCCTCGCCTCAATATAACATCTTCCTCGGCCAAGTTTGCCCGTACACGGGACACTAAGAATATCCTTACCACGACCGCGGTGGTCAGGGATAAGCTGTGCCGTTGATCGCAGCGGCACTTCCGCCTTGGGAGTGACAAGATGACCATCGAACCACGTCGGCGGGGACTCTGATAGGAGCGACAGAATCACCCTTGGTGCTGGCTGAGTCTGATGTGAGAGAGACCAAAGTCGGCCTCGCGCAATGAACTCGACGTCTCCGCCATCCCAATCGAACTGAGCTTGGAACCCTTCTGCATCGCCTTGTTCGATGACATTGACAAGCGGTCTGAACCCTATCCACCCGCGAATTTTCTGAAAGAAGGGGTTGCCTTCGCCACGAAGGAGACATGCGAGCTTGATATCCTCCATCGTGGGTGAAACAGCGGGTATTGGAGCTGCATGCAAGAGCAAAGCCCTCAAGATTCCATCGCCTCTCACATTCTTCACAGCAGCAAATAGCAAGCAACGGTTCGAGTCCTTCCTTTTCAACGACGCCGTGGATGCGTTCTTGCTGAGACTACCGCATTGAACCTTTCCACTCCGATCCCTCAGGACACTGCCCAGAGTGAGTTTACCGCCGGTTAACTTGCAGGCATTCTCCAGGACGGCCAGCACGCCTTCTTCTCCCTCAACGAGCTGTGGTACGATCTCCTTGATCGCCTCACGAAGCTCTCGTTCTGTCTTGGACTTGGACGCGAAAAAGCGGGACTGGCGTTGCTGTGTACGAAGTAGGAGCTCGTTGGAGGTGCGCAGAAGAGGTGAAGGGGACTCAAGCTGAGGTGCAACGGTCGAACGACGTGGCACGGTATTGGATCTGCCAGGACTGACCCGAGCTGTCTGGAATACGGGCTCAGTGACAGATCGTTGGGCATTAGGGTGTGCAGTTCGCCTCCGCCGTCGCTCGCGAATAGGTTCGGGCACTTGAGGACTTCGTGTGCTATTACGTCGACGTGGGTGTACTGGTGGGGAAGGCCGGGAGGTGACACGGTTAACCGTATCGGCCCGACGATCACGTCGAGGGCGGGGGGTCGGCGGGTAAGTGATTGGTTCCGGCATTGTCGGCTGGGAAGGTGTCGGGCGTGGACTAGGCAGCGATGCCGGCTCGGATGCGATCGGCTCAGCCGGCGGAAGAGGCGGAAGAGGAGCATCGCGATGTTGCACCAATGCAAACGCTGATGATTCACCAAGGTCTGCATTCAGCACTGATTGATAAGACGGCGGCAGGTCAAGGTCCTCTTCAAGGTTGCTTTGAGACCAGGACAACGAGTGGGATGGTGCCATTTCCTGCAAGCATTGTGGTCGGTATTCATTGCGAAGACCCAGAGACGGTACATACCTAACTAGAGCTGTAGCTCGTAGTGCTCGCTGTGCAGTGGTGGTCGTCAAAAGCAACTGGCACGTTTGATGAAACTGATATGATCTGGGGTAGAATGGCAGTGCTGAGCCCCTCTTACGCGACTGCGTGTGGCTGTTGTGGCGGCAGAAGGTAGAAACAGCCCGAAAGATGATTGAGACGAACGAATCAAAACAGACCTCGTGCAGCAATGGAAGAGAACCTGGCAGACTCGTGAACAGTTCGACGGATTCTAGTTGGACGACAGGAACGCAATATCAACGTTGTCGTAAACTTGCATAGCCCTTCCGGTTCAGACAGACACAAGTTGAAGGGTCCATGTGTTTCAATTTTCAATGCGAGTGCGGGATAAGTTGAGGAGATTCTAATAAATAAACAAAATAAATAAATAGCAGCTCCTTCCTAATTTGTACACCAGATTTTTTTTGCACTCCAGGTCCAACGTCCATCTCATGCCTGATTCTTTCTTTACATCCTCCAAACCTCGGAAAAGGAAGCGCACAAACGATGCGGGGCCCAGTAGTTCCAAAAAAGTCCCGCGTAAGGGCGCGCAACAGAACGGTGTCAGATTCCAAGGTCCCAAGTCCAATGGTGCCCAGAAGAAGAGGAAGACAGCCGACGAGGAGCTGGATTCTGACCATCCTGACGACGACGCGGGAGACATAGATGATATAGACCTCAGGGCGCCGAGTGATGACGATGAAGTCAGTGGGGAGGAGGATCCAGACGAAACACCAGCCGAGAAACGATTGAGACTGGCTCAGTTGTATATTGACGGTGTCAAGGAAGGGCTGAAATTAGGTTCGTCTGTGTTCCGCTGCATGAGACAATTTACTAAGTATTTGAACCAGCCGACGGTGAATTCGACGCGGCTGAGATTGACCGAGAACTCATTACTGCCAGGCTGAAGCAGGACGTACTAGAGCATTCAGGAAAAATACATCTCTTCATCGCAGACTCCGTTCGTGCATTCTGTATTACAACTTCATCTCTCTCACTGACGTCTTTGTCCAAAGTTTGACTTTTCTGAACCTCCCAAGACTATATTTCGCACCAAAACATCCAAGTCTTCCGTTACATGTGCCGTGGCTGCAGAATCCGGGCAATATCTCTTCACGTCAGAAAAGGATGGCACCATCACAAAATGGGATCTAACGTCCAGAAAGAAGGCGGCAATATTCCACTCAATACGAACTCAGGCGAAAGGGAAAGGGAAAGCGCAGGCATCTGGTGAGGAGGTCAAGGGTCACACTGACGAGGTTTTGGCGTTGGCTCTAAGCGATGATGGAAAATACCTTGCAAGTGGAGGCAAGGATCGTAGACTCGGAGTGTGGGACGCGGAGAATGCACAGTGGATAAGAGGGTTCATTGAGCCAATGTGTCACAAAGATACAATATCAGTACGTTCGTCCTCTCGACTAGGGTCTTTCGTCGCGAATTCATTCACTTTTATATAGGCGTTATCCTTCCGTAAAGGCACGCATCAACTATACTCAGGCTCATTAGACCGATCACTCAAAGTATTCGATTTATCTCCTGGAGTTATGGGCTACGTCGAGACGCTTTTCGGCCATCAGGATCATGTCGTTGCTCTTGACTCCCTGCGAGGTGAGACGTGCGTAAGTGTGGGCGCACGAGACAAGACAGCGCGGTATTGGAAAATAGTAGAAGAGACGCAGCTCGTGTTTCGAGGCGGAGGACGTAGCCGTGTGCGAGACGTTTTGGAAGGGGGTCTTGCTGATCAGGAAGACGGCGAGCCTGAGCCTAAACGAGACGTTACGATGAAGTTCGTTGAGGGGCGCCTCGAATGTGTCGCGATGATTGACGAATCCATGTTCGTCAGTGGTGGGGACAGTGGGTGCGTCTTTTCCATGTTTACTGCTGCGGAAAGAAGGTTAATTACTTGTATCCAGATCCATATGTCTATGGATGACACAGAAAAAGAAGCCAGTGTTCACTCAGCCTTTGAGCCATGGCTTCAACGAAGTTTCTTCGGAAACCGAGGGCATTATAAAGACACCTCGGTGGGTAACAGCCCTAGCCAGTCTCCGATATTCTGATTTGTTCGCATCTGGTTTGTCTCTCGCAACCATCTCATCTTCGTGACGCTCACGTTCCATCCTTAGGCTCATGGGAGGGCGATATAAGACTGTGGAAGCTCGATTCTAAATTGAAGTCCTTTTCCCTAGTAGGCACAATACCGGCGCTTGGCGTGGTCAATTCCCTGCAGTTTGTGTCTCCCCCAAAAAGCTTCTTCGATGGAGCGGAATGGACGAAGGAAGGACAACTTGGCACTGACGGCGCGTCAAAGCGGAGGGATGCGGGTCGGTATTTGCTAATCGCTGGCATGGGTCGGGAACACAAGTTCGGACGTTGGCAGAATGTTAAAGAGGGCTGGAATCGCGCTTTGGTTGTCGCACTTTCGCCTCGGACATCATCATAACGTTTTTGGATTCCTACGAAACTTGTTCTATGTGCTAGTAGGTAGACAACTACACCCGGCGATCTTACACGTTTCTATCCATGCTACCATTTACCTCACCACTCATAAATCCATCATGAAAGTATACAAGAAGGTAACAACTCTAAAAGAAGGTGACAAACCATATCCTTGATGGACGTTGGCGGAATATATCTCAAAGTCTTGCTTGAGCCGTAGTTTTCGACGACGTCAAAGCTGCCCAAATCTTCTCTGCCAAACCAGTAGGGTTCATCTGAACAACCTAAGAAAGCGTGAGACTTTGATGAAGTCCAAAAATAGACACTTACTAGGTGTCCTCCACCCTCGACTCGGGAGACAGATGCCAGATTCTCAATGCCTCCACACGCGTTGTTAATTATATCATCTTTAATCTCTGGTGGCCTTGAAACGGGCGTCTCACGATGATAAAGACGAACAAGTGCTGTAATGCTTACAGGATGTCATCAATAGCACCATAGATCAGGTGTATTGGAAGCAGCTTGACGAAATGCGCCATACCGCGATATGCTCGGGAAATACCTAAACTGTCGCGGTAACAGGCCTGCTCAAATGTCTAGCATTCATAAAATCTTTGGCGAGGCTACACGTACGATCTCCTGCTTCCTAGAGCATTTTAGAGTGACGCCGTTGACCTGGTCTGGGTAGTCCATCGTAGGTAGTGACCGAAGGCCGTGTTCCTTTTATCGATAAGCCGACCAAGTACTTCATTAGGTTCATGCTTACCACAAAAAGTCGTAGCACTCGATCGTCCCACACCTGCCATGCTTTTCGGCCTTTCATAGTGGCATAGGCTTCCTCCTTTGATGGCCATGTATCTCTGCGGCTGCCGGAGGCGCTCGAGAGAAATGTTCCGGGACCCCGGCTATGCTCCTGGTTCATGGTCATCAGCTCAACCAGGATTAGAGATTCGAAGGTAGGACGGGGATTGAACGTTAAGGATAAAAGCCTGTGATTTACGTGGTTAGGGCCAACGGATCTAACTAGAATGAAACTTCCTACAGAGATACAGCTCCCATTGAGTGCCCTATACCCACAAGACAACGGCTGGTAAAGTCCACGTCGACACCAGTGCCTAACCCCATTAACAGTGCGTGTATACTGCGGGCGTATTCTTCCCATCGAACTGCAACACAGCGTCTACGTTATTCGAAGAGAATGTATTGATTTTCGCGTACATGTCTCTTCATAACCCCATTGCAGAACTTCTTCGTTTAATATAGCAGCGTCACCGTGGTTAGACGCGTCTATCGACCAAACCTCACGGATTTTAAGGCCGCCACGTTTTTCGATAAGGGAGAACAAGTCCTCGACGGTAGGTTCCCATTGTTCTTTGTGAAATCCTGTTCCATGAGCAAATATCAAGGTCAGAGCGTCGTTATCCTCAAGAAACGGCGAGGAGGGTTTCCAGTATCGCTTGACGGTCGATACAAGGGGGTAACTGGGCCTAGGATCAAAAACGTAGGACTGGGAGGACAAGGGAGCCATCAAGGATACCGGTGGATCATCGAAGTTAAGTACAAGTGTAGTTTTTCACGTGCAGGTACCGGGCCGGGATACCACCGGGTCATTGAGCAACCGAATCCGATCGCGACAGCAAACGCGCTTTGTCACGCGACTATTTGTCTCTATTTGACTGAAGCGTTACGGTCAATTTCCCGGCCTCTCCGAAGAACACAACTCGAGCCGGCACGCCAATGCTCTCCTCTTCACGGTCGTCGTTAAAACGCGGCCACTCCTATCTCCTCAAGAAAAATTTTCAGTGCATCTCTGCTGTGGTATCTCGTAGGTGTCTGCAATTTTTCACATATCACTACCTTACAATTTTCCCAGAATGTCCTAGGAGACATACGTCCACCGCGACACAACCAGCAGAGCCGTCTTCATCTACAGAGCTGTGTAGCACCCCTTGGAAATTCGAGCCTGATACGGCTTTCCAACAATCCCGACATGGAACCACCCTCGCCCGGTGTAATACAGCTATACATGACGCCTTCAAACGGCGCGACATACGAACTTGCTTTGAAACAGCGATGAACATGAAGAAAAACGGAATTGCCCCAGATACGACGACCTATAATGCTCTGTCATTGGCGACGGCTTATGGTTCAAACTCACTGGATGCTTTTGCGGTTTACGAAGACATGGTGTCGTGCGGGGTGGAACCCAATGTCGCTACCTTCAATCACCTTATTTTTGTAAGTTGTTATCTCGTCTTTTGATTGCTTACTCAATGAATCTCTAGGCTGTCAAGGACAAAACCACCACGCAAGTTTGGTACATCCTCGATCTAATGACCCAAAAAGGTCTACGCCCCAATGGCGAAACCTACCAATTGATTATCCAGTTCTTCACCGCTGGTAAAAACGTGGAGAATGCCTTACAATTCCTGCATGAAATGAAACAGGCCGGTTTTGAACCGTCACTCCGAACAGTCCAGGATATGGTCGTCGTCGTAGCTGAGCAAGGGTACAGCAGGTTAGCAGTGGATCTCGCAACAGAGTTCGAGGAAACTTCCGTCCGAAGACTTGGTCCCGAGCCGTGGCTTAGCTGCTTGATTGCTTCTGCAGAGGATGTTTGGGTGGGTAGCATAATGCTTCTGTGGGTTTCCTCGACACTTATAATTAATAGGATGAAGGGGTGCAGCGGTGTTGGGAGATTGTCGTCAAACGATTTAATATCAACCCAGATGAAGGCCTCTGTCTTGCGGTGCTCACAACAGCAGCTCGGCACGGTCTGTCCGACTTGGCGACAGAAGTCCTAGGCGCGCTAAAGACTGCCGGAGTTCAATGGCGGGAGTATCACGTTGCGCCCCTCGTCGAGGCGCTCTGCCGAGCTGGTCGTCTAAAAGAGGCTATCCTCTCCTTGAATATCATGCGATCAAACAACATCCTCCCACTACGTTCAACGGCCTTCCCGATATCCGAAATAATATCAAAAGACGTAGACGCGCTAGATTCAGTCTGGCCAATTCTCGACGAGCTACAAGCTGAGAAAGCCACCATAGACGTTATTGCTTTGAACGCTATCATCGAATCCGCAGTCGCGCTAGGCGACCTCCAGCGTGCCGTTGGCACGTACAAGAGCTTCTCAGATTACAACGTTGTCCCCGATCGGGACACTTTCCGAACGCTCCTCGACGGTAGCATAGTGGCACGGCATCTACAACTCGGCACTATCATGCTAGAGGGCATGAAAGAGCTGGATATTGCGCCAGACGCAACAACGTACAGGCAAATGATAGAGCTTTGCCTAACGCAAGAGATATATGATGATGCGTTCATCCACCTGGAGGAGATGAAGGCTGCAGGCTTCAAACCTACTCAGGAGACGTACGAGGCTATTGTCGTGACGTGTGCATCTCGCGGAGACTATCGATATGAGATTGCTATGAAGGAGATGCAGGAACAAGGCTACCCGATAGCCAAAGACTTTGAGGTAGAAGTCTCTCAGATATACAACCGGAGCCTGGTTGCAGGGAATGGTCATTCAGGGTCCGAGGTGTATGAGCAAGACGACGGAGGTGACCGTCGATGATGCACTTTGGTGGTGGACTGCCTCAGGCGTGGTGGTTAGCTCGCCAAGCGCGCGGTCGGTGTTCAGTCGCAATACGAGACAAAAATCCATCTTATTCGCTCTGATACTCATACCTGAATCGCATTTCTAGACAAGGTGATTGAAATTGTAATGAATGACAAAGGCTTGAAGATCAAGCATAATCCTGCGGCAAATACACTATCGCCTTTACGACAGCCTTCTCCTCTGAGCGGTGCTGGCCTAAGTGGAATTGGGTCTCTCGTCAACGAGCTGCCCAACGAGACGGTCCTCAAACTCGTCGCCCTCTGATTCGATTACGCCCTAGTACTGATGTTTAAGCCGTTCGCTCGCGTCCACGGCTTCGTAGAAGAAGGCGGTGTAATCGACGTCTGGTTCGCTGCTACCTGCGGCGTCCAACTAACAACTGAATCAGTACTGACCTCATCCAAGTCACAAGACAAGGAAATACGTACAGAAGATTCTTGAGATGTTTCCTGCACCTCATTGGGCTGACTATCCTGCTGTACGTGACTACTGTTTTCCTCCACCTCAGTTAGTTGCGCTTCGAGCGCCGCTGCTTCGGCATCCAACCATTTCTCGCGCCTCAGTCCTGCAGCCATCTGGTCGTGCACGTCCATCTGGGCATTTCGTTTCTTCATCGCCTTTCGCTTGGAATTTCGATCAAATGCTTGCTGATTTCTGTGTGCTGTGAACATGAAGATGTGCTTTGTGTTTAGAGACGCGATGCATGTTTCGATATCGTTCGTTGGTTCGTAAATTTCCGATGGGATGGGGTCCTTGCCGGGCAGGAAACGGGGGTTAATGGCACCTAGCTTTCGATCCAACCTCTCGCGAAGCATGCGGCGGCGAAGACCGGCTTGGGCATTTTCGACTCGGCCTTCTTTGCGCTTTGAGGGAACGCGTTTCGTGGGGTCGGTAGATGGGGCGGTGTGTTTGGTAGTCTTGGTGGCAGAAAAGGTTCTCTGGATTTCCCTCGCAGGCTTGGACTTGGGATTAACGGAGTGAATTAGATTTTGTATGTTTAGTGAACTGTGGGGAAGCAGCATGGGCAGGTGGAACTCCATCTTGAAGAAGGGGAATTAAAGGGGAAGGAGTTAGAGAGGTGATGATGTGTGTGGGGAGTCTTGATGAGGGATAACGAAGTCAGCAGATATTGTGCCACCTTTTATACTTTGCAGGACCTGGCGCGTCTACATCTGGACAATGAACCTCAGCCACTCGGTCCGGAGCACCAACAATGACGCCACGCGCTCCCGATATTTTTTATTAAGGGTCTTTCAAATTTCCCCCCCCCCCTCTAATTGTAACCGTGATGGAGGCTCCAAAACCGTCCTGCGCCGTCTGCCAGAAAACTTCAGGAGAGGACTACGATATCAAACAATGCTCGGCCTGCAAAACGCGCCGATATTGCAGTAAGTGTTTTCCGAAGTCTACGCGTCAAGGGGCTCATTTTTTTCTGTCTCAGGTATTGATTGTCAGCGTACCGATTGGCCAACACACAAACGCGAATGTAACAAGAATAAGGCCGGCGCAAAATGGTATGACTGCCATCGACTTTGCCAGGATGGCTCGGAGCATTTCGGTGACCTTGAGCTTATCACCTGGAAATGTCCTGCGGACGGTACGGGCTGGGGTAATGTTTTTGTCGAAGAGGAGGAATACATGAAGAAGAAATTTACGGAAGAGTTTGGAGGCGATTTGAGGAAGCTCTTTGATCATTGGCCTCAGGCCTTCCGATGGCGGTGCTGTGGAATGGATGGTAGCATGACCTGGGGATGCGACCATCATGGTACTGGCGTCAAACCCTGTACATGCGACTTCTGCAAGTGAGTGGCACGTCTTGTATCTAAAAAAAAAGAGAATGCCTCTGATATACAAGACAGGATGGGAGAGCCTTTGCCGGACGATATTTACTTTGAGCAGAGTGCAGAAAGGATGGGCTTAACCTTGCCTCGAGGTCCTGATCCTCGTTCAAGAAATCCCTTTACTGGGCCAATGATAGGCGCGTTGAGGGATATTACGGCACTGTTTGATGAATCGATGAGTAGTCGAAGATGAAATAAATAAATTATCATTCAACTCTGCGGTAACCATTGCCATGTGCTTCCGTGAGATGATCGGCGTTTTGTTATATAACAATCAAACATTGAAACAAAGTATTTTAATGCCACAGGGGCTTGCCTATTTAAAGGTCAGCTAATTGCTACAGTTACTACACTATCCCTCACCTCACCTCCACCAAGTATGGCTCCATTCTCCCGCGAGAAATTTTGCGCTGTCTGCAATAAAAATGAAGGTGATGCATCCAATATCAAGCAATGCTCCGGCTGCAAGGCGCGCATGTACTGCAGTGAGTAACGCGTCGCATCTTATCACTGATCATCAATTTACTTGGAGTTATCCAGGCCTCGAATGCCAACGCGCTGGCCATCCCACAAATCCGAGTGCAAAAAGGGTGAAAAATGGTACGATCGTTATCGGCTGAGCCAGGATGGCTCCAAGCACTTTGGAAAACTCGAGCTTATCACCTGGAGGTGCCCTGACGAGGGTACGGGCTGGGGACACGTTATCTTGGAAGAGGAGGAGTATATGAAGAAGAAATTCCAGGATGAATATGGAGGCGACTCAAGGAAGTTTTACAAGTACTGGCCTCAGGGCTTTCGATGGACGTGTTGTGGCATGGACGGTAGTATGACTTGGGGTGCGATCATCATGGTACAGGTCCGTCACCTTGTACGTGCGACTTTTGCAAGTGAGTATTTTGGCCTTTTGTTTAAAAGACTCCTCGTCTGATGGGCCGATAGGATGGGAAAAGCTCTCCCGGATAGCATCTACCACGAACAGAGCGCGACGCGAATGGGTCTCCGTCTGCCGAGAGGACCGGATTCACGCTCCAAGGATCTTACAGCTGGAGGAATAGCCACCATGATGAGAGGGTTCCTTGGTCTCGATAATCCTTGATGATATTTGTCACGTTATCTCGTGGTCATTAAATCTCGTGTGCAGATTAGACGCCATGTATAATGTCATTTTTTGCTTCGTATTGTGCTGGACTATGTACCGTTCCAGGAGAGAAAGTTAGTCATAACATACAGAGACTTCATTACACGCGAAAATTTGTTCTAACTACTGCCATCAGAAAGATTAATAACAAAAATTGAATGATAAACGCTGTACTCTTAAACATACTCTAAATTACGGATTCCTCATAACGAGGCCCTCTTCTTTGTCTCCTCTGCAATAAATCCAGCGACCATGGCGCTGTTCACGTATTCTGTATATGAAGTGATCTTGGGAAGTTCACCGCCTTTGGGAGCAGCAAATTTGAAGATGAAGATGTATTCGTTGTGCCACTCCGTCCCGAGCTTGGAGACACTGTCAGATTGCGCCTGAAAATCATGTCAGTAGAAGTCGCACGATGTTTACGAAGACCTACATGGGCAACGATGGTGCTTTCCCCAGCTTCGATGACTTCGTGTACTTTCAGCTGAACAAAACATCAGGTTAAAGTACAGAACGTGAGATACGGGATAATACTCACAGACATGCCATCAAACGCAGGCAACACGGACGCAGAGAAGTACCCCTTGAATTGAGCTTTATTCATAGAAGGAACCGCCATCGCTTTCGGCAGAAGCGTAAACGTGAAGTCGTCATCATCAAAAGTAGCTAGGAGCCGCTCGGCGTCAAACGCATCGAAGGCGTTGACGTACTCGGCGAATGCTTTGTGGGCAGCAGAAGCGGTTGCGGGGGGTTCATATGCGACCATGATGGACGGGTTACAGCAATGGCGGGGATAGAGATTCCGTTATAAGTCCTGGAGCCGAGTTCCTTGTCATCATGTACTGCCTCCAGTAACACCACGGAGGCCGGGGGATCTCCCGTGAACCAGAGTGACAAAAGAGACGATCCGAGGAGCTAAGCAGACAAGAGAACAGTCTAAAGCCAATCAGTAGTCGTTTAATTTTGCCGACTGGCCAAGCATGGGGATGCATAACCAGAGTCAATTCCTAGCCGGGGGCGGCGAATTGATATCCAAGTCGATGGCTGTAATCTTTTTGATCAAAGTACAGGATCCAATTCCCGGTGCCGCCGAATCAGTAGAACAGATTACAGGACAGACGAGGCGGAAAGCAGCCCTGAGTACCGCACACGTTTGTGAAAGACAGGATGTCGTTCTTAGGTAAGTACTCAGAGGAAAAGAAACGGCCCGAATGACTCCGCGTCTGAGGCGTGGGAGCGTGAATACTTATCTCTGTCCTGCCGTCGCCGCGAAGACTATGAATCGATAGTATCCCCCAGCGCTATGATGTTACTCACATATAAACCCATCAAGGCGAAATTAGAACCCATTATTGCTATTTCGAAAATGTTTGGGCATCAGAACTTCAGCCTTCACAGTGTAGTGCTCACAGTTCAGTAGTCGTATATCAAACACATCCCTACACATCCTCGCCAGCTCATTATTATTAGCATTATCGGAAAACAGTGTGGACTCTGCGTCACGCGTGTTTAGCATGTAGACAGACTCGAATCATAATAACAGAGTACCACAATACTTATCACTAAACCCTAAAACTTCAACAGGAAGCTAGCTACCTATTTGTAACTAAATACGAACTGACCATCGAACATATCTTCAAAATTTACAATGATAGTTACTTTCTCTCCCCCTCAGAGCGACCCTATAGTAAAACTTCATTGGGGACGGCATAGGGCTGGGGGACTCGAGATTGAAGAAATCTTTCCACACGTTGCCAAGACGCGATAAGCCATTTCCCAAGCTAAGAAAGTATAACTAAGACCAGAGCGTACACAGACTGACAAAGAAGCGATACTCACTCCTTGCATATAGTCTTCTGCTGGCTTTGTTGATTCACGTTCACTGCACGCAATACTAGGTGGGACAGCCGGGCTTTTGGATGTTTGAGTACGTCGTAATACAACAGGAATTGTTGTTGAAGCCCAGTCGTCTGTAATTGATGGAGGGACACGTTTGGCACCCCGTCCAATCATTTCATTAAAGGGAGATGGCTGGGAGATGCTTGCAAGGTCCACCGCCTTCGTTGTTACGAAAATCTTGAAGAAGCAGACGTCCACGTCTTGGCCGTCTGGAACGGAAAATTCCACCTTTTGCATGCCACCGCTTCCGAAGCCAAGAGTGAGTGTTGAATTCCCTTGGAGGCAGGTGTCGATGGCAGTGTTCTGTTTAGAATTTCCCTGAATCGGGCAGTACCATTCCTCTGTAGTAGGGAAAGATGATCAATAAGCAGCCAGAATTTGCAATGTAAACATACCTATCTCCAGGGTAGAAGCGTCGAAGTAGAATAGATATGCGTATAGAGCGAGCTCGGACTCGTTATGAATTGTGAACCCATAATATTTCTTTCGAGACGAAGAGTCTATGACAAGCTCAACAGGCTTCCCTTCACCATCGGGCAGAATGCTGTCGCCAGTAGGCGATAAACTGCCTTTATCGAGCTTCAATTCGTGCATTTTTATAGAAATACCATACTGGGATATGGGAACTGAACCTGGTCTAGAAAGGTGAGAGCTGAACTGTGCGTAGCGATCAATGACCCTGCGAATCCTGGCGATGTCTTTGACAGCCACCGGGCGAGCTGGGAAACGTGAAGGAAAGTCCATGCTCGCACTAATGGTACCATTTTTATCTCCTCGGTCAAAGAAAACGGAGTTATCTTTCATCGTCAAGCAGAGATCCGCTTCAGACTGCCTTTCGGCGGCGATGGCTGGAACTGTGAGCTTGGGTTCACTGTCCTCCGCGAGGATGTGATTAAAGAGGTCTGAGCTATTGCAATGGATGGCGAGGTTGGATCCAGAAGCTTCCTTCAATTGCGCGTACCAGACAGGATGGTCTTGATACGTGGTGAAGAAAGCCTCGTCATGGAGCACAAGGTGAGAACAAAATGGTTCAACAGTAGTCACAACCGCAGTTGGTAGTTCGTTGTTTGGGTGAGATACATCTGTTTCATGGATTGCGAACGTGGAGCCAGGAGTGATACCATGAAGGGCCCCGGCCTCTAGCCTGAGGACAAGGCGGTCTGGGTCTTGGAGCTCCTTACGACGACATAGGATCATTGAACTATCCGCAGGACTCTCCCACGAGTCAAACAGATGTCGACGGATATGCTTCCCATCGAACTGTGGTGTCTGGCTATTTATACAAGTTGATCAGCTTAAAATGGTGCCAACCAAGTCAACACTTACGTTTCTGGGATATCAAGATGATGCAACAACGAAGCATACGTAAGAACGCCTGCTAGAGGCTTATCTCTCATGCACCTGAGTAGGGCATCCGTAAAGAGGCCGATTCCGTTTATCTCTGAGGCGGTTTGGCCACGTCTGCACGCTGCCAAAAGCACATGAGAGTCCCGAAGTGAACGTGAAAGGCTGGATCCCCGACGATAAATGTCTTCGTCGCAACCCGGAGAAAGATCGTGGACACTTCGGAAGTTCCGTGGTCGCACGTCCACCAGTTGACCTACACCAAGGTCAATGGGGCCCCTTGCCCCTCCCCCTCCCCGGTTGATTCCAGCGGCATGACAACAATCCAGAATCAATGTCTGAAAGGAAGTTAATGGTGTATATAGAGCTTGCGCTGAGATATGCGACGTACGATATTATTTCCCTTGGCTGCAGACAGATCTAGGAGAAGTTGACTAATCGTTCGATCCGGTATCCCATCTATGATCTTGTCATTTTGGTCTCGCAATCCTATGTCACTAGGACACAGCAGCTCGATCTCGTCTCCAGGCGTTTCCCAGTCCTTCCATTCGACTGGCTTATGAGCGATGGCCCCATGGCCTGCATAGTAAATAATGATGGCAGCCGTGCCCGAGACAATTCTTTCATCGCTTTCGAGCCTCTTGAATCCATCTATGATGGCAGATCTTGTTGCTTTTTCATCGCGAAGGCTAATGATATTCTCCTCCGGAGTTCCACGGTCCTTGCGTAGATATTCGTCAAATTTGTTAGCGTCGTTGACGGCACCTTGCAGGCTCTCCGATCTAAAAGTCTCCGATCGGTATGTGTCGATGCCAATAGTCAGTGCAAAAGTTTGGTAACTTCGCCTACATATTATCGATAAACTAGCATGGGGTCTCAAGACATGGAGGCTCACGATACAGGCTTGTCCGATACAGGTTTGTCCGGGTCGGGTCTACATCATGTTCAGAACGGTCAGCTGATATAGCCTCAAAAAATTAAATTCGACCGACTGGCTAGCTGAAGGAGGGTGATGTCTATTGCCAGAGTTAGCGTTGCCCATGTCAGGTGGAATGTAGCACTACAGCAAGTATCAATGAGGGATTGAGAAAAGGCGGGTGAGGTGCGGTAGTTAGAGCATTTTGAGTCTTTGTGAGAATATATAGTACATGCTTCATAAGCCTCGTTGCTTTCACAAATCGGAAAATCAGTACTGTATTCTACAATAGTCAATTGAACGTCCAAAAAATAGAAGCAGACTTAATCCTCACAATGATCGATGCTGAACCTTAGTGATCGCGGAGGAGTCGGGCGGCAAGGAGCCTAGGAATGCAGAGCGGTTACCGATCTCTATAATTCGCGATCGGAGACCAATTCAAGGTCCTGGGTTGTGATTAGGGACAACGGTAAGGAAAGCACCACCTCGGGAGATGTACGTCGTGGTAGTTGAACGGTAGAAGTGATACGTTCTGAATCTGCGAGCACCTTGAATCGATCACACGCGGTGCTAGCTCAGCAGCTGTTGCTTAGTCTGGCAACTCTTCACCAATCACGAGTGGGAAAGACCGAAGGCAACTTGCTGCATTTGCTGACATTGAAAGCAAAGATGAGCAGTGCCCTTTATGTTGAGCTTCGACTTAAGCGCGCATGCCCTAAAGGGTATGCAAATATTCCAGTCGCACCCTGGCAAGTACTTAGTCCCGGAACCAAAATGAGCGCAATGTAAGATACCTACTGTAGCTGATAATCACAAATTCAATATATGTCAGACTTTAAATATTTTGGTCAATAATATGTGTGACATAGGTAGAACGAGCCTGTAGCATTGGCCATGTTCCTCTTCAAGTTGGATGGCTACGCGAAGACCGAAGGTAAGAATGTACCTTCGCGTAAAATTGAACGGCAACTTTATGGGGTACAGCGGTGAATTTTTTGGATGATAAGGTTTCTTTCAGTCCTTGCATACCGTTCGTTAGCCATTGAGGAATCTGGGCATAAACTGAACAATGAGGTGCAGCTGTAGGGGAAAAGACTCACATGAGTATGTTTGTCCGGAGACGGATGCAACGTGGGTGAATTGATGGAAGTCACACAGACTTGCGGTGAATAGGAATCTAAAATTGGAGAAGAAACAGTAGACGATTCAGTACTATTTGTCTCATGCCTGTTTGCTTCCGAGATGTTCGACACCTTAGGTTGGGCGCGTCTCTGTATGACAGGTATCGTTATTGAAGCCCATGATTCTGTAAGATCGGGAGGAGGAGATCGGACAGGAGATTCACCACGGCTGGTCCTCAAATCCGAGAACGGTGAGGATTGTGAGATACTTCCGAGATCTACTGGCTTCGCGGTTGCAAACAACTTGAAGAAGCAGACGTCTACATCTTGGCCGTCTGGTACAGTGAATGTGAATGGGTTCATGCCACCGTTCCCGTAGCCAAGAGTAAGTGTTGAACGCTTTTGGAGGCTAGTGTCAACGGACCCTTGCTCCTCCTTCTTCAAGTTGTTGGGGCTCATTTTCGAGGAGTACCAAGCGTCTAAATGATTCAGAAGGTCAGTCATAGTATCGATATGAAATACGAACATGCCTATCTCAAAGCTGGTAGCGTCAAAGTAGAAGAGATACACGTATAGATCAACATCGGATACGTTACGGATTGTGAACCCATAACGAGGACATCGATCCCGAGAGAGAGATGTGTCTACGACGAACTCAATGGGCTTTTCGTCTTCCATAGCAGACAGCAAATTGTCGCCGACAGGAGTCAGACTGCATCCGTCCAGTTTATTCATTTCGATTGAAATGAATTGGGTGATAGGCAACGGACTTTGAATCGTCAATTGAGCGGTAAAGTGGGCAAAGTGATTAATGATTCTGAGGACGTGTGCATAGTCGCTGACTTGGGAAACATGAGGGAACCGTGAGGCAAACCCGATGCTCGGACCGAAGAGGTCGATTCTGTTCCCTCTGTCAAAAAAGACGACTTCGTCCCTTACCGTCAAACAGAGCTCTGCCTCGTCTGGGGTGTGGACGACAATAACAGGAACCGTAATCCTAGGTTCACAATCCTCACTGAGGATCCGGGTCAGGTAGTTCGGGTCATTGCAATAAGCGCTAAAGTTGGCGCCGGAAGCTTTGAGTAATCGGGCGTACCAGACACGACGGTTCTTATTGGAGGTCAGGAATGTAGGGTCCGAAGGCACGAGGAGGGAAGTGAATGTCTCTACTTTGTTGATGGTCACAGTTGCAAGTGGATGCTGTAGGTCCGAGAGATCTGTTCTAAAGATCCCAAACGTAGAACCGACGGTTACGCCATGAAGCAGCCCCGCATGTAGCACAAGGTGAGGTTCGCCGTGCTCATGGCGGCAGAGAATCATGGAACTATCTGCCGGTTCTTCCCATGAGTCAAACAGACGTCGAAGGGTATGTCTCCCTTCTAGATGCGGTGTTTGGCTATGAGTTGTTTCAGCTTAGAGCGGTGCGATTCACCAACACTTACAATGCTGGCATAATTAAACGATGTATCAATGACCTATACGTCAGTTCATTGATAGGGTTCTTTCCCATGATCTTGAGCAATTCGCGAGTAAAGATTCCGTGCCCATCTACCTCCCAGGCCGATTGACGACGATTGCATGCCGCCAGCAGTACATGCGAGTCCCAAAGCGAACCTGAAAATCCTGACATGACCTTCACTCCAGAAGATCCACGACAGAGTGTCGTAGAGTCACAACTGGCAGAAAGTTTTGGAGGGTTAAGGATCCGACGCGGCCTCGCGTTCGGTATGTCGGCGGGTTGCATTCCACGATTGATCCCAGCAGCATGGCAGCAGTCGAGAATCAGTGTCTAAAGAGTTGTTAACTTCATCGTATAAGTAGTCTAGATTTCAGCGACAAACGATATTATTCCCCTTGGCAGTTGCCAACTCTAGTAGAAGCTCGCTAATCGTTCGATCCGGAATACCCTCTACAACCTTATCGTTGACGTCCAGGATCCCAATATCTGTGGGACACAACACTTCGATTTCGTTGTCGTAGGTCTGCCAATCCGTCCATTCATCTGGCTTGGGAGCCACCGCGCCATGACCCGAATAGTATATGATCATGGCTGCCATTCCTTGGACAATTCTGGGATCGTGAATGAGGCTCCTGAATCCCTCGACGATAGCTTTTCTTGTCGCCTGCTGATTGCGGAGGCTGATGATGTTTTCCTTTGGGGTCCGTAGACCTTCGAGAAGATAATTCTGAAATCGGTCTGCATCAGCAACAGCAGCCTGTAGATTCCCGTACTCTCCGCATTCGTATTCGTTAATGCCAATCACTAGAGCAAGAATGCCACGAGTCTCTCTACAAAGTCCATTGTTTAGTCGGCCAGGCCCCAGCGCTATAGCACTCACGGAATAAGGGGTTCAACGCCATTCAATGTTGCTCCCTTTGCTACCCCAGCTGAAAGCGGGTTGTTCTCCATAGTATTCTTTGGAAGCCGGACGTCAGGAGGATTCCGGCTCTGCAAAGACTATTTTAGCCTACGACATATCGCTTAAAGTGCGAAAGTTGACGACTTACATCTCTCATTATATCCGCCCAACGTCCATCGTGAGCGTTAGAAAACTGAGAATCAGGAGAATGTGCCATCGGGGATAGTGGAGGGAGCCTCAAGCGTGCTCCAATTATACCCTCTAAGCAAGCTTCTTTCAGAGACCGACATTCGGAAACGAGTTCTGCCTGCCGTGTCAGCCTTCATTAACATTAATGCGAAGGCCACCGATGACGCTCCACTTAAAAGAATGTCTTTGGCTGTCAGTACCCATGTAAGTACTCAGTAATTCTGCAACCTCATAACATGGGTGCAAGACATACTCTATCGGACCCCTTAATAACGTCCAGCAATTCCCCACGGTAGCGGCACACCCACGAAATGCAGCGTCAGGACGTCGCATTGGCATGGAGCCCCTCTAGCTTTCTAGCAAGCGTACATTACTCATGAACAGTGTTGCCTTCCAAGTAAACAAAGAGATGGCATAGTCAATGGGGTACCGTATCAGGTGCAAATGTACCAAGCGCACGAGTCCGCCGCGCTGAAGGCACGAGGAACTGGTGTACATTCATCGTATGCCAACGGCGAGCGAGCCATCGAGTTCATGTGTGACGGACAACCCAGCGACGTCCAGGTCGTCAAGACATAAAAATGAAAGGACGGATTAATGAGTCAATCGCGGAGTAGAATTGAGTATGTCAAAGAACGTCTATGACAGAATCATATCGGAAAGTTTCAGGTACACTGCAAAAAAAACATTCATAATTCCCAGGGAACGTGATCTTGAAATTGCACCTCGCTCGCTACGGCCAAAGTCATAATTCCACCGTAAAGGAGAATTCGATTGAAACTCTCGCGGTCGTACATGTCTAGACATCTTCTGCCCGGTTGATTACAGTCTTTTAGGTCGGCGCGGCCTACCACAGGTCTACAATCCCTGCAAGAGACACCCCTTGCATCCTTCTTGGATGTTCCACTGTCAAACGTTCCTCCGACGACACGTCTCGTTTGTGCACCGAATCTGTGTGCAAAAGAGAAGCGGACGGCGCGTCTGCAACATCTGCAGTCTCGTCGGGAATGATGTAAATTGTCGACCGATGAGAACGACAAACAACATTCAACCCTCCCGTAACCACCAATATCCAAACATTACTCCACCGCCAATCTTCAGAGTCCACAATCATGAGCGGACTTGGCAAAACTAGCTCATCGAGAACAGTTCTCTCTTCAGTTCTCCGACCATCGAGCATATTGACGAGTTCTCTGTGATCAAAGCTCATCTGTGATCCTGTAAGGTCAAGGCGCCGCAAGGATGGCTGTTCAGATACCAGAGTATGGAATATTTCATCTGAGTCGATGATCACTTCGAGGGACAGTGATTCGAGGCTTGATAAGGCGGGAAGCACGGTGCAAGCATCGGACCAGTCAAGGGTCTTCGAAGGAGCCGAAATAAGCAGGGAGGTCAATGAAGGGAGGGACCTTCTGCCAAAATGTGGAAGGTGAGTGCCACGACCGTGATAATGGAGTTCCAATGACAATAGTTTCGGCAGTGCCATCATGGAGAAGTAGGATGCAATAGTCCCTTGAGGCACATGGTGGTGCATCTCCCACAGACTCAGTCTAGTCAAATGCGAAGATGAAAATATCGTAGTGAATGTCAGGCGTTTCGTAGAAGGACGAAGGGTAAGCGCCGTCGCGGTTCGGACCTCTGGGAGAACATCCAAAAGCTTGCCGCCGATATCTGCGTTCGAGATTTGCGACCACGGTAGCTGAAAGAAATCAGGACGGTCATTGATGGTCACCGCCTGGAGTTTTGGTGCATTACGAAAAGCGGTGGTGTTCCAGAGAGACGGGAACCTATGATCATTATACACCGAAATGCGAAGTTCATGCAACGAATCCAGGGAATCGGACACGGCTTCTAGGGTACGGAAAGATTCGGCTTTGTAGAAGGAAACATGTAGTTGCCGCCATCGTGGAGATGATGAGAGTATAAGAGGGAGTAATGGATGTGCGGAGATGTCCTGCTTGCTACCCACGAAAACTGAGAGACTGTGATTTCCAGATCTCTCCAGATGTAATGAAAAACGATACGCGAGGAATGGCGGGAGAGAAGCTTGAGGGCTCTCATTACGTGGAGCTCGGGATGTACGGTTCAAGAGCCATTGCAAAGTGGTGGGTTTCTCCGGGCCCGCCTTCAAATCCAACCTAATACTTGCCCACCAGTGCGGCCTAGACAGCGTCAGACATCTCCACGATGAACAGACTTGGGATACTGTCCAAAGGAAATCTCGTGCATCAAGGGAATCAGCAGGGCAGGCGATGGTTGCATTCATCGCGTCATCCATGCCCCACGAGAAAATCTCCTCCAAGATTTCGCACGGTAATCTGCGTACTGGATTCATGAGAGTCTTGGATATATGAAGCTTGTGCTCGATACGGATGCTCTCGGCCGTGAGTCGATTCAAAAGATGGCGGGCTTGCGAGATACTCCGGTTGAGGGAACGAAGAAATTCGCTGCCGTTGGAAAGGATTTCCTCGCATTGTTCAAGCTCATCGCCAATTGGAGGCTCGTTAGAGGAAAGTAGTTGATTAGCTCTGTCAGATGGTATACCATCAGGAAGGCGAGCACCAGTGGACAAACAGAATCCACATTGTGGACAGCCTATGTCGTTATACATGAAGGCGGCGGTAATTTTCTGAGATAGCAAAGGGATTAGGTACCACGACATGTTCAGAGTCCGTAACATGCTCACCGATTTCCAAGTGGTGGTTGCTGTAAAGCTTGTAAAGATCTGAGTTTGAATTGGCATGTCGGTACCGGCCCGAAATCCGGGAACAGCCAGAAACTGGCCTTGATCAGAAACTACTTGGTACTATGCTCGGGTCGATTTGAATGTGTCGGTGGCACAAGTCAAGGTGAGGCACGTTGGATATAAGTGCTACGTAGATCATTCAATGCTACCTCGACCTTCAAGCTTCAAGCTTCAAGGCTTAGAATTGGCCTACATGTACTGTCATTCAAGTTAGCTCACACCCAACTTTCTCTGTGAGTGGCAGTGGCACATACCAGCCTAAGGGCGAGTGGCGGAAATCAGCGGCGCCGTAGGAACAAATAGACATCACTTTCTTCCGTCCTTCTCTTTCTTTCAGCACTGACGAACTAATTTCCGAACCCAAGAGTAAACCATCTGAATGCCACCCAAAAAACGAGCTCAAGTATGTCTCTTTCTGCTATCGTCTGCGCTACGTTCAGGGGTTGATTTTCTTTCTTCGCAGATTGCGTCGCCTCCGACTTCAATAAAGAAGGGCAAAGGCTTTCCCCCCAATTTCGCACCGGAGCTAGTTTTGGAGATCCTGAAATACGTCGAACGTTCTGACTTTGACTCCCTCTTCAACTGTTGTCTTGTCTCCCGGACTTGGCGCTAGCTCACCCAGCCACTCGTATTCGCTGATCTTCGCCTGTCGCTCGACTCAAAAAGTACTCTCTGGAATGAAAGGCTAGAGGAGGCTCCTCATTTGGCCAGTTACGTGAAGGGTTTAGACATGCGCGACTCCGATTGGGGAGCAGTCAACCTCGTCGACCTCGTCGACGGCACAACGGCCGGGTTTCTGGTTAAGCCCGAGTTTCTGGAAGGGTCAAACACATACAACCTTGTTGACCGTCTCCCCAATATCAAACGCTTGAAAGTCCATGGATTCTCCGATCCATTCGGTACAATGCGGTTGCGGACCCTTAACCAGCTCACGGATTTGGAGTCCTTGGAAATGGCCGACGTCACTTTTGGAGAGGCGGCGGATTTGCTAGAATTCCTTTCGCCAATGGTCCAGTTAAAGCAACCCGTCATCTCTTCCCTTTACTTGGACCTCGCGAAAAACGCCAGAGCCGTTGCAGGTTTGCATGATGCAACCGATCCAGTCCCCAAAGCGTTGCAATCGCACAGTGTCACCTTCAACAAGCGCAATGTGATCTACCTTGTTATGTGGCTTCTCGGGGGTACCTTTGACCTCACTGGCCTCACCGATCTTGGGTTGACGTCAACTCAGAGGAAGGAAGGACAGAGAACATTCTAGTCCCTACAAAATCTTTTCTCAGCACAGTGGGGCCTAGAATTAAAAAACTGCAGTTTTGCATTCCTTTGCACCTTCAGGGAACGGTGCTGAAATCAATGGCACCAGCCTTCAAGGTGCGCCCAAGACTTATGGATGTTCACCTGTGTCTCATCGTCACAACACTAGACCTTGTCATTTCATCCCAGGCTTTCAGTTATTTCAAGCAATTAGCGATAGTGGAGTTCAGGACTACACTGGACCGGGAGAGAAACCTTTCTCTTGACCTCAAATCGATTGTGCCTCTTACCGCTCACAATACGTTTCCAAACCTGTGGAAGATACAGGTTTCCGTGCGGTTATTCTCGGTGGACCATGGCGATTACTCTTCTGTTTGGAGCGACTTCGACGCACATTTTTCCGGCCCAAATTTTCCACATCTCCGGGAGTTTGTGATTTGTGGAACATTCTTGGACGAAGACGACGTCGTCGACGATTTGGTTCTAGCTGATATCTCATCCATGATCAGGAAGTGCATGCCTACCCTGGCGTCTCGTGGTTATTTGAAGTTTGAGAGGAAGTTTGCAGTCGTTCCAGAGTGGTTCGCCATGTTTCGTCAATCACTGCTGGAGCCGGTTTCCGAGTACGAGTCTTTTTAGGACGGAAAAAGGTATTCTGAAAATGTTGTGACTTTTCTTTCCCTTTGTGTTGCGCTAAAATGGGATACAGAAAACATAATGAAAAACATGCTCTTTTTATTGCTCCCTTCGTGTGCCAAAAATACCTGCTTTTCTGTGAATAAAAAGTGGTTTCCTGTGTTCGGACTGCGAGAAACGTCTTTTCCATTCCATTTTTCAGGTTGTTTTCCTTACCTAAAAGAGTACAAAAATGACCTTGTCTTTCAGCTTCTTTTTCTGAACTAGTTTTTACCATTAGAAGATCAAATGAAATGTCACGACATTTTGAGGTCTCGTTTTACCGATGGGACAATGTACCGCTCCCCAGCAGTGAATGAAAGATGTTATTCCCAGTATGGAACAAAGGGACTAATTCTGTTTCCCTATCAGCGGAAGGAATTTGAAACACGAGCGCATATCGGATACATTATCGTACATGATCAAATCGCGATCACATGACACGCATCGTGTATCACAGGCCACCAGTTTCTATTGGGACCTTTATAGTACATCTTCACGGCAGAAATCATTGAAGCATCTTCTTAACTGCTAGACTCCGAGAGTAAAGGTGATGCCATAGGAACTATACCTTATTTGTCCCAAAATGTTTTTGAATTCTTACGCGCTGAAGACATTCCGTACTGCTCCATATGACTCGAATCGTTGTCATTGTACATTTTAAATACACATCTAGTAGTTCAGAGAACTTTGACACATCGTACACTGTCTAGTCTTCTATGTACCCGTGTCATCTACGAATACCTTGGTCTTGACACATTGCCGGCAAAGAAAACACATACCGTTGTTGATGGTTTTAGTCTATTCTTAGTGGGCGCACGTTACGTTCATAAAATGAGCATGCTCAACGAGGAGGTGACCCTAAAAACGACTCAGCCTTGAGCTGATACGAAAGAAAACAGTGACGGCACCAATTCAATCTAACACACTCTCATATACTTTCAGGCCTTCATTGCGCAACAAGCTTAATCGCTCCCTCGTTCGACGACCCAAATTATGATGAGCCTCTCCCCTTCCGACCGTCGCACTTTCCAGACCACCTGCAATCCCTGCTCTCATTTCGATCAATCCCATGACCGCGCTCTCATCGATCTCAGAATTGTCGCTCCAAATGAGTCCAAGATGAGCAAGGACCGGGAGCGTATCCATGATTCCTCGAAGGAGGACCGGAGTTATGGTGCGAACTGCAGGGGTCTCGTGGATGTAGAGAGCGGTGAGTGGGGTAGTCATCTCCTCGAAGAGAAGGACAAGATCGGGAGCTAGGATTGGGACCTGGATAAGGGTGAGGTCGGTGATACGATGCTTGGAGCAGAACGTTGCGAGATGAGTAAAGAGGAGAGGGATAGCTGACGCGGGATGTCGACCCGCATGAATGAGGGTTAATTTCGAAAGCGATGAGAGAATGAGTGGGGCCAGCAGTGTGCCAAAAGAGGTGTAATCAGCATTGGAAAGATGGAGAGTGAGGGTAGTAAGCTGGGAGGTGACGGCAGGAATATCCCCACTGTATAAGTTGTGAATATTACTGAGAACCGTGAGACTTTTCAGTCCTGCCGCTGAGGCGATGGTTGACGCCAATATCTGGGCATTAGACCTTGACCCCGTGGCCTGTACGGAAAGAGAACGGGTCTTTGCGAAGGGAGAACCCTCAATGTGGATGATATTTCCACGTAATTCAAGAGTTGTAACGCCACAGAGAGAAGTAAATCCCTTAGGTGAGTAGCTACTCGGGTCATCGCTCGTGTCCGTGATGGACAACACGTCTAACTGGCGAAGGTCGCTGCAAGAACGATGGACCGTTTGAAGAAATAATTCAAAGAACCGCTTGCACATGAAGGAAACGTGAAGATGTCGCCATCGATGAGACTCTCGGCAGAGGGGAAGTATGAATTTGTTCTCGTAAGACATATCGATGCGATGCAATGGATCGGCGGAAGAACATAGATAGATGGAAAGTGGGGCGAATCGTGAACGTTCTAGATATAGATGGAGAGCTGCCTCAAAAGCTGCGGTTCGGGGCGGTGGAGTGGTGGGGAGCTTTATGGAAATGGTCGCCCACAGGTCAGGAATATCCAGCGCTATCGTCCGCCAGCGATGACAGACGCTAGATATGTCCATCGCTGTTAAAGAGAGCACCTCCAAGGTGCCGACGTCAGGATCCTGGGGTAGGCAGGCCTCCCTGAATATCAGAGTGAGAATCTCTGTAGGGACTGTGCCGACAATAGCATGAGTATCGTTTCTGTTCCTCTGCAGTCGCGCTTTGTGTAGGACGAGGCTGTGCAAAATATTCTGAACGCGGTCGATTTCCGCGTTGCACGCGTTCAAATCATAGGGAGCGCGCGAAATGGCGAGGGGGACTTCAGGTTCGTCATAGAATGCAGGGTGATGGGGACAGAGGCTTCGCGAGGGACATATCAAGCAATGCCTGCCAGAGGGTATTGCGTCGTACTGAATCAAACAAGAAATCATCATGAACTGTGAACCAAGGATTGGATACTAGAACATGAAGTTAGTCGAATATAATGCAAAAAATCAGCGAGAATCACCTTGTGCAAGTCCTCAATATGTTATGGGGGGGAGGAAATGAAGTCGTCGAACTGCCAGTCAGACACGCGAGTACTTATCTACAACACCTTCTCGTAAAGTCTGGCTTAATATACTAGTCTGATCTAGCTCGGACCCGCTTTGTGTGGGCAACCCCCTTGCCGATGGTTCATTGTTGTTCATCCACGCTTGCCGCACCGAACGAGGCCTTGCCGGGATTGAGCTCGGCGACCACGTTGCGCTCTTCCAACGTCAGCTGATCTCCAACCCCACTTCGAAATCCAATGGAGAAAAGGGACCTGCGATAAGAGAACCTTGCACCCCATTTTCCCCCCATTTCGAGCACCATCGATGAGATTGACCAAGGACAGGCTGTCATTTGTCGGCCGCCGTTTACCTTTTAGGGTTGCTAAATTAATTCGAGTTGATGCAGGCGAAATCTACCGGGGCCAACCATAGTTGCTTTTTGGAAATGGCGCAGTGTGCCTAAGCTTCAAAATCAACTAAAGGAAAGTTGAGTGATGGTCCCATCAGTGACCGTTAAGATAGGGTTGTAAAGATCTTGCCGTCGACAGGTCGAGGTCCTGTAAGGTTCGCGAATCGCAATTTGAAGGCTTCATATCGCTTAGCTCTATGGATTAAAGTTGATGCATTCGGCAAAGATATCGAAGTTCGACGACAAAAGTACGAGGAGAGCAACGAACGCGGGTATCGGGCCGGTCGCCGGTGAATTCCGTGTGTGGCTGACGCTTCTCTTCTAGCTGCTGACATGGCCATTGCTGTCGCTGCTTCCCCAGATTCCCTCGCTCAGCCGGATTCCATTACCGAACCGGACAACGAAAAGGCTGCCTCCAAGCCTCCACCGCTCATTAAATCGCCTTACACCCCCAAGGATGCCCTGGACGACATACCGGGAGTCGCCCATGCACTCGATCTCTTTCTTGCTTCCAAAATGGTAGAATCAGAGGAATATTGCGACAAGACTGACCCGAAAAAGTTGGTCGGCTGTCTTGCGTGAACAATCTGCCACTGACGCCGGTGTAGGGAGCGACTCTATATGTCTACGGCCTACGGGATCATTCAGTGCGTCAAGGCGTTCATGTCGTATGCTGACGAGGACATACTGGCCGGAATCAAGCATACAAAGCAGGGAAATCATATTGCTATTCAACATCGGAAGAAGGCTGCCTCGCTGACCTCACGGTTAGCAGGCTATGTCGTAACTTCGTTGAATACGACTGGAGTTGGTTTCATCAAGAGCATGACCCCAGTAGAACGGCATGCAGAGCTCGTCTACGCCGAGAGTCTGTTCGAAAAATCTCTGCTGGGTATTGTCTATTCCGGTGATTGGTTGGCATTCATTAAAGAAGCGTAAGCTGCTCAATCCTACAATACTTCTATGCCGTGCTAACATCGGCGGCAGACTTAATATGAGGACGACGTTCAACACATATCGTTCCTTGTACAAGTACATAACTACTATGGATGCAGCTTCCCCAACTGGCCACGATGATTCCATTGACAAGCATTTCCGCTCAGGAGTTTACCTCGGCACAGGAATGAGCAGTCTCGTTATCACTCTAATGCCCGCTAAAGTCCTTACGGTCGTCGAACTCTTTGGGTACCACGGTGATCGCACAGAGGCCCTTTCCCTGCTTTGCAAAGCTGGTGGCTGGACTTCAGATTCTGACCAACCCTCCATTTCCGAATCCGAGGAGGGCGTTCGCCGGTCCATATGTGACATGTCACTCATGGTGTTCCATCTCTTCCTTTCCGACTTTACTTTTGAGGGTGTCGACGTTTCTTTGGCCGAAAAGATTATTCACTGGAACGCGAAACGCTACCCAAATGGCGTGTTCTTCCTTTTTGGCCGCGGTCGCCTCGCTCTCATGAGGTCGCAGCCGAAGGAGGCGATCGGCTACTATACTCGTGCTATGGAGGTGCAGACGCAGTATAGAAATCTGCATCACCTCTCTTTCTGGGAGATGTCTGTCGCAAATCTGGCGTTGTGGGATATCGCTGCGAGCTTAGACTGCTGGAGAGTGTTGGAGAAAGAATCCACGTGGTCTAAAGCGGTTTACACTTACGGGATGGCTGCGTGTCTGATTGAAGGTTCGAAGCAATCGGATGAGGCTCGGTCATGGATTGAGAAGGTCTCGGGCTGCAGACAGAAGGTTGCGGGAAAAAGTATACCAGCTGAGAAATTTGTGGCGAGGAAAGCACGCAAGTTTTTGGATCAGGGATGGTTAATGCTACCTGCGATGGAGCTAGCTTACATGTTCTTGGCTCTCTCTCGCACGCCGCGGGACGTTCTTGTGGATAAGATGCTTGTGGCAATCAAAGAATGTCTAAAGGTATTGGATGAGAAGGACAGCTCCTCGAAGGGGTATTGGGACGACTGGACACTGGCCAAGTTCCTCGAAGGTGTCTGCATGAGATATGTCGCGTATCCAGTATGTTTTGTCACTTCTGCGAAATCCAAGTGTCTATTGATCACCATTCGACTTAGGATCCCCATGCGCTCACTCTGCCTGACGCTCCACCTGTGGCGATAACTCAAGAAGAAGCCGCGGTCGCGGCCATTGCAGCATTCGAAGCGATATTCGAGAACGGTCCCAAGATCGAATTAGATCACTACGTGGTGTATCACGCACGCAAGTCCCGGCAAATATCCCTTGTTGCGATTGACGCTCATCATCCATAGATTACGAACTTGGCCGATTGCTGGCATGCAAAGGCGATATCAACGAGGCGCGAACTCATTTCGACCTTGTACTTTCTGGTGAGTTCCTGTGCTTTGTTAAGATTGGCAGTATGCAGTGATCGCGCTCTCTGACAGGCAAATACCTGGAGGTTGGACCGTCGGGGAGAAAGGGTAGATATAGCATGGAGGTTGGCTTCCCCTTCTCCGCTAGATATGCTCAAGACTGATCAACCCTTTTCAGAGTGCTCTTCATATGCGTACATACGCCGCTATGGATGCGCTAGGCAAGAGGCCACTATGAAAGCTTGAGTCGATATACCTTTAGCAGCGTTCACAGATTATCAGGGGGTAGACAATCTTTTTGCAATTTTAACAATATACCTATACTTATTTTTATCTATACACGCGCATTAATATACACTAATCTTTGGGCATTTATATGTTCTCGGTTCACGAGTGCTCAATGCTACGCCCGGCGTCCCCCTGTGGACCGTGCCGTGTAATACTACCTACAATACCTGAAGTATTATCCTTACCGGGGGTTTCGATAACGGGCAGAGCTGAACAAGGAAAAATATCCAGGAATCAATTTATAGTGCATAGGGCCGTATTAATCCCGAAGGGCTCACAGAATGCAAGCGAACCATCAAAGTTGGTACACGTAGAATTACACACGAGAGTTATACCTTCCATAGAGCTGCAAAGTAGAATAGCATATCAACGAGTAGTAGTATAGCCCTAAATAGTTTTAGCGTACTGTACCCCCACATCTTCGCCCATAGCATGGCATATTGCGGGTTACCAAAATAGACCTTCATCATCATCATCAAAGTTGGTATTAATTATTCGAAGTACATTATTATTGTTTTGCTACTGAGTCCAAACGACAGATATTTCCCTCAACATAACATCCAAGAGCTCAAGCAGGGCTGATCGAAACAGTCGGAAGTGCGGCACAGTTCGATGAGCTCGCCACCGGGTGGGCACTAGGAGTAGGCTCAACACCCTGATACCAGGTCGATGTACCGTAAACTCCCATAGGAAGGCTACGTGGCTCATTAGGCACACAACTTTTCGCAAGAGGGGATCACTCACTCATTGTCTCCAGCACAGTTCTCAAAGACACCAGAATCGTAGTTTGCCGGCATATTCTAGACAGTTTTTTTTATTAGTGTGCATTACGCCAAGTATGTGAGCATAACTTACCCAGTAGCAACCCATAACATCGTAGATGTGCTGGCACAGCGTCGCAGCCTCCGAGTGAACACAGGCACCTACATTTCGTTTAGCAGACATCATTTGGAAGAACGACGGAACTTACGGAAACAGAATTCATTCGATGAAATGAAAGATGTCCATTCATGGTACTGCAGACCACTGCCGAATCCATCTCCGTAGACCAGGCCACCAACTAGTCGCACTTAGAACATGCTGCAAATTGGAAGCTAGATTGATTACTTACTCGGGTTTCCATTCCCATCAGCGCCATGAGGATCTAGCTCTCCGCCCCTACAATAGTATTCAGCCAAGCTCGACAACCACATGCAAACTAAACGTACGCATCACCTGCAGGGATATTGATCTTCGTGAAGTCGCCGACACCAGTTACTTGAACCTATGATTCGTGATTAATAATACACCTTTTCAGAAAAAATTCGACAAACATAATCAGGTGTCTTCACGAAATGCACTCCTTGCAGAGTTCCATCAGGGATGAGACGCGTGCCACGACCAGCCTTGGTGCACCAGGCCACTTCAACTCGCTCACTGTTTCCAATAGTATCGACCGACGGCTGGGAACAGTGAATCAAAAAGGATATCTCCGACGATGTCCAAAACCTACAGGAGCCCAGAGACAGAAATCTTCCGCAGAGTTAATCCAAGCGGTCTGGCAGTTCGAGGAGTTACTGTTTCCGGTTCCACAGTTATTGGTTCCGCTCTGACCATCTTCCGAAACAGTAGGAAGAGAAGAAACGTGGTAACCAGTGTACCAAACTTGGTTAGGGTTGCTTCCGCAAGACCAGAGTTGGATCTAATAGTGTCGTATTAGCCAAATCGTTCTGCCGGGGAAAAAGAAGACACAGACCTGGTTCCCAGCTGATTGATTTCCATCGGTGAGATCGACACACGTGCTGTGACTGGTCCAAGCAAGATGGTTGTCGTACTACAGACAGTCTGAGCCAACATAAAAATGCGAAAGAAAGAACCGCCAGACTTACAGTGTAGTAGAACTGCTGGTTGGGATTCGAGTTGGTGGAACAAGTCCAGATTTGCAACTTGACGCCATCAGCAGTACTTCCGTTAGTGACATCCAAACATTTTGTGCCGAATATTTGGACAGTGCCACCAGTGAAGGTCCACTTTTGAGAAGTCGCTCCAGTACAGGCTTCGATAGTGACAATAGCACCGTCGTTGTCGCTCGCCGCGTTCAAACACATGCCTGCAATGTCAACGTTAGTGAAGAACACGTTATTTAACAAATCTTTCATCCTCACCATTGTTGAGAAGGGGTTCAATGAGCAACTCCCCACGATACGAAGGTGCCTGCGCAGATGCAAGAGCAGCAGCCGCAACCACGACGCCAAGTAGTTTTTGCGCGATCGACATGGTTCCGAATGAGTGAGGAGAGAAGAGACGAGTAGAAACGAACTGAGGACACTCGTGCGCGTTTTATAGGTCACCGTAGATCCTTGTTCGGCGTGAAAAGACCGTAAAACATCAAGGACCAAGCATCAACCCCATCGGCAGTCTGGGTCCCATGCCCAGCCGCCGTTAAAATAAATGTATTGGAAAAAAATGAGCGTGAGCCTGATCAAGGCGCCACCCCAGAGATGAATTCTGCAAATTTTGAAGAAGATTGATCGGTCTTCAATAGAAGATCCGTTGACCCTGGCGCTTTGTTTTCTATGCAGTATCGACTGTAAGGCTCTCCCCTTGCTGTAGAAGAACCGGAATCTGCAGCGCGACCATGAATATATCATATGAAACCCATAAAACTAGAAGAATTCATGATTAATGAAAGACAGAATGGACGGTAATACTAACCGACTATCTGCCGGCGCTCCATCATGCATCATGACCCTTAGACTCAACCCGGTACCGTGACTTGCTCAACAAACTTCATTACATCGCGACTCCTTGATCCCAGTGCTCATAGAGCTGCTGGTTGTGGCGCATGACAGTGACAGAAGGTGCCAACATGCACGAATATCGCACCCATGCCCAAGAAATCTAGCCTGATTTTCAGGGTAAATTTCTTGCATGGGTTGAGCTGCTAGCGGGAAAGGTACTCTTGATTGTCGTCGCGAAAAGCAACATACAAAGACCCGGCCCGCTTCATCCGTCGCAGTTTGAGTGACAAGTTCCCACACCCGCTGGAGCTTCTCCCCGCCATTATCGGAGGCCCTGAGAGGTGCTCGATACCTTATATCTTCTCAAGTTCTGGAGCCCTTCGAATCAGTCCTAGAGCTACCTTGTGCGGGTCGGAGGAAAAGCTTGTATCTTACGATATCGCCGCGTTTCGGCCTTACCTGTCCTTACCTGCCAGTACTAGTCTATACGATCCGCTGCCTTTCACTTATTATGTACCTTGGCCTTTTTTACTGTCATTACTCTCTGACGACGACAACACGCGTCGGTAGGTGAGCGGCATCCGGTTTTTTTTCGCTATTACTACTCGCAGTTGACATGGTTTGAATTTACATACCGTCTCTCAAATATGCTTGGCTTCGTAAAATGATATTCGCGTTGCTAAGAGGTCAGAACCGAACTTGGCTGTGCGATGGTAAAGACTTGTCGCGTCATCCCTGCCATGTTTCACATGTAGCGGCCCTTATGTGCTATTCATCATACCTACCACCCAAGCATCATGGTTTAACACAGAACGGGTCCGCGCGGCGAAAACAGATGGATTACAAGTGAGCTGTGGTATATACATTGTCTTACTTTTCACTGAGCCTCTCAATCATGGGATATTTCGCGCCCGGTGCATGAATTACACAAACGCGCTTTTGAGTAAAATGATCGACGTCAAACCGCCCGTACCCGGAGGCACCGCTAATGTCATGATATTAGTACAGTCAGCCAATTGAGCGTAATCCACAACTTACCCTAGCCCAAAAGGTTCGATAGAAGGTTCGCCGTGTATCGTGCATCCGTTGATGTTGGTGAACCCTAGGCAAGATTTACTCCTTTGATAATCCTCTCGGAACGTAAACTTGCTTACCGGAATATATCCTATCCGCCACTCCTTTACCCTTCGTGATGTCCTGCGTCCATAACGCTGCAGCCAAGGAATACTCGGTATCGTTCGCCAGCTCGACGGCCTCATCGACAGTGTCGCATACCATAAAAACAGTCACTGTACGCAACATCAGCATCACGATCAGTGCACCAAAACAGAGAGTCTATTACCAGGACCGAAGGTTTCTTGTTTCCAGATAGGCATCTCGCGGGTAACGCTAGTCAACAAATGAGGTTGTACGGTGGATCCATCCTTGGTAAGGTCTCCTAGGAGAAGCTCTGCACCAGAATTTACGGCATCTTGAATTAGTCTAATGACATTCTCAGCGGAGGCCTGACTGAACAACACAGGTAACGAGTTGTGCATCGGGGCTCCGGCCCTTAGCTTCTTGCATAGCTCCACAACAGCCGTAATGAGAGCCTTGGATACGTCGCGCTGGACAATGACGCGTTCCGTCGATATGCAAACCTAAGCAAGTCGCACGTCAATCAAGCATTTTGCAAAATAAAAGACAAAATCAAGAACCTGTCCGGCGTTGAACATTGCTCCAAATGCGATACTCTTGGCAGCGGCTTCAACATCCGCATCATTCAATACCTTGACAAGAGGCTCGAACGTGTCTGAAAAGTAATACGTGATTTGGACGTACGATACAAGGATTCTTTCCTCCCAACTCGAAAATGCAAGGCTTCAGGTGTTTCGCTGCCTCTGCCGCCAACGCCCTAGCCACTGTCGCACCGCCAGTAAACTGTGTGGCGAAGTGTTAGCGGTGGATTCAAGGCCCGGAAAGTACGAGGGGAGGTTACGTTGACAAGACGTATTTTGGGATTGCCGATCATTTCCGAAATCAAGCTGGGCGTTGTTTCTTTTGACATGGCAACAAAGTTGAGGACCCCCTTTGGAAGACCGGCCTTCAATGATCGCTAGTTAGCAAGAGAATACCGGCGGAAGCGCTGGACTTCACTTCATGGAACAGTTCCGAAACGAGAGCATGGCTTCGAGGACTGTACTCGGATGCCTTCAAGACGACAGTGTTCCCGCAAAATATCGCTGCTGCAACAGCACGAATGGACAAACACAGTGCGGCGTTCCAAGGAACGATTGACAAACTAGCGCCTCGCGCGTCAGTAACAGAGCAAACCAAGAATAGTGATTGCCGAGAGACATACACAACGCCGACCGCACGTTTCTTCACAACAACTTGCCCGCCAGTGGCGCTAGAAAAGGATTCCTCTTTGAGTTCACCTGACATCCCAGCGACGGTCCGAAGGGTACTGGAGCCCACGACCCAATTAAGCGCGCCAAGGTCGGGAGTGGCACCAGTCTCCGCGGTGTTGGCTTCGATGCATTTTTGCATCCACGTGCTTTGCAGAATGTCGGCAGCTTTCAATAAGATGTTCTGACGAGACGAGATGTCGGTACTCTCCCATGAAGGAAGGGCTTTGTGGGCAGCATCGATAGCATTACGGCAATCTTGACTGGTTGCCGAGGCCGACCGGCCTGACACTTGGTCAGTATATGGATTGCGGACGTCAAAGACAGAATTCTGAGCTGAAGCCTTGAACTCGCCATCGATGTACAGCTGTGTAAAGGGAAGCAAGTCGGTCATGATGATGGTGGTTGATGAAGATTGATTCAGCCTTGTAGCATTATCTTATTTTGGAACCGTGTTAGTCTCCGAATGGTGTAATCAAACTGACGAATGCGAAGGTATTCATTTTTTTGCAGTCACATAGGCGCCAGTATGCGAAGCGGGACCTGAGCTTGCCTATTACTGGCAATCAGCTAGGAATGTGGCTGACCAGGCGTTTTAAGGTTACCGTAAGTTCATCAGAGAAATCTCAGCATACATGCAAGTTCAACGTCTCATCAATACGCCTTCGCCTTCTGCATTCCTAACCGGATATCGTCCATGACTGCCAATCGCTCCGCTCTAATCTTCTCAATATTTCCACCAAGGGACTCTTCCCACCATCGCTCGCTCTTTGGGACGTCTTTCCAGTGGCCCTTCAAAAGATCCTTAACTGTCCCTTCTGCAACTGCTCTCTGCGCCGCTAGGTACCCGGATGGGGGATTTGCAAGAGTATAGTTGCCGTCAGAACATCCACTCAAAGCCAGTACCAGAGCTGGAGGTACAGTGATGCGTCCAATCTTGAAGCAGACCTGGCTAATCGAAACACAATGGACTAACGGCTCCGTCAGGTTCTTCGGAGAGTTTATCGGAAACTTCTCGCAGAAGGCCAGCGTCACTGTCGTATGGAGTCCCTGAAGAAGATGGAGTCGTATCTTTCGTCCTGGGCGTCACTTTCCTGTCCATCGTGACGAACTTTGCGACCAGATACAGCTGTTTATGAATGAGACCCACAACCTCAACTAAGCAAGTAGACGTACGAACCCACTTCTCCCCCCATGTCAGACACTACAACGGACTTCGAATCGCTGGAGTATGGGTATCTCTCTGATAAGTAGAAATGATGTTGCTGAACGGGTGTGATTCAAGGACGAGATGGGGAAGAGGTGAAGTTAGCGCACCTCCCACGGGCAGAACGCCGTCGACACGAAACACCTGCGAGACAAAAGCAAGCACCCACTTCATCCGAACCGCGTCCAGCGTCTACATATCCGTTTTGCGGTTAAACACGTTCAGCGAGCAGTGTTCGGCGTACCTTTGCATAACACGAGTTTTACTCAAGTGCAAGTTGTAGTCACAAACATCGGGACCTAGCGAAACCACATTAGCCAAGCCTAGGAAAACCAACAATGAACGCACTCGACCAGTCCGTATACTTCAAGACCAAATCAAACGGGTTCTTTCCGATGGGCGAGTGCGAGTCCCACCATGCCTGAGTCGCTGCCTGCTTCGCCGACGTGGATTTACGGATAAGATTGAGTCCATGAAACCGGTATTGGATGTGAAATGCAAAGTAGGGCCAAAGGACGCGTCCTACGCGACTTTTTAGCGCAATACTCAAATGCAAATCAAGGTGCTTCATACTCACCGTGCCATGCGAAGGGAAATGCTCGGATGCTCAAAAGGAAAAGAATTCCTAGGATATATCGAACAGAACCTACGCCCAGGTGCTTTGTGATGATTGAGAGCATTTAGCTGAATCAGTAGCGCACAACAGGATACTCACCAACAGTGGTCGTAAAAAAGCAACACGGCGTCGCGGCGGAGTTTCGTCAGTATATTTTTGCGTCGATTCTCGCCCAATTTGGGAGATCTGCAACCAATTGCGACATCATATGTACCGACACTTTCGCGGTGTTTTTTTGAACTTTTTTCTAGCTTTCTACAAGTTACAACCCAGACAACTATCCTGTGAGTATAACTGTTATCATATTATCGACGATTTAAAGCTCCATCAATCTAGGAATAAAATCAAAAAACAGCCGATGGTGGCGACACAACCGGAGTTTCAGTAACTTAACCGGGTTTACATGTAATCCGATGCATACCCTTCTTTCAATCTCCACCTCCAACTAAGTATCTGATCACTTATTGGTTTTATCAACAGAGGGGCAATAGCTCGCCATGAGAATCTTTTTCTTGTCGCTATATCTCCCAGTTCGCTCTTCTGGCTGTGTTTTCTCAAGGAATTTCTTGGATGTTACATGGACTTCCTGGTCAATACCTTGACAACAGCTTTCGACATCAAAGCTGCGCTAGCTGTACTTTTTTACCCGCTCCGGAGATAGGAAACCAGCTGACTGCAAGCTGTATCGTTTTCTTCTATGCTTAAGTGATAGCCCGCGGCCGCGTTTTATATCGGCCGAAGTCTCACAGCATGTCCAAGTAATTCACAGCTCTCGAATGGCTCACTCATGGATCTATACTGTCCAAAAAAGTTGAACTAGAAGATTCTCTCCGGCTCTACGAAGGTCTAATGTGCCACCTCCGTTGCCAGAGTACTATTACTCTCGGTAATTCTAGATATTTATCATTAGGCGCTGAGATTGTTGTCTTCTGATCAATCCAGATCCTTCGCCTAAGTATATAATGCGAGGTTTTGTATTCTTTAACCGCCCATTCCCATCGTCCTACAACTACCAACCATGGGCAACCATCTCTCAAGTGAAAAGTCCTTTGAAAGTTCCCGTGAGGTTGCCGAATCCTCCGATTCGATGAAGGAGGACGAATTCTTGTATCTATCCCGGTTCGATACGGTCCTTATCGTCGATGACTCCGCCTCCATGAATGGAAAGGATCGATGGCTCATCGCAAGTCCCCTCCACCCCTCCGCGAGGTTTTACTTTTATGCTTACGTCTCTCCAGGCAGGAAAAGCACTTGCCGAACTTGCCTATGTTGCTGCTCAATATGATGACGACGGTATCGAGATTCAGTTTCTTAATAATTCCATTGTGAAGCATGGGCTGAAAGTAAGTGTTCTTGGTGCTGAGCTCTCTATTGACTTTTGAACGCCGTTTTTTAGACAAAGGAAGACGTAATGGAACTCTTCCAAAGTGTTATTCCAAGTGGTTTGACGCCAATCGGCGCCAAGCTAGATGGTTTAATGACGGCCTATATCGATGACTTCAAGAAACTGAGGCATAGTGACAAGCAACCCAAGCCCGTGAATTATATCCTCCTGACCGACGGCGAACCAAGTAAGCATTTTAGTATGTGCGGCGCATAGTCGGCTCAATTCCTTCAACAAGCCGACAAGAAACCCTTGACCACAGAAGAGGTTATCGTCAAGGCCGCCAAGGTCCTTGATGAAATATGTGCGCCACAGATACAAGTCGGTATACAGTTTGTACAGGTCGGTGCCGATACGAACGCCACAAAGTACCTCCAGAGACTGGATGACAATCTCAAGCAGACATATAACATTCGGGTCAGTCGACTATGATGATTTTTATCGTGTGGCGTTGTAAACTCATGATTTGTCACGTAGGATATCGTTGACACGGCGCCCGCACGAGCAGGTCACAATCTCGACGGACAAGATATGATAAAGATTCTGACCGGGGGAATTAACAGGAGGGTAGATAATGAGGGAAGGCTCGGAAGAGATATCAATCTGCTGTTTCAAACTACATAGACAATAATGTATTGCAGAGGTATCTACATAATCCACAGCAATATAAACGAATCCTAAAAATTCTACGTGACCAGACTGTGTGGCCAATTTTGGCACGCATTTTGGATTATCAAATCTTTCTGCCGACTTTATCCGGCCGGGCATTCTGCAATCCACCACCACCACGGGCACTGTGCATTGAGCTCTCAAGCCTATTGATGCTAGTAACAGCAATAATAACTGCTTCAGAAGAAACGGGTGCCTGCCACAGGTCTACCTAGCAAAATTTCCGGAGATGGCTGTACCTGAGGCTCTGTTAGCCGTCTCTGTTTTTCCATTGCATCTCCTCGACTATCAGTAACGGACGACCGTTACCTTCTAGAATTTCGATTCTGGGCCTATGCTGTCCCTATTTTCTGACGCGCATCACACTGAGGGGCAATCGTTGGAAGCTGTACTGTTCATGACCAGTGCATAGATCCTCGCTCTTGGAACAATAAACTAAGGAACGACAGCCACCTTGAATCCCACTTCGGGCGACGGGGCCCTAACGCTCGCCCTAATAACTTCTACCAATGCCACAGCGTATCTGTGGCTAGTTTGGTATAAAAAGCTTCGCATTCTAAGAGGCTCTCTGTGCTATTCGTCACTCAGCCTGGTTTACTGAGACTCGTACTGCCGACGATATCTATCACTGTCATTGTCTCACATATTCTGATCGACTGCAAGTATCCACGTGTGTTCATTAGCCACTCGGCCACATCTTCAGACTCAGACTGCCACCACCGCAAAACATGCACTCTCGCGCGGCCCATGTAAAATCATCTCCCCAGGTTCCAGAATATCCCGTCATAGAGGACGAGTTCCAATATCTGGACAAGTTCGATACAGTTCTCATCGTTGATGATTCCAGGTCTATGGTCGGCAGACGGTGGGAAATTGCACGTCTCTTTTCTCCCTTTTCTCCATCATTATTCTTCTGAAACGGCTCTTAATAGGCGAGAAAGGTACTCGGTGAACTCGCTGTAGTTGCAGCTCGATACGACGACGATGGAATTGATATACACTTCTTAAATGACCCTACTGTGCAACACGGGCTAACAGTCAGTGTTCTTCATGCCTTTGTGGGATAAAATAATTCATCTCTTTTACTACAGACAAAAGAAGAAATCGACGAGCTCTTTCAGAGAGTCATTCCTACTCCTGGAACGCCCATAGGCCGTAAACTGGACAACCTGTTGACAGCCTACATAAACAAGTATGAGGAATTGCGACGCGATGGGACGAAATTGAAGAAAGTAAACTACATTCTTCTGACTGATGGCGAACCATGTAAGTGTTTGCGTGAATATGTGCCGCATGTCTTAACCCCCCCCCCCCCCTCAAGCTGAAAGCAAGAGTTCGGAGTTGTATCCTGATAAAGTCATCGTCAGAGCAGCTAAGAGACTTGACGAGTTACATGCGCCCCAAGTCCAAATTGGTATTCAGTTTGTACAAATCGGCCACTCTGTTTCAGCCACCAAGTTTCTTCAGAGCCTTGACGACGACCTCATGCATAAATATAAAATCCGAGTAAGTCGGGCTAATTGAGTGCCATTGCCTTTCCACTTGGCATTACGAACTCATTGACCGTCACACAGGATATCGTTGACACGACTCCCGCACAAGCAGGCCACGACCTTAGCGCGAACGATATGATCAAGATATTGACGGGCGGAATCAATAGAAGGGTGGATAATCAGGATGTACGTAGACGCCGATGACAGTCCAACGTTCACTTTCACGATCTTAAATAAATATGAACCATTATATGGAGGTAACTACGTATATCAAACTAGTACTACAAACAAGATATAACAATCCTCCGAATCTGCAGAAAGTAAATACACATGATCAAACGTGAGAAGCAGGACGTGTCGTCCTATCTAAGCAAAATCCCAATCCCCAACCCGATACAAAATCCCCCAACAAGGGCAACACAGACATTCCAATTTGTCACGCCTGATAAGAAACCCCGAATAGATCTCCGCGTCCGCCTTTGCAGAGGTCCCAGCATCGATATCGAAAACATGAACAGCGACGTGAAGTGCAGGGGGTCTAAACCGGGCACACCGAAACAAGGTAGATCTGGTTCGGACTTCTGATCGAAACTAGGCGCATGGGTTTCGCATTTCCTATCAAGATCCCTCAATCTCTTCGCAACGTCGTAGGACAACAAGGCTTCCCAATCCTTATCTTTCCATGCCTTGCTTCGGGTGGAAACTTGGCGTTGGCGCTGTGCGCGAATGCTATCAGTGAGATAGGAAACTTCGCGCCAGCGGAAGAAGCGGTCAGCAGCTTCACTTCTTAAGGTCAGTAATGTTGTGGGGCTGCGGAAAAGGCCCTGACGCAGAGCTATCGGAGATGACGGTCGGAATGATGATATCGACGGGGAGATGACATCGTCGTGATCAACATGGGGAAGGGCAATAATAGGAATGTAGTTGGACAGCTCCGTGATTAGTGTCCGTTCGATGGAGGAATCTGAGAGCCACCGTTATAAGGCACAGATCCGAATAAGAAGAGACGAACTTACTTGACGATAACAAGAGGACTAGCGCCGTGTAGAGCGGTGTGTAAGCCGACGACACGAGGTTAGTGGATGCAGTAGAAGGATCGCATGATGGATCCAAGATATCAGATACAGCACAAAAAGGTGCTTGGATCATCGACTTGATATGCATTATTAGTTCCTTTGTAAATGTGTCAAGGGTCGTAGATCCATCATGAACGGAGCAAGGACTCACGTTGTCGGTGTACTCGTATCCCGGTAACTCGTGAATCTCGACATTCCGTGCTGGCTCAAACTTTTCTAGACCGTGGGCATCCCGTCGGTCTATCCAATCAGTCGACGCACGCACCACCTTCCCATACTCCCCGTCTTCCCAGATGCCCTCATCTACCACATCCTCGTTGTCTTCGAGTAGCAGTTTGGTGAGGAAACTCTTTCCGACACCCTTCGTCCCAAGTGTAATGAGGCGAATGTCTCCCAAAGTCTGGCCATAGGGCGTTGGGTAGCGTAGAGGATCTGGTAGTGTCAATGACGGAATAATGAGCCCCTGTGTTGAGTCTCGGCCATGATCTGACTGCTGAGATGGAGGACTTGCGCCTGTGGAACTGAAGAAAAACGAGGAAGAAACGGAGGGAAATGATGAGACGGAGTCCAAAGACGGGCTGTCCGGTGGCGATGGCAGGGCGCTGGTGCTGGAACGCGGTGACGAAGGTAGAGATACGCTTGAGACATTCTGGTCGACGAAACTACCGTGCAATGAACGAATCGTAGAGGCGCTGGTGCTGATAGAGGTGCATTCCATGGTTGCTCAGGAAAACGAAGGGACGGGCTGGTGGTGGGAGAAAGACAACATTGGACATGGATGCATTAAGGGTGCTTCTTTTAAGTAAGACGCCAAATTTATCAGATAAGATCACTGATCTTATCATCATCTTATCACATCCGCTACTTTTAGCAGGGTCTGGACGTGAAGTTGTCGTCGCAACACACAGACGCCGAGTGCGAAATAAATGTGCTATTGTATGACCTGGACCTCAAAGAAGGTATCCGCTCCTTATGGATCTTCTTCTTCGACCACCGGACCCCAATACATCGAGACTAGGTACACAGCTTACACGCTGCGCTCAGGCTGGGAGCTGGAACGTCCAGTCAACAGTCTAAAAGGAAAGCATAATAAAGATCTGGATGCCCGGACCGGTAATTCCAAAATCAAAGTCGTCCGTCGGATAACTTGGCACAGATCACTGACTTGGAGGATGATTCGAAAACAGCCTACGATTCACCTGAATCTCTCTGGCGTTTCGGTACCGCACTTCTATCCTTCAAAGAAGCCTCACCATTCGCTAGGAGTCATCACCAGAACTATGAATTGGCACCGCTATTAACGTTACGTGCCGCATTCTAGATGCTCAAATGACTAACTTCGGAGGATATACCTTGTCTGCGGCGCTACAGTCGGAATTGTGCGATATATATCTTCACACACAGCGTGGAGCGTGGAGCTGGGATCCCGTAAATGTTTCCGTCCAACGGGGAATAGTACCGTCCAAACGAAATGGCCGACTGCGGTAAAGCATACTATTATGCCAGAATGCGAGCCCTCAGGTATGCTAGCGACCATCGGGCTGCGCAAGACGATAAGAGGGGACTTCTCCGTTCTCTGACATAGAAGCGTCGACAGCGTGATAACTAGGGCTTTCCATATGATGGTTCGATATGATCGACAAGATTTACGCGTCAACTGCGCTTGGACTTGTGGACCTGTGCCTAGCTCCTCGATAAATGGAAACTGCATAAAACATCAGTGTCGCTTCTTCGCCTCGGAAAGAAAGATCTCGTACCCTACTTCAACACTAGACTGTGTCCAGAGTTGACTCTGTACGCATATCCAACGCATTAACGTCGACATAGAATTCATGAACTGAATGGTAGAGGATTCCTCTTTGGATTCCGTCTAGGTTCGTCAGATCATGGGAAACAATAGCCGGGAACACTTCGAACTGCTTGAAAAGGTAATATGAATTGACGGGTACTGGTATACTTAGATACATATAGGGCCACCCTTGAACCTCTCAATCACAAAGTGCTAAGTGTGGATTATCATGAGTTCCTATTAGAATCAAGGGAAGGAAACAGTGACTAACCGTCAGCGCAACAGAAGCAGCACATTCCAGCTAAACAAGCCGTACAACAGTTTGAATCATCATTTTTCTGAGGCTGCTGCTGACTGGAAATCACTGGGTGAATTCCCTGATCGATACGCCGGCCTCCAGGGGGCCGAAGAAATGCGTCTTACACGATGATAGTCTGGGGTTGCTGTTGAGGCATGTATCCCCCTTGATACTGTCCTTGGTCGTATCCCTGGTATGATTGAGGGGGTTGCTTGAAAAAGGTTTGTGTCAAATTATTAATAGTTAAGCAGATGTGAGTATTCGAACCTGGGGATAGTAACCACCTTGACCTTGACCTGGCGGCGGCCCTAAAGACAAGTCACCAAAACCTATCGGAAACCTCAGGGAGCATTAGACACGAACCTTGAGGAGGAAAGTAAGACATACAGAAACAATGAAGGCAAGGCTCCGACTTGGCATTTGATGGCCACGGTCCCACCTATAAGTGCTCTCCATCCCACCACGTGTAGAAAACTCGAGGCATTGGCGTGTCGGAAATTCGGAAAGTCTAGCTCGTGGAGTACTCGGTGCTTACAGCTGATGAGTGCTGGCAAACGGCTATTTGATGCATGCTACGGTAAATTTGCAGCAAGTACGATTTGCGACGTTTACGGCTGAAAACCACGTGGAAACATGTCCGAAGTCCGATGCGCTTCTCCACCATTCCTTTTTCACTGTTCAAACGCTCAAGTACTATATCCCTATCCAAGCAAGAATGAGCACAAGGCCGTCGATATAAGGATCCTATTATTGCTTGTCACCTTCAATGCACCAGGGCTTCAACCATTGAATGTCGACCGGATCTGCAGTGCTTATCGACCTAGGACTAAGGAGACGCAATTGTGGTATCCTTTGCAGAAACATCGGCACTTGAAGAAATATTTTCTCATATAGCTCCCTGGAGGGTGATGCTAGCGTATGGAAGGGTATCTGGTGAGTGTCTTGTTTGAGTTCGCAGTAAAGTACAACCGGACTTACCCACTCTACAGGACAGCCAGTAGCACCGCTACATTCTTACGTTACATCAAAAAAATACATTACTGCATACATTTGTTGCGTTCACCTTTTGCGTCATTTCTTTCGCGGATGTTCAAACTCAGTTGCTCCGGTTTCCCTATATCAGGCTCAAGTAGCGCTGCCAATGATGCAAGATAGTCTCATCCTGGAGACAGCGTTCTCGCTTCTTCCAATTGGCTTGGGCATCTTGCCGTGTACTATGGCCCGGTTCAAGGCATCGTGACCTCAAGGTTTCAAGACAGTTCCTGGCGGTTTTTAGCTCCAGCCTATGGTGTTCAAACTTCGAGCCTCGTAGCGCCTCCGGACATAGTCCATCATGACACTTCATGATGGTGAATATTCAGGACATGAAACTATTTATATGCTAGCGCTTATTGTTCCACGCATAAGTCGCGTATAACCCTCGCCGCTATCTCATACCCGGAAATCATGTCGTCGGAAATTATACGGAATACCGCCTGCGAGCAATTCTGAAAATTCAGACAATTTCTCTGTTTGAAAGGCCCCCACAGATTCCCTTTCTTTTGTTCACAGGCACGCGCGTCAATTCGAACCTCGCTAACAGAAGTGGAACCTTTGCATGGGTGTTTAACTACGACGTGACGAGTGCCTTATCGGAGGCTGTATCATGTTCAGGAAGTACGTCAAGATGATATTGTTCGGGAGGCAGTAGAGGCACATCGCCGACAGCAACTGTTTTGCCTTATGCTTGGGCCCGGAGGCAGGTTCGATATTTAGCTCGTCATGGCAATACCTCTACGGAATCACCGTTCCGACGAAACCTGGATATCCGAGAGGACCGTCGGCTCGTCTTTACCCCTGCCCAAACAGCGCCTCGGATGTCCCTGCAAGCGCGTGAGCCTGAGGACCGAGTCACAATTCTTAATTCTCACGAATCTTAGCTCTAAATTCGATCACCAACGTGCCAGGGCCTGACCACGTTATGTAGCGGAATACTGTGCAATGATCACCCCATGCCAAGCACAAAGTCGGAGTCAGGTGAGGACAGACTACTGCACCTTTTCCTTCGTATAAACTTACCTTTGGACGGAAAACATTAGTGGGAGATTCGAAGGCCACTTTGGAACCGGAAAGGGACAAGCGCTCGAGAAAACTGATTCCATCATTTGTTTCCAACAGAATTTCCGGAAGTGACATCTAGATGACTCAGTTCACTTGCCTTTAAAGTCTTTCAGGAAAAATGCATAAAAAGGTTAGTTGTCACTACCACTAAACATCCTTTCTCAAACTGCCCTGACTCAGAATGAGCGAAGTTTTCGACGCCATGGTCTCTTCGGACCCGCCACCACATTATTCTTGTCTTCCTTCACAGGGAGAAGCTATCATCGACCATTCTCCTCGGTTAGGCTCTCAGATTCCCAGTGGGACGTTTATGAAGCATCGAGGGAACATTACTGTCGTATTGACAGAGCAAAAGGATGGTATTGCTACTCCGTCATATGGTCGAGGAGGGAATATTCAAGGTGGCTTACTACTGGAGAGACCTAATGATGTCTCTCAAGCAAAATTGATGGTCAGTCCAATTTTTTTTTTCGCGTTCTCGTCACTCATTCCCTCAAAGATAGAAGGGAAGCTGGATATTATGGGCTCTTCTAGTGGTCCACGGTCAGTTTCTACTGCTTCTCGCAGCATTACCCTATGGGACTGTGACCGGACAGAAAACGCCACGTGCCCTACTTCATTGCCCTTTTCTTTATCCCTGCCGCTCATATTTGAAGACGGTGGCCTGAGTTATCCTCTCCCGCCTAGTTTTCACTACTATTGTTCTGGAATTCCTGGCCTATTGATCACTTCCGTCTATACTTTCGTTGTCTCTGTAGCTTGCGCCCGCCGTCCGAGACTTCTGCTTCGTGACAAAGTAGAGACGTAAGTGCTAAGTTCCAATGTCCGCCATACGTCGGATTCTCATTGATACTCTGTAGCCTTCGTATTCTGTTCACATATTTACCTAGAACTCGGCCAGAACGACCGACGTTATCCATTCCTCTTTTCTCCGGCATCAAGTCGTCTCCCGAAGAATGGACGCAAACCCTTGTCACCGTGAAAACAAAAGCCAACGCAAGAGTTTGCCCAGTTCAATGTAACGTAGGTGGCACCCATATTGATTAGCTGCCATTCGTGACCTCATACGACTACCTTCCCAGTTATTTGTACCCTCTGTCCAAACATTCGCCATCTCCGATATTATCCCCTTCCACGTGCAACTAAGCGGTCCACTCACGTCGCTCCGAAAACTTTTCTCTACTCTCCCGAGCTCTTTGGGAGTACAGAACGTTCTTAGTATTTCTATCCGTAGGCAAATTTCAGTTATAGTCCGTGGAATTCGTTCATATCAGACTACGAAAATCGGCGAAGGGAAGATTCGCTCTGTACCACCGTATCCGAAGGGCTGTCGCTATCCATGCAGTGAGAGTACTAGCCAAGACGATCACTTAGACTGGGAAGGTGAAGTTAAGTGCACTTCAAATGTTACAGTAGGCGGATTCAGCGCCGCAGGTGCCTCGGTGAAGGTACGATAGAGTTTTTGTTCTCAAAATATTTATTCTGACAATATCCAGGATTACATTGTGATTTTGCTGAAACCTCCTCCCGATTCTCCCTTCCTTTCGACAGAAGGCTACATTCCAATCTTGCTCGTCACGGACACTTGGGCAAACGCTCCGAATGACAATTGATTTGGTTTCACTTCGCTTCGTACACGATTGCAGTTCGTGTTTTGCTAGGATTTACCATGGTGTACCCGGGGGAAACACCATTGGCGTAGATACTTCCTTGCGCTTGTCGGCGCCACACAAAAGCTCAACGAGAGTCAAAGCAAACGGGAATGTGGTGCCTTTGTTATGGTAGTCAATGTCAGCTGTGGGGGATGTCAATGGCTTTTACTTACCTGGACCACGGCTAACGGGGGCGTGTGATTCGTGAGTCCAGTAGCTGATATAACTTATGTACTTACCTAGTTACTAAGTTTCCCGAGATAACTACGGGCTCCTCAAAGTAGTCGAAGTCTGCGTATAATATGATCAATGCGTCAATGTTTGATACATTAAACTCTGATTCTGACCTGCAACGAGCTGGTCTTTCACGCCAGGATGAGACGTCAAAGGTTGTCTGCTAAGGCCTGACCTTAACGCAGCGAGACTACCTGGAATGAAACCTTAGATGGCTCATATGGCAACACTGAAACGTCCTACCTGCACAGACCATTCCCACATACTTCTTTTCGTCTAGGTATTTCCTCACAAGAACTTGAACCTCTTTGGATTTAGACATGGTGTCTGCCCCCTTTGCGCCTCCGGGAATAATAAGCGCATCGTACTTGTCCTAGACGAATGACCGTATCAATTAACTTGTACCGTAATGTCGAAGATCCAAACGCACTGGTCCACAGATGCTGCTTTCGAAGTATAGATCAGGCAAGATACGGATCCCACGAGATCCTTTGGCAGCCGGAGGACTGGCAGAACTTGCAAGATTATCTTTTGTGATTTCGGGCACAAAAGCCGATTCACAGACGATTCCCGCCCTGATGAAAGTGTCGCAGGTGATGGTACTAATAGTAAGAATTTGTTAGTTCTTGGGCATGGGCGACTGTAGTATAACAGTTCACATACAATTCCATCTCCTCCGTTCCATCAGCTATAAGTATGAGAGCAGAAGGCATGTCGGGACAACTTTGCGCTGGTGGTGGTATGAAACAGAGCAGCGAGGATGATTGACGTCATCATCAAGCGATATCATGGCGCCTCGGACCGACGGCGTGCAAAGGAAAGTAGTGGCAGTAGTTTTTGAGAATTCGCGCTTCGTACAGCCACCATGAATTTGAGGCAACTGTTAATGGCTTCATCATGGTTTATATAGCATTGGTGTAAGTAACGACAGGTTTCACTCAAGGTATGGCTTCTACTACGGTTGGATTCATGTACGGACGACTAAGAATGGTTCGGGGATATCAGGGCTTTCATACTTCGACAGATAGCGTCGTGTATGCAGGCATCCAGAGGAATCGATCTCAATGTTTCGCTCAACCTGGGAAAACTGATGAACATAAATCGAGAAAATGATGGGGATCATAAATTACCTGCCAAACTTTGGCATTGCAACCTATTTGTGTTAATGATGTGCTGCATTGCTGTACGATCTGAAGGGCTTCAGAAGGTAAGAGAACAGGCAACGATTCGGTATGCGCCTCGACAGGGTAGTTGATGTGTAGAGCTTTCAGCTTTGTAGCCATCGGGAGACATGATTGAAGAGCAACCTGTAAGGTTGCTCGTTAACGACAGGAGGTCTCAAGGGATAGTATCAAGAATTACCAATGACCCTTGTTCGATAACAACAAAGAGCTGCTCTAGGTTGGGGCATCTTCGGCATATGTCTTCTATGGATTCCAGTCCGACGAGCATCCGATGAGCCGAAAATCGCTTCAAGCGCGCTCCATGTGTGTTGATTATCTCCCTCCAAAAGTCGCAAGTCATCGGTGACTCAAAAAATGCACCAGTAGAATATATCTGGAAGACCTCGAGAGGAGAAAAGGTCAGGAACTGTAGCACATCTGCCATCCATGTCTGTAGAGGCGTCTGTTGGTTTATAGTAAGAGTTATTGATCGTAGCTGATGAAGAACAGGTGACCGAGAACACAATCGCGCGAGTTCATGCATATTCTGTATTATGTTAGTGAGAAAAGGACCGGGTTCAGCCGGAAGGCTTACAAATTTCGGGGATAATCCTTCGAGGCCAAGACCGTATATGGATGGATTGACAGAGAGGATAGACCATATACCATGATGAGAGACCTTTGGGCAGCCGGTTATATAGAAGTATTGCAAGTACTGAAGATCCGCCGCCATTGATTCTAGGACGGTGTCCGTTATGATAGGCGACGACTAATGAATATGAGGAGCCGTGTAGATAAGTTAACGAAGAGGATACCTTGCATATCAGAGTCAAACTGTGGAGGCTCGTGCCCGTAACAGACATCCAGGATGGCAACATGGCAACAACCGATGAGCTGGGCATAATCAGAGATATTTGTCCAAGTTTGTTGAAGGATCTCAAGATATTTGGGTCATAATTTCCATCGTTGTGACCGTTGATTTCTAGTTCACGTAGTTCCGTGGAACAGAGGAATGCCTCTAGTATTTCAGAATTCAGAGAGCCGTCACGGGTCCAAGTGCAGGACCTCAGATTGGTGCAGTTCCTGATACCAGAAATAACCACCTCCATTATATTAATACCATCATGAGGGAGGGCTTTGGGGAAGTCGCGAATCTCTACGAAGGAGTAAGATTGGTCATGCCCAAACCGCGAGATATACTGACCGAGTCGACGAACATATTGGGCAAGACGCAGATATTGGGACAGGGTGTCAAACAACTGGATTACCTATCCAAATGTTGGTTTGGTTTATTAGTCTTGGATCAAGGATGCGACTGCTGCTCTCACCTTTGTCTTCCCATGTTTATGCCAGGAATATATGGAAATACGCTCATATAATATTGGAGCAGCAAACTGGTAGAAGGTTTTATCAACGCGACACGTGAGAGCCAGATGGTGGGTATTCTGAAGGTGAGAGAGAACCAAAGGAAGGATGTCCAGGGGTAAATCTAAGAAATGCATGAAGTTAAGGTGAAGGCTGTCACGGATACAACGGCCCGTGAGCCGAAACTTTGTGCTGACCAAGGCCATCTAGTCCAAACATCTGAAAGAGGAAGTTCACCGCTCAGAGTCCTTGAACTTGTACATTCATCCTTCGCTTCTCACTGTTGTCATGTCGGACCTGGACGAACACGAACATATGCAAAATGATACCGACGATGTGATGCATGATGAAGAGGAAGAAGAAGTTCAAAGTGAAGCCGAACACAGCAAACCTCGACGGCGTCATTACGATGAGGACGAAGAGGATGAGGAGGACGAGGAAGATGAGGAAGACGAGGAAGAGGAAGCGGCAGGTAGAAAGCCAAAGAAGCGCAAGGTGTGTCTTTGTGCTGAAACAGATTGTAGCAGAAAAAATCTGACTCCATGTGCAGAGAAAGCAAGGCGCAAGCCGTTTCATTGATCTCGAAGCTGAGGTCAGTGATGAGGATGAAGGTGAAGAGGATGATGAAGACTATGGAGGCGGTGAGCATACGCTCTGGCTGACTCGGAATTGTGCTCATTTCTTTCCAGATGGCTTCATTGAACATGTGGACGGCGGCATCGACGAGGATGTGGGCAGAGCACATCATGCCCGACTTGACAGCAAAACTTTCGACGGAGAGGACAGAACTGCCGAAGAGATTGCGACGGACCTCAAGCATCGTTATGGTGGTCGAAATGCGGTTCGCTACAGTGGTGACATGAATGAGATTCCCCAACGGCTTCTCATGCCTTCTGTGCATGATGCTAGTCTATGGCAGGTCAAAGTCAAGGTATGGAAAATTTTTGGTGTATATAGCATAGTTCTTATTTGGTTGTTAGCCTGGTCGCGAACGCGACATTGTGTTCACTCTCATGCGAAAGTTCATCGACGTCGAGTTCACCGCTCGACCGCTGCAAATCTTGTCGGCATTTGAACGTGATACTCTACCTGGAATGATATACGTCGAAGCTCGGAGTTCCAAGCAAGTGAAAGATGCAATGAAGGGCCTCAACGGCACCTATACCGTCAAAGTGAACCTGGTCCCAATCGAAGAAATGGCCTCTTTATTGCAAATCAGGAAAAAGGAGCTCACAGTGACACCGGGAAGCTGGGTTCGCATCAGGCGAGGGAAATATCTGGGAGACCTCGCCCAGGTCGTGGACGTTACGGAAAATGGAGAGGATGTCGGCCTAAAGTTCATTCCCCGTATAGATCTGAACCCGCGGGATGACGGTTCGCTAGATGCTCTTGGAAAAAAGCGGAAGAAAGGCTCCACCGCAGCTGGAACCATGCGCCCTCCGCAGAAGCTGTTCAACTTCGAGGAAGTCGTGAAAGTTTACGGACGACAAGCAGTGGCCAAGCGAAATCAAGTCTACGTATTCCAGGGTGATACCTACAAGGATGGCTTCATCGAGAAGGACTTCAAGTTGAACGCTTTATCACTGGACGATGTGAATCCAACTCTGGACGAGATTACCCAATTCTCGCGTAGGCAGGACGGTCTGGGGGGTGAAAACCCGGTCGACTTGTCTGTCATCGCGGAGGCCTCCCGGAAAGCAGCCGTATCTGTGCTGCAGCCTGGTGATCATGTTGAGGTGTTTGAGGGCGAGCAGGCTGGTGTGCACGGTACTGTCGAAGAGGTGTCAGGCGACGTCGTGACTATCACTGCCGTCGGTGTTGACATCGAAGGCCAAAAAGTAGACATTCCTGCAAGGAGTGTCAGGAAACGGTTCAAACCTGGAGACCATGTCAAGGTGATGACTGGAAAGAATGCCGACGAAACTGGATTGGTGGTGGCCGTTGCAGATAATATTGTTACCTTTTTGTCTGACATGTCAATGCAAGAGGTATGTCTGAGGTAATCCAATTTTTGTCGGTTTATCTAATATATTTTCAGGTTTCTGTATTCTCAAAAGATCTCCGCGAAGCCGCAGAAGTCGGTTCTGGTACCAACATCGTGGGAGATTATGAGCTGCATGATCTTGTTCAGCTTGAGTACGTCGTCTTGTCGAGCTCTATGTCAAACTTCTGACCTTCCCATAGCCTTCAAACTGTAGGCGTTATATTCAAGACTGACAGAGACTCATTCCGGGTCCTGGACCAAAACGGTCAAGTTCGAATGGTCCAGCCTCGTCAGATTACAATGAGGCGAGATTCTCGGCGTGCCATTGCCACAGATCATGATGGCCATGAACTGCGCGTAGAGGATAACGTTAAAGAAGTAGATGGCGAGGTACGCACTTTACCGGCTTTTTTCTCATTCATCAAGCCTCAATATATATGTAGGGTCGCAAAGGTCAAGTTCTACACATTCATCAATCATTCTTTGCTTTCCTCTATAATCGTGAAATATCCGAGAACGGAGGCGTATTCGTCACGCGCGCTAGGTCATTGGTATCGCTGGCACCGAAATCCAGTGTCTTCCCCAAGCCAGGAGCAGATTTATCCAAGATGAACCCCGCTCTTGCCCTTCACCCAGGCGGGATGGCGGGTTCCAGCATTGGGCGGGGGCCCCGGGACCGTATGATTGGGACTATTGTACAGATTACCCGAGGTCCTCATAAGGGTTACGTTGGAACCATTAAGGATACCAACGGTCCAATCGCTCGCGTCGAGCTAAATACCAACAACAAAGTTGTGACAATCGAGAAGTCGAAGCTTGTTGAGAAAGTGTGAGTATAGCTCTTCTTCCATGATGATAACGCTTATCAATATTCATCATGAACCAGTACTCCCGGATCCAGTCGTGCATTCGACCGACTTAAAGCTATGGGCCCGCCAGGCGAACCAGGCAAGCCTTGGGGAACCCGATCAGTAAATCCGTACGCGTCAGGAGGAAGCACTCCTACTTGGGGTGCTGGTGGTCGGACACCTGCATGGGGTGGGGGCGGTCGTACTCCCAATCCTTCATCGGATTCTCGTACGCCAGCCTGGAATGCATCTTCACGGACGCCTAACCCTTATGCCAACAATGCACAAACACCGGCATGGAACGTATCTTCGCGGACTCCAAACCCGTATGCCGATGGAGGCAAGACACCGGCGTGGAACGTCAGCTCACGGACACCAAACCCATATGCTAGTAACAATGGAGGTGCTACACCTGCGAGGAATACTTGGGGGGGTGCAACCCCGGGAAGAAATGCTTGGGATACAAGTACTGGATGGAGCGATAGTTGGGTGGGTATTTTGTTTGTGATCAACATTAATTAGTATTTAACCGGTATCAAAGAATGCCGCGCCTACACCAGCTGCGGCAACTTCACCTGCATATGCTGCACCGACACCTGGACCTGGAACTTACGATGTTGCTACACCGTTCAGCTACGGAACGGGCGCTATGTCAGCACAAACGCCCGCCTCGGCCCCGACACCCGCTGCAGCAGGATGGCGAGAGGAAGATACAGAGGGTGCGTTCATTTCTGCACCAGGAAGACATTGACTGTAACAATTTTTGTAGGCTTATCTGAGGAATGGCTCCTTGACAGTGCCTTAAGCAGTGTCTTGCAGCGCATCAAGATACGTATTGAAGGATCACGCAATTTCAATTACCTGGATGGGAAATACGAAGGGCTAACCGGTCGGGTGATGGCTGCGACACGAGTAGGAGCGAACATGGAACAAACTGCAATGATCGCCTTCGATAATGGAGAACAGCGGTCGATATTGATGAAATTTGTTGTTCCTATGCAGCCTGGTGGAGTGGATGGAGAGAACGGGGTTCTGTTGGATGGCCCGTATAAAGGCCAGGAAGCTCGGGTGCGGTCATTAAGCGAAGATGGCATGATAACTTGTGATGGGTATTTTGGATTTGCGGAAATTTCACAAGATAAGTTTGCTGTCTTGACGGCTGCTCCTGCATAGTTACTACTTATCATTGTAATCTGTACCTTTACTTGATTATATGTCATATAATGGATCCTTTGGTTCAACCGGGCTTTCTAGAGACCTCCTGTCTGCGCCGTAAACCCAGTCTTTCCGGAGGTTTGACTAATTGTCTGAAGCCTCTCACATATGCATGTACAGTCCTTTCCAGTTTGCGTTAACAGTCAGCGTGAAGAACCTTTAGCAATTCGTGCACAAGCCGAGTCAGTACACTTAGTGTCATCATGGTCCATAGTGTATCATCATAAATACGGTATTATACAACTGTTCTATTGTCGCTTTCCACTATCCTAGTATCAACGTCCATAAGACCCCTGTCCCGGGGGCAGATACCCATAAGGCTGAGAAGGTGGAGGGAATCCTTGATATTGCTGCTGCTGCTGATTATTTCCAGTTTGATATGACAATGGTGCGGGTGGCGGGGGCATCCACTGGGATGGGTTCTGGTACTGTAGCTGAGAAGCAGGCGGTATCGACATCTGCCGAGAGGGTGTACTCGTTTGGTATTGACCCGGAGGAGGTGGGCGCAGTGGTGCTGATGGGGTGGACACGCCAAACACTCCAAGATTAGCATAAGGGTCATTCTGTTGCGTGGGAGGGGAAGATGAATATGATTGCCGAGGTTGTGGGGGAGGCGGAGGCAAATAAGAAGACGAAGACAGCTGTGACGGCGGCGGAGGTGGGGGCGGTAGTGGAGATAATTTAGATAAAGATGGGAGAGGCGGGGGAGGGGAAGAAGTGTATGTAGACGAAGGTGGAGGCGGGGGATAGGATGAAGTAGAAAAGCTGTATGATGAAGGCGAATATGATTGTCGCGGTGACGACGACATATTCTGCCATGAACGATCGGCAGGAGTGGGAGAAGATCCTCGCATACTCATGGAGGAGAAGGCTGAGCTGAGGTCTTCCGACTTAGATGGAGGCGGCAAGGGTGGCTTTGGAGCTAAAGGTGGACGCTGCGAGGATACAGAAGAAAGTCGCTTTTCCACCTCAATTTGAGAGACCAGATTATCTTTCTCGGCGACTCTGCTGAAAATAAAGGAATTAACATTTTCGTGGAGGCTTTTCGTCAAACCCGTCAGATCGTTGTAAAATTGCAATCCTTTACTGTTGTGACGAATCAGTATGAAAACGAGTAGAGAAAATTCAGTGATACACACGCCAAGCCATCTCGGACTTCCATGTACACGTCTCGAGCTCGAGAGAAGCGCCGGACTGTGTCCTTCTTGCGCTTTTCTCTTTCTTCCCATTTACGAGCTCCTGGACCACGACCCGCAAGATCCTTGAGACTTTTCCATAGTGTTGTGATCTCCTGCAAAGCAATGGCCTGGTGTTGCAGCGTTGCCTCTAGTCGCTGCTGGTATGGACGGAACTTCTCCAATTCCGCGGCGAACAAAGCTGGCTCTACCCCAGTATTACGTCGATTGAGCAAAAGGAGATGCGAAACATCGTCATTTTGGACCTACAAAAAGATAAGAGCGTGTGTCATTCTCAATCAAAACACTGCATACTTTTTCCTTGAGATCCTTCAAGACTTCGTTTCTCTCTCTGGCAATCTTGTTTAGGCGTCCCGTTCGTTCCTCGATTTCTGTAACAAAGTTGCCAATCTTCGCTCGTTCTTGTGCATCGCTCCCTTCGTTCGGATCGAAATCTAGAAGGTTTTCAGATCCGTTTCCTCCATGTTCAGTACTAGCCCTGAACACATCTTCCAACTGAGGGCTCAAAAGAAGTCCGATATCACTTTTTACCGACTGCCACATCATCGCGACCTGTTGGTCCGAAGGCGCAGCTGCGTCCAGGGTTGTAAAATGAGATTTGAGATCCTGTCTATAGGTCTTCCCCACGCCTCCCGACGGTTCTTGCGTCCAGAGATGCTCATACTTCACCCTCATCATCTCACAATTCCGCGATTCAGTGTCCAACTCCTGCGAGGTGGTCTCCAGTTGCTGTTGTACACCATTCTTGAGTTGTGAAATCTGCGCCATGAGGGTTTCGACGCCTTCTCTCTCCTCAATCAAGGAGATATCATCTTTCCATCTTCTCACGTCTACCGGGATTTCATCCTCTCCACCAACCTCGCCTTCTGCCATGGCCCGGAACCTGGTCAAACCATCTTTTATGCCCAAGCCATCCAATACACTCCGAACTTCGCCTTCCGCCCCTTCCACCTTCTCCACCTCGCTTCGAACAAGCTTCGCCTTCTCTTCCGAATACACACTGGCGCTTTCATGCACACTCAAAGGGACAAGCCGCAGGAATAGGTCTTGCCCTATCGTCTTCTGCACCTCAGGCGTCCCATAAACCTCTTGGATCGGGATGGGGTTAGCCACAACAATTTTGTCGATTGCTGGGAGTGCTTCAGGTGCAGGCAACACAGCGTTGTATATGAGATCGTTCTCGCGCTGTGCCTCGGACTTCCGGTCCGAGCAGATGGCAAGATGAGCTTTCATGCGGTCTTGTAGCGCAGTGCTAGCATCTGCAGGAAGAGTAGGCGACATCGTCGACGTGAATAAAGACGAGGCGGTCCGGGAAGCATCCTTTGCCAGGCTTTCGGCAAGATTGAAGCGTACCAACGCGTCGCCGTGCTTTCCAGCGGTGTTGTCAGCCATTCCGCGGTAATACTGAGACAAGGAAGTGAAATATTTCGCTTTCACCTAGACGTTTGATGAGCTTCTACAGATATTCGAAGAAAAGCCATCTGACTGGATCTCCAGAACGTTTTCAGGCGTGACGAAGATCATTCTGGGTCCAGTCAAACGGGGTGAGAAGAGAGAACATACCTGAAGGAGAGTTACCCAGTTTCGGTCAAAAATGCCCTTTCCCATGAATTCCTTAACTTCCTCCGTCAACGAATTATACATTGAGGCTGCCTGGGCCCCAACTTTGGATACTAGAACAATACCCTTCTTCTCGTCGGTGCATTTTTCAAAGAACACCTCTGTTGCCTGAGCCAAGATGAGGCTGACAAGAAACTTGATGACCTCCCGACTCAGATCGGTGGACGGCGCGTGGAGAAAGTTCTCATTGATATATGTTAGCATCCCCGCGCATGTCTTGAAGTAGTAAAATGCACGTTTGAGACCCTCCGGATCGGATCGGCTCTGCGATGCAGCGATAGCGGAATGTGTCCCAGCTATCTGGAATAGTATCGATGCCTTCTCGAAAGCGATGGATGTCTGTGTCGTTAATTTGTTCGTAAATGCGTCTCTCCAAGGAAAGTTAACTTTAATTTCGGAGAACCGGAGCTCAAGGAGCTCGAGCTGGCCAAAGTACTTGTATAAAAGGTCGCGAGCTGGATATTGTGAGTAAGCTGTACACCGGCGCTAAAGGTGAGATACACACCAGTCGTATCGCTACCTGCACCCCGTACAGCGTCCTGGCGGCACCTCTGTAGCGCTGCGCACTCAGCGGCATAGTTGTCTGGGCTCTCTCCATAAGAGTGGGCGATGAGGGAGCGAATGGGTGTCGTCCAGTCGACTTCCTCTGTCGTCTTCTTGGGAATGGATATCATTGGCGATTGGTTAGCCATCTTGGGGGTCGTTGGCAAGAGTGGAAACTCTGCAGTACTAGATATTTAAGCTGGAGAGTACTGCGAGCTGCGGAGGCGATTGCTGGTAGATGATGATGGTCTAATAGAAAGGACGTCACAGGCCCGCTTTCGGCAGTTTCTCTTCTTGACACCCATGTCGTCGACAAACAAGTCTGTATCCAGCGAAGATATTCTCGGTCAAAAGGCAAGTAGAATTTCTCTTTCTAGTAGAATAAATTGCTTATATTTTCCCTGTAGTATGACCGCTGCTGTACGTCCTGTCTTAATCCATCCTGACTTTGCCATCTTGACGGGAATCCACGGAAACAGTGGCGGATCTGTTGGTGAAAGCGTGCGTATCCTTCTTGTATTTGCAGGGCATTTTCGATACTTACGACGCATATATGCAGTGGTGTTGGCTTCAGCGTGGGCGTCGTTGCCTCTGTCATATTATTCCGACGTCGGTGCACCAGCAAACCCTGCTATTGCTCTTCCTGATATAATTTCTATTAGGACGTACATGGCCCATCGCACTATCTACAGGCTTCGGCGCCGGTGCCGCCTACGCTGACTGCGACCGCTCCTTCAACCCTGCCAGAATACCCGGCACGCGCATCATCACTTCCAAGGAGGAGCTAAAATAGAGATTTTGGCGAGAGTCAGACATCAGCTAGACTTTTTTGTTATGAAGGCGTCGGTCAGTAATCAGCTATCATTCGAGCACAAACACCATTCCTGCACCTTCAATCATCATTCATGCTCTCTTGCCCTTGTCCTTTGTTCCAACTTTGTGCTGTCGTCTCCGTCGTCGATCCAGAGATCTTTCTCTGAGGTTCTCCCAAGACCAACCGCTTGTACAAAACAACTACACAGAAAACCTAAGGATTTGCTGACAGGTTGAAAAAGTGGCTAACGAACAGGAAGTCACCCCTATTAGGGGAACTAAAGCGAGTATTCGAGCCGTTTGGCGGCCAGAAATTGGCAGTTCTTTTGGTATCTTTCTTTTTGCCATGGATGGCACACGGAGCGACGTCGACGCGTTGGCTTGAGTAGCGAACGCGACTTTCTCCGAGTGTTACGCGTGATGTTACGTCAAAATGCGTGACAGTCAACGGACCGCTTTCCCGCCCGCCTGGTCCGTCAATGTTCATGAACTAAAACTATTCTAAGATGACACTGATAGCGTGAAGACTCAACAGGCCAACATCCCTTCAAAGCGCATTTTGAAACGCTTACCTGTCTATCTTTTGACAGCCAGTACTCCGCCGCCCATGACCTTGCATGCACAGTGCCTTATCCCGGGCCAGCCCAGTTCTCATCCAAACTGAAAAAACATCGGCCAGGCGGGATGATTTTCCCGCTTTACATTGGCATGGAACCATACTCATTTACTATCCCAATTTCGTTGGGCTCTTTTCTCTGCCGAAGTTAACGTTGAACAGCGGACTGATCAGTTCGTCCATTATCTTTCGATCACGAACGATAAGGACGGCTCTTTCCGGTTCTCTGTTACTTCAAAAGTGCTAAGTACAACGAACTCTATTGAATATTGTTACTTGCGTCAACTCGTGCCGTTATTGCGTGGTCTCGGTGCATATTCCTCTTCTAGTCTTATCTTGGTCAACTACTAGACCACGGGATATCAGCAGAATTTCGTCACAAAAAGTCCGTTTGCGCTTAGGACCGTGAGAGCGGGACCTTAAGCTTCGCCGCGCGCGGCCATCTGTTCACTGTCCACCATGTCCGAGCAGCCGACCAACGTTAGTCAAATTCCATCCACTTTATTATCCTTTACTGATCTATCTTTCAGACGGTTCAAGTCGAACTCCCTGCGGAATTCTATGCGGCCCTGGAGGAGCTGCGAGTGAGTAGACAATGCTATACGAATAAACATCTACCATTGCGCTCTTTTAGACCATCCGAATAGCACAACTCGCCTCTGTCGACCAGCAACGCGAGATGGCGAGATATTTTACGGAGTTGAATGTATGGTTTGAGGGGCAGGTTCGGCAGCGTCAAAATGACATGCAGGCGCTTGAAAGACAAGTGGACGGGGTAAGAGAGCAAGTTCGCTCGCGGAGATAAACCAACGGCGCGATGCGCTTTTCCTTATGCTCTGAAAACGAGATTGTGGCTAATAGGTCGGATTTCATGACGGGTCCAAGTACGGACCGAATAACTGACACCTTCCCGCAGTTCGTTCGCGGGGATCTTGAAGACTTTGCCTGCAGCCTAGCGTTTTTTCCGAAAATTTTAGTGGCCGCTTTTCAAAAGAGGCGTCTTGGACCAGTCCAGGGGGTCCAGGCAGCAATTGATCGTGATCAGCACACGTATTATTCCGACCGCCAACCACACGAATCCGTCTCCGCGTGGAATGAAAGTTAGCTAGGGGTAGCATTGCCTGAACATCTTTCAGTAAATACCAGCACATATAGCGAGTTATTCTATCGTAGTATACAGAAACATGATGTACGCGAAAATCCGAAGTGAAGGAGCTAGAATTGATCTATAGAGACGAAAGGGTACGATAAGGCCGATCTAAAAGCAAGATCTGGTAAACAACATGGGCGCTCATATTTGGTCAAGTACTCCTTTTCGCTCCTTTTCCTTAAAATCCAACTTGTTTCCGTCCTTCTCTCATCATGGCTCCCGTCCAAGTCAAGAAAATCTGCTGCAGTGCGTCTGTATACTACATGTTCTCGCTGTCTTCGTTGCTGACTGCTGCCTAGTCGGTGCTGGATACGTTGGTACGGACACGTTTGTCCGCTTTCCAGAGGATTGCTAATACTCGCCTAGGTGGACCAACATGCGCCGTCATCGCACTCAAGTGCCCACAGATCCTGGTCACCATCGTTGACCTCAACCAGCAACGTATCGATGCGTGGAACAGTCCTGGCTTCGACATTCCCATATACGAGCCTGGCCTGGTCGACGTTGTACGTCAGTGCCGAGGCCGCAACCTCTTCTTCTCGACGGACGTCACCAAGGGCATCCAGGAGGCCGACCTCATCTTTGTCAGTGTCAATACGCCTACCAAAAAGAGCGGTGTTGGAGCTGGATTCGCTGCTGACCTCAAGTACGCTCTTTTCTCGCTCTTTCTCTGCCTAGTGCCTCACGTAAATCAGCTATGTTGAACTCGCGACGCGCCAAATCGCGGCAGTTGCTACATCATCGAAGATCGTCGTAGAGAAGTCTACTGTCCCGTGTCGCACGGCCGAGTCTATGCGCACGATTCTCGAGGCCAACTCCAAGCCCAACTGCCGCTTCGATATCCTCTCTAACCCCGAATTCTTGGCAGAGGGCACTGCAATTACGGATCTTTTCAGTCCCGACCGTGTCCTCATCGGTTCTCTCCAGACACCGGAGGGCAGGGATGCTTGCGAGTCGCTTACACAGGTGTACGCCAACTGGGTGCCGAAGGATCGCATTCTCAACGTCGGCCTGTGGTCTTCTGAGCTTTCCAAGCTCGCTGCCAATGCTATGCTCGCTCAGCGTATCTCTTCCATTAACGCCCTCTCCGCCATTTGCGAGGCGACTGGTGCCAACATTGATGAAGTCGCCCACGCCGTTGGGTACGATTCACGTGTAGGCCCCAAGTTCCTTAAGGCATCTGTTGGATTCGGTGGATCTTGCTTCCAGAAAGATATCCTAAACTTGGTATATCTCTCTGAAAGTTTGCATCTGCCGGAGGTCGCGGCATACTGGCGCCAGGTGGTCGAGATGAATGAGTATCAGAAGGCAAGGTTCTCAAAAAGGGTCGTGGACACTTTGTTCAACACTATTACTGGAAAGGTGGGATCATTTTCTCCTGACATCAGACGAGGCTGACTTGACTGCCTCCTATAATAGAAAATTGCGGTCCTTGGGTTCGCATTCAAAGCCGATACTGGCGATACCCGCGAATCCGCAGCCATTACACTCATTAAGAATTTCCAGAATGAGAAGGCCAAAGTCAGCATATACGATCCGCAGGTTTCGGAGTCACAGATCTGGAGCGATTTGCAGGAGGTGAACCCTGGTACATCGTTGGATGCGAGTATGTCTTCGTTGCATCTCACCTTATAAGAGAACTCTGACCATTTGTTTCAGTCAAGAAGCAGGTGACAATATCTTCATCTGCTATTGAGGCATGCAAGAATGCCGAGGCCGTGGTGATCGCGACGGAGTGGAACGAGTTCAAGTCCATCGCATGGGAGGAGGTCTACTCGCATATGAATAAGCCGGCGTTCGTATTTGATGGGCGGATGTTGGTAGATGCGGACAAGCTGAGGGCGATCGGATTCAAGGTTCGTTAATTCTACTGGCTAATGAACTGCGTGGTTAATATGTCGTTGACAGGTGACTGTCATTGGTCGGGGCGCTGTGTAATTTTTTTAGAAGAGTAGATGCTTAGACTCGCATGAACTTTTCCGACTCGCCCTCTTTTTTTTTAATGCAGTCTAGGAAAGCACATATCGGTATGGGCAGGACTAGACACCGATACTATATCCTACCTTTTCTCTTGGACTCGGATGGTAATTTGGGGCTGTTTCGTATTTAATTCTCAAATGCATGTTGTCATTATCTCTCATCATGCTTATAGCAGACTGAAGTCCATGTGAGGCAAGTGTATCGATTAGTGGCATAAGGCTTTCGCTGACGCCTATTCCCTGGTTTCAGTGACTTTCCGGGTCAATTATAATCCTGATCGGCAAGTGAAAGTGAGCCGAGCGCAGAGACTAAGCAGCTCTTTCGGACCCACAATGGATGCGCAAGACGCGTTTTGAGGACTGGATGCAAGCAATGGACGTCGACTCACCACTTCTATATTGGCACGTCTGTTCTGTGCTCATGATAGTGCATCTAGAACTCACTCTTGCATTGAAGCACGCTAGAATCACGACGGGTAGGTAGCCGAAGCGAGACCTTCTACCCGAGGAAGGAAACACGAAGACCACTCAACTGGCGTGCTTGTCGGCTTGAGGTTTTGATGGAGACTCCACCGGTGGAACAGAAACGTCCTGCCTTCATTCTGTCCGTCCATAGAACCATGCCTTAGCTAATCGCTGAGACATAGGTGGAGCAGGTCGAATGAAGCCTTGAAGGTATTTTCTTGGCTTCGTGTGCTATTAGGTCATGTTGGATGCATTGTGGATCCTTCCCAGTTATGTCCGAGAGGCGCCAAGACTGTTTCCACGGCAGAAAGCGATGTTCGCGAATATCCGGTGAACGAAGACAATGCCTGCAGCTATAGCCGCTAAAGAATGTTACATGCGGCTCATGGAGATTTTTCGGTCTCTGACGACTACACGATCACCGTTCTAGTCAACGTCTAATCTCCACTGCTCTTGTAGAGGTGTACTCTTTTCAGCCATTTAAAAATACGTTAAAACTTCATTAACACTGCCAACCCATGCTGTAAAGGAGACTCTCTCTACAGCAACGATTCTTGCAATCCTCTGCAGCGCCAAACAAAGATAAGCCTGAGATGATAAGCAACCTCTGGTGATTTCTTACCAGCGTCGTACATGATGAGTGATAAGCGATAGGTCTTTCAAAGACTGGAGCAAGTACTGCGTCGAATCTCTTTCAAATTATCAATGCCATCTGCCGTTACAGTGTCAGTCAGGTTTGTCTGTGGATTCACGGAAACAATACCTCGGGCAAAGTCTGTATCCCTAGCGCAGTCACTCTCGACCTCGTCTCTGGGCAATACAAGACCATGAGACATCAAGGATCCAGCCAGGATAGCGGTGAAGAGGATGTAGATGGCGCGGTTCAGTATCATGGCGATTGTGATTCCAAACAAACCTAGCAGCGCTGCTATTTATCCTTCAGCGCATGTCTCCGGTATGAATTGCACGGAACTTCTTCCTATGTCCGTATCTCACTAATATCCGGATTCAGGCATTTTTGTGTAATTCTCCTCAGAGAACGGCGCTGCAACCGCCGTCTATATTTCAAGTGACCGGTTCTGTTCTGTTTCAATAGAATAATATTTGGTCAAGTATGTACCTCAGTAAGTCGCGCTCAAGAACTTTATCTAGTATCAAACCCTATACGCCGACATTGATACCAACACCTTTTAAGTACTTGCTTTCCGTGCTGCATACGTTACGAACCTGACACTCCTGAAATTCTCTACGGCGGCTATCTCATCTCATCTGCTATCATCTATGATCTAGGGAGGAAGAGAAGGTCTGTCGCCACAGTGCGGTCATAGCCTTCAGGGTCTACCAGGACTCAGACGGTATATCCTAGTCGGCATATTGCTTGTATGGTGAGAGTCCGCTTTCGATGACTCCTTTCGACTTCATAATATCTTCTTATCTGGAGTTCAGATCGAGCCTCTGTCAGTTCCGTCTCTGCTACCAACAATGCTTTCTCTCCGTACAGTTAAAGGCAATTTGTCTTAATCTCAGTCTTTCCTCTGAATATTTTATCCGACTTTGAATATTCGAGATCGATGTAAACGGAATATCCCAAAGCCTAATACTGCCTACTCCAGGTAAAGGCACTAGCGCCGGTCTTCGGCGGTTCTCATATGACGAATGAAGTGATGTCGAGCAAGCGGCTAACAGAAAATAGATTGTTATCGTAACTGCGGTCAAATGACGATACGACATCGTCTGATGTGTGCCAGATGGACTATTCCTTTTGCAAATGACTACGACTTCTTGTTTTCGAAGCGGCTGGCATTGTTTTCCGCAGCTTTGATTCACGACCGCATTCAAAGGGGAAGCTATATTCACAGCCTTTCTGTTCCAACTCGGCGCTTGGTCTGAGAACCTTGTCTGCTGTATCTGTTACGATTGTCGCAACTTTCTCTACAGCCGTTTCTAAGGGTTCGTCCTTCTTTTTACCGAAGTTACTAGCTGATAACTTCATGTTCTCACAGAATGACCCTAGTGTTTCAATCATACCGACGTAATGCCTTCAGTACGAGCGTGACTACTAGGCAGAGTGTCTGGGCGCTCGCGCTTTTCGGTGTTTCGATGTTTATTCTTTGGGTGTCTTCTAAAGATGGCTTGGAAAGTCCTTCAGGACATAACCCACATATACCAACAGAGCTGAGTAAGGATTTTACTGTTGTCGGTCCATCCCGTAGCGAACTTACATCACATTCTCCGTAGACTCATTTTCATTTTCGGTTAAATTCGACGAGCCTGTAGCCATGCGCATCGTGGATTCCGCATATTATGATATCGACACTGAAGAAGGCGTTCAAGAATGGGCCCAGTTACTACCTGCTCATGGGCACACTGTTCACATTGCTGATGAAGATGGTGTACCGCATGTCCACACTGTTTCTCTCTTCCATAGCCTCAAGTGCCTTGATATCGTTAGGCAACAGTTCATCACCACCCCGGCCCAAACGCCACCTCCCCCTTTGATTAAGCATTGCTTGCAATACCTTCGACTCACCCTTCTTTGTCAACCCCATCTCTGGCTTGAGCCCGCCCGTGACCTGGAAGGGCATGCTGTTCGAGATTATGATGCTGTATGCAGGGACTGGACTTTGATATATAGCGAAGCAGAACGTAATCAGCGGTCGTATAATAATTGGGCAAGGGTGAACTCTAGTTTCACCTCGGTATAGGATCCGCAGGGTTACAACCTCCATAGCTTTGGCTGGAAGTTCGGAACTTACCTGGTGAACTAGTAAGCCCCTCATGTGGTACGGAAACTGATTTGATTGGCTCTTCCATATCAATCATATGCGCCCATGGAGTAACTTGAATATTACGAAACTTCCAACCTCGTTAGCTATCAGACCGACCCTTTTTGACAACCTGGATGTCGATTTGTTCGATTTGGTATTTCTGGATGAGGCGTCCTCACGCACAGCACCCACGCTTTGCTTTCGCCCTCCCCCCCAGAACACAGTCTCATTCATGTCATCGTCATCTACGTCGTCGGACAGGCCCGACCTGCCTGAAGATACTCTCGTCATGGAGCGGACCAATCTGATTGGTGATTGCCTTTCCCAAATCCTCTTCGGTAGTGATCCTTCTTTCTTGATTGACACACAGATCACTGATTTTCTGTTACTTACATTTCTAGGTGCTATAGTAGTGGTATTCATACAGACGATCCATGCCCTCGTTTATCTCCCCAAACGCCGTGGAGAGAAGAGGGATTGGTTCCTCATAGCATATGCATTCGTGGCGTTCACCTTCGCCACGACTTTCATCTCTGTGAACATGAAATGGTTGCAACTTATGTTTATTGATCATCGTAACCACGAGGGTGGTCCGATTGGATTCTCGATGACCCAGTACTCTCAGCCTGCTGTGGCCACCGCCAATGTGGTGGGTGTTATGTGTGGTTGGATGGCAGACGGATATCTCGTACGTGTAACCTGGCAAGTTCTGTAAAATTCTACCTGACATCTCTCGACTACAGTTGTATCGTTGTTTGGTCATTTTCCACTTCAAGTTATATGTGATTACGCTTCCAATCCTAATTTACCTTGGAACGCTTGGTAAGTACTATGCCCCCCCCCCTCCTCCTTAGTTTACTTGATTTAATCATCGACCTTGAAGCTATGGGATCGTTGTTCCTCTTCCAAGCCTTGCGACCCGGGGCGAGTCTTTTCGGCCACCTCAGCGTGAACTTTGGCGTGCCATACTTCTCCATGACGGCAGGACTCAATGTCTTGATCTCGGTACTCATCGCAGGCCGGCTGCTAATGTATCGCCGACAACTGAATCGTCTCTTCGGGCATGAGTACGTTTCGGCAGCACCTTATGTCTCTGCAGCTGCCTTGATCATCGAAAGCTCATTCATATATGCCGTCAATTCTATATGTTTTGTTGTGCCCTACGGCCTAGGAAGCCATGTAGCGAGCATATTCTTGCCTCTGCAGGCTTTAGCGCCGGTATGTTATTTGTGCCCGTGCTATCTTAACTTGCTGACATATCCCCAAAGGTGTTAGCTCCCATGCTCATCATGCTCCGTGTAGCACTTCGGCGAGCTTGGGATTCCAAGACGCTGTCAGCACCCGTATCCAGCCTGCAGTTCCAACACAGGTCTGTTCCGACCTTTCAGGAACAAGAAAAGTCCCATTGGCACGGTGAAGTTGATGGAATTCGTCTTCCAACAACGAACTCGAGTGGGAGTGATAGTGGCGGGAGCGCGCAAAGTAGTCCCAAGCCATGAATTGATATCTCGCATCTGTAATTTTTTAGATTGTGTATTGGAAGGATGACCATGCATTTGATCATAATCGCGTTTGCACATGGTATTTGATGAACATGGGAGCCAGAGAAGTCGAACCCATCACAATATTTCTGTAAAAGTTATGGGGTGAGCTTCCAGTCACGCCAGTCGAGTGCGAACCCTTTCTATTCACTGAGAATGGTGTACACGATGACGGCGTAAAGAAAAGAAGCTTACTAATCACGTGCTATGTAATGCGTTACAATTTCGGATCTCCATTCTGCCTTACATGTAAGCTTCAGAGGCTATAAAAGATATTGATATTATGGTCACCAATGCTTACACCTTCAAAACGATGTCTATAACAGAGGGTACCATCCCATTTACAGTGAACGGTGAAACCTTTCACACGTGGTACAAGATAGCAGGAGACATAACATCCGCTCAGCGCCCTCCACTTGTTGTCCTTCACGGCGGCCCTGGAGGCTCTCATGACTACATGCTGCCCCTTGTAGACCTCACCACCAGAGATCCTCCCACCACCGTGATCTTCTACGACCAAATCGGGACCGGGCGCTCCTCGCATATCCAGAACAAACCCTCTTCATTCTGGTCCATCGAGCTCTTCGTCAACGAGCTCGAAAACCTCCTCGCCTACTTCTCCCTGGCCGATAAAAGATACGATCTGCTCGGGCAATCATGGGGAGCACAACTCGGGGCCGAGTTCATCATTCGCCGGCAGCCACGAGGGCTCAGACGGCTTATTCTCGCAAATGGCCTTGCCAGTGCGAAGCTCCGGAACGAAGCGAGGTGGAAACTCATGGCAAAGCTCCCGGCCGAGGTGGGAGAGACCATCAAGAGGCACGAAAAGGAAGGGACGACGCTTGCTGAGGAATACAAAGCGGCATGGCGCGTCTTTTACGAAAATTACGCGTGCCGAATGAAGCCTATTCCAGCTGAAGTCATTCATACCATCGGGCAGACTGAAGATGATGATGGAGGAGCTATAGTTCTGGACAACATGTAAGGCTGCTTGCTATTCAGTCCCTGAGCGCTCTCTGACGTCAATATGCCGCAGGCGAAAGAATGTCCTTGAATTTGAATGGGATATCATCGATAAGATCCATCTCATCCGCGTCCCGACCCTGATCATCAATAGCGAATATGATTATATGACCGACGAAGTCTGCGCGCCCTTCTTCTGGAGAATCGACAAGGTCAAATGGGTGAAATTTGCGCATTCTAGCCATATGCCTCAATGGGAGGAGAGGGAACGTTATATCGATGTTGTAGACGAATTTCTTGGTCAGGTGTAAGATTAGATGCTGTTCGGCGGTACTGCGCAATGATACTTGGAAATCAGCGAGTTGCTACCAGAGCTTCGATAACCATCAGTATGGTCCAATAATCAGAGACTGATAGCCTAACCCTGGGCCGTAGAATGAAGGCAGATAACTGTACCCTTGGAAAGTTGTGGTGCCATCCATCACCGCCCAGGGTAGACATCCGCCCATCATGGATCATATTACATGATGAATGTACTTCTGCTTCTGGCGTAGTTATACTCAGATATTATCTCAATGCCCTAAGATTGAAGCGGGAACGGTAACAACCGAAAACAAATAGTTTGGCCGTCTCTCCGAAAGCGAGGCCAACCTCGAGTTAGGAAAGAATACCATCTGAAAGCAGTATTACTGATGAGGATGTTGTGGCAGCTTTAACATTCGTTCTCCCACCATTGATTACGGTTGGCGATGGCCGGGCGACCGCTTCACGTATATGTTCTTTGGATCTTAACCGCCGTCAACATTGGTATAGTGCTATGGAGGAGTCGGCGATTCTTGTATTCAGATAGATGGGGGTCGTCTGGTGAGCCCATGAGCTTTTTTATTGAAGAGACTGAGCAACTCACCGATGTCAGATGATTACAGTTACATTGGCGGTGACTTTCCTCTTTATTACCCCCTCGCTGGCCCCCCTCTCGATGTAAACCCTGTCGCCTTGACATTCCGTGAATCCGTTCGTTTTGACTACAACAAAACCGACCAAGTGGCGTTTGATGAGTGGTACTCCATTCTCAAAGCCATGAACTTTGGTCGCGTTCGATTAGGACCAGAGAACCGCGTTTTTGCTCCCGTCCACTACCACGAAATGCATTGTGTTCGGATTCTGCATATCGCGCTGTTGAACCCAGCGCACGAGGGGATGCCAAAACATGTGAAACATTGCTTAAATTACCTTCGACAGTGGCTGCTGTGCGAGGCGACGGATGCAGTAGAGAGGGGAGACTTCTTAGAGAAAGATTATGAATCGGATGCAGACAGAGTTGGTGATACCCGAATTTGCCAGGACTGGGGGAGAGTATATGCGGACATGGATAGGAACCACGAGAGGTGGCTCGAGTTCAAAAAAGCGTGGACTTGAACGGCAGATAGGATAGGATACAAATAGTAGCCGGTTGCCGTGAGGCTCAAGGGTAGTTTTATGCACTGTAATTCATGAAGCCGAAGTTGTCGCTCTATTCACAAATACCGGTCTGGATGCGGGAAGAGAAACCCAAAGAAAACCTCAAACAAACTGACCGCTTGTCTTGTGTGATGGTCGCCTTGGAAGACAATACTAATATTACATGGATTGAAACGATACATATGTCCTGCAGTAAAGGTCAGCATTTTTCCCGTGCAGCAGAAAATAATATCACGTACCCTAATGACGGCTCATTCCGCTCCTTTCTTCTTCTTCTCCTCAACAAGCTCGACATTGTCAGCAGGAATACCTTTCAGCAACCCGACCCCATCTTCTATCATCTCAAGTATCTCACCGCTCACATCTCCTTGTACAACGATCTCATCCTGCCCTTGAGGATTTTTCGTAACCGATGATCCCGTAGCGAACTTTGAGGCAAACTGTTTCGCAACTTTCTTCAGGTCGACACTGAAAGCTTCAAGACCGTGAACAGATGTGACATATTTCCGCTTATTCCGTTCGATCCGTTTGACGGTAATCTGAGAAAGATAATTGAATTTTCTCACTGCCGGAAAAGCAAGCAGTACGCACCTGTGATGCCATTTTCTTCTTCAGAGCAGCATCTGCTTTTGCCTCTGCTTTGGCTTCCTTCTTTGCCGTATCCTTCTCAAGTTTTTCCTGAGCTTGCAAACTTAAAGTACCAATCTTTGCTTGTAGCGCCTCTGTAGCCAGTCAGCATCACCATCTAAAAATGAGATTATCCAGCCAACCATCGGAGTAGTATTTCTCGTACAGATCAGGATGCGCTTCATGCAGCCATTCTTTACATCGCGTGAGATGTTCGCCAAATTCGCAGTACTCTGGTGGATACGAGCATACTATATGATGGATTTGGGTGAGCAATCCAATCGCAATGGAGCTAAAGGTGTAAAAGACCTGCGCAATACAGAACTTGGACCGGAGGCGTTGGTTCTACTGGTGGTGGAGCATCTGCTTGTTCTGTAGGTGCTGGTGGTGGAGAAGGCTCGCGATTACGGTTTTTCTTGGGAGCCATGGAGGAGAGGTAAGTACGTATCGGATTACCGGCTTGCCCTAATGGGGTCAGCACCATCCGGATGTTCGGTCCGTTATCCGTTTGCATTCTGCTCCGTGTTAGAAACGGTTACTCACCTAGTCCGTCTGTCAATTCTTCCTGTCCTGGCTTTTCCTCAAGCAAAAACAGACATTTATGATAGTGCTACAACTCGGTCGTTAACCCAAACGAAAATGATCCACTCGCCCCATATTATTCTGGGTTGGGACAAGACCTTGCTATGTCTATTGTTGACACAAAAAATGAAAGGTACGGCACTCTCTATAATAAATGGTCATCTCTTCCTCAGTCTGTATATTCTGCCTTTGATTTCTCAGTTCTTACATCCAACTCTTAAGACCTTCTGCGGGCGAGCTTCTGTCGAATCTACACGATTATAACCACGAGAAAAATTCCTTACTCTTTCCACTGAAGTCTCTCATATTTTTCTTGTGTACACCAAGATAAACCACTTCTACCCGAGTGACAAGGGTTTTCTTTGAAGAAATTAGTAACGAACAACGGAAGGAAATCCACTATGGCGTACAGACTGTGCTTATATACACAGGCTCAAATGTCTGTCTGAAAACCTCTCCCATCTGGACCATCGATATTCCATAGGACTCTGGGTTCTTGTCGATTGTCTTATTCGATAGAACTGTTGCTTTCTGGACCATGGATACAGGCCATATGAGAACCTGGATGATGGCGCGGCTATATGATGCTACGCGATGGTCATTCTTGTGAACTTGGAATTGCAAGATAACAAAGCGGCGATTACGAAAACGGGGCATTGGGGACCACATGCTCCGCTTTCTGAGGATAGGACAGTGCCCTTGGGATTTCGGTGAAACGGGCAATCCATTTTTCGTTGGCGTATTAGGTCCGTGACATTGAGAAGTCTATCAGATGGTTCGCTCGGCCTTCTAAATTCTCTCGGTCAAATTCGCGTACTGCTTGGCGGTGATAATATTTGTACCTTCGCTGACTTATGAATACCGATGAAAATCAGAAATTCGTACAGAACTACTGCGTCACAGGTTACGCCATAGCATCGGGCCAAACTGGTGAGGGCGCTGTCGGCCTCTATTCCAAACCGAGAACTCCCTCTTTTTCCACCGCATCTATGACTCAAGAGGTCACCGGGAGCAAGTTCGAATAAAGAACCCCTTGAATACAGTTTGAGGAGACAACCTCCGCAATAAATGATGCATAATTCGTTGGGAATGAATAAGTGGTAACCGCATATTATTGCATACTGTGCTAGGGCCGCCAGACTCAACGTAATCCCGAGAAAATCGCCCGCAGTCATTACTGGCCTATCTAAAAAGGACCCCAGGCCGAAGTGAATGGATGGTGAATTTACGAGAACAGTCAGGGCAGCTGAGCCTTGCAATCCGGTCCGTTCTTCCGAAGCTACGGCTATTGACGTAGATGTTCGAAATCTAGCTCGAGACTTGGCTTTCAGTTCATCCGAAAACCTTGCTTCACGTCTGTCCCGTTATCGTATTTATTCCACAAGGTGCCGCTTGCACAACCCCTGGGTATCGACGCCGGCAGCAGTAACGGTAGTTCTAGCCCCTTCTTTTGAGGGGGAACGTTACCAGTAGCTCAACGTGTAACATTCATCCGCCCGGTATCGCATGACGAGACCCAGCCAGACTTAGACTTGACAGGAATCTATGTTTTGAAGTGGTCGGCAACAGAGCTGGGTCCAATAGATCTTGACAGAGAAGCGACTTGATCTGTTCTAAGCCTTGCAAGGTAACAAACGCAATATATGGAGAGGTAGTTCGATTCTTGTAAGGATGAAGCTATATGAGAGTTTGCGTTCACGTTTGTAGTATGTTAGATATACGGAATCTCAACTTGGACTAAAAAGAGATGGAGCCTATTTGGGCGGTACACTCACCGTTCCAAACGCGAGAACTCATCCAAGAATTTCTCTTGAGCTCTCAGAACCACCTGAACATGCTTGACGCCAAGTGGTTCGTCGCTGAACAAAAACATCAATGATTGAAAACTTAGGGTTGTTAAACGGTGCTCACGAGGAAAGGGCCAACGCTTGTGCTGTTCGGACCTACACATATATAACATGAGTCTCGGTATACCAGAGGAGCCCAGACAGATACTTACCATATTTTTAATGGTACGACCTGTAACTGGTTTAGTGTCTTGCTACATGATCAATCTCAGTTACTTACCATTAAACGGTTTCGCCGCCAACTCCTCTAGATCATTCTCAGGAACAGAACAATCGGCAAGAGCGAAGAACTTTTGCCAAATGGCGCGTCTACCCGCAACATCGAGTTCGGGATACTTGATAGCTGTATATAATGCAGTCAGTACCATCAAACACAGCCAAGAAGAGGGCAAACCGATAGAGAAACGAGACAGGAAGGCTTCATCGAATGTCTTAATCCTGTTTGTGGTGAGGAAAAGAACACCCCGGTGATACTCAAGTACTCGTAGAGCCACAGAAACTAAAGCATTTCTCTCAAGCTAGGAAATGACTGTGAATGGATCTTCGGAGACAAGAGCTACGAGCGTACCTCGTGCAGACTACGCTGCTCTAAAAATACCTAGCAGTATCTAAGTGGTTAGCAGATACTACTAAAGCTTCGAAATAGTCACTCACGTCCGCCTCGTCAATCAATAACACAGCGTCCCAAGCTGTTGCCAACTTAAAGGAATAAGAATCAAGTGATGAACAGTCTTCAGACCATCATCACCACTTACACTGAGAGTCGATCTAAGGTTATATTCTAAATCCGAAGAATCAGAAGAAAGCTCCGATGAGCCGACCATGTAAAGTGGTCGACGAAGAAGCTCTGCCACAGACTCAGCGGTGAGTGTCTTGCCTACGCTTAATTGTTAGGATGAAATTGAGAAACGTCAGGGGAACTCTGAAGCCAACCTGTTCCCGGTGGGCCGTGGAGGACGGAAATCTAGATACACCTTTAGAAAATCGATAATTACTAGTCCTTCTGTGACTTACTAGTCCGCCACCTTTCCCAGAGATGACATCGCCGATCATCTTGCTTGAAGAGTTCTTATTCTTGGTCACCTCAACGAGGCCTCTGATCAAAGTCTTTCAACGATGGGTTAGGCTATCAGGTTTTCATGTCAGGAGCACTCCGTCTTTACCTTAATGTCTTGGTCCAAGACAAGGTGATCCCATGCGTGTTCATCAAATACAACCTCCTTCAATTCCTCGACAAGGAAACTGGACCACTCTTTGGTCCCTAGATTGAATCCGTAACTGATAAGGAACGTCAGTGTCAGAGTTAAACAATAACGGAGGTGCTTACACTACCGAGGGAAGGAGATGGAGACGGTTCTCTTCTAGGTCGGGAATACATTCGTCACTAGAACAATTATTTCAGTGTGCACAGAATGCAGCAAAATTTGACTCAACGGATCGCGAGTGTAGCCAGACTGGTTGTCATATGCCTTCTTATCAACGATAACACGTTTCTAAACGAAGATCTCAACAAAGGCGTGATACAGAGACAATTCAGATCATTACAGTTTTATCTAGACGCTAGGTCAGCTAGTGAACTGCGTATCTTCATGTGTCACTTACAAACTTTGTAATGCACGCCAGAAAGTGCAGTGTACAAGCTTCCACGAGCTGTGATAACGAAGAATCAGCCTCGTGTACGAGGGCAAAAAGATCGCCAACCTTTGAGTTTGGCCTTGACATCAGGCTTCAAGTCAGTGACGGGGAGAGAGGATACTTCTCGAGTACCCTGCAAGACAGTCACTTTTGGCAGTCGGTAGGTCTGAGGTACACGAACCTTGTACTCTTTCCAATAGCGCTCTACGTCATATCGGGAATAGCTAGAGCCGTCCCATAGCCATCCGTACCCTTCAACATTGAAATATCGGACCGGAGGCCTGGGCTGTCTTTAGTGATGCACAATAGCAATGAAAGTTTCAACTTACATGCCCGCCACGTCATAGTAATTTTTCTCAATCACGAGAGCAATCTTAGAACGAGTTAATCCATGTAGATGCTGTCACAATGGATCGCACTTACCTGTTTACCGAACTTGTCAGTAGTGACCATCTCCTGGCCGGGTTCGAAGAAGTATTGCAGCCTGAGTATATTTAGGTGGGTATACCTTCGCAATGGAAAAAGAAAGAAGGCTGGTTACAGGTCGAATTCGGCGTGACCGTAGCTACGCGCTAATGCCACTCGATCAGCGCTATCCATACTATCAGCCAAACGCACGAACAGAGTTCGGTATGGCACGTACATTGGTTTGAACTCTTTTTCAAGAAAGTTCATGAGAACTGTGATGTGTTCCACCAATTCCTTGACTCGTTGGATCATATCGGATTCTGAGGTTGCTAAAATATTTGGTGAGCGCAGAATGGACAAGGTGGTGACAATTGTCATACAATCTTCGTCCAGGTCATTTAGTCCCACAGACTTCGCGATTTGAAGGCATTCTTCGCGCGCAGGCGTCTTGTCCGATAAAGCGAAAGACCGCGCGATGTCCAGCGTCTTTCTCATCAACGACAGCTTTGGAAAAAAGGACGTGACAAGGAACTCGGGTTTGTTATCGAAGAAATCATCTCCAACAGTGACTCTGTGTGAAAGCATTGAGGTACATTATACGGTCGAAAGAGAAGTATACTTACCGCAAGAAAGCAAGCAATGGTTTACTGAACTTTGTCACCCAGACTTTCAGTTGAGCTACCCAGCATTTAAATGTAGGTCACAGAAAAATAGTGCGACGTACATCGTTCATTGTGGTACCGTTCATCGATGTAGAAGTAATTAGTCTTGTCTTCTTCCTTGGGAGCAGCCTGAGAAGGAGATTCAGCGTTCGAGCTGGGGTCGTACGGGACGTATTCGAATTCTTCAGGGTCCCAAATCTGAAAGCGCTTCAGATAACGATCGCACGCAATCTCTGTCTTGCTCTTGTCCGGTTTCGGCTTTTTCTCGTTGGTAGTAGTTTCGTCCTTTTCGGTGTGGCTCGTAGTCTCGGAGTCAGAGTCAGACTCTACCTCGGTAGGTGGAGACGAGGGTCGACATTCGTTCAACGTGATTGAAGAAGGCGTGTCACCGTGGACGACAACCAAGACGTTTACGCACTCAGTGGAAGGCATGAAGGAGATGAAGAGATGGCTTGAAGAGGTAACGGTTTTATAGGGTGTGGTGCTCTTACCGCGGACATTCTTAGACGGTGTCGCACAGAAAGGTGCATCGATACCCAAAATAATCTGATTGACGCCCATCCTCAATCATTGTTGAACGGGCTCTCAACGATTGGGTCGTGTTCGGAAACTCAATATCATTCTAGAAAGATAAGACTATACTGTGCTCAATATCAATGTTAGCATTGAGAGGCATAAAAGACTTAAAGAGCGCACCACCAGTGCTCGTAGGTATGTCGTGTTTGGTCACGATATCGCCACCTTTCGCCGCTCACCACAGCACCCCATCAAGGTTGCTGTTGAGATGTCCATACTCGTGGCCCTTGGAAAGATGCTTGCATTTTGCATCGTGCCAATAGGCGCCTTCGTGGAGAGACTGAAACACAGAGTGTTACGTCAAAATGCTTGAAGGACAGCACCTAGTGTCTGATGGCATGCGGCAGGCATCACAGGGAAGTATGATTAGCGCCCTATGCCAGACAGCATACGAGCTATACTCTACCATTTCATTCAATTCGAACGTCACGCGTCGTAGCGAAAAAATATGAGAGCGGAAACGGCGGAAACAAATTTTTCTTGATTATTCCGATTTCTTTTGAATTTTTTTGGACGAAAATTCTTGGATTGCGTTCGAATTGATCGAAATGGTACAGTAGTATCGTCGGAGTTCGAGCCCACCTCATCATTGCTACTGTCATCGACATCATCCACGTCCTACGCGTCTGAATCGGCGAGTCCAGGTGGCGGCGAAAGCGAAGTTACAGGGCCATGTGACATATGTTCACATGTTGTGACTGAGACCTCGATTTGGACTCGATCCCAGGCCGGCATTCCTCAGTCCTGTCAGTTAAAGTTTAGCACGACCTTGGCTCTGCCCTTCACACACCGAAATCTACAGCTGTGCACGGCGAATTCAACAGCAGGAACTTTATCCCGCATAAGCTGTACCTGGATGAGCGACAAATGCCAGGACGAACCGGACTCAGCATGGCCTCGGTGAGTGGTTTTCAGCTAGTTCCGCGGACTCACATTAGCGTGATCTATCGGACAAAATCTGACACTGTCTGTGCACCTATGACATCTTTACGAAGACTACACAGATATTTCCTGAATTTTCTCCAAGGAAGCACTGTACTACTTGAAGAACAGTCCTTAACTCTATGCAGGACTGAACTGGTTAACTCATCAACTAACCTCGGTCTTCATCTCGGCGAGATTCCCTTGCAGTACCGTAATTGAGGCTCGTGTTACTGACGTCCCAGGACATCTCAGCTACTACAGCCTTCGTCTACTGCACTGGAACATCACAAACTTCCTTGGGATACCCTGCTCTCCTAAAAATCGAACGCAGCTGTTCTCTCGGGTATTTCTTTAATCCTTCGGTAATTTCTAACTACTGTGTTCTTCTGGGTTAAAAATGAACGTGCCCTTGGCTGGCTTGTCATATCATCGATGCTTCTCCGGTACTCGTGGATTTACAGCGTTTGGTTGCCACGTCCTTTACTGTGAAGCGTGCATCTTGAGTTCGGTTCTATGACACGGTCGAATTCTAGGGTCCCTATTAACATCACTACCCCAAAGCCATATCATCTGCGCCTGCAGTCCCCAGATTTTAATCAAAATGATTCATCTGCCCATACATATCTCTTGGCACTAGTGTCAACACACATCCGCCTAAATCTACCAGAGCAGCCTTACCTAGTTGTTAATCTATCATACTTTGGTGTACGTTGGATACTCAGTCTCTTTGAAGGCTGGTATGAGTGATATTTGTCCCTGCTTAGATCATCCGCGTCTTTGTCCTTGTCCCGCAAATCATGTGCTGTTACTATCAGTCACTCAGTTATAATAAAGCGCGTTCAGTCACGTCTTTCATTGCAACCTATCTTGTCTTTCGACCATCATCTAAATCCCGTCCATATCGTGAGGACCACTTTCTTTGCTCGTTCTTCGCTAACCGTGGTTTGTAAGACATACGACATACAGAGAATGCAGCGTGCAACACAAGCGTCAAGGCCAGCGTATTGTTCGAACCCAAGATTGCAAGCCGTGGTGTCGCAGGATTCAGAAGGCTGGATGAACACTTCGTTACCTGGTGCGGACAAAAATCCTCGTGCTGTTAACTACCTTTCAGGTCCTTTTCTCGCTGGTCATGGTGCTCTACGTCCGAATTCCAATGCATCACGATACAGTACAGCAATGACCGGTGGCATGCCGCCTCTCAATGCGACTCAAACCGGTCCTGTGCGTCCCGAGCCGACACGAAGATATTCGGTACCGTACCTTGGTCATCAAAATCAGGGTCGCGAAAATCAACGTCCTGTAGTGGGCCCTCCTCAACGGCCACAGGCGGTAAGGGGTACACATCGCAGCGTAGGTAACCCTCTCTCGCACCAATCTCAAACCGTTTCGCACCCAACCATCTCAAAACCTGCGACGTGTACAACGGCTCTCTCACAAAATGGACGCTCTTCAAATGACTGGCCAACAATGCAAGCGGACCATCCTCACCAACGAAATCCTGCAAAACCGTTTTATGGGCCTCAACGTCAACCATTCGTTCCCTTGGACAACATACCAGAAGAAAATCTACCCAATGGCGGCGGCTTTTCTCCTTTTCCTCTGCTTCCCGACACAGGACGGCAAGCCGTTGATACCTCAATGAATCAAATTTCCAGGACTCCCCGCGGCTGGACGGAAAACGCAGACCCTGCTCATGATGAAAACGTCGAGCGTATTATGCAGTAAGAGCCACCTTTCTTTATGATGGTTGATGACAAATGAATGACTTGTTTGCCATTGAAGGGCCCTCGAATATCATCCAACATTACCAGCAGATCCTTCGAACGACGTGCTTCCGACACTGGCAGGAGACAATCATCACGATTCAAGGTTATCACAGCTTCTCTCCGTCGCTGTGCCCTATCAGGCGGTAGTCATGCCCAGGCCGGCATCTCTGGACAACATCTTGGACAACGGCACGATTCAAATACCCTCCGCTGCGATGGAGATCATGGACCAAGGCGGCGACAAAATGGACGAGTTGGGACGAACACTACTGGATCATCTACTCTCGTTTGCTTGCACTGCTTCTATGTTGACTAGGATGGCCCTGCAAATGCTTCGTCAAGCAGAAACACGCTATGGACCACATGCCGAAATGCAATTACGATTATCGTTAACCAGTATACTCATGACAGCGTACCGACAGTACTTCGTTGGGGTAAGTTTGCTCTTTGTACCTCACTTACTGAAGGGCTAATTTGTAACCCTTAGGAAGGTTCGATTCTCAGTGACCGGCTATCCATCACCCTCGCGGAGGCTGTAGGGGAGTTTTTCGTTTCAGGACTTCTTGATGGACAAGATTTTTTCGTCGCCCTGGACACACTTCTCACACCATCCGCACATAATCATATAGCGGCTATGAGCGCTATTCTCGGCAGTTACAACGACATGTTGTTCCGTCCAGCTCACAGCGCACTTTTCCACGTGTTCTGCGAGAAGCTAGCACAAAATGCCAATGGAATATATGTTCATGGTGAAGGCATAAAAAATGGACAGGCAATTGTTATGGTGTGTTATCCATGGCTTTTCAAGCAACCTCTTGCTTATTTCTACATGCAGGGGATTGTAGGGAGGCTTCGAGCTGGGTCGGCATGGTCGGCTTTCCAACAGTCACTAAATCCACAAGCTGAATGATAAAAGCCGGTTTTCTAAGTTGCTGGTTGTATAAATGGAATTGCCGAGGAATGTATATTATTTCATGCTGTAAAATTGGATTGGGAACGGATCTCTTGTTAAAGCTATCTGCGGTCGTCGTGAATTTCTCCTTGTTTCGAAGGTAAATGTTGTAACAAACACGGCCACTTGCACAACCATGGGAATGCGAATTCCGGAACCTACAAGCGCTACCCGAGGGCATTCTAACCGAGCAACTCGGGGAAGCTATGTCAAGAAGTCGAAGAGAATCAGAAGAAACCACAGAGATCAACTAGCGGTACATTTTTCCGTGAGCGGAGTTACGTCGTATCGTTGGGAAATGGACGGGACATGCCTCGACCGACCTTGGGACTAAAACGTTGGTCAACGAGGCATCTTGAATTTCCTCAGAGTCGAACGATAGGAGCTTCTATATATGCTGATTGGAGAGAAGAAAAGTGTTCATGTGAGGGGAATTTCCAACAGAAATACGAAGATGTATACTCAATACTCTTCAAGCTAGCTCCAGACTCGAAAATGTATTTGACTCGAGGTAAGTATAATAAAGCGATAAGCCCGGGTCCACTCGGGTGGTTCGGCAGGAGTCGTGCCGAAAAATCGGCACTGTACGGCCGGCATCGGGATCCTCCGTATGTGAACCCGCCATCAAAATGTCATGAATGCTGACACTCGGGTCTGCCTAAGCGCGAAAATTGAATTCGGATTCGGAAAGAACCTGAACAACACAATCTTGCTCGCTGTGTACGACGACGACAACGACACTTCTACCCTCATGCCCACTGGCTCTCCCTTGCCATCACCAATGGCCTTGAAGAGGTCCTCACCGCAGCAGTCGATGTTCAAGAAACGGTCGTCGCAGTCGCTGTCTCACATGGCCTCGGCGGCATCCTATCTATCTGCACTGTCTCAAGCGGACGCTCGTGCACGAAGCAGTAACGGTCGGTCGCCTACATCGACACCGGCGTTGTCCTTGTCGTCGTCGGTCACTTCGTCGTCGGAAGACACTGTACTGAACGAGTACGATGAACTCGACAATAGCGACGGTCTGGTCATTCCTGCACGTCCACCCACGTCTGAGCAGGTTTTCACCACCGTTCACTCCGAGTTTGGACACTGTGCCAACGAAGAATATCGCTGCGTCTCCCAGCATACCCCCGGTACTACTGTCCCCGGCCACGTCGAGCAGGACCCTCCCTACTACATCCTTCTTTCAACGTACATTAGCTACCTCATTCTAATCTGTCTTGGTCACTTCCGTGATTTCTTTGGAAAGCGTTTCAATCCATCTGCCTACCGACATTTGATGCCTCATGACGTGCGTGCCTATCACGACGAAAATTTCCGCTCACTGACTAACGCGTTTTATTCGCAGGGATATGCCCCTTTGAATTCAGATTTTGACTCTTTCTACACTCGTCGTCTGAAATTGCGCATGGACGAGTGCTTCTCTCAACCAATCACCGGTGTTGCAGGTCGTACCATACAGCTCTTAGATCGCTACTCTCCTGATTACAACCACACCCAAATCCTCACCGGATCGCGTACCCGTGCGCTTAATATCTCTTCATACAATTATCTCGGCTTTGCACAGGCCCGAGGTGGCTGCGCCGACGTTGTGGAAGAGACCATCAAGCGCTATGGCGTGACAACATGCGGTACGCGTCTGGAAGGGGGGTCAAGCGAATTGCACACATATAGCGAGGCACTTGTTGCTCAGTTTGTCGGAATGGAAGACGCGTTAATCAGCTCCATGGGTTTCGCGACTAACTCGACTTTGATCCCTGCGCTAGTCAACAAGGGCTGCCTGGTTATCTCCGACGAACTTAACCACGCCTCAATCCGTTTTGGTGTACGTTTGAGTGGGGCAAGTGTGCGCACGTTCAAGCACAATGATATGGCGAACCTGGAGTCGCTTCTCAGGGAGGTCATTAGTCAAGGCCAGCTCAAGACTCACAGGCCATGGAAGAAAATCTTACTTATCGTGGAGGGTTTGTACAGTATGGAAGGCACTTTGGTCCACCTTCCTGCGATAATGGAGTTGAAGCGAAAGTACAAGGTCTGTGCTCTATAGACATTGGCTCGAGAACCAGTTACTCATGCTCATCTGTCTAGTTTTATCTGTTTGTTGACGAAGCACACTCTGTAGGCGCTCTTGGTCCTCATGGCCGTGGTGTGGCGGATTACTTCAATATTGACCCTCGCTCTATTGACGTACTGATGGGTACATTCACAAAATCATTCGGTGCCGCGGGTGGATACGTTGCCGGCAACAAGACGCTTATCGACCGCCTTCGTCTCCGCGGTTATTCTGGAGCCTATGCCGAGGCCATGACCCCTGCAGTGCTAACCCAGATTATCGCCAGTATGGCTAGTATCATGGGTGTCAATCTACCTCCACCTGCGACCTCGTCTCGACACGGAAGTGTTGGTCCTACCGACGAAATATATCAGCACCCTGGCCCCGCACCAGCAAGCTCACTTCCTTCATGGATTACTCTTCCACCTGCTTTGTCTTCTGGCGAAGAGGGACATGACCGGCTACGTCGTCTCGCCTTTAATTCGCGATATCTCCATTCTGGTTTGGTCAAGCTCGGCTTCATCACCTACGGCCATCCAGCCTCTCCAGTTGTTCCCCTTCTGGTGTTCAATCCCGGCAAAATGAATATGTTCCACAGGATGATGATAGATAGGAAAACTCCCATTATTGTCGTAGTGGTTGCCTATCCGGCTACTCCATTGGTCACGAGTCGCGTCAGGTTCTGCGTGAGCGCGGCACATACAAAGGAGGACATTGATTGCATCTTACGAGCATGTGATGAGGTCGGTGATATCCTTGACTTGAAGCATGGAATCCGCAAATCGGAGAGGTGGGCTATCGAGGATATTGTCGATAAGGCTGTTGAGTTGGCCATTAATGCATGTTGAACTTTTTACGCGAAGGCATGAACTCGGTAATCTATGTTACATAGATGAGTGCGCGCTGGGATGATGATGACTTTTTACTTTCAGTACTTTATTCTCTTGTCGAGTATTTAACGAATCTATCTGTGACATATATACCTTTTCCTGTACAAAGTCGACGAGTTATACCTTCATAAAATAAATAAGTAAAATAATAACATTAAGTATCTCAAGATAAGATCGAAGATCCGAATAGCGACAATGCGCTCCGGACTTGTGCACTTACTACTGACCACTCGATATTGACCTCCACCTCCTTGAGACACCACTATGGACGATGAAGAAAAACAAATGCAATTTCTATCTTCCATGATGGGCGATAACTTCAGCACCGAAGTCGCGCGTCGCGTTCTCCGAAAACACAATGGCAGCGCAGATAAGGCAGCCGAAGCCCTTCTCGCAGGCGACGAGGGCGAGGACGATGCTGTGGTCTCTATCCATACCGCAGGGACCACCCAGCCCACTGTCATTGACCTCACGGGTGATGATAATGAGGAAGTGAACCGTGCCATTCGAATGTCTTTGAATGAGGAAGAGACGCCACCGCCAAAGTTTGGCCCGAGCAATCGTGCGCCGGATCCAGCTTGGCAAGTCGTACCATCGAATGTGAGGATTATCTCTCGGAAGTGGTGATGTTGATGTTGAGTATATGCGCAGGTATCTACATCCAATGACGCCCAGATGGAACAGGCCATTCAAAACAGCTTGGAGGACTTTGCAATGGAAGACGATGGCCATCTGTCTGTTGCGCTGGCTGTACGAGAGGGCGGAAGGTATGTGTGTGCATGCATTCAGTCCTCCTAGATGCTCATCGTCTCGCAGGCCCGTGGCGATTCGACCGGAAATATCGAATCTTGCATATGCTGCTTTGGTCAGTTCGCTGATATCTGCGCAAGGTTAGACTTATGAGAAAGCTACAGATTGTACAAGCACTGTACTCTGTACCCCAAATACGACGCAGGGTATCTGAAGTCAACCTTGACGCGCCTGTGATGCAGGAGTATCCTGTCGGTAGGAAACTCTTCTGCTCTCGCTGCATATAGCTAAAACCAGGAAGCAGAAAGGGAAGCTCTAAGGTTACTCCAGGATATGTTTGTACATCAGGATCTCGCGCAACTCTCCATTATTCTAGATCAAGAAGTCTTACAAGCCTTCCGAGCACAGCCAATCCATGATACTCAGAGCATCTGCGATTTATCGATCGGTACGTACGTTTTTTCTGCGCAAAGCATCCGCTGACTCTATTACCAAAGGTTTCTACAACGAAGTTATGGCTGTTCTAACGCGCTATTTGAGAGCGGAGGATCCAGAGTAGGCTTCAGCTTCTTATTGCAAGTATTCTGAGGCGTATCCACCCACAGAGGAGTCCCTTTGGGTGCCTTGCAGTCCGGGACGGTACATATTATCGACAGTAAACGCCACAACGAAACTCCGCATAACAGGAACGAAATCCTAATGCCTGTATATGTGGAATATGGGTGGAACGATGTGCATGAGGATCTTGTGCAACGTCTGTCCGTGACTCTGACGCAAGAACTCAACTCAGTCCAGTTCAAGTATGAAGTGATCGTCGAACCGGCTCCGGACGTAGTGGCCTTCGTTCTTAAAAACCAAGGGAAATGCTTATCTCCTCCAGCGCTAACATTTCCCAAGACAATATACATGGATCAGTTTTTGAACGAGAGCACCGAATTTGCGCACCAGAAGCAGCAAGAGGTGCGGGATATGCAAGATGCTGTCAGGAAGCTATGGCACAGAAAGCAGGCTCTGACGAGATTTAATGTATGTGTGACTGACGTTCATTTTACTATAATTGTGGCTGAAAATGAGGTTCTTGGACCTGAAGAACAAAGACACCCTGAAGGATCTAAGAACGACATTGTACTATTACGAAGAGGTGGCGCAGGCGAAAGATGACGATCCTGAACGACGTGCTCAGATTGACGCCATGGCTAGCAAACTGCGAAATTCGATTGGTGCGATTGAGAAGGAACTTGAAGGTTCGTTATTGGAACGAATTTAAGTTGTCCAAGTTGACTCATGACCATGCTTATAGTCATCGATGTGGAGAGCACGAGGCTGCTAGAGGAGTCACAACGCGTGCTTGACTGTCCAGAACTCAAGAACCACCCTGTAAGACAAACAATTCTTCTTCGTTGGAGCTAACGGAATTTGGCCTGAATTCTATCTAGTACGATCTCCGCGCTGTTCTGATGCACGACGGACTGCCGGGGAGGAAGCATGTCTATTTATACACGCAGGACGCTGGGGGGATTTGGTGGAAAACGGTGGACACAGTCGTGACTGAAGTAAAGCGACATCTCACCATTTAGTTTTTCCCCATATTGATGGTTGTCAGGTACCGGAAGAGGATGTGTTACGGGATAGCACAGGGATGTTGCTCGGCGCTGGACCGTACATGCTGCTCTACAGCCGCAGTTTATCCAAGGAGGAGCTCGAGGCGCCGGTGCAGTGGCCGAAGGAGAGCACGGTGCGTGTGGGTATTCTGCGAAGCAAAGACTGATTGTAAATTCGTTTCTGTCATAGGAGATGACAGAGAGGAATAACAAGACTTTTCTGGACTCTTTGCCACCTGAGATTGCAGCCAAGGCCCGACCGAGGACGGAGAGTAAGGTTAGCCATGGGGATACTATGATGGATACGACTGCGTAGATGAGGCATTTATGTTACGGAAATTGGACAGCCTGGAATCGACGCCCGTGGGTGACCAGTCGTGGATTACACGCCACAGCTCGTTGACCAGGAACTTTTTGCAAGCAAAAACTGAATCCGTTGCGAAGGGTTTACCCTGGATACTGGAAACAATGTGACAATATTGCTGTGTGATGATCAGCTGAAAAGGCTCAATCGAACCGTCTTGGCAAGATGAATTGTGAATTGCCAAATGGGGGAGGAGATGAAAGAAGAAGACCGCGCCAATTTTTTTCCATTATCTCTTTCTTTCTTACGCCCACCTTGGTGTCCGCTCACCGTCCTTTTTTCACTTTGTCCCTCGCGGACCAAGCACATTCCTTTATATAAAAACCTGTATTTCTTGACGACAGCCTTGCTCAGCCCCACAATGCCTTCCTTCAACAAACTCTCCCTCTTCGCCGCCGTCGCCACTGCTCTTTTACCAGCGGTGCACGCCCACGGTCAGGTCAAGGGTGTCTTGGCTGACGGGGTGTACACGTCGGGACCCAATGTACGTGTTAACCACACCGTCAGGACGACCAGCTCGACTGACGCCTTTCATTTTGTAGATCTACTACGCCGCCGACTCGAAGAATGCCGGCACAGCTGTCCGTGTGCAATATCAGGCCTCGGGAACCGCCTTTAACGTGCCTTCGCAATGGAGTGACAACTCGTATGATAGCGCTCATTGGGACGACCGTGTTTGAGCTAATTTTGCCTTGTCAGGGCCATGTCTTGTGAAGGTGCCTCTGGCGCTCCCGTCTCCGTTGATATCACTGCTGGCAGTGTTCTTCGTATCTACTGGGCAGGTGCCACCAATGACCTGCTCGGCAAGGCCGGTGTAGGCGACACTGGAGGAACCGACTCCACCAACTACCCTTGGGTCCATGCGTAAGTTCTAGTTGTTGGAAATTTCCTTGCAGCGCGCTAATTTTGCGATACCTAGCATGGGTCCCATCGCCGACTACATTGCCTCTTGCAATGGAGACTGCAGCTCCTTTGACGCGTCTACCGCCGGCTGGTCCTTACTCGACAAGATGGGGATCGATTACAGCCAGACCATTTCTGACGGCCTTAGGACGACGATGACCAATAAGCCGGAGAAGTACTATCCGACTAGCGGAAGTGGGCTGTGGGCTATGGCCAAGCTTGGTGTGTCAAATTGTTTGACGTTTGGGTGACTGATGGGCACTGACCGGTGTATCAGTGCAACAGGGTTCCTGGTGGGAGACTACCATCCCCGCTGAGCTCGAAGCCGGCCAATATATTGTAAGGAACGAGGTGAGGCAGTGAATACGGGATATCGTGAATGATCGCTGATTGTCGACAATAGATGACGGCAGTGCACAACCCCCTCAGCTCCGGCGGTGACCGTCCTGGACCGCAGATGTACATTGCCTGTGTTCAAGTGAATGTCAAAGATGGCGGTTCCCAGACTCTTCCTGCTGGCACCCAAGCTGGATCGTAAGTCGTTTGTAATTGATTACCTACTTTTGATGTTAACGACATGTAGGCTCTACTCCCCCAGCGGTGACTTTGCCAACTTCAACGTCTACGCCGGCGACGAGTGGAAAGACCCCTTCCCGGATGTTCTGAGCTTTGCCTCGTCCTCCTCGTCATTCTCAAGCGGCTCCTCTTCCTCTTCCTCTTCCTCTTCCTCCTCTGCCACCTCTGAGGCCTCTTCGTCTGAAGCTCCCGCTCAGACCGCTACCTCGTCTTCTGATGCTACCAATAACGCCCCATCCACGACACTGACATCTACTGCCTCTGCAGAGACCACCTCAGGCAGCAGCAACTCTACTGGAGCCTGCCGCGAGCGCCGAAGCATCAAGAAGCGCATGGAGTCTCACAAGAACATGAAGAGGCAACCCTTCCCCCATACTCACTAAGTTTCTTTTGTTTGTGATGACAGGTACCCACTATTATAATAGTGTGGTCTGGTGCATCTTTGATACCTCCTTTTGTTACTACCTTGCTTCGCTGTGCGACAAGCCATCATCTCTAGCATCCATTTTTGTTGTGTCATCTCAATTGTTGAAACATATCATGCGTATATACCTCTGTATTTTTTGTGCTAAAAATCGTTGAGTCGTGAATGTTTCCGCGGGACGTTATTGTTACCGACGGTATTCGTTCAGGGGTAACCATAGTTGCCGACGTCGCTCCACGGTATCCAGGGGCGGTCCATGTCCGGTTCCGAGACGTGCTGCGCGTCGCCGAGGATGACGATTTCGGACCCTTTCCGAGTCGACCGTCCACCCAAGAACACCCGAATATCGTTCTCGAGCTTGAAGCTAGGTCTCCTGTTTACGGTCAAATTGAGGAGCTAGGGTGGTTGACCAATTACAGGTATCGTTCACCCAAGGAGAAAGTACCCGTTCTCTTCTTGTGCTGGGTGCTGAGTTGACTGAAAGTTTACTTGACGTGCCACTAACTCGACGTCGTTACTATTGCCATTGGCAGACAAGAATGGGGTTGCAATTGGGAACGATTTATCACCGATACTATTCCAATAGCATATGGCTTCTCCACAAGCGATATCAGGTGCATATCTTCCCTAAGTGCTGTACTCATTCTGGTGACCAGCCTCGAGGTCGTGAGTGGAGGAAGAGCGTAAGGTCGGCTCCGTGGCTGAGCGCTCATACGCGAGAGGCTTCTGATTTCATGACTCGGTGCCAAGCAAGTCGGACAGTGCATGCAGCAGGAGGAAGAAATGGAATGGTTTTCCCGGCCTTGCTTCACCGTAGCTCGACTTTCAGGACCATTTTTCGTTATCGCCGCAATGTCCAATTCATACGGTAGGCTCCCACACATCCCAGTGAGTTCACATTCTAGTCCAGTAATACCAATAACGGAGATACTTATAATGGGTACCGGAATGTAATGGTTCATACTAAAAATGCTTTGATTTCCGATGTGGTGTTTTTAAGTACTAGATATTAATTCCGTACCGATCATCATAAGGCTTTCAAACAGAATCATCAAACGTATAGAGCCCATCATAAGAGCCGGATGACGTTTCGTTCCTCTGAATTCTTTGCTTTCAGCCAATGCAAGCGTACCAACTAACGGTGGACTAACCTCGGCTAGGTCGTCTCGTTGCGTGACATAGCGGCGTTGAACAAGCTCGAATAAGCCAACGGTCTGCCTGTCAAAAAACTAGGCCGCACCCGGCATTGTGGGAGTATGATCGAAACTTGCTTGATCACCAACGCCCATCGCGTCATCCTTTTCTTACTCTATGCATTCTAATACTTTGCTTTAGCTGGAATCTCTCTAAACGAAAAGACGCAGTACTGCTCCTTGAGAACTTTCTCAAGCCACTGAGGCCAAAGCAGGCAAAGCCTACCACATTTCTTCCTTACTACGTCACGAACAGCAATGGACAGTCCTTGTTAACATTTATGTCCGGTCGCAGGGGCCAAGAACAGTACGCCGCGTCGCTGCCAGTTCAAACACTCATATCCGACTGCGAATCTCTGCCTGTCAGCTAACTCTGTAGCAACCATGTCACCGAAAGCTTCACTGAGCCATATTTTGTGCTACGTTTTCATTTGCTTTTCGTTGTTATGGTGACAGCAGTTGTTAAACGCCGTACCTGATGATAGATCTAGAGATGACTATCTCGGAGACGCCGGTATGTTTTGCAGTACTTATGTTTGCATTTAGGATCTCGGCACGAGTTTCAAGGTTTTCCTTACCCTGAATCGTTATTTAATGCTCCACATGCTCGAGAGATCCTTGTCATTTACCCTTACACTTATGCTACTACTACCGCCTGGACATGGCGCACGACTATGAGATGGTCCATTTGACGGAAAGAGAAGAAACTCGTGACAGTAATATCGCCTCTTCTTCCTCCACTACCCTGCGGGAAAATCCGAGGAAAAGTCGGATTTCAAAAAGGCTTTTCATTGTTCATTTCCTACATTCTGCTTTGTTGACCATTTGCGTAATCATTCTGGTCGCTGGGATAAACAGATGGGAGCATATTGTTTCTGTCAATGTCCAAAAGGCTAGTGACCAGTATATCGTTTTTGTATCAGCACCTCTGATGCGCACCCTTAGGCTAGTCAAGTTACCAGCTACATCAGCGTCGGCTTCCAGGCGTTTTTCACTGCAGCTATCCTGTTACTATTCTGGCTCTCCAGAAGTGTTGCTATAGATGACGCTATTCGCCATCGTGAGTTTCTTCCTCCGACATTCTTTCATGAGTCACGACCACCTTTGGCTTTAGCTCGAACACTGGTAGAGCTCGACATGCGCCTTCAAGCATGGGCTGGTCTAGGACCTTCACTGACGAACTGGTTGTACGAACCCGGACGCGTGCTTAGTCGATTAAACACAACTTTTTCGATTATACCTCTGTACTTCGTTGCGGGAACTGTGCTTCAAATCACATCATCAGGTGTATTGGGTGAGATCGTCTCCCTTTGGTATTGATTCTCTGTATTGACGATCATGGCTAGGCGTTAACGTGTACAACTATACATCGACGACCACAGATGATTATGCTGCTAACAACCATATGGGTTCATATTCTGGGTTAGACGATATCTTCGGCAACAGAGGGCTTACTTGGTCGTTCGTCGCGCAGGATAACATCGGACTGTGGCAGGCTGCTCGACAAAATATGTTTCTTCCGGATATCAATAATACTCAGACGCCTGGACTTCAAGGGCGGTACGTACGCTCGGGGCCCGGATGATCTCGCGTTGACATAGATACGCTAGCCTCCTCCATGACATACCGAATGTCCTTCGGAAAACGTTTGATTTAGGTATGGTAACCAATTTCTTGGTGATTGTAAAGTGACTGAGCGTTGATAGCTCATGTGAATGGTACGAGGATAAATGTCCAGTGTAGCCAACCTCAAGATGTCCTTATGGAGGCGTTACTGCTTCCTCAAGGCATTGATGACACCCTGGTCGCCCTTCGTTCCAATGGCAGCAAATACGTTAGCAACGCAACTAACACCGATTATGATGACCAAGTCTGGTTGAACGTGTCAATGTCCGTGCCGCCGTATTGGGACAGCCGTGTGCCAGGTCTCAACTTCTCAAGCATGTGGTCCCAGTTGCCCTATTCCTTTGAGACTGACCAGACGAGTATGGAGTTACCGAGTATGTTTCCTTGCACTTGACGAAGCTAAGATCTAAGTATGTTTTCGCAGCCAAAATTATCCTTCAAGATTGGGCCTTTTCCAACAACACAAATGTTTCGATCGGTCATCATCAGGTTATTTTTGCTCTTGTGACGGGAGATCCCTCGGTTCTGATTCGCGATTCCAACAACTCGACCGGTGTATACAGTAATTTTACCATTATACCCAGGCGGAACGTAAGCGACTGTCTACACTGGTGCGATTTTTGGGAGAGCACAGATTGCGGCAGTCGTTGTAAGCCCCAACCTGTGCCGGGATACATGCAGGTTATCGGGTGTTCCATGCATACGACTCAGGTGAACGTCTCTGTTACGGAGACCGGATTGTTAGCGGAAGAGTTCACTCAGAGAGAGCACTCTCCGCATGAATGGGGTTCGTTTGAGTGGGAGCAACAGAGCGAGGTTATTATGGATCGTCAATTTCTTATTACCTTCAGTCCTGCACCATCGTTCGACGATCCTACAGGACAAGTGGCAATTGATAGAGGGTATACAGGTGCAGAAAGGCTGATGAAAAGAGCATTGGTTGGCTCGGACGGTTGGCAACCGACAGGGATGAACTTGAGTCGACTGGAGAGCGACATGGAGCTGCTATCTGCGAGTTACTTTTGGAACTACTGGCAGGCCTGTGATTTTCCCAAGGCGCTCACGCCTGATTATGTGGAATGCGATTCGTTTCGGTTCCTGACCGCCTCGAATTGGGACAGGTGGGTTCCGGCTGACTTAACGAGGACGGAGACGAAGGCGAGGTTGGAGGTGGTGATATGGAGAGCTACGGTTAGTGTGGGGTGTTCGTTGGTGATGGTGGTACTGGCGGTGGGTTTGTTGGGGATGAAGACGGATTTGAGCCCTGGAGATTCGTTGAAGGGAACGAGGTTTGGGGAGACGGTCGCCTTAATGCGTGGGTCGGGGCTGCCGGGAATTGTGGCTGATAAGGGTGTGGGTCGGGTACCGTTAAGGTATGATGCCGCCATCTCGTGTATTATGTCTCTGCTACACTAACTATTCACAGGTACGGAGTCAGTAAAGACGGATCCGGAACCAATTTAGATGGGGCCGACGTTGATCGAACCTGAGGCCGACATCCGCGCCTCTTTGACCCACCTAACTTCACCAGCCGACCTTAGCTCAGTTTGGAAGAGCGTCAGACTGTAATGGGTACCATCGCGATGATGTCGTGTGTTCGACCCACACAGGCCGGATATTTTTTGCTCAAATCCGTATGTCGCCGTTCAAGTGTTCTTACTTTTTTGCCAAAGAACCCGTTACGGATTACTATCAAGACCTATGGTCCTTCTCTCATTATTTCGACTACCGGTACCGCGCTGCCAGAATGATTGATCGCTCCTCGGAGGGTACCCCTCCCTTTTCTCCTTGCTGTGTCTTTCTCAACCCCTCGTGGCACAACTACCAAATACATTTCTGCACTGCCGCTATAGTAGTAATTTGGGAATGCTACTTGGCCGTCACATCTTTTACTCTCCTCGTTGGAGTCACGGTGGAGGAGGGACTGAATTACAATTCCGCGATGATTGATCCATCATCCAGCGTTTCGAGCTCGTCTGTAAAATGATGCCGGCGGAGAGATAAGAATGCGATGTACATCTCCGCGTGACTTGTTCCCATCTTCACCCTCAGTACTGGTATTATAGTTAAGTCGAGTTTAGCACTGGTTGTGGAATATTGATGACCCTGTGGCTGCCAGGTGCCACGGGATTGCTATCCCAACAGGGAGAGAATACATTCTTATAAAATTTCTTCTTCTTTCAAGACTTTAGTGGAAAGATGTAGTATACGGACTGAGTCTCCGAAGGCTTCTGCAGGCTGCTGCCACATTACCAATAACCTTGAACTAGACGCGTAGAATCTACCTAGACCTACGAATGCGTGCTGTTTCCTGATGTAATTTTGGCTGTAAGGTGTTGAAGGCACCTATCATTCTTCGTCCCATCCCTTACCCGGCTTGACTGAGCACGACGTGGTTGCCTTTGCAGTAGGACATGATATCTGCATTTTCCATCAGCCGAGGGGCTCGAAGTACCAGAGTCCACCTCCTGCAAGTGTCGTTGCTGGTCAACCCCTACCCTTTGACTTTGCATCACTCCTCCCTCCACCAAACTTGCTGTATCCAACACCTGTGGTTGAGATATGCGATCTTTCAAGGTCCCGGAACTTGTCTGTTTCAGAGAGAAGGTTCCCACGCATCGTCCGATTTGTCCTCTTATCGCTCGGTCAGGCACAAAGATTCGGCCATGGTGTTGTACTACTGATAGAGTGCGGGCTCGTGAGACCGATACGAGAAGGCAACGAGGACTGCAACCAATAGTACGGTAGTAGATATCATTCCATATGATGACTCGGCATAAACACAAACGGGGAGGTATCGGTCATGACCATAGCACTTCTCGTTGCAATGAAAGCAGAAATACATCCTAGTTCATGCAATCACTGGTATAAGTAGTAGTGATCATGAAACGAGGAGGCACACTTTGGAGGGTCTGAGGATGCAGTGACCAGAGTCCTTGCAGCCTTGCGAGTATATGAGCGAATGGAAGGCGAAAACGAAAAACAGACATCGATTAGCAGTACAAAAATATATAGCGATAAGACTGCAGACTGTGTTAGTGGTACAATGTGAACAAACGATAGAAGAATGCTGTGTTACTGTTACAATGTGAACAAACGATAGAAGGATGCTGTGTTACTGTTACAATGCGAACAAACGATAGAAGAAAACCGTGTTAGTGGTCCGAGGGTGTAGAACGGTGAAAGTCTTTTCAGGGTATGTCTAATCATTATTACACACCGTCATGAATGGTCAATCCCCAACCAATTGCAAGGTCGCTCCTCTCCACCATGTCACGGGCGCCACGTTCCACTTGCCTCTCGAACACCGTCGCCACTTCATCCATAGTCACGATGCAACCGAAGATTTGCAAACGCCGGGAAAATGACTTGGATAAACTGAACAGAGCGGCAGAGGACAATATTGAGCCGATAACTGTCAGACTCCCTACCGGCGATATGTTACCAGCAAACGCGGCCGCAGCTAAAACCAAAAGGTTGGCACAGGATAGGGCAAGTCCTTCGATCGTAGACTTGTCTCGCAACCGCCTGAACGATACGATGGCTTCGAGGTCGTCTGACATTCCCCGCAGCCGTATCCACCGATCTCGATTCATTAAGATCTCCATGTAAGCCATCCTGTCAAGCTCTCCTCCCTGGTATCTCTTGATTCTCCGTCTAGCAATCACGATGTTGGTCAACCTCGACGCAAAAATCATCGCTACCATCCCAAGACCCCACCACTCTCGTGCGATGATCAGGAACATAACCATAGCGAAGGTCACTGCCAGACCAAGGGTATAAAGCAGAGTCGGGAGAGGTCCTCTGACCAAGAAAGCATTGATATGGCGATATATTAGGGATAGGTTGGTGTTATGTATTGGGTTGGGGAATACCCGTCCCTCGACAATGTGCCCAGATTGTCCGAAGCACTGGAGGTATCTGACTAGAGCAGTATTGCCGATGTATGCAAGCCCTGTCTGAGAATTGGGTAATTCTACGCTGTCGTGAGAGAAAAGGGGGGCAAGGATGAAGACGTCGGCGTAGGAGGATGTCCCGGTCTGAGCGGTTCTGTTCGCAGCACGGGAAAAGTCCGTGAGGGCGACAAACGCAGCCGACGAGACGATGAAGCCGGCGAGGCGATCTGTGTAGAACATGTTCTACTGGCAAGAGTAACCACTGTTGAACGTCAACGTTGTGTTTTGAGAGCTATGCGTTGGAAAAAGATGCAATCATAGGCCCGATATGGGCAAACCACACAGCTCTTGAACGTAATCTGTGGTGGAGAAATCAACATAGCAAAAGGAAGGTTGAATGGGCGCTGTCTATTGATATCAATCATTCGCGGGGAATGCACTGTTAGAGGACGAACATAAGGATTATCTCATGATCCAGGGCCGGATACTGTGCCAGCTACTGCAACGTCGTGCCGATGTTTATTGGAAGACGTTGGACGCTTAGCTGGGGATGTTTGAAAAGGCAACAACGGGACGTTTGGGGGCGTAGGAAATCTGCCTGGTGTTGGCAAGTGAATTTAGCCAGGACGGGCTACGCCGTATATCCGGAGCAAGTGGCTGTGTCCCCTGTGTACCCCAAACACCAACACCAAATACGCAGTTATCGAAACGCCGGTTTTATAAGTACCTCCTCCTTCCCCAAATCTCATCGCACGCTTTGCCACACCTCTTCCTCAAACTTGCATGTTGGCTTCGTATGTATCAAGACATTTACTTGATTGTGTGGGACTCCTCGTTCTCACCGATCTCCCCGTCGTCGCCACCAAAACACCTCTGATTGGGACGTCCTCCTACCTCGACATCCTTCTCCTCGCACCCGGTATGCACCGCCAGCAGTCCATCTGTGACGAGCCCGTCTGCGACTCCAGTTATAATGGGAATCCCATAGCAACGTCAAAGACCAGCAGGTCTCTTTGTCTAATCGAGAATCCTGCCACATTAAGGTACCTCCAATCCATTGGATGCACCAGCCATTCCGTCACTGTACATATATCCATGAACCCAGTTTACGATACCAGACTGTCCTCCTGGGACCAGTCTTTCTTTGTCGCCGGGATCGCTGTAACGGCGCTTTATTTGCTCGGCCCGGCATTGACCATTGCTGCAGCAACGTTCCTAGCTGCTATACGGGATTGGTGGGGCCTCGGGATGATAGTGATGCTCATACTGTCGAGATTGGTCAATGTGGTTATCATTAGACAGAGAAGAATAGGACGGGCGGGCAAAAGGAACCACTTTGCGGCAGAAGAAACTTTCTCTGTCGCTCTGACTCGAAATTCGGGTCAGAAGATCTATTTGCGAGGTACGGTCGACGACGTCCAAACTGTCACCTCGCGTCAGTGGCGAGAGAGATCTACGGCAGAGGGATATGCCACATCCTTTGCAACGCTGTTGGTCTACGCGACTATCCCGCTTGCAATCAACACATCTACAGAGGGGAGCTTGGTGATCGCCTGCTTGATGTTGTGTTCTGCTGCAGTTCTTGGTTTATGTAACTTCTTGTGGCCCTGTTTTCAAGTGTTTGATTGTGTTACGCGTACAGTACACACAGATTTAGTGGGGGATGTGATGGTTGAGAAGAGTTGAAGGTATGATTCTCGTCTCCATTTAAGTCTAATGGGTCAAGTATTTATAACATCATGGACTGTCATTTTTCTTTGCTAGCTAATAATTCTGACCGCTATGTAAGAGATAGTTAAGGATGATGGGCAATCCTAAAGTTCTCTCAATTCACAGAATTTGTCAACCCCGCCGATCTCGATGATACCGCACACGAGGATAATAACTAATTGACCTCGAAATCCTCCGCCACGATTGGGATCAATCAAGAGGTTGGTTTTCGAGGAAGAGGGAGTGTAGCGTTTCCTTCCCCTCTTTCCTGTGGCTACCCGGAGTTTTTCTGGAGCATATCTTGAAGCTTAACGTTGATTGGTCAATCATGATATGCTCAAGGTATACTCCAGGAGACAGCACTGGTCTTATGTTCTCATCATCGCAGTGTCTATACTCTTACCCTGACCTCTCTGCTTGTTCTATCTTCTTGTACTTGAGTCCAGTCGGCTCCGACTTCCAGTAATATAGAGGTTCACTGTATTCAGTACGAACATTATCTACTTCTCATGTCCTTTGTTCAACCTCACGTGTAGGAGGACCTGACCCAATATTATCAAGGAAGCATGTGCTAAAAGGACATACAGCAAAAACAAGTGTCATTAAATCAATACCGTAGACAGGCCCGATGTGACAGCGTCGGTCCAGAGTGGTTAGTAGGTGTGGCTGTAGTATGCGTAGGACCACCTTTCCATGACCCGCCGCAGAAATTTCGCCAGTTTGAAGAACTTGAGATGGTACAAGATTCACATGAATGTCCAGAAACTAGATGTAAGCTATACTTCGAGGCATTTCAAAGCACTCCACGTGCCTGAGCTGTCGACCCGCCAACCTGGACCAGCCGACCTTAGCTCAGCTGGAAGAGCGTCAGACTGTAATGGTTGTTTATCTAAATGTCATGTGTTCAATTCACATAGGTCGGATATCATTTGCTCAAATCCGTATGTCGCCGTTCAAGTGTTCTTAATTTTTTGCCAAAGAACCCGTTACGGATTACTATCAAGACCTATGGCTCTTCTCTCATTATTTCGACTACCGGTACCGGGTACCCTCCGAGGACCGATCAATCATTCAGCGTCTCCCTTTGCCCTGCCGTGTATTTCTCGGGCCCTTGTGGGACGACTACCAAATGGATTCCTGTACTGCCGCTATAGAGGTTTGGGAATGCAACTTGGCCTCCCTTGTCGGAGTCATGGTGAAAGAGCGATTGTGAATTACGCTTCCACGATGATTGATCCATCATCCAGCGCTTCGAGCTCGTCTATAAAATGATGTCGGTGGAGAGATAAGAATGTGATATACATCTTGGTATAACTTACTCCCATCTTCTCCCTCAGAATAGGTATAGTCAAGTCGAATTTAGCACTGTTACTGTGGTGGAGGAAGAGTGTCGAAAAATAAGCGCTGAACTTCCCCGGTCACCGGTCAATGCTTGAGGATCTGTTTCGTGTATTTATAAATCGCCGTCGAACTGTACTAGACTTATCTGCGACGTAATGGGAGGGAGCACATTCTTATAAAATTCCTTCCTTCAAGACTTTAGTAGAAAGACGCATACGGACCGGGTATCCGAAGGCTTCTGTCGTGTTTAGGGCAGGTTGCATGTCAGACTGCGACTACCACCAACAACACTAGACGCGTAGAATCTATCTGGACCTCAACAAACGTGCGCAGTTTCCTGATGTAACGTGTTGGCTATAAGCTGTTGAAGGCGCCTATGATCGAAGCTGTATACACTTCGGTTTGGGGTGCACATGAACTTAGGGTTTATTAACTTGGCGCCTCCATTGATGAAACAAGATAGAAGGGTACGTCTCAAGGCCTCGAGTCTGATTAACAATACTAATACAATCTAATCTTAGTCGTGATTCAGGACAATGGCACTCATCCTTGGGACTTTGATTTATTAAATGTCGGTGACTCGGGGACCGCGTCAATCAGACTTCATCGATACCTGGCCAACTAGCTCGTCTACTGGTGTCCTATATAATCCCTATGCTATCCTGGCCATCTCTTCACCTCCCCCCATGTCTTTCTCCTCTTTCTCCGATATACCGCCCATGCCGGGGTATATGTGCCAGCTTCCGCCTATGAGCCCATTTTTACCGTCTGATGCAGTGTTCCCCCACACTGTGAGGACGACGATGAATGGAATCAATATCGCACAGAAGGGACCCGCTGTCAAGGAGAAGAAACCGATACCAGACAAGAGCAAGACCGAGGTCCCTTGCGACCGTTATCTGAAGCGCTTCCAGATTTGGGACCCTGAAGACTTCGAATATGTCCCGTATGACCTGAGTGTGAACGAATCCTCTCCTACTCCCAAGGAAGAAGACCATGTCAATTATTTCTACCTCGACATGCGGTACAAAAATGAACGATGTATGCCGAACATCATTTCCGAGAACTGCGTTTAATTGTTGTGTAGCTGAACCGGAGGCCTGGGTGACAAATTTCAGCAAGCCGTCGCTGGCTTTTCTGCGGTATGTCTCTATTATCTGTCATCTGGGCAATCTATCTCAATGCTTGTATACAGAATCACTGTTGGAGATGACTTCTTCCTCAAGGAACCCGAGGTCCTTGTCACGTCCCTTTTCCCAAAGCTTTCTCTGATGAGAAAGACGCTGGCGACCGCGCATTCCTTTCTTTTATCGGACAAGACGCATACCCCCGAGGAATGTCTTCACATTATGAAGTCCGTAGGACTGAATCGCATAGAAGAGGAAGGCTGTATGTCAATCGTCACTTCGTCCGTTCTGACTCTCATTACGCAAGGTAGCAACCCCGGAATCCGATATGATCCAACAAATCAAGGAATTGGTAGAGCATGTCGAAGTTCTCATGACATACCTTGAGGATCAATTCAAACCAATGTATGCGGATACTAAATTTCATTTCACTGGCTGATGATGTGAACTAGTGCTGATCGAGTAGCGTTAGCTACTAGTTACGGGCATGCTGAGTTTGATCTGTAAGTCGTTGTCTTTCGGTATGAGAGCCGAACTAATGTATACTATGCTTAGACTTCAATACTTCTCCGAACCTGGGCAGGAGATGGTTACCACGGACAGGTTCGATAAGCCAGTAAGTACATTCGGATGAGACTGTCTGCACAATACTGACGAAATCCTTCTAAGATTGCTGTGATAATCGAGAAGACTTTTTATGACTACGAGACCTGGTATGTTACTGCTTTAGATTGTCCTTTTGTGGCTTACTTCCAAGTCAATTCAGCCCTGAACCGGCTCGATTCTTCTATGTTGTGGGTCACGGATTATCCTGGAATGGCTCCTGCTATTCTCGATACCACGTACGTCGCAAAGTGAAAGAGTACAAGGTTCGCAGACATCACATGATTATCGAATGCTGGAATTGATTTTCGACGTAGGGTACCAGGGAAATCTCCTCTCTCCCTTGGACCAAATTGAATCCCGATATTCGGGAACAACTTAAAGGTCAGTACATATCACTTCCACGTACTAGACTAATTGTACACAACCTTAGCTCGTGGCAAGCTATATACCGCGCACTCGGGTGTGCATTACAAAGTTTGTAAGTGATACTTTGAGGGTTCACGCTACTCTAACTGACATAATGCTTAGATGAATCTGTAAATATGATGAATCTGTCTCCATCTTCTTTTATCATGGTGTCTTTCCTCTAGAAACGTGTTATCGTCGATCGGATGGCGTTCGATAATCAGATGGGCTACACTCGCGATCCGTTAAGTGAACAACTCGTGTTTTGTACGTACGCTTATACCGTTGCCTTAGTGATCAACCCATACCCGAACTTGAAGAAGAGCGTCTTCATCTCCTTCCTTCTGAAGTGTGAGAGACTATGCTATCTTGTAACTTCTTGCCAGTGACTGACATTCTCGATTAGTTACGGATTCAACCTCATATCGAAAGAGTGGACCAGTTTCCTCGTCGAGGAATTAAAGGAAGTCATATTCGACGAGCATGCATGGGACCATCTCGTCCTGGATGAAGATATCAAGGTTCGCATATGTCGTGTCGTATGAGAAGCATAGTGTGATCGATGATTCTTCAGACACTGATCAAAGGCCTTGTCGAGGTGACCAAGAACAAGAACTCTTCCAGAAAAATGATCAACGATGTCATCTCCGGGAAGGGTGGTGGGCTAGTGAGTTACGAAAGAAGTGGTTGACCAATGGTATTGAAAATATACCCAGATTTCTGTCCTTCACGGTCCCCCGGGAACAGGTAGGGTTCAAGGTGTTGGTGATACCGCTCGATCCTAACAGCAGCTATCAGGAAAAACCCTCACCGCTGAGTCTGTGGCAGAACTACTCCGTCGTCCGCTCTATATGGTTGGTTCATCGGAGCTCTCTGCTCGTCCTTCTATGCTAGAGATGAACCTTCGATCCACTCTCAGTGTAAGTGTCAGCCTCTTCAGGTTATACCAACACTTATGGTCGGAATTTTCAGTTAGCAACAGCTTGGGACGCGGTGTTGTTGATTGACGAAGCGGATGTGAGCACAGCCATAGAACCTTGGCGCCACTCTGTTGACCATTGGACTGTGATAGGTTTTCCTAGAGCAGCGCAGTCTGCACGAAGTACGTTGGTTTATTAGTCGGCATCTCTCAGTCTTAACTTTATACTATCAGCTCGAAAGAAACGCCCTTGTTTCAGTGGCGTTAAGAGTTCTAGAGTACCACCGCGGCGTTCTTTTCCTAACTACAAACCGGATCAAAACATTTGACGAAGCCTTCCTGTCTCGTTTCTCAATCGGTCTGTTTTCTTCCTTCAGAGCACGCTGTAATGATGCTAATCACTCTTTTTACAGCTATCAAGTATCCCGAGCTTGACGTTTCTGGTAGACGTGCCATCTGGAAGAAATTCTTTACCCTCGCTGATTGCACCGTGTCTGCGGAGGATTTGGAGGTCCTGGCGATGAAACCGTTCAATGGTAAGTAGTGAAACATTCCCTCCTAAGTTTATAGCAGAAACTCAGCTCGATCATAGGCCGCACAATCAAGAACATGGTGAGCATCTGTCCGGCGCCATTGGCTAGTGTTAAACTCATAATTCCCGGAATCAAGGTCCGAACTGCGCAGGCGTTGGCTCTTTCGACGTGAGCTCCTCTATATCTCAGAGTCCTCCCAAAACTAACATCTTTACAGAGACCAGTCATTTGGTATCGAGCATATCCTGGTGGTTTCGAGAGCTCAGGAAAAGTTCCTGGATGAATTTTCTCATTTGGAACGGTGATTGTGTTGCTAGACCCTGTACCGTCGATTTTCGATCAATTTGATACTAAGTACCTTCCTTTGTTCGTCGTTGGCTAGCGAATATAGATTCACGTGGAAAAATCCCCGAATCCGGAAACAATGGAAGAAAAACACTTGGGTGGCAAAAAGGGGTGACCCGCACATAAATAGCGGCCTAGTTCAACTTCCCAGGATCCCTCCACCTTAAGCTTTTACCCTTACCTATCGCATCATGGTTTCCGTTGACCCCATTCTCGAAGATGCCTCAGAGGATGGCACTGCCATTTCCGAAGATGAAGCAGCCGCCGAAAAGGCTATGGAAGAGCTCAAGAAGAGGACTGAATTACAATGCGAGCACTACCTTCAACGCCACCTCCTCTACGAAGGTTATCGTTGGGTTCCCTACGATCCGAGCACCTACGTGAAGCCCAAGACGGAAAGAGAGGATCTGAACAATTATTTCTATGTGAACGTCAGATATGATCGGAAAGGAGGTGCGTTGAACCTAGGCGTTGTCAACATTTCAAGTTCAACTCTTTACCTTGCTGCAGCTGATCCTTCCATCGCCTTGTCTCATTGGAGCAAAACCCTTCTCTCAATTCTGAGGTAAACATTCTTATATTCAACCCCGACCGACATGATCTTGACTCCATTTACAGAAAGCTCATTGGAAGTGAGTTTTTCAGTCGGGAACCGCATTACAAAGTCGTGGCGTTCTTCCCGGACCTGAAGATGCTCAGAGAGAAATTGAACTCTGCCAAGTCCGTGTTATCCTCGGAAGCGGATTCTACGCAAGAAGGCATTCTGGATCTTTTGAAAAGCTTGGGTACCTGTGATCTGGACGAAAGTATGTGTGCTGATAATATGTGCCGCCAGTGTACTGAGATTACGTGTAGAGATTTCTAAATCCGACACATTACTGCGACTGGCTGATATCGCCGAACACCTTGTTGTGTTGGTGGGGTATGTTGAGGAACAATTCCGACCAACGTATGTATCTGATTTTTAAATTTTATTATCTTTTCGCCCTAATTTCTTTGTTAGGGCTTACCGTCTACAGCTAGTTACAGGCTACGGACATATCGAATTCGATCTGTCAGTCACCATTCCCGTCTTGGAGCCCTAGAGAACTCATGTGCTGGCAGACTCCAATACTTCTTCGAACCCGGGCAGCACGTTTCCATATTGGGCTCTGATGATCTACCAGTTAGCGACTGAAATAAGCTCAGCTTGTCAAAATGCTAACTTCCTGAGCCATAGATTGCCTTGGTGATCAAAAAGAGACGTTACGATACGTGAGTGCTGTATCTCATTTCCTGTCCATAAATTAAATCTCTGTTCTAAGGATAAATAACCGCCGAATCTTCTGCGTTTCAGGTTATGGGTTGTATTGGAATGGCTATGCGTACGAGCGTAGAAAATTAGAGTGTGCCATCGAATCGTTTGAAGTGGGTTTAGTAATCATCTGAAAACCCTTTCATCGTTAACATGGGTTCTAGGGAACGCGAGAAGCTTCTTCTCTGCCGATCATCCATCTCACTCCGTCGCTGAAGGAGAAGCTAACTAGTATGTCAAGCTACGAAATTCTGTTTGAAGTCTAAATCTGTTGCAGAGCGAGGTCGCCTTTATGCTAGTTATTCAGGACTGCACTATAAAATATGTAAAGCCTTTCAATGTGTCATTCTTACTTGATGCTGACTAGTGGCTTGAGATCGAGGGGTAAGCAAGCACCCACACTTTTTTGTGCTGTTGCTTCAACTATCATTCAGAAACGAGTCATCGTCGATGTACTTGCCTACGACGATCAGTCGGGTTACATACGTGATCCGTGAGTGGTGTTATCGTTGTGAATCATAGAGAGGATGTTCTCAGCCTTGTGACATTTCTAGTAACCAGAAGATCCCTGATATCGATGAAGAGGATCTCCACCTCCTGCCCACTAAAGTATATGGATTCAATTTAGGAACCAAAGAGTGGACCCGCTTTCTGGTCGAGCATCTAGAACCAGTCGTGTTTGATGAGAATGCCTGGGATCATCTGGTCCTTGATAAAAATGTTAAAGTGCGTCCCTTCAGTTCTTTTTAGTTGTTGGCATGTTCATAGCCCGCCAAAGACTTTGATCAAGGGACTCGTCGAAGTGACAAAAAATTCCAATTCTTCTTCCAAGATCATCAGCGATGTTATATCTGGTAAAGGAGGTGGTTTGGTAAAGCAACGATCCACACCGTCTATATTAGCCTTACTGACGAGCCCGTGTAGATTTCTGTCCTTCATGGCCCACCCGGAACAGGTCTGCAACTTTCTCATTGTTACTCCCTCTGCTGATGCACGTTTCAAGGCAAAACATTGACGGCCGAGGCTGTTGCCGAGCTTCTTCGTCGCCCGTTGTACATGGTGGGATCTTCTGAGCTTCCATCATCACCATCTGGCCTGGAGCGTAGTCTCAAGAGTATTCTGAGTGTCAGTTTTCACCGGTACACGTCGGAAATAAGGAACTCATCTTTTTTCTTCAGTTGGCTACAGCCTGGGACGCCGTTCTCTTGATTGACGAGGCTGATGTACGCTCAAATTTTCTAACTAGTCACTAGGTCTCTGATATCTCTCTGCGACAGGTTTATTTGGAACAGCGGAGCCTTCATGAAGTGAGTCTCAACCTTACGCTGAAAAGAACCGAGGGCTGAACACCACACGCTCGTTAGCTGGGACGCAATGCTCTCGTCTCTGTTGCCCTCCGTATTCTTGAGTATCATCGTGGTGTACTCTTCTTGACCACAAATCGTATCAGCACATTCGATGAAGCATTTCTTTCCCGATTCTCGATAGGTATCTTCTTTACCTCTCGTTTGTTTGATAATGCTAATTTGGATCTTACGTGCAGCTATCAAGTATAAAGAGCTAGACTGCACAGGAAGATATGTTGTCTGGCGCAAATTCTTTGAAATGGCTGGGTCCACCATCGTTGAGGATGGAACGGTTTCTGTAGAGAAGGGAACAAGCAGCGTCTCCCAAGTTGACCTCGAAACACTGTCCCAGAAGAATTTTAATGGTACGTTCGCCCTTCATATATACCTGTTGGCCTTATTTACACCCATCAAGGACGAACCATTAAGAATATTGTGAGCTCGAGTGCACGTCTTTGTTTCTTAGTCTAACCGTATCTTAAAGATCCGAACTGCTCAAGCTTTGGCGCTCTCAGAGTCAGTGCACCTTTGTGACCATCTATCGCCGTGATCTAAACGTCTTCACAGCAAACAACCGCTTGGCATCAAGCATGTTCAGGTAGTACTGCAAGCCCAAGAAAAGTTCCTGGACGACTTTTCGACTGTAAATAGATCAGTCAAGCCGTAGTGTGGCTTTGATTGTACACGGATACATTTCCCTTTCTGATATTTCCCTCGCATTGGACAATGGAAAGTGCACATACATGTTTCAACCAATTGCCTTTACATGTGTATTGATATTGACACTATAACATAGCACTTGATTAGAACTCAAACGCGACTTTTCTCATCACCATACGCTTCCACATTCACAGCTGCTTGAATTTGATGCCTAGAACGCGCTTCGATGGTGGTCAATGAGGTGGTGAGCGTGTGAGAATCCCAAGCACGTCGCATGGCGACACGGTGTACAATGAGCATGGATGATAAAACCTTCGCAGGGTATAAGTAGTGGTCCCGTAATAACAAGGGTCAGAAATACGGCATACCGGCGCCAGAGCCTGCAGGGGCAGGAAAATATTTGCTACATGACTGCCCAGCCCATAAGGTACAACAAATACGATGGAGTTGACTGCGTAGATCAATGAACTCTCAATCAGCAGAGGACCTGCAGCAACGTAAGGAGAGAACACGGTATAGTCATGTCCCAGCACGCGTTTGACCTCGCGACGAAACATCAACCACTGGACAACGATAAGTGACGAGATCAAGACGTTAAGACCGGCGGTGAGAGAAAAGTAGGGAACACCAAAGTTAACGCTGAGATGGTTGAAGAGGCTCGCCCCAGGTCGCAATGCTTGATAGAGGAACAGGGATCCCATTGCTGCAGATGATGTTTTAAGCGAAGAAGAAACAGACGAAGACTGAACTAGATAGTACCAATGGACCCGAGATATATAAGGAACAGAACCAACATTACACAGACGTGTATCCGGAAGTTTGACAGGCAACGGTACAGCTGAAGATCCCGTTATCAATCCAGAACCTGCGAGCCCATGATGAAATCTTACCAGATAACCATCTGCCATCCACCCACACATCACACCGACTACGTTGGCCGTTGATACCGCGGGTTGGGAGTACTGCGTCATCGAAAACCCGAGTGGACCACCCTCATGCTCGCGGTGGTCAATGAACATGAGCTGGAGCCACTTCATGTTAACCGAAATAAAGGTTATTGCGAAGGTGAACAAGACGAATGTGTAGGCAATGAGAAACCAATTCCTCTTTACTCTCCACTGTTTGGGATAGTTGAAAAGAGTATACATAGTTTGGAGGAAAATGACCACTATCGCTCCTGTGGGGATTCATCATGGTCAACGCACGACAAGCGTCCAGTGAAAGCGACTGACCAAAAACTATCTGAGAGAGGCAGTCGCCGATCAGATTGGCTCGCTCCGCGAAGAGCGTATCCGCAGGTAGGTTGGGTCTGTCTGATTCTGCCGACATAGTTCAAAGACAGAGCGCTCGTGCGAGGGAGCAAGCAAGAGACCGTGGAGAGGTACTGTCATCCCGGTAGCATCCCGGCGCAATATATCGCAGCCAAAGATAGCTTACTGGACCCAGGAATGAGTGGATCAATCGTGCCTTGCGCGATTTCTCGTGGATTGTTTCTATAGCCATGCCATGCCATCAAAACGTGGTGTGGATCACATAAACCCGATGCCGATGGTTCACTATTCCAGTTAGTCCTACTCATCTTTGAAGTGGAAAACTAGGCAACAAAATTGTAGCTAACACGAGCTATTGGAAGGGAAAAGGTTAATGCATATAATTTTCTTCAGCTGTAGCCTGCTGTGGCCGGTACACACCCAACAAATTTTGGGGGACATGACCCAAGAGATATCACATCAGCATCGTATGGAATTGCCGTGTTCCGTGGGGCCTACTTAAGTCTCGGGGTACTTGCGTTTTCCCTAGAGTGAAATCAGGTGGTCTCGGTCGTCAACTCTGGAGCTGAAACAATCAAGGAGGTTACACATAAGGGGAAGAGCGAGTCGAAATGGACAGACTTTAGGTGTCCGAATCATGAGATGAAGTGTGGATTGACTCTAGAACAAGATTAGAGTTTCGGTGTCATTCATGGCCCTGTATGAGAAGCCGATACGGAGAGGGAAACAAACCATTATTAAGACCACAATAAAATAGAGTCTTTTGTTACGCATTGCATATTGTACGCTGGACCAGAAAGATAGGCCGACCCATAGAAGGAAGATGAAAGAGAAGCGCAGAAAACTGTCGATTTACTTTGTTCATTTCAACGCCACAAATTTGTCTAGATATACATGAAAGTCGGATGCTGGACCTTCTCTACTTCGTTGCATGCTGAATCATGTACACAGCTGGGAGATATCAACAAACGCTACAATGCTTGCGGATATAGGATCCTTACCTGGAGTAATATCGGATCTTTTCTCTTGCCACCAATCGAACCTGCAAAGTTCCGGCAGGCTCAGACCAGAACAGGCAAATTCGAAGGTCAACACTTCCTCGGTAGCGCAGGTGAAATTGCGTTGCCAATGGGAAGGTTCCGCCGACAGTTCAATGGTTGCAATCTGCGATGCGCGCTCTGGATGAGTGCGATACGAGAGAGATAGAGGATTCAAGGCATGGGATGAATCCAGACGGTACACGGTCAGAGGTGCCTGCGCCGTTGTCGAGTTGTTGATCGCGCTTGGAAGGGATAGGCCAAGTTGGCACGTCTCCATCCCCCAATCAAACGCTCTGAACTGTACGATCGTGGAAACCTATAGAAAGTGGAGGTTTATGCCACGACCATGAGACAGAAAGATGGGCGCACTTACGGTTTGGTTGATAATAACATGCCATTCGTCGAATGAGATAGTACCCGCAGGTGACATGACTCGTTTCAGATCATACCCAAAAGCTTTGTCCGCAGCAGCGCTATCAACAGTGGCTACTAGAATTGGATAGTTATGGAACTGGCGAGGTTTTGGAGGCGAGGGTCGTTCGATCTTATCAAAACCGATGAACTGAGACGGGCGCCGCAGCAGAGATATATCCTGCCTTGAAAAGCCGCGCGCAGAATGCTGTGATGTTATCGTGGAGGAAGAGGCGGTAAGAATGACGTTGACGATGGTGCACAGTACGGCAACAGTAACGCAAACTCGAATCGAAAAGTAGTTGACGGTGGGCCGGGATATACGATCGTCTGAATTAACCGGTTGATACTGCATGGTAGGGATATGAAATGATAAAGAGTTATACAAGAACGGCGGAAGTGGATAAGCGTCCAAACAAAGTGAGCGAGAGATGCTGGAGACGAGTTGCGGAACTTTTGTAACGGTATGATGCAATGATGGAAAAACCGAATGAAGCGGTGCATGGGAAGATGCTTCTGATTCAACCCTAGCCTAAGCATGCAATTGCCCATAGAGAGGGGACGCTCGTATAAATACAGAGCAGTCCTCCTAAAGTAGCAGCCAACGAATTCATTCCCATCCGGCCCACAATCAACCATGAAGGGTCGCAAGCTCGTCACATGCTTGACCGTCCTGTTCGGGGGAGCCCTGCTTGTTCGTGGCCTCGCCATCCCAAGAAGTGAAGCCTGTGCTGCAGATACAGACTTTGAACAAGGTGATCCTCATAGTCATCTACGTGGAACTCGATAGACGTTTCCCCAGATGGACTTGATAGCGTTTCCGAGATAAAACGTAGCGGGATCCCCCTTAAACGGTGCTCCAGTCTCTAATATTCAGTTAGTGCCCATTGCATGTGTACCGTTGCGGCTGACCCAATGCCGCAAACAGCTCCAGCTAGACGCGCGCCCACGATAGAAGTCCATTATTATCCCTCATAGATCGAGCTATGCATTAATGATTATTGTATAGCTGAAGAAACGGGTTTCACGGCTGTGGTCATGAGGCCAATAACTTGACAATGATATTCGATAACGGCGTCTGCGCCTGTAAAGTCCAAAGTTGAGGTAAGATGTCTACCCATAAAATAAGCGCAACGCACATGATTATCGCTAAACATTAACCCTTTGGTGTCCACCTCTTCGAGTTCGTGCACTGTCCTTAGCAGTTAGATGTCCAGCGAAAGTCACTCGGCAGAGAATGCCCTTCGAATCCGATAGTCGCTACACGATGGTCATGATATAGCTGAATGGCAGAAAAACATAGTATTGTTTCATCAGGAAGGAAATGAAGAACAACGAGGAGAAAGGTGATGGCAAAATCCGAGGCCCAAAAACTTGTTGTCACACATTATATCATGTCACAGTCGCGGTCACGTGTTCTTGAATTTTCCTGAAAGTCCTTACTCAGTCCTAGTCTTTATCAGTACAGCCCTAGCCGTGGGACAACAAGGGTCTGGTGTCTACCGATAAGAACTGTTGCGTCGATATCTCTCGTTCCTCCTGCCAATGTTTTCCGCCGTATGTCGTTGTGTGCCACGCACTCTACCTTTGACGTCCTCAATAATATCCCGTTTCAGTTTATTATCACTAGCATCATCTCCAACAAAGCTATAGGCGAAATTACATTCGGAGGAGCAACGATAACGTGGTCAATATCTGGGCCGAACATATCGGGGAAAGCACTCGAGAAGATCCAAAAAGGGTCAAGCGAAACCACACGTGTCACGGCTGTTGTCAAGGCATCCCACACACGTCCCTCGAGTTTGCTGCAACTAAAGTGTCATTTGTATGTATTGCCGCAGTGTCCTTGGCGGCATCCCCTTCTCACTTTTTTGGGGGGGAAGGTTCGAACGATGTATGGATCAACGCGGAGAGGGTCAACACCGGTGCTCATGTATGTACCGATATAACACCAACGCAAACCAGTGATATTCATTGGACCCCTAGTATTCTTCGGAAAGAGATCCTCACTATAGCTACGCGTGAATACACGACAAACTCTATCACGATACACGCGTATCCCAGCATGAAAGGAATTGCAGAGATCATGAATTCGCTCGATCCTCAGGTGCAGATCTTGACTGAAGAAATGAATATTCCAGGTTTTGAAAAATCCAGTAAGCCGTCTGTTAAGAGGAAGAAAAACGGAATATGGTGTTATTCGACAATAACAGAAGTGCTGTCTACTTGTTGAGGGAGACATCAATGCCCCAAGTTGACTTTGATACATATATACCATTGCATTTATTCAGGTTAATATCGCATATATGCAATTCTAGTCCGATTGCCAATGCACCCCTACAGTGTTATGGGTTACTCTACATAATGCCAAGTATGCCTTATTACATAAATATGTGGCGGAAGTCCGTTGCAAGTCCTCAGGTCCGTGTATGAAATCCTCTATTTTATATCCAGCTTGCCGTTGTACAAATCTAATGCAGCTCCAATAGGGGCATACAACATCATCCCGGTGTCAGCATACACCGACATCGACGGCGGTATGCTCTGCATAGAGTCTATCAACAACATAATGCACGAGTTGATGGTTTCAGAGACGTACCGTAACAGGATTCTGCAGCCAAACCACCATTTGGCGGCAGTCATTTATAATTGACGACCAGACTGCCAAAAAGAGCGAAAGACCGTGCTCGACATTGACCATGAGGTCAAACACGAAGGAAGAAACTGTGGAACGCGCGGTGTTAAGCGCGTCCGTCGGCTTATGGATTTGTGCAGTGTACTGTGCGTGTGTTACCTCGCTCTTGCACTGTTCGAGCTGGTCGTAAACCCGCGCCATATTTTCATCCGTGAGTGCCTGGTATCGAGGTCAAATTTGAGTTTGTATTTCGTAGACGGATAAACTGGGACCTACAACCCGTTGTGGGGACAATTTTGATTTTTTTGGTCGACTGACAGAGAATGCGATTAATCGTGTGGATGTTTTTGTGACCGTTGTGGTATCGGGTTGAGTGTTCTTAAACTAGACGGGGTGGCGTGAGATTCAACGGCTATTGCATCCCAGTAATAGACGTACTAAGTAAAATAATCTACCAAAACGCGTCAGTAACTTGCATGAAACGAGGAGCAGGACGGCGGTGGCGTACTGTTTCAGGTGGTTCTCGAGCTGAAGAAATTTCGCGGCTAGGTCACGTAGCTGGCTGCGGTCCGACACCGACGACGAGTGTTGGCAGGCTAGCTGAGCTAGTTCGTTATGGAATGCTGTCAAATTTGATATTATGTTCAAGATCGCGCCCACGTAGTTCTGGTTGAGGGAGAGATGGTCTGAAGTTATCTGAAATTCGCGCATGAGCATATACCGACGATAACGGGAAATAGGCGGAAGGCAAAGCGGCGGCTTCTGATCGCCAGGTGCCATGGGCGTCAACAACACGGTCAAACGTACCTTCATGTAAGATTGAAGAATTTGAATCTTTTCTTGGTGTGAACGCGGCGTCACATTGTTCAGGTTCCTTGCTAGAATGGGAAGCACGACTGTACAGAACACTGAAAAAAGTAAAGGAAGCTAATCAGCGCCGATGCACGTTGTTGATATCAAAGTACCGACTCTTCGCGCGCCCAGAGAGATCGACCGTATTCGTACGCATATGCTTCATAACGTTTTCAAACTCCTGAGGCTCGAGTTAGATTCTTCATTGCTACATACGGCTGGTCACATACTGCATGAATTCTGTTCCATTTTGGTCTCAATGGTGGCGCCATGCGCTGCAAGTCCAAGCTATGCAGTTGTGCCGAGATAGTAGCGAACGCAGTAAAGAGCGCATTTTGCATTTTGGCGTATTGTTGGGTAGCCTCGTTCAGGTCGAGAATAAAGGTGGTGTCATTGAGGGCTCGGGTTGCTTCAGAATAGCTGAGGATAGTAGGACGGGAAGACTTGTAAGACATTGGTGAATAGAGCTTTGATTGAGACGGGCTTACCTTGACGCGCTTATATACGTGCTCATTAGAAGTGAAGCACGGTATACGATAGCTGTAAGGGGAAAACGCCAAGTGAATCCGCTAATGTTAATGACCTGTGAGACCGAGAAAAGAAGCTGTGTGGGAGGGTGATGTACTGGAAATATCGCGCGTGATTGAAGGTCGTATTTTGAGCGGTCCGATAGCAACAACTCGATGATCGCCGAAAAATATCGGGAATCGTTGATGCCCTTGCGCCAGCAAGAGTCAACATTGAGTCAACCATTGAATCGACGTCCAGGAGTCAAATATGTGTCGGAATCTCGGATCCTGAACACCACATACACGTGGCAAGCAGAGCGCTAAGTACCAGTCGCCGCCCCCCTCGTTCCCGATTGCCCGTTTGAGCCGATGTCTGCGAACATTTGCACTTACTTTTCATTCCTATTATTCGCCAACTTCTTTCCAGCTGATATCGCTGGTGATTGTCCCAGCGCGGTCTCAAGCAACCTGTGAACAGCATTCTCCCAAGTTGCATGTCACTGAAACTTGAGGGGGAAAGATATTTCAGTGACCACGTTTCTGCCTCGCTCAATACAACTCTTCCCTGAGCCGGTGGCCACCAAGGCACCCATCACTGGTCGCCACGACATACGTTGAGATATGGCAGGTTCTGCTCCATGGTCAGGTAGTGCCCAGAGGCTCGAATCCGCCTTGTGGAACTGTGTCAAGGCAAGATGATGTCTACGTCATGAAACATTAAACTATTTTCCCTCCGTGCTTCCGCTGGCCACTGCTGATCATTTCCTCAAGAGTCCAATCACAGGGAGCCAACGGATCAACGTCTGCCACGGAAAGAGACTTGACATCCCGTCCTCCTTTAGTTTACTTCCGGTCTTGCCTCTCCGACACACTAGCATCAAACATGGCATTCATCGACTGAAAAATCATTCAGTAAATCACCACTAGTCACTTTGTTCTATCATTTACGATGTTGTTCGTCATTTGACTCACTATGGGTCAACGGCGGAACAAAACGACGGTATTTTCTCTCCTAAATGACGGGACTGTAGCCGCGGGGGGTTCAAATGTCCGGCCAAGCAAAATTTCCCGAATTTCAGACAGGTCCGACTCGTCGTCAGCGACAATATGAGGCGTCTGCGTCTGCGTCGGAATTGTTCTCCCCGAGCAGTCGAGAGGGGGCTGTCGTTGAGGTCAAATATGCGCAAACTAATGGTACCGGTCCGGCATAACCGCCGTGAGAGTCAGTAAACGGAAGCGAATCGTGACGAAAACAATTGGTCAACAGCACCCATTCCTTGCCGACATCTTTCCGTTTCTCTTTATTGTTGGAGAATGGCCTTATCCAACTAGAGAGCACCTTCATTATCGTCTTCCTCATAAAGTCCTCCACCCGAGCCGATGGGTCCATATTTCTGGCTCTTAGTGGTCAGCGGGTTGCTCGCCTGGGCCAGTTCCGTATCAGGCGGTTTTCCCCACCATCAACACGAGGAGACACCGTTGGGAACCGCAGAGGGCGTCGTAAACGGTAGTGCGGTCAGATTCTCAGTCAAATACGCGTCTGCAGAAAGATGGAAAGAGTCTGAGGTTGTCTCAACATGGTCGTTGCCGTAAGTGATGTTTTCCCAACATCAGGCAGTGTTGATTTCAGATTTCTGTTGCAGAAATGGATTCACTGATGCTAACAAGATGCCTCTTGCCTGTCCTCAAGACACGTTGGACGCGTCGGCGTACTCCGAGGATTGCTTGTCCATGGTGCTGTATGTTCCCAGGAATCTCCTTGTATCAGGATGCAATGATGCTCCAACGTTTATGTGGTGCGTACAGATACCCGGTATCACCGTAGTTTGAATCTCACACAGTGGAACAGGATCCATGGAGGCTCATTCACCGAAGGATTCGCCAGTGACTACGGTTTGGATGGTTCTATACTTGCTGTCGCCACCAACTCCATCGTCGCGGTCGTGCAGTACCGCCTGGGAGCTGTGAGTTTCGCTGCTATTGAATTCGCGTCATTTGAAACTAACAATCATAGCTCGGATTTATGTCCCCGGACGGTAACACGAATCTCGCTGTGAAGGACATGATCAATGCCATGAAATTTCTCCAAACGATAGTGCCATCTTTCGGAGGACATCCTTCCAAAATTACACTCGCCGGTCAGAGCGCGGGTGCCATGATGGTTCGCACTCTGCTTGCTGTTCCTTCGGCGTCGTCACTGTTCCAGTCTGCAATCATACAGTCTGATCCTATGGTATGTGTTGCGCCACAGATCCCCCCCAGTTAACCTTTGCTAAGGGACCCACAGAACTACGGATTCCTCAATGTTTCTACTCAGCAGACTCTGCAGAGTTACTACAACCAGCTCATCGTTTGCGACTCGGCAGATTCCTCCTGTTGGGATTCTCTAACTATTGACGAGATCCTAGAAGCACAGTCGATCCTCTACAACAACGCATCCGCCATCAACGCATCAGCGAGCTTCGTGATACCCATACGACCCGTACGGGATAACACCCTTATCACCACGCCACTCGACTCAACTGCCAAATATCCCACCGTCACAAAATCCATCCTCATCACCTCCGTCCTTGATGAAGCTGCGGCCACCATCTACGACCTGTTTCCCGATGTCGTACCCCAGACATCATTTGATGCCGTCGTGTCTGAATTGCTGGGGGCCGACAGAACTGCAACAGTCGCATCGTCGAGTTACTACCAATCGAACGCATCTGACGCGCGTGATCTCCTGGTGAAACTCGGGACGGATTACGTATGGAGATGTCCTGATTGGACAATGGCACGAAATTGGGCTGGTAACGGAGGCGCTGCGTATGTGGGACTCTTCACTGTCGGTGCACACTATTATAGCAATGCGAATATCCCGTTCTGTCAGGAAGACGGAGCGGTATGCCACTCGGACGACATTGAGATTGTGGTATATTTTTACTTGGCCTAGTGTTTCGTTGTAGTAACTTTTTTGTGTCTGCAGTTCGGCACCGTATCCAACCCTGACCAGGCGCATACGAAACTGATTTCTCAAATTCAACAGCGGTATAAATCGTTTCTCTGCGCGGGGCATCCCAACCCACCTGGCCTTCCAGAATGGAGCGCAGCTGGGACCTCCAAAGTTCACGCATATAATCTCGGTGGTTGTGGCAAAGTTAAGGTTGGAGCTTGCAAGCCTGCCTTTTGGGGTTCCGCCGTAGAATACGACTACCAGGTCTATGGACTCTGATTGACACCACGGCTGAAGATGATTATTGCTCAACCGCGTCGTAATACGCGCATGTTATTGTCTACGATTCTGTATTAACACTTGGATACCCATCGCTTTCTTGTTTTCAAAAATCCAGTCTCATCATATAATTCATCTGCAGAGAAGAGTCACGTAAGGGTCATTGAAGGCCTTGTATTGATCATTGTCATAACCGGCGATCCGCGTTACCCAGTACGGGCTTTGCACCCCTTCTCGATGGACAAGAACAGCGGCGAGGTGTGCGAGAATGGAAGAAGCGGGCTTCTTGTGCATCGAAAGTATAACGAGACGTTATGTACAAAGCCAAAGTAGTAGCAGCGTGGGATGGTTGAAGAGGAGACCTGCTCTATTTGGAATGCAGTATAGGATTATATACCGCTGAGCCTGATACACGAATAGTAAGACCAGCTTGCACGGCAGATCAGATTGTCTACAGCGCCAGCCTTCGGGGATTTGATGGAAAGCTAGAATCACGTAGACAGATAGATGGCGAATTATGCAGAACGCTCGGCCAAGTTATATACAGCGCCAGTCTTCGGGGGGTTCGATGAAAAGAATCAAGGAGACGGCGCGTCACAAACTGATGGACAGTGTTGAACTAGCATGCTCGAACAGTCAGGTAGCCAACATAAAAGAAACAACGGAAACTTCCCAGCGTCTACTCTTTCTGTGTATGAACCTGTGCAACCCAGCCCAGTGTAAAACTGACCGTCCACGAGCTAATCTTGAAGGCGCCGCTTGAAATGACCCTTGCATATTCCACCAGAAGCTACGTAAGTGAACTTGAGCATACCCTACGTTGACAAGAGAGCCATTCAAGGTTTTGTATTTTTGTAACGAGCCCGGGGCGGCCTTGTACAGTTAGTTGTGCTAGCGAATGGTGGCCCGATTGTCATACCGAATGAAAAATGCTTGACAAGCGAGGCTCGGTAGTGATCAGCGCAACCATTTACGACATTTTCCTGAGACGTTTTTCAGTATACAAGGAATGGCAGAACAACGGCAATCGAAGGCCACTGGAGATGATGGTGGTCGAAGATCAAGAGACGAGACGCCGCCGGTCCGCTTAGCTCCTTTCTAAGCAACTACCATGTAGAGTAACAAAGGTTGGTTTATTTCTCGTTCCAATGCAGAACGCTTACCTCCGCTGTAGCAATGTAGAACGACCGTCTGACTAGGAAGTTATTGAAGACATCTAGTAGTACGTATACCAGGCCAGGTCCCTCGACAGAGTCTACCTTCTCGGGACCTTGTTAAATCCAGGAAAACCTCCGAGGATCTTGTCTTAATGGTGTAAGATGTCTGCCAAGGTTTCTGGGACTTCCGTTTACTGGCCAGACGCCAGCCATTTGCCTGCCGTACCACTCGGTGTACACCACGGTCCAGGGCCGTCAACCAGAAATGATCAAAAGCATCTGGGGCTAATCCTATTGCCATTCATCAATCGCAGAATCAATTCTTCGGGCCCGACTTTGTGAAAATTCATTCAGGAGCATTCAGGTCTGTTTCAGCAGATGTAATTCGTCCGGCGGTAGCAGTTGGCGGCTCGCACTTTTTTGATGGCCGTAAGAACGGGAACACGGAGGGGAAAAACATTCGAAATGTAAGAAAATGACAACTTGAAATTTACTCTCGAGCTATCCTTTATTCTCACAAATTGTACAGGCAGCGCGCATGGGCCCGAGGAGCTATCTGTTACGGCATAATACCTCGTCTTATGGTTGAACCTGATATTATCAGTTCTTCGGACTCCGAATTTTGGTTCGCTGTCCGGAGAGCCACTCGATTTCGTCGTAACTTATCTTTGTCTTCCTACAGGGAAAATTTCGCAGCCCTTCAAATCCTTACCATCCTCCTCGAACTCCGCGTCGCCAGCTGTCAGAATCCCGGAGCCTTACAGACTATTCTTGTTATCATGCCCCTCGGATATTTTCTACGCCTCGTGTTTAAGCGGGACTAGGAGAATTGTCAGGAGAAGCGCCGTGGCGCTGGCGCTGGCGGCTATGCAATTTTGCGAGACAACTATTGCAGGTTCGCTGAAAGCCGCTCACTCAGACGAGGGCGTTAACGTACTGTCAACGCTCGGGTTGCGGATATAGTCTGATCGAGGACTGATCTGAGCAAGCTACATATAGCCAGCGAAATGAAAAGTGATGTGCCACCACAGGGCCATGATCGTTCGAGGATCGCTCCCGTAGAGAACACACAAGTGGTAAGTCTCTTCAAAATAATATTGTAGTAATTAATTCTTGCAACGCAACAGGTCTGTGAAGCTCCACAAATAGTCCTCCTATCGTTCATATGCAGGGATGCAATCTCTAGTTCCCGAGCATCATCATCATCATCATGGTATTCATTTAGACAGCCAGTATTCACAGGACTGTTCGCATAATGCGTCTCATGCCAGGCACTATCCACTGCCGAGAAACAAGTCATCGCTACCTCTGACGTCGTCTTTTCCTCAAAATTAAGGCACCGAACCGTTCAACGATTGGACGAACCCTTGTTTATATTCAGGATATGTTCAATCACTGACGGATCTTCGGCTCAAGCGGAGGTCGTCAGCATTTCAGCTCTAGTCCTTGTAGGAGAAAATCGTTTTCATCTTCTCTTTTAGACTTATCATGATACTCAAGTTCAGAATAGGAGCAGTGGATCCGCCACATAGAGGTGCGTCGCTAACGAGTAATTATTTTTCGAAGTCGATGACGGGATTCAATTCCGGAGGACTTCGCGCCAGCGCCGCCTACCTAATGTGAGCATACAGCACTTCTTTCTACACGCTTCGAGTCTATGCCTTGAGTCTAGTAGGGAAGTCTTACAGGAAACTTGGATTGTTCATCTCTGTCTCGTGACTGACACGGGCTATAACCGGTCAATAGCGCAGCTGTGCCTCGCTGGAGCTTCGTTGACAAGCCCTAGGATATTTTCTGTTTCCTCTCATGTCTTCGGTGCCTTCTTAGGTCTGCGTCTCTTCAGTTCCCCTTACTCTGATAAGAGGGCTTCGGTATATTACTTAAGGTTGACGTGTCATGGGATCAGCTTCGCTCTGGTGGTTCGAGAGGCACGTACGTGCTTTTACGAGCCTCGGAATAAGGTTCAGAATGCGCGGTTCGCCTCCGGAACCAGTATTGTTTCATGCTAAGCCAAAACAAGCCTTTAAAGCACTCCTCTCTTATCTAACTGATCCTGCACAATCTAGGTCTCAACGGAAAACTGAATACATCGCAAGGTGTGATCGTCCATCGTGGCCCCATTACTGGCTGTGACCTGAGCCGCATTGACGGAGGCTATAGGATATATTTATATATGGTTGACGGGTCCAGAAGTGTATCGAAGACCCATCTCTTCTTCGAAAGAGCATGACAAGGCGTGAACAAGGAAGCTCTCTGCCGCTCTTGGCTGATGATCCTTGAGTGGCGTCATTGCTGTGCAGCCGCTTTAGCGGATCAGTCTCAAGCAATGGCATGTCTTGGAAATTCGTCATGGCCTTACGCACTGCAGAGGAACGATTCGGTTATTCGAGACGCACCACTTGGTAACGCGGCATTCTCCAGGACGAGCAGCGTGACCGAGACAACGACCTTCGCGGACTTTCTCCGGAAATTGAGCGTGTAAAAGATCTGGTCATCTGCAGGCTATTGTGTTGCCGCTCTCTGATGCACCGCTGTGGATCCTGGAGGGCAATACACTTGACTGACTAGGAATGAGAAATTTCGACCTCGTTGGTGTCTTAGCGGTGCTGTATCTTATCCGATGCCGTTCACAGGTCGAGTCTTCTGAGAGTTCTCGGTCGTGCGGTTCGCAGTTCTGTGTCCCACGCTTCTTCGGGCTCGTCATAGGATACCGCATTCACCACTTCAGGGCGTCTCGTATCCCGGATAGGGATATCTGGTTCTGTGGATGCCGATGAGTGAGGAGCAATTGCTACTCCATTTAGGTGTATTGGAACTTCTTCGTTTGTATCCCCGCGCACCCTTTGAATAGTAGAGCTGTTGCTTGTAGGACTTGCGACTCTCTGTTTTACGCAGGCATACGTACAAGTGGATGTACACGGAGGCCTCTTAAGCGCGCCGCGTCTATGTCTCTCTATTCTCACTGTCTACACGCCCCGCAGAAAATGTTTTACTGCGCGAAGATTTTCTTGCACCTTGCCGCTACTTACGCCGTTCATGTCAGTATGAGATCGCCAACCAAGTCTCCCCCACGATCCGCGCATTTCGTACCGCAGAAGGGTTTTTGTTCCATAGGGGAGACGATAGCAAACAGCTTGGTTAGCCAGAAGGCTTTTGGCCTCAGGCCAACACTTTGCTTTCTTGTACGTTGTTGGAGGATTGACTTTCTTTCAAACTAATGAGACAATATATATGTGTAGGTGTTGTATTGGATTGCATGTCTGGCGGAAATTTTCACCATCCTCTTATCCTATCCTCAGTTCGACGAAAGCCACTCCCGCTTCGTCCCATCAAGCCACCAGACTGTCCAGGCCGTCTCCCCTTCACTATCATTTATACTGTTTGTGATCTTGACGGTCGGAGGCGGATGGCTACGGTGTCATTGCTATCGCAAGCTAGGAAGCGCGTTCACTTTCGAGATCACTCGTACGTCGGACCACGAACTTGTCACATCGGGCGCCTACTCTATCGTTCGCCATCCAGCGTATGCCGGAATGGTGATGGCTTTCATAGGCATTACGAGTATCCATCTAGGAGACGGCTCGTGGATAAGGGAAAGTGGGGTGTTAAATTCCGTGCTAGGGATGTCCGTGGTTGCAGTCTGGAAATTCGGTATGCTTATCGCTGTTCTCTCCGTGTTGATGAGAGTGAAAAGCGAAGACGATTTTCTGAAGAGGGAATTTGGGGACAAGTGGGAGAAATGGGCAAATGACGTTCCGTATCGCTTAGTACCAGGACTTTACTGACTGAAATAAGACTGTATTTAATCGGCTTCGGTGTACGAGTCGGAGAGCATGCGCAGCATGTCAACAATAAAGGGATGTGTCGAAATAACCTTGCTGCCATGATGTATGCATGAGTATCTGACGTCATGACAGTGACCGCCACTCTTGCAGCCCAACGTACGCATGGTGCATAACCTTCGTCTAGTATCTTTCGAAATAATCGAATGATGGAAAACATTCGAGAATAGAGCCCTTACTGGTGTGTTAGCATGATGGACGGATCATATCCTTAGAAGGGACCGATGACGGTGTTGATATTCAAGCGCCTCAATTTGCTGGAAGGATGCAACGAATATAAGAAATTCTATTCTCCATGGGTGATTCACTGCCAGAAACCATCCACTCATAAACATAAAAGACAAAAAATCATGACTTCTTTCTTATCTTTCGATCGTATGATGGGCATAACATTCAATAAAATTAACAATAATCCTTAGTAGTGCCCCTCGGACACGAGGGCTTCATCTTATGAAGCAAGCCAGCTGAGCAGGAGCGTCAAAAATAGGTTGATTTCAAAATTAATTCACCAGTAATATTATCATGTATAGGCACCGCTCGAAATGAATTCGGTGAGAATTTGGTCCCGGCCTCAAGACAAACTAATCGATAGTCACGTAAGAGTCCAATGGAGTAAAGGAAGTAGTAAAGTAGATATGGAGGACATCTCCGGCACCAATCCTAACATGAGATGGAGGGACGATTGTGCAATCCAATAGTAATGAAGAAGGAATCCGAACTACAGAAAAAAAAGTACGGTACAACCTCGGGGACAAAGGGGATTGGAAGGCTTAAAAGACATCTGAGTTTCGGGCGAGAGAGCTTGAAGTAGGTACAAAAATAAACAAGATCTGAGGGCCTTTCTGTGAACGTCTTTCTGGCAGTCACTGTGCATTGAGCAAGGAAAAGTTAAAATATTACTGACACGTCGCGTCACGACGTCACCTGATCTGTGACATGCTCGCGATTTATCTGTCACTCAGAGGTCAGAGGACGCAGATAATCAAGGACCAACGGATGAAAGGCCCCCCATTTTCATGTCGTGCAAATCAGAAAGGAAGGTCGGAAAAGAGACTAATGCATACTTTCTCCCGGGTTTTACAGTTTGGTACTATGGGCGGTGATTGCGGGCGGATGTCAATCACGGAGATCCGTATGTCGGCGCCAACTGCTCTCGGTCCTCTATGTAGAGTGGTATCACTTGAAATACGAAGCCCAGTTAGATCCTCAGGAATTGGGGTACAAGCCTAGACATACTCTAGAAGAAAGGAAGACGGTACTGGCTTTGAGGTGAACGTTCAGCTGAGAGTCCAATTAGACGAATCATCTCCAAGGCGGCCCGGTACAAAATGACGCGGCCACATTGCAGCCATGGTCCCCGGCGGGCTCCAAGGAGATGATATGCACAATAATCGATGAGGCTAGGGTTTCCTACATAGAAGAGAACTATCGGTTTCTTTTGCTTAACACATACTAACAATGGAGGCAAACCTTCTGTGCATCGGAACAAGTGTGGCTCCATTGAGAGAACACAATGTTGCGGGTAAAGCATTCTCCCTGTAACCGGAAAGCAACGCTTGAATAGTAGTCGCTGAGTCCAGCCGCCGATCACCAAGGGCCGAAGGACAAAGTTTACGGTTCCGCACACCCCCTAGGGTTAGCGATGGTCTATATAGTATGGTATTCCTATTTTCATCCATTGTCAACAGTCTCGAACGAGGAACGAACACAGTAGATTGTAGCCGTCAAAAAGCGCTGACCCGAACACACCTTCACCTCTTTCTGCGCTGGATTTCCAAGTAAAACTTTTTACAGTGGGATTCTGTTGCGCACAGGGGCTGGCCTCGACATTCTTGCCTAATAAAAACAAAAAAAATGAACAACTTGCATCTTCAATCGGTAATTTAGTAAAAAATCGGACGAGAATAGATGATGAACAAGACCAGTTGTTTGGATATGTTGCGCAGGGTCGGGCCTTTAATCGCAAATCTCCTTTGATCTCATCTTCGACCGCTTCTTCTCCATCAAGCCTACCAATGATCTCCTTGTTTCAAGGAAGCTCAGAATAACTCACAAAGATCTATCATATGGTGCTCAAGGATATCCCGGATCACACACCAGAACGGGCAAAGGCCTTGTGTGACCGCGTGGAAAACTTCGACTCCTCTCTATCTCTTCAGGCTTCAAGCATTTTCTGCAACTTGGTGCATGCGATGCGTCAATAGTCTACCAAAAAACTTTCCATGATGGAATCATGTTATATCGATACTATTTAACGGGATGGGCTTTCCGGTGGCGTTGTATTATCATCCGTTTCTGTCATAAGGTGCTTCTCCGTACCTTGCGATTGGCGCGTTAACATTGATTCACCGACGGGGGCAACGAAAAACCTGACATACCCCCGGTCCCCCGCAGCTCGGCGTGCGACTGCCCGCTTCTCGCAAATAGATTGATTGTGTGTGACGATGCGAACACTCATCTCCTATGCGAAATCAACCAAAAATCCAGCGCTGCAAAAGGATTTCCCCCTCTTTTAGCGACTAAATCGTAACAGCCCTTTCTTATTCTTTGAGACGGAACTACTCATTATTAAACTTTTCTTCTGGACCGACCGTTGTGGTGCAAAAATGGAAAGTCTTAATGAATGCTCCTGCGGGTGATCCAATCATTGCATATCCCGTTATTATTTCAGCCGAGATCGATACTGACATCCCTGGGAAAACCCTGAACGCGTCGGGGGCGAGTTCCACAGAACACTGTTTAACTCTACTCTGACTTTGTGGCAACGGACGGGGCGGGATATGACGAATCAACTCTATTGACTCCATCCGCGGCCATGCAAAGCATTCTCGACAGTGAAAGGAACTGCACGAATCAAAATGCATCAGCAACGATAACTTATTATTCGCCTCCCTTCGCTTCTCTTACGGCACATCAAGAAAATATCAGTGCTTTGTCAAGCCCTAAACCCCCGTTTAACCAGACCTTTACCACGCGTCCTCTGGGAAGGTGTGTTCCTCTGTTGATCTATGGAGTGACAGTTCAGGTAACAATCTCTTGGAAATACGGCAATGCTGTACAGCCTGCCGAGGACGGAGAACTGCTGCCAAAGAACCGATGGTGGCGAACCATCAAACAGGGCAAGATCGAGAATACCGCCAATTTTAACTTCCTTGCCTTGTTACGGCAAGCCATGACAAGCTTTTCGCACATTCGCGCTGCCGAATATAAAAAGGCTTTAAAGAATATCCTACAGGCTTGACATTCATTCTTCCCGTCATCTTTCCCTAGATCTTTTGAAGCGTTCTTTCCAAAAGTTTTCCCCATCTTCATCATGAAGTTCGCCAGCGTCTTTTTCTCTATCGTTGTCCTCCTTGCGTCCTTCGCAGCTGCCCTTCCTAGTAGGGAGACCAATGCTGACAGGCTCGCTCGTGGTCTTCCGCCTTTGCCTCCCACTGTAAGGTCACCAACCAGAGGTACATTGCTCTTCGAATGTAGTTCCTTGATGCTGGTCTGACTCCTTCCTGCAGTTGCGCGTAACAGTCCTTCCGGCACACCTAGCCAATGCTCCACGGGACCTGTCCAATGCTGCGATTCCGTCCAGTCTTCAAAAAGCGGTGGCTTGGTTGCCACGCTTTTGGGCTTGCTTGGTATAAACCTTGGTAGCGCCGATGTTCCCGTTGGCCTGACCTGCTCGCCGCTCTCCGTTATTGGTATCGGAGGAAACTCTTGGTATGCTTCTGAATTCTTTAATATCACCTGAAAATTTGTTGATGTGTCTTACAGCTCAGCGCAAACCGTCTGTTGTGAAAACAACAGTTTTAATGGACTTATTGCCATTGGTTGCACTCCCAGTATGTGCCTTTCATTGACATCTTCCATGCTCTGACTTTATTCTCTTATCAGTTAACATCGGCCTTTAAAGTGTGTTGATGAGCCTCTCCTCAGACGTTGTTCTTCTTAATGAACGCTTCGGACTTTTTTTTTGGCTCTTCAGTCATTCATTTAACACCCGTTCCTTATATATATCGGTTACAGTACATACCCGCTCAGTATGCCACCATGTTATCCCTTGACTTTTTTCTGGGCCGCGCGGACATGATCTCCATGCGAACATGTTGATGCAAAATGGAATAGAAGAATAGTTTATTCTGAATTATTCCACTGAGCATATTTTACCTTCATTTTTTTATTACCATGTGCGAAGGCAAACGTTAATGGTAACCTGTTTTAAGAAATTGTGCCATGATCAGTGGCAGGGATGTGGGGTGGTGTTCGAGGACCACGGTGCTGTAGAAGAGAACCATCATTCATCTCCATGTGGATGCGTCAAAATTACACCCTACAACAGTGCTGCTGCGAGACACAAGACCTTGAAGCTATATATATCAGGATTAGCAGGGGTTCTAAAAAGTCTAATCCTAAGGCCTATCGGCGGTAGTATTGTTTTTGCTTGACTTCTATTTATCCACAACTTGAAAGAACACAGTAAAAGCTATTGGCAAGCGCTGGCCCATGTCATTGCCAAGCTGTCGCAATGAACTTCTAGGCTTCATGCATGTATACGACTTACATTGATCGAGGGTAGGCTGCCTGCCGTTACGGAGTTTTCTACACAGCGAGAGCATGCCTCGAGTAGAGCCAACCCAGTTGCATGCTGGGTCTCCGTTAGTGCGACAAAAGCAAGGATAAATTGTGGCTGATAGGACCTTATGTTTTGGTAGGATAGCATGCCCTAGACGTAAGAGTACCGTCTCCCACTGTCATGATCGAGACCCTTTTCACACGAGAAGAGTTGTGGGTAGATGGCTCGCATATTGTTGAATCACGACAGGAATAGAAAAAGGTGGAACAATAGACCGTCAATCTCTTCGATCTCCTTGAAGTTGACGCGTGACGCAGACAGACCATCTTAGAAACGTTGATCTTTCTTAATCGGGGTGATGGCGCGATCACCATGGCGGACGGCGGCCCGACGATCACGGGTCACAACAGACTCCCCATGCCGCACGAAATGTAGGATTGACGATGTGAACATACCTGAACCTATCTATCCGCTTGAAGCCCTATCGACACGAATTCCAAGCTAGTTCGGAACCTCAATAAGTAGTCATCGTCGAAGCCGGGAACCGGCTTGATGGACATTACATAATATATAGGTCCGAGGTGATGATGAACCTTATTTTGCTAGCTAGCACCCGGCAATAGCCGGACTGTCCTCCCTTCCAAACAACCACAAAGTCTCGAAAAGTCTCGTCGCCGTCGATAACCCTCAAGAAAAATGGTCAAAGGTGAGTTAATTTACACTGGATAATGGCATCTACTGATTATTTTCTCAGTATACAAACCTGGCAAGGTAAAGAAGCCTTTGCGGCGCGTCGAAGGGTTTATGTATTGACGATACATCAGGTTGCCATCGTACTCCACGGAAGGCAGGCGGGAAAGAAGGTAGTGGTCATCAAGCAGCACGATGAGGGTTCAAAAGAGCGCCCCTACCCCCACGCAATCGTCGCCGGCATTGAGCGTTACCCCAGGAAGGTGACGAGGCGAATGGGCCAAAAAAAGTTGGCTTTGCGGAGTAAAGTCAAGCCTTTCATCAAGGTGCGTTGTGACTGGGCTAGTTTGGAAATGGTGTCTGATAGGGTGTAGGTTGTCAACTACTCCCACCTGTTCCCTACACGGTACGCACTTGAGCTGGAAGGCCTCAAGGGTGTTGTTTCTTCCGACACTTTCAAGGAGCCAACGCAGCGGGAAGATTCGAAGAAGACGATTAAGAAGTTGCTTGAGGAACGGTATGTGTCGGGCAAGAACAAGTGGTTCTTCACTCCTCTTCGTGTGAGTGCTGTTTGACCTGGTCGCATAAACATACTCATACCCATTCCATGACAGTTCTGATCTGCTACCTGCCGTACTGCTGGAGTTTGGGTGCGTTCGGTGATATGGGCGACGTCGGCTACTTATGCAATCCGTATGTTCATGCCTGTATGTTTTTATGCATGTGGTTGCGTCAATCCACCAAACTGCGTAACCTCGGAGTTGCAACAAAAATTATTGAAACTCGTTTTCTCATCTGTTTCACGAAGTCATATTCATTTTATTGAGAGTGTGCACTCATCGCTGAACAGTTCCGTGCTGGCGTATTAGGTGAATAAGATTTCGCGTCTGTTTCTGTCTACGCCGAAGGTTTGATTCTTACGAAAGTCCACAAAGACTATATATTCAAAGTTTGCGCCAGGCTCGCGTCAATTGCACTTAGGTCGAGTTGCCGACCTCTGTCATTTAAATAAATGAATCTGTTGTCCGTTCCTTTGTGTCGAGTCGTTTTTGTGTTTGTGCTTGCATTGCCCCATTCATTTGTGATCTCGGCATTGGTATGGAGGTGTGATGTCTGGCTCGGTCCTAGAATCCTTCGCTATCAATGGTTCTGTGAATGGAGTAAAAACAGGCCTTGTCAGACGGATTCGTTGATGAGTAGACGTGCTTAGCATGGAACGCAGCCTTGGGCTAGATATGTTCTGGGTTAGTATTGTTCTCTCACAAGAGCCCTCGCCTGAGTCATCCAGCCTTGATCGCAAACGATGCACTCAGTGAAGGGCTTCTAGACCATTAATAGTTTCATGTCGTTGGTTTAATATTCATGTTTTATGTGAGTTAATGCAGCTTCTCCTTGGAATTTTTCGATTCATGTCGGCCGATTAGCAGAATAGATTGTTGACAGCTCGGGTGGGATGCTGCTGTCAGTTCTCCACATCATACTGACACCGAGCCAACATTAGCGACAAGATACGCAGTGTCCTGGAACGTAAATGCTACAACCTTCGAATCTGCTTCGTCCTCGACAGTCAGCTTGGTGGAGAGGAGGCGGGGAATCGTATGGTGCATCAAATTCCCAGCCGCTTAGTTGTCGCCTTCCCAGGACCTGCTCATCTGCCGTGTTCTGAAAAAGACAGGATCCGTCTTCTTGGGCTCTCAGGCTATTCACGACTCTATTATAAGTGAATCCACTGACCCTCTGCCCGGGCCAGCGTCAGGGGAAGTACGTGAAAGGGTAAATGATAATAGAAACAACCGAGGTCGGATCTATCTTCCTCCAAACTGCGAGTATGTCTCAGTGGTTCCTCACAATACGCTATATATAAGCTCTGAGTTTCGTTGGCCTTTACTTATATATCACTATTGGCGCGATTGCTATCTATCTTACTAACAGAACAATCTTACCATTGCTGTGAGCATAGCACTGGAACGAGGTTCAAGTAAGTAGCAAGCGAGGTAGTACGGTATCGTCGGAAGATCTATTTTGGGACTTGTATTGAAATATTGGTACCGGAATCTGGACCAAAAAGTCGATTATGTAATCGAATTTCCCAAATATGGGGCTCGCCTATCGGACATTTTGGTGCTCTTACATGCCAGAGCCTTCCTTTCTTCTACCACCTTCGTTGTTCTCCTCTTCTTCATTTACGCGTTTATCCCCTGTTCGCGTATCGTACTGCTCTGCTGAGTGTGAGGGCGTCGAAAAATGCGTTTTCGTACGCTCGAGATCCGTTGGCACGACTCAAAGCCTATCTCAACGTGCGACTTTCAACCTATTCCCTCGTTCAAAAAGGCTCGGCCGACAGGAAACGCCTCTGGAGAGCCCAATCTTGAGTGGGCGGAGAGGTGGGCTGAGCAGAGGTATCGCTTAGCGACAGGCGGCGAGGATAACCACGTCAGGGTGCGCATCTCGTGTTGCAATATATCTGCTCGTTATTTATTGTACGCGAAGGTATGGATGGTTTATCCCAGTATACGGCCGACAGATCCTTCCTTTCCCTTGCCGTCACAAGTGACCGCGCCAAGACCTCCACGCGTCGAATATCTTGCCACTCTGAGTCGGCATTCAGCAGCGGTGAACGTCGTCAGATGGAGTCCCAACGGTGGGTGAAGCAGTAGTAGAATATCTCTGTTTAACTAAAGATATTTTGCACCAAGGCGAGCTCATTGCCTCTGCTGGCGACGGTATGTTGGTCTAGTTGAACGTGTTGTCCGTGGCTGAAGTAGTATCTAGACGGCATGGTCATCATCTGGTCTCCGTCCACGACGCCACAAGCATCTACGTACGGCAGTGATCTGAGCACCGAAGAACTACAAAATGAGAAGGAATACTGGAGGGTACGGTGTATGTTCAGGTACGTGTTGTCGAACACAACCACCTCCCTGGGCTCAGACTTCTTAGATGCACTGCCATGCAAGTTTACGATCTGGCCTGGAGCCCAACGGGTGAATACATAATAGCTGGAAGTACAGACAATGCTGCCAGGGTCTTCCAATCCAATGACGGTAAGTTCTGATTCCTATCTGTGTCTCCGCGACGTACCTGTCGACCGGCCTCCCACGTCTTTCTATATGACTCGGTTCGTGTTGCCCACGGCTCTTTTCAAACGTGTTCCTAAGAATTTACCTCCCAGAATTTGGATGTTTCTGGTACTGATTCACCATCTCTGCAGGGAAATGTGTGCACGAAATAGCAGAGCATAACCACTACGTGCAAGGCGTTTCTTGGGACCCTCTCAATGAGTACATAGCCACGCAATCCTCTGACCACTCTATGCACGTGTATCGTATCAACACGAGCAGAAATCATTTCGAAGTCCACGCCGTCGGCCGCAACAGAGAAATGAGCCTAACGGGAAGTCGGAGACATGGTCGCACATCCAGCATTGTCAGTGAGGATGGAAGAGGAAGGCAGGCCACTCGACCGCACATAGCACGACGTGAAAGCACCACAAGTGATGCAGAGTCCGCTCTGGATGAAAAAGACGGCCCCGCACTCTGGTCGACGTCAGCGCCTACGCCTGTTATACCGCCAGTTGCCACTCCGGTTATAGCTAATAAAGAATTGACACCTCTCACCCCCGCCACGTCAGTTGCGTCGACGCCTTTGTTCCCTACTATGTTTCCTCCCCCAGGTCCAGCAGCTGAGAAGGGAATGCCTCAACCTTCCTCTCGACGGTCTTCGTTCAGCGGTTCTAACGCGCCTTCCTCTCCGGCCTTCAGTATGAGCAGCCGATTTGGTGGGCGGTCCCCCAGTCCTATGCCCCCTCTTCCGGCTATCAGGACAGCCACACCCATGCCCTGGCTTCATGCCGTTGGTGAAGGGAACATCGGCCTGTATGGTGACGAAAGCTATACCAACTTCTTCCGCCGGTTAACGTTCAGCCCGGACGGCGGTTTACTTTTGACGCCCGCTGGACAGTTTGAGGACCCAGAAGTTGTGGTCAAGGACGACGAAGCTACGAAACGCGGCCGAAAAGCGAAGGCAACAGACAGCGCAGAAGATAGTAGTGTTGAAGCGGACAAGAATTCTTGCGTGTATATCTACACACGTGCAAACTTTGCGCGACCTCCCGTTGCGCAATTACCTGGGCATAAGAAGGCGAGCGTGGGTGTCCGGTTTAGTCCAGTTCTGTTTGAATTGAGGGGTGGTGTGAGTGGCGTTGGTGGGGAGACAGGCCCGAAGACCGCGGTTTTGGAGAAGGGAAAAAATGCGGAAGGTTCAATGGAAGTCAACATTGTGGGCGAACTTGCGACATCTGCGTCAGAAACGCAGCCTGTGTCGTCTCAGCAGAAAATTGCTGCGCCTGCACCTATGCTTCCGAGCAGCTCGGCCGCCTCGATGTTTAACCTCGTGGCTTCTCCTGCGATATCACCGCTGGACGCGACCGCTCTGCGGCCTCCTACACCCGCGGCCTCCAAACCTGGTACGCCGATACACGTCGGGGCTGTAGGATCAGGAAATAGTGTGGCGTCAACGTCTGGTTCTGTCTTCGCCCTTCCTTATCGCATGCTGTTCGCAGTAGTCACGATGGATTCTGTGGCGATCTATGATACACAGCAGGCTGGACCCATCTGCCTGTTAACGAAACTTCATTACGACGAGTTTACAGATGCCAGTTGGTGAGCTTCTGTGTTTTATCAAGTAATAATCGTGAGCTAATAGTTCTTTCTACTAGGTCTCCAGATGGTCAAAGTCTTATCCTCTCGTCGAGGGACGGATACTGCACTTTGATTGTGTTTGACGAAATCCTTCCAGCATATCCTACCCAGCAACAAGCGCTGCAGCTTCAGTCGATTGCACATCAACATTCAGTGCCATTGGATATAACACCGTCTCCGTCACACCGTCGGAGCGCATCGACGAGTTCTCGAGCGGGGACGCCCATCGCCACACCCGTCTTTGGAAGTGTGCCGCTGCCGTTTGCTTCTAGTACTACTACTACACCCATGACGAAAGGCGAGCCACTTACACCAGCAGCGAGTGTCGATGGTGGAGATGCATCTGTTCAGCTTGCAGGCGATTTTGTCTTCCCTGCGAAACGAGAGAGAGAAACGACGACAGGGCCAGAGAGTGCTACGGAGGACCAAACCCCCGAGCCTCCGAAAAAGAAACGTCGTGTTGCGTTGACGAGAGTGGGAGACGTAGGTTCATGAACATACAATTATACCAGCTGCAAGTTTTTTTTTGAAGCTTCTTGTTTTTTTGCTTGTATCATGTGTAACATATGATTTGCATCTACGTTATACTATTTCTGATAATGCTGTCTCCTTTTTTCTATTATTTTCTTCATTCATTTGTGTAAATGTAACCTTAGGTAGCTTCTGAGCGAAGAGATTTTGTTGGCTTGGAGTTTGGCTTGGTACGGAATTCAAGTGGATCACAGGCCTATATTAGGCAATCACCTCCAGATGCACTATCAGCTCGTCTTACACAGCAACCACTACCTTAATAATGGCACCCACAGAGTATTCACTGAGGCTTCAGAAAGGTGCTTATCATCATTTACACCTGGTTGTTTCTTACATAGTACACAGGAATCACTGGCGGTTTCGCACCACCCACTCCAAGCGCAATCTTCACCCTCACTCGTCCTTTGAATCATGACGAGCTCAATATTACCTCTGCGATTCGCGAGATCGGCACTCCGAGTCTGGCTAGCGCTGCGCCCAAGTCGATCCAGCACGATGCTGAGACCGATGCGCTCGTCGACGAGTTGCATGGGATCCTCAAGGAGATCCCCACCGAGTCACCTCCCGGAAGTGAGGACATCTACGGCATGGACATCAGCATCGCATGGGGTAGCGAGGATCTGATGTGGCAGAATGGAGGCCCCTCGGGATGTGGAGGCGGTACGAGCATAGTGCAGGCAACCGATGAAGATAAGGCCAAGTTCAAGCGGGCGGTCGAGATTGTAGAGAAACTGGTGGGCGAGACGGCTTGATGAGATCTAGAAGCGCCCGAGGCGAAGCTCTTAGGTATGTAATGTGCTGTAATTACCATGTAGATGGACACAAATTTCTTCACAATCGGAAACAAGAAGAATAAATTAGAGGCAACGACAGTGAAGATAATCAGCGCAGTGTGCTTGCTCTGAGTGTACTAGTTGACGTCCATAAATTTTCACCTTCCATCGAGTCATCACCCGCAGTAATAGTCGGTCCCGTCCCCATGATGACGCCAAGATCCTTCAGATTCTTCTGCAAGATCGTGGTGAGATATGCTAGACCATTCTGTTGCTCTGACAGGATCTACGACGGAGACAAGGCAATCAGTACCGCACAAGACATGAAGAAGGCGAACCCAACTTGAGCAATCCTAGCCAGCCCTTCCTCATCGACCTTCCAGTCGCCAGCGTTCCTTCGCTCCCGAATACCTTCCTCTCTTGCTTTAAGAGCGCCGAACACCGCCCACAACTCGTCAAGCTTAGCTTTCATCTTTCCTTTCCCTCCCCTTACTTCTTCCTCTATTGATTCTATTTTGGCAAATAACTCTTCTTCCTCCGGTCGTATCGCAGATGACCGTACAGTCGGAATAAGGAGATGCAGGTGCTGTACCAGCGCCATTATCCGCTGCGCGAGCTGTATTTGAGTTTGTGAGAATCGTGCAAGACGCGAGATGGTGTTGGTAGAATGCTGGGTTTGGAGATCGGCAAGGCGCTTTTGTAGATCCTAGAGAAAGGTCATATAAAGCAAGGAAAGAGGAAATCCAGCACACATACTGACCTTGATGTTTCCCTTGTGCGCTGTAGCTTGCTCTGATTGGCCATCTACACGTTGCCGTAGATCATCAAAACCGTTTGCAATGACCGGCACAAGACTGTGCGAATAGGATCAGCTGCATCCAACCGGATTAATAGAAGGCATACCAAGATGGATCAGGATTTTCTTGGACGGCTTTTTGCCACAACGCGTCATTGGTGGCGTTCGGAGGACGACCGTACATGTTAACTTGATTGGGCTCGACGAGATTGTAGAAATAGTGCTAAAGACGGTTACAACCATGTCCATAAAACAGCAGTTAAAGGCTTACCTGGAAACGACATTGGGGGGAGCTTGGGTTCCACGCGTTGGCGATCGATTCTATCTTTTGTGATAGTTTGGCAAATTGGGTTTGTGCGTCGACGAGTTGTTGCTGGGAAGCAGGGGCCGTGCTTTTAAGGAGACTGTTGGCTCCTAGGGTTGACTGCAGCTGAGGTCGTGCACCAAATGCATTGGTTCCAAGTGTACTTCCTCCAAGTGCACTTGTGCCCAAGGTGCTATTGCCCAAAGTCGTGTTTGTAGATGAGCCAAACATGGGGTTAGTCGACGTCGAGGTAGTACCGAAGATGTTGGTATTAGTTGTGGGAGCTGAGGTGGTGCTCGACGAGCCAAACATGGGATTCACAGTGTTGGTATTCGTTGTGGAACCAAAAAGAGGATTTTGGGTGGTTGTATTGGTTGATGTTGAGCCAAACAGAGGGTTTGCGTTAGTGGTGGTAGTATTGGTATTGGGACTCGTAGTGGATGATCCAAACAGTGGATTCGTCCCTGTTGACGTGCTGGTACCACCGAATGAAGGGTTCGTTGTATTGAATAAGTTTGGTTTAGCCTGCTGATTCTGCTGGTTCTGCTGCCCAGCTGGTGGTGTCGAGAAGAAACTGCTCGTTGATTGGGCCGGTTGCGATACCGTTGTCCCAGTTCCTGTCTGACCAAACACGCTGGGTTTCAAAGCGAACGCGCTATTCTGGTTCGTCTGTGGTTGCGTTGCGGTACTTCCAAATATCGATGAGCCAGTGTTCGTGTTGGAGGCAGTATTTTGGCCGAAAGCGCTGCTACCTGTATTGGTAGAACCGAACAATGAGGGAGTGGCTGTCTGTGTCTGGGTGGAATTGCCTCCAAAAAGTCCTCCGCCCGTTGCGGCTGGTTGCTGCTGAGCATTCGACCCAAAAAGATTCCCTCCGGCCGGAGTGGTTGTGTTGGTAGCGCCGAATAATGACATGGTGGAAGGGGAATAAGGGCCGCTGGATCAAACAAATCTTTTAGCGAGCCACAAAAGAATTTAGCAGGGAGCTCACCTTCACGATAGTCTCCAAAAAACGTAAGATTCCCCGATAAAGAGAAGAAAATCCACTTTGGAGGAAGAGACAAGAGCAGAGCAGAAACGCGTTACAGGATCGTGACCGTGACCACGGTGATGTCGTGACCTTCGTGACATGGGTGACATAGGCGGGCTTCACCGGGCCGGTAGACATGAACCTTCCCGTCACCTTCATCTCGTCCTGCGCGCGAATTGTCAGTCATGCATTCATCTTATACAATGATTTCTTTCCGCGATAAATATTCCTTTGTGATTTCTCGAGCAGCCACTGGCGGTAAAGACGCCTACTCATCTTACTTGCCCGTGATGGTGTTTCTTTGCTCTAGCCCGGGAGCCTGCTTTATAGATACTCGCGGAACTCGCAGTAACAGCGAATAACTATGAGATGGCTACAAATAACTCTGCTTCCAAGTTGTCATAGTGGACTAATAACAACCGGTATCTGTCCAGTCTCTGCAACGTTTTCCGTGTTTCTCATACGTTTCTAGCGCATATATCCTCGTTTTTTGTATCAGAACGAGAAAGCCTGTAGCTTCTTTTCAGAGCCTTGTCAAGGAGGCATTTTCTTCTGCGGCAGTTATCCAGAGTCTCAAAATTTCCTTGGTCCTTGTGGAGTCTGCCATTGCGTGTGTTTCTGTTGGAATGTGTTTCATAATGTCGACGGTTAATTGGCGTGCCCAGTGGCGCTTGTTCAGGTTTTCTTTTCGCTGCTGTTCTATGGTTAGCATCTATTTCAACTATACTAGTCATACACAAGCTTATAATTTTCATAAGAATATTCTCGGACTTGGTGACTCGTGCGTTGGCAGAACCGGAGACGTCGGTATCTCAGGGACGCTCTTCATCTTCCAACCCGAACAATCCTTGTCCTCTCAAACTAGGTCGCGTCCAACGACAGGCGCTTACAACCCGCTGACCGCTGCATCCGTATTCTGAAGATTCAAGCACTAGTTCTGGAAGCCGTTCGTATCAAGTCGGGCCGCCGATCTCGGAAGTTTTTCATCATGTAGACGATTCCTGTCCTTCATCCACGTAGAAGGGAATTCTCGTTCGAGTTTCGGACCGGCGCAGGGCCAGTATTCGTATGAGAGCTTTCATACATCAAGAACTACCCTCCCATCTTTCACTGATACGAGTCATAACTTGACTCACAACGCGCTGGCGTTCTCCATTTACATGATCTTATTCAAGTACGTACATTATTTGAGTCTCTAGCACCGGATGGATTAACGTATGCCATACGCAGAAGTACTAGTTGGATAACCCCCGCTTAATCCGATGTATTATCAACAACAGTCGTGCTGCAAGCAAGAAGTCCACCGGGAGAAAATTTGTCCCCGTTTTCGGGACCTCACGGTTAGTACCCAGATGGCCGAGATGATACAAGGATCTTTACATGGAAAGGATATGTCCTTTTTGGAGTCGCACGACCTCCTCGGCGTTCTTTTCGTGATGCAATAATGGCTAGCAGGTGGCCCACTAGCAAATTGAGCAATCGGGAGACGGACGGCCGTAGATGAAAAATTGCCTCGGAGATGGTGCAGGCGATCTGGCCTTTGAGTCTACACCTTCTCCTTCTTTTTTTCCCTCACGACCTTGTTCCCCTCCAAACACGATATCCTCAAGCCGTTGTGGTCGCGTTGCCACGAAAATCCCGATGTGGCGGCAATTAAGTGGAGGTGAACGCCTGGGCGCATCCGAACGTTGTAAGGAAGGTCCAGGTAGTTTCCAGCCGACGCGACCGACTAGGCCATATTGGAAGAAGAAAGGTCAGAAATCTACTTAATTTGCTCTGAAAGCCATCATTTATGTCGACTATGACATTTGCAGAGGAAGAGCGCGTCAAGACAATGAAGGGAAGGATGGGCGGAATTCCCTTCACATTCACATTGTTTTCCGCGTGTAAGCAGGTCTCAGCCTACCTTCCATGGCATGTACTAAACTATGCTTGGCGCGCAAGGTTGCATGTTATAATTGGCTTTATTTTCTGGACATTGTCAAGTCTCGTTCTGAAAGCATAATTGACCGATCATTCCATTTTAGCAGTGCTTTGGCGCTTCTGTCGGGATTTGAGCGAAATCGAATCATGAGCCACCTGCAGCACTTTCCTGTGCGCTCTTCATGACACGAATACCACAGCCATACAGGGAATAAATACCAGAGTAATGACGTTTCTTTTCATGCTAACAAAGAATCGCTGTGCCTGTGAATTTTTATTGCTTCTTCTCGTTGGCACGAATCCTATAGGTGATACTGCGTTTCTTTCTCAAAAATATCTACATGGCTGTATACCCTGCTAAGTGCTCCCTTCCTCTCCCAGATTTGAAACGTGAAATTAAGCCAAAGAAACTTCGAACAAACAGGTACAGAACTAACAATGTGCTAGTTTCGTCAGTTGTCCCAAGATGATATTCCTAACCCTGCCGCCGTTTGTCCACTCTGGCCGCCTAATTTGCCCTTGAACAAGACGTCGAACAAACTCACCTGCATTAATAAGTCTTGTCAGCCGCCAAGCAGAGTATTTTTGTCATGCAGACGACGGTCCAGGCAAAGGTTTGTGGTATCAACTGTCCTGGTCCTTGACTTTTGCTCATTTGATTACATCAGTACGCAAGACTGTCCACAAGTTTCGGCTTAGGAGAACTATGAATGACGAGCGTTTCAGTGCTGAAACGCTTAAGCTTGTCGCGTTCTCGGTCCCGGTATGACGGAACACAGATAATCTCGTGTGTTTCCAGCCAGCAGTGCTATTTTTGACCACTCTAAGCCCATGATTGGCTGGTGCGAGAAGGGCTAACCATGAAAGCAGAACCGCAAGATACGCGGAGATCCGATTTCAATTGACCTGAAATTAGAGGGACCGCCTCAAAGTTCCGTCTGCCTCCGAGTTTGTGATGAGCACTTATCACAAATGCGATGCTGACTTTTGAATTCTTTCAGGTGGGGTGAGTGTTGCGACTGTTGTTCCACGCAACCCAAGTCCTAGTGGTATACTTCATTATGGGAAGCCTTGACCTTCGGTCGCAGGCACCGTTGGATACCGATGGTATTTTTTCACTCCTCATATGTAATAGAAGCCCTTCGCAGATGGATCAATGATCACAAGGACGTCTCCTTAGCGTGAGATGTATAATCTTGAATCTCCATATAATACGGCATACTTTCTGTTCGCTGCTCCTTCGTATCCCTTCCTCATTGACCATGTCTACTCTCTTCGTTATTTTCGACGTCTGCGCCGCTATCACTGCGTTGATTTTGATTCAACGTCTCTTTAGCGTGACTAAGACTCGAAGGACACTCCTCCCCCCTGGACCCAAAGAATTGCCGCTCATTGGGAATCTTCTTGACATGCCGACCGAGAAAGAATGGCTAACTTTCGCCAAGTGGGGCGAGCTTTACGGTACGTGTACTGACTTATTGTCCGCGTCGCAGGCTGACGTGTCGTTTGCAGGTAACATAGCGTCTGTGGCATTCTTTGGTCAACGTCTAATCGTATTGAACTCTGCACAAACCGCTACGGATCTCCTTGACAAGAAGAGTTCCATCTATTCCGACCGTCCATCGATACCGATGGGCGGCGAACTGGTCGGATGGAAGAACACCCTTGTCCTCGTTCCCTATGGTAAACGCTTTCGCAATTATCGACGGCTCGCGCATCAACTTTTCGGTAACCAAGCAACCATGAAACAGTTCCTGCCAGTCGAGGAGAGGGAGACGCATAGGTTCTTAAAGCGTGTATTGGCACATCCTGAGAACCTCTTGCAGCACATTCGGAAGTACGCCATTGTATCGTGGTATTTCGGATGCTATACTGAGTACTCTCTTTTGTTTTCTTCAGAACCGCCGGGGCAATTATATTACATATCTCTCACGGGTACGACATCGAGGAAGAAAACGACCCTTTTGTCACATTGGCCGATCAAGCCACCGACCAATTTTCTGTCTCCACGGCTCCTGGCGGCTTCTTGGTCAACCATATTCCGGCCTGTAAGCCTCCATTGCATAAGCTAAACCACCTTAGTAATATTTGGTGCAGTACGTCACGTACCGGCATGGTTTCCCGGTGCTGGGTTCCAGCAGAAGGCGAATGAATGGGCGGAGACGCTCGAAAATATGGTCGACCGCCCTTATAACTTTGTGAAATCCCAAATTGTGACTATTTTTATGATATTCGACATTTCGTTCTCAAAGATGCATATAGGCGGCCGGAAAAGCTCCTTTATCTCTTGTTTCGAGCCTGCTCGAAGGTCGACAAGTAAGTGTGGAGGAAGAATTTGACATTAAATGGCTTGCTGCATCCTTGTACTCCGGTGTGTTGTATGCCACTCACCGGTACAGAATTATCTCACTGGGTTCTTCATAGGTGGTGCAGATACTGTAAGTCTTACTAAATAAACTCTAAGTCCATTCCTTCCTGACAAATCCAGACTGTATCATCGATCCACGCCTTTTTCAAAGCCATGACACTGTTCCCTGAGATACAAGCCAAGGCGCAAGCTGAGATTGACACTGTCGTTGGCAGCGATAGGCTACCTGGGTTCCATGATCGAGAGCATCTGCCCTATATCAATGCCCTTGTGCTGGAGGTCATACGATGGCATACAGTCACACCTACAGGTTTGTTGTGGCCTTCTTTTGCGCTTATTTCTTGCTAACCAAGGGCAACAGCGGTACCCCATAGAGCCATCGAAGATGATGTGTATGATGGCTATTTCATCCCGAAAGGGTCTTTAATCGTCGCAAATCTATGGTACGTAGATCATGATCTGCCGTTTTGATTATCATTTTATAGGCGGGATGTAGGAAGATGCTTCATGATCCTGCGATATATAATAGTCCATTTAAATTTAAGCCCGAAAGGTTTCTTGGTTCAACGCCAGAGCCCGATCCGCGGACCGTGGCATTTGGATTTGGTCGTCGGTATGTCAATAGAACCTCTTTTCTGGCTTATGACTCACACAGTTTCAGTATCTGTCCTGGTAATGTTAGCGCCCTATGTTAGCCAAACAAGTCCAGCTCAAAACTGTACAGGACGAGTGCTTGCTGATGCTTCGATTTTCATCTCCATTGCTATGTCGTTAGCAGTGTATGATGTTTCAAAGTATTTTTCTCCTGAAGGCGTTGTGACTGAACCCGACGTGGAGCAGACCACGGGAACGATAAGGCAGGTGATACGTTGTCAGCCTGTCATAGCAACAGCTAAATTCTTGTTCTTCAGTCACCCTACACCGTTTAAGTGCGTTATCCAACCGCGAACAAAAAAAACTATTGCCCTTATCAGCGCGGATGAACATCTTTTGTGATAGAGGATGGTGTGTATTGATGCTGATAGCTATAAAGTTTCGCCTATATTTGCACTATAATACTTTGCACCGTAAATCTCATGCGCCGGGGCCTTGGCATAAAACCTCTTTAACAACACGAGTAACCAATGAATCACTATACAAAGGTGGTGGTTCTGGCGTCGATGGTCTAGATGACCAGGCAATGTCGGGAGGCATAGCAGGACTCGGAGTAATAGGGATGTCCCTTCCAGCAGCATCCCTCACTGCTTCTCTGGCTCTAGCAACCTGCAGCGCCTTCTCAAGACCGATCTTTTCCCCTTCAAGGTAATGAAGAGGTTCGACTCTTTGGCATAACGCCTTGTACGCGGGCAGAAGCCATTCCTTCATGTCAACTTGTTCAGCGAGGGCGATGGCGTCAATGGGGTTCAAAATGGGATACATTTGAAGGTGGGCAACTGCCACAGTTCGAATGTCGTCCAGGTCGAACCGATTGGAGAATGATAGAATATTGATCCAATAGCGATCCGTCTGATGACGAGCAGTGTTATTTCCCCTACTCGTGATATTACTCTGCAAGTTAAGGACAGGAGTCGAATATACCTACCGCCGATTGAAAATATAGTCAAGCACACATTCAAACTCTTTACATGTCGCTCCAGCATCAATCGGAATTGGTTTCTCATCACAAGTACCTTCAGGTCCTTCGGAACCTGGAGGACAGCTAAGCATGGTGCAGAAAAACTCTGATTCTCGTGTGAGGAAGTAGCGATGAATACGGAAGAGTTCGTTCTCGACCTAGAAGTTTGACGAGGTTAACAGTTCACTGGCCCAGAAATCAGGATACTGACAATGAAAACCGTCATATCGTCGTCAAAATAAAATTTCTGGTTTCTAGATGTTGGCAGGGACAACGTCGAAGGCATTCCGTCTGCCCCAGGAGATGGGACGTCCAGATTGCGATCCGAGTCTCCTGAGCCAAATGCCTCTATCCAAAGATTTTCGACTTGATCATCCTCAGACATCTTATCGAGGTTCTTCTCATTCATGACAGGCGATGGGTGGAGACAGAAAGCGACTTGCATGCGTGCACCGCATGTATACAACGTGGCCAAGAAGCTTCAACTTAGCATAACTTTAAGCGCCCATACAAAATACAAAATACAAGTTATTCCCACGAGGCTCGCCTTGAAGACTTTTACCAGAAGATCACCATCTGGCACTCCGTCCCCGCTATAGGCATCTACTTGTTCTTGACGGCATAAATCTGATAAGAGGCTGCATAATGATTCAAGTCAAGATCTCGAATTGAAGGTGCTAACGGGGTGGCGTTAATCGAAGGACGATCGTCGAAAGATAGATAATTACTAGGCTTGGAATCTGAAGGTTTCAGACCACATCCACTGGATTCACTACCCACACAGCAAGCTCCTAGATAATTGCAAAAGATTGAGATGGTCACTGACAAATCTAACAAATTAGATGAGGACACTTACTTGGTTTCTCCTGGTTGCTCCTGTTCAACTTGTAGACGTTCAAGTCTTTCTTTGTGTCTACAATTGTCATGTCTGGAGAAGACGGGTTTCAAGCGATGAAACGAGGGCGTCGGAAAATGCTATACCACTAAGCCCAGCTGATGCCATCCATTCCAGGTATTGTTTCGGGGTGCTTGCACCACTGATGCATCCGACATACAAAGAAACATCCGACAGCAGGTCTTCAGGTAGCGGCTTCTTCAAGAGGATATCCGAGATAGCCAACCGCCCGCCTGGTTTCAGAACGCGAGTAATCTCCAAAAACACGGCAGGTTTGTCCGTTTCAGGAACTAAGTTAAGAACACAGTTGGAGGATATTATATCCACGGATTGTGGAGCAAGCGGTAGATCATGAATTAGTCCCTTGACCTACACATAGCTCATAAGCATAAATATGGGTATTTTGACTGGAAATACATACGAATTGCACGTTAGTGTAACCACCCTTGGTGGCATTGGTTCGTGCAAGTTCGAGCATCTTATCGTTCATGTCAATTCCGATGCATTTTCCCGCAGGACCTACGCGCTTTGCAGCAAGAAAAACGTCGAGACCGCCTCCTGATCCTAAATCAAGAAAGGTCTCACCCTGGGTATTCGTGTCACTAAGGTATGTAGTCAAGATGCACAATTGCAGCTCGCCTCCTTTAAATTTGCAGTGGCAACAGGATTGCCGCATGATAATCCGAGATTCGAGGTGACAGGAATAGTCGATAGTTCCTCGGTGGTGTATCCAAAAGCGCTTGCAACGCGATCACTGTCCACGATAGCCTCCGTTTGGCTAAACTCGGAGGCGGCTGAAGCGCGAGAAGAATAATGCTCTTCAACAGCACGATAGATATTAGCGGTTTCCATTGATTTAGTTCGACAATGTGATAGTAGTGGTAGTAGTTGCAGTAGCTCAGTGGCGAGTACTCACATGTCCACGACTATAAGTAGGCAAGCAGTGTATGTCATTGATGTCACTACTGATCGGTGATTGGATGGGAGCAAAATGATGACATCAGTGATTGTCAATTATACTTGTTTATTGGCTACCTAGTTCTCTATAAAGAAAGGAATGAGCTGTGATTGTTTGCAGCATAATGTCTGGAAACACGTCCTCGGAACTTTGGCATGATGCCTTTCCTCAACCTCAGTCCACCGTAGAAATGATATCTGCTGCGGATCTCCATTCGCTGCTAGCAGACGCGAAGTCAGGCCAAATCTTGGTCGTAGATGTCCGCCGGACAGATTTTGAGGTACGTGCTCTCTAAGTACGCACTCCATATCAAGTCTGAATGGAACGTCGAATAGGGTTCATTCATCAAGGGCGCTATCAATCTTCCGGCTCATTCGTTCTATCCGACGCTTCAATCATTGATGCCGATTCTCACCCGATATCCGCTAGTTGTTTTTCATTGCAACAACTGCAAGCCCGGTGGACGTGGACCTCGTGCAGCAGGTTGGTACCAGGATGAACTGAACAGACGAGGGTTAACTGAGAGCCGAGCGGCGGTTCTAGAGGGAGGTATCAAAGGCTGGATCAGCAAGTACAGTGACGATGAACTCACCTCCAGGCTTTAATGGATTGTGACTCTAAGGACTAGCCGTTAACGTAGGGTGTCAGCCACGCATTTTTTGAATCAAGCGGTTATACCGATACATAAAAGGGAATCCTTCGTTTCAACGATCTACAGGCTAAGATTTAAATAGCAGACTTTGGCCACATCGTCAGCCTACCTTGACCATGATTTTCAATAGGGTTGCGTACCTTTTGAGCATACACCACTGTCCAGTCTTCATATATGTTTGGTCCGTCGTCCCACTCTTTCGTCAAGCCATCAAGAAGATCATCGTACTCTCGTTCTGATGATACCAGCCCAAATCCATTTGCATCGAAGATAGGCCCGCGCATGGCAGAATATACTGTAATCAGGTTATCCCTGAGTTCAGTCCGATCCGCACCAGCCCATGCTCCCACAGGCAAAGCCCGCGTTTCGCTGTGTACGTTAACGAAACCTTCTCGGGCCAGCATACCAGGGAGACGTTCCGCAACATCTATGACCAAGCCTTTATGTGTATATAATTTGGCCAAAATTTTCCCTATCTTTGCGGAATAAGGTCCTGTATGGGGTGAAATCGAGGAACCTTCAATGAACTGCACCCATCCACCAGGAGCGAGAACACGGTGCGTCTCTACCAAAGCAGAGTTCCACTGCGATTCCGTCAGGGCGGCATAGAGAACACGTTGATTGACCAGTAAGTACGAATCAGTCCATTCGCCAGGTAAATCTGTGACCGAGTGGTGGTGAAAAACAATGTTTGGCGGAAGTAACTTTGGAAAAATTTTGGACTGTATATCAATAGCCGTGAGAGAAACAGACGAGGGCACTTCTTTGGCAATCGAGAGGATCCATGCTCCTGGAAAGAGGTATAAGACTATAGGAAGAACATACAGCTCGTAGCGTAGACCCCCACCAGATCCAGTTCCCGAATCTAAAACTTTATCACCAGGCCCCAGGGTTATAGGCGCCACGACGGATTTTCCATCACATAGCGTACGCCTGAGAAAGGAGTGCTGCGACTCGAGCCTTTAATACGTTAGTACAGCAAACGCAGATTAACAAATAGCTTACCGCTGCTTCTCCTGAGCATCGGAGGGTAATAAGTAATGCACATCTGGTGAAGACGACCAAGCCCTCTGTGGTTGCTGTGCTCTTCTTACAGAACGCATCGGCGAAGAAGGAACCAAGGGAATTTGGGGACAGGATACGAAAACAACCCCATCATCTCAACGCCCCAGCGTATTTCTACGGCAATATTGTTGGTATAGATTATTTAATTGACGGACTCAAATTTCGCAGGGTCCTCCTGTGGCATCAGACTCAATTGCGATGCATGCGGATCCTGGAACAAGGGACGTGTTGTTGTGGAGATTTCTAATTGAGCCTGCACTACTGCAGCGTATGTGTGCTTTCATCGGACTGCTGACCTTTACCACAAGCTGAAATATTGTTAGTACATTATACAAGTGCAACCGTAGAAGGTGACAACATACAGTAACGGAACGGTTCAGGAGATACTTGATGCCCACAACAGGGACGAAAAGTCGAAACAGGAACTGTCGGAGGTCAGACGCCTCGAGATTCTATCGTTGATAATGAGCACGGCTCAGGTTGTGGTGAGAACAATTGTAAGAACGCGCCGGAAACGGAGAACAAACCCTTACATATCCCCTTCTGCGTACAAAGACCTAATATACAGGGACGACGCGAACTCGAAGCCGAGTCAGATCCTGAGCGTGGATAATGATGTGCACTCTCATTGCGCACTTCAATCAAGTGATATAGAGTCTAATTGGAACATCGAAACGGATTTACTCATGAAGGACGTGATCAATTCTCCTTCCACCTAACTCTTCCTTGGCTTTAAGTGTGTACTGGGAGGTCTTGTAGGGCGCACCATGAAGCATAGGTATGAATATATAGCAAAGTAATTTCTTTGTTTCTACAATCCATGATCTAAAATTTAAACCGTGGGCTTCGGTGAGGATCGTCAGCGTAGCTTTAACTTGACCTACATTGGGATCGCGCACCTTTTGAGCGTACACAGCTGTCCAGTCTTTCGAAGCAGATATGCTTTGTCCATTATCCCACTCTTTCGCCAGGCCACCGAGAAGGTCATCGTATTCCTGTTCTGACGAGACCAGCCCGAATCCATCTGCTTCAAAGATAGGTCCGCGCATGGCAGAATATACTGAGGTTAAGTTGTCTCTGTGCTCCAGCCCATCCGTACCAGCCCATGCCCCAAGGGGCAAAGCCCGCGTTTCGCTATGAACGTTGATGAATCCCTCTCGTCCTAACATGTCAGGGAGACGCTTTGCGATGTCTATAAGTAGGCCTTTATGCGCGTAAAGTTTGCCCAAGATGTTTCCTATCTTCTCAGAGTAAGGCCCCATACGTGTTGAGATTGTCGAGCCTTCGATGATTTGTACCCATCCACCGGGAGCGAGGACGCGGTAAATCTCTGACAAGGCCGCCCTCCACTGTGATTCCGTCAGGGCTGCGTAGAGAACACGTTGGTTTATAAGCGAGTAGGTGTCGGTCCATTCTCCGGGTAACTCTGTAACCGAGTAGATAGAGAATGTGATGTTCCTGGGAAATGATTCGGGGAAGATTTTGGATTGTATATCAATAGCTGTAAGAGAAACCGATGGTGGAATTTCTTTCGCCAGCGACATAACCCAGGCTCCTGAGAGAAAGTGTAAGAGGAGAGAAACGACATTCTACAAACGTAAAGTGTTACCGGTTCCTGTACCCGAATCTAATACCTTGTCACCGGGCCTCAAGACTATAGGTGGCAACACAGATTTGCCATCGCACAGTGCGCGCCTGAGAAGAGAGTGCTGCAACTCAAGTCTTCGATAGTCAATATAGCCAACGGAACAGACTATTAATTAACTTGCCGCTGCTTCTCCTGAATATCGGAGGGCAATATGTAGTGCGTGTCGGGCGAAGATGGCCAAGCCCTCTGGGATTGCCGAGATCTTGCCACGGGAGCCCTGAGGAAAGAAAAGGGAGACGAGAACGAGAACATTTCGCGACGGGGTCCAAATCAAACCCATTATCTCGTATTTCTACGACGAAAAGGCTGGTGTAGAACGATTGACAGACTCAATGTTCACAGGCATTCTCTGTGGCGCCGAAGTGCAACACACGCGGATTCCTGGAGCAGGGAATATCTTTCATCTTAAAGAGCTTCTATCAACACGTGAGTATTTTTCAACTACCGCGACATATGTTTGTAAACTTACGTCGGAACTATTTCACGACCTTTCCACGAGGTGAAGCGTCACTAAAGCGTCACCAAGGTACATTATCCAGGCGCAACGACTGACATGGACAGTTCACAATTGCGACCATGTTCAATGCCTAGGCTCTGCACTGTCCCTCACGTTCAATGGGGTAAGTATTTTGGAGGTACATGGTACGTAGTCCTCAGCGGCGGGACAGTTCTGAAGTCACTTGATACATACGGACGGACGAAATGTAGAAACGGAAGCTGTCGTCGACAAATTTTCGAACTCGGGCTTGGACGGAGTCAGTATGCCGTAAACTTGTACAAACACTTGTGACTTTATAGTATACCGCCACAGTCATCTTGGATCTTACCCTGACAATAAGCCTTGGAATAGCTTGGAATCCGACCTTTTGAACAAGCATCATTCAGTGGCCTGATTTCTTCTCGTCACCGAACATAACAGCTTCTGTCTTCTGTTCACCAAGTTCCCTTCTCGATGTGTCTATACCTATTTTTTTTTTCCAATGAGGAACCTGTCGATCAACGACGTTGCACTGAATTGCTCAATGCTTAGACTCGTAACTGCTGCTTGTGCGCGATGAACTGGTGCGCGCGATTATACAAGGAACGATAGATGCGTCTTGGCGGAGATGATACGCCAGCTGATGGAACCTCAAGCTACTAGCAGTGAACTCGATGTGGCGACAGGAACTTCAATAGCCAGACAAAAATGGTGACGGCTTCTCGCGTTTCGTCTCATCCCGGGGAATTGAACGCAGATAGCCAGAACCACAATGAGCCCAATGAAACATTAGCTACTTACTTCTTGGCCGTCTTGCTCTTCCCTATTACTTTCGTGTTTCTCATTACCCGCGGCGTTTTCGACATTAACTATGCTGCCTGTTGTATAGGAGGCGGCTGGGCTACGAGTAAATCAGTGGGATGGCAGGGGTGAACTAATCCCGGTGGCCGTCAAGCTACTGCGAATGGTTTCAGGGCCTTTCTAGCAGCTGTAGCTCGCCACCTTTGTCCTTTGTGCTCTGATGAAATCCGATTATACAGCCAGCATCTGCCTTCTGTGCGTCATGAGCGCGAAGTGGCGCGTCTCAACTCCGACATTTTCTCTTGGACGTTAAGTTCGCTACGGAAGCTAATCCCAAATTTGAGATACAAGCAATCCGTTAGATCTTCTGTCAATCGTTCAACCGTTCCAAAGTAACTCCATGGAGGCCCAACGCGAAGTATAAAACCTAAGGGACTTGTTGTTTCTTCAATTCAACTTCCCCCTCATCTCACAAAATGAATGTTGAACAGCGAGTTTCTCGGTTTTTTAACCCTCGCACAGCTACTCATCTTCACTCGTAGGTTTCGTAAAGCTGGCTACCAGGCAATTGATCGCATTTGTGATCACCACTATTCACTACAGAGTAAAGCGGTTCTACCCAACGTACAACCTGGTTACCTGAAGCCTTTAATACCATGTGTGTAACAAAATTCTCATCAGATGCCAGGATATTCACAACAGTTATCTAGCGGCTCCTCCAGAGTCGGGAGAAGATTTTCAAACTATTGCCGATGATTATCAAAGACTCATTGTACCTGGTATGTCTCCGGCGTTTTCTGCTTTCCGGGTGATCCAATACTATATTCTAGGTCTCGCGCATTGGCAGCACCCGTCCTTCTTCGCTTACTTCCCAATTGCAAGCACATTCGAAGGCATTCTCGGAGACCTCTATGCCAGCAGTGTCGCCAACCCTGTCTTTACCGTAAGTCTTCGATTATTGTTGTATACTTACAGCAATGAAGCCGTTAACATGTATCAGTGGGCATCCGGCCCCGCATGCAGTGAACTAGAGGCCATCGTCATGGATTGGGCAGCGAAGCTGTTGGGTCTGTCTCCTGGCTTCATGCATGAATCTGGGACTGGCGGAGGAGTGATTCTTTCGACTGCTTCAGAATCTGCGATGATAGCTATCGTAGCTGCTCGTGCATCGTATCAACGAAGCTATCCGGACACTAAGCTCGAGGACCTTGTTATCTATGTCACGTCCCAGACTCATTCGCTTGGCATAAAAGCTGGCATGGTGTTAGGGTAGACCTGTGACCGGTCCCCTACAATGAGCAAGCGTCGATGTAGGGGACCTGTAAAGCTGACTTTTAATTCATAGGCGACATGGTTAGGCATTTGCCGAGGCCCAAAAAGGACATTCGGGTCGTTTCCATATTGGGGTTTTGGTGGTGATCATATTGATCTCGACGCGTTCGACGCGACTTTGCTCTGTACTTTTCATTAGCCATGATCCAGCAATCAAATTCATTACCAAAAGAATTTCCTTGCTCTACACATGTCTTCTATACTCTTGTTTCATCCTCAGCTGCGCCAACAGCTGCCAGCTCATCGACCCAATTCATTCTCAATCCAAAGCCCAAGAAGGTGACCATGTCGAAATCTGCAGCTAAGGAGATGGAAAGAGCACAACTGAATATCCTCGTTCTCAATATCTGCCCCCAGCTACTCTCAGAAGTCCAGTACTCTCGCTTTTCCGGCCTCTGGCACACCTTCATACCTTCACACCCAATTCCTGCACCGACTTTTGATGATGATTATGCTGCATCTAACATGTCTTCCTCACTTCTCTTTTCTACTGCTGCATTGCTACCACATCCAATGGAAACTCCGACGCTCTCTGTCGTAACCCATGCTACAGACCATTTATCTTCTGCACTGCCCAGTCCTCTCTCTCCTTTCTTCTCTGACAATGTTTGTGCTGTTAAAACAGATTTCGTTGATTATATGGATTTTAAGGATGGTAATATGAAGTTACAATGTCAGATTACATGGCTTCACGTCGAGACGCGATGGTATCTGAACGAGATCGGTGAATCACCACCAAAACCCCAATATGGAAACGACCCGAATGTCCTTTTTGGGCCTCGGCAAATGCCTAACCAGCTTTACAGGTCCCCTACATCGACGCTTGCTCATTGTAGGGGACCGGTCACAGGTCTAGTGTTAGGGCTATCTGTGCACATCCTAGAGGTCCAATCTGAGGACAACTATTCATTGAGAGGCGATACTCTCAGCGACGCCTTGGAGCAAGATGCTCGGGCTGGAAAAAAGCCGTTTATCTTCAGTGAGATTAAAATTTCTTCTACTTATAACATCCAAGGTCACTGACATCTGTTTACTCTCAGTTGCTACTGTGGGAACTACGTCCTCTGGGGCCATCGATAATATTCGTGAGATCAAGGAAGTCGGTAAGACTGGAACATGAGATAGAAAGGTCTGCAATGGTTAACTTTAACCTAGTCAAGGAGCATCCTTATTTACGCATTCACGTTGACGCTGCTTGGGCCGGTGTAGCGTTCAGCTGTCCCGAGTATCGAGAGACGGGCTATCTCGCCGATATCAACGACGTTGCAGACTCCTTCTGTACCAACTTCCACAAGGTCCGGGGCGTTTCATTCGTTGAGTACCTTCTGGTCTGACCTGTTATGCATACAGTGTGGTCTCGTCAACTTGGAATCTTCTGCTTTTTGGGTTAAGAATCGGAAATACCTTACGGAAGCGTTAGACGTAACTCCGCCGTATATGAGAACAAAACAAGGCGACAACGGTCAGCGCAATCTATTCGCTTTATGGTGGCTAAAACCACTGAGCATGGAGTTTTCAGACCGGACCCTCGATTACCGCAACTGGCACCTTGCACTCAGTCGAAGGTTCCGATCTTTGAAGCTGTGGTTCGTGTTGCGCAGCTTTGGAGTGCAAGGTTTTCAACAACATATCCGAAAGGTGCCTCATTTTTCTCTGGAATTTGTCGACTCTGGCACTTATTTAAACCTCGCAGTCAATCGGTCTCAATGATCTGTTCGTCAGCCTGGCCAAACAATCTGATATCATTGAAATTCTGGTCCCGCCTTCCTTGGGCTTGACTGTCTTCCGAGTGAATCCACCCTCTCATCACCGACACAACCTGGAGTCCTTGAACGACCTCAACACGGCATTTTTCGGTCGTTTATCCACTCGGAACGATATTTACCTCACGCAAACGCTTTTGGACGGGGTGGTTTGCATACGCCTTGCTGTTGGTGCCGTACAAACCGAAGAAAGTCATATACGGAACGCGTTTGGTATTGTTGTGAAGGAAGCGACTCTGGCAATAGATGAGTGGAAACAGCGGCCTGTACAGTCCGCGTTGTAATGCCGCCCCCTAATATGCGAAATGGAGGTATTAGGCTCAAAAAAGGGCTTTCATTTTTTAATTGGCAACCTAACTTAATCATGACTCGGAATGAACTTCCACACCTTTAAGCATATCCATTCTTTCAAGGTAGATACGTCTTGTTTATTATCCCACTCCTTTGTCGTGCTTGCGATGAGATCGTTCAGGACTAAGAGTATTTATATAAGGATATGGGTTATGTTCAAGGCGCATTGATCAACAACTGTGGTAAGGGTTCTGTAGTTCAACAGCAGTGACACGGAGAAAATGTTTCTTCGGACGCGACGAAAAGAGACCACGAGAATCTGCGAGTCGAATTTGCAGGTTCGCGGTCTGGCCTCTGCAACAGAGCACATGGGGAACACAACTTCGATGTCTGCCTTCCCAATCGCTGGGACTCCATGGCGCTCAGACAAGCGCTCAAGGCCAGCCCTGTATGATGTCGCTATCTATGTGGAAAGACTAGAAACAAGGGAAGAAGAGCATGAAGGACCATGTTAGCGATGTCTGATCATTTTAAGATCTTTAGAGAGGAAGAATAATGATGGTGGTGTCATCGACTCTTCGACTGTTGAACTGTTGCTGCATCATCAAGCTATACAAGTTTGCTTCGCCATCTCCACCCAAGACATTCCACAGAAGATCGAGAGCCAGGTTACTACTATCCTGTCGGGCACGGTTGATAGCGGCAAACCAGAGGGGTGCAGCATCAGCCGTGTTCTTCACTTGTGAACTTCTCGAGTACAAATTGATCAGCCCGTCCGTACTAAGGATAAGCACGCTGGGTTGATCAACTGAGACGTGCACGACATCAGCCTGGTTAGAGAGATAGGGCGGCGTGAGATTACGCGCCATTAGCGCGTCAATTTTGTAGTTTGGGTGAAAGGGCGGAGTGGCTAGGGCGAGAACGCGTCGGGCGTAGATAACTGGAAGCTTAAAAGGCATGTCACCTATGGCTAGCAAAGCATATACATAAATACGATTCATGAATGATCAACAAATGGCTCACCGCGAGTCAAAGTAATCAGACCCAGCGTTCTGTATTCATATATGCACTCGGTTTCACCTGGATGTTCAGCTCTAACACGGTCTGCCTCTGCGTCGTTACGGCAATTATGATATGCGCTGAGGATTTTGACGGATTGTCGCCCAATCGAGTCCAATGTGCCAAGAACTATTCGATGCATCAGTTGCACTCGTACGAATGCAAAATACGAACGGCGGCTCACTGGCATCACAGTCGCCGAGGCTAGCAACAAAAAGAGACTTGGATGGGCTGATTAGAGCTACCAAGGCAGTGGTACCTGTCCTGGCACGCATAAGTTGCACATAAGAGTTCCCTGTCTCGCTTGAAGGATCTGTAATGATCTCTTTAATTTCGTAGTCGTTCAGGGCAGATATTTGAGCCAGTCCACCAGGAAAGAAGTCGAGAAAGTCAGTCTTAATGCGCTCGTCAATGTCGGAAATGCAATCAACCAGGATCTTCTCTATAGCGGATTCTGAGGGAGAAGGCAAAGTTTGCAATGAGGCTTTGACCTTGCCCGGTAAGGTCTCTGCAACGAAATCAACAGTTTCGTGACCTGCTCCATGGCCTTCGGTTCACATTAGTACCAGAGAAATAGAGAACTGTTCCTTATTCACCATCGAAAACACTAATGAATTTCCAAGTACCACTAGCAAGCTCCCATTCTTCTACAACGTGCCGGTCTTCAATGCGATCCTGCAGTCGAGTAGAGGGCTGGAATGCGACAATGTGGGCACCACACTTGACAGTCGCGTTAGATACTCGTGCCAAGTCTGTACGGAGCTGTTCATCGACTTGCTGTGACATCGGAGAGCGGAAGCAAGACGGTGACCAGAATTTCGATTAGCTTCCATCCCTTTCCAGTGTTACATAATCCATCTTCACTTGATGTACGCGTCTTCTGCTCTTTGCTCTCTACCACCATGTCCCGACCACTCACCTACTTCGATATCAGCATCGGTGGTGTCCCTGCTGGGCGAATCGTGTTCGAGCTGTACGCCGACTTGGTGCCCAAGACTGCAGAGAACTTTCGTGTTCTGTGCAGGGGAGACACCACAAGCGAGGATGGCGTCCCGCTCAAGTATGCAGGATCGGGGTTCCACCGGGTGATCAAGGGTTTCATGTGTCAAGGTGGTGACTTTACTGCCCACAATGGCACCGGAGGACTCTCGATCTACGGCGCCAAGTTCCCTGATGAAGCCTTCCCCGTGAAGCACAGTAAACCGTTCTTGCTTTCGATGGCCAACTCGGGACCAAACACAAATGGGTCGCAGTTTTTTATCACCGTTGCACCCACACCACATCTTGATGACAAACACGTCGTTTTCGGGGAAGTGAGGCGGGGGAAGGGTATTGTGAGAACAATAGAGAATAACAAGACGGGACCTCAGGATAAGCCTCTGAAGGAGGTGTTGATTGTAAACGCGGGGGAGATCACGGAAGCAGAGCTGGCTGATGATGTCGTAGAAGTGGAGGACTACCCCGAGGACGACGAGCGAGCTGAACAGATCCAGACTGACCCGGCTTTAGCACTGGAAATCGCAGTTAAGATCAAGGACACGGGTGCGTCGCTGTGGAAGGAGGGGAAACGCGCCGACGCACTCCAGTCTTGGCTTAAGGCTCTCCGGTACCTTGATGTTCATCCTGTGCTACCAGATGATTCCCCACAGACTCTCAAAGATACCTTTAAATCGACGCGTACTGCCCTCCTACTCAACGCCACCCTGGCTGGTGCTAAAGCCGACCCGGCAACCGGAGTTGAGGTCGCGACGCGTGTCTTGGGTGTCGATGGTTTGTCTGACGCCGACAGAGGTAATTTAGCTCTCCTTGTCTTGTCATGATTTCAAAACTGACGGTCCTTCTCTAGCCAAAGCTCTATACAGACGCGCACTTTCGTACATCGCCCTAAAAGATGATGATGCCGCAGAGGCAGATCTCCTTGCTGCAGGTGATGATGGCGCTGTCATTCAGGAGCTTACCCGTCTTCGAGCGCGGAAGAAAGAGAAGAGGGATAAAGAGAAGAAGGCTATGCGAAAAATGTTTGCGTAGGGACGGAGGTTTGAAAACATAAATGTAGATTTATCACAACGCCACAGAAAAATTTAAACTGTAGAATTTTTATGGTGGCTGCAAGGATTTTGTCTCGATGGTACCTCCGCTTATACAGCTTCGGTATATGTGCGGGGTTGTGTGGGATATACATACTTTCGTTGCACTTGCTTGGTGAATTCGGGCCGGCTGCGTCGGGATCCGCGTGACAATCACTCTGTCACCCATTTGTTTTTCAAATCCCGACTTTGCTCCCGACAGTCATGAACGTGCACCCATCTGTAAGGCAACACGAGTATTCCTGCACGTTCGACAGTTAAATTTCGTACTTTAGACCCCAGCCCTTACTTCTCTACTTTCCAAGTACCCAAAGACTTCTGGCAGCCTGTTCTTGGTCTATAATGATGTAGTCCATGGTGAGATATTCTTGCTCGCCGATCACCTTTTTCTTCGGCCTGATACCATTGCAGGCCAATCATGGAAAGACGTTGAATCGGTGGATCTCGGAGAGCAGTGCCCTAGAGGCGCAATCAAGGGTCGCAGACCAAATACTGAATCAAATGAGCCCGTCTACATCGTTCCCTGTTCTTTGGCCGAAACCGTGTCCTATGCATGGTCCGTTATATATTATATATCATATATCCGTATGTTCCGGATCTTACCATTCCCAGGCTGCAATCCGCTTTCAAATCACTTTCAGATCCATCTGAAATCTATCTGGGAATAACTGCAGATGACTCTTCAATAGTGTACTACAAGATTAGTTCCGGTATCGTCAAGCCACCAGTCTAGTACATCCGGAGTAGAGAGGGAATACCTCCTTTGGACCTTCAGATACGACACCCTAGGACACAGTCTCGGAAAACGACAGGAGATTGAACGTGTAGAATCCGCGGAAATGTACGTCCAATCCGTACTTTTGGATCATGGGTGCATATAAGCAGTGCTAAAGTATCAATAGATAAGCCGTATTATCATGTAGCACTTGGTCAGCAACAATGTTATCATTGGACCGTATTTCTACTCGTTCCGCAACAGCACCAGCTCCGCTGAGCACAAGACTTCTTTGCTTGACAAGAATCTTCGGCCTCGGCGCCACTGAAAGCTGCCCCGTGTTGTGGCCTCCTAATACCTTTGAGTGCTATGTTCAGGTATTTGGTGGCTGAAGCAGAACAAATTTCTTTGGCTTTGCTATTCCTTCAAAACACAGCACGGAATGCACCCAGGGTCGAAAATAACACACAAACAACCCATGACCAAGCAACGTTCGTGGTTCGCAGCAATAGTTTAGCGATGGTCATCGTAACAATCAAGACGAGCATACGACTTTCTCCTTCGTGCTGGACCGTGTGAGTCGTAGTTGAATTATCTTTTCGTTCTGACTGTGGAGTCAGTTCACGCCCGCTGACCATGGATCCACAAGCGTCGGCAGATCGGAGAAGATCCTTACCATCCTAAAGATCTTTTATACCGATGTAACGAACTACCGTTAATAGGTTGAGGCCATGCTGCCAAGGAATTGTGCAGGAATTCGGTGTCCCACTTTCCTGTAGGGGATCATATCTCAGGCAAACGTTCATCAGCTCGCCATTTACTTGCAGCAACGCATGTGCAGACAATGGGATGACATCATGAGGTCTTTTTGCTGTCAGACTCCCGCCTCCCGAAATGTTCCCTCGACGCCACACACCGCCTTTGCCTTCCCACGTCTGCAATCATTGGGCTGCATTTCTGAGGCGCTCGTTCCTATTCTGATGAGCTTCTCCCTTGATTTCATCAAAGCCCCATTGTTAAAACGTGTTGGTGCATATGCGTACTCTATTCCTCGTCATTGCAGGGAATTTTGTGGTGATACACACCGCCTCAGTGGCCGGTCCGATAATCCGTTATCTCCGTTTGCCTCAATGAGCTGATGGATAAAAACGCGCGCCTCATTTCTCTCTAGTGCTTATGCTCCTTTCCCGTCTGCCCACCCCACTAACTTTTCATCGATCGTAGTCGACGCTATGAAAGCGGTTGCCGCAAGGCACGCGACCTCCAGAGTACGAGCTCCTTACGCTGCGCAAGCGTGTGACGTTTGTCGTCGAAAGTGAGCCATATACTTGTCGCATTCTTTCGTGTCTAACGGTTCCCAGGAAGACCAGATGTAACGGGATCAGGCCTGTCTGTGGGTCGTGTGAGGCATCGAAGCGCCATAATGAGGTGAGTCATCATGATAAGAGCTATGCACATTCGTCCCTGATGGTCATATAGTGCTCTTGGACCGGCGAGAGTGTCCGCCATCCACGAACAGAGGCTCATTTTGAGGCTTTGCGCAAGCGTATCGACGCACTTGAGGCTTACTGCGAGACCCTCGAGTCCATGATTGATAAATGCAACAAGGATCACGGTGGACTATCGTCTGGCGATCGCCCTACATACCTTGAACTTCGACCTTCGCCTGAGTATCAAGAAGTGGAGATAGACGAATCAAGCAATTCTTCTCAGGAGTTGGTAGCTGCAACAGAGAATCTCAAGGTGCTGCCTTTCCTATCACTTTCGGCGCTCATTACTCAGCTCTTGAATAGCTCGAGGATCGTGACCTAGTCATATACGGAAACGTCGCACCCTTCCGCTTTGCGCCGGTTCCTTCCCAGCGCACCTCCCGGTTTCCAGAGATCATTGCAGATCCCAACGCGCACTACGTTCTCTGGCTCGACGGAGTGTCCTCTTCTCACATCAATTCATCATTCGACTGGTCTCGTCACCTTCCTGCGAATCTCCCCCTTACTCGGCACGAGCATGATAAGATCCTCGACCTCCTGTTCAGCTTCTTTACATCTTGGTGCCTCCGTGTCGTCCCGACTCTGTTTCTCCGCGACATGTACCGGGCTATTGCATCATCCGGAACAGTCAAGACACCCCACTACTCTCCAATGCTGCATAATGCGCTGATCGCTCTCGCTGCTGCATTCTCTGACGATCCGCGCATCAACAGTTTCAAGACTCGGGAGCAATACGCGATGAAGGCGAAATCGTACCTGGAAGATGAGTGTGAGAGACCGAACATTTGCGTCGTACAGGCTCTCAGCTTGCTTGGGAGTTTTCACTCGTCGAATGGTGACCAGAATCTGGGATACCTGTATTTCGGTATGTTTGGTTCTCATGGGAACGGCAACCGGTACTTACCGGCTCCGCAGGTATGAGTACCAGGGTCGGCCAGATTCTGGGCTTAGAAGTTGACTGCTCTAAGCTTGTGACGGCGGGTAAAATCAGCCATGATGATATGCTTGACAGGAATTGGGCTCACTGGACGGCCTTCAGTTTGGTACGTTGGGTCTCATTGTTCTTCCCCTACATTGAGCTCATTCCTCCATATAGGATGTATGCTGGTCCCTATACGTCGGAAGAGACTGCTCCGTTCCCATCCCAGCGCATATGGAAGATATACCTGTTCCTTTCGTCGATTCGGCCTTTGATCAGATGACATGGCATCACCCTGGTGCCAACATCCCGCCTCAGCCAAGCTTTCTGTCGAAGACTTTCGCAGCGACGTGCGAGCTCTGTGTGGTAGCTCGGCGTATCATGGAAGTTGTGTGGGTTCATCCATTTCGGATTGTTCATTGTACTGACCCACGTCGCCAGGAACCACCTAGGCACCCGTCAAGATGTTGCCAATCTCGAGTTGATCAGTAAGATGGAGTAAGTCCTACTACCGTCATATCATGTTCTATTTATCAACTAATCTTCGTTGTATAGTCTTCAATTGAACAGCTGGAAGTCGCAACTATGTCCCGAAGTCGATATCACGCCGAGCAATCGCAACCTTTCCACTCCGCATCGCCTCATGATGCACCTTCTCTATTGGTTGATGTTTATCCTCCTCCACAGGCCGTTCTTTAATCGCAAGGGCCGGCCAGTCTATAGCTCCGAACGCGAAATTGATCACAAGAAGCTGTGTAAGCGCGCTGCTGAGAACATCCTCGCGATCCTGCAGACCTGGCGATCGCTCTATACCCTTCGTTACGTCCCAGTGACGCTTTTTCAGGCTGTCTTCTCTGCTGGTACGGTGTTTCTTCTGCTGGGAGGGAACTCGTTGGTCAAGGTGGAGCTTTGCATTCAATACCTAAACGAGATTGGCAAATCATGGAAGTGCGCTACCAACATTGGCACCATCTTACAACAGTTGTTGGAGGATCAGGAGGGTGGGAAGGGTAAAGGAAAGGCAGCCGCAGAGGCTGTTGATGAGGAGGCTCCGCGTTCCTCCTTGTTGCTGAAGCAGTATACTCCTCCTTTGGGACCGCCTCCGAACTATCTTCCCCCTTTGACGCCGCCTTTGAACGCCTTCCCCAACATGGACTTCCTGTTACCGGTTCCTCTCACGGGAGGAGAGTTTGATTCGAATTTTTGGCAACAGCAGCTGAATGATCCCGCTGTGATGAGCGAGATAGCAATGTTTCTGGACGAGAACCACTCTGGAGTGGTACTATGACCGGTGGGTTAGTAGTATGTGTTATTGCCTTCATTTATTTTATACTGTATACATGTTGTAATTCCGCTGTACGCGATAGTCCTGGTATTGTATCTGTTATCTATTCCTCGTATCTTGTCATCATGTACTATATAATACATCACTTGTCTTCATTGAGACCGAAGCCGGATATTTCACAGGCATGGAAGCTCCACGTAGACCTAGGGGTCAGCAGACACGGACCGAGTTGTGAATCACGATGGGAGTCTATTCAAAGACACTGTCGTCGAGAGAAACTCGGAAACTGGACTTGGAACAGCCGGGATGGTGATACATTAGGCCGGCTGTTCATGATGGAGGTTGCGTTCCTTGGCTACGTGATGCAATAATAGAAGCAGGATTAATTGATTACATAATCTGCCTTATACATAGGGTGGGATAGTGCTTCCACGCTTTCTTTGCGTCCTTCGTCCATCTACCCTGCGATGCATCTGTCCTGTGCTCCAGTGGACTTTACGACCGCGTCCTCGACATGCGCCCTCAGCTTTCTGTCACTGGCCGTCGTGCTCGTCATCCTTGCTTGTGTCTGGGCCTGTCGCCACCAACAGCAAGGCGATAAGAAGGGTGTGTGGAAGTGGGGCGTCTTGACCTTGGAGACGCTACAGTCAACGCCGACGAAGGAGAAGGAGTCCATGTCTGTGTCGCAGTTGGAAGGCCAACACCGGCGTGCGTCTTTTACGTTTATTTTTAATTGATTTAATTTTGAAAGACAATCAAACGACAGGTGTGGTTTACTACGAGTCGCAAGCGCCGGTGTCGATGGCGAAGATAATAATGTCGCGGCATGTATGTCTTATGGTCTGCAAGGCATGAAAGATTACTGAGGCTAGCCTTGTTAGACCTTTCGTCGACCAACGCCTCGCTCGATACCACCGCCACCACGGCCTTCGCAACAGCCACCAATATCAACACCACGGCCACAGAGCGGGCCGGGACGACGCACCCGTTCACTATCACCGCCTCGTCTACGCCAGCAACTGCCAGTAACGCCTTCGATGGTGTGATTCTTTTGCGCCGACGAAGAAAGACGAGATAAGGGAATATTACGTTATGTTATTACACGGTATTATGATCTAGACCGCGCCGGGAGGGAGCAAGGCGCTGATTATTTGCTCGCTTGACGTCGCCTCGGGCTGACCAGATGGGCCCTGTCCGACGAGAGGAGGGAAGAGGAAGAGGAGAAGGGGGCCATATTGCTTTCGGTGTTCTGCATTTCATTTGGACTATGGTCACGAGTTCTTGGATTTCGCATTTTTTCTTATATCTATCAGTTTTCGGATGTTCGTTACCGTTGGTTTTTCTTTTTTTTTTCGTTATGTATAATCTATGGACTTTTTTGTTCTGGGGGAGTAATGGACGGAGCGGGTGTTGCGACATATCAATGAAAGGGGGCAGCTCCTAATGAATGACCATATTTATCATACCTCCACCTGGACCGGATTCGATGGTCGGAAAAATGTAGCTTCGACACTCACGACAGCTGTAGAGGCGATGACGTTTCAGTTTTCAGGGCACTGTGAGCGCTCGGTCGGCTCCGAGAAATGAAACAAGGAATGAATTCCTTCCAATGCCCTCATGGGTCTGCTCATTTTTGCGAAGATATGGCTGGCACCACAGCCGAATTAAATGGGCCACCGTTTCAATGTTCCGAAATTTTTCAGATTTCGAAACTGGTGACCTTGCAAGAAGCAGTCTGGAGACTTTGCGTAGACTGACAAATTCAAGCTCAGGGTCCGGACGTCCAAGGCCCAAGTAGCAAACAGCACGGGACAACGCAGAAACCTCGCCAGCTAAGCAACGCATGGTCTCAATAGCTCCAAGTTTTGCTCCGAGCAAGCATATGCACTAGCACGTCGCCTATCATCGCCGTCCTTGGCTTCAGCGCGGCGGGCGGGCAGGTTTACTTCCCGACGAAAAAGTAACGGAAATGGAAACGGAGCTCGACAATGTTAATGAGCCATGAAATGACCGGCCTTTCGCCGTAGAAAAGTAAAGCGTCAGATAAAATGTTTGTTTAGACGAGCTTGAGTTGTGATTTACGTAGCCGTTACAGAGAATGATAATGAGGCGAAAGACTTGGATGTGCCAGGTACCAAGTAGTGATGTATAGTGGACCAAGTGGGTAAAGTTGTAGAGCTGAGACAAGAGGTTTGAAAGGTAGAGGGAAAACAAGACAAGAAATCCTTGATCTCCTGGGTTTGCAGAGAGAGGGGGGAAACTTGGGATGAAGGGATGCTTAAAGCTCATGAAAGAGGACGGGCCTGAGAATTACATAGACCTGTAACCAATGGTCTTGAATGGGAGGCAAGCTCATGATCAATGTAAATCTGAGCTCAAATTGTAAAGGATCCTATTGATGTTGCTGACGAGCCAGAAATCAACGCGAATAAGGAAGAAGACTCTGACGATTCGGATTTTCACAAGGCGACTCGTCATTGTAATTTTCCGGCCAGAAAATTTGGTTGCGAACTCTTCGAAAAATACTTCTTGAATCGCAGACGAAGTTGCTGGGTGCTGGGGCATATCTATAAGACAACGGTCAAATGCTGGTTTGTCAGGGTAAACCATCGATTTGAGTCGAATGGCCAGATTCCAAGAGGCAACAGGGGCCGCAGCAAGTGGCTGATTGTGTTCTCAAGCAGTGTCTGCGATCCAGTGCTCCAAACGTGGCAATGGGGGTTTATCAAAAATGAAACTGTCATAGGAAAACGAGCACTTCAACATAGTTCTGCACGGAATTTCTGTTGGTGATGCTTCAGGCTGAATGTAGGGGACCAGACGATGTACTAAGGAAGCAACACGAGATGGATTTTTATCCAAGCGTTATCAAGTGGAAACGCAATGACGACCATGCTCAACTGACCAGATTTACGTCGAGAAACATTAATTCGCTATAAAAAAAGCCGAACGGCTTGATTCCATCTGCCTCGGAAACAGCCGTAAATCGGTAGTCTCAGTAGTGCTTACGGAAACAACTGACATCAACATTTAACCTTGATCGCATGTAATTCTTTTTCTCTCTCGCTCATCTCGCTACCTTCGTGGTCACTCCTACCGAATTTCTTGACCTGGGATACTTTTCTGACTGTCGAAACTCGCTGAAGAAATCTTGACCTGGTTTACCGTTTTTGAACACGTGCTGCTCAGGCTAAGTACTACGACCCGGACTGAAAAATGGTCTCTCAGTTAATTTACCTGAAGCGCTGCTTTGCTCTTGCTTTTCTCTATGTCTTCGTATGCTATTCTGTAGTCTGTAGAAGATCTTGATTGCATAATACTTATCTTGCCGGTGGCGATGTTGGAGTATTCCCAGCTGATGCCTTCTGCAAGTTGTACTGTCAGGATCCATTTAGACCGCTTCCCCACCAGGAACTGCGGGGCCCTCAGTGGTTACGTTCTCGAGATCTGTGACTTTACGTGTGTAAATTACTGCTCTGAGAATGTATGAGATGCATAGCTGGTTTCGAGGCGCCCGCTCCACTCTTTGAAGCTAGAAACCGCCTTATCTTTACATTCTTCGCATCGTCAGCACCGTTATTACCGTCTAGAAGGTTTGCTACACATTGTAGGCGCTTTTTTCCCACTCATAATGAATCTTTCATTGACTTCGCAAACTATGGTTAGATCATTGAAGCCATCCTCGGGGCTGAGAAGCTCTGGGGATGGACAAGGCGAGAGGTGAGCATAGCTGGTTTCGAGGTGCCCGTTCCACTCACTGAAGCTAGAAACAGCCCTATCTTTACATTCTTCGCATCGTCAGCACCGTTATTATCGTCTAGAAGGTTTGCTACACATTGTAGGCGCTTTTTTCCCACTCACAATGAAACTTCGCAAACTATGGTTAGATGATTGGGGGCATGCTTGGGACAGAGAAGCTCCGAGATGGACAAGGCAAGACGTAAGCCTGGATTGGTAGCTTGGTTCTTATTCTCGCTTGTTGTACGGTTAACGCTCTGGCTGAGGATATAAAGGCTGCTCAGACGTCCCAGATATGGCCAACCGTCATCTTCTGTTCACCTATCTGCCCTGAAGACAGTCAGTCATCTCTTAGAGTCACGGTGGAAAAGCCTACTAAGACTTGATCCCCACAGACAGAATCCAAATGTATATCCCACCCCAAGGCATCTACTTCAGACTACTTGGCCGTGTCAGTCAGTGCGTTCTGTTTGCGCGGAACGGGCCAGAGCCTTTAGTCTGGCAGTACAAAGGGCCGGAATACGAGGACCAGCTTTTCACGCTTATCCACGGCACGGGCTCGCATGCAGGGCTCTACGCTATCAAGAGCAAGTGTACCGGAAAGGTGCTCTTTTCACGCGGCTCCCCGCCGCCTAGAGTCGGACAAATCGAAGGAGACGGGGCTCACCCGGACAAGTACGTATTGCCATGCGTTCCCAACAACTGTACCTAACGCTGACCACGGCCTCACAGCTGGTTCGACCTCGAAGAGGGAAGCGGCAAGTACGCGGGGGGTTTCCGCATCCTGTGCTCTAGCACAGGCCTCGTTCTCTACTCGCGCACGAACGCAGAGCCTCTGTTCGGGAACCACCCCAAGGCAGACGTCGCTGCCGACCAGTACTTCAGTTTCATTTTTGAGGACATGATTGTCAAGAGTGTCGACTATAAACTGGAGCTCGGCAAGATCCTCAACGTGACTCCACACGTGCTGGCGAACCAGACGCTCAGAAACAACTCCGACCGCGAGCAGGAGATGGCGTTCGACTTTTCGGAGAATGTCACTCAGACTTCGCTGTTCGAGTACACCACTGGCTTCACGGTTTCGGTGGGGACTGAGTTCTCAGGTGGGTTCATGCTTTTCCTTTACGTCCGTTTGTCAGGACCAAATGGCTCCTCCATCGATGCCTATCTATCATGTTCCCATTCGTGTTGCACCATTATGAATGAATGTCCCCGTTCTAATGCACCTCTTTCCACAGTCGGAATCCCTTTGGTCGCCGAGGGAAAGATCAGTGTCTCGACGACCCTCAACAATGAATGGAGATTCGGCATCCAAAACACGTTCTCGAAGACCTACACTGCACATTTCCCTGTCAAGGCGGGGCCTCAACAGACTGTTCACGCAGTGTCGACTGTTCAGCAGGGCACGCTCGATGTGCCGTACACCATGCACCTCGCCTCGAAGAGTGCGGGAGTTAAAGTGGAGATGGAGGGTGTATGGCGCGGCGTTTCTACGTGGGAATTGCATCATGATATTAGCGTAGTTTGAACCTTAGTGTGGCTCTGGCGAAGACAGAGCGTACTGCAGCCTGAGGATGTTGATGTTGATGTGTTGCTGGATGCTTGGATATGATACATGTTGAAACAACTGGCGTGAGAAGGAAAGCAAGCCAACGACTACAGAAAAAGAGTCAAGACGTGGAATCTTCAATTTCTCACTTGGCAAATTTTCTGACATAAAGAGTATTAGACTTCAGGTTCCAATAGGCATGAAACAGTCATAGCAAGCCCAACAGTGTGTCTTTTTTATGGGATTGAGAAACGCAAAGATGTAGATGTCTTTTTTTTTTTGCTAATACGAGTCATCTAGGAAAATGTCTGAGGCCGACGGTTTATGTAAGGGAGAATTTCCACCCGACAGCTTCGTCAGGCTGAAATCGATGAAGTCAGAAGTGGGGAAGCCTCAAGAACATAAACTTATCTTTGAGGCATCGGTGCGTTATCATTACTATGCCTGGAGAAATCTCGAGTCAAGTTAAAATCGCTGTTCGCTGAAGTGTGACAGAGTAGAAGTTTTCTGTATGTGGTGAGGGTAAGTCACGCAGCACAGAGAATATAGACCGTCTTGAGGAGGCAAGCTCACGATCAAGACAACCGATTACAGGTCTACCGAAAACATGTCAAACTTGTGTAGCATAGGCATTGGGGGCTATTGGGGGAGATTGGGGGGGGGTAAGAAAGGTGCCGAGACGGCGGGCTGCGGAGCTTTAATGTATGAGTGCCGACACCTTGCCGCTCGCAGCGCTGCTTCTTCTCCACCACCACCATCCTCCTTTATAGAAGCCAACAACGAAAGCAGTCTCCAAGATGGCTACTGTGACATTGAAAAGAAAACGTTCATTGGAATCTGATGATGCTCTTGCACAGAACTGTCCTAGCAAACGCGACAGACTTTCCTGTGAATCTCAGTCGCGGTGGCACTCTCCTCCACCTCCACCGTGTGTGACTACTTTACCCGACCTTCCAAACGAGCTTCTACTTAAAATCCTTGCCGAGTTGCCCGACACCGTCGAAATTATCTTTGCTCTGGCTACTACGTGCCGCCGACTTAATGAATTTGCCATGACTTATCATTTTAAGCGAGTCTCCTATGAACTTTTCGATGGCACTCGTCGGCCCTTCGCCTCTTTCCAGATGCTTCGCGTGTCGTTCATTTATACACCATCTCTGTCGGTCATCCGCTGCAAGTTCTCCAATAACTTTTACAAGGAGATGAGGGAGGTCAAGCGATCTCTCGCCCCTCTCAAACGTATGGGCTTGTTTCCGGGCAAGTTCTCCGTTTCCTGTGAGAACATGCATTGGCCAAAGTTGCCCACAAAGCAGCACGTTGCTTTCTTCCACGATCTCAGCAAACTCAAGTGCAAGACGATGAACACGCACTCTTCGCCGATCTCTGCATTTGTGAGGCCGGGCGGGAACATAACGTTCGACCCTCCCGTTCTCACCAAACTCTTAAATGTTACCTTATCTAAGCGTCCGGAACAATACATTGTTTGGATGCTGAACTCTATCAAAGAGTCGCCCGTCAAGACGTTGAATCTAAACTCCCTTTCCGACGACGTCCTTCTGAAAATCAACGAGTTTTCTCTTAGCAAACTTCGAAATGTGACGGTCTTGAACTGCACATTCAGTTTCGCAGCCTTTTCGGTGTTCCTCGAACGCCACCCACACATTGCAACTCTTCACCTGCGAACATGGAACCCGATATCAAAAATTGGGGGGAAGAGGGAACCTAGGGGATCAGACCACCCAAAGATGTCGTTGGAACCTGCGACTCGCATGTCATTGACATGCATCAGTGGTACAGCAACGACCCTTCACGCACTACTTTCCAATCCGGAGGTATTCCCCGTTCTTCAATCAGTTACCGTCACTGGTGAAGATGCCTCAGGAACCCAAGAAGCGCTAGTTTTGATATCGCATATACCTTCAGTCGGCCGTCTTAGTGTTACTCTCAAACGCTTGAATGCTGCCGAATGGCTGCGATTCAAATTTCCTCGCTGGAGAGGATGGGACGCGAAGAGGGCAGAACCCTTGCTCACAAAGATCACCGACTTTTCGATTACCTTCATTACTGTAGATGTCATCGAAGCCGTCGAAGTTCCCGCTGCTGTGGGTTTATTCCCAAACTTGAAACGGTTTCGCACATTGTCGTCGAACTATTCGGAGGAAGCCATACTTGGTTTTGTTAGAAGGATGAAATGTGTCTGTCCGGGTTTGGATACTGTGACTCTGAATTCGTCTGATTTCTCTACGGATCTAAAGTGGTTGCGGCAGAAGGAGATGAAACTGAAGGAAAAGAAAGGAAAGTGAAGCACATGGCGCTTGATGATATCAATCCTTGAGTGTTACTTTATGTTCTACGTACCTGTTCTCTTACAATGACTGGTTACAGAGTACACGACTCAGAGCTTGGATCAAATAAAAATTTTCTTTAGCTGGGGTTTGATTAGAGATAGTCGTAACGTCATGCCTGTCAGACCCTGCCATGAGCGTGAGTTGATGACGATAGGCGAACTCTTTCGGGCAGGGCAGGGCAACTCCGAGTCTTTCTTACGGCCATCGTCACGTCAACTTTTCTTGCTACTTCTCTTTCTTGCTTCCTCCAACATCTCTGGTTTCTCTTTCTCTATCTCCCACGTCAGCGTTGTCTACCATTCTTCGCCGATATATTCGCACTCGTACGATCCACCACCCTTCGGTAATTCACAGAACAGGCGAACTCTCATTCTCATGGCTATCGTCACGTCAGTTTCTTCCAGAACCCCTTCCGCTCCTTCCACTAAGTACTTCTTGGATCAGCTCTGCTATTTTGACCACCCATTTTGACCACAATCTCGACAGCTCACTGACCAGTTGATGATCTCTGAGCAGTAAATTCTACCAGTCAATTTCAGTCTCATATCCTCTCAACATGGCATCACTTCACTGCTATTTCGTTGTAAGCTATCGTACTACAGGCCAAAGAGAGATAGAACTCGGTTCTGCTAGGCCATCCTTAACCACTGTTGACGGAGACTTGATGATTGACCATTGCACCAGCAGGCTCGTAGGCTACGTGTAAATCTTGACGGCGCCTCGAGGAAGCTGTAAAAGTGTCTTGATGTGACAAAAAATCGATTTGATGTCGCAGAGAATCACTAGGCTCTGATTCGTCGGGAGAAGCATGGCCCTGCTGATGATACTCACTGGTTCGAGGTTGCTGTTAACGACAACGTTACCGGAATCCCCTTTGAAGGCGAAAGCAGATCGATTAAAGGATTCCACCATGTATTGGTGTTCCACCCAGCACCGTGATATTTCTGTGTCTGTTGTCGGCTTTACGGATGAAGGATCTGTGTTGTGGTATCCAAGTTCGTATGCTGTCGTACCGATATATCGTCCCTCCAACTGGTCTGTATTGTTCCGAAACGTGAACAAAGTTTCGTTGGCCTTTGAGATAGCGATTGTCGGCTGTAGGTGTTGTCATTGGTGCCCCACAGTGTTGGTAGCAAGGTCGGTTGTCAGTTCAACCAGACTCCAGTCCATATTCATGGCATATCGAGGTGATGTATGCTGTGAGGCACTAGAGGGCGTAGAACACGTCGGCGTAGGGCGTACTTGTTCTGAGGATGCGTGTTTTGAAGAAAGTCGGCAAGACGCCCGAGCGTACGTACCTGGATTATCAACCACGGTGGTGTTCTCTGCGACAACCACCTCTCCTATACAGTACTCTGTATCCCCACATGGATTTGAAAGAATCGCCTCATGAACGGCAAGAGCATCTTGTAAAGGGAAAATAGTTCTCTCCCTTTGCGTTGCTTCCCGGACCAGGACACGCTGACGCTTCGATTCGTCACCTCTGGCTGCACGTAACCCATTCAAGATGCCACGGTCGATTTGGAGTCCTTGATCTCGAAGTATACGCTTTGTTGTGTCCCGGTGCTTGGCTACAATGTGATGATTATAAAGGTGCCGGGAACGCCTCTGGGTCGAGATGGGAACAGCTCGCTCTGAAGGTATATTGTATCCACAAGTCAGTGCATAAAGGGGGGTTTGTAGGGGGTTTCCGTTTGCCTGTTCGTGGTCCGCGCTGTTGGGAGGAATTGACAAAACTAGCCCTATGCTGGAACGATGGACACGGCTCTGTTCGGCAGCAGTCTGCGACAATGGTAAATCATATATCGCTCGTCCCGGTACGACGTCTGCCCCAACCCAGGGCATCGGAGAAAGGGCATCGTCCGCACTGGAATACGATGATCTAGCCCCTGGCGCGAGTTCAGATGTCATCGCCCTCTGGACAACATATACATGGTGACCAATGCCATGCGGCAAATCAGGGGGGCCAGCGTGGAGAAGAGGTTGAAGGGAGTCGACCAAGATGACGACGACTCCTGGGTTATTGATGGCGGAGATTTTATGTTGTACCGTTAGACCGACGATGAATACAGACCGTTCGAGTGTCTGTGCACCTAAGAGAAAGGGGCTGAGATGTTCGACAATTCTCCTGCTGCCTTCGTCCAATAACTCGGCGCAGGCTTCGTCAACTGCCGGTCCGTAGATGAACGTAATTTCTTTTTTTGAGGCCTGGATATTCCAACTACCATGTGGAAAACTATGGTCAACTTTTGGCTAAATGTTGCACCTTGCACGTACCCAAGCTTGATGGCGAGTGCCTGTTGAGATTCCTCCTGGTTCAATTCTTCCTCGGCTGCTACCGCTGGCGCAATGCTGGCACTACCATCGCTTAGGCATCGTCCGGGGAGTGGGAGCTCTAGTGTCATGGAGTTGATGTTGGTGGTAGGAAAGACGGCGGTGAGTCAAATATGATCCTCGATCATCTAGAAGTTCAAGTTGATCCACAATTTATTGACTATCCAGTAAGACTTCACCGCTTGAAAACATCGAAGTTAAGAGCATGGTTGGGAACAATCAGCGAGTCCGCAAGACACCAGAGTTGTTCTAATGGCAGGAAAATAGAACCTCGTGCCCTGCTAGAGAGGGAGAAGACTGTCGAACTGAACCGAGACGTAATCGAAGGTAGAAACGGAGTGTGGATCATGAGCAAGAGACGCATATGGCCGAACCTGCAGGCAGGCGATGGAAGGTACAGGGAACTAAAAGGAGGATGACCTCTCGAAGATGCACAATCCAATGAAAACTGTAATCCGGCACAAGCTTGAGACATTCGCATCTTAGATCCCCCACTGAAAAAAGGGAATACCGCTTAGAAGAACACTGTATGAACAATGAGACAAAGTCCACACGAACAGAAGCTGGAGTTCGCTGTAGACAGTGAGTTGAATACAAATACACATTTCAGAATTCTAATCCTTCTTCAGTTGACGGTCAATTTCATACTCGACGAAGTCCAACATATCCTTTGTCCCCTTGGTTGGTTTCCATCCTAGGGCTTTGCCTCTGCTTTTCTTAAAGTCCACTCGTGAGTTGGTGCCCAAAGAATATTGTAAAGGTTCCGCTTCAGTCTTGCTGAAAGGTGTGGGCTCAGGGGATCCGATGCCTCGGCGAGCGAGACCCGCAGACACGGCCTTGGAGAGATCGTACAGCTGATGCTCGTCACTGACAGTAAAGTAAATGCCAGACCGACCATGCTGGAAGTCAGGAGGCGGAGAAGAGGGCGAGAGGGCAAAATCGAAGATAATCAAGTACAGATCGGCCACTGTAGTCATGACGGTTAACAGGCGTAAGAAGGAAAGGAAACGACATGACATACTTTCGTTCACATCAACATTGGGCCAAATGTTCTTGCCTTCACCGAGCACACCCCCTTGCTTCCTAGCAATGCTAGCTTCAACGAGTTGGCGGATTTGGGCAACGAGCGAGCGTTGAAGACCATGCTTGTGTAAGACACCATTGGGTACTCCGTAGATGGTTGGTGGCAGAACGATGTATGACTTTACATAACCTGTATAATGATCAGAAGGATAAAGGATGTTAACCGACAGGCCGACAAACCTTCCTTGTCCGCAGCGAGAACAGCGAGGTCGACATTCCGGTGAGGCTGGGTTGGGGGAAGAGCTTCATAGAGAGAGACATCAATGTCTGAATAGACGACATCGGTGCCGTGCAGCCCTTGCGCGTTGTCGGCGAGTTCACCAGTTCCAGACTATCCGCGATATCAGTATCGTGAAGGTGCACAACAAGTTGGGCTCACGGTATGGATGAGGATGGGGGCTTTCCCTGTCTTTTCGTAGCGATCTTTTGCACCTTGTAGAATTGCCTGGGCAGCAGGAAGGTCGTCGCAGTCTGCCTGTGAGCCTGTAAGGTTCTTCGAACATCTCTAGAGCAGTTGGACTACGTACAGTGGCGAAGATAACGTCTGCCGCCGCTGCTTGTGCCCTCAACAGCCCGAAATCGGAGTCGCTTCCCGAGACAGTTTTCAATCCCAAGGCCTCGTATCCAGCGGGAGATCTGGTAGGACGAAGAAGAATTGTGATGTCGAAATTCTTTGAGTCTTTGTGTTCGATAAGACGCGACAGAACGGTGCCCCCAATGTAACCTGGACTGCGTCAGTCTCCTCATGCTAAGAAATTGAATGACAACGCACCTGTTCCTCCAGTAAAGAATATGCTGACTTTCGACATATCGAATGCGAAGAATGAAATTACTGAACACCCGGATTTTCACATCTTTATATTACTGGCGTCATCTGAGCTTCGATGCCATTCGATGCTCAGTCATCAAGTTGCTCAGTCAGCGTCGTCGATGATGCCATTAACATAATGGGTCATGATGTTGCAATAGGCGTTGCCGTCGTCGAGAACCATGATGTGGTAGAGAAGAAAGCCAATCGCAGCCTGATCAGCTACGTCCATCATCCTCGCAGCAATTATTCATCCTTGCAATTGCTAATATTGATCCTGTTGTGGTCGTCTGCAATTAAACACAGTGTATGTATATGCTGCTCTATGCATAGTCGTATTGCTTAAGGACAGCGTCCGTCGTCGCCAGCAAATCCTTCGCCAAGTCCTCTCTCTGTGCATGTTCGCTCGCCTCCTCTATCACTCCAAACGGAACGAGATACGTTCCAGCATATTTTCTGCGATCTTCAGCGATAGCCCTTGAGGCTGCTGCCCATGCGGGCGTGTACCCTCCATCGAATGGGCTGATGAAGAATAGCGAAAAGACCCAGTTTATAATCGTTCCAAACATCAGAGACTTGAAGAGCTTAACATTTCCCTCTGAAAGCCGTCAGATAGAGTAGCTAACGATGAGAAGGAAATGGCGTACCGGACATGACATTTCCTGGGTGGACCGTCATCGCAAGGATGGGAATGTTGGCACGGTCAAACGACCGCTGAAGCTCTTTTGTCCACAGAACATTTGCCAGCTTCGTATATGCTATCAACGCATTGGCTATTATATCAGGCTTGTAGGCAATCCACGACGCACCGTACAGATTCGTCTTGGGTTTCCATGTATCGGCAAAGTCAGAGTTGAAGGCCTCCAGACTGTCATATCGAGGATTTGGTACCCATCGGTGGGCGACGGAAGATACCTGGATTCAAGTTAGCTTATGCGAATTTCTTCAGTGATGCGTGCCGACGTTTACGATGCGCACGTCAGATCCAGGTTGACGTGCTGTGGATTCTAGCAGCGGTAGAAGGGTCTTTGTGAACAAGTACGGACTCATGTGGCTGAATGAAGAACCGTAAGAACCTCCAGTATTACAGACAGAGAAACCCACTTGATAACCATGCTATCTGACAGACCTGTTCACGACAAGTTGGACACGATAATTGCTTCAAGATCAAGCGACGCACCATCTGCAGTTTGAGCATACGGACCCAAAATTCTACGACTCTGATTAGTTCCACAGTTCACAGACGTCAGCGCTAGCATACTTTGCTGCATTATTGACTAGCGATAAGACAAGTTAAATAGAATTCCTTGACGTTGGATGTGGCAACACACCAAGAATATCAAGACGACTCTCCCTTTCCAAAAGCCACTTTGCAGACTCCTTCGCTTTTCTAGGATCACTCAAATCAAAGGGTAGCCATACGATCTTGCTGGTGTCAAGCCCTTCCGTCTTGAGGCGGGCAATAGCGCTATTGAACTTGTCTTCCGTCCTGGCTCCAAGGTATGTTCTAGCACCGCAATGGGCGATGTGGAAAAGGATGTATAAGCCGATTCCTGAGCTGAATCGTTGGTCAGCCAAGGAAAGCTGTTTTCAATGCGTACGCACTTTGCTCCAGTGACGACAGCTACTTTTCCGGTGAGGTCGAGGAGGGAGTTCTCATCTCCAATACGCGAAGATGAACCCATGATGTAGGAGACTTGGAGGTGGGATTGAAGGCTGATTATTACAATTAACAGGAAATAGTTATTTTCATCTTATCGGTCCGACGAATTCGCAACGTGTCTACACGTACCATGGATGCGTCACAGTACCTTTACCTGCCCCGAGTGTTTTCCTACATACGGAGACTTGATCGGAGGAATGTATCGTCGCAACTCCCACTTCGGGAAGAAAATCAAAAGTGTCCCTGAATACAAGGCGAACCGGACGCCATCGTAATCAGGGATCCGACAAGTACGACTCTAAGATTGTGGCACCGACAACGACTTTTTCAGCAGGCTGTGTCGAGTATAACCGTTCTCCTTCCTTGCTCGAAAAGCGAGAGATTTTCTTGGTCAAGGTGAGAACTGAAATTACCTCGATCCCCGCTGATAGGCCGCCTTTTTTTCTGTATGTAGCACGAATGTATGAACATACTGGAGTCCGGTACTCTTGCTGGCATGGTGTCTTTATCGTAATATATGACAAGAATGGCTGCGGCATTGAGGCTTGCGTTTGAACTCAAGAGTTTCGATGTTTTCTTGATTTCGTTCCATCTCTAGTATCGTCGAAGGCTAACAAATGAGGCGACAAGACTATTTTGCGTAGCGCACTGTTGCCAGGCTTGAAAAAGTCTGTTTCACGACGATGAACGCACAATGGTTGGGACAGTCCCCGAGCCTAACAGATTTGTTCCCGTTTCTATTGATCAGTGTCGATCAGATCTCATCGGGTCTGTCGAATTGAAGCCTGGTTCCGCGCTACCTACCTACCGCGGAACCAAAATCAAGAATGAGAATCAGCTGTACCCAGCTTCGTTTCTCCAAGCCCACTGCATCGTAAGACCGTAGTGTTGGCCGGACAGCTTATAACGCATGAATAATGCAATATGAACAAGGTCATGATGATTCTCGGAGGAGTAAATGAAGGAACGACGAATATGCTAACGTGGGAACTAAGATCTTAAGAGTCTCAGTAGTCCTTGCACTGTGTTTCCAACCATTCCCAGAGCTTCTTTCCAACCGCCGGGTCTGCCGTCTCTTTACGGGCTTTGCCTAGTCTGGCCCACGGAATCATGAACTGTACAAATGAACGGTCAACGCATTCTCGAACACCCAGGATAGGACAAGCCTTACTTCTCCGTTCAATTTTCCTGCCTCGGGCGAAGTCCCAGCCCATAGTTGAGTCAGGGCACCCATATGAGCTGGGAAGAGGAACATGTCTTGCATCTTGTTCGCAAAGGGGGAGAGATGGCGCTGTAGATCCGTCCGGATGCTGCCTGTTGAACGGTGAATTTAGATAGCTGGCAATCGGTGACGCTATAGCTTACCCGGATTGAGAGAGTGGGAAATTATGTTCTGCTCTCCGTACCGTCTAGCCAACTCAACGGCGAAGACGACATTAGCCTAAGCTCTGATGGTCAGCTTCTGTAGTTTTGCGTGATTAATGTGCAACTCACGTGCTTGCTCTGGACATATAGATCGCCAGAAGCCTTCTTGCTGCGTGCAGGACCGTCGACCCAGATGTTGAAGTCAAGCGTACCCATATAATTAGCCGATGACGACGTTGTGATCACTCGTGCTTTCTCGGAAGGCGTGGCGGCAGCAAGAAGCGCGGGTAAGAGGAGCTGAGTGAAATAGAAATGTCCTGCATCAAGTGTTGAGCTTGGGGGATTAATGAGCATGTCAAGGGACGTACCGATGACATTCGTGCCAAACTGGAGATCATACCCTTGTTTGGTGAGCATATCCATTGGTGCCAACATAACGCCACTAGAGAGGTGCTGGGTTAGCCTGCTGTGTGTGTGACAAAAGGGCGATGAACGCACGCATTGTTGAACAATATACGAAGCTTCTTTTCCTTTCTACGAGAAAGAGTAAATATGATTGCCCAACAGTAGAAGGATTGACATACGAAAGAAATTCTTCTGCCGCACGACGAACGCTGACCAGATCTGCGAGATCCAGGGATAGAAATATGGCTTCAGCCCCCGTCTCCTCCTTAAGTTTCACGATGGCTTCCTTGGCCTTTTCCTCACTTCGTGCAGCCAGATAGACCTTTGCACCATGCGACAGTAGCGCCTATCGGCGAATAGCTAAGGTGCTGTTCTACCAGAAAGGACGAAAGCCACGCACCTTTACCGTTTCCCTCCCACATCCGGTATTACCGCCTATTGGAAAGGATATGTTAGTTTGAAATGCTCTGTCTATAGCAGAAAGGGCAGAAAGGCTTCACCTGTGACAATAACTACTTTCCCCGTTAAATCCGGAATATCGTCCACGGACCACTTAGGTTTGGGGGGGAACATTTGAGAGATTAGAGACCATGCGTTGCCCATAGCTGAATTCCGAGTCTGAGTCGTCGATGGTGGTGATGGTCAGTATGCAAAGGCGCCAAGCCACATTCTCCCTTCTTGACCACATACGGCAACGTTCACACTGATGGTTTGGATCAAGGGGGACGGACGTGTGATATGTTCAGCCGGCGGCTAGTTCGGTGCGTCGTCGAACCGGCCCAGCTCAGATCGACAAAGCGTTAATCTTTCCTAGGCAGCGTCATCCCCGTCGAAACCGAAAACGTTGTCCGCCCTGGATGGAACAAGGGCTCTGCAAGTTTATCATTCAACTCTGGTCCAGGAAACAGGAATTGAGGATCTCCTGCTGGTGTGTCTGCTCCGGATAGCCTTAGTGGTTGCAGCTGTTTAGATCAGATCGAATCGCAAGGCTCCGAATTTCATACGAACCTGAGGTTGCTGTTAGACTCCAAACGGATATGTGGCACAAAGATGCTGGAAATTTTTAATGGGTCGGTTCAACTCACCAGAATTATTCTGGAGGATTCTGAGCGCCACAACATACTTGCTTTGTTAACATCCATAAACGGTCTCAAGGGTACCTACCGGTATTGAGGCTTGCTTTCACTACTAACATTGTGTCCGATGCCAAAAAACAACACGTCGACGGTCGGACGGGTTGGTTGGGCGTCAAGGCATATGGAGACTCCTTGCCCGAGAACGTTTGAACCTGCAACATCTGCTCAAAAGAGCCGACAAACTTGGCGAAATAATTCCTTGGATATAGCGTTATCGAAATTATGCACGTTTTCCGTTCAAACGGAACAGACGAACGGAAGCTGATGTTGGAGTAGTTGCCTTATTTGGGATTGTAGCTGACCGAAACTTTTCTTTTCCAAACCGCGACCATCTCCAAGGGGAACCGGAGCGCGCGCAGTTTCTTTCTTCATGTCGCGACGCTGCTCGTACCCCTGGATAATTAAATCTCGTTCGTATCTCGATCTCAAAGCATCTATGAATTGCGTGACAGTAATCCTGCAAGGCCGGAGGATGGCACAGATATACCATGCAAAAAAAGAGGAAGAGATCCCTGCTCTCGCTAGGTTCTCACTGGACCTATTACCATAATGTTGCCTTCTCTTGTGGTTCCTGTGTTCGCCGGACACGGTACCACCGCGATCAACTCGACATTACTTAGAGAACGCGCTGCTGCCGACGCTTTATTGCCGTCAGGCGCTCTGCTCCTTGACGCTTGCCACTACGCCTTTAACGTCGAGCTCTCCACACTTTCCCCCTCAGAAGCTTTGGCCGTGGGCATCAATCCTGAACACTTCAAGGACCCGAAATCTCTCATTTTACTCCCCAGTCATGAACCGTATCTCACCAATTCCGTCGTCACTGCAGCCACCCTGTTCCTGGTACAGACATTGCGGTACCTTGCTTCTGTGCAAGCTACTTCGTCGACATCGTTCATCTCATCATTGCAGACGAACAGTGAACACGGTCTTGGAATAGTAGGCTTTTCGTCTGGTATCCTACCAGCATGCGTTGTAGGCTCTTCGGAAACCGTTCTCGAATTCATCTCCAATGCTGTGGAGACGTTCCGTCTCGCCTTTTGGATCGGAGTTCGCCTGCAGATACACAAAGCGTCGGTCCAGACGCCCGAGCCTCTGCCATGGAGCCTAGCATTCTTGGGCATGAGCCCTGCTGCAGCCGAAAGCGCCATCCAGACTTTTCTCAAGTCGGTAAGCCATCACATCATTTCTTTCACGCACAACATGCTCATTGTCCTTAGTTTGAAGGTACACCAGAGCTCCGCGTTACATCAGTCATGAGCGAGACCTCAGTCACCATCTCAGGCCGTCCCGACATTCTCGCTACTTTTGCGGCCCAGCTCCCTCCTTCCGGTCCAGTGCACAAGACAACTGTAGATGCACTCTATCATTCTTCCTCGCACCATGACGGAGTGCGAAATCAGGTTCTCGCCGATGTAATAAGCCGCAACATTCGTTTCCCAACGCATACAGACATCAAGATTCCAGTTCGCTCGACATATTCTGGCGAACTCCTTAGCAAAAATATTAAGGGATCGCCGTCGTTTGTTGAGCAGGTTGTGGACATGATCCTCACACAACCCGTCAACTGGGATAAGGTCACTGACTCTCTTGTCCGTGCGGTGCCCGAAGGAAGCGGTGTCCATCTCCTCAATTTTGGACCTGGTGCTGGTTTAACGAAGGGTATAGAACGACTCTTCTCGTCGGATAACGTTTCCTCGACTGATCTATCGAGTGAACCTGTTCGTCCAGCTACACTTCAGACGCCATCGTCTGTACAGGAGCCTATCGCCATTTGCGGAATGTCCGTCAATATACCGGGAGCTCCGAGCGTTGCGAAACTTTGGGAAGTTCTGGAGAAAGGTATTAACACTGTATCTGAGGTAATTTCTTAAGTATCCTTTGGTCAATTCATTCCGACATACTAACCACCTTCTACGTAGGTTCCTGAACATCGGTTCAAGGTGTCGGACTACAATGATCCGAAGAAAAAAGGCCGTACCATGGGTGCTCACACAGGAAATTTCATAGACGAGCCAGACGCGTTCGACAACAAGTTCTTCAACATTTCACCGCGCGAAGCACGTAGCATGGACCCGCAACAGCGTATTCTCCTCCATACAGCTTACGAGGCTCTAGAGGACGCAGGATATGTACCCAACTCAACGCCGACAAATGACCCGGAGACGTTTGGTTGTTACGTCGGAGTTGCCACGAACGATTATGTCCAGAATTTGAGGAACGACATTGATGTTTATTATAGCACCGGTAAGCAATTACGTTGACTAAGATTGACAGCTTCTGAAATGACAATCAGGAACCTTACGAGCCTTTCTGAGCGGCCGTATTTCCTATGCGCTGCAGTTCAGTGGTCCTTCGATCGTCGTTGACACAGCATGTTCTTCATCTCTGGTTGCTGTATATCAAGCATGTCGTGCTCTTATGAACCGAGATTGTAATGCTGCTATTGCCGGTGGAGTCAATGTCATCAGCAGTCCGGATGTAAGTCTTTTTACATCAACTCACAAACCAACTTTCTCACTTTGTCTTACAGATGTTCCTCGGCTTGGATCGAGGCCATTTTTTAAGCCCAACTGGACAATGCAAAGCTTTCGACGCTTCTGCTGACGGCTATTCTCGCTCAGAGGGCTGCGGGATATTCGTCCTAAAGCGTCTCTCGGACGCGATCGCCGAAAATGATCAGATTCTCGGTGTCATCCGCGGAGTCGAAGTTAACCAATCTGGTAACGCGTACTCCATCACCCGTCCTCATGCTCCTACGCAAGAAAACCTCTTCACGCAGGCTCTCGAGCGATCCGGTCTCGATGCTTCTCGTATCAGTGTTGTGGAGGCCCACGGTACCGGAACGCAAGCCGGTGATCCCATCGAATTAGAGAGCATACGCGGTATATTCGCCAAGCATAGAAAAGCGAACAACCCACTCCATATCACCTCCGTCAAGGCTAATATTGGTCATTTGGAGGCTGCATCGGGTGCAGCGGCTCTGGCGAAGCTGCTCCTTATGCTGCGCCACCGCTCCATCCCTCGTCTTGTCTCGTTAAAGAACCTTAACCCGCGTATCAAACCCCTTGCATCAGACAATGTTATCATTGATACAAAGCAAGTCGGCTGGACCGTCCCCGACGAGAGTCTGCCCCGTGTCGCCCTCCTTAACAACTTTGGGGCTGCCGGTTCGAATGGCGCTCTACTTCTTGAGGAGTATATCCCGAAGTCGTCCGGGAAGGATACCGAGGTCTCTTCGACTTTCGTTGTCGGGCTGTCTGCTAAGAATGAGCAGGCACTTGTCGATCTGCGTGCGAGTTACATTGAATATCTCCGTAGCTCTGCGAGCACAGGTGTCACCCTTGCCGATATCGCATATACTGCCACGGCTCGCCGACGTATGTACTCTCACCGATTCGCGGTCACTGCGAGATCCAAGGAGGAGTTGGCGCACAAGCTCGAGCTAGCTTCGGGGAAAACTGTCACAGACAATGCGCCAGGGAAGGTCGTGTTCGTGTTCTCGGGGCAAGGAGGCCAGTACCTTGGCATGGGATCTTCCCTTTACAAGACATCGGCGCTCTTCAAGAACGCCACAGACGAGTGTGAGTCTTTCTTGAAGAAGAACAACTTCCCCGGAGTTCTACCTATCATCACTTCGGATGGAGAGTCTAGCGGGTTGATGCCTGTGGAAGAGTTCGAAGCGAATCAGGCTGCAATCTTTGCGCTTGAATATGGACTGGCGAAGCTTTGGATGTCATGGGGCGTCACTCCTACTGCTGTCGTCGGGCATAGGTCAGTTGCTTAAAATATCTTCTCTTTATATTTACTGATATCAGTTTTTTCAGTCTGGGAGAATATGCAGCTCACGTTGTCGCCGGTGTACTCAGCCTTGAAAGCGCACTCACCCTAGTTGCTCATCGAGTTCGTATCATGATGCGTACATGCGAACTTGACACTACGGGAATGATTGCCATTAACCTTGCGTCTGGAGTAGTCACTGAAATTCTTTCCTCATCCCCCGACTTCTCTGGCATATCAATTGCATGCTACAATAGTGCAACTGACTGCGTTGCCTCGGGACCAATCGGACAGCTCGACGCCCTCAAGGCCCATCTCGATAAGGCCGTTCACTGCAAGAGCGTGCGTCTCAAAGTTCCGTTTGGATACCATAGTTCTGCTATGCAACCGCTTCTTGAAGAGTTTGAAGTTCTTGCGAAACGCGTAGCGGTCCATCCACCGAAACTTCCCGTTATTTCAAATCCTCTAGGCCGAGTAATTCCTGCAGGAGACAAGTCCGCTTTCAACGCCGAATACTATCTCAGCCACTGTGCTGATCCCGTCCAGTTTGAAAACGGTATCAGTGCACTAATCGATGATGCTTCATTCACGGATATTGCCGCCTGGATAGAGCTGGGTCCTCACCCTACAACGTTGCCTATGCTCACCGTGCATCCTGGCGTGTCAAAGGAAGCATTACTAGTCAGCTCATTGAAAAAACGACAGGATGACAACGTCACACTTTCGTCGTCGCTTTCTCAGCTCTACACCTCCAGTGTCCTTGTTCGATGGAGAGATGTTTTCGCTGATGTCTCAGCGGCTTGCGTCTCGCTTCCTTCCTACCCATGGCAGAAAAGCAAGTTCTGGGTGGCATGGAAGGAAGACTCGCCAGCTGCGGCCCCGCCCATTGAAGGTTCACCCTCTTCTACTAAGGCCTTCCACCCTGTCAACGACTTTGGTATGCTTCAGTCTTGGGCACAATTCCCATCCACCGCCAACAACCAGGTCGCTATTTTTGAAACACCCATATCCCTCCTCAAAACCTCGATTATCGGTCACATTGTAGGCGACGTTCCGTTATGCCCAGCTTCTGTTTATCACGAGTTGGCTCTCGCTGGGATTGAAGCTACCAAGGCACATCTATCCCTACCCCTCCAAGGTAGCCATAGCTCACTCTTCAACATCGACTACGTGAAGCCTCTTGTTTACAGCAAAGACGTAGCTCGCGTCGTCAAGACAACTATTACAATAAACATCGATGGCTCTGGTCTCTTCACCGTCGAATCATATGCTGATTCGGAGCCGGAGTCTGTGCATTGTTCAGGACAGTTCCGCCCATTGCTAGTAGCAGATACGACGACAAAGTTCAACCGTATGGCTCCTGTCGTCAGTCGGAGGACCGCGGCTATATGCTCGGGAGAAGATGGCGAAGCCGAAGTATTTACGACCCGAACGGCGTATGAGATTATCTTTACGAGGGTTGTCAAATATGCGAAGGTATGTCCTGCAATGCTTGTTTTTCAGCTGTCTTTAACACGCTTTCCAGGAGTACCATACGATGAAGAGCGTTACGATCAACAAGAACGGTATGGAAGGGTATGCCATCGTCAAGCTCCCCAAGGACCACGACAAGAGCAAATTTGTTGTTCATCCCGTATTCATGGATACGATGCTCCACGTAGCCGGATTCCTTGCGAATATGCAAGGCGGTGATAACGACGCATATATCTGCTCAAAGGTCAAGTCAGTCAAAGCAATTCCAAGTTTGATCAACAATGATGCGACGTACGGTGTGTTTGTCGTGAATGCTTGGGTGGAATCCGAAGGTATCATGTTGTCGGACGCCATTGCCGTAGACATCACGGGTAGGTCTTCATTTAGGATTGATTTTTCTCGGCACTCAAATATGGTATTATAGGGCACGGCCAAATTGTAGCGCAGCTCAAGGGCATGTGCTTCAAGAAACTTCGCCTGAACACCCTTCAACGCAGTTTGGCTATGCATGCCGGTCATAGTGCGCCACCGCCGGCCCAAAAGCGCTCCGTTACACTGGCTGCTCCCAAGCCCAAGATCACCGAGGTTGCACCTGCTCTTGGACCCCGCTCCTCTCCCGCTAAACCCTCCGTCGATGTCCAGAGCATAGTACTTCACACCGTTGGCGACACATGTGGCATCGAGGTCTCGGCGCTTGACGTAAACGCGGATCTCGAGACTTACGGCGTTGATTCCCTCATGTCCATCGAGATCTTGCGCAAGTTTGAAGAGTCTTTCCCTCAAATGCAATTTGACGCGACTATCTTTAGTACTTGCAACAATATAACGGAACTCGTGCGCGAGATCTCGTCCACAGCTGGATCGCAAGCCACCACTGCAGTTCCTTCCCCGGAGACGGCATCTACTCCAGAACCTACTCTGCAGGGTGATGCACCTCAGTCTGCTGACGTTCGTTCCATCCTGCTGGAACTCATATCCTCCTTCACTGGCTTTGAAATATCAAAACTTGATCTGAACGCGGATGCAGATACCGCCTACGGCTTGGATAAGTTCCTCTTCATCCCCCTCTTCAGTAAACTCCAGACGTTCTTCCCTGATATTACCCTCGATCCTGCCAAACCTTCTGTCTGCAGCACTATTGGAGAGCTCTTGGATGAGGTCACAGCACAGGTCCAAGCAGGGCCATTGTCCAGCTCTGATCTGGTTGATACAAAGCCCATGTTCGTGTCTGTTCTTGGATTGGATGAGTCGGATATTCAAGACGATACGGAGTTTGAGACCATTGGGCTCGACTCCCTGACAGCTATCGAGGCACTTCATGCTATCCAGACCAAATATGGTCTCGAACTCCCGTCCAATCTCTTTGAGTTACACACTACGGTGAAGGCAGTTAACCAGTATATCTCTTCCAAGCGACCAGGAAAGTTGCCGAAGCCTGTCGAAGAAACGGCGATGGATCCTGATAAGGAAGAAGATCTTTCTGATCTTACTCCTGAGCAGGTTCAGTCGGTCGTCCGGGTTTTGCGACTCGACGAGGTGCCTATGTCTGTGCAGAAGTCGTCTAGTAGTGGATCTCCACTCTTCCTTTTCCATGATGGCAGTGGAGCGGTGAATTACCTTCGTCGCTTGGGCTCCATTGACCGCGAATTCTGGGGATTTAATAATCCAAGTGAGGTTTTTTTATGCATTTGTGTCTCGTTTTCTGACCGTCCGTAACAGATTATGCGACAGGTAAACCATGGGGATCTTTAGAAGCCATGGCGTCTGCTTACGCCGACTATGCTGTGAAAGTTGCTGGTTCTAGGCCCGTGATATTTGGTGGTAAGTGTTATCTTCATGTATATCGGCCTTCACTGATGTTGAGCCTCTAGGTTGGTCCTTTGGCGGTGTTGTCGGATTTGAAGCAGCGCGACAACTAATGAGGAGAGGAGTCCCTGTGAAGGGTGTTGTACTCATCGATTCTCCGTTCCCTGTAGACCACGTCCCTTCATCAAATGAGTTCATGGCGGTGACTGCGGGTGCCTTTACGCGGGGTGGGCGCACCCCAATTGGACGGATGATGTGGAAGCAGCTGCAGCAAAACGCGCCGTTGTTGAAGACATACGATCCTAGAATTGCTGGCAGGCCGTACCCTCCCTTGGTGTTGCTGCATAATAAGGAAGGGATCCCACCTGATGCGTTCTTGCCGTACCCTGTTCCCCGGTGGATGTCGGAGAAGGGGACGAACCCGTGTCATTTGGCTGATGAGTGGTCGGGGCTGGTGGGCGCACCAATTAAGGTGATACACCTTCCTGGGACGCACTTTACGACCTTTGCTACCCCTCATGTGAGTATATTTTCTTGATTGCGTTGGCTCGTGCTGACTTATTGTCATTAGTTGGGAGCTGTGACTCAGGCACTTATTGATGGATGTGCGTATCTGGATGAGCTTTGACTTAGGAAGACTCTGCTGCAGCGTCGTGGTAGTTTATTTTATGGATCCATTTGATAGATAGCCGCTTTATTTAAATAATGTGTTAAATAGCCAAAAATGGATTTTCGCGCCCCAAACCAACTTGAAGATGTAGCATGGGCTACCTTTTCCGCCTTTCATCTCAGGCTTCAGCTTCAGGCCTCAGAAAGTAAGCTTCCGGGCATATTCACCTTAGTTAATTGTTACCCGTCTATATTGCTCTCCAAAAAAAAGGAGAAAACCACAAATGCGCGTCCTGATGGATACGTAATAGCATATATGTAGTAAATTAAGCTCTCTAACATACAGACCATACTACCCATTAAATTCACATCACACCAGAATTATACCGGTGAAGGATATCCCATAGGTGTTATGTTCCAGCATCATACGTCCCAAAGAACTCCGGAGAACCGACCACAAAATCCTGGGGTCCAAAAAAGTTGTTATTGTCATTGGGCACATTGCCGTAACCATCATACGACTCAGAGCCCATATTATAATCTGGTATGAAAGGTTGGATACCAAACAGCTCCGAGTCGCCATTCAGCATTCCCAAAACGGCAAGAGATCCATAACTATTGCTGTCATGACTGCCCGACAGGTGGTAGTGCTGCTGAGTTGGGAACCACTGGGACTGAGGATGGGATGCCTCAGTTGGCATCGATGAGGCGGCATTTTGATAAAACCCAGATCCAAACGAGCCCGCCTCACACTGTGTCGTCCCGTTGTCGGCTTCAATTGCAATCTCGGTCTCCTCCTGCCTTGCCTGCTTCGCGGACCTCTTCTCTAACAACGGATCTAACTGTCTATGCAAAAGATTCGACAAGATCCCGCTGATCCTCATAGCGAAGTTCCATGATTTTCCGATCTCGTTCAGATAATCAACGCACAGATTGGCTTGAGAGATAAATCGTTCGAGGTCCTTCTTGGCGACGCGAAGACCGGAGGATGCCTTCCCAGCAAGGAGCAAGTAGATGGTTCCAGCAGAAAAGAGTACTTGTACGAGCGTCATTGGAACGTATCGTAGAGTATAGAGTGGCCGCCAGACAAGGAGAAGCTCCATGATATTCTCTGAAGCCCGCTTACACATCTACGGCAAACCTGGGTCAGGGAAGAGACCCATTAAGGTGTCAGAACGACAGACCTTGACATGATCGATGTCTCCATCCGACTCACGCTTTCGACGATGAAAGAATGGGCGGTGTAAGAGGATGAATACCCACCAGAAGGATAGGTGAAGCATTAGACGATGAGGAGTAGCAATTAACTTGTTGCTGATTGTTATATCCACTTCTGGAGAGAGTCGACTCTTCCATTCGTGGAGTTGCAGACTACATGGCAGTACACGTAAGTCAGAAAGGGAGAGACCAATGATAAAAACCCACTCAATTTTGCTGATAATTTCGTCGCTTATCTCCTGTCGGGTGCCAACAAGATTCAACCCGTTTCTGGAACGCTGTTAGTTGCACTAGTTCGAGACAAAAAATACGAATCATATACATGACGTCCATAACTTGTCTCAATATCATCATCAGTTCGGAAGTCGCTGCGAGGGTCCTCAATAGAAAGTTCGGCTGAGGGGGAATATTAGCAGGAGGATAATGCCATGGGATCTTGTCGAATTCGCTGTCAACGAAGGAAACCGAGACACGTCGTTCCACTGGTTGAGGAACAGTAAAGTCCCGCCCGACGCCGTAAACAGAAGAACAAGCGTCCTAGATGAAAGATTATAAAACGGAAGTCGACACTTGATGAAGTAGCTGACTTCACTAAATGTAGTCCAGTACGCCTGGTTTCGGTCCATCGTATCGTCTCGGGATATAAGTCCAGCCCTGACCCATGGTGAACTGTCAAAGCTGAGGCCCACTACCATAATCATGATGAGTGAATTATTTTCCGTGTTGGTAACCTTGTACGTACGTGCTTGACCAACACGCGTGCTGAGACCTAATATCCCTGGGTAAGAAAGGCCCGGATAGGGATCGATTTACTTACCGAAGTACATATAGCCAATAGTATGGTCACCGTTGGTCGTATGGAAGCTCGACAGTATTGAAAGCGCTTGTGCAACACTGATGGTCGGCTTTCGACATTCATCCTCCCACCGTCGCTTGGCCTCATCGGCAAAGTAGTTACGTGACTTGAAATCACGTATCTGAGGATCATCCGAGAAGGCCGTCGCCAAAGCTACAAGGGCATTGTGAAGCATTGGAGAATAATGGGCAGTCCTCGGAGGTGTCTGATGTGCAGGGACGCTTATAGCCCTACGCATGTCCCGAAAAAACAGTTCCGGAACAACACGACAACACCATGGCGTAAAGAATTTGAAGAGAAGATCGAGAACTCTTGAGAGAACATTAATACCCTGAAAGAGTGATGCATAGGCAGCCTACCTGTCATGTTCCTTCCTGTCCAGAGGTACGACAGAAGGGAGATGGCGAGACCAGTCGAAATCTGGGTCGTAGTAATTTCCATCACCATCTGATATTTGAAGAACATGGCTCTTCTTAGGGTCGTCAACGTCGGGAAGTCTTGAGGTCACCCTAGATTTTGCAGGAGTCTGGTCTAGACGAAACGGTGCCGCAATACCATAGAAAACAAGTTGACTGTCCTCCAGCTGTAAACACGGTTAGCAGGCACCCAGTAAAGGCAGTGTCGGTGACGCACCTTTAGGTTCCGGGTAGGCACGCAAATCTCCCGTGTTATGTCCTCTCCGTCGACCTGATTGGCATCAGCACCATCGTCATGCGGCGGTGGCACTTCATTGTCCAGAATGGCGCTCCCAGCGTCCGGCGGTCGGAACTGGAGGTACGACATGCTCTCTTCCGACACTCCTCCATGCTCTCTACGGCATTTCTCCAGCAACGACTCGAGCAGGTCAGCATAGGCTTTGAGAGCATCTGCTCGTTTTCTCAGTGCTTCGTAATGGGCCTCTGTCCTTGGTCGTCTTGCACTTTCGCCTGTCCATGAGCACTGCGCAGTCGGTTAGCAGACAATAGAGTAATTGCTGAGTGACGCACGGACCTCATCGTTACGTCCCGAGGCCTGACAGAAGCCACAGACAGGCTTTACCTCGTCGCATTTTACCCTCCTTGGGCACGACGTTAGGGGTAATTCCTAAGACGACAATGAGACGTACTTGGCTCTGCATACATTGCAAGCATGGGAAGCGTAGGTTCCCCGACCACGTGATGTTCCCGTCCCAGACGACCTCTTCGACGACGACGCCCTTGTCATTACAGTACTGGTTCAAGATTTTATCCAACTCTGTTGTAAGGTGGGAAAGCGCTGTGTCTTCCTGTATGGAAACCTTCGAGTAACGTAAGGGACGTTCAGCTATATTTCTTGGCATGTGCTCAGCCGGCTCTTGTCCTCCGCCTCTCCACACACACTGTGCTTACAAGTACAGAACCTGCTTTTACTTTCTGAATTGCTAGGAAATGTTCGATACCACATGCTCAAGACCACTGCGCCTTATTAGCCGCTACCTTTCCTGCCTTTTACCTCAGGAAGTAAACACCTTTAGTTAAGCGCTACCCATCTATATCACTCAAACGACACAGAAGGATCGCGGTGCTAGATGGAACATCGATGCATGGTGGAATCTTTTAATCGGTCTGCCTTCGCCATTGAAGGGATTTCAGCAACGTTGTCGTCAATGACAACCTTGAACCAGTGGGTATAATCAGTACGGCAATGAGTCTCCCGATGAGTCAGAGCCTGGTAGTTCTCAATTCATAAGAGACCCGCTTGAAATGATAAGCCAGGGCAAATCCGTTGAGTCGGCGACACGTAATAGCTAGAGTAAAGATAATTTTGAGTGAGCAGAAGCTCATTTGGAAGGTCGGGTAAATCGTCGGCAATGGGTCGGCACTCATACATTAAAACTCCGCATCCCGCCGTCTCGGCACCTTTCTTGCACTCCCCCCGCCACAGAAGTTTGACATGTTGGACCTTGGTGTAACCGTCGTCTTGCCTCCCGTTCAAGACGGTCTATATTCCCACTGCTGTATGACTTGGCCTCACCACACACCGAAAACTTCTACCGTCATCCCATTAGCGAGCGGAGATGATGGATGTCGCTGATCAACGTGACGATTAGGGCTCTCTTCCTTACTGCATCGTGGCTCTCGACGACGGCAACGCATATTGCAGTATCTCACCCATTATGTCATGGCATCATCGATGACGCTGACTGAGCATCGACTGGTATTGAAGCTCAGATGACACCAGTAATATAAAGGATGTGAAAATCTGGGTATTCCACAACTTCGAATTCTCACACTCAAGATGTCGAAAGTCAGCATCTTCTTTACTGGAGGAACGGGTGCGTTCTCATTCAATTTCTTAGCATGAGGAGACTGACGCAGTCCAGGTTACATTGGGGGCACCTTTCTGTCACGTCTTATCGAGCACAAAGACGCAAAGAATTTCGACATCACAATTCTTCTTCGTCCAACCAGATATCCCGCTGGATACGAGGCCTTGGGATTGAAAACTGTCTCGGGAAGCGACTCCGATTTCGGGCTTTTGAGGGCACAAGCAGCGGCGGCAGACGTTATTTTCGCCACTGTACGCAGTCCAACTGCTCTAGAGATGTTCGAAGAACCTTACAGGCTCACAGGCAGACTGCGACGACCTTCCTGCCGCCCAGGCAATTCTACAAGGTGCAAAAGATCGCTACGAAAAGACAGGGAAAGCCCCCATCCTCATCCATACCGTGAGCCCAACCTGTTGTGCACCATCACGATATTGATATCGCGGATAGTCTGGAACTGGTGAACTCGCTGACAACGCACAAGGCCTGCACGGCACCGATGTCGTTTATTCGGACCTCAATGTTTCTCTCTATGAAGCCCTTCCCCCAACCCAGCCTCACCGGAATGTCGACCTCGCTGTTCTCGCTGCGGACAAGGAAGGTTTGTAGGCCTGTTGATCGCGTCCTCCACCATTCTAATCATCTTACAGGCTATGTAAAATCATACATCGTTCTGCCCCCAACTATCTATGGAGTACCCAATGGTGTCTTACAAAGCATGGTCTTCAGCGCCCACTCGTTGACCAAATCCGTCGACTTGTTGAGGCTAGCATTGCTAGGAAGCAAGGTGGTGTGTACGGCAAAGGCAAGAATATTTGGCCCAATGTTGATGTGAACGAAAGTATGTCCTTTCTTTTCCTTCTTACGCCTATTCACCGTCCTGTCTACAGTGGCCGATCTGTACTTGATTATCTTCGATCTTGCTGTCTCACCCTCCTCTCCACCTCCTGACTTCCAACATGGTCGGTTTGGCATTTACTTTACTGTCAGTGACGAGCACCAGTTATACGATCTCTCCAAGGCCGTAGCTGAAGGCCTCGCTTGCCGAGGTATTGGATCTCCCGAGCCCACACCTTTCAGCAAGACCGAAGCAGAAGCTTTGCGGCGCGTGGTGGACACCAACTCGCGAGTGGACTTTGAGAAAAGCAGAGGCAAAGCCTTAGGATGGAAACCGACCAAGGGGACGAAGGATATGTTGGCCTTTGTCGAGGTTGAAATCGACCGACAACTGAAGAAGGATTAGTATTTTGAAATATGTATCAACGCCCACCTAATCCAACTCGAGTTGAGCCAGACTTTGATGAACGACAGAGTAAGAAGTACTACCGTAATTTGGGCCGTCGAGGATTACTAAATTGATCCAATAAAAGTGTAGGCCTAGATAGTAACGATGCCTTCGGGTGGAGTAGAATCAACTGGAAACTGTTGAGCATGCAACAACGGGCTAGGCAATCTGAGAAAAAGTCTGTTGTTCGTTATTACATAAGCGTGGACCACATCTCGGCAGTTGATTTATGGGTGTAGGCCAAAGCGGACCTAACTATGTAGAAACAAGTCCTAGACTAATTCGGAAGTCGGAGTTTGAATTAATTAATTCCCTGTACGAGCATCGAGGCAGCTTACGCAGTTGTGCTTGCCTTGCCTTCGTCTCTTCAGCTTAGCGGGGGTATCTGTAGAAGTGCATAATGCATTTATGAATATCTGAGTTCGTCAAAGGCCCTAATTTATCTGTGAGGCCACCATATGTGCAAGATTATCTTGATGTCTCAGACTGAGCAGCACTTTCCGGAGCAGGTGCTCGTGGTTGCGCATTCTCAAAGTTGTGAAATGGCATGTTGTATAGCCTAAATGCTTGCATGCATTTGTTCCAAGAATGTATATCCTTTTGAATGAGCAGAAAGCAAATCTCACCCAAGCAGGAGCAGTTTTTCTCCTGCTACAGCAGTGATGGCAAACAATATCATACAATTTATGTTTTTATGCTATGCATGGCATAGCAGAAGAATTATCCCTTTCTTCACAGAGTTTTCAGTCTGTCCAGATGTAATCTGTGTCGATAATCATTCTGAGGACCTGTACTTTAATGTATTACCATGCGAAGCGCGAAAGAAAAAATAAAGGGCTTTACAAGACAGTATATTCAGGGTATTAGAACATATACTAGCACTGATGGAGGATGGGTACCTCTCAGTAGCCCAATATTTAACTTTTCTCTCCTCCCTTTGAATTAATTTAATTAATTCAACTCCCACGAAAACCCTACACCTATAAATCAAGTGCCACCATCTCGGAGTGACAGCTAGCCAACCCACATCAGGAAAATGCGGACACAGTATATAGAGGTATATAGCGACATAGCATTCCTATGATGTACCCCTCTATACAGTCCTTCATAATAAGCCCCGAACTATGATAGCACTATATACTAGCGTCTCTGCTATATGAATATGAGTATATGGCACTAGGAGCTCTACGAGACGGCTTTTGAAATTCATTTGAAGCGGCTCACAGTTGCTTTGAAATTTGTTGATTGGGTTTCGGCTGACATAGAGGTTGTGAATATTGTATCAAAATATATTCATATGTTGTACTTGACTAATTACAACCGCAGAACGACTACCACATATAATTTACGTGCTACTGAGCTTCGACTTCCACCAGGCTACCAGTACCTAGGCATACAGCGGAAACTAATGGAAATTATAACTCCATCTCTAAGATAGCACATACTGATACATAGCTTGAAAGTAAGGAAAGAACCGACTTATTAGTATAGGAGGACTTCAAAAGAGAGAGGAGAAGGTACTTACATGTGTGCGTGCAGTGACTGTTCGTGGTGGTAAATATACCGATTGTGTTCAGGGTCCTTCCCCTTGGGGAGCTGGTAGTTCGGATACGAGCGAGGTACCCGCGATGTCAAAACGATGCCAGCGGAGCACGTCATTGGTAGGGAACTATGGCTCTATGGTTGTATATACCTCTTGTAGGACTCTACATAGGGCTCTATAGTGCCCAGGAACAGAATTTTGCTATCTAGCACTATATAATAGTGCTGCGTCTATACCAACAAAAACACCTTTCCTGATGCGGCGGCGCATCACAACTGTACGGGAGAAGGTGGCCTCCTTCGAGGAACCCGCCGTGCGCCACAAAGGAGTCAAGTATATGCTTGGATGTCTGAACACGTCCATATGAATTTGGATAATCCACCTAGATCTAGCAGTTTTGATTTTGGGAGCACTGGCTGGGCGATCTGAGACAAGGGAATTGCTGCTTGGCTTGTGTTAGTCTATAAATTCTGTATGAACGCGACTCTGTGGCCTTTCCAAGCATGTATCTTTAACTTTAGTCGGTCGCTTTATTCACTTATTTAATGCATGTTGTCCTTCGAACACGCTTGTAAAATAGCGAGGAACTGTAAGTAAAATAACGGAGACTGTCGGCCCGGGGCCCGTGTTCAACAAGTGCTATATTTGGTTGCTACCTTTTCTCCACCTAGGACCCCACGCTTTGCAATGTCTTTCCTCTGAGCTCGACTTGTTGTCCCACGCGAATTGGAATAAAAGTACTATCTTATGTTGGAGCAGTGGCCAATTAATCGTAATGTGGCTACCTTGATGCCAAGGTGGACCAAGATTGGCTTGCAATATTGCCTGTACGTACGTGTCCTTTGTTTCGCTCATACCTTTGTCAAGACTACTGACAACCTATCAAAGCATTCAGAACTCATTAGCCTTAAGGCCTATCTGATGTTTTCAGAGTAATGAACCAATCCCCCTTGTTTCTATGCCCAAAAAAGTTTAAACAAAAGGACCATAATACGAAGCAATAAGCAAACAATAAGTACGTCTCACACTGGCACCGCAATCAAGTGGGGCCGCCACGATCCAAGGCTTATGACCTCCTTTAGCTCCCAGCCCGCCTCGTTCATGATATCAACAAAGTGTCTGACTGTACGCTCCTGTCCGTTACCAAAGCCCATCATCTGTTTCACCATCAGTCAACGATCGCGGAGTTCTACAAAGAAATTTACGAACCATCACATCCATAGAATAAGCCACCGTATTAGCCGCGCCCATATTGGCCAGGAGAGGCTCGGGGACCGGGCGGGGTTCACAGCCTTTGATCGTCTTGGTTTCGGTATCACGACACGGAGATTCTAGGATAATGTCGATTACTACGAGTTTCGTTTGTGGTCCGGCGGCTGCGCGTAGGTGACTTAGGATCTGAATCGCATACGAATTGGCCCAATCATGGAGGATCCCGCGAAGGACGAACACGTCGACTGTACTGCCGAGATCCGGCTGGGGAGTGAACATGTCGTGAGCTGTCATCAAAGGAGTTATTGTTATGTCTCGGAATACAAGATCATTATCCGGCATACCAACAAGCTTGACACGACCACTCTTAAGCGCTTCGGGTAAGTTCGATTTCCAATACTGTTGTCGCACAAAATTAAATAGAGTTTACGCGCAAGGAAAGGTGACGCACTGGCTCAGCATCAGAAACAAGTTGAGGTCGATCTTGTACCACGATATTCAACTTAGGGAATGTTTTGGCCAGAACCAACTCGAGGGAGCCGATCCCGCCGGCTACGTCAACGACCAGGGCGCCGTCGGGAAGAGAACCAAAGTCAAAGCCTGAATGATACATCAGCTCAAGAACTCTACTGTTTTTCAGAACCGGTTACCCTTTAATATGGCAGCGTCAGGCAACAAGTCAGTCGTCGCGCGCATCAGTAGACTGAAGCGGGACAGCACGTCCTTGTTTTCTGGACGCTCGAGCCACTCGAAGAAGCTGACATCAAAGTCGAAGGCTTTGCATATAGCGCTCTGATTAGCTTCGTCAGAGTGGCCGCAAACGGGATCCCGAAGTGTTTGTGACAAGAAAGCGCCACTTTTGAAGAACTCTCCGGTCCTGTATGATGTCAGTTCATGACAGAGAACAAAGATGATATTGTTTACCCCCAACTGACGAACGTGTTGATGAGGGACGTTTCGGTGTATTTGGCCTGTGGGCTTTGTCGAAAGGTAAGCTAAGAATGCTGGAGTGTGAATATGGGGATGACCTACTTTTTCTCCAGCTCCTGGATTGGTTTACCGGAGTCGAGCAGGGACGAGATGCGATTGTTTGCAAACACGTCGGGAGATACCTCTCGGAAGATGTGGTGAGAGGCGAGCAAGCGAAGGACCCGACCTTGACGTCTTATCAGTAATCAGACCCTTGCGACAAGAGTCATCATACCAAGACGTGCCGCATTCATTCCGTTTCTCTTGGCTATGTCATCGATGTGGGCGCCCTGGAGTAATGCTTCAGTTTCTCCAATCGAATCAAAGGACTAGCACCAACCTCGGGGCCCACGTCACGTAGTATCTCGGCGACGTTTGCATCATTTGCAACCCGAAGGCAGGCAGGTACATCCCACTATCACTTCGTTAGTCGTCAGTATTTGTCAATGAAGAGAATGCTCACTTGGTGAGCGACGACAGATAACGTTGTAATGGGAGCTCTAGCTGTTGCTATCAGCTGTGTTGCTGCTGCCGCGATCACGTGGATGGCTTCAGCAACGTCTGCGTCGTTTCGTATGGCCTCCGATTGAAACGAAAATAACTCGTCGAGTTCAGGGAACGGCAGACATTGGGCTGCACATTTCTGGTCGATCTTGTCTACCGACTCTGCGATAAGGTTCGAAAGGAGTTTGAGAGAGGAAAGCATATCAAGGTATGGTATGATAGCCACCGCTTCCTTCTCAGTCTTATAAGCGTATACATTCCAGATATTGTTGTAATTCTTTTCAGGCCACATATAGCTTTGAAAAGAGGCGGAAGCACTTGAATGGACGCCAATGTTGACATACAGCACGGATGTCTGACAGTCATTTACGAGTGATATTGCAGCTCCTATTGAACGCGTTCGCGGAGTCGGTTTTGGAGTGGACTTTATTTTTAGGCACACCGGTGTTAAGATCAGTGCGATGATCACCGATCTCACCGATCAATTTGGATCGGGCAGTGCGAACCGAAACGAATTGATAACCGGGGCCCGCCGGCTCACCTTTGCCGCTGACCCACCAAACATGATGTGGATCTGGCTTTTGTGTTTTTTCTCATATAGTCACCACAACACACGCGTCCCTTTCATTCTGCTTCCATGTCCGCCATGGGTAATATCTGGTCCCTCACCTCTCAAATGTTCCCTCCTAAACCAAAATGGTCCATCGACGATATCCCAGATCTGACAGGCAAAGTCGTCATTGTCACCGGTCAGTTTGTTTTTCGTACGTGAGGTCAACGTCTCATATTTTCTTAGGCGGTAATACCGGATGTGGAAAAGAGACTGTCAGGGTGCGTGAATCCCTTTTTTGACATGTTTGGTTCCACCATTTCTTTGTGTAGGTGCTACTTTTGCACGGCGCCAAGGTCTACTTGGCCGCTCGAAGCGAGGGGAAAGCTAGAGAGGCCATCGAAGATCTGAAGAAAGAGACGGGAGCTGAAGCCATATTCCTGCCTTTGGATCTCGCAGATTTGGTCAGTGTTCGTCGTGGTGCTGAAGAGTTCCTTTCGTGGGTTCCAGTCTTTTTGCAACAGTTTTGTCTTCTGACAGCTATGCAGGAAGGAGAAGCAGCTCCATATCCTATTCAACAATGCGTGAGTGCCATGGGTTCCGCGCCGTGTCGACGTGTTAATCGTTATTGTAGCGGCGTTATGCTTGCACCGATGGACATGCTCACCAAGCAGGGCTACGACCTTCAATTTGGTACCAATGTCATTGGTACGTTCCTTAAGACGTGGGAGTTCTTGTCATTTAACGCATTTCATAGGTCACTTCCATTTCACTAATTTAGTGTCACCTGCACTTCTCGCGGCAGCGACGCCTACCGAGAAAGCACGGGTAATCACTACGTCCTCATCCGCTAATTATATGGGCACCCTGAACTTTGATATCTGGACCGACGGGCCTGCAAGGAATAAGAAGGCCACAGGCGATATGTATGTGCAAAGCAAGCATGTAAGTCTCATACAGCATCCTTCAGGAATTATCTAATACATTGCACAATACTAGGGCAACGTCGTTTTCGCCGTTGAACTCGCCAGGCGTTACGGGGCGCAAAATATAATCTCCCACTCTCTGAATCCAGGTAGCATCCGTACCGACTTACAACGCCATCTCTCCCCGTTCGCCAATAAGATGCAAGATATCTTCCTCTTCCCCGTCTCTATGGGCGCATTGACTCAGCTTTGGGCTGGAACCTCGCCCGAGGCAGGACAGATGAATGGCGAGGTACGTCTGCAACTTGAATTTGGAGTGATTACACCGTAACTCATCAACGAAACCAGTTCATGATTCCATGGGCAAGGCTTGGCAAAGCTCGTAAAGAGACGGGAGACCCTGAGGTGGGTAAGAAGTTGTGGGAGTGGCTTGAAGCACAGTGCAAGGACTACTAATTCTTGCCTGCATCTCGTTTCCAAACTCTTCATTGATACCACATACTAGATTACAACTAGAACAATAATGTATGCAGAGTCTTTGTTCAATGATACCATAGTTCAATATGTCCGGATTTGACGAAAATTTTACGTGAAGGGGCAACCGACCGAAGCCACCGTCATTACCGAAAGGTTGATTGATTAGAACGTCTACAAGGAGTTGTGCGAGGATTTACTTTCCTAGTTTGGCGGGCCCGAGTAGGTTGATGGGCCCCGCTGACAGACATTCATGCGTCATTCCAAATCCACTGCGGACCTTGAAACGAGAGACTTATCTCCAGCTGCATTGATGGACAACGGTCTGTTCTTGGAAAGTAGATAGCACAGGCGCTCCGGTAAATGTCGCACGTTGCCAGTGTGAAGAGGTACAGCTTATCAAAACATACGACGAGCGCCTGGCTTCGGAATTGAAAGTCCCTAACTGGGAACTTCTGCTTTCTCTGACAATAACAAGTTATTTCTGTGTCGCTTGGCCCAAAGTACAAGATACGACGGGAAAAATCTTGATCCTCTGGGGCTGGAATCAATTGAGGTGCTTATTACCTCTCGAGACGTGTTCCAGCCAAGGTCAGCTGGACTTGGAATTTGGCTAAGAATTCATACTTTTCATTTCATTTTTCAGGTCCCAAGTTGGTAGTGTCGCACATGAAGATGTTAATCATCATAAAAAGGGTAAATTCTTGCAAATTCTTGTATATCGTTTGTTATTTTTGATAAGATAAGACGGGTTAATCTAATCGACCATCATCGATCAGCCGCCGCCTTTTCTTTCGCTCAGCCATGCTTTTTTGCTAGTTCAGTGCAGACTGTCGGTGCTATTTTAAATTCTCGGTCTTTGGCGCTACTCTTGATGCGCGCGTGCGACGTGTTCGCTCTACACAGGATTGCTTCTTCAATGCTCGTTCCGATTCTTTACAGATTTACCGAGATAGTGCCGTCTCCCGAATTACTTCAGACGACTGGAATGCAATGGTAATTCAATGATTGAAAATTGTCCGAATCTTCATCGGAAACTGGCTTGAAACTAAATGGAATCAGGCGACGGCCTGCGACAGCGCCAAGGTCGCATCAGTGCCTTCCTGAATCAGGATGGCTCATACAACCTGCAGCCCTAAGGCTATGCTCCGACTCTCAGCTCCGTTTGCGCGACTGGTTCCTTGATCCTCCTAGTCTTGACCTGTATGATGTGCGATGACAGTTTAGTAGGATAGGGGACCATATATATTTGATGACCGATTTTGCTTGATGGATAGACGCAACCTCTCTTTCGTTGAATCTCTTCGTTCAGAGGGAATTGCTCATGCCAGCTCTCACTTACCTGCTACTGGCCGCCATTGGCGCGTCGTCCGTTCACTCTCTACCATCCAAACAGACCTGTAATGCTCCTGTGACGGCGTCCTCCTTCTCTTCCACGTCTTTGGATGTTGTCATCGTAGGTGGTGGAACTGCCGGTCTTGTCCTTGCCTCTCGTCTTTCGGAGAGCAAGAAGCTACAAGTCGGCGTGATAGAGGCGGGTGATGATCGCGTCAACGATCCTCTCATCGACGTTCCTAATGATGCGAACCTCCTTGGCTACGAGGGTGCTCTATTCGGCAACTCGACTTATGATTGGAAGTATACAAGTGTTCCGCAGCGAGGTCTAGACGGCAGGGTTCTGTCGTATCCTAGGTGTGTTCTAGGTCGATACCACTCTTTTATCCACTCATAACTTCATCCTTCACAGCGGCAAAGTCCTCGGTGGTTCATCAGCTATTAACGGTATTACGATTCAGCGTGGATCTCGCGAAGACTATGATGCATGGGGAAACGCGTTCGGAAACGGACAAGAGTGGACTTATGATGCCCTACTCCCCTACTTCAAACGCTACGAACACTGGCACGCACCTACTCTGTCAGCCACAGGTGACCTGAACTCAGACGAGTTGAGCGCAGTTCATGGTACCGACGGCCCCATATCGCTAAGCTATAACAACTGGCTTCCTGACGTCGACATCCCGCTCACCCAAGCAGGAATCGCTCTCGGTCTGGGACCCACCCAGAACCCTGACGGAGGCGACGACTCATTCTTCCCTAATTTCGGCGCGGCGCATGGCTTCGATCCCGTTTCGGGAAACCGCAGCTATGCGGCCAGTGGGTACTACGGCCAGACCGAAAGGTGCCGCTCTAATCTGCATCTGTTGACTGGTGCCCTCGTGACCCGTATTATCTGGGACAACACGACGGCTACGAAGGCAGTTGGTGTAGAATATGCTGTTGGGAACGATAAGTTTACAGTGAAGACACAAAAGGAAGTCATACTTTCAGCTGGTAAGCAGTTTCTTCCCTACTTAGATGTATGCTGCTGATATACTTCGCTTACAGGTGCTCTTAGATCGCCGCAGATCCTAGAGCTAAGCGGAGTCGGTAACAAGACACTGTTGGAGAGCCTCAACATCTCAGTCGTCCTTGATATCCCTCAAGTGGGAGAGAACCTTGTGGAGCAGACCATCGCAGCAACGGACTTCTTGGTTCGTGATGGCGTAGTCACGCTTGGTAAGTCGTATTAATGTCTTTTGTTGCATTTTCGCTTACAGATGTCTGACAGACGCCCTCGGTAACAATGCCACCCTCCTAGCTGAACAACAGAACCTTTAGTACGTGCTTACGTTCTTGTTTCGAGAATTTATCTTATCAAATTGGTTACCTTAGCCGAACGAACAAGACTGGAGCGTTTACCTACCTTTTACATGTCAATGCTCCTACTCCTATTCGCTCAGTCGTTCCTGAGGAGGAGTTCACGGCTATGCGCGCAGTCCTTGATGATTACCTCGCATCTGAGGCTCTCACTCCACTCCAGACCGTGCAATATAATATCGTGAAGCAATTGATCGACGAGGGTAAGGTTGCTACTACCTCCTTGTTGTTAGTCCCAAGTGGTGGCCTGGTCAGCACTCCTGCAGCGGGCCAAGGTTATATATCAGTGGTTTCGACTCCAGGGGTAAGACTACTTCTCCATGCCAAATGGCCTTCCACACGATCTCATTCTGGACAATAGCACCCTTTCTCCCGCGGAACTGTGCACATCAATACCACAGACCCAGTTGCATACCCTCTCATGGACTCTGCATTCCTCACAAATCCTTGGGGTGAGATAATTGCTCTGATTTACCGTCGTGTGACGGATTACTGACACACATTTTAGATGTTCAGGCTACTATCCGCGTTATGCAGTTTGGTATGTCGATGAAAATTGTGTACCATGTCTCCTTTTTGATTATTGTCGAACGAAGTTCGCCGATGGGTCTCGGCCGCGGATGTGATAGAGTCGCCTGGTACACCTCCGCCGGAAGCAGATTCCTGGAGTGACGATCAGTGGACTGCATACGTGAAAAGTGTTCTCGGGGTTCGTACAACGTTGTCATATCTGTCCTGCTTATCTGATACGGTGTTCATACGCTTTAGACGGCCCATCACCCAGTTGGAACCACAGCTATGGCATCACAAGAGCTCGGAGGTATGTGCAGTTTTGATCGACCGTGATATCTATTCACTGTTCACCATGTAGGTGTCGTCGATCCCCGATTCAAAGTATACGGTCTTCAAAATGTCCGCGTCGTTGATGCTGGAGTGTTTCCCATGCCTGTTGGCGTAGCACCGATGTCTACTGTGTACATGCTAGCCGAGAAGGTACGTTGCGTGACTTCTAGTCATTTAATCACAACATCTGAGTTTATTTCCAGGCGGCCGATACTATCAAGAGCGATTTGAAGGCTAACTAAATTAGAATGCAGGACTTCAACCGTTCTTTTGCTAGCACACCTGTGTCAGACGTTCTTTACCAGATTACTTACGCCTTACTATTTAGCCGTGATCTTTTCATCAGATTTAATTTTTATCACTTGCATTAGGTATCCACCGTCTATAGATTATTCACCACATATTATCGAATATCTATTAGGTTTTAAATTTTGTACATTGACTTAAGTGTCTGATAAAATTTCCCACTATCACTGTGGTACTGTATGCCTCAAATGAAGGTATCTCGCTTTCCCCTTTCCATGTAAAAGCACGACTGACAAAAATCACCACCCGGGGCGGAGACTGGCAGCCGCTACATCCGCGTTCGGAGCTGCTGTCATTTTTCTCCCGTCACAATCGTCTTTCTGCAAGTTATGTGATTTCCGTGAGGTCACAGGCCTCAGAGGTCTTAGTGAGTAGCAGAGGCAAGATCTCGGTTAGATCTGTATCCGCGGGCCCTATTCTCGTAGCTATACATCACGGCAATTCTCGTACATCCGATTAGCCGCCGGCTCACTATGATTGGCGACCTCGTTGACGGCTTGTTGACTTACAAGCCTACAGTTAAGTACTGTCTGACTTTTCAAGATCAACTTTAAGAACAGATACTTTCAAAGGATTGTACAACGTATCTAGTTTTTCCTAAAGCATCTTTGCTCTGGAAGGAGTACTCAGATGAACGGTTCAGAATGCCCCGATGTCACTTGCGATAATCAATTCCAGGATGTCAGCAACTAGGACGCACTACATTTCAGATACATGTAGCACTTGAATGTTTGTCTTCGTCGAGGATACAGCTTTCACTTGGAGGTAGGGCGGCACTTGCGATTGTCATAGCTTGTCAACTAACGGAAGATCATTATTTACAACGTCAAACTCTGTAAGGAGAAAACAGAGGTCAACGTATCATACGCTGTACCGTTATTCATGAAAGGAGGTCTTTTCAATTTGTATTCAGCCTGAGGTAGCGGTGAGATGCCGCGTCCCGAGTGACTTTGATCCTCCAAGTACAATTACGACCAAATTACATGCAAACTTGGAATGTTACTCATATACCTCGTGGCATGGTACTACGTAATCTAATCCCATATTTCTTCCTTTTCCAAGTTTGACTTCAATCATCCTGCGTAATGAGCTCAAGAGCAGCTTTTGATCGAGGTTTGATAATACACGGGAATGGCGCCGGGTGACTATTCATAGGAACAGCAGTCAGCTAAAAATAGGACGTTTATCTCACAGTGTTCACCTTATCGTTCCTGGGCTGAGCTGTACGGGAGGTGTGATCTCATTCCCGTGTTCGTCGACGGCTTTCGAAATATCGAAGGCAGCCAGAATGGACGCCATGGCTATCCACATAGTATCAAGCGCCATGACCCTCCCTGCGCACGCGCTATTAATGGAATTAGGTTACTCTGGAACGAGATATCGGCACTTTTGCCTACCGTCTTCCAAACCCAAATACCCCATTATCGATCGGGTTGGGCAAAGTTGGATTCTCAATGAATCGGTCTGGTTTGAAGGTTTCGGGGTCTGCGAAGATGTCGGGGTTGTGAAGGATAGCCCTAACAGAGGTTTAGGCGGCATTCACACGTCGACAGCAGACTCACCATGCGTTCCCGTACACAAAGGCACCCGCTGGGATATAGTATCCTTTATAAGTGTCTGCATTAACAGCTCGGTGAGGCACGGCTAAAATAAGAATGATTAACGACGTGTCAAGATACCGGGTCCGTACTTACCCATCGGTAATACAGGAATCCAGCGAAGGACTTCCTTTAATATCGCGGTGACGTATGGGAGCTGTGTTTTATCACCAAAGTCGGGTAAACGTTCACCACCCAGTAACGCGTCGAGTTCGGCTTGGGCTGCCTTCTGAACATCGGGGTAAAGTGTCATGGCGAGGATAAATGTCGTTAGAGTTGAGACGCTCTGTCATTATTTTTTAGTCTTGTAAGTCGTATGACAACCAGAGGTCTTTTACCGTATCAGCACCTAATTAACAAGTTCTTAAGAATACAAATCAAATGAAATAAAGATGAACTGACCGGCGGCATATGCGACGGCAGCAGTGTCTTTGATGAGTTCCTCGCTCAAGCCTTGACCGGAAGCAGTCTTGTTCTGCTCGAGACAAGCAGAGACGAAGCAAGGTTCGGCATTTCCTTCATCCTTAACAATACAACAGAAGTTAGTTCGCACTGTGATCCGATCAAAGAACTGCAACATACAAATTTCCCCTTCGCCATTTCATACGGTGCGTTGATCATGGCTTCTGAGAGTTTGCGCCTACATCGTCCGATGTTGTGAAGAGAAGGAATTAAGGATAACATCAGCAAACGCTTACCACTCCCTAGCCTTTCTCTTGAACTGAGCGCCCGGGAACCACTCAGGAATGTACTTCACTACAGAATACATATTGACAGGCTGAATGGACGGGTCTGATAGACGTACTAGATGGGAATAGATCGACAAGGAAGGCTCCTGGAACGGCAGCTACAAAACTCATGATGAGGACCGTCATCATTCAGAGGGTCTGAAGAAATGGATTACCTTCGGATGTGCTTTGAGATGCTGCCTCGACCAGACGGATATAAGGGTCATTCTCATCAACTACTGTGTGTCCATATGTGCGTTTCAGAATGATATGTCCCGTGTAGCTAGGAAAAGATGTCAAGAACAGTTTCTTCCGGAGAATACATTGACGTACTGCCGAAGGTTCTCAAGATATTTTGAGGGAGAATGGATCATTAAAGACAAGAGCTCGCGACGGATGCGGAGCTGGATATGTCGGTCTTCCGATGCGCCAGAAGTGCCAATATTGAAATGGTTATTGAATACGCGTCTGTGTTCCTTCCAACGCGGCCCATACCGCATGAGGGCAAAAGTCCAGTCCCATCCTATCCGGCACACGTCTAAAAAAATGCTCTTGTATCACAACGTGGTCAGACGCACCCATTCTAATAGACATCAATGATGGATTAGAGGCTACGAGAAAGTCGGAAATTACGCACAAGTCAACAATCATGGGCATGTCGGGCCGATCTGAGTAGTTAGAGGCTCGCTTGTCAAAAAGATCAGAAACTGCGGTGGGCGAGTTCAGGATTATCATGGTCTTTCCAAGAACTTTGAGAGAGATGACATCGTCATCTGAACATGCAACAGTGTTACTTCGCTGCTATTAACCTCCAAGGTGGACTCACCAAAATTACGAGACCAATGACTGGCTCTGATATGCACGTCGTTGTTAGCCAAGTCAAGTAGGTTGCCTATAATGGGATAACCAGGAGGCGCAGGGGGGAGAGGGAGGGAAGAACGTCGACCGAAGGTCCTCCTGAGCCACAAGAAAAGCAGGACAGTCCATATGACAACGGCAAGAGATGCTGAATCCATGACGAGAAGGAAGTGAGGAGGTAACGCTGCCTCCTAGAGATGTCCTTTTTCCCGATGCCCAGTTTGCCTACATAGGAAAGTACTGAGAGACATACCCATTGGGTCGAAACCATAGTAATCAGTTACCGTTGCTCCGAAAAGGTTCCATGTCGCTCGTTGTATCAAGATCGACACTGGTCGGGCGCAGATTCGAAACAGTGAACTGAACTATAGTACAGACTTTTTTCAACGTGCTTTTTTCAAAGGTGGAATTTCATGGATCGAGGCCCTGTGGAGATGAGATGTTCGACAAGGACGGAGGTAAACAACAAAATGAGTTATCCGGGCCGGCACTGCCATATGTTCATCCATCATTTCCGTATGCATCGCGGTCCGCCTTTGGTCCACTTCAGGGCCTAGTTGGAATACACTGACATTTTTGCCTTTCCAATTGACTTCACAAATTTTCTCATGAGCTGGAACTAAGCGCCTCTTTTGACGCTTACCATGTGCTTCTTGAATTATTATGCGGTTGTTTCTTGAATGTTGTCCATACTTGATTATTTTCAGAAAGAATGATCGACCCGAGTTCACTTGGACTAATACGCGTGGTCAATCGCTCGGTTCCGGTGGCTCTGTTTCTTCCAACTGGAGCTACGGGAGGCTAAATCCCCAAATCAGTGTGAATGTACCTGGGCGGTTGGGGATTTGTTTTGGCTCGCAGTATGTTTCTAGCGCGGCCGCCGCCGATGTCGGGAAGTCGGTCGTGTTCGGAGTGAGTTGTAATATTTCCAAGGTTGCCATTCAATACAACAAGGAAATTCTAATCCGGCGAAAGGTGCTGTGGTGGTATATTGCTTTAACTCCTTCAATAATCCGTGGAAGATGGATCAGGCCGGTTATCATTTTATCTGCCGAGAGATACTACGTTTGACCTTAAGTCTACCCTGAATTCTCATAAGACGCCAACGAGCCCGCCATGGAGACATGCACATGGCTTGAATACTACCTATCGGTTCGTCTGATCCTTGATTTGAACGGTGCCTAACAGACGCCAGTTTCATGAATAAGTTGGCGCTAAAGTTCGGGTCCGTAGACGCTGACATACCACGGAACGCCGTGTTGGTAGTGTAAGTTGACCGCTCTCACCGAACGGGAGTGAACATTTGACTCGTCTGTTAATCCTTTTTGATTAGGCGCCATTCTCACATAATACATCGACCCTTTTTTATACTTTTCAAACCCATTTCGCAGCGTCGCGGCTCGCTTAAAGTCAAGAATAAGGCAGTGAGGATGATTGCGAGCCGCTGAAATAAGGCCGACTTACCGTTGATGCAGGATCGTTATGAACCATTGTAATCCCGCTACGGAACGCGGATCATATATCATCGACCCAGAGTGAAGGACCGACCTTTTCTCAGTCGTGTTTATTACTGTCAGAATATTCAATGAACGAACTACCTCAGTTTGAATTCATATTGTCTTAGCATGTAAGCGAGACGGCCTTTTCATTTTCTGGTGGTTTTTCAACTCCGCGCAGGAATGGTCGCGCAGAGTGGCGCTCGAAGCATCGACGCATGGAGTTAGATACCGGAGTTTACGCCAAGGTCGCGCCCGGATTATGTTACAGCAAGGCACGGCAGCCTCGATACACTGGTAAGATCCCAACCAGAAGGAGGGTAAATCTCGCGAACCAGTATCCATCTATGGACGTTGCAACGGGTTTCATCCACGCTATCGCTAGCAGTTCATCTCCGGTTGCCTTTAAAAATGGCCATTCAGCGATCCACTAGTTTAAGAGCGTTCCAGACTGACCTTTCAGAAATCCCCAGACCTTCCCTCCACTATTCTCAATGTCTCAACGCATCTTCCTTCCTGATACGCTTGCCAACTGGCAATGGCCGCGCCATCTCAACCCCCACTATGCTGAAGTCAAGAAGGAATCGGCAGCCTGGGCGCAAAGCTTCCGAGTAAGTTGAATGGTGGAATACGTTTATGTCGAATATTCTGACCAAGAGCATCAGGCATTCAAAACGAAGGCCCAGGAAGCGTTCGACCGCTGCGACTTCAGTAGGTCAAACTGCGGTGCCTATTGGACTTGGACTGACTGGACACCATCACTTAGATCTCCTAGCTTCATTTGCGTACCCACTGGCGGACAAAGGCAAGTGTTGCGAGTCCTAAGAACTGATTGTCCAGGCGCCTAATCCTTCCCCGTCTCCAGCGCGTCTCCGTAGTGGGTGTGACCTCATGAATCTGTAGGTGTTTGAGTTATTCCTCGGGGATATATTGTTGATGGGATCACACAGTTTCTTCGTCATCGACGAGTACTCGGACGTCTCGACGGAGGCAGAAGGTAAGCCAGCAGTAGCTTCTACCAGAGGTAACGGTTTTGACTGGCGTATCCAGTGCGCATGCAGAAGGACATAGTCATGGATGCTATCCGGAATACAGAGAAACCTCGACCTGCCGGAGAGTGGATTGGAGGAGAAGTTGCTCGACAGTCAGTACCTCACGGTTAGAGACTCATGAGCCATGGACTGATCGTATGTCATAGGTTCTGGGACCTCGCAAAGAAGACAGCAAGCACTCAAGCACAGAAGCGTTTCATCGACACCTTCGACGAGTACCTGGAATCTGTCGTACAACAGGCCGCCGACCGCAACAACTCTCACATTCGAAGCATCGAATCGTACCTCGAAGTTCGCAGATGCACTATCGGCGCGAAACCATCGTTTTCACTTCTCGAGTTTGATATGCAGTTGCCAGACGAAGTCATCAATCACCCGGTGATCAAAGAGCTCGAGAAGAGCTGCATTGATATGCTCTGCTTGGGGAATGTGAGCCATTCATCTTTCTTCAACAGGGGAATGGAGGACTCACTTGATACACTTTCCCAGGATGTCGTTTCATATAACCTTGAACAAGCTCGGGATGATGATGGGTGAGTTCCAATGTTTCGCCGTCGTTATCAATCTGACGGGCTTTAGCCACAACATCGTCACCATCGCAATGAACGAGCTCAGGACAGATGTAGCGGGGGCCATGCTTTGGATTGACGAATACCACAAGCAGCTCGAGTCCAGGTTCATGGAAAACTTCAAGAAAGTGCCGAGATGGGGGGGTCCCATTGACCTACAGGTTGCTCGATACTGCGATGGTCTAGGTAACTGGGTGAGGGCGAACGACCAGTGGAGCTTTGAGAGCGAGAGATACTTTGGAAAGAAGGGGCCAGAAATCATCCAAAAAAGGTGGATAACTCTACTGCCCAAGATGGTGTCAGAGGAACTTGGTCCTCAAATCGTTGACGGATCCCATCTTTAACGGGTATATGGTGATTTTATATATTAGATATTAATAAAGTAGAGCAAGCTAGTTTTGAAGAATATTTTTAAGAGTGTAGTGTAGACAACAAGTAGACGGACTTCGAATTTGATAATGGCTCCAAAGTGACACCATGTTACGCATGTTTGGCAAAGGCTTCGTTACTCCGTTTGAACCGAACCACCACGAAGTAACTCGACGCGATCGGTCGCTGACTATGTCATGATGGCAATCATATATAAAGGCGGCCACAGGTCATTACTTCTTTATACCTCTCCTCCACAAAATGGCATCCGCTTCGGTTTCTCAAGGCAGAGTCGCGCTTGTCACGGGCGCTGGACAGGGCATTGGCCGTGCCATCGCACTCCGACTGGCATCCGACGGATTTGACGTCGCGCTCAATGATCTTCAGGCAAACGAAGTGAACCTCGTGTCTGCGCTCGCTGCTGTAGAGGCTTCTGGTCGGAAGGGCTGCTATGTCTTTGCAGACGTTTCACAGGAAACCCAAGTTGAAGACATGATTTCACAAGTCGTTGAAAAACTAGGCGGGCTCGATGTGGTACGTTCTATTTTTGCTTGTCGAAAACGAGATCTTATTTCTCCAAGATGGTCTGCAACGCTGGAATATCCATTATGAAGTCTTTTTTCGACAGTATGATTTCCCAGCTCTTTCTTTCTCTCCCAGATTTCTCATTTTTCAACCAGCTACTGTCGAGGACTTCGATCGTATAACCTCTGTAAATCTGCGCGGCACGTTCTTGTGTTACAAGCACGCCGGAAAACAAATGGTCGCTCAGGGAAGGGGTGGGAGGATCATTGGTGAGCTCTACGTCGGTGTCTTCGGAGCTCCCTCATCAATGTCCTTCTAGGCGCGTGCTCGGGAACCGGGAAGAAAGGTGAGTAGTCGCTTAAGATATCCTGTATCTGTCCTGACAGTGTTCAGGTCAGCCGCTGTTTAGTGCATATGCGGCCAGCAAGTTTGGTATACGAGGACTGACCCAGGTTGCGGGTGAGCTCCGTTAAATATACATAAAGGTTCCCACTCACGAATACTCTTTATCAGCTTTGGAACTCGGTCCTCACGGAATTTCGGTCAATTCTTTTGCCCCAGGGCCAGTGAAGACACCTATGTGTATGAACACGCTCTTCCATTCTGCTTACACTGATGTTCGGCATATTTCTAGATGATCATTTCGAAACAATTATCGGTGCATCCAAGGGAACTCTTGAGCAAGAGGTGAGAGCTTATCGATCTTACTGTATGTTCTTGTGTCTTACACTTTCAAAGCTTAATAAATCAGCGGCTTTGGGTCGTATTGCCCTGCCCGAGGATATCGCAGTTGTAGTATCCTTCCTTGCATCTAAGGAGGCAAGTCTCATCACTGGTAAGTATTTCCTTCTCCCGTCATCAACCGTCTTTAAATTGTTCTTCTTATTAGGTCAGACAGTAAGGCTCTCTTGTGTCCATGGTTGCTATTGTAACTAACTAGGATAATTAGATTAATGTCGATGGTGGTATCATGTTCGACTAAGGGTTGCGTGTGTTCACTCTACGTTAGTTTGTCGGCTTGATATGTCATCATCGCTACTGTTTGCGAGGGGTTCTGTACTTAGTAATCGCTCGTTAGTCTCTCATCCTGTTACTAGAGACATATATCCGCGTTGTATTGGGAGCATTGTTAAAGTCCCAATTTGCTCTTCGGAGGAAGAGTTGACCTTGGGATGTTACATCAGAGCGCCCAGTGCGTCGACTGTCACTGAGTTTCAAATTGGCTTACGAACTTGCGCTATCTGATCGAATGTAGTGTTTCCAACAGTTTCCAGAGAGTACGAGATACAGCTTGAAGTAAGTACGTCTAACTTGAATTCAGGGCACGGGCATCAGTGCTATATAATTGCAGCTACGTATCAGCTGCGTATATTATGTAGCTTGCTTTCAGAATCCGGCGATCGTGTGATTATTGCCGCAATGACCGCCCGAGGAGGGCCAAAAGTTACCGAAATTGGATAGGAAGAATCGATTGTAGTTACTGGAGTTGTAATGTATGTGGCTCCAGACAGGCCCTTGTGTCCTCTCATTTGTAAACCAAAACCAAACTGGGATCTCCGAGAATTTTCCAATGACCATGACTGTAGCTACATTACGTCCTGAAAATCGCGCAGACCAAATAAGGCTGCTGCATGCTTTTACGACTCCGAGAGCGGCTTTGTGGCTAAGGAGCCTATGAAATAGATAATATAGGACCATAAGGCAGTAGCAAGCACCCATCGTTTCCGACTGTGCCACTGTTACTACACGCGGATTGCTTACGGGGAAGCTGGTATTTTTTGAACTCGGTGCTCGGAGCAGATGTGTGCCCAAGCTGTCAATGTTGTCTAGATAATCAGAAATACATAACATTGATGCTGTGGCGGGCCATGTCGGGCCAGGGGGTATGTTTGAATCAGATCAAAGGGCGATCGACCTCAAGATATGTTGTGATCAATGATTGAAACAAACCGGGCCAATCATTACCTGGTTCCCAAGCATTGAATCTGAGCGTCCAAATTCATGAGTGGTGTAAATACCTAATAGAGTGGATTTCGAGTGTGAGAAAGTATGGAGATAAAAAGTACAAGAGAGAAACGGCATGTTCAGGACGAGTTTATCAACCTCCCTTCTCCCAATTCCTCGAAGTCCGTCTCTCATCGGAAATAAGGCGTCATGATTCGGATACTCTCAGAGGAGGTGTCGCCGATATGGATTTTGACTGCGATCGCAGTAGTCGCCTACACCACCGTTCGCTACCTTCGCAGCCCTTGGCGCAACCTCCCTCCAGGACCGAGAGGCCTTCCTCTCATCGGAAACCTTTTGGAGCTTCGTGGCAAACAATGGCTCACATTTACTGAGCTAGGGAAAAAATATGGTCTGTTCTTTCCGATGTATAGGATGCGGAATAGCTGACTTGTTTCTAGGTGATCTCATGTACTTCAATGTCGCTGGGCAACCGCTTGTGGTCATCAACTCCCAGAAGGTGGCAGCTGATCTACTTGACCGTCGTGCTGGAAAATACTCCGACCGCCCGCGCAACATTGTCGCATCGGACATCATGACTGGAGGAATGTTGGTCGTATTCACTCGTTACGGGGATGTGTGAGGTCCTTTCTACTTCGTACTCGGTTCTTCCATCTGATATTTAGAGCTCAGCTGGCGTCGGATGCGCAAGGCAGCTCACGAGGGACTCAACAAGGGTGTCGTATATAAATACCATCCGATTCAAACCGCGGAAGCTGTTCTTCTTACAGCTGGTGTGCTCGCGGAGCCCGAAAAATGGAATTCACATCTACGTCGCACAGCCGCATCTGCCATTATGTCCATGGTATACGATACGCCTCCAACATCAGAACAAGATCCATCAGTCAAGAGTATTAACGAATTTGTCGCACGTTTGACTCGTGCTGCTATGCCTGGCGCCCACTTTGTAAGTTGCTCTCTGTGCTTGGTTTGTTTCAATCATGCCTATGGTACCAAAGGTGGAATTCTTCCCCTGGATGCGGTATATCCCCAGCAAGTGAGTTTCGTGAGGTCCTGTGTAAGCATGCATTGACGACTCCCCTTCTAGGTACGCAAAGTGGAAGCGTGAAGCAGAGGAATCATACGCTAAAGATTCTATAATGTTTGAAGGGCTCTTCAACAGTGTCAAGGATCGCATAGTACGTGAACAGCAATCACGTCTTGGTAGTTGATACTCATTCGTTTTGGTAAGGCCAAGGGTGACGAGCGTCCCAGTCTTGCGGGTACTCTGATTCAGGACGCAGGAAGACACGAGTTAACCGAGAGAGAAAATTCTTGGTTGGCCGGAACTATGTAGTACGTCTTCTTTAACTTTGCCAGATGTCCTCGTCTCGAGCTCCAATAGCGCTGCAGGTGCAGAGACGACTTCAGGAGTTATGTCCTGGTGGACTCTGGCAATGGTCGCCTACCCCGAAACACAAAAACGAGCCCAAGCAGAACTCGATGCTGTCGTTGGACGCGATCGCTTGCCTTCTTTCGCTGACTATGAGCATTTGCCATACATTCGCGCAATGGTCAAGGAGGCCCTCAGATGGCGCATGGTGGTACGTCCACTTTTTCTATGGTGTCGCACGATGCACGATACTAATCGATGACTCCATTACAGGACCCAGTCGGTGAGTATGAATTTCGAGACGAACATTCCCGATTTCTGATAGACGGTCCCTAGGACTTCCTCATAAGTCAACGGAAGACGATGTATATAATGGATACTTCATTCCCGTAAGTGTGGAATACCCTTGGTGTCGTACGGTGCTCATCCACTATACACACAGGCCGGTACCATCCTCATCGCGAATGTCTGGCACCTCAACAGAGATCCAGAGATTTATGGGCATGATGCAGAACATTTCAACCCTGCCCGGCATCTCGACAAGGACGGCAAGTTGGCGCCTGGACCCGTAGACACGAAGGAGGAAAGGTTCGTTAATATCTGGTTCGCAGACGCAATAAGCTGATTATGTGCAGTCACGTCACTTACGGATTCGGGCGACGGATTTGCGTCGGGCGGCACGTTGCAAACAACTCCTTGTTCATTGATATAGCAATGATGCTTTGGGCTATGAACATTGAACGTGCCACCGATGAAAACGGTGTCCCTCTTCCGCTGGATGTCGATGGATGCGTTGAAGATGGACTGGTCGTGTAAGTCGGGCACTATTCTACGTCCAGGCAAGTATTGATTATCCCCACAGTCGTCCGATCCCTTTCAAGGCCAAGATAACTCCAAGGTTCCCAGAAGCACAGGCAATAGTAGAACAAGAGCGAGAACTCCTTGGATATCACTGAGGGCTGTCGGAAAACGTGTTTCTTTCTAATTTTCACAATGTATAGTGCATTAAGCTGTAGAACAATCCATCATTTAATCAGAATGATGTCACTGGTCTCGATTACTTACAGAAGAGTTCCTAGCATTGAGATGGTACGTGAGCGGGGCATGAGTGAGCCGATATACGGAATTTAAAATTGAAAAATAGCTTACCTTGGATCTTGATCAAGCCATGATAGGTGACTGTGTTTTGTGAATAACTCCTAGTAATATTTTCTAGCGGTACAGCTACGTGTTTATCGACAATGCCCTAAAGCGCTCCTTGAGCTCCGGAGATCGTTTCATCGATGCTATGTAGTCCAATAGCTGTTTGAGGCGTGATCTAAATGAAGCAAACAAGCTAATGAAGGTACCTTCGAAAAAGAGTGATGATAAATAAAGAAAAAAAAAATCCAAAATAGCACACCATGATCCAACATTGCAGATCTGCATCACTCACTGAGTGTACATCTGTATGTACAAACCGGATTAATCGCTTGATGTACCATTTTCGACGTCAATCACGCGATGGAGATGGATACGGATATTGGAGTGATGAAAGCTGAGGACCAAGAAGCACCAGCCACGTGGACATGTGTCCGAGTCGTCCGTTTTTGCCAGAACCGTCACCGCTTCGAAGGTATGTTGGACCTCGTTGGTTGACTTGTGTAGTGGAATTTCCTCGTAGAGATTAATTCCATATTGATCTCCCTTTTGACTGCACCATGACTAACAACACATACGATGTTATGATGCCTGAGGAGTGCCGAATGTTCGATATCCAGCCAATCGACAACCTTCACTCGCCCACTGTTCATGTCGACACCGAGAATGTCAAGCAAGGAAGCCTTCACATCATTTGGTGCTTTTAGCTTCCAAATGACTTGGATCTTACGTTCGCGATCAGGCAAGATACGCAGAGCCATCGCAAGCTGGTGAACATTCATCTCATCCATTTTTACGTGAGTTTCCAAGTTGACGAGGATAGCGGCAGCACGATCAAGCCATGCGACGATTTCGCGGTCACGTTCTTCGACGGGAGACGCGGAAACAAGGATAGGATCACATAGGGTGACGCTGTCTGGGATGGCACAAGGAAATTCAGTTTTTGGTGTAGCTGGACAGAGATAGTGTTCTTGCAGCATGTACGGGTTAAAGACAGGAAGGGTTCCGGTAAGCCCATTTCTCTGGCAATACCTGTTGAGTTCCTGGATCTTTGTGGAATAGCCCACAAAGAAGACCAAGGCGCAGGTGGGAGAAGGTTCTTGGGGATGTGATACTAGGGTACAGGGTACGAGAGACCAGACGACAGAATTGGGTACCGGAATATCGATCTAAATGGTTGAATGGTGGCAACGATGTCCTGCACGAAAAATACATATGTTCAAACATGAATGTGGCCTGAAAACCGGTAATGGCTCACCCTGGTTGAGTTTGGCGACAGAATAATGAACTTTAGACCTAGAGAACGACAAGCATCTATGGCCTGACTTGATAACGGCTCTACGACGGTAGTATGGGCTTCGATCTTCTTAATGATGCTGACACAGCCGCTGTAGACTTACTCGTACTCTCGACCCGACCATGGGACTGCGCAGTGAGGTAGATGTTTGAAGCTCTCGAAGACACCCAATATACTGATAGCTGAGTGAGGTATAGGACCGAGCCCGGAAATTTCCCAGGTTTCAGCCATGCTTACTCCGTCGAGAGGATGAAACTTTATATTTGCAGAGCGTCCCGTAGTCCGAATGGACCTACGGAGTTTCTCGATCCAAAGGAAGTGCTTCCCAAGCCAAGTCGATGTCAGCAAAAGATACACATGAACGTGACACTCACATTACCGGGGAAAGAGGCGATATGTACCGCTACATTTGGCCGAAGAGCGATTTCGTATGCAACTGAAAGGACCACATTAGCCTGTATGTATTCGCTGTTCGTGAAGAACAAAATTCTCCGGGAAGTGGTGGTTATCATAGTAGACAGGATAAAATAGTAAAATCATCTGTCCGTGCTATGTGTCAATAGCAACGTATTTCAGACGGGATACTAGGGACCATAACTTGACATTTCAGGACAACCTCCTGTATACAAAAATATTCAGAGAAATTACTGAACCCACTCCTGGTAACGAGCTATTTTAGGTCCGGAAAAAGCAGCGAAATAGAGTGGATAACAAGACTGATTTTGGGGTATAGAAGTCTTCTGACAAGAAAAGGGTCTGCCTGAGCGATCGGAGAGGCCAAAAGCGCGCCGAAGTACCGTTTCGTATTTGTGAAGGACAGATTCTGTCCGATATCCGATTGTAAGGTAAGGCGGGATTAAGGGGCGGAAAAAATACGACCTTGTTACGCCGTGAGACTTAAAAACGCCAGCAAAAAGTTTGCTTGCATCAACTCCATAAACTCTAGTGGATACCTGTGAATTGTGCACGGTCACTATACCTACGCCTTAAACCACTAGCACATTTAGCCTTGCTCAGCTTCCGAACGATACAATTTTCATTGTACAGGACTCAGAAATGAGGGAGAAACAATTTGTGGGAGGGGGTATGGAGATCAGAAATCTTGTGTCGATCAAGGTTTGCCTAATCGGAATTTTTGAATCACCGATCGCTTGCTGACGCGGGCCGAGATTCGCTATCTCGGCTGACATTGTGCCATTCTGACGGACCGTTTGAATTGTACCAGTGTTTATATCGCAGGGAGCCGCTAGTATTGGCGGCATGATGTTTGTCTTTAATATCTATCTTTCAATACCCCAGCAGCAATGCCTCCAAATTTGGACGACACGGTTGCGGCGCCGAGTTGGGGACTGTTGGGGAGGAGCCGAAATATGCCGATTTGCGGCAGTAACTGTAGGTTGTGCGTAATGTAAAAAATTCTCGCTTGGTTGTAATTGATAAGTACCCACTATTTCCGCCTTACTTAACAATCTCCAGGCACTGGGTCTTTAGCCTGTGAATATGAGAAGGTGAGAAAGCCTGATTATCATCCACAGTCTGTAATCCATGTATTCAACATCTCGCGAGTCGCAGGCAAGGCAAAGCAAAGCTGTGAAACTTTCTTTCTATCATATTATCGGTGTGGATAGTAGTAGCAGCGTAAAGTCTACTGAAGAGCCGCCAGGACATTGTGTAGGAACTAAGATCGTCAACTTTTGACTGGATAGAATTCATATTAGAAACATTTACGTGGCCGAGCGAGAAAGAACGACCGACAGGGACAATGCCGATGAACCAGCTGGAAGTCTGCAGACCGTTGTTGTTGAGTGAGGCATGGTCTTCGGATTGAGAATGTATCACAGACAGTACAAAGGAGTCCCTTCATATAACTCAGAAAGTGGACTGCATTACCGGAGTGAAGCAACGACTCAGGAGCCAGGATGCCCCGGAATTCCTTGTCAGAAAATCTGCTGGCCCATGTTCAAGGAGAATAGGAACGACGACTATGTTTTCTGCAAGCTCTCGTTCTCAAGAGCTCTTGCATACATCGCTCTTTGGTGGGGGTGCTGCATTGAGAAACAGGACTGTTGCGGTCCCGAGAGAGTCGCACAACGTGGTTATTGAAATTCCGTGCATGTCGCACGTCATGGTCATCAGCCCACTCCGATATCCAGCTTGAACCAGTACCGCCACGATGTTGCCCAGCAGCTCAACGAGAAAAATTTTTCTGAGGATTTTCCCCCGTAGGTAAGTCTTCTGGTGCGTAATGAAGGATGTGTGGTACTTATCTCTTCACCCCTGTGAATTGTTTTCAGCACTCCGACTCAAAGGTCAGCTCGAAAATGGTTTTGACGACGGGCAGGCGGGCGTTTCCAAGAAACTATGATGATATCGATTAGTCGAGGTCCAGACAAGATATACTTGCCTTCCTGAGCTCAGCAATATCCTTTGCTGGTGGACGTCCACCGAACACCCATCCGTGGAACCTGATGGTGAGAAGAATATTAGGCGCTCGTTCCAGGAATTCGATGCGCGTGACGGCTTAGTCTATCACATCAAGAACCACCACCAAGTTTATCTCTTCTTTTTCGAGTATTATGGCACACGTATCGCCTGCATGGTTTCTGGCTGCTGTAGCAATTGCCACCTTCATCGTCGTTCATCACATCCGTAGCTCTTGGCGCAAGCTCCCACCTGGACCTAGAGGGCTTCCTATCATTGGCAATCTTCTCCAGCTACGTGGCAAACAATGGCTCACGTTCACTGAGCTGGGAACGAAATATGGTATGCACTCTCCATTTGCGCATGATTTCCAGTTTCACACTATGCTCTAGGCGACCTTATGTACTTCAGCATTGCTGGGCAGCCTCTAATAGTTATCAACTCTCTGAAGGTTGCCGCAGATCTCTTAGATCGTGCAAAGTTTTCGGATCGGCCACGCAACATCGTCGCCTCAGACATAATGACTGGAGGAATGTTCGTCGCGTTCGCTCATTATGGAAATTCGTAAGCTTTTGACCTCACTGGTCTAATGTACGCACCTGATATCGCAGCTTAGCTGGCGCCATATGCGCAAAGCAGCTCATGAAGGCCTTAACAAAAACATCGTGAACCAATACCATCCGATCCAAATCAAAGAGGCAGTCCTTCTTGCAGCTGATATGCTAGCAGGGCCCGACCGATGGCTAGCGCATGTTCGCCGTACCGCCGCATCTACCATCATGTCCATTGTATACGATAGGCCTCCAACTTCCGAACAAGACCCATCCATCAAACGCATCAACGATTTTGCTACTCGGTTGACTCGTGCTGCTATGCCTGGTGCTCACTTTGTGAGTTTATTCTCATCTGTTAAACCCGATCTTTGATTGATACCCGCGACCCCAAAGGTGGAGGCTTTCCCCTGGATGCAGCATATCCCCAGCAAGTAAGATTATACAAATCGTCACGGGAACACGGGCTGATACCTGATTTGCCAGATACGCGAAGTGGAAAAGAGAAGCGGAGGGCTGGTACGCCAAAGATTCGTCCATGTTCGAAAGCCTCTTCAAGAGTGTCAAGGATCGAGTTGTATGTGCCCGATGGACGCCTCATCGAAAGCTGATACTAATTCACTTGTGTAGGCCGAAGGCGATGAGCGTCCCAGCTTTGCAGCTACTCTGGCGCAAGGCGCCCGAAGGCATGGGCTGACCGAACATGAAAACTCCTGGCTGGCGGGAGCTATGTAGTATGTCTTCTCATCAATTTCTGTGTAGTGACTCCCAATCTGATTCTTCGGTAGCACGGCTGGTGCTGAATCGAGTTCAGCGGCTTTATCCTGGTGGATGCTCGCTATGATCTTGTACCCCGATGCGCAGAAACGAGCCCAAGCAGAACTCGACAAGGTCATCGGTCGCGATCGACTCCCCACGTTCGCAGATCACGAGCATTTGCCGTATGTCCGTGCAATGGTAAAGGAAACTCTCAGATGGCGCCCAGTGGTATGTTTTCTGTCTCGGTACCTTGCTTGATGCGAACTGATGTCTTCGTGTAGGATCCAGTCGGTGTGTTTGACTCTTGAGATACACGTGAAAGATATTAATAATGAGTCCCCAGGGCTTCCTCATCGGTCGACAGAGGACGATATCTATAACGGATACTTCATTCCTGTAAGTCTAATGACACTTTGTTCGCTGTCCCACTCATCTGGCATGCACAGGCGGGTAGCATCCTCCTCGCCAACGTCTGGCATATTAATAGAGATCCGGAGAACTTCGGGCTTGATGCCGAGCACTTCAATCCTGCCCGACACCTCGATGAAGCAGGCCAACTCGCTCCAGGACTTGCAGGCACCAAGGAAGAGAGGTTCGATCACGTCCTTCCTGAAACATCCTTAGCCTATGCTGATATATATATGAAGTCACGTCTCTTTCGGCTTCGGTCGGCGTATCTGTGTTGGGCGACATATCGCTAACAACACCCTATTTGCTATCATAGCCACGTTGCTTTGGGCTATGGACATAGAACCTGCCACGGATGAGAAGGGTGTTCCCCTTCCGTTGGATGTTGACGGATGTGTTGAAGACGGAGTGGTGGTGTGCGTAGCCCTCGTTTGGGATTGCGTGCAATTTATATTGATCGTCTGTCTTGTAGCCGCCCGATGCCTTTCAAGGTCAAGGTAACTCCAAGGTTCCCGGAAGCACAGGCTATTGTGGAACACGAACGGGAGCTTCTTGGTCACTACTAAATGGAAAGGATTCAGTAATTGTTCTATCTTCTCGAATGTTTTGTGTACTTCACTATAGGGAATTAAGCTATCAGTTATAACAAGACGTCACTCGCATAAATTCCATGCAGGTGCCTTCCTGTGTGCATGTGATGAGAGCATCATCCAACAGGCGGGTCTGGAAAGGAAAGCCTATGCTGGATTATGCTTGGGCACTGTTACGACAGCCTGGAGACCTTGGACTCTCATTTCGCTAACTCCTAGGAACCCTGAGAGATCGTACGATATGTTGACAGTCGTTTTTGTTCTAGACCAATTCAACGATAATGCGCCGCCGATGAAGACTGTCGCAATCGCGCCTCAAGACGCAAAGGATCGGAGGATCCAGGGACGCGAAGTGGCGGTCTCTTGAATGACTGCAGCAACTTGTAAACCAACTGTTGTAGGCGACAGCTAGGTCTAATGACAGAATGACATGCTGTTGCCACAGGCTTTTGCAAGAATCTGCTGACATGATGTAGATGATAACTATTAATTGATATGAATTCGGTACCTTTGTGAGTAACCATCACTATATTCTACCGAGGTCCAAATGTCTTCTAGGCTACATTGTGGCCCGGTTGAGATGAGAGTTATTGTACAATGAATAAAACACCATAAAAAAGCTTGGGTACGAGGGTATAGGAGCGTGCTTGCACTAGGTCCGAAGTCACTGGTTCAGGTTTGATTTTGATGCCGCGGCTGATCGAGGTTGACAACGTGGATCACCTTGGAAATCGATCACCCGCGATAGCGGAGGTAAGTCCGAACCTTGGGGAATAATAAGTAATGGAACTTTTAAAGAATGGCAATGTTGCATACGCGTAAGTTATACGGCTACACACTTATTATATTCAAGTTTCACTATTTCCGAAACGCAACGCGTAACGCAGCCCGTTGCGACTCCAAAAATACGGTCATAACGCGTACTAACAATGGAACGGGTTTCCTTATTTTCAAAGCGCTGAAAAACTGAAACTTCCGCAGTCAACAGCAGCGTTAAGTTCTCCATTTGCACAAGCATAACTCGGTTTCAGCTCCACAAATCTTGGTAGTATCGCAGTCGGAACGGACGGAAAGTAATACCCTTCGCGTTGATCCGCTTAAACACTGCCGGGGCCCACTTCGTGAGTTGTCTTATGCGCTGACTGCGGTCTACTACGGGTTGTTCTCTAACTCCCAAATTACCTGGGCCACACCGAATAGTCAGTACTGATGACCAAATGGGTGGCGAGAAGTTCTTCTCTTCAGGTTCGGGTGACCGCGCATCACCGACCGAGGGTTTCAAGGGCTTTTTTGGTCTATCACTTCCTCTCAGTGGGAACACGGCCATCTGGAGGGTACACATAACAAATTGGTTTGTTGAGTTGACCAGAACCATACGTTATTTTTCCGGCTTTTGGAGACTGGCCGATGACAGAATTTCGTCCTCGTCATATTGACGTGGGCATATCAGGAATTAGCTTCGGCCCCCGCTTAGCACGTAGCAAGCAGATAACGCGTCTTCGAAGGCGGAGCGCAAGTAGCCATAATCCGAAGAAGTGTTCTGATAAGTCCTTTCACATGCATTCGTTCAGATGGAGCGGTGGCGATCATTGTGGATAAAATTCCGGAGATTTGGTATATTCTATAGTCTTATTCTAACTGACGGACCTATTCTCATGAATCTTAACGAGAATAGCATCGTATCATACATTGTCTGTCAGACAAAGTTCCTCTAATCTTGCTCAAATGGCGCGAAAACCTGGCGTGCATCTGCAAACGCATTCTCGACCATGCGTTTCTGTTCTTCGCTCCTCACTTGAATGTCACACTTGAACGGTTTCGGTATCGTATTGAGGCTCTAAAATTTTTTGTCAAGATAAGGGTGATCCTCGCAGAAGAGACAACACGCACGATGTCATATTCATTGATATCCACAGGGATCGGCTTCTTGGTCTGTGGGTCGATAGCGTTGGTCAAGTTGAACGCCCAGATGAGATACATGCTCGTAATAGCCTTTTTTTCATCCAGGTGAGCATACGAAATGGCATATCGCAACGTTAAATCAAATTTACCAATGAGTTCTGTCCGAGATGCATGCCAACGCAGATACGCTTGGAAAAAGTCAGACAACCTCGATGTACATAAAACAAGCGTGCTGCTCACCCTACCGCCACCGAAGAAGATATCCTTACTCCGACCTGTGTCATCCGCTCCAGGCTTTGTGCCAAACGGCGACGTCAAAAAACGCTCGGGGATGAATGACTCTGGCTGATCATATGAGTCTGGGTCGTGTAGCATTCCCCCTGAAATAAGATGGGAGCTTTAGTTCGTAATGGTACACGGAAAGTACGATACGCACATTGATTGATGAAGATCATAGAGTTTTTCGGAATCATGTAACCGTCAATCTGAAGCGAGTAAATATCACTTTGTGAACGTCAGAAGCTGGAAATTGAAAAGCGCACAATTTCAGGCTGAGTACTGTAATGTGGTGCTCCCAGGGCAGTAATAGGCCGGAGGCGCAATACCTATGGTATACACAATAAGCGAAGGTATAGAACAAAGACGATGAGAAGAGTTCACCTCTTTAATCACGGCTGACACATAGGGAAGATTGTCCATATCATCAATGTCAGGCAACCGATCCAGTCCCACGACCGTGTCTATTTCCGCACGAGCCTTCGCCTGGACCTCTGGGTGCGCTACAAGCATAAGAATGAAGCTCTGCAGATATATAGACGTCGAATCAGACCCGCCCTCCATAAGCGCGGAACACATCCCCCTACAAACCATAAATTTGCGGGAAATGGGCAAGCATACTTTTTGAACGTACCGTAGCAAACCACGGTCCACATCCTTGTTCTCCAGCTCACCTTCCAAGAAACAGCCGTTGCGCGTACCCCTTTCAACGCGCTTTGCGCAAGCGTCGATAAGTCCGCCGTATAGCTCTTCCTGGGAGGCCTTCATTTTGGCACAAATTTGTTTCCACTGTCCGGGGATGTACTTCAAGATGGGTACCATGTCAACAGGAGGGTGGGCACCAGGTTCGAGGAGGTTAGTCCATTCGTGCTGCATCTGGAAGAAAGAGGTGACGAGCGGGCTGGTGCGGTGGGGCGATCGGGTACCAGCGAGGATTGAGGTGATCACCGAATTGGCGTAACGCTGGCCATGAGCAACAAAATCCTGACAATGGCTGTGAGCTTTTGCCGCTTTTTGCGTAAGTTTAGAGAGTTTACCTTAGGCTCGACAAGGTAGTCGTGCATCAACTGCGAAGCCTCGGCGCGTTGGATAGTTAAATGATTCAAACACGCTTTCTTCGTAAGCATCGAGTGCATGACACGACGTCCTCGTCGCCAATAGTCCGCTGTGAACAAGGAGTTAGCCTACTGAACAAAAAGGCAAAGTACAGAGAAGTTCGTACAGTATCGGGCGAACCCAACGTTGTTCCCGCCAGTAACGACGTTCGAAAAATGCGACGGTGGACGATCTGAGGTGCTCGCACTCTTCTGATCAATCAGCTCACGAACGGCGCGAGGGCTCGTCGCGACAATGACTGTTCCGGGACCAAATTTCAACTGTCGTAGTTTCAAAACATGGTCATGACAACTTTCATAAGTAATTCTTACCGAGAAGATCCCCCCGAATTCCTTTGCCCAGGCGGTGAATCTGTCCGGGGACGTTCAGGAGAAGACTATAGAATGTCGCCGCCACTCACTGTAGATGCACATGATGTTGTGGGAGCTGGTGGAGGTTACCTACCAGCGGTAGTGTCGACGGCCCAGGAGGAAGGCCACTCTCCCTTTTCCCGATCCTAAGTAAGTAGAGGATCAAGGGGACCGTTAAGAGTGAAAGGGCAAGAGCGTATGCTGAGAAGAGGGCCATTGTCCGAGTGTGATAGATTACGTCAAGATAATTGTGCTGGCTTTAATACAGATGAGAACGGGTACGGCAAAAACCCAAAACCTACTCATATTTCATCATGCGGGAGGTATTGGCTCAGATGATTAGCGTCATGAACCTCGACCGGCTCATCTAACAGTGCTATCATCAACCTTTCGGGATCCAATTTTGGACCGGGTGCATATGGGGTCGGGTTGTAAGGTGGCGACTATTTTGGGGTTTGCAAAATCATCGGAAATTCGAAAAAGATTAAGATAGAAATCAAAATCCATGTTGAACACAGCAAACGCCTCAGGTTTTCCAAATGCGGGAACGCTGATGGGCTTTTTTTGCTGCAAGCCAAATCCTAGTTTAAGGTTTTGGCTGTTTCCGTTTCACTAGGACATCCGACGGATACGCACGGACGGATGTACCTGCTCGGCACCGCTGGCCGTGCAAGCTGTGTTCGATTTGGAGCAGGACTGGCAAAAGGAGAAGTCAATGATACATACCTTCAACAGGCAATTTCAGTGGATACGGGGCACGCGATCCAGGGAAACCTTGACGCGATGTGTCGGACAAATACGAAGTTCTAAGGAAGGCTTCCTTGTTGATGGTAGCACTGGCCTGAAGTCCAGACTCTTCACCACATCACTGTTGGCCTCTGTCGGCCTTCACGTCATACAATCGCAACACGTCTGGACATTGTCATGAACGGGGTAAGCAGCTATCGCCACCGGAAGAAAGGGCATGAGCGACCCACTTTCTCTCACTGACCAACGACTCAACTCGCACCCGCTTATACATCGTTTTTTACATCGCTTGGCTTGGCGCCAAAGTATATTCTGATTTCTGCAGAAGGCAAGTTTGACAATGCCTCACGGGTATAATCGCCCTTTTGTCTTGTACAAAATGCATTTGGAAAAGGAAACTATAAGGTTTTTTTTACCTTCTCGGTTCATTCTGTGGTCAGTGAGATAACGTTTTAACCGCAGTTAACAAAGCATATACTTGATTTCGACATCTTTGAACCCAAACTATCAGGTTTTTTTCGGGTCCATTATTCAGAGATCAGGCTTTTTTCCGACTAGTTTTGCGGACAAGCACCTTGAACGGCATGGAGCAAGTTGCAGGTCGCTGTCACAGTGTTTCGATCGTTCTTCATGGTCCAATCCTTTACAGAGATCCTGTTGCTGGAGTCTGCAACCCGTCAGCCTCATTCTGGCAGACGAACTGCAAGCGTAAGTGCGCACCGTGCAATCCATCAATGATACTAGTTAAGAACCAGTTAGTCTCCGGCCTTTCCGCTGTTCTTCATTTCCGAGTGACAAAGAGTGCTATGCACCTACATGCAGAAATAGCCTTACAACCCGGGTTGCTTACAGCGGATACTGTGCAGGATAAGGCTATTCGACGTTGGATTATTGGGATGACGGGGTGATGAAGATAGAAGGCACTCCGATTATCTCCGATCCAGGTCCGACCTTCCCACTACTTACCCACGATTAACCTGACCGGGTAAATATTCTGGTAAGGAATGCCAAGCCATCATCTAGTATATGAACGGAATCGCAAGTTTACCGGTACATGTAAAGCTCGTCGTATCGAAGGAAACCTACCTCGCTATCCTTGCCTTTCCGGAGAAGCACCAGTTCCTCTTTCTTCAACGTATTCTATTACCACCGCCAGGGTTCCGACACTCCCCCCTGCCAAGTGACTCGTTCAGCGATGAGCAGTAAGAAGTCGGCGCGTATTCACTACGCCTACACCCTGGGATTGGAGGCGAGTTGAGATGTTGCACAATGGAATGGCGGATGTGTCCATTGGATGCACATCAACGCAGCGGCCGCTGGAAGCGACATCGACAGAGCCGGAGGGGCATTATGCCCTCAAAATCGTTGCTGAGAACACAGATCTCGATGCCATTGGTGAGGGCGACATGCAGCAACGGCGTGCCAACTCTTCGTCAACGGTAGTGTAAAAGCTCTTGGTGCCGCTGCGATAAAGATACTCACAGCTAGGCCCTCAGATCTCAGATTCCCAAGTGAAATGTTCACAAAGCATCGGGTGTTGTGGCAACTGGCCACAGATAGCCATACTGAGATCTGCCACTCCAGTAGTAGCAGTCAAAAATTGAATATATTCCCGCCCGATTCAATAGAAAATATAAGGAGGAAGAGTTATTTCGCCTAGTAGTAATGTATCAGTCAAAGATCAAAATTCTAGAACTGGAAACGCACCCTTCACAATCCTAGAATCCACACGCCCTAGTTTGTTCATTTCGGGCATGCATTCAAACCGCAAAAAATTGGGAAAATATTCTTCCATACCGCCGTAAGCTGACCACTGAGTATCAAAGTATTCTTCATACTCTGACTCTGCAAGGCCATAATCGATGTATATCCCAAGTCGGACTGTGAACCGTAGTGGATGTCTAGCGAGGATGTGATCTAGCTCTTGCCAATCCGATCGATATTTTGGCAACAGACTCGTGTCGAAGGGGCTGACGGCAACCTCGATATATATATCTTCCACACTGCATGGAATTGTCTCGAAGAACCGGTGCCCCAGTGGAGATGGCCATCGTTCCACAGCGTCGACCGGTTCCAACGCACTGTAAAAGCGCAGGCAGGTTGAGAAGTTACGAAGGTGTCTCAGCTGCCGTAAGTCAATGGGGCTCCCAGCGGCTAAGTAGGAACGTCATAAAATGCAGATATGCAGGAGAAACAACATACGGTACTTCCAACATTCAAGACGCAACGTCAAACTCTCTAAAGAAGAGTTGACGAGAGAAAGGAGGGATGCTACAGTGAAGACATCCGCATCAACTGCTACGACCTTGAGAATACGTAGACTGCTTAAAGATATTGTAGACTGTGGGGAGAACAAATGCTCGATGATGGAACCGTTCAGTTCTAAATCCAGTGTGGATGGGTAACATCGATGAGACGGTGCTAGATGGTTCGGAAAGCTGATGTCCTTGATGATTATTCTACTCATGGCGATAGTCTCAAGCTGTTCGAAGCAGGAGAATAGGGAATATAAATGAGCGATGGTGTCGAAATCCATTTCATTCAGAATGAGATGTCGAACACTGGAAATTGAAAAGGGCGAAGGAAAGGAGCCAACGTTGAGCATCATCGCCTTTGTCAGTGAAAATTGCATTTGGACCTGCTGAAGATTGGGAAGGAGCTGCAAGAGGGAGAGAAACATGCACTGGTTACCAGTTTGCTCCTCCAGACACCAGTAATCTAAGATCAGGTGGCGAATCGATGCTGGCATATACTTTGAAGCTTGAGACAACTGTCAATGAGGTGACAATCGTGACGAATTTCCACGGTCATAAAGAGGAGCCTGCGACTGGGAGGAAGAAAGTCGGAATGAGTTAATGAACATGCTTTGAGAGAGCGAAAGTCGAAGCGAAGATAGTCAAGAATTTCTTCCAGTATCTCCTGAGGGACAATCATAGTAGATGATGATGGTGGGGACTGAAATTAATCGGGTTGTAGTAACCGGTCATGTCTCGGTCGGCCGAAACTTGCACCAAGGATCAGTCCCCGTGTTAGTCCCTAGGAGAGCATAGCAACAGCACCACTGTCTAAGGTATTCTCTTAGGTCCATACTTACAGGCGCCTTTGGTGGGTGTTGCCCAAGGGCATCAAGTAGGGCTTTTTTGATAGCCGTCACGACATCTCGAAGATCCGACATGGTAGGAAACCGAGCCGGGAGCGCCCAAGGTGTTTTAGAGCCAAAGGAGATGAGACGGCGGTTACTCCTAGAACATCACCTACGATTACGAAGCCCATATTGTCACCGCGCCGGACGAGGAGCTCAACCTCAGCATGAAGATTAAAGTTCCACGTCCCCTCATTCCCTCAAGCAGGAACCAATCCCGGGAGGGAGAGGACACTTTGATGTTTTCGAAAGTTTCTTGATAAAAATCCAAAGCCAAGATGAACAAGCAAGCCGCCTCAAGATACGCCCAGCTTCCAGGCTTGGTGATTGGGCCTGGGGAAGAGACACGGCCGTAGTGGATCTGTACGTACTAATACTCATCTGGTACCCCAGTCCACATTCGGACCGAGCTATCCCGAGAATCCGAAGGCTCGTCGCTCAATATTCAGTCCACACAGTCGACAAGATCAGTGGGAGCGAGCATCTCAGCCATCAACCAATGGTCAGAGACCTCATGGGACGAGCACCATTACTTTATTGAGGAGGCTTTGGCGCCAAAACTTCAAAGGATTGAAGATTCATAAGCCTTAGATGATAGCGGCCCGGAAAAGTCTCCGGAGAGAATATAAGATAGCAAATTCAATGCATGGAACAATTTACTATCAGAAAATTTCCATGATGCGGAGAATATTGTAGGAACTGAACCGTTTGGCTCTAATGCCGCAGTAATCCGAGATTAAAACAGGGCAGCACCCAGGACAGCGCTGAGCACAAGAGTAATCCACATCTTGGCGTTGCATAGAGCCAGTGAAAGAGCGCCATTGCTGTCGGTGGTTGAGGCGGCATTCTTGGCGGAGACAGAGCCCGATGCAATGATAGACGATGATGCCTTGCCAGACGCAGTGGTCGACGACGCATGTGCGGATGTGGAGGTAGCTCCGGCGGTCGTACTTCCAATTGGCGCGGTGGATTGACCATCAATTTCTGCCTGGACGGATGCGTTGAATGAACCGGTCATGCTTTGGATTCTAGTTTACACATTCCTCGTCAGCGAGAACAGAAATATGTATAGCGATGAGCACATACGTGAATTTTGCCGAAAATCCAAGAGCAGGATATCTTGCATCACTGGCGTCCTTGAGACTATTGGATTCAACACGGATGAAGCTGGATTCACGTGGAGTTTATTGAAACCGAAACAGAAGTTGCATGGTAAAAAGAAGACATACTATTGATCACTGTTACCGCCAACGCTCGCATCCGGGGTAAATTCGATTGTCGATGTCGTCGAAACGTCGACATTCTCAGCAATGACTTGGAGAATAGTCTGCAAGAATAAAGTCAGTCATACGGATGTAATTTAGAGCGCTGCGGAACGTCGATCATGTACAAATATGGTGAAGATACGAGCAGCACTGGATCTTCACCTGGGATATCGCGTTTCCTACAGCTAGGGAGAATTTCGACGCGCCAAATTCACTTAGGGAAGGCGAATCGGTAGTGTCCTGCCATGCAATACTAGCAGATTGGCCTGCAGTCATCACAGTGGAAGCCACAGGATTCGTGATCTGGGACAGACACCGACTGATTATCAGCTGGTAAAATTAGAAAACCGTGCAGAAACATACGTAGATGTTAGCCAAGGCAGATGAGGCGAGACCGAAGAGGACGAAAGACAAGGAGAACATCTTTGCAAACAAAGTTCAAAAATGGGGAGTTGAATGATAGAAACGAGTGGAAGATTCAAGAGAATGTGGGGGTGGTGGTATCTAATGATAATATTCAGACGAAGGCACCTTCTCCGCGAGAAACAGTGGTGGGAATATGGAAAAAGATGAAGAAAATGAGCGCCTTCGTGATGGCGTTTTGGTTCCAAGCTCCGCTCAAAATCCTGCCGTGCAGCGTGCATGGTGCCTTGCCACGCGACTTGCTGTTATGTTGCCTGACCCTGGCATCGCTATACCAACTTTTTATGTGAAAAATCAGAAACGGTTTGTTCAACAAAATATCTTCCTACCCTGTTGAGCGCCCTGCAGTGATCCTTGTGTGCGATTGTAGTTTTGGTGATTTTGTAGCCTGAACTTTGAAATGGTAATGCCCACGTCAATTGTTGATAGCCGGTGACCGGTAATTAAAGGTGCGTTTGTTCATTCGTAGAGATTCGTAGCTGGTACCATGGTAAAGTAATGGCAAGACCTTGAAGCGCTGCTTGATTGAGCGTTTACACGTTGCTTTCATTCTTTTGGCCAAATACCAGGGTCTTCCTAGTAAGTAATTGTTGGTTGGAAGCGTGGAAGATTGGCCATCGCGTGACTGAGGAAGCTGGGAACATATGTTGCGGAATCCCGGTTAACAAATTTTCCGGTTCATTTCTCCGGATTGGGGTGGATGTTGGTGAGATTACACTCACAACTAGCATAATAAAACGATATAGCCATTGTTTTCTGCAAAGATCTTCATCTTTCTTCAATAGAACGCTTATCTGCTCGTTATCGGCACGCGTCTTATCGGCGGCATTTGACATCGGAGAACGGCCGGATAATCCTTAGCGAGTCATTTGTATGTGTTGAGCGCTTTTCATTTCCACACGTTACGATAAAAGTGGGATAAAATCTTGAACCAGTACTGTAATGACAAGGGCGTCGTCGTCGAAGAGGTCGTCTGGGACGGGAACATCACGTGGTCGGGGAACCTACGCTTCCCATGCTTGCAATGTATGCAGAGCCAAGTACGTCCCATTGTCGTCTTAGGAATTACCCCTAACGTTGTGCCCAAGGAGGGTAAAATGCGACGAGGTAAAGCCTGTCTGTGGCTTCTGTCAGGCCTCGGGACGTAACGATGAGGTCCGTGCGTCACTCAGCAATTACTCTATTGTCTGCTAACCGACTGCGCAGTGCTCATGGACAGGCGAAAGTGCAAGACGACCAAGGACCGAGGCCCATTACGAAGCGCTGAGAAAACGAGCAGATGCTCTCAAAGCCTATGCTGACCTGCTCGAGTCGTTGCTGGAGAAATGCCGTAGAGAGCATGGAGGAGTGTCGGAAGAGAGCATGTCGTACCTCCAGTTCCGACCGCCGGACGCTGGGAGCGCCATTCTGGACAATGAAGTGCCACCGCCGCATGACGATGGTGTTGATGCCAATCAGGTCGACGGAGAGGACATAACACGGGAGATTTGCGTGCCTACCCGGAACCTAAAGGTGCGTCACCGACATCACCTTTACTGGGTGCCTGCTAACCGTCTTTACAGCTGGAGGACAGTCAACTTGTTTTCTATGGTATTGCGGCACCGTTTCGTCTAGACCAGACTCCTGCAAAATCTAGGGTGACCTCAAGACTTCCCGACGTTGACGACCCTAAGAAGAGCCATGTTCTTCAAATATCAGATGGTGATGGAAATTACTACGACCCAGATTTCGACTGGTCGCGTCATCTCCCATCTGTCGTACCTCTGGATAGGAAGGAACATGACAGGTAGGTTGCCCATGAATCACTCTTTCAGGGTATTAATGTTCTCTCAAGAGTTCTCGATCTTCTCTTCAAATTCTTTACACCGTGGTGTTTTCGTATTGTTCCAGCACTGTTTCTTCGAGATATGCATAGAGCTCTAAGCGTCCCTGCACACCAGACACCTCCGAGGACCGTCCATTATTCTCCCATGCTTCACAATGCTCTTGTGGCTTTGGCGACAGCCTTCTCGGATGATCCTCGGATACGCGATTTCAAGTCACGTAAATACTTCGCCGATGAGGCCAAGCGCCGGTGGGAGGACGAATGTCGAACGCCGAACATCAGCGTCGTACAAGCGCTTTCAATACTATCAAGCTTTCATTCGACCAACGGTGACCAAACCGTCGGCTATATGTACTTCGGTAAGTAACTCGATTTCTCTCCGAACCTTTCTCATCCAGGAACATTAGGTCTCAGCGCGCGTATCGGTCAAGCACGTACGTACAAAGTGATCTAACATGGGAAAAGTTTACTCATCATGTTATCGTAGTGGGTCTCAGCTTTGATAGTTCGCAATGGGTTAAAGCTGGACTTATATCTAATGATGATATGATGGACCGAAACTGGGCGTACTGGACTACATTCAGCGAAGTCAGTGAATCCATTAAGTATCAACTTCTGTTTTACGATCTTTCACCTAGGATGTCTGCTGGTCGGTTTACGTTGGTCGGGACTTTTGCGTCCCTCAACCAATAGAACGACATGTTCCGGTTTCTTTCGTCGACAGCGAATTCGATGAGACGCCATGGCATTATCCCCCTGCTAATATCCCCCCGCAGCCAAATTTCCTATCGAGAACCCTCGCGGCGACTTGCGAGCTGATGATGATAGCGAGGCAAGTTATGGACGTTATGTATGTGTATTTTGCGTCCTTCTTTCGAACTAGTGCAGCTAACAGCGCTGCAGAAATGGTTTGAATCTCGTTGGCACTCGGCAGGAGATAAGTGACGAAATTATCAGCAAAATTGAGTGGGTTTTTACTATTGATCACCCCTTTTCTGACTTACCTGTATCGTTAGTCTACAACTCCATGAATGGAAGAGTCGACTCTCGCCAGAAGTGGACATAACTATCAGCAACAAGTCGACTGCTACTCCGCATCGTCTAATGCTTCACCTAGCCTTTTGGTGGGTGTTCATCCTCTTACACCGCCCATTCTTTCATCGTCGAAAACGCGGGTCGGACGGAGACATCGATCACGTCAAGGTCTGTCACCCTGACACCTGAATGGATCCTTTCCCTGACACGGATTTACCGTAGATGTGCAAGCGGGCGTCAGAAAACATCATGGAGCTTCTTCTTGTCTGGCGATCGCTCTATACTCTACGATACGTTCCAATGACGCTCGTGCAAGTACTGTTTTCTGCTGGAACCATCTACTTGCTCCTCGCTGGGAAGGCCGCCTCAGGTCTTCGCGTCGCCAAGAAGGACCTTGAACGATTTGTCTCCCAAGCCGATCTGTGCGTTGATTATCTGAACGAGATCGGAAAGTCATGGAGCTCCGCCACAAGAATCGGTGGAATTTTATCGAATCTTTCGCATAGACAGCTGGATCCTTTGTTGGAGAAGAGGTCCGCGAAGCGTGCCTCAAAGCAAACGAAGCAGGAGGAGACTAAGGTTGAAATCGAACTGGACGTTGGGACGCCTCCGACAACACAGTCTGAGGCGGGTTCGTCTGAATCTGGGTCTTATCAAAATGACGTCTCGCCAATGGCAACCGAGGCATCTCTTCCTCAGTCCCAGTGGTTCCAAACTCAGCATTACCACACGTCGAACAATCATAATATTAACGGTTATGGATCTCTTGCTGTCTCTGGAATGTTGGGTGGCGAGCCATTTGGCATTGAACCCTTCGTCCCGGATTATAACATGGGCTCGTATAATGGATACGGAAATGTGCCCCACAATGATGGCAGCATTTCCAATACTTTTGGACCCCAGGACTTTGCGGTCGCTTCTCCGGAGTTTTTTGGGACGTATGATGCTGGTACACAACGTCTATGGGATATCTTGCACCGGCACCATTCTGGTCCAATGTGATTACACTGGGTTGTGCGGGTTGTTGAATACTGTATGTTATAGACATTATTTAATTTACTACACTGTATGTTATTATGCTTCCACCAGGACATGCACTTGTAGTTTTCTCAGCCTATGATGCTGCTAGTAAATACGTTATGCTTTGTACTAGTATTGTAAATATGGAGGAAATCTAGCGATATTATCAACGTCGGTGCTTGTATGCACATTTTTGTATCGTAAAAATGTTGCAAATTCGCTAACCGAATTCAGCGGGAGAGCAGCGAGGCCAGGGTCATCAAATTTGGGGCAGCAAATTTAAATGAAGTCAGTCACACATCACGTCACGCGACACGGGACTCTAATCCGGATGCTGTTTGTTGCCTGACAAGCCTTCATTCCACCTACTACCACCATCTTCTTTTGATATCTTCCACCATGGTTCTCTCTCGTCGCGGAAGTGGTAGCATTACGCTGCCATCTGGCCAGACAATGGCGATCCATACTCGAACTCACGAAGAGGAGGATCTGCCTCATGCTACCAAAAAGTGCGTATTTTTCTGTGTCGTCGCCTCAAATCCATGCTAATTATTAGCGGTCCGATATCTCAGGACTATGGCAGACCATCTGCGGAAGTATGAAAGTCTGTGAGTAATATTTGTCTGCGCGGCCTTGGTCATTGATGGATGGACGATGATAGGTTTACATTAACACCCCAACGGATGCGCATGATAGTAGAGGCATTCAAGGATACACTCGAACTGGGCTTGCAGAAGCCACAACAGGTTGTTGTGAGTCCATCCACCACATATCCACGGATTTATGTTGATGGATACAGCCCATGATTCCTACCTATGTCTTTGGATGGCCGACTGGCACAGAAGTCGGCGATTTCCTGTCGGTGGACCTTGGTGAGTACTCACATCATAGCATTTCTCGCTTCTCGCTGACGCGCTTCCCTTGTCAGGTGGTACTAACCTTCGTGTCTGTCTCGTGAATCTCCAGGGTGAAGGGAAATTCGAAATCACACAAGCCAAGTACCGTCTTACCGAGGAGCAGAAACAAGACGACGGGCAGAAACTTTTTGATTTCTGTGCCGAATGTTTGAAGACTTTTGTGGACACAAATCTTGCAGATGACAATGGGGAATTGTCTCTCAAACCAGGCGAGACATTGCCTCTGGGCTTCACGGTGAGTACGCTCTTCATTTCCATATCCCTTTCTGTAACACTTTTTGCACAGTTCTCGTATCCCTGCAGGTAAGATGTGTGCAGTGGAACGGGAGCAGTATTAACGGATCGCTTAGTCAAGAGAGGATTGATCATGGTGTACTCATTCGATGGACCAAAGGCTTTGGTGCTGGCAAAACGGAAGGTCGCGACGTGGCCGAGATGTTCCGCCATTCTCTTGCTAAATATGTACGTCCTCCTAAACTACTTATCCTTCATCATGCTAACACTCGACCTTGCGATAGAAATTGCCCATCACCCTGACCGCTCTCATCAATGATACCACTGGAACCCTCATTGCATCGCATTATGTGAACCCAAAGACCAAGATTGCTGTCATCTTTGGAACGGGATGTAACGCGGCTTACATGGAGAAGGTTGGTAACATCGAGAAGATCCATTCCTTGGGCATCGATCCGGATGCCGAAATGGCAATCAACTGTGAATGGGTGAGTTCAACTATTCTTCATCTTGAACTGGTACGACGCCTTGCCGCAGGGTGCGTTTGACTCGTTTGAACACGAACATTTACCTCGTACAAAATATGATATAATTGTCGACGAGACATCCAACAAGCCGGGTGAACAAGCTTTTGAAGTGGGTCGCCTTCTCCATCACAAGCGTGTGACATTACTAAGTGTCCTTTGAACAGAAACTGATTTCTGGACGATATCTGGGCGAAATCCTACGATTGGTTATATGTGAACTTATTGACGAGGGTGTTCTTTTCCTTGGTCAAGAGACATACAAGCTCGAAATACCTTATGTATTTGAGACCGCATTTTTGTCGCTGATGGAAAGGTAAGGACTATCTTTCGTATGGGGTTAACTCATTGTTTTGGCAATTTCAGTGACCCCACCGATGAACTTTTGATGATCATTGGAATCTTTTCACACTTTTTTGCCGTCGAGACGACTCTAGCAGAGCGTCAGTTCTTCCGGGCCCTGGCGAAACTTATTGGACGACGGGCCGCTCGTTTGAGTGCCTGTGGTATTGCTGCCATCGTAAGCAAGATGGGATACCTAGATGAGGGCTGCTCAGTTGGTGCAGATGGTTCCTTGTACAACGTTGGTGCTCCAGCATCTTTCGCCTTACCTGCTCTAAACAGTCCATAGAAATACCCCGGGTTTGCCGACCGAGTTCACGAAGGTCTACAAGACATCTTCGGTGAGAAGGGAAAGTGCGTATAAATAGACACATTCCATAGTGTCCTGCTGATTCCAAGTAGGAACGTTGTCACATATCATGCTGAGGATGGAAGTGGTGTAGGAAGTGCAATCATCGCCGGTGAGCTGCGGTCGTAACTGTTCATCTGACCTTTTTACCGATTATTCTCCCTGTAGCCATGACGAAGCTCAGAAAGGACGCCGGTCTGTTTACTCACGTGTAGGCCCAAGGCATTCAGGCGCTTGAGACACTTGGACTGTTGACAGAAAATCAAGTAGAAGAAGCCATGTATGTGTTTTATGTACTTTATTACGTTGTTCTTGTTCCTTCTTTGAAGGAGTATAGATTTTGGTTGGTTATCACGAACTTGTCCGACGGGCGGAGACTGATCATAATGTGCTCAAAGCTTGGCCTTTTATTCTCCGGGCCGTGATAGAGCGGGCCGGCTTTCGAAGTTCTACATAAACTTCGCAGTTGCAGCGAAGAGAGGAACATCAATGATGCTGCTTTTGTCGCTGTTCGCAGCGGTTTTGCTATTGGCTCCTCACACTGTTCTCGGACAGGACAACTGTACACTGACTGCTTCTGGTGAAGATGACGCGTCTCAATTTCTCTCTGCCGTCCAGAACTGTGACACCGTGGTGATTCCAAAGAATACTACATTGAATATCGCGACACGTCTGAATATGACTGGAGTTTCCGATACCATCATTGTTAGTTTATTTTATCTTCGAACTTTCACGGAAGTAACGCTGACGTCGCGATTCAGAACCTGGAAGGAACTATCCGCTTCGATCCCGATATTCCATATTGGACTGGGGTGAGCAGGCAACTTCAACTTCACTTGTGGATATATATATTCACTTCGCGTAGAACGCGTTTTATTTTGAGTTCCAGGATTCACTCACCTTTTGGTTGCTTGGAGGAAATAATATCGTTTTGAATGGCGGGGGGACTTTGGATGGTGCGGGTCAGGTGCGGTCTTTTCATTACATTTCTGTGTTCGCTTTCATGATGACTGAATTTTTTAAGGACTGGTATGATGAATTGTGAGTGAGATGTGTAGGTTGTCGACTTGCGGAAGTGTCATGGTATACTTTAGTGCCTCAAATGACACCTTTGGCCGCCCTATCATCTTGACGGTTTACCAAGCAAATAGCGTTGTCGTAGAGGACATCCAGATGCTCAATGGTCCAAACTGGTTTAATCTGGTACGCAATCCTTGTAGCATTTCTTGCATTCGTACATGATTTTCTTTCACAGATATACGAGAGCAGTAACGTTACTTACAGCAATATCAGCATTACAGCTGAGTCGACATCAGACAATGCTGCCAAGAATACCGATGGTTGGGATACCTATCGCAGCGATACAATTGTTATCAAGGACTCCGTCATTATCAACGGGGACGATTGTGTGTCGTTCAAGCCAAGTATAGACCCCCTTATTTTATCGTGATGTTGAAGCTGATCGGGTCCGCAGATTCCACGAATGTCTTGGTGTCCAATTTGGACTGCGACGGATCACAGTAAGTACTTAAGACAGTGTTTTCTTCCATTCTACTGATCCGTTTTTCAGTGGCATATCTGTAGGGCATGTCAGACCGTACGTTGTATTGTCATGAAGCTGACTTCAAAGTAGCTCCCTTGGGCAATACGCTGGCGTCTATGACATTGTAGAAAACGTCACCGCAAGGTTTGATTTCTTGCATTCTACAGCGGTGAAGTTTCATAACCCGCCGTCTCTAGTCATATTAAAATGTCGAATGCCTCTAATGGTGCCCGAATAAAGGCATGGGCAGGACCCAACGTCGGCAGTGGGATTGTCAAGAACATCACTTTCGTCGATTTCGAAGTGTCTGATGTAGACAGCCCGATTGTAATTGACCAGGTGAGCTATTTCAACGGGCGAAGACGGCTGGAATTGACTAGTCTTTCCGGCATTCTAGTGCTACTTCAGCGAAGACGAGTGCGATGGATACCCGTCTAACACCTACATCCAAGATGTCTATTTCACCAAGTACGATTGCCCTTTATAAGATATTGACAGTCGATCTAATGCACCTTAGCGTTTATGGCACTGGTTCGAAATCTACTGTTGCATCGTTGGTTTGCTCTCCTGACGGCCGATGCGAGAACATTAATGTAAATGATCTGAGTTTGACGTAAGTTTTGGCGTCCCTTCATTTTTAGTGGTCTGAGGTTTATACGTACTTGCAGAGCTGAAAAAGGGACCACCACGTATGAATGTTCGAACGTAGTCCTGACTGGTAATTCTGCTGATCTTTTCAGCTGTACGGAGGCATAGTGCGGAAGCCATTTTTCGGCCCTGGTAGAATTACACACGAGTTCGGACTAGTTACCTGACGAAGATGATCTTCGACTTTGCGAGATTCCTCCGTCATTCTTGAGTCTTGCCTTCCCATGTCACCCAAAAATACACAGTCAACCCCATCTGGAAGGAAATGACCGCAAAACTACCTCTTCTCGTCGTTTTTCCACGCCGCAAATATAGCGAGCGGGACGCGTGCTACATCGAATCGTGAGGATGACCTTCAACTCGCGTCCGGACGGTCCATAGCGGTCCGGTACACGGTCCATATATCTCGGAAGGCCTCGAGGTTGGGACGCCAACAATGCTTCGACTGTTGTGCATTTTTCTTTTGACCCTTGCGGCTGCCTTCGGGCAGGAATGTACTTTGACACCCTCAGGTGGCGACGATGCACCCCAATTTCTGGCGGCTGCAGCTGCTTGTGATACCGTTGTCATCCCGGTCGGCAAACAGCTCAACATTGCCACGCGGATGAATATGACGGGTTTAACCAATACACATATTGTGAGCGTCAATGAAAATTTTCAGCCATTACAAAGGAATCTGAGAATCTCTAATTGTAGAACCTGGAAGGCAGCATCCGGTTTGAACCTGATATTCCCTACTGGACTGGAGTAAGTTGCAGAACTGTCGCCTCCTCAGATACTCAATGTCCCCTTAAAGAACGCTTTCTATTTCGACTTTCAGGATTCTATCACATTTTGGTTACTTGGTGGAGAGAATATCGTTTTGAGTGGAGGCAGCACTCTCGATGGGGCCGGTCAGGTACGCGTAATGATATCTCAAAGTATTCTCCTATGATAACAATCGCGTAATAGGCATGGTATGACGCTTTGTAAGTGACCATCATCAGGCAGACCGGACTATTTTCATGTTCATATCCCGCTTTAGCGCGTCAAACTCAAGTCTCCGCCGTCCTATCATCTTGACCATTTATCAGGCGACGAACGCTCTAGTCGAGGACATACAGATGATCAACAGTCCAATGTGGTTCAATCTTGTATGTATCCTTCTAACTTGACTGCCCCAGTCTGACTAATGTTTTGTTAGGTCTACGAGAGTAACGATGTCACATACAGCAACATCAATATCACTGCTGTGTCGACTTCGAAGAACAAGATCGCGAATACAGATGGATGGGATATTTATCGCAGCGATACCGTCATTATTCGAGATTCATCTATCCTGAATGGGGACGACTGCGTCTCTTTCAAGCCCAGTAAGTTTTATGTATATCTATAGACGATTAACTCAGCTCTTGTGCAGACACTACGAACGTCTTAGTGTCCAACTTGAGTTGTAATGGGTCACAGTAGGTCACCTCTGTTATTTGTGCTGATCTCGAAACTGACGGAATCCTACGCAGTGGAATATCTGTAGGGTAGTAGATCGATCGACTATATGACCTCTATCACAGAGCTCATGCGCTGTAATAGATCCCTCGGTCAATACTCTGGTATCTTTGACATTGTAGAGAACATAACGGCCACGTCGGTCTTCTTCTCCTTCCGATTCCTGACGTTATTCAAGGTTGCCATTCTAGTGATATATCCATGTCGAACGCGCAAAACGGTGCTCGTATAAAGGCATGGGCCGGGTCTGGCGTGGGGAGTGGGATTGTTAAGAATATCACTTTTACAAACTTCGAGGTATCCAAGGTCGATAACCCGATCGTGATCGATCAGGTAAACGGAATTCCTTACAGATAATTGAATATTCAAGCTCACAAAGATGATAGTGTTATATGACAAGCTCAAGTGAATGTTCCAAATTTCCATCCAATACGTTCATCGAAGATGTTTGGTTCGACGAGTAAGCTTTATTTTATTTTAATCTACTCATTCTTGGACTGACTGTTGCTTAGTGTCTTCGGTACATCATCCGGGGCTACTGTCGCATCTTTAGAATGCTCTCCTGATAGTCGATGCACCAATATCAACGTCAATGACTTGAATTTGAAGTCAGCTACTATTATTTTTGATTTCGTATTCTCCTTGTACTTACTTTGCACCATAGAGCTGGAAAAGGAACCGCCAAGTATGAGTGCCAAAATGTCGATCTGAGCGGGAATGCTGTAGACCTCTTTCCTGAATGCACAGAAACGTAGGATAGGTAAAACCAATGAGCGTCAGTAGCGAAACTCGCAACAGACTAGCCATGGTTTTCAAGTTGTGTCATCGCCGGCAACGGCGGTCCGTAAATCAATTCCAAAGATACTCGGAAAGCTCTTCGAACGCTAAGTGTCCTGGCTCAGCGTTAATGATCATGACGGCCTGTTCCTTGTCTTGTGACAAAATGTGAAGTGCCGTGTTACCCGATCTATTGCTTGATACCTCGGATGCATCCGTTAATCCCTGGATGACTTCCGAATCCTTGGTTAAGTTAGTGACTGGCTTCTATCCTGGTAACTGAATTGATCATGATAATATGTCACACAAGCTCGACAGGGCGTATGATCCTGAGCTCCGGACTCGAACATTATCTATATATATATAGGTCTGAATTCCCTCGGTGTCACTGGTTTGCGAACAAAGTAAGCGCCCTCTGAATGTTCCCATATATTTGCGAAGACTAACACATAGATACCGTCTTCCTTTCCGGCCCCAGGACGCTAATAGACACAGGGACAACTCTTTTTGCGCTTCAGTTTCCCAAGTCATTCATTCCTTCTTCTCAACAACGGCTGGAATATTTCCTTTCTTATTCATATCGAACGAAGTCCAACCCTCCTCTCTTATCCCATCGAGGGTATCACACGACATCGTAAATGGGACAGCTAACATGTGTGTAATAGTGGCCAATACCTGTGGCCGAAGCCTGATTATTTGCTTCGAACAGACCAATTACCTTCACTTGTCGAATACAATCGGCAAGGGTGGCAGACGACTTGTTCAAGTGCAGCCGTAGTTGTAAGTCGACCAATTTCCGAGTAGGGACATCGCTGAATACTTGAATAGACGAGTTTACTTGCGGCTGTAGCTACTGGCCTTTTATCAGCCGTTAACGACGTTGTCAATGATGGGGATTTCAAGCAGAAGGCAAATCCACACGTCCTTGACTTTCTCTATGTCGGATCGTTTGGAGCCATCATCTTGAATGCAAGTGCCACTGTCACGTCTCTGTTTCTTATCGACGAACTGGGAGACCTTCCCACACTTGCCTCCGATCTTGACAAACCAAAAGATGGTTTTGCTCCAGATAATACAGATATTTTGGTCTACTATGGGCTGGGAAATACATGGACCTGGACACGATGGCATTGTAAGTGTTTTCATTTTGAGTCTGAGATAAATGTTACGATGATTTTTTGTTCATCAGGGATTATCTCACTGGTTCTGGGGGCTTGGTGTCTCTTTCTTCAGGTCATCGTATTCGTATACGTTACGCAAACAACGTCGGTAAAAGTGGTGGTGACGATTTTTTCAGTTCTACCTATGTACAGGTTGATGCCAAATCTTTTCAAGAGGAATAATACTGTATACCCTGGTGATAGTCCGAAGTACCCGTAACCCGATCGTGTAGCCGCCTGTACTTCCTATCTATGTCATTTGTGATCATTTTTCTCTCTCACCAAGATCAGATATCATTTGAGAAGACGTAATAACAATTACAAGTCAAGACCTAAGAAGTGATGTGGATAAGGACAAAGAGCGAGCCCACTCTCTCAATTTCGATTAGACACCTATCGCAAGTAGCAATACGCGGCCCACAACCTTGGAGGCAGGATCAGACAGCAACAAGGCTTCTGGGGGGGATCCTGTCTTAAATTGAGATCTACTGCGAACGCGATCTTGGATTTCGGGCGACATGCGAGCAACTTGAAGTACTTCCCACAGGATCACATCCAACTGCGTGGATGGTGGAACGGAAACTAAAAGAAATAGCATCAGTGTGCATGGAATCAGAGGCAATATTTCCGATCATACTTTTCTGCTCCTTTGAATTCAGTTCGCTGTGTGGGGAGGCCTCATCCTTGAATTTGACAACAATTTCCACAACAATTTCCATATGATTTATTGGTGTTTTCACGTCCCTGTCCTGCAGAAGGCAAAGTGGTCAGGTTAAGTACAGGCGAAATAGGGTACTACGAACCTTCACCCTATCCTTCCACACCTTCAAGCGCTTTGCATCGTTTCCTTCGCCGTGTCCATCCGGGATGCATCAAAGTTGATCTGAATGTACACCAAATCAGACTGAGAGCTGAGATCAGGCAATAGGAGAACATGCCTTGTAGGCGCTATACGAAGACCGGACCGCCGCAGTCGCGAATTGATAGGCCTTGGTAACTTCGTCGGAGTGCACATTCTCAAAATCGACGGTTGTTCTACTGGAAGCCTTGTCTTTTAAGTTTGCGGCATCTTGTAGAGCGCTCTTAGTTGCAGAAATTGCACTGAAGAAGAAATACATTGAGAGGCTGATGACAAATCAAAGAAACTCGACGCTGACTCGTCTATATGCTTGCGCGGCGGCTCCGGATTTACACTGAGGTAATAATTCACCAACTCATGACAATATTGCACCAAGACTAGCGTTTGCAGGTAGTATGGTGGCCTGATGTTGCCAGGGAGCTTCCGAAGTTCTAGAAAGCTCCCTGGTGTCCTGCGGAGGCTAGTTGGGGGCGCAGTCGGTGCTACTTCTTGTTTTCTCTACTTATGAGGGTCAACATAGTGGAAATAAATAAAATCTCCGATGCTTACCTTCAAAAGGGCCTCAAAATTGGAATATCTTTTCTCCAGGTCGGCTATATGAGGCTGATTAAAGTTTTGGGAAATCGAATCCAACAGCCTGATCAGACAGGTTTAGCCTTTGGAACATAAGAATATCAACGTAAAAGCATACCCCTGCATTTCGGAAAGCACAGTCGTGGATACAAGATGCGCACGAATTTCGGGAACGGTAGAATTGATGGAGACCTCAACCACGCCATTGACAAGAAGAGTAGATTTGATAGCAATAACTATGATTTCCTATAGGGGAGGTGACATCAGTTTGGATACGAAACAAACGAAACAAAAGCAAGACTGCATACCTCTGATTTAGAGTCTTTGGCCTTCTTTTGAATATCTGTGAATTTCGATTGAATTCGAGACCGAACCCCCGCAGAGACCTTGGCCTTGTTCAAACGATGCTCCAATCCACGAATCAGGTTGTCGAGGAAAACATTGTCATCGTGCCTCCAGGAGTGTGCAGTATCTTCCGACATAAGGGTCGGCGCAATGGACTATAGGTACGTTAGTGGCTGGATAAAATCGATCCGACTATTATTTACCTGGAATACCTCCTTGGAGAAAGCGGACGCCAGGGAGTCCTTGACTTTCTTGCGGTCGATACTCCAAGACTGTGCACCTTGGATCCGCTCTTCGATGTCGACCGTATCTGTTAAAGTTTCGACACGGGAGGTGTCTGTAACCTCGGAAACTGACAGAAGCAAGCTGCAAGTGTCATAAGCAACGACTACACTGTCCTTTTGATTGGCACCTACGCCTCAAGAGGTTCAATCATAGCAGTATATTGGTCATAACTGGTCCAGCCATCTTCGTCGATGGATTTCTTGATGAGATAGTTGATATAGTCGCGTATGTCCCTGGACCTAGAAACCAACGTGCAGAACGTATGTGAATTTCGCTGAAGGGTTGAAGAACAGATCTCGCGCGCGAGAATAGAAATGAGAGAATTAATGACGTCTGTAGCAGGAAAAGCCGAGTTGTTGAGCTTCGTGAGACTGTCGTAAAGAGACATGGTGGCAAGAAATTTTCCTAAGCAAGAAACAGATATGTAGAGACACCTCCTGAGAGGATCTTTATATACCCAGAGCAGGGCATGACAGTCGATAAGCGCTGGTTCCATTCTATTCAATTCAATTTCGACAACGATCTCAACCAGACTCGGAGCAGATCTTGGGCGTCACGGAAAAAAGAATGCTCCTACAACGACGCCAAAGGTACCACCTCAAAAAATCAAAATCAAGACACAGGGTCGACATGTACACCTTTAGCGCCATATGCGTGTGAGGCCAAGGTCAAGTCGAGGAACACGAAGCACAAGGATAAGCGCCGGCCCGGTACTGTGATTGGCTAGCAATTGACGGAATATCCCGACAGCTGTCGAACTTGGAACCTCGCGCTGATGGTCCAAGCACAAGTCCCCACGCAATTTTCCCGATGGGAAGTTTCAAGAGTCCACATGCGCACGGAACATTCAGCACTTCAAAGAAGAGCCCCGCCTCCAGCCGTTCTATTCTGTTTTCTTATCTAGGGCTACAGTGAAAAAGAAACAGAGACCCGAAGTAACGAAAGGAATCACTGAAGCGAAGGTGTTGGACCGACTGCAAGCTGCTCCGCCTTTTTCTTTCCCTCTTCAGTGAAATATGCCTCTCACCCTTACGTTTCGAAATTTTCGTCAAAGGGTTGCACATACCAGTCGCGCGCATCTCTCTCAGTCAGTTGAGATAGTCCGATGCTGTCGTATTATCGTACAGGATCAGGATTTAGCAGTCTCTGCTGACGGGGCTGACATCGTCGAGAAGTGAGTACCCCCTTCTATCTATGATTATAGTAGTCTCATAGACTCGTACTTCGACGTAGGGTTTTGAATCGAGCGCTTTCAGCACTCGATGTAGCAAGTAATAAAGAGGTGAAAGACGCGGACACCATTTCAGGGGCTTATGAGGAAGCCGTCACTGCCATCTTGTCAGTGAAATCGAAGACCTTTGACCCCAATAGTGTGAGCATCATAATTCTTTTATATGAAATTAGTCTAATTTGGACATGTTGCAGCTAAATATTCGGGCGCGTATGACAAATGCGAGAAGCAAAGACGAAGAGGTCCAGTCTAAAAAATCTTCGATATTAACAAAGCATTCAAATCGGTCGGTAAGAAGGACTTCGCGAATAGGAGGGTCCTTTCGGCCTGAAATATCATGCGGTAGAAAGGTTCCGCCCCCGATAAATCCCCACGCGTCAAAGTCGATATCAGGGTGCGGGAGGATATTAAAGATGAGAAAAGTCAAAAGATCATTCCTCTGCGTTCGTATCGCTTTTACTCAGAGATATCTAAAGCACTGGCTGACCATCTGTCCATCGCTGTTTAGTTGATGGATGCAGAGAAACTGATACTCTGAATATAGTTCTGCTGTTGATGGGACTCCGAAACGGACCTAAACTGCAAGACAATCCCCATTTCTATGACTGGACTTTGGCCAAAGACCAATTGGATGCCAAAAACTTTCACAGAAGCGCTCTTCCTTTTGATATCGTCCTCCATGATATCCCGCACCCTCCAGATTTCTTGGTGCTTTACTGTCTCCATGATCACAAATCCAAGAATGTCCTTTTACTCAAATCTGTTGACACACAGAAATCTTTTGCTAATATCTGGCAAGTCGATGTGAACAAATTCATCTTGAAAGGTATCCTCGCTTTTCTATCCGTAACACGCTGTTTGAGCGTTTCTCTTTAGAAACCATCGGAGATCTTCACTCGGCGAACTGGATATCTAGCCTAGACTCAATTTCCAATGTCAAAATCGTCAAAATGCTTCGACATCAGAACTCTGAAGGAAGTGAAGTGCGAAGGGATACGTGGTTAGAATTGTTCCAAGAGGTCTACGAAGCTTTCAAACAAGAGGGGGATGTATATTGGACAATCGAAGCAAAGTCGTCCAGACTGATTCCTCCCCGGTTTACCAGTCAAGGACGCCATTATTCTCCAAGTAGTGTCAGCCTCAATACCGTCGCCAGTGGAACATCGGTTCGTCTTATCACTGTTTTATTATTCCAGTCTAATTGGACGACGAATAGACTCTAGTCGCAACGGTTCCAACTGGTGCCACTGAACCAGACAAAGAAAGAGAAGACACAAAGTATGCTGCATTTTCAATTTGGGAGAGCGTGAAGAAGGTCGCTCGTGATCTAGTGCAGCCGGTGCTAGGGCCATGACCAAGCCGTTGTTGTTGGTCACTCGGAAGTTGGCAAGAGGGATAGCATTCGCACTTATCTCCTTTGTCGGGATGAAATCTCCCGAAAATCTTATGTTACTCATTATTGTACTATTTGGATAAAGGAAGAAAAGTTAAAACAGCCCGGGGTTCGAAATTTTCCACAAGCCGCAAGATTTGGGTGACTTTTAAGTAGGCATCGCCCACGGATAACAGGCAGATTTTTCACTTTGACTCCTTGTATGAAAATATTTCGAATACACCGCCTAATCAAGAACCAGACCAGGCCAGCCATGTGCATCGTATGTTATGACGCATACCTTCCAAAACAGGAACTGTGCCCCTTTCCTTCCACCACCGCTCTGGATCACCACGATACCCAATACTGCGCCTGCACGTAGCACCTCTTGAACTCAGCTCGAACGAAAATCCTTGCAAGAATGACTTCTCCTGTCTTCAAAATAATACCTACAACACAGCAGTACGACTGGGGCAAACTTGGATCCAGCTCAAAGGTTGCGCAGCTCGCAGACGCATCTGCAACCCCAGGATTCCAATTGGATGATAGCAAACCCTACGCAGAAGTGAGTATATCTTAAAATCCTACCCTTTGCTGGCGTATAGAAAACTGTCCTTAGCTATGGATGGGCACACATCCTACCTCGCCATCGAAACTTTCATCGGGCGCGACGCTATCTTCTCTTCTGAAAGAAAATCCTTCATTAATTGGCACAAATGTCCTGTCCAGATTCCCCGATGCAGTTGATGGAAACCTCCCTTTCTTGTTCAAAGTACTTTCTATCGAGAAAGCGCTCAGCATACAGACCCATCCTGACAAGAAGACCGCCGAACAACTTCATGCACAATTGCCTAACATTTATAAAGGTAGTTCCTTCAAATGGATTGCTTCAATGTCCTAATATTCACGCCTTATAGACTCCAACCACAAACCCGAGCTCGCTCTTGCTCTGACTCCATTTCGAGCTCTCTGCGGATTTCTTCCTCTTCCCGACATCGCCAACCATCTCCGAAATACCCCTGAACTATCCGCGGTTATTCCGCCCACCATCGTGGATGCTTTTCTCGCAATCGCCGGATTAGATACGCCTACCGGCCCGATGGAAAAGGCAGCATTGAAAGACCTCTTCGCTGCCTTGATGACTGCGCAAGAAACCGCATTCAAATCTCAGCTATCCACCCTTGTAGAACGTTATTCTACAAAGCCAGATATTGACCCAGAAGGTGTCGAGGCGCTGGTTTTGAGGCTAAATTCTCAGTTCCCTGGGGACATTGGCATCTTCTGCACGTTCTTGTTGAATTATGTCAAACTGCAACCCGGAGAGGCTATCTTCTTAGGTGCTGGTGAACCACATGCATATATAGACGGAGGTAGGCTTTCATGCCGTGTTCTGTGTCTCGTATTCTAATGGTAATGGACAGATATCATCGAGTGCATGGCAAACTCTGATAATGTGATTCGCGCCGGTTTAACGCCCAAGCTTAGAGATATACCCAATCTTGTGGCGGGTCTAACATATGTTTCCGCGGATGCTTCACGACATCGGGTGCAGCCCACGCCATTCTCATCAAGTGTCAGTACGCTATATGATCCACCCATCCCAGAGTTTTCGGTGGTGCAGGTTGTATTAGGTCCTGGTGCTACCGAGTCGCACCGCGCTGTGGAGGGGCCTAGTCTCGTGGTGGTGATAGAGGGTAAAGGGGCTGTTTCGTGGGGAGACGCGTCATTGAACATTGGTACTGGAGACGTCGTTTTTATCGGTGCAGCGACAGAGGTTGCTTTTGCCGCCGATTCCGGTATCGTGCTATATAGAGCTCTTGTAGAAGCCAATTGAAGGCAAACGGCGTCTCAAAAGTTCAGTCATCTGCTTTGTGAATCTCAAAGTGCATAACAAGTGTCATACATGAAGCGACATGATCTCCAGTGGGGTGTACTCTAACCTGTCTTGTTCTTACTCCGCTTCCCAACTTGCGCCTGGAATCCACTCTTGATAGGATTCACACTACGCCTACTGCCGCATGATTCGCAAGACATGAAGAAAATACGGTTTTCCTTTGTCAGGAGTGTGTCCGGTGATTTGCAGGTTTTACAAGTAACATATTCGACTATGCCAGCATTAGCACCTTCACTATCATACAGGAATGTGAAAGCTCACCGATATACCGCCTCAGAACGTTCTCGACTTGTTTTTGTTGGAAGCGGCCTTTTATAACAAGTCGACCAGCACCGTCCACACTACCAGTTGTACCCATTTCAGAAAAGAGGAATTGAATGACGTGTTCAGGCTACGAGTAGGACTCAGTGTCAAAAAATTTCCACGGGGAACACTGGCATACCTGACGATGCATCTTTTTGCAAATATCGGTGACGTTGGCAAAGATGGATTTCTTGTTACCTTCACGATGAATAGAAGGTGGCGCGATGGTGTAACGTTTTGTAGATGACGTGGAGAGTAGAGAAGGGTTGGCGGCATGCAGGAGGGAGTAAAACCGTGTAAGAAGCTGTAATTGGTAGATGAGTCAACATGTACGATGATTTCGATGGCACATACCTCTGGATATGTGTAGTCCCGGTCACTGCCTAGCCAAGCTGCCTCGCCAGTTTCTCCGCCAGCCGACGCCTCGTGTTGGGCAAACGGATCATCGCCAAGATCACCGTCGTCTATGTTATCGAGATGAGTATGGTCGGCCTCACCCTCCTCCTCGTCTTCGTCAGCATTCGCCGATTTAGCCTTCGATTCATTGAGCTCCTTCTCGAATGCCTCCAAGTCAAATGCCGCCTTTTTCTTCGACGATTTCTTTTTCTTTTTTATGTCAGAGAAGTCGAGGTCATCGGCAACGCCAGCTGGTGCTGCCGTTGGTGTCGATGTGCCAGAATCGTCGCCCTAAATGACTGATGAGTAAGATCAATATCACAGACAAGTATGCATACCAAATCCAGAGGGATCTCCTTCTTTTTCTTCTTCTTCTTGAGATCGCCAAACATGGCCTTGAATTCATCGTCCTCCTTCTTTTCCTCCCCGTTCAGCTTCATCTGCTCATGTGCAGTCGTTGGGCCGAGATCGACTGCCTCGCCATTGGTGGTGGTATTGTCGATAGTCTCTGGTGCCGGCGTCGTTGGGTCAGCATCAGCGCCTAGAGGGTCTTCAGTGAAGGCAACGGCCTTTTTCTTTCGCTTTTTGAGCGACGGGTCGAACAGTGGTTCCTCGGAGGCCATGAGTGTAATGAAGAAATTGTCTCGTCCCCTGGCCCAAGGATGACTATGTGACCGTGGGAACTTTCCCCGTTCTGAGCCGAGAACGTCCGACGGTCCTACCACCAGTTCCCATTTCCCCCTCCATGTTTGCTCGTCAGTCTCTTGCCCGTGTGGCGACCCAGTCGTCGCTGGCTGCGACGAGGCCCAATGCTAGGAATATGGCCACCCTTCGTGAGCTTGAGCTCCGTCTCAAGTCTGTCCGCAACATTGAGAAAATCACCAAGGTGCGTCACGGGCAACCATTTATATTTTTTGAAGGCGCTCACAGGTGTCTCAGTCGATGAAAATGATTGCGTCTGCACGTCTTGCCAAGGCACAGCGTGCCATGGGGGCTGCCAAGGACTACGGCGTAGCCAACGCTGGTATGGACACCGCAATTCATAGCGGAGTTTGCGGAATAACGGGTTTTTCTTTGCAGAGGTATTCGAGCAGTCCAAGGATGACGTTGCCACTCCCAGGAAGCTTTTCGTCGTTATCTCCTCCGACAAGGGTCTTTGCGGTGGTATTCACTCGTCGGTCACCAAAGCGACACGTAGGGCTATAGGCAACCAGCCTGACTCCCCCCTCGGTGCCACAACAGTCGAGTCCGATTCACCCATCATGATCGTCGGTGACAAGTCCAAGGCCCAGCTATCTCGCGCCCTGCCCAAGAACATCCGTCTTACCTTCAACCAAATCGGAAGGGACGTCCCTACCTTTGCTGACGCCTCTGCTGTTGCCGACTTGATCGCCAAAAGCGGCGTTGAATACGATTCCGTCGTTCTCGTCTACAACAAGTTCGTCTCTGCTATCTCTTACGAACCCGCCGCCATGGAAATCAAGGGTGGAAAGTCTTTGGCTGAGAGCAGTGAGTATTGTCAATCTAAAGGGTTATCAAGGCCGCTGATGACGGGTGCAAGGCAAATTCAAGGCTTACGAGATGGAGGATGACTTCACCAAAGACCTCGCTCAATTCTCGCTTGCTAATGCCATCTACGCTCTTCTCGTCGAGGGTCATGCTTGTGAAATCAGTGCTCGGTAGGGAATATCGACTAGCATCGATGTTTTCGCCCGTTCTCATACTTATGCACAGGCGAAACGCTATGGACAATGCTTCAAAGAACGCAGGGGACATGATTGACCGTCTCCAAATGCAGTTCAACCGTGGTCGCCAAGCCGCCATTACCAACGAGTTGGTCGATATCATTACTGGTACGGTCATAAACATGATCTCGTCTTCTCGTTCATTAAACATGTCTTTAGGTGCAAGTGCTCTGTGAGCGAGCGGGTAGTTTTGCTGTGTTACGTCAACAGAACTGCATAGACATATCGATTACCTTCAGTTATCGACCCGCAAGAGTATTGAATATCAAAATGAGAAGACATTTCGAGGAACAGGTTGCGACTAAGCTACTATGTGAACTGTGGTGTGGTGCCAATCATGTGCAATGCCAGATAGGCGTGGCTCGGTTTGAGCATTCCCTGACGAGATTTCATCTGTGTTCACTTGTGGCCGTCAGGAGAGTCCTATGATGTCTTAAATTTTGTCATCTTGTTCTGGACCTCACTGAAGGCATGGAATTAAACTTGCCAAAATTCTGTGGTAAGACGTCAAGTACTAGTCCCGGAGCTCCCTTATATTCTGTGGATTCCCTCCGAGTCTTCAACCAGTTTTCAGATGTATACTTTGGGAGAATCTGAGAGACATGCGAGCTCGGCGACGGCTAAGCGTTTCTTCATTCCTGAAGTCTACTGGTAGGCTGTAGTGAGTACTCGAATACTTATATAATGACCCTGCTGATAGTTGAATCATGAAGGGATAATGTTTAAGCTTAGTTCCATCCATATGGATTCAGATGGAAAAGTGAAGCATTGCTGTCAGTTCGGTGAGCAAGAGGGCTTCACTAGTGCCTGTCCAAATAAATTGCTGAGGTTAACGTTTCTGCGTATTGCTCATCCGAATTGGACTAACTTATTGGCCGTTCTCTTTGTCAGAATGCATCTGATAACAACTAGCCCGCAGTCAATCGTGCGTTGGCTGAATGGCTTAGTTTCTGTGGCTCACGACTCAGACTGTATTCTAACTAATCCTTTGCATCCGGGGGCGCCGTTACTTGAATGCTGCATGCCCTTGGAGCGGAATCCAATCATCTGTTCTTATTATGATACTGGGTCACAAGACAATGTGAATATATCAAAGGGAAGCTCCTCGGCCTACCACTATCGCTGCCCGTCTGTCTGTACGCAGTCATACCACTAACTTGTCATGCCCCACTTCGTTCTTCTCCTCGTTGTTTTTCTTCCTATTGTGTGGCTTTGGACTGTACGCCAGAAGCGGGTTTTTTACCCTCCTGGACCGTCAGGTTTTCCTATCATTGGCAATGTTACGCAGATGCCTGTCTTGTACCAGTGGCTGGAATTCACCGAACGGGCGAGGGAATTCGGTCCGTGGACTTCATCGTATAGTTGAGTCTGTTCTAACTTGTGCTAAAGGCCCGATATTCCACCTTTCCGCTCTTGGAACGTCAATGATTGTGCTCAGCTCCGAGAAGGTCATCAGAGATCTATGCGAAAAGCGAGGGCTGATATACAGTGATCGTCCGAACCTTCCCATGTCGGGGCAACTGTGTGTATGCTCCTCTGGGCATCGTTCATTCGTACTGACTACTTAGTATGGGATACGACCGCTCCATTGCGATGGCTCCCCTTGGTCGTTATCACAAAGATGGTCGTAAAGCTGTCTTGAGAGCTACAACAAATCGGCAGATTCATATGTACCAGTCTGTTCAGGAGTCAAAGACGATTGTCTTTTTGAAAGCCGTCCTCGCAAAGCCGGATGAGATCATGGATCATATTCGTCGGTACGTGCTACCCAGATCCTTACTTAAAGTCAGTCATCTTACATTCAATAAACTAACTAGTCACGTTGCCGCCGTCGTCCTGAAAATTTCTCATGGATATGATATCCAGGCGATGGGAACTGACCCTATTGTTCAACTCGCGGAGCAAGCCCTGGATGAATTCGGCCGTGCAATTGCACCGGGTGCATATCTTGTCGACGTTTTCCCAATACTACTCAAGGTACCTGCGTGGTTCCCTGGAGCGAGATGGAAGCGGCAGGGTTTCAAATGGCGTGCGACCGCAATACGCTTGAGGGATGAGCCTTTTGATATGGTTAAGGATCAGGTGGTGAGCGTTTGGTCATTGGTATGCTCATCAGCACCGCATAATTCAGTTGTTTATAGAAAAAGGGCACTGCGGAGCCTTCCTTAATAGCCGAGGCTATCAGAACAAACCCAAATCCGAGTGCCTATGAAGACGAAATTCAGAGGTACGTATATTTTGTCTCGTGTTCCCTCCCTCCTTTATGACTCAATGTTGATATCTATCTAGATGGGTTAGTACTGCTTTCTATTCAGGTGCGCCCTACTTCTTTATCTACTATTATCCCTGGATGCTGGATTTATACGTAGCTGGCACTGATACAGTAAGTACAAATTTATTTTCCTCTTGTAATGTGCTGTTATGTTACTGTTCCAGTCTACTTCCGCTCTCAAGACCTTCTTCCTTGCGATGGCTTTGAACCCAGACGTCCAAAAGAAAGCACAAGGCAAGTAGTACCAATCTTTCGTTAGAATGATAAGGACTGGCGCGCTCAACCTATAACGATTTGAATGTAGCCGAAATCGACAGAGTCGTTGGCTTAAATCGCCTTCCTGTCTTCGCCGACAGGGAGCATCTGTTTTATGTTAATGCTATCGTCAAAGAAGTCCTTCGGTGGAAACCCATCCTTCCTCTTGGTATGTGATTTTCTTGCTTCTTGCTCGCAAATATTTTATGTCCATTACAGGTTTACCACACGCGACAACAAGAGACGACGTCTACAGCGGTTTTTATATCCCAGCTGGAACTGTCGTATGGAACAATATATGGTACATCCCTGTTGTGCACTCGAGAGAATTCTGACCAGCTTGAAAGGAGCCTCTGCCGCGAGTCACAGCTATACCCTGACCCCGACCAATTCTATCCTGAACGGTTCCTCTATCGAGAGAAAGCCAATGGGATGAATCCTGATCCCGAAAAATATGGTGTGTGCTCTAATCGGTCCCTGTTATATTACCTGCATTTTCAGCTTGCGAACTTCAAGTAGTGTTTGGATTTGGCCGAAGGTGGGCGATTTTCGCCGACCTCGTAGCTCGCGCATTTCTGATCGGAGGGCATATGATAGATTATGCCCGGGGTTGAGAATGGCTGATGCGACTTTGTTCATTACCATCGCTCGTACACTCACTGTTTTCAGTATCTCGAATGTTAGACGCGATAGTGGTGTCCTCATCAAATCAGAGAACGATCTACTATACTCCGGATCTCTATTCTTTCACCCAAAGTTTGCTCACTACCTTTTGCTTTAGCCACCCAGAGCCCTTCTCATGCTCTATTGATTTGAGATATCCAGAATATCAGTCCCTTTTGGACGTGGTCTCGAGGTCTCTTGCGGCTTGATGATGTCGACGCGTTTTATAGCAGTGAATTAGCAAAGTTACTGTAGGTCCAAATGTGCAGATGAATCTGCCTTAAACCAGCTTTCTATAACATGTCTTTGTCCTTGGATTTGAGGTCAACTGGCAAATCATTGCATTCGTTTCTTTGCGACAAGATATATCTGAGCTCATTTCATCCTTGCACGGCACAGCACCATTGTATCATCTGACCGTCGCGTAAAATAACAGATATCAGTCCTAAGCCCTGATGGGAATAACTCATTTTCACAATGTATCAGAAGCAAGCTACTGCCGAGATCCTGACTGTGCAAGAATCATAGGAAGAACTTCCCCGTGAGATATAGCAAATACGCTCGTGTACCAAATACCTTGGTATAACAAGATACCAATTCAGCCTTCCCGGCTTTGAAGTAGCCGCGGCTGCTCCTATTGCATGACATGCTATAGAACTTGAAGCGTACCCTCAGAGAGTGTACACTCCTTAAAGTTATTGGGCTACACCCGGACCGTAAACAACTCGTACGAGTTTAAACGCGACGCGTATCACGTGATTAGGGTGAGACTCGAATTTCGTCACGTTCAACGTTGAGCAAGGCGCCAACAAGATTTGACTGGTCACTGCGTCAAGTCACTGCCCCCTTTCTCTAGTCCTGGTTTTTGGAGATCTTCCGGGTAGCATGGTTGTCTCAACGCGGAGTACAACACGTTCATCAAACTCTGGCACGTCTACTCATGCTCGTGCACAGAAGTGCAGTAGCAAACGGAAGAGACCTGCGCGCCGGTCGCTGCAGCACTCATCGTCTCCATCTCGACCATGGGCGGCGACTTTACCCGACCTTCCCAATGAACTCCTACACAAAATCATTGTCGAGTTGCCTGGCACGGTCGAAACTATCATCACTCTAGCTACTATATGCCGTCGACTCAACGAATTTGCCATGGCATATCATTTTGGCTCTGATTGCTACGCAGCGTTCGGTGGCTATAGCCAGCCCTTCACCTCTTTCCGAATGCTTCGCCTGTCGTTTGTTTATAAACCATCTCTGTCCCTCATTGATTGCACGTTCTCCAATAACTTTCACAAGGAGATGACAGAGATCAAGCGATCTCTCGCCGTTCTCGAGGCTATTGGAACGGCTTTCTCTGTCTCTTTTTTGGGCATAGATTGGCCAAAGATGCTCACAAAGAAACACATCGATTTCTTCGAAGACATCAGCAAACTCAAATGCCGTAAAATAGACACAACTAATGCAGGCTCGAGGCTGGCTGTACCCACAGTGACGAACGATATCATCAAGCCTGACCCGCCCGCCCTTACTCGACTGTCAGACGTCACCTTATCCCAGTCTCCTGAGTGGTTTGTAGCGTGGATGCTGCGGTCTATGAATCAATCGTCCGTTACGAAGTTGTGTCTACATTCCCTATCTGATGACAACCTTCTCGAGTTGAACAAGCTTCCCCTCCATCATCTTCGCGATGTGACGCTTTCGAGTTGTACATTCAATTTTGCAGCATTTGCGGCCTTTCTTGAAAACCACCAGAGCATTACATTGCTCGACACGAGAACATGGAACCCAACAACAAACATCACGGGAAGCAAGGGCCATAGGAAATCGAAACGGGGCCTGAAGACGTCGTTGGAACCTGCTACTCGCATGTCGCTGAGGTACATGACCGGTACACCAGTCGCCATCCGTGCGCTACTTTCCACTCCGGCAGCATTTCCTTTCCTCGAATCGGCCAATATCAAAGATGGAGATATCACAGAAACGCAGGAAGCACTTCTTTTGGTATCCCATATACGTACAGCCTACCGCCTCTACCTCTGCCTCAAAGACTTGAGTGAGTGGCTACAGTTCAAGTTTCCTCGGCGGAAAAGGTTGGGTGCGGAGAGGGCAGAACCATTGCTTACGAGGATCACCGACTTGGAGATTTCATTGTCTTCTATGAACGTGATTCTAGCCCCCGAAACCCCCGCAGCAGCTGCCTTGATCCCAAATCTGAAGCGGTTTCGTGCATTCTCGTGGTGTTCCGTTTCGGAAAGGGCAATACTCAATTTCGTGGGAAAGATGAGAGATGCCTGCCCCGGTTTGGAGACTGTGACTGTGAACTGGTCTGATTTTTCTACAGATCCAAAATGGTTGCAGCAGAGGAGGAAAGAATTGGATGAAAAGGGTTTGTAGCTGAAGTACCGGAACGTGAGATGATACATGGACATCTGTTACAAATTTATTCAACAAATCTATTATTCTTTTTGTCGAACCCGAGCTAGCGTTTGATCTCGGTCTCAATCGAGACAAAATCCTTTCGTTCCTTGGCCAGTTTCCATCTTAGGACTTTCTTTAACTCGGCTCTTTCCTCCGTTGAATAAAACTCAAGACATAGTAGGAAACAGCGCACGAAAAAAGGAACGAAATGGGAGACAAATTCCCTGGATGGTCGCATTGAATCATGCAGGCTGAACGACTCCGAGGCTAAGCCACGTGTCTTGAGCAGAGAAAACACAACACACACACCTATTCTGACTGTTAGCATTAGGATGTGGCGGCTAGATGTATGCCCCAGTGTGTTAGGCAATCGCAAGCGTGCAAGCATCCCCGCCATCCCGCACTGGGGGTCGATTGAATGCAGATGAATGGCTGGTCGTTGTCGGCGTGGCTCACTTGCATTTGCTATGAGATTCATGAATGCATTCAGTTGAGGTATTCGGGAGACATGTTGTCCAGTATCACGTCAGTGGGGGGTAGCGCCAGTCTTTTTGGCAAGAGCTTCGATGTTGGGGATCATGCATGATATTTTATCTTACGTCATACGTGTTGCGAGAGCCTCGACGCCGGGAAAGTCGCCCCAGGCGACGTGGCATTTCAGGTTTTTGACACTGAGGGAATACCTAATGTTTGCTGATCAGCACTAATGTTCCAAATCTGGAACTTGCAGACATACCTCTTACGCCATGTCGTCGCTGAGCATCGGGATCTTTGGTCGGGACGTCGTATAGTGTGATCAGCTCGGACGTTGCTTTCTGCAGGGAGCGCGTTAGCGTAGGTTATATGGGAAGATAACTCTAAAATGTCTTACGAGGGATGACAGTCATTTCCCAATAAATCGGTGATCACTTTGTCATTCTTTGAAGAATCAGATAGTGTCGGGACAATTATGCGCGTTGCGACCGTGTCAACATCTCTGTAGATCCTTTCGTTAGCCAGGAAACGAATCTATGCAAATGAACTTACCTTTTCCTCCGTTCGGACTTGGAGATGCGAGCTTGGAGCAATGATTGTTCGACCGTAGAACACGGGGAACGCCTGCAAACCATACAATTCAGGACCTGGTATACTGGTGAGGACCGCAGGGCAAGACAAAATTGCCAGGGATCCCGTTCCCTGAGGACATCCGTGAATGGAGATCGAAACCATGTCCGAGTCGGGTACAGCAATTCGGATGACTTGCCCTTGGAAGTAGGTCGTGTCCTAGGTACGTGTAGATATATGAAGCCAACAAAGAAGAAGCTCAATAGCTTACAATTAAGTCCAATTGATTGCGAAACGCACGCGTCCACTTCTGGGACACGTAGCGCAAGATCCTTCTGTCACGATAGAAGCGAGTTGAATACGATTTCTACCCTCGGACAACCAGACCTGTATCTTTCCATGAGCTGAGAATGCAGTAAAGGCGCCGGGTATACTCACCATAAAATCGCTTTGCACACCCAAGCTTCCTCCTTTTCAAGACCTCTCTTCAAACTCCCTAGAGAGCAAGCCAAGTTAACCGCAGTGTCGGGCAAGCGTCAGGGACTGTTTATGTTACCGTCCCATTTTTGTAAGAAGGCAAGCTCCATCGAGATGACGATGGTGAGGGATAACGTTTGACAGTAGTACCTGGGTGATGCGTTAGAAACATTCGTTGACACCTGTCAGCATACCGACCTTTATGCTTGAGCTTGGAGGTCAAAAGATCCCTTTGCTGAAACCAGGTCGCTTCGTCTACCCATCTTCCAACTAATCGAATCCCAATATTGCGGGCATACTTTTGTGCTCCTCAGAGAGAGTGATAGGTAAGTATGGATAGCTGCGAAATGCTCTGTCCTCCTAGGTAGCTGAAAATGGCGGTCATGGTGGTGGGTTCTGTGATGGTGCGGTTGGCACCATATAAGGCAAGGTCGCTCGCTCTGATATTTCTCTTACATAATCTTGGCAACTTGGCTCCAACGCACACCTTTGATGCTTACAAGGAGTCCACCACCACCTCCGTTCCATACCTTCTTCTGAAGACGGCCCTCGCTACTCATGCTGGAAAGTGCAGAAACTCGAGGGCGCCATACTAACTCTTTAATGTCGTCAAACTTTTACTCAGTTTGTCTTGAAATACGTGCTGGAACATCCTGAATGCGACCAAAAGGTCCCAGTCGTCACCCCTGCCGTCGCTGACGAGGGTTCCTGACATTCCCGTCTAACGTTACTGTTGATTTGCTTCCTCGGACGTCTATAAATCATCCAACGTGGAGTCATACGCTGAAGAGGGACTAGGGGTACGGGAATGGCCGGAAGGGGAACTCGGGAGAAGCCGCTGGAAAAGGAGAGCGATTCTATGGCAGACGGTTTGCGCTTTTTGCGAGCGTTGGGGTGAGGAATGGAAAGGTCCGATTGTACCCCCTACGGGTTGGTCGGGTCGTCCTATCCAACTGGAAATCGTTTTCGACGCCCGGCGCCGCACTCTAAATCGATACGAGGTCAAATACGACTCATCAACCATATCATTTGACATTGGTGAAAGAGGGACCAGCACGAAGAGGATAGTTATACTCGTGTCCATCTGCTCGCCGCAAACTTGAAAGCTGGTTTGTCCTCTCTATTCAGAGCCCGAGTGTGTGGTCCAGCTGCCCATGTGCTTTCTCGACAGTTGGTGACGACTGGATTAAACTGTTGGGGCATTATTAGTGCAGGTGACGATGCTGGCGTTGGTGGGACGTCAGGTTCGTGTCTCTTGCAGTCAATATTCCTATGCTTATCAGTTTGTTTCAGAGAAATTGAAACATACGCGTACTTCGGACGATCCATGCACCCAACGGCCGTGATACAAGACAAACAAGCCAAAGCATATATTGAAAACTTGAAAGCAGCCAAAGCACGGTCCAAATTTGGAAAAATGGTAATCTATAAACCTGGACGAAGATTAACGCGCTGGGAATCACGATGCAAAATCGGCTTACAATTCTTATATTCCCTCAAACGATTGAGTCGGGGGGCCCCGAGCTGTTCGCCGACGAAACCTCATCCCCGTCTTGGCCATTGGGGGCTCTGGCGGCTCGAACTCGATCCTTCTTCGCTTGGAGGATGGCCATCTACGGCGTCCCAAATATCAGTGCACCGTGTTTCGACGACAATATAGACACATACCTTGAGCTTTCCCTTCAACTCGTCGATTTCCTGTTGCAACGCTCGTGCTGCTACCCAGGTCTTCCTTCCGTCATTCGCGTAGCGAATCCAAGAAGAAGCATTTGACAAGGAGAGCCTCTGGTACGCTTGGAAGTGCCTCTCTTTGAGCGTCAGGGCCTCAATTTGCAGCCCGGAGAAGTTCATAGACATGGGTGCGCAAGGAGGTGGTGGGGAGGACGTTACTCATTGACCCTTGTAATGTCAAAGCCGGCGCCACCATCCAGTAGGTTCTTGTATGTATCGTAGCGTATAATTGTAGCCTTGACTGTTTCCTTGAAAGTTCCGACTGCCAGGCTGGGTTTAAGGGGTGGTAGCATGGCGTTCACGAGAGGGTAGGTGGACAGGAATATGAGAAGTAGTATGTATGGGCCTATACCCGCATTAGTAGATGATAACACGGCCAAGACTACTGCCGTCCACTTGTTTTGGTTGTTATAATGCTGATCTTCTCAGTCCATGTAAGAGAAACAGAGGTGAGGAAAGGAAGGCGCTTAAACTGGGTTGATGGAGGAGAATTCGACAAAAGGATTTAGTCAATTCTAATAATAACAGTGATAACATCAAAGCCACTGCACTAGTGACACAGCAAACAGTGATCACTAGAACCGTCCTTTTGCTCGTATTTTCCTCGATTTTTGAAATAATCCTGCGTGAAGTTAAGGCTATAAGATAGTATATCTAGTCCTCTGTTGCATTTCGACAGGTTACATCTCATGCATCGCTCCCGGTCCATCTGGTCTGTAAATTTCCGCTTGGCCTATTTCATTTAATTCGAATGTCACGCATCACTCGAACTGGACGAAATACTGTACTATTACGACCGTAAGTTCACCTAACGCCTAACGGCCAACCCTGAACTGAGCTTGTTTTATGTTCTAACGCCTTTCAAAGGGGTATGGCTGCTGGCAGCCGAATTCACGGCGAATTAGAGATGACAGCCCCCGTGGGGTGGTCCTGGATTGTGGCAACCGTATATTTGCCAGTGGAAACCTCATCTGGCTACAGCCTGGTGGAGGCAGCACCAATTTTCTTGGCGAGAGCTTCGATATCTTCGATATCAAGGACCTCGACATAGACAGTCTGGTATGGCAGGTTTTTGAAGTTTAGAACAATACCTGGAAAGTCGAACGGTGAGTTATGAGATGAACCCGTACGGAATGTCCATGTACCTCGTTCGCCAGGTTATCATAGTTTCCGGAGAATCGCCTACTTTGGTGGGGATATCGTAGAAAGTTCAAATCATGCTTTGCCATGACCACAAAGGTTCTGTTATATAGAAAAGCGACAGCGATTCAGACAGATATTACTGGGGGACCATTGACGGTCATTGTCCTTTTGGAGTAGGAAATACGAAGGTGAACTGGATGTACGATCTTGTGGTCCATACTCAGTACTCCAAGTCGGGTCGGACTCAGCGATGCAGCAAAAGAGTAGTATGCAACTTAGGTCTAACCAATGACTAGCAGTTGGATCGGCAAAGTTGCTTACTAGTCCTGGGGAAAACGCGTGAAATAATCCTGGGGTAGAGACTTTGAGAGTAAAATGGTGCACATGGAATAACGGAGAGTCGTAGCACTTGCCGATGTATCGGCGTTTGCCGAACTTCCTCTTTCTCTAATGCCATCACGGAAGCGACGTAATGTGTGAAGGTCCCTGAGTACGGAGGCACCAACAAGACGCCGCTTTCTCTATCGTATGAGCTCGAATTAACTGTCGTTATCATAGAACCTTCGTGGTCCAAGACATCTCCAAAGTCGGTGTTGTTTTTCATGTTATTTCTCATTGGTCGCTTCGTATGTGCCAATCTTCCCGCATATTATGGTATTCTCATGGTCAACGAGCAGGCATCGAAGGACGACGCGACTCATAGGACATGACTCGCGTTGTTAATCGCGTAATTCTCTTTGCCAGATGACCGGCGGCAGGATTATAAACGCATATTAGGAGCCGGTGCGTCTTCCCTTCTCGCTCATTTGAATTCTTCAATCATTGACTCTTACTTAGCACGCGAACGAGTGAACAAGTATGTTGTCACATACCATATCTTGCAAAGCGGAAAAGGCGCTATCGTTGTATCTATGAATGAATTATCGTACGTGTGCATCAAATTTCACTGCATATATCCACGCTGACGGATGGACCCAGAGATGATTTCGCGGCCGTTCTTACTGGGAGAGCATTCTTATATGGATTCTCACGGATGAGAGAATGGTGGTCGTGGTTCTCGACGCATCTCCGCCCAGAATCGTAATGCCACCATGAGGCAACGAGGCTAGTCAGCGATGACTGGTGCGTTATATGTGCCAGCTCATACACTTTTGCTCATAATGACACCAGTGTCCCGAAAAGTTGTCTTCCAACAAAGTCAATGCGTAACGTCTTGCCGGGTCACGAGAAACTCTGCGACACCCCAAAGCTGCAAACTGTTTTTTATCCATAATTTAGTAGCCCTGTACACCAAATCTCTGAGACCAGTGCCGTGTTTGCTAGCTCGCTGCTTTAGATCAGGCTCCTTTCAACTGATGTTCTGACAATTCATCGTCGGTTACCTAGACCGGCAGTGTCTGTGTATGGTCTCGCGTTCTTTGTCCAGGAGATTGTCAATGGGCTTTGGATTTGCTTTTCCTTGAGCTTAAGGGCTGCGAGTTCAAAGTCTCGAAGCTCGCACAGTCGCCAAGAGTCCTCTCGTGTGCGCCATGAATATTAGCCACCTTACTGCATCGTTCTCCAACTAGAAATGGCTCACTGCTCAGAATTCCACCAAAGGTAATGCACAATCTCAACTGGGAATGGGCGACATCTCAAGATGAAACGAGTCTGATCTATCTCTGTAATATCCCATGCGCTGCGCTGCTGTACTAGTCAATTCGCACCCCACCGGCAGATCCCTCTCAGTTGATTTTCGAGCTGTTGTTGGGCTGTTGCCGCATAAATATTGAGAAGGTGTAACCGCAACCAGCCGGGGCAAGGAACCGGAAATCTGTAACTACCGGGGGTCTCTACTTTTGTCGTTCTTCGCAACTCTCCCTGTCAGTTGATATCAGTTCCCATGCTGCGTGGTTAAGTACTGCTGAACTGGGTCTAGAGTCCTTAGGCTTCCCTTCTGACTTCCTAGTTCGAAAAATAACAGCGCCTTGGCTCCTTGATGTACCCTTTTAATACACCCTTTACTTGGTATCTATCATTGAACCGTTCCTGCTGTTATCCCGCGTATTCACTGGTTTCGGACTCGATATCACTAGAATACGGCCTCTGGTTTCTGGAGGTCCCGGTCCTGTGTTTCCCTTGCAGGTTTGTCTTCAGCCTGGATTTTGGATCTTGGCCAGCTGCGGAATCTCGCGGCCGTCATGTGTGTTTGTTTTCGTTTCCCTGGTTCCAAAATGATCCCTTCGTCATCCGTTCCGTGATCGAGGTTCTTCGATGTATTGGCATCGAACGAACTTAGTGCTGTTATCCCTTAGACGTTATCTTCATGTGCAACTAATCACTTCGGCTCGACGAGTATACTTGCACCTGTGCTCGGCATCGCGAATAATAATACAGCATTCGTCCTCGGCCCATTCATTCGATTCATCACGGAAGGAAGGTACCATTTGGCGACATGATCATGTTACCTATGAGAGCCGGCACTCGTGATGTCGCAAGACTGTAGTAGATGTCTCAGGTAGAGTTGAAGCACGTCCTACTCTGGGTTGGAAAAATAATACAGTTCGATGATTGTGATGCAAGACGATACTACAAGTACACTACGAGTGGAGTTTTTCAGTTCGATAAGCTCAATGGACAAAGAGGGTTGCCAGTGGTGATAACTAGGTCATAGGGATGCGAATAAAATTAGGCAGCGACCTGTGACTGGACGCATTAAGCTAAGTTCGGAGACTGTAAAGGTGAGACATGCGAACCTGTACGGTCTTGTAGGTGGGGGGAGAGGTGGACACAGCAGAGGAAGTACGAGCAATGGCCGCAAGGTCGACTGCAAGCAATGATTATTAGTATGACTTGATAAATTGGAACAAAAAGACGAACCTTCTCCCTTGAGAGCCTTTTTCCTGAACTGCTTGGCGATTTCGATTTCCTCCTCGGACATGGAGGAAGCCCTAGCTGGTGCAGGTTTGGACTCGGTAGCTAAGTATGATGTCAGTGAGAACGAAGACGTGGATGTAACAGCAACCGTACTGGAATCGGACGCCGCACTGACGCTGGCGTTGTCTTCCGCAGCCTCTTCAAACTCCTCTTGGAGTTCGAGAGCCTCGTCGTCCATAGCAGCATACTCGTGCTCGCGCTCGTCAGCGAGACGACCCCAGTTGTGCTGGCCGCCACCGTTCTTGCGCAGGGACTTATCAAAGCCAGACCTGGATTCTGAACGGTCCTTGAGGACAGCCTTGGGGAAAGTAGCACGGGCGGTACGGGTCATAACGAGATGAGGTAAGGATGAAGTAGAGGAAGGGTACAGTGGTAGAGGAAGGGTACAGTAGTAGACGATGGTGGGTGTTAGTGAAGAGGTGGAGCTTGAAGGTGGTCGTATTTATACGTTGGTGCGAACATCATTAGTGGCGCGTGACCATCGAAAGGCCCTTATTTATCTAGGCCTTTTGTCGGCCGGCCTGGTTGCCAATGACATCCTTGTATACTCGTTTCCTGTTTCTGCCCTTGTCAGACCACCTTTTTGTTCCCTACCCTTTGTTTTTTCTTTGTTAAGTCGTCGTGCATGCCGTTCAAGGGGAAAGTTGATAAAGAAAAGAGAGCTCCAATGCGGGGTAACGTGGGAAGTTTCGTGCACGTGGTTACGGATATCCAAAAATGGACGATTTTCGTCTCCTTTCTATCCAGTTCCATGTCGACGTGGCTTCCCAGGTTTCCTACCATCTTTCTTGGCATTTACTGGCAACTCTTGATGCTCTGGAAAAAACGGAATTGTCGCCCGTATGGCGCTTGCCTTTCTAACAGCTCCTTACATAAAGTTCTCAAGCCTCGACTCGCTGTCTATTGAAATTTTTGGTCGTGTGCGTAGTAGTAGACGTGCTCTGACGCGCTCCGAGAGTCGCTTCGGTCTTCGAGCTATATGATGACGACCTCGTTACAGGATTCCCCCTGTCTGTTGGCTGTCTGTCCAAAAGGATCTTTAAAGTTATGTTCACATGTTCACAACAGCTCCACTAAACGACAGCCGGTGCTCAGGTGTTCAGTTTTGCATGCCGTTCTTTTGGTCCGGAGACGAAGACGCGACGTTGCGGTTTGCAAGTACACCGCCGCCTCTTACGCGGTATAGGTCTTAACTCCAAATGCAGCTGTGGTTCCATTCCGTGGTATCACTGAGTAAAACTCGCGACATGTTGATCCGTCATTGCGTCTAGACGGTCTACCGGACGAGGATAAATTATCACACCCGGGAAGGACGCCATCGCAGTTCCCATACTACTACCGGTGGGTGACCTCATCCTCTACGATTTGTATCCGATTTTTGGGGAAGGCACTTGAAATCGAGGCCATCATCGAAAGGACGCGATGCACAAAGGATATTCAGTCTCTTCTGATGGCTTTTGTATTAAAGAGCCACTACGCTTATCTGCTTGCGATACAATGACATCGGTGCTGCGGCGTCGCAGACTTTTCCTATAGGCTCAGCTGTCAAAGGCTATCCTTCTTTTTACCATGATGCTTTGGCTTCACGGTACGGGTGCCTATCTTCAATCAAATTCATGTGGTTTCTAGTAGCGAAAATGAGAACTTCGACTTCAAAATAACGTAAAGGATTCCCCCGCTGTGTGTATCATGTTCAAAGGAAGGAACCGTGGATACGATAGCTCACACGAGCATCTCATTGATCTATACTACGTGGTTCAACATCGTTCCCAGGGAAAGGGTCCTCTCCTGTTGCCTGACTTCGTCACACGTAACTTCCCCACCATCGCGGTCTGGACCTTGAATGCTCACTGTCTTCAAATCCCCAAAGTGTTGAACGACTCGCCTATTTCACAGTGGCCAAACAGAGGGGGGAAAGCGGGGAGGTATGGAAATCATTCGTTCCAATGTACATACCTTGACACCGCCGGTAAGAGACGGCAGGCTGTCAATTCACAACATCGAAGGGCCAGTCTGTTCAGAGCTCGACAAATCCCATCAATTTATTGAGCATTCTTTGGCTGCGATCAGGCGGGTTTCTTTTCGCCGAATATTCGAAAAAGAGTTCTGCGTCGCAGGTATTAAAGGTCTAGAAGCTGCTGCATGTGAGTGCAAACTGCTGGACGCCGATCAACTTCCAGTGCTAGAGAACGCGATGGGGCGAACTGGTTATCTCGCGTCAAGGCGGGATCACATCAGTACTGAGATCGAAGCTACGAAGTGAATGGAAGTGAGCAAACTAAACGATGAGAAGGTGCAACTTTACGTTGTGTGACAAAGCATCGCTTCACCTGCAACATTAACGTTAGAACGAGCAGGCAAAGGCACTTTGACTGTCCTTCGAAAGACAATCAGCTATCTTATTTCATCCTTGCATTTCCTTAGAATTTCGGAGATTTGATAAAAGGCGCCTCTGCGGTTTTCGTACGCCTTCATCATCTTAGGATGATCGTGATGTTCATTCACAAACGCTGAAGACGTTTACCAATAACACCGCTACACAGATAAAACAGATATGAATATATTCAAAGGTCTTGTTGAGCCACTATAAAAAGCCAAGCAGGTGCAGGCAACAGTTCAGATCCACGAGAGTCAAGTTTCATTCAAGCCCGAGGGAATCAAAATATCAACCAATGTTTGATATGCCAAAGAGGAAAATCGCGTTATGAGCAAAAGAAGACTGATCGCCGGTGTGCGATAGATAGAATGAAATGACCAAGGAGCAGCGTTTTTTTTTTTGAGTAAGCATGAGCTTGCCTGGCGACCTTGTGGCAATAGAAAAAGTTCTGCGGCAATTGCCGGTGGAACTTCACCGCGACTGACATGGATCCACAGCGATGAGTAGACTCCTTCAACGGCTGGCTACTCATCTAGGCCATTCCCAAGCAGCGCTCGAGCTGAAATGGATGTCTGCATTCGCAGAAACGTCGAAGAAATCACTTTCTGAACTTGTCGACAGGCGATTGAAGGATGAACCTCTGCAGTACATTCTCGGTGCGTATATGCGTGCTAAATAATTGTATTCCTATCGTACGAAGAAAATTTTTCAGGTTCGCAGCCATTCGGTGGCCTCAACTTGATTGTACGGCCTCCAGTGCTCATTCCACGCCCGGAAACCGAAGACTGGACCATCAGGCTGTCCAAGACTATCACGCCGTCGCCAGAGCGCCCTATATCAATCCTGGATCTGTGTACAGGAAGCGGATGCATCCCCTTGCTACTATGCCACCTATGGCCTCAAGGGAGCGTCCGTGCTTGCGGTGTTGACGTCTCTGCTGACGCAGTAGAGTTGGCGACGGAAAACGCTGCAAGACACGACATTCCATCTGTAATAGGCGACATGCGAAATAGCTTCAAGGCCCAGCAAGGAAACATTCTAGATCCAGCGTTTCCCAAGAGCCTGGAGCCACCGTTCGACATCCTCACTTCTAATCCGCCTTACATACCCTGGAAGGAATACCTTGAGCTCCCTCCTTCGGTCTTGCGATACGAGGACCCAAGGGCGCTTTTCGGTGGCCCGTCAGGTTTTGAGTTCTATCATGCCGTTGCCCGTATAGTCTCGCGTCCAGGCATTCTCAAACCCGACGCTGTTGTGGCACTCGAAGTGGGACATGATCAGGCGGAAGAGGTGGAAGACATTCTGCGCGACGTTGGCGAAGTCCGGCGAACAGAGATATGGAATGATCCCTGGGGAGAGGCTCGTACGGTCCTCGGATGGCGATCGTAGTATTCAAACTTGGCCTCAGGGTAAGCCGCTCCTTTGGTTTGAGTTGCTGCAACCTAATTCATCGAAGCAGGAAAATGTCAGCCAGCAGTCCCACTGTACCTCTGGAGCGTAATAGTCTCTACATAGCCACTGATTGGCTCATAAATCAGCTCGTTTACAAGGCAGACGACGCAGCAAGTTTGCCGCATATAAGTGGATGGAACTACCTCCTCATCTCAGTAGATTCATGATCACTGCCGTTTATCCTATTACGCTTACGCTAAAATGCTATCGATTATCTTTATTCACAAGGGTTCAAGGCCTGAGTATGGTGCCTGAACAAGAGATGTACCATGGATGGCGACGCAAGATGTCCGAATTGTTTATATTCACCTCGCTACTATCAGGCCGTCGCGGATCATTGGCCCTGTTGATGGAGAAGGATTCGTCCGCAATGGATTGAGGAGGAGTAGACGAGATAACGGAAGTGAACGTTGATCTGAAGATGTATTTGGCAGATGGAAAATGCCAGAAAACGTCGGACCTTTGAAGGAAAAGGCTGCGAAATGAAACCCAAAGGACGGGTAACGTCGTGTTGTCCTTGACATGAGCAAGCTATCACCAAGTTAAGGATACCTGATGTTGCATCACATCTCGCACACATGTCCTACCACCCAGGATTGTCGCACCATAAGCATCCTCGTACGGTTTTCTTATCTATGTACAGGACTGTCGCTTAGACAATAAGACAGGTACAACTTGATTGAATCCGGTAGCACTGTTTGACCCCTCATCCCCCGTAGGGATATAACCAGGAACAGTATGGTTCCCCCTTCATGAATATCAACCTCAGCCGCAACCCAGACCGTTATCATAACAACGAGCGCAATACATGTAACTCCCCTTTGTAGCCTAGAACAAGAGGAAAAGAGTTGCGACTATTGTGTACCCTCGCCTTTTGCTGGGATGTGTTTTTTTTTGTTATGCAGATGGTTAGCATCTCTGTTTTGATTTTCAGTCTACTCGGAAACTTATACAATCTGTAGCCCTACGCGACTTATGAACATACTGGCTTTAAATCTTTAATGTTGTGTCTACTTCCGCGCCACCTGTTTGCTCCTCAACCAGATCTTTGAACGATCAACCTTACCTTCCTAGTTGAACGCCTCAGAGAGTGATGTAGCCTCTCTCAAGCTCGGTTCTCAGATCTCCACCGATAACTTCAACATCCAAAATACCCGTCAAGTTTGTCCTCCTCAAGCCTTCCATGACTTTCTGCTTATCCAATTGCTTGTTCCTTGGTCTTCCGACTGATTCGGGTTCCGTGACAACGACAAAGTTCACGCGATTCTTGACGCGTACCATGAGGTCGTCGAGCGATTCCCATGTCTCGGCTGGGCAGCGATTCAACGCTTGCGAGTCAAGTAAGACGACTCTCAGCGTCACATCCCCCATCCGACATTGCTCGCGATCATAATGCCCTCGGAAAAGGTCTGGAAGTCCCCCAATGAAGTCATATGTCGAGAACACGCAAGTAATGCGTGGGACGCAGCTGATATCTACGAAGTTCTCGGTGGCTGTAGCGCAATAGTGAGACGTTAAAAAAGGTGGTTTCATCTAGACCACGTACATCGCTCAATGAAGGTATACAGTACGAGTTCCTCCAAAGTGTCTTGGGTCATGTCCAGAAGTTTCTGCAAACTCCCTGAGTGAACAGACCTGGGGGTACAAGTTAAATAAAACTGCAGCTTCTCCAATTGTCCGAATACATGAGTAGAGAACGAAGAATTCATCAACATTTCGAACGGTGACCCCTCCAGCTGGGACATTCGGACAGCGAGAGAAGATAGTTGTGGTAATCGAGATCTATCGATAACGCCATGATACGGTGATGATCCCGCGATTGTTTGTGCATGGATGAGGACATCCAGGAGCTTGACTTCCTGGAGTGTCGGACGGTCGACAAGGAGGTCGACGAGTTCCTGAAAGTCGGGAAAAATGACGTTCACAAGCGATATTCTGGTCAATCGAGGCAAAGGTGTGTAGAAGAGGGATGCCCTTGTGGCGCTGGATAGGTTCTGGCACCTGCGAGTAATGAACCTCGCCCCATGGACGGTGATAGAGGTTAAGTTAACCAGGAGCTCGATAATCCTCGGGATCAGAATGTCGTCTTGTAAAAACCAGGTGCTCTCGAGGCCTCCGCCGTAAAAGTCGTGAATCAGTAGCGTCTTTACAAGCGCAGGGATACGTGGTGAATCAAGGATTAGCCGATGGAATTGGATATAAGGATTATGTCTTGTGGGACGAAACTTTAGCTCGATACGGGAGAACAACAACTTTTGGCATGAGGAATGGAAGGAATGATTGACGAGGGAAGCATTCCTGAGGACGACATCGTCGCCTTCGAGTTCACCGACGATAGCGTCAATCAGCTCCTGGGGAAGGCTTGGGTCCCCCGAAGCAGCAGTTTTCAATCCTATGTGGCATTGAATCTGTGTTGGAATATCTCTTCAAACATGCTGACCTTTATCCGAGTCAGTGCCCAAGATTGCTCCCGCGGAGGAGGACGACATGATCGTAGTTGATATGCTCAGTGATAGGGATTGGTTCGAAAGGTTGATGGACAGATCTTATCTTATCTTCCTTGTTCTTGCTTACCATCATGACGCCTTTTTTCTGTCAGCTTCTGTCAAGCGAACTTCTCTTGGTCAGCGGCTGCTACGGCCTGTAACCCGACGGACAGTGGTCAAATATAATCATACCTTATTTTACTGTAATCGTCTTTCGAAACTTGGTTATTGTTTGTTCAGCTGATATTTACGAGCCCGGCCCACCATCTACGACATTACATTCAGCTAAATCCACGGAAAAACGAAGTGATGACGATGGACTTCAGGTCAATCCACATTTACCTGCCCCTTTATAGCTTGGACATGAACTCTCTGCGTCCGAATCTCATTCTTTGTCTGCGACCACGAGACCAGATAGTCCAATACTCCTTCGTCTTTCATCAGTTCGCTCTTTGCCACTCTGTCCACGAGCTTCAACCAATCTGTCGAGTTTCCGTTACCGGTGATAGACGCTCTCCCCGCATCTAAAAATCTTCGCATTAACACGCAAGTCTTCTTATGCGGGAATAAAGGATCGCTCCAGTCCTTGGTCTGACATTCAGTGCTGCAATACGGCACAATTTGGCATCCGGCGCACCTCTTGAATACAGTTCTGACCTCCTGAAATGTTTTCCCACATCTCGAGACGCAGCAGGCTGTGCTCCTTCGTAAAAACTTGATTTCGCACACGGTCCACATCAAACTCTCGTCTTGTTTGTCACCCATCCCCATAGAGACCCAAAGGTTCGGTTCCAACTCTTCCGGTATAACGTCCATCTGAAGGGAGACGGAGCTTCCCAGACAACAGAAGAAATCGATGACTTTATCGCATCTCCTTTGGGTGCCAAATGCTTGTGCACCACCCAATTCAGGATGACGACAAAGCTTGATCATGTCGAATAACATGCGAAGGGTTTCAACCTGCAACCCATCATTGGAAGCCCAGAGACCAAAATAATCGTGGCTGGGGGCATTCCTTCGTCAGGACCGCAAAGAAATTATAAAGGGTAGGTAGGGGGAGTGTAGTATTTTCTACTTGACGCTTGCGAACACGTTTGCACAAACTGCGGACGGATATAATGAGATGCTTCAAGAAAATGTCGGACCGAATGAGAGTGAAAGCGAGGACACGACCACAGATGTTGAGGGCGCCGGCCAGAAAGTTCAACGCAGCGGGACCTGCAAGCAGAAGATTCCACTGCCTGACGGAGTCAGTCAGGATCTGAGGTGTGTAGACTATAACGTCATGGATATCATTCGGCCAGCGCTTATGACTTGCGCCTTTGGAGACTTTGGGAAGGCTACTGGCCAGAAGAATTCCAGCGAGTCGATCGAAGAGAAGATGAACGAGGGACAGGGTCTGATTCGAGTTGTGATTACAGGTTTTACTGTATGGATTGTGTTCATTATGAGCGTGGTTTCCATGAGCATGGTACAGAGCGATGATGCTTGTCGTGATGTCGCAATTACATGTATGTAGCCTGTGCAAGAGCTCAGACAGCTGCTGATAAGTCCGTTCCTTCGTCAAGAAACAGATGGAGCTGGAACAGAAAGTCTGTCGCTTGGATAACAAGCGAGCATTCAGGTCATGTAGATCCTTGTGCTCTTCCTTTAGTCCCAAGGTCATCTGTGTCGCGCCGCCCAGTAGACACCGTCCGCAATGCCTGGGTCTATCTGGATCCATCACAGACGCAGCAAAGAATGAGATGGCGTATTCCTCGCGATCCGTTATCGAATTAAGTACAGACATTGCAATCCATCCGGTCACTGGAATATCAAAGTCAATCAAGGATCTGAGAGCGATAGAAGGGCACTGTACAGAAGATCGTATCCTGAAATTAAGATTGATACAAGGAGAAGGTAACCGAGTGAGCGCTACGCCTTGAGGAGCAGAGTTAGAAGTCATATAGTCACGTTCATTCGAAGAAAGAAGAGGAAAGAAGTCCTCCCCGGGAGATTGCCGATTCCCATTCGTGCATATAATTCATACATTGGATCCTCAAATGTCTAGATATACAATTACAATGGCTATTCTACAAGATGTTTACACCAAAGATTTTATCTCCAATAACAAGACGATACCTGAAATTGGGATTAGAATTGAGTGATCAAACGAGATATGGAGATGCGTACTATGAACAACTTCTGGCACGCTCTGCGACACCAAGTCTACTGTAAGGTCGGCACACGAAGGCCTTTCGTATTCCACGTCTATGCCGGGGAATCCAGTGATTTCACCGCGACGTGCTTTGGCATAGATACCCTTCCTATCCGTCTTTTCGCAGTGCTCGAGAGGTGTTGCGACGTGAATTAAGAAGACGTTACCGCCAGCACCGGCAGAGTGAAGGATAGTGTCTTTGGCAGCCTGTCGAGCGTCCTCTTTGGGAGCAAATGGCGCAGTGATGACTGCAGCACCAGCGCGCGCGAGCTCGGCGGCAACAAACCCAGCTCTGTCAATACTCTCTTCGGTATTTCCATCCTCTAGTGTGGTCGAATAAGTTCCGACATGAAGAAGAGTGGAATTGGGACCCACCAAGGAGAAGGGAAACACTACGGCCTCCTTGTTCGTTAAGCGAGACCTGCAAGGCCTTGGCAATCTTCTCTTTTCCAGAATTGGGCAATCCAGTAAGGAAGAGGACGAATCCTTGTAGATTGCGAGGTGGGTAACTTTCACGGAGGGTTTTTACAACAGCGCTAGAAGATAGACAGTTCAGAGGTTAAAAGGGGATGGTAATGAACGAGGACTCACTCATAACTGAACCAGTCAGGAATGGGCGCGCCAGTCTTGAGACGTCTGCGGAGCTCAGTGCCAGAAATATCAAGGGTCTGAACTCCTTTGGGAACTTCGTCAACAGGCTGGTACTCGTCTGCCGAAGGCAAGTAAGTCATCTGTTGGAAAGGCACCATCTCGATCTGAAGTTCGTCTCGGTACTTGGTGACAAGGTCCTGCGCATCGTAAGGGCCATAGAAGTCCTTTCCTTGGGAGTTCTTTCCGGGGCCAGCGTGATCACGGCCAACGATAAAGTGAGTTGCGCCGAAGTTTTTACGGATGATAGCGTGCCATACGGCTTCGCGAGGGCCTGCCATGCGCATCGCCTGAACGAAAATGATCTCAGCATGCGGGGAATTAAACTCGAAAGAATGCACGAACCAAAGGAAGCAGAGCAAGATGTCCCATTCCATTGGGATACTTGGCCATGATGGCTTCGTACACGCGAACCCGAGTGTAATGGTCGACATCGCCGGGCTTGGTTAGTCCGACAACAGGATGAATCAAGACATTCTAAACGCGTTATTTAAGGATGGCGTCCCATAAGAAAAGAAGGATCGCGTACTGCTCGTCTTTGTCGGGCAGCACGAACGGTCAGTTCACGGTGAGCACGATGCATCGGATTGCGCGTTTGGAACGCAACGACTTTCCTCCAGGACAGTTTTTTGAAGTGAGCTCGCAATTCTGCGGGGGTAACTGTAATTATGATGATTAGTGATTAGCTCTTTGTCTTCCCATGAAAAAGACATGCATCTGAGTGCGACATAGTCGAAGTGAGCGGGAGCTTGGATGGCTTGGATTTTTCCGCCGACATAGAACTCCTGTACGCGTTTGCGAAGATAGCTGACAGCTGGATGAGCAGGGTCGTCGGCACCGAAGACTTGAACTGCTTCTTTGACGCGGTCTGGCTTGTAGATATCCTCGACTATCACGAGATAAGAACAAAGAGCGAGGTAAAAGAATCAGACACACCGGTTATTATGGCAAGAGCCTCTTCATCCCGTGGGTCGCGAAGGGTAACCCGCGAGCCGGGGACGATCGAGAGACGGCTTATTTCTTGGCCAGAGACATCCAGAGTGATAGGAATGGGGAATAAAACACCGTCAGCCAACCGAAGAGTATCAACAACGCTGTGAAGGCAGTTATTCAGAATAAATCTGTAAAAACAAACAAGTCTGTAAACCTCTTATAATCCTTCTCCGTCATAAAACCTTCCAGAGGGCTGAAGCCTCCATTGGCAATCAACTCTAAATCACAGAGTTGTCGCTTAGGAAAAAATCAGTACGTGAAATAGAAAGATAGGGGGAGAATCACCTCAGTGAGGATGATATCAGGCAAGGTCTCTACTTCCTCTCTAAGTTGGTGAGAAATTGCATTGTCTCTTGCGATGAGATCCTAGAAAGAAGTCAGAAAAGTCAGTACTGTTTCAAAAGAAACGTATGGAAAATTTTTTCGATCACCTTGAGAATACCGCCATGAGGAATAGTAGACATATTGGTATGATGTTTGTTCTTTGAGTTATTCAAGTGAATGAAAGAAAGGATTGAAGTGCAGTTTGAGTTGCGTCTGGCTCAGACATTTTATAGGACGGCGCGATCGCTCAGAATCACGCAATTATAATTAATGCAGTCGGGTTTGTCAGTGTCATGCACGTCGAATATGGAATACAGTGAATGCATGATGCGTTCAGCCCTGCTTCGAATGTTCGGGGAGATTACGGACAGTCCAAGTTGCATCAGACGGTTACAGGTCTGACGGGTATTTGATGGTAGATATCTTTCCGCATTGGGCATAGCCGAAGTGGGCGGGAACTACCAGTTCACTATATGACTCGCACAGGTCGAAACCCAGATGAAAAGTGGCATAGTTTGCCCAGGATACGATGAAGAAACAAGGCTTTTTGGAGGCTTACCGACCATATCAGTCCCTGCCTTGACAAGACGACAGGATAAGACTTGACTGGTTTATGGAATTCATGTTCTATGCCACACGCTGGAAGTGCCTCCATGCGACGTGCATAGTGATCGTTATTCAATGAACGGAAGCCGATACCGCAAGTAGGATTTCTCGATTTCTGGTTGGTCGTCTGTCACATGGTCCTTAGTAACAGTATCGCTTGCCGTCGGGATTTGGTGTGAAAGATTTCTGGATGCAGCCCCGTCACCACACGGCGGAACACTGGAAGACAGACATATCATGACACGCCTGGATTCTGAAAAGTTCCGATAAACGAATAGACACTGGGCTTAGCTGAGCACTGCGTGGACAACTATTTAAACTCCCAAGGATGCAGAACTAAATGTATTGAAGACGGGTCGGATGTTTACAGCCGGTGCTCATGCCCCAGCAGAGTGGAGCACTTGAAAACAGGTGGACAGGTGCAAATCGTCAAAGGAGGGAAAACTTCTTCACGGAGTATTGATAGGTATCAGCCCTGACAAGCTTCAAGCAGCGGACCCACACGTCGGACTTGTTTGATGACCCATCATCAACAGGGTGTACTCTCAATCTGAGGTTTTGTCTGCATACTGCGGATCCGTCAAGGCGGAGTGGCCCATGAGAACTTTGAGGTGGTAGGCCTAGTATCCAGGACATTGGTGACAAAAAGACGTAGCGATACTTTAGAAGACACCGATAGAATCCTAGGACCACAGTGGAACACGCCGATAAAAGATGGCAGAAAAGATGACGTCGCGTCAAGATCAATGAGCACGCAAGGATGTCAAAGTTTGGTATGTGGTCGCCTTGCTGGCCGCCCAGGTTCGTTTTCGAGGCCAATGAGCCATTTGGGATTTCCCACGACCAGCCATATCCGAGGAAATATGATCTTTGACAGCACAAAATCCATCATGCGCGTATGTGGACGAAACGGTGCATCAGTGAAGCAGTCCTAGACTAAGACTCAGTGAGGGAAGTCATTTCTCGTGGTCATGTTGCCGGTGTTCGGTTTTAATCACCCTAGAACTGCAGGTACTCTATATTACTGCGTCCTCTATGAACTTTTTTCAGGTCGTTGAAGACAGGATAAAGAATACATACTCATCATCCTCGACCCCGCATGTTCATGAATCCGATTCGGAGACCCATCAGAACGACCATTCGACGTCGGATATCCATTCGGAATTCTGACGTCTGGAGTGTTTTGAATTCATGAATGCTGAAGGAGAAACGATAATGGCAAGATGGACTGGGCCAACGATGTATCCGAGCCGGGTATACAATCAGATGGCGGTCCAAAGCTGTGCATTTCCCTTCACCAAATCAGACTGGGATAAAGCTATTAAAGGCATGGCACCCCTCGCTATACACAGTTCTCTGCCAACATCCCGATTCCAAAGCTAAACCCATGAAGCCCGGAAATACTAGTCAAAAGGATGACGCATCTTCGTGGTTTCGACGCGCGTCGCCACGTGGACTTTGGTGCCGGCGCGGCAGAGGAGTCACCGTTGGAATGATATAAAAAAGAGATTGCTTGCAGTGTACTGGCCAACGAAGTCGCGACATGACTCCTGCCATAGCAATCATTGGAGCTGGCCCAAGCGGTCTTCTTCTTGCCCGCCTTCTTCAGCACCTCGGCAACATACCGTCCACCATCTTCGAACTCGACCTCTCTTCCTCTGCTCGCGGTCAAGGCGGCACTCTCGACATCCACGAAGGAACCGGCCAACGCGCCCTGAAAGCCGCTGGTCTCCTTTCAGAATTCCAAAAATATATGCGCCCAGAAGGCGATTACCTCCGTCTGGTGGACAAGACCGGTTTCATACATATAGACGGAGAAACGCCCGGTGAAGGACGTCCTGAGATCGATAGAACTCAGTTGCGTCAACTTCTCATTGATTCTGTGCCAGCTACCACCATCGAGTGGGGATCCAAAATCGCCAGCGTTCAGCCTACCCCAGACGGGCGTTTCAGAGTCACTTTGGCGGATGGATCAGAAGACCCACGCAGTTTCGACTTGGTGGTGGGAGCTGACGGTGCATGGTCCCGCGTTCGCCCTCTGGTAACAGACGTTCTCCCCTTCTATTCAGGAATTAGCGGCGTGGAGGTCCGTTTCCGCGACGTCGACACGGCTCATCCGGAGATTTCCAAGCTGGTAGGACAAGGGAGCTACTTCTGCCTTAGCGACGATAAGGCATTCTTCGCACAGCGCCAGGGAGATGGCAGTATCCGCAACTATGCCATGCTCCGTACTCCAGAAAGCTGGATAGATGAATGTGGTATTGATTTTTCAAACCCACAAGCAACTAAAGCCGCGCTGCTCGAGCGATACTTCGATGATTGGAGTGAGGCCAACAAGGATCTCTTTCGCCTGGCCGATGATGACCATGTAATTGCACGCAAGCTGGTCATGCTCCCCGTGGATCACTGGTGGACTTCACGACCAGGAGTAACGCTGATGGGTGACGCGGCTCATGTCATGACACCGTTCGCCGGAGAAGGGGTGAACAATGCCATGGTAGATGCACTGGAACTGGCAGAAAAGGTGGTTGCTGCGCTAAAAGACGGCTCGACGGGAACGACGGAGGAGAATTTGGCGAAGGCGGTGAAGGAATACGAGGAGGATATGTTCGCGAGGGTCCAAGTTGTAGCGCGTGAGACGTTACACAATCTGGATGTCTGTTTCTCTAAGAATGCGCCTTTGGAATTCAAGGAAATGATGGAAGGATTCAAGGCTGGTGGTGGCGATGTATAAACGTTTTATTTTCGCTTTTTTTTCTCTCTTGTAGTACTGCAATCGTAGACAGGTAGGTTAATAGTTGAAGTAGGGAACCAAGTGTAACATTGACGCACCCATGGGACAACATGAAAGTAAAAAACAACTTAAGATACCCATCTTGAAGAGCTGCTACCGCATTATAGGCAGAAGCGATGATGACGGTGGCTGACGGTGGTGGTCCTGGAGAGAGAGCTGATCGTGGGAACACCAGTAAACGGCACTCCGGCCCGAGTGCTGGCTTTATGACCTTTAACCACGATGTTCTGCGTACCTACGCCGTTCCAAAGGCTCTCCTACTTGGCTGCTGCAAGGGTCTACCCTATGAATGTATGGTCGTTGCCCTACGGATATTCTCCGGCGCCCCGTGTATTACCAGATTTTCCCTCGTCTATGATCATTGTCACCTGGAACGTAAACTTCATGGCACCTGTTGTGGAGAGGCTGCGCTGCGCACTTGAACATATGCGACGTATCGTCCTACAATCGCCGTTATCGTATCCTCACCCTTGTTGTATTCTTCTCCAGGAAGTAATGGGTCCAGGTTTCCAAACTCTTTTGTCTACGGATTGGATCCAAAACTACTTTTCGGTCATTCCACAGTCAGAAGCGACAGATGAAAATGGATATGGATGTGTTACTTTGATTTCGAACAATATACCCCTCGTCGGAGCTTGGTCGCTTCCCTTTCCATCGGAAATGAGCAGAAGTGCCATATTGACGGACCTACTTTTCGCTTCAGGCCCTGGTCGCCCGCCGGTGAAAGTGCGAGTGGCTAATGTCCACCTCGAATCCCTTTCATCTGGCGCTAGGGCCAGATCTATCCAGCTGAATCTTACTGCCGAAAGACTGCGCGATATCGGCGTCGACTTTGGCATTGTAGGCGGTGATATGAACGCGATCTCTGATTCGGACAGGGCCCTTCCTGAGGCCTGCGGATTAGTAGATTCATGGAAGGGAGCAGATAATGACGAAAGTGGATTCACATGGGGATATCAACCTACCAGCAGATTTCTACCTGGCAGGTATTACTTATTTTTCCTACCGATGTCATATTTTTTTGCTGAATACTCCGACTCGAGGTTGGACAAAATATGTCATACACTGCCGCAGTCACTCAGTTTGACCCTTGACGTTCCTCGTCAAATTGGAGTCAACTTGAAGACCCCGGCCGGTAGATGGGTCAGCGACCACTATGGACTAGCAACAGTTTTCACACTCGATGGATCGTATGACGCTTCTTCGAGGCTAACACCTCGTTTCCATTCCTTCTGCTGATAAAAAATGGTTTGGACTTCCTATCGCCTTTCCTCTGTTTCATGACGATAAATTTCGAGCCCCCCCATGAGCTTCCCGTAGCCTTGATCATCTGGCAGTACATCTGACATGCGAACCAACGCAAAAAACCTCGCTTGTGGTCCGTATACTCGCGTTCTATATTTATAGCGGACCGCGGACCGTCCCTACAATTGGCATGCCTCTTGAAACTTTTTCCCGCGTCAGTGAGCAGGCAATTGAACTAAAAATAAATCTGGCACTGATTTGATTTTTGCGCAACAGTCAGTCGCATTGCAAGGCTGCTGAGGGCCTTAGCACGACCGGACCGTGTCAACCAGACGTGCACTCCACATCAATATGCACCTATACAGGGACGTCGGTTCAAGTGCCGTCGCGGAAGCCCCCAGAAATATATGTGAAGCTGGTCGGTGTCTCGTGGATTATTTTTGCATGTCCTTGGACTAGGTTATATGCTGCAGTAAACTCTATGCGAAAAATTATACAGCCATCCAATAATATTTTCCCGACGGGACCTCCACGAAGGTCGGCAATTATACGCAGACCATCAATTCCCTTATTTTTAAATCCCCAGGTTCAGATAGATAAGGCCATCCCCATGACCTAATAGAATGATTTGGTTCGCTGCGTCCTTCTAGTGGGAAGATCACCTGTCCGATGGCAATGACAAAATGGAGTCCCATCCGTGTATAAAAAGGATGCCGCACGAACATCTGATTGTCCAGTCTTCTTCCACCAATTTCCTCATCATGTCGAAAGGCAAGGCCCAAGTCGATATCGAGAGACGCTCTATTATCGAAGAGAACCCGAACAAGGAAGGGACTGCGCATCAAAATGCTCTAGGACCTGTTCCGAAGAGGAGCTTGAAGCAGTTCTTATCGCCATTGGACTCTGCATATGCTGCTGCTGTGAACGCGGACGCAGAGACGGTGGAATTTACGCCCGAAGAAGACGTGAGCACTTTTTGCCTTTCGTTCTTAGCTCCGCGTGTGGTACTGAACTTCTCATACAGTACAAAGTAAAGAGGAAGATCGATAACAGGGTATTACCTTTGGTGATATGTAGGTAAGTCGTTCTAACGTGCCTACGTCGGTCATTTGCTGATCCTATTGTTTTCAGTTATGTTTGTAAGTGGCGCTCTGAGAATCTCGAACAAGTTATTAAACACCATGTTATCTGACAGTCAATCAATTCGGTACGTCGACGTTATATCGCGAAGAAGTTGCACAGCTGACTCATAAGTAGATCGCACGAATATGTAACTGCCCGTTTTTCTTTCTACGCATGGTACCATCTCATGAAGCGCTTCCAGCGGAAATGCCCATGTTCTTGACGAGTTTAATGACAATTTTGTAAGGATGATTGCTTTATTTCCTCGATTTCGATCTTATCTTCTTCCAGGGTATCACGACCAACGCAAAATGGACGCTAGCACTTAGTATATTCTACGTGGGCTACTGTCTCCTTGAGATGCCTGCGAATGGTACGTGTAGAACCTTCTGATATGAATCCTATAGCTTACACCATCACCAGTCTTCCAACGCCACATCGGAGCTAATAGATTGTGCGTGCCTTGATCTCACTACATCCAACTAACCCCTCAATTGCGTATATCTTAGTTTCTTCTTGTCCTTGACATGGTGGGGGATCGCGTCTCTGTCGTTCATTTACGCCAAAGGATACGGAGGTTTAATGGTACTAAGGTAAGCGCAACTTTCGGTGTAGCGCAGCGTAGGACTTAACACTATCGTAAGGGTTCTTCTCGGAATCGGAGAAGCGGGATATTACGCTGGCATGATCTACTATCTGTCATTTTGGTACAGACGGTAAGCGATGTTCCAAGAACATGCGCAATCATTTTGACTGAACATGGCCGGTAGGCATGAACTCGCCATGCGTATTAGGTGAATGAGATCCCTGTTGTTCCTTAGATTCGACTTGCTCATCAAACCTCTCGGTAGCCTCTGTATGACTGGAACCTTTCCCGGTGCTATCGGGGTCCGTTGGCTAGCTTGAGCATCCGACTTGTATTTTTTTAACAAGTATTGCTTATACAGGGTCTCATAGCATTTGGCCTCGTCCGAGCGCATACTTCTGTGCTAAAAGGGTAAGTGTGACCGTTCTTCTCACAACATCGACTTAATCTCTACTCTCAAGATGGCAATTCCTCTTTCTTGTACGCGTCTCTCCATCGGTTTCGAAAGTTTGACTCACTTGGTGGTAGATTGAAGCTATTCCCACAATCATCATGGCTTCCATGATTTTGTTCTTCCTCCCTTCTTTCCCTTTCTCGTCAACATTCTTGACAGCCCGGGAGCGAGCCATTGCCCAAGCTCGTTTGAATCGCGATCACAAACCTCAATCTCATGGCGGTATGACTGGATGGCAAGGCTTCAAGAATGTGATCTTGGATGTCAATTCCTGGTTATTCATGTTGATTTATGCTAGCTGTAAGTTTAACAGCAGTGTCTTCATGCTCTGGGGTTGATTTATGGTGATAGTCAATGTCGGAGTTGCTACTATTTCGTACTTCCTGCCCACGGTATGCATCTACGAATTTTGCGCCATTAGGCAAATCCTAACCTATCAGATCAGTTAATTAAAGGCCTCGGCTTTTCTTCCATCAATGCTCAAGGGATGACCGTCGCTCCCTACCTTGTTGGCTGGTTCATGGTATTCTTCCAAGCATGGCATAGTGATCGTACACGGGACCGAGGCTGGCACATCATGCTGTCATGCGCCATATCTTTAATTGGCTACATCATCCTCGCGACTTCTGTGCAAAAGAGCATTGGGGCAGCGTATTTCGCTCTGTTCCTTGTCGTAGGTGGGAATTACAGCTTGTTCCCTCTTGTCATGTGAGTATTCTCTGCGCGGTGTAGTCTATTGTGCACTGACGGTATATGCAGGAGTTGGGCCGCTAATGCCTTCTCTCCAACATCCAAGAGAGGTGTCGGGACAGCTTTTATAGTGTCAATCTCAAACTGCGTGTCAATGTACGCTTCCTTCTCCATTATCCTTCAAGACGGCTTCTAAAAGATTTCTCAATACAGTGCTTCACCTCAAATTTATTTCGACGATGACGATAACTACCGAAAAGGCCATGCCATATCAGCCGCGTCAGTACCACTATCTCAAACTAATCAATTTACTGACATTCCACCTCTTCTAGCTGTCTGTTCGTGTCCTTCATGACAGCGTTCATTCTACGTACCCGTCTTTCGACGCTGAACAAGAGGAATGCGAAGAAATTACAGGAAACGTCGGCGGAGGAGAAGGTACTAGAAGACGGTCCGGCAGGAGAGATTCCGGATACTGATCCTCGATATGTCTTCATGACTTGAAGAGTACGCAAAGGGTCAATGGATGTTCTTATGTACTGCAGTAAACTCGATGCAAAAAATTATACGGCCGTCCGATAACCTTTTTCCGACGAGACCTCCACGAGGTTCAACAGTTATACGTAGACCATCAATTCCCTTATTTCTAAACCCCCAGGTTCAAACAGATAAGGCCATTAGGACCCTGTTTATGCTCCTAGAGGTCAGGGCAAAAGTTCGGACACATTTTGACCAAAAGTTGAGGGTATGTTTTGCGTTTTCGCTCTAATTGTCCTAATTCGCGCAGAACAAGTGCCCAAATCTGTGTCAATAAAATTTAAACTCCGAAAAATCGGGACAAATCCTGCCCTAACCTCTGGGAGCATAATCGGGGGTCCCGTTTCTTTCTTGGTCTGTCGCTCTTACACTCTCCCCAGACAGAGTGGTTCATTTAGAGCTTATTACTCTGACTCCTTTTTTTTTGATTCTATATATTATTGTGCATTGGGGAGAACCCCATGTCGCGACATTGGTCTATCTACTGGAGGCTCCTCCTCCACCCTTCAGTCTCCGAGTCGAAAGCCCTGCAGACAGGGGCTATTCCCCCTGCAGTTCGGGTATCCTCACTCGTTTTTGACGAGGACTGCACTTCACTCGATTCTAAGCCCTCTGTATTGCACTGGCTCAGACTCTCTTTTATATAGCCTTTTAACGGTACTCGCGCAATAATCGCTCGCACTCAGGACGGGGTCGCGTCTCGGCTAAGTTCGTATGAACTGAGACCCTGCATTCACGGCGGATTTCACGCAGACGACCAAGGCAACTAGACTAACCAAACCTGTCAGAATTCTGTCCAGAATGTCAGCAAATACGATGTCCAGTCACTCTAGTCACTCTAGAAGTAGACAGGGCAAATTTCTGCCTTTAAACGCTGTTACAAGGTCATAAATGTTAACAATTGTTGACATACCCACTTGGACCCCTCGTGTTTGGAACCGGTTTCAAACATGCTATAAACCATGCTATAAACACGATGTTTAAAGCACCAACGACTATAAAACTTCCTTCCTTCCTCCTTTCCGACATTTCTCACGGAACCCTAGACAGAATGGAGTCCCTTCCGTGTATAAAGGGTGCCGCACGAATATCTGATTGTCCAGTCTTCTTCCACCAATTTCCTCATCATGTCGAAAGGCAAGGCCCAAGTCGATATCGAGAGACGCTCTATTATCGAAGAGAACCCGAACAAGGAAGGGACTGCGCATCAAAATGCTCTAGGACCTGTTCCGAAGAGGAGCTTGAAGCAGTTCTTATCGCCATTGGACTCTGCATATGCTGCTGCTGTGAACGCGGACGCAGAGACGGTGGAATTTACGCCCGAAGAAGACGTGAGCACTTTTTGCCTTTCGTTCTTAGCTCCGCGTGTGGTGCTGAACTTCTCATACAGTACAAAGTAAAGAGGAAGATCGATAACAGGGTATTGCCTTTGGTGATATGCAGGTAAGTCGTTCTAACGTGCCGACGTCGTTCATTCGCTGATGCTGTGGTTTTCAGTTATGTTTGTAAGTGGCGCTCTGAGAGTCCCGAATGTATTATTAAACACCATGTTATTTGATAGTCAATCAATTCGGTACGTCGACGTTATATCACAAAGAAATTGTGAGCTTGACTCGTAAACAGATCGCACTAATATGTAACTACCCGTTCCTCTTACGCGTAGTACCATCTCATCAAGCTCTTCCAGCGGAAATGCTCATGTCCTTGATGAATTTAATCGCAATTTTGTACAGAAGACTGTTTTCTTTCCTCGATGTCAATCTTACCTTCTTCCAGGGTATCACGACCAACGCTAAATGGACGTTAGCACTTAGTATATTCTATGTGGGCTACTGTCTCCTCGAGATGCCCGCGAACGGTAAGCGCGGAACCTTCTGATAAGCATCCTATATCTTACACCATCATCAGTCTTCCAACGCCACATCGGAGCGAATAGATTGTACGTGCTCCGGTCTCATTACATCCTGCTACTTAATTGCGTATATCCTAGTTTCTTCTTGTCCTTGACATGGTGAGGGATCGCGGCTCTGTCGTTCATTTACGCCAAAGGATACGGAGGTTTAATGGTACTAAGGTAAACGCTACTTCCGGTGTAGTGCAGGATGCGGCATGGGACTTATACCATCTCAAGGATTCTTCTCGGAATCGGAGAAGCTGGATACTACGCTGGCATGATCTACTATCTGTCGTTTTGGTACAAGGGGTAAGTGACGTTCCGAGAACATGTGTTATCATTTTGACTGAACTTGGCCGGTAGTCATGAACTCGCCATGCGTATCAGGTAAATGAGATCTTCTTTGTTCTCCAGATTCGACTTGCTTATCGTATCTTTCGATAGTATTTGTATGACTGGAACATTTTCGGGTGCTATCGGGGTTCGTTGACTGGCTTGAGCATCTGGCTTGCGCTGTTTTAACAAATAATGTTTATACAGGGTCTCATAGCATTTGGCCTCGTTCGAGCACATACCTCTGTTCTAAAAGGGTGAGTGCGGCTGCTTATCTTACAACGCCAATCTAATCTCTACTCTCAAGATGGCAATTCCTCTTTCTTGTATGTCGTTTCTCTATCCGTTTCGAAACGTTGACTGACTTGGGGGATAGATTGAAGCCATACCCACCATTATCATGGCTTCCATGATTTTGTTCTTCCTCCCTTCTTTCCCTTTCTCGTCAACATTCTTGACAGCCCGGGAGCGGGCCATTGCCCAAGCTCGTTTGAATCGCGATCACAAACCTCAATCTCACGGCGGCATGACTGGATGGCAAGGCTTCAAGAATGTGATCTTGGATATCAATTCCTGGTTATTTATGTTAATCTATGCTAGCTGTAAGTTCGCCATCAGTATGCTTATGCTTTAGAACTGATTATGACAATAGTCAACGTCGGAGTTGCTACTATTTCGTACTTCCTGCCCACGGTATGCATCTACGAATTCTGCGCCATTAGGCAAATCCTAACCTATCAGATCAGTTAATTAAAGGCCTCGGCTTTTCTTCCATCAATGCTCAAGGGATGACCGTCGCTCCCTACCTTGTTGGCTGGTTCATGGTATTCTTCCAAGCATGGCATAGTGATCGTACACGGGACCGAGGCTGGCACATCATGCTGTCATGCGCCATATCTTTAATTGGCTACATCATCCTCGCGACTTCTGTGCAAAAAAGCATTGGAGCAGTGTATTTCGCTCTGTTCCTTGTTGTAGGTGGAAACTACAGCTTGTTCCCTCTCGTGATGTAAGTTTTCTATGCAAGAAGCGTATTGTTTACTGACGGTATATACAGGAGTTGGGCCGCTAATGCTTTCTCTCCAACATCGAAGAGAGGTGTCGGGACGGCTTTCATAGTGTCAATCTCAAATTGCGTATCAATTTACGCTTCCTTCTCCATCATCGTTCAAGGTGACAGTTACTAAAAGATTTCTGTATACAGTGTCTCACCTCAAATTTATTTTGACGATGACGATAACTACCGAAAAGGCCACACCATATCAGCCGCGTCAGTATCGCTATCTCAAACTAATCAATTTACTGACATTCCACCTCTTCTAGCTGTCTGTTCGTGTCCTTCATGACAGCGTTCATTCTACGTACCCGTCTTTCGACGCTGAACAAGAGGAATGCGAAGAAATTACAGGAAATGTCGGCGGAGGAGAAGGAACTAGAAGAAGGACCGGCAGGAGAGATTCCGGATACTGATCCTAGATATGTCTTCATGACTTAAGAGTACGCAAAGGGTCGATGGATGCTCTGGACCTTGGGTAACTCGGGTGTGAGTGTAGTGATTATTATTAAAAATCATCAAAGGGAATAAAGGTGGATGGTACTCGCATCTCAGTGAATGTCGAATAGCTATAGATCGAAAATCTGGTTTTCTATTGCAAGGCTTGGATGGTCTTCTACTTATCGGACTTCGGACCGCACTCGAAATTAAAACTGAAGAACGGCTGACAAATCGCCTCGCTTGCACCTCGCCTCGATTCCAGACTTATCGTGACCCTTCAGCGGATCTGTATGGCTCAAATATCTTGTCTTTCCATGCAATTTTGACGTTATCTGTGTATCATGCTGGATGTTTGCCAGCCATTTTTCTTTAAGGAGCTTGGCAAACTTACTGTCCCGGACATTTACTTGGTCTCTTGGTTCTCAGCTCTGCTTTATTAACTCACCTCTGGCTTGGGTCTTAATGGTACCGGTTTCGGGACGGCTCGTTGTTCCGCTTCTAGCCTCCCATGCAGATGACTACCAGCGCCAAAAATAATGAGAGGACGTTCTAAAATAGGTCCATGTAGCGATCGACCAGCAGGATGGTCATGTACCTGGCATAAGGTACCCGAAAGCCCCTCTGAAAAGGGTCCAAACGTCGATTTTTCCCCCTCCTGTTTTACTCTTCAACCTATACTTTGCAGAGGTTGCATCCTATTGTCTCTACGCGACTTCCCCCTACGCTCTCTCGAACCTTACGCTCTTTTTAACCCTCTCTTTCTGTGCTCGTTTGAATCTTTCCTTTCGAAAAGCTTCGCCCTACCCCTAAATTTCGCCCTCTAATGTTCTCCAAACCCTCAGTCTTCGTACTTTTCGGTCTCGCGACATCGGCGCTCGCCACGGTCTATGTACGTTCATTTTTTTTTGGAGATCGCATTCGTCTGATTTTTACCTGTTCGTAGATCACAGACCCGGTTGGTTCCACCGTCTGGAATGCAGGAGATACTGTCACCGTCTCCTGGCAAGACGACGGTGCCTCTCCGACGTTGGAAGAGTTTGGTGAAGCTAAATTCGCCATCGCAGTTGGAAATTCTTTGCAGCAAGTACGCAGAAGCGCAAGGATCGAGGAAAAGTTTGCTCTAACCCCCCTACCCGAATGATAGACAATCCTTCAAGTTATTGCTGAGAACGTCAATGTAGCCACTACTTCATCTCTGCAGTTCGTTCCATCTGCAAATGTTGGAGCTTCAAGCGACCAATAGTACGCGTATACTTTGCTGAGGCGCTGTTCTATCTCACAGAGTAATTTCCAGCTTCATTCGTGTCGATTCTAACAACCTTAAGGATGCAAACAACTCTCAATACCCTGCTCTCTCTTTCTCCGCCAAGTTCACGTAGGTGGTCTTTGAATTTTCCTGCATACACTTATAACATACTGTTATAGAATTGATGGAATGTCCGGCTCGTTCAACTCCTCTGTCCAAGCACAGATTGACGGCCAGTCGACCGCACCTTTCGCCGGTGCTTCGACGTCAGCCTCAGCCTCTGCGAGCCATTCCAGCGTCGCAACTGCAAGCACCACCAAGTCAGCTTCTGCTTCAACCACTGGCACCGTCAAGGCATCTTCTTCGGGGACTGCGACCCACAGCGGCAGTGCTGCGAGTGCTTCATCTACCGGGAACAGCGCTACGGCCAGCAACCCTAAGATATGGCTGTCTGTGGCGTTAGCAGCAGCATTGGGTCTTGTCGCCTGCTAATGGACCTTTCCCTATTGCGAGCATTGTTTCCAGTAATGTCTTAGCATTAAACGAGTTCCGTAATTGAATACATATTATTTGGATACCAGATCACCAATATGAAGCCGCGTCGGCGGGCGCCGAGTTATTGGGGGAAAGTCTGGGGTAAGGTTTTCCCATAACGTTCTATTACAATATGACCCCTTCGTTTCCACGTTCTCTCTTTCTTTCAATGCTACTAGGATAGTCCTGCATCCTCGATGCTGCCAGTACCTTTTCGAATACCAGCAAGCTCACCTTTCCGTCAAGCATACAAGAGCATCTTGGGGAAAGGACCCAGAGTACTACCCTGCACACGACAATCTCGCCACTTCATCGCCGTTATGCCAGCAAGAGAATCAAATAATACACCGCCCAAGGTCGATTTTGGTTTTGAGCTGTCGCCAATGCCGACGAATCCACTAGGAGAGGGAAAGTGCATTCGTACGGCGGCGGCGCTCATCATTGGGTGCGGCTTCTCACGGCCCTTTCTCTGTTTCATCTCTTACCGTTTCCGTTTCCTCCAGAGACGAGATCCTAAATGGCAAGACACTCGAGGCAAACTCGCACTTTTTTGCAAAGTACTGCTTTGAGCATGGCATTGAGCTGTGGGTGTCTGCGGCCATTGCTGCGTCGGAATTTGTTTCCTGAACTGATTTCAGGAAACGTATAGAGGTCATCGCAGACGACGAGGCTGAAATGTACGTGTATCGTGGCTCTCGGTGGGCGCTCCGCTGACGTCGCGCAGCATCGAAGCAAGCCAACGAATGGTGAAAAATTACGACTTTGTGGTCACCTCCGGGGGCATCGGACCAACTCACGACGACATCACCTATGCGTCACTTGCGAAGGCATTTGGACAAGGCCTAGCTCACCACACGGAGACGCTGCGACGATTGGACGAAATGAACAAGCACCGACCATGGATATCATCGCAGACGAAATTGCAGAGAGAAGCTACGCAACGAATGGCCCTATTTCCCGAGCGCGCAGAAGTGATCTTTGTAGGGAGCGATATATGGGTGGTATGCTTTCACTTTTATGCTGCCGTCGTCGTATGTCTTACCATCGAACAAAGCCTGTCGTCCGCCTCGAAGGCAAATTATGCATATTCCCAGGGATACCTAAGCTGTTCCAAATCATGCTCACTCAACTTACCCAGTTTTTACCCCTGCCTCCGCCAAGCGAACGGCCTCTCAGGATCCAGATTTTCACAGAGTACGTCGCCCAGCCATGCCGTTCTCCAATGCAACTGACATCCCGTCTAGCCGGCCAGAATCAATGATAGCTCCATATCTGACCACCCTTCAAGCACGACTGAAATCTTGTGGTATCCGAGTGGGCTCATATCCCGTCTTGGGCATCGGTGTGTTCGTCAGTCTCATTGGACGGCCCGTGTTTAACAGCCCCGAATGCATTACCAATGTGGTGAAGGAAGTAGAGAGGGAGATTGGCGGCAAGATATACAATGAGAAGCAGGTAGCAGAGAAGAAGAAGGAGGGCGCTATTTCCCCTCTGGTGGGTTCTAGGGCGGTGACCGCGACCAACTTTACTTGCACGACATCCCCCATAAAGGCCAAGATTTAACGACTTTTTGCTCTGTACCACTAAGATATCTGTCCTTGTACTTTTTTGTACTTTATAATTCTCCAGGCCCTGTATTAGACTCCTTGTATCGTTGGTACGGAATTATTACATCTTCATCTTGTTCTGCATGATTTTGTGTTGAGATAAGAGGTTGCTCAGGCTGATAAGATCGCAATCTAAGGCTCGTGGCAAACAAACAAAGCTTCATTCAAGCAACCATCACGCAGGCGGCGTCAGGACCTCATTTTCTCCACATTTTTTCCTGCATGCTGTCGCCTTGAAAGCACGATAGATTTCGGTTTGCTTCACCTGTCACTCTTTTGCTCTTCACAGTCAACTTTCTTTCCAGCAAAACATCAAACATCATGTTTCCCTTTTCGGCCCTGGTTCTGGCGTCTATCGTTCTTGACTTCATTCTTCATACGAATGCTGCTTTGTCAGTTCGCAGCCTCTATGTGATTGAGCCCAACAGTGGTTCTTCCTGCCACGGCGGCCAGAATTGCACGGTCGAGTGGCTCGACGATGGTACCTGGCCACTGTTGTCGTCTTTTGGAGTTAGTACTGTCGGTCTGTATACCGGGACTCAGGTATGCCCCATATAATGCGGAATGTGGAAATTTTCTAAATAATCTATCGCGTATCCAGCAACTTGTACAAACTCTCGACCCGGTAGATACGTCTGCGACTCACTCTCTTACATTCACGGTGCGCGGTGTCTTCGCGTGTTTTCCCCCAAATTCCCTAACCAAATTTCTGTAGCCTATCCCAGAGGCGGGCCCTAACTCGGATACCTAGTTTGTTACCATACCTTCCTGCATGATATCATGCTAACAAATTCGTCTACAGCTATATCTGTTTCACTTCCACCTCCGTCTTTGATAACGGAACAGCCGTGATGGCCTTCTCTCCGTTTTTTCAGTAAGTGTATACCCTTTTCATCTACACACTGTATTAAACTTCCTCGTAGACTCGATCAGATGACAGGTTCCTTCACGACACCTTGGGAATCAGCTACAGCAAGTATTGCCATCCCAACATCTTTGACGCAAACAAGTGCAGATTCGACCAGTGAACTGTCGACCATCATAGTTGGGACGCTGTCAACATCTTTACCTCCTCTGACCTCTTTGTCTGCGACATCCCCCGCCACTTCTTCCTCTTCGATCACCACGTCGAGAATGTCGACGTCTTCAGCACCACAATCTACTTCGACGTCTGCATCTGCAGCTGCTAGTACTCAATCCGGAACTGCCAATGGCGCACTTTCCCGCACCAATGCAGTATCCCCGCTGATCATGGGCGTCCTTTCGTTATGCTACTTCATTGTCTGTGTTTTGTAATGTACATTTTCCGATACCCACTTTCTTGGTCCTTGTTTTCAGATATCTTTATTACATGCGATACCATTTCTTTCTCGCATATTCAACCGTTCAGTGTCCTGGTTTTGTATATATAGTAATAGTACATGATTTCTTGGTTTTACTTCTGCATCCCATTAGAATATGGACACGACGATACGACCAAAGTACTCACCAAATCATATGGACTAGAGCGTCTTGATCTTTCTTCGATATCCTAACAATGGCGCGATGTAGTATCCGAACAATATCAGGAACTGTTCAAATATCCAAGTCAACACTTCAAAGTCTCTCGAAGTCTTGCATGGGGCTTGACTTACAGCTTTCTCGAGCCAACGGATACCTCCCGGAAGCGAAGGGATTACGTCCCCGTGATAACAGTTATGCATGATGTCAAAAAAGTTAGTACTCAAAGCGCCGTCTGCCGCCATGTTTCTGAAGAAGAGTTGTTTCATCGAGTCCTGCATTTCATTGGTTAGCCATCATTCTGCCATTACCGTCCGAAATTTTAAATCACGAACGTCAGGAACTGTCCTCTCCAAGATAACACAATTACCGACGCTCTTGAGCGCATGCGGAATTCCTCTCTCAATCTTTTGTTCACCATCCTCCGGGCCGTACACTTGGATTTCTGATCCGCGAGTGATTTGCAACTTTCCTTCGACGACGAGCATGTATTCATCGTGCTTTTCGTGCCAGTGTAAAGGAATGGAAAGCTCCTCGTCACCTGGTACACCTGAGGCAGAAATACGTGTCTCATACTTGTCGTCCTTCAAGAAGGTCTGTTTCAGAGCGAGAATCAGAATAGACTGGCATCATAGTAATGAAGGGGGTCCATTGAAATGCTTACGACAGTGATGCCTTTACCGATGGTAATCATTTCTGGGAGTTCGGCTGCCATGGTTGTGGTTGTTGGTGAACAGTCTCAAGAATAACGGTACGCTTCAAACGGGCACCTTAGACCCAGACATGAGACATTTCGCACGCGACGTCCTATTTCGATTATACTGAACTAAGTTTGAATCCGTTCCTAATAAATAAATAAAAATCGAATGAGACTACTCCTCATAAACATAGCAGAGTGCCCCAGCTGTAGTGCTCAAGTAATCCTCAATAACCCATTCATCATATATGCCTTCACCGGTGACGACAGATTGGGGCTGAAGTTTGTAATCAACAAGGCGATACTTGAACGGTGATAAGGAAACGTACCGTGAGGGCAGGTGGGCCTCCGTTCGGATTCGCCAAATACATGGCACGGGTATCAACACGTTGAACAGAACCACCTTTGAAAGCGTTCTTGTTAGCGGGACTTTTGTTCTGCCAGTCATACCAGACTTTGTCGACAGTCTAAGAATGGAAATGTGCGTCATGTGTCGGCATATAATGGTCAGGATTGACACTTACGGTATGATGGAGGAAGAATAGCGGCTCTAGGTGGAATATTAGTACGAGACCGACGTATACATTGAAACTGGACTATACCATTTGGAGCCCAAAGCGGTCCCGGTTGGCAACTCGCGGGAGCGCTTGCGGGGCAATTACCAGCCATATCCCTGTGAATAGGCTCAGGTGATGATAGTGACGTCAATCAAGATGCACTTACCCTCCCGTCATTTCATGGACGCTGGCATGAGCAGCCTTCCAAAAATAGTCAATAAGGAAACTCGCTGAGAAAAAAATCCCCTACCTCCCAATCTTCAAAGGAGAATTGGAATCCTACGTAGTCTCCTTCACTACCGTTCACTAGTTCCTGGATCTTGTCGGCGGTGAAAGATATGTTCGCCATCTGACTAGGGTCTAAAATAACATTCAAGCCGGCAAATTGGTCGGACAACCAAGGCCGCAAGGTGTAGTTGCGACGCAGACCATGTGGAGAGGGATAGGCGAGGTCAAAATCATACGAGAAGCCGCCATCACGAACAAGATAATCATCTTCAGGACCTCCCCAACCTCCGAGTCCGCTTTTGAGATCGGGCTCAGCGAAAATAGTCGCTCCTTCGAAATCTGCCGCATCTACAAGGGGTATCACAAGATGAGATTTGAAACTTGGCAGCAAAGATTTCCTACCGCGCGTCCAGTCCCAGTACGGCATAGTCCCAGAAAATCCACACATCTCTCTGAGCGATTCTTCCACAGAGTGCATATACCACCGATGCCAGGGTAGGAAGAGACCAGTAAAATGGATCTGTCACGTAGGGGTTAAGGGGTCGGGACGCGCTGCAGCATCGAAATATGAGCTCGTCTTACCTTGAAGTTCATGTCCATGTGGATGTAAGAGATATCTTGGCGGGATTTAGTTGATTTGCGCATGGTATAATTGAGGCACGTACCGTCCCAATACGAACTGTTCTCGTTCACGGGTGGTATGTTATCAGGTTTGACAGTAGGGCTGAACTTTGGACTGTGAGGCTTGTGAGCCAAACACTGAAAAATGGGGATTAGCTCTGTCCTTGTCTATGCTCGCAAGACCTCACCTTGATGGAGGAAATCCAGTCGGCCTTTTCGTCGTCAGTGAGAGACCGCCATTCTTTCCTGACAGCAGGATTGCTGCAATTGTTGTGTTCACTGTCGCGGGCACCGACTTTTTCGCTACTGCTTGCAGATGCAAACGCGGCGAGAAGGGAAAGGGCACCCAAGAAAGACAGCTTCATGATACTTGAGTCTTGGGCCACTGAATGTTTTCTTCTTCTCAAAGCTGGCCAATTTTATACGCGATGATACGGCGGATATGCGGATTGGTCCCTCGATATCCACGCAAAAATCCTTGACTATGCGTGGCGCAGGAAGACCTTTTGGCAAAGAGCCACTCCGAAATCCCTGTCAGTAAATGAATGTCCCTGTATTAGATCGTAGACGAAACCTCGGGAGATTCCCACGTGCATTTCGAAAGACCTATACAAACTCAAATTTAACTGTTCACCAAAGTTTTATTATGTAGTTGGTTACTTGACAAAAGGCAGGCGCACCATGAGAAAATGACGCGTGTGATAGGTCTGTAATGCTGACAGACACGCTTAAAAAATATATGTGTGCCTGTAAGACAAACCCCGCGGATAAAATTCCGGAACAACAATGCGGATCATCCCAGAAAAAAGAGATGATATTAGCGTGCGTCGTGGACTTCGTAAAGACACTATACCCTTTCTCCCCTGCCGTATCCTTCAGGAGCGACGATCGCGTCAAGTAGAATGTACGAACACTATGCAGTTGTAACAGTAGCACTGCCTGGCAAAGGCTACCTGTTTCGCGACCGAGAGATCCTTTCGCGGCCACGATCATCTATCAATTTGGCTGTCGAAGTAAAATTAAATGGTAAGTATCAGGATACTACCGAAACACGAGAAGCATGTCTGTAAAAAGTAGCTTCCGTATCCAAAATAGTCCTCCGAGGTAAAGGGTTCCTGAGGCCAACAATCAGAGGGTTGCAGCGAAAATAGCGCTACCATTCCTGATACGCCAGAGACATAAAGAGAAGTATCCCCTGTTTCGTTGCCCATAGCTCGTGTAAAAATCCCAGGCACGTCAAAGAAGCTTTACGAGGCTTTACGTTGTTAACATAACATCGCTACCGAAGCGGTGATTCAGCGTAAAAGGAGCTTTCTCTTCGACCGACTACCGGGTTCGCATGTGCAGAAAGCGATTCCCTGTAAGTTTCCGGCAAAAGTACCCCATTAACATGTTGGCATGGCTAGACAAACACGAGTGCCGATAACGGGAGAGAACGTTCCATTCGAACCGGGTCCATACGTCGGACCAACCAATCAAATCGGTGGAATATGGAACCAGTTGACCTCGCAGCCAATTCCACTGAACCGCAAGGCTTGCCTTTGCAATGCATCTGTCAATTCTGGCTTCCGAGTTCTCCCGCGGCAGATCCATAAAGTACCTCAGGTAATTACACGGCAAGTCACGAAGGTTCTCGACGCCGATATGAAGGACCTCGTCCTGATGAAATGCCTCTGGAACGGAAAACTGGGGACCCAAGTCGTAGCAATGGTGACGTGAAGAAGGAAAGATTCGGACCGGCCTCAGTCGGCCCGCACCCCACACGAATTCACATAGCCCCTATTTCTCTTCTTTAATGTCTTTCAAATACCCCGGAACTATCTTATATCTTCCCTCTAATCGTCCCGTTTACCCTCCATCACATCTTTTACGATGACTGCCACTATCGCGACTATGCCCCAGGAACCTCAGCCTGAATCTATAACCCTGCCTGAACATATGGTTTGTGCGAGTATCGTGTGACCGTACCATTGAATACTGAACCTCTGATAGAACACTCACGTTAACGACGACCAGCTGCAGGCAGTCAGCATAGGTCTGCATCACCTTATTCAGGCAGCCAGCGACTACTCTATCTCCCTCGATGATATTCAACTCACGTCAGTCCATCGTTTCTATTGAATACTCCCATCAGCTGAACAATTTCGACATCACAGATTATCTCTGCAACCCATGCGCCTGACAAACGCTACGAGTAGCCCTGATACACCTCTTTCGTACCCAGATGGCTACGCCGCCGGTGGGCCACTTCCTGTCACAAAACGGGAGGCTTTCGCTCTAACTGGTTAGCATCTGTCATCTTGCTACCTGTGCTGTATGAATTGATTTGTTGCTTAGGCGCTCAATGTGCGGAGGCATCTGAGGCTCTCGGCTTGAAAGATATTCCATCTGATGAACGAGGTCAAGTTACCCAATTCCTGACATACATGGGGTTGTTTGGGGTATGAATAATCTATGATGTAGTCGTGTACCTGGTTTAATATGCAAAGTCTCGATCGTGGCCTCCGTTACGGCTTTCCGTTCTCCGCTCTCGAATATTGAACGATGCGATAACTCTCAGCACCCCCGGGAAGCTCCGTCGCCAAGTGAGAGATTAGACTCCGCTGCAACGCACTCGTAATATCCAAAGAAGCAAGTGTGTATGTTCCTATTACGAGGTACAAGATGGACATATATATACAGGGTATACAACAGTTGATGATTTACAAAAATACTAATAGTTCCTAGAGAAGATGGTAGAAAATAAAACAGATGTAATATCCCTGTTGTACAAAATGAATAACTTATATGAGCGTGTGCGGCCTTACATAAATAACTCGGCACCATCTAGGCCTTCTGAGAAATCCAAAACAACGATTCGTTGATCATGGGAGGTACTGTCCAAAAGTGTTAGACCCACAACAAACAACCGACTATGAGGAGACACACCTAACGATTCTCGATACGTCAAATTTGACATCGAATATGTGACTTGTATGACTCTGTTTGAACTCTCGCAACATTTTGCCTGTCGGAAAATTAGCTCTCCGTGATAGGGTATGTCACCCACAGAAGACGTACCAGTGCCCACATCCCACACTCTCACACTCTTATCATAGCTGGCACTCACTAATCTCCTGCTCCGAGGATCAAAAGCCAGCGCCCTGACAAGAGCATCATGCCCAACCAAGGTAGTCAAGCACTCCCCAGATGTAGCCGACCAAACTTTGATCCTGCAGTCATTCGACCCAGATATTATAAGGTCGTCCTGCCAAACCGTCAGAGAATAGTAAATGAAGCAGTGAAATAACTCAACCTTGAACTCGATACATGCCAATCCCCGGTCGTGCCCCTCCAAGGTCCTCAGTCGTTCTCCCTTTGCTATGTCCCACAGGATCATCTTTCCGTCGCCACTAGCACTGACCAATTTGCCACCTTCGAGGCATACGGCATTGACAGGGCCTTCATGACCACGAAGAGTTCGATACAATTCCAGCGTGTCACGGTGCCATACACGGATGACGGTGTCCTTCGAACTACGAGAACATTAAGAACGGCGTGATAAGAAGCGAAGCCGACGTACCAGCTAACAATCCAGTTAGCATCCACTCTCAAATCCAACACACCACCACCATGACCTCTCAACACAGTCTTAATGCGTGCTTGAACTTCAATGTCTTCATCGGTATCGTCAAAATGTCGTGAACGGCTTGTTTTCGCGATCCAAACATCCCAAACGCACACGGTACAGTCACTAGAACCTGAGTACAGCACCCCATTTCGACCGTCATTCTCCCAGAAGAACTTCAAACATAGAACACTTCCTCGGTGACCGTCGACAACATCGCCGGTGTTGCCACCGAATGTCCCTAAACATCTTCCCGTCTTTAACGACCACATCTTGATGGTGCGATCGCGAGACCCGGTAATGATATGTTGCTGTCCCGAAGCCGTACGGCACAATTCAAGACAATAGACGCTACCGATATTAAAGATAAGCGCGAAGGCTAAAACTTAGAAGATCACAAACCTGTCATTGTGGCCTGTCAATTTCATGATCTTGGGCTCCCATGGTAGGTGATTAGAATGATTCGGACGTGGTAGTGCACCCCAGCGGCGTTCGAGTTCTAGGCGCTCTTGATATAGATGACGATAATTGATGGTACCCGACGCCGTATGTATTCTTCGTGTCCAATGGTTGGCGTACTGCAAGTTCTTTCCCTCAAGGAACCTCTTTGGGCATTCCAGATTGCCCCAGCGTGAGGTAAAGAATGCACGCCAAACACTGTTGTCGTTGGCAAGGCGTCGCCACGTCTGTGAGACTGCTAAACATGTGATGATCGCGTGCAACCCATCCTCGTGTGACGGATAATGGTCTTGTAGCGACGCTGATGAGGGAAGGCGAGAAGGGATTAATGCAAGCATTGACAGAACTTGCAAAGAAAGTTCAGGGGGAAGGAGCGAGAGAATATCTGATATTCATAGGATATCAGAGAGGACAGTCTTGGGATTTTTTGGAAGGACACATACCAATTCCAGTCACTACCCTAGCTCTAGAAGCATTGATGAATCCCCAGGGATGTTCAACAGCGATGAAGCAGGCCTCATCGTCCACATCGATGAGTTCTCCCTCGTCACCATCTAAAGGTGGCAAGTCCAAGAAATTGATAGAATCATCGTAGTAGTCATGATCACGATACATTCTTTTCCCTTTGAAACGACCGAAGGATGCCGTTGAATAAGAAGTAAACTTAGCGTGACGGCCTGAGCCGCTCAGAGCGGGCCGGGAAGGAGATAAGATGGTTTTGGTCGGCGACGCTATGAGAACGTCCCACAAACGCGGAAGCAAGGACTTAAATGAGCCATTCGACGGCGAGGCATCTGAGCACGAGATAAATGGAGATGAAGATGAAGAGTGAAAATGGCTAGTAAGTGCAGGCGATGAATGGATAGCACGACGCCCGAAGGATCCTATGCTCTTATACGGGGACCTGCTATACTCCCAGTAGAGGTGATCACTATCGCTGGATGCCTCGTCCTCTCCAATGAAGGAGAAACCAGAGGTGCTGGGGGAGGGTGACGAGGGCCTGGGGTGGTACACCGATGCTCGCCGTGACGTAGATGGGGTGGTCATCGAGTTGGACATCGACCAGTGAACGACAAGATAGCAGAGAAGACCTGCTCTGGGTGAAATATCGGCGTCGAGAACGTCGGTTCGACGTTGGAGACGGTGGTGGTAGTGGACACTACGACGACCACAAGACAACAAGTAGTGGCGGTCCGTCTCGTGATCGGCCAAATAATGACGTCGGAGGTACAAACAATAACGACGCGTCCTTGTCTCTTCTTGTCTCTTCCCTTCCATCTTCTACCATGTTGGGGCCAGCTGAAGTCGCGTACGTGGCGTCGTATTCTATTGTGTGCAAAATGGCGGACTCATTCGGTCCACTGTATGCCAGACATGGCCCTATGTTTATCGGCTTCATGTTCAATGTTCTTCTCTACGGAATTATGATCACTCAGGTGTACCTATACTTTACTGCATACAAGCAGTGAGTCCCTTATCGAAGAAGTTTACTCTCATTTTTATTCTCCTTAGAGACAAGCTTGTCGTCAAGCTATTCGTGAATGCTATTTCTTTCGCTGTCGATGCGCATTATAATGCTTAAAACAAGGTCCTCCTTCTTTTTCTCTGCGATACCGTAAACACGGTTTTCGACTTTGTGTATCTCTATGATTGTTTTGTTCTGCATTTTTGTACGTGGTGCGTGTTTCCACTATTTGCAGGAGATGTCAACGAAGTATTACAGCAGAAGTCGCATACTTGACTAAGGCAACTTGGGGTACGATCCGGCTTCCCAATGTTCTCATCTGCCTAATTTCTCTCAGTATTTTCTACAGGTACGATACTCGCCACTGAGAACTAGCTACCCCATCTTGAACGGCTCCGTTCTCAGATCCTGCCATGACGGTACGTTGGTTACATGGCCGTTTTGACCTTTGCGATGTTTAGAATCATGAAGGGCATCATTGCCGGTCTTGTTCAGTTATTCTTCGCATGGAGGATTTTAGTCTTGACTACCAATGTTTGCTTATGCGGTATTGTTGTGCTTCTCGCTCTTCTTGGAACCGGTAACCGTTTCTTCTCCTTGTCATCTGCTATTCTTACTTATGTATGATAGCCGGTGGAATAGCCACTGCTGCAGAATGCGGGATCATATCTCAATTTGTTCAGTTTCAGAGATTTCAAGTTAGTCGCATCGAATCTCCACGTCTCCCGAGAGTGACGGCTGGTGCAACTATAGGACGCTGTCACCATCTGGCTAGCATCCGAATGCTCGTGCGATCTTGTTATCACATTTTTTCTAGTTCGCCATCTGTTTGTGTTTTCGGAGCCTTGGTATTTCTTCTGCTGACAGTTATCCCATAGGGTAAGCATCCTCTACTCGTTACGCAAGTCAATATCAAAACTGGGCATGGATAGCGAAGACAAAAAACAGGATTCAAGCGTTCAGATGACGTGGTTGACAGGATCATTCGGAGTGAGCATATACTTTCAATGGCTTTGATTTTATCTGGCAACTCCATACAGTCACCGTCCAAACAGGCTTGATCACGTCTATCTGCGCGCTAGTCGACCTGATAACGTATTTGTCATCGGTAACGTTCATTCTCCTCGCAATTGCCTATATACTTGACCTCATGTTCTTCAGCCAAGAGGAATGTGAGTAATCAACTACTTCGTGTAACTCGCTTGCAAATCATATTTGAATAGTCACCTCATCTTCAACCTGCCTCTTTCCAAGCTTTACACAAACTCTCTCATGAGCAGTCTCAACTCGCGAGAGTCGCGCCAGGAACCAACAGCATCAGCACCAAATACACTCTCCTCCGCTAATACCACCGCGTACAAACATACTGTACGTATCATCCTCCTGCAGTCCCTGAATGTGTACTAACCAGATGGTAGCAATATTCCTCTACCCGGCCCTCACAAGAGGAAGACCGCAATGCAAGCGCTCTCAATTCCCGCAGGTTCTTGGATGTCCCAGCTCATTCTGGAAGCGACATCAGTTCATATCTTTCTACCGAAATACTTCAACGAGACTTGGGCTCTACTGGAGTCAGAAATTTCGGTACCTCTGGCTCTGTATCTGTTACCCCGCCCGACTTTGGTATACGCAATCCCGTCTGATCGTGATCCTTTGGAAATTTTCTAATCTTGCCTCGGCTTCCGTTCAAACGTTCAAGATCAGACCTATTCTAGTGTAGTTATGTGCGAAGCAAGGTCTCAGTGTGTATACCTACACGTGCGTTCTGTTCTATACTCGTTTTTCGTATTACAAACAGATTCATCGGTTATAACGTGGACGTTATCGTGAAACATTCGGACATATTCATTGAGATTTTCCACTTGTAACAACGCCACTGAAAATGGGTCCGCACGTTAAGGTGGGCTAGGTGCCTGGTTGTACTAAAGCACGCTTCATCAAGCTCAATTACATTATAGAGAACCATGATTAACTTTTTTCTAAACCCAGCACTGAATGAGTACGTATTTAGTGTAAACATGGTATCCAGATGGGAGACCGTGATTTAATAGACCTTGACTTGCTCTTCTAAATATTCCCAGAGTTTCAGACCAAGTTCGGGATCTTGAGTGCCCTTACTAGCTATCCCGACTCGAGCCCATGGAATGAGATACTGACGCACGTCCGTATTAAGATTCAATTGTAGAACAAGCGGTGGTAGCGCGCACCTTGCCGTTCAATTCAGCTCCCTCGGAAGAGGTGCCAGCCCACAACATTGTTAGTGCCCCCATATCGGCTGGATATTGACCCTAAGTGGAAAATCGACATGCATCTCATGATGATGGAGACAGTAGAAATACTTACGTGCCTAGCAGCAACGGCAGGTGGAACGTTGTGGTGGAGATTTGTCTTGATGCACCCCGGGTGCAGGGTGGTCGTGACAATACCTTGAGAACCATACCGCCGTGCGAGTTCACTGGAGAGAACTATCACTCCCTGGGTTTGAATGTGTCCATAAGCTGCCTGCTGAGTGCAAATTACGGAGTTAAGGACCCACGTATTTGCTTTGAGCATACAACATATCTGTATACATCTTCCTCCGCTTGGGGCCGTCCTTAAAGGTCGCGAAATCGAGGCTGCGCAGAACATGGGCGATGGATGATGTATTGACTACACGGACCTTCTTCTCTGGCGTCGTCTGAGCGGTGGATACTAGGAGGGGAAGAAGAAGTTTAGTCAAGTAGAAGGGTCCTTGGGGGGAACAACGTTAGCATTGGACTTGCCCGTGAATTGGAGATAGGGTTATTACCGAGGACATGGGTAGCGAATTGGAGATCATAATTTTGCGCGCTGACTTCCGTTACAGGAGGTGCAAGCAAGCCGCTGCGGCCTCGTGTTAGTGAAGACTCATAATGATATCATGGGCAATCCAACGAACGCGTTGTTGTAAAGGACGTGAAGTTGGGTCTCCTGACTGAAGAAGACTCTCGGTGAGAATTCTTAACTGCGGAATACGCAATACTATCTACCTTGTGAACTGTTCAGCTGCAGCTTTCACAGAATTGAGATCGGCCAGGTCCACTTTTAAGAAGTGGGCTTCTTTTCCCGTTGTCGAGCGGAGCTCATCGATTGCCACCTGAGCCTTTTCTTCGTCACGGGCTCCGATGTACACCTTGGCGTTATGTTCTAGTAATGCCTGGATGCTGATTTAGAACATGTTGAGATGTTCAGGGATCTATCCAGGGTACCTTTGCCGTTTCCTTGCCTATTCCTACGCAAAAATGAGGAAAAGGATAAGACCGAAACAGTGACCATCAAACCTGAAGCTCCGCCCGTTACTAGCATCACCTTTCCCGCTAGGTCAGGTATATCGGCAGCCGAATATTTCGGCTTTGGAGGCTTGAATTCTGTGTACAATGAAGCCAGTCGTGAGAACATGATGATGGGATAGGAAAGGTCACGGTGTTCCGCCACCTAATTAAATGAGGCATATATAAATATTGTTCACCGCAGATGCGCGTTCATGGCGGAGGCCACATCATCGCGGCATTTGGTGGCTGACGCGCTAAGCTGGCAGGAGGATCGTTGACTCGTCGTGGCTTACTCACCTGCCGCCAACTTGCCGCCAGCGCACGGGCCCCACATCAGGTCCGATAGGAGCGCCGTTTGAAACTTTTTTTTTTAACAAATTTCTTGCAAGACAGATTGTCACTTTTGATCTCCACTACGCATCTTATTTTTTTTCCCAGCTGGGATGAGTTCCGGTTTCGATTTCCAGCAAAAAAATTCAGTAAATGCCGATCGCGTCACGATCAGACAAGGGGGTGGCGATAGTGTTTCGATGACTCGGCTTAAAGCCGCGCGCCACGCCAGTCAAGCCGAACTAAGTCACGCCGATGTTGCCGAATGACTTCGGCAAAGTCACACCACAGTACCGGCTCGGCGCGGCTTAGCGCGACTTGAAGTTGCCCGAGCTTCGACTTGAGTAAAAAATACCGAAATGCTATTTTAGGTCGACTTTGATTTTTTCCCGCAATTTCTCCGAAATTTCTGGAATATTACATTACCTAAAATCTACTGATGAGCTTCCATTTAAAGGAAATGCATGAAGTCATAGCTTGACCGGCTGGAGCGGCGTGACGGCAACTTAGCTTCAAAGCCATCAAAAATTATGGCTTGGTGAAGCCGTTGAAGCCGAAGCCGAATAGAGTCGCGCCGAGCCGCGTCAAGTCACGTTATCGAAACACTAGGTGGCGATGCCGTAGAATGGCCTTGTTTGGCTAGAGTCGGGCTTAACCACAATGACGCCTCCACCGCTCGATTTCGCAGAACGATAACTCAGGGCAACGACCTGGTTTACTTTCCTCATTCTACAGGCCCCTGCACTTCGTATTCGTGTCTCGATTCATTCATGTGCTCTACGATCTAGCGCAGCTAATACGTAGCGAAGTAACCTACGAGGGCTAGTTCTACTTCTCATTATTTAAGTCGCGTCTTTCCCCTAGATGTGACGGCGCTGAAAGACAGCGCTTACTCCCCTCCCAAGAGGAGATACTGGATGAAGTGCATCTTATCACATATAACAATGTATGGGCTTTCCGGAAGACGTGAGTGTGATTAAACCTTTTTGATTGTAGCAGCGTCTAATCCTCCTCTGGGAATGATTCCAGCCCGTGTTCAACCTCGGCCATACTGGCCATTAAAGTTCATGCTGTAGGTGGGCTACAGCTTCAATCAACGACATGTTGTGCGACCAACGGACTCTCAGGGTCGTATCATGTCTCACTTGCATCGTTTTCGCAGGTTGGCATACAGCTCCGGAGTTACCAGTGGAATCACAGCAGCTGAGACTTCCTCTCGGAACTGAGTATAGCATTCTCTACATGGTTAGGGTCATCGGTTGGATCGATGGGCCGTGATATAGGATGTCGCGTCGCAATGACATACATTCTCCTGTTAGCATCTGGCAAATTGCTACTCTCCGATTAATGGACAGAAAAGTGGGTCCTCCTCAATCTGACAGATTGCTCAGGTACATGATTACTCTGATATGCGCAATTTTTGGTACTGAGCACAAGGCATGCAGGTTGTCACAATGGATGGAACGGACATTGTTGATCAAACTTAACTTCGAAGTGGGAGATGAAATGATCACACCGATGAAGACAATTTCTGCAGGCACTGCAGATGCACATCTCCTTGTTCCCGAGATCAGCGAAGTGGCAAGAAAAACCATGTAGACAAATTATTTCCCGCCTAAGTGTTGGCGTTGAAGCCTTTTACTATTCCAGGCTATTCCATGACGATGATTGGGCGACAAGTGGGGCTCAGTCTGATAAATTTACTCAGGTACATATTGTTCTGATAGATGCAAATTTCCGGTACTGAACACAAGGCGTGCAATCGTTATCTGGACAACGCGGACATTGTTAATCACTTCGAAATGGAAGATGAGATATCCACACCAATGAAGATCAAATTTCAAGATGCTATAGGGGTTCATCTCCTTGCCCGGAGGTCGTCGTCGCGGCGATCTGAGAGCGAAATGGATGCAAGAAGATCATCTATCCACGGTGTTGGAGATATTTGCCATCTTCCTGCATTACCGGACATCATTGTTGGCGGACTCCTCGCACAAGTTTGTTACGATCAGTATCAAGGTCAGAAATAGTGTTCAGTGAGAAATGTTTACCAGGTTTGATGTTGGATGGGAAAGGTGTATTTCCTCCGTGCACCCTTTCACGAGTACACGATCAGCGGCTTTGTGGTGTACAAATCTGGTGTAGTTCCTGGCCGTGAAGAACACTGTTGATGGAGATTTTGTGGTCACAAAATCAGGGTTGTTGACCTTGGAGAACGAGTAATATGTTGCTTTGTCGAACTCCTAGTGTATGATTGAAATGCCGAGTAAACCCGATAGGAATTATCGGCCGAATCCATTCTTTTCCCCACACTCCCACCACATCTGGGGTAACTCAATTGGCGACATGCGCCTATAAACAACGAGCGGGATTCTTCTATCTCACACAAATGTTTCGCGCCATTTCTTATCGTGCGTTTGGCCGGCGACAATACGCGACAGCGCGCGATGTCGTCAACATCGTTGAGGTCGGACCAAGGGATGGGCTGCAGAACGAGAAGGGCGTCATACCTGCTGGTGTCAAGGTCGAGCTCATTAACCGCCTAGCCAGCGCTGGGATGCAGACGATAGAAGCTGGAAGTTTCGTCAGTCCAAAATGGGTTCCTCAGGTGCGCAATACTCACCTATATGCGATATGAAAGCTAGATGTTCGTTATAGATGGCGGGTACTTCAGACGTGATAAGCCAAATGAATCGGATTGCTGGCGTTCACTATCCTGTATTGGTGCCCAACCAAAAGGGACTTGATAACCTTACCCACTTGCTCGATGAACATCCGACTTCACCGCCGTTGACAGACGAGATATCCATTTTCACAGCTGCAACAGACGCATTTACCAAGGCCAACCTCAATACTACTACAAAAGAATCACTGGAACGTCTAGCTCCAGTGGCTCGGTCAGCATTAGATAAAGGATTGCGGGTCCGTGGTTACGTCAGTGTGGCTATCGCATGTCCGTATTCCGGTCTAGTAGACTACGCGCGTGTCCGAGAAGTGGCAAAGGAACTGATGGAAATGGGATGCTATGAAGTCAGTCTCGGTGACACAGTTGGTATGGGTACACCCACACAGGTTGCAGAGATGCTCGAGGAAGTCAAGAAAAGTGTTCCTGTTGAACAGCTGGCCGTGAGTTAGCGTTGTTTTCACAATCATTCTGTTCATCTGACGTCTTATTTCAGGGACATGTAAGAGAGTAGTATTTTCATCTTCAGCAAGATACTGACGTTTTTCTGGCAGTTCCATGATACGTACGGTACCGCAGTCGCCAACGTCTTCACCGCACTTTCTCATGGCGTGCGAACCATCGATTCTTCCGTCGGCGGTCTCGGTGGTTGCCCGTACTCCCCTGGAGCGACAGGTAATGTCGCCACCGAGGACGTACTATATGCACTACAGACATCTCCATACTCGGTCGCTGGCAATCCAGATCTAGACGAAATTGTCAACATCGGTTGGTGGATCAGCAAAAAACTGGGAAGGGAGAGTATTAGTCGAGCAGGAAGAGCAATTCGTTCCAAGAGAGATAGAGGAGCCGAAAAGGAGAAGGCTAAATTGTAGTGGGTTTTTATGTATCAAACCGGATTGTATATTATCGTCGCAAAACATGGATTTCAATTATGACACGGAATGCTGCCAAAATCGGTCACTCCAGTATCGACGGCAGGAGGAACTTGATATTGGTACTTATATTCCACCTTTCCGTGTTTTATGCCCAGAGCGTCACTTGTGACAAAGTTGCCCTACGGTTAGCACCAACACGAACCATTTTCAAACTTTTCGGCGTGCCAATGTAAGCATTGTAGTCATTGATATCGAGACGACACGAAAGATAGCCATGGATACTGTGTAGTGCGTAGTGCGTCATGTATATAGCAAGGGTATGATTTCTAAAATGTCGAACAATCGAAGCGACGCGAGCGCTCCTCTTTCAGGCAAAATCCGCGCTCACTTTCCTCTTAACTGGAGAATCAAGGTCCAATATCCTCCTCGCGCGCTTTCTGGCGGTTTCGCTGACAGGAGACCCAAACAAAGAGTTGCCGGCGGGGATTGGAGAGCTGTTCAATCCATCATCGACAGTGTCCCTTCGCTTCCCTTTGGCTAAGGCATTCGGAAAGGCGTGGTCTTGTATGGCTCGGTTCGTGATATCCACAAGGCCAGTCCGCTGTCTGGCCAGAGTCACAGCTGTGGATTGACGGCGGCATGTACGACAAGCTCCCACGATGTGATCAACAACCCTACGCGGCACAAAGGCGTAAACGGCGTCAATGGATATGAATGTTTCTTCGGCACAGCAGTGGTCGTTCTTGACATGATGACGCATGAAGATAGCGTAGAGCTGACTCCATGAAGCAACGAGCTTCTTCTGGTAGCGCAGAACCAGAGGTTGTACCTCTTTCACGGATTTGCGGTGGCTAGGAATGATACGAATCGCTGTGTCATGGTCAATGTTGTTAGGCGATGCGGGCTCCAAGTCGAAATCACGGAAGACTTCGGTATGGGACTTGCGATCCCAGAGAGGAACGCACGCTTTGGTCGTGTTGAGATAGAATAGGACGCGTCTTTCAACGAAGAAAGGAGTCGTAGGCGTACAGGGTAGTTTATCGCCAAAGAGACTAGCTTCACGTTCCAGCTTGCCCTGTATTTGCTTAAAGGTCTCGAGGCTGAGAAAAGAGGGATCTTCGAGCAAAGGCGGTGAGTTGGGCGATATCGTAAATGACTGTAGTATAGAAGCAGAAGGATAGAGAGGTATCTTTGACTTGGCACGTTGGGTGCGACGAGTAGTAGTAGATTTGTTCGTGGTCGAGACTGAATACATCGTGAAACCTGAAACTATCCGTAAGAAGATGATTGGTGTCATGAAGGGAAAACATACAAAAGCGTGAACAGAAACCGACCACCTTAGAGCAGACAGGGTAGACGGTAGATAGACAAGGAGGGCAAGAAAGGTAAGGTAAGGTATTTGTAGAACTAAGAATAGATCAAAGCCTAGGATCGTCTACTGCCTCGATCGTCATGTCATAACATGATCTTTGCTCGTCGATCTTACGAACGAACAGAAGAAAGCAAAATATTAGCCGTCGCTTGGCGTCTGAATGAACATCATTCTGCACGTTGCGATAGGCGTATTTGAGCGCAAAAATTTCTGGAATCGTATCCAACGTATCAGTATAATTCAACAAATAATACAATCCTCCTTGAAACTGAGATTATACATCGTCTTGTCGACCGTTTTTTCAATCTTCTTCCAATCCGATCTATGCTGGATAAACTCGTAGATATCCTAGCCGATCTATTAGCAAAATTCCTGATATCGACTAACGTGAAAATACCTCGGGCTTGTATGCACCCCCATATCGGGTAACATCCCTGACGATCTGCGCCAGATCCTTAGCATCCTCAACAACATACACATGCCCCAGCATCTTCAAGTGCGAAAAATCCGCGACAATCGAAGGAACCTTAAGCGAAGATATAAACGCATGGTATGCATTTAAATCAGCGATAACTTGGAATCCTCCGTTCAGCGATATGATTTGCCTCTTGATGTGTTTCTGCAGGATGCTACACCAATGATGTTAATATTAACTCTCCCTAAAGCCTCAGGACCTACGCAATGAGCCGGATCCCCACCTCTTGATGAAACACTTCCAGGACCTCCTTGCTAGTGCTTCCCTTCAACAGCTTACAATGCATTTCCAAGCACTTGATAGCCTCCTTGCACCCGTTGGTCGCTCCCAGCTCAAGGGGCCTGTCTTCGGGAGGGTAGTATTCACGCGGCTGTGTCAAAGTGATGATAATGTGCTCCACCTTCGCATCTACGGTCAGTAAAAAAATTCTACCACGTCACAGTAAAATCCACCTGATTCATCAACACCTCTGTGCCAGCATTAAGTCCACCAGCAACGGAATCGTCCAGAGCATTTTCGAACCGCTTTTTCTCCCGCACAACTGCATTGAGGAAGTCGTGTCGATCGATATGAGGTACCTTCGTAACAGTAAGGATAATTATCCCAAATGATAACTTGGATACCCACAAGCTCCTTGTCGAAATACACTTGAACCATGGACTGGATAGTGTCTCCAATGTGGACAAGCTCAAAAAACTGCAGGAGTGGAGCAACACTTGTTGTTTCTTCGTGCTCCGCAGGTTTGTAGGCTCTCATTTGCTCGATAGCGCTAGATAAATTGTATAGCGCCATTCAATAGGAAAAAACTACCGACTCACGCAGAAAATCCTTTGGTCACATGTCGTTCACTAAGCGTCTGAAGCATCAGGATGAAAATCTCCTCGATAGTATCCCGAACTCTATGCCCATAGTGCCCCGGGTACCCGGCAAACGTCTCAACTCGCTTTAAGCCTTCACGATCAGCATGAATGAGTTCCAAAGCCACGTCTAGGGAAAGTAGAAGGTCAAGCTGATTGATCCCAGAGCTCCCTGTGAGTGGTGTGATAGTTCCATTCGAGCCTGATGCAGGAGGTGTCGGAGCCGACGATGGAAGGTCCGGGGTAGATGCTAGAGAGCAAAGTCAGATAATCATATAGGGCGGATAAGTACCAACGGACATGAAATTTCTAGTTTCGGGGGCTCCTTCTCAGAGGACTCCTCGTCATTTTCATTTTCATCATCATCATCAGGATTATCGAACAGCATTTCGCCATCCTTTGCTAAATTCTTGGAATACCCATTAGACGTGACCGCACCACCACCTCCCCATCTCTGAGGGTTAAGCATTGCGATCCCTTGAGCGGCAGCGGTACCTCCAGTCATGATGGCACCACCCACTGCTCCAACAGTCCTTGGTACAATGGTAACAGGAAGTAACAAGACGCTAGTGAAAGAGGCCAGCACGTTTCTCTTCACTTGCGCAGGGTTGTGGGAGCTCAAAAACCGAGCAGTGTTCATTGCTGACGATGTCTCGGCGTGCTAGATCGCTCATAAGTCCTAAATATAAAAGAGTGCGATGAGAACCCACCTGTCGTTCCCAACCTTTACATATCACATCGAGCGCTTGTTTTACAGACTCGACCTCTTCATCGAGGTACTCGTCCATGTTAATCTCAAACATACGGTACCTAGTTAGGGATATCAATAAGACGACAAACGTAGATAGAGGAGACGTTCTGACACAACATCCTCTGCCCTTGTTTGCGTCAAATTGCAGTTGAGACTGGTTTTAGCAGCTTGTAGAATTGCATCTACCATACGCCAAGACTCCTTAAAGCTGGCTGCTGCCGCTTTGAGGTACGTCTCGTTAGAGATTTCGCGGGCTCTCGTGAGAAGGGATGTCACATATTCCCCGACCTGTAATCAAGTTCAGAATAGTAGTTTGACATGCAAGACTGCATACGTACAACTTCGGTAGCGACACGGTCAGCAAAAGATACGAGAACATCCGATGCCGGTGGAAATACGCGTACCGCACGCGATCCATGTTCGACAATGGATCCGAGAATCGCGGTTATGAATTCATCCATGGCATCAAAATCAAGCTCTCGATTCTTCCTACATACAAGTCAGAGTCCGAGTCACAATATGAAAACAGGGCACGAAACGCACGTAAAGTTGTCCATAGGATTCCATCTCTCCTGGACGTAGAATATCTCTCTCTTCTCAGCCCACACCTTGCCCATCTCCCAGTCGCCGCGCCCGTCCCAAATCTGCCAGCTGGACTCTGCTGCATCTTTCATCCCTGCCTCATCCGCTTTACTGTCTGCCAGGTCGAACGCTGCGAGGAGGTTGGCATCGAACCGGTCCATGGCCGACCGCAATGACGAGGACAGGGTGTCCCATTGCCGAAGAGGCTGCACCTGGGGTGAGAGGAAGAGGGAGAGGAGACGTAATGTCTGCGCTTCATGCCGCAGTGTATGTGACACCGAATTGGATAGCTCGTTGAGTACTATATGAGGCGGCGACGACAGTATCCGTGTAAGGGGCCTCAGTAGCTTATGCGCCCGGATGTACCGCTCCCTAAACGAAGGCTCCATATGTGCAGGCATCGGCGACTTTGGAGTGAACACGACGTTGTCGAATGCGCCCACAAAGTCGCCCATCTCCGCGTGCGGTGGGCTGAGAACGTCGACAGTCGCAAAGTCCCCGAATTCATCGTCGACTGCAATAGTCGGTGGAGCTGCTGCACGACTCGCTGCTACCTGTCCCCTCGATTTTGCCTCCAGGTCCTCGAGAACAGACGATAGTGAGTGCTGTTCCACGCCCAAGGCCTTCCAACGCTTTTCCCAGACGGTCTCGTTCCGAGCAAGGTTGGCCGTAGACCGCGAACATCGACTGTATGCAGGGAAATCTGGTATTAGGACGTAGGATAAAATGAGGAGATGCAAGTCCGTTGGCAGACGGCCTACTAGAGGTGAACCAACGGGCTTCGACGTCGTATGATTTCGTGAGAGCAGGCGAGCACCTGTCGACGTCGCTGATGCATAGAGTTTTACCGGCTCCAACGTAGCAAATTTGTCCATGTTGCTATCCTATGTGTTGCAAGCATGGATTGAAAATAATGGGCAGCGACGGTGGCCCGACGAGCTCGTCACTGTAGAGCAAGGAAAGTAAAACGGCAGAAGCCGACGCGTCATCAACGCTGACAAGTTGATAGTCTTAGTCTATTATTTACATAAGTAGATGCTCAAGGTCTTGAAGGTGCTCATGCAATTGCCAGCCAGCCGGCTTGGATTAAAATCAACTAGATCATAGTATCTCGCATACAGACATCATTCAACATCACTCAAATACAACGACTCCAATGGACAGTGATTCGCTACAAGAAACGTTGGGCATTCAGTACTTGTCTTATGGCTTTGAAAAATTCATTACCTTATGCTGTCATCTATAGCAGACGACCGAGACGACACTGATCCAGCCTCATTCTCACCACCAAAAGCCTTGTCTACCAGACGACTCGCCAAATTTTGGTCCTCGAAATGTCTCCACACAGAAAACACGATTTGATCATACACCAGCAAAGCCGAGGCTTGCGGCTCTTCGGTTTCGCTGACAACAGCGCGTTCGGAGGGCTTCTTTTTCTTGGACTGCAGGGTTGACCCAACCTCTTTTATCACTTCCTTGTTCGACAAGGACTTCCAGAGTCCCGGAGACGCAATAACAAGGAAATCTCCAGGTTGAATGAGTGTCGTCGTGATGACTGGCTCAGCAGTGAAATATGGCGGAGTCTTCACATCGCTGTATGTCTTTTTCTCTTTCACATCGGACCACGAAAGCCTCTCGCGGACCGCCTTGGACCACTTGTACGGCCCTGCTCCGAATAGCCGAAATGGTGCCATACCAAAGAGCGTATCGTCTTTTATCACCTCCTCCCCAGGGTGCTCCCGCTTCACTCGAGCCAGCTCCTCCGCATTAGTCGCATCCTGATCTACCGAGAGAACTTCCAGACGATAAGACTCTCCCGCCCGACCCCTCCGGCCCAAAATAGCGCGTGAATTTCCCGTCAGTACAACACGCAACGCACGCGTCTCTGTGTCATAGAAGGCAAGCGTAGCGGAGGACCCAGAGTATGCTGCGTCCAAAATGTGTGGAAAATGTCGCGTAGAAGACCTGTTATTAGAAGCAAGCATGGCACTGAAGTTGACGATGTCGTCGTCGAGCCGATTAAACGTCTCCTTGATTTCTTCATCAATCTCGTCGGGGGCTGGGTCAGGACCAACTTCGGAACGGTCAGAAAGGCTGCTGAACTTGCTCTCCTTCGCTCGGCTGAAAAGGTCGGCTAAACTCCCGATAATCGCATTTAAAAGGTTTCCTGCGAGGTACGCACTGGTGTCGACGCCATTGTAGCTGTCGTACAGAGCAAAGAAGGACCAGAAGCGGTCTGGTAGACCGGTGGAGATAGACTGTATATGATTACTGCCTAGTTCATCTCTGTAAAAGTGTTACATTCACATATGTCGCGACAAAGAAGCTGTAGTCACCTGGCAACGACGTGATAGTCGAACCTCGCAATCCCTGGCACCGGTCTCAACGACGACTCGGAGTACTGTTGAGAAAACCCGGTCAAATCTCAAGACGGATGAATCCCTGCACAAGGAACCAAAAAGACAACACACCTACCATTTACTAGACGAACATTGAGTGCGGCATACACTGCTCCCGACGCCAGGACGAAACGGCGTGAGTTTCGCAGAGTGCGCGCAAATTTGTGATAAGTGCTCATGGGTTGACAGAGGGAAGATAGAAGCCGCTACTGCGCCAGAAGACTGAGTACTGAGTACTGAGTACTGAGATCTAGAGCCCGAGTCCTTGTTACTTCTTGAGAATCGAAAGAGAGTGACATCGGCAGGCACATATTTCAAGCGGAGTTTGAACTCGTCCCGAGTATGCCGGTCGACTGGCCTTCCACCCTCGGAACTTTACTTAGCGCTGTTACTTGAGTTTCTACCCCCTGCCACTGCCACTTATTGACGCGTTGACGGGCGGTTTCACCCGCTCATAGCGTGATATTACTTCTCGGTAATACTACGCCAGACGCCGATTGATTTACCTAATATCTATAGTGGCTCACTGACACTGAGAGTTCGAATCAATCACTATCAGGTATACTTTTATGTGTGTAGCGGTATGATTGCTAATTTTCTTTACTGGCTTCTGTGAATGAACAGTGACAAGCACACCTTTGGGACTTGAAGTATACTTGTATTTAAATTATTCGGAGAAATGAAGGCCAGCTATAACGGTGGGATTACCTTTCAGGTCCTAAACTATTTTGCCCTTGATGTATCATTTAATCGCATCCAAGTGACGGGGACTCATCGACAAATTATGCTGTTAGCAAGCAATGTGGCACAGGTCGATTTGGTGAAAGAAGAGAGCCTAAGAATTTATCTGGTCCCGCGGCCGCAAACAAAGAATTGGCTCTCGAGCCAAGAAAGTCGTGCTTCCAGCTAGCCCACATCCACGATGCGCTCCACCCTACAACCTCTTCATTACGGCGGCACGGTAATGCCAAGCGAAACCAGAAGACCGGCAACGTCACGAATCCCTTGGTATAAAGACCAACATCTTTCGCCAAGCTATCGCTACATCACTCCCAGGTTCGCACATCACCATCATGTCCTACTACCCACCCCAAGGCTTGTCGTACCATAAACATCCTCGTACGATTTTTTAATCTACATGCAGGTCCCCCGCCTGGACAGCAAGGCGGCTATTACCCTCAGGTACACCTTTGGAATGAGAAAATTAATCGTTTTCCAACACGTCGTTCGCAGGGACCACCCCAAGGATATGACCAGGGCCCCCCTCAAGGATATGGTGGACCGCCTCAAGGATATCAACCCCAGCCGCAACCCCAGACTGTTGTCATGTATGTCTCTATCTTCCCGGCGAGAATAATACAAGTAATAACTCCAATTTGTAGTCAACAACAAGAAGAGAAGAGTAGTGGCGGTTGTTGTGGTCCTTGCCTAGCCTGTTGTGCCGGAGTATGCTGTTTCTGTTGTGCAGACGGTCAGTGATCATTTCTGTCTCCCAGTCTTCTCGGAAGCTCACGCAATCTGTAGCCCTATGCGATTTATGAAAACACGTGCTTTAAATTCTCAATGTTATATACCTACTCCCGCAATACCTTTGTCCTTGAATGATTCAGCTTGACTTTTCCTCGAATGGCGTGTCAGAGAGTATGGTAGCCTCTTTCAAGTTCAGTTTCCAGATTTCCGTTCGACATTGCTCACGACTATAATGCCCTCGGAAACGTCTGGGAGGCCCCCAATGATGTCGTACGTCGAGAACGCGGCATGTATCCATGAAATTCTCGGTAGCTGTGGCGCAGCAGTGAGATAGTCGAAGAGAAGGCGTCAACTGAACTACGTACAATCGTTCAAAGAAGGTATACAACACGAGTTCCTTCAACATGTTTGGGACGTAGTCTGAAGCTTCTGTAAATTCCCTGGGGGTGCAAGTTAGATAAAGACGCAACGTCTCCGAGTAACCGAATACATAAGAAGAGAACGAAGAATCCATTGGCATTTCGAGGGTTTCCATTTAATTGGGATATCCGACGCATAGAGAGATATTCAAAACGACGATAAGGTAAAGAACCAGCGATTATTCATGCATGGGCGGGACGTCCAATATCGTGACTTCTTTGGGTGTAGTTCCGATCAACAAGGAAAATACTCTTCAGCCAGGTATGACAGTTTAGTGTGTGAAGACGATGAAATTGTAAGGATCAGGAAAATGAAGCTCAGAGCCTCAGATCAGAGGTAACATGGAATCTTGAATATTTTGCGATGCTGAGAGGCAACCGCTAGAGTGTAAGATGAAGGTGCCCTTTTGGGCCGGATGATTTGGAGCGGAACACAAGACTCACACTGAGGGAGGGATCAAAGCTTGGAAGGGGTTATGTTGAGGGTGAATAGGTTGGGTTTATTCGACGTCTCTTGTTCTTAAATTGCCTTGTATTAGCATCAAGTCAGTAAAAAAGTTCGAACAGCGGGAGGAAAACTTACCAGTATGAACGGGATGGCATCTTAGTCAGTATGATGAGGACCAACAGCATTTTACAGACATCCATTCGTGAAAAGACAAGGATCTGATTTGAAGGGTCTGAGCAACTGCGGCCGTGGTGAGTCAAGACTTCGATCTTTTAAAACTTCAAGCTGATCCACAATTTATTGGCTATCCAGTACGACTTCACCAGTACTTCACCGTGAAGACATAGAAGTTAAGAGCATGAATAGAACAGGCTAGCCCTTGTTGTAGATATGATGATCCACGAACAATCAGCGAGTCTGCAAGAGACCAGAGTTACATTCCAACACAGAATAGCAGGAAAATAGAACTTCGTGGGGGTTAATGCCCTGCTAGAGAGGGAAGAGACCGCCGAACTAAACCGATATGCAATCGAAGGGAGAAACGGAGTGAGGATCATCACGCCCTCGGAGACTTCGCCATATGGCCGAAACTGCAGACGAAAGTGTAGGGCACTACAAAGAAGATGTCCTCTCGAAGGAACGCAATCCAATCAAGACTATGATCCGGTACAGAGCCGTTCGAGCTATAGATTGAAAAAGGAGATATAATTAAGGAGTGTTTGAGAACAACATGAGAAGAAGTTGACGCGAACAGAAGGTGGAGTTTGTTGTAGACAGTGAATTGAATACAGATACACATTCAAATTTCTAATCTTTCCTGAAGTTCTTCAGTTGACGGTCGATTTCGTACTCGACAAAGGCCAACATATCCTTCGTCCCCTTAGTCGGTTTCCATCCTAGGGCCTTACCTCTGCTTTTCTCAAAGTCCACTCGTGAATTGGTGCCCAATAAATACAGTAAAGGTTCCACTTCAGTCTTGCTGAAAGGTGTAGGCTCGGGGGATCCGATACCTCGGCGAGCGAGACCCTCAGCTATGGCCTTGGAGAGATCGTACAACTGATGCTCGTCACTGACAGTAAAGTAAATGCTAGACCGACCATGCTGGAAGTCAGGAGGCGGAGAAGAGGGCGAGAGGGCAAGATCGAAGATAATCAAGTACAGATCGGCCACTGTGGCCATGACGGTTAATAGGCATAAGAAGGAAAGGAAATGACATACTTTCGTTCACGTCAACATTGGGCCAAATGTTCTTGCCTTCACCGAGCACACCCCCTTGCTTCCTAGCAATGCTAGCTTCAACGAGTCGGCGGATTTGGTTAACGAGCGAGCGATGAAGACCATGCTCGTGTAAGACACCATTGGGTACTCCATAGATAGTAGGGGGCAGAACGATGTATGATTTTACATAACCTGTGTGGATGATTAGAATGACAGAGGACACGACCAACAGCTCGACATACCTTCCTTGTCCGCAGCGAGAACGGCGAGATCAACATTTCGGTGAGGCTGGAGTGGGGGAAGAGCCTCATAGAGAGAAACATCAATGTCTGAATAAACGACATCGGTTCCGTGCAGCCCTTGCGCGTTGTCGGTAAGTTCGCCAGTGCCAGACTATCCGCGATATCAGTATCGTGAAGGTGCACAACAGGTTGGGCTCACGGTATGGATGAGGATGGGAGCTCTCCCTGTCTTCTCGTAGCGATCTTTTGCACCTTGCAGAATTGCCTGGGCAGCAGGAAGGTCATCACAGTCTGCCTATTAGCTTGTAAGTTCCTTCCTTCGAAGGTCGCTGGAGCAGTGGGACTACGTACGGTGGCGAAGATAACGTCGGCTGCCGCTGCCTGTGCCCTCAACAACGCAAAATCAGAGTCGCTTCCCAAGACAGTTTTCAATCCCAAAGCCTCGTATCCAGTGGGAGATCTGGTAGGACGCAGATAAATAGTAATGTCGAAATTCTTCGCGTCTTTGTGCTCTATAAGACGCGACAGAACGGTGCCTCCAATGTAACCTGGACTGCATTAGTCTCCTTATGCTAGGAAATGAAATGCAGACGCACCTGTCCCTCCAGTAAAGAATATGCTGACTTTCGACATATCGAATGCGAAGAATGAAATTGCTGAACACCCGGATTTTCACATCCTTTATATCATCACTGGTGTCATCTAAGCTTCGATGCTCAGTCATCAAGTTGCTCAGTCAGCGTCGTCGATGATGCCATTGAGCGTTGCCGTCGCAGACCACGATGTAGTAGAAGCCAATCACAGCTTAATCCAGACGTTCTGAAGAACCTTGTCCACAGTTGCCAAACAAGGCAAGTAAAATACAGTTATTTACCGGTCATTGGAACGCCGAAAAATATTTTTTGTCTCATCCACCACACATCGTCTTTTTCCTCAAATAAAGTAGCCACAAAATTTTTAATATTACTCAGTGATGTCAATACAAAGTATGAACTGGATCAAAGCATCTAGTATTGAGATATTCTTAATTTACGGTGTTTCATTGACTGGTAAATGACCACATGGCAAACCCCTGCCAAATTTGCATCACTGTTCGATTTTTCACGGGGTCAGCAGTAGCGCTAAAATTCCCAAAAAATCACTAAAAATCTATAACATCTATGTCTCCGATTATACAACACTGTCAGGCAGCGGAACTGGGGAGAAGGAGGCTAAATCAACTGTTTCAGTGACTGATGGTGTTGCAATGACCTGTCAATAACTGTCAATAAAATAAGAAAATGCAAGAGGTTAGAAACCCGGTATGCGGTCCCAATAAGGAACACCGGGGGTGCTGTGCCGCCACATAATGTGTCACAGACCATAGCAGTACTTACCCTAAGCAAGGCGACAACTCCGGAGGGTCAAGTGTACTACTATGATTAGCTAGCAGATTTCCAGAGTGATTATGGCGTGACGTATATCGCCGTCGTTCCAAAAATCTCCAGTACATGATGTACATATGTGCTAATCTCGGCTCCAACGGGGGATGGGCCGCCTCAAACTTCGAAGTTCCCGATGCCAAGGTGATACGACGTGAATTGCGCAGAGTACGTGCGAATGCGTGATAAGTGCTCATGAACCAAACACAGGGAGGAAATGAGCAGTTATTGAGCGACAACATTGAGACCTCGAATCCTGGTCACTTCGGAGTTGAAGGAGAATGACGACATCGGCACGGTACATATTTCAAGCGGAGTACAAACCTAGTCCCGAGTATGCCGGTCAACGGCAGTCAGCCTTGCAGCAGTGAGATAGTAGCTAATTTTCTTTGACTAATGTCTGTGAAAAAACCAGTGATATTGAGTCTACCTTCGTATATTTCATTTATATGTAAACTAATGGATAAAATGGAGGCCGAGTTGGATCAGCTACAATTGTGGGACAGTGGACTACCTTCCATCAGGTCTAACAAACTCTCAAGTCCTAAGATGATATTATTTTGCTCTCGATGTATCATTCAATCCATACAAATGCCAACGGGAACTTGACAGATTGGTGCTCGAGCTCATAAACCATATATGATAGATTGATTTGACGAAAGACGGAGAACCTAGTAAGATAGTGTATCTGGTCCCGCGGGCACAAACAAAGAATTGACTCTCGGGCCAAGAAAGTCGAAAGTCGCTTCCAGTTGGCCCACATCCGCGATGCGCTCCATCCTACAGCTTCTTCATTACGGCTACGCGTTAATGCCAAGCGAAACCAGAAGACCGGCGACGTCACGAATCCCTTGGTATAACTATAAAGACCAGCAGCCTTCGCCAAGCTATCGCTACATCACTCGCACATCATCATCATGTCCTACTACCCACCCCAAGGCTTGTCGTACCATAAGAATCCTCGTACGATTTTTTAATCTACATGCAGGTTCCCCGCCTGGACAACAAGGCGGCTATTACCCTCAGGTACGACTTCTTTGAAATCAAAAGATTAATCGTTTCAAGCCAACACGTCGTTTGCAGGGACCACCCCAGGGATATGACCAGGGTCCCCCTCAAGGGTACGATGGACCGCCTCAAGGATATCAACCCCAGCCGCAACCCCAGACTGTTGTCATGTATGTCTCTATCTTCCCAGCGAGAATAATACAAGTAATAACTCCCATTTGTAGTCAACAACAAGAAGAGAAGAGCAGTGGCGGCTGTTGCGGTCCTTGCCTAGCCTGTTGTGCCGGAGTATGCTGTTTCTGTTGTGCAGACGGTCGGTAATCATCTCTGTCTCTCAGTCTGCTTAGAAGCTCACGCGATTTGTAGCCTTATGCGATTTATGAACATGCGAGTTTTAATTCTTCAATGCCATGGTACATACTCCCGCAATACTTATGTACTTTTCACTTGCCATCTTTCCTCGAATGACGGGTCAGAGAGTATGTCTCCCTGAAGCTTGGTTCTCAGATTTCCATTGAACATTACTCGCGACTATAATGCCCTCGGAAACGTCTGGGAGGCCCCCAATGATGTCGTATGTCGAGAACGCGCAAGTAATGCGTGGAATGCGGCAGGTATCCACGAAATTCTCGGTAGCTGTGGCACAGCAGTGAGATAGTCGAAGAGAAGGCGTCAACTGCACTACGTACAATCTTTCAAAGAAGGTATACAGCACGAGTTTCTTCCAACGTGTTTGGGACATGTCCTGAAGCTTCTGTAAATTCCCTGGGGGTGCAAGTTAAATAAAGCTGCAGCGTCTCCGAATAACCGAGTACATAAGAAGAGAATGAAGGTCAATATATCGAGGGGCGTCCCATTTGATTGGGGTATCCGCACAGCGAGAGAGGATAGTTGTATCACCATCGTTAAGTCATCGTGATAAGGTAACGAACCGGCGGTTGTTTATTTACGGGTGGAGACACTGGACATTAGCTTGTGCGAAAGGCCATATTCAACGAGGTAGACCGTCATGTCGAGACTGTTTGTGTAAACCTATAACTCGTGACTGCATTCAAACATCAGATAGTCTATGCAGTGATTCATGAACCACATACTTTCCAATAGCCATGACATCGTAAGGAAGTTCGGCAAGGAACTTGTAGACAGAGGAGATGAGAAGTCATTGTTCAAGTGAGGCCATGACAACGATCGAACAAAGTTCGTGTCCGTCAATGCCACCGGGGAGGTAGCCGTCCGATAAACCGGTACCTATTCATTTGAGATTGATAGACATAATCTTAATGTGATCAGTTTTGCACTTACCATCGCCGTCCAATATCGTTACTTCTTTGGGTGCAGTTTCGGTCAATGTCAAGCATTAAATAGTAATGTCCTTCTAGTTAATTAATAGACCACCGTAGGAGTCCCTTTGTAATGTAATATTCATTGTAACTGCAGGTTGGTGTCAATTAATAATTCATGATCTCACGGAATTGGATGACTTCGAAGGGACATAATTCAGATGTGATTAAAGTAGTCCTGCATTGCGGAACTGTCTGCCCATAGTGCAACAATCAGAAGAACATTCTACAGTGCTCATTAACACAAAAACTGAGGAAGCGTGGCAATGACATGTGATTCAGGTGTGGGATAGCGAAAGACAGCGGAAGGGGGTCTAAAATGTTGCACCAGCCCAATATGCACCCGTCCAATGATCAACAAAAGGTGCTAGCCAAGCTCCATGTACATATTGTGAGCGCATAAGCCAATAGAAGATGAAACAAAGAAAAATAGGAAATCAATGGTGGTGGTAGTTGATAGAATTTCTTCTGGACCTCGCACAACAATCCTACTGATCCTCATCTACTGAGTACACTCCACCAAATACCTGAGTCCCCTTCGTCGACCACTCCTAATCTTGCATATTATCCAACACCCCCAACAGTTCCCAATACCCTTTCATTCTACAGCACGTCAATACTTGGAGTCAACCATGGTCTATTAGAATGCTTGCTTACCATGCGCGTCCGAGTCAAGGATGCCTTTCTTATGAAAGCAGTAGATGATGACTGCTAATAAAAGTTGACAAAAGGTCCAGTTGTCATCATTGCTGCTGCAAAACAGATACTTGACAGGATTGACCTTATTGTCATACATCTCTCCTCCCAGCTTGAAATCCAGAGCAACCATACCATCATAATCGAAAACGGCAACTACGCCACTGCTTGACACGCCGCAACCATACTCAGTTGCTTGCTGAACGATGGGGACTGCGTTGTGGTTGAGGAATTAAATTAATAAAATATAAATATACAAAAAATCTGACCGACGAGCTTTCGTTTGTCTAGATCAGTGTTTGCTGGTTTAGGATCCCAGTCGGTCGGTCACAACGTCTGGCTAGTTGGGACGATAATGAGTGAGTTAGAGTGTCAGATAAAACAATTTTACACTTACATGGCCTTGTACTTCAGCTGGAAGAGGTCACAGAAGCGGTGACCATCGAGCGAGAACTGCCAGACAAGGTCTGGACGATCGCTATCCTGCGACGGACTACAACATCTCAGGCTTCTTGTTCCTAGGCCCTTTTCATCAAGCACCCTTGCAATGATGAGGTTAACATGGTGTATTAGATATAGCGTAGAAACGTGGTTGACATCAGCTGCACTGACGAGAAGATGGTGTTCTTCGGTCACTGGCATGAGCAAAAAGTCCACGAGAACTCATTGTAGAAGAGGGGATTCGTAGCACGATTTAAGATTGCTACTGAACGTCTCGAAAGCCTTTGGAAGTTCGGTAGCTGCGGTCGATGAAGCGCTGTCTTCGTCCAGACGCATATACCCTGTAGACAGTGCGTCTGTTCGAGGGAGATTAGGAAGCCGTTGCTTGACAACGTCGATAGCGCGTATCATCTTGATGGTAGAAGTCATAGAGCCGTAGGGAGTACAGTGCGAATGGTGATTAACACGACTCAACAAGGATTTTTATTATATAGAAGTTTGGTTAACCACGTGTTCAATTCAACTCCAAATCATAGTGGCTGTTTGAATCTGTAAAGAATGGCCATCAATGCATAGCCGCGCCCATTTACCGGTACATTACTTGGCATGGAGCAGTTGTATTCATGTAATAGCTTTTTCAATAGTGACTGGATATTAATTGAAGTCAAATTGAAGTTCTCCCACTTCATGACCCTACTATCGCGTCGCATCTCTGAGATAAGTAGTCATTTTGCGGTCCAGTAAGGCAAATCGATCCAAGAAGGGAGGTCCGGCTACAATACCATCGGTATGCTCAAGGTGCTATACACATACGTCGAAGATAGATAGATAACTGTTGGAATCGCGTGATTACTTACCCCAGAGGTTGGTACAGAAAATTCAGCCTTTCTAAAAATTTGTCCGGTCAAAGCCGATAAGCCCACATGAAGTTTTTATTAGCATCGTGACATATTTGGCGACGAAGACTCTTCTCGTTCCAGAGTTAACCTTAACGTAGATACAAGTTTCAAGAGTGCTACATATGATCCTAGAGCAAAAATACTTAGTTCCTGAAAAAAACGAAAAAAAAAACATGCTCAATTCTGTGCAGCTCCTATGCTACGCCTCGAAACCCGAGCAAACGCAACGTTAAGGATATTGACGCAGGTCCCTGAACCAGTCATAAAAGTATTTGCTGGGTGTGGCGTTGACGAACCTGTTCCGGAAACGTCCAACCGCACGCTGGTCAGGCGGGTCATCAAGCTGCACCCTCTCCAAGTCAACCATCACTGCCTGAACACTATCAGCATCGATTGCGAGGCGGACTGGACAACGCTCGGCAGAGCAAAAAGGTCCTCGATGAGCTGGGGGTCTGACGATGATGTTCCGTGGGGCTAAATCCTCATGAAAGACACCAAGGCTGATGGAATCCATAGCCAACTGGAAGATGGAGGAGAATATAGCATCACGGTGCTTATCGCACAGGTAGTCGCCCAGGACCTCTTGCTCCGAATCTCCCTGCCTACAAAGATACCGTAGGTCCTTTCCAGAGACATGTTCCAGCAGCAGAACATACACGGTTCTACTCTCCTGCTCGTGAAAACGCGTGGCGTAGAGGCCTAAACATCGAGGAATGCTGGTCCCTTGGAGAGGCTCGAGCTTCTCGTACGCTCTCACTTCACTGGCCGCGGACCAAGTAGCAAGGCGGAGGGGGTCGGTGATAGTTGTGCCATCGGAATCATTGAAATATAGGGGATCATAAAATTTGGCGACGACGGTGGTAGGGGCTTTCTTCGGCTTAGAAAACGAGGCGGTAGCGGTCCAGACGTGGGTAACATGTTCTCGGAGACCTCCGCACAGTTTCTGGGATAATGTGATGGACAACGGTGGCGGCGACCGTGCTGGGATGCGTATGCGATTGGTGAGGCACAGAGCGAATGATCCATTTGCCCTTTGACGCTGGCGAGAGCGGTTATCATGTTTGCACCACTTGTTGCCCTTGGGAAATCGAGGAGGTTTGGCAGGATAAAGATCGTAGCGAGCGCTTGGCAAGTATATGGCATTGGGGTCTCTAATAGCATCGCACAGTGTCGATGTTACCTTGTTGATGCTCGACATCGCAGAGTTTTAAGCGAACTGGTGTGTCGTCGGAGTTGAAAGGTCGGCTTCAATTTCTGGATACTGAATTCAAATTCAGTATTACGTGATTCTCTCGCGCGAACGCCACGAGGACCGGGTCTAAAATCTTCGCTTACAAAGCCAAGGTCTTCACGTGCTATGACATCATTCTCCAGATAGCACTTAATCAAAATCCTCCTTGCCGCTGACGACTTCACCCTTTCATCACGCATCGAATGTCTTTTCACAACGGATATCAAATCGCCAAGCCATTAAATCCACTAGATCTACTGGTCATTGTAGATATCTTACAATGTTGGGGGGTAGGTGCGTTAAGCCAAATAAGACAGTGTCTTTGAAGTCTTTCCGACTCTTGACTTGGTGTGTGCCACTGTACTGAGATCAATCTGTCGCAATCACTGAACACCAACGCGGTGACAAAAATAACCACTACGCCATCCAACTGTTAGGAAACAGGGAAGTAGATTTTATTAGTCGTCGGTTAGGATCCTATGGAAGAAGCTACCTAAGAGGAATCCACGAGGATCGGACGGTTATACCGAGTAAACGGGCCTCGGCATTACTACAAGGGGTAAGTCGTATGATTCGGAGGGAGGGGAGGATTGGGCACGCTAGGTATCGTCGTCGAAGGTCTCCGTTTCTTCGTCCTCGGACTCACCGTGTTCCTGCTTCGGAGGAAGTTTGCGAACGCTGTGATTAAATATTATTTTATTTGCGGAACGTATGCACATACCGCTTTTGGAGTGTTGACCAGCTGGTCAGATTCGACCCGGGCCGAGGACTCGGAGGGTAGCATATAACACTTAATAATAGTAGGATTTTTTTATTAAGGAGGGGTGACATAGGCGCAGCATGTGGCACTAATGGTGGATGGCGGGAAAACCGGCAAACTTCCTCAAAGATTGGACAGAATTGAATCCAATTGCCCGTCGAGTCAGACTCGGGACTTTTAACTCTGAGTCGAATCTCACTACTCTTGTATATACTCCTTTGGCGACACGACTGCAGCATCTCAAGAGTAGAGGAAAACTACACGATGCTGCTATTCGGTGAAGGAAAACAAAGCGCATTCTCTTCCGCACATGCCTCTTCGTCGTCCTCATTCCAATCGCTCACCGTATCCCACTCATTCTCAAACTCGATATCCAAGCTCAGCTCAAACTCCCCATCACCCTTCTCCGTGAATGGCATGAATGATGTTAACTGCTGAGTCGACGGGTTGTGCGATATTGGCTGCACCCACCGGCGCTCTCGGAGCCGTTTGTGCCGTTCTCGGTCCTCTTCTATTCTTTTGAATATTTCTTGTCGAGGGAGGTGGGCACGGTGGGTGCTGTTGCTCTCCCCTGGGTTGTTCTCGCGGGCGCTGAGATTGGATAGGGCTTCATCGATTATTTCGGGGTCGATGACACGTTTGGATTTCCAGCTTTCGAGGATCTGAAGAGGTGGTAAGCGGCTGAAGTAGAGCTTGGAACAATAAGCCGCATGAATGTCACATCTTGGTGTCAAAATACACATAGTCCCGGGAAGATGAGGCATTCAGTATGGAAGGTTGTAGACCGACCTGACGTGTACTGATGAGATTTGGAAGACCTTCCCTCCCGGAAGGTACAACATATTCGACAATCTTGCCCAAATCGCGAGCAACATAGTCCACATATTGGTTGCTTTCAGGTCTGTTCGACCGTACGACCTTTGCATGGGATTTGACGAGGAGAGACATTTCGCAGAGAGAATCAAGGAAGTACAAAGTGTTTATCCTTGAGTTTATTGAACCCTGTAAGCAGTCAGAGAAGAAGGACAGTATCTTATCAATGTGAATACTTTTTGGCACTCCTCAACGATACAATCCCAGAGGTCCTCTCCGCATGGTGCAAAGTATTTCACAGCAAAGCCCACTGCTTTGTGGATTGACTGTTGAGTACTGAATTGAGCGACGTTGAGGAGGAAACACGAAGGGGTAAAACGGGAGTACATACGCATTCAAGCGACGCAACAGGGCTAGGAACTGGATCCTGACTTCAAAGGGATCCATGATGAGAGTAAGAATTAAAGCTGTAATGATCTAAAAGTGAGAAGTGGCCAACTAGGGTTAGGGTTCACCGAGATTGTTGTCTTTTTGCCTCCACGTCCTTCTCAACAGTCACCCTCATGTACTGAGCGACCAAAGGTAATTGTATCTTCCACTAGACCTGTATTTCCGCCGAGAAAAGCTGATTTTCGACAACAGGTACGCGTGCAGGGCTATCTCTACGTGAAGAAGCACCGGAGCCGACTTAGAGAGCGATATCAGTGCATTTACTTAGGAGAAACGTCGTTGGCTATCCTAGGTGAGTATTCTGCATATCTTTTCTTCTAGAATCCTACTGAACAATTGGACAAGGGTCCTGTCGTAAAATGGAATCAGTACCCGCCCTTCACCGACGCAAATCAAGCAACCCAGACGACGATGAGAGCATCCTCGTAGCTAAGCAGTCGACGACGCCAGTGACACCACCGAGAATGATACCGTCCATCGTCGTTCCCCCACCGCCGCCTCGCAGTCGTGTCCAGTCGACACCAAATTTCGAGCCAAAACTTTCCTCTGCCGGCCCGTTTCGAACAACGTTCCACGTTCCACGTACTCCACCAGGGGCGAACGGTGCAATGCTCTCTCCTTCTCGCTCTACGTTTCCTTCTAGCCATGCTCGAACACGTTCAATATCGACACCATACTCCCCACCGCTCCCTTCGCCACTCTCCTTTTCCTTCCCTGGAAACTCACTAACCATACCGACATCGCAGTCGGCACCTACAGCATTGACCTCCGCCAACGAAACATCACCAAAACAGAGCCGTCGGCATTCCCGAATTCACTCCCGCAACCTCTCCGTTTTCTTCCCGCGGCCCGGGTCTCTTCCAGAAGCCACAATATCCGAGGATGGCTCGCAGAAAATCGAAGCAGCTGGTGACATTGAAGCACCAGTATCTTCGGTTCCCTCAGCCGACCCCAGCGTGAGCATGCGTGCCCCCCTTACACCTCTTGGTGCCGGATTCACGTTCGGTGGGCGTCCGCCTTCTTCAGCGGGCCTCCAGATGCCACCGCTCATGTCCAAGTCATCCTCGTCGACATCCTCTTCAAGACGTGGTCACCATCACAAACACTCCCTCTCTCACAACTTTTTCTCTTTCCTGGAGCCTGGCTCCCAGGTCAGGCCTGAGGACCTACACACCGTGCCTACGCCTTCGCCTGTTTCTCAGTGGACACCGGTGTCACCTATACCGACCTCTGCTTCTTCTACGAGTCACACTCATGATGACGAAGACCTAGAGCCAAGTGTGCCAATGGGTGCCATATCATTGACGTTCGCACAATTTGTCTTGGGCGCGTGGTTGTGGGTATGCGGACAGCAAATAGGCTCTCTAGGGTGTACAGGTCTGGGATATTGGGTCGTGTTTGATGCATTTGGGCTTGGTTTGGGGAGTGTCCTTCCTGGCTGGCTAGGAAATGGAAGTGGGAAAAAGGAGAGGATACGACGGCCGTACGGGTTAGTCTGGCATTTCTATATCTGTGCTAGACTGTGATACTGATGGTGAAGCAGGAATGCGCGGATAGAAACTGTGTTAATGTTCGCCCAGTCCGTGTATTTGATGTTTTCTTCGGTCTATGTCTGCAAAGAGACCGTCGAACACGTCTTGTTGAGTATGGGAGGCGGAGACGGGCATCACCACCACCATGGGGATGAGGAGACTGGATTTGGGTATGTCTATTTCACGTTTTGCTGTTCAATGCTCTCTAACGAAACCCAGGATTGACTTTCCCGTTATATCAATACTGCTTTCTATCTGCTCGATAGTAGCATCTGCATTCTTTTTCAATAATCATGACAAGTTGGTCACCGGTATGATTTTCGACCATTCATGCACTGCGAACCTTGTTTGACCACTCATTTTTTCAGTGACCGGAAACCGGATCCCCTCGCTTGGCGCATATATTCGTTCGTTGTCTGCTACTCACCACGTGCGCGATCTTCCACCTACATCTCCTTCTGCGATCATACTCTCCAATCCATACATATCGAGCTCTCTTTTATTCGCATCGTGTATCCTTTTCGTTTCCTTCCTCATCCCATCGTAAGTGGCATCTATTCGTATCATGCGCCTATCTAACGTTTGATCTGATCTAGATCCCAACACCAAGCTTGCGACCTCGTAATCGCAACTCTTATAACCGTGGTGACTTTCAACGTCTCCTACAGCGCGTCCGTCATACTAGGAGCTGTGCTCCTTCAGACATCACCTCCCCGAGGCTCCGCAGGCGGGCGGATGGAGGCATTTTTACGTGCGATGCGCGAGGTTGAACGACATCCCCAAGTTCTTCACCTCCCCGCCCCACATATATGGCAGCTCACACCGACGTCTAAAGGCGGAACGCTCGTGGTGACGATGGAACTCCATGTACGGCCGGACTTGGGCGACGATGAGGTGTTGTCACTGACTAAATGGACTTGGGAGCGATGTACGAACGCGTTGGGTGGTGAGAGGGAGGTCACTGTGGGAGTTGTTAGAGGGTGATGTGATGAGGGGTGGGTATCTTGGGTATTGTTATAAGTTAATAATCACTATACTGCTCAATGGATTTGGATGCTCATTCTGGCCAGGATGAGTTTTAGAGTGGTGGGATCTGTTCCTTTCTTGTTTTTCGGGCTTTGGCGTTGATAGAGCGCGTCATGGTTTTTTTTCGTTGCTATGCTCGGATTGAAATTCGGAAGCTTCAAGATGCGCCAAATTCGGAATTCTTGCTCGATGACTAAAGCTTTGCTCCTGCCTCCGAATTCCTGACGAAAGATTATGGATCAGTCTCCTGTGGTCACGCCGATTTCTTCCTGTGTTTGAACGACGCAGATTGAAGGATTCCGAATCTAAGGTTCTGGGCATATCTATGACCTCAGGTGCACTTATAGTATCGACAGGCAAATCAGACGTTGGTATGTTCGCATTATCCTTCACCGGTAGGAAGCTAGAACAGTCCACTGAGTCTGTTTTTAGTCAACAAATACATTACCAAGACGTTGCGAGGCGCCATTCAAGACTAGGCGCTCTTTCGTCGCTGCCTATTTTCCTCCGCAAGAACGGCCTTTTGCTCGAATCGTACCGCGTACCGCCCTAAGACCAACTCGCTGCTTTCCTAACGATTCTAGTCCCCGTCATCTGTTGCTACCACCGCATCCCCCCGAGGTTTACCTCACAGGTCGAGAACAAGGTCTTGGGCACTTGCTGATTCACTGCTCATAGCACCACTCTGTTCCCCGACTTGAATCTATGGTCGCTATAAATGTTGTTCTATATTGACGAAACTCCCGACGTACTCTTCTCCATAAGGTGGAGATTTTTAATTGTGGGGCAGGTGGCGGGGGTATTATGGTACAGTATGGAATACTCTTCATATGGACACGCTGCGCGACATACGCGAGGCCCTGGACTGAGGATCGTTCCCTGTGGGATTAACAACCGTTCCATCGGTTCGAAACAGCTCTGGAATTCATATTACTTCTCTGGAGACTATGGAAGCATGTGCAATTGTTCTGTTGAAGAGTCATTAATAGTAAATTCTCTAAAGGAGGACCCCAAATTCTCGAGGTTGTTCTATGACTACCTAACCGTTAACGTTGAGATGCGTGGCGATGAGGCTTCTTTGGGTGGGCAACGTCCAGCCTTCTTTGTAGATGATTGTTCTACGACCTTGTTATGAACTGAGCATGGTTACACCGTGGTCATTGTTAAATAATACTTCTCTGTGTGTCATAATGCCTTTGTTGTGATTTGCTGGAGTATAGTAGCGCAGTAAGCTTGCATGATCGTCACCGCAAAAAGACGCCTGTCAGTGTCTGCAAATATTAAGCGACTCGTCACATGGCTACATGCGCGTGAGATTATCTGAACTCAAGCAGTCGACGCCCAAGTTGAGCCTAACACAGTCCCTTTTTAAAAAAAAAACTCGCCGTCGACACTACCGCTGCGCCTTGGCAGTAAACAATTCGGAAGACCCACCATCCACTACCCGTTTTCGGCCGTTCTCACCCAGGTCCAGGCCCCGAAAAATAATGTCTGGAGCGTTTCATATTCAATACGGCCTCATGTCATTGGCTATTCCAAGGGCCTAGACGATATCTGCTGGAGGGGACGGACGTCTATTGGCTTTCCCGGCTGTCGTACAGAACGCTCGCTTGGTTATAAAGCAACCGTGCACTCCATCTCACTCACTAACCAGGCCAATCATGACGGACGCTCTGAAACTCGACTCGCTGAATATCTCAGCCCCGCCAACCCAGGAGGTCGGCCTGGAGACACCACATGTCGAGAAGGAGGATGAAGCCAAGTGCCCAGCTTCTGGCGCCATCCCTTCTGATACGACGGCGACTTGCCCCGTTACTGGCGCCTCCCTCCATGAGGATCCCACAGCCCAGGAAATCGACCCAGAACTCTTACGCACTTCGATAAACGCCCGGATGGCCTACCTGAAGGATTTCCTTGGTTTCGGGAAGCCCCAGCAGGACATACTCAATAAGACTAGCCCGTTAATATACGGCAGTATCCCCGAGGTCGTGGATGGGCTCTATTCAAAATTGTTCGAGTTTGATGTCACGAAACAGGTGCGTGTGCTGGATGGAACCTTTCCTCGACGTGTTTACTCATTTCTACCAATAAGATCTTCATGGAACGAAATGAGGTTCGAGTTTACCTCCCCCGTTTATTGAGTACCGGCGAGTCACTGACCTCTATCAGGGCTTTGACGGGCCGCTACCAGCGAAACTGGAAGACCTCACCCTAGACAGCCCACAGCTCGTGTACCGGAAGGTATGACTCCCTCGCCCGCTAGATTACCCACTCCACTCACCCAAAACTCGTGGTACATCAGATTTTCATGAAGGCCTGGGCCCGACGAATCATCACCGCTGACTACTCCTCGCCGAAGACTTGGGCATACCTCGACAAAGTCGGTATCATGCACACTGGTGTCAAGAGTTTCAAGCATAGGGCACATGCGAAACCGCTGATTGTACCCTGTGCGTGGGTTTCCCCCCTGCCATTTCTGCTTTCCGTTTAACTGTAAAATTTACCTGCAGATAGAGATTGTGCATTGGCTCTTGGCTGGGTTTGCGACGTCCTACAGACTGCTATCCTCCAATTACCCGATGATAAGTTGTCAATGCAGGAAAAGATCGAAGCTATCAGCGCGATCACCAAGGTGCGCTGTTGTTATTACCTCCCAAATATTCCGCCTAACCCACTTTATTAGGTGATATGGATCCAAAATGACCTCTTTGCACGACACTATATCAATGAATGAATATCTTCTTTCACATTTGTAGCCTTACTTCGTAACGATACCGACACTAATTGTACACTAAATATATCCAACTTCAAGATCTCCTCTTCTCCACTCCACTAACTGATGTATGAAATGAAGAAGATAGTAGCATAACAATGGTGCTTAGAATCTATCAATACAAGGTGATGCACATGCCACAATGAAGAAAGGGTATACGATGATGTACTGTACAATATTTTAGCAAAACAAGGTTAAGATATGGATCCGCATACAGAAAGAAGGATGATGGGCATTTAATCTCTACCCATTCCCTCGCCAAGAATTCATTACTGATTCGAATAGAATTTATACTCCCCCGCTGTTGAAGCCTGCCAATACGGACCCGACGCATTGGACTGTTCCGCACTCTGCTGAGGCGGCCAAGATTGCGCCATGGGTTCCCCCTGATACTGCTGAGCATAGGACGACTGCCTCTCCAAACTAGGCTTCACGTCGCCCTCACGCCGTTCGTACATCTCCTGCGCTTGTGAAGGAGGAATACCAATATTCACACCATCATTGGCAAAAGGTGAGGGGTACGTCGGCGAATCAAACGGAGTGGGCACATAATACTGCTGTGGTGCAACGATAGGAGACTGGACTATAGGAGGACTCTGCGTCGGTGCATAGGTCGGCGTATGAACATGAGTCGAACCTGTCGTATAAGGAGAACTTGCTGCTGAAAGCGGACCACTGGATGTCGTTACAGCTCCCCCAAAGGGACTTGATGCGGGATACGGACTCTGTGCAGAAACATACGATTCTCCAGGCTCGAAACGACTATCGTTTTGATCATAACTGGGGCGAGAATCGTAAGAACCTGCACGGTCATATAACCCGGGGGCAAAGCTTGACCCTTGTGACTGAATCTGGAGAGGCTGGGATTGGGAAGGCTGCTGATATCCAGGCAAAGTGTAGCGTCGAGGAGCGTCTGGTCTCGAGCCGTCTACATTAGGATAAGGATAGTTTACGGTCGTGTTCTGTTGCTCGGTTCGACGAGGAGTAAACGGCGGCAATGGGGGATCCTGAGATACAGAAGCCGACCTCGAACGGAATGCTTCAGACTCAACAATGGTCATGTGCAAAGGGGACGTAAGAGGCTGGATGTGTTGAGGCGGTTGATATGATGCGGCGGTAGGCGTAGAAGATGCTAATGGCGACGAAACCGGAGGATGGTGATTGTCAACGCCTGACGAAGGCGTATCAGAGCTCGACGAAGATACAGACACAGAATCAAGCTTACGCCTTGTGAAAGGCGAACTACCTTCCTTCCCAGGTCTAATCCGGATACCGACCGCCGGATAACTGTGCTGGCTTCTCTTCGCGTGCTTCTTCTTCTCATCCTTTCCCGATTTCGACAAATCCATTGAAGAAGGATTAGAGTTAGGTGACCTGAACGGTGGCAGAGGAAGCTCAGGCTCTCGTGGCGTAGGCTCAGGCGGCGGTTGAGGGGACAGCAGATCATTGAAAATCTCTGCGTGTGGTTCATTATCATCTTCCGCATACTCTGGGAAGACTTCCATATCTTGCCCTGCTTCTTCATTGCGTTCCTCTACAAAATCATGCTTCCTCTTCAACGAACCCGGCGATCCTGAACCATAGCCTCGATGGGTGGCCTTGACCTTCAGCTCTTCCATGAGCTTGATCGCCTCACCTTCATTGACGTCCTGACCGGACCCAAACCCACAACCGCCTCCAAACTGAGACATCAGCCGACCATCCCTGAACACCTCCAAAGCGCAATCGATATCTTCCAAAGTAGCACTAGCAAGCATGTCCATAGGTTGTTTGATGGCAGTGTGCGCGCAGACAACGGCAGCATCCAGAAGACAACGTGCGAATGGATAGAAATCAAACATGGCTGAGGACAATGATGATGGCCGGATGCCATTGAATGACGACTTCTTCCACACCGAATGCAGAAAACTACAAGCACGCACAATGCTATGGGCAGCGTTCACCGAGCCAAACGACGCTTGATGTGGAGCAGGGACTGTCTCGGCCACGCTCGCATGTTTCTTCAAGAATGGCATATACACTTTCATGATCAGACGGTGCGCAGTAATCGACACCTCGCAGCGCTGAGCGGCCAGTACTGGGTCGGGATCGGAGAGATCGAGATCAGTAAGATCCAGGCGGTAACATGGTGTCAAGTCATTCAACCATGAACGAATCTCTGACTCCATTGATGCAGCCTGGTCGATAGTATAGCCGTATCCGTTCTTCGAGGTGGAAGATGACCCATGGCCGTAACTGAAACGGCTATTGCTCCCCATATCTGGCGCACATATTCGGCGCTGGATCGCTCGCACGAGCAAGGCAAGGCTAAAGTTGGTTTGGATATTAATACACCATCCTTCTTTAATATCACAAGCAAAACATACCGACACTTAACGTCAAAATATCTAAATCCATCCCTGCTGAAACCTGATCCTTGCGCCAGATCCTTGGGCATCGGAATTCGAGTCGAAACGGGCGAGAAGACCTTCTCATCAACATCTGCAACAGGAAGCTTAGTGTTGAAGTCGTCGCCGATGAGCGGAGAATGTCCCAGCGCGTCTGATACAAAGCTGAAATTATTTGACATGAGCAACACAAGACCACGCGAAAGTAAAGTGACATACACATCATAGTAGAGAACATCCCACCAGATTCGCCTTCTCATCTCAACGTCAAAGAGATTGGCAATGCCACGGATCGCAGAAGAAGCTCCGTCACTTTCGTTCCCTTTGTTCTTCAGCTTCCTTGCTGATCCGGACAAGTCATTTGAAGAGACGGGAATCTCTTGCGGGTCTCTTGCTAAACCCATCCTCCTTGCGATGTTCACCATTTTACCAACCTATACAAGAATCAGAATCAGGAATAACTGAAGAGATAACGATTGATATTTACCAGAGGAAAGACAATTCCTCCCACACCGCCGAAATTCTTGACCCTGTCATTCTGCTTCTCCCGCTCCCGCTCCCGCTTCCTCTTGTTACCCCCTTCACCACTACGTCCAGCTGCAGTTCCCGCAGAATCCACTAGTGCTGGGCCCAGGCCACCCTTTATCAGAAAGATAACTTGAAACAAACAGGCCACCAAATAATCTAAACCATAATCATCTGATTTGGCCTTGACCTTGGTACCTGGAGGAGCGGGCGCCGAAACCTGGGCCAGGGACCCCTCGTAGACAGATAGAGCCTGAACACTGACTCTATACCAGTATTCAGGATCGGAACAGTTCGAGACTGCACGGGCAGAATCCACTTGCATGGCATCCGGGTTATCGAGTTCGCGTGAGCTCTCCAGCGTCCCTAGTGCAAGGGCCGCACAGAGTGCTCCAAAGAAAGGCACACTCTCTCCGATAATCGGTTGTGCATCAGTTGGGTCGTCGGGTGCAGGGGCGTTAGAAGGCGGAGTGCCAGGAAGAGAGTTATCAGCCCTCGCTCCAAAGTAAACCGTCTGCTTTCCGCCTCGGTTTCTGTTCTTGTCTCGGTCGCGATCTCTCAGGGAATTATCCGAGGGAGGCGACCGAGACGCTGTCGCTATCATACGTGAGGCGCGTGCGCGGAAATGTTTCCAATTTATGGACGGATAAGTGTGACAGGTGGATTGTTCGGCTAGTTGGAGGAGGGATTGTAAAGTATGAGGGACCGTTGCCGATGAGATGGATGGCGGAAGAAGCTCGAGGAGCCCTGTTGTCACTCGAGGTTTTTGATTAGGTGAATGCGGTAGGACTTCGGGACTTGCTTGGGAAGAACCGGTAAATGGAGGAAGAGAGGGGATTTCGTTCAAATTTCGTGAAGGCGTTGCATAATATAAGTTGAGGTGTGGTAGCGGCTGCACAATTCTAGATTGCGGTTGTTGAGGGAAGGGCAACGACGATTCTGACGAGGAAAAGAGATTACAGGTCATAGAAGACAATGGTGTGCGATCGCCGAGGCTTTGGTCGGATGAGTCCTGCTGAGATGTGACCTCGCCAGAAGCGCCCTCAGCTTTGATGCCATTCGATCCGTTACTTGTCGATGGTGCCGTGCCTTTAAGAGAAAGGTGGGAATCGCCCAGTTCGAGGTGATCGAGCCATACGATAGACAAGTCCTCGAAGGGAAGAGCCAAAGATGTATAGGGTGTAGACACAGGCTGCTGAGGCAGTATAGGAAGAGATGCAGATGCAGGCACCGGAAGGCTTGATGCTGCTGATGGTGGCGGCGGCGGCGCCCAATTTGACGTAGGAAAAGAGGAATTGAACTGGCCCGAGGTCAACTGTGCCAATAGCGTTTCCACCTGAATAAGTCGGTTATTTAGGGAATGTAGGTCTCTAAATGGGTGTCAAAGCGGTAAGATGGAGCGGCAAGGATGGAATACACTGAGACGTACACTTTCTCGGCGGCAGCAGGTGAATATATGCATCTAGCGACAGTGTCGCGTTTAGTACAGCTCCCGCAAGGATTTCTTCTGTCGCATTTCAGTTTAAGGCGCTTGCACTGAGAAAATGCTAAGTAAACAGAGAATGCAGGGTGCGGAATAGAGTATGTACCTCAGCGCAGACAACGGTGATACGAGAGCGGACTTGACTGGACGACAGAGTCAACAGGAGACGGCAACGACGAGCACGATACTTACGGAGCAGTCGTCGCTGTACTCGACGACGAGAGGGGCTGGGACTGGTCAGCATCCATGGGAATGGTGGTCAGAGGGAAAGGGAGTTCGGGTAGGCCAAGACAGGGATCTTTTAATTGACCGCATTTGGCAGCTGCACAGGGCTATGACCACACGGTGGTTCGCCCGCCCTGGTTAGTTAATCCTCACTTCTTATCTTTCCCGGCAGAAACAATCAACCGTTCGTTGTTTTTCTAATGAACTTGCACAGTCAAGGTGAACTTCTCTGGATGGAATACATGCCTTTCGAGCCCCTACGCTGGAAGGGGGAAGCTGAACCAGTTTGGATTTTTTTTGCATTGGCTCATTGTTGACCAAATGTCTCCGATCAAAATGATATGCCTCTTGTCTGTCTTCCCTCGATATAACTTTACCCGCGATGTTATTGAACTTAACTGGGCGGTATTTCCCTCTCTGCCTGGCGCCTCTACCAGTGGATCGCGTCTATTAATCGCTCGGTACCGACCATACAAAGCGTTCATTATTGTCCGATAAACATATAACGTATTAGGACGTATTTCATTTCTGATTCGCGACGGAACCAATAGACTGCCACTCGTGAATTTGCGGGGTTCCTCCGATAGGCTGTCAGCTTATCCACCTCTCCGTTCTGTCGACCGTTTCCTTGCTAGCTCGTTTCAGTATTTACAGCGACGGTAGCGTGGTCTTATCTCAGCCAGTTGCACCTAGTACCGCTGTCCGGTATAGCTTTTCTCCTAGCCATCAGCATGTCCACCGGCACTTCGTTCCGAGTGAACTTCTCACGACCCCCCAGCTATCCGTACTTCTGCATGGCATCCGGCGTCCGAAGCACAAGGAAGGCACGCAAGCAACTTTCGCGGTTAATGTTCATATCTCAATTTTGACTCAATAGGTGTCTCTTGTCTGAAGTACGTATGTATGATTAACAGTCAGCAGTCCACTCATTTCATATATTTCAGGTCCATTACGCTTCTTTCTCCACCGCTGTTTGTTTCAAGCATTTTTCTGGCGAGTTCTTTTTTTCTTTTTCGATTCCAAGGGCAAACCCGAGGCGTAGCAACAGTCGGTCCCCTGAATTCCTTCAAAAGATCCACGGATCTTAGCATCGGCTACGGCGATGCGTGCGCCGTCTGTATCAAGTCTTCCTGAGCCCATGAACCTTCTAGGCCCCAAAATAATACTCCCAGAGATTCATTTAGATCCCGACTCGTGGGTGTGAGGTATAGTTTGGATATAGTATAGTGTAGTAGGCTACCTCGCTTGTTTTCCTCACATGCCGTGAACTTCATACCTTCCTTGCCGAATTTCTCAAACTCACCCTTACTGACAAATTCCTATCAGGGTCACTACTGCACCGAAATATTCGCTCTGCATCTATATTAGCGTGCGGCATGTGCTCCAAACTAGAATCGCGTGGGGAAATTTTGACGATGGGTCGGTCTTCAATCATTGTACCGAACAGCTCTCGACCTCTGACTGAATACATTATTTGTGTATTGCAACATTGCAACATTTTTCGGCCGGCAAGCCAAGTACATCCACATCAAGGTGGGTTAATTCATACATCAAACGAAGCTATCGTGATTCATGGCAACGCATGCACAACGAAAGCACCACTTCGAATTCATCATCCGACTTGGTTCAGATCAACCAGATGACCTTCTGCATTTACATCCAGCCTAGAGCTCCATATCAAACAGCGTCTATTGCAGATATTTTTATGAACTCACAGCCTCACCTTGTACGTCGTTGTCGCGCGCGGCTTCCAGGTATACGATCTCTGCATCGGTTGATAGATTTTAAACCGTATCTACACGTGTTGCGCAGTGATACAGGGAGATGTAGGTTTCACGCGGTCGCGTGACTGGCGTCCTCGTTACATCGAGCCCCACTCTGGAGTCTATATTAGTGCGATGTCAATGGTGAGGATGTCATTCTTCCGTGTACCACGTCCCACACGTAGCATCTCTATCGGGAGCTTCGTTTCATAGGGCATTTCCAGGACACTTCATCTATTTACGCCTTCCGTAAGCCAAAGGTGTCCAGTGATAAGTATCCATTCTACATCACCAGACGGCTGCTAATATCAGGCCACGGAATAACGTCCTCCATGCCTTGACAATTACCGAGGGACCAACCTTTTTTAAGACATCCACAACTTATCTGAGGTGAGCTTCAGCCTTATTATTATACGCACAATGCCATCACACATTATGGAGTTATGATCAGCCCATCATTACCGCCCATCGCATTGTACAGCACGAATAGTGCTGTCGTCCCTCCGCCGTTCTCGCTGCATGACTACGGCTACCGCACTCCATCAGGTATCTCTCCCCGAAGTTGAAACCCGAACGTGATACCAATCAATTACCCACATCTCCGGATGATATATCCGAAAATATCGATGTACCTTGCCAAGGCGCACTTTCTCTTTGCTGTAGTCTTCTCTACTTCGTTGAAACAGGCAGTCGACCCACTGGTGCTGTTCACAGGACCAGATAGCCACTTCCTTCTATTCCCGATCTTACGCGGTCCTACACCTCCCCGCGTCGGATACGGACGTGCCTGTGACTTCCTTGAGCTTGCAAACCAAGCGACCTATATCCGTCGAATGTGTAACCTGGATTTTTGCGTAGTCGAATCAGGTACAATACATTGCTTCATCATGTGCTTCCTGAGGTTAGCGCTTTCGTTTCCAGATTCCTTATGACTGCATGGAAGCTCACTATTGTACTTTTACATCTATATGAGTTCCGGGAAAAATATCTTATACAAGATCTAATGTAAGTCGAGCGTGGGAAACAGTATGCTTGAAAGATCGCTAGATCGCAAAAGAGCGGTATAATGTGTAATGCATCTCAACTTCTTTCCGTTTCGGCTTGTAACGAAGTTCTCTTCTCAATACTGTACTTCTTGAAGTAACCGACCACTGCTAGGCTCAACAGAAGGACAACAAGAACATGAATAACGCGTCAGACACATCGCGTAGAACTCAAGACATTCCTCTTCTACATCCTACAGCCACTGCAGCCTAGCAATGTCAATGTCGGAACCTCCCTTGTATGTCCGTATGCTTGCTTGCCTGATTTCTATCGCAGGATATGCGGCGGCGAGTATTTTTTAAACCAATATTGACAGTCAGTAAGCTGAATATTTGGAATCCGTGTAACTGCAGAGTCTTCTGTCGGTTCTCGCCGTTCAGCTCTTTCCTACAAACAAGGCCAGATATCCATTGTTTTACTCAGACCATCCTAGTCACCGCCCCGAACGACGACTCGGCCATCCTGTTCTTGTTCCGCTTGACGAACGTCCATCTAACTCAAACCATGATATCAACAGCCTACAAGAAGCCAAACACAGTTCGCAGTCCCTATTTCGTCCGTATCGCTCATGACCATATTGCATGCTTCTAGCTTCTAAAGACTCGGACGTGCCTCAGTTTACCGATCCTTTCAAAGCAAGTCGAAACCTGGTCGTTTCCCCTCTGTGTTCTGTGACTACGCCCCAATTCATTCCTCGTCATCCCTCTCCGCAAAGTATGAAAATGGCATCGGGCGTGGTGTGTATTCCTGACATCGTTGCCCACATTCCGGAAGAAGAATCCACCGGTATTGACATACATCCTCAATCGATAATTCACGTTTCACCGAGAGCCCAAACACTTCCTGGTATGAAGATTCCGTCGCATACGGTGTCTTTGTATGAGTGGTAAAAGATTCAGGATCGGTTCAGTTGCGGTTGTCGCACCGCTGCGTCTTATCGCCACAGCTGGAATACACCCTTGCTATCACTTAACCTTGACACTCTAAAAGCGCAAATGGAAATATAGTTGTAGACATAATTCCGTCGTCCCTGCACAGTCTGAGTAACGGCCTCCACCGTCACAGAAGATGCCCAAACAATCGACCACCACCAGGCTCTCACAATGTCTAGGGTCGGTATAAGCAAGCTCCGGCATTGCGGTTGCTTCGTGTTCGTATCACAAGGACAGTGACAGAGTGAATAGTCCACAGGCTGGAATAGGCGAGACGTTACTCCATCATACGTTTCGCCTCTGAAACAGTCTTTCATGGGCCCAACAACTTTCGACAAGTTCTGGCTAAACTCTGCCGAAGTAGGGACCACATTGAGCCTACATTTTGACCCAGGTATGATCGTCTGTGTTCTGACATATTCTTCCAACCGCCGGAACTTCTCTCGCGCTTGTTTGACAAAACGGGATCTACGTCATGGCCTTCTCCATGAGCACGCGTGCTTTAGCACTCGTACCCAGCCGGTGCTACTCCAGTTTGTCACACAGCACACCTGGCTCGGTGCAGGGTTCAGGGTCAGCCAGGTTAACGACGTAGACGAATGCAAGTGCAAGTTCCGTTAATCTTAAGAGGCCATTTCCACACTGGAAGTTGATGAGTGAGACTCCGATCGTTTTTCGATAAAGTTCAATCTTGCGCTAAGTTGTAACCTTGTTATGAATACTTGTCAGAAAACGATGAGCGGAGCCAAGTATGTTATAAACTCACATCCAAGGCGGCATCATACTACCAGGAGGAATTGCCCACCCTTCCGAATTCTCCAAGTCGGGAGGAACAATACAGTCATTTGTGAGTTTTCGAATGACCCACGGAAGACCGTTGAGGATCAAATAGGATAAAATTCCGGCGATGATGCCGTAGGCAATGCTATAGTTTTCGTTAGCACCGCTGAGAACGTCAGCAGAGATTGCACCAACTTGTAAGACAAAGGAATAATAATTATGGTCAAGAAAGCAGGAACGCTGTCACCAATGAAGTCCCAGTTGATTTCTCGGACACTGTCGCGACACATAAGCCAAACACCAGTGCGTATACTTAAAGTGCAACGCACTTTCGCATCATGAGGGAGCCGACGATGACTAGTGCACCTCCAGTGGCCCAGGATGGGATTGACGCAAAGATCGGTGCAAAGAAGACTGAAACAAAGAAGGCTAATCCAGTAACCATTGCAGTGATTCCTGTCTTACCGCCCTCTATACGCGTTTCAATGAATGTCTTCCGATACAATGAAGAGAAGAAAACCATACCACTTATACCGGTCGCGCTCTCACTGAACGCGGTCACAGGACTAGTTCCCATTAACGCACCCATACTGATAGAAAACGCGTCCACACAGTACGCCCAGGTAGAATTCTCGAAGTCCATTGTGACGGGATCTCGTAAACCTGCGAACTTGGCCATTGCGTAAAGTGCACTGTCAATCAAATCGATCAAATCTAATGATAATGAACGGTATTGTCGGAAGCCTTACCCAGTGGCGTCTGAGTGGTTTAGTGTTAAGCGGCCTGAGTTATGATTCACATATTCACGTACCTAGGATATCGACGTAGAGGAAGGTGACCAATGCGTACCATACTCTGCCATTTCTGAGGTGATTTAAGTTCGCATCCAGCTGCCGATGAAGGAATTATCACGCACCCATAGTTGTACTAGATGTGACGATAAGAAATTAGGAAATGTTTCAAACAGAATTCATACTCTACTTACGTCTATGGTGTTACCGACTTTGCTGAGAGGATGGAATGTAACGACCTTCTTGAAATAGTCAAAAAGAACATCACCAGCATCGGTGTGTGGGAAATATGTCACAGCGGTCGGTCTTGGCCATGATATGATGGACGTCAAGAATATTCCAATCAAGATGGCGCCGCGAAAATGGTACAGCATGAGGAGGACAGTTAGCAATCTGACCGCGCTTCGTCAGTACCTCCAATAAAGAAAGAACTGATAACATCGCACCCCCCAGTGAAGATACCAAGCCACATCGTTGGGCTCTGCAGCACACCATGAGCGCAGTAATTCGGCATCCCCTCAATCCAGTCGGTGGGCTTGCATCCCCCGAGTCCAACGAGGTTCGTAGTATCGCCTCCGATAACACCAAGTCCATGAGTCGCTATATGTAGGCGCGTTAATAATGAGTGACAGAGCAATTGACTGATAGAAGGGCGAGCGACCCACATAGTCCGATTAGCCTATACATATGCATAATCTCGGAGTGAGATGAGGTGGATCAAAGAAGAGGTGAAATAACGTGCGCAATGAAGAGACCAATCCCAGCGCCAATCCCTAAAACTAGAGACTGGGGCATGACTCTGACGAGCCATTGTCGAATTCCGAGTAAAGACAGTGCTAGGAATATCCATCTAACAGAAGATGTCAGCAGGGTAGGATGCAGTATGACAGAATATATACCCTTCAAGAAACACGGCTGCCAGAGCTTCGCGATATGTGATGACGCCAGAACCATGGAAGCCAACGATGGAATAAGTAAACTAGAATGCTTAATATAAGCCGAAATTGAATCGCTAAGTTTTTTCAGTTGGAACTAACATAGGCGTTTAGTCCTAGGCCTGGAGCAATCCCGACTGGTAAGTTTGCAAGAAGACCCTCGAGGAAAGAGGCTAGAGCAGCAATTGCTGCAGTCGCGGTTATCAGGTCATTGCGTACGTCGTTGACACAAGAGAGATAGGCGACGTCGGTGGTGCATGTAGGATCAGTCTCGGATGTACAGACGCAGCTACCTCCGGAATTCGATAGAATAGTCGCATTTACCGATATCTGGACAACAGAGGGTGTATCCAGCTACTTCAAATCACGATAAGCTACATTACGCACGATGTAAGCCATTGCAGCCTGGATGCACATCTTAACTGTCAGTTCGTGCACGAGTACATGTTTGCTCACCCATGTTGTAAGACCAGCTCGTATTTCAATCTATTGAAAAAGAATGCATTAGTAACGGCGAAGATTGATACGAGTTCTTGGCTTACTGTGAACCGAGATCCAATTCGTTCATTAGGATGGCCTGAGCCCTCCAGACGAAAGTATTTTCCTACAAACGAATCAGCTACCTATGAGTGAAAGGTCAGTCAATGGTTAGTGGTAAAATGATGTGTTGATGGCGACATACACGGGTATTCAGATCGTCAAAGACGTTGAACATGTTGACTAGGACCTGGGAGCCGGAGGAAAGAGGGAAACTTGCCACGATGATATTACATCAGTGAGTTTTTACTGGCTTACGAGGATTTTGTCTCCCACAAGCGGGAAATCGGTACCATTTGACCCAATAGAAAATTTTCTCTTGGTCAGACGGCTCCAATCAGCTAAATCAAAGAATCAATTTGGAGCTGAAATAGCTGTCTTAATTAAGGTCAAGTTCACACCCCACTGACAACGAAAGTTCTACTTACTGTTCACAGAAAATCACAGATGTCGACACCGTCCTTTTTTAACAAAGATATTCGTATTCCTCTTAAGAGAGTTGCAACAACGGAACCGGGACACTCTTGGTTAATCCTACAGATATGGGATTTCAGTATACGTTTCACAAATGCATACTTCGATACCGACCCATACTGAAAGTGTGCCTGAAAGGAAGCTAGTACTCTCTGAACGAGTTCTTCTTGGAAAAGTGAAAACGCTGTTAGTAGTAGTCTAGGGCTTTGAAGACACTATCAATTCGTTACATGCTGTAATCATTGTCAGGCAACGAACAAAACCGAGTTCAACCCTAAAATACATAGGGCTTCATCGACTAATCAGAATATAGTCACTTGCTTCTGGCTCAAACCTCAAAGAGACCTTAATTGCTGCCCCTAGATTTAGGCAGGTCTATGTAGTATCAGCATGTATGCAGTATAAATTGAATCTATCCCACCTTATGAGAACCATATCTGTGCGGTGTGACGGTGAGTACTTAGGTTCGGAGCTGTTCGGGGCAAAGACTCGGATACCGGGATCGACACTTTGCCGGTGGCTGTGCGTTCTACCAAAGAAATTCGATGATTAGCTCTATTTATAGTATGTTTTCCCCACACCGGTCGCTCGGACCCTCGTAGGCTTAACTTGAATAATGTCGAATCGATATCACTTTCTTAACTTTTACAACCCCCTTTCACGTCAAGGTGACCACTTCTCTATTTTCTCAACTTCTATCAGCTAGTGACATATGCCTCAAATTGCTTGAATCGTCTGGGAAAAGTTTGGCGCTATGTCGGTCTTTAATCATCCGGATAGGCTCTCGAATATCAACATTCGACTGAATACGTTCTTTGTGTATTACCAGATCGCAGCATCTTTCGGCTCGCTAATTCGTACATCAAATTTCAAAGCTATCATGATTCATGGTAACGTATGCACTCGGAGGGAAGCATCCCTTCGCACCCATCATCCGACTTGGTTCAGAACCGACTTGAAGCTCCATATCAAGTAACATCTATTGAAAGTCTATTTCTGTTTTTACGGACCCACAGCCTCTCCTTGTATGTCGTTGCCGTAGCTATGGGTAATAGGGTAATAAGTATACGTCCTCGGTCGGCATCGACGGTAGACTTTAAATACATGGGGATGCAGGGATGCATCGTTTTTACACGGTCGCGTGACTAACGTCCTCCTTGCGTCGAGTGGCGTCGAGTCCGACTCTGGAGTCTACAATAGTATGACGTTCGGGGTGTCAACGGCCAGGACAACCTTTTCTGCGTACCTACATAGAGTTTCCTTTCACGGGGCTTCGTCAAGACCTTTCAATTATTCACATTCGATGTAAGCTGAAGGCGCTCAGTGTTTGATTGATATTCATTTTAAGCGCCAGATGGCTTCTAATACCAAGCCACAGAATTATAACACCCTTGATGCCTTGGCAATTACCGAGGGATCAGCCTTTCTTATTTCCGTGACGCCCACAACCTATCTGAGACGAGGTTCAGACAATATTATCACGCGTTATCGACGAGTTCGAATTCGCCTTGTCAACAGCGCCGCTCGCCGCATTGGAAAAGCCCTGATGCATCTCCATCGTTCTCGCTGCGGCATGACTACAGTTACTTTGTTCCATCAATATCTGAAACCGAGTGATACCGATCAATAGTCCACATCCCTGGAAGGGTTTTCCGAATAAATCGATGTTACTTACTTCGGCACGTTTTCTCTCTTTGCTAGGAAGCTGGGATAATTTTTCTCCTTTCTATGAAAACTACGGTCCGTTGATAAGGGCAGTAGTGCCGTCCACAGGACCAGACCGAGGCGTAGTCAATTCCTTCCGCTCACGATTCTACGTCTCCGCGTAACAAATATGAACATGCTTGCGACCTCCTTGAGCTTGTGCAAAACAGGCGACCTATCTGTTGAATAAGTGACCTGGATCTTTGCGTAGCCGAAACTGATGCGATTCATGAATAAGTACAGTACTTGTTTCATCATGTGTATGGTGAGGTTCGCTCCATTATGATTTCACGGAAGCTCAGAGCTCTCTCTCGTACCCTATCCAGTTGTATGAATTCCGGGAGAAATATGGTCTCATATGACATCTAATGTGGCTCGAACATGGGAAATTCACTGGTTATTAGATCACAGAAGAACGGTGAAAAGTCTCTCAAACTTCCTTCCTTTTCAGTTTGTAGTCAAGTTGTCCTCTTAATACTGCACTTGCTAGAGGAATGACTCAGGTCCTGCTAACAGAGTGGCAGCGAGAACAAATAACGCGTCAGATGCGTCACGTCGGGACTCAGAACATAGGACATTCATCTTCCACATCCTATAATCACGGCCTAGCCACGTCAATGTCAGAACCTCCCTTGTATATCCGTATGCTTGCTTGCCTGATTTCTATCGCAAGATACGTAACAGCGAGTACCTTGTAAGCCAATTCGACACCAAGTTGAGTGTTTTGAACCCGTGTAATTGCAGAGTCTTCTGTCGATTCTCGCCGTTCAGTTCTCTCCGACCTGCAAGGCCATACACCCATATATTACCCAGACCAACGAAATCACGATCCTAAAGGACGACTCGACGATCCTGTTCTTGGTCCGCCTGATGAACGTCCATCTAACTCGAACCAAGACATCAACGGGCTTCAAGAAGCCAAACACAGTTAGCAGTCCCTTTTTCGCCCGCATCGCTCATGACCATATTGCGGGCTTCTAGTTTCCAAAGACTCAGACGTGCCTCAGTTTACCGATCCTTTCAAAGCAAGTCGAAACCTGGCCGTTTCCCCTCTGCACTCTCTGGCTACGCCCCAATTCATTTCCAAGTCCTCCGCGAATTGTGAAGGTGGCACAGGGCGCGGCGTTTATTCCTGATATCGTCGTCCACATTCCTGAAGAGTGCAACGTTCATGTTTCATCGAGAGCCCGATACGAAGATTCCGTCGGATACGGTATCTTCCAAACAGTGGTAAAATATTCAGGATTGGTTCAGATAATTTGTTGTCATACCGCTACGTCTTATCACCACAGCTGGAATAAACTCCTGCTTTCACTCGATCTTGTCACTCTAAAAGCGCACCTGGAGATATATTCGTAGACATAATTTCGTCGTCCCTGCACGGGCTGAGTTACAGTCGTCAAAACCCACCGAATCTTCCCACTCTTCCCCTCCTCCCCGTCACAGAAAATGACGTTCATACAATCGACCACTGCCAAGCTCCCACAATTTCTAGGGTCGGTGCAAGCTAGCTCCGGCATTGCGATTGCTTCGTGTTCGTGTCACAAGGACAGTGATAGAATGAATGGTCCACAGGGCTGGGATAAGTGAGACGCTACTCCATCATACGTTTCGCCTCTCGAGCCTCTGAAACATAGTCCTTCATGAGCCCAACAACTTTCGACAAGTTCTGGCTGAACTTTGCCGAAGTAGGGACCACATCGAGTCTACGTCTTGACCCCGGTATGATCATTTGCGTTCTGACGTATTCTTCCAACTGTTGGAGCTTCTCTCGCGCCTGTTCCACAAGAACGGGATCTCCGTCACCTCCCAGGAGATCGGCCTTATTGGCGATGACCATGCGTGCTTTAGCACTCATGCCCGGCTGGTACTGTTCCAGCTCGTCACGCAAAACGCCCAGCTCCGTCCAGGGTTCAGGACCAGCCAAGTCAACAACGTAGACGAGTGCTAGTGCACGTTCCATTGATCTTAAGAAGGTGTGCCCCAAGCCTACGTTGTCTGAAGCGCCCGAAATAAGCCCGGGATTGTCGGCGATGGTGAAACGGAAAGCTTCGAACAAGTCAAAATGGTGACCAGTGACAGAGGTGAGTTGGTTCCGTGTTAGGGCGTGGGCATACTTGCCTTGCCGGTGCTTTTCTTGCTCGCGCTGTTCCTCGGTCAGTGTCTCGTCGTGGATTAAGCTACTGGAGAGTCCACCCTCAAAACTGCCATCTTCAGCAACGCGAACGACACCAACGACAGGGTTAAGAGTGGTAAATTCATATCCAGCGACCTCGGTTCTTGCTCGGCCGCCAGTGAAAGCACGTAGTAGTGTGCTTTTACCGGCGTTGGGCATCCCGACGAGTCCCACGTCTGCAAGGATCTTGAGTTCTAGTGACAGCGTTACCCTCTCGCCTTCGTGCCCTCTGGAGGCGAACTTGGGAGACCTGTTCACGTCAGTAAGGAAGTGAGGATTCCCTAGACCGCCCTGTCCGCCGGAAGCGATGAGATACCCAAATGAGTCGGTACGTCTTTGACCCAGCGGTAAGTTCGTGTTGTCCTCCATGATTTCTTCCGTATCCAGATCCAGAAATATTGGAGAGTTAAGCTGCCTCTTGCGCCGTTCAAACCTTCGCTCCCTCTCCTCACTGTAGAGCACCGCTTCAGCCTCCTTGAAGGAGTCACGCTCCTGATTTGCTTCTGAAAACCGCGGATAATGCACCCATCGTCTCTCTCTCATCTTTTCTCGTTTTGTTTCGTAGTCAAGACCCTCCAGGCTCTCTTCCTCGGTCTCCCATTCATCCGGTGCAGTCCTGGGGTCATCAGGGGGCAGTTCTCGGACTACAGTGCCCAACGGGACGCGGATGATAGTGGGGTCTCCGTTCCGGCCGTTTTGCCAAGTTCCTTGACCGTTCCCGCCGGGGTGACCGTGGACGCGCTTGGGCACTGAGGTCAAGGTAGTGAGGGATGATGTCGGAATAATGTACACGTCGCCTCCACGGCCTCCACTACCGCCTGAGGGTGGGCCAAAAGGTTTGAACTTTTCGCGATGAAATGCAGCACAGCCATTACCACCTTTGCCTGCGTGCGCGGTATTAGCTACTAAAACGGTTAGAGAGAGATAACTTACCTGCGCGTACTGTCACGATAAGATGGTCGAGGAAAGTCTGGCCCTATCGCAGGATAAAAATCTAATGTAGAAAGAGAATTCGAGAGGACCTACCCCTTGCTTGCGCTTCCATTCCGTTTTGCGTCTCCGTAGGTACTCGTTACGGTCTTCGTCATCAATGATATCCCGTGAAGTGCTTATGCCAGCATATTTCGCAGTTTTTAAGGGAAAAGTGCAACGTCGGGGCACACAGAGACGACTGAGCATAAGCAAGAGGGAGAAAAATAAATTTTATTTATTTATGTTACTTGTAAACTGGATAATAATGTCGAGAATTTAATTGCTTGTCACCCCCACCATCCAGTTCCCTGCCTTTCTAGGTCTAGCTTCACACTCGAATCCTTTTTGAGAAACGGAAACTTTATCTGAAGATAGTATGGTCGAGACAGTACAAGACCGCTAGATCTCTGCACAGCCTCAAAGATGAATATCAAAGCGTTGCTAGAAGGGCGCTCCACTCCACTCCTTTCCCTTGCGACCATCCATGGATTTCTCTCTGCTTGAAAACAGTCTATACAACACCATACTGGTTCTACCAGATGGTACACCTGCTTACCACGTCGATACGCCATTCAAACTGTTCGGATCTACGACAACGATTAAGAAAATCACTGGCGCTACTTCGAGTGATATGGCCGTCATACAACTCAATGGATGGGACGCAAGTGTCGTACAAGTATGGGGTCGCGATGTATGCCCTCAACGAATGGGGATATTCTCAGCGTGCGTGCAAACCATCTAGCTCGCTATTTACACCTAAACTGAGGCTTTAGGTCCGAATCATGGGTCGGTGCAGACGGCCAGCCATATAAATGGAAACAGGACATGGGGGATATATATGTATGCCTTCAATGCATTCGTTCCACTTTCAGGTTTCTAACTGAATCAGCTCGTCAAAAACGACGGATCCCATACGCTTGTTGCGACCTATGATAGAGGATCAATTGGGATATTTTCCAAAGCGAGACCACCGAAGTTGACCATCAATCCAGACGGTCTTGCAATAGCCGACGAGATTGTGGCGACCTTCATTTACGTGGCACAGAAACGCGAGAGACGGAGGAGACGGAACGCGTAACTTCTCTTTAGTCTGTGTACGAAGTTGATATCGTTCCTTATGCTTTTGGCTGTAAGTGTTTCTTCTGTGTCATTTATTTGCATGTTTATAGGTTCCAGGTATCATATATGTATAATTTTTTATCAAGCTTTTCTACTAGTATCTTTTATGCGTTCAAGTATCATCTCCTATTAACCTCTGACCAATATCTAGCACCGAGGTTTGGTGCTTTTAACTTTTCGCGCTGAACTACCTTTCAAAATTTCACAACTCAAGATGTTAACATTTATGAAATCTCGAACTGGCGCGAATGGGCACTCTTCTTCAGATGTGCTACGGCCTCTTGCTACAGGCCCTTGGGTGTTACGATGGATACTCTGCCAAAAATTCATTGGCAGAGAACTTACTGCTTTGCTTAACGCTCCGACATTTTCGAACCGTTGTACCCAATTGCGGGCAAAAATATCTGCGACGTCCGGCGAACCTACATCCTTTCAATGCTGACATTACATTGTCCTCCGCTAGGATGATCGTGAAGCTAGCACCGATACCCGATGCTACTCAGACTCGGACGATTAAATGAGGACAATTATATTTTCCATCTCGTTTTTACCCTGCTCTAAAATATACGTCCCTTCCTTGGAAGCGAACGTTATCGGGTCCTTATCGCTCCATATTTTAAACGGCTTCCTTCGATGACGATGGTTGTTGTTGACCAATTCAAACGCACTCTATCATTTCTACCCTTACATGACATGCTTCATTGCCACACATCTAGTACTGTCGAGGGTTGCAAGTACTGCTATTAATCTGACAGCCCCGTCTTACCGAGTTTGGTGGTGTCTCGATCACATGCAACGTTGATGTATTTACCGGGTTTCTACAAAATAATGAGAATCGATCGAACTTTTTTTCGGCTGCCCAATATAGTAATTCATAGGTACCGGCTTTCTTTCAACAGCGACTCAACACCAAGAGCAACAGTAATGATAGAATAAATGGTTTAGAATTGATTCCCGAAGCAGTACACAATGTTTTGGTGTCATCAAGTCATGCAATGGAGCCTGCAGTGATGAAGAAAATACCGCTGATTTGGGATTTGACAGACCAGATTAGCGGATTCATGAGGATCACAAACCAAAGGCCCGGGTGGTGATATCAGAGCCTTTGATGGGTAATTCGGAGGAATATAGCCCAGTTGTACGTCAGGAAGGTATAATTCGCAGTGCTTATGCATTTGGTGGAATCCAAAATGGGGAATTACTATATTGGGCAGCCGAAAAAAAGTTCGATCGATTCTCATTATTTTGTAGAAACCCGGTAAAGCTTTTTTGAAGCGAACTAATCGACGCCGAGGCTAAAACCATAAACTTCTCATATTCTTTCCATCAAGCAAGATATAGCAAGATCTATTTTATATTTACTTCGCTTCCGAAAATTTCCCAACCCGAATACGCTAAAACTTCAATCTGTCAACAAAAGCTCAACATCGTATCAGAGCTTTTTAGTCCATCGCTGTTACGAAGGCTCTTCAAAAAAAAGTATAACATGTTTTGTAATGAAATGACCGCAGTTCAACCTATATAGGGTGTAGTACAAAATTATACAACACGTCCAAAAAAAATACCAATAAAAAACTGTGGGTATAGATTTATCGCTGCATGTACTGCATAGCAGATGGTTTTCCTTTGACATCCAAATGGATGCCCTCCAGGCTCTTGCTGCTCTGATTGATATTTTCCCGAGAGGTCATTTCCATACTGGAAGCTGACGATTGAGACTCAGACCGCTTTTCGATGAGGTTCAATCTTTCGCCAAGTTGTAACCTGGTGACAGGATACTTGTCAGAAAACGATAAAATGGGCCAATTATGCTGAGAACTCACATCCAAGAGGGTATCATGCTACCAGGAGGAACCGACCACTCTTCCGAATTCTCCATGTTCGGAGGAACGATATAGTCATTTGTGAGTCTTCGAATGACCCAAGGGAGGCCGTTGAGGATCAAATAGGATAGAATTCCGGTAATGACGCCATAGGCAATGCTACAGGTTTCGTTAGCGCGGTTGAGAACGTCAACAGAAGTGGCACCGACTTGTAAGACAAAGGAATGATAATTATGGTCAAGAAAGCAGGAACGCTGTCACCAATGTAGTCCCAGTTGATTTCCCGAACGCTGCAGCAAGAGATAAGCCAAACACCAGTGTATACTTAAACATGACGCACTTCCGAATCATGAGGGAGCCGACAATGACGAGTGCGCCTCCAGTGGCCCATGATGGTATTGACGCAAAGATCGGTGCAAAGAAGACAGAAACAAAGAATGCCAATCCGGTGACTATTGCAGTGATTCCGGTCTTACCGCCCTCTATACGCGTTTTTCAATGAATGTCTTCCAATAAAAGGAAAGAAGAAAATCATACCACTTATACCGGTCGCGCTCTCAATGAACGCGGTCACAGGGCTGGTTCCCATTAGCGCACCCATACTGATAGAAAACGCGTCCACACAGTATGCCCAGGTAGAATTTTCGAAGTCCATCGTGACGGGATCCCGTAACCCAGCAAACTTGGCCATTGCGTAAAGTGTACTGTCAATCAGATTAATTATTCAATAAAAATGAATAGGATTGTCGGGACCTTACCCAGTGGTGTCTGAATGGAAGCGGTTCAGCATCAAGTGCTATGATGGAAGATGGAATGTGATCCACATACCGAGGATATCGACGTAAAGGAAGGTGATCAGTGCATACCATACTCTGCCGTTCCTAAACGGATCGTTGGAATCCAGTCGCCACGGGAAGAATGAATTGTCACGCACCCATAGTTGTACTAAATATCCCGAGAAGTTAAAAAATGTTTGAAATAGAGTTTCTAATTCACTTACGTTTATGGTGTTACCGACTCTGCTGAGAGGATGGAATGTAACGACCTTCTTGAAGTAGTCGAAAAGAACATCACCAGCATCGGTGTGCGGGAAAAACGTAACGGCGGTCGGTCTGGGCCATGAAATGATGGACGTCAAGAATACTCCAATCAGGATGGCGCCGCGAACGCGATACAGCATGAGAAGGACAGTTAGAAATCTGACCGCGCATCGTAAGTACCTCCAATAGGGAAAGAACTGATGGTACCGTACCCCCCAGTGAAAATACCAAGCCACATCGTTGGGCTCTGCAGCACACCATGAGCGCAGTAATTAGGCAAACCCTCCATCCAGTCTTCTGGTTTGCATCCCCCAAGTCCAACGAAGTTCGTGGTATCACCTCCGATAACACCAAGTCCATTAGCCGCTATAAATTAGCGTGCTATTTAGGACAAAATAACTGACTGATAGAAGCGCGAGCGACCCACATAATCCGATTAGCCTATGTACATAATCCTCGGAGTGAGATGGGGCTGGATCAGAGAAGAAATAAAATCACGTACGCAATGAAGAGACCAATTCCGGAGCCAATCCCTAAAACTAAAGACTGGGGCATGATTCTGACGAGCCATTGTCGAATTCCGAGTAAAGACAGTGCTAGGAATATCCATCTAAAGGAGGTGTCAGCAGCGTAAGAGGGTGCACAACGGGACGCATACCCTTCGAGAAATACAGCTGCCAGAGCTTCGCGATAAGTGATGACTCCAGAACCATGGAAGCCAACGATGGAATAAGTAAACTAAAATGCGCGAAGAAATAAGCCGAGATTGAATCGATAAATTGCAATTGGTACTAACGTAGGCGTTTAGTCCCAGACCCGGGGCCATTCCGACTGGCAAGTTTGCAAGCAAGCCTTCAAGAACCGAGGCGAGTGCAGAAATTGCCGCGGTCGTGGTTATCAGATCATTGCGCACATCATTGACGCAAGACAGATAGGCGACGTCGGTAGTGCACACAGGATCAGTCTCGGATGTACAGACACAAGTACCCCCGGAGTCTGATAGAATCGCCGCATTTACCGATATCTAGACAACGAAGGATCCATCCAGCTGTCCTTCAAATTACGAGAAGCTACGTTACGCACGATGTAAGCCATCGCAGCCTGGATGCACGTTTCAACCGTCAATTCGTGCACAAGTTCATACTTGCTCGGTGCTCACCCATGTTGTAAGACCAGCTCGGATTTCAGTCTAGTGAAAAAAGAGGTGCATTAGTAACGATAAAGAGCAATAATACGAAATCTTGACTTACTGTGAACCGAGATCCGATTCGTTCATTGGGATGGCCTGAGCCCTCCAAACGAAAGTACCTTCCTACAAACGAATCAGCTACCTACAATTGAAAGATCAGTCAGTGCTTAGTAGTGAGACGTGTTCATGGTAACATACATGGGCATTTAGACGGTCAAAGACGTTGACCATGTTGACTAGGACCTGGGGACCGGAGGAAAGAGGGAAACTTGCCACGATGATACTACATCAGCGAGTTTTTCACTTGTTTACGAAGCTTCTCTCTCCCACAAGCGGAAAATCGGCATCAGTTGACCCAATAGAGATATTTTCTTGGCTAGACGGATGCAATCAATCTAAACCTAAAATATTCATCTGGAGCTTGAAATAACTGAATTAATTAAGGTCAAATTCGCACCCCGCTGACAGGGTTAGTTCTACTTACTGCTCACAGAAAATTGCCATAGATATCGAGGCCGTTCTTTAGCGAAGATATCTGTACGAGCCGGTACAACCGGGATCAGAACGCTGTAGGTTCTTTGAACCCTTGGTCGATCCCACAGACATGGGCCTTCCGTATGCGTTCCATAAACACATGATTCGCTAACAATCTATACAGAAAGCGTACCTGAAGCGGAACTAGCGCTCTCTGCATTGAGTCTTTCAGCTTGGAAAAGTGAAAACGCTGCTTGTAGTAGTCTGCGGTTTTGAAGACATTGTATCAATTCGTTACATGTTGTCATCATTGTCAGGCAACGAACAAAGCCGAGTTCAGCCCTAGAATATACAGGACTTCACCGATTAATCAGAATATGATCATCGCTTCCGTAACAGATTCTGGGAACACCTTGGACTTCTCGGATATCAGGATCTAGTTCATAGAAGGGATTCAGTCACTTCAGGAACGAAAAACGACAGCACTGCTGATTGGTTCGGTCGGCATTCTAGTGGAGCAAGACTCACACCTGTGTCGACCGCGATGGACTGTCTTTCACACATACATGAGGGGTTCCCCATAACAAACACTGTGCGTTGATTCATTATAGACTTGGCCGAAGAGCGCCCCGGAGATGTCCTACAGTGTATGCGATAAGATGTGAGGGGGTGCTACACTGCCTACCGCCATGACATGATAAATGTTGAGGAAGGTCGAGAACACACGTGTCATATGAATCTCATAGAATGACTTACCATGCATGGTGAAGGGATTACTGCTCCGCCTCCGTGACTTTGAAGTTGTTCACATGGAATCGTAGGATCGATGACCTTGGCTCTGTTCCGAGATGGTACGCAGATCACTTAAGACGAACCGCAGGAAGCCTGAAATAGATACTTCTACGTCAGTGGATGATAACTTGAGCCAGTACCGTACGAATATTGACTTTTTTCGACCGGAGCTGTGGGCAAATCAGTCAGTCGCACTAACGGTTGCAGTCTAGTCCCAATGGAATCGCTATGCAAATACTTATACCAAGCTGAAAGTACAAGAGTACGACAGCTGTGGTGGCTATACTTGCCTTGGCCTGTGAGCATATCGTAAGCCAAGCGCTACGCAAAAAACGGATCAAACAGAAACAGAATAGAGCTGGCCTTCCTTTATCTCGCTAATCGTGTGTCTCTGAGTCCTTTTGTAGTATTCTGAAGCAAAAGAATCCGTACGCGAACTAGCGTCGAGAATGGTTTAGCCAAGAGGTTCGGCTGCTGGTAGTAGTACATAATTAAGGATAGAAAGAGATGACGTCACGCGTCAATTCATCATTGGAAATTTTCCCTTTTCGAATTTCAAACCGGGATGAAGGTACCCGTTAAAGAGCTCACAGTGGGGCCTCGAGAGGAACAATACATACATCACGGATAGACCGTCTTGCCCGTAGAAGGGGTCACCGGTCATCGATTCATCTTTAATACCATTGAGTATCTGCCGGCGGCAACAACTGCCACGTAGCTTTCGAGCTGCTTATCCTCTCCTGATAGCTTGGTCGAAAGCGGCGCTGATACTAGCCTGTCCACAGGGGCAATTGTTGACAAATGAGGAGATGGCCTATGTTTCTTAACAACCGTTTTCAATATGACAGATACATCCCGGTCTAATACAAGACAGTAGCCATGGAGTCCTATGTCGTGAAGAACTTACTACGAGTTATGTAACGTATAGCCTTGACTATCCATCTTTTAAAGTAGGTCGATGAAGCTGATGTATTTGTATTAAGTATACACTTGTGAACGATAGACTCGCGGGCTAATACGAGGAATATTCCTGGCTAGAATAAAATCATGGCAGTAACTAATTCAAAAAGAAATGTGTAAAACAATAGCATGCTCAACTGGATACCCAAACCCCAATACCCTTCCTACAGCTCCCTTAGGGCGCTAATGACCTCCCCGATATTCCCCCGATTCCACTGCCCCATCCACCCTTGCTTTTTTTCAACCATCGACACGAAAGTCCCAGTCTCGCTTATAACGCGCTCAAAAGTCGGCGGTGAAACGGGAGCAATTGAATCCACGAATGGTGAATCTGGTCGGAGACTCAAAAGCGCACAATCTAGCTCTTCAGGCTCAATATGTAAGGGCACCTCCTCGATGGGATCCTGGAATGAAGACGCTGGGGAGGGCGAGTTGGAAAATATCATGGAGGAGACTGGCGTCGTTTCTGCTTCGCACCGGTCATCGTCGCATGTACATGGGTCCTCGAAGGTTCCTAGAGTGCTTGCAGGTTTAGGGTCGGGCATCACAATGGGTAAACTATGCTGATGGGATGATCTCTTTTGCATCGTCGAAGACATCGGCAGAAGAGGAGGGAGCGAGGGCATTACAATCCGCCCAGACATTACCCGATTGTGATTCTTCGGCACCAAAACAAACCCTGTTCTTGGGTATCGGGTATCCTCTCCAAGAAGTTTGGTCGTTTTCCGTTGTTGCATCTCGAGGCCGGACGACGAGGGGATCGGTGACGATGCGACCGTATCTGGTTCTTCAACATCAACGGGTTCCCTTATCACCTCTGGAATTGACTGCTGTTCTTCATCAATAGCTTCTTCGAACGCATCATCATCATGAGGAGGTCGAGATGGCGAAGTAGGCTTCGGCAACGGCAGAACAGGCTCCGCGAAGTGTATCGAGCTAACGTCTGATTCCGAGTCCCCGATGAACGCAGTACTATCGGCCTCCTCCTCCTCCTCCTCCTCAACCTTGGCTTTTCCTTTCCACTTCGCTGGAAGCTTGAAGTCGAATCCAAAATTATGCTCTTTGTGAGGTTTGGGAAGAATGGAACGAAGCTTAGACCCTGCGCCTCCTCGACCAGAATAACGAATCTTGACTTGCGGCGGCGCAGAAGCCGCAGTATTGACAGGCAGAGGAGGGAGACGTGATGGTCCCGCGATCGGAGAGAGCTGAGTTCCACGAGTCTGAGCCAAGCAAGGCTCGCTTTTCCGGGTTTTCGGCCAAGGGGCCGTGACCAGATGAGAAGATCCCGAACCTCCGCGCCCTATTATGCGAAAGCCATGCTTGGGCGCGCCTTTTGAAAGGTCCGGACTGCTAGGAAAACCAGACTCGCGCTCCTGTGCCTGGAAATTTGAAACTATGTGCGGTATTGACAGTGACAGTTTGCCCTTCTGTTTCCGGTGCGAGGATCCAACCTTGCCTTTGCTGGTCAAGATATCATTGTTCCCGACATGGGAACTAGTAGCGATGATGCTCCGAAGGTCAGAGGAAGATGATCGTGTGTGCAGCCTATGATCATCTAAGGAATACCGTCAAATGAAATACTTGAAACAACAATGAAGAGCGCACTCCTAACTAGTCCTCTGAAATCCCCTAGAATCGCGGGAATAGATGTAGAAGCGGTATGGTGTCTTCCTAAGCAGTCATCAGTCAAATCAACTGAAACAGAGAACCTGATATGATCATGTACCATTTGGAAGCACCTGAAGTGGACCTCGGAATTCGCCTGGTATTCCAGGTATTGAAGTAGACAAGTTTGCCTGGGAGTGAGAATGCTTGGAACTGGAGTTGACAGAGGTTTCAGAGGTGTTGGTTCTGGAGTTTGTTGTGCTTGTTTTTCTGAACGGGCTCCGCGTCATAGGCTCCAAGATGATGAGAGAAAGCAGCTTAGTTGTTGAAATGGTTGCGCGAAACGATGTAGAATAGGGTTGGATGTCCTAATAGATAAATCAGTAGTGAACAAGGGTCGGACGCAAAGAAAGCAGATGGCAGACCTTTGGCGGAAATGACAAGCCTTGTGAGAGGGGCGCGGGAGGGATCATGGGCATAGGTGTAAAAGATCAGTCCGAAATAAACAATGCAGTTAAGAGTGTCTCCTCATGCATCCAGTGACCGGAGTTGATGGCTCGTGCTGCTGATGGTGAGAATCATTTAAGCATCGAATGAGTAATTAGTTCCAAACTACTGCGAATATATAGTGTTTGAGTTCATCCAGGTTCATCATCGTAACCGGATCAGGAACCCTTTTTTGATAGTTTGATTACCATCATGATTTGCGACGGCCTAGTCGGCAAGTACACAGCTCAGGAGACCCTCACAGACCGTGTTTATCGTACCGGTGGGCAGATGCTTACTCTCAGCATCGTAAGTAACTGAAATTTCTCTTTAGTTTTAGCTTGCACTGAGTATTAGAAAATCCAAGGCACTGACATTCCTAGGGGTTCACTGAACCCGCTGTTTCAGTACAAACACCGAAAAAGCAGAGTAGGAGGAATACTCCTTAATATGGTGCACCAACCCCATCAACAAGATCAGGCACTTGGTCATCATACATTCCAGTAGCGTATATCAGCGTATATCATGACCATTAGTTTCCACGTGCGATGCTATCAACTCTCACTGCATTCTGAGTGTTGGTGTAAGGAGTCATTTCAGGAAGCAGAAGGTATCGCAGAAAAGAAAATCCAAGCGGCGGCCAAATCCCGCAGATGGTGGTCGTACCCTGATTCCAGGAACGCCGGGTGTTGTATCATGATACAACGCGTGAGCGCGTGTATGAGATATTTTTTGCAATGCGCCAAACCGTAAGTAGAAGATTAAGCGACACGAATCGCGTATCTCCGAAGAGCAACCGCCGGCTCACACTCCGAAAGATCGAACAATGAGGAGTGCTATGAATACACCACACACATCAATCAAGAAGGACAATGGACCACCTCTGACTCGATAAAAAAAGTGCTTACGCTCAAGGCGTTGGTCCGCAGCAACGCACCCCTTGAAATTGAGTCTTGCCTGGTAGTAGATGAATTCAAGGGTAATGAACCGGGGATGACCCTTCTCGGTCGAACACTGGTCTGCCCGAAGTAATTAGCGAGACCCCAGTTGATGGGATCATCGTAAAAAGAGTACGTAGGAATCTGTGCGATCTATAAGGATATGAAAGTTGTCGTCAATAGTGCATCGTCTAAAGTGTCCATGCAGCTGCGAACTTGTGAAACGTGCGCCTGCATCGCCCACTCTACGGTCTAATAATCGGAATAGCGTGACCCTGGTTGCAGTCCATGCGTCAAAACAGCATCAATGCACGGCAGCTAACGACTTACAACAAGGACCATACTCATGACTACAAATTCTCGGCATCCGAGAGAGGCGGAAGGGGCGTCGGCATACCTAGTGCTTCATGGAGCGGTCTCTTGTTCAGCATACCAGAGTATTTGGGTTGGACGAATAGAGCACTGCATATGCATCAATCACGGTAGCATTAAATGATATTGACTGACGTACGATGCCTCAACGAGAACTTTTCCCTCTAAATCCTCTATGCGTCCGGTGACAGTAATCTTTCGCCCTTGGAGTTCTTTGAGAGATGTCTTGATGACAACAAACTGTATTATGATGTGAGATGATCACTGATTTTTTCTACGGAACTGGCAGACCTGATCGGCGATCGTAGGAGCCTTGTATGTGAGTGAGAGGGTCGCAGTGACACCAACTTTCTCAGGAAGATTGACAATAGCCTGGTGTTTGAGAGTCAGCTCACCGAACGAGCTCAGCTGAGGAAGAAAATGATATACCAGTCTACCCAAACTCTCGTCTAGCAGGGTAGCCAATAATCCACCATGGATGATTCCATCATGTCCGCACAAACTTCGACCAAGGTGAGCAAATATCCACGCTTCACTCTCGTCCCTCTTTGCCCTGACTACTGGTGGAAGTGCCAGCTTGCCCGGACCCCTTAGAGCACCTGCCGTTAGGTTGTTAACGCGCCTTTCCTCTGGGAAGTTCGTATATGGCCGTGTCTCGTACCAATCATCTGCATCCGCCGCGTTTCGGACTTTCTGCAGTAATGGAAGATTCTGCAGCTTCTGTTCCAGCGATTCCGTATAGGCGATCACATCGGGCGAGTTTAAATCAGACGGAGGACCAGGCGCATGACGTGGATAGAGAAAAACAAGCTCCTGCGGTGGGAAAATTGCACCTCCCAAGTATAATCCTACTCCCGCGACAATGCCAGTAAACAGATAGTGTGGACGACGCGAGGGCCTTGCCTGCGTCTCCGTCGTCAGCTGTCTTCTGCAGATAGGCGAGATGAAGGGCCGTGACCTAAAACTTATCGGAAATCTAGCCTGTAGTCTTTTCAGAAGCATGACGAGGAGGCAGGAAGGGGGTGGTGGTGGTGGTGGGAGGCAAGGGCCGGTAACCGGCTCCGGCACGAACCGGGCTTTCCAAACAGACGCTTGCCAAACATCGCGGCTTCCGAAGTTGGAACCCCACCTCCCTCTTTTACTCTATCTTCTGCTGCGGTGACATTTTTCCCTTGAAGAGATCCATCGATAATGATTTTGACTCTCATATGATACTGGCAACTGCATGGATTTATGGGAGCCTGCCGGTTTGTCCCACTGTCACCTGCAGACGGAACTCGAGCTGTTCAATCCTTATGGCACTAGGGCCAGTACCGTGACTGACAATTATCCTGGAGATACCACACTGAGGTACCATTCAATTGCTCGGTCAGGGAACTAGTGATATTACTCTATGGGTTCCATGTGCTTCAAGAACATCACTGCCTCGGTATATAGTGCTCTTATCTTGTCAGGTCCCCAGGATTTCAGTCAGCTGGGTCTGTACTATACGTCGATTCAAAAAGTGGACTTTCACCTTGACTTGCGCGCCTTTCCAGGGCTTAAACTAAAAATCTCAGAAAACACTCCCTGTTAATTCTTCGCTGAAGTAAGCTATCCGCTGTGTTCGCCATTGCGAACATTTACATAAAACTGTTGTTCTCTCTGGAAAATGCGTTAATGAAACGCCACGGCATGCGGCAAAAGGTCACTTTTTGTGCTAATAATATCTCTTCCCCATACTCACGATCAGATGTGATTATCTATCTATACGTGTGCTTTTCTTCTCTGACACTGCTAGACACTCGGAGATTTCGACGAAACACACCAGGTGATCTCGCAATGGATCCCATTTAAACGAGGCCACTGTATCATTTATCCCCCAACAAGTTAGCCATGTTCTTCATCGGTCCACTTGCCTTATTCGCACTCCTCTGCTTCAACCCAACGCTCACAAGAGGACAGTCGAATGCGACTGTCGTTCTTGATTGTTCGTATCTCATGACTTTCGTCGGCATCACCTTGTAATTATCCTCGATCTAGATGGAACCTTCAACGGGGCGACCAACGATACCTCTGGTATCGTATCCTACCTTGGAGTTCGGTTCGCTGACGCACCTGTCGGGGACCTAAGGTGGCGTGCGCCCGTCTCTCCGCCGACAACCCACCTCGGCGAAGTCGATGCTACCAGCGTAAGTAAACTTCTTAACGTCAATCTATGTTACGCGTTGATCAACTAATGTGTAATACAGTACGGTGCGACCTGTATCTCGACGTCACAGTCATCAACAATAAATTTCAAGAAAACATCAGAAGATTGTCTCTTCGGAAATGTATGGCACGCATAGACGGCTCTCTAGCAGCATTAACAACGACAATATATACGCAGGTTTACGTGCCGATTGGTACCAACACATCTAATCCTTTGCCTGTCTTCGTGTTTTTCCATGGCGGTGGCTACCAAAGCGGCAATTCGCACTCGTACACCCCAGAATGGCTCATGCAGTCATCCGCGGATCCGTTTGTTTTCGTGACATTTGAGTACCGGCTAGGCCAATTTGGCTTTCTCGGTAAATGTCACGATAAAGCTTTACTATTCACTTGTTGGCTCACGCAGGTGAATCAGGTGGCTCTCTACTTGCAGCAGATGGCGTGATCAATGCAGGACTCCTTGACCAGGTGAGTGTTTGTTCAGTTGATTACCAGGCACCCGACGGAGCTTGCATAGCGTGCTGCTCTTCGGTGGGTCCAGCGTTACATCGGCCAGTTCGGAGGCGATTCGAGGTATACGATTTATCGCGTCCAGCTGTATATCATGCTAACAATGTGTTGGTAACCTCAGTCGTGTGACCATATGGGGTCAGTCCGCAGGAGCAGGTTCGACAATGTTCCAAGTAAAATGTCCGCTTTTAGTGTCTACTTCCCAGCCTCAAGTATTTTACTCTAGGTGATGGCAAATGGCGGTGAGAATGAAGGCTTATTTCACGCGGCCATGGGAGACAGCCCATCTATGAATTACATGCCTCTTTACAATGATAGCTATCCCGAGGAACTGTTCTCACGATTTGCATCACTTGCGTACGTTATAACTCCATTTATCACCGAGATGATCCAACTTACTCTTTCAGTGGTTGTGGAGGGCTAGGAGGCGATACACTAGCGTGCTTACGAGCTGCAAATAGCACGGTGCTCACAATGGCGGGTAACGCGACTATCGATGAACGAACCTCGACTTTGTATCCATTCGCCCCAATCGTCGACGGTACTTTTATTCGTGAGGGACCCGTAGAGGCGTTTACCAATGGCCGATTTGCAAAGGTCCCTGTTTTCTACGGGTACGTTTATAAACACCGCACCACCCTATGACGCTGACAGAAAGCAAAAGATCCAATACCCACGAAGGAGCAAATTGGTCGGCAGAGCTCCCCGATCCAGCTGCGAACACCTCTACACCGGGTGCCACAGAAACAACAACGTACAATTTCATCCGAGGTCAATATGGCAATTTCACCTCCGAGTCTTTCGACAAGGCACTTGAGTTGTATCCCATCGAGGATTACAGCAACTCGCTCGTACTGCAGGAGCAACAGATGTATGCGGAGATGAGGTACATCTGTACTGCCATGCTAGTTGCTGGAAGCGTGGCCAACGCTGGCCTCGCCGCATATCTTTATCACTATGACAATCCTCATCTTGGCGACTACCATCATTATGAGCTCCAAGCGCTGTTCTCGTCAGAAGAACCTGATCGCACGCCTGATGCTAATGACGAAGCACTCTTCGAGACTATGAGGGAATACTGGACCTCATTTGCTACTTTAGGAGCACCGACGGCCGGATTTGCGCCAACCTGGCAGGTGGTCCGTACATTTACTTGTTATCTGGACCAAATTTATGTTGACTATCTTGCAGACGACATCATTGAGTGGCGCAAGTCAGCGAATGCTTTTGCAGCCTGGCAGTATTCATTTGGAAGATGTTACAGATGGGCTGAACGATCGGTGCGAGTTCTGGCGTAGTTTATCTAAAGAGCTACGAACATGATTCTGGTGCGATTCACGCATGTATAGAATGACAAATGGCAAAGTATTCGAGAGACATCTTGACTTCTGACTAGATTTGAGCCAAGCCAACTAATGAGTGCAGTTGATACGGGTAGCCACAACCTAAGAGCAATGGAAGTATTGTAAAGCAAGAACGAAAGAAAGCGGGCAGCACAATGATTAGTACTAGGAGTTACCTTCAATCTAATCGGACAGGGTTCGAAAAGGGTGTCGGGTATAAATTTCAGCCGCTGGATCCATGAGATGAGAACGTCATCTGTCGTGATGACGGCTTTGGAACGTATTTCAAAATGTCACGAGACTAGTCTTGGATTTCAATTTTCAATGCCATTTCAATGATTCCACACTTGCACCACTTCAACACCTCATGCCAGCTCGTGCTATAGTTATTTCAATCATACCACCTGACCGGGCGCATGTTTCAAAATGTGTGTGTCTCTGAGCTCGTATAACTAACTGTTCGAGCCCTGAAACTCTTAACGATAACGCGTTGTGGGTCCTTGTGGACTCCGGTGCCGAAATTACGATCACGCACGTGAGAACAGGTCACGGCGTTACGTCACAGCTTCTTGCAAACAAAGTCTAACGCTTTTGCGGCCTACTACGCTCTTCCAACCAGCATCCGACACGTTCGTACCCCCAATTACCACCCATGAAATCAGGAAGCCTACCGAAAATAATTATCAAGCCTCGCGCACCACCACCGCCACCAGAACCAGAACCGGAGGAGCTCGTCGAAACGGAGAGCGACGGTGAAGCTGAAGTTGAAGTCGAGGGTGAGGGTGGAGACACCGAGGAAGCGGACAATGAAGAAGGTGGCACAGAGGATGCTCCAACACCATCAAGCGAGATCCGTGTCATAAAACGAGGGCGGGGGCGACCGCGAGGAAGAGGACGGGGTGCTAGCGTTGCTGCTGTTCCTGCTCAGTCGACTCGGACTCGGGGAAGGGGGAGACCACGGGGGAGAGGCAGGCCGCCGCGTGGGGCGATAACGATTAAGCTGCCAAAGAGGGGTGAGGACGATGTTGACGCTGGGACGGGTGGTGAAGGAGAAGGCGAAGACGAGGTTGATACTGAAGTTGCTGAAGAATCAAAGGGAAAAATTGTTCCTCTGGGCGGGGGCAAGCCATTTCGAAAAATACAAGGACAGGTCTATGTCATTGAAGGCGATGAGTTCGTCACACCCGACGACCCGAAAGGCGACGAGAAGATTGATAAATGGGGGAATCTCCTTGGAGGTGGGTCAGTTTGTTATGTTTCCGGGTGGCGTACTCAAAGGAAATAGGACGGAAATTCAAGGCAAATACATTTATTCTTCCCAATCGTCATGATAAACGGCTCTACATGCTCGCCATCGACGCCGCACGAACGTCAGGCTTCCGAGATTCCCTGTATTACTTTCGCCGGAATCCTCTCGCATTCAAACTCAACGCGACACAGCCAGAAAAAGACTATCTCATTGGAGAAGGAAAACTTGGCTCACATCTTCGCACGAGGAGCGTTACTCTCATCACGGCGCGTAGCGCGTTCAAGCTCCATGGAAGCAAGATGGTATTAGGTACGTGTTTAGCTACCGTGACTCGCAAAGCACCGCTGAATCGCGTCTTACAGACGGCAGGTGGGTGACAGACGATTATTATGAAGAAAAGACCCTTCAAGAGATAGCCGAACGAGGGATTAAAGCAGGCGACTTAGTCGGAGACCTTCCTGACCCAAACGCTCAATCAGCTGAGACCGCGTCCCGGCCTGACCGCGCAAACCCCCAAGGTGGAGGCGGTGGTGGTGGAGGACTAGGAATATATCGTGCTGGTGGGCCAACAACAATATTCGGCGGAAGCGGCTGGGGGCCATTCAGTGACGGACCGTTAAACGCCGTCAGGAAAAGTCTCCTCAGCAGAGATGGTGTGAAGGAAGATAACTGGATGTGGATGATGGCACAGCGGGTACGTGAAAGTGACGAGGAGCTAGCCAAGTGGAGACGGAACAGACTGAAGCTTGGTGGTGGATTGGAAACGGTAAGGGAGGAGAATGTTGAGCCTTTGAAGAAGAAGAGGAAAGTTTCGTCAGATGATCTCCTACCCTTGGGCGTGTACGAGCCTCATACCGGGAATGTTTGCTGTGAGTTCTGTTTTATTCTTGTACATGCCTGCCATAACCGCGCACGGTCTAGATCGCTCGGATACACAGCCAACGCGAAGTCGACTGGAAGTGGACCATACAGTTAAACCCGTGCTTGGGGGAACCAAAGCCGGGAATATGGCCTGGGGCCTAGCCTGGGTCGATACAATCATGGAACCTCGGATAGAGGACGAGAACGCGCATGAAAGAGAACGATTACTGGAAGAGGTTGATGAACATAATGTTTCTACTGCTATGATAGTTGATTAACTTTTGACGTATCGATAAGTGCTGTCGTCGTTAATTGGATTCGCTGCCATGATTGGGGGCTGATTTTTGTCGAAGAAACATATCGAATGCGAGTTTTTAACATTCTCGGTCTTGTCTATAATCGTGTCATATCCAATGCCTGAAAATAACGCACTAATCATAGATTTTCTACCCACGCGGAGGCTTCTGATTTCAAGCACTGTCGTACTCACTGAATGTAATCATTGAGTTCTTCCTCCTAAAGTCCGAAGATCCCACAAGAAGGCATGAGTGTTCAATAAGTGGGAACTTGTAACTCATAGTAGTCAGTAGCGTTTTGCCAGCATGGAATGCTTCGACTGCTGATTCATTGCTGAGGCTGACTAGTGCCAGCTTCTTTTTCTCGTGTCTTGAAAGTTGAAAATTTTCAAACGCGGAGAGAGTTGACTTTCTTCAGTTCATTTGGCCCGGGAAACCAAAAACTCATTGGTTCCGGACTTTTCTCTTGCATATCTATTTCCTTCCTTCTACCTTACCCTTCCTTCTGTAGGAGTCTAAGAAAGTTCGAGAAAGTCACATTTTTTGTCTCCGAGGTATTTTTAGCATGAACATATAAACCGAACCGCCAATGAAATATTTGAAGACCCCAATAACCATTAGTATTATTGACAGACAAGACCGCGTATACCCTACAACAAAAAGACCAGAGATGTACCCTACATTATATCCTACAACAACATGGACCCGAAATATACCGTATATCCTGAGAAAAGTTAGTCCCCAAATATATCCTACGAAAGAAAAAGATCCGCTAGTATGTACAGTAAAATCAGTTCCCAGATACGTCCAGCACACCCGCACGCCTAAGCTGAGGAAACGCGTGTTCGATGGCCTTTGCGCTCACCCGAGGATGTTTAGCGGTCACCACCACCTTCCTGACAGGCAGCCGCACCAAGGCAGCATCGAGATCCACCCACATCTCGTCTCCAAGATCCAGCAAAGATTTCGCTACCAGCTCCAGACTAACCTCCTCAAGCATTCTCATATCAGACTGACTGAAAAGCTCAGTCCACCACGCGACGACACTTGAAAGAGACCAAGGAAGCTCAGACAAAACACATGTCGTCAGGCTTATTTGACGAACGCGGGGAAATGTTACCGATTCATTGTATGCTTTCGAAATGTTAGCGAAATAATTTACGAATGTAAGTGCCAAGACTCACAAAGAGGAGAAGCAGGCGCGAAAGAGAGCGACTCGAGAGTAGGGATCTTCAAAAACTCTTGCAATGGTTTGTTGTCCCACCACGAATACGTATGGACCGCCAAATGTCGAAGTTCCGACGCGTCCGTCCCAGTCCTGAGGACGTGCAGTGTATCCGTCAGGACTTCCGGTTTGAGCGTGAGGGATAGAGAGCGCAAGCGAATACCCTGAGTCACAGGACCATCCGTGTCTACGGGTACAGGTGTTCGTGGAAGGATCTGGAACAGGGCAAGATCCGTTAACACCGTTGACTTGGCAAACAACGAGAAGATATTCTGCATGTCGCGGGAGAAGATGAGCGAGTTGAGTTCAAGACGGGGGACACGGGCCATGGCTGTCTCTAAAGCCTCCCGGACGTCCAGAGGCAGGTTCTCCCAAACGACGCGACCGCTCCCCCGGACCTTTAGGCTCCTGAGATTCGAAAGCCTAGATAGTATCCACGGCAGTTTGGCGTCTCTATCATGAGGCCGCACGCATATAGTCACCTCCTTGACGTGGGAGGCGATATGCGGCGACACCGAGAGCAGCTGGTGGAACTTGTGTACAGTGTTCACAGGAGGCTTGCCGAAGCTGGAATCGAGCTGAATACGAGAGAAGAGCCGCGCCTGGGCGAACGCGTGCCAGTTACGACACACAACAGAGCAAGAAAAGAGATCCGATGGGGCGTCGAGCTCGTCGAACATGGTGTCGACGAGTTCCATGGGTACGATGGTGTGCTTGAGCAAGGCCATGTTTCTGGAGAGACGAATGAGCGACGAACAGCAAAGAAATTGGAGAATTACTGAGGAATTACTACGAGGCCAGTGAAGAAAAGTGAAGGGGGCCAGAACGGAATGGGTGCGAGGTCATAGTAGTAGCACGGAATCATATATGTCCGAGTTAGAATTACCCGTCAGATTGCGCCGGGCCCCTGATCAAAACGCGGACGGAACCATATATGCCCACCACTTAATCTCCACACATGTCGCACAGAAAAACATAAGTCCTTACAGCTTGGAGTCAGATGTGGAAACAACATTAAAATTTCTTAGCAGTGTACACTGTACATACGAGACAAGAAAAACATAATATGAGGGAATAAATGCATACCGGTATAAGCATGAACGGTATAAAAAAATGTCGTGAGATGGACGTAAATAATTCGTAGATGAAAGCAAAAATCTAATGAAATGCACAAAGACCGCGCCTAACTCATTGCCGAATCGAACCTCGTGGTGACCTTGGCCCAAACAACCCCGGACTACCTTGATCAGGGACGAGTAACTGAGGCTCTATAGTGGGAGGAGTGGGTACGAAGCCCGGCTCGGCTAGAGAAAAAAAATCAGTTCACGTGCTCGAAACGTCAATCACTCGACTACTCACGTTGCCATTGCGCCCACGAACGTACTTGGGCGCGTGGATCCGGTCCAGGCGGAGGAGCAGCAGGTGGCGGTGGTCCACTATCTCTCTTCTTTTTCTTACTGGGCCGGACATTGACGGTCCTCCAACCAGGTCGCGCGGGAGGAACTTCTGGAGGCGGCATGGGCTCGGGTGGTGGTGGTGGCGGCGGTGGCGGCGCGGCAGAAGGAGGCGCCCAGTCAGCATCAAATTCGCCTCCAGGACCGTACTTGGACTTCGTGGTCAGCAAGAAACCGATTTCGCTGAGAAAATTTAGTTAGGCAGATGATCAACGAAACGATAAATGAGACGTACTGTTGAAGTCCCCGACGCTCTTCTCGGAGTTTTCCTACTTCACCCAGCAAAATACGGACCTCGGATGCCAAAGCCTTACTGAACTCATCAAGATACTACAGATATCGAAAAATCAGTATAAATTCTTCCGGTGATAAACTTTATGATCCTACCCCTTGGACGTTGAACGGTACTTGTTCATTCGCAGTTTGGCGAACCGCATCAACAGTCTCTTGATGGTGTCTAGCACATTCTGCCATCCAAGCTACGAACAATGAAGTTAATATCCGTAAAACAATACATCAAGCAATACTCACTTTCTGACAGCGATCGCAGAAGATCTTGCTGCTCCCGATTCTGCTCTTTGAGTTGTTCAATAATTTGCTCAGGACCTATTCAGATCATCAGCGCAAACTCGAGAAAATACAAACACGAAAACCACTCACCAGGCTTGCCCGCAGCAGCTTCTTTGTCTGCTTTTTGCTCTTCCCGGCACTCATTCACCATCTCGTCGATCCGCTTCAACAGAACGAGCATCTCGGCTGTATCACCTTTCTTCTCTTCCCTCCTCGCTTCTTTCTCTGCCCACCTTTCCTCAGCCTTTGCCTTCTTTTCTTCACAGCACTGCTTCTGCTCGTTCATCATATTCTGCAAAGCCTCTAAGCCCGCATTCAATCCAGTGAATCCGTCTGTCAATTCCTTGCTAGCATCTTCACGCTGCTGCAATAACTCAGCTGACCGCTGGGCTTTTTCAGCCTCTATCTCCTCCCTCATCCTAGCCATCTCATTCTCCAATTCGCGGATCCTCGCATCCTTCTCCTCAACCAACTTGGCTCGCTCAGCGTCGAGATCCGCTCTCGCACGCTCAAGGTCTTCTCGAGCTTGGGCACGCTCTTGTTCATGTTGCTCCCTCTCTCTCTCCAACTCGGCCCTCATTTCATCTCTTTCCATCTTGACGATATCCCGGAGGTCCTCGGAATGTCTGGACATCGCCTCCTGGGTCGCGGCCTGGATGGAATGCAGCGAGAGACCGTCATCTTCACGCACTGATTCGGGTGGCGGTGGTGGTGGAGGGGCTTCGGGAACAGGTTCAACAGCAGGAGGTTGGGGCGGAGCCCCGAGTCGACTTTCAATTGCACTCAATAGAGCTTCACGAGCTTCTTGCGCTTCAGCATCCCTACGCCGCTCCGCATCCCCAAAGATCCGATCACGTTCACCTTCGCTTTGCATAAACCGATTATCACGATCAGTCTCTGCCTCATCGGCATGTCTCGCGACATCCTGTAGCCTGCTTTCCAACTCGTCAAGATTCGCGAACCGTTCAGCAATCCCTTGATCAATAACGGGAGTCGCCTGGCCTTGAGTCTGATCCCCTCTTCTTGTCCCTGGATCCTCCGCTCTTGCCTCTTGATCACGACCTCTCGATTCAGAAGCCTCACCTCTCGATCCTGGAATGTCTCCTGCAGACTCTGGATAACCTTCTCTCGACCCTATATCACCTTCTCTTGGTGACATGGGGGCCGGAGGCGGTGTAATACTGCGATACGAACTTCCCGAACCACCTGGAGTTGGTACTGGTTTAGGTGTTTCCGAACGAGGCCTAGGAGTCGCTGAACGCGACCGTTCAGGAGCCGGTGAAGGGGCTCGAGTTGGCACATGAGATGCTGTCCTGGATGCCATACCATGAGTTGGAGGCGGGACTTGGTGTGGCGATGGTTCGCGAGGAACTTCGGCGGCATATTCAGGATGAGGAGCTACAACCGGAACAGATGGTGTACTAGGAGAGACGCTAGCTCCTCTGGAATAATCGTCATGAGGAACTGTGGGAGGTGTCCTATGAGGGTCATGATAAGGAACAATGGGAGGTCCACGAGGGCTTTCGGGAGGTACAATCGGCGGTTCATGAGAGGGAGTAGGAGCACCGTAAGGAACTGGTTGGGCGCCAATGGGCACTTCATGAACAGGCGTTCCTGGTCTGTGAATGTACGGGGGTTCATGAGGAACGTATGTAGGTTCATCGTAGTCTTCAACGGGCGTATGAATGCGAGTACCAGCGTGAGACGGAGAGGAGGACGGAGAGGGTGAAGGAACACGAGTTGGAGGACGAGACAGCGAATGCGCAATACGGGTTGGCGTACGTGTAGGAGCACGGCTTTCATAAGGTACATCGCCCGGTCTCTGTTCCGGTGGTTCGTGAACAGGTGGAGAAGGTATATATACTGGTGCTCCAGGCAGCTCGTGTCTTCTGTAGGACGACGACGACCGCGAGGCTAAAAAACAGTGAATAAAAGAGAGATTCTGAGATACTATAACAAGAACTTACGACTTCGGCTGGGTGGCACTACAACCGTCGGCACAGCCCCATATGCCGTAGAAGGCGGTGGGGAATGGCGGGTAGGCACGACCACCGTATGAGGTTCACGACCGGGATCATGGAAGGGGATAGGAAGCGGATGATCAGATAGGCCAGGCGGATGACCTGTAACAACAGTTGGCGGATAATGAGGTTCACCGGGACGGTCTGCATATTCCAACGGTCGATGACTGCGGCCAGGGGATCCACGCCTTGAAGAATAGCTACGGCGCGGTGAGTAAGCACGGTACGAATCTCCAGAACGACTTCTGCTACGACGATGGGGACTGCGACGGCGCCGACGGCGGCTGCGACTGCGACTGCGCCTACGGCCACCGTCATAATCACTTGATACACTTCGATGTCGGCTTCTTGATCTACGTCTTGGTGGACTTCTGTGTCGGCTGCGTCGTCGTCTTGGTGAATGTCTTGATCTGCTTCTTGATCTTGACCTAGTCCTTGACCTACTTCTTGATCTCCTCCGTGGGCTTCTGGAGTAATAGCGCCTGCGACGCGGACTTCTAGAATGACGTCTTCTCGATCTACTCCTCGATCTGCTCCTCGATCTGCTTGATCGACCCTCGACGATTATGGGTGCCGAAGGTGCTATTGGAAGTTGAGTGGGCGCCTGACTTGGGAGCCCAGTAGGAACTGGTACATATTGAGTAGGAGGGTATTGAGTCGGTGGCGGCTGAGTCGGTACACCGCCTGAAACAATAATTGGTGTCGTAGGAGAACGGCTTCGACCCGGAATCAAGACCGGAGTGCGAGGTGAACGCGACCGTGAGCGCGACCTGGATCGCGGCCTTGACCTACTGCTCCTGGAGCTGCGCGAACTTCTACTTCCTGGAACAACAATCGTTTGTGTTGGCTGCTGCATAGGTGGAATGTAGGTCGTTCCTTCTGTAGGATGTGTAGGATGAGATGGAGGAAAGACTATCGTTGGCTGAGTCTGTGTCGGAAGGGGAATCACGGGTGGGATGGGAGAGCGTCGGTAGCTACGGCGGCTGCCACTGCTTCGACTTCGACTACGGCTACTACGGCTTGGTTGCTGTACAATGACTGGACCAGTTGGTGGCAGACCTGGCATGGGAACTGGCGCGCCTCCCGGAATGATAATAGGCGGCGCTGCACGAGGGAGGGATCTTTCACGAGACCTTCCACGAGAGCGAGATCTACTACTGCGACGCGACGGCTGGGCAGGAGGCACCACCACTAAGGGCGCTGGCGGTGGGCTAAGAGACCGCGAGCGGGAACGCGATCGTCGTGAGCGGGACCTCGAGGGTGATCTACGCGACCTTCTTGATCGGTATGAACGTGATGACCCCGAGCTAGATCTCGATTCTGGTTGCTGGACGATGGTGATTGGCGGCTGCGGTAGTGGTGGCTGTGGTACCGGTAAAATGCTCGACGGAGGCATTGGCATCATAGGTGGCATAGTTCCTGGGGGTCCCATTGGTACAGGTCCCATCGGACCCATAGGCATTCCTAGCTGTTGAGGAGGTTGGATGATGATTGTAGGCTGCTGTGCGGGGACGGGCCCTGCAGGAGGTGCAGACGGAGAACGACGTGAGATATCAGTCCCTGTAGGATGTGGGACAGCTGTAGGAACCGTAACAATAGGCGGACTCGGTCCTCGACCAGGATGAGGAGTACCAGGGAGGCCAGCATCATGTACCGTTGCACCAGGCACAGGGACGTAGTGAACAGACGGAGAAGACTCATCCGAACGCGGAGACCCACTCGAGCGTGAAGTTGCAGCACTACTACTTGAGGGGCTCGCTGGCTCGTGGATAAACGTAGTTCCTGGAGCTGCAGGTGGGTAGAAAGGCTCAGCCGGTCCGCTTACACCTGGTACAACAGGCTGAGGCATTGGATAACCACCCATGGGTGGAATCACAGGAGCAGGCTGATCATATCCCGTCATCGGAGGAATCACTGGCGGGTGCTGAGGATATCCCGACATTGGAGGAATCACTGGTGCGGGTTGACCAAATCCTGGAATAACCGGCGCAGGTTGATTAATGACGTATTGTTCAGGAGGTACCACAGGCTGTGGCATTGGCGGACCAGGAGCACCCTGCTGAGCATCGGGAACAAAACCAGGCGGCATTCCAGGTATTTGCGTGGGAAACGGTACTGCCCCTTGGTCCGGAGAGCTTCCTTCTGACGAACCCGAGCTTGAAGAACCATCAGAAGGAGGGCCTGAAATTTGTTGAGCATTGTGTTACTGTGTAGGCATAGATACACTCACGTCCGCCACTGCGCAAACCACGGATTTCATTGCCCAATTGTTCCACTCGAGCAATCACTCCTCGAATTTCGTTCTGTCGGTCCTGGACGTCATTTTCTAGCCATCCGTTTAGCCCTCGCAAATATCGCATGAGTTCTCGTTGTTGATCTACGGTCGCAAGTTGAGCCAATCGGTTTTCCTAGGAGTGCATTCAGAAAATGTGCTTAGTGATAAGTCTGAAGCTATTCTTACACGAAGGATGGCCAGAATGGTATTAAACTCCTGGGGTAGATCCACGCGGATCTATCATCATAACATTAGCACCAGGTCTAGATCAATGATTGAAAACTTACAGGTCCTGGCGGCATAGGCATATATTGGGGACCCACTGCTGGCTGTTGCGGTAGAACTGGAGGAGGAGGGACACCATAACCAGGCCCACTTGGACCGGCATCACCGGGTGGTCGCTTGAAAAAGGCCAGTTAATTACCAAGATGCTGCACCAGGGAAGGACATACGCGTCTATACCAACTCTCCCCATGAACGTCTTCATCACGACCCAATTGTGATGGTGGCGGCGCAGATTGCGTACGGTCAGGGCCATCGTCGTACAAGTTGGTAGGCTACAAGAAATCTATAAATATGCACCTTCGTGTAACCTTGAAGATACGTACTAGGACGGGCCTTGGAGTTGGTCCTCGTGTAGGTCGTCGCTCTTGGGGCACATCCGCCTGTCGATCAAAGATTGGGGGTGGAGGAACAACAGGCGAAGGCGAAGGCGGCGATGATAGTGGCGGCTGCTGGTACGGTGCTTGTGGGGGCGGTTGCTGTGGGGGCTGCGGCTGCTGGCGCTGGCGCCGTGGAACTCTGGGACCTCGTCGGGGCTGTGCTCTTGGGCGACCAGGACCAGAGGGACGAGGAGGGCCCATATCGGGAAACTGCGTCGGAGGAGGCTCTGTCGCCGGACGTGTCTGCAACAGTGATTCTATGCTCTCTCTAGGCCTGAGACCTGGAACAAACCGCAATCCTCTAAAGGGTTCTGGTGGCGTTACATGAGAGCTTTCAAGTCGACCAGAGATCAAATTGTCGAGTTCTTGAAGAACTGAGGGTCGTGTTCCGGGAGCAGGTCGCGGAGTAGGAGCAATAGTTTGACCTCGCCTCAAGTTGTCTAAAAGGTCTTCAAATCTATCAAGGAAATAACTTCCTGATGAAGACGATCCATCGGGCTCTGACTCTGGGGGTGGAGGTACATGAGGCTCGGGCATACGCGGGGGAGGAGACCGAGGTAGAGGCGGGGGAGGAACCTCAGGCTCTGGCATCGGTTGGAAAGGCGGCGGAAACACGGGTGCAGGCGGCACGATTCCAGGCTCCGGAAAGGGCGGTGCAGGTGGCCGAGGCGTTGATGCTTCAGACTCGGGTGGAACATCGCGAGGACCTTGCGGAGGAGAAGATGGGCCTTGACGAACTTTGTCACACAAACCCTGAAGTAAGTCCTCCAATCTGCCCAGCCTTTCGAGTACGTCACTGTTATCTGGCGCGGGACGGGATCGAATTAAGTCAGCCATCGACCCTTGTCCATCAATCAATGATCGTAGATCATCCTTGATAGAAGCCAAAATGTCCGAATAATCAGGCATCTGAACCACGTCAGATGAAGACGAAGAACTACTGGGTGGGGGAACGAGCGGAGCCTGAACAGGTGCCGGAATAGGGAGAGGCATAGTCGGTGGCGGAATTGGTATAGGCGGCGAGGGTGGAGGCCTCCTTGGTATGGGTGTCACGGAGCCGTCTGTTGGCTCCCTCTCGGGCGAAGATACACGGGACGAAGGACTTGATGATGACGACGAAGACGATGACGAAGACGAAGGTGGAGAGAATGCGCTCACAGAATCCCATGGGGTGGGAGAGTCCGCCCTTTCCGTTGGAGGGAAACGCAGACTGTAGGGGGACGATAGGAACGACACGCTACTATCCAAACTCGATGGAGCCAGTTCGGAGGGTACGAGCCTAAAGTCATGGGGAGTCTCGATCTCCTCCGACATAACGCTGCTGCCTCCCACTCGTTCCTCAACAAGCTCTGGTCGGACAGGTTCAGGCGGGCTACGAGGATGAACAAGACCAGATAGTTCTCTGATGCCATTATGAATTCCCCTAAGCATGTTCTGTAAATCATTGTTTTCATCCTCCCGGTTCTGATCATATTCACGAATTTCGTTGGCCAGATTATCCAGATCATCAAAAATATTGCGAGACACTTGACGCGGAGTTGGAGTTGCCAACGACACCGTGTCGGACCATGACTCTCTCTGTGTTGTATCCCCTCGAGGCGTAGATAGACTGACCGAAGGCGAAATACCAGTCGGCGTGCGGACCGACGGCGTCGGGACGGAGGGTGTTGGGACTGATGGTGTTGGGACCGACGGCGGTGTTGGGCCCGATGGGGGCGTTGGGATCGATGGCGTTGACACCGACGACGACGGGACAGGCGGCGTTGGGACAGGCGATGTTGGTACTATCGATGGTGTTCGTGCTGACAAAGCTCGCTCAGACGGTGCTCGTGTTGATGGAGGCCGCGTTGGTGCTCGCTCAGAGGGAGCCCGCACCGACGGTGGTTCCGATGGCGTTGATACAGGCGGTGTTTGTATGCTACGGGGGCGTACCGGAAGAGGTGTTCCCTGGATAGATCGGTTAATGACAACTAGGATATAGTAAACATGATTAAACTTACAGATCTCGAAGATGACACTACAGACGGCACCGCCGATGCCGCAACAGAAGGGACGGCAGAAGGCGCAACAGAAGGAAGAGTAGAAGGGGCCATGGATGGTACACCAGACGGTGCGGCAGATGCAATCGGTGTCGTCAACAAACTGGGATATGTTGAAGGAAGGGACCGGGGGGTTCTCGCTTCTTCCATTTCCCACTCTTCAATAACAGAGCTTGAATCGAGGAAAGAGGTATCAATGGTTCTGTCGGAGCTGTACGAGCTGGTGGAGGCACTTGAGGGAGTCCGCGTAAAGCTAGTCGGTCCAGGAGGACTCAAGTACAAAACAGAAGGAGATTCAGGCGCGGGAGTCGAAGATGAAGGAGGAAATGTCACCGGAGAAAGTGACGCTTCAGTCCATGTAATAGGAGACGGTAGTAGCTCGTAAGGCGTAATGGCAGACTGTGTCTCAGGAATTGTGCTCATCCTATCGCCCGATGAATAAACTGATCCAGTTGGCCTCAAAACCGATGTTTCGAAGGAGACGTCTCTTCCATCATATAAAGCGACTGACATCATCGAAGGTGACGGTGCCAACTGTGATGAATCCCATGTCGTATCCGTCTCTCCAGCAAACGGTCCCGCAGCAGAGGGCGTTGTGCGCGTCGACGGCGTCGATGCTATGGAAGGAGTCAACGGAGACCTTGAGACGCTAGGCGTGGGGGTTCTGCTAACGCTAAGACTAAGACTGGACTCCGTAGGTATCGTAGCCGACGTAGGAAGTATGGATGGTGTTGCTTGAGTCACGGGAACGGAACTACTACTTGGGCTGCTTGGGACACCAGCAGAAGAAGGAACCGATGACGTCGTCAAATGGCTGGAAGGAAGGATTTCTGAGCTGATACTAGAGACACTCTTGATGGTCCGTATTGTGGGCTGCGGGGACGTCGGCGGAACAGAAGGTGTCAACGAAGAAGGCGTCGGTGTTGGCAATTCCGAGGTCGACGGCGTCGGTGTCGGGAGTGGTGATTCACTAGTGATGGAAGGAAGCGACGATTCCCCGATTGATGATTCTGTTGAGGACTCTGGAAGAGCGATATGTTCAGGGGGAGTTTCACGCTGTACGACAACGGGTGACTCAGTTGGAAGGGGAGGAAGGGGTAGTTCCTTCACGCTAGGAGTTCTCGAGAGTTCAATGGCTTCTTCCTCGACGTCCTTTACTGACGGCACTGGTGTACTGTGTTCAGAAGGAATATCACCAAGACTTGAAGGGCACAATTCCGCTGTACTGTACTCAGTGAATTCGGAAGCCGTATGATACGTTGCCGTTCCCTCATCAGCTGTACTATAGAGGGACGGAATCGAGGGTAGCGACTCGAACGACGCAATGGACGGAGACCTTGGAGTAGCATAGCTACTGCCTTGAGATGCAGTGACATAATTTTCTTCCGAAGACGACTCTTCCTCTGCCTTGGAAGATGTAGATGCCGATGCAAACGGAGTGCATGTAGCACTTGTGGCAATGGTAGTCGTCCTAGGTGCTGTATCCGACAGATCTGACGCCGTACACACATCATAGCCTACAGTATTGCTCGTCAATATAACTGTGTGAATTTTCCGGATTGGAAGCTTACCAGTCTCGCTTGTACCCGTACCACTTACTGTATAGCTTCCACCCGAAGTATAGCTGCCACTCAGCGTTGTATAGCTTCCAGTGTAGCTTCCGCTAGAATAACTGAGCTCCGCTCTACGTTCCCTCTCCGAACTCTCTTCGCTCCCAGATGGCTGATAGCCACTGCCGCTAGAAGAGCCCGAGTGTGTTCGAGTGCGTCGTCGCACTCCTCCAGCTCGGGATAAAGAACTTCTCGAGGGCACTGTGAGAGTATCACTGGCAGTATATGGTGAGGATCCGTATGAAGAACTGTACGTGTAACTGCCAGAACCTGAACTGTGGGAGTCACCGAGGAGGGACGCTGACTCTGTCCCTCTATACGACAATGTCGATGGAACAATTTGGGTATCACTCGTTGTAAACCCGGTCATCCTGGTTGTAGTCAATGTATCACTGGGTGTGACGCCCGTCCCCGTTCCCGTCGCTCTGGTAAACGATGACGACGAATAGAATGAAGACCTTCCACTAGACTCCCCGGCAGAGAAGAACCTAGAATCATCTTCATCGCCCGACTGCGGAGTGCCGTATTCACTTGAAGATCGGTTGGACGCGAACTCATCGCCCAAATCGGTCATTGAGCCCGATCTCCTCAGCCTTCCACTGAGCCTTCTACGTGTACCACCAGAGATGACTCGAGGATCGCCAGGATAAAGATAATCCTGGCCGGAAATAACAGTGTCGTCGACAGTGCGATCATGGTAGGACGACAAAAGCGAGCGCCCCCGCTCGGAATCGGAGCTGAGCGATTGATACCTCGAGCTTCGGGACGATGCTGACGCTGATCTTCCAAATTCAGATCCATATTGATCACCCATGTCCGGGACTTCTCCAATAGGTGGAACGTATACGGTTGAACGTGATCCTGTACCCGAGCTCGTGGCAGAATTAAGACTGCTTTGGCTTTCCATAGAAAGGATGGTTCGAATAGATCCCGTGGGTGACCTTGAGCGAGTCTGAGTATACGAGCCTGTGCGGGATACAGACGGTGCTGGTTGGCTATTGACAGCCTCCCTGAACACAGAAATTTTGTAAGTGGGGAAAAATACTTTTGTAGAGAATACACACCAGATCCTATTCACCCATCGTTGTCTTTCAACCAGACTTTCAGTGGCCAAACGTTCAACTCCATCGCCGTAAACCATCCAGAACGGGACCAAGCTTTCCACTATATCTCCCCTTTCACGTCCTTCCCTTTCCTCTTGTGCGTGTGCTGCAATGGCTCCTACATCATCACGAGCCCTAGGGTGTCCTAAACTTAGCGCGCTTTCAACGCCAACACAGTTAATCAAATCCAACTGGACAACACCACGACCGGCACCAGGAGCTATCCAGGACAACAGAAGAGTATTTCGGTATAGCAGCGCCTGGCATCGTTGCCAGAAATAGGGTGGTGCGGTGTGCACATTGAGATAATATAAAGTTCCAATATGAATGGGCTGAAGAGAAAAAAGGTCAGTTTTGGGCCACGTGTACCGGCTACCAATATGCTTACCGTTTCCTCCGGCCCGCCGGCGAAGCGGCCTAACTCTCCCAGGACCTCCGGTGTAAGGGCGCTCCCGTTCCCATTCCCTGTATCCTGGGCATCGCCTTCTCCATTGCGCCGTAAGCTAGCGCGCCTTCTGATACCAAAAAGACCATTGTCGCCCTCTGCCGGTTGAGAGGGAGGCGGAGGCAACTGATCGGTATCTGAACCTGCCGAAGATGCCGGTTTTGTAGGCGATCTTGAAGGAGTCCGCTCTTTCCACAACGCAACAATATTTCGGACAGATGCCAGGGGATAGCGCGGTGATGACCGCTGCGGGCGACGTAAAGTTGAAGCTGGCGTCTGGGTCGAGGAAGTGTATGAACTGCCTGTTTGACTTGTCGAAGTATACGTATTTGTTGGAGTCTGACTGGAGGTCAATGTAGTAAATGTGCTTGGCGTGGCGTACGACGTAGTCCCGGAACGTGTCGTGGCGGATGTAGTCGACGGCCTCACGGGCGGAGAAAGAAGGGTGGAGAATGTCGGCCTCGTGTCGCCCGACGATGCAGAGGAGCTTGATTTGGTGGGCGAAGGGGAACGACGAACACCAGGAGCAGAAGACGCCCGAAGATGTCCACTCGGGCTAGCGGGGCTGTTTGTTTCAAATCTTGCAATGAGCTCAGTAGCTCTGCCGGGTGGCGGAAGATCACGGTCTGCACCAGGATCAGTTGACGACCTGGAATGCGAGGGTGATACCGCTCCGCCAAAGAAAGAGCGACGAGCAGGCTCTGGTGTTCGAGCTGAGGAACGCGCAGGAATTGTGGCCCCAGAAACAGGACGCGACTGAGTGCCCTCCGTTCTTTCTGTGATTCTGCTCAGTCGCAATGCTGAGTTGCCGGTTGGGGGTGGATATGATGAAGCTGCTGAGTATGTTGGTGTACCCAGCAAAGATGGAAGCGATAGTACAGATGGTGAACCTGTGTACGTGCCGGTGTACGTGCCCGAACCTGTGTACGTGCCAGTGCCCGTATACGAGCCTGTATACGAGCGGGGATCAGAGGATGACCACGTTGAGAGCGCGTTTTCCGTCTCGTCGAGCTCATCGTCTAAATTGTTGAGGTTTGCCTCGACTTCGTCAGCAGAATCTCCCTCTTCCCAGGCCTCTTCAGTATAGGAATTTGTTCGTGATCCGGATGGTGAAATGTTTACACGGCGCATGTTGTGGGCAGAGTCTGCTGTATCAGAAGAATCTGAAGGAGGTCAGCGCGCTGTCAACAGAAAAATGACGCACGCACCTGAGCGTGAAGAATATGATAATCTTGAAGGCGACATCGGTGTTGCTGATGGCGATAATGTGCTGTAGGTCCCGCCTCTGTTTGAGGGCGACCAACGCCCAGATGACTGAGAGGTCATCGCAGGACTCGACTGAACGCAATGAGGCACAATGCCGTTGATAATGAAGGGGATACTTCCCAAAACAGTATTCAACAAGGCTTTAGGGCCGGTTTTTTCGTGGCCGCGTCGTCATCACGTGAAGTCACTACACAGCTTTTCCGTGCGGAGTCATCTGGACTTCGGTCCGTATCCATGGTCCTGATGCCTCCAGACTCTGGTATTTCATCTCTCACTTGCCGTGTACCGCCATGAACTAGTGAACTATATGCTCAAAAGAGAGTGAATGCTAAACGATCGTCAATTTGACTATGTATCAAATCAACTTCGATGTCGTATATTAGACATGAAATTCAACGAAATTGAATGGAGAGCTTCGAGAATCGACAGTCGGACATTCGGTGTCATAACAATTAACGGGATGTTAACAGCTTCAATACATTTGGCGTGACTTGCATGGACAAGACCGAAGATGGCAGTTCGCTATCGCGGCATCATCGTTCAATGCCGAAAAGATCTCATGGAAGGAAAACATCAGAATGTATGTGATTGTACAATGTAATCGATGAGTATACAGTTTATCGGCCATATCTGCAAGATGAGATTGAATGCTTGAGCCGCAGAGATTATAAGAATTGTCAGACCTTTGCAGCTCCCATTCTCTGTTGTCCAGAGGGCAGACGTTCCTAGTTTTCAACCACCGCGAAATGCAGTGGAAATGGAAAGCATGCTAATAGAATGAGTATGAGAGCCGGCAAGATGAGGCGGCGTGGCGTGACCTACGTTGCAGATACCCCATGCCGCAGTACATTCTTCTGTGGTTGAGGACACTTGATTAGCCTGACATTCGATGCCTATGCAGGAAGCGTGGATTAGAAGAAATTATGGGGATAAGGCGCCAAAATGATTTCTTACAAAGGTCCATAATATGATTCCTGCAGATGGCACAGTTCTCGACGACAATATCTATGACAGACACGTTCAGGCGTCACCATATTTCCCACAAAAGATAATGTGGACAGACCCCATGCCCACAATGATACGGCATTCCACTACAACAAGGGATCAGCAAAGGCACTAATCAATATCCTTGGGAGAAGTATACCTTCTTCACTTCAAATCGTTGCTTGCCACTCTTGTCTTCGGTCTTCTCCTTCTTCACAGGCGGGTCCATTTCAACGTCGACGTCAGCCATTGCAGCAGTTCTGGATCGTAAAAAGTCAAAGATACGGGCGTCTGTCGGTGCTAATGATGGTGGAAGACAAGAGTCAAGTGTGACTGTGACGGTCCTCTGGCAGACTTACTCAACTTGTTCTTGCCGCAAATGCCGAACCGCTCACTGAGGTGCTACCACGACCAAGATCAAACACGAACCGCTCAACCATCACATTCCAACGTACTTGTCATCTATGAGGTGTTGCGGTCTGAGCTCAGGACAAGGCAGGAATTTCCCTTCCTAAGCCTTGAAGCTGAAGGCCTGAAGGCGGAACGAGAGTTATTGCTATACAAAAACTGCCCGCAATGTTTTATATTGGACTCTATTACCAGCGGCATTAGACCATATAACCCACTAATAAAGCGGTTAAAGGAAGTTACAGGATAATAATACACATTCTTCTATAACCCTACCAGCCATTAACTGGTGTAAATTGGTACCTTCCGTATCAGTCTTCATCCTACCCTGCACCGTTGGTGAACCGGACGCAACCGTGATACTCTTGCTCCTGAATCTATATTATCAACCTTCCTTCATGCTAGTAGTAGGACACATAAGTTAAAACGTGCAACCGACGATAAGATTACATTCAATGCGACTATACATACATGACGAAAGCGAATGTCCGGATGCTCACACTCTGCTTCTCCTTGTCAACGCGGACCCTAGCATGCTCTTGCTAGTTCGTCCTACCTGTCTCCCACGGCCTAGAGGTTCCCTGTAATTTTTTGTCTCAGAATCCCAAGTAGCGAACAGCTTTGCGTCAGGCACAGCACACGGCTTTTCCTCCTTCCTCCCCGTTGTTGGGTCGGTAGTCGTGGTCGTCGCAGAAGACGAATTCCAAGGCGCAGGAATACCAACGCCATAGGTAAGCTGTTTTCCATCCACTGTCATGACAGGCGGGTTGCTAAGCTTGCTTGTACGGTTAAAGATCTTCGACTGGAGAGACATGAGAGAGAATACTAAAAGATCTATCCAGACACATACCGGAAGAACATGCCTAGCAAGTTCGGGTATTCTCGACGACTGCTGACTCACGACATTCGAAAGTCGCTCAGTCGACGAAACACTTTTTCCTGGAATGCTAGGGAACTTGAAATCTTTGTCCTTCACCTTTTCGAAGCCATGCCCTCCGGGAGTAGGCACAGCAAAGCTAGGACCCATGGCCGACACTCTGGGTTGATTTGTTGCAAGATTAGAGTGCAACGTATCCGGAGGGTCCCACCGCGACGACGTTTGCGTCAGCGCCAACAGAGACATGGCGACTTTATGTCTCTGAGGGTTGCTGGTTCCCAGATTGTCGGTTGACGACCGACTCGTGAGAATATGATGATACGCGGCAAAGAGGGATTGATCAGTTTGGGGTGTAGGGAATCGGGATATACGCGCAGGTAGAGTGGAATGGTCAGTAGGCGGTGACGGAAGATGCCATTCTGGCTGAGAAGACAATGAGGACTGAGAGTACGGCACCTGCATCAGCCAATCCGCTGTGGCTGACGACGTCAGCGCTTGTGCAGGTGGCGCCTGAAGTGCAGGAGAATGAGGACGGGGGTTCTTTGTGTTCTCAACAGGAACTGTGTCCTCTGCCGGTTCAGTCTGTGTTTGAGGAGGAGAGGCTGGTAGGATGGCAGGAAATGGAGGTAGAAAGTCAGGAATATGGGGCGGCGGATCCCAATCTAGGGTCCGTTGCCGTTTCCGTGGCGGCGTAGATGGGTTCGATATAGGAGACAGCGGCAATGTAGGTATTGGAGGAGCATGTCTGGGTTCGTGGTTGGGAGGAAGATTAACGTTGAATTCGTCGTCTTCGTCGAACGACGCTTCGGCATCTTCATCACCGTCAGCGACCGCCGGCTCCTCCATTTCCTCATCTTCATATTCCTCCTCCTCCAAGGCTTCGACGCCAGAGAACGGCGCATAATGCAATGGGATCGCATCGTTGCGATCCTGCCGTAGTCCGTCATTCAGTTGGGCTGAGAGCCATCAACACGCCATCTAGCAGCATATGTCCAAGACACACCTCGGAATTCATTCAGATCCTCGACCCGCCGCAAGGACTTGACCGCGTAACGGTTCAGCTCAATGCCTTCCGTTGACCCGTATTCCTTCAGTTCATCAAGGCTCACCCCAAGCTCATCCAAAGCAGATAGTGCATCCATCGGTGTCAACTTCGTCCTGCCTGCGTGCTGTGCGTATTTCGCACATGTCGACGACAAAAGAGCCAAGTAACGCGAGAGAAGGTCGGTGAGAACTAAGGACGCCTGGGAAGAAGACCGAGAGAAGTTCGATGCATGGAGCGCTCTGTGTGTTGCCGATTCCAATAGCTTTTGCGCAGCATTATCCATGAGCAGGCGAGACGACAACAAGACGACGAACGTCGCTGTTTAGCGCGCCCTGTGGTCACCGTTCGAGTTCAGCCGTCGCTTACGTAACATACCAAGATTCGCACGCTCTATATATAAACGTTCACCGCTGCAAATCAACTTGCATGTCTTCTGCTACCACCGAGCAGCAATGGACCTTTTCTCAGCAATTCTCTTCTGGATTTTTGAAAGATAGAACAGGTAAGATTTCACATCCAGTATATTTCGCAACTAAGGGTCATTCAGACCTACAAAATCGGATATCTGCAAGCAAAGAGGCTTCCTCTATATCAAACGAAATCGTTGCTGACCTATCAGCCCGATTCACAAAGTTGACCAAGGATCTTGCCGATGCCGTTGGCTCACTGCCTGCTTATGACCAGAAAGGCTACGAAAATGTTGGTGGTCGACCTCCTCTGCCCGACTCGATGATTGAAGTTTTCAATAGCAACTTAAATTCATTGAAGCTGAACTGGAGGGACTGAGAAAAGCATCCAAGCCAGTATCTCGATTTTCTTTCAAGAAGAAGCAGGCCGCTTTCGATCAGTCCCGTCCTCTTTCAGCTGTTGCCGTAGTAGCAGAACCTATTTCTCCGGAGCCCTCGCCATCTCAAGCATCGATATTAAACTTCAGCTCACGAAATAATGAACTTCTTACTGTTGACCTGCCTGATGTATCTGCACGAGATGTCACACTATCGGATCTAGTGAACTGTGTCGTAAATCTTATCTCGCCTACTAAATTGACAATCTCTGCCGTGCACGCCCAAAATCTTCGGAATGTCGTCATCCTCTTGCCCATGATACAATCAAGTATCATGCTCCATGATTTGGACAACTGTGTGGTCGTCGTTGGCTGTCATCAGGTAAATATGGCAGTTGTAAACCCTCGTCCATACTCATTTTCTTGGACAGTTCCGAATGCACACATCGCGAACTGTTGACATCTACCTTTCCATCCCCTCACATCCAGTCATTGAAAATTGCTCTGATATTCGTTTTGCGGGATATCCTTCCGCCTTGCAGCGTGAGATACAGGTATTATCCAAGAGTTCTTGTGTATAGGCTGTGCTTGACGTTCACCAGGTCGCAGAAAGCAAACACACATCTGTCCAAGATTTTTCACATATTAGAGCGTCACCCTCCCCAAACTGGACTCTCCTACCTGAAGATCGACTACCGGCATCCTGGCCCTTGGGCTCGACGACGGTCGGCGACTTCTTAAGTTCCCTGTTGCCGCGTTCGATATGACTTTGTCGTTGGATCGGACAGGTCCGACAGGGCACTGCAATTTATGTGTATGACAAAGTAGAGCTAGCCCCGTGTTCGTTTAATAGGGGCTGATTTGAATCCGAGACGTTGGTGCTACTTATGGTGTGCTGTTTCATATTTCCTTTTCTTTTAAACCATCCCTCCCTTCAAACGTTCAACGCTATTCAACTGATGACGCCCGACAAATGCCCTCTTCTCGACGTTCCCATATCAACAGATGCACCACCTTCATACGATGCTAGCACGAGCAGGAACACCTCGCGCACTAGTACACCCTCATCCTCTGGTGCCAATACTTGGAGAAGTGACGAGTCGTCAAATAGGTTACTGTCAATGTCCACCAATCCTCCTTATTGCTTATAAAGGTTGAAGTAGGCCTCAACCGTACGGACCCACTGGCGGCATCATGCGAGCTTTCAGCGGTCAAGTGAAGACCACCATAACAGCACTCATTCATGACCTTGTTCGACCTCACTCGATGTCTACTGCACCTCCGTGCCGCGAGATTCTGGAAAGCTGCTCGGAAGCGTGCAATTCCCGCTCGCTCAACCTCTCCAGTATCATTCAGGATCACAACATCGAAGGACATACCTCTATTTATTGGGCCATCATTAATGGGCCGCGTTTCGCTGAAGGAGAGAATCAGGTCCTCACAGCCCTTCTCCAATTCTCACAGCCACTTGAGGAATCGACGGTCTCAGAACTACGCTGGGCATGTCTTGCCAAATCAGATCAACCTCTCTTCCAACACTTGCAGCGAAAACTTAACCTCAATCCGCGCTCAAAGATGGACAAAATGATTCTCTCAAGTGATGCGGAGTACGATGAGGTACACTTTTTGGAGACCGACCCCTCTGCCAATAAGTTCACTGTTGATGTCCACATCAAGCAGTTCCAGAAGCGTCTGGTTGTAGGAACGATCGTCTACGTTGAATTCATTGCGAAGGCAAGGATGTGGAGACTTCAGTTCTACAATCGTACGAAGTGGTCTGGCGACCAGTCGTTGTATGCCAACCTGACGTTAATGGAACGAAGCCCGTCGACGAATATCACTGCGACTTTGGGTATAGCGGAACAGACGACGCGGGCGCAACAAGTGCAGCGTCAGAAGCCGTCCATACATGTAAACATGAGCTCTTATATTGCACCATTCAGCGGTGGTGTCCAGGCCGCTCTGCCTGATTGTTTGCGCTACGAGTAAGTGATGAGTCATCATGTTATTGAACATATCTCATTGATATGTAGAGGATCGTCGTACCTCATGTCTGACGGTTCTCTGTACGCACGGTTGGAAGCAGATCTGTCCGACAAGAAGACTTAGAAGAGTGTGTGATACGGTGCATTTGGGATAAATGTAATTCATGTAAGGGTACTTACTTATGCCGAAGCAGTAGTAACCGCCGAATGAACTGAAGATATCATGACCAAAATTTGTTCCATCTACTTTCGAAAGCGAAATGCTGAAGTTCTACATGTCTCGGGGGAAATTCTCTAGACGGCGAATCATATCATTTTTAGGAAAGATTGTATAGCACGGACTCACAAGCTCTCCCGAAATCAGCCTAGTCTCAGAGTTTATAGCACGATAGCTTTGCCTGATGGTGATGCAACGTAACTACTGATCTTCAGCGCTTTATCACTTCAGCATGTTATCCAACTGAGATTTAACCATGACGGATAACTTTTTGTGATTTAAGGCCAGGGGAATAATGCCGATAAAGAATCATGGCGCATGTTGTTCTTGACTTTATTGACTGACAGTTTATCTAATGAAAGAGCGTAAAACAAGTTTCAATCGGCTGCATACCTCAAGGTCTCAATACTCCCTTCAACTTTTGAGCCTTGAAAATTAGTGTTAATTATCGTGCAAGCAACTATTTAATAAATGTGATGACGAAAGCCAGCAAGTTCAAGATGAATGCTCTCACCAATGATCATTGGCATTTCATTGATCTATTGTTCAAAATTTCTTTAGGATAAACGCTGTGTCAAATATATTCCATGGAGATATTAAGGACTGTTGGGATTTGCAACTTCAAGCTTATGCCAGAAGATTCCCGAAGCTTCGGCTTACTCATTTTGTCACGATACTTAGATATATTTAGTACTTTTGGTAGAATATTCTAGATACATTTCGTAGTATATAAGGAGCTCATTAGGAGCTCTAGTAGCTAACAATTCAGTATTATTCCTACTGCAAGCCTCCCACCGCAATACTGCCAACAAGGACTTATGCCGGCTTGTATTGGTTACTACTTAGTGGAGATTTATTCCATTGGCGTTCATTGCCTTTTTTGTCCACAGCTTCATGACCAAACAGGAACAAAGTATCTCCGCCTTTCAAGCCATCATCTGTTGATCATCTGCTTATTGATTCTATCATTGTCACTCCCCAGAACTGTTCGTTTTCAATGCGTTATTAATTAAAACTAATGTCAAGTTTACTTATCAATATGCTCTAGCGCTATAATACATGTCCTTCAACGCGCCAGACTTGGCAGCATTTATTGAAGGGCAGCGGCTCCTGTTGGCTCAAGAGCGCTTAGCAGAAATACAAAGAAGCTCACTCCTTCTATCCAATTGTGGGCCCAAACTTCTAGAGCAGAAGGGTTTGGCTCTTGCTGGCTTGGGAGTAGTGACTATAAATGTCGGCCTCGGCGGTAAAACGTAGAGACCAGTCACTCATACTAAATCATTGCGGCCAACTGACACAGTGTTAGCACAGTTTAGTCGAATTGGAACGTCCAACTGCATATCATACAAGCCCGATTTTTCCTCCGCATACCTTCAGGTGATCATTCCGGTGCTAGCCTTGGACCTGCACTGATCAGTTGTGAAGACCAGGGGATCTTACGCGAATAGAAGCAAATGTTACAGCCAACTCGGCTCAAAGGAAGCCGAAAAAATCTGCCGCTTCCTCTGAGACTCAAACCTCCCAAGTTGAAGGCGTTGTATATAAGGTCAAATCCTGCTGACTGTAACTTGGGACATCCTCTGATACACGGATTAGATATCGGATACTCGAATTGTCATCGCCGTTGACCCATCTGATTCTTCAGATGATCTCGATCTGCCTGAACGCTGTCGCGTCTTGAAAATTGCGAACAGCGTAACTTATGATAGGTACGGCATGCCGATCTTCGACCTGTTTCGATTTTACACCTCTTTCCAGAATGGATAAAGCCATAGATCAGCTCGAAAAGACAGTCACAGGGTCCAAGGTTTGCATCGTTCGCAGATACGGCAATGGCTGTTTTCGCTTATTTCGGGAATAGCCCGATGACAAAAATGTGCCAGAGTTGACGCCTCTCGTTCAAGTGTTAATGGGCATGACCGCGATCTCCAAAAGGATCCCGGTGAAAGATATACAATTCTTCGATAATAGCCTTAATCCAAGTCAACAAGAAGCCGTAAAATTTTGTCTAGAATCCCCAGAGGTAGCATGTATTCATGGCCCCCCAGGTCTGTCTCTTCAATATCGATATTGCCCTTTATTCTAACTCTTCCAAGGCACTGGTAAAACACATACTCTTATAGAAATAATTCGACAGCTCGTGTCTGTGCCATCGACGTCAGAGAAACCCCGCAGACTACTGGTTTGTGGTGCCTCTAACCTTTCGGTGGATAATATTTTGGAAAGACTCTTGGCTCTTCCTGTTGAAACCAAGGCGCAAAGACTCAAGGTTACTCGCATAGGTCATCCTGCGCGCGTTATGGCCCAAGACTCTGTCTTAGACGCTACCTTGGATGTGAAGGCGGCCAGGACAGATCAGGTTTGGCGTCCCAATTACTACGTAGTCTTAAATTCACCTTTCGTAAGGCCGCATTAGCGAAGGATGTCAAAATGGAATTAGAAGCAACACTAGGCATCCTTTCAGGCAAAGGAAAGAACGCCAAGGGAAGATGCCCCAAAGGTGCGGAGCGGAAAAAGCTATGGGAAGAAGTCAAGGCTTTGCGCAAAGAGTGATGTCCTCAAATCTTCCCGGATGTCCACATACTAATATTTACAAGGTATCGTCAGCGTGAAGGAGGAGTGGTCGAAGCAGTCTTGGGCGAATCACAGGTAGGCAGTCCCTTGTGTCAATTATGTTTCTGTTCACGCTCTGTAAGATTGTTCTCGCAACATGCCATTCTTCTGGGGGCAGACAGTTACGAAATCATACGTTCGATGTGGTGATTATTGACGAGGCAACACAGGCTTTGGAAGCTGTGGGTTCATTTTGCATCTCATTCAGGACGCATTAACAGTGTGGCGTTCTCAGGTGTGCTGGATCCCAATATTCAAGGCGAAGAAGCTAATCTTAGCAGGCGATCCGATGCAGTTGCCACCAACAGTGCTATCCGTCACCAAGGACTCCAAAATTAAAACCGACAAGAAGGCGAAGCATCTTGCTATGAAGAAACCTGCTGACTCGAAGGGAAAGAATGGCCAGAAATCCAAGTCCGAAATGATAGTGGATTCGGATTCGGAAGGAACGAATAGTAACTCGGAAGATGAAGAACCGACCCAGGCTCCAGTGGTTGCATCTAAGGCATCAAAAATACCCAGCCTGAAACCTCCACGAACACTAGAAACTACTTTATTTGATCGTTTAGAGAAGATGTATGGACCGAGGATTAAAAGAATGCTTCAGGTTCAATATCGGTGCGCCTTCCACCTCGGTGATCCATAATCTGACTGACTGTCCATTATAGCATGCACTCCCAGATCTGCGAATTCCCTTCCAAAACACTTTACGAGTCCAAACTAGAGTCACACGAATCTGTAGCATCGCACCTGTTGAGTGATGTAGTCCAAGCCGAAGGAGATGAAGAGACGATAAAAGAGGTGCTCGAGACACCTGTTGTCTTCTTCGATACGGCTGGATGTGAGTATTTTGAGAGACTCGAAGGAGACGGCGACGAGGGATCTCGGTGTAATGAGAATGAAGCCACAGTCGTAAAGCAATGGATCGATAAATTGGTACGATCCTTTTCCTATTAAACCTCTTGTGTTGCCTAATTCTCGGCATAGACGAGTATGGGAGTCCTCGCTTCCCAGATAGCGGTCATCACACCGTAAATTCCCATTACCTTTACACTAACTTGAGCTGACATTTATGCAGATACCAAGCGCAAGTGACCCTACTCACATCTCTGCTGAGGCCACAGTACGGAACCGCCTTGGAGATAGGTACTGTCGACGGCATGCAGGGTAGAGAAAAGGATGCTGTGATTATCAGCTTGGTGAGGAGTAATGACAAGGTTTGTTACTATACGCTGGCTGCCCACGGTTACTGAGGTATTATACATAGCGTGAGGTAGGGTTTTTGAAGGAGAAGCGGCGCCTCAATGGTAAGTTGCTCAAAAGAAATTTTCAGTTCAATTTTTTACACGTTTGTAGTGGCGATGACAAGAGCAAAACGGCATCTTGTACGTTGTTCATGATCTTTTGGGGTGCCTTTACTGATTATCATTGACACCTTAGTGCGTCGTCGGTGACTCCTCCACTGTCCGACACGGTGGCCGATACCTCAAAAACTGGCTCGCTTGGCTTGACACCAATGCAGACGTCAGGTATGCTGGTATCGAATAATGCTCTCTATGTACCACAAATATCATACAATAATTCTACAATGTCCCGTGTCCATGTGTCCTAGTAGGACATGCACTATGATAACACCCCCATCTAAATTTGAGGTAAAGTATAAAGATATATCGTCGAATCAAATCTTTCGCTGTCCAGTGGTCCTTCCCTTTCGTTCCATAAATTCAACTTGAGCATACCACGCTCCGCCAATCAGCGTCAGGGCTATACCTATGCCATTTGCCGTGCTTATGCTCAAATCAAACATCAACACGGCTGACAAGACTGTCAAGACCTGCTTAACATTGGCTAGTGGAAAATCAGCTTCAGCCTTGGGCTTGTGGTGAAGGACATTACAAAACTAACCTGCGACGGTCATACCGAGTGCGCCCACTTTTCGGTTAGCAGTAAAACTGACGATATTTAAGCCTAGCGCAATGCAGCCGTTAAGCGCAAGAGCACAAGCTTTGGAAAACGTCATTTCTTTTGAGGCATAGTGCTGGACATTCGCAAGTTCGCCAGTAAAATACGCCAAGAGCACACATTGGATGAAAGCTAAAGGTGAGAGAAGGTGCAGCAGTGCGAGGGAATGTAGTTGAGGTCGTCGAATGGAATAAATGATAGACAGCGGATTTTGAGATGGTAACGGAGCTTGCAATGGTGGGGTCTGGAGGACGTTGGTGAATATAGTTTTGAGAGAGGCCAAAACGGTTCCGAGGAGTGTCAGGATAAACCCCCAGAGAGTATAATAATAGTCTCCGTATGTCCTGCAGTATGAATGCGTCAATGATGGCGGTCAATGGAGACGCGTTATATACTTACGCAAAACCAACGCCTATGACAACTGGTATGAGAGATATTCGCTTGGCGTAGCTGCTCTCCCTTCCATAGAGTAAGGCAGAAAAAAGGATGGTGAATATGGGTGTCGCAGCGCGGATGACTTGATGAAACTATAGAAATGAAGTGAGATTGAAGCAGATGATAAAAGGGAGTGATCTTACAGGTATAGTGACGAGCTGCAAGGACAAGTTACTGACAACGATATTGACTGAATAGAGTACAGAGAAAGCGACGATAACGAAGGTTTCTTGAGGGTCCAATTTAGCAGGAAGAAAGGACTCGTTGCGGAGGAGTAATGCGCCTCCAATTGTTCCAAAAAGAGCATGAATGGCGGTGAGAGTATATGGGAATGGAAAGCGCAAAAGTACGCCCTTGTTGTACAACGTCAAGCCGAGGTTAAAACAGAAGTACAGGGCCAGCCAAAAAGCCTGGGTCGATAAATATGATGGTCTGTCACTGGAAGAAGATACTGAGGCCCGAGGTGGCGGCAGCTCAGTAGGAATGTCGGAAAGATCAACCATGCTAGGCGGCTGGGGAAATGGCTCGCGATGATACATACGGGTCGACAGACGTAGATGGTGATGCTGCGTCCGTCGAATGTCCGTGCCCGCCAAGCGGGATTTGGGTCTTTCATTCTCTTTCTGACCTCGCTCGTTGCTCCGCCGACCTTGTGACTGGAAACGAGCGCTATTCATGGCAAGGAACTTGTTCTGCGAATGGGAAGCGTTTGAGGAAAACAAGTCGTCGACATCGTTATGCAAGTGGAGTGATGACCTATGCATCTCCTTGAGAGAGCGTCAGAAATCATGCGAAGGTCGCCGGTAATAAAATGCCAAGGCGTCGTCGTCGTCGTTGTCACGAAGAAAGGCAGAGGAAGATTCGCGCCCCACACGTGCGCACTTTGATTTCATCGGTCCGATTGTCTCGATACACACAGCACAAACACAGCATAGGAAAATTCATAAAATATACTGTATAGCACGGCATTTTATGCATATGAGATTTGAAGGGAGAGGCACAGACGTAGGTAAGACATATAAGGAGGGGCATTCGGCATTGGATTCCTTCTCGCAGGCTCGACAGCGAAGTATTTTCCTATATGTATGGGCCGGAGTAGATATACAACAACAAAATATATGGTCCACGGCGATGCAACGGTGCCAGGGTTGCGGAAATATATCAGCTGGAATTGTGCCGGCGTCCAAGTACACGACAACCCGTTTCCTGACTTCTGTGTTATCGATCCGTGAAAGATCAACACGAACAACCGCGCGAATGAGCTCCTCGACAACTTCTTCATCGGTATCGCCCTCCCATATAGTCATTCTGGTCGCGTATAAATCATCACTTATGGAGTAACGCGGCAGTGGTAAGGGAGGCGGGGGAACATAGCATGATGAAGGGGATGAGTAGTTCAACGCCGTGTTATGTAAAACAGGATCTGCCTCTAGTATCGCACTACCAAAGTCACAGAATCGTAACGAACCATCTGAGCACATCAGGAGATTTGGAGGCTTTATGTCGCCGTGCAATATCCCTGTTGCGTGCAAACGATCGACGAGGTCACAGAGCTGTGATATAATTTCCAGCCTCCTCTGCATAGAAAGCTCAGTGTGCACGCAGGGATTCTTTAACACGTCGAGAACAGGTGCAACACAAACCTCATATTGCGTTATGAAGCCGACAATCTTGGCATCAGAGTACAAGCGTCCAACAACTGGCACAGAGCAATCCCCTGCGAGGAGCATCATCTTGAGCTCATCTTCCATTGCTTTTCCAGACCCATAAAAGAATTTTAGAATGTAGTTTTCTTGGACGACGGCGACGAATCCTGGTCCGCTGGATTGTATAACGTCGTAAGGTCGCAGCTCTGCTATATCGTGATCCATGGGCCAGAGTCCAATGGGATTATGCGTCGACCTCGCGATAGTGTTCATGGTCCTTCTAAGGAGACTGGCACAGGAATATTATAAGTCTGCGATCGAAAACATACTTATATACAGGAAGGGCAGTTGAGTGGAAAATAACTTTGCTGCTGAATAGGGCAGATGCGATTTGCCAGTGAGAGCACCAGATTTAAGGTCTGAATATAGAATATGACTGTCGCCGCCCAGGACAATGTAAGTTGGAATCCAAGTTTGATTGTGATGAGGTCAATGACGGACCCAGGTAAACGCGGTAGCTCGGGCCGACGGGTCGCGCCGTTATGGTCACGGTCACATCGCTCTCTTGTTTTCGATGACGACGATGCCCTCAGTGGCATCCACACCAGGACCCAGCAGTATAGGAGCCTCCTCGTCGCGCAAGCGATCCAGCACAGAGAGCCTTGGCGATATACGACCAGAAAAACGACCACGAACGGGCACCGAGGACAGGGCTGGCGAAAAGAAGAAGCGGCGACGGAAGAAAAAGAAGAAAAGTATTGTTGATAACGCGCTGCCATCGACATCTGTTGTACGTGTGGCGCTTTGTTTACACAAGAGTTTAATTTTCTTACCGAATGCTGGACAGAAAGCGGCAACAATGAAGGTTGACGCCGACGCCCAGGAAGCCAGCGATGCCACTGTGAGTGAATCACTTCTTACACGGTACGACCTGACTCCTTTCCAGCTTGCGTCAGTATCAGCAGACAGTGATGTAGGTCCTGCTATCTATTGGAACCTCATTTTTTCTCATAATTTTTTAGGTTCCCGAAGGGCCGGCTATTGTTCCAGTGCGTTGGTCTCCTTTAGGGCATTGGTATATAGTTTTGACACGGAACAGGTCGATATGAAAGGAAAGGGCAAGGCGAAAGAGGTCCCCGAGTCTCCAGAAGAGATCATAACTCGTTTAACAGAGGAGCTTCAAGCAAAGTCATTGGTTTGTTTCTCTCTAGTGCTCCACATCGTACGTGGCCTCACCAAACCCCCAGCTCCTGAAGAAGCACGATGAAACATTGCGTCAAGTCCAGCAGACCATGACATGTCAAGTATGTTTAGACTTGCTCCGCAAACCCTACGCTCTTTCTCCCTGTGGTCACGTCGCCTGTCAAGAATGCCTCTTGCAATGGTTTACAAATCCCCCGGTCGATGGCGGAGCACTTCCTGCCCATAAACCGAAGACGTGTCCTCATTGTCGTGCCGTCATTACGAAGCGCCCCATTGAAATATGGACAATCAAAAGCACTGTCACCGGCCTTCTCAAATCGGGTCTACTTACCGATATCCCAGATCACCCTCAGTCTGAACCGGCTGCCGAGGATGATCCCTGGAAAGGTGCTTTTGGTGCCCGTTTGCAGCAGGACGAGCAGAGTGTGGATATGGAAGGGATGTTCGACCCCGAAGATGGCGTATTCCGATGTCGCGATTGCATGCACGAGATTTGGGATGGAGTCTGCTCGAATTGTGATCGTATTTACCCCGGCAATCAGGGTGCGCAACGTGGAATGGACAGGGCAATGCTCCGTGGTCTCTGGAATCCTCCTAATTTCCACCATCATCCGCGGGATATCTTCGACTTGGACGTCGAGATGAGTGATGAGGAAGACTATGACGAAAGTTTCCTTGAGGGTAGCGTTGGTAGCTTCATTGACGATGGTAGTGATGACCAGGTTATTGAAGTCCATGATTCGGATTCAGAAGGCGATAGAAGAAGTGTCTCCTCTTGGCGAGGGAGGGCCTATTCTGAGACGCGTGGCAGCCCGTCAGAAGCACTTGAGCTGTCACTGTTGTCTTCGCCTCCTCGTTCAAGCGTATATCCTTCTCTCCAGGCCCTTTCGCCTCATTCAAGCTCCCCCTCGAGTTCCCGCCACGACACCTGGGACGCTACTCGTACGAATTCTGTGGATGGTGAAGACAGCAATTTCGAAGAAGAGGACACTGACATCCCTAGACGATCTGCCGTGTATCGTTCGACCATCCGGCCGATCGTTATTGACGACGACGATGAAGAAGAGGTTGCAACTTCCTATCGTCGCGGTGAAACGGATGAAGATGAAGACGAGGATGTTCCAATTCCTATGACTTCCCGAGGTCGTACTGGGAACAGAGTCCTTCGGGCTTTGTCTGATGAAGAGGAAGATGACGACGTCCACCCCACCTCTGCTTATTCAAACTTTGCTGACGATGGCTACGATGTTCATCGACATCAGGTATTCGACGAGGATGGGTATGCTGAACCAGAAGATGCCAGCGATGAAGAGGCCCATCGGTATCGTGCAAACGAATTATATGGTTATTCGGACGATGAGGGTGTTTTCTGGCCGGCCGAGGATGAGGATGACGGTTCTATTCCTGGGCCCCCGTCACATCTTCGTGCTTATTTGGATCGGAGCGATGAGGAAGATGATGACCTGTATTATTAAAGATCAAGAGGACCGTTGTTTTGCACTGGTCATATCCGTCGATTTAAGTAAATATGTACTACCAGCAGATCCTCTTTCCTTATCTTGGCAACGTCGAGTGAGAATAAGGATATTGAATGTCGTCTGGTTATTCTTTGTATGTATCGTATATTTCTATTACTGACATACCGATACCCTTACTTCCCTAGCTTGCACAAAATTTGGTTTTGGACAATAAGCAATAGTGAATACATCATTTCAATCCGCTATTTGGAGAATCAGCAAGGCTGACTTTGGAGAAATTGTAAGACGCACTGGAACGTCGACGTTATACTCTTTGGCTAATCTAACGACTTCGCCCAGAATGACTTCCACTTCGATAGGAAGATCTTTTTCAGCGTCGAGCATCATACTTGGCTTGTGTGAATGGTCCGGTTCTATGTGCAGAAGTCTAGTTCTCTCTATGGTGCCTTCTACTAGAGACGAAGGTAGGCCGTCTTCGGTGTCCGGAAAGCCCATTGCCCTTCCTAAAAATGATGATAAGTATTACAACGCATAAAACATAGTGGTACTTGCCTAGGTTAATTAGCTCAGTCAATACAGCCTTCACGTTAGGAAGGGTGCTCCCTTTTATGAGATCTGCCGTCTTCGGATACACATAAGGTGCATATGTAACCCCAGGATCTGATGGTGGTGGTCGAAATATGGCTGCAGGGGTGTACCTTTTACGAAATGGATGTAAAAAGGCTATTCGACGGAGTCCAAAAGTTGCTCACCCCGTCAGAGTCGCTAACGAGGAGAAGGCAACATTCCAAAAGTTCTTTGCAAATCTCAGTCTTTGTATTTCGGGGACAAGGGTGACTGTGCTTCCACCCTTCTCTAACATCCCGCCGATGTCACGAAGAATGGCGTCTTCTTCCGGGGTATTGACCATGGTCGTGAAATCACGATACCTGTACATCCCAAGAGTTGGTCTATCCTAAGGACAGCGTCAAATTTTCTGCAAGTTGAATATGAGGGGATAAGCTTACAAAGGCGCCATGCTGTACGACGTTCGGCGTAAGTAGATTGGTAGCAATAAACACTGCTGTACTGATGATCCTGGGTGGACCTTTACCCAGGTTCTTAATGGCATTGTAGAGATCGACCTCGACGCCCAGACCATTCTGAATTAAAACATACACCGGTTGCGGGTACTTGTCAGAATATGGGGCAGACAGAAGCGGCTCCAGAATTTTAGGTGTTCTGATAAGCTCCGGAATGGCCTTTGTGGTGAGAACGACGTAGTCATATCGTTGGTCCGCAGCGCTTGCAACGGAGGGGCACACTGTAACAATTAATTGTTAAGTCATTGCTTGAAGCAGCACCGAGAGATAGGAAGATAGGAAATGTGGGTAGTGCTGAATAACGCTTTTACTGTTCCGCTGAGATTCCTACGAGATTGGGACAACGGAATTGAGTTAACTCACACCTATCAGGCCTCCATCCTGGTATATCACCGTATTTACGGCTTTTAAAATGCATCCCATGTTCTATGCACTAGATCGCGTCTCAAAGAGTCTCATAAATTTACAACAGCCTACCGTTCACCAGGTGATAGTTACTCCTCGCCACGGCCGTGACTCGTGCGAGGCCGCTCTGCTTGAAGATAAGAGAGTCTGGGCGAATAAAAATATGAGGCTAGAGATAAATTGGGTACTCACATACAGTACCAACTGCCCCAAAACCAACGAGTAAAACGTTCTTAGCCGCCATAATAGCAAGATCGAGTCAGGTCAGCAAGAAGGAGGTTTGATTTGCAAATTGAAATAATATCATGAGAAATCAAGAAATTCCTGCTGATAACTGATGCCGCTGACGTGATTTTCGCCGGCCGTGGATGTTGCACTCTGCCTTTAAATACGGCTAATGCCTTGGATCTTCCTGTAGCAGTGATATCAAGCCTATGTTCTTACAGAACATCATCGTCTTCAGGAAGCTAGATTTAGGCATCTCTCCGATACGTATCGGACCTTGATCGAACCTCACCGTCACCTTTCAATCTAAACTGCGCGCATCTTCGTAAATCCTCCGAGAGCTTAAGCAGAAGTCGACTCTCCGCCCCCCAGTAAACAAACCGAGCCTTTTCACGGGAAATTCGCCTGAAGAGCGTATCACCCTGAGGATAGTATTATCTTTATGTAGCTTGATTATCGTCCTATCACATAAGCTACGCTGTGATAAGCATCCCTTCTTGAATGATTCAAGAATCCGATGTACCCTTGAATTTCGTCAAAGAAACGCGCCGGTAAATGCCATTCCCGTAAACCTTACACGATAGCAGGGGTCGCCAAATCAGCAGGCCATGCTGGTTTATCCACACCATTAGGTCGCGAGCCAACCTGAAATCCTGGCTTAACCACGCCCTCAGGGAACGTGAGCACCGGTTTGACTGTCCTCATTGCTACCACCCCAGGATTATCCCGCGTCTCGAAATATTCATCCTTGAGTATAGGCGCATTCGTTGCCTTCAGGATACCCAGGACCGGCGGGATTAGTTGGAGCATATTGTCGCGTGCGTGGAAGACCGGACAACCCGCCTTGACATAGACTGCATCCCAAACATCTTTGAGGTATTCGCCGCAGCTATTGACGAGCCACTGGTTGTAATAGTTGAGCGCGGCCTGGATGGAATTAAATTTGAATGGATACCTCGTCATAAAAGGGAACTTACGTCTACAACGTATGAACCTCCTTTCTCAGCACGCTCAATGAGTGCTTGGATAATTCCAATTGCACCAGAAGCACCCGTACTGCAAATTGGATTGGTTCGATTCTGATGTACAACCAAAGGTGTCGGCTTACCAGAAATCGGAGTTAGGCCAGACTGGTGTCACCGGTTCGTCCACGCCCATAGCACGGCCAAAACTATACGAAACTCCTGTATTAGCATCGCTTATCTGCTGCCACCCCGAACGAGGGGTCCAAGGACCATGCCAGCCCTACAGGAAAAGGAGGTCACATCACAGCAGGAAAGGCATCATTGAGACACCCACATAACAATTCTCATGAGCATAAATGATCCCCTTCTCCTTGTTCTCAAAAAGCTGCAAGATATCATCTTTTCCGAATCCCCACTTTGCCATAACCCCAGGCCGATACCCTTCGACGACTACGTCGGCTTCTAAGATAAGCTCTTGTAGAAGAGTGCGGTCTTCTTCCTTCTTCAGATCCAAATGAGTGTTCCACTTCCCCCACCCCATCTCTGCATTGAGCACATTTATGTCGGAGACGCCGGGGCAAGTGATGCGAAGAACGCTCGCTCCTAGCTCTGCGAGGTCCCGAGCGATGGCAGCTCCGGCAATAACCCGCGTCAAGTCGATGATCTTCAATCCAAAGAGAGGTCTCTCCGGTGTGGTTTTGCCGTCGACAGGAATCCACCAGGTAGGAAGCTGTTTGGCATTAGGAATGTGGTGGAGTTCGTATAGACCGATGTGTGCGTGGGCCTTTCCGTGTTCGCTGGCAAGGTATTCTTCTTTTGAGTGTGCGACTGTTCCAGCTTGCCTGTATTTGACGTTCATGAGCGTTTCGATGGCCTCGGCTTCGTATTCTGCGACTTTCTCGGCAATGATCTCGCCAGCACGGTCGAGGGACGATACTTCGGTCTCGTGAGACTTGGGAACGTCGAGTGCTGTCAGAGTAACACGCGGGTTCATACTTCCTGCAGGTGATCATGATCATTAGAGAATAGGTATCGCTCAAAGTCAATCGACGATACCTACCATGAAGATGATAGAAGCGGCAGTCCTTCGTTTTATACATTGTGGTACACATAATATTCATGTGAACGTTCTTGACATCGTGTGTTTCATAGCTCGGAAAGTGCTTTGCAAATTTTGAATTACGAGACAACGTAAAGATGCCCTCGCTATCGAATGAAAAGACCATAGGAGAAATGAAGTACAGTTGTGCGTGATCCCTTATAATCGTTATGCTGTCAGCACGCTAAAGCAAATCGTTTAAGTTCAGTAACACTCACGTATCAATACAATCTTCTGATATGGAATGCCATACTTGCGCTTAAGAAGGATATTCAGCATTGCCCCTTCCAGACCCTTGATAGAGGCAATGCTTTCCGCGAGCCGCCAGTTTATAGGCATGCAAGGTTCATCAGAACCAACGTACTTGACTAGACCAGCAGCTTCCTTGATGTCGGCAGGAAAGTCATGAAGAGGATTATTGAGGATCCCAGTGCTAAGTAGCTTGGCGGCCTGTAGAGGGATAGAATAAGCTGGCATTGCGCACTTTGAGTCCAGATCCAGTCAGAAAGGCGTGGACGTCAGACTCTAAGCTGCATTTATAGCCGGCCCAAAGCACGAGTCACTGAGAGCGTGATTGTCCGTCGACTTTCGGTTCTGGCGACAACCGGTTTAATGCTCCTCCGATTTGGCGAGTGCATGGCTTGGCGTCGACGTTACGGTCTTCGTACTTACGACCACGGTTCTAGCGCCTTACTGGTATAGAACGAGATTAAGTTTCCGGATTGCTCGATGCAGTTCCAATACCGAAAGCACGCTGCGAAGAGTACCTTCTCTGACAAGTCCGCGGAGATGGATAAACCGCGGATAAACTCGATTTAGTTATGCTATTTTTAACCGTGAGTTCAGAAATGCGCCGTTTGTGTTCACGGGACGAAAGAAACATTGTCAACCTCCCACCCTACATCTAGGTCTCCTTCATTTATTGAACGAGCTGTCCGACCCTCGAAATGACCAGACGCCCTATCAGAATCGGAAACTCGTGAGCAGTTACTTCTTCAACGAACCTTCCAGTAAGTCTGACGTTTGTATCAGTTCAGGTGCGACTGGAGATGGCGTGAGTTCAATGTAACCCTGGCCCAACAATTGATTCTCATACAATGCTTCTAGCCCGACCAGATGTATCGGTTGGCAACAGAGGGCCCAGTAGATGCCATTTACGGGGATTACCTGGCAGAGCTGAACATCGCCTGGCGTGCACTTGAGGTCCAACGGTAGTCTGGCTCCACCTATAGGCGCTAATGCACGTGTTAGATGATTGACCACCCAGAGCTGGGATATGAGGTCGCTGCTCTCACGCAGCTCAAATGGAAGACAGCTGCACAGGAAATTGCAAGCAAAGGAATCCGTGTAACGCATGCTTTCGCGAAACCGCAGAGCTTCATTAACTCAGACTACGATCACAGGTGGTCCATGACGGAGGCGCCTTGAATCCCCGCGGACTTTACCTGGAGACCAAAAAATACTTCGCAGATCTAGGTTTAGATGTGAAGGTTGCTTGGGTTGAGGGCGACAATATCACAGATCACGTTAAAGCAGACACCAATCTGTTTCCTCACCTTGACATCTCGGACAAGAAATTAGGTGACGTGAAGAATAACATTCTGACAGCGAATGCGTACAGTGAGAGCATCAGCTTTCGCGAATAACCGCCTATTCTGATCTGCTCGAATACTTTAGTTGGAATGAAAGGAATCATAGCCGCTCTCAATGATGGCGTACAGGTCGTCGTATGTGGTAAGCGGGCTAACATTTCTATCCTGCTTTTGTCTTGATCTATAGCCCAGGACGCTGCTGCGATGCATCTCCTGTCATGGCATTGGCGGCCTGGTGGCATGGATGGTCCGACACCGAATACGACAAGCTTGCTGGGGCCTTGATGGCGGGACACGTTACAGAGTGTGGTCCATATGTGAGTGCATCTTGAAGCAGATCCAGGCATAGTCACGAAAGGTGTTTAGACGACAGGCGGCAACTTCTGTGGCTTCAAAGCCATACCAAACCTCATCAATGTCGGCTATCCTATATGCGAGATCTCTGGTGACGGATCCTCCATCATCACTAAACACGACGGCACCACCGGAGCTGTAACGGTAGACACTGTGACTGCTCAACTCGTGTACGAGATCCAAGGGCCGAAGTATCTCAATCCCGACGTCATCGCCCACCTCGAAGATATCAAGATCGAGAAGGTTGGGGATAATCGCATCAAACTGTCTGGTATGAAAGGCTCGCCTCCACCACCGACAACAAAGTTGGCTGTGTGCACGATGGGCGGGTATCAAGCTGAATTGTATTTCCTTGCCGTGGGACTGGATATCAAAGAGAAGCTGGACCTTCTACGCGCCCAACTAATGGACGGAATAGATGAGTCCCGCTACTTCAAGCTCTCCCTTGAAGCGTATGGCACTTGTCCGGACGACCCGAAATCGCAACGGGAAGCGACGGTGCACTTGAGACAGTTTATTCAGGCGCCTACGAAAGAAGCCATTGAAGACTTTAAACAGCATTTCTGGGGATTGGTGATGACAGGGTATGGAGGATACCATCTGTAAGAGCCATGCGTATTTTGTCTTGCAAGTGGTAGTGTTGAACATTCTGCAGGAACATGGATCTCCGAACCTTGGCTCCCAAGCCCTTTATCTCGTACTTCCCAGCTCTCGTACCACAGAGTACGCTCAATACCAAGGCTCACGTGGAGGACAAAGTGATATCCGTAGAGTCCGTGCCGGTCACAGTACCCTTCGCTGGTCAGGATTCATACGATCCCAAGACGGTCACTGATTTGAGCACCTTCGGTACTACGACGAAGGCCCACCTCGGTGTGTATGGTACATCGTCTGTTAACTGTTTCGATTAACATCGATGGGTAGGCAAGGTCGTGCTAGCACGTTCCGGAGACAAGGTGAGCTTGATGGATTAACCTCTGGAATCCGAATAAAACTAAATCAGGGCGGGAATGCCAATGTCGGGCTGTGGGTACGCAATGATGACGAGTGGCCATGGTTGCAGTCGTTTCTGACCATTGACACATTCAAATATCTCCTTGGCGATGACTACAAGCCCGAGTATCGTATTGAACGATTTGAGATGCCATACATTCGTGCTGTCCACTTTGTTACCTACGGTATTCTTGAAGACGGCATTAGCTCCACGTCAGTCCTGGACGGGTTGGCTAAGAGCTTCGGCGAGTTCATTCGAGCGCGTAAAGTTGATATTCCCGACAAGTTTTTGGAGAGACCTGCAGTCGGGGAGTATTTGCATTGAACAAGAACATGTCGTGGGTAGCTTTGAAAGGGCACAAATTCTAGTTCAACCAAATCAGCACCAGTGAAAGGGGAGTGTAAACTCGTATTCTTATCAAATGCTCTATACCTAGCGTCTATGATCTCCACACGATCCCGATAATAGAAGACGACTAAAAGACATCGTCAGCAAACTGAACGAATAACGAAGAAGAGAAAAAAATAGGTTCAGTAGGAACAATTGATATTGACATAAATTTCACAAAGATTTCACAAAGTGCAATATATGCATTTTCACGATCCTGAACTTGTGTCATCCTGGACTCGTTGAAGGAAAGGCTTACTATCAGGCAGCGTTCGCACCAGAAACCCTGGCTGACCGTCTAGTGCGTCTGGCGTTGGGATCGAGAGGAATCGACGTGTCGAGATGTCTCTTTATAGACATCATTCATTGTCTGACGTCCCGTCAGTGTCGTCTTGAAGAGAATTCATGATCATACACACCGCATTAAAGTTCTCTCACACTTTTCTTGCTTCTCCCGTGACGTCGACGTTGCTCTTATCGATTATCTAAAAAAGATTCAAAGCGTTGTGACGACGAGCCTGGGGACGCTGCAAAACAGTCATTGATGTCCGGTATTGCTGGGAATGAAATAACAATGGACATACCGTTCTGTATTGATACTGTTGTCCTCCATCCATAACCTTGATGTAGTACCAAACCTGAGCACTAAGGCTAAGCGAACTTGTCCCCCCGCTTTCACAGAGCGACACGTCGACAGACGCGTGCTTAATATTCCGGAGTTGCCTTCTCCCCATCTTTGATATTGTATAGTCATGCAGGACTGAAAGCAACTTACTATGGAGCAATCGGCCTAGTCACCACTACTTTTGAACAAGAATTTCTGTTACTAGTCACACAGTTTTCAGCCTTTTTCTTATTCATCTTACAAAAGTGCTTCTTTTTGAGCAAGGAATCAATCTGTTAGACGAATTTTTTATTGGATCAAATCCACGAAGTAGGTTTTTCTGAAATGGCCACAGTCACGCTTTTTGGCTGGGTCACACCCCTTGTAACAGCCATCACATCACTGCGTAACATCACACATTTTGGCGGAGCAGACCCAAATGGCCGCTATTCAAAAATAGCGGTGACTAAGCCGATGACTCCATGGTGAACTTCCTGTGGCAAAATGGTTTAAGTTCCACAGACTTGAACCAAGTTGATATTCGCCCTCAGCACAGCCGCCACGTGAGTCCTAAAGAACACGTGCTAGCGTTTCATGGACAAACAGGCACTTGACCGTGTTTTTTCTCAATCATGACCTACCAACGCAAGCTGAAGTGCTTCGATGTCATTCCTCCTTGCGACTCTGTTGAAGAGTCAGCTCTTCGAAGGCTACGCATAGACCTTTATTTCGACCTCAATTCGGAAGAAGAAGAATTTTTATTCGAGTTGACTAGAGCGTACGAAGCCCTCTTCACTGCTTACAAGCGATTATATAAATTCGCATGGTTGTATGTATTACACTCTTTCTCTATGCTTCCTGCCATCTCATTTGTCTTAGTGTGGCAAAAAAACGCGACTCTGGGCTCTTGCTCGCGACTATCGCAAACGTCATTGACATCGCCGTAAAGCATGAACTCCACATGGCAGACATCATCCGGAGAGTAGAGACCGCCTTTTCACAACCTGACGATACCTTCGGCGAAGGCTTGACTAAAGAAATCTTGGATCTATCAAAATCAATGGACTCGGATGCAACACAACTAGTCGGGGATGTCCGATGCATGATGCAGGCAAGTCCTTTCCGGTGCTGTTACTGCGGCGTCTGCCTAATAATACTCTTAGAAATTTCGAAAGAACGGTTTATTGGACCGGCTATCGAGTAACGTTTGCAAGGTCTTGACACTCGTCATCGCCATTGTCATTGTCGGTGTAGTAGGAGGTGTCGCTGTTATCATTGGTATCCTCACAGCAAGTATCTTGTTGTCCCTTTTATGGCCAGTGTCAGGAATCCCATCGTACATCTGTAGGTATCTGTCAGCTTCAAATATTATTCACTTTTCACTCACCTATGCCATATGGTACAGTGTATGGGGTAGTCACTCTTCTGGAGCCTACCCAAACAGCAGCAGAAGCAGTTAATCAACGATTATATGTGTTTGGGTGCTCTAGACTGGAGGTCGTGGGTTGGTTGAATTTATTAGCGGAGTTGGACAAAGAGCCGTCGTCGCCGGATCGTTGTGCGACAGTTGCTCGGGTCTTATGTGACCTCCGCAGGTTTTGTATCTTCGTAAGTGACATTTAGCTGATCTTGCAGAACTTACATATAATCCGCATGCTTAGTTCAGCACAAAACGTGGGCTGAAAAAACTATGCATAGCACACGAAACTTTTGCTAGGGATCCATCGTGGAATGGCTTGCCTTCATATTCCCTACTACCTAATCTTTCACAGCCGGTGCCATCCCATACCGATCGTAACAACCATTCCATAGGAGGCCGTGATGTTCCTATCGCATCCCCCCATGAGAATGTCGAAGCATACCAGCCTTCAACGCCTGAACCTGAACCAGGGCCATCACGACGTGATGCATCTGCGTGTGTTTTAATACAACTCAACCCAATTAATGTTCTCACATCGAAATAGCTCGACTTCCCAATCAGTACACCTTATCGACGTCGGCTTTGACAGTACTCCAAACTCAACTCGCGCTTCTCTTCCTCCTCAATAACGACGATATCTACACTGGACATTCGTCACTGCCCCTGAAACTTGTGATTTTGAACGATTCTGGAGTGTCGGTGTCCTGCCTCTCTCTGCATATACTTGCTATCCTTGTACACGCTCGAAAAAGCTCCTGAACTGGATCTGTCAGTCAACGATCATCTGGATTCTGTACTTGATCTCTCCTTTGCTCCTTTAGCGTGGCATCACCCAGACAAGAGGACTCCTTTAGTTACTTCCTGCTGCATTCTGCTCGAGTCAATGTTATCAACATGTCTTTTGCAAATGGAACGATTTATGTGACTCATTGCCATGAGCTGACAAGTTTGCGAGTGTGGTTAGGTGTTATGGTAGAATCACAAACTAGAGTTTGAGGGCCACCACATACGCATGGCAGGACCGAGTCCTATAGTACCTTTTTCTCTTCCGCAGGATTGTCAGCCAGTATGTCACCACATTTTGATTATGTATAAATATATCTCAAAACGATTTTGATGATGCGACCATTCTCTACATAGACAGGATCACCCATTAATATTTCAATTTATACAACATGCATTTGTGAAGGCCTTTCGGTGTCAGGTAAGATGAGAACATGCTCTACCGGGAGTTACCATGTTGCGCAGAGATTCAATTAATGCGGTAACGCTTCCTTCAGATGATCCTTCCGCAAAGCCTTTTTACATCCCTGCACACGCGACGTGCTTCTACTCTTCTTGAAACGCCACCTTGGTTTTCTTCTAGGGCTTGTCGGTAACCCGAGATCATACTGTTAAGGGTTCAGTCACAAAGGAGAAAAAGATAGGATAAAGGGACTGACCTTGACTGACCTACAGATAATCCTTTCCGCACGAGTAATCGATTGGTTTGTTTTTAGTATGATGTACTGAGCCTGCGAGGTAAACTTTGAGTTTTGGGTGGGCGGGACTTAGACATGCAATGGCCTCCGCGTTACCATTCAGATCACGCTGTATAGCAACCAAGACAGCAGATGCCGTCCGTAATACGTTATTGATAGCTATGCCACAGAGCATAGGAGCCCTGCCGGAATCTACCTCCGCGTCTTTGGATACCCCCGATTGAATATCAGTGTTGGAAGACCAATCTAATACCACTCACTTGAACCAGGCTTTCCACTTGGAGGCCGTTCGAGACTTTCCTCCTCTCCCAGAGGGTCTCTTCTTTTCGGAAGGAGACACGTCAAGTGGAGGTATATCCGAAGGAGTAGGCGGCCTGCTACTCTTAGTAGGCGTAGGTGGCTCAGAATCCGTCAACGATAACGATATGGCAACGGCTGTCTTCTGGGAATCTTCCGATTCCCTCTTATCCTTCCTGCTGGGATAGATAGGTTTAATCCCGCACTCCAGGATCAGTTTTTCTGCATCTCGAGTGACTACGTCAAGAAGCTTCGAAAGCCTACCGGCTGCAGAAGACAGTTCGACAAATTCGTCGGGGGTTTCCGTGTAGAGAAAGCCTAACGGTCGCGCCTCAGACATATGTCATTCTGAATAGATCGGTACCTGAGTACCCCTGGGACACAATGGCTTATGGATTTAGAATAATTGGACATTATATCATATATACTAATATACATAATAACTAAAAGTATATTATGTATAACCAAAATTGTATTTGATTATTCACCGCAAGAAATATTGATATTAATAATATGCACAATGTCGGGTCTGTCTTCCTCTCCTATCTCAAGAAATATAATGCATCAGTACCACTTTCACCTGCACTTAACCTGATTTTCCAGATGGAAAAAGACTGAGTCATCAGTCCTATCATCATAACTTTTCATATCTATCTGATTATCATATAACTGGTCTGATACAGAATCTTCATCATAGTGCAGGCATAGGGCCTGCTCCCCAGTGTATATGCATCAAATGCCTTCACTATCTTGTGTGTCAAATCATGGAAAGCATGAGAATGTTCTAACTATTTAAATAATCATTTGTATCTCATCAGTACACTGCATGTGAGTACACACCTTACTATTCACACAATGTGTCTTCCCCTCAACATAGCCTTAAATCTCTTCTGTCACACAATGTCTGCACCAAGACCCTCACCTCACACTGATAAATTGGCCTACTCTGTGAACATGTATGAGTCATGTGATCCTCTGATCCCTTCACATGGTCTCACTGCTGACCAATTGCATGACTGAGAACAGATGGTCAGCTGTAACAGTCACATCCAATTTAAGAAACAGTAACCATAGGGGCTATTTTCCGGTCATAATAAGATTTGGGCTGGCTTCTGGTAGCTGGATGGGTCAGGGAATGGTACTAGAATACTCATAAACCTAAATAACATAAAAGTGGACCTACTGATGAGGTATGGGGGCTCTGGAGAGTGTGTAATATAGGTAATTTCGCAAAAATGGCTGCAATATTTGCTTTTTTGGGGTTTTTTAGGGTGACACATGCATTGTATTGACCAGGGAACTTCACCAATGAATTTCCTGACCTTGAAAACCCCTAAATGATCCCTCTATAGCACTTGTGGCACATTTTATTACTAGGATTAGACGAGCACATTAGCTTTTTAAGAGAGGATTGGGGTGCACATATGGTTTATTTTATTTTCTGAGCTTCGGATGAGACTGGGATTGTTACCAATGAATTCCTTGACCTTGAAAACACTGAAATGACTATAGGAACAATTTATCAGGCTCCAGAAATGGTAGTAATGATAATATTACAGTTTAGGAGGAGCACATATGGAAAATCACTTTTCTGTACCTCGGAATACTTCGGAACTTCTACCAGTCTGTTCCTTGACCTCAAAATACCTCGTATAACACAAGGATTTAAAGAAAACCTACAAAAATACATGTTAAAAAAGAGTAATAGGGGATGGAGGAGATATACCTTGTATTACGCATTTCTAGTGGTTGGAGAAGGTATTCCTGTTATATATTAGACGATATATATTCTATAATCATTTGTACAAATTCCCACATTTATCCGAAATGTATTGGAAGAGATATAAGCAAATCATTTTGCAAATGATGAGGAGCACATCCCCAATTTCGATATTCTGATCATTCTATAGCTTGGGGAATGTTAGAATCGGATTCCTTGACCCAAAAATGGTAGGGACACCAATCATCCATGGGAAGTGAAGTGTCAAACTCCAAAGTACAATATGAACTTTCCTTGATAATTGCTGCAGTCTGATTTGTTCTTACCATTAGATGTTTTCTTGATAAAATAACCATGGATGATTGGTGTCCCTACCTTTTTGGGTCAAGGAATCCGATTCTAACATTCCCCAAGCTATAGAATGATCAGAATATCGAAATTGGGGATGTGCTCCTCATCATTTGCAAAATGATTTGCTTATATCTCTTCCAATACATTTCGGATAAATGTGGGAATTTGTACAAATGATTATAGAATATATATCGTCTAATATATAACAGGAATACCTTCTCCAACCACTAGAAATGCGTAATACAAGGTATATCTCCTCCATCCCCTATTACTCTTTTTTAACATGTATTTTTGTAGGTTTTCTTTAAATCCTTGTGTTATACGAGGTATTTTGAGGTCAAGGAACAGACTGGTAGAAGTTCCGAAGTATTCCGAGGTACAGAAAAGTGATTTTCCATATGTGCTCCTCCTAAACTGTAATATTATCATTACTACCATTTCTGGAGCCTGATAAATTGTTCCTATAGTCATTTCAGTGTTTTCAAGGTCAAGGAATTCATTGGTAACAATCCCAGTCTCATCCGAAGCTCAGAAAATAAAATAAACCATATGTGCACCCCAATCCTCTCTTAAAAAGCTAATGTGCTCGTCTAATCCTAGTAATAAAATGTGCCACAAGTGCTATAGAGGGATCATTTAGGGGTTTTCAAGGTCAGGAAATTCATTGGTGAAGTTCCCTGGTCAATACAATGCATGTGTCACCCTAAAAAACCCCAAAAAAGCAAATATTGCAGCCATTTTTGCGAAATTACCTATATTACACACTCTCCAGAGCCCCCATACCTCATCAGTAGGTCCACTTTTATGTTATTTAGGTTTATGAGTATTCTAGTACCATTCCCTGACCAACCGAGCACCCAGAAACCAGCCTAAATCCTATTCTGACCAGAAAATAGTCCCTATGATGCTATCATTTGGTTGCATCCAGCTGATTTCGGCCAGATATTGATGGGATGACTTCATAGGCTAATTATAGATTTTTATGAAAGGTCCCACGTAAAATTCTGGCCCATCCCGATGAGAAATGTGCCTAATAGTTGAGAAAATGCGGATTTAGGTTGGATTTAGGCCCTCATACATGTGTATACTTATCAGGCCTACAGGCCTCACAGGATTGTGTACAATTTACTTCCTGAGCCTACAGGAAATTGTATACAAGGCTGGCCTTATGAGGTGTATAGGTGACTACTCCTAAGACCTAAGTACTTTGTCCTTATATGGTTGATTAATCTTGTTCCATTGAATTGGTCATACTAACAGCACACTTCCCTGGGTCCGATTACTATAAATGGTATTTTGAAATTCAGAATGGCATATGTCTGAAGCACGACTGTTAGGCTTTCTATATCCGTGGGTGAAAATGCTGCATGAGAGAGGTAGAAAGTCGGGTAAAGACAGAGACAAGGGAATCAAGGTAATTGAAGTAGGAAGGGTGCATGTCGTGTTGAGAAGTGAGGCATATAAGGGGGAGGTTGTTAATGAGCTGATGCGCTGTGGTGGGCATGTCGAAGTCTAGAGAAGTTAAGTGGTCCTGAGTGTACATAGCTGGCAGGTTGTAGAAGAATGATAAGGAAGAGATAGAAGATGTAAGTGGACGAATCGTGCGCAATTGATAGGGGCAGAGCAGATCATAGACTTCCCGCATGTTCTCCAAATACTACTCAAAATTCTTGTTTGCCACTCCAAGGGCTGTGAATCTGGAAGGATAGGCATTAGTGGCAAGTATGGCGGTGGAAATAATGATGAACCCACCTTCGAGAATTGCATAGTTCATGGACAGAGCCGGTTTGGGTGCCCTTGGGAGGATAGTCGACGATCGAGTTAACATCGCTGCCTCTGTTATTGTTGAAAATCGGGGACCCGATCTCCATCCCTCCCTCCCACTCTTACTTCCAGCCATGGGGGGCTATCGATGCTATTCTCGGTTTTGGGGGCCTCTGCTTTAGGGATGTGCACCGTACCATTACAGATACGGCCGTACCCCTGACGGATGGATACGGATACGGATGGACTGTGTCCGTACCGTAGGAGCAAGAAAAGTGAGGTTCACAGTATGTACAGGTATATGTACGGACGTAATGGCCATATTACGGTCGTAGAATACACTCAAAAGACCTGCATGCTCTCTGCAGCATAATACTAATAGTCATTGTCGTCTCCATGTAGAGAAAAGATCTACTTTAAAAACAGTCAGTTTCGAAGTCTTTCAGGGAATCAAAGAGACTTACACATCTTGTGTTCATGAATCGCATGGGCAAAGTCATTTTGGTGGTCTGTATCGTAAGAGTGGCAGTGAGTGTGGACAACAATGGGAACCTAAGCAAGGAATGAGTGAGGTATGCACATCTAATACTCTGGAGTTTGTTGCATCGTGCCAGGTGATACGGTACTGGTTTGATTTGTAAAAAAACAGATTGACGATGGGAACTTGCACATTGCTGAGACAAATGCAAATTGTCATAGAGAGAGGGGGACTACGCATGGCTCATTGGAGTAGGTTGGTTAGGTAATTGGCGTACCTTGTACCAGGTTGAATTATTTAAGTTGAAACACTCGACAGATTACCGTGGCAAGCAATTTTCAGATGAGAAAGCGGAAAGGGAGTACCAAAAGTGGCTTCAGTTTGATATCAGTTGCAGCTGCCGTATACGGCCATAACGGCTTGTCCCGTATGGTTGTTATGGGTACTCACCGTACCGTGAACCATACGGTACCTTGCAGTCTCGCACTCGCAACGGTACGGACCCGTATCCGTATGTGCCGTACGTATCCACTGTATTACAGATACGGTGCACATCCCTACGAGTTTGCTTGGTCAAAAATGTGGAAAATATATTTGTTAGCAAATAATATAAACTAAACATACCTGTACCCAGTCATTGGGTCGGACTCTGAGACGACGAGGTAAGTACTACTTAAATAGTGGGAAACATCGGTAATATGATACTGAATTACCCAGTGAATGAAAGCTTCCCAGGCTTTTGATGATGCTTTTTTTTCCACGGCGTTTCTCGTACTGGGGAGACATAGTTTCTTAGTTCTACTATGTTATGCAACCGACGTCACCCAAAGACTTCAATGCTAATGGACCTGGAGACCTCGGCAAGTAAAACAACAATAGTATATATCATCCTTTGTATGCTGCATTGTCTTTTACATTTGATTCCTATCAGACCTACCCTAACTCCACCATGAATACCAGTCCCACACGAACTCATTAGGATCCCATAGTCCCACGTACTGTTTCTTGACGAGGAGTTCCTGGGAGTTGTACTCATATGAACGCCAGATGCGAACTTCAACCGAATGATGCCACTTAGATGTGTAATGGAAAGTTTCGGTTAACAGCCTGATAATGTCCTCTCGACCTGCATAATACGTTCGCCATTCGGGACTCCGAAAGCGTATCTGAATCCTGCTCATCACCTCTCCCAGGTGATTCAGGCAATCTAGAATCTCACGCCCGTCGTCCCAGAGCATCGAAAGACGCCGAGGAATACCCTCCATAACGATAAGCCGGTAAGAGGATAAGGTGAAAAACTGTTTGGTGAGGCGAAGCAGTATCTCTAACCCACAAGAGCCTCGGAGCTCTGCGATTAGGAGCTCCTCGCTGTCCCACAAAAGATCCTCAAATTGGGATTCAATGATTTGACAGGCTCTCAGATAGTCTACCTGAGCGGCGCGTATATAATGTTCGGCGTTTGCGATATCGTTATGCGAAGTTTCTGAGCGCAAGATTTTCAACCCTTGCTTAAGAAACAGAGACACCTCCTTCCACATAGCGGAGATGGCCCCGTAGAATTCTACAGCAATATCTCGGATAGGAGTAAGAATGCTAGAGATGGCCGAACGTCGAAAGACAGCTGCGAGGGACGTTTGCGTGATCAAGCACATGAGATTTGAGTGAAACGATTCCACGTCGTTGAGGAGGATGTTTACAGCATTAGCTAGGACCGTTATCTCGTTTTGGTCCTAGATGGGCTATGTCAACGCAATATCGTAGATGTGATATAGATGCGAAGGGATACCTCTGAGGCATGCTTCATTATGGCCAAATAGTCCTCACTCTGTATACCCTGCCATAAGTCAGCGCTCAGTGACGGGCATTTCATAGAGCAATAATTTTAACGCACTCTGAACCGAGGATTGAGCCCGGATGTAGACATAGTTGCGTTAATCCTTAGCCGTTGGTAGTCAAAAGAGAGGGCCGCTCCTTTTATAAGGTGCTTGTCTCAAGCTGTCTCCCGAGTTTTAGGAAGTGGAAAGGCAATTAAGTACGTTACCTTGTCCTTCAAGGTCTTCTCTTGTTAGTCATTGCTTAGTAAACAAAAAGGCCAGAAACCAAATATAAAACGTGACCAGCGTCATAGCCTATAGGCACACCGCAAATAGAAGTATTTCGGGTGTACCTGGAAGACGCGAAACTTGACCGGAAACTCGTCCTGAAACTGACCTTGCCCGCCATTTCTCCAATTTCGGGACTAGTTTGTGGTCAAGTTTCGGGAGTCACGTGATAATTTCAGTATAGCTGAAAGCTTTCTGTTTGCGGTGTGAGGCTGGCAAGGCCAGGCCCTATGGTACTGAGTACTTAAAGTCGCTCGTTCCAAGTCACTGTCTTTACTCGCGCAGTGGAAAGCGTTGTAATTGGCCGGCTACGTTATGAATCGGCTTCGGAGTTCACGCGTAATAGCGTGTAAATGTTTTTTTTTTTTTGCTGAGCCCTAACGCGTATCCTGTTCTCGTTCGCCTATCTGGCCGGCAGTGTCGAAGAGTAGCAGCCATCGCCAAGAGCCTACTGGGGACGTCGAAGAAAAAAAAATGGTAAGCGGAAATTCCCGAGCGAACTTCGTCCCCGACAATACGACAAACATGGACCGACAGCGATGAGTACACTCCTTCAACGGCTGGCTGCTCATCTAGGCTATTCTCAAACAGTGCTCCAGCTTAAATGGATGTTAGCATTTACACAAGCGTCGAAGAAATCACATTTTGAACTTGTCGACAGACAAATGAAAGACGAGCCTCTGCAGTACCTTCGGGGTGCGTATACCCGTACTAAACAATCGTATTTCTATCTGTACGAAGATTCTTGCAGGTTCTCAGCCATTTGGTGGTATCGATTTGATTGTACGGCTTCTAGTGCTCATTCCGCGTCCGGAAACTGAAGACTGGGCCATTAGACTAGCCAAAACCATCATGCCGTCACCAGAATACCCTATATTTGCACCAGATTTGTGTACACGCTGCTCTTATGTCTATGACCGCAAGGGAGTGTCCGTGCTTGCAGTATTGACGTCTCTGCTGAAGCAGTAGAGCCGGCGGCGGAGAACGTTGCAAGACACGATGTTCCATCTGTGGCAGACGCTCGAAGTAGTTTCAAAGTTCAGCAAGGACGTTCCAGATCCAGCGTCTCCTGGAGCTACCGTTCGACGTTCTCGCTTCTAATCTACCCATGGAAAGAATACCTTGAATTGCCTCCTTCGGTCGTGCGATACGAAAATCCAAAGGCACTTTTTGGTGGCCCGTTAGGTTTCATCTTGAGTTATATCGCGCCATCGCAGCATTTCCCAAGAGCCTGGGCATTGGCACTTCTAATCCACCTTACATACCCTGGAAGGAATACCTTGGTTTCCTTTCTTCGGTCTTGCGATACGAGGATCCAAGGGCGCTTTCAATATGGGGCGTCAAGTCCCGAGTTCTATCACACCATCGCTTGTATAGTCTTGCGTCAAATTTTTCTCAAAACTAGTGCTGCTGTATCAAAATGGGGTATGATCAGGCTGCAGGGGTAGACGTTGGCGAAATCCAGCGGACAGAGACATGTCGGAATGATACCTAGGGAAAGACTCGTACGGTCCCTTATGTCCTCGGGTGGCGGACGTGAATTTTTGCAGAATTCAGACTCAGCCAGCGTAAGCCGCTCCTTTCCTCTGAATTACTGCGTCCTGATAGACAAGAAAATGTCGGCCAGTAATCCCATCGTACCTCTGGAGCCCAATAGTCTCTACATCGCCACCAATCAGCTTATAAATCAACTCGCCAGGTTCCACTGGGCCTTTTACAAGACAGACGAAAACGGCAAGGCTACCACATACGAATGGACGGAGCTCCCTCCTCATTCTGACAGATTCGAGGGTGTAACAATCACTGCCGTCGATCCTGTGACGACTTACACTACAAAGCTATCGATAGTCTTCGCCTTCATGAAGGTCAAAGGCACGAAGACGATGCCTGACCAAGAGGCGTTCCAAGAAATGGCGATGCAAGCGTTCACCGGTCCGAATCGTTTGGGATTCACTTCGCTATTAGAGAACCGCCACGCCGGCATGTCATGCAGAGCCTGGTTAAAGAGCATGCTGGCCATGTTGATGGAGAAGGGTTTCTTGGATCGTAGCGAGAGTCCGCAGTGGTTTGAAGACGAGATAACGAAAGTGAGCGTTGATTTGGAAATGCAGTTGGCGGAGGGAAAGGGCCAGGACAGGTCGTTCATCGGAGAAATTTAGAGGTGGGCATCGAGGGAAAGGTCTGACGATATATTTTTCATTCGCAGTTCGCTGTATCTTCGTTGGTCTCAATCAGTCTGTTTGAAAATCTCAAGAGACAGGCATTTACTCCCAGGCGCGTCGGAGGCATCGTTTGATACATGGTCGGTCTACCCTGAGGTCTGAGACACAGAGTTGAACGTTGAACTGTGGTTTGATCGCCAAAACTAAACATGATCATATATGTTGCTTAGGGCGTTACTCGACTATCACTATTTGCTCGTTCTTGCTCGGATATTAGTGGGGATATCAAGCCTCCTCAACTTCAGGCCGTTACTGTGTATGTCGCTGACTTCGCAACGAAGGTCAACAGCAAGAAGAGCAGAGGAGCCGTTGCTGTCCAGTAAGAATTTCTTCCGATCCTTCTTGAAACTTCGTCAAGCGACACAGCCACGAAGCGTGTCTGAGGCTGTGGTGGTATCCAAGGTGCGTTCCTTAGGAAGGCCCAGCAGTAAGCTTGAGGTTGTAGCAAAGTACTCCACAAGAAGGCATTCTCTGTCTACTCGGATTGATTCCAATGGTAAGCAATTCCAGAGCAGATCTTGAAAAGACACCCTGAGGCCCAGGACGTGGAAGCACGCTGCATACAACAAGTTCAAGGAGCATATTTCATGCTACGTTGAACTGGCATCGAACCGATACTATAGAGCAACTCGGCGATTGACGCACTTCAAAGGCAGTGACGGGGGTCCGGGTCTAGGAATCCAACGTTCTGTCTTCTGACCTGGGAGCGATCACGTGTCTGACTCTACACTCAGACGCGGTGAGTAGAGCCCCTTTCATAGCCTATAAAGCCAGGAGTATCCTTCCTTGATCTTCCCAATCACAACACAATATGCACAGAACTACTATCACCAAGCGTTCCGAGGCTTCCCGCCTCCTCGACCCCTCATATTGCTCCCCCAAGAGCCCAGCTTCTACGTCGACTGCAACGGAAACAGGCACGATCCAGAATACCGTCTCTTCCCTGTTTCCCCGTCGAGCTTGTCGTCCAATTCGTCACTCAGCAGCCGCAATGTGCGTCCCCAATGGGAAGCTGGCTATTCCACCATCGACGACGACGAAGACACATACGTAGATCATTTTGATCCATTTGCCATCCAGGCCCGCAGACGCGCATCATCCCTCATGCGCGTCTCACCTCCCTGCTATCCCTCCTCAGTCTTATCAGAGGTCGACTCACTGTTCGAGGAGGAGAAGCAGCAATACAATAGTACGACGAAGGCAACAAGGTCGCGCATATTCCGGCGCAACTCTGCTGTAGAAGACTCAGAAGAGTTCACTGGACAACCAGAAGTGAAGGAAGATTCGAATGAAGAACGTCTCGAGATGAAACGAGACAAAGCTACATGTTCGGAGATGATGAAGAAGCAACGGTGTTCCATTTCGCTCAGCATTTCCTTCGGAGTTTTCAGAGCGAGGCGAAAGATGAGAAGGTTCTCACTTGCTAAATGACAAATCTCTTCTCATTCTTCGTCTTCTTGCATCTCCTATATCACGATACCGTTGCATCCCATCATCCAAACATCTGTATCATATTTTTTTCGCATTTTGCTGCCTTGTATACCTCTATCTGTTTACGTATCACGTCTACGCATCGAATAAACATTATGACCAATCTCCCTGCGTCGAAAGTATTAAAAAATCTTCTGCAACGGATCTATAACAGCGCCCATCTAAACAAAGTCGATTAGCTCCTTCATAAATGAGAATCACGATCCCTACCTTCTTAACAACCTTAGGTAACGTTGCCTTCTGGAAGCCAACGCGCGTATTCCACTCGACACCCAGCGGTTGTTCCATGCCTCTCTCGAACTGCGCTTTGCTGGTATACGGATACGGCAAATCCTTGACAAGGTACTTGGCCGCTTTCTTGTCACGTTTCTCCGAGATGATGACGTGCCCTTTGCCATGATCTGCACGATTAGCGGCATTGACACCGGCAATTTTTTTGATGAGCGACGGCTTTGGAGGAGCCTTTCTCGTTCCGGCGCCGCCCCAGGAGCCCTAATTAAGACATTGTCGGAATGGGACGTGAGCAATAAACGAGGGGAACTCACCCAACCAGGAAGAGTAGTGTCGACTTCCTTTGGCGCGTCGGCTTCAATTTCCCGACGTTTGAGCTCTTCAAATTCCTAGGAAAGTATTAGAATATGAATGCCGTCCAGTATAAAGACTAGTTATACCTGAACAACATTATCTCCAGCAAACGCCATTTTCACGAGGTCCCGCTGTTCAAATGCGACATTCTTTCCCTTCTTTTTGTTCTTTGTCTCCAATATCTTCTCCTGTGCTTCAACTTCACTATTGCCGTCCGAATCATCATCGTTATCATGAGCGACTTTGCCCAATGTCAAGACATTCTCGGCTGAGATTTCCACAACAGCGTCGTCCTGCGCGATAGCCTTCTCTTGCTCCGTCTTTTTCGCCTTCTTTTTCAGCTTGTTCTTGGATTTCTCGGTGAGATTGCTGTTCTTGTCCACGACAACCTCGTTTTTCTTCCGGGACACTTTGGAGCTGGATGAGCCGACGGCGAGCCAGGGATTGGACTCCTCCGCGTTTCTGGACGGTTCGACAGTCACAGCAGAAGCCGGTGCTGGTGCTGGCGATGTTGACTCAGGGTTCTCGACTTCCTCTTCGACCGCTATTGATGGGATAGCTGAAGGTTTTGATGTCTTGGACGAAGGCTGGGGAACCTAAAGAGGTGGTTAGCTCCATTAAAGATGTTACCATAACGATTTTACCGATGCGCCAGGCCGATAGGTCACCCGACCGCCTGTCCGGGAAACTACCACACCGCTCGAAGGGTCATCACCTCCTTCGTTATCACTATCCTCAGCCTCACCTCCACCTCCCAATTCCTTCACAAAGTCGTCCACCATCTTGTTGGTTTCGTTCTGTTGGCGTGCCATGGCATCCTTCATGAACTTCATCTCGAATACGTTCTTCCCTTTACTTTTGTTCTGCGGCAATTCCCCATCGTCATTGTCCAGTCGAGCCAACTCGTCAAAAGCGTGCTGCCGGATATCCTCTGGACCATCAACACTCTCCTCGTCGTCACTATCATCGTCGCTCTCATCGCTACCTTTCCCGGCGATTTTCCGCCGCAGCCGCTCTCCCCGATCCAGCATCTCTTCGATTCCTTTTCGGCCTTCTTCATCCCAGCTTTCCTTCCCTCGCATTTGCCTAGCCCATTTGCCCGTGTTCTTGTGCCTCAGCGTAGCTCTTTCCCGTGCCCGCTCCATCTCCTTCTTCATTACCCTCTCATCGTCATCGCTGCCCCCCTCATCAATTTTCTCGCCCAAACGTTCTTTCTCCTTCCGTTTTATCTTCCGATAGGTTTTACTTTTGATTTTCGCAACTCGTTTTGCTTTAATTTCAGCACGGAACATCAGTTCACGCGTCTTTCGCAGCTCGGCACGCCGCTGAGCGACTTCTTCGACTGAAAGATTGTTCATCTTCAACATCCCCTCCTCCGTCTCGTGGATATCCTCGTCGCGCAATTTTGCAGTCTTGAGAAGGCGGTCGACAGAACTTTCGAGAGCAGTGGTAGGCTATCGTTGTATAAGTAAAACATTAGGAAGTCAATGAATAGATCTGCACCTGAAATTTTGCTGCTAGCTCTAGTGCTGAAACGCGACCCTCTGGTTTAGCTTGAAGGGGGAAACTGAGATGCTCGGCCTACAAGAAATGGTCAAAAACTATACAATCTGTATGGGTTTTCATGCACCTCCTGAATTCGCTTCATAGTCGCACTCCACTTGTCCACCTCTTCCTTAGTCTTCTCGTAGGCCGCTTCTCGATCCAAGCGTTCTTGGGCTCTTTGAGGAAGTGGTGCCGACAATGTGCGTATCTTGGATGACGATGAGGGGTTGAGGACCTTGGTCGATTTTTTCAAAGAAAGAAGTGTTTCGGGCTGCGACGCAAGGGGGGCCAAAAGATCATCCAAATTGAGTTTAGATCCTTTGAATACGTTAGAAATAGTGAAAGACAGGCATATATTGACAATCCAAACCTGCTCCATGTGTGCGAAACTCGTTTTCTTCGCCTGCCTCTGTCCGTTCTTTCAGAATACGACGCTTTCGTGGTGGTGCATCGACAGGCAAGTCCTCAGCAGAAGATTTGCGCTTTTTCGATGAGGTATCCAGAGTAGAAATGAAGTTCTGAAGGTTCTCTAGGGCTTCCGGGGCTGCTTCGTCCTCGTCTGAAGGACTGAACAGATCTTCTTCACCTGATTCCTCTTCATCCTCTTCCTCATCCACTTCATCTTCCTCTTCATCACCTTCTTCCACATTTTCAAGGTTACGAGAAGGAGTCGGTGGTGTCGATTTCTTTGATGAAGATGATTGCGCCTCGTTGTCAGTGCCGTTGTCTGGTTCACCCCTACCGTCCAGTATGTCGAGAACGTCAATGAACTCGTCGTCTTCACCCTCTTCATCTTCATCTACGTCGCTCTCATCCTTCTCCTCTTCGTCCATATCCTCATCCTCGTTTAAATCCACGTCCGCAAATCGTACAGCGGGCTTCGTCTTCACCTTTGCTGTGCCCTTCTTCTATAAGATCATCAGACAAGGCATATAAAACAACGACAATAATCACCTTTCTCGAGAAGAACCCTGCAAACCTGTCATCATCGCTCTCCTCAAACGCAGCATCACTGTCAATGTCCTCGTCGTCTTCACTGTCAATCATCTCGTCGTCCTCATTCTCACCAATGAGTCGGGCGCGAAGCTGCTCCCTCTCGTCGTCGTCATCAGGAATGCCACCAAAGTCCTCATCTCTGTCCAAGTCGAGTTTAACCTTCGACCTCCGAACAACGTCTGGTGCATATTCGTATACGTCTTCAGATGGGGCAGTCTCCTTCTCTTTGCGGGCCTGGCGTTTGGCATATCCTGCAGCATTGAATTTTGCTTTGGAATCGGCCTTTCTATGAAGTTTTTTTGTCGTCGTGTTAGGACGCCTGGATGCTTGAGCAGACCTGGCCATGGTGGTAGGGAAAAAATGTGTAAGGTCCCCGGCCCGTGTTGCCGAAGATATTCTCACGCTGACTTCGAAGTTCATCTTTCTCTCTTATCGACTTGGCTGCCAGGCTCATATTGGTGGGATATCATTGCGCGATGGTCATTTTTCCTTTAAAAAGGCCAATAATTACTGACCTAGAGAACGCTATACTAAATCTTCGCTGTTATCGATAAACTTTGCGTTTGTGAAGATTCTACGCACAGCTTCCTGAAGAACCCACGCAACAGCAGTATGCGGCTTCTGATAACCTTGACATAATTTCAGCGAACACTGCATTGCCGTGCAGAGTAGCTCATCATACCCAACCCTTTACGGTGAGAGGATATAAAAGATCTTCTATTAGATTTCTGATTTCCCATCCCATGATTGCATACAGGCATCGATAATCTCAGGTTACACTGCTCAAGTACACGTGCATCACATTGGGCAGTCACGTTAGTCCTATCTTGAAGGCTGTGATTCATCGCCGGAGACTTCGAAGCATCAGTGATGGACTCGAGAGCTCCCACCGGACGTCTGCATCTGACTTAATTGCAGCAGGTGCTGTTAAAATTGGCCGGCGTCTACATAAATACGTCCTACCATGCCACTAAGCGACTGCTTAACCCTCCCGCTATAATGGAGCAGCGCCCCCATGTCCTCTATATCAATCATCTCATCCGCAAAGGTCATGGATATCCATTTTGGTTTCCTGAACCAGATTCCAGCCGCTCGGCAGCCTACACCGAGCGTGGTATACATCCTGGGGACGTAGGCATCCTGAATGACATCGGCGGCTTCGATTATCTCTTCAACATCTTTAGTGATGCCGGAGATCCGGTCAACAACGGCAATGTACCCCCCAACTTCCAGCCTCTTCGTCCATCGAACTCCGAACCTCTACGAGTTATGCCAGGTTGTTATGGCTATAACATCACCAGCGCCGACGTCAGCTATTCAGAGATATCAGCGGGTATTTCCGCCGACGTTACTGGGTGAGTCTCGCATACCACTAAGACCATTATTGTCAGTTTTTGCTGACATTCCTTTTATCAGTCTTGCCCGGGCGGAAGCATCCTTCGAATTTAGCACCACAAAGGAATCTGCGGCTATCTTATGTCTTCCTAATAGTGCCACAAAACACGAAATTTTGAACAAGGCAGCGATCAAGGCGTACACTACTGCCAACGGGGCAGCTTGGTATAACTATGTCAATAGCTCGCAATACTTGGGACGAGAGGCACCAAATGGGTCCCTATATGTTGTCACTGGATGTGACAAAACAGATTCTTGGGGTACCGCAGCCGTTGGCAAGCCGTCTCATAGTCGCTCGGTCCGCCTTAGCTTTATTGCTGCTGGCATGGGGGGTGGAGATATAAGAGCTGGTCATACATGGAGTGCTGGATTCTCAGCAGATACGCGCATTTACCCTCTTCCTTCGACTAGTTATCCTTATCCTGTGGATCGTGAAAATCAGTGCATTTTCGCGCGGGGCTTTACCATATCTCTGTCGGAAGGCCTTTTCAAACCCGACGGGAAAACGGTCTTAACGAACATCTCTGGCTCTCTCAAAGACAAGGTCCCTTCCTTTGATAATAAGGCGCCCTGTCCACAATTATCTAGGGAAGCTGCTTTGCCTGGTTGTTTTTCGCTCCGCTCTTTCATGAGCTGGATATTGCATGGCACGCCATCAGTAATGGATAGTGAGGATGACGTGGACTCAAACACGGACTGGGCGCCATCAGACATAGGCTTCGACTGCGAGACGTCGATATCCGAATTTCCCCCGCGCTACAGTGAAGTGAGTCTAATGGCACTAATCGTACCTGAAAAATAACACATTTTTCCATCAGCTCATGAATCCTTCCGCCGCTATGAATTCATATCTCTTGGAGAAGGTGAGAATCACTTGAGTTTCATGGTTCCATTATGTTGTATTCATATGTTCTAGGATCCAACCCTTGATATCGTAGTCACACACGACGAAGAATGGATGGAGATCGTCCCAGAGTCCGGCATGAATGAAGACACTACGGACGAGATTTTCTGGGCCCGGATTCGGGAAAAGCTAGATAAAAGGTCGCCCCCATCCACAATCGACTCGATATGTTTGAATAGCTCGGTTAATACGGTCGTTGAGCAAGATCCGGATGATCAACTCGATCACCTAATCGTGAGTTGTTATATTATAGAATGCTGCGAAGTATGTTTGACATTCTAATAGGCTCCGCAATCCTTATCTGTTGTGGAAGCGACCTTCCAGAGACGTTTAGACAATGTGGTCAGTATACTCTCCAGACCTCGATGTATTAGCCGTACTGAAATGGAAGTAGGACATATGGAGAGGGCGAACGAGTAAGAATGCCATTGTCTGTTTGAAGGTTATCCGGAGCGAAACAAAAAGTGGTTATAAGGTGATTTCTTCCTCCCTTCAAGAGTTACCCTATGCTGATTGGGTGTAGGAAAAACGTCCCCCGGAAGCTCAAATATGGAGCACACTCGCTCATCCAAATGTTCTCCCATTTTTCGGTGCAAACGTCGACCTATTTGCACCTTACGTGTGCCTCGTGTCACCGTGGATGAGCAATGGTGACATCATGTCGTTCCTAAAGCAAAACCCAGGTCATGATCGGCTAAAATCCGTGAGCTCTCTTCACTACGACACGTGAAAGGATTTCTGACTCTCCCGTATCAGATCATCGAAGTAGCAAATGCCCTTGACTACCTTCATAACCTCGATCCTATTATCGTACATTCCGATATTCGCGGCGTCAGTTCATAATGCATTTCGGTCAAATTCATGCTTACTTTTCCTTCCTAGGCTAACATACTTGTCAATGACAACTTTACCTGTTGTCTCGGAAACTTCGGGACATCTTTTGCGGTCGACAAGATTTGCGCTTCCCCGCTGACAACGCTACAGACACCTCGATATCCCATTTTACGATGGATGGCACCTGAACTGATTCGCTCTGACGAAACAGAAGCGCAGATTGGGGTGGAACCTGCATCAAGAGACATATATTCCTTTGGATGCACGCTGGTTGAGGTACGAACATCAATTCTGACAGCTCCGTCTACTCACTGTATTATAGATATACACAAATAATTATCCATACGCAGATATTGTGAACGAGGAAGAGGTTTATGGGCAAGTTTTCGCGAGAAAGAAACCTTCCATCTTGCCGGACCAACTACCGTCTGGACGCCTGTACGACCTGATCCAGCATTGCCTCGAGGGATCAACGGCCGATAGACCAAACGCAGCCCAAGTACTAATTGAGTTGCAGACAATAAAGGAAGAACGTGATAGCGGATGCGGAACGACGTCGATGCTGCCAGGCACTCTCGATTATATTTCCCGATAACCTATGCCGGACAAACAATAGTTTGCAGATATTCATTTGCTCGTTTTCCCTGTGGTTAGCTAATGCTATATGGAAAACAAGCAAATTAATACCCCCAAACTATTGCTTGTCCGGCGTGATTGTCTACCTTACCTGGCCGCAATTCAGGATGTTCGTCGAGTTCGCGGGCATGGCGCGGATCCGGTGGCACATTGACCAATCTGATGCCACCGGATCCGCGCTATGCCCGCGCACTCGACGAACATTTTGAATTGATGGGGTTCCGACTACACGACGCTCTCGATGATTTGTAGAATTGGCATATCTGTGTTATTAGCATTGCAATTTACTTCTTCATGCCTCAATAGTCGACACTTGTGCAGAGGAGCCTGGAAGCTCATGCTGATCTCATTATCCCGGATCCGACGTCAACAATTTTGAAGCCCTACTTTCAGCCCCCAGGTAGAATGCGCAAAATCGAATCGACGAGGTGAGGAAATCACAAGTATAGGGCCGCGAGAATATGCTGCCCATATTAACTTGATTTTCGCAGATCTAATACAGGACGGCTACCTTAAGGGTCGGCCGTATTCAGACAATTCGCCTATGATATTTTGATACATCTTATCTAGATCCTCTACAACTTTTGAATACAACTACTCCGCTTACACATATCCTTCAATGACCTTCTTGACCAACTCGACATCTGGTTTCTCAACATCGATGACACGACGCTCTTTTTGCAGTAAACCCTTGAGTTCCTCAGGCATGACATCTCGGTCAAAGTCAAACTGTAAGGAGCCCTGTAATGCCTGCGACACCGCTTCTGAGAACTTAGCGGGATGGGCAGTAGACAGGATAATTTGGGTGGTCGAAGGTGAGCTATGGAAGATGTTAGAGATGAATAAACCAGTACGAGGATTCACCATACTTGTATTTCGCCATCCTTGCAGCTGCAGTCAACCCGACAGCTGTATGAGGGTCCACAACATACGGGGGCAATCCCAAAAAGTGAAACCTGATTGTCTCTAGTGTCTAATAGTAACAATTAGTGCAAACGAAAGGGATTAGAGAGAAAGCCCATACCTCCTCATCACTGACCCGTTCAGCACAAAAGTCCCTTCTTGCAGACTCCAAAACCTTCACGGGCACCTCAACCTTACCATCCTTCTTCATCTTTCCCATCCATCCGTCGAGGATTTCACCAGCTTTTGACCTCCTCACTTTGACATCAGAAACATCTTCCACACTCTCGAAGGCGAGGTACCACAGCAGCCTCTCGAAGTTACTAGAAATGAGGATATCCATCGCAGGACTCAGCGTCTCCTTGACCCCACTAGCGTCCTGAGTTCTCTGTTTGCCATCCGACACTGGCAACTCCGGCGAGGAATCCACCTTTTCGTATCGTCCAGTTTTCCAAAACCGTGCCAAGATATCGTTAGCGTTGGTCGCTACACCGAGCTGGGCTGACATGGGGAGCCCCATGCGTTTCGCGTAGTACCCCGCGAGGATATCACCAAAGTTTCCTGTTGGGACGACGAACTGCACCTCGCTCTGGGTTTCCCGGCGTAGATGGAAGTAGGCAAGGAAATAGTAGACGGTCTGTGCAAGGATCCGGGCCCAATTGATGGAGTTGACGGCGCCGAGATGATGGGTAGCATTGAATTCGGTGTCGGAGAAGAGGGATTTGACGATATCCTGGCAATCGTCAAACGTCCCCTTGACGGCTAAATTATGTACGTTGGCGTCGGTGACGGTCGTCATCTGCGCCTCCTGGATGGGCGAGACTCGCCCTTTAGGATGCAAAATGAATATCGAGATATTGGCTTTGTTTCGAAGACCATAAATTGCTGCGCTGGGGAGGAAATGAGTACCTTGGATGGGTTCGATCCAATCGCTTCGTACCTCCCAGTGTCCCCGCTAGTCGCACCGACCACAGTCAATTTATCGGTTCCGCCATCTATATGCCGAGAATTCCTCCTCTTCAAGAAAAATTCAAACAGGTTCCCAAGCAACTGCAACGCGACGTCCTTGAATGCCCACGTCGGTCCATGCCATAGCTCTAGCGCGTACTTCTTCTCACCCAGTTTCTTCAACGGAGTCACATCGGGATGTCTGAATCCAGCGTACGACTTTGTGACGAGATCCCGGAGTTCCAGCTCAGAGATCTCTTCACGGGAGATATAAAGCGACAGGACGGCAACAGAGAGTTCCACGAATGAGTAATCCTTCCATTCTGATTCCCAGTTTGCTGGAAGTGAGGGAATGTCGACTGGAATGTAGAGGCCACCATTCGGGGCGAGCCCAGTGAGGACGGTCTAGGAGAAAAGAAATTAGAAAACGAACAATTGCGACAGTATCCGACCTGACCTCTTCAAAGGACAGCTCCTGGTCGCCTCCTCGGGTGGAAAAGTACTTCATCGTTGGTGAAGAAGTGCATTTTTGGATTTCGGCCGAAATAATTTTCTTCGAGTCATTGTGACGTCAAGGACTTCCAGGAAAAACATTTGCACAGCCGCATTCTTCCAATACTTTTTTGACTACGTCTTGCGTTCACATGTAACCCATCCTCGCTGGCTGATGTTTAGACGATAAAATTCGAAGATGCTAGCATTTCTAGACTCCAAATGTCCACAAACTATTTATCACATCCTCTTCCCCAACGTCATCTTCCTGACTACAACCAAAGAGCTTCGCCGCAATCTTCGCCTGGTCTCCCAATTCCAAAGAAGCTCCAAGCGCCGGTTCCTTTTTGATTTTACGATTCGCCTCTGTATCATAGAGCTTTGGAAATCAGCATCATCGCCCGCGCCGTCACACAAACATCGACTCACTGTCCCGTATGTGTGATCGAGGAAATCTTCCATTGAAAAACCAGGCTTGGTAAATGCCTCAGAGAACACCTTCACCAGAGTTGAGACACCAGAGTGGTAATGTGATTGGTGCGATTGAAGCTCCCAGAGTGAACTGGACAGGGCATTTGTGCTCAATGGGTTTGGCTCCGCGGGCAGAAAAGGATCTATGTTATGATAAACCGATGTGAAATAGACACAGGATATAAGGTTACCTTCTGTCCCATCCATATCTGTCCGGTGAATCATAACTATCAACGCAGGATGGCGCTTGAGGATATTGTAAGTGAAGGGTATGAGAATGATGACTCCAGCTGGAGGTGCAGAAAGAGATAGGCGTGCCAGACGTTTGACAAATGATGCTAAGAGTGTCGCTGGTAGATGTCTAGTGTACGTTAGGAAATTGAAAGAATACAAAATAAGCTTCAACATACGTAGAACTGAGGAAAAGTTCGGTCATTCGGAAAAAGCGAGCGCGATGCTTTAGATGGAATAAATTGCGGTCCAAAAACGCGTAGAGACGCGTGTAGAACGAAGGGTAGTCACTACATACATGATCAGCGGCAATGCTAGACAAAACAGAGATAATTGCTCACAGGTTATACTCCTTCATCAATACAAACAGCGCATTCAACGCCAACAGGCCAACAGTACCACCTAGAACACATATGAGTATCGGGACAGGCATCAACGGTTTCCCAACGAACCATAGTCTACGCATGCGCCAATCCAATCCATCACCAGCATAGGTCTTGTCAAATGGGGCATGATACCCCGATGCATGATATTCAATACACGGGCGGCAAGGGCTTTTGTCGCTGTCGTATCGTTTACAACAGACAAGCGAGAAAGAAGTTCCAGCCAGGTTCTAGTAAAGACTGCACGATGCGAAGGCAGTGAATGAAGAGATTGATGGATCGTCAATGTATGAACGCGCGCGCCTGGTGCCTTGCCCTTGCTGGTATCTTTTGCGGTTTTCTCATCGTCGAAAAACTTCCGCCAGTCGTCCTCAGGCGCGTCTCCGACGGGTTCTTCATCCTCGTCATCAGCACCGTCTTGATTTTTTGCGGCTTTTGGTTTCGGTGGTTGAGCGCCGAGTTCCGGTACCCACCAAGCATTTAGCTCCGAAGATTCTGTGGGGAATGTGGTGAGGCCTTCGAGGATTCGTAGAAGGTTAACGGGAAGCTGGGGGTGCTCCTTAGTCGACGTCGTAGTCAACAGGGTCCTGATGGTGAGTCAATAACGTCGTATTTCAACGAGCAACATTCACGCACCCTGCTTCCCGTAAAAAGAACCATCGAATATCGTCGTGTACGCTGAACCAAGTTTCATGAAAGACCTGTAGGACGTCGGCGTCGATGTACGTGTCTGAAGCCTGGGAGGATTTCCGAGGAGACGAAGGGCATAGTAAGAGAGCGGAAACAATCTTTCGGAAGTGAGAGATATGGAATTGTGGTACCGAAGAATTCGAGTACTTGGTCGCCGCGCTGGACAGATGCTTTTGCAGAGAGAAGAGAATTTGGAGGGCAGATACCTGTACAAAAGGTCAGGTACATTTATAATATAGAAAAATTTACGCACTCTCAAAGATTTCTCCTCATCCTTGAGTAATCCCACGAGAAAATCGACGTACTCGTTCAGTCGATCCCAAAGCCAGGCTTTGACGGTCTTTGCGTTCTCATCACCAGCAGCCGACAGCTTCCCATTATTTATCACCAGCACGAAACCCCGATACAGTGCATATATGCCCTTCGAAACTTCCTGAGAATCCTTCCGTGAACAAGTGAGATCCAAAAGGTCCGCTAACAGGTTCAGAGATCCGTTATTGGCAACTGCACGAGTAAGCTGTTGCTCAGTATCTTGAATCGATTGAAGGACTTTGGAATCGTTGCTGAGCTTTCTTTTCTTGCTCGGGGGTGGTAGAGAACGGGGACCACGCATGTCGTTGTAGAGGCCAAGAAAAAATTGGCCGATCCCTGAATAGGAAGCCGGACCGGCATCCGTTGAATCGCCGTCATTCCTCCTGCACGCTCATGTCCGTGCACCCTTCATCGAGCTCGCCATCGTCGCCAGTGTCGAGAACGTCATCTCGACACCACAACCATTCACCTACGCGCTCGCCGACGCTTTCTGCGGCAATGCCAGCACCTCCCATAGCATCCACGTCCTCGGTCTCTTCTACACCGCCTGCTGATGATTCCCAGTCACGACCGTCGTCGCGCTGGATGAATTCTCTTCGCAAGATAGATTCACTGTATCATCTTGGTGAGCCAGCACACCGTGAGCATTCATATCCTTCTACGCCTGTGAATATCTCGCACAAAACCCCCTTCGCACCGCATGGCAACGCATCAGAGGCGTCATCTATTGTCTACATTCCGCCTACAGGAGCGCCGGGGTACCGTGGAGAAGCCTATGACTGGGACACAGGAGCTCTTGAGAAGAAAGCTTCCTATGTTGATTTGAAAGGAAGAAGAGAGAATACTGTGAGTATATTAGATGTGCACCTAGCCAACATGGTAGGTTTGCAGCACTATCCTTGGTAATATATAATGCTAAGCAGTGTAGATCCGGAACTACCTTCCTGCTCTCTCCCGCCTTCCCCGTTCATGGTCACTCCTCTACTCACTAGATCAGCACGGCATATCACTCAACACGCTTTACACGCGATGTGAACAGCCGAAGCCGTGTGGCGCACTTGTCGTGTTCAAGGACGAAGGAGAGACCATTTTCGGTGCATTTGTGAGTGATGGGATACGGCAGAGCAGGGGAAGAGGGCACTATGGTAGTGGCGAATCGTAAGTTTCCTTCGCTTCCCCATCTTTCCTTCTCACCTGTTTCTCTGTAGCTTCTTATGGCGCTATTCCGGCAATAAACTTTCAGTATTTAAATGGACAGGGCGAAACGGTTATGTTGCACTGTGCGAGCCGGGCTACATGAGCTTTGGTGGTGGAGACGGGTCGTATGGACTGTACATCGATGCGAACCTGTTGGAGGGTTCATCAGCACCATGTCCGACATTTGCGAATGAGCCGCTATGTTCTCCGGGGCATAGTATAAGAGGTACAGTGCCGTTTGAGTGTGTGGGGGTGGAAGTGTGGAGAGTGGGCTGATTTCATCGATATATACCCTAATTACTTACTTGTTGTACCATTATTATTGACCCTCAGACATTCCTATCTCACACTTGCAATTACTCTCACTCACTTTCTAACTTCCTACGTTCAATGACTTTTGAAACTGCGACTGCAACTACCAACTCCATTTATTGGTTGGGTTAGGTCAAATCTTTTCCAACAATCAAGATCTACTAGAATATCTACACATGCGCGAGTTGTACGAGAATTATATACGTAACTCTTCAGCTATGCTGTACCAGAATTCGCATCGTTCATTCAATGCGTCTGTAACATTCTCCAACTGAACATTTCCAGGCTGTAAAAGCATCCGCGGGCTTCCATCACTCGACGATGCAATCTGTAAATCATAGTCACCGTAAATTTGGTCCCTGTTCAACAAATAAAAAACGAACCTCCCAGTCCGGCCCAGATGCCGCTTGCGGTACGTCCGAAGTAGCAAACGAGGTCCAGTATTCCCTCATAATCTCGAAGAGTGCTTCATCGTTATCATCAGGCGTGGTGTCAGGCTCTTCGTCCGGAAACATCGCCTGGAGCTCATAATGATGGTAGTCGCCAAGATGAGGATTGTCGTAGTGATAATGATATACGTCGAGGTCAGCGTCAGCCGCGCTTCCAGCGATGAGAACGGCAGTACAGATGAATCTCATCTCTCCGTACATCTGTTGCCCTTGCAGTACGAGGGAGTTGTTGTAGTCCTCAATGGGATACAATTCAAGTGCCTTATTGAAAGACTCGAGTGTGAAATTGCCATACTGGCCTTGGAGGAAGTTGTACACCGTTGTTTCAGTGGCGTTAGGTGTAGAGGTGTTTGCAGCAGCATTGGTGAGCCTTGCCGACCAATTTGCTCCCTCGTTGGTATTGGATCTTTTGCTTCTCTGTTAGTATGGCATGGGTACATAGGATTCAGTGAACATACCCATAGAACAAGGGAATCTGTGCGAATTGGCCATTGGTAAATGCCTCTACCGGTCCTTCACGGATAAAAGTACCATCGATGATTGGAGAGAATGAATACAAAGTCGACGTTCGCTGCTTGATAGTCGTGTTGCCAGCCACTGCGAGCGTGTTGCTACTTGCAGCTCGTAAGCACGTTAATGTGTCGTTTCCCAGCCCTTCGCAACCACTACAAAAGACAAATGAAAAGCATCTCGTAATGGATGGAGTGACATACGCAAGTGATGCAAATTGCGAGAATAATTCCTCAGGATAACTTTCGTTGTAAAGAGGCATGTAATTCACAGATGCGCTATCTCCCATGGCCGCGTGAAATAAGTCTTCATTATCACCGCCGTTTGCCATAACCTGGAGTGAAGTCATTGAAGCTGGGAAATAGACACTAGCAACAGACAATTTGCCTGGAACATCGTCGAACCTGCTCCTGCAGACTGACCCCATATGGTCACATGACTGAGGTTACCAGCATATTGTTAGCATGGTATAAACCTGGAACCGATAAATCCCATACCTCGAATTGCCTCCAAACTCGCCTATATAACGTTGGACCCATCGAAGAGCTGCGCGCTACGCGAACTTCGTCAGGTGCCTAGCAATGAATTGAACAGACGCTCACCTGGTCAAGGAGTCCCGCATTGATCACGCCATCTGCTGCAAGTAGAGATCCACCTGATTCGCCTACGTGAGCCAACAAGTGTCTAGTACTTTATCGTGACATTTACCCAGAAAACCAAATTGGCCTAGTCGGTACTGGAATGTCACGAAAATAAACGGTTCCGTGGACGACTGCATGAGCCATTCCGGGGTGTACGAGCGCGAGTTTCCGCCTTGGTAGCCGCCGCCATGCCAATAAACGAGTACAGGTAAAGGAGCAGATGTACTGGCACCGATGGGCACGTAAACCTGTGTATAAAGTTCAATGTAGCTGTGGGGAAATCGCGAGGGATCATACATTTCCAAAGAGACAATCTTCCGATGACCTGTTGAAATCTACTGTCGATGAACTCTGGGATGTTGCGATACAAACGGGACCGAACTGTGTTACATGTGAGTTGACAGATTTTTGAGACGTTGAGAAGGTTACTTACGCTGGCAGCATCGACTTCGCCTAGGTGGGTTGTTGGCGGAGAGACGGGCGCATGCCAGCGTAGGTCTCCGATAGGCGCGTCGGCGAACCGAACTCCAAGGTAGGATACGATGCCAGAGGTTTCGTTGGTCGCCCCGTTGAAGGTTCCATCTAAATAGAGGATAAATACAAGGCGATACAGGCGAAAGCCGCAAGATACGAACAGTCAAGAACAACAGTCGCGTTCGACTGCCCTCTTGTGAGCAACGGGCTAAAGCAGAGGAGGGCGAATAAAGCAGATGAACCAACGAAGAACATGGATAGCTTGCTGGGAGATTACTATGTAGTGGACTCATTTAAATAGAGCCCATTGCAAGATTACCTGATGTGTTGTTCCAGAATGTATAAGTTTCTAGCAATGCCATAGCCCGCCCCGTAGCGGTTACGGCCAACCGACAGGCTCCCAGGTTGACATATATCTGTGTCGCATATGGGATTCAGGAATAACTATCAATGAATTATATCTTCAAAGGAAAGTCACCACACGGGGAGACAAGAAACGTTTTCGAATAGAAAGGTCCGACCTTCTCGCCGTGTTTCAAAGCAGAAATCAGCGTTCTGTCCGCCCTAGGATATATGAATAGCGACGGCGCGCACAACGGGATTTGACACTCCGGAGCTCATATCATGACTTGTGAAAATTTTGTTCAATTCAATTGTCACTAATCCTCGGAAAAAATGGTGTGCACCTCTGGTTGGGCTTACGTTGCTCGTAGTACCATGTTGATCGGCATAGCCTACTGTAGATGAGGCTGTGGTGTCCGATTACGCAAGGCCTTTGACACTACTATCAGGTCCAACTTCTTTCGACAACATTGCTAGACATTGCAACGGTTAATAAACATGCTTAACATCCCGTTTCTAAGAAGTTATTAGCATTACTTATATTTTTGAGACCTGGTTGAAACCCCGACTTGTGACGTTCAAATTGCGAAGGATATGTTCCGAGTTTTGTGTATACAGGATTTGAGCTTTCATTTGTGGCTGTGTTTTTGGATTACTCTCTGGAGGTTTCAATTCTCCTGTTAAAGTTTTCCGAGTTCCGGCGACGATGGTGTTTGCAGTCAGCGAGAGAGATCAGACAAACTCGCGCTCGCTTAGTCAGTATGTGCGCTGCCCTCGTAAGCTCTCACTGTTCAGTTTTCCGGGCGGCAGGTTCCCCTTTCCGGATAACACGTGACCTGCATTATTCATTTGGCTTACGATTTCTACCGTTCCGAGCCCTTCCCAATAGTTCCCAATTCATCTGTTTCTTTGCTGTGATATCTCTGCACCCCCTCATTTTTTTCCGTCTACTATGCATTTCAATTTGATGTCATTTTGCCTACAACTAAGCACATTTTTATTCATATCTTAACATGTGATACCCTGCCTTAGGCTGTTCATCCTCCGTTCATCGACTGCACCTCTTGCTTTCATCCCCGCCTTTTCGGTCCGTACTTTCTTATGCATCGCCCTGGCTCTCTCCTACTCTCACTTCAGTTTTTCCTTGCTGCGGTATGTCATATAATGGCTTAGTGAAACTCTCGTCAATCATAGCGACCGTCTTCAATTTCAGCTCCAGTGTTCTCTGCGACTTTTTCATCGATACCGCGACAATGGACAACTGCACTACAACTATGTCTTCAATCCGGAATATCTGTGGCTCCGTTGGTACCAATCTGTCATTGTGTTACAATCAGCTTTTCCTCGCTTCACCCAAAGTTATTTCAACTTGTTCCGAGTCCTATGAATATAGGATACTCGGTTATTATCCAGGTGCTAAACCCCGTGGGAAAATTCTATTCGTGGAATCAATCCATCACGGCATTTGCCGACTTGCCTCGTTTCCGTGCCCTCTAGACTTTCGTGGGAAACTATCTATTCATGGTCGGCTTTCTCCGTCCCGGCATCTTCCCTCTCGCTACGTTGCTTTGTTGTTCATCTTGTGTTCCTTTTCTACTCCTCTTTTTCTTCTCTATTCCTCTCGTCGTGTTCGTTGTGTTATTTTCTTTTCTTTTATACAAAAAAATTGTTTGTGATCATCGTTCCGAGTTATCTCGGTCATCGTTGTATTCAGCGTAAGTATCTAGTATTGGTTTCTCTTATCTTTCTTTGATTTATCAAACAGTTCTCTCTGTGCTACTTTACAGTTCCATCATCTTCTTCTTCTCTCTCTCATAATCATCCGATCTGTTTGTCTTTTTGGCCCTCACACCAACATCTTCCTCCTCCTCTTTGAATCCAATCTTCTGTTTTATCCTTATGACCATCTCTGATTGCGTGTTCGTCGCGTTTCTGCATTCCACGGTTGCTTTCTGTTATTATCCCATGTTGTCCTTATATATTCCGTTACTCACTGTCGAGTTGTCACTATTGACAAGGGCCAATGCCCTCAGTATCATCTTCATCCTCGCTGTACCCTCGTTTGTCCTCAAGAACACCATTGAGCATTGCGCTTCCACTATGTCTCCTACTCGGAACATCTGCAACTTCGCCGACACGTATCTGCTTTGCAAGCCATCATCAGTCGCATATCCGGTCCGCACAGGACAAGAGAAAAATACAAAGATGACACGAATTCAAAGAATGCTTGCCTCTTTTTCCCTCTTTCGTCCATCACTCCTCTGTAGTATTGTACCTCGTTGTCTTCAGTGTGAATCCATTTTCACTGCGCTATCTTGGCAAGTATACCCACAGGATCAACATCGTTTGAAGAAGGTATGCCTTCCTCATCGTTCATGGAGTTGCGCAGTCTAAAGTATCGGTTAGACAACTCTATAACGTCCAATTCTTTCATTGACATTGGCTTCCAGTGTTCGAGCTCTCCATCTCTGTTGTAAAATAGAGTGTAATGAAGGTGATAAATGCAGTGGTAAACTGAGAGACTCAACCGTTTGAGAGAGATTGTGTTAGGAAGTAGTTAAAGCAATGTGTATTGGGGGTTGAGATCCCTGGTATATATACTACAAGGTAAGTGCTTCCAGAACATACTACTACCTACCAGTGTCCATGTCTGACTCATTGCTGAGTGAGCAGACGAACGAATGACTCGAGGAGAAGAGACGCGAAGATTCTCGCGTGGCTTCAACTATAGTCCGATTGCCGGATTGCCGGATGCGGCTGGTGCATCTTCGACACTCCCCCTCAAGATGGCAATAGGCCCAGTTCACGAACGAACTTCTCGTGCTTAGGCCTCGGCAACGCCTTTGTAAAAATATCAGCAACCATTTTGTCGGTTGGGCAATACAACAACTTGATCACTTGGGACTCGATTTTTTCATGCACAAAATGATTTTGAACATCGAAATGTTTGGATCTCGCGTGATATTGTGGGTCTCTCGCGATAGCGATGGCAGATTGATTATCCTCGAATATCAGGGTAGGTTCTTCCTGGATAAATCCTAATTCCGCTAAGAAGTTGCAGTTCCAGATGGCTTGGCGTGTTGCATGTGCTAGCACGGTGTATTCTGCTTCTGTGGATGATAAAGCCACAGTCGACTGCTTCTTGGATGACCAAGCGAACGCTGCACTGCCTAGGAGGTATGCATAGCCAGAAGTGGATCACCGGTCATCGGGATTGGATGCATAGTCTGCGTCTGTGTAGCTGGCACTTAGAACTTCATGTTCTTCATTTGCTCGGAAGGTGAGTTTTAAGTTCTTTGTTCTGGATAGATACCTAAACACTCGCTTCACAGCTGCCCAGTGTTCAGGACCTGGATTGTTTGAGAACTGGCTCAACAACTGCACAGCATACGTGATGTCAGGGCGTGTGCAAATCGCAGCATACATTAATGAACCGATCGCAGATTGGTAGCCACTGCGGACATCGGGGTTAGCTTCTTCGTTGATACGTCGCTTGTGTAGGATAACGTTTGGGTCGAGTGGAGTTGTGATGGGTGATGCATTGTGGAGACCAAAACGTGTGAGTATTCCATCGATGTATTGCGGCTGGGATAATGAGATCGTGCCATTATCACGGTCCCTCTCTATTTCGATCCCAATGATCTTCATTGGCTTTCCCATGTCCTTGATGTCGAACAGCCCTGCTAACTCCCTTTTTATTCTGTCTAGATCCTCGGGTGTTTCAGCAAAGATTAACAAGTCATCGACCCATACAGTCAGGAACACTGTCCTGCTGTCTCGGACGCGTTTATAGATGCAGTGGTCGACTTCGAGCTTTGAGAATCCAATGGAGGTGAGCTTCCTATCAAATTCACGGTTCCACTCGCGTCCTGACTGTTTTAGTCCATACAGGGTCTTGTACAATCTGCAGACACGTCCAGATCCATCATCGTAGCCTGGAGGCTGGCGCATGTATATTTCTTCCTCGAGTTCTCCATTGAGGTAAGCCCCTTTGATGTCCATCTGACCAATTTCAAGGTTGTTGATGGCGGCTATGCCTAGCACGGCACGAACGGATTCAAGACGGACAACTGGTGCAAATGTTTCGGTGAAATCGACTCCGAGGATCTGCGAGTAGCCTTGCGCTACAAGATGGGCCTTATAGCGTGACACATTCCCATGCTCATCATATTTCTTTGCATAGGTCCATCTGCAGCCTACAGTCTTGCGTCCCTCCGGTAGATCCTCAAGCTTGTAAGTTTCCATCTCTCCAATCATTGACATTTCCTCATCCATAGCCTTTTTCCATTCAGGCCATTCTGCTGATGCTTGTGCCTCTGCAAGGCTTCGTGGGTAGTCATCACGATTAATGTGCTCGCCGTCACCAGCAAAATAACTTTGGATTATGGCAACATTGGCTGATTCTGGGGGATGTTCAGATGGGATCAATGGAGTACGTGATGGTGCTGCTTTGCGTGCGTTGGGATTATTAAGCTTGTGATAGTCGTGATCCTCTGTGATACGTGAGCTTCGTCATGGTGCTGGCATGGGGGTATTATCTGGTGGTGCTTGCTGACTTGTTTCTTCAGCTCCTTTCGGTGATTGTGGATTGACATCTGGTGGCTCCCCCTCAATCCGCACATTGCTGATGGGCTCGATATCGACAATAGGTGATGGTTCTGCCCATGTGTAGTTTTGTGACTCCCGAATGTCACACAGGTGCATGTCGTAGTACTTGATGACAATGGGGTCATCCGTGAATCCTACAAAGGTATGTTTCTCTGCCTTTGTCTGATCTCCTCCGAGTTTTGATAGGTTTTTCCCTTCTCTTTTCACCCAGACTTCACATCCAAACTCCCGGAGATGTGCAACACTGGGCTTAGTGCCCGTCCATGCTTCTTCCGGAGTTTTTCCAGCAAGGGCTCGCATTGGTGCTCGATTTCGGATGTAGGCGGCATACTCGATGGCTGACTGCCATAGGAATGATGGCAGGTTCCTGCCTATCAACATGGCCCTGGCAAGTTCGATGAGCATTCGATTGAACCGCTCTGCTACTCCGTTTGACGAGTGTGCATATGGTGCTGACGTTTGTAAGCGAATCCCCTTCTGCTTCAACCATCCTCTGACTTCCTCACTTGTTAGCTCCTTCGCATTATCAACACGTAGTACCTTCGGTGTTCGCTTTAGCTGTGTTTCCACCAAGGTAATGTATTCCTTGATCTTCTTAAATCCCTCTGACTGAAGTTTCATGAATTCAGGTGTACAGCGGCGTGTGGCGTCGTCAGTAAATGTGATGTTGTACTTTGATTTCTGCAGGGACTCAATGCGGGCTGGGCCCCAGATGTCTCCATGGGCTAATTCTCCTGGCTCATCTCGTCGATGCTGTGCCTCCTGCAGATACGGGCGAAGAGTCATTTTTGCCTGGATACAGGCATCACATTGGCTGAGTGGTGGTGAATCCTTTGCGATAGTGAGTCCTTCCACAAGTCCTTCCTTCTCAAGTCTTTCTAACCCTGCCTTTCCTAGGTGTCCCATCTTCTTGTGCCATGCGTCCCACGTATTTTCGCTGGCATCTGCTGCAATGTTGGATTGTTCGGGGACTACATCGCATGCACATGCCTCCATCAAGTACAGGCATTGTGACTTCTTCCCTTCTGATATGACTGTCCCATCCTTTTTCTTGAATTGGACCTTGCCATTACTGAATGATGCTTCCATTCCAGCATCATCCAGTCTACTGATGGAGATAAGGTTGTTGACAGCTTTTGGGGCATATAAAGTATCCTTGAGCTGGTGAGTAATGGTTTTTCCATTGACTTTGCAGTCTAACATCACTGTTCCTCTTCCTAGCGCATGCACTGATGCACTTCCGATACCTGCAATGGATGTGGACTCAAGTGGTTTGAAGTCAGAGAAGGTTTTGCGTCGGTTGGATATGTGGGATGTGGTTCCGGAGTCTGCAAGCCAGCTGTAACGTGAGAAATGTGGATCAAATTGGGGTGTTTCTGCCTGGTATGCTGCTTCCGCTACATCGTCCTTGACGTCTCCTGACTCCTTTGCCTGATTAGCTCGTTCCTTCTTACGTCCTTTATTGCTCCTGCCTGGTCCCTTTCCTTCCTGACCACCACCCTTTGACCAACACTGGGCCGCGGTGTGGCCTCTCTTGTGACAATTATAGCACTCAATGTCATCGGGACTCTTTCCTGATGAGGAGTGGTTATGTCCGCTCCTGCTACCTGTCCTCCTGCTATGTCCATACATGGCAGATTCGCCTCCACTGGATTTCTCTTTACGTTGACGGTTTTCCTCAAGGATGATGGCTATGAACTCATGCGACGTGACGGTGGGGTTGTTTCCAGTTGATCCAAGATATGCTGATGTAAACTGGTCCCAGGATTCTGGTAGTGACGATACGAGCAGCATCAGGAAGTCTTCATCAGTGACGATACTCCCCAACATGCCAAGCTCTTCCTGGATGCAGCGCATCTCTGTGGTATGTTCAACAATGTCTGTTGACTCATCGGCAATGGTGCGGTAAAGTCGGCGGCGGTGCGCTAGTATTCCTAATTTTCCTCTAGCTTCCTTTACTAGTTTAAGCTGCGTCCACATCTTGGCCGACGTCTTTGCTCCTGCGATGTGTATCATCTGTGAGTCGCTCAACGTGAGCTCGATTTGAGTCTGTGCTCGTCCATCTCCCTCTTCCCACTTTGTGATCTTCTCTGATTCTTCGGCTGTCAGTGCTTTGACATCTGCTGGAATCGGTTTCTTTGATGTCCCATCAGCATACTTCAACAGGGCTCGTTCTCGCAGGATCGCAGTGATGTGACGCTTCCACAGAACCCAGTTATGCTCCTGGAGTAGCTCGATGCGGAATAATGATGAGGGTGTAGTGTCGGACATAATGTATGGGGATGGGTTGTAATTCAGTGAGGTAATTGATTACGGTGAGTCTTCTGTAGTTTAGTTAGGACCGGGGCCCATAACCTGTTGTAAAATAGAGTGTAATGAAGGTGATAAACACAGTGGTAAACTGAGAGACTCGACCGTTTGAGAGAGATTGTGTTAGGAAGTAGTTAAAGCAATGTGTATTGGGGGTTGAGATCCCTGGTATATATACTACAAGGTAAGTGCTTCCAGAACATACTACTACCTACCAGTGTCCATGTCTGACTCATTGCTGAGTGAGCAGACGAACGAATGACTCGAGGAGAAGAGACGCAAAGATTCTCGTGTGGCTTCAACTATAGTCCGATTGCTGGATTGCCAGATGCGGCTGGCGCATCTTCGACAATCTCTGAACTCTCGTTCGCCCATGACTTGCATACTTCTGATTGCATCCATTGCGTCGTCAAAGCTTTTGCTGCTCAGTCCTACCAACTGCACTGACTCAAGAACCCGACCTTCTCCTTCTGTGCCCTAATCCGGCGTGCCGTCAGTGTTATTTGACCTTACATGTCATGGTTCAATCTCACCTCGTCTCCTTTGCCACCGGCGGCAGGTCCATCATGTATATGGCCCCTGTGATAGTGAATACCATTTCTTCCATCGTTCCTTTGTCTTCGGACTGCTTGATGATCCTCCATACCTCTGCCTCATCGTCTCTCTTGATGGATGCCGACTTAATGAATTCATTGTCCTAGCATACCTGGTTAGTACAGCTCTCATAGCAGTTGGTGACGCTTACCTTCAGTACTCTCGATAGGTGCATCCTGTCTTTTTTGACTCTCTCTTGTGTCAGCAATTCTATTATGTTTTCTGGCGTGATCTATGGTGAGTGACGTCGATTTGTTGACTAATAATCGCTCACTCGCGTCGTCTTTGTTGTAGAATCTGTCCATTTTGTACTATATGCTGCAGAGGAATCAAGAGTTATTCAGAATGTGTTCAGAGTTGGTGGGGTTTGGCGTAAGGAGGGTGAGGGTGTGATGGACGGGTATGTAGTGTTCCTGTTCCCGTTTCATCTCTGTATGACTGATATTATTGTCCCATAAGCGTTGGGATTCTCTCCCCTCTCTCTATCCCCCTGGCTGCTACCCTCCCTATCGTTGGTGCTTTCCATCGTGGTCCTGCCAGATGTTTCCTTTGCAGTTATGATCTCGCCTCAGGCTCTCATGCTTGGTTGGATCTTCAGATGCGATCGTCTTCTCCCTTGCCCCATCCGTTGCAACTTGCTGAAAATGAAACACCCTGTCGCTGTCTGACTGCCTCGTTCATGACCGTATGACATGCACAGTGTACCTCATGAACAATCCCATTTGTGAATGCTACTGTATTTGCCCCATATACTTATTTTTTTTTTTCATTTTTTTAATGTCCCGTGTCTGTATGCATTGATCATTTTCATTTCAGGTACATGATATTTATGTGTGACGCATCTTCCTCTTCAAATCTGGACCCGACGCGTCCTCTTTAGCAAAAAAAAACCCTCTTCTTGCTTCTTTTTCTCTGTTGCTGGTTATCATCTTCCTCTTTTCTTCATCGCTCGACCTTGTGGGCATCGATCATTGCTTATCTGACCATGTGCATGTTCCTTCTACGCCTCCATATCGTGCGGGCACTGGGCTGTTCTGATTGATGTGCGTTGTGTTGATTTTCCTCTTCCACCTTGTGCAATGTCTGCCTTTCTACCGCAGGCTTCTTCTTATCAGCATCGAGCTCCATACTAATGAGGATCCCACCCTGTATCAGCTTGTAGGCATAGTATACTTTGGCAATAGTCATTTTACAGCCAGATCTGTTGACGCCAATAATATAGTATGGTTCAACGACGGTATGATACAGGGAAGACGCGCGTCGAGGGAAGGTCCTCTTGGGGGTATTAATATGTGACGAGATCCAAACAGCAAGGTACCAGATACTTTCATGTACGGACGTTACGACTAATAGGTATACTGAAGGGCTGACAAAAATAGGACTCGGAATTGCCACTCGGATGAGATGGCCCTCACCCACTAGTTGTGTACCCACTTTCTCTTCCCGTTCTTGCCAATCTTGCTCGTGTAGAATCTGACCTTGTTGTCTTCAGTATGGATGAAGTTCTTCTTGATACTGGCGGACGCTAGTATTCCCTTGGGATCCACCCCTTGCTCGAATTCGGCCTGTTCTTGCGGGAGAGTCTTCATTGTTTCGAAATACATGTTGCTTATGTCCAGTACGAGATCTTCATCCGTGTTGTCAGGGAACCATTTCTCCCAAGCACTATCTGCGGAATTGTCCTTCGAATATTAGTTGCGCCTCCATTATCAAGTCCACCATATCCTTGAAAGTGTCGCCTCTCATCCCGGTAATCTGAACATGTTGCTGTAGGAATGTATAATTCTCCTTCCTAGTAGACTGTCCGGTAAGCCATGTTCTCTTATGCGATGAATGCTAGACTTACATCGGTGATTCAATTACAGGTGGTAGATACTTATTCTAGCTGGTTGTCACTATTGGTCTCGACCACACACCAAGTCATCTCCCCATCGACACTTATCAGGGTTACCTTGTTGAGCCAGCTATCCCGTAGACTGCTGGACCAGATAGTAGTACTGTCAGTCTTCTCGGTATTAAATTATTTCTTCCGTCTTACCTGAGGTTTGTTTGCGAGATGGTGGGTGGTAGCCCCCCTGCTGTTAACGATGTACTCCTGTAGCACCTCTCCTGGGATAAATTCGTAGGTCGCTCCAAATCTGTCTCAATAATAAATAGTAGGGGATTTTTTTGAGCATCGGGGCTGTTAATAGATATTATTTTGATATCACGAAAAAATATCAGAGGACTCGGTCTTGCCACGCTTGCGTTGGCCCCCAGTTTCATGTACCGATTATAAACATGGACCCATAATTGCCTACAGAAGGCCGGGCCGTGACCTGTGTACCCAGTTAAAAACAATTCGAATTAATTCCATCTTCGAACACCACAACACGTGGTTTATCCCAGCTCCCGCAGAGCGGTATCATTTTTACGACTGGGAACGAGACTAGGAGGGGAGCTGCATGATCAATGTTATTACGTGTTGGAGCAGGTTACTGACTTTCTACCATGTCCTTCCTGCCTCCTCATGCTTCTGAAAGGGGAATTTCCAATAAACATAGGTCGTGGCCCGTGATCATACTAATAGGTGAAACGTATCTTCATGAAAGCAGCTGCCGCAAAAGGTAAAAGAGCTAGTTCGGAAAGACAGTATTACGTGCTGGAACATATATTCGCGCCTCCGTGTGATCGCTGGAACAGCAGCCACTGAATTTTCTGTTACTGTAGAAGGTCAGGAGGGCAGCGGATATAGATCAATGATGCGAGACACCGTACGTGACCATGTATAAGCTTTCCCGAGGACAGGCGAGTTACATGTAACAAACCCACGGCGGGTGCTCAAAGGGTCCAGAAAGTTGGCCCTTCCATCAGTGGTCAGGGCAAAGAAGGATGAGAGTGAGGTGTGGATGTTTGTCCACAATGGCCATACTTAATACATAAATCACCACACCAGTACACAGTTCGTCAGCCTCTCTTAGTATTCGATTCCGTTCATCGCTTTCGCGTCCTCTACGCGAAGTTCCATAATTGTATCGACCGAAGCCAGGAGACAATGTTTAAGCCATAATGCTGGCGACGCGTAAGCCTCGAAAGACCTAAGACCATATTTCCAGCCTTGGTTTCCCTAAGTATGGGTTCGGAAGCGTGGTCCACTTTCAATCTACTTCACGTCGGCGACCTAGACCGCGCGTCACCAGGGTCGACAAGGAAAGGAGAGATGAGGGTACTAACAGTCTTTGTGCGAATGTGAACCAAGCTGCCTTGGCCCAATGAGAGTCTTTTCTGGCTGTGTCGCGTTTGAATGCAAGAGAATTCCAACGAAAGTAACATGCCAAGTCTCGGAAGCCTAACATCCGCGCTGGGTCAACGGCGAGCGAATAGGGTATTTTATCATTACTACTGGGAAAGAAAAATGTATTTGCATTAAATCTCCATCTGAACGCCTTTGAATACCACCCTGAAGAGACATATACGCTGACGCACCTCCGGAGAGACTCTCCCATTTGTCAATCCTCCCGTTGACAGTGATAGACGTATCCTTGTATTTCCGGCACGATCTCCTTCGCAAGACTGCCTTCTCCTTCACCGCCGGTCCCTGCATCACCATCATCTTCGCCTCTCCCGGAGGGCCGAATGGCCCCTCTCCCGTGGCCTCTCGCCCCCTGTCCTAGTCGATGGAGTAATAGGAACGTTCCTGCCCCCTCACGACCACCACCGTCCTTATGTTATGGCATGAGACTCGCTGGATGGAGCGAGTATCTTCGATGCCGTTGTCTTCGGTGTCCGCTCCGTCGTTATCTCTACCCCCTCGACTCCAGCTGCACCGTCGCTCTCTGTTTCGGTAACCCCCAGCGGTATTCATGCTTGTAAGATGGTTGCCAATTTAACCAATCCATTGGTGTCGCTTCCGTCTGTCCCTTCGACAAAAAAGTCAAAAGTTTGTCTTAAATGGTCCATATCTTCCTCTGGATCCTCGGTGGATCAGTGGATGTAAGCTGTTTTCATCCCACTGTAAAAGATACAGTGAGTATGGTATTTGCATAGTTGCGGTGGGATCAACCCACATTCTTGCAGCAGCTCTCAAATCATAGGCATGGGAAGCTACCATAAGGCATTCCTCGGGCTTTAGATCGAGCAAATCTATTGCTTTCTGATAAATCTTTGGATCGGGCTGTCATCTAAGAGTCAAAAAAGATTGTGAGATTGGTGTGACTCAAGTACGTACTTTCGTGAGGTCCAAGAGCTGCGAGGACAGCAAGGTATGGAATGGGAGCTGAGATGACTTGATGATGTCGAGCTGAAGACGTGTGGTGCCGTTGGCCAGGACGATACTGTCAAAGACATGATTAGAACATTTTCTTTCACGTCAGCAATCTTTACCCACACGAAAAATTTGTGCTTCAGTATCTCGAGGCCTTTGATTGCATCGGGCCAAGCTGCGGTAGATATCGTGAATAAGTGTAATCCCTGACATCACTCAGGTCGGTACCTTGTTGGATGTGCCAGCTTTGGACCATGTCGTTTCTTGTTTCCTCATCCCAAAAGTCCATTCCAATTTTGCGTTCTAATAGGATACGATCCAGCACCCGTCGGTGAGTGACATCTATGTCTTCAGGGTCTTCAGGGTCTTCGCCTGCCTGAAAGCGGTGGTGAATTTCTTCAAAGAAACCAGCCTGCCAGTCCATGGCAAAGGAGCGCGGGTCAACAAGTGGTGGTTTGGAGCCCAAGGCAGACAGTATGGAGGAACACCAGTCGGTACAAGTGCCCATAAGATCAAGGACGAGAGCCTGTATCATCTTCGGAGTTAACCAACGAGCTGGCACTGGAGCACTGATTAACAAGCGCCGGGGATATGCCGACTTGCATTTTCAGATTACCGCGACCACGTGACTGAGTTCCTTTCTATGACTCCAGTTATATTGGCCTGCGATCTACGGCTGTTATTAGCTGATAGAAAAGCAGAGACCTAGCTGCGAGAGCCTTCGGTACGGGCTGATGAGCAAGATGTGGAATACTCACTACATATAACACGCAGAAGGCAGGAGAAGGTGTCAAGAACTGCTCAAATATTCAAGTTTTCATCGTCCGAATAAGTAACATGTTGTTGTCTCAGAAATCTCACCGACATTGAGGTAGCAACACGGTTGGACAGGGTTGGACACGGCTAAGCTTGAAAAGTATGTTTAAACCATGTCGGGATCTGCCGATTATGCCGACCATGCCGACACATGATTTGTGTGACTCCCGTGACAGCGCCACTCTCCTTTACCCTGTTTACCGCGACCACGCGACGCGTTTTCCCATGGATTCCTCCCAGAATGAGTCGCCTGCAGGTCCACGACGTTCTCAGCGTGATAGGAAGCAGCCGAAACGTATAGATACCAGTGAGGCGGCCTCGGTTTACCCCCACTATTGTCTCTAACTGTTGTCAGTCACGAACACCGGTAAACGGAAACGTACAGCAGAGAGCGACGCCGATGAAGACGCAGAGGCAGGAGAGGAGGATGCCACAGAGGAATATCATGCACCGAAGCCAAAGACAGCGCGAAAAACGGCGAAACCTGCGGCGAAAAAACCGCGCACGCAGAGGGGACGCAAACTTAAGGATGCTGAAGACGCGTTATTCGACCCGGAGCAGCTTGCCAAAGACACCAAAATTAATTCAGATAACCCTTTGTATAGTACGTCTGGCCGTTTTCGTGTCCATAACACCTAATGTCCTTTGGCAGACGCTATCATGAACCCGTCGGCTGCATTACAGGGAACAGCAGAAGATTTCCTGGAGTCCCTCCAGCAACACTCTGGAGCCGCACTAGCAGAACTGATTAATCTTATTCTGCGGTCCTGTGGATGCAATGATTCGGTTGACGAGGATCAGGCAGTGGACTATGACGGTGTCGTCGATGCGCTGGACCATTTTACGGAAGGTCTCAAACAGGTGTGGTTCTTTGTTTCCCTCGTCTAGCAAGCACTGGACTATGTCTCTAGGAAGCATCGCCCACGTACCCCTTGACATCTAAAAATCCCATTTTCAAGAAATTCCGCACACATCTTTCCGAGTTTTTTGCTCGTCTGATATCATCTGCTGCTGACCTTGGTGTGCTATACACATCAGATTTGATACCTACTCTCCAAACTTGGGTTGTAGCTATGAGCTCGTCCCAAATACGGAGCTTCCGGCACACGTCAACTGCTGTTGCCCTCGATGTCGAGGCAGCACTCTGCGACGTCACACGGGGCGTTGAAAAGGAGGTTGAAGTACTTGGACGACAGAGAGAAGGGGAGAAGAAGCGTAGAGCAAAGGGAGGGGCTAGTGCGAAGGACAAGGAACTTGAGGGCAAGCTGAAAGAAGTCAAGGAGAGAGCGGCCAAATTAGACGAATTCTTGAAAGAATTCATTGACGGGTACGGCTCCTCATCTGCTGAATTTTGTTTGGGCTCATTGTCATGTAGCGTATTCGTCCATCGATTTCGCGACCTTGACCCCGTAATACGAACGGAATGTATCACCTCCCTCGGCATATTCTTCAAGAAACACCCGTCTCATTTCCTTTCAACCTCTTACCTCCGATATGTCGGATGGGTACTCTCGGATTCCGCTACACACGCCCGTCTAGCTGCTGTTAAGGCTCTGCAAATCGTGTACTCATCATCAGTCGCTGATGGTGTTCTCACCTCTCTGAATCACTTTACGGAACGATTCAAACCCCGTCTCGTCGAGATGGCCGAGGCCGACGTGGATGTGGGTGTTCGTGTCGGTGTACTCAACGTCCTTGAAGAAATTGAGAAGAGTGGTATGCTTGAAGAGGAGGAGCGAGAACGGCTAGGCGGGCTTGTCTTCTGTGAGGAAATGCGGGTACGCAGGGCTGTTTCAGGTTTTGTGCGTGGCGTCTGGGAAGAGTGGGTGGAGCAGCGCGACGCTGAGATGGGCGGGAAGAGCAAAACTGACAAGGAACGGATGGGAATAAAGGGCATCGCAGCACTACTGGTAAAATGGGGGGAGGCACTGGATAAGGTTCTGGGTGATGACGATGAAGAAGACGAGATCCAAGCTAAACGCACGAGGACGAGACCTGAAATTGCCGCCCTTTCTACGGGAAGACATAGGTCTGGTGGAGGAAATCGCACAGCTTTGGCTGCAGAAGCGTTGTGGGACGAAGTGGACCCTGTTACTGATTGGTCAGGCATTCTCGATATGCTGTTGCTGGATCATTCTGCATCTACAGATCAAGGCCCGTCTTCCAATGGACGCGGCAAAAAGGGAAGAAAGGGAAGAAAACCAGCAAAAAGCAAAGGTGCAGCCTCTCAGGAGGTGGATGATGATGACGAAACCGAATCTGTTCATGTTGATGATTCTTGGAGACTGGAGGAAGTGGAGGAAGGTATTTTGCTCGAACTTTTGGTCGCTTCCTTGGCGAAGACTAAGAAGGAAGCGGTCGGAGGTAAGAAGGTATGTACTAAATAACTCAATCAGAAAAACATACTTACACTGCGAATAAAGGGCGAGGAGGACACTGTTGCCAACGAGATTACTCGCGCTTTGATGAAAGGTCTCCCGCGCCTTTTCGTGAAGTACCAGACAGACGAGAATCGGATCAAGGATGTTCTCGTCCTACCTACTCTTATGAATTTGGATCTTTATCTCGAAATGCGAGCCATCAGCGTAGGTTTTATCACATTCTAGGGCAACCTCAATCTTATTTTATTTTACATCAGGATTACTCGAATCTATGGGATGACATTCTCAAACAATTCCTCACGCATGCGTCTCCTGGTATTCTGGCACTTGCAATGAACACCATCACATATCTACTCTCTGCAACGTCTCTCTCCAATACCAACAGTACGAAAATTCTTGAGCTGGAAGACGAGCTCTCATCGGTCCTCCGTGCCGCCCTTGCGGACCGTGAAGAGATCGAAGTAGCGTCATTCAACGAAGACGAGGTCTTGTCTCTTGGGTCCACATGTATGCGGTTAAGGATACTTGCTGGAACAAGAGATATGACAGGGTGGATCGAAGACGATGAAGGCGGTAAGCAGAGTAAGATATGGGATCTTTTGAACGCTATAGCGGAGCGGGGACGACTGGGATATAAGGACGAAGAGGTGGTGAGTCTTTGATTGTTTTATCACCGTCGGATATTCGTTGACAAGCTTCAAAGATGATCGAGCAGGTGTTGCATTTATTGACGTTGCATATTATTTGGAAAGGAAAGGCCCTTACGACAGATCCTTCGCCTTCTGCTGAGGAGGTTCGACATAGAGAGAACCTGGTACTTCAACGGGAGGTTTTGCTGGAAAAACTGACGGAATATGCGATTGGTACTCAATCAAATACGGTGGAAGGTATTCAGAGAACAGTATGTGTTTACTCGCACCGTTTCGACTGATGACTCACTTCATGAAACATAGGCATTCAAGAATCTCTTGGATCTCCATGTACTATTCTCGGCGACGCAAACTGTCGCGGCAGATGGGTCGCCATTGCCGACTGCTACAGTGGCGCTGACCATGGAAGACGAGGCCCAGTATCGATGTGCGGGATATGTGCAAGCTGAGATCGAGAGGTATGCAGAGATTGTTCAAGAAGGAGATGAGGAAGAGGATAAGAGTGATGATGGTAGTGATGATGACTCAGGGGATGAGAACGAGCCTGCTAAGAAAGTTAAGAAGAAGGGTAAGGAAGTAGCGAAACCGGCAGCGACAGAGAAGGAAGGCAAGTCGTTGATACGCTGTTCCTCTGCTAAATTTACCGTTGCCTTTAGATGAAGATGCCAATTCTCGTGCTCGGCTCGAAGAGGAGTACGTATTCATCGATGTGATGTCTACCTTCTTGCGAGCAATACGGGCTGGCGCAATTCATGTTCGCCACGGTGCCATTCTTCTCGCACACTATGGCCGTTTGGGACCTTCCTTTGACCTTTGCACTAAGGTCATTGTAGAAGTCCTACGTGAAGCAGGCATGTTTAATGACGATGGCGATGTTGTAGTTTTGGTCGTCACGCAAGCGCTTCAAGAGGTAACAACCCATAGTGAATTCGTGTTGGCAGTTATGACTCATTTTTCGTCTTCAGGCATTTACACTCATCTTGGACTCTGTCGTGCGAGACGAGACTAATGCTGTTCAGCTTGCGAAACAGCTATCGTCTTGTTTTGTCGTTCGAGGAGTCCAGCTTTCCATCGTCCGCCGACTTGACAACGAATACATTGTCCAGATTCACACAAATCTGATTTCGTGGTTGGGCAAGCGGCTGTCGACTTACCAGAGCAACAACAATAAAAAGTCCCTAAAGCGGACGATACTGTGCTTCCGCGTGTTAACTCAAATGCTCAGTGTTATACAAAGTCGGGAAGCATTGCAAATGTTCGTACTGCTTTCACACTTATGATACTTGACTGATGTTCGCCTTTCATCATTAGTAAAGCTCATATGGATCAGGTCTTGGCTGAGGCCAAGGTGGAGGTTTCTCCGACTTCCTCACTCTGGGAGCCACAACGTGCCTATGAAAGAAGGCTGACGTCAAAGGATAAAGAAAAAGGTATGGTGACTTCAGGCGATAATCGTATCTAAGCTAATTGCTTGAGCAGTGCCTGGGTCGAAAACGAGGAAAGCCACTGGCAAAGGAAAGGCGAAGAGTTCAACGATGGTCACGACTGATGAGGAGAGCGAAGTGGAACATCTGGTTGATCGTAACGTGGAGCAGGACAAAGTGCCTGCGGCGACTCGAACACGGAAGCGTACGGTACCACAACGTAAAACCGCATCTCGTGCTCGCGCTCGCGCAGCCGAGCAACAAAGCGACCACGACCCTGACGATACTGCTGAGGAAAATATCGCAACGCCAAAATCGCGACCGCGACCGCGGCCAACATACAAGTCAAAAACCAAGACTCCTACTAGGGATGCGATAGTGACAGAGATAGAGGATACTGCAGCGCCTGTGCCTATTGCTCACAGTCCACAGGACGAAACCTCTGCTCCATCGCCGCTGACACCAGCTGAGTCTGATCTGGACGACGCTGTTCTTCCGTCGCGAAAGAGGACACGGGTGGATGAAGATGAGGGACAGGCGACAGAAGAGGCGGAGCCGACTGCTGGATCTACAGCAGAGGGAGGAGACGATGAGGCTGAGGGTTCTGGGTATATGCAAGTGCGGAGGAAGCGAGCTCGGCATTGACGAACGGACTGATTTCGGTGTGGATTTTCGTTTTTATGATTTATATTTAATTTCCTGCCTTTGCTATGCTCGCTGCTGTCGATGTATACATTATATTTGTATTCGCGAATGGTGTAACAACATTATTAGATGCTTCCGAGGGCGGAAGCTGGTGTGAGGGTCTCACCTTTTCGATCTTTCTTACTCCCGGTGTTCCTTATTGGGACCGCATACCGGTTTTCTAAACTCTTACTGGATGATATATATCTGACATCTGGTCTCACTGACAGTGGTGTGAGCAGCGCCCCGTTGAAATTATCTATTTCTATTCTATCACTGCTACCAACAAATTGTACGCGCTTCAGTGCTCCCCCGTCATACGTACTAAAGCCTTTCCACAGAATTATGAATGAGCTGGATGATTCCCACTATTAACGCCTCTATGACACTTATTGGAGACGCCCAGACATCTAAATATTTCAAAAGAGTCGAACAACCAAATGTGACAGCCAGGGAAAATACGTTTGGCTACTTGAGGATCCTAGCGGATTCATGGAAGCCGCATTCGATGCAAAGACGGTGACTGTCTCCGAGGAATGCATGAGGGCAGTGAACAAGACGATTAGCTTCTCAAAGGATACAGAGGGTCCCCTCGCAATGGATACAGCCCATTTTGACACATCCTCTCCCACCTTGTAATCCATTTCAAGGCCATGAAGATGCGGTAGTGGGTATAAAACGCGGGTTTTCTGTTAATGGCTGCCACAGATCAGGTATGACATGTGACATCCTCAGTGCAAGTTGGTCCTTATGCTCAAATATTGGCAGGCAAAAGTGTCTGATTGTGTCTTATCCTCATTTGGCGTCTTCAGTGTGGCCTGACAACGGGTTATGCTAGTCACGGCTCGTATTGGGTCGTCTTCACTGATAAAGGCTTCCACAACTTGGGCGTTGATATGAACTGTAAAACCGCTGCCACCTTTTATGTCAGCAGCCTGTTTGGCGATCGTTTTTGGATATTGGTCGACACTACGGTGGGCTGCTATGAGGAGGATATACCTAGCTTGCTCGTAACTTCGTGCTGTTACCTTGTGCAGACCACAACACACAGGATACGTTGAAATCGCTATTGTAAGATGGTCCTTACATATAAAATGGATGATCCTATGTTGTGGTATAATGGTATGCACTTTTCTCTTTTCACGGTGTCAGGAGCTGACTGCAAGATCCAAGAGAACTTTATGTAGGAGGTAATAAAGGATTGTTTGTTGTCGTACCTGTATATATGACAAGGGTGCCTTTGAGCGAAACCGAAGGGATTTGGTGAAAACAACCATATTCTACCGCTTGTCAAACAACAAAAGATCTACTTCTCCCATACCTTTAAAGCTTTGATGGCCTCTGTATACTACCAAACCTGCTGACTGAAGGCTTAGTGGGAATATGTGTGTCACGGAAAGTAGGAGACCTATTTTTGCAAACGATTCCATAATGTCTAATTCGTCAGGACAACAATCTAATCTGATACACACGGGTACTGCACCTGGCGTCAAGAGGACCCCCCAAAATAGGTTGGGAAGCCGTGTCGCCATCCGGACCAAATTTATGGGTCAAAAAGGGTTATGTCGTGTTTTATCCGGACAAAATTGAAGAAATTCTGCGAAGGGCCGAGTTGTTTTGTCCGGACATCAGCACTCAAAATAGGACGATGCCATGTTCCAGTCCGAACGTTTTGAACGCGACTCGATGCATAAATTCAGCGAGGAATACTCCTTAGGATATCCAAAGCAGCCAAATATAGATTTTGGGCCAATTTCAGAGCTAACAGACCTCAAACAAGACAGGCAAGCCGTGTCTGTCACGCGCAATCATCCGGACAATAGTAAAGAAAATTGGGGAAGGCTGGATTTTATCCGGACGAAATCAACTGATTTTCCGTTTTGCTGTCCGAATCTTTTGGGCCTGATTTCGAGCTTCGTGGCACGGCCTTCTCACCTATTTTGGGGGGTCCTGCGTCAAGGTGTCGGAATTACAAATGAAGCTAAATCCATAAACTGTAACACGCAACCCAGTGATGTCGGGGTCAGGTCAAGTACTTGACTCTGACCGGGTCTGACCCCCTGGTCAGTCAAATGGGTCAGCACAGATGAAGATTTTTTGGGGGGTCAAGCAAGGGTCAAAGGCACTCACATGCTCAAATTTGATACCTATTTTTCTCACTGTATTTTCGTTATTTTAATATTCTACTGCCTTGCGAGATGGTTCACAACAAAATATGGGCCTTGGAACAGTTTTCGAACAAAGGTACTAACTACAAGAATGATCAGTTACACAAAAAAGCCTGGTGCCTCACTGAGCTTCGTTTCGAGGTTGCCGTACCGCGCCAAGATGACCTCAAAGCCATGCAAGAAGGACTGATCACATCAAAACGAAATTGTAGTCGAATAGAGCCCTAAATAACACCACTATTCACCAGACAAATGAACTTTGCTTGACCCCTCTGACCCCGGTCATGACCAGGGGGTCATAGAGGTCATAAAAATTCTCGCTGACCCCTCATTTGACTGACCCGGGTCTGACCCGGGGTCATGACAACACTGACGCAACCTGACCCTGTGAAGCTATGGTCCGACGGCTATAAGGCATAACGCGTAACACCCCGTGAAGCTACGGTCGAAATAGAACAGTACTGTGAACTTCGCCGACTCATAGGGAATAAGATAATGTAAAGGAAACAAGGTAAAGCAGACAGAGTGCAACTACTACCGCTACTAACGCAATGATTTGGCATGATGACGGAACCTTGGCCGATTTCCCGCTGGGTCTGAGATGTTGTTTCAGCCGCTGAGCCATTAGTTCTTCGTAGCCCTGCTGAGGTCTTAGATGACGACAGATTGTCTCACTACTATGATATAACCCCCTCGCTCAAGCTATAACAGCATGCCCGAGTTGAACGATACTCACTACCAACGCATGTATGACACCTACTGGATGCATCCAGATGTCCAGATATTTCAGAAAAGTCAAACAACAAATCAGATCCGTTGGCTATTCGAAGACCCCAGTGGATTCATGGAAGCAGCGTTCGGTATACCGACAGCGATTGTTTCCGAGGAATATATCAAGGCAGCAAACATCGCCGTCGCTTTCACGACTCTTCAGCACAAATCGGCAATGGCAGAGACACCCCATCTGAATCCCTTCTCTCCACCTCGTAATCCACTTATTGGCTACAATGAGTCACCAATCAGCATCGACCTTGCTTTTGTATGCAATGGAGAGCACGAAACAGGCATATAACTTGTACCATATCTTCTATCTTGGACTGAAATACTTGGATCTGTAGGCAAAAGCATTTGGCTATTTCTTATCCTCATCTGGCGTCTGCAGTGCGGTCTACCCACAGGTTACGCTAGCTCTAGCGAGACGTGGTTTTTCTTTAACCAAGAAGGAGTAACGAAAGGTCCTTTATACAGCGTTATACTTCTCGACTATCGCCGTCTCAGCGATCGTTTGGGCAACAACCATTGGTTCTTGGTCGACACCACCGAAGGCTGCTATGAACGTGACATGCCGATGAAGCTTGCTTGGACGGGATTTTACCTCGTACAAGTTACGTCCCAAACCAAGATGGGCTGGACGCGCTGGATGTACAAAAGCAAGCCCGAGGTATTTATCCATACGATGAAATCATTCCATGCCAATATGCGGTACGTGCGTTCCTTTCCCTTCGTTAAACGCTAATTGCCCTTTCTCAAGAGGTGCTCCAGCTCAGAACCAGAAATGAGTAGGCAGGTCAACTTATATTTTTATAACGGCCGTCATATTCACCTAGTTCAAGGATAAAACCATGCAGGATTTTGCTACTGTCATATGTATGTACGTTAATATAAAATGGCGTAATAACACAAACTGCTGTGAAACGAATGGAATGTTCCATAATAAAGATAGAAAAACGAATGGAATAAATAATATATTGCTAATCTGTATCGGAGAGCATACCGAGAGTTGTCAAAATTCCATTAGGCTAGAAAATATGTCAGGCCGACGTCAGTGAATGAGGTCCCTTCAAACTTACATCTGCCTTGTACACATGAGAAAGCCCAGAGCTGTCTGGTAACGAGCTTGGGCGGTCACAGCTAGAACGACGCCTGTGTCGCGGCTCGGGTGTTCTGGCCCGTTCACCATTAGAGGGAGACGCTATGAGTGAGAGCGCCCTCCGAGGCTTAAGGTCCTTGGAAGTGATGCCGAGCATATCACAAAGCTCTTCATGGGCTCGGATCATTGCTCTGGTCTCAGTGTTAGGCGTGAAACCATCCGTGGAGAAGCCCTGCTTTCCTAGTCTCAGCGTCAAGAAAAAACAAACACAATCGCGTTGCGTACCGTGGAAATCCTAGATGATAAGTTAGTCATAATATCATTGGGCCGATGACGAGGTATCGGAGGAACCGGAGGAATGTCTTCGATTGAAAACGTCGACTTCGCGCCTGACGAAGTACTTAATCTGTTATTGCTGATAGTAGACGACCGAGCGGATCTTAAACCTGCCCTGGACATCCTGATGCTGGATTTGCGAACAGCCGAGATACGACTAAAACGTTTGCCTTGGCTATCGGGTGATCCGAGCTCCGCCCGTTCACTTAGGTTGTCAAAATCCTGCGCCACACTCTCTGCTTGCTGCCAAGCTTCATTCTTCTCCGCCTCTAGGATTTGAAGTTGCTCTCGTAAGACACGGGATTGGGCAAATTCCTTTAGAAAGCTAGAGTTTAGTTTCCTTAATGCCATCGCCAACGCGCTAGCGATATGTACGTCGCACAGAGAGCTCAATTGCGCAATCTGCTGGTCAATGCTGTGTAGATCTTCTGCCAGCCTGTCGAGCGCCACCGAAACATCTTTCAAATCTTCGACGTGACGGACAGCTAAAGGCGTATTTTCCCGAGATGAATTGTCGTTAATGGCTGCAGACAATGCCTCCAGAAGTTCTGTGCGACGCCGGGTGAACATTTTGTATCGGGACTTCACGTCCATCCTTTGTTTCTCCAGTTTCTCCATTTCAACCGGGATCTCGAGATCAACTGCTTCTTGATGCAAAAGCCTAATTGACGATGCTTCAGCAGACTGGCGTATTGCTTTAGATACTATCGCTTGTAGCTCAGCCGAACTGAATGTCCATTTCGCTGCATCCATTGTATAGCCTCTCCACTTCGGCGTAGGTGTCTGGAAACGTGGAGACGGAAGGGCAGCAAAATACGTTCTTCGGTTGGTGTTGCTTGAAGGAACGGATGACACTCGATCACGTTTGGGCTGAGACGGACCTCGAGGGCCAGCCGGGGCTCTCGTTCTGCGCCTGACAGTTGGGGTCGGCGATAGAGCCAGTGATGACTGATCGTTAGGATTGGCTACCGAACTACTTTCAGTTGAGAGAGGCCCAAACCCGGCTTGGCGTACGTCTGCGCCTTGTATCGTGTTCATTGAAGGATGGTTATGAACGATTGTGTCATACGGCGGAGGTGATCCTAGAGCCTTATAAGCATCACTCTCATGGTCAACATGAAGGGGGACTCTGCGTGGCGGTCGAGCTAGTTGTGGTGATGCAGAATACGAACGAGTGGGTAAAGGCGGAGGTGGTGGAACTACGAGCGCTGGGGGAGCATGGATCACCGGCGGCGGGTTACCACGACTTTGGATAAGGGTAGGCAACGGCGGTGGTGGCGGTACAACAAGAGCAGGGGGTGCGACGTTCCGACGAATTGCAGGTGGAGGCGGAGGTGGCACTGGCAGATCAGGAGGCATAAAAAGTGGAGAAGGCCTAGGCGGGGGCTCAGTACGGCGGATTGAAGGTGACCTCGGGGGTTCAACATGTGAAGTCATCAGGTCAGATGCGGTGTCTACGTTTGAGGATCGGGGATGTTGATTATCCGCGGTGGACGGTAAGGGCAAGATTTCTGGGGTCACAGAGGTCAAGGGAGAAGGTGAGGAATGAGAGGAAGGTAGAGGTGACGGAGGCAAAGGCGGTAGGGCCTTCAACAATCGGACCTCTGAATTGGTTTCGGTCCCCAATGACGTTGATGATCCAGTTCCCGTCCGCCGAGAGAGGAGAGAAAGAGTGCTTCCAGAAGGGCCTTGATGAAGCATGGGAGGGGTAGCCGGCTTGGGTTCTGGTACAACCGTAGGCATTACATTTTCACCAAGGTCCATAGTGCTTTCATCTGGAATTGGAGGCAAAGGGGGTGACAAAATGTCCTGTGGAACAGACTGACCCCCGACGAAAAATTGCGGAAGGATACGAGCATCTGCCGAAACAAAAGCGGAGTTGTCCGAGGATGGTGCTACGGTCCGGGCACGAGTTATACTAACTTGTCGAGAATGCCTAGCACCGTGTACAGACGAGGCAGCCCGCGTCAACAACACCTGCTGAGTAATGCTAGGCATCATACTTGCCCTCGGAAGCGCGGCAGACGCAGGCGTCTGCGGGAATTCGTCTTGTCCGTAATCGGACCGTATCGGCGACTCAAGACTTAGACTGTACGTTGGGCTGGATAGATCAGGTGTCTCAGGAAATGTCTGCTGGCCGTAACTGCTACCACTGCTATTGGGAGTGCTATCAGAATATTCGGAGTTTCCGGTGGGCGCAACCATAAGTTGGTAGGTATCCATGTCCCTGAGATCACGGACGACACCTTTGATGGGACTTCGAGTGCTACCCGTTCGTTGGTGAGTAACGGAGGTAGCACTTGGACTCGAATGCGTGCTCGCCGTAGAAGCATTTGGCGAAAACTAGGAAACAGATTACAGATGCAGTACTTAACTTGTGAAGTGAGCGTACCTGTAAAGATCGTGGGCGCTCGCCAATGGGCAACAGAGATAATCTGTTGCCATTATCCTCCGATGAGGAGTTCGCCGAACGTACAGAATCCCGTCGTGCAACCCACTCGATCCGACCTAGAGAGGACAGGCATTTAATTTTGTTGTGCCCTAAGTGATCATACAGATCGAAAGAACTGACCAGAACCAGACGCAGAAGGCGCTGACGTACTTAAAATCAAGCCACCAGGATGGGGCCTGGCGTCCTGCTTGAAGGGAGATGGAGGAGATAATTGAGAGCTCAATTCCTCCGGGATTGGAGAAAATGGCAATCTATACTCATTACTCTCCGCCGCAGGATCATTTGGTGGTGAGTGTTCGTAATAGTCGAGCACATCTCCAAGATCCTTGCCTGATATCACAGAAGCATCTGTTGAAGGAGTCACGAGATGTTGCACGCTACTGCACGACGGTGAAGGATCATGATCAGAGTTGGATTCGATTGGTGATGTTGCATTTGCTGCGTTCGAAGGATGCGAAGGGATGTCTTCTGGGACACCTTCAACTACATCAACTGCGGATGCCAACTCGCCGCAGGAGGCATGTGGCGAGTTGGCATCATTCTCGCGAAACTCCCTAGAATCAACAGGAGAGGTTTCGTTTATCTTCTCCAAAGGCTCCGAGTAATGATGGTCGCTCAAGGCTGCGGGAGTCATGTTATTCGAGCACGGAGGAGAGATCGATGGGCTAGTATCCATGTCGTCAGACAATCTCGTGATGCCTCCGATGCTAGCTCGTTTCGGCGCATCCATCGATTTATTGGTTTCCAGTCTCGGATTCTTCGGCGGAGAATAGACCAATTCTGCGTTGAAGGGAATGGGTGGAACGGCCTCAGAGGATGCAGGCGAAAGCGAAGACGAAAACTGACTTCCCCAGCTGAGAGTCCTATCCTGTATCACTGGAGAATTCAAGAAAGGATGTTCTCCTCGAGGGAGCGTCGCAGAATCCGTGCGGACAAGACTCGATGCGCCACTTCGGTGCCGGGACAATCTTGTATCACTGGATAGGACAAACGAATTCGCCATCAACGCTCGCGCCAAGGTAGAACCTGAGACGGCAGATGACTCTTCGACTGATGAAATCTGAGAAGTGGGCCGCGACCGACGATCTGAAGTGGAAGTCGAGCGTATGAGCTGGACTTTCGCACCGTGCAAAGTTGCTGTTGGAATCTTGATGGGCGTAGGTGCTGTTCTTTTATACAACATTGACTATTTCTGCGTTCAACTTTAGAGTACAATTCAAACACTACGATACGCACCATACGATTTGGTCTATTGTTGCCCGAACCTACGAAGTTGACGAAATGAGACGCCTGAAAGATGCTAAGAAGTTGAGAGCGATGAAAGAGAAAGTAGAATACGCACGTCCAACGCCTCCAAATTCGCCAAAATATCGTCGGATGTAGACGATGTCCCGTCATCTTCAGAATCACCATACATGCCTCCATCTTCGTCAACAGTGGAAGCCTTTTGAGAATTCTGAAGCTGCTTTACACTCCGCCTCCGTGAACCACTGCCACTACCGGATGCTCCATCTTCACCTCCTGAAAGCAGATGCTCTGGAAACCAATTCGTAATAGGTTCAGGAGAGAGGTCAATATCCAATTTCACCCCCAGCGACTGTTCTGGCGCCCCAGGGCATCGTGGTCGTTTATCTGTTCCCTGCGAGACCGTGGAGACCGTGGAGTCCATCGATACCCGCTTGTCATGACTGATGTCGAATACAGCGGCGTATGGGTGTGGAGAAGTCGGTGTGTTTCTGCGCCGTACATCAAACGGCGACTTGGTGTTCTTGTTCTTGTTACGCCTTGGCAAGGAAATGAAGGAAGGGAACGCGGGCATGGCCCGGTGTCAGTTGGGAATTGAATGGCTGCAAATTATCAGATCCGTCTGTCAGACGAAGAATTGAAGGGCAGGACAGGGCAGAATCGAATGTGCCAGCGGGTATGGGGCGCAGTAACTGGTGGTCGGGTGCTAACGTCGATGGTAACAGCCTCGAAGGCTCATCACTCAGGTATGTTTGTACGTGTGTCACTAGCATCAATTAGGTCAATGATGTAGCTGATGGATATAACACAGTACACACCATCCCTTCCCGAAGTACATAATCTGAAGCACATCACGCGTCGGATCACTTGAGATAAGATTGGGTCATGGCGATACTATACGCAGAGCTGTACAGCCAGAGGGCGTGGCAGAGGCATCACCTAGGTGGATACAGCGGATAACGTCGAAGCTGAGTGCATACAGTTGCGTTTGTCGTCAATCATCCCGGGGTATTGGTGCCTGCGCCCAAAAATTCGTCAATGAAATTCACAAGGAAAGGCACACATGGTCGAGATGCTCATAGGCAAAGAATTTCCAGTGCCTTGGTCGTCACCTTGAAGGTACAGGAACTGTAGAGGAGTAATGCCATCGATTTCAGCGCCGTGGTCGTCGTTGTTGAGAAAGTGGAGGAAAATCTGAGGAAAATACATAATACAGACTGACAAAATTGGATAGTGAGCTTACTAAGCCGGCTAAGCCGGGCCGCCTGCACGTAGAATCGACCATGCCCCTCATCCTCGTGCTTCCAACCGCCACTGGATTTTTTTATACCTGTCGCCCATCGCTGGAATCTCCTTTTTTGTTGCCGAGGTTCTCTACGCTGTCACAAGATCTCTCATCTGACTTGGTTATCCGGCAAATACGACTTGTACTCTACTCTGGCTTCCGTGTTTTTAGGGATCCCATTTCGGTGCCGACATTTCCCTTCCCCAACCTCATGCTTGCGAACTTTTGCTTTGGTGTTCTTTATCTTCTTAAAGAAACTGTCTGGGCCACCTATCACCGTTCTTGGAGCTCACGGTGGGAGAACAGAACATGCTGTAGACTTCGAAGTTCAAAAAAAGGTACTGGGAGGCTTCCGAACAACAATCAAGCTTTGCATAGAATACCACAGCGTTGGCGCGCCAGTACACACTCCCGTTTAATCTTCCAGCGATGAATTCCCCCAACAGTACTCTGAACTACATAGTATACTTGTTTATTCTTGGCCTTGCAGGGCCTTCCGGTCACCACCTTTGAATATCTCGCGATCCAACCGGGGACTTAGACTCAATCCGGAGGTTCGAGAGCACGGCTATTTACAGCTTGGAAGTGCCGACTGCCCCTGGCTACCTATCGATGATCATTTCCGCCTCACGGTGTCAATGCAGTTGTCGTTGAATCTTTCCGCCACTGTTCCACCAACGCCTACTGGAAAACTAAGGCGATGTCCTCCCATGAACATGGAGATAGTGGGCAGTTCGGTATCTAATGGGGAGTACGGCGAAGGAGCGAAATGGTGAGCGCTATTATATGTCATAGACAGAAGCCTCATTTCCACACGATACCATCAAATGCGATTGAATCTCCATTATCAACCACGACTATGCCGCATGCAGCGGACCATCAAATCTACCGAACGACGCTGTGACTTGGGGACCTTAAGACAAAGCGAAGGACATGTACGGATGCCTCATGGCCAAATTCACACCGGAGATTGGATCAAGTTTGAATAGGTTTCGATCTCGCAATCATTCAAGTTACCTTACAATGCCATAAGATATGAACGTTGAACCCACACAAGACGTCTGCGTAATCAGGAGTTCAACAAGTTAACCCGCCGACGTGATGGACGGACCGCCGGCTTGATAATGAATAATTTGGCATTTTGATGAATTAAAATGTCTTGTTGGAAATGTTTTTTCTTTTGTCAAGAAGCGACCTTTGCCGCCCAGAAGCATCAACAAAAATCATGGAAGCGCCGCGCTGGAAAAGCTTGCGCCAGAGCGGAAACTGGTGCGAGCGTCATGGGAGCCGGAGGTGCTGATTGCGAGCACGTGGAGATCAAATCTTCTCTCACGTCAATGGAGACTCAAATTCTCAACTTCGGTAACGGCGACCCCAAGTGCGTGCCCCCTGCCTCTGATTCTGGATGAGTGTGGGTCAGTCATTCCAGATGCCGTTGATGTAAACGGTCATATTCCTGGGACAGGGAGAGGAACACCTATAACGATATAAGCCAATCGGAAGGACGTCAGCGACACTCCGTAGTTGCATTCATTGGTGATTTGAATGGAGGATTGGCATCATCAGGGCCGGTAAATTGCTATAAATTGTCAATGTTGAATATTTCATATTTACAGGTATTGTCAGAAATATTGATCAGACACTTCGGCACGCAGGAACGAGCCCCGTTGGTGACGTCGCCTAGAGCTAAACCGTGACCTAGGATTTTTTCTCCAGTTCGTTTTCAATCGGCCAAAACCAATTCCGCGTGGGTGCACCGCTAAAAGCGCCTTCTGCTTCTCGCATTACCACTGCATCCGTAAGGGAGCTAACGGCACCCAGGCTGATCTTCGAAGAACTTGGCTTTCATTTCCCACTACAATTTAAACCAACCACGGTCTTTCACCGCTCGTTTGGACAACGACGCTCATTTTCTTTCATTATCATCCTCGGCATGGCTACCCCATCCCCCGCTAATAAATTCCGTACAAAAACATCCGATTTTGCGGACTTTCTCAGAGGTGTTGGTCAATATCAGCATCACACGAGCACCCCCCGACGAGCGCCAGATAACCTTCCGACACCTTCTACATCGACATCGGACGCGCAGGATGGCGTACGGCGCAAGAAAACATTGATTCCGTTCTTTGGACGCGTCAGAAGGAAGTCCAACGTGTCCGGTACCTCTGCGGGCGAAGCGTCTGAGCAGGAAGGTGACAAGAGGTCGCAGTCATTGGCACTAGCAGCAGATGATCAGTAAGTTTTTCCCTCTGGCTCCGTTTTTAGTTTGCCTTTTTTGGGAAGCCGCCCCAGATCGTGATCAGCTTCTTTTACTACCCTGCTCGTCTATTCACGATATGTGGAGCCGGACTAATCTGTGTTTGATGTAGGCGCAGTTTTATGGTGATCTCACCAGAATCTGCTTCGTCTGTCGCTTCTGCTTCCCAAAATCAATTGCCCAATACGACAGCTCGTGTCACAAAACTACGGACCCTCCGTAAACCTAATGGAAGGATCACCGGCGTCCGTTCTCCTACCGGATACACGTCCGATTCCCTGGTGCCCCCGCCCAAAAAAGCGCGTCCCAGCATAGACTCTACTACCTCCAAGGAGACGCGCTCCACTACCCCCCGACCAAAGCAGCCGACAATTACTATATCCCAACCACCCACTAGTTTTCTAGACGATAATTACGACGATCTATTCACTAAACCCCGCAAGAAATTGCACGCCAGCGCTTCCCCCTACGCCCCGACTTCTAGTGATCATGATGATCGAGCCTTCCATAGTGATGGTGACATGTCCCCGACATCGTTCCAGCTATTCCCTCTTTCGTCTTCGTCAAATAACACCCCTCAACCTGCCTCATCTACTCCTATGTCACCTACATCCCTCCGCGAATGGCGGATTGTTGGCGACGAAACAAGTTCTCTAAAATCCACTAGGAGCTCACGGAGAGTTGTCTCCGATGATATTCCCAGAACCTCAGGCGAGGAGTCGGAGGCGATTTCCACAATTTCAATGCCGGTAACGTCTGCCAGTGGCACAGACAAGCGGTCCTCCATGACATCGTGGCTTCATAATGAATCACGGAGATCAAAGTCCATGATCAGATCGTCAATGCAATCTGTGCCAAATCAACCTCCAACGATTCCTCTGCCAGCTACCCCCGGTCCTTCTCAGACGCTTCCAGCTCGACTATCGTCTTTACCTTATAGTGGTACCCGACCAAGGGCCGTTACCCTTTCTTCTTCGGCTTCTCCTCGTGCCAATATCGCTACCTCTCCGCTGCCCACATCACTCCCGCCAAGGCACAGCAAATCCATATCCCGGGATCGGAAGTCCACTGACGAGAACGCCAAGAAGGAAATTTCCGCCTTTGATATCGAAACCGCGACAGCAGACCAACTACGGCAAGCCCTCGTTCTCCGTGATCAACAACTCGAAGAGCTCGCGAGCTACCTGCTCAAGGTGACACAGAATCACGTTACCGAAAAGAACGCTCTCGAGAAAAAGATTGCTTCTCTAGAACGAGAGGCTGCGCGGCGCGAGAAGGAAATTAAGGGTCTCACTTGGCTTGTCAGCAGCAATCGTATTCAGGGCAGCGTCCAGCTTTCTAGCACCGGGTCCAGGTCGACGCCCGCGCTGGAGTCGGATAAGAACAGCAAAGGCGATACGACATCTTCCGTGATCAAATCCCCGACTTATAAGCATATCAACTCGGATTACGATGACTCTGGCGCAGAGTCTTATCCGACGTCGCGAACCGAGTCGGCCCGAGGCTCACTCTCCGGTGGCGAATCATCGTCCTCTCCATCTCAGCAAGTCAAGTCATATAAATTGGCACCTAAGCTAGGGCTTTTGAGAGGGTCATCATTGCGAATGGGGAGTACGCGTCTTGCGCTGGAATCGGATAGGAAGGATGTGCCCAAGGTGGATAAGCGGGCTTCCGTGTCGTCTTTTGCTTCGTCGGCGGCATCATCATCGTTATCGGGTTCCTCGTCAATGATGCTCCCATCGAGCCCCTCGACGACTACACTTTCTGCTATTCCGGAGGGCCCACCTCCTGTCCCACCGAAGAAACCCATGTCGCGTGATCCGGCTATAGCTGCCGCAATAGGTACGGCGGAGCAGAGACGGGAGAAAGAGCAAAAGAAAGTCGCTCGATCGATGAACACAGCTCCTACCCCTGCAGCTGCCTACGCTGCCAATCTCCAGAAAGCACGCCCGCCATCCATTGGGCAAATACTCGACCAAACCGAAAATCCATAGCCTGAACCTTTTTCCCGCACGTCCGTTTTTGATCTCCGTCCTTTAAATGTCCGGTTCCGAGGACATCGTCTTGTCAGAAGACGCTATTCGCGTCGTCCACCAATCACTCGTACGTTAAAAACCATATCACATTCTTTTTTTTTAGTTCGCTCGTTACGCTCATTCGCAACATACTATATACTGTGGGTTCTAAGCCAGAAGTCAGAACCGTCCGGCTATTCTATTGTGGACGCGGCGGCGGCCTCTCTTCACCGTGTATCTTATTTATACCACACATTTTCACCTGTGTTTTTACACCGAGACTCACTATCATTAACATTACCATACTCTGTTTCCTTTTCTTGGATATTATTATCTACTCATAACTGTATCTGTACTTATACAATTACAAAAGCTTCCGTGTATTTGTTGAAAGCCATTATTGAAAGCCTCCGTCGAATTACACATCCCGTTGCCCTGTCAGCGATCGATGATCAATCGATACTCTTTTGTCTAGCATCGACACGCGGAATGAGACTCGCAATCACTGGCTGCAACGGATCCGTCGGGAAACAGGTCGTCCTCATGTCCCTCAAACGGGGTCATTCAGTCGTTGGCATCGACCTCAATGGCCCAGCTTCCTTGGCCGACGAGAACTATGTATTCCACCAAACCGATCTTCGTGTGTATGAAGACACGCTCAGGGTACTGCAAGGATGTGAAGGGATCATACACCTCGCTGGTATTGTGATCTCGCCCTTCATATGATACCGCACGATCGACCACCGACATCGCCGGTGTAGCTTTTCCTAACCCAGGAGACTACGGGGTCACTGCACACAATAGGTTAGCTTGAAATCAAGAGTATCTTCAACAACAACTGATCGAATATTTAGCAACGTAGTGATATCATGGAACGTCCTCCGTGGCGCAGCAGAAGTACGCGCAACCCAAACTCTTTACGGCTTCAAATATTCACGCACCGCGACTGATTAGTTAGGGATCACGCGAATCGCACAAGCATCCTCTGTGAACGTCCTGACACTAGTGTACTCAAGGGATCCCCACTTTGATTATTTCCCTATCGATGAAAATCATCCATGCCTCCCAGATGAGCCTTACGGACTGTCCAAAGTGTAAGTCCCCTCAAGCGCTCTTTCAGAAAGTTCCCTGATTCCTTCTCTACAGTATCTGCGAACTCCAAGCTGACGCTATAGTCCGTCGATACCCCACAATGCATATCGCCAGCCTGCGCCTCCACTGGTCCGTCCCCGACAAAACCAAACCCCGCTCTCTTCCTGTCGACAAAGCCAAAAACGATCTATGGGGCTACGTCAAAGAAGAGTCTGCCGCTGACGCGTTCCTCCTCGCCGTAACCCAGGACAACGGCAAATGGTCCGGTCACGAAGCTTTCTTTATTGTGGCGCCTGACATAGCAGTAGAAGAAGATTCCAGGTTGCTCAGAGAAAGATTCTGGCCGAAGGTGGTTATCACAGAAGGGAAGGACGTTAGTGGGAACAAGGGATTCTTTGATTGTGATAAGGCACAGAGACTTCTGGGGTGGGTACATAGATATTCTTTCCTTGACGAGTGATAGCGGATGATTTATCGGGTATCGATTGCTACATATACTACATTGCTGGTGAGACTATTTAGCCATGAATGTACCATTGGCCCAGGGGCGTGAGGTTTCCATTACTGTCTAGCAGGTCTAATAGAATTTAATCAGTCCCTTGAACCATGATGGGAACATGTCACTTACTTGACGCTAATGGACTCGTGGTTCGCTTCACGAAAAAGGAAATGAGCGTGAGAGTTAAAACATGATTGAGAAACCATCATACCTTGTATGCAAACCAGGCATATCTCTCAACCCAATCAGTCGCATCCATAAAGGCTAGGGATTGCTTCATGAACTCGAGGACGGCTATTAAATATTAATCAATTTACAACCTCAATCCCGGACAAAGAGCGACATACCCCCAGAATCAGTCCGCGTATCAGCGAATTCCGTAACCCAAATCTTGTAATTAGGAAACATCTTATGAACTTTCTGAAGGTAGAGAATGAAGTTCGGAGCCCCCTCTCCGTACCTAATAAAAATGAATACATTTCATGAAAGGCATCAAATGAAAAACACGTACCAATGAACGGCCAAAAAGTTTACTGTACATCCCGAACACTGGCCCAGAAAATCGGATAGCCATTGAAGCCCAGAATCCGCCGATGTCACCGCAGGTGAACCTAACCGTATGCCAGAGCTAGCCAAGGGGTTGATATCGGCCTTCCACATCTGCACAGCCGTCCCCACAGGTATATTCGACTGTTGGCCATAGTCCGGTTCGTTAAAGCCCTGATATCACATAATTCATGACCGAGGCCGATAATGAAATAACAATTTAGCCTACCAGGACGTTTATAGCGCTATTCGATCGTGCATTGGAGAGGAAGCCGTTAAGTCCATCCGTACCCCATTGCATGGGAACGAATTCAATACCAGAGATTGAGGGGCTCGGTGAGGAGGGGCTCCAGTTGTACAACCAGGAACAACTCCCGCTGCTGGCCTTGGAGATATCCTCGGGGTGCCCTGCTGGATCGAAACCTAGACCGCGCTTGGGGTTCGAAGCGAGGACTAGGGGAAGGACCAGGAAGAGGAGGAAGAAAACGAACATCGCTGGACAGGGGATTCGTGGTCAACCGAGCAGTGTTCATCAGCCTTTATATACATTACGGCGGTACTGAAAAGGTTAGGCCTTGAGGCTTGAGGTAACCGTGCAAGCTGGTCGTGTGGAGTATTGAGAAGATGAGGATTGTTCTGATATTCTCCCCGAGGGGCGCATGGTAGCGATAACGTCAGAAAGTACTGGATACAAGTCGGACGATATCATGTTCCACAAGATTATAGCGCCAGTAGAGAGGTGAAGCATGTCATAGTCAGATAGAGCGCCTTTTGAGACACGGAAGCAAGATAACATCCAAGCCTTGAGCTTGAGAGGTGGTACTTCGTCGATGAAAAAGTCGTGGTCGTAGTACAAGAAAACGTTTGACGAACGACCGTCGGTTCGCCGCGCCGGAGTATTCCGAATTCGGAATGCTGCCAGTGGTCTAGACATTTGGAAGGCTTGTTCAGACGTATTCCCATCTCAGCGCCTACCCAATATCCTGGTCGTATTATTTCTCGAAAGCAGCACCCAAGATGGCCACGTTGAGTACCGGAGAGACCTATGCAGAGCGATTCTGGGGACGAATGAAAAGGGAACCACTCATCCCGGCCGGTGCGTACCCTGCATTCTGTGCCAAACTAGCCTTGTTAACCTTGCAATTCTTGCAGGACTGCTTCTTACAACAGGCGTATTCGGTGGCGTTGTATACCATGCTCGAAAAGGCAATCAAAGACAGCTGCAGCTCTGGATGCGAGCACGAGTAATCGCACAGGGTCTCACGGTCGTTGCCATCGTCTGGGGGTTCTATCGACTTCAGCAAGATTCAGTCAAGTACAACGAGAAGCTTGCGCTGGAAGTGGCCAGGGTGGATGAAGAAAAGGCTAGGGAACGAGCAGCGTTCGAGGAGAGACTGCGAGAGGCGGAGGTAACGTACGAGGCTGAAGCTCGTGCTGCAAAAAGCTGGTTCGGTAGCAAGGGTGGTGACGCAGCGACACCGACTGAAGGCTCTGGCAAACGGTGGTACCAGTATTTGGGCTGGTCGCGGTCGACGCCCAAGTCGGATTCTGATGAAAAAGCCTAGGAAATGGCAAAAATGCAGTTGGATATACTCATGGTGAGTTGCTTTACTTGGGCAAGCCAACAATAACGGAAGGAATAGGGCAGAGTGCATTAATGATACAGCTTGATAATAACAATCCCAATCCTTCCTCGCTCAGCTCGCCATGCTCCAGCCCTTTTCATTGCAAGCTGCCTATCCTTATGTTGCTGTCTAACTATCGCTTCTCGTCAAAGTTTCCTCATTCTTTGGCGCAGGTTCTTCCACTGCCAGCTTCCACCCTCCGTACAGTTGGTTCACGATGGCGCTCCGCCGTAGAACCACGAGGTCTTTCATGGCGTCAGAGTACATTGTTGCGACCTTGGAAGGGTCGCTTTCAGCCTACAGACAAGAGTGTTAGGGCAATAACAATGAAAACATGTACAGTACGCACTTGTATACTCCGGAAAGTGTCTTGCGTCCGTCGGAGAAAGTAATTCCTGAAGTTGTAGGAACTGAAGGAGCCTGATGCCCGAAGAGTTGAGTGGTATAGGTGCAAAATCATTTGCTTGCTTGGGGCTGCTGGGCCAGACATGGTGGATACACTTCAAAGGTCGGCAGAAAGTGGACCTCTGACTAAGCAAAAATGTTATCAATCAACTGTTTGCCCGTTTGATCTTATCAATTTCAATTATCTTTTTCTTTCTCACAATGACCTCGGTTGAAGAATTGAAGGAGCGAGCAAACAATGCGCATCGCAGAAAGTCCTATCGACAGGCAATACAGGTCTGTTCGTTCCCCAGCAGGAGGGACCTTTTGCTCATGACATACCGGAGTAGCTGTACAGCCAGGCGCTGGATTCCATTACGACTGTGGAAATTAAAAGACAAATTCTCTCTAGTCGTTCACAAGTTTACCTTGACTTTGGTGATCTTTACGCTGCACGTAGAGATAATGAGCTTGCACTTTCCTCGGATTACACGACCCCCGACTCGCCCAAGGCTTTGACAGCTACCTGTTGTTCCCAGCAAGCAAAAATTATGTACAAGTTCTCCAGATACAATGAAGCACAGACATGCCTGGAGCAATGTGAAAGCCTTAAAAAATCAGTCAGCGCCTCGCGTTTATCTGATACGGAGATACAACTGCTCATAGACATCGATGTCGCCCTATCGCGTCCCGAGGATAGGGACGAGAGACGTAAAGACGAGCTTCTCAGAGCCCTCGATGTACGTTTTCTTTACCCTCTCGAAGCATCAGCTACTCAGAACGATTCCCCAGTACCGCGGAGCAATAGTCGAAGAGGATCACCGCGGCACGTTCCCCCACCATCCAGACCCGTATATTGCTGCTATGGAAGATCCCAGCGACCTGTTCGAATTCGACACGGACGATGGTCGCCCCTACCAGAACCTTCGTAACCCAGATGTAACGCCCTTATGTGTGCCGCTCAAGCTTGTCCTTCCCGAATTCCATCACAACCCATTCCGTCCTGGAGAAACATGCGTTGTAAAGACGCGTGTCACGGAAGACACAGACATGTACGAGGCCGTGGACGGCACCCTCTCAACCTACTTTTCACATATGCTACATCATCACGAGCCGGCATCGCTCTCCCATGCTGAACTCGTGGCGCTACAATCCCGACACATGATTTTCGTAGGCGCTGTCGCCATCATCATCACAAGAGAGGGGCGGTTCTTGGAAATCCCCCCTTCAGCGACAGTGCAAGATATCTGGAAGGGCGGTAAACTGCCCCGGAAGACTCCTTGTCCTTTCCGAGACTTGAGACCCGTCCCGAAAGTGCTCAGTCCAGATCAAATCGATGGTATCTCTGTTTCAAGTCAGCGTTCCATCGATATCCTCGTCTTTCCGGGTCCCAAGGATGAGCTGACTCATAAGTGCGTCTTGCCGTCTATCGTCATCATTTCTTTGTACTAACAGTCAGCCAAGGTTACGTGTCTTCGCAGAACAAATAGACCGCATGCGGGAGATCATGGAAATTGAGATGGCCGCAAGGACGTGAAGTCCGCAGGGCTCTGACAATGACACAGAGGTGATGGTTGCATTTCTGGTGCAAAATTTCTTGGGCGGTATACCCTGGAAGCCGAGAGAGGCCTTGTATTTTGTATCCGACCGTCGAACAACGTAAGGGTTATGGTCGTGTGGCTGTGAAATACCTTGTACGCGACGAAAGGAAGCAAATTCTGAACGATCGCAAATTTGAAATTTGTATGCTTTTGCTCCTCCTTTGCTCCGCTTTTCTCTCTTTTGTTGTTAGACATCGATTTGGGAGCATTGGAGCAACAGGGACCCATCTGCCAATAATTACCCGTGGAATGAAACCTAAACATTCGAACAATAGACAAACAAGGTGCACTGCGAAGCTCGACTGGGCCTTACCCTGCACACGACTCGCCCTTCACAGCCCTTTTTGTTCTTTTTGTTTTCCCCACAGAACTTATGACTATTACAAGCATCATTCGGTACCTCCTTATAAGACAACATATTCTCTTTTAGGAAAGTACAATACAATGTTCGAATACACAATGATGATGCGCCAACGAAGCATGTGGCTGCTGAAATGCAAAAACGCTTAACAAAAGCGTATCCTTCTTATATATAAAGGTCTAGCTTGCCCGTATGTAAATACTTCACTTCCCCTCTCGAAAAATGGCGACACCTTCTTCCTCCACGACCGTCTTCCGACTCCGCCCTCAAGCTCACGGACATCAGTTGCCCCCTCACATTATTGAGCGTCATCGGCGCGTGCTCGCTGGGATACTGCATAAACGGTTCTTGATTGACCGATGGAGGCGGAATGTCGTCATGGCTGCCGAACCAGAACCTCGGGAGAGGCCAACCTACCAGAGCCGATTAAGGGAGCAGTTTTTGGAACTGCGCGACGCTCTCCCTGCACCTTTAAAGCCCAAGGCGGCAGATAGAGTAGCCATCATGGAAAACGGTAAGTCATTGTTACATCATTGAAATGATTTTAATGGCTGATGGCTTTTGTTGTTAGCCATGTACTATATTGTCGGTCTCAAAAATGCATTACATGTCATTCAAGGGAGGTCGATGGAGAGTCTCCCGGCATACATCTCCCACGAGCTCCAGGGAGCATCGCTTACACAGCAGCGAACGTATCACGAGAATTGCACAATCCGGATGCTCTGCCAAGTGGTCGAGGGCCTTTCAGGCGTCGAGAGCAAAATACAGCTCCTCGAACAAGGTAAGCTACTTGTCTGCCTTTCAGCGCGATGGGGCTAAACCGTATCCCCCACCAGCGACGACGTACATCCGCAGTCTTGAGGAGCAGTATCAGCGCCTTCAACAAGAAAAAGATGCCGGTCGGCAACTTCCCCCTCCCGTTACACCTTCATCTTCATCAAGTTCCGAATTTTCTTTATCCTGTCCGCCTACGCCAGAGAGAGAGACGGGGGTAATGGATGTTGATGATTATTCATCCGAGTCAACAGACCGACTTCCGTCCATATACGACATATTACGGGAAAAGTCTCCCCTCGACGATCTTCAGCTCCCTCCGCTGAGAATGTTATCTCTCAGTGACCAGTAGCCCCCAACGCACGACATTCCTTCATTAACTTATCAGCTCATATCCTGCAGCATTGTACTTCTTACGCATGTATCCATCCAAATTTCGCATATTCCAAGTGTAGCCTTAACTGTTGTCACTGTGGTGCAGGAAACCTCCGTAGATAATGTAGCCATACCTAGAACTGTCCACCACAATTTTATGAGGATTTCGATTTGATCAGTCCGGCCATTAAGTCGAAGCTATTGCCATCTGGCTGTAAGTCGATGAACCCTTCTTCCCCAGATGACCAGCCCGTTCGTTCCGGGACAGTGCGCAGCAACCCGTGGTCGGATGTTAAACCGCTGACGCGAACCTTTTTCGAAGGGACCATTGTTGTCAGAGTCACCAGCTGATCGCTAGATCGTAAAAGCAACGTCAGGTTCCCCAGTAACCGTTTAATGTATTGTACTTACGAATGAAGCCATCTATCCAAGTACAATGCCATGAATGACTCAAACGAGCCCTTGCTTTGTACGAAAACGGTCCACATCTTCTCGAACTTTGCTAAAATCACGGCAGCGATAGTCTCCATGCTAAGCGGCAAGTCGTTGCCTTGTAGCTGGGATAAAGAGAAGATGGGAGGCGGGTTGAGCACATTCAGCCCTGAACCTACGACATCGTTATTGTAAGTAAAATAAAAGCTACAAACGAGTCGACATACCAATGATGATGTCGCACTTCCCTCCTGAGAAATTCGTACTAACAAGAATCCCTCCAATCTTCTTCTTGTCCCCGTCTTCGGGCCCAAAGACGGCATACAAGTCATTCGGCCACTTGATACGAACACTTTCACCCCTTCTTCCCAGGACGCTGTCATCTCGGCATGCCTCGGTTACCGCGAGGGCAAACAAGTACTGGACAAAGACCAGCTTGTTCGTTGGGAACGATGCTAAAGGCACGCGTAACAAAAGGGAAAACTGTAGACAGCCCGCGGGTGAGAGCCAGATATTGCTTCCTCTGCCGCGCCCTGCAAGCTGGAACGATGCTAGAGACAGGAAGGGAGTAGGAAGCGCTGCGAGAAGGCGAGGATTCCTGGTATAACGAGGTCAACAGGTATCAGACCGCAAGATCGAGGAGGCATACTTGTCAACCATTGTCTGGGTGCTCGTCACGATTTCGCCGTAAAGCAAGGCTTCACCAAAACCCCAGGTGTCGCTCGTTGTGGAGCAACCGGCATCCGAACGCGCCACAGACAGCTTATCGAAGAAAGTCTTGACTTGAAACAAGGGTGTAGACTTGTCGTCAGGAAGATCGCCATTGGGATAAACGATGATATGTTTTGGCTGCCATGCGGCGGGATCTTCTGAGGCCAGATACGCCTTCTGGGCTTCGACTTTGACATCTGGATACTCCTGCGGTTCATGGAAGCGCAACTTATCGTTCTCGTCCTCAAATGCTTTCAACTCCGATCCAGAACCACCCGATATGGCACTAATAATCCGTGCGACAATTTCCGGTTTGGAGGGATGGCCCACGAGGAATTGGGGTAAAGGACGGGATACGGAGTGAGCATCAGGGGAGGGAACCCTGAGACCAAGTTTTGTGAGAGTGGTACGAAGCAAGGATTTCCGAAGTAGCTCGGGGTCTTCATTGGTAACGGGATGCTCGATATTGAAAGACCAAAATATCACGGAACCACCACCTACAGCACATTTTACCCCTGCAATGTTGGACTCGGATTGTTCATTGGAGTAGGTGGCCAGCGATTCGTAATTTCCACTATCCTCGAAGCCAGTGATTAAGCCTGAAAGTCCCTCGATCCCTTCGATACACCCATCTTTGGAGAGGATTCGAGTTATTGAAGACTGTTCCTTTGCTTGAGGAGAAATTATCGGCGTTAGATAACATCTGGAGGCACGATCGTAGAGCCTGAACGAAGCCTCGTCGGCGAGACTTAGAGAACCAAAACTGGAGATTCCACGGGGAGAGCATTGGACGCCTGTGCCAAAGGCCAGCAGCGATCCCCCATTTTCGACAAAACTATTGATAGAAGGCACCGACGACGGAAATCCTGCACGACATCGAGGAAAAACGAGCAATGCGCAAGAAGTGGGCCATGGCTGAGACTTGAGAACCTGGTAGGAAACTTGCTGTACAGAATAATTGGGAACGAGAAGAGAACGAAGGGTAGAAATGGTGTCCCCAAGAGACAACTGAATGACTTCTGGTCCGGAATATACAAGGACGTTCATTTCAACAGGAGGAGGGTGGTGATGTCAAGATAAGGACCGCCGTCGGCAATTGCCGGCCTGACTTGCACTTAAAAAGTTCGACTCCAAGCAAGTGCACTGTCCCGGATTATCGAGGTAAGGGTCAATACATGCATCTACTTGAAATATAAAAATACCAATCTTCAGGTCCTACATGCCACTGAAACTTCCCCCCATCCATCGCCTCCCTGTCGAACTGCTGTCAGAGATTTTCCATTGGCACTCGCTCTCGTCCAATGGTGTTGTCAACTATAACGGTACATTCTACGCATTCTACGACGTAGATGTGGTCAAAGCTGGCCCATGGCTTCTGACCCATGTCTGTCGTTACTGGAGGGAAATTGCCACCACGTTGACCTCTTTGTGGTCTTCTTTTATTATAAGATCGAAGCTACTCGGCACCAAGGGCCCTGATGCATTGTTACAAACGGTGCTGAGGCGCTCTGGACAGTCACCGCTGTCATTTGAAATGTGGCTATCAGCTCTTTCGTCGATGGAGATGCCTATCCCGAGAATCCTCGCCCTGCTCGCTGCTCATTCCACTACTTGGAAAGACATTGAGCTTGAGTTGCCCTCGCACGGGTATTATATCGAAGTTATGGGTGTACTCTCCAGTTTGCCCACCCCGTTACAGCTTCCATTGTTGGAGAAACTTCGTATCAGTATTTCCGAAACATCACCGGAGGACACTAGCGAAGATACCAGCGAGGACTCGGACTCGGATGCCAGTGAACCCGACCAACATTCAATCGCTACTACTTTCGCCAACTCCCCCATGCTTCATTCGGTCATCATGGATCCATTCTTGCCAATCAGCTTGCCTTGGCCTCAGATAACGTATCTGTGCACATCCAAGCTATCCTTAGAGCAGCTGCTCGATACTCTCCGTGTAGCTATACATCTAGAGACACTGTTTTTGATGTCAGATAGCTATGCGGACCCTCAGGAGAACTCCCCAATACCGGTAACAAACAACGCTATAAAGACGTTGAGGCTCTGCGATACCGAATTCCTTCCGTATCTGACACTACCCTCCCTTATCTATTTACGCATAGAGAACGATCTGAGCGAGGACATGGTTTTCATACACGAGAACCAGGTGTCATTTGTAGATTGGGACAAGGTGCCCCGCTTCGTCGGTCGCTCCGGGTGTGTCCTGAAATGGCTGCGAATCAGCGTCGGCGAACCGACCGACAGTCTATTCGCCATGCTCCGTACCGCGATGACTGATGTTACGGACATGACAGTCATAAATGACGCAGGTTGCGTGTCACTGTGTACCATCTTGCCAGCTTTACAGAAAGATCCGCTGCTTATGCCCAAGCTTGAGGTTCTGTACTTCGATGGCTCAAACAGTCGTGATCTTTGTGGTTTGGAAGATATACTGGAGTTCGTCCAAAGCCGTTATGGGAATGGAATGGGACCATTGAAATCCCTTCACATCGATTGTGAGGTATTGTATCCGGAGGAGAAGGAGGAGAACGGACTAGTGCACTTTAGCGGTGAGGACCGAAGGTTTTATTTGGACCAGCTGAAAGTCTTCGTCGATGAAGGCCTTGACCTTGTGATTGACCTGTAAGTTGGTGACGTTTTTCTCAGTGCCATTCTTATTCTGTTGACAGTGACGAAGAGCTCATCGAAATATGAGAATGCAGTTTGGAAAGAAAGATGATTACTCCAGAATCGTAACCCGACGTCTTCCACAAGTTCCACAAGACACATTTTTGGAATCATGGCTTGGCATGAGAAGGGATACGTATACCAAACTTGAAGTAACTACCCGCTCAGAGAGCTTGTAATAAGTATCGACAAAGGGTTAAGGATTTCTTTTGTCTTTTGGCTCACTCCACTGGATTGCCACTGGAAGGAACATCTTGTTTTCATAGAAGATGGCTCCTGGTTTCAAGTTGGCCTCTATCTCTTTACCGTTGTTGCTCAATATCGAATTATCACCACGAGCAAGGCGCAAGAAGTGGGTCATGGCTGAGACTGGTGATGTACAAGGCTCGGCTTGGCCTGGCTTTTAGGGCTTGGGCTTGGTTTGAGACGGGCCTGGCTTTCGAAATCACAAGCATGAACCCTGGTTTTTAGTACGAAGTGATAATAATATTAACGTATTCAGCGGGGATAACAAAATTAGTCCTCATATGTGTAGTACCAACAGCCACGCTATCTTCAAGAAAACAATCCGTATCCAAAACCCACTCCTTCGCTATGTCCACTTCCTTCAGTACCTCCTCAAGAGCGTCTTCAGTCATCATTGAGCACAGGAAGGCGCTGCGAGTTGAGCTGTACATAGAGTGAATGTCGAGAATACTGGTAATGATAGACATACCCCCACCATGTCACAATGGACTGATCTTAGCCGGGCTTGGCCTGGCCTGACCTTCTTAGCCAACTCGTCTTGACCGTTTATGTACTAGTCAAATTTTGCATGTCAAGTTGCGACAGCTACAGGAGCATCCGAGGCGATTTGTGGTAGGTCATCGTGGGAGTCGGAGAGGAGCCGTTTTATCTTCGAGCTCTGCTTGGATGTCTTGGTTGTGCACCGTCCTTGTCGTACATTGCATTAGAGCGTGATTCAGCCTGAGACTTGAGAACCTGATAGGAAAGTAGCTGAACGGTTTCAATAATTGGGAACGAGAAGAGAACAAGAAGGGAACGAAGGGTAGAAATGGTGTCCCCCAGAGACAAGCAAATCTGGTCCGAAATATACTAGGACGTCCATTTCAACAGGTGTCAAGGTGAGAACCTCCGTCGGCGATTGCCGGTGTAACTTGAACTCAAAAAAAAAGTTCAACTCCAACCAAGTGCACTGTCTCGGATTATCGAGGTAAGGACAGATGCATGAGTCTACCGTTTGAAAGATGAAAATTCAATCTACAGGACCTCTATGTTGCTGAAACCTCCCCCCATCCATCGCCTCCCACCCGAACTGCTGTCAGAAATTTTCCACTGGTACTTGACCGACAGTACATTCTACAATGTAGCCGTGGTCAGAGATGGACCATGGCTTCTGAGCCATATCTGTCGCCAGTGGAGGGAAATCGCTATCTCGTTGAACTCTTTGTGGTCTTCTTTTTTTATTGCATCGCCGCTGCCCAGCATCAAAGACCCCGAAGCACTGTTACAAACAGTGCTTAAGCGTTCTGAAGGATCGCCGTTGTCATTCGGAATGTGGCTAGAGCGGGACATTTCGTTGTTGGAAATGCCTATGAAGGGAATCATTACCGAGCTCGCTGCTCACTCCACTGCCTGGAAAGACGTTAAATTCGGGATGTCCTCATACAACCATTTTAACGAAGTTGTAGGTCTGTTCTCTGATTTGACCGTCCAGCCTTCACTTTTGGAAACACTCCATATCAACATTTCATCCCTGGACGCTCATGAACCTGACCAGCATCCAATCACTATCTTCGCTGACGCTCCCATGTTACGTTCAGTCTCCATCCGTCCATTCTTTCCAATGTGTCTCCCTTGGTCCCAGATGACATATTTGTGCACAACCGACCTATCCCTGGAGCAGCTGCTACACATCTGTCGCGTGGCTGTACATCTGGAGACCTTTTTAATGGAATGTGTCCACATAGACCCTCAGGGAGACACCCCAATACCGGTAACAAACAACGCGATAAAGACGTTACAGACATGGGATTTCGAATTCCTTCCATATCTGACACTGCCTTCTCTTACGTCTTTACACATAGACGAATCTAGCGAAATGGACGAGGTGTCACTTTTAGGTGTGAACGAGGCTGCAGTTAGAGGTTGGGACAAGGTGTCTCGATTTGTCGGTCGTTCTGGTTGTCGCCTGAAAAGCTTGCGAATCACTATCGACATGGCATCTGACGATCTGTTGACTATGCTCCGTACAGCCATGACCGATGTTACGGACATAACATTCGTAAACGAAACAGGTTCCACCTCGCAGAGTTCGCTCTTGCTGGCTTTACAGAAAGATCCGCACATTTTGCCCAAGCTCGAGAGGCTGTACTTCAGTGGCTCAAACAGTCGGGATCATTGTGATTTGAAGGAGGTGCTAGAATTCGTCCAAAGCCGTTATGGGAATGGAATGGGATCGTTGAAATCCCTTCACATCGATTGCGAGAGGCTATTTCCGGAGGAGGATGAGCTACTCTTCGGTGATGAGGACCGAAGGTTTTATTTGGACCAGTTGAAAGTCTTCATCGATGACGGCCTTGACCTTGTCATTGACCTGTAAGTCGGTGACGTTTTTCTGAGTGCCATTCTTATTCCGTTGACAGTGACGAAGAGCTCATCGAAATATGAGAAGGCAGCTTTCGGCAGAACTCCAGAATCATATCTCGACGTCTTCCCCAAGACACATTTTTGGAATCATGGTTTGGCATGGAGAAGGAGCTCATATACCCGACTTGAAGTACCTACCCGCTCAGAGAGCTTGTAATAAGTGCCGACAACGTTTGCGTTATGCTACCGGGATTTGCGCAATCGATGTTCCTGACTTACTGACACACAAAGTTCGAATATCAACTACAACGTCATTACTCGATAACACTTTCGCAGGAATGACAGAAGCGCAGCTCCCACGAACTGCCACTGTAAGGAAGGAAAAGTGTGGTTTTCAGTTGACAGGAATGGGGATATCATTGACGTGTGAAAGATACACGTGTTTGCTACACGATCATATCCCGAATGATCTTATCCTCCTCGAATGCATTTCGGACCTGTACATCACACCGTATGAAAATGCGAATACTCTCAAGTTCAAACTCACCCGTTTGAAAAATCTGTCATCGATAACCACGCGCACGCCTGTGGCGGCCAATGCCTTGGAAACATCCAGACAAGCATAATGCGCCTCAATTGTTGCCGCAGCTCTGGTGAATCCTGGTGTATGATTTCCGCCGTTTTCCTCTGTAGGAATCGCTAAGGTAAAAGACGAATCAGGCGATAGATCTTTGTTGCAGGATAGTCTCCTTACCGAAACCGGGGTGCAAGGATGGTAGCTCTAAGGATACTCAATTATACTGCTGCTGGCACGGAAAAGTTAAAACCCCTACCGTAGCTTACGTTCCCCTGAGAAAAAAACATGAACACTCAGTTGACGAGGCAATACTGCATACTCACAAAATCTGTTGACGCGCTTTTAATGCCCCACTCATAATCAATTGACCCGTATCTGCTACGTACAATATTGGCAACTTCGTCCCCTGCGTAAAACCGTCACTATTGACCACGAATATTGCAGAAGAAACAGGTTTCTTACCGAGAGCTTTGTTCTGCCTTAGGTCGTGTGTTGCACCGTAGTCTTCGATCTTGATTGTGCATCCGCTAGCCATAGCAGCACCTCTACGCAAGACAATCAGTCCATATCGTATTTATAGGTATGAGGGACGAACTCGAAGCAGGGTAACACGCGCTTCAAGGTGGTCTGCACCTCGGCGCGTGTTGGAGCTCGGACATAACAGCTACGTTGCACATGTTGATGGAGATACCACTTGACTGACAGAAATATTTGACGTACACAAACTCCGCAAAGTCAGGAATAACTGTAACTAACTCAGCACTAGCAGTCCGACTAGCTGATGAAATACGCACCGTTTGTTTGCCAATCTTTTCCTTCGTGGAATATCCCATGAACGCGATGAGTTGGTTTCAATTGCTGCCGAAGAGCAGATATGTTGTTATATCCCAATACTGCTGCGTCCAACGCGTTGATGCCTTCCCAGGGAGAAAGAGCAGCATGGGCTCTAGATACGTAGACAGTTCAGAGATAGACAACGGATCATTTGAGCCCATACGTGTGACCGAAATACTGGACTTGTATGCGGTGTAGTGCAAGACAGCTACTGAGACTAACGGAGCCTTTTGGACCAGGAGCAGGATGGCACCTATCGCTGTTAGCCAATGAATAAGCAAAGTGAAGCAATGAAACACACATTAAACACGCAGCCATATTTTTGTACGCGCCCTGCTTCAGCAGGTGAACTTTTCCGTCACCACCTTCCTCGGCTGAGACATTGATTTCAATATACTAGTCGAAGATCAGATTCATGAAAAGGTACCAGGGGTACCCAGTAGCTCAATTGCACCGGATATATTGAACTTTTCAAAGGCGGCCTTCATAGCGCACGCGACGGCGACTCCAACAATGGCGATGAGATTGTGACCGCAACCGTGTCCGATGCCCTTTAACGCGTCCATCTGACGGATAAAGGACTTTAAATATAAAATTGATGAACATCATGCTCCACGGACCTCTGAGTTGACGCCAATGATTCTTCCGCCGCGTCCATGTTTGTAAGTGGCTTTCCACGCTGTCTGACTAGGTAGAAGGTAGTGTCGCTCTACTTCGAATCCTTGTTTGTCCATGAAATCAGTAAGAACATCGTGTGTTCGTCTTGGAAAGATGAAGTCTCAGTCAGGATTGTTTCCGTAGCTACAAGCCGAAATAGCCCAGACCTTTCTTCGTACCCTATTTCAGGGTGCTCTGCCCTTGTATTTCAGCCTCATCACAACTGAAAATACAAAGGATATACCACTCACCATGAATATCCAGACTAAGAGCTCTTAAATCTGCATCCAACTCGGCAATTCTCTGTTCAATAACAGCCATGATATCAGGTCGGAAAATGCCAGCAATAGACGGTCGTTCGGGGGTCGGTTTTTCTGTGTCTTCTGGTCGCCATGCCTGAACTGGCGGAGAGACGGTTTCAAGGTCTGCCGTTGTCATCGCGTACTGATAGCAAGTGGTACGATTGGCGGAGGAGAGTTGTATCAAGAAATTGTCAGATAAGATAGGTTGAATGAAATCAGAGTCAATCCCGGCCACGTAAGCATACGTCATAGGAAGAAACCGGCAAATACGGGCCGGAACCGCACTTTCCGCATCCAACCGACGGCGAGAGCGACGGCCAAGGTCTCCTGCTGCTGGCCGTTGCCAGGGATGACTTCTTATCTCCCCATTTCCCTCGACGATGGTAAAATCAATATTGGCCTCCAAGATGACTTTGACGAAGTCACAGTCGTTTTGAGGAAGGATGGAATAATATCAGTTTCCAGAGGCAATTATATTAACGCGACGCTAATGCAGTACCCCCACAGCAAACCTTCAGGACTATGGCGATGTGTCGGGATTCGACTCCTTTCGTATGTCATGCTGAAGGGCTGACGCTTTCTCATCAACTTCACCTTCCATTGGCGAGTCATCGAAACTCGTCGCCAAGGTTAGCCACGCCATCTCGTCTCCATTCCATTTCTCTAGCTCATACATCTGCCATTCAGTAGTCGCTACGTTATGTCTTCCTCTTGGTTTGAAAGGAGCATAGCACTTGCCGTAGTTATTTCCTACTTGACTCTGAAACTTCACGATAGAGGCTTCAAGGCGCCCTACCTTGAAATTTAGCACTTGGGCACTGCCTTGGCACTAGGACCCTCCTCCCTCCCCGATCTTGTACACCGCCATTCTGAATCGCTTCTCTTGGTGCCAATTTCAATACCTCGGACCCAGTATGATCTCTACGCGCTGCTATGTAACTTCAAACACGAACGTGACTCTTGTCAAATCTTGAAACTGTCCTGTCAGTATTCGACTTGGCTCTACTTCTCGTATAAATACCTCTGTACATGACTCTCTACATACTCATTCACTTTCGTAACTCTCCCTTTTGATCATCTTCCTTCTTGAAAACTGATCATTTTCACTATCGCCTCTTTGTTCTTTATTTCTATCATGCCTTCCTCATCTGCCCTCTTCATCTATGCATTTTTCCGCTGTTGGCCTCGTCGCTGCTGTTCCCATGCAACTGAATACCCGACAGACGACCTCCATGATGTGTAGCCCCAACTTCGAGGGCGTTGGTCTGTCCGTCACCAATAGCGCTCGTGAATGGGGCGTTTCTGCTCACACCGTTGGTGCGGATGTGACTGCCCCTACTGGCTCCCTCAGTACTGCCGATTTTCTGTTCCAACAGAACGGACAGCCTGCAGTCAGCTACACTATCAAGTGTGTTCATTCTGTTTCCTTTTCTCAGCAAAATTCTATGATCTTCTGCTCAGGGATATTACGAACCCCAATTTGGCAGTTGCCGTTCGCCCCGATGGTACTCTTACTTTGGACAACGTCGACGCTAGTGACAATGACCAGTACGTTTACTGTGCTTATCTTGAGTTACCTCACTCATCTCGTCTCTTCACTAATTAGGACGTAGAAGTGGAACGTCCTTTGTGACAGTTGCAGCACCAACATATCCCAGCTCCACGGAAATGTGGCTTTTGGGTGCAACATAACTTCTGTTCCCAGCGGACTTTGCGTGCAGATCGGAGCTAAAGGAACGGATGCTATGTTTACTGCTCCTTGTAATGGGGAGGACAACCAGAACTTCGATTTCTGGGCCGCCTCTGGGCCTTAGACTGTATCTGTTTATTGGTGTGAAGGCTCTCTTTTTTATTTTACGGACTTTATCTTTACATATTTGATTTAATAAGGACTTTATATCATCCTTTACTGTCGTTAAATGACAAGGAGTATATTGCTTCAGCCTACAACTACTGTTTTCATGGAACAAACAAAGTCTTCCGGTAGTAGGCCGCAGCACCCAGAATCAAGGCCGGCGGAAAGTTGGAGTGCGCACCATCCTTGATCAATAATTTTCTTCCTATTAAATGCTTTTCGGAGAGACCAATGACAGCAGTTTTCGCTTCGGAAGTCAAAGTTGGTAGCCCGCACAGACGAAGATGATGTACTCGGACCAAGCTTCACCGAAAAGGCCAATTTCCACCCGTAACCTGGGTCGCGCTCCAACATGCCGTTTGTCTTCCTTGCCCCTTTGTTTCCAACTTGAAGCGCCACTAGCACAAGCTTGTTGACTCAGATACCTTCTCTCCGATATCCGATAGGAACCTTCGCGGCTCAAGGTAAACGCGTTTTGTAACTTGGGAGTCCAAATCAGATAAAAAAAAACTTCTGTTCTCTACCGATGTTAGTGATCCTGGCCCGGGGCCTATTCTTCCTGGTAGTGGTGGGCGGCGCCTGCCCCCTGCCAGCCCTAGTACTGGAATATCATATACGTGAGGATCAGATGCAAGCTAAGATATTCTAGCACCGGCAGGCAAAGCTGTCCTGTCTGCTATAACGCCGACATAGAAAGCGAATTCCCTGTTCAGTTTCTCGGGCGGCTTCCGTGCAGTATATGTTGAGCCCTACCGCATTTTCCGTCGGTAGTCCTAATTCAACTCATGCTGGCTGTAGATGAAGTAATGGCTTACAGACAGGATACCGACCAGCCTATGTGGCGTATAACCACACTGTTTCGCCTTGATAGAAGCCCCAAAGCACAGGTTACAAGATCCGGCCTGTTTTCTTCTTAGATGTTTTATCAAGCTTCGCGCCTAGTACAAAATAAAAAGAGGCTCTGATGGTCGATCGCGATTTCAAAAATCTGCCGAACCTATCTTGCTTTCCCCATGAGCCCGAATGACAGCAAAGTCAAAATCGTTACCAGGAACTGGTGCCTCTGCACGACGAATTTGAAGTGAGGCGTCGCTGCGCTTGGAAATTGAGTGAAATATCAGCTTTTTCAGAGATAATAATAGCGCCGGCAATAAATCCGACCGCAACAAGACCGCAATGGAGACGAAGTAGGATATAGAGATAGTGCGGGAACTCGCCAAGGAAGAATTATGATTCAAAAACCAAAGAACTTAGGAATCCTGGGCCCTATTCAAGGTGTGGCGCAACAGTCATAAGATCTACCCCAGTATCTCCCCCCAAGCTTAGAGACTCACGGCATTTAGAAGGCGGTCATGGAGAACATTAAATGTAGCCGTAGTAAGAATAAAGAGCGAAACGCTTCAAAAAAGGCCGACCAGCACTGCCAAACAAGTGTACAATTCGTTTGGACCCAGTTGCCGGATAATTGTACCCAAAGTCAGGTATATGGATACACGATGGTACCGAGAGAACACCGTGACGAAAGGAAAAACAAGCATAGACGAATGATCGCCGGATGGAGCCTGCGTTTCGCCGGCAGTTTATGCCTCTTGAAGCTTGAAGCTTCAAGTCGTGTTCTGTCGACGGGAGCCGACTATAGGCAGCGAGTACGAATTCAATGCACATACCATCGCTCACGTACACGGCGGACGGTGCCCAATCGCGTTTCAGCGAAGCCGGTACACGTATACAATGCTCCACAGGCCGCCTGTCGTGCTAATAGATCGGACGTGTCCAACACGCAGGACTTTTGTCTTCGTAATCTATGTTGGGAAAAAGTTTGAGTTCCCTTCTCCCTGTCTGCCCAAACGGGCCCTGGTTCTAGATATCAGTATGAACCAAGTTCGGCCAAGTCTGTCCAAGAATCAGTAACAAGTACCGAGAATTCGCATCATTAGGTGACCGGCCTAGAATTCAGTAGAACATGATATACATATTTTTTGAGGTATTAAAAAGACGTCAAGGTATTCGTGCCGTACAGATACCCGCATGAATAGTTTGATAGAAGTAGTCTGTTGCTGGTCGTGGTTGAAGTGTAAAAGAGAACCGTGCGAAAGTGCCATCCCGGCCCGGGTCCACGATCCACGACAATGACGGTTCCACCACTAGACTACTATGTCCTCTGGAGACGCCTGAAAATATTCTTTGCTTCGCAGCGCCGGTACGAATACCGAATTGTACCAATCTGTGCCTACCGAACAGGTTGCCAGAAAGTACGTTCGAAATCACGCCGCCCCTTAAAATCGTGCTCACATTAAGTTAAATCATATCAGATTCATTGGCCTCCTTGATGATTCCCGTATTCACGTTTCTATTTCAAAGAAGGGGATCCGAATGAATCTATGTTCAGACCAGTTCATCAAAGACGACATTTTAAAATCATTGTATCGCTGCGGTCTGTGATACACTCACATACCGCTCCGGGTCGACTGTGGCGTACACTCGATCTACATATTACCCTGGATGTGAGCCTCTGCTCTCCAGCTCAGTGCCCGCTATTTCCCAGATGCATAAGCACAACAGTTATGCGGAGCTTTATTCGTCACGTTTATAGTAAGATGATATTGGAATTCCAGGGGGGTCTACTAGCAACTCTTTTTCAAATTACCGCTTCTTTCACCTGGTGCCTGTGTAGCTGGACACTGCTAGAAAATTTGGTTCAGTTTAGTTCGCATCGGAACTTGATCGGAACGGAAGCTTGGTCCCACATGGACCCATAGGTTACATAATTTTATCTCTTCAACTTGTACCACCACCTCCTCATCTCCATCGTTTGCTATCGCCTTTACTAAGTTGTTCAGGAATGTTTTTCAAGAAGACTGCCGATGATTCTGATCCATATACTACTCTAACTCCTCGTAGCCCGCGTCCAAGACGCGCCTCTAACCAGTTCAGCACGGCCGGATCTTCATCTTCAAGTTTTCTACAGCCTCCCACACAATTCCAATCTCGAAATCGCTCAACATCGTTACCAAGTATTGACCCGACAGGAAGAGGACCGCGTGCATACGGCGGTGGACGTGGTGGCCCCAGCTCTCGCATTCCTCAGCCTTCAGGGCAAGCATGTCAACGAACTGTGTCTCCTTCGCGCCTACCGCGGCCTCAGTCTCGACAATATCCCACTGTACTTCAACCACAAAATAGGACGCCGCATAATTCGTCGCCCCCAGTCTCAATCCCAACTTCAATATCGACCTCATATTGCGAGCAGCTCAAAACCAAGCCACGAAATCTGGTCAAGCCCAGCCCTACCCTTGTGATGAACTATCTCCACGATGTATTGGGCCGTGATATCGTGAATGTGACCTGGCATCTCGAAATGGACGATTTGCTCGCCTTGCACGAGCGAGAACTGATGGAGCGGCGAAACGGAAGAGGGTCACGGCAGAGCTCTTTGGATATGTCAATGAGTGGGTTCCCTATACAATTTTCTGTTTTCTTAATAGACTGAGGGAAATCGCTTAGATATCTTTGGAGTTCCGCTTCGCCAGGTGTCTATGTATGCGTCTACAGCAGCCATCCTAGGTGGTCTTGAGCATGAACTGCCAATCGTTGTATATTCCTGTGTGGAGGAGCTCTACCGTGGTGAGCTTAGCGACATACAACTTCTCAGCGCCGTTTACCCACATCTGACATGACTGTATAAAGGCATCAAGTCTCAACCGATTGTTGCAGGTTCTTCGTCTGCTCGTGTTGCGCACCTCGTCGAAACCTTTGACTCTCCGCCTCATTTCGGCTGCACGACGTCTCTTTTCAAGGAGTCCGAAGGCGATGTCTATGCTCTCTTGACAACCTTCCTCTCGCGCCTACCTGAGCCTGTGATATACCCTGAGGGCATCATGCACACCCTTCGTCAGTTCTGTACCGGGACGCACCATACACAGTTTCAAGACCTTCGACTGAGGACAGTACAATTATTACTTCGCCTATTGCCATCTGCCAATCTCTCTCTGTTCATCTATCTACTGGCTTTCTTAAGCCAGGTTGTTCAGGAGCAGCCTGGAGTAGATGAAAATATCGCAAACGCCTTCGGAGACTGGATCTTTGGAACTGAAGCTGGAACGCCCATGATGATCTGGTTCCTCAAGAACTGGGGAGCTGTTGTGAAGGGACTATTCGAGCTGCCCTTCGATATAGGAATGCCTTTAGCTGGCCAAGAACGCAGGTCTTATCCGAGACTTCAAGTCGAATCACCTGTTCCTGTTCGATTGGGAGATATGTCTGCCCTGAACGTTCCTGCCGATACACCTGAGTCTTCGCCATCCGATACGTCTCCTTTTAGACCAGGAGAACAAGCATCGGCCGGGATCGATGAACATATTAGTCCTCGTCGGCTTACCGAGTCTCCAGTAGGCGATAGTGCTCTTGATGACGATGATGCGTCGGAACATGGTAGCTTGTGTCCCAGTACGGTTTCCGCCTTGGAGGAGCGTTTACTCGATGTGACACTGCCCGCATCTCCAGTCGTCGCAAGATCATCCTCTCCACCCCTTTTACGTGTCATTAATTCCGGCTCCTCGAACTCGACTTCGACTTCAGGTTCTACCTCACCAATAACCGACTTCGACCATACTTTTCAGGCTATACTGAACTATGCTCCTCGTTCAGACCATCTATTGGAGTTGGAGAAGAAATTGAAGATTTCCGATGCAGCAAAGGTCGTGCCTAAGAATATGACTTCAAAGAATGAAACGGGAAGTGTCGCCAGTCGTGCAGCAAAAATTCTGGTGGTGGATGGCTGTCAACCGAATTGTGTGTTGCGTGAGAGGGTGAGGACGTTGGAAGAGAGCCTGGTGATTACTTTGCGAGAAAGAGATGAAGCTAGGGAGTTGGTTGAAGACATCCGGAGAGTTATGATGGTCAATCATGCAGATTCTTGAAAACATCCAGCGCGGAACAAATTCTGTCGTCGACATCACTATACCTTACTCTCTCTGTTTTGTTGATAATCATACTAGATCGTTACGCCCACCACCGGGAGAAACGCCCTTTCTATATTGAACTGAATACAAACGGAGTAACCATGACAACAGGGGTGTGCGTGAGGCTGTGTCAGAGTATTTGTGGAGGTTTCCTCCTTGAACCCGTACATCCGCGGGTTCTCCGAATCGCGATCTCTCAAACAGCAGGCAAGTATTTATACAGTTTATACAAATTTCATCGTGACTCTCGGTGATAACCTTACATGGAAAACGGCATACGAAATCAAAAACATACGAAGAAAATGCTGGAACTTGAATAACTACATCTGCTTGGCGTACTACCCAATTTGTTTCTTGTGGTCTTCGGTAAATCATCAGCACCTGTTAACGCTACCTGGCCCTCTCCACTGTTTCCAAAGACCTCGTACGACCCTGTTTGCAACAACGATTTGACCGATTTTGACATCGTCGATGGCGTCGGTGTCGACGTAGGAGCAGTCAACGCCAGACATTGGCTACTAAGCGTAGGCGTAGAAGTTGGCACCTGATTAATCTGTTCTTGGGTTCTATTGGCACCGGATGGAAATGTGAATCCGTAATATCCAGGACAATCGTCAGTTGGGAAACGGTATGCACTAAAAGCTCTTCAACATTTTCTTCAGACAGACTCTGATTTTGCCTTCTTACAGATATACGCTTCGTAGGAACGGCTGACCCAGAACCACATCCGGCTTCGTATCTGCTGTCGTATTTTTCAGTGCAACGTTACAGAAGCCGGGGGCTGCTGCCATCGTCGTTTTATGGAGCATGTTGTCTTGAGAATCGACTTGATAATCCACGCCGTTGATGGTCACGGTGAGATAGACGTATGGCAATTCGGTGCCGTTGCAAAGGAAGCTGAATCCTCCGTCTGGATATAGATTAATGAGGTCGACGGGCCCCACATATCCATCGTCTAACGCGTAGGGATTGTTGGGAGGTACGGCAATGTTCCTCGAGACTTCAACGTGCGTTAGATTCACTTCACTGTATGCATTATACACTCACAAGTACTCAGAGATGCTATTAGGTCGCCGCCAAAGGGAAGGAACGATCCATTGAATCCTTTCACTCCGTCGATCTTGATGGCATTGGTGAAATCAGCTGTTGGTGTCTCCATTTCGACCCAATTGATTTCTCCGGCATAGTCCTCGGGATCCAGAGCTCCGATAGTCAGCCTTGGCTTGATAGGATCGAGTCGCAAGCCAACAACTGGGTTCAGAAGGCTACCGTCGTCCCACAGCTTGGTCAACAGCCGCTGAGATCTTGGCGCCGTGCTGTTCACAAATAATCCTAGATGCCCGTTATTGATACGTGCAGAGAAATTCATTGACATTTCTTCCACCAAGACTGCAGCATCATGAGTTGGCGGGTGCGCGCGGCAAAAAAAATACTACGAGGTACGCACCAAAGTCCATGTTTTGGGCGGTAATGACTCCACCAAAACTAACGACATCTGAGTAGTATTCTCCATTGAACTTTGGCTGACTTCCAGGCCAGGCGGTACCATTCGACTTAAACGCGCCCATATCAATACATTTATCCAGAAAAAGAGATTGGCCTAACCTTGATTGTTGAAGACAAGGTCTTATCGAACAATTCTTCTCCTTGACAAAATACGCAGTCGTCTGACCACGCGGACAAGAGGTCTCCAGAAAGGTTTATCGTCAAGTCCATAGATTGCTGGAGAGTTCCGAAAAGAAGAGGAACTTGACTATACATATAGTCGAGATCCGACATTGTAGTGGCGACCGTTACGTTCAACGATACCCATGCTGACCGATTTTATTAGGGTTCTTATCCATTCGACCTGGTTCAGAAAACTTACAAGGGTCGGCAGCGTACACTGCAAGTACGAAGGCAGCAAGCCATCCAAAGGCGAATTTAGTCATCGTGAAAGGAAACAAGATTCCGCGTCCCTATTCTGCGACGAGCACCCCATACTGACAAGCCTGTGAACTTTGATCTCTAACATTTTTTGTGTCGACCAGAGGTCGAGGTTAATGTAGATGTGATGGATATGGAAAATCATTTCATTTTGGTAAAGATCTACAACACTTCTCTGGGCTTCTCCCGCGACTGACAATCCTTTATAGGATTAGACTTGAGCCTGGCACATAGGGTGAACACCAGATCGATATCGATTGCAACGTCTGTTGCTTCCCTACTTCCGCCTCCCAAGTTAATCCATGAAAGCATCTGTGCCAAAATCTCCAAATTGATGATCCCTAACACCTGAATAAGCTTCGAACTTTATCCCCAACATCCACCATGGCTCACCCGCAAGTCTACATGGCCGTTGAAAAGTACGACCAAAGCCCACACTCTTTTACCATCCCCAAATCCAGCTCACCGTCTCCATCATCGTCGCGTCAACATCTCAATCACTCCTTTCTTCCTTTACCGCCGGCTGAAAAAAGGAGGATATCGGGTTTGCGTTCTGCACTAGATGTCGTTAAAGCCCTTGTTCTTCCGGTCGTGGCAATCGGGTATCTCGCTTTTTGCTACTCAGTTCATAACCACATTGCTCCCGTTACGGGCGAAGGCATTGTCGATCTCTCGTCTTACTCCTTGGGTGGATTTTATCTTGAATGCCTTGATGAAATAGACTGATCCGCGCATCAGCGAACGTGAAATCTGGGATTACCGCCATCAGCATCTTGGTCGTATCCATAGGTCTTTGGCCGATGAAGTCCTTGGTCCAGGACCTTCACGTCAGTGACGCTGTTACATCCTTAAAGTTGATTTCTCGAAGTTCCTAATTATTGAAATTTGTAGAGCGAAGAATTTTTCCGTGTCTTGACAGCGCACCAAGCTGGTGTCCCATTGTCTACAATAAACACAATCTCTTCTCCCTCTTTCGGCACTTTCAACTCATTTATGGCCATCGCTCGTCGGCACTGTTCTTCATACTTCACACTCTCTTTCATTTCTAGTTTTATAGTTCTCGCTGCATCTTCTTTAGCTCCTTCCGCGTGTGTGTGACATTTTTTCTCTGTTTGAAATCACTCCTAGAACATTTACTCAGTGTCGGTCGATTCCATGCTTGTGGATGGCCAAGTTCTAGCCTTCTCCGTTGGTGCAGTATCGGCAAACTCCGCTTTGAAGTGAGTCGCTTTAGTTCTGCTTACTGACATCGATGATTGTTGACCCTTAGCCAGCGTCTCTGATATTGATGCATTTACCTTCCAAATGCCTGCAGAAAACGTCCGCAGAAACACGCAAGAAGCTGCGGCTATTGCGTGGGCTGAGAGCTCTTTAAGATCTCAATACATGTTCAGACTCCCATCGAACGGCACCTCGTATATCATTCCTATTCCGGAAAACCTACCTACTACGACTAGTGCACGGTGGCTTACAGATGTCGTCGCTCTTAACCCATCCTGTGCCTGGCAACAGACCAATGTCTCCTCGACGCTCCAGATCAGTTCGAACACGACGTCCAACAACACTAGCTTTCTGTCAGATGATGTATACGTGAACATGCCAGCTGTCTCCACCGATATCAAGCTGCCCTGGAATACTATCTGTGAGTTTCTATTGCAACTAAACCTATACCAAACTTTAAGTAGTGCTCATATGTGACTAAAATTAGCCATCTACGAAATTGGGATAATACCAATTGACCTATTCGACGTCTTGAATTCGACGAGTCATGATCCAGCATCCAATGGCGCCTCTGTTTGGATCATAGCGTATCCGACGAATACATCTTTACAAAGCACCCCCGTGGTCGAATTCGACTTCACCGATAAACCCACTTTTACATTAGCTATTGATTCCGATGTTTACCAGGTCGGAATTATGGCTTGTTCTCCGAACCCCACAATCGAAACGCGAGAAGTGGTGAACGATGGCTTGGGAAACCTGTCGATCGAACCCAGAATACCGCGGTATAATCAAGGGAACCTGCATCCATCCCAGACTGCTTTTCTTTTATCGTTCGCTTTGTCCGACCTTCATGACAGTGCTGGCCCGAAAATCACATTCGACGGGTTCGGCACCGAGCTCGAAGCACAACTATTCTTCGGCCTCGACCAAGTCAAAGCATTCAATACCTCCCTCGACTCGTTCACATTCACACCCGTCTCCGACCAGGAGATTACAGACATGTACACCCGCCTGCTCCAATCGGCTAGCAAGGTATTCGTCTCCGGGAATTTAGGATCTGCATATGTGCCTGGACGCACGGCAGCAGAAACAGCGGTTTTCACCTCGTCACTTCCCGTTATCGTGGCATCCACGGTCCTATTCGCGGTCCTCTCGGTCTTTATCATTACGGCCCACTTCAGGGAGGGTAAAGAGGCGTATTTCACGCTGTATTCTGTAGCGGCTGCCCTGGACGGGTCACTTCTACCAAGCCAGTTCGCTCAGCTCAAGAATGATGGAGTAGGTGAGATTCGTGCGGGGGCCATGCGTGGTTCTTCCGTGGAGGATCAGATGGCTGCAGCTTGGGGTGCGAGGAAAGTCATGCTGACTCGGAAACAGGATGGTCATGGTATTCTTCATCTTGATTGATATTGTAACAGCCTGGGAAATCGAACCCATTGAATCAACATTCTAGTGGCGTGACGACCCTAGAACGCCACCATATGATCACCATTACTTTTCATGAAACAAGTTACGCACAATGGTCGAGAAGAATCCGGCTAGGATCCATTAGAGACACCCTGGGATGATTGGAACGGGCGCACAGCATAAAAACGAGTAAAACACCTCGCTATTTCCACCATGAGGTCGAACCCAGGAAAGTTACTCGTTCTACCGGTGTGGGTATGCCTTGAGAAGCTTCAGCTATCAAAGATCCGAGCCTGTCTTCTACCCGGGCCCAAAGGATGGCTGCACCGCGGCGCAGGGAAATGAACACTGCAGCCGCACTTCATGCTGTCATCGGGACGATCCGAGTCTAGAGAGCGAACACGCGAGCATATACCCTCTAGTACTTTGTGTGCTTGAGCCGTTTTCATGATCTATACCAGTGAAATACCGGAGTGGACACGGTGCTGACGTTTAGACTCGTCGCTGTGAATTTTGGACCATTAAAAGCCTAGCTCGAGGGCAGAAATCAGCGAATCTGTCGGGTGCTGAATGTGCCTTCTCATCTTATTAGTCAAGTTTACACGCCAGAGCACCAGAGCACACCTTTTGCTACAGCTGAACCACGGTGTGGACGCGGTTCGATACGAACAAGATCTTGTATTCTATGGGTAAATTTACACCGTACACATCTATCACCAATATTAAACACCATTTAAAATACACAGAAAACGCAGGGAGGCAGCATATACAAGCAAGATTGCAGTGAAAGCGCTGTACAGATGGTCGTGAAAAATAATGATAAAGGCTTCCGGGGTATCATAACAGCTGGGATGTTACGAGGTTCTCGCGAAGAACACCGTCACGAACTGGGGAGATAGTTATCATTAGAAGGCGCCAAGCTGGCAAGCATGAGAAATCGAAGCATACCAGACTCTAGGGTTTTGGCCGTCGCTTCCGTATCCTGATGACACCGTTCTAAGAGCTCTGAAATGGCCAGAAAACAAGGTATACGTACCGTCACTGTGGTGGGATAGATATAGGCATGCCTAGCCGCTGGTGATAGTTGCCTTTGCATGTCCTTGAATTTCTCCCGGAGATCTATTCAAAGGAGTTAAGAACGCGGCCTATATTAGAAGTCGCAAAAAACTCCTACATCTTACAACGTTAGTCACATCGTTTGGCCGATCGCCGTAGCTGGGGAGATATTTCTTTACTTGAACACCCCTCTTCAGTTTTCGCTTGAGGAGGTCGCATTTGTTCATGAAAAGAATAAGCTGCGTCTTTGCCAATAGCTTTGATGAGCATATTGATCTCCATAAGATCGTCGAGTCTTCAAGGCGATTGACGCTGTAATCTTCCTCCAGCCGTTCGTCGAAGCAGGACACAGGACATAGGAATATTATAACATTCGTGTTTTCGAAAAAGGGTAGCCATGCAGCTCGCTGTGAACGATTTAGCATTCGTCAACTATTTCAAACAGAGACTATCGGCATTCAAAGGAGAAACAACAGGCCTCGGGAAAGTCTGGTACGCATGATTTTGTGGTTCAGGATACAGCGGAGAACACGTCTATGTTCTGGTGTAACCAAAACTTCTCAAGGACAGGTTATCACGGAAATCGATGTGCCGGTCATTCCGCATAACATACAGAGTCTAGTCATGCCCATTCTGGCAGCCACATCGCCTTCGACGCAGCGTTTGTTCGGAAAAAGAAACGCACCGTTGTTCGACATCCACCGACATCATAGATTCTCCACTCCCAGGCACCATCGGTTCTGGGTGCATCTATAGGACCTGACTTGAATCGTACCTGGTATTCTTGTATACCAACAGTCCGTAGGCGAGCTCGGACAATGTCGTCGTCTGTTACATGGTAGTCGCGTGTTGCTATCCGGTCAAGTTCATTCAGGAAGCTGCAGGGATAATAAGAAGTGAGCAAAAATGGGACACACTAGAGAAGCCAGAGATCTCTCGTAAAGATCATTGAAAGGTCCTGCTTCTTCCTTTGGTTCTACGACCCCGATCTTCGTTCCAAAGACGACATGAAAGACATGTACCAAATGAACTGGGTTCTTATTGTGGATTCGGACCAAGATGTGGGCATGGGAACGAGGGAGAAGCAGGACCTCTCAATGCCTTCCACGAAGCCTGCCTAGTTCTCGAAAGTTAATGTTTGAAAAGGAACTCACAATCCAGCAGAATCAGGCAAGCGCATCTTTCTCCTCTCCAGCGCCATTTGCACGGTCTTGTCCGTCCAGAGGGCTTTCATTTCGTGTCTGCAGCTAGCAAGGGTCATAGTGACGGACTCCATAGACATGAAGCCCTTTGCTGAATCGTTGCACCCCACCACGTCACCCCAAGACCGAACCGCAAACTCGCCCAAGGTCCTCCGCTTCGCATCCGGCCTCCGAGTCGGTACTTCGAAGGGAGTAGCTGACATGGGCAGGGAAGGCTGGATGGGGTCCGTGCCGGCACCGAGTTGACGCTTTAGATCTGCCTCGACACCACGCAAAGGCGCTAGTTTGATCATAAGGAGCTGGTGGCGGTCCGTAAATCGCAAAATTTCTGAGGAATCGAACTTTGTAATCTCGGAGCTGTCGTCGGGAGAGTCCTCGTCGTCAATGTCATATGGCACGTCGCCGCTCATTTCGGCCTCAAGAACGCCGAGGATCGTCACTATTGACCGCACAACGTTGAGCTGAACGACAGCGCGCCAGCCTGAGCGCTCGCGCTCCCAGGCGGCCTGGGAATAGCGCATCCTAAAGTCTGTTCGACGTCGTCAGCGGCCAGCACGAGGTGAGCCGAAAGCGAAATTAGAATACTTTTCAGAGTTGTTGATTTGCCTATTGGACCGGGAATTAGCACTGGCGGCCCTGGAGCCTTTTTACGACGACGTACCGCTCTCTGCCTGGCCCAGCAACAGGACCCTAATGATATTTTTCTCTTTCCTCGCCAGACTTCTCGCCTGCTTGATGTCTTCGTCAATCATGTCACTGACCCTCTGCGCATCAGCTTCGCGTTTCAGCCTGGCTGTCATCTGAGCAGGAGTTTCGTTGGGCGGCGGCTGCATGAGCTCGTGGAAAGGGTCGGTTTCTGCAGGATGGAAGACCATGCTTGAAGAACGACACGGGCGTAGGAGAGCAAGGACTGTGACATGTAAATATCCGCGACCTTGATGGCGATGATGGGCAATGATATTCTGAGCCAAAGGGACCGCATGTTCGACGTAATGGGAAACCGGCTTGCCCTCCAGCCGAACCGGCTCGTGACGTCTATACTACCTCCGACCGACGCGCGACCCCTTGAAATACCTGTGCTAGCTTGCTGTTGGGCGCCAGTGGGGAGCGGAATCTGCTGCTGCTAAATTACTTTTACATACTGGGTTTACGGGGAAAATATATTTTCTTGTTTTCTGAATTCTCTTCCGAGGTGACGATCAGCAAAATGAAACACAATGATATTTGATTTTCCTCGAGTTGACCCTGGCACGTCGGGCGTCTTGTAAAAACCAATGTCGACCGGCGGCTCTTGCACGGCGGAGAGCGCACGGAGATACTGTTACTACTCGGTCTTCGTAGAGATCTCGCGATGCTGACAATTTGCAAGCCATCAACTGGTCGACGTCGAGGCCGGGTATTAGGGCCTGCGGTAAAACGTGTTTCCGAGTCAAGGTCGGATCGAAGGAACGCGATTGAAGGAACAGTTTGAACGGGTTAATAGTCACCCACGTTCGGCAGCTGAAAATCCTTAGTCTATTATGCTCGAACCAATCCAAATGCTAGCTTCGAGTCTAGCAACTGAATGCCCCAAAATTGAGTCAAGTAGGAGCTAAGTACCTACGTAGTCACAGGAGCTCCGCGTCCACAGCCACTTCAGCTTGAACATGACGCCATCGATTCACCGACTGATCGCCAAGCCCTCTTCGTTATAAATCCAGAAGAAAATGACGAACGGGACCAATTCTTGTGCATGAAATGTATCGTTTCAAGACAAGACAATACCCACCAGAAATCTTTAGTGTGGAAACATCAAAGACATTCACTGTATATCCAGGTTCGCCAAGAATCAAGGCACAAGTTCGAGTCCAGGAGCATGAATTCCATGGAACATACACATACATTCTATACTTCAACTTGGTAGCCAATTATTACTGAGATCTCCCCTCACCATTTGGCATGGCAATATACAAAAAAGAGGTACAATACACGACAAGGTTCACGCAACCGACCGAAGTACGCGTACCAATTGATTGTTTCCATCAATCCATTAGGCCAATTATAGCGGTCGTCGGAGGGTCATAGACTCGGAATCAGACATTCCTTGATCGTCATAGTATCACCGGGCTGCGCCTGCATAACAATGATGTCTGATTGATTGAGAGAGAATCCAGCCACAGATTGGGCAGGATCTGCGTAAAATCGGATGCGCCCCATCCTGGAAACGAGGGGAGAAAATGCGAAGAAAAGCTTACCGCCACCAAAGGTAAAACTAGCAAATCGTTTATAATTATAGGTCGGCGACGGCATCAGGACAGATTCATCGCATCAATACTATTCCCTCCATTAGAATATTCTAGACAGCGTCGGTAATACTAGTCGCGATGGAACTTCACGAATACAATTCAAAGACGTCAAAAATTTCCGGTCCAGATATCAGACCAAATGTCAATTCTGTTTAGATACGGAAATTTTTTCGTGATCATACATAGCGACATGAAGTAAACGACGACCCAAGAAGGAAAATAACAAGGTTGTTTTATCGAATCATACCAGCTGATTTTTTACCAACCAACTGTTCAAGCGCTTACACCATGTTGGCAGGAGCTTTTTCGTCTGTCGATCGTGAAGGAACTCTCATGAATGCCCGGTCTATACGACTATCCTGACTGTCATAGACGAAGGTGTCGTACAGCATCGCAGCGATTTGGGCACCGAGAATAGGCGCCAACACACCAGCCCATAACCAGTATTGGCTGGAGAACGAGGACGATGAGCAACTACCAAGAAGATGCTACGGGAAAGACGTACTTTCGATAGTTGAACACTTGTTTACCCCAACCGGCGATGGCCGTCAGAATACGGGGACCCAGATCACGGGCGGGATTAACAGCAAATCCTTAATGAGAAGATTCGTCAGTAACGAAAGTAGACAATGTCAAAGGCAGATACTAACCTGTCTGCATGCCAAAGCAAACACCCAAACCAAAGAGGGTGAGGAACAGAGCAAGCGGAAGAAGTCCTGCAGGAGGGGAGTTGCGCTTGTCGGTGGCGGCGAGGATGATGAGCATAAGGATGAAACAACCCAAAAATTCGTCAAAGAACGCGGCGGCGTTCGGCACGTAATCAAGCTGGTGAAACCGTACTCCTCAGTTGTTGGACTCAAGAGATCGAACGTCAGACTTACAGCATAGGTACCAAAGAAACCAGCGGTAGCAAGTGTCCTGTAATGCCCGCCTTCGTAAATGTTGATAGCATGGTAATAGTTGGCGTAAACCAGCGCGGCACCGAATATACCACCCATGAGTTGTGCGAAAATGTACCCTTGTTATGCCGATCAGTACTATGACGCCCGTGCAAAACACGAATGGAGCGCACCTGGAACTTTCCTCCATGGGAACCCGCGCCACGTAGCCATAGCCAGGGTGACCTACATGCATGTTCAGAGATCTGTCAGATTAAGGATGATGCAAGATAATTACCGCAGGATTGATGTGGCCTCCAGAAACTCCTCCGCTAACCCACGCGCCCAAAGCAAGGCCTATAAATTTTTGGTATCAGACATTGGCCCAATGCATGAGAGCTTGGCATTACTCACCAAACCCCCAACCTAACGCGATAGAAAAGTAGCTCTGGAGACAGTCAAATAAGAAAATATTTGGTAGCAATAGCGTTACATTTACTTACACCCTGCTGAGTATCAGCGACACCGGGGTTGGTGGAGGTGACCGCCTGACAACTAGCTCCAGAGCCAAACATGACAAGGATGGCGACTCCAATGAACTCCGCGGCGGGTTCACGAATAGCCAGTCTAAGCAAGAGAAAGAGTTGAAAAATATGGGCCAGTCAAGGTATGAGTAACTCACCGAATACGACCCAGGCGATTCGCTGGTACTGAAGACCGTGGCTCCGAGTCAAAACTGTGTCGAGGAGATTCATGATCATGGTGACTCCCATGAGAGTCGATATATGCCTTGGCAACAGAGGTTACTTTGGCAGGAGAGGAGGTATCCGTGTGCCCATATGGAGTGGGAGGAGTGTATACCATCGTGAAAGGTTCGTAAGAGAGGATGCTGAAAATATAATTATGCGCGACGCAGCTTATATACTCGTAGAGGAGACTTTCCGGAACAATCTCATAAGGTCATGATATCATCGTCAGCCGGGATAGGACCCTAGAAACTACGCAAAAGGACATTTGATTCCAGATCGCGGGTCCTGCGTTTGTAGAACAGATCGAAGAAGCGCCAAAACGAGGCCCATCAAAGAAAAAGGATGTAATAAATTCATGACCTACATCGAGCGATTGAGACAGAAGGATCCAGATATGACGGTGGCTTCAGATGACGCCGCAAAGAGGGACATATCCGAGACCAAAGTTCTGTAAGCAGTATAAGTTGGAGTCTCGGTTCGCCTAGTAAGTAATTAGAGCAAGTTCGGTCTGATCCCGCTTGGGGGGTATGTCACTCCGAGACTCGAGTCCAAGAAAATCATTGAATGAAGCCAAGGAAAGATCTTAAGGAGTTATCAATACAGCGTCAGGGTGCAGGTTCTCTCAGTCGTAGTATCTCCTCGATCACAGCAACGGACATTAACTCAAACAGAGAAGTCTTGGGAGAAGTCAAGAGAGCGTGACTTACTAATTCAGAAGCCCGAGGCACTTGTCAGTTCCGAACCTGCAAGCTTTAGAAGCTAACAATTACAAATAGTCTATGGCCGGCCCGAGATGCCGCTCCTTTGAAGTTTGCTTCCGTTGCGCAGTGAAAAGTCCCAACCGTTCGTGTTAGGTTCCATACCACGCGTTTACGGCTTCGTTTTTTCTTTCTCTGCAGAAAACTTACCAAACTGCCTTTTTGGTTCCATTAGCATCTGTGCAAAACATTCGGAATAAGCTTACATCCCCAGCGGTTCTTGCACCTTTTTTGTCCAAGCCGATCCCTCTCCCTTTGTTTACGTAAAGTTTTCTGTCGCACGTGAAGTTGAACTCATCGCAGAGTTAAATCGAGTGTATCAGTATCACGGCGGTTTTTTGCCTACTTTCAATGTCATTCGTACGAAAAGCCTTGGAGCGCCCCAGCCGTCGGCTCGCGGTCCAATTAAGCAGATTTTATACTAAAAATGGTAATCAGCAATCTGATCGGATGCTATTTTTTCCACCACATTCAGTCGAACTTACAACCAGTACGTATGATCGAGACTTCCTCGCTTTTACTACGCTTCTACCAAGCCTCAATTAGCTACATCGATCCGCAGCGCTAACCATTAACATGCTGAAAACACGCGGCGGCTTCAATCGCTCGCCTATCGCCATCACATTTCAGATATATCTTTACTAATAAACTTTTGGGGGACTGCATACGAAGGAATAACGTTCCACTTTATAGAATAGCAGACTCCACTATCACTCCACCTTCCCACATAAGTCATTACAATTCTTAAACAGTCATCGATAATCTCTTAGGTTTACATTCAAGCTGTCGTCTTGCCGAGCCTTCTTCAAGTTACCGTATACTTTCCTTCCGATAGTCGGTATGCCGACGAACAAGGACGCTCATTTATCCTTGCACTTGACGGATCAGGCGGTATGAATATCAATCACGAAATGGCAGACCCCGTAGAACTTCAGGCTCTTCTGGTAGACTGATAGGCGCGGTCTTCAATCACTTCCAGCTAGCCGCGTGTTGAAACTTCCACGCCGACTTCCTTACAAGGATGTCGACGCCGCGAAGCCGCATCCTACTGAAGACGGATTATGGTGGGACTGAACCATCAACGAAAGCTAGGGTCTTAGGCCTGCACAGAGTTAGGAAAGCTGCGGGTCACTTGAGTCCTCTTATCACGATCTTTTGTGATCGATAGTCGCTTAGTTAGTCAGATGAAGTGGAAGGAGACAAATTTGTGTAGCCGTTGGAGTGATACATAATGCCCTAATCCTTCCTTCCGTCAAGAACGGCAAGAAGTCGAAAGAAGGGTTGGTTACTCGTAAAGGTGTAGACAATAAGAAAGAGCTTCAACAGGCCGCCCACAGCGATCAGCCTGAAGGATAATGACCTTGTCTTTGAGATGATTATCGTAGCAAAACGTGAAAGGAACGGCGAATTGCAAAATACTGCAGCGCAGTCGGAGTTGCGAAAATCGTCCTTCAGTCGATGTTTTGCAACCGCGCCTCTTTGCTATGACTATATGTAGTAGGTACTCCAGACCTCCATTTCTCAAAGTACTCTCGGCGCTCCTCCTCCTCCCTGGCATGCCTTTCCCGGGCAACCTTCGTGTTACCCCAGAAGAATAACATAACATCATCTTCATCCCAGATATCCGAAGTCTCTGATTTAATGCCCATCTCTGCACTAGTATTCCCTTCATTCCTTTCTGCGGCCAATCGTTTTGTCCTTAGTTCCTTAGCTGTTCCTTCTTCTCCCTCTCCTTCCTCGTCTTCTCTTCTCCGCTTCTCCCACTTCTTGAAGCTGTTGTCATGATCGTGTTTCTCTTCTGTTGGTCCCATCGGCACCGATGCAGGTTTAGGCGGCTTAGAAATGCCAGGACGCTGGGTCAGAACATTCATATTTTTGCCCCAGTGTTTCACACCAGCAGCCCCGTAAGTGTAATGCAGCAAGAGGTCAGCCGGCTTGTGAGATCGATGGCTCCCAAAAGTGGCATCGTCGTTGTTGGGTATTTGATTCAGGTTGGACTCGCTTCCTGGAGCAATAATCCACTGAAGCGTGTATCGAGATTGGTGTGGATAACTGACATCGGGCTCTATATCACGCTGGTGGCGAGGGGGGATGTCTGAGGGTTGCAGGATAGGATTCGGTGTCTGTCATGAATGAGAAATGTCAAGAAGGAAACAAAGACGAAAAGACAAACCACGAGTACGACAAGATATCGACGGTCAAATATAGTATGAATAAGTGGATTGACAAAAAAACCATTACGAATGTCGTTTATGTTGAGGAGCGAGCTGAGGTCTTCTTCGTGAGGTCGGTTTCTGACAATGAGTTGTAGCCACTGTAGCAAAGTCAGTTGGAATGGAAAGAAGAGAATAGATAGACATGCACTGCTGCCTCGTCTGAAAGGAATAATATGCATCCCTTCCCCGAAACTAACACCCGTCCATACACAACAGTGATCCCGCTGAAGAAGCCTTTCACAAAAGTCTTCGCGGGTGCTCGTAGTTTCTGATGCAGTATCATGAGTTTGTGTTCTGATGACCTCAATATCAACGGCGTGAGCAAGGGTGTTTCCACCGGGTATGTTGTACTGATAGACTGCTCGATCAACCAATTCGCCATTCAGTTTTACCGCATTGCCATTCTCATCCACCAGGTTCCCAACAACGCCCAGAACACACCAGCCGATGTACCGGAGATATTTTAAAGGGTACAGGCAGACTGTTGTCGCGATTTGCCTAGGGATTTCTAAGTAAAATGGATGTTCTTGAGGCACCAAAATGAGGTGAACAAAATCTGGCGGTGGCACTGGGCGGAGCATGGTGGTTATCAGAACTGAGCAGTAGCCGGTCCACGGTCAGAAGGGCACATAGGTAGGTAGAAAGTAGCTAACAGCCTCAAGACACAAAAAGACTCGTTGGAAGGTGAACAACGGAGGCAACGCGGTCTAGGTTCGGAATCCGGATCAAGAACATCACGTGATGTCGAGCCGAGAAGGGGCATCATGCATGGGTGCATTATTATATGGTCTCCGGGGTCTGCTGGACTGAGGGCGTTTTGTAACATGAGCCGGTAATTAAATTAGCACTACCGTAAACGAATATACACCGACCATGTTGTAGACCGACCGTTGAAATTGGAAATCTAGCCCCAAACCGCCTCCTCGTCAACTTCTCGTGCTGCTCGATCTTCCCGGCGACTTTGATTGCCGCCGCTCCTGTTGGGATGTAGCCCAGGGTGTTCGTCGCCCGGCAGTGAAATTCGGGAAGGCTTGTAGACCTGAGAATAGATCATAGAAGCTACGAGTCCAAGAGGGTGAAATGCCGTGAACAAGATGGCAGTTATCTTGGCAACGTCATGAGGACAGACAAAGCTAGAAAAATATGCCATGGCTCACATAAACAGGTGCGGGTTTAGGTCGTAAAGACCAGATACTAATGCATATCCACGTTGCTGCGACACACCACACTATGTCGCGGCGAAGCACGACAACCAAGAAGCCTAGAACGTTTGTTCCAAAAACTACTCCAAACCCGGCCCATTGGTACGCGTTGGGGTCGATCGGGGGTCCTGGCGCAGTCGGAGTTTGTACGAGCCCCAGCGTTACGCTGGAAAGGTTAGTATATATGGCAGGCACGTAACATACTACTTACAACAGACTAAGGGGAAACATCAACCCAATTTGTAGAACGAGAAAGAATCGCATCGGCGCATGAATGAGCATCGTGTCGAATGGGCGTTTAGCCGTGGGTGGATGGTAGATCAGAAGAACAACGTTGGAATACAGCAACAGTAGTAGAAGGATGCCCTGAAGGATTGTCGACACTAAAAACCATTTAAGAATCTGTCGAAAAATTAAGTTGAGGATATACTGTACAAATAAAATCGTTAGACGTACCCATGCTATGGCCCACAATGCCATGACCCAATTAGACAAAACAAGAGAGAATCCGGAGCCTTTGATCAAAGTCTTTTTCGTCTGTGGTTTCCCAGCGAGTACGAGGAGTACGCAATACCCAATCTGAGCTGCAAATATCGCGATGACGTACACCGCTATCGCAGCTGGTGTTGGTGAGATGACTGTAAGATACAGCTTGGATATTTTTCCTGCACCAGAGCGTCAGCCGAGGTGGACACTGCACTATTTCTGTGCAAATACGTGCCTATAGAAGGATCGACGACGACTGAGCACACTATTACAGTGGCGATATTGATCAACAGTGAGAGTGGTGTTAGAACTTGAAGCCTGGGAAGTCAAGTCAAACAACGGCCTTCAATACGTTTTCCTCTCCTACTGACCTGACGAGGGAGAGATATTCTCGCACCATTGGATGCGACATGTCGATGGGTAGTCCCTCCATTGTGACAGAGGTAGAGGGAGTGAACGTCGAAGGCTTGGATTGACCGATGACGTCGCCGCGAGCTAAACGCCCCATGACATCATAAGTGCGTCATACACGTGCGTGATTCCAAAAAAAGTTGATTGCCAAGGTGCTCGAAAAGTGTGAACAGAAAGATACGCGAGATGTGCACTTCATCTTCGGCAAGGCGTCTGTACCGATTCATCCAAAGATTGATGAAAGGAAAAAAATTGCTGGGACAGTTGCGACGATTCCAAGACCTTCTGGTCATTTTCACTACTCGATAAGGGTGAGCGAATTTGGTAGTCCTTAAGTAGTAGTAGTAGTAGTCGTCGCACTGGCAAACGGTCCCTATCAAGGGAACAGCCAATGTTTTCTACGCCGTTGATGAGCTTGGGAGTACGTTCAAGAAGGTAAGATTGTCTGATGTAAACCAACGTATTGCAGGCTTAGTTAAACCAGGCAAGTACAAAGAGCGATGAGCATCAACAGAACGAAGAACCTGGAAGACAAAGTTTTAAGGTGGAATATTCACGAGCGAAGGACGCATCTTACAATCGACAACGATTTCGAGGAGGACTGGAGATATTCTGGCTTAGATGCCAATTGGCGAGAAACGGTACTCTTGCTAGCAAGACACACTTGAAGGCAAGTCATCTCCGCATGATTTGGCGTTTATGATAACCGGAAAACAGGCAAACGGCGGAGTTTCTTTCGCCGATGCTTCTTCAGCGTGGATTCAATACATCAAGTGACCACCAGCACACGAGATTGGCACCAGCACCGCCATTGATAGAAATTAGAGAATGTCAGTGTCTTCATCGATACAGGGCGGGTTAGCAAAGACCGCAAACAGCTAACAAGAAGGTAATACTCCAGACACCCGAGAATAATATGCGAAGTGACAGAAAGAACGGCGGTTCGAGGCCGTGGTTGTTAATAAACAAGCGTTGATGGGGCGTAACGAAAATTTCGGACAATGCCGGGACTCTCGCCGCACAGCGAATCATCATGTATCTTCCATTCACATCGTTGCACATCAAATTAATGTCTGTTTTTCTTCAACGCTGGTTACAACACGCATCCAGCAAGGGAGGCCATCGTGAACATGTTTTTACCATGTGCGTCTCGTTGATACACTTTTCGTTCAGGCTTCGAACTCCGATATGAAGTTATGAACAACGGCGTTCATATAGCCAGGAAGTCGTCGATTGATGATTAGCGTATACAAGGGATGACCCTAGTCCTTCGCATAGCTCTGACACACTTGATATATCCCAAACAGCAGGCAGAAGGAGAGGAAAGAGCATGTCGATCGGATGGCATGATGATATTATGCACCGGCTCTGTCAACGGCTAAGAATTACTCGGGAGAAATTAGCCGCTGCATGGAGAGAGCATCAAAATGAGAAAGCAGCCCGTGGCGTACAATGCCAATCGCCCAATGAGTCTCAGCCAGAGGGTCGGACCATACAAATTAAAGACCCTAAAAACGAGCGTAAGGAGTCATTAGATCACAACCCTGATAATCAGACTCACTATCTTTTTCATGTCTAGTCAAAATGATGTCGGACAAGTCTGGGAAGTTCCTCAAGCGGGATCGGAATGACATTCGGTTGATTGTTGAGAACCTTGGGGATGTGATGTGAACTGACCGTATCTCAGCCACAGCGGTGCTGGGAACGTAGCGTCGAGATACAATCATATCAACAATAGCGTCCAATGAAATGTCCCTTCTTCTGCCATAAGCTTTGGCAACATAGTCTGCTTTCAAAGACTGCAGCTCAGGAAGGACATCATGACCTCCCGTCAAGACCAAGGCCCGGAAGAACTGTTCTGCTGTACTCGGACAGGGTAGCACGATGTCCAAATGTGTGAGCCGAAACGCTTTATCGAACATCCTTCGGAAATCGAAGTGGTTGGTGATGAGTCCAAGTTCCAGCTTTTTTATGGGGGAACCGGAGCGGTCCAAGAAATCGTGAAAGATATCTTCCGCACTCTTATGATCTTCCGCTAGACAGTCAAGCTCCCCCAAAGCTTCGACGGCAAGTTTTTCGAGGGAGGGAAAGGTGAAAGCTCGGAGCAACGCTGCATCCCAGGTGTGGACACGCCGCAAAGATGGACATGTGACGATGTCTTCCAAGTTTCCTGGTTCCCAGCGATCGGTGCAGCCATCGGTTTGTGGGTGGGTCAAGTTTAGGAATTGGAGATTGCGAGTCATGGAGAGCATAAGGCCGAGATTATCAAGTTCAATGACACTTTCGATATAGAGGCTGGTTATTTGGGTCCAAGGAAGTGCCAATTCCTGAACAAACAGCGTACCATGACCCAGAGCAAGCGTTCGTAATTGAGGGGCATCCTCGAAGGCGCTAAAAATTGAACTGTTCCCTGCCTCATCGCCCAAATAATCACCGAAGAGCTCCAACCGCTCAAGCTTGGGAAGCCGACCCCGAATCTGTGCATAGATGTCCTCGTTGCTCTCGGAGAGCTCAATCCATGCATGTGTCCATCGTTGACTTGTGCTAAGTACGCGCTCAAGACAGACGCGTTCCTCCTCTTCAGTCACATCAAGCATAGAATGCCATCCGATGCGCAAACTGGCCTCGCGTGAACGATCCAGCACGGTTTGTAACAAGGGCATCAAGTCTTTGTTTCCAATGCATGAGAAACTAAGATTAGCCCAAAGGGATGGACTTGATAACACTGCGGCCCTCCATAAGCGACAGACTGCGCCAATCCTGGAAAGATTGGCAATGAGTTCTCTTAGGTCTTTGGGGGGTCGACGGGGAGGAACAGCGATTGCCCAGTGGAAGATCTCCGTGAGGACCTCTGGGGGGAATCTACGGAAGGGAGATCTGAGTGCTGCGTGGCGGTCGAAAATTCCCCGGAGACGGTTTCTTTCGTCCTGTGCTTTCTTCAGGGCAGCTTCGATGTGCCGGATGATATCGTCCTGGGCGGAGATGTCCGCCTCGACTCCTTGGAGGTAGTTACTAAGGAGGTCATCATCAGACGCAGATGCCACTCCGTTGGTGGAAATTAGGGTGCGAAATGGAGATGGCGCGTCGGTGAACCGTGTTACTGGTGTCGTAACGTCAAACCTGCATTTGACACAGCACGCTTGCGTTTTTGGCTGAAATAGTAAAAAGCTCGTCAGCCCAGGATCATAGGCAAATTTCGAGTAAATACCATTTGGAGAGCGTACAATACTGAAAAGGCTTGTTGGCTGGTCTGCTGTTGGTGGTTGATGGAAGAATACGGCAATGTCCGAAGGAACAACACGTCGGATGGTATCGATTCCAAATTACGTATTCTTCATACTTTTTTGTTTGCCCAATACCCTCCAGAAAAATATCTTAAAATATATCTGAAGGTTGATACGTGGATCTACAGCGACAGGTCCTACGCAGAGGAGACAAAAAATACATCGGACGTCAAGTTACTAATAGGCGGAAATGGACCTGGAACACGGGGGCAAAAGATAGACAAGAGAAATGTAAACATCGGCTGAAGGGGCTACAACTCATGTTTCATGAGATCCATCAAGCCAGCAACGGGCAGCCTCATGAGAGGTATCACTACTTGTCTGCGGAGTATGACGAAGAAAAATATCCGGGCCGTCCCATATCTGTTCTGGTCAGTTTTTTTTTACATGATGGATTCAGTAGCTCTCCCCATACAAATTACAACACCTAATCATTCGAGAAATGAGAATTTAGTTTAATACTGATGCAATGCCAAGACTCACGGCCGTTTTCACTGGTAGTCGAAATAAGGCTTTGCAACCTGGGGTTGCCCCTCACCCGAGCTCGAACATGGGTCCAGAAAAGCGTCGGAAGGCGCGGTAGGTTGATGTAAGCTGACTCTATCTCGGCTAGAGATGAACTGGGCAGGTGATATCTCGATACAAGCATATCGACGATGTTCTCCCCGAGGTTAATTTCTTCCACAAATGTATCGGGTTTCGTAACCTCAACTGCCTTCGCTTTCATACACTGGAGCTGAGGAAGGACATTAGTCTTATCCCCAGTCAAAACCAGCACCCGGAATAGCATTCCCGCTGCGGCCAAAGATGACACTGTAATGTCCAGGTGCGTGAGTCTGAAGGCGTTGTAAAGCATCCTTTCGTAATTGGGGGAAATTTCCCTAATATATAGTTTCAGTTTCTTTACTGGAGAGCCAGAACGGTCCAGGAAATCATGGAAGATATCCACCCATGACCGTTCACCTTCCAGACCATCAAGCTCCTCGTAAGTTGCCAGATTGATTTCTTCCGCTACAGGAAACGTAACCGTTTGAAAAAATCCTGTATCATGGACTGTGATACTCTGTAAAGATACGCAGGTGACGGTGTCTTCCTTGCTTTTTGGCTCCCAGTCATTGACATGGCCATAGCTATGTTGAAAGGATAGAGATCTTAGGTTCGGAGTCATGGAGAGAACTGCGCGAACATCAGAAGTCTCAACGGAATGACGCATATAAAGACTGGTAATCTGTGACCAAGGAAGGACCAACCGATGGCATGCAGGCGATATGCCCAGCCCTAGAGCTACTTTCCTCAATCGAGGAGCGTTCTCAAAAGCGCGGAAGTCCTCCCCCGGAAACCTGTTATATGCTGCAGACAGAGACAGCTGCTCCAGTAGCGGAAGTCGGCCACGGATTTGTTCATAATAACCTGCATCTGCACTGCAGACTTCGATCCATACGCGCTTCCATCGATGACTTGTACCAAGCACACGTTTTAGGGTATAATTCTCGTGGGAGTGCCATACGCTTCCTCGAATCGCGACGGTCATTCCGGCCTCGCGAGATCGGACCAGCACTGTCTCCAACAAAGACACGGTGTCTCTACTACCGAACCCAATGGTAAAGCAGGCCCATAAAGATGGATTCGATAGCACTGTGGATCTCCAAAGTCGGCAGACTGATCCAATCCTCCAAAGACCCTGAAAAACTTGGAATATACCCTTAGGTTGTTCGTCAGGTGGAGATGCGACTGCCGACTGGAAAACCTGGGCGAGGATCTCAGGGGGAAATCTGCGGAAAGCTGACATGAGCCCAATGTGGCTGTCCGCAATCCTCTGAAGATGGTTCCTTTCGTCTTGGGCCTCCCTGAGAGCGATCTCAATACGCCCGATCGTTTCGTCCTGAGCAGAAATATCGGCGCGTACCCCTTGGAGGTAATGGTCAAGTTGAGAACCACATGCGGCACCGTTGACAGCAATCAAGTCACGAAATGGAGACGGCGCATCGGTGAACCGCGGCTTTTTGGGAGTGGCGGCGTCACAATTGGGGCAGCGGACCACTCTCCTTATTGCCATCTGTGACACAACAGAGTCAACAAAAACTACAGATAAAACTGTAAGTCATACCATTCATACAGTAAACCGCAAAGAGATGCGAATATTATGCTCGGGGCTGAGATTGAGATTGGACGCAACACGCCACCGAAGGCTTCAGCTCGGATATTGCCGCAAGTTCTCACCACCCGGTCCGGTGTCCTGCCAATTTCTACGACATATCGAGGCTCTCGAGTCTATTCTTTCCAAAAGCAAAAGTAGTATGACTTCAGGATGGTGGTCACGACATCTATACATACCTTAGTTCAACGCCAAGCGCACATTAACGACATTGAGAAACTTTAGCTCTGTCGAAGCGCTGTGTATTGTTCATATGTAGGTAGCCCCGAAAGAAAAACCGCAAGCAATGAATAGACAAGATGGATGTCAGTTGCATGAGTTCTGTGTCCATTGTGACCCTTTAGCTAACCTCAAAAGAACACAGCACCAACGGTCATGATAGTCTGCGGTTGAGAAAAATAGAATACTAGGTCCCCGTCATTCTCTTCAGGGCGGTCCAACCGTTCAGTCGGTCAACCGTTGGGTCAAGATATTTTTATTTCCTCAACGGAGCGAACAAGCGATACTGGAAGGTATAAAATGGACCAGGAGTCAGTCGTTACCTTCAACAAATTAAACATTCAAACACCACCAGCAGTCGTACATCTCACCAACATACAATGTTCGCCCGTATCTTCACCCTCCTCGCTCTTTCCATGGCAGCCATGGTCAGTGCACTTCCAGCTACTACCGTCACTGGAGGAAGTTGCAACACCGGCACCCTTGAGTGCTGCAAGTCTGTCCAGAGTGTGAGTCCAGAACATTTTCTCCTGGAACACTAACTTATTAACAAATGCTAGCCCACGTCCTCGCCGATTCAGACCCTCCTGGGCCTGCTCAATATCCCGATTGGAAGTGTTACTGCCCAAGTGTAAGATATAATTTTTGTCTGGTTCAAATTATGCTGATATACATACCAAAGTGGCCTCACTTGCAACCCCATTACGGTAGTTGGCCTTGGCACTACCCAGTGTGCTAACCAGCCCGCCTGCTGCACGGGAAACAACTATGTGAGTATTGCCCGTATCTGCGAGAATTATCGGGACTGACCGGCACAGAACGGCCTTGTTGCCCTAGGCTGCACCCCCATCAACTTGGGTGTCTGAGCGAAGCCTGAAACGCATGCCTTTCATGGTTGTAACATTGAAAGGATTTACGGTTGTCCGTCTTGCGTATAGTTTTCATTTTTAACTTTAGTTTCTCCAAGTAGCGGGGCCTGTGGACGCTATATCAGATGAAATATAATTAGTCTTGTCATGTCTGAAAGTCGACGAAAGCACGTACAACAATGTTTCCTCTACCTGTGGAGGTGGCCGATGCGATTCGCGATGTTGTCCAAGACTAATAATGCAGAAAACTGGAAGCTGCCATCTGCTGATAAGTTGAACGTAAGAGGGAGAAACATTGTTACCCTGCTACAGTTGATGGACGAGGCGAGGACGATGAATGAGGATAATTCTCCCTGCACGAATCCACCGAAAGAAAGGTTTATTCCAGTTGGTCGACATGTCTAATCATGCATGATCACGCAAGTGTTTCGAATCGTGGCCCTCGGAGCCAATACTCCAGGAGCTTCACGCTGCAAGTTCTCAACGATTTACAGAGTCCGGAGTGCTTGCGGTATGCTTGTTGACCCGGTTATGGCCTCAAGATCTCTACGTAGTGTAGGAGGTACCGGAAACCGGACTAAATGAATAGCAAGAGTAGCGCCAGAAGAAAAGGTGATACAGGCATTCCGTGTCCAAAGCAAGTTCTTGCTGATACCAGTCAATATGAAAAGAGGATGTTGTCGCCGGCGAGCCGAGATCGCGACAAGACTTGCCGCCCCGGTGTTAAATCGGAGATTTAAAATGAAATGAGCAGCCGGCTGTGGCTGTCTTCGCTTCGACCCTGACCACAATGTCGAACTCCGAAAATTCTATAACAATACGGGTGGAGTTTGGTGGCGGTCTCGAGCTGCTCTTCTCTAATCAAAGATCTCATAAAGTCAAGATACCCGCAACTATTTCCAAGGACGGTCCAGGGAAGCCTGCTGATGTCGACTATCTGATCCACCATCTACGCGACAACTTGCTGAAAGAGAGAGAAGAATTGTTCATGGAGAAAGACACGGTGTATGCCTCTGTTTTCTGTGTCTCAGATTGATCCTCACTCTTTTCTAGGCGGCCAGGGATACTGGTCCTCATTAACGACACTGACTGGGAACTGGAGGGAGAGGGAGATTACGTCCTGCAGAACAATGATGAAGTCGTCTTCATCTCAACGTTGCACGGCGGTTAGGCGATTGAGTGGGATGAGAATCGTTTTGGCTTGCTCTCAGCTTGAAGCGGACATTTATTACTACCTGTATATTTGGCCTAATTTTGGTGCGTTCTCAAAGCTCTTTCACCAGAAGTCCTGCTTATTTCCGGTAGTTCGTCCGTGGTTAGGACAGGTTCTATTATCATTGTTTTGTCCCGGCTTTTTTGCTCTCGCGAAATGAGTGCTACTCGTCTCCTTTGATGTCGGTACTGTCTTCCGATTGACTCCGATGGACGCATACGACTAAACGACTGGATCTTGATATCTAAATCAAGGAAAACGGAGCCGCCATTTGGAATCTGTAGCGAAATAGTTACCCTTAGGCTTTCCTAGTGCCAGCAGTGAGATGGAACGAAGAAATCATCGCTGCACGGTACCGCCGTCAAGTTTTGTCATGATGACATGAGCCATCTTCGACATCTCTCTGGTCTGAGCATTCAGATCCGTCCTTCCCGCGAAAGATTGGAATCTTTCTTTCCAGAGGTTCCATCTCTCGACGCAATAGCCTGGGAATCCTTTCCACCGGAGGCCGCCTCTCGTCGCTTTAGATCCCTCTTTTCCCTTCGGTGCGAGTGCCCATATGTGTCTACCCGCATATATCACCCAAACTGCCGCTGCTGGGACATGCGAATCAAGGACTTCAGGATTCAGTTCCCCCTCATTTACCTTTCCCATTACCTCCTCTGGTTTGGGCGCCAGCGTATCATCCTCCAGTGCATACCTCATCGCCCAAACACCATAACTGTCGAAATCCATAATTTCGGCCATGGTTAGGCGCGCCACAAAAGTGTTCAGGCTTGCCCACGTCCCTTTTGTGTTCTTCTCCAGAGAACCGTTCCACAGCTCCCTCACAGTTAGCCCCAGTGGATTGAGCTCGGTCCAATCTCATTTGGACGACTCGGTTGCCTGAACATGCGCGATGAGCGTCACGAGCTTATCTTGCCATGCATGGTCGTGTGTCACCAAGCGGATACGATAGAGTATCTCGTCGAAAATTGGGCTGGCCGAATAGTCATCGGGAGGCTCTGTGAGATCTGCCTCGATTGAGGCTGTCAGTTGTCGAGCAGCCTCCAGCGCGTCCACGGAGGATGCGAGGTATGAGTCGATGACATCGGCAATCTGTGCCATCCGGAAGCTGGGTTCTCCTGTTGTTCCGCGAGTGCTAGCGCTAAGCAGTTCAACGAAAGATTCGTTAGCGATAACTTTCCTTCGCTGACGGATTAAATTGAACGTTCGTTAGGCCAAATATAATGTACTCGGGAACGTGCAGGCAATTTATTTGAAGATCAGACTGTACAGCAGCCACGTTCAAACCCAGAACGTTTGCCTAACGACGAACGGAGCTCCACCTTCGACTTCGTAGCCGTGTGCTACACTGTCATTTGATTCACGGACCATGAGCTCAGCTACCAAGCATTGACACCTTATCTGTATGTTCCCTCTTATTGTATTTCACCTGAGGACCGAAACGTAATCCAGTTGTTGATGGGGACTTCTAGGCCAAATGGTACCTGCACAAATGAGCGTATGGTGCACGCGTTACTTAACTTCCTGAGCCACATTGTCGACTGCTCCTGCGTGGCGAGCATTGTTATCTTTTCCTTTGAACCTGACACTGGCTCGGCATCCCGTAGGTATATATACTGAGCCTGGCTACAACGGATTATCTGAAGAGCTATCTTTGGTGCTTTTTCGAAACCGTCAACTATGTTCCAACGATCTCTTCTCCTTCTCTTCTCTCTCCTGGTCCTTGCAACGGCCGCTCCTACGCGACGTGCGTGGCCATCCGGCTCCGTCACTTGCGGTAGTAACACCTACAGTCTTTCCGCCGTCAAAAGTGCTGTATCATACGGATACTCCCTGATTGATGACTCAATCGGAAGCAGTAAGTCGAGTTATCCGAGTTTCATTACCAGCTAGTCTAACTGTGATCCAGACAGCTATCCTCACACATTTAACAACTATGAAGGTCTTAGCATGTGGTGCTCTGGTGAATCAGCCTACAACGAGGTATGTGAGGGATTGATTCCGAAATGCGATACTAACGTCCGGCAGTTCCCCATCCTCAAGAGCGGGCTCTACAGCGGTGGCTCTCCGGGCGCAGACCGCGTTGTTTTCTCTGATAACGGTATTTATTGCGCGTATGTATTCATCAACATCTTCGTCTGAGTGAACCAGAGTTGATAACTTTATTCCAGCGTTATCACTCATACCGGAGCTTCTGGAAACAACTTTGTCTCCTGCGATGGCGATTGATGAACTGGGTCTGCATTTATATACTGAATATTGTTATCAGAAATTATTTGACATCAATCTTTCAAATTTCTAACTACTCAGAGGCCTGTCTGTCCCTTCGGAAGCACAAGGGGTGCTTTTGGGCGTAAGGTGACATTCCGAATGCTCGTCAAACTATGTAAAGCTGCCTTCTGCTATCAATATCTCCGGCGAGAAAGAGCGACATTGGGCCCCGGTCACTGAGGGTTTACTCCGTGTCAGTATACTAGTGGACAAATAAAGGTCAGTTGCAGTGTCTATTGAGGAATCACGATTCATATAGCCGTGCGATTTTCTATAATTTACATCGATATAGTCAGATGATGGATCTAAGTATATTCTGTCCCGCAAAAACTTCTTTGCAAATGTCCGGTCGATGCCGTCGGGAATTATCAAAACCCTCTAAAAGATGAAGGAGCGAGACAGTGAGTGGTTTGAGTGTTTGGTACGTGAATGCTTTTCAATGACTTTTGATATTCATATGGCACGTTTGTTTTTTACATATACAGAAACGGTTGTGGAATATTTTACCTTGTCATCTAAAGGGCTGCGACACGAAGCTAACAAAGAGTACTAGCCTTCTTCTAGAACCTTCACCCAAATTAGTCGCTCCGATCAATCGACAATCCGTGACCTCTGAAGCTTTGCTTGATATCGCCACACCGCCCGAAGATGTTCCTTGACAGCGAAAATTGTGTATCGAGAACATCGTGTAGAGAGTGTTGCTAAAGTAAGTTGAAAGGTGCACGTGGTCGCATCTCAACTGGGACGGCTGAGAAAGTCACTTTTCTAACTGAAGGACGCTTCGAACTCCATTTCTCGATGAGCACTAGCAGCCGTTTGCTTCTGCATTCCAGCTGATCACCCTGTTTATGTTTCATCTCACAACGCCCACCATCAAACCTGTGTAGAACTCTTCTGGTACTCTATACCGACGCTACTAGAAGCACAAAGGCGCTACATAAATATAGTCGTTGACAGGTTTCACGACCGGATGATGACTATTTGAAGCTCCAGATGAAGGCGCCGACCACTTCTCCTTATGGCCTATGTCGTCGACTATTGTAGGACGGACATCGTCATATTGCGGAATCTCTCCTTACGAAGCGGATAAATATGAAGCATTTCCTGGGTATATATTGGAGCCTGATTCTCTGGCTTTCTTCAAGAGCTATCTTCTCTAAGAACTTCCAGACTCTTACACCATGTTCCAGCGCTCGCTACTCACTCTTGTCACCCTGTTCGGTCTCGCATTGGCCGCCCCTACGGCATTGCCGTCTGGTACTGTCACCTGCGGTAGCAACTCATACAGTCCTACTGCTATTCAGAATGCTATCACCAATGGCGTTTCACACCTCAACAGTCCGATCAGTAAGTTCGACCAATTCAGTCTCTCTTCCCAGCATTTACTGACGGGAAAACTTGTCCTACAGACAATTACCCGCACAGGTACAGGAACTACGAAGGCCTGACTATGCGGTGTGCTGGGACGGTTTTCAATGAGGTACTTGAGCGCCAGTTTTTTCGAATCAGATGGTTGCTGACGTTGATAAGTATCCCATTCTTACCAGTGGTCTGTACAATGGCGGTTCTCCTGGGGCTGACCGCGTTGTTTTTGACAATGCCGGTAACTATTGCGCGTACGTATTCTCATTTATGGTCATTGTATGGGTTTTCTCATAGATATATTTCTCTTCTAGTGTCATGACTCATACCGGAGCCCCCACTACAAACGGTTTTGTCACTTGCAGGGGATATTGAGTTTGCAATGTCTGAATAGTGTATGTGTATAAGCTGTATATCGATTGTGCTTGATCGATGTTCGTCGATGTATGCATCTTGCCTTGCTTTCAATAATTACTGAACTTCGTCTTCGTACTGTGCCTGACCGGGAAACGGGTCAACCCAGCATTTTTGAGACCTCTGCACTTGTAGATAACAAAAACTGCCTAAAATTTGTTATGTATAATGAGTGAAATATATAAGCTATTATTCTATGTACTTTTGACATTTATTTCTGCTTCGGATTCTGTGATATAAATTTTTTTATTGGGAGAGTCAGATTCCGGCAAAAGCATGGAACCGGGTCAACCGGCAAAGAAATTCCGAAAAGAAGCCGATACCCGCCAACCATCGTCGTCTCACCATTTCCGTCACGTCAATCATCACAGCTGCTTTTCTCACAAGCTCGTAACTCAAACCCTGCATACAGAGCATGTCCTCAATGTAAAAGATTACCTTTTGACTGCTTTTTTGGCCCGTGAAGACCACCTTGGACTGCTGCTAGCAAGTGACTCAGAACATGAACCATCAGCCTCTGATTCCGGCGTTGATATGGCCTCGGGTGGTCCTTTTCATGTGGATGGTGGGTCCTGAAGCAAATCTAACTCCCGATGACTGCCATAGCTACAATAGTAGTAACGAGTCACCCGCCACTTGACAGGGCTCAATACTACAGCATTTGAGTTTAAGTTAGTCTACCATGCTTGTGTTTTGAGGATAAATCAGGCCTTCATTGTCTGAGGAAGTCGTGCTGAATACTGGGATCTACTTGAATCTTCATTTAAAGGTATTTCCTGTCTGTGCAATACTCATTTGTGGTCAGCGGGAAATCTTCGGCTCCATCAGATAGCCTTCTAAGAAATATTCGTAGAGCTGGTTTGAGATGTACAAAAATTCACGGTGAATTTTCATGAGTGAGAGATACACATGGAGAACAAAATTGGGTAAAGATTTGCTAGTATAGACTCAAATGAACAAGCTATGACCTCGCCAATTTTGAGATAGACACACCCAACTGCATGTATCCTGGACTCATTTTCTGGTGGGTGTGATAGCCTTGTACTCCCTGACACCACCTAAATAGCAAAAGGAAGTTGACATTGATATAATAGAAGGGTCCAAGACTGATATTAACAGTCGGTGCCGGCCAGTACTCGCATGAGGGTAGATTGATGATGATATTTTTAATGATTTGTCACAACAATCACTTTATTACTGAGCAAGTTTAAAACATGAATGCATGATAGTTGGTAAATGTATGTGAATCTATGATATCTAGCATCTACAAAAAACCGTTCATGAAAAGGTGGCATGGTTGTCGAGAAATGAGTGTTTGACCCGTTACTATGCGTGACCCGTTACCCGATAAGGCACAGTATCACAAGATTGGTTCGAAACTTCAGGTCTCATGTTCTAATTTCTGCTCCGCTTAGAAAGTCATGTACTGAAACTCCTTCGGAACAAATGCCCAGCCCCGAACCTGTTCAAGGCGGTCTCACTTCGTCTTACTCCTTCTGGAGACTATAAGTACTTGATCCACAGACCATTGTGGCTTGATGAATTTCCTAGACTCAGCCTCCTCCCTGGAAGATAATATTCACTCTAAAATGCATCGTATGTAACATTCTGGTGGAGGCTCAGTTTCTCAATATTGATCTAAATCTTTTCGCAGAAGATGGGAAAACTAGGAGCCACGGCTTCTGCTCCCAATGTGGCTGCAATAGTAGGGGAAACAGAACACTGACATCGGATGAACCATCCCCTTTCCGGAACCTTTTGTCGACCAACAAAATGCCGTCCAATTCCGACATCAAACTCATCAGGTCCTATATTGATGTTATAGAAGCGGAAATGGATGAAATAGATGAAAGGATGTCACTTACAAGAGCTGCTCTACGACAGGCTAAAGTAGACAAACTGCGTCTTCAAAATATCGTGGCTATCCATACGGCCTTTGTGGCTCCCATACGAAAACTCCCGTACGACATTCTAGCCGAGATTTTCAAGTGGACAATAGAGACTGCGCCAGATGGACGCCCATCAACGCAGATAGATTGCATCTACGCGTCGGAACCGTGGTCGCTCGGTCACGTCTGCAGATACTGGAGGGAAGTCTCACGCTCATGTCCATTCCTCTGGTCACAAATCAGTCTTCCCTACCACAATCTCATTGCTTCGTCGACCATACAAAACCGAGATATCCAGATATTGAAACACTTCCTCGACCGGTCAGGCGCAGTGCCTCTCAGTATTGAATTTTCTTGGCTATCGAGCAAAGCGCTTCTTCAGCGCGTCTTGGATCACCGGCCTCGTATACGGTACGCTTGGATCGGAATCAACCATGGCCAAACGGGGTATTTCGCAGGAGTTCGAGGTTGTTTTTCCGCACTGGAAAAGCTAACACTCGAAGTGAATTTTAGGATGGTCGAGGACCTTAACGACCTATACGATGAAGACGGCAGGTGTCATATCTTTGAGGACGCCCCTCGATTGCGAGAGTTATCTGTCCGCAATCAGGGTTATCTCGGCCTTACCACGTACTTCGGCCTTTCTTCTCGGTTTGTATTTCCCTGGGCGCAGTTGAAGACCTTCACTATCGATTATAGATGTGATCTCAAATCGCACCTCGAGATACTTTCAATGGCCCCTCGACTTCGAGTCTTTGAAGCCGAACAAGAATGCAACGGTGATAATCGAAGGCAGCTGGCAGAGAAGGGGCCGATTTATTGTCCATCGTTATCCCGGATAAACGTCATCGGTTCAGCCCTCCTTCAAAACATTACCAGCCCACTTCTGGAGGAGGTTGAAATAACTCTTCCAGGGGATCCCATCGTCACGTCATCTCCAGACGACGATCTTCGTGGTCTCCTCCAACGCTCTGGGTCCCCGATACAACGGCTTACTATTCTCTGTGTGGGATATGTGTCTTTCACACAAACATTCGACTTGGCATTCCGGCTGACGCATTTGACGATGACTTTCTGCAAACACGAAGTAGCCGTAGGCTGCTTGCAAAGACTCGTCATCCGGCCCTGTCAAATTTTGCTTCCTCGGCTTCAGTCGCTGAGGGTGGAGTTTCGTCCGCCCTCAAACTTCTTCAGCCGTGGTATAGTGAAAAGGAGTAAAGATGATATTATAATCCTGTTATGCATTGTTTCAGGATCTCGATGTAGTGACTCTCATCCAGACGTTGCGTTATTGCGTCTTGCGGAACTAGAACAGCCAGGAGTCGAACGCGAGTTCTGCGCCAGCACCGAGAGGATATTTCGAATATATGCAGGATATGCATTAGAGCATAAGATGGAAATGAAAGTTAAACGTTCTGGTGAGCCCTTGATTTTGCCTACAACCACTCTCGCTGATTTTGGTGACAGCAGAGGCACGAGGTACGATTACCGTGGTGAGGAAATAATGATGGCTCGATAGAAATGGATTGTCTGTTTACATCCTCCCATGTCGAGGAGTAGTCTGATACACAAAAAGATCAAGCCGTCGAGTAACTTATCACCTCGTACACCCTGTCTATCATGAGCGGTAATCACCATTTATTCTAACATATTCCTGTGTATGGTAGTCAGTAACAGCAATACTGTAGAATCGCATTCACTCACATAGCTAAAATCGCAAGTCCAATATTTTGCTTCCTCAGATCCTAGTCCTCCAAGTTCTACACACAACTCAAAGTCTTCCAAACCTAGAATCTCGCTGGCCCTCTCCTCATCGACGTTCTCCGGCTCACCGTTGACGAGGACGGGAAGAGCTGAGGTGCCGTCGGAGGGAATGAAGGATACGCTGACCTTCTGAGGGTCGAGAGGGACCGTCAGTGGGACAGAACCTGTTGCTGCAAGGATACGACCCCAGCTGTGAATGTGGTGTTGGATGAAATGCTCCAATGGATCAAATAAGACTTACTTTGCGTCTTCACCGTAGAGCGCGGTCTTGACAAGAGCAGAAGTTGATATCCGAGAGGCAATCTTGTGTGCATCTTCATATGTCGCTGCGCCCTGTCTGATTCGTTAACTAAAGTCTGCTTGTTGAGATGACCACCGTACCTTGACAGTCACCGTGACAAACTTAGTCGCGCCTTCGCCGTCTCTAACGACCAGCTTGGCGAGATCAATAGCAAACGCGGTCAACTCCTGCTTGAAGATCTCATAAGACTCCTTATCCGTTTCCTCATCAATCTCATCGGCATAATTTCCTGTACCATCCGAAGCAGCAGCACCGTTCGCGAGGACCAAAATTGTATCATTGGTAGACATATCCCCGTCGACACTGATAGAGTTGAAGCTTCGGTCGACAGCGTAGGTCAGCGCGTTCTGCAGGCTCCGCGGAGAGACAGCTGCGTCTGTCATGATGCACCCTAGGAGTGTCGCGTGGAGCTGCGAGCCGACCGGAGGGCCCATGTCGGGGTGGATCATCCCAGCACCTTTGTCCATCCCTGCCATCCGGTACTGCACGCCCTTGATAGTGAAAACACGAGATCGAAGCTTGGGGAACGTGTCCGTAGTCATGAAAGCCCTTGCTGCGCGCTCCCAGGCGTGGAAATCGCTGTCCAGAGAGCGTGTAGAGGGTTGGTCGACGTGCTGGGAACAAATAGCGGAGACGATCTTGGAAATGGGGAGGTTCTGGCCAATGACGCCGGTCGACATGACGAGCGTCTCGTTTTCGAGGGCTGCTGGGTCGGAGGAGAGGAGCGAGTCAGTTTCCTTGACCATCGTCCATGCATCCTCTAGGCCTTGCTTCCCTGTTACAGCGTTGGCGCAGCCGCTGTTGACAACGACAGCTCGTGCCCTGCCACCATTTTTGTTCAGAATCTCCTGAGAGACGACGACTGGCGCGGCTTTGAAGGCGTTTCGGGTGAAACAGGCTGCTGCTGACGTTGGGCGACTCGACGTCGAGAGTATGATGCCTACATCGGGCGTTCCAGGGACTTTTTTAATGCCTGCATGGATGCCAGTAAGGAGATATCCTGCTGGCAATGTTGTCGAAGGAAGAGGCCGATGATGGTGAGCCTTGGATGGGATCGACTTGATTGTAACGGTCGACAAGAACCGTTTGGCGACAGCCAACATGGGAGAAAAAGTTGAACCACATCTCTGACTCGATGAACTGTATTTTTATTGACAACAGCAAAATTTGCTTAGCGAGCTGTATTGCTATTGGTACAGAAGGTATGACATGCTGTTCATTTCCCCGCCAGACTGCTCTATAATTGCGTACAGCAGTCTACTAAGCACTACCTGGACGACAAAGGAAAAGAGGAACCTTTTCGGTCAGACCGAAAATTTTCCTATCGTTCATCTACCACCGCTCCGTTACTCGAACAATTGACAGACCCAAGTGTCAAGTGCAACACGACTGCTGCATCGATGGTGAAGAAAAGAAGAAAGATAAAAGCCTCGGCTATATACCCACCGGGCCGTTTGCGCCTGTTTGACCGAGAGGGCGATACCCTTCGCAATGCAAGTAAAAATATTAGTTCTATATGCTGGGGTCTAAACGACCTTCTATGCGGCGTCCAGTATGCAAGAAACCGGGTATACCTAAGATTGAAACTCTACTCCGGTTTAGGGTTCTCTTTTCTGAGACCTGCCTCAACATCGTCCATGGGAACTCGGTCGTACTCCTTTGAAATGGCCGGCTGAGACTCCTGGTGCTTGACCCATGTATAGTAAAGTGATCCGAAAAGGATGATGGCGATGGAAGATGCGCGACCACTATTGAATTGTTAATAGAACCGGCAGCAGATATAGGCAATTCAACCTACGTAGTTATTATGTCGTGGAACAGCCACATTCCCAAGAGCGATGCAGCAACGCCCCGGACTGCGGAAGAAATCATATGGGTAATAGGCGAGGTAACCTTGATAGACAGAAGACTGGCAATGCTCATCAGGAAGCCGAGAACACCCTGCACATGAAACGGTCAGACTGATAGTCGGCAATATGTTATGCACGCCTCACGGTGATTGCGGAACCCCACAGGAATGTTTGTAGAGCGCTCATCGTACCCGCCGACCTCACGAGCTCGTCAACTCCGAACAGCAGCTTTATCACCCCTGGTATTTCGCCGGCCAAAACGATGATAGGCACCAATACAATTGCGCTGAGAAGGTTGGTGTACCACGATAGCAACAAGGCACTGCCGTTGACGACATTCAGACTCTGCTTGATGACAACGGAATGTGTAGCTGTGATCACGGAGCTGACCACACCAAACGATACACCCACGAGGGATACATGGGTACCGTCAAGGAAAACGCCGATGAAAAAGCCGAGGGTGACAACGACACATGCTAGGATTATGCGAAGCGAAGGCCTAGAGTGCAAAACGATGAAGGACGTCCCGACGGTGAACGGCAAAACAAGACCCCGAGCGACTTGGTAGAACGAAGCGTCCACGTATTTGAGTGTGTAGTTGCTGAAGCTAGAGGGAAGTGAGCAAAAGTGAGACGCATATAAAGGCCTAAAACTTGCCTGAGTCCAATAACATTCAAGCCTACCATCGGTACCAGTCCCTTGCATGTCTTGAGGTCAAAGGTGAGCCTGTCCGGAAGGAATCGCATCGTGTCGGAAAACAAAAACAGGATGACAGCGATCATAAGCTGCATTTGCAGGAAGAAAAGAGGAGTCTCCGTCGTGTTGAGAACCCATTTGTTACTGTAGTGCAAGATGAGGTACGGAAAAACAGGGGGTGAACGGAAGGCACGTACGCCATTACCATCTACCGGAAGACATTGTCAACTACGGAGCAAATTAGTCGAGGAAAAAATACACACCGACAAGGCGGCCACGAGATAAAAAACGACAACGCCTGTCTGAAAATCCACAAAAATTCAGCATTGTGAAAAAGGTCACCCGCAGTAAAGAAAATACATACGACGAGGCCTTTGGAGGCTGGTTTGCCAGCATTTTGAGGACTCATTGCAAAGCTCTTTCTGTACCACCAAGAATATCACCGAGAATATCACCAGAAAGGGAGGAAGATAAGGAACGCAAGGATTGGACGATGGGCGAATGGAAACAAAATTAGCAGTGCATCGACAGGAAGTGATGGTACCGGAAAGAGTTTACGACCAATGTCCGACAAGCTGCGGCGTAGCCCTAGTGGTGATCGTGAGAATTCCGGCAATCGGGAAAGTAACCGGGCAACGCGACGCGTCCGAAATTGAAATTTGACTCTTGCACCTGTCCTTCTCGCTGCTCACCTGTGTTCTCGCCTTTGTGTCCAAGGAAAACTATGGAAGAAGAGTCAGCGATAGGCTCTCCGCGACCTGCTGCGAGGATACAGAATGAATGTTGGTGGCGCCGTTGCTACTGCGGGACGGTATTGACGACGTCTTTGACAGTCCCTGACGATACCGTAAAGATTATGCTGGCTACCGACAATCACATTGGATACCTGGAGCGCGATCCAGTTCGTGGCCAGGATTCTATCAACACCTTTCGGGAGATCCTGCAGCTAGCAGTGAAACATGACGTATGTGGCGTCTCGTTCCTCGCTTTCATCACCTAAGTGGTGTACAGGTCGACTTCGTCCTACTCGCGGGTGACCTTTTCCACGAAAATAAGCCTTCTCGCAGCTGCATCTATAATACCATGGCACTTCTGCGCGAATACACCATGGGTGACAAACCGGTCCAAGTCGAACTGATGAGTGACCCAGATGATGGAAAGGCGGATGGTTTCTCGTACGTCGCCTTACAGGATTGCCTTGCCAATCTGACATGTGTCAGGTTCCCCGCCATCAACTACGAAGATCCCAACTTTAATGTTGGCATCCCAGTGTTTTCGATCCACGGCAACCACGATGATCCTCAGGGCGCTGGCGCAGTGAGTTCGCATGTCCCGTTATTTTATACATCTAAATCACAAGTAGGATGGTGCCTTATGTGCCCTGGACGTTCTCTCCGTCTCTGGTCTTCTAAATTATATGGGCAAAATTGATCTCCCGGTATCAGACGCCGAAGCCCCAACGACAGGGATCGCCATTCGGCCCGTGCTTCTGCGAAAGGGGAACACACATCTCGGACTGTATGGTATTGGTAATGTTAAAGACCAGAGAATGCACTTTGAACTTCGGAGTAATCGCGTTCGGATGTTCATGCCAAAGAACAAGGAAGAATGGTTTAACATACTACTCCTGCACCAGAACCGGTACGAGTGGAAGTTCCATTGATGTACATGTGCTAAGTATCTTCAGCGTCAAACATGGCCCTCAAGAGTGCGTTCCAGAGGGTATGTTTGACGATAGCATAGATCTGGTTGTGTGGGGACATGAGCACGACTGTCGTATTGTTCCGGAGCCAGTTGGAGGCAAAGAATATTATATCACTCAACCTGGCTCCTCTGTTGCAACTTCCCTTGCCGATGGAGAGGCACTGGAGAAGTAGGCAGCTGAGATTCCCCGTCTCCCTTAACTAACGACCTTCCTTTAGACATGTAGCTCTGCTGAAAATCCAAGGCAAGGACTTCCAGTTGTCTCCGATACCCCTACGCACAGTTCGACCCTTCGTGATCGAGGAAGTCGTCCTGAGCGAAGTCGCAGAAGAGGAGGGCTTCGAACTCGACGACCAGATGGCCATTACGAAGTTCCTCAAAGGCAAGGTGAACATTCTGATTGACCAAGCCAACACACTGTGGGACGAACGCAATGCTCGCGCAGTCGAAGAGGGAGAAGAGGAGCTCCCACGTATGCTTCCCCTCGTCCGACTCAAAGTCGATACTACTGGCGTCAGCGAAATGTCAAATCCCATTCGTTTTGGGCAGGAATTCCAAGGCCGGATAGCTAATCCGCGAGACTTGCTCGTCTTCCACCGGACGAAGAAATCCACTCGGGCTTCAAAAGTGGCTATCGACCAGCCAGAACTGAGTATAGACGATCCCAATATGAGCGCATCAGAAAAGTTGGAAAAAGTGAGGGTATCGACATTGGTGAAAGAATACCTTGCGGCGCAGGAACCACAACTACTTGGAGAAAATGGAATGTCAGATGCGATACAGATATTCGTGGAAAAGGACGACACACATGCTATTCAATCGTAGGACCTCTGTCTCGCGCGACTTTTGCTAGCTCATCCATACCTTCCTAGACACGTCGGCAAAGTTCTCAAGTCTATGATGAAAGATGTCAAAGCAAATGGAGAGATCGACGAAGATGACCTTGATGATGTGGTATGTAAATCCTACATCGCGATCTTCAATGTTTCTGATTAACCGGACCTGAAGCTCACGAAAGTCAGAGCGCAACAAGAGAAGGAGTACGAAGAAAGCCAACGCCCGACAAAATCAGCGAAAGCCAAGGTCTGCTCCGGTTTCTCTGTTGTCTCTAACCCATTTACTAATCTTCGAATGCAGGGCAAAGCGAGAGCGGAAGAATCCGATGCTCCTTCTGAGGATTCGATGATGATGGAGATAGACACGGGCAACATTGGTCGTGTCTCTGACTTTGACGAGTCAGATGAGCCCGCACCCAAGAAAAAGGCACCTGCCAAGAAGGCCCCCGCAGCGAAGAAAGCACCTGTCAAAAAGGCACCAGCCAAAAAAGCACCTGCGAAAGGTCGGGGAAAGAAACAAGTCGAAGTATGTAAAGCCTGCGATGCATGATAGCCACTTTTGGATTAAACCATTCTTTTAGAGTGACTCGGATGAAGTCATTGAGATACCCGATGATATCGATGACGATGACGACGAAGATGAAGAGGAACCAGCGCCAAAACCCACGAAGAGGACGAATAGGGCTGCAGTGCTCAGGTATGTGATATAACTCTAGATGGATTTTATCGTTCATAACATACCATTTTCAGCCAACCTGCACCAAAGAAAGCTCCAGCCAAGAAAAAGACTACAGCAACGACCGCGAAGCAATCTCAGCTCAGCTTTGCTCCCACTGCAGGACGGTCTTCAAGAGCTGCTGCGACGAAGGCGAAAGCGAAAATGGTGGTGAGCATAGTAGGGTTCATTTTATTGAACTTACTAAAGGATTTGTATAGGTCGATTCGGACAGCGAATAAAGTATGCTTACTTGTTTTGCGCTTACGGTGCTTACGATGGATGGTTGGGCCAACTGATACGTTGGACCACGATTGTATATATGCTTTCATATATTTCCCTAAGTACAATCTGTGTTTTGTTTCCACCATGTAGCCGGCAATCCCGGACCGGTGTCATGCGCGTCAGTGGCGTGTGAACTTGCGACTTTTTTCGATGCCATGATACTCCGTCTGCCCGTACGACATGTAACATCCAGCCTTCGTCGCTTGCACACTCTTCCCGATCTCACCTTTGGCGAACAAAACGCAAAAGCGGAGGAGAATACATTCTCACCCAGTCGTACCATCTCCATCCGAAATCTCCCAAAGGACTACCTCAATAATATCGGTAGCGTCCTTGCTCCTCTCAAGTTGAACCCTGTAGAGACGATATCTCCCTCGTATTACGGCCGAGGTCTTCTCGTTAATTGCCTCAGTACAAAGCGTGCAGAACAATGCATCGCAAATTATCACGACTCGAAGCTGAATTTAAAGCTCGTCCGGACAGACAGATCCCTGGCCGTCTACCTCGTAGCTGCGATTGGGTACACAGGGCTATCAAGGACATGTAGAATCGAACACATACCCCAAGACGTCCCAGAGCAGCAGCTCAAGGCCATCATGTGTCCTCAACGACGCGGCAATCGACAGGATTTCGAATCGTGGCACTTTGACCGGAATGCATCGCGGCTTGACGTCCGTTTCATGTGTTTATCCCAGGCCATGGATGTGCGTCTTTTTTTCTACTTCATTTCCTGTATCTGATCTTGGTTCTGTACAGGCAAAAGAAAACATATTTCGTTCCCCGTTACTCAAGGGCACCAAAATGACCTATTGCGACGCCGAAGAACCTGATTACAACTTTCCAGAATGGTACAATCCAGAAGAGGAGCACCAGGAGAACGTAAAACGCGCTGTGTTCGTAACCAACCTGACCGGCCCAGAAAAATCTCTCCCATGCCGAGAATGGACAAACGAGTGGCAGGGCGTCTCCCCGACATTGCTTTTCTGTGGGCTCCATCCTGCCAAAGACGTAAGAATGACAACCCATTCTTCTCTCTTATCATAAATCTAACGAACCAGCCTAGTTGATGCACCTGGAATTCGCCACCTCCACTGCCGCACAGCAGTTCGTGAGGCAATATCAGTCCAAGGCCGATGAATTGGGCGTGGGGTTGCAGATACAAGAGACTGTATATACCGTCTCACGTAGTCTTATCACAGCCCTCAGCCTAGGTGCCAGCCGCACGCTAGTCCTCACCGTCAACGGCACGAAGTCAATACCAGAAATACGCGAAATCTTCAGGCATCAGGGTAACCTAACACAGGTGACTCGCCGGGAAAGGTACGTCTAGCACTCCATATTTACTGTCTCCTTAGGCTGACGGTGTTTGCAGAGAGAACGATACTGTGTTTTTCATCACGTTCGAGAATGTTAGCATGGCTATGCGCACAGTAATACGTATGGGGAGGATATTCAACCTAGGCTTCCCCAGGTTGACAGGAGCTATTATAGGCTTCATGGATGCCCCTCACCTGAAGCCTATCATTCTCAGAGATAAAGCACGAGCAAAGTTCAGTGACAGCGCTAATGGCAAAGGAAATTCGTATACGCCTTACCTCTCCGGTATGTATGTGGGAAAGGGAAATTGAGCAGGACATACCGGCAGAGACAGATGACGGCTCCCGCGGACGTCGGGTAGCATAATGGGAACACCAAGGAGGCAAGGTGCTTGGGGTGGAACTGCCCAACGAAAATTCTATAGTTTTATTCCGACCGACATTATACATAATTACCCGACCATAGTTTAGTATATGTATCGATAGTCGTGATTTAGGTCCCCTAGTCTTTCTCTTTCCTTCTCTGTAACCTCCGGCTGTATGCTCCTCGCTCTCCGTCTATTCTCAAATATGAGGGCAAGGAGATAAGCTGCACTTGATACCATGCTTAAGCACACAAACGCCATGCATATCGCGTATCCCTTTATATACCTCGGGCCATCCCCCGTCGGAAACGAGAACGAGGCAATGATTCCTCCGATGTTACCAAAGGAGACCTGCCATGCCGAACCCACAGAGCGGCGCGTGTGTCCCGCCAAATTGGTGTTGAACCACCCGACGATGATGGGCATTGAAGTATAGGCACCTGACGCGGCGAGAAAGAGCGCTCCGTACTTGACACTGTGCCGCGCAGGGTCTGATAGTAGTACGGCGAAACCGATGAGACAGACGGCGCCGGATATGAAGGTAAAGAACCATCGGTGGCGTAAGCGGTCAGAGATAAAGGCTAATGTCATGGCGAAACCAAACGCGGCCGCCCATGGTGGAACGGAATGTAGCTGAGATTGGATAGCTAGAGAACAGGCTTTGATAAAAAAAGGCAGGACCGAGACAGCATAAAGAACGTACTTCCATATCCTAGTTGATTGATGATAGTCGGTGCGAAGTAAGCATATCCATATGCCGGCACAATGAGTCCGAAATACGCGAAGCCTCCAATGATAATCTTGTCTAGTTACGGACGAATAAGCAAGTTTCGAAAAAACAGTTACACAAAAGTACTGACAGTCTTTAAAAACACCTAGAATATCGCGCCACGTTGCCTTCTCTTGATGAGCAGAAGCGCCAACGTCGGCGGCCAGACGTTTCTTGACAAAGTCACGTTCCTCCTGGCTAAGGAACTTCGCCTCTTCCGGAAAATCAGGCAGCAAGAAGAACCATGCAATACCGAAAAGAGCCGTGGCAAGGCCCTCTGGATGGACAAGCTCACTCAGATCTTACAATCACAGCAATACACGGTCAACTCACCAAGAATGAACACCCATCTCCACCCACCATAGCCTCTTACTCCATCCATCTTCCCGATGGCACTGGCCAACAACCCGCCGAACGCACCAGCCAAAGTTGTCGAGCAGAAAAAGAACGTATACCGTTTCTGCGACTCTTCTCTGCGGTACCACATCGCCAAGAGGTAAAAGCATCCAGGAAACATGCCTAACCGTTCCAGTAAGCACACCGAAACCCACAGACGCGCATATACTCACCCGCCTCAAAGACCCCAAGGAACCAGCGCGTCGCCATCAGACCGCCAAAGTTCTGTACGAATCCTTGCAGCATAGTGACAAGACCGAACATGGTCATGCAGAAAGACAACCAGATGTGCGGTTTCAGCTTCTTGAGCAAGATATTCGAGGGTATCTCGCACAGGATGTACGGGACGAAGAAGATGACAAGAGCCGTGCTATACTGATTCCCGACGAGCTTCAGGTCGTCCTTGAGTCCGAACAGGACCGCATTCGAAATGTTCACACTAGAAAACGTCTGGAGTCAACGCCTTCCCCACATCAGCTTATCAAACATACCGGTCCAGGAAAGCCAGGGTATACATCACACAAATGTACGGCAGCACATGCAAGTCGATCTTGAGCAGTAATTTGCGCTCGTCAATGTCGCTGACCGCCAGCTCGTCATGGACGGTTTCGCTGGAAAACTTTTCCAGGGAAGAGACCATGATGGGTGAAGGTGATGAAGAGACAGTTTTGCCACTGCTCGGTTAAAATAGTCGCGGTGTTACTTTGAAAACAGTTTGGTGCTGGATCGGGTCATCTGCCGAAGACACCTGACTCGAAGTCGGTGATGGGGTGACCCCAAGGAAGCAGGGCTACCATATGGGCATTCGAATCAAGGTACAGTCACTATTAGGTTCATCGTAAGAATTAGATTTTCCTGTGTGATTGACTGGGGTAATGATCCCAAGGTCGACGGGTCTCTCCGAGTCGGGCATGTAGTTTCACCAATCGGAAATCCGGAATTATGAGGGAAATCGCTACTTGTCACTGGTGTCCTCGTACGAACGAACATTACCCGAAGACTGCGGAGAGTTGGGAACATAAAGTATCTGGCAGCCGGAGAGAAGGACTCGAAATTTCCGAAAGGCTAGGCTCAGTTGCTCATCGACGTCGATAGATAGCCAACGCTTCCATATTGCTTTTAAGGCGACTCGAAGACACAGTAAGTGGCTTCAGAATGCTACAGGAATCATGTATCCAGTCACCGGGACTCCACTGGGATGCCTAGCCCTGCAAGAATCCCCCTCGTGCTGAATACAGCACGACGATAAACGCAAGCCCGAAGGGGTCGCGCATCTGATAGTAGCTTTAATGTAGATAACACCACCACGAGCATTGCTCTGAAGAAGCGGCCATTTCCGTCGATCTGCGAGGAGTTCTACCGCCACAGAAGAGATGGTACGAGTTGTAGTGCCTGCAGAGGCGATTAGCGAGTCTGGTACTCAGGCTTGGCCTCCAAAAATTCACTCAGAGATATGCCCACATCTTGAGAACTGGAATATAGAAACTTGAAAAACAAATTGGAAACAAATGCTACCTTCAAAGTGAGAGACATAGGTGATGGTCTCAAGTTGAGAGGAAAAGTCGGGTCAACGGTCCGGACAATTCGATAAATCCAGTTTTCCAGTTTTCCGACCCGGTTCATCCGGAAATGCTGAAAATCTCGACTCTCAAATTTGCTTTCGTACTTAAAGGAGGCTTGCACAGACGTTGGACAACCTTGTTAAAGACTTTTGTTCTGAACCAAGGGGTACCGCATACCATGGTGTTGGTAATGCACACCATATATTTTATCTCTTTCGGCGCACTGCCAACATCGCGAACTTCCAGTCGCTCCCGCGTCGAATACTAGCAATCCATCTTGAAGTTTAAGTTAACTTGAGCTAGTGACTTAGCGCGTAGCCCAATCCCCACGAACCCGACATTATTGCTATTTCGAAAAATGATGAGATTCCGAAAAAATAATTTAAAAGTTTTGGGCCTCGCTAAAAGGTCTCTGAGCCGGCATTCAGGGGGCTGCAATGATCGACATCATAGGTTTTGTGGGTTGTCTCAGATGGCGCATGCTGAGATCGGGCTGGCCACGGCATTGGACGTTGTGTCAAAACTTTTTTTTTCTTTTTCGAGAATCTCATCATTTTTGAAAATAGCAATAATCATAATGGTGCTGTCATCTTCTCTTTAACATCGCATTTATTACCTTCTCGAATTATTTATGTAATTCATCTAGCAATTCACTGAGAAGATCGTACCGTACTAATAGGCCAGAAGCGCGCCTGGGCACGGGACCGCGACATTCAGAAAACCCTATTCAGCGCATACATGACATCAACGTCAGAGACCTCGTATTTCACTACTACAGCTATCAAAACACTGACTGACAAAGACGGACGGAGTATTACTTACAGGTAAGGACAGTTACGTAGCAACAATTAATAGCTGGTATGAGCAATAGCTGGGGGAATACAGGTACATGTAAACAAAAACCAGAAAGCGCGAATGAGAGACAACTTTTAGGATTATCTTAACAATAAAATAACGAAACGGGCGGGGATACACGGGTCAGGAAAACGAAGATGTGGGTCTGAGGTACACAGAAAATTTAAGGAGTGGCAGGAAAGCTGGGTTAGGCGATAGATGCGGTAAAGCGATACAGAGAAAGCAGAAAAAGAGAATAATCTGGATGGGCGTCAATATCAGATTAACGAGGCACAAAAAATAAGAACACATACCCGACAAATTAAATCTGAGAGCACAAACTAGACCGCGCGGTGTAATACGCTGAGGTCACGGATTCAGCGTCGTCGTCCTGATTCCGTGACGAGAAAGAGGACTGAACGGGAGTCTCAACACTTTCTTCTCGGGACGACTCAGAGTCAGAGTCCGTCATGTCGACCCAATCAGCCTCACGAGTCTCAAACTCAACTGAGAAACGCTCTGGTGTCCCCGGAGGAGACACTGGAAGCCCATTCTCACCCAACACCAACCGACACGGATTGTGATCCAGCGTCAGATGCGTTTTGGTTTTGATAGGTCGGGTGTCATGTAGGGTGAGGGTAAGAGGGAAGGGAGAACCAGTGCGCCTATGTAGCCCTCGGCGTGGACTGAGAGGGTTGAGAGGGTTATGAGGTGGTACTTTGCTCCGTGGAGCGGTAGGCAGGTCGAGCGTCCAATCCGACGCGTATGGGTGACGTTTACGAGGAGAGGGAGTCGCGGGAGGGCTAGGAAGAGGGCAAGAAGGTGGAGCATGGCGGGGCGGGGCGAGAGAAAGCGGAGTTGGGCGGGAACGCTTTTTCTTGGGAGTATGGTATCCAGGATAGGCAGGGACGTGGATGATTTGGACGGAGCCTTTGGCGAAGGGATCGTCGATATCGCCTGTGCTAGTCGACGACGGCTCACTTCTTATGCTCCCTAGCTCGCTATCCATCCAAACTGATTCTGTGTCGGTCGGTGTAGATAACGAAGTAGGTGAACTAGGCGGGGTGCTGAGAGGCCGTTCTTTACATGCCTGACGGGCTTCGAGTTCCCGTCGGGATGGAATGGGAAGGTAAGGGACAAACTCGGACGACTTGGATGCTACTAAAGAGACAGTGGGAATGGGTACGGCGGGAGCCTGTGGGAGTTCAGGTTGAGGAAGGCGCTGACGGGGCGGCGAGACAAGCTGCTTGAATTTTGAAAAGACAGTAGACGACGACGCTGGCCTACGCGGCGACGGCGAGTCGAACCAAGCTGTAGTAGGGACGCTAATAGAGACATCTGGCTCGTGGTCGAGGTCGAGGGCGTTCTCGACGAGCGAAGCAAACTCGTCGATGGAGAAGGGAGTTGAACGAGTGGATGCCATCGAGGACAGCGAGCGACGAGAACGATGATGGTGGTGGTGGTAATTGGGAGGAAAAAATGGGCCTGGCTTTCGGTGCCATCGTTTTTATCCGTTCGCGTCAAAATGTCATATTTCCGAATTGGGAAAGTGATCCTCCTTCTCGAGTCGCTGATCTTTTGGCCAGGAACTCGGCCTCGCCCACTTGCAGAGTCCTTGACGACAGTCTTCTTTCATTTACCACCAAATGCACGTCGTCAGTGTCACTGTCCCTGCGCTCCACTTGTTTCTTTCTTGCCGATCTCCCTGCGGAACTCATCCGTACCCACTCTCTCGTGGTCGGTTCCGGTCTGCAGAATTCCGCGACATCCAGCCTCGAAAAATGATAAAGATTTTGGAGCGGATGGTCTAGCGGAAGCATGTTCGCTCGGTACGCATCTCGGGCCAAGCCTTGGCTAGAGCACCTGGGACTGCCTCGTGATAAGATGCTATGCTAGTTGCTGGGTAGGCTTCTTTCGCAAGACTTGACTTGTCCGCCACAATGGAATGTGAGGACGCTGGAGATAACGCTGGAAAAGAATCGTACTGTCGCTATTTTTTGTACGATGCTTACAATGTCCGATAAGTTTTTGTGGCGCCTCGTGATACCATTCCTAATTAGCATGGTCGTTAGTTGTTCTGGCGGACGTTTGCCTTCCGGAAGACGACGCCACAGCAGCAGCCTGATAGGAATCAACAGAGAATTCTGTCAAAGCATCTAATCAGCATGGTTTTTTGACTCAACAAAAAAAACCAGCTCTTACGCCCGCCCCCAAAGCCTCAGTATTCCCTATTGTGAACTTCCGTTAGGTATCAAAAACATAGTGTTCTGCTAATTGTGGGCCTGACCCACCCATCATCATACGTCTTTTCATGTCAAGTTGGACACCTCGGCAGCCGGCTCCGTAAAATGAGAACATTTATGGACAATAACGTGTGATCCAAGCACTCGGCACCGACTTTCCTGTCCCGAGCATGTCCGGCCTTCAAAGGAAGGAATGAGGTTATCTGACCGATTAAATTGAGTCGGCGAGTTCTCCAGAAAATCAGTGAACGTCTCGTAAGCAGGTACGATTGAGGCGGCTAATTTTGCAGGTCTACACCTCCGCAGTAGCTATGGCACCGAACGAACACATGCGCCGCCACGAGCATACCTGAGTGAAAGGTGAAAACGCCGGTACCGACGATCCAGTTGGCCGGCGTCTTGCGAAAGCATGTACGAGTCGGTAGTAATGAGCATCCATCTGTCGTCATGGACCTGAATGTAATCCTCACAGCGGCCAAAACGCGGATATGAAAAAATCGGCGACTTGAGTCAGTATGTCGGTCGCTGGGATCAGCAGTAGTTGTCCTGACCTGAAGCGTGTACAGTGAGGCTCATGTCGATCCGCGATAGAGTGCGACGAAGATTTTAGCGGAGATACTCATTGTAGAGTGATGAAAAAAAAACACGCGTTTGTGGCAGTGCACTGGGGATGTCGCGTTGAAGGGAGCATCCTTCAAAGAAAACAAGCACAATTATAGGGCACAGCCATAGTGACGGCAATTTGCAGACATCTTTCACAACAATCTCCATGCACGACCGGAACATTTACCGCCGAGCGACAGACTTCGTCGAGCTAGCCAAGGCATATCCCGATCTTGAGAATCAGTATGCTCCGGCTTACGCTTAATGGTATCCGTTTTGCTAACCGGCAAAGGTATCCAGCCTGATACCGTCACCTTCGAGCAGCACCCTGAAGACGATTGACTTCAAAAACGAAGAATCTCAGAGGTCGAGAAAACATCTCATATATCTTCATCAGTCACGAATTTGACGCGTCCTAGATGTCTAACAAAAGCTTTATTATACCGGGACTTTGGCGTTGACGTCGTGTTGCCTGAGGATCGCCTATGTCCTCCAGTATGTAATGGCATATTGTGTCCTTCATATCTTTCTCAAGTTCATTTATTTAATCAGGTACCGAACAGGTAGGTGCTCGTCGATCATTATCCCGAAGAACTGATGAGTGATTGGACGTAGATTGAACTATGTACTCTGGATACAAGACATTATGCGGGAACATCCGTCCTCGAGCGTGTGTGGGGTTGATATGTCTGACATTTCCTTGGTTGATTGAGAATGCTACTGATTTTTTCCTGATAAGAGGAACAGGCGCATCTGCAATCTACCCTCTGCTTGCATGTAAACTTGAACTGGACTGGTCGTTCGTGGCTACTGGCGAGTCAAAGGTTAAGATTGAGATGCCTCGGTACAATAACTCTTGAACCAACCTGTAGAGCTCGATGACGCGTCTTTCCAACTAGCCGACTCCAACATCGCGAGAAATCATCTTGGCCATCGGATACGCGTGCTTCAAGCGCATCCCGATCAGCCCATTCTTTTCCCGCTGAAGACGTACCCCGATGAATCGTGAGTTTCTCGTAGCTCGTTTCAGCTTTTATAAATATGTTTCTCTAAGGTTCTCCTTCACGATGTGTAATCCACCCTTTTACGCATCCTTGGATGAAGTAATGCTGTCGGCAGAAGGGAAAGCTATGGATCCAAATGCTGTAAAGAACAATCATTTATCTTAGCTGCTTCTCACGCAGACGAAAGGTTTGTACTGGTGCGCCTATTGAGATGGTAACTTCTGGCGGCGAGGCGTCATTCGTGTGTCAGATGGTGAGGGAGAGCAAGCAGCTAGGCGCACGTTGCAGGTAATCCTGTTAATACGCGTTAAAATCATGTTGACGAGACGATCAGATGGTATACTTCAATGCTGGGAAAGATGTCCTCTCTGAAAGAAGTCGTTGAATTGTTAAGAGAACTTTCGGTGAGTTAATTTTCAGGGCTGATCTTCGCGATGCATAAGATTGACGTCAACGCAGATTGAGAACTACGCTATCACCGAGTTTGTCCAAGGACAAACCAGAAGATGGGCAATCGGATGGTCATTCACTGACGAACGGCTCCCTGACGTTCGTAATGACTCCCTCTTTCTCGTGTCACTCGTCTGATATCTGAGCAGTCAATGTCTCGTATACCTAACTTAGCTCTACGCTCTCTTATGCCACCACACAATACCATCCAACAATCAGTTCCTGAAGACAAAGTAGTCGATATCCACGACGTTCTCCTAGCCATCAGTGGCTTGGAGACAGAGTTATGCGATGAGTATGTGCTCGTGAGGGCCAAGGAGGATACTTGGTCAAGGAGCGCGAGAAGGAAAAGGAAGCGTGACGTCGTTCCTCTTCCTTTGGCCTGCAAGATGGTGTGTACCATCAAAGTTTTTACAGGCGGAGTTGAGTTTCAATGGGTAAGGGGAGCTGGATTGGAAAGAGGGTTGTTTGATAGTTTCTGTAGTCATGTTTGTCGGAAAATCCTGGCGGAACGATAGTTGACTCGGACGTCCAAATCGGGGCAACCGGACCGACTGACACTTTCTTTCAACCACCACTGACGCGTCCGTTCATTCGTTTATTTGCAAAACTTTTTGTTCATTTTCACGCGTAGTCCAAGGACGGCGATTGTCTTATGGATTCTAAAATGCTCAGGGCCCACTCTCGAGATGGGCGTGGCTCGCTTGTGTACTCGCGGTACGATAACACGTCCAGGTCAGTCAACGTTCGTGAAACACGAGAAACCGTGGAAAGAGTGGTGAGCCCTGTCTGTACTCTTGATGAAGGAGAGGTCTCTCACTTTTTCTTTGATAAAATCTGCGTTTAGGACTTTGTGGATGCAGGAGGGCGCGTCAGGTACTCCAGAGGCACCCGAGAGCAGGTTGTGACCGACTACCGGGCGACTACAAACTCTGGTTCATACAAGCATTATACGCGAAACATGGGCTGGCGAGGATCACAAGCGGATGGTGTAGTGAGTTTCAACGAGAAGAACCCATGGACAATGAAATCTTACACAATTCAGCGCGCTAGGGAATACGCACCTACCGGGTATCTTGAACAAGAGTTGGGAAGTCGAGTAAGTTGTTGATTGTTTAAAAGATGGGCATATTCAACGTGTTTCCAGAACAATTCCAGTGATGAAGAAAATTCGTATGAAAGATATGGGAGCGACGAGGTAATATTACCGCATATATGCTATGATGAGGCAGTTCTAATATGGCTTTCTGTGAACAGGATGTTGAAAGTGGAAGAAATGATTCCCCTACAAACTATTATGGCGAGGTCAGGCTACGCTTACTATAAGTACAGCATGTGCGGAGGCCTGAACCATCCTCAGGACGACTACGAAGACGGCACAGCTTATCAGCGAGAAACAAGTCCAGAATACGAGGTGCGTCATGAATATCGCGCATTCATGAACACTAAATCTGATGCAATCCTTTCACACTTAGTATCACCCGCCTTCCGACAACGCTGCGCAAGAGTTCGAGGTGAGTTTTGCCTCTTTCCCACTTTCCAGAGTTCTCATACAATCTCGTGTATGGCAGGATCATAGCTATGGCTTAGATCAAGTCAGTATTATATCTTTGATATAGATTCCACACACCATGTCTAATTGGCCGAATGCTCAGGAAGAGCCTCCTTTCCCCGGCGACAACTCCGAATATTACGAAGTGCGTCTCTTTCTTGAAACATAAGGAAATCTAATTGTCAATGCCGATGCCAGGAATACGAAGGCACCCCTGAATTAGACGGCGGATATGGGGTAGGTTGAGTGTATATTGCTCACAATAGGATCTAAAGTTATTCCAGTACGAATCGTACTCGCCACCAGCATCTCCCGAGCTACATTCGGACCATGAGGTGAGTCCGGATGATATGTTCTCAGATTGAGAAACTAATATTACTTCAGTACGGGATATACTCACCACCAGCCTCTCCCGAAGGCTCCCGTGAATCAGATGATGGTTATGAGGCTAGTTGGGTGCACGTTATTCACGATGACATCTAATATTCTTTCAGGACGAGTCATATTCGTCACCAGCCTCTTCCGAGCCGTATTCAGACCCTGAGGTGGGTCCAGGAAACGTATTGTCAGGTTGATAACCCAATGCCCCTTAGTACTCGGATCCAGACTCGTATGATGACGATGATGATTATGGTGACGGCGATGACTAGAGGTGGCTGGTACGAATGTGTGGCTAAAGAAGACCGAGCTACTCACAGGTACATCACTCGGAAACAGACAAACCCTCATGAATCATAAGTCATGTAGGCCTTACTGGCCTTCAAAGCCATCGAAATAGACATTGTCAGCCAGATTGAGGGAGGACAGTATAAAATCGGTTCAGCTGGTCTCTATGCAAAAGAGGTTTGATATTCTTGATTCTACCAGAAAACCGGATCAGTCGAATCTTGAACAAATGCTAATCACTTCACTCTAGACCTTTCTCATCCTACACATAGGTGCAGTGGCCTATGTCACCAGAATTCTTGCTGTATTGGCGAGTCCTACCTGCTGTTGACAACTAGTGTTTTCTTCTGCCTTGCGTGCGCAAGTCGAAATCATAATCGTAGTCTCTGCTAGGATTTCTCATACGACATTGGGTGGATATGATGCGATCTCGTACTCTCGACACCAAAACAATGTATGAAACGTCGGGTACTAGTTGTCGATGAAGCGTCGCTTGTCTTATTTCAGGCTGTTACCATCTGATGGAACAATGCGACCCTTGATCGATTCCTCGTGCGAATGTCCCATAGGGCCAAACCTCTCTGTCTGCTAGCTGCTCAGCCCCTTCCCTTGGAAAGGCTCCTCAGCTTCGTTGTCTGGCTCATGTCCTCATCTTTCCTCGCTTGACTCGCAGCAGAACACATCGATCATGATGAACATGCCTGGCTTTGGGCCCGATCCAGACTTTCAAGATGATCTAAGTTTGATAGTAGCATATTGGAATACTTTTGGTGAAGATGTGAGTATCTATCACGTTTAGTTATATAATATTAAATGTCTCGCACAGGACTCGTCCAACACCCAGTCTATTACGAGTATCGGTGCTAGTAGTTCGCAGCGTAGGGCTCCAAGAACGGACGTTACACAAGACGAGCCCGTTCGTCTAAGCTCCGCGTTCCTGTATTGCGATCTTCACGCGACCTCTAAACCTAGGACCGTGGCACAAATTCAGATATACCTGATCCAAACAACCGTATTTGTGCGTTGTTGGAATCGTTAACGGTAAACTGTTGGCGTTGACAAACGAAAGCGTGCATTCATGATTGATATTCTTCCTAGGGCTTTGTTGATAGCGAAAATGTTATTGACATCGGCGGTATGTTGATCCGTGCCAAAGAATTGATTCAGATTCTGCAGGAGGGATGCAGCGAAATATTCTGTGAGGTAGCGCTCATGCAGTACGCCGTCCCCTCTTCGCCGTCTTTGCCTCGTCTCAATGGCAACATAGTGAACTTGCCATACTTTCTGAGAAGATCGAGAGGGCGCAGGTGCGGTATGGAGGCTTCCGCAAATATTCTAAGCTTCTCGCTTTCAGAATGGACATTCTTGAAGATGTTCGTTGCATCCGCCGTCGATTTCTGGTGAGCTATTTCTGTGGACGTATCAAGCGTGCTCCCATAAAACTTCTAGACTCGCATCGGTCGGCCTGAGCTTGCGAAAGATACTGAATCTATTGCTACTACGCTCACTTTTGATTCCGTTTCCGATGCTAGTGGAAGCGCCAGCACTCGGGCTACGACTTTCAATGAGAGTTTTGATAGCATTGATGGGAGATCTGATGAATCCGGGTCTGATTCTGGCGAAGAGTCTAATTACAGCCCTTCTTTGGAGAAAAGTCGTTTAGTTTTTGGGCCAATGGCCACGGTGCTGCAAGATTTTCTCTCCTCTAACAAGCCGTGGAGAGACATATGTGCTATTGCGAATGAGGACCCGACTCTAGCCATTAACTTCCTGCAACAGGTACGCATATCTCAAGTACCATCCAGTAGATAGACGCTCATATGCTTATGCAGGAATGCGATGCTACTGTATCAAATTTAGATGGTACCTACCGATCGCGATGCCTGAACAGTCTTTTGCTGCTTGCCAAGATATATGGCATCCTTCCGATGTCTCTTTCCTGCCCGGCCGCCAGACGGCATACTGGTGACCACCCGGTTTGGGGAGGTGGATTTGCGGTAAGGACCTATCTCAACGTAGATTTTGTGAGATTAACCGTTTTCAGGATATATGGAAAGGCCGAATGAACGGAACTCCCGTCTGCTTCAAGGTTCTCAGATTCTTTACGGACAATGGCATTGAAAAAAGAGAGCAAACAATCAGAGTACGTCGGTATTATTGCATTCATATCGTTGGCCTCTCACTCGTCGTTTAGAACTTCTGTAACGAGGCCCTTTTGTGGAGGAATTTGAAGCACCCAAACATTCTTCCCTTCCTGGGTGTTCGGAGGGACTTGTTTGCCCCAAGTTTTTGCCTGATTTCTCCGTGGATGAAGAACGGAAATATCATGTCTTTCCTTGAGCGCAATCCTTGCCACAATCGACTGCAATCTGTATAATATTTTCGCGAAAGCCATGGCTCTCGCTGACTTTGACTCTTTCAGATTATAGAAATCGCGAGAGGTATGGCTTATCTCCACTCACTCAACCCGCCTATAGTCCACGGCGACATTCGTGGAGTCAGTGTAACACCTTTTCAAGATTATCATCTAATGAACGAGTTATGCAGGCTAACATACTTGTTACCAACGACTTTAATTGCTGCTTGTCCGACTTTGGTTTAGCACTGGTGGCCGAATCTCAAGCCCCAGGGAGCTCGTCGTTGTCTCGTCTGGGCGGTTCTTTACGGTGGCTTCCTCCGGAGCTGATGGCAATTCGACTTTTCGATCAACGATATGTAACAGCAAGAGACGTCTACTCATATGGGTGTACAGTTATCGAGGTAAGTTTCTTCTCTGCAGCACGATTTCCAAAACCAAAACCAACTCGCTTTTGGAAGATATACAGTGGCAAGCCTCCCTTCTCTCACATCTGGACAGAAGGGGCGATTATCCATGAAGTCCTGGTGAATGGGTCTCAGCCAAAGATGCCGTTTGAAATGCCTAAGCAGATCTGGGTATTGTTGAAAGGCTGCTTCAAGACGGATGCTAGTCGCAGACCTTTATCAGAGGCTTTGATTCGTGATCTGGAGACACTTTTGTAACTACAGTGGAATAGATTTGACATCTGTTAATCCGGTGGAAAAAATACCCATTGTTCTCTTCTTCTTGCGTACGTACTCTCGATACCAAAACAACGCAGAAACGTCGGTTAATAAAGCGCGATCCGTCTGATGGAATCTGCCGGTTTGCTCGACTGCTCTAGATACAAGGGCTTGGCTTGTCTCCACTCACTCACTGACCTGTCCATAGTCTACGACGATCTTCGTGGTGTGAGCTCGACTAAACGTATGCCTGAGCTTATTGAGATATATTAATTGAAGGAGCACTTCGAGATGGATATGAGTTAAATACCTTTAGCGGAGGCCTTGAGATATGAACTGGACATATTTGTGGGTTAATAGATTGTCCTTCATACTTATTCCTTAGTATCCATTACAGGGAGAATGCTAGAGAATGCGAAACAATTCCATACTGTGAAACTCAGATAATTCGCTGAGGTAGCAATACCAATTTTGGCTTATGGTGCTAGCTGTGCGCAGTGTGCGGTGAGGCATATTGCTGTTGAGATTTTTCCAATGAACATACTGTAGTGCTGTACTGTATATTTCATTCAATTCGAACCTTGGTGTGACGGGTGACGGGGTTGGACCAATTGAACGCTCGAACCAGGGGGGGTGGGGGAACAGGGTGCCACCGCAGGGGCAGGAACGGGGCATTGAGGATGCGTAACGGGTGACGGGGGACGCCTCTTGATCCGTTACAGTCACCATCACGAATATTCCCACGGTACTCTACCACCGCTCAAAGGGATTTCGAAGGGCTAGCGAGGATAGAATAGCGTATATAACTTCTGTAAACTCTCACAAAACTCAACATCAATCAAAATATCAATGTCCGGTGGCTCGGACCCACCTGACAACATAGGTGACGCGTCTTACGACACGACAACCTCGTCAAAAATGGCAGAAATAAAGCAAGGACACCTGATGAAACTCGAATCAGCAGCCGAAAGCGTAGGAAAAGACTACGGCAAATACGTGGAAATAGAAGGCACAACAGTGAGTGCCATATACGATGTCATGGCCGTTCTACGACACATGGCCAAAACGGAACTAAAAGCGACGAAATCGGTTACCGCGAAACAGATTCGCGTGATTCTTAACATGGTTGAAATGTTGGAAGCTTGGTTGGACCTAGATGAATACAGAGCTCGCCAGGATGCGCTAACGATTGCGGGACTGATGAAGGAGAACTTCAAAACCCTGCAGGAAAATACTAACAACATTAAATCCACTGTTGATACACAGAAGGCATACAGCATAACCATCGAGGAACAGCTCCAAGAGCTCAAAAAGAATGTATCGGACATCCAGGCAGCAGCAGCTGACATCCAAACTGAAGCAACACGACCACGACCACCACTCCTGCCCAACTCCCAGCCCCACACGGCATCATACGCTGATGTAGTCACCAGACCAAGCCCATTCGCAGACCCACGTCATGCAGACGTTGTTGCAAAAGCCAAAATTGCAGATCGACGCGTCATTGTGAAGCCGCTGACAGAAACCGCAAAGTCTGCAATGACCAAGTCCAGCAAGAAAGACCTGGTCACCGACATCAATAAAGCTCTCTCCCTGGCAATGACTACAGTTGATGGAGACTTGATCATTGCCCCAGAGGAACACAGAGTCGTTGGATCACGAAAACTTGCAAGTGGAGGAGTGATGTACGTCTTCAACTCCGACGATGCAGCGGCATGGCTACGCAAGCCTGGGGTACCAAGCCTGATAAATCAGGCAGCTGGGGAAGACACCGACATAAGTCTACAGCTGAACAATGTTGTAGTTCCATTTGCTCTGACCACAATTGACGTGAAGAACACTGAAACATGGCAAGGTATAGAAAACAGCAGTGGACTAAACAGCGGGACCATCCGCAGTGTGAAATTCCTCAAACCTGCGGAGTTTCACCACGAAGGACAGCGAGAAGCTCACTTGATTATAGGTTTTGACTCTAGAAGTCAAGCGAACAAAGTGATACAGCATGGCATCATCATAGAAGGGAAGGAGCTCCAAGCCAACAAGGAGCTACCAGACACATCCCGATGCATCAATTGCTCTGACCTACCCCGGAACCACAACGCGAAGAACTGCCCTAATACCACGAAATGCGGGCGATGTACAGGTGGCCATGCAACCAAGGAATGCACAGTCACAGACCGGAAGAAATTCCACTGTGTAAACTGCAAAACATCAGGCCACGGGGCTGTGGATCGGAATTCATGCCCCTCATTCATTAGGGCCACTGATACCATCCGCAGTCGATACCCTGAAGCGAAGTATAAGTACTTCGTTACTGAGGACCCCATGACATGGGTGTCCAGTGATGTTCAAAAACGAGCAGAGTCTGAGCACCCACAAAAGCTGCTGAACAAAGGGATAAGGCGAGCAGCGAGCTCTCAAAACGATGCCACAGCAACATCACTTGGAAGTGTCAACATCTCGTCCCACCCAACAAGGAATCGCCGAGATGGTGGAAGCACAAAACAAACCAAGACCCGACGTACAAACCCCAATAACATCCCGCTCACATCCGACAAATACCAGCAACCAATGCTCAACCAATACTTCACAGCGAGTCAATCACAAGCCAGATCGACAAGTGCAGCATCATCTACGAGGAGATCATACCAAGAGGAAGACGGGGAGATTCCTCAAGGAGGGACCACAGAAACGAATGAGGAACAACGAGCTCACACACCGCCTGTAGACCTATGCTGAGCCCCGAAAATACTAATACTGCAGACCACAAACCACTGAAGCTATACCAACTCAATGTCAACAAATCCCTCACAGCACACTCATGTCTCATACACCAAATCCATCAAGACGACGACATGATACTGGTGCAGGAGCCGTACATCAGCAAACAGGGAAAGTCCAGAGCTACACAAGGCTGGATAACTGTGTATCCAACAGGACATAATCAGGATCCCTCACAGACGAGGGCGGTAACCCTTGTTAATCGAGCCGTCTCTACTAACTCTTGGTCTAGCATACCATTGATTACCCAAGATGCTGTTGCCATCAATTTGCGAGCGCCAGCGGAATCCATAATCATCGTCAATGTCTATAGCGACGGTGGTTCCACAGCAATCTGGGAAACTATTGACAAACTTTTCAGAGAATATACTGCCAAACGGCGTGATGAACGAGGCCTCCCATACCGCTTCATCTGTGCGGGGGACTTCAACGCGCACCACCCGTTATGGGATGAACCGCACAACTCTCACCTTTTCACAGATCAAGCTCTGGAACACGCAGAGCACCTACTGCAAATAGTAGGTCACCACCGCCTCAAGATGCCACTACCAGCACTCGTACCAACATTACGAGCCTTCTCCACCGGAAACTACACACGAGTTGACAACGTATTCTGCTCTGATGAGCTCCTGCCAGCATTTACTAAATGCATTGTCGACCATGCAGCACAACCACCACGTACAGATCACTTCCCTATCCTCTCCACCATCGATATCTCCCCCCCACGGAACAGCTTTGAGCCATGACGGAACTTCCGCAAAGTAGATTGGAAGAAATTCTACACAAAACTGGGGGAGAAGCTAGATGCCCTACCACCCCCTCGAGAAATCGAAACAACAGCACAGATGTACAAGGCGCTAAACGATATAGACCAGGTAGTACAGGACGTCATAGAACTATACATGCCGTGGACAAAACCCAGTCCATATACAAAGCGCTGGTGGACGGATGAGCTAACAATCCTTCGCAAACAACTACGGAAGATTCAGAGGAAGGCGCACCAATACAGAATGTTCACAGACCACCCGATACACAAGGAGAAACGACAAGCATGGAATGCATATGCAGAGATGATGGATAGGTCCAAAACGAGGTGTTGGACAGAATGGCTGGAAAATGTGAGCGGAAGCAGCATATGGGAGATATGCAGCTTCATATCACAACCATCAACAGATGGCGGGAGATCACAGGTACCAGACTTCGTTGTCAAAGAAGGAGGAGGAACAACACGACGAATCCAGGATAACTCGGAAAAGAGCGACATCTTCCGAGCAGCATTTTTCCCACCCAAACCAGCTAACTCAAGCGTCCCCACTAATACCGAATATCCACCACCAGCATGGAAGTTCCAGCTCATAACAGATGAGCAGGTCGAAAGAGCTTTTAGACGTATGAAACCACTGAAGGCCACTAAGCCGGGCACTGTGCCCAATTGTGTACTGTTACACTGCGCCGACTTACTTGCCCCTCATATAGGTCCGATATACAGAGCAACATTCACCACAGGTGTATACCCTCATGACCTAAGTGCGACGAACACCATTATCCTTCGCAAGCCCGGAAAACCAAACTACGAGGACCCAAATGCGCACAGGCTGATCATACTATCAAACGGTTGGGGACGTGGCCTCCACGCCACTCTCAATCAGGACCTGGTAACGTGGTGCGAGTATCTGGGTATACTACCAGACAGACACTTTGGCGGCCGTCCGGGTCGATGTACAACAGACTCAGTGCATCTAATGGTATCTTCAATCAAAGATGCATGGCGTAAAGGTAATGTAGTCACCATTCTATTTCTTGATGTGAAAGGAGCCTTTCCGAGCGTTGATGTGGACATGCTCATACACGAAATGCTAATGCTGGGTATACCCAAGCAGTATACCGAATGGTTACATCGACGGCTGAGCGGGCATAAAACGATACTCACGTTTGACGACTTCAAATCAATCATCTTCGAAGTTACTAACGGGCTCGACCAAGGTGATCCGTTATCACAGATTTTGTATATCATATACAACTCTAGCGTGCTGCGATGCCTGCAGAAGACCGAAGAAAGCTTCCTCTTCATTGATGACAAGGCAATCCTAGTGTGGGGAAAGACTTTTGCGGCAACCCACCAGAAAATCAAAGATATCATGGAGCGCCAGGGAGGGATCCTGGAATGGGCGAAAAACCATAACTGCGAATATGGTATGGAGAAGTTCCAACTCGTAGACTTCACACCGAAAACAAGAGACCCCCTACCCAAGCCCAACATGACCTCCAAGCAACGCGAACCAGTGATGGGTGAACCAGTACAAATTGGCCAATACACCATACACCCACAGCCAGTCGCAAAATTCCTGGGAGTCTATATCGATGCAGGATTACGGTGGAAGGAACAAGGCACAGCAGCCATCAAAAAGGGAGATGATTGGGTTATTCAATTCCGACGCCTAGCTCATGTCAGCTCAGGAGTATCAAGAGAGAATATGAGACTCACTTACATTTCTATTGCTATCCCCAGGATTCTATATGCAGCTGACGTATTTTTAAACCCCCAGAGACGCACAAGAAAGAAGAGGAAGGATGGCAAGAGCAGCATTCGAGTCGTAAACTGCCTATCATCAATACAGAGGCAGGCAGCAATACTCATAACTGGAGCAATGAGAACGACAGCAGCGGACATACTGGATCTACATGCCAACCTGCTGCCTATGCAGAGACAAGTAGAGGTCTACCAACACCGGGCACTGACACGTATGGCATGCCTACTGCCAGGACATCCGCTGCACAGAGTCATCAGACGGGTTTCACGATGCTACGTCAAACGACACCAGTCGCCACTTCATGAACTAGCACGGGACTTCAACATGCCACCAGATGATGTAGAGACGATCAAGGCGGCACGGTTTCCACCACATTGGCAGACGAAGGTCCAGGTTGAGGTACCAGAATCGATGCAGGAAGCAATGATGATGGAAAGGACAGATAGAAGTGAAGTGCAAGCGTATGGGGACGGATCGGGCATCGAAAATGGGATAGGAGCAGCAGCAGTGGTATACCGGAGAGGGAGGAAGGTAAAGACAGTGAGGATGAAGGTGGGCGAAGCAAGTGAACATGAGGTATATGATGGCGAAGGCATCTCCCTCATACTCTGCATGGAAGCGATACGTGGCATGACGAACATGCAAAGTGCATCAATCAGCATTGATAACACATCTGCGATCCAAGCGACGACACTGATCTGACCAGCCCCATCTCATCATATCTTCGACACTCTCCATCAACGCATGGATATGCTACTACGGCGACATTCGGGCATTGAAATCAAGATTCGTTGGGTCCCTGGGCACCAAGGCATTGCAGGAAATGAAACGGCAGATGAAGAAGCGAAGGCCGCAGCACAAGGCGATGTCAGTGAGCAGCGGTATATACCAGCGTCACTGCGAAAACCAGTACCAATCAATAAAACGTCGCTACTCCGGGAGTTCTACGCAAAGCAGAAACGAAAAGCTGATATAACCTGGAGAAAATCACCCCGCTTCTCCAGGTTCCGAACCATAGACTCAGCATCTGCGCAGCGAGCTGCACGCAGGTATAGGAAACTGGCCACTTCCTTACCATGCAAAATCACCAGTATCATGATGCAGCTCCGTACCGGACACATCGGGCTCAACCGCCACCTCTTCAACATCCGTCGAATCAATTCACCTGCATGCCCCAATTGTTCACACCCTAACGAGTCCACACACCATTTCCTCATCCGTTGCCCAGCATTCCGTAATGAACGCGAAGTAATGCAGAATGCCATGGGCATCCGTGGAAGAGCTATGACTGTCAGACATATTTTAGCAGACCGGAAGAACGTACCGCACCTCATCACATATCTCAACGACACAGGGAGATTCAAGGATACATTCGGAAGATTCCCAGAAGTGGAAATTGACATTGAAGAGAATTCATAGAAAGGAGAGAAAAGAGGACGACCAAGTCAGAAGAGAAGCTGTCGGTCCATCATCTTATTATGTCACTAACTTGGTGATGAAGACAGTTGCGAGAAGCCTCGCAATGAGCACAGTGATGCTTGCCAGTTACGGATTAACAAAGCGTTGAACACAGAAAAACCACCATTGGATAGTAGTATAATCCGAACATATGCTAGCGTGTAGGATATTAGTACATAGTACGAAACGGAATTAAAAAAAAAAAAAAACAGGTGACGGATGTAAAAACTCGAACCTCAAAGTTCGGAGTCAGCTTCATTGGTACAGTTTTAGATGAGAATTTAATTGAGAATTTTGTGATCGAAAGCAGTTCTCTTCTGTCCCCTTCTCTCTCTGTCCTTCCCGACATTTGACGGACGACGAGACATGATTGTCTGAAGTTCCTCGTTCGATGCTCAGTTAAGAAAAAAACACAGAAATTTTGTCTACCCAGGAAAAATCCAACTTACCTGGTTCGAACAAGCGACCTCAAGATCAAACTTATTACGTAATCATATGTATCCATTACAGTCTCGCGCTCTTCCAACTGAGCTAAAGTCGGATACAAAATGCCGTCAACGTATTTTATATATACTCAATATATGACAGCGACTTTTGTACTTCTTCGCCTACCGAGCCTGGCCTTTACCGTACTATCATGTGGGGTAGGTAAGGTCACCATTACTAGTAACAACTATTGCCTTCTCATGCAGAGAAACAGTCGTAGGACTTACAGGAGGCATTGCGACTGGCAAATCAACCGTCTCTGCGTTGCTGCGCGACAAGGGCGTTCCCATCGTTGACGCCGATATCATAGCCAGAAAGGTCGTCGAGCCTGGTACGACAGGGCTCAAACAAATTGTCAAACACTTTGGAGAGGAGGTGTTGTTCCCTGATGGATCCCTGGACCGGAAGAAGTTGGGCTCGGTCGTCTTCAACGACGAGTCGAAGCGGAAGAGGTTGAATGCGATTCTGCATCCTGCTATTCGTCGGATGATGGTCTGGGAGGTGGTCAAGCACTGGCTTGGTGGACGGAAGTATTGTGTTTTGGATGTGCCGCTCCTCATTGAAGGGCCTATATGGAAGTGGGTCGCCCAGGTCGTCGTGGTATACTGGTATGTCGCTGTCGATGTGCTACTTCGTCTGCTCATCTCGTCTTCCTAGTCCCGAGGAGATACAACTTGAGCGATTGATGCAGCGTGACGGTTCAACGCGAGAAGATGCCTCTGCCAGATTATCGTCCCAACTGCCTGTCAGCGACAAGGTGAAGTACGCGGACGTTGTGATCGACAACTCGAGCACCAGGGAGAACCTTGAAGGACAGGTTACCGCGTTTGTTCAGAAATTGGAGAAGGCTGTTGGGTGGAGCTGGATGCTGAGCTGGTTGGTTCCGCCGTATGGTATCCTGTCAGCGGCGTGGATATTGACCAGGCGAGCAATTTCGAGGAAGACCAAGGCCAATTAAAATCATCAATCGAATGGCCCGGCAGATTTTCGAATATTCCTAAGACAGCGGCCGTCGCAAGCATTATCAGAACTATATAGTTGCACAACCATGCGCTCTCGCTTGATTCTTTCCTATTGACAGTGTATGAAGCCGCTTTGCAGAATTTTCATGTATAATAACGTTAAACTTCGAGGTATCCTCTGATATCTTGCGTGACAAGCGGAACCCACGCCAGGTTCAGTACCCGTTCGCTCTTACGCCTTAAGCTTAAGTGGCATGAATACCATTATCATGATCAAAGCATGCTACCTCCGCACACTGTCAGGTATCTATCAATGTCGTTTCTACATCTGAAATCTGATGCTCTCCCGTACGTTTGGACCATGCATATGATGGTGACCCGGTGCTATTCTTTCAGCGTCGTTACATAACAGCCCGCTTGCATTATTACAGTAGGCTGCCTGACAAAAGGTAGTGATTTTATCACTTGAAGCTTGTGGTTCGACGAGATTTATGCATCTATTCTGTGGGGAAGCGTGGGTGTATTGGTTATTATTTCATGCGCTGGCAGGTACTGATGGAAAAATTTTCGTGTTGAACAGTAACGTTACTCAAAACTAGACGGGACTCTTTGATGACGATGAAATACAGTTTTTATTGTTGACTGACATGAGAACATTGCGGCATCCTATTCTGCGGCATTATTAGCCTCTTCTCCTTGTGGAGTTTCTCTAGAGCGTTCAATGTTCTGGCCTTCAGCTTCGGGTTTCAAACATTTTCAGTCCATCGACTTCAAGCAGCTCCTTGATAAGACACCTTCACCAGGTCACTCTCTATCGCCGACAAGATGAATTACGTGCATTTGTGCCTATCTGCGGCGTAGATAATTAGGAGCGAATCTTCGTGAAGACGAAAGACGGACCAGAATCAGCACTGAAATCGCCGACTCTGATGGTTCTAGTTGAGACCCCAAAAGCGGTGAATTTTGCCCGAACCATCAGTTGCTTTGTCGCAGAATACTGTATATCGGTGTAGGATGGGGTATTGTACAGTCTCATTTTACATGAATTTGTCCCTGCATTTGTCCTGTAATGTCCCTGTATCGTGATGTCAGTAAGCGCGTTGTAGGAACGCAGTCCGGATACTTAGCGGATAATAATCGAAGCAGATCATTGTGAAACGAAAAGTAAACCGCAGCAAAAATAATAAACATAACATGGCGCTAATATTAGCCTCTTCTTCCTCCTACCACCATCATGTCCATCGTAGACGTCGTCCCTCCATTCGCAAAGCCTCAATTGCCGTCTGCAGAGGAGTACCGCAAGCGAAAGGTTGCTCTCATTTCCGGTATGTCTATACAGTCGGATGGCGCGCTTATTCATGGATGGCTTCAGGTATCACTGGTCAAGATGGCTCGTATCTGTGCGTACCATCCCATTTTTCGCAATTTTCTCTCATTTTTCGACGGGCAACAGAACGGAACTCCTCCTTTCCAAAGGCTACCAAGTGCACGGCATCATTCGTCGTTCGTCGAGTTTCAATACTGGTCGCCTGCACCATCTTTACGAAGATCAGCATGAACGTATGTTGCCCCATCCTACTCTCTGTTGCCCCCTTTGACATCCTCCAGGGCCCAACAAATTCAAGCTGCACTACGGTGATCTCAGCGACAGCACCAACCTCGTCTACATCATCGCTCAGGTCCAACCCACAGAGGTCTACAACCTCGGAGCCCAATCGCACGTCAAGGTCTCCTTTGAAATGGCCGAATACACTGGCGACGTCGACGGACTGGGCACCCTGAGATTGCTAGACGCCATCCGTACATGCGGGCTCGAGAAACATGTGAGGTTCTACCAAGCGTCGACATCCGAGCTATACGGCAAGGTCGTAGAGTCCCCTCAAAGTGAGACAACCCCGTTCTACCCCCGTTCGCCCTACGGATGCGCCAAACTCTACGCCTTCTGGATAGTCACCAACTACCGGGAGGCGTACGGGATGTACGCTTGCAATGGGATCCTGTTCAACCACGAGAGCCCACGGAGAGGCCGGACGTTCGTTACGAGGAAGATCTCGAGAGCGGCGGCTGATATTTCGCTGGGCAAGCAATCGTGCTTGTATCTTGGGAACCTGGATGCTCAGCGTGATTGGGGACATGGTGAGTGTATGCGCGATGCTCGGCTTTTATATGTCTCTTACGTCTGAGATAGCGCGCGATTACGTTGAAGGGATGTGGCTCATGTTGCAGCAGCCTACTCCTGAGGATTTCGTTCTCGCTACTGGGGAGACTCACCCTGTCCGAGAGTTTGTTAACAAGTCTTTTGCTGCGCTTGGTATTGAGCTAAAGTGCGAGATGCCCCTCTTGCTTTGTTCTTTTTTTTAATATTCACATCAAATATAGATGGTCTGGCCAGGGAGTTGATGAAGAGGCAATCGATGTGAAGACGGGCAAGGCTGTCGTAAAGGTGGACCCACAGTACTTCCGTCCAGCAGAAGTCGAGTATGTACACCTTGATCTTAGGATACGACCTTCGCTAACATTATTGTTATCATAGCCTCCTCCTTGGGAACCCTGCAAAGGCTGAGCGTGTTCTGGGATGGAAGCGCAAGGTTGACTTTGACTCTCTGGTAAAGGAGATGGTCAATGCGGATCTCAAGGCTGTCAAAAGCTTGGTGGAGGATCAAAATTAGGTATTATTCTGTACAAAACTTAAGGAGGCATCTTGCTGTATTAGACCACGGACTGGACATTCGTTGTTTGTTTCTTACATATACCCTCAGAGTGACTGGATGAAGTTGTTTGATTTCCGTTATGCTTCTAATGCGAAACTGTCCATTCTATCTACGAAGACGTCTTCTTGAACCCTGTTCTGGCGGTATCATAATTTGCCAGGAACCACTTCACAGTTGCGTCGAGGGCTTTAAATCGCAGGCGATGAGTAACACATTATCTCATACGGGTAGTGTAGAACCGACCTTCAGGGAAAGGAGTGAACTGGAACCCTCCCATGAGAGAGATCACTTTCTTGTTAGAAGCGGGTTTACGGTATTGACCGTCTGCGCGAGTAATATCGAACTGTACAAATGCGTCTCGCAGTGCAGATAATGAAAGACAGAGAACTTACGGTGTAATCGCCTTTAAAGTCCAACGCTTTCACGATAGCGTCCGTGACATCCTTGATAGTAACTTCCTCATCTTCTCCAACTAGAAAGGTCCCTCAGATTATGAAATCTCTTTAAAAAAAAGGCGATACGAACCGCTAAAGATGACGGGCTCCACATCTTCATACTCCCGAAGCTGCCAGATGAACATTTTGGCTAGATCGTGTGAGTAGATAAATTGTCTCAGAGGCTTTCCCGTTCCACCGACGATGAAGGGCGTGTTGTTCTCTGAATGCAATACAATGGGTGAGGTGATGTGTTACGCAACGGTTTGACGTACTCTGTGCTAGCAGGCATTTGTGAATTAGAGCGGGGATAACGTGGGCGTCTTCCAGATCACTGAGAACAATCAGGATGGGAAATCTGATATGCCGCAAGAGGCCTACAAGTTATCATGAGGGCCAAACACGTTCGTGGGGATGGTAGAGGTGAAGTTGCAGCCGTACTGCTCCTTGTAGGCACTGTTTCAGAGGATTAGATTGTATATCGATGTCGACGGGTAGCAGGCGGACCGGTTAATGATATCCACTGTCCGTTTCGAATGAGCGTAGCCAAAGTTGCTAGGGTGGGGTGGGCCGAGGTGGATCTTGGTCTCATCCAAGGGGTAGGTAACTTTGTCTGGGAAGACGCAGGTCGAGAGACACGACACGACTTTCTTGACTTTGAAGAGGTAGGCCGTGTGTAGGACATTGTCGTTAATGAGAAGGTTGTCCCTTAAGAAACTGGCCTGTGGTAATGTCAATGCATAAGGAACCCAGGATAGAGACAAGCACTGGCGTTACTCCTCATGTTGGCGAATACGCCTCCCACTAGATACGGAATCAGCACATCGTATACTATCGATGCGCAGTAGAATACTCACCGACTGCTGCCAGATGAATAACATGGGTTGGCTTGTACTTTTCAAACAGCTTTCGAGTCTGCTCTGGATCCCTGTCAAGAGCGATAGTTGCAGTTACCGCCTAATGATAATTCGGTACGGTATGCCTTACCGCAGATCACCCTCCTTCGACGTCGCGAATATCCAAGTCTCATTCGAATGCTTGCCGAAGCGAGACTCGGCTGGCTCAGTCTCGATTACGTGCTTGATACCCTGTCCAACGAGGCCGCTACCACCGGTAACAAGGATGACATTCAACATGATGGTGGGCAGAAGTGAAGAAGTAAGCACGTGTTTTTTACCTTCCTCTCGCGTCGATGGACTTTAGAAAGATTGCGGACGATGTATATGCGCTCGCCGCGTCGGAGGACTCTATCGCGCCGCTCGTCAAGGAAGCCCTGGAGGTCATCGATGAGGGCTTGGACACCCATGGGTGCGTCGGCTGCCTCTGATGTTCATTGCGCCCGCAATCGTGACGGTCACCAAGGCAGGATCGTATTTCAATCAGCTTCAACGGCGGCAAGGACTGTGAGTACCCTTCGTCGTTGAGCTGGGCAGCAAGTAATCATTGCTAGGCACTGTCCTGCTGTATCTCTATGCCGGTGCGCTCGCTAGGCGACTAGGACCGTCGGAGACTATGAAGCCGATACATGGAATATACATCGCTGTACCTTCACCCTTTCCTGTACTCGAAAAGTTCATCGACGATGCCGCCAAGTCCTATAATCTTGACCTCTTCCACTGCAAGCCGCCGGTCGAAACCAGCGTTACACTTCCAGAACAACTGGAACAGGCACCAACGAAGCCTAGGGCAGGCGGCGGGATGCTACAGGCTCTAGAGATCTACAAGCAAAAGTTTCCTGAAATCAGTGCCATCCTTATCGGTACACGACGGGCAGATCCTCATGGTGGTATGTGTTGGTGGCGTTCGGTGCAATCAACGCGCTTATGTCCTTTTCCCTAGCAAAGCTCTCCCACCGAAATATGACAGACGAAGGATGGCCATCTTATGAGCGCATTAATCCGATTATCAACTGGTCATACAGCGACGTATGGAAGTTTTTGCGGCAACTGGAAGTACCGTATTGCAGTTTGTACGATGAAGGGTAAGTTGTTTCCATATGGACACTGTGCGGTGCTCAATAAACTCGCAGATATACATCCCTTGGGTCCACCTATAACACCTTCCCTAATCCTGCTTTGCTTGTACCAGAATCTGAGTTACTGACGTCGGATTCTTCGACGCCACCATCTACCGATACTCCACCTCAACCAGATGTCCTCCTGCCGCCAACTGCCCCAACGTCGGCACCACATTCGCGTTCAGACAGTGTTATATCAAGTCCGTCATCTTCATTAATATCCACACCACGCTACCGGCCGGCTTTTGAGCTACTGGAGGGAAGCTTGGAGCGCGCTGGAAGGGGTTCAGCTATTTCGATCGGCGGCGCATAGCACGGGATTGTAGCAGAAGTACTGAAGAAGTTTGTGATACATAGATGTACTAATCTTGGGCATAGACCCAGTTAACTGGACTTGATCAGAAATAACTGTGACTCAGAGAAGGTTTGATATTCGTTTCCCTACTTACAACATTTTAACCATTGCGTGTACGTACATAAGCGAGATAAGACTAGCTTTATCACGATTCTGTAGGTACATTTTCCGTCCACTTGGTGAGGACTGATTCACTCTTGATTGTGCTTAGATGGCAGAACCCTTTGGTATCGGATCCTTGTATCTAGCAGGTTTCATTCAAGCTCGTGCACCCCATGCCAGCCCCATCATTCCCACATCTGCCATCGAAGGCATCCTAGTTCACAATTCGCATCGATAGGACTGTATCCCCAATGTGGACTTTTCAAACCCGTGTCCAAAAGATCGCCGGAGACGTGTTCCTCAGTAGCCTTCTCTGTATTGCAGTGGCAAGAATCACCGTCGACCAGCTGAAGAATGTCGCAGTGTTTTTGTCCCAGAAAATGATGAGTTTGGAGAATGTTTTCCATGGGCACAAGCAGTAGTTCAGAATCTACATGATGAAGGACTGCTGCAGCTGAAGAGTATGCCGGAGCTGGTGAAAGAATTTGACGAATTTGCAGCGGGGAATAAGGCTTATGCGAGAAGAGATAGATTCCCTGACGTTGCAGTTTCTCAATTTTGTGCATAAATCCAACATTTGAACCTTAAAGCGAGGGGTGGCTCTCGGCAAAAGCCGAACACTCAGTCCTTTATCCCACTACTTACCTTACCATCGTCCCACGTTTCCCACTTTGCTCAAAACACATCCATATCTGATTTGATAACAACTGTGGCTCTGAAAGAATGCGGTAAAGCTCAGATCTGCTGCGGAAAACACCTCGTAATTATGCGGCGCGAAGATCCTTTGGACGGAACTCTTGCGGAGCTGTCGTGTTTGCCGCTCAACTCCTGACCTGTCCCTGAAACTTGAGCTTTAGCTTGAGGCCCTGAACGGATCACTCCTTAGCGGAATTCTTGCAGCGGCAGGCATTTCCACCGGCACTTATTTTCGGTGATAACTAAGTATACTACTTGGTGACCTTTTCTTCATGGCTCCCACTCCAGAGGACCTCGTCTTCGTCGAACAGCGGCTGAACTTGACCATAAAACCCGAAGAACGCGATGATTACCTCGCACTTATAACGGCTACTGATAATGCTGCAAAAGCCATAATGGATATGCCTGGTTCGTTCTCTGACCCGAGTGATAATCTGTCTCAAGCCCTGGGATAGATTTCATCCCTCCTGTTGACTATGGGCGCTTCCCGCGTACGGATATTTATATTCCAGCCAATGAGGACAACCCGCGGAGGGGTTGGGCATGCAAAGTCACGGTGAAGGGCGCTCCGGAAGGTCCTCTCAAAGGAAAGACCATCTGCCTCAAAGATAATATTTGCCTAGCGGGTGTTCCATGCCAGTTCGGCACAGACGTCGTCAAAGACTTTATCCGTAAGCTCTCTGATCCCAGGATCCAGCCACGGGCTCACATCCGCCAGCGGAGGTGGACGCTACTGTCGTGTCTAGGATATTACAAAACGGAGGTACTATCCTCGGAAAAGCAACGTGCGAGGTACATTCCAAACGCTAGACGTTCTGATCTCTTTCTCACCCGGTATTACTAGAACATGTCCCACGGTGCAGCATCATTCACCTCGCCCAATGGCCCCGTACAGAACCCGTATGCCGACGGGTTCTCCACGGGAGGTTCCTCTTCTGGTTGTGGAACCCTCATTGGCAAGGGGGAAGTAGACATGGGTATGGGAGGCGATCAAGGCGGTAGTGTCCGTATCGTAAGCGCCACCGTGACTGACTTGTGTCATAAACCCAATCTTATCGTACATCTAGCCCGCTGCGTTTTGTGGAGTCGTTGGTTTGAAACCGACCTTTGGGCTTGTGCCCTACACTGGTGTCTTATCGTCGGAACGGACCCTTGACCATGTGGGTATGTATTTTGGTCGTATTGGTATATGGATATTTTTCATCGGTAGGATAAGGTCCTATGGCTCCTACTGTCAAAGATGCTGCTCTCCTCCTTCAAACTGTGGCCGGCTACGACGGCTTGGATGATCGTCAGTTAGGCGCGCCATCGTGCAATAGCCTACCCTCGTATGTTCCCACTTCCAGCGACCTATCTGGTATCAAGATCGGCATCTTGAAAGAAGGCTTCACAAGCGTACACATGTCTCTCGAGGTGGAACAGGTGGTCCGGTCCGCAATCGCAAAGTTCAAAGATCTCGGTGCTAAAGTCAAAGAGGTCTCTGTCCCTTCACACTCTCAAGGTGGGAACTTAATGCACATCATTAATAAAATGGGGAGCCATCAGACTAGACAAGGTCGGGCGGTTGGCGCTCGAGGTTTGTATGTGAACGGGTTTTTAGAAAAGTTGATTCCTTGGGAGCAGAGTAAATGGGATGAGGTATTCAAGTGCCGCGTTCTTTTGTCCACTGCTCACACTTGTCAGGTACATTCTTTCGTTCAAGGAACGTCAGTTAGCGGGTATGTGTCTCGTACACTTCCTGCTTACTCTATGTCAATCAATTCCCAGCGAATATGCGTTCCAGCACTACCCAACGGTTTATGGACGTGCTATGAATATCATGCGTCGTGTCAAGGCCGACTATGATAAAGCCCTGTCTGAGGTAGATGTTCTTGTAATGCCTACAATACCATTTGTTGCCCGCCGACATGTCGAGCCTGGCGCAGGACCACTTGCATGCGTTGAGAAATGCGGTAAAACATCATCTCTTCCTTTCTCTTACATTTTACTTACATGTTCGATTCTAGCCGGAATCGTAGTAAACACGACCACGTTCAACGCAACTGGTCACCCTGCCCTAGCATTCCCCGTTGGATTTGGCTCGCCCGCAAAAGAGGACATATTGACACCTGAGGACCAGACCATCAGGTTACCAATTTCGATGCAGATTGTAGGTGGGATGTGGGAGGATGCGACATGCATCAAGGTTGCCGCTGCGTGGGAAGATACTTGGAACTGGAAGACTGGACAGTGGAAGAATTAAATAGCAAAAAACCAATTTAGGTCTCTTGCGATATGATAGTATTTGTATCGATAATGAATGTAGTGATTATTACAATGGCTCCAAAAAACTCAAGACCGCTTCAGGGTCAGTATGAAGATAGCAGATGGTTCTACACAGTCAAGGACTCAGCAGCGTCAAGAGCGCTTGCAGACGCTTCGGCACCGGCGCTCAGAGAGACAGTGGGGATAACGCCGATAGGATTGGAGTTACTGGTGTCGAAGGTTTCGGAAACGTTCACACCGACGGTGATATAGCCGACGATACCGTCGGCCAAGGTAGACCCAAGGAGCTGCGCGGAGATCACAGCACTGTAACCATCGGCATTGGCAACGGAGTAGATGCTGTCATTCTGTGACGACTGTCAGCGATGCTTCAAACTTGGAGGAGTGGAAATGTACTCACATCGTTGGTGACCCGGTCCAATGTGCTCAAGTGAGCGGTGTAGGGGTCCATGGCGTATACTTCGTTGATGAGAGACTCGTTGAAGAAAAGTTGTCTGTTGAAGCGGGGTGAGAATTATGCTCAGCGTGTTTGTCCAAGTACGTTACTCACCCGACGTGCTGGATACTCGAGGTAGCTAGAGTATTCGTGCCGTCCTCGGAAACAGAACCGTTAATGCTGGGACAAGGCTGATGCGTGAACCATCAAGATATCGGGAGAAATGGACTAACTGTACAGCGATATGGATGTGAGTCGTGCGGCTCGCATAATAATCTGGGAAGATGGAAAGGAATCTGTAGACAAACTGTTAAGCTGTGTTTTGTACTCTCGAAGAAGGATATTTACTCTGCAATTCCGTTCTCGTCAGTGGCAGTGAATCCTCGGAGGAATGTCTCGTCATCGGTTGTTCCGTCACTTCGAAGGGTTACACCTGGCATGAGAGAATACATATAAGCTTAGATAGTAGAAAGGCTCAAAGAACAAACCTTCGTAAGCTTCTACAGTGTCGGGGTTGATTCCGGTGTAACCACTATTCATCTTTTAGAGAAAACATACGAGACATTAAGCATGAATGACCGACCTGTAGACACCGGAAGCGTTGCAGTGCTAAACATCCACGATATATGTTAGCGTAACCCTCGACTAAACATCTGAACCTACCCAAAAGTCAATGTAGGCTCCGGAGATCGGTTCACAAGTATCTGCATTGACTGTAGGGGATGCTGTTAGGAAAGATGATAAATGACCTATCTGAAGGTAGACGTACTCAGCCCGATGTCAAGGTACATATCAATACCCTCATTGCCCTCCCGCACATCGCGGCGATACAACTCGCCTGTAAGAGGAGTTAGGAAGGACCGGAGGACATCCAAAGAAAGACCAACCGTCAACGAAATAAGGACCAAAGATGGTGTCGGGAGACAAAAGACAGGTGTCGTTTTGGATCTCGGCGTACTTGGCTCTCTCTTCGAGTCCTCGGGAGTTCCAGTTGCGTGCAGCGAGCTTGGTGTCCTCTATTTTGCGTTGCTGGAGACTTCGGCGACGTTCCTCCGCGAGTCCGCCTGCGCGCTTGGAGATGGAATCCGCACAGTGGCTCAGCCCACGCGAAGTCGCGTGCGAGCGTTTGTGAAGCATAGCTACAAAGTATGTTATGACGACCCGTTCCGTGGTGATAAAATAACATACCTTCAGGCATCGACGTTTCCTTGTGAGGATGTGCGGAAGTCGATGAAATGTAGGAGAACGCGATACCAGCTAGAGCAAGAACGAAGCGCATATTGGACGACGGGTAGATTTATCAGGGAAAGTGAACGCTGGAGAATGCTTGAAGGGAGAGGCGAATGTGTAAGTGATTATGCAGATCCGTTACTTTTGTGGTGCGCTTTTATAAGGTAAACGCGTACTGCGGGGTGTATTGAGATTTGCCTCCGAAACTGCGCCCACATGGTCGAGTCCGACGACGCGCACCAAATGCAAAGTCTTTCATTGGTCGCTCAGCCACCTTAGACAAGGGGAAAAGCAAAGCGTACCTTGGAGAATCTAGTAATGAGCAACAGACACAGCCAAGACTGCGGGAGGCTACGATCAGCATGGTCGTCGTTATGGACTTTTTTTCGGGAGATTTTTGGAGGTTTAAAATCTACCATACGGATATAAAGAAGCCGGGCGGCAATTTTAACGCATCGCTGCGCTGTATCCGGGCTGCGCAAGGATTGTCGTGATCGCACGGGAAGAAGAAAAAAGGCGGTTGATTGCCATTCACCGTTGCGATTGACCGGCACGGCGAGTGCGAGCCACCGGCATGAGCGTGGGGATGATACTACTGGGATGCTACAAAGAATTTAGCAAGAGGCATGACTGCGAAAGAGAAGAAACGGACAATTTGCATCAATCAACAAGCTCCTTTCTGCATTGTGATGGTGTTGGATGGGTGCCAAACTCGTATCAAAAATTATGACGCATAGTATTTGCCACTGTTGCGGGTCAATTTTCCGATTACATAATCAATCATGCCTCTTCCCTTCGACTTGTGTGCGCGAATGCAAAATGCGTTTCGTGCGCGCCACCAGAATATTTCCGTCGAACATACCACACAAAATCTCGGAATCCTTACTATCCTGCTGCGTGCTGGATTCATATCTAATCTGACAAGAGGCACAATTGAAGCACCTTCGCCTACACAATTCCATACCGTGCCCTTGCATCAGCGTCGAATATGGGCCGACCTCAAATATCGCGATGACCGTCCTGTGCTGAACCACATGGAACTCATCAGCAAGCCCAGCAAAAAAATCGAGATGGATTTGTCGGAAATCAGGCTGATATGTTCTGGGAGGCGAGCGAAGACAGTGAAGCCTTTGGGAATGGGTGAGATCGCTGTTGTGAGGACCGAGAATCCAGAGCACAAATGGCTCGAGGCACGGGAAGCACTGGCCTTGAAGCTGGCTGGTGAGGTCGTCTGTCGGGCTGGGTGACAGGTGAGCGGTCACCATGTCAATTGTTGCTGCCGTTTCTCTAATATTCTATTTCGCCAGAAATAGATTCAATATTTACATATCTAAATATCTTTGCTCTGCTTTGCATTACTCCAAGCCTGGCATAACGCTTTACCCTCATTCTAATTTGTGGTATTCTATGAAAAATTTGGGTATCAGACTACAACTTTTACGACAAAAATCCAACTCTCGTCCAGTATTGTAACCATGAAAGCACGTCCTCCGTTTGAATTGACTTTGCGTTCCGGAGATGTGTGGATGCTCGTTCCGCTTCCGTACATTCGATCGCCGGAATACCAATGGGCTCCTTCCCTTCTTCCTCACTTCGGATACCACTCCGGAAGAATTGCAACAACTTTAGGGCAGGTATATCATTGGAAGAACTCTTGGGGTTTTCAGTAGCAACTTCCAATGCACTGAGCCATTCCCGATAGGGTTGAAGAGGAAGGCTGAGGTACTGCGCCATCGTCTGGAAAATCTCCCGAGTAGCAATTGGTCGTGGGTGAACCAAATGAGCTGTCAATGTCGGTGCCGACGCACTCTTCAGATCTGCAATGGCACTGGCGGCAGTATCGAGAGGAATCCACGTACTCATCTGCATGCACATTCCATAACAATCATATGTTCAGTTTGTAAAGAGATACTCACTCCTTTGAATTCCGGCAAGCATCCGAGAGCTCTGCTTGACTTGACAATCGCGGGTATCCAATCAGAAGTATTCCAAGAGCCATCGACACCACCCGCGACCTGACCTACGCGTACAACCAAAGGACGCAGAGATGTCTCTTTAGCTGCACGATACAACATCTGCTCCCCTACCCATTTCGACTCGGAGTATCCTTGTCCTACAACGTCCCTCGGGTCACCGATAGGCTGCTCCGAAATATCTTTTCCGGTGCCGGGTATATCTACGAAGGTCCAGTCAATTCTTTCGCAATTTCACTGATCGTTCTAAAAGACGAATTACTTCCGAGAACTCCAACCGAGCTTGTAAAGAGGAAATTGGGGGTCTTTGACTGCGGCGAAGATAAAGCAAGGTCAATCAACGCCCGCATGCCCTTCAAATTACCTTCGAACGAGGATAATGGCAAATTGAAGTCCACTCGCCAAGCTGGAACCCGCAAAGAAATTTTCTTAGGAAGTTTGTATCCTCATTGAAGCGAACCACCTACCGATATGAATGATATGGGTCACGCTATTACGGATCTGCTGAAAGATCGGCCTTCCGCACAGCACAAAATGAAAATGTGGCGCACTTCTTTTGCTATAGACGCCTCGATTCCAAAGCCAGGCTCTGTCAGGTCGGCTTCAATTAAAGCCACCTTGGATAGTGATGCGATGGCCAGGTCATATCCTCGAGACTGCAGCGCTTTCTCCTGCCTTTCCATCAAGTTGCAACCGTCTTTCGCCGATCTGTTTATAGCAAAGATCTTGTGTACAGATTCGGAATACGCGAGTTTAGCAAGGGTCGCGGCTCCGAGTCCTCCAGTCGTTCCTGTAATGAGAACAACATCCCCATTCGAGTGAAGGGCGGGTGCTGGGGACCTGAATGAAGAGGGTAAAGCAATCGTGTGAGAAGAAAGCCAGTAAAAACATACGGCCGCTGAGGGACGACAGCATGAGAAAACGACGACGCATAACGATCAAACATCGCTCGGATATTCTCAAGCCCTGAAGATCGTATGTCGCTCCTCTGGATGTCAACGGAGTCCGAGACGAGCTCGGCCAAAGCTGTGATTCTCGGATGGTCATAAATGAAGTTCGGGTTGACTAGTTTGACCTTCTCAGGTTGCGTATTGCGCAGAGCGTGAATGATCGTGTTACGCATCCGTGTTGCTCGAAGACTGAACATTTTAACCACGTATTATTGGCGAGATTATTAAGAAGGCGTGGACATACCTATCACACCCATGCTCGAAAAGATCATCGTTATCCATTACGGGATGAGCCAGGGTATTGCTCACGACAGCTCTGATGAAAGACAGTGATGCTATGGGTGACCAGGAACGAGGAGGCTCTATTTCCACGCTGTCTTCTACAGTGTCGTACAGAGCTTCGATTTCTGCTTGATACTCCTTGAGGACTACAGCCCTCCTAGGTAAGCCCTTTGTATTGAAAGAAAACGGTTTGGAAGGGTCTGAAAAAATAATCATCTGAACTAGATTAGTGACATACCAAAGTCTGCAACAGGAAGCTGCATACCTCTTTGAATAGCTGAGAGTGTCCCATAGCGAACTCATTCATTTTCTCAATAGTAGGCCTAAAATTTCAACCTCTTAACAACTATGAACCGAAGATTGCAGACTGGGATACTGACCAGATGACTGATCTATACTTTATGACCGAAGCTTGATCGCTCGGAGGAAAGAGATACTTTGGCTTGAGCTGGACAAGGAGACCATTCTGAAATCTCCCATGGCCGAAATAAAGGCCAGCCGTTACATGAGGATCTCGAGCAAGGACAGATTCTGTAACAAGATTAAAGGTTATGTAGCTGGAAGGAACGAGTGGCCGACCCAAGAGACCTGGATTCGTCTATTCGTCTTATAAACTTATTGTCAAAAAAAGAGAACGGAACAGAGGACATACCTTCTCTCCACTTGAAAGGACTATTCGATCATCCTTACGACCAACCAATCTCCACAGACCCGGAAGGCTTGGATGAGGAAGGAAGAGGTCGTTGGTTGCGTACGCGTCTTTGCCTCCGTGTTTGGTGTTTATAATGGAGAGCTCTGTATGGAAGTTTGCCTAGAATAAACTTGAGTTCAGAATTGGGTGAAGGCGACCACAATGCCTACCACTGCTATGCCTTCGTAGGTCCCGTCGCCTTCTGGGACTAGCTCTAGTGAGAAAGCGGGGTTGATCTTCATGTATTGCCAGTCCTTTCCGAGAGCGACTGGAGTGACCAATTTTAATGTCAATGCATTGCGGTCAGAATATAAGTCATACAGGTGAAGAATTTGGATAGAACTCCTGCTTCAGTGCTTGGGACTCCTTAGTAGAATCACATAATCAGAAAAGAGACCACTTACATTCCATACAGTAGGAGGAGTTTACACCCTTCGTTTGTTAAGTAATTTCCTACGGTCGGATTGAGCGGTGCACCGCCAAAAGCCTAGGAGACGCAGTTTGTTTTTCATCCTGCCATTACAAAACGAAAGATAAGCTACTGACGATGCCTTTCAAAGTCTTAAGATGAGCAACTTTGAGTGGATCTCGACTCCATTCCTAAGAAATAAGTCGACATCTGCGTGAGAGTGATTGTACGAGTACTCACTTCCAAGAATATCGGCGGCACAAAGCCGTGCACTGCACGTGTCGCCACAAATCCGTTGAAAACAGTGTCAAATGTCGGGATTACGGCAGGAGAACTTGGGGGAAATACACCCATGATCATACCAGTTGTAGACTGCGTGAAATGATTGAATACAAAATAATAGACGATAACGGCATTTTCTCACTAGCCAATTGATGAAATTTATACCAGCACTATGAAACATCGCTAGACAATGGCATGAGAATATCTCTCCACAAAGGTTGTAGTCACCGAACCCTATGCTAAGAAGTAAGGACGAAACGACAAGATGCCATTCTCGGGACGCTTGCTTACACGGTGCCACGGAAGCTTGCGAGCACACTTTATCATTCCAGACACTAGGTTTCGGGAAAGAAGTCGAACCTATGTGAGAAGCTGGGTCACCTACCAGCTGCGCAAATAGAAGGAAGAGCTTACCCGATGAATGAGCTACAACTGTTCTGGCATTCAAGTCCCGTCCGCGAGGTGGCAATCGGGTGAATGATTCATCCTCGATATAAAGATTCTCATAGGATGGCATAGGAGCAATCACAGGGACATGACCATCGTCAAGAAGCTTGAAGGAGTCCCTCGCTAACTCCAGCAGAGAGGCATCCTCACTGACGAACAGATGGGTCGGCTTCGTTGTCTTTAAGAGATGGGCAAGCGCAGCAGGCGAATTACGTGGTGACAAGGCCAAGAAGGGGATACCAGCACGGAACATACCAAGAAACGTCGTGAAGAATGTCATAGTATCTAGCAATGCGTCTATAACAGCCTGAAACGCAAGTTATTCAGACTTACCGCTAGCGGCTAGCACGGCTACCAATGGGCGTACGGCGCGGTCCTGTTTCAAGTCAATGTTCGCAATGCTTGCTATCAGCCATCCGGCTCTGTGCACGGCTGGAATCACTTTGGAATACGGAACGAAGGTGATACCATCGCCTTCTGGATTTCCATATGCAAAGACGGCGTGGTTTGAGTTGTTCTCATAGTGAAAATCGTAGATCTCGGGAACAGTCAAGGAGCCATCGAGAGAGGGGATGGTCCAGCCATCGATACTGTGAAGAGTCTTGTTCGGAGGAGGTAGTAGGAAGGCCATGAGTCGAGGAAAGAACTAGGATGCAAGTCTGCCGTTATATATAGAGTCCTCGACGCCCATGATCATTTATGGCTCTAAATTTCATCATCTTGAACTCAAAATGCCGGGAGCAAACGGTAAACTGGGAGTTAGAAGTGTGATAGGACGATATTGCAAGTACCAGACCTTCGGGTACCAATCAGATTCATTGAAAGTAGGCTACCTCGCGCTTGGGGCGTGCCAAGGACCAATGGTGAATCAAATTTTGAGCCGGTGGTCGCGGTCGTGGCTTCTTTATCAGGTTGTTGACTTGCGTCCTAGCCGAATGAAGGAGATAGAATCGTTCGAAGATTAGAAAGAGAAGTGTTTTCGGCCGATAATTGTATCAGGCATTCAAGACAGTTAAGGATTAGCCTACAGCGGTGATGACCATCAGTCAGCGTTGAGCGTTGGGCGTAAAATTAGTACGTCGGCAAGTGCCGTCATGGCCATCATACGGGAGGTTCTGGGTCAGATGCGAGAGCAAAGCAGGTCGAGGGTAGAGAAGTAACATTTTCATATTGTGACGCCGCCTTAAGTACCCGGTCGTCTTTCATATACACATTACCCAGCGGAGACCTGTTCAATTAAGATAAAATAGTACAGCATACCAATGTTATCTGAACCCCAAGAACCGTAAGTTCCCCCGCCCTCTCGAGGAAAATCTCTAACAGGTGCACCACCACCGAAGATATCATTTGACGCCAGCGACTGCTGCAGAGGAATTTCGCAGCTTGCAGCAAAGCCAACAAGCACAGATCCCCAACTGCATGAAAAGAAATCACGAATAGTATTGCTCGGAATAATAGTCGCTTACAGGAGTAGACCATTAGGAATGTTATCACCAAGGCAGACGTATTCTAGTCGCTGTCCGTACCCTTGTCGACGACTGTTCTATCGCCTGGTGCAACAATATGAATATGAGGAGTTCGCGATCTTGACTGCCGACACCTGAGTGACCTTCGGAGCGAAGTTAATGATGCGAGGCTGATTCCCGAGTCAAGTTAGATCCTCGAAAGGCATGACAGGATATATGGCTCACGTTCAGTCAGAGTGCATTAAAGAGAAGAATCAACCCGATCCCCGCCCATGATTCTCTCCGTCTTAGCATCAACTAAAAGGACTGCAGCCACAACGTCCCTCTTATCCTCATTGAGAATGGCTAGTATATCGTTCTTGCGAAGACGCGGACCCCAGATGCTCTCGGAATAAACATCTACCAAGCGCACACTCTCAAGTACACTTGAACCAAGCGAAAGATAAGCCGCTACTGTGGCTGCTGGAAGAAAAGTAGCTTGGCCGAGGTAAAAGGACCGCAAAGAGGGTATGTGGGGGAACACAAGAGGTTCCGAATAGAAAAAGGTGATGTTTGTGAGTTTGAGGTAGAGCAGGTTGGTATATGTCGATAACGCTCTGAAGAGATGTGATACAGCTCTAGGGACAATCTATATTCGCCACGATTTAGAGACAAGTTGTCAGATGACTAAACAGATGGACATACAGCAGTAGAGAAATGATGAGGCGGATCAGGACCCGTCCAGACGAATTTCGTAGGGCTGAAACAATGTGTTCGTTAACCGAGGCTTAGCAAGGAGCAAAGAACGCACTTTGCCTTGCTCAGGGCTACATAAACCATATGCAGGTTCTCATCGCGCATGTGCGAGTGTAATATCAAATGCAACCCATTGAGCATCACACGACCTTGGGGGTCCTTCCGACAAGCAGGATCGAGAGATATCTGCGTAAAGACAGAGTCCAGAGTAGGAAACACAGATTCAGACGCGCCTCCTGCGATGTCGAGTGTCAGAGTTAGAGGAGCACAAGCAAGTGATGATGTACAGAGGCAGCTTGTAAATCGCTGCAGCTGGAGAGAAGAGCGAAAGCAGAGATCTTGGTGGAGTATTTGGAGTCCGATATATCTAAAAAGTGACTGTGTACACAGAATATTTGAGGGAATGGGATGAATGGCCAGTGCGTAAGTAAGGATGTCAGTGAGAACTTCAACTGGAAGGGAAATGGCCATGATAGCAAGTGGCAAGCCTCTGTCGGCATTTCGGCCCGTTAATCCGAAGAGGAAAAAATCCAGTTGTTCGTTCGAATAAAAAACTCTTGGTCGTGCCTCTACTATACTACCAAACGAGGAGGTTAGGAATAAATACTGATTAGGTATCACCAGCGTCTGCGATGAAGATAAAATATGTAATGGGGACAGAAGGAGAGATAGGAAATGATAACATTGGATTTATGTTGGTGCCGCAGTCTGATCAGAAAATCTGGGGATTTAGAGGCCTGGACATGCTATTATGGTCTAGACGATAAAGGAATCTGCCATGGGCTCTGAATAAATGGACACTTTGTAAATGCCTGGTTGCTGTTGACGGCAGATTCCTCCGCCGGCGGGATAAAGGATAGGGCACCTCCACAAAACATCACATAAAGTTGCCTGCCAGTGAACGCTTTCCTCGATGGAGAATAGTAAGATCTATGATTGAGTTGGCGGGGCAGGGATAGCAAACATATAATTCGGACCGTATTACACACGTCTACGTCTTGATATATCGGAAGCGAGTCGCTATGTACAGTGTAAGCATATGGCAGAGTAAGAGGCACAGGACCTACACTGTCTCGTAAATGTCAGAGCGGTGGCATCCGCCTGACGACCTTACCCTCATTTCGTGCATGTACCTTGAGCTTTTCCAGAATTGCAGAGTTGGCCCAACGCTCTGGTGGACTCCTGTTCTCTGTAGCCCAGTAATATATATCCCAGTCTGGTTCATCTAGCATCTACAGACCAGTCAATCAGGGTCCTACGCATATAAGCAACACCATACCTTGTCGTACTCTTTCAGCTCGGCCTCTGTCATTGCAGCAAGGTGGTCTCTAGCAAAGGTACTCAACAAGAGGTCACTTTCAAGGGTCCCTCGCTTGCGTGACTGATAGACCAAACGGGCGCGAAGAGTGTCAATAGATTCATTTAAGCGTGGCATGGGTGTTGGGGCTGGCAGGTCGGCAGGAGTGGTCGTCGATGCGAGATGTTCTGGAGTGTGAGGCAACGGCCAAGGATCTGCTTGACGACGCGCTGTCACTGAGAAAAAGCGAGACGTCGTCGTCGTGGCTCTAGAGGCAATGAATCTGGCGAACATGATGGTAAAAGACTGAAAGACCGTTCGCGTGATCCCGACCATCTCTTCTTCCAACCACCACCATCTCCACTCAACAGCCACTGCTCCTCAAGGCGAGATACCGTCTTTCGTCTCCATTTTGCCCCCAATTTTCTTTGGCAAACTACAGCGAAGATTCTTTTTGTGCGTTTCCTTATTGATTTTGACAGCGACCTTGCCTGAAAACCGACCGTCGTTCGCAGTGCCTAGCAACTCACCCCATATTGAAGCTTGTATCAATCAACCTCACCCTTGAACATATTTTCGATTCGCAGCCATGTCGCAAGCATCGAGTGCTGTAGCAGCCTCGTGAGTGACCATTTTTTTTCAATCCCATCTTGGTGCAAAAAAAGTGCTAACTGCTGCTCTTTTTTCCCTTTCAGCTCATCCAACAACAATGAATCGTGGAAAAGCGGTCTCCGCCCACCACCAAAAGATGTACGCCCTCAAACTGAAGATGTCACCGCTACAAAGGGCCTCGAATTTGAAGACATGTTCCTTCGTCGAGAACTCCTCATGGGCATTTTTGAAACCGGTTTCGAGAAGCCCTCACCCATCCAAGAGGAAGCTATTCCCATTGCTCTCACCAAACGTGACGTCCTTGCTCGAGCAAAGAACGGCACGGGTAAAACGGCCGCTTTTGTTATTCCTTCACTGCAACAAATCGATACCTCCAAGCCCAAGATCCAAGCCCTGCTTCTCGTTCCGACACGAGAGCTGGCGCTGCAGACTTCGCAGGTGTGCAAACACCTGGGCAAACACATGGGCGTGAACGTAATGGTGACTACGGGAGGAACCACCTTGAAGGACGATATCATGCGATTATCCGAAGCCGTGCACGTTCTCGTTGGTACCCCCGGTCGTATCTTGGACCTTGCAGGCAAGAACGTGGCAGACTTGAGCGAATGTCCTGTCTTTGTGATGGACGAAGCTGATAAGCTACTTTCGCCTGAGTTCTCGCCCGTTATGGAGCAGCTATTGTCGTACCTGCCTGAAGAACGTCAAGTAATGCTGTTTAGCGCAACTTTCCCAATGATTGTGAAGGACTTCAAGGTGTGTCCTGTCACACCACTGCCGACTGTGGCTTCGTATCTGAGTGCATCTTTCAGGACAAACACATGCGGACCCCCTACGAGATCAACCTCATGGACGAACTCACTCTTCGCGGTGTCACGCAGTACTACGCCTATGTCGAGGAGCGACAGAAGGTCCACTGCTTGAACACCCTCTTCTCCAAGGTGCGCCACAAGTAACGGATTGCCCTGGTCCCAGCTGACACCACCTTAGCTTCAAATCAATCAGTCAATTATCTTCTGTAACTCCACTAACCGCGTCGAATTGCTCGCGAAGAAAGTCACCGACTTAGGCTACTCCTGCTTCTACTCACACGCCAAAATGCTCCAATCGCATCGTAACCGCGTCTTCCATGACTTCCGCAATGGCGTCTGCCGCAATCTAGTCTGTTCTGACCTTCTCACGCGTGGTATCGATATTCAAGCTGTCAACGTTGTCATTAACTTCGATTTCCCGAAAAACTCCGAGACGTACCTCCACCGTATTGGTCGTTCTGGGCGATTTGGACATCTGGGTCTGGCCATCAATTTGGTGACCTATGAGGATCGGTTCAACTTGTATAAGATTGAGCAGGAGCTGGGCACTGAGATTCAGCCCATCCCGCAGACTATTGACAGAGGATTGTATGTTGCGCCGGCTGCTCCCGAGGAGAACAACAAGCAGCAGGCGAAGCAGAACGGTACAGCTGTTGCACAGACGCAGCAGCAGACGAGGCCCGTATATCAGGGCGGGCGATGAGTGCGTTCAGAGATGGGGTCGGAGGTTGTAGAGGAGGGAGGTGCCCAACCAATCATTCAGCTCAAACACTGCATCATTTTCACGGCCGCAAGAGTATTCCTTTGTGATATATTATCGACCCAACCAAGTCGGATAAACCATTCACCCATTCCCATTCATTATTGCCACATTCCGTCTTGCCTCTGCTTTTGGCTTCGGTATTTTATTCTCCTCCTCCCCTACTGTGGCTCGCTCGTATACTCACTTCAGTTTCATCGGCCTCTCAATGATCTATACGTTACTACCCACGACAGCTATTATCTCGTGCTCTTGTGGTCGTCGGTCTTGTTGCATATGTTAGTTGGATGATTTGGTTGGGTTGTTGGTGTGTTTGTGGCGGAGATGATGCCTTTTTACTGTAGTTTCCGGGAACTTGTGCGATGTTCAATGCGAAGCTGGTGTCGTCTTAACATTGGTTCGATTGAGATGATACTCTACACTATTGTACAACTTTCGAGGTATGTGATTCAGGATTCCATGATGTCGGACGAGTTATTACTAGTCTCCCATGGTTTCCGTCGGACGGATGCCGCAGATTGACTAGGAGGAGCGCTCTGAAAATTGGGTCAGCATCACGGTCGGACTGGGAAGCAAATACGCACGTTCAGTTCACCAGATATGGTTTTGTTATTGGGTATCTCGTCCAACTTCCCGGCCTCTATGAGTTCTTTGAGCTGTGCAAATGTGAGGATCTTGGGCTCCTCCGACTCGCTTGCGGTGCTAGGAGGATTCGAAGTCGGCGCCGACTCGGATACCGGGGTGGGCCGTTCACGATATGCTAGGACATCGGCTACAGTGATAGAGCTACCCGTTAACCTTGTTTCAGGTTAGATTTTTGCTATGGATGATTGATAGTAGATATGCTGTACCGATTGAAGTAGAATACTCGGGTATTCAGCAAGACGGCATCAGAAGGGTCGGTGGCGAGAATGCCAGCTAAGCCTTGCTTGTGAATGGTTAGTCGCGCGTTTCACAGACAGTACTGGCGCACCTGGTAGGTCTCATCAGTTTCGAAGGGATATTCGAGGAATTGCTGCAGAATTGCTGCCTGTGTTGGATCCATGATGGCAGGAGGCCAAAGGGGATTATTATTTAGTTATTTATTTTTAAGCTCCGGGCCGGGATTACCGCCCTGATTTGTCTCTGTTTCTGGCCCTTCACCCTTGTACTTCTCTTTCTTCTCGATTCTTTGCGACTGTGATGACTTCGAGAATTGCTAGTGAACGCAATCAGAAGCTCGTTGGGGAGCTGGCGCTCCTTCCTGGGAATGGTGAGCTCCGTTCTACAGGAGACCGCATTCAGGGCCGCTGACAGGCATTCGAAATCGTAACAGACATCTGTGCTGACTGTAAGGCTCGCAATCCTCGATGGACATCGCACAATCTGGGTATATTCCTCTGGTAAGTTGTGTTGCCCTTCCTTGTGGAGATTATGCTGACGGCAGGCGACCAGCGTGAATTGTGCGAGCATTCACCGAAAGATCGGCACTCACATTACGAAAGTGTATGTCGAGTGGCACTTGGCATGACTGGCCACTTCTGATTGACGATGTGACAGTAAGAGCTTAACGATGGACTCGTGGACGAAAGAGCAAGTCGAGGTCCGTCGCTTCGCTTTTTTGAATATTCAGAAATTCATGATGGTCTCAGAATATGAAAAACATGGGCAACGTCAAGTCGAATGCGATCTTTAATCCTAATGAGATACGCCATCCACCTCCTCCTAGTCTGATGGATCCGGAGAGAGACAGCGAGCTTGAGCAGTACATCCGATGTACGTGTGTATTCGGGTCTCGAGATAAATGCATGACTAACTCCATTTCAGCAAAGTACGAATATAAACGATTTTTGGACAAGTCTGCTCTTGTCGCGTCCAAGCTCGGTCCGTCACGTTCGGCACGGTCTATTTCGCCGCGCCCACAGACGACACCGCTGGAGAAGCCGTCCCCGACACCGCCGAATGTCAGCCGTCCGTCTACCGCTGCCCTTCCCCAGCAATCCCGGTCTGCTTCTCAGCCTATGATCTCTACAGTGCAAACGCGACCTGTAGTTCAGCCACAGCAGCAGCAGCAGCAGCAGCAACAACCTCAGGGCGGGGTATGGGCAGACCTCATTTCGCTACAGACACCCTCTGTGAGCTCATCGTTACCACTCCAATATCAAGCTCCACCACAACAGATACCATCATTTGCGACATCTGCCTCTCTACCCACTCTCAATACGCAGCTGTCTGGGTTTCACATGACTGGGTTCCAGCCTACTATGGGAACCGGCATGGGAATGGGATTGAATCCCTTCCACCAACAACTTCAATATACTAACCCGTTCCCTCAGCAATCCTTTACTCCACAACAATCGGTTAACAACCCCTTCCCTCAGCAGAACTTTGTCCCGCAGCAGCAGCAATACTTCCCGGGCCAGCCTTCGATGCAATCGCCTGGTATACAGGTGTTCGCACCTACCCCGCAGCAGCAGGGTCAGTTCTCACCGGCCTCCCCCATGGTTATGTCCAATACACCTCAACTTATGTCTACGACGCCCCAGCTCATGTCGACAACGCCACAGTTGACACCTTCCCCGGGTATTTCGTTCATACCTCAGCAACAGCAGACATATGCTACTGCAGGACCACCTCCGATGGGCGGTGGAGCGTGGGGGCAGCCCACTTACACGAACAATAATAATGGGTACACTATGCAAGGACAATGGGGCTCAATGTAGTGCCCCAACAGACTACGACCTCTCTCCTTTCTGCTACTTAAAATAATAGTGGACCTGGCCGCCTAATTTGGTTTTATTTTTGCGCTTCCTTGTTTCGGGTACGCGAAGACTCGTGGAATTTGTGGATATTTTTGTTTTTACGCAGTTACTCATTTATCATTTGTATCGTACATTTCGGCAGAACAATAATGTTGTGTGGAAGATTTGATGAAGGCTGAGCCAACGTATTGTGGTTATTGTCGAAGCGACGTCTCAACCAGCATTCTTTTTGTAATCCAGAATCCAGACCGTGTCAAATATTGAGACGCGTGTTGACGCGTGTGAATGTTGGAAAACCACGTGACTATTTAAAGACGCGCGCCCAATGCTGTTTTTCCTACTTCTCTTTTTTCTTTCACGACAACCCTCAAGACTACAAGAACGGCAAGAACTACATCATGGCTATGGAACGAATGTATGGTCCTACCATTTTCTCTTCAGTTTGTACTGATGTTGGTAAAGGCGAGATAAAGTCAAGCAAATTGACATCCCAGTGCCCTTAGGACGAAATAACAAGCCGCCAGTACCGACGACCGCCACTGACATCAATAGAATAGTGAGGAAGTCAGTTAGCTCCACGTGAATTGCTCTAAGTGGACCCTAGTTCGATGAACCGACGCCTCCGCGCAATCTTGACAAATATCGAAGCACGATCGTAATCTCTTCAGACGAAGAAAACGACGGCAGTGACAATGACGACGAGAGGCCTCCAATACGATCTCAGCAAGCTCCTTCTCGGTTATTCATGGAGCATACCAACGTTGAGAGGCCGTGGCAGCCTTCCCAGTCATCCAAACCGCCCATTGTGCCACTGCCTAGGACACAGCCTTTCAATCCAGTCTACCAGCATTCTTTGAATGCGGCACCTGTACACCAACGCATTCCTTCAAACTCTGGGCCTCTTCCACCGGGCGCATTCCCTCACAGGCCGTTCCCAACTCCTGGGTTGAGAGGCAACCCGATTCCCATACCCTCAGATGATCGCGCTCTACCAGGTCCATCACAAAGGCCTTACCAACATGTTCCTGGACTTGATTATACTCGAAGTGACAACCTCCCATTCGACAATGGTGGGTACATGAACAGCGCTGAGACGGAGAAAGCCCTTCGCGACCTCATGGGTGGGGCTATGAACGACGAAGAAGTGGAAATTAATATGGAGGATGCCATTGTTGACGGATTCAAAGAAGGCATCATGCTACTTCCGCATCAGGTCTTGGCCCGAGCGTGGATGCGAGACCGCGAAGATGTGAAGAAAAAGCAATTTGGGGGTCTTCTTGCGGATGATATGGGGTAGGTTTATCCGTGCCTTGGATGAAGTTATGGACGTTTTGCTGACGTTGTCTAGTCTCGGGAAGACAGTGCAGACCCTTGCTCGTATTGTTGAGGGAAGACCGACCAAGAAGGATCGCGAGGATGGGTGGGCTGCGGGAACGCTGTACGATGTTCCTCGTCTTCCATTGATATTTTGACTGATTGTTGCTCCAGCGTCGTTGTACCGCTTGCTGTTCTACCTCAATGGGTGGAGGAAGCCCAGAAGATGACAAGTTTGAAGGTTAAAGCGCATCACGGCGGCAGTCGTACTTCTGGTCAATTTTACTTTCTGTCTTGCCGAGTTTACCAGTTCTCTGACACGCGTCTGCTCCTAGATCCCGATGAACTTCGAAAATGTCACATCATTGTAACCACTTACGATGTGGTCAAGTCTGAGTTTGCTGCTCACAGGCCCCCAGCCAAGGATGAATCGAAGCAGTCAAAGTTGAAATCCAGCAAGGATGATTCGGAAAGCTCCGATGAAGCGGAACATTTTGGAAGAACGCTCAAAGCTAAGGAGAAACCGAAACGCAAGGTGAAGGTCAAAGATGCCCTGTTCCATGTCAAATGGTGGCGCATTATTCTTGGTATCAATCGATGTTCTCTGTTCAATATAGGTCCTCTCTGACGGATCATCTTTAGATGAAGCTCACACCATCAAGAACAGATCCACCAAAGCGGCAGAAGCCTGCTTTGAACTTCAGGGCAGGTTACGCTGGTGCTTGACAGGAACACCGATGTTCGTAACCTTCATTCCTCTTTCCACCCCTGTTGACATTGGACTGGTTCAGGCAAAATGATGTTGCGGAGCTGTTCTCTTTGATCAAGTTTTTGCGTATCAGGCCGTTCTCAGAATGGGAAACATTTAATGAGCAGATTGCCAAGCCAGTCAAGAATGGCAGGGGAGCTCAGCGCGCGATGAAAAAGCTTCAGGTTGGTTCTTTTTAGGTTTCTAGAATTGCTTTTGACAGTGCACTCTAGGTCGTTCTGAAGTCGGTGATGCTTCGCCGTCGCAAAGACCAGGTCATCAACGGGAAAGTCTTGATTGAGTTACCTCCACGGGAGCTCAACATTATTTCATGTCCATTCTCGCCCGCTGAGCAGACATTCTATGATGAACTCGCCGTCAAAATGGATTCAACACTGCAAACATTGATGGACAAGCCGTCGAGTTACATCAGCGTATTGCTGTTGCTGTTACGCCTGAGACAAGGTGAGAAAACCGCGCACCCCTACTAAGGTCCCTGATCGCTAAATATAGGAGTGTAGCATGCAACCATCCGGTTCTTGTATCTAAGGACTTTAAGAACGACGCAGACGCAATCGATCCGAAGCAAGCCAAAGGCACCGAAAGCCAGAGTCAGGACAGCGTTGATGGTGATGATCTCGCTGCGGCGTTCGGCCAGCTAAACGTTGTACGCAAATGTCGTGTATGCACTAACGAGTGGGTGCCTCTCTTCTAGTATGGCCGATCTTGTACATTTACCCGGTCGTAATACAGGCTGACGCCGACAAATACGGCTGCCGGTAGCTGGGATGCTTACTGCACTGATTGTGCACAGCTCACGCAGAAGCAGCAAACCAGCGGGGACTCGGCAAAGATTCGTATGGTACTTTCACTGCTGAAAGATATCGACGTACGGAGTGATGGCGAAGACAAGACCATCGTGTTCTCGCAATTCACCAGCATGCTTGATTTGGTGGAGCCTTTCCTGTCGCAGAATGGTATTCGGTATGCAAGATGTGAGCTTTTCCACTCCCTATCATAGATTGAAGTTCTGACACGTCTTTGTTAGATGACGGGAGCATGGTCAGCGGTGAGCGAGAGGCGGCCTTGAATAAGATCAAGACCGACCCGAAGGTCAAGGTCATCTTGATTTCGTTCAAGGCCGGAAGTACCGGTCTCAATTTGACATGCTGTAACAATGTCATTCTGGTAGACATGTGGTGGAATCCTGCTCTGGAGGTATGCTCTAGAGCTCTTTGGTTTACTCATTCTGTGGACTAATGGGCTGTTCTAGGACCAAGCGTTTGATCGTGCGCATCGGTTCGGGCAAAAGAAGAAGGTTAACATCTACAAGCTCAAGATTGATGGCACTGTGGAGGATAGAATTTTGGAGGTATGCTTGTATTGGTGGGAGTATCTTCGTACTTGGTCTCATATATTTTCAGCTCCAGGAGAAGAAACGCGAGTTGACGCGCGCAGCTTTGAGTGGTGACAAGCTCAAGAACATGCGGCTTGGTATGGATGAGCTTTTGGCATTATTTAGACATGGGGGCAATGATGATGAGGATTAGAGTTATTGGTACTTGTATTCTGTGATATTTCTTGGATGATCTCTCACTTGTATCATACCTTTACTATCTTATATCTTATACCATGCTATTGACTTGATAAGATCTTACCAGCCGAGGCATACTGTCTCAAAACTGCTTGGAATATGTTCAAGTGAACAAACGAATTGCGAGTAGGATTACGTGGGGTACCAATATTACAAGATACAGGTATAGCTACACTTGATGTATGAAAGAGAGATAATCTACGAAAGAGGAGTATTAGAAATAAGTACGTAGTCGAAAGCAAATGAGAACATTAGTTCGAAGGTAAGGTAATGGACATAGGGCAACTTGGATGATGCAATGCAACGAAGGGTCAGATAATTGGCAGACTCATCCTCGTGCCCTCAATTTCCTCGCCTCGGAGGTAACACCTACCGCCGTTCGCACCAACTCCGCAATTCTGGTATCCCTGATACCTAAACCCAATATGTTCCTCCAGAGACCCATATTGAATTGAACTCGTCTGTCAAATTCCTCATCACCGGAAAGGCTCATGACTTGTGCCATGGCTGCGGCATTCGGGAACTCATCCACGACCGAAGCTGGAAGCATACGGTACGCCAAGTCGTTCTGGCAAGTTTCTAGGCCCATGCCGAAGAGGAGAAGGAGGGAGAGGGATGGAGGATGGGGTACGATTGTGAGAGGTGGAGTAAGCGGTAATGTTATGCGCAGTTCATTGGATGCAGACCGATATGGTGCTGCGCGCGTAGATAACGGCAATACGAGTTCGGCGCGGAAGCCGTGAGTATAACGGTCGGCATCTATTGGGATAAGCACGGGTGGCCGCCTGGGAGGGAATAATACAAGAACGTGTGTAGGGAGATTATTCTCGCTCAGCGCCTTCATATCGATGGTAGCAGGAAGATTGGTAGGGTCTAAGGATGACGGTGAAATCATCTGAACATTCAGATGGTAGTGAAGAAGGCTAGTTCCAATCAAGCGCCGTTAGTGATATAAATTTCCTAGAGGATGAAACGTTGACCAACCGAAGGGGGTCTTCTCCGCGAGAGAGAAGGGAGTTTTGCATCATCGATAACGGTTTATTTATTATCAATTTACAATTTACGCGTAAACTTGAGTAGCGGACGCGTCGCAACGGATCGATGGTCGACTAGGACACAAAGAAAATAATCTGGAGAGTTCGTATCAGCAGATGAACCGGGGAGACGCAAATGAGGATAAGCGAAACGTGTACCGTACGACGGCAAACATGAAACGTGAAATTCCTTAGGCGTGCTACTAGTCGCCGCCGCTGGCATCGGAAAGAGGGCTAAAATTTACCGGACGTACAGCTCGGATAAATAATCGGGGAGATCCGGTCAACGAATGAGGGGGTTAAAAATGAAGGTGTATGAACAAGAGCAAAGGGTTAGAAGGAATGAGAAACATAACCGCTCGAAAGCGTTGATTGAAAAGAGCGCCGGAAATAGATCTAGACGCGACACGTGGAAATACGCGTGGCCGATCATTATGATGGACCTGAAGATACCTCTCCTCAATTTAAACATATGGGTACATTTCCCGTCTCCTCGCAACCTATGCAGTTCTGCCTCCGAAAGTTCTCTACCTGATGTATAGAGATATATATCTTCTGGACATGAGAATCAACGTCAGCTCGGGGAAAAGATTGATACTAGAACTGCTGAGGCTACCTCGAGGCCGCCTACATCATTGTCTTTTGAATGCGCCGACAAACTGGCCTTGATGGAAATTTTTCCTCCCGACCGCCGTATCCATCCGTTCCCCTCGACTAATCGCGAATCGGTATCTTGGAGCCTACAGCGTGGATTCCCGGGCTTAAAAAGCTGGCTCGTAACTTGGCAACCAATGAGTACGTCTTTGAACTTCCAGATTTGACGGGAATTGTATGGCTTCGGCGGTTAGAAGGCAAAAACGAATCAGGGAGCATAACAGTGCACATATGTTTGCGGAGTAAGTAGACCAAACTGTACCTACTCTACTCCAATAACGCTTGAACGACATAATGCAAGGCTTTTCGAATCTCTGGATTTGACGGACCTGATGACCTAGCCAGCTCCTTACACCTAATTGGCGCCCTCGACGAAAGAAGCCTTCGAGTCTAGTACACAAGCGAGTCCCTCTGTAAGCAAACCATCGTCCCTGCTCCGGCGTACCTCATACTGTGCAATAATGCCCGGTGAAACCAACGGTGCCGAGATAACTCAATCCTTTGTGGCTATTTCGTGGTCTCGGTAGCGCTGCGCGTGTGCAGATTCGGACAATTGGCACGATCATTGTGATGAGCACGTCCACAGCAATATCCAGGCAACGCAGGGGAAAATAGGAATAAAACTATTGGGGAGCCCCAGGGTTTTCGAAGTTTTCACTCTCGGCCGAGCGGCCATGCCCATACCATATTTGGGTTTGCGTCCCCGGCGTCTTTCCTCAAGTCCTCGCCGGTTGTAAACACAGTTCCGTCGTTGTCAGCTATGGACTGGTAGAAGCATTCATACAGATGAGGTGGACCTCAGGCTGGTGATTTCCTGGTGACTAATTTGTGGGACCTTGTACTTATTAGCCAGTACTTACCAAGCATTAACCAGTAAGTAGTAAATATTGTCCTGGAGTAATATCAAACTGCGACGATTCTGCCCATTTTCTTATACTTATCTCACCTTACTTGTTGTTACCTCGCTGTGCAAAGAATTAACCGAAGCTCCCCCTGGCCCCCACAAAATGATATATAAATCAGATAACCTCTTTTCTCCGTGTATATAAAGGTATAAACGAATATTAAATGCATTTTTCAGTTCCGCAACCCAAACTCGTGAGTGCGTGAGCACCCATGAGCCACTCACATCATTACTCGCCAAGTCCGGCCGGTGCTCCCCCCTGGCGCCGCTAGGGCAGGGCTCCTCATTAAGTAACATTGGGAGCCCCCAGGAGCGGGGCTCTCGAATAGTTATTACCGGAAAATAGAAGTCGAAGCAGGCCCCATCAAATTTCGGCAATGATGACGGATGCGCCTGAAAATCTGGAAATTTTGGAAAATAGTCGGGTAATCCGCACCGTGTGCGGGCTTAGGGTCTTCGGTGCGGAGTTGTCTCTCCATACCGAGTTACTGCAATATGCGTACTGGCGTCGGCGCAAACTGATTATGTGGATAGTCTGTTTTTACTTAGAATATAAGATATTTATCTGGTACTCCGAGTCCATGAATATTATAAAGTCGACACAGTATCGTGTAGAATAATAACTCAACCAGCGAGCACAACAGTCTAGGTACGACGACGCGGACCACAAATTCAAGACGCGCATGCCGGGGAAGAATTTGCATTTACCTCTTACAATTTTTTTGCAGGACAGATTAGGCCGATGGAGCGCTAGATTAATAATCAGATGAATTGTCTCTTGGCACCTAAGCTAAGGTAATGTCGAGATGTCGGGAAGCTCAAAATGACATGTGAAGGACAGAAGTCAGAGCCCAAGTTACGCAAAAAGGGATGGAAAGTAAAGCTACAGTAGTGGTATTGAGGTCCGTGAGACAAACATACTGAGTCCGTATTTTATTCCCCAATGTCCATGTCCTTATACCAAAGATAATAATGCTTTGGTCGTGGTGCAGATAAAATGATTGGTATTGAAGCTCTCGGAAACCCATCACCGAGTCCCTCTCAACGTGGCAGCTATCGCCCTAATGCCGTTCTGAAGCTTCCGTTTTAGTGTCTGCAGAAGTTGATAAGCGCGCACGGTCAAACATGTCCACAATGAAACCTCACCTGGAAAGCCGCTGCAAAGCGATTCCCGTGTATTCTTCTTATCCGCCGCCTTCGCCAGTGTGGTGGGTACACATTAGGTATGGCCTGACGCTCGTAATTTTGCAGCTCTTGCAAAATATCCTCCTCGCTACTCATTGGCTACCAAGTGATGCGTTAGCACTAATGACATTTACTAGACTATCGAAACACCCACAGGAAGCTCGCTAATGAATTCGTCCTCATCTCGTGTATAGTACGTGGAATGTCGGAAGGGATAGTTTGACATAGCCATGTGGTGAGAGGTAAAAATCAGCGTTGGGGCATCATACATAAGTAACGCAGGGGAAAAGAAGCATACCGCGTATTCGGTTTGTCGAACCCATCCAACGACGCCTTGATAATTCATTATGAACTTGTGACTGAGATTGCCAGCTGATTCGGTCTATACGTTATCATATCCGGGGTCTGAATACCCAGGAGCGGAGGAAATAACCTGGAAACGTGGCTCGAGGAAGGATCATGATTTTCTTCTCACTGTCGAAAATGAAGACTATCATTCAGCGGAAGTGGGATTCCAACGAAGATCAAGGTGGCGTGGCAACAGAGCTAGGCTTCCGGTGCAAATCAAGGGGGTTCCTTCATACAATCAGCAAGTTGAACAAATTGCAGTCGACGGATCGTATGATATCGAAGGAGATGCGACTGGGTCGACCTGTAATCAAGCAACGCAGAAGGAGGATGTATATGTTATTTCCGTCGGGTAACCGGATTCTTGTTTGAGACGTTCTACGCTGAAATCGCAACGCGAGGAAGATGGATCCATACAGATTTAGTCGGCGAAGACATGTTCCTCGAGATTCTCAGAGAAGCGACAGTCGTGGACAAATAATTTTGGTATCTGAGTTTGAAGGCTGCTATAATTGTGACGATCATGATTGTGGACGTGAAACCCGCTTTGATCAGGAGGGGAGATGTCGAAATCTCTTGATGTGGACCCGAGATGGTCTACTCCGGCAATCCTACAGAGCTTCTATCACTCTTAGAGTACAAGGAAACACCCTTAAATGGAGAAGGAGGCACGGCAACCAGAGTTACTACCCCGAGGCCTAATGTGCGTCGTGTCAGAGACCTTGACGATTTTTTTCCATGGTTACGTACAAATTTAGCGTCTTGAGTGTTATCGTTCAGGTCGGAGTGTGGGAGAGAGAGATCGACTGTAGATCCTATTGAGCATATGCACATGTTTTCATTGAGCCGATGTCAGTCTCGCAGGTGACAATTGGATCGACATCTGTAACGAGTCGGACAGCAGGCACAAGCGGAGGCGAATTTTCACTCATCATTGGGGTGAGTATCGGGAGCCGCCTTGAAAAGCCTGGCTTGTTACAGTGGTCGTTAGCATCCTCAAATCTGCACTGCCCAACAACGAAATGCCGTATTATCCACGCACGGGGAACTGGTTACTGTTACCCATCGTTGTCAGAACTAGGAGGATCTATTCCCAAGCGTCGAGTATCAAGCTAGAACGTATGATACCCAGAGATGCCCGCTCTCGTTATCAGCGAATCCAAAGCTGCGAATCCACAGCTTTGGGGGTGGCGTTGCGAACACTGAAAAACGTGATCGTGGTTGGTGGTGGAATCTAGACTGCACTGCCACAAGGCTCAGTAACTCAATTAAACTTCCATGTCGTACTACCGCGGTCCGACCTCAACCAGATTTCGTCCTAGATCATGATGTGTAACTTGTGTTTCTTTACCAAATATTTTTTTTCTTGGAAAGACGGCAAGTGAAATACGAAAATACATCTGAAGCACTCACAGCTAGAGACAGTTCCAAAACTGCTGGCAGGGCCGACTTTTTCCAACGGAAGCCATTGTTATGGCCTCCGATCTCCCCGACAACCCGCTTAGGTATGTGTTTTACTTATCTTCATACAGATCGTTGAGTCTAGTTTACGAGACTGCATTTTCCACCGCATTGTCACTTTTTTCCTCCTGACGGTTTGCTCCCATGCTACTAGTACTACTAGACGATGCCCCCCGGTCAATATCTGGCAGAATGGCTGTGATGCGCCTGGGATTAGTCCACGACAATGCTACTGAACCGAGGTCAACGAATTGAGATAGTAGCTTGACTTCTTTTAGCTTTGCGTCGGGCCTTGTTTTCCGTATTCTTGCATGTTTACGCTAACACATGATCTGTTAGCTCTTCCGACGGCGCCAAAAGGCCGCTTGAGCATTATCAATGCTGTGATTTCTCTACGTACGTATCCTATACGATCTTTGCCTGTCTCCACGCTAATACAAATTGTTCTGACGGTATTTACAGCCGGCTACCTCAACGTTTTCAAGAATGGAGTTTGCTGGTGGATACATACGCCATGTTTCATACTAAGCAACGCGCCACCTGATATCATAGAGCTTTTCCTTGGTATGCTAGGGTTCACAGATCTAAGTTGACCGCTAACCTGTTTATATAGGGCCATGAATATACGTAGAACTCGTCGTTCCTAAGCTTTTACGATATTTTCTTTTAGGTCTTATCCAGGACACTCGGTGAGCTTTTCTGAATGGCATTCAATCGACACGGAAGCGATCTAGGTATGTAGGCTGTATATCATTTCTGTTAACTTACTCTTGCTCTTCTCTCAGTGGGATATGCCTGTCAACGGCGCGGCTGGTAGGCAGATGCCTTGTTAGTTTAACAAGTACGTACTATCTGTGAATGTCCCCGCTACGATGGACACCGTGTAAGGCTATACAGAGTCTCCAGAGGCATATACTTGCCAGACATCCCAGGGACGAAAGGGGGCGTAGAAGCCCTGGCATCGCCTCTAGAGAAGTCGGGTGCATTCACGGAGACTGGCAACCCAAAACGGCCCGCCCTTACGACCTACGCTGGATGAGGAAGAGCTCGCACCAGAAGACTGGCTGGGAGATCATAGCCTGGAGTGAGGGGGGAAATCCCGGGTTGAAAAGTGTCAGAGGAAAGATGGCAATGCTGACGGACTCTGAGAACATCAAGGGAACTCGTTCCATGCATATAAACCCGTGCCCCGTAGCCCAAGCTATGGTGGGTGTCGACTCCCCTGGGTACCACAAACTTGACATGCGAAGACACGAGAAAACTATACTACTGAAGAACTGAACATCCCTCTGCACACCTTCTGTAGCTACTGGGGCTAGCCACGAGTAAGTGCCTCCGCGTTTCTATACATAGATTACGGGTTGCGGGTTCAAAATATAGAGTCAAAATAAAAATCAAAAGTATGTACAGTGACTGGCTACTTTGATAATCACCTAGCGCGCCATTTGATAAAGTTTTGTAGGGTTTTGTATTGTTAACCTAGGTCAACGTCTTGGAGGTTAAATAACGTGGATGAATGTGGAGTGACGATGGTCAGGGTGAGCAACAGTTGGTCTTATTACGAGGTCTTTACAAATTACTCGTCAAATATTGTAAGCCAAAATATTGAGCTTTTACGTAGCTCATTCGCTATTACAAGTATTCAAAGTACACGACTCGGCTTCGGGGGAACGGGATGTCAATTGGTTGGCATTGACTAGCGAGGCTCAGTTTATTGCTACTTTGGAAAATAAACGTTAAACCGTGGAATTGAGCTCGAAGAGGCGTTCGAGGAACTGGGGTCGAGATTTCGTTGACCGCTGTCAGAGTATTCTTTAATGTTTTCCCACTAAAATGAGTGTGTGGCGTCGATATCCTCGGGGACGTCCATGTCCAGGTCTTGTTCCTCTTCCTCCTCTTCTTCGCTTGACCCTTCGTCCAAATCTTCCATACTAGCATCCAAATCAACCTCTTCTTCTTCCTCTTCCTCCTCTTCCTCATCATCGCCTTCCATTACAGACGGAGGGCCACCAGAGATAGCAGAACCTTCGTCATCTTCTGGAGTGGCTTCATCTGCCTTTACATCCTTTCACTACGGCAAGCAACGAGAGAGCAACACTATCCTTACCTCTTGCTTCTCTTCTTGCTGTGTTTTGACCCGTCCGATGGGTACGATGGTCTTGAAACCGCGGATACGGATATTATTGTCCTGGGAGGAGTGAGCATCGAAGACGAATGACAGAGCCAAGGACACGTACCATTTCCTCTAGCTCGTGTTCCTCTTCACTCAGCTCGTCCATCTCACGTTGAAGGTCGCGGTATTCATTCATACGACCGTACATGGGCTCGTAGCCGGCATTTCGCAGTGGCATAGGATGTGTACGAGGCACTGGGGGAAGCAGGTGGGGGAACCTGCGCTCACGAGGCAGCACCGTCGCCGTCGCTACCGACATTATGAACTGTCCTCGTTATCGTCGTCGCGTCGTCGTCGTGGTTCCAGGAATAATCGTGGCAGATGGCATCAAGGCACCCTAAGCAGGCGCCAATTCCCGACTGGGTTCTTATTGTCCACCTGACGGCAAGTAGGGGTATGCCAATTCTCCTTTATCCATCACACAACATGACATCCTCTTCTTTAGTGACCTCTGCTCTGTGATTTTCTTTAGCCTCCTTTTCCGAACTCTGTGGGTCGGACATCGTGGACGCTGTTCGCTGTTTGACGTATCTTTCAGAAGACGACCCGGATCAACTTGAAGAAGAACATGCTCTCTCCACTCAGAGCAAATTCGACGAGGCTCTGGTCAAGTACACAGAGGCAATCGGGCTCGATGATTCTAATGCAAGCTTGTGGCATCCACCGACCTTTGTGAAGGGACTCAACCCGCTCTCGATGTTGATCTATGTCCTTGCTGCTGCTGGAGGCGTTGCTATCTCAGCCGCTATTTTCACAGCGCGAAATCAGGATTCGCGTGGAGTAATCACATCAATCGGCTAGTGGATGGTTAGAGTTTGCGCGCTAACTCGACATATCTCTATAGGGGCTATTGACCCTCATTTTCGCCTTGTAACTGAATGTGTTGCGACGGAACTGGGCATCCTTTCATTGCCGAACACTTTGGTTTATTTTGGCGACACGATGCTCGCGAGGGAATACCGTATGCTCGTTCTGAATCGAATTCCTTACAAGACCGAACTCGGGATGCCTCACATCTTGGAAGAGCACTCGCTCTCGACCCATGACGATAACAATGTAAATAATACCCACGATACAGCAGCAAGCAGTACAGACAACAGCTGGACTGGGAACTTGGGGAAAGCTCTGGTAGTAGGCACAAAAGAAGTGGAAAATCGGTACACACCTGTCTCCACTTGACCTAATGATCTTCCCTCATTCTTATCCTAAAGCCGGCCGTCCGTTCCTTCCTGCATCTCGTCTTTCTCCAGGATGACCGTTTCCAGCATGATCCAAAAAAGTTGATGCGGTACACCCACGAACTTCCCAAAAGCAGGCCGTAGCAGTGGCGAAGTCTTTGCTGGGATAGACAAGGACTGCAACGGGATCATTCCAACTCCCAAGACGGACTTTGCGTGAGCATCTTCATTCTGTCTCTGTTTGAAAGCTCCTAACCTGAGCCTGCTTTCAGGTCACGCGAAGCGAATCTCTTCAAGATCGTCCCTTGTCATAGACATATTCTCTGGTCTTCCACTTCGTGGCACACAACATTTCTCCTTTCTCTACTGTCGTCGAGACAGTGTGCCTATGCTGACCAGGAAACGACTTGCATCACACTGTGCGAGTTCGACGTGAACCTGGATATTCTCATCTTAGTTACGCCAGACGCTACTCTTCCTGGGGTGATTGATGAGCTCGCTGGTAGTCTGAATGACTGAAAGGCGAAAGGATGGAAGGAAAGGGCAATGTGGCTTTCTTGGAAAAGGACGATCCTACGTTTAGGTTGGTCCTCCTTCGTCGTGGATAATGAGGCCTATGCTACTCGCTGTCTTGCTTGGTTGGTAGGGTTCGATTTGGTGACACCATGCGCCTCACGAAACCCGAGCCATCGCACCGGATGGAATCTCATTGGGTCTGACTAAACTTCCCGTATGTCCGCTTAGGCTATATAAAAGCTACGGTTGTCAATGTATTATATACAACCCTCGACGCAAGAACTGATCTCGACGCACTGTGTATCGCTAGTATGTCTTCATTCATCGATCTTGGCATCCCACCTTCCCAATCCACTGTGACTGTTAAAGCTATCGACGTTGGCGCACCATCATCAATGTTACCTGCTGCATTCGTCATTGAGCCGGTGCTTCCAGGTTATGAAACAATTCAATCGCCCATCTACGCCTTCTATATTGAGCACGCCTCAGGGAAACGATTAATGTTCGATCTGGGACTGCGGAAGGATCCGATGAGCCTTCCTCCCATAGTCCAGCAGCTAGCAGCACTGTGGAAGAGCCAAGGATTCATACTGGATTTTGCCGACAAAGACGTTTTTGACAGGCTCCAGGAGGGTGGGTTTGACCCGGCGACTATTGATACAGTTATTTGGAGGTAAGTTGTGTCATCCAAGATAACCATGAACTGGGCTAAATGTATATTCATCGTCTAGTCACGGTCATTTCGATCATACTGGTATGTCTACGCCAGCTCAGAAGATGGGATTTGAGAGCTTATGGTATCCACTAGGTGAGATGTCCAAGTTTCCAGCTAGCACCGAGCTAGTCGTTGGACCTGGTTTGGATATGCGCACATACCCGACCACGCCGGAGTCTCATCTCTTTGAGTCGGATTTTGCGTAAGGTCATTCACACTTTGTTGCTTGGCGTAGCTGACGTCGGCATACTCCTCAGAGGCCGCAAAGTAACTGAGCTTGACCTTAATGATTTCAACCTCGCTATCGGCGACTACGAGGCGCTCGACTACTTCTCTGATGGTAGTCTCTACATCCTGAATTCTCCTGGCGTAAGTCCTCCCGATCCGAGCTGCATGAAAGATACAGCTAACTCCAACTATGACATAGCACCAAGTTGGGCACATCACCGCCCTTGCACGAGTCACTCCGACGTCATTCGTCTTACTCGGTGGCGACTCCTGCCATCATGTCGGTCAGCTGCGACCTACAGCCGATCTTCATACGCACTTCCCCTGTCCTGGTCATGTCCTCCAGTCCTTCAGAGGCCGTTCCATTACATCGTGTACCACCCCCCTCCTTGCTCTCCCATCAGAACAGTCGGCGTATGCAGATCTGGAAACGGCTCGTAATACAATCATCAAACTGGGGAAGCTGGATGCGAGTCCGGATATTCTGGTTATAATTGCGCATGACGCTACTATTCCAGGGGTGATCGATGAATTCCCGGAAAGTTTGAACAACTGGAAGGCGAAGGGGTGGAAAGAGAAGTTGACGTGGGCATCCTTGGAGAGGGGCAGTCCAGCGTTTAGATTCGCATAAATTCAAGATCTCATCTCTCGAGACTGATTTGCTACTCGGCATCTCGTGACGATTTGCAAACGTAGCCCTGACGGCATATTTACCACATTCGAACGGAAGAGCGGAGGTTAATCTGACTCTGAGGTGTAGGCCCCGTTAAGTTGATAGACAACCTGAGGCAAGGGCCGCACGGCGCGCCCGTATCACCTTAAGAGTACACGTTGGAGGTTCATGAGAAGACAGTTGTTAACTATAGGGATGAACGGGTTTCCCTGGAAGTGATATACATGTATTACTCGTGCGCTAATCCGGTATTTCTCGGTGATGGGCAATATTTCTGTCATAGATTACCGAAAACCTTCCAGAATTTCGATTGAAAATTAAAAAGAAGAATGCGAAGAGCACAAAAAACACAAACGCATTCTAATCTGTGCAGACGTAGAATATCACGCTGTAGACACGACATAAGTATATGTCTGCTTGTTGATCAGTCTTAACCCAAGCCATTTCGTGTTGAGAAAACGTACAGATCACATGTGCTGGTTTGTATTCGAGGACTTTCTCTGAGGATTAGTAGCGGAATAAATCCGAGATGATAACTCAAAAACCGTTACGGGTAGACCCGAGTATATAGCTGCTCGAAGGCTGCCAGACGAAACAAATCCACTTGTCATTCATTCAAAGATTCTTTTAAAAAAACTCATACTTAGAAAACAGAGAATAACATGTTGGTACACCGGCAGTACACATAACATACCGACGACGAAAAAAAGCAACGCATAACAGAGTGTGCATAATCTACCATCGTGCACGGTGGGTGCTGGACGAAAGCATAGCCAACGTTAGGGAAATTTCCGGCCGTGTAAAAAAAGTGCCGACCATCTTGGCCTACAGCGCTGGCTATAGGTGTTGGAAAACTGACCAATCCTGCAGCAAGGCTCTCTCTCTACTTAGAAAGGAAAAAAACGCGAATTGTTATCGTAACATCTTATCCCGCTGGTCCCCATACTGAGGGAGTCATGTATGCCTGCCTGGGGTCTAGAGACATGTGTCGCGAGTGTATTGGGTGGGTGGGACTCGCTGGGTAATACAAGGCAGCGACATCGGCATCCATCGCCGTCGCGGTGGGCGGATAGAGCTCATGAGTTCCGCCGACAAAAGTTGGCTGCTCGATGGGTGGCGGGTACCCACTCACGTAGTGCTGGGACATGTTAGGACTGAGACCCGGAGCGCGCAAATTGCCTACATTGGCTGATAAATTCCGTTGGTGGTGGTTCAAAGAAGAGGACTGTGACTGTGAAGGGAAAGAAGCCGATGGAATGGATCCAGGAATGTATGTTTGTGGAACCTGTGTCGAAGATGACAATGGCGGGGGCCAAGTCGCTTGCGGCGCAGACGGTGGCGTTTCATATAGCTGTGAATGAGAAATGAGAGGACTTTGGTTTTTATGGCCTGGGGGCTGGAGAGACGGTTCATCCTGAACGGCTGACCAGATGGATCGCGGCTGATTAGGTTCCGGACCAAACAGAAGAGGCGGCCTTGATTCAGAGATACTACGAGAAGCAGTGCGAGGCACACTCATGAAGGTGTGGAGCAGATCTTGTGCAGTTATGGGCGGGTGAGCTGTCTTGGGTGTGATGAGAGGTGATCTATTCTTCAGAGGCGAGGTGGCCGGCGGAGCTATTGGACTCAATGGCTTGATAGGCGTGATGGGAGTAGGACGCGAGACCGGAGATATAGTAGGTGGTGTCGGCCTGTGAAACTATTTGAACAGTGGGACATATAAATGAAAAGATAAGTACCTGGGATAAAGCACCATTTCTTCATTTTCGTCCTCTTCATCCTGTTCCTGAGCATTCAAGTGTTCAAACGCGGCGTGAATAATATCGTCATTTGTATCACTAGTGGCCTCGGTCATGACTTCGTCCTCCTTTCTCTCAGAGAGGTAAGGCACAAAGTGGTCTACCAATGCAACAGTACTGCCTGTTGACAGAGAAGCAGGAATAGAAGTCTTCGAACTCAAGATGCCCGCAGTGTGCAGAGGTGAGCACTAAAAATAGTGTTAATTTAATGTTTGGATTGCGTGCAAAAGCACTTACTTCTTCATCTGCGAAGAACTGTGCATCCATGAGAAGGTCACTGATTCTCATCAACTGCTCGATATTAGGATGCCCTTGCTCTTCCCCCTCTGTGTGGCGCTTGATAACGGCCATCTTCAAAGGCAAAAATCCCTGTAGTTCAACATCTTCTTCCAAGCCAAACTTCAACTCCGGTAAGCGATCCACAGGGAACACATGTGAGAGCGCGCTAATAAATTTGGCGAAGACGGACCAGAACTCTGCGATCTCGCTGGCGTCGTCGCGAAATTCTTTTCCTTTCTCAAGGACGTAAGCATAGTTGGCGCGTAGCCATTTGCTCGCCACTCTCAATGCTTTAAGAGTACGACGGAAAGTGGCGGTTATCCGTTGGGCGAGATCAGTTTGCTCAACATCGTCTAGAGGCACTTTCAGCTCCTCTATTCCAACCTCAAGTAAGGCTCGGTGGAGGAGGAGAACATGACAGAGGATCCGAGCTTCAATGACAGTAGGGGATAATGTAGATGAGGGCGACGAGTCTGCTGCCTTACGGGTTGCTACCGAGGCCGGTGAATCACGGAACATTCGATGCTTCCACAAAGCACCATGGGCGGTCACGAAGATTCTGATAATGAAGTCTTCAGGTAAGTGTCGTCCGGAAACAAGGTCGATTAGCTCAGTGTAGATCTCCTTAGATTGCTTCCTTGTCAACGAGTCCATCCTAAAAACAAGAATCAGACGCGACTTTTTGAACAGGCTTTGAAAACTCTACTTTTGCAAACCGAGACGCCACAGAGCGTGCAGGATTACAATCTTCTCTTTAAATGCTGTCACAACTATGATCTTGGGAACTTGAGACGGATCGACAGAAGGACCAGTGTCTTTCTCCTTCTTAGAGCGGACCTTCCATTGTTCCAGCGCTTTAGTCAACACGGTGCCCATATTCTCAGCCGCAGTGTCGTAGGGTTGACGGACGCAGAGAGCGCGATAATAATGTGCCAAAGACTCAAAAGAGTCTTTCTGATAAGAGGCGAGGATGGCTAGCTGATGCGAAGGGTTGCCGTCATGAGGAACTAGAAGACGCGCCTGCTCATAGCAAAGTCGCGCTTTCGAATAATTCCTGGGCCTAGGAAGAGACTCTCCACCTGGGGCACCCCCTCTCCTGTTCCGTCCTCGCCTAGGGAAGTCGTCATGGCCGATTTTACTTCTCCCTCCGCCCTCGTTATACTGCTCACGGTACCTAGCGATATCACCCAAGCAAACAAGCGCTTTGCTGAGGATAGACAGACGGTCCTCGCGTTCCTCAGGTGTCGTGGGTATGACAGATTCGGTTGATTCCATCCGAGGAAACTGGAAATGGTTGCGGCCGTTGGGGGGTGTAGCGTCGTTATCGGGGGTTCCGGTAGCAGGAATGATCTCCAAAGTGACAAGCGCCGATTTGGCTTCATCGAGTCCAAAGGATCGCTGGTACCTAGTAACTAGTTGTGACCAAAACTTTTCCTCCTCGGCGAGGAACTGGCGGAAACGTTGGACGAGCTTTCGGTATTCTACGGGTCCGTGACCGTGTTGGTGGTGCTGCTGGGGTTGGCTCTGCAATATGCGATCAAGGGTAGCGATACGCTGCTTGTAGACGGATATGATAGCATAGGAAGTCTGCATCCAAAGATGGTTCTCTGCATCTTGAGATTCTGGTTCATAGGGATGAAGGAGGAGAAGATTGAGATAACAGCGTCGCAGACTGTTGGATATTCGGCAACAGTACAAGTCTGAACAGCAAACAACTCACTTCTTCCGTTGGAAATCCGTTTCCTTATCGAATGGTTCCTTCTTTTTCAGCGACTCCTTCAAGATTTGGTGTAGACCTTTCGCTTCTCTGTAACGCAAATAAGTGGTAGAACTGAAGCATGAGAACTTGAACCCACTTAAGCGTAGATTGTGGATCTTCCATAGTAACTTTGTATATCCCGAGTTACTGAATACGCATTGTTGTAAGAGCAGTCTCCGAGTGGATCAGACCAACTTGAACGCGAATTTCAGACGCTACAGATGGACGTTGCGGTTAACGGAGGGGATTCTTTGCTTGTGTTTGGCTGTAGCTTGAATGATGTCAACGATGACTCCTTTGACCACGCCAAGTTAGGTGCCCACTACCCAGGCGTACAGGCGGACATTGGGAAGAATTAGTGAGTAGTATGCTGCTCTCCTTAGTCGTGATATTTTCCATGAAATTCTACACCTTCTTCAGGACTTTGCAATTTGTTGACCTCACTGTACAAATGTGGGCACCAGTTATCAGTCACACGGTTCTCCACAAATTGTGAAAGCGGTATATCTCGGTTTAGACTAATTCCAAAGAACGATTGTCGATCTCTGTGCCTTGAGCCTCACCCAGCACCCTCCATCTTACCTCTACATTCTAAAATCCAAGCATCTCTGCAACTCTTTTGACATCTCGGTACCCTTTCCTCTACAGCCGTTTGCATGAATTAAATCACTGTTTATGAAGGGACGCAACAACATCGAACATTCACAAAACAGTGCCTACGCTTCTAAGTCAATGGAGCTACTGCTCGGGCCACTTAAAAAATGGTCATATGAAGCTTCTTCCTGTCCACCCATTTCCCACACTCCTGGCTTTTACACTAAGGATAAACCTAATTAATCTCTCCCCCATCCCTCGACCCTGGCGCAAACGAGATGGAGAATCTACATAACAAATCATGGATCTTAATTACCCCATATCAATAGGGACAGCAAATCGCGAATGGTTATATGCAACTGATAACCCTTTATCTCAAATCCTCAGTCAGTGCCAATATCCTGTGATGTTTATTTTCCCTGATATCTCATGATACTACTCTACTCTAGTGAAAACGAGGGTTTAGATGTTCATCTCACATTCGAACCACTGACATCAAAGTAAACCCGACTCTAGTCAAATGTAATTCTTCTGACAAGATATCTTATATAACACAGGGTCGTCCCAGCTGAACCATGTCGGTTCTTCCTGCAAGTGCGGTGATTGGGACCTGACACAGTAAATTTACAAGTGCCGCTGCTTTTCGCACCACTCCGGTGCTCCAACCAACCCGGCATTACTAAACGGTACTATCGCCTGCAGGTCTTCCTACGATTTAGGAAGATATGCGAGACGGAAGGTGCCGCGACGGGGTCTGTACGGTAGTTATCTTGATATCTGGATCAATGTGAGGATAAAATGCTCTCGTCTGGACCTGTGGCATGCCTTACATCGGCCTTGAATCTGGCTCTACTTCACGGGGCTCTGCGTTCACGGAGGCTTTACGGTGTTTAGTCCTCCGAATCCGAATGCGACCTATGTAATAAGTATCCACGCGCAGACGGCCTCGTACTGGTCCCACTGGCACCGAGAGTGGGTTTTTCTTCTGCCCATACGATCCCCATCAAGTATGCCTATCCGAGTGTGTCAAGCTCGTATGGGGAAAGCCGTAAAAATATGGAACGTGCGTGTGTCGACAAGCGCAGCCTGTAGGGGACGCGTCAATGAATGACACCAGGCAAACCCTGGAATATCAATCCCCTGGAAACAGGTCGTCTCGGATCTCAAGGGAAAAAAGCGGAACGGACTTCAAGCTAATCTGGCAAGCCGGCTTTATTATATACTCTCGAACTCGTATCTCTACAACTCCGTACATCAGCTACATTTAGATACGCCTTCAAAAAGATAAAGCATTATTACTACGTTTCTGACTTTTTCCATTCAGAATAAGGAGCAACATGGACGCAAAAATTCATTTTTTTGTTGATTTTTATGTAACTGTACGATGTCCATATGCCCATGCCCATGGTACATATGTAAACCGCGGGAACCCTCGCCGAAAGAAAGAAAATCCAAAAGACAGTATGTATAGGAACCACTACCCGTCATCCGTCCTACGTCGCGTAAATCCCTTCTCAGTAGAACCTTCCTCCGGCCCTCTAGGATTCCGTACCACCGTCGACGACGGCCCCAGCCCCTCCCCATTCTCATTCCCATTCCCAAAGATCCTTTCCCTCGCTGCCTGGTACCTCGCCTCTCTCTCCCTGAAAGACTCCGTACTAGGCACAGATGACACCGAGCTATTGGGAGAGTTCGTGGGCCGCTTGAGGATACGCATGACGGGCTGGAAGGCGGCTGGTGGGGGTGTGGGTGTTGAGCTTGAGACGACGGTGGGCATTGGGGCGGCGGATTTGGTGTTACTAGAGGTGAGATTGGTTGGTTGGTAAGTTTTGGATGCAGTGAACGGCAACGCACGCATCGTTCCATAGTCTCTGGTTCGCTTCCTCTGTGGGAGCCTGGGCTTCATCCTCCTCATCGTCGTCGTCGTCCTCCCAGTCGTCCCTTACTGGGGCTGAGGCTACCGCAGCTCGTGTCTGGTAATGAGTACGACGAGCTCATAGCCTGAAATCGTAGGAGCCTACCGAAGTCGAAGCTGGAGGTGCATCCCAATCGTCTGCTACGGTGGTGGAAGCCATCTGAAGAAGGCAAACTTTGTCAATCAAAGAGCGATCAAGCATCGGACGACAAGTGGATATCCCCAATATACTACAATATTATATACAGCTAATAGAAATACAACATCTAGCAAGATACCAGGAAAATAGATACACCAAAAAGTCATATCGGACCTTTGCACTGTGGACAGATTAGAGCTGGAATGACATTACGATCTTTGAATTTTACGATAGCCTTCGAGCAGTCTATTCCGTCTTTCCAGTCATCCGGAACACCAAAGCCACTGAGAGCATCGTACACCAACCGCCTTGCCCTGCTCACCCAAGTAATATTCCCAACAATCCCACCAAGTGGGTACTTGGCGCCTTTCACCATAGGCTGCTTCGCCACTCTGACCAACTCATCCGGGAGACCCTCCAAGAGCTCCTCAATCGTTTGTTCGGGCCGGGCTTTCCTTGAGCGAGAAGAGCGTCTAGGTGGGACAGTGAATGGTTCATCGCTATCTGGCGAAGACAAAAGAAGCCGTAATGGTCGATCCGGAGTGACTGGTTCCTTGAACTTTTCTTTTACGAGACAAGATTGGTGATATGCTTTCCGACAGCTTGGGCGAGGACAGAAGTGCATGACCACGGTGTCATCGTCCGGGTCGTAGGGGTATTGGCAAATGCACGCGTCGCTCGGCTTTGGCTTTGAAAGGAATTGGTAAGAATATAGACGAAGGAGGAAACACGTACGGCAAGTGTTCGCGCTTCCCTCTCGAAGTTATACCGACACCAATAACTGTCCTTACCTATGGCGCTCTGTTCCATATCTCCATCATTGTACCGTTTTATAGTAGCAGTACCTAAGCTAGTTAGAACCGCCGTCGCACCGACGTGGAGGCAAGTCGCCTACCGTCTATAGTTGTCGAGTGGATAAAGTCGTAATGGTCGGAGAATATCCGTTCATGTTTTCCGCATGCATTGGGGTCGCTATATGCGCCATTATGAAAGGTAAAGTGACGCAAACAAAGGGCACTTACAACGACTTGATCACATCGGCCACGTCGCGCGGTGAGTAGTACCACTGGACCCAAACCCATACCTAGGCCGGTTAGAAGTTGGGAGAGGTTATCAAAGGAAGACATACATCCGCGCGATCCTGCTCTGATGACCGTATGTCGCGCACTTTAGCCAGCCAGTACTCGTCCATCTTTAGAGTCTCGTCGATTGATCGACCCTGTGGCCAGACGAGAACGCTGAGTCCATTAGAATGGTGCACTGGGATAGAAGGGAAAGGACGGACTCGTCATTCACTTTTATTTGATGTTCCACGCCGTCCACATCCGGCACTAGAGACGAAAACAATGAGCCAAAGAACGAGGAAGGAATAGACGATCCTTACTAACGAACCGTGCAAACTTGTTCCAGGACGTGAACTGTGCCCGCGATGGCGCGGTTGGATCTCCCCCTAGTTGTCTGTTGGTAACTCTTGTTGACTTGCGGCGAGTGAACAGTGGACGACGACGACGGGCCATGGTCCTCCTCGTGAGCGGTGGATAAGATGGGTACGAAGCACGTGACCGAACTCTGCCTTATTACGTCACCCCCCTAACTGGGCACGAGGCAAGACCTACACTCTTTTCCTTTACCGCCTCTAGCAAGCCTCGCACTAGACATGCTCTTCTATCTCACATCGCGAATAATCTGGTGCGTCTATCGTCGAGATCTTGCCATCGATGGGTGTGCTTATATGCTACGTGTACCAGTTCCGTGTCTGCGTTTTTGTATCCTGGTTACGCGTCTTACAAGACACTCAGCCAGCGACCAGCATCGGAAGAGGAACTAGAACGATGGCTTATGTACTGGTCGGTGCTTGGATGCATTGTTGCGGTTGAATATGTTGCCGAGTGGCTGATCTCATGGTGAGCCCTGCCTCCTTTGTGTTTACGTTCCATGGCTCCTTTCATCAACAAATACTCATTTATCGTCCATTTTACTGATCCCGGTTCATTATAGGATCCCGTTCTATTACCTCACAAAGACGCTCTTCCTCCTCTACCTTTCCCTTCCCCAGACCCAGGGATCCACATATCTCTATATCAACCACTTAGAGCCTTTCTTCAGTACTCACGAAGCACAAATTGACGCAACGACGGCATCCCTGAGAGCCAAATTGTATGCCTTTGTCCAATCGCGCGCTCGGGCCCTCTGGGACCAGATTTCGGCTAGTGTAGGACAGCAGTCTTCACCGGATCCGGTAGCGGGCGGTGGATCAGAAGCGCCGCCGCCGTCTCTTAACAATCCTGTGTCGGGTCCCGCTCAGCTCGTTACGTCGTTCTGGAGGTCGTATGGGCCCAGCATCGTCGCATCAGGCGCGGCGCTTCTGAAACAGGCGACCCCGGCCCCGACACCTACATCGTCGCGAATGGGGACCTCCTCATCGGGGCCGACCACAAAGTCCATCTTAGAGAGACGACGGCAGCTAGAGGCCGAGCTAGCAGCCCTGCCCAAAGTTGGCGAGCCGATGCCATCTGGATCGCCCCTACTGAGTCCCCCCCGGGTGTCCTCAGACCAGGATATGTACCTGCGAGAACGTGCCACGTCTGTGTCCGGGCGATATGAGGAGATAGAAGTACCGAGCGACGTCGAAGGGTACGATGTGGGGCCTGCTGGAGGAGACGGAGTTGGTTACTCGTACGATTCGCGCCCTGCTGCTCAGAAGCGGGGAAGCAGCTGGTTCGGCTGGGGTGGCGCTTCTAGCACGTCTGAGTATGAGACGGTCAAGAATGAGTGATGGCCTGTCCGCCTGCCAATTATCCATCTACTGTTTTCCCACTTAGTCATAATATTTGGACTATCAGTATCTGTCAGTGTAATTGTATACAATGGATTGCTCGAATGACCCCGGGGTTTCCCACTACACGGGATCGACGGCCATGATCGAATGGTGTCGACGTCGTCAATCATTATGCAGCGCGCCGTGGCGCTTTTCACCGCTTCATCACAAGGAGAACGGCGGATGTAGAGCGAAGATTTAGTATCGTTACTCCCTCGAGAAGAATTTCATTTTCATCCTCCTGGAAAACGGAAATCGTCATTTGGGCAGAGATCCAAGCACCATAGTGGATCTCCGAGATGACCGTTGACGTGATTCCATCATTTTCGTACCCCAAAGAAGCGTTGCAGCCAGCTCGTCTGTGCTTCTCAAGACCGGGTGCTGCTGCGTATGATTTCTTTTCTCCCTTCTATGCATATTTTCTCCGAGACGCCTAGTCACGCCGAGAGCACACGCGACGATAACGCCGAAAGCCTTGTATGTAAACCAAGCCGTCATCGAATCGAACGGCTTTCCGTAGCCTATCCATGAGTCACGATGATTAGTGGGAGAACATACTCTTCTCCGCCGCAGGCTGGATTGTTGGCCCGGGCTCTCGCGAGGAAACCCAACAACAACTCAGCAATGCATATGACATTCAGGGCCCTATTAGTCTTCCCTCGAACCGGAAGTAAAAAAAAAAAATTGAGAGCGATCTTGGGATTTTGATCGATCTACACCTGTTGATGGACACAGGTGTTCCTCCGATTCGGGGTTAAAAAAGGCTTCGTAGAAAAACCGCCCAAATAAACAGTAAAATGCCTGGATAAGGATATATTAGGGGTATTTTGAAACGAAATTACGGCTGCAGTGCCTGACCGGTACTCTTGTCCTTGCTATTTGCCATCATGCTTACTCGTAGGATTGCAACTTGACTTTATACCACCACCTTGTGTGTCTGGGCTTTGTGTGTTTTTTCTCTTTATTCCTATACTTGTTGCTCGTCATTTCTTGACGCTTACTGGTGCTTTGTCTTGGTTGGTTGTCATCCCGAGTGGTGATAGTCCATCTAATCGACATTGCTTTTTGCAGTGGAGCCTCTGCGACATTCCCCGCGTACCGTATCGAAGTGTTGCACTCGACTTGATATATCTGTCGCCCTGTGTCTCTTTGGTTAGCTTTCATGGCTCCGCAGCCGCGGAAAGACAACAACACTGGGCAGCGCGTTCAAGACAAGGAGTCCAAGCGTTCGCAAGGTCGCTTGTCATGCGCAGAGTGCCGGTACGTGTTTTGCTCATTCTTGGTGATTTACGTTACTGAAACTTTCCCCTTGTGTCGCAGACGGTAAGTCGGCGCGTCATTTGTCTCTGAAATGCTCTCTGATCATATTTCCTCTCACCAAGACTGAAGCTCAAATGCGACAAGACAGTACCCTGTTCCAGGTGAGGTTCATCGTTAGAGGGACCCTTCGCACTGTACTCATCCACTTTCAGCTGTAAACGAAGAGGCTGCTCTGCAATTTGTCCCAATGGCAGTCTTATCACGGGACAAGGAACCAGGTACATCTGTCCCTCATTGATAATTTTATGTGTCGATGTCATGCCAACGTACAACTCTTGCAGGTTCGTACTTGCAGATACCGAAAAGCTCCATCAGAAAATTGCGCATATGAGTGACCGGATTCGTCAACTTGAGGACGCTCTTATGATCCTACAGTCGACCGTGACAACCGAGCCCCATCCGCTTCTCGACCGTGATTTGCTAAAGATTAAGTCTAGTATTGAGCTTCACGCGGCCATACAAGAGTCGGGAAACAATGCGGCGCAAGCAGAGGAATCTGATGATTCTCAGTATATTGATGCTTTTGGTACGCTTGCCATACGCGATGATGGTGCTGCTACTTTCTACGGACGGTCCGCCGGTCAAGAGGTGAGTACTCGGAACCTTTCACGTCAACGTTGCAGCCTCATGACCTCGATGCTCCAGAGTCTCCTTATTGTATGTCTGCCATGCTGTAATTCTCCCTCCCGATTCGGTCACTCAGACTAGTCTCTATCTAGGGTGAAGTAAACGAGGCCAAGGAATCCTCCGCAAGTCCGGAAATGATTCATTCGACTACTCCCACTTGGACTTCAGATCTCGCACCGCCTGTTACTCAGCTATCAACCAGTTTCCCATTCTCGACAGTACCCGCGGGGATCAGTCTTGATTATCTCGTCGAAAACCACATTCCGGAATGGAGCGAAGGTTATCGTCTTTGCAGTCTGTATCTCGAGACCGCTCCTTGGTTCTTTGGTGCCGTACATCAGCGTCAGCTGTTTGAGGAACTTATTCCCCTGTGGTACCAGGACGGCGCGAGAAGGCCAACCAACTCGTCACCTCCGTCGGCTACCTCCGCTCCAGTAACTAAGGGCGGAGCGCATGACTTGGCGTTACTCTTCATTATTTTCTGTTTCGGAGCGCTAACCGATATGAATCTCCCGCCTGCACCGGATAACCCGGTCAGCGAGCAATACTACGACTTGACCAAGGCGGCTTTGTCTATCGAGCCTATCATGGAGAGACCTCCCTCTGTCGCTACAGTCCAAACCCTTTCCTTAATGGCTATCTACGAGGGTCTGAAAAGCGGCGAAAATAGCATCGAATCCACATGGACGCTTATGGGAATATCCACGAAACTGGCTCAGAGTGTACGTTGACTGCTCCCGGATGAGGGTCATGAGATGAACTAACCATCCCTGCAGATTGGTCTCCGTAAGTTGATTGACGAGATACAGACATCGAGATGGGGCTAAGCAAAGAGCAAATCAGATCGGGACTGTGCGCGTTGGAAGCTTTCCCCAGCGGAGGTGCAGAAACGACGTGCCCTCTTCTGGGAGTTATTCATTACCGATGGTTGGCAGGTAATATTTTCTAGCATCCTATTCCTGTATCTTACTCAACATGTATGTATAGAGCCTCGCTACCGGGCGACTAGCAACGTTCTCCCTCCCTTTTGTCGACTGTGAACTTCCGCAGGATGCCGATCAAACTATGGCTGCGGATGGTACTATACAACCGAGTTGTGAGTCTCGTGATCGTATCCCGTAGGAAACTGTTGCTAACGATATCTGATATCTGCAGTTCCATATTGGAAGGCTCGTTTTGGAGCCGAGTGCGTCGCTGCCGTCGTTCAGGGTACTCTGACTTCACGCGCACCTAAATACTCTATCATATTGGATCTGGACCGCAAAGTCCGTGATATGGAGCTTCCCAAATATGCACAAGGATCACCTCCGGAGGGTGTTGGTTTGAGCGAGACTATGAGTCATTTCATGCCGACTAATTATCGCGAACTCAGTTGGGTGATTTTGTTTTATCTCTGACTGTGGGTGCTGATGATGTTGCTTCTAGCGCTCCTCTATATTCATCGTTGCTTCTTCGTGCATGCTATTAACAGCAACCCGAGCGATCCAATCAAGAGCCAATACGCGCCATCTTTCTTGGCTGGTTACCGGAGCGCGTGTGATTTGCTTGCGTCAGTGAGACAGCAGTTTACGAGATTCCCGGCCCAGATAGCTCGCTTCTGGGTCTTGTGGACGCATGCGTTTTCGTCGACGGTGAGACTGCGTGCATGTGGTTTTCTTCAAGCTGACGTGTAATATTCACAGGTGATGATTTCTTCGGTCGTTATACACGGGCCTACTTGCAAAGTTGCTCCGGCCGCGTTGTTGGAGCTCAAGGCGGCTTGTGATCTCTTTGATACTGCGGCGAAATATGGTGGGAGGGCTGTGAAGTTCCTGGTTAGTCGGCGATTCTGTATTGTTAACGTCATCGGATTTATTGATTTGTGTTGCAGCCTATTGTTAAGCGTCTGCAAGGCAAGGCGCAGAAGATTTATTTCGACATGAGAAACGGTATAGCACCTACCGTCGGAAAGGATATCTTCCGTCCTTCAACCGAGACCGAGGACGATGACGAGATGCATATATTCAGTGGGAAGACCCGAACGCTTACCACAAAGTACCCTCCACGACCGAACCCGCAAGTTCGCACTTCACAATCAGACTCAAGAGCTCCTTCCGATTCGCCGCCTCAGACTAATAATCCGTCATTCACGGGTGTTCACCCTAGCTTGGTCAATGAGCTGAATGGGTTCGAAGGGCATATCCGTGCCCAGATTGAGAGCGCGTATCAACAGGGCAATGAGGTCTTCGCGCAAGCGCTGTTAGGTCAGACTCAACCGTACCAGGATGAGCAGCAGCGGTATCTCGCTGAAGAGGCGCAGCACCGTCAAGCGCAGCTACAGCAGCAGCAGCAACAACAACAACAGCGGCCATCCCCGCCTATGCAGCAGCAGCCTCCTCCGATCGTGCAGCATCAACCACCGCCTACGCAGTATCAACCACCGGCCGTACAGCAACCTCCGACCGTACAACACCAACCCCCGCAGCAACAACAGCAACAGGTCTATTATCAACCGCCTCCCGTACCACCGCCGTCTCAGCAACAGTATGCTCAACCAACATCTTCGGAGCAGTATCAGCAACACTCTCTTCGTCGTTCCCGGTCTATGCATTACGAACATCACCGAGAGGTCGAACCTACTGTGCATCAACCCGAGCCCATTGCTCAGTCTCAGGTGCACCAGTACCCCGCCGCTGTGGCTCACCAGACATACCAGACGGCCACCGAATACGCTCAACATACGGCCCCGGTTCCTGCTCCTGCTCCAGTCCAGCCGCGCCATGCCTTGACACACTCGCAATCTCACTCCAATCTCAACGCGTTAAGACACTCTCAATCTCATTCCAGTCTCCATCAGTTGTCGTACCAAGAATACCAACAACTAGCTCCTCCGGCGCCTCGTGTATACCAGCCACCGCAGGAACCTCCGCCACCGCCGCAGCAACATCAACATCAGCAAGACGTGTATGACTACTCGAAGCAAACTGTGTACCACCAGCAGCAACAACAACAACAACCTATGGCGGCCGAGTCGATCTCGCCGTCTACAAGCTATTCCCAACAGCAATATCCCTCCCCCGAGACCGCTACTACGTCCACAGCCCAACAACAATATTGGACCGATCAAGCCATGGACACGACGGCGGATTACAACCAGCAGCAGCAGCAGCACTCACATTACGGCATGTACCAGTATCACCCACAGCAGTATTATACGCCTGAGGGTGCCATGAGGGGTATCGCCGCTGATGATCAGAGTCTCCAGCAAACGTGGCAGTCGTACATGCACAATGTAAGCTTCAACTGTTCTTTTTTGCTTTCCCCGGATGGTCCTTACTCACCACTGAACGTGCTAGGTCGGCTCTCCACGGCACCTCCTGGAAGACTAGAAGAAGGGGAAAAAAAATTCACGGCATTTCATCTTCTCATTTGTATTCTTAGCGCATTACGAACCTCCCATCTCTTTCCTCTCCATGCTCTGCCAGTGCTATTTCAATTGCATCTATTCGTTGGGTTTAACGGCTCATGTCTGGCTATCATATATGTTGTCATCGTGCTATGCTAGTATCTCTTGTTTTAATAATAATAATACCAAATACCTGGAGTGCATACGAGCAGTGAAGTTTCGGTCGGTGATAGTGATTCAATTGTTACATATGCGTGTGCATCTCGCAGTTGATGGTATCTTGACAGTAATTGCTACGGGTGTGTCGGTTCCGCCCACTTACGAGAATGATTGTGATTTGGGAGTCCTCAGGCTTTGATCTTGGGGTCCTTCCTTACTATTTAATATTGAGATGGAAGAAACAATGTTCATTGAATACAAGGTACAACCAACAATTCAGTCATCCTAGCAATAACAGCGACCTTTGAACTAGGGTGAGTGTCGTAAGAGACAGCAGCGATATGATGCCCCAATCTTGGAATCACATCGGCGTCTTAAACACTAAACACGACCCTTCCGATTCGAGGAGACTTCCGAAGATATATTATAATTACAGACCCTGACACAGCAGCTTCCCTCTTCTGACTTGCGCCCTGCATAATCTAACTTCTGTGGGAACGGCAACGAGCGAAGCAAGCAAAATTCCAGATGAATCTGCAAATCCGATCGAACCAATCTTGAACTCGCGTTCTTGGCGTGTTCGTTCGACGTCGTTGGCTGAGTTTGGGTCCGGGTGCTCTTGGTTGACGCGGTAAAAGACGTTGACGCTAAGTAAAACGTGAGCACGGTCCAGGACGTGAAAAGCGGGCACGTACTAAGCCAAGCCACCGCATATACCTTCTAGGCTCACCAGGAGGAACACGGTGATTATGCTCAGTCCTTCTGAATCATCAGAATAGAAACCTACGGCAGACTCGTATGCCAGTGAAAGAAGTATCAAGCATTGTACTATAGAAGGCAAAGAAAGTAGCCGAGCCGGTAGCGGAGGAAGTCCCATTGATATCGAAGACCGGGAAAAGAACACGGTTGTTTGGTAAACGAGCTGTTTGAATATCGGATATTAGATGAAACGGGGCAACGGAGAAAAGTACGGTACCTGCCAAAGAGGATAGTAGTCGCGAACTGAGTGTATGAATTTGCTCAGAAAGGAATACTTGTCAGGAGAAGGAACTGGATACAGAAGGGTAGGAGCTATGCCCTGTATGCTTTAGTTTCAGCCTAGAGCGATTGAGACGTTGGCAGAAATGGCGCTTGCGCACCTGATTAATGGTATACTCAAACTATAATGATATCAATACGATGAACTAAACCAGAAAGGCCGCTGCATACCAAGTATACACAGACTGTCGATATGGTGCATTAGTTTCGCCCAAAGGCTTATATGGAGCACTCACATAATGGTAACATATATTTTATCAAGAGAGGCTTGACAAGCTGTAGTTTATCATTTGGGGTTAAGGATACTCTTTTCGGGCCTGCAGGCACACTGCCTTCCTCTTCGGCGACATCCTCTTCCGTAGGCAATGGTGTGTACGGAAGAGTGGACGTAATCGCACACGATGAATCTTCATCGTCATCATAGGATGAAGACGGCAAGAAAGCAGAATTAGGAGGGAGAAGAAAGTAGAAAGTTAGCGGTATGACGAATGGAAGGACCTAGGAATACAATGAGCAATGATGTCGCAGATAGGTGGAGTAGACGTACGGAAGAAAGTCCGACGCCAAAGCGGACACCCAAGCTGCGAAGCTCCCACCACAAGAAGGCCCCGACTAAACCGGCTGCCCCAGTACCAGAGGCAAAGTACCTAGACATGAGATCAGAAGACTGCGACAAGGGCACAAAAAGAAACACACCCTACGCTATGTCCAGCGATGGATGGAGGAGCATATGTGGTGGAAAGCTGAAGAAAGGTTAATTCTCCCAAGCCTAAAGGATGAGTTAGTTAATGTTAAGCTGTATTGTCTATGCAGGTGAAAGGAATACCTGATGAGAATGATGCAAGACTAATGCCTAAAAGCCTCATTGATAAAGCATCAGAAAAGGCTACGACCTGCCTCTGGGTGAGCATATACCGCGGAGAAAGGGACAATTTAGGACGCACAATCATTCCAAGCACACTAAGAAGACAGCAGCCAATGACACGCTTGGCGTACCGAATTCGACCCTTGAGGACATACGGCCAGCCAACCTTAACAATGAGTGCGGGGGTAATGTTACAGAATGCGATTATTCCCTTTGGAGTAGAAGGGGGTACCAAGTCGAGGGCGGCCGACAGAATGATGACATATAGCACTATCCCTTGAATGAGACCGGGAACGTGAACGACGATAAAAGCACACTAACCGTTGTTAATGAGGCCGAAAAGGAAGAACGAAGAGGCTAGCCTGACTAGCGCTCTGCGGTCATTATTCGAGCCTATGCGTAGAACGGTCATGACGACGAGGACGAGTAAAGGCGAAATCCTCACCTTTGGGCTCTTCATCTTCGATATCTGCAGCATCATAGAAAGCGTCTGGCCGTCCATCGATGCCAGCAGCAGAGGATGTCGAGTTCAATGTAGGTCGCATTTCTAAAGTTTCGGATGATGACGGTGGCCTTAAGGGATCAAACATGCGACCATGGCCCCGGTTCGGATCCAACTGGAACGTGCGTGGTCCTCTTTGAGGAAATAAATAAGGAATAAAGTCAAACTGAAAATGAGCGCTGTCGTGTCGAATAACGTAGTGTAGTAGCCAGTAACAAAGAAAGAGCATGGCGCTGGACTGAATTCGGAACCTCTAACCCTAACCTTCAGCGACTAGTATTCGGCCCGTACTTCCGGGACTTTTTTTCATACCTCCATGACATACCAACCCGAAGCTGGTCCTTCCCGACCTTCCAAGGCCTCCAAGGCAAAGAAGGGCGCAAAAAATGCGGTTCGGTCTGCAAAAATCAGGCAGATGTCCGAAAACCAGAAGATAGACGCGTTAGATCAAGACGCTCTGAATTTTGTGAGTTGCAAAAGCCGCAATGAAAATGTTGGATGCTCACTAGTACAGGACAGGTTTCTCCGGAGAACTTGAAGGCATTCACTGATTTGCCAATATCTGACTACACTAAGCGAGGTGCATACCAGCCTTTCGTTCTGCAACGCGCAAGCTGATCGTCACCAGGATTAAAAAAGGCCTTCTTCGTAAACATGACAGATATTCAGGCGAAGAGTATACCTGTATCACTCAAAGGCAAGGATGTCCTGGGAGCTGCTCGTACTGGAAGTGGAAAGACGCTTGCGTTTCTTATCCCTGTGCTGGAAATCCTTTACCGTCGCAAGTGGGGTCCTTCGGATGGATTGGGTGCACTAATAATATCACCAACGCGGGAGCTGGTATGTCCTTAAATGCCATCCCAACTTCGTTTTTTTTTTAATTCGCGTTGTTAGGCTGTTCAAATCTTCGATGTTCTACGGTCTATCGGTGGCTACCATTCATTTTCTGCCGGCCTCGTAATTGGAGGAAAGAATCTGAAAGATGAACGAGATCGCTTGTCTCGAATGAACATACTTGTTGCCACTCCAGGGCGGCTGCTTCAGCACATGGACCAAACGTTTGGATTTGAATCAGACAACTTGCAAGTCCTTGGTCAGTTGTTTACCGTAATGTTTCGATGTTTATTCTCATCTATCTGTAGTATTGGATGAAGCCGACAGAATATTAGACATGGGATTCTCCCGTACCTTGTCTGCGCTCCTCGCCCATCTTCCCAAGTCCAGGCAGACATTGCTCTTCTCCGCCACGCAGACCCAGTCAGTAAGTGACCTGGCGCGACTAAGTTTGAAGGATCCTGTCCATATCGGTATACATAATGATGAAGAAGTCTCTGGTACGATGGCGACACCCGAAAATCTATCGCAGCACTATCTTGTCTGCACGCTGGACCAAAAGCTCTCGCTACTTTGGAGTTTCATCAAGTCGCATCTGCAATCTAAAGTCCTCGTCTTCCTATCTAGCTGCAAGCAGGTCCGCTTCGTTTACGAAACCTTTTGCAAAATGCATCCCGGCATTTCCCTCCTTCACTTGCACGGCAAGCAAAAACAGACTGCACGTCTTAACATGTATAACAAATTTACAACATCCAAGCATTCAGTATTGTTTGCGACAGATATTGCTGCGCGCGGTTTGGATTTTCCGTCGGTAGATTGGGTTTTGCAGGTCGATGCTCCAGAAGACGCGGAAACGTATATTCACCGGGTCGGCAGAACCGCACGATATGAGAGCAAGGGTAAAGGCCTCATCTTCTTGATGCCCAGTGAAGAGGAAGGCATGCTGGCGGCTCTGAAAACCAAGTCGATCACCGCCGACAAGCTCAAGGTCCGAGGGAGCAAAACACAGAACGTTGACAATCAACTCCAAAACCTCGCATTCCAAGATCCAGAGATCAAGTACCTTGGTCAAAGGGTGAGTTCATCCCGAAGAGACATCGTCGTCATGCTTAATACTGTCGGATCCAGGCTTTCGTATCCTATCTGCGATCTGTCTACCTCCACAAAGACAAATCTATATTCAAAGTGTCGGAACTGCCTGTCGATCAGTTCGCGGAATCTTTAGGTCTTCCAGGCACGCCGAAGATCAAGTTCCTCAGCAAGGAGATGGCGAAAAAGAAGAAGAACGCTGATCGCACGGCTGCTAAAGCAACGGCCGAGGCCTTGAAGGACAATAGCGGGTCCGAGGTGGAAGAGGATTCATCGAGCGAGGAAGAAGACAATGCTTTGGAACAGACAACGACTAAGGTATACCATTGGTTTGTTTATTACAAGGTTCTTCGATGTAAACTGATTACCATCGTTAGGCCGATACCGTACGAACGAAATACGACCGGATGTTCGAACGGAAAAACCAAGGCGTCCTATCAGAGCACTACAACAAGCTCGTCGATCGCGAACCAGGGGACGATGACGACGACTTCATGACCCTCAAACGAGCCGACCACGAACTCGAAGAGGACCCATCCGCCGAGCCTCTCAACCTCGTCAAGATAGACAACCTGTCCAACCGAAAGCTAAAGCTTGGCCGGGCGAAGCGGACGTTGATCTTGAACGCACCTTCGTCGAAGAAAATAGTGTTTAACGATGCGGGAGAAGCGAAGGAAGTGTATGGTGTGGCTGATGCGGAGGAGTGGGTCAAGGAGAGGGGAGGGATGGAGGGTGTGATGAAGGAAGGTGCAAAGTACGCTGAGGGTGAGCGGGGTAAGATGAAGGTTGCGGATGTTGTGGATAAAGAAGAAGCGAGGGAGAAGAAACGCGAGAAAAAGAGGAAGAGGAAGGAGAGGGAGAAGGAGGTAATGGTATGTGAACCCAGTCGTGTCTTTTTCGTATTGACCTGACTTTCCCGTCTCTTTTAGATGGACGATGGACCTATCGTGGAGCCGTTACCCGAGGATGACGGTTATGTCTCTCCAACGTTCGATCTGAGTTCCGACGATGAAGACGATGCAATAGCCCCTCCTCCGAAACGCCAGAAGAGCGCTAGTAACCAAAAATCTGGAGGTCAGAATTTTATTGAGGACGATGAAGAGCTTGCGCTGCAGCTGCTTGGGAGTCGCCGGTAACTACGTGTTTTTCTGTTTACTATTCTATGTGAAATCACCCAAAGATCTGCACGCTCCATTGAGATATTGAATTCAGGGCCGTGTTTGATTTTACAATACTGTATATCTCAACGTTAGCGTCTTATCCTAACCCTCTTACCAACCTTCGATCCTACCTGCCCTTCAGTTGACGGCACGCATACGGCGAAACTACACGCTGGGAAGAACACATGGGTTATAGATATTCACTCTTGTTAAATTTTGACAGTGTAGCAGTTATTTTGTCCAGATCGCCCGATATAACTTTGGAAAGGTCATCAAGAGAATCTTCAAGGTGTTGGCAAGGTGAGTCCATGTTCTGGTACTTGATTCGGAGGCAGACCGTGATGGGTCGTCGCGTACTTCAAACTGACCAGGAGTGTCGAATTGATTGGTGATCGTATTTTCACTAGCAGCAGGAATGACATGGCTCGGAGGAGTAGAATGAGCATTTGGGACGAATCAGGGGTAGACGTGGCGGCAATGACGAAAAACGGAGTCGCCGACGATTACTGTCTCACTGTTCCATCCAACACCAATGTGTATGATAGACCCAGAATCACGATGCGTCCAAGTCGTTTGCTCATGGAAGCGAACTAAACTTCACAGACGAATCACATTCGCCGTTCCTCTACTGCCCTTCGTCGACGGGCGCTGTCCTTCCCGTCAGAGAGAACCGATGACCCCCGATACTCAAGCAGTTTTCATTGCAGAGATGCTACTCAATATTGCTCGCGGGTCATTGGGCGGTTTCTATATCCCTTCAGACGAGTCGGAACCGCTCGATGACAGTATCTTTCGATTCACCTTTCACGGTCAACACCCTGAAAATGTTCAGAAACCTGGGCCTCGGTTGTCGCAAGAGGAACTCTCGATGCCGCTGACTCGATTTTTAGGCCAAGTATTATGGATCAAGGTCAAAGGGTACGTACACCGTTGCTTCAACGTAGCTTGTCCTTTACATTTTTATAGGGGCTTGGCGCCTACTGCGAATATAACCAATCTTCGTATGCAATCGACCATTGAGGATAAAAGTAACGCAAGTTAAAATTCTGGCATGTAATAACAAGGGGCGCTAATTACTTATGCGTCTTTAGCACCCTAGCAATGTAAGATAATACATCACACTCTTCTGGCACGGGTATTGTAATCAAAATCTTCGTCTTATAGTGGGTTGCTTATATTGAGCGACATTATCCAAAGGAGATGACTCGCTGCCCCTTCACCGCCTGCCTGTCGCCAATAACCTGCCACATCATTGAATGCGGGCTGAACAACGAAGCATTCGAATTACTAATGCAACTCTCATCGGCTATCTACGACATCTACCGCCCTGGGTTGCAAATTTGGGATTACTCTGGCGAGCCTGGTTTTTTAGATATCCGGTATCCTATAGTGGAGGGAAATGCTTATGCGATGGTTTCGCTGCCTGCGGTGGAAACACACACGAATGGGATGTCCCTGGAAAGGCAGTTCCACGAGACCTATAGAAGATATTGGTGGCTAATCTATCGAGGAGTAAGCAGTGGTTCATTCAGCACAGACAAAATATTGACTAGCGGTTAAAAGGAAGCCTTTTGGACTATGAAAAACCGTGCCCTCTATTCGAGACGTATGGCTGGGACCCACAGATGCTTCCGGCCGAACGCGACGACTACAAAAATGAACGAAGCCCTCGAAAAACTAGAGGCAACAATACACAAGCCCAACTTCAAGATCTGCGAACGATCATCTCCTTCACCCATCGTTTCGGCACTTTTAGGTATCATTACATCATACTAGATGTGGTGGGTATGCCGCCGCCGAAAAAGAGAAAGCCAAGGCAACAGGACGGGAGCAGGAAGCGTGCACGTTCAGATGGGCAGGATGATGATAGTGAATGCGACGAAGATACTGATACTGATGACGATACGGGTTCGGAAAGCGACGATGACATTCTCTTTGCTCATAAGCTAGAGGCGGTGGACACTGAGGCGCGTAACATCACAGCGCAGATGATGATGATATGGCTGGCGAACTGCTGGTCCATTCAGGCTAAGCAGAACAATAATGGATAGCGTCTAGTATATATGTATATTTCTACTACTTGGTTCAAAATCAGAAGTGTAACCCAGCGTGACAATACGCGCGCGGGACCCTTCAATTAGTCTGGCAAGCCAGCACCGCTTTATTAGATACACTCGAGTTGGCTGCCCTTCAAAGCCAACGCTTGAGCCGATAAAGGTGAACTCTCCAAAATTTCCAGCAGCGACTCGAGATGCGGTATTCTCACTAGCGGCGGGAACAGTGTCACTAGGAGGTGTACCAATCCGGCATTTCTTGAAGAAAGGTACAGATTAGAGGCAGACATAGTGGTACAACGTGATAACGAATCGTTGCACTGATTCAAATTGAGATTCGGATTCTCGTGTTTATTCCGTGAAGTTTCCTCTTTGAACTATCACTTTCGTTGGCACCACTATAACACGAGCATGTTGTGTCTTCTACCGTACAGAAATTTTAGGGTATTGTATGCAATTTGACCTACGATTCTTCCAGTCAGTCAAATGTTCAATGTCCAGTTACGCCGCACTCACTCTCAAAAACCTGACGTGATTCGTGCTTCTTGTTTCCATAGGACCTTCAGGATGTTCCCCAATTTCAACGAGGTGACAAGGGGCATACCCCCAAATCACGACGTCCGAGTTGTGTAGCCTTCCGTTCAAGATTTCAATACTGAATCTCGGATTCCCGGTTCATGATAAATCGCGACGCCACCCGACATCCCCGAGCGCTTCCTTTAGCGGTTTAGTGTTAGTCGATTGTATGTGATCTTCAACCGTTGTTTAACGAACGCATGGGCTTACCGTCGAGTATGCATCTCGGCCCGACACTTTTTTAACGACGAGTCGGTGATTATAAGACGCGGACATAGCGTATATTCCTCGACTCGGACATCACGTATCATTGATTGCCTCCTCGATTACGATAGACCGGTGTCATGTAAAGGGAAGTAGGAGATAGGTACGCCACTGAGAATTTCTGTTGGTACGATTCAGACCGTGGATAGAGTCGATTTTCTTAGTTCGGAGCGACTAGATTGCTAAGTCTGCAAGGTAGGAGAGGCTAATTTTTCTCTTAGCGAAGTTCTAGGCTATGCGCTTAACGCCATAGGCCGACGTCGTTCCAAGGCGCAAAATAAGAGCTCCGAGCCGTTCTTCGTTTATTTTATATGTAGTCGCCGTCCGAGGATACGGCGATTTGTTCTTCACGTAATTCAGATTTAGCAAGCCAGCGTGAGATCCAGAGAGAAGCCCGTCCATGAGCAGGAACGTCGCCAGTATCAGCAAAGAAAAAGAGAATTATTAGAGTGATGGGGCCCTTACGAGAGAAGAGAAAGACAAAGAGAGGTGATGGACAGCGGCGGCTTCTCAAGTTCCGGCTCGGCAATTGCCGACCCTGTACTCGACGGTTGATCCAGTCAACGGTTCTATCATGAATTCTCACCAACTGAATCATGCCCAGCGACCATATGCTGCGCAGCTTCACCAATGACCACCAAGTCCACCAAACGCCCTAAACTTTTCCCTCTCTTCACAACTCCTGCTCTAAAGTTCAAATTCATTCGTTTCAGTCTTGTCCATTCATCGAAGCAAAAATCGCCTTCAAGAACTTACCCGCCCAAGCCGGATTCGCCTACGAAGACACCGGAGTTGTCGCCAGGGACTGTTCTCGGCCGTGGGTTGGAATACACGTTGGTGCGACCTCTGGGGAATGGGGGGTTCTCAACAGTTTGGTTGGCCCAGACGGATAAAGAGGACGTTGTCGACGACGACGCATCCTTCCATACGGCCTTGACATATCTCTCGCCGCCAGCATCGAACCTGGTTGCCATCAAGGTCCTCACAACAGCAGGCGAACGGACTCGTGAACTGTCGAAGCATCTCAGACTGGATCACCCGCCAGACCAGCTCGTCAAATTGCTCGACCATTTCACCTTTTCCAACCGTAACGAGCGACAGTCTACAGAGAACCCGGGGAAACGAAGTAGACGGGTCTCCTTTCCCTCCGCACTTCCTGCTCGGCACAACTTACCCATACCTGCTCCACTACCCTCAACATGTCTTGTTCTTTCCCTTCACGGTCCAACTCTCAGCGATCTCAGGCAACACCTTTCCAGCCGCTGGCTACCGTTACCTATTGTGAGACGCATCACGAACGACGTCTTGGCCGCACTCGATTTCCTTCATTCCCAACATCTCGTTCACGCTGACGTCCAGCCCCGAAACATCCTCCTCTCCCTACCCGACGCCCTTTCTCTCAACTCATCAGAGTGGAGATTCGTCCTAGCAGACCTAGGCCACGCCGTCCAGCTTCCTCACAAACGCCACTCCTCGTCAAACGTTCAGCCGCATGCCCTACGCGCTCCTGAAGTTATTTTGGGTTTGAATTGGGATGAGAAGATCGACGTGTGGAATTTAGGTTGCCTGGTGTACGAGTTTGCGACCGGTGGACCACTTTTTGATCCTTTCTTCCAGCCTACGCCAGATTATGAGGCTATGACCCCTGCGCAGGTGCACCTCCTGCAGATTATTGAGCAGGTTGGGGAAGTACCGCAATGGATGAAGGATCCTGGGACAAGGGGACGAGCCGGAGAGTTCTATGATTCAGATGGTGAGTTCTTATCTTGATTTCCGGCTGTACTCTGCTGATCTACATCTTCCAGGAACGTTCCGTTGTCCCTTCCCGCTGCAAATGACTTCTCTGGAGGCGATTGTCAAGGGCGTATGGAAGATCCCATCACCTGCAAGCGGTGACCGTGAGCATTTCTGCGCTTTCTTGCGCACAATTGTTTGTGTTGACCCGCAGAAGCGGTTGAGTGCAAGGGAGGTGCGCTTGGAGAGTTGGGTAAAGACCTCGCCTGCATATACCAATCATTTCATACCATCTTAATACTGTTCTGTCGCATTGCTTAGATATCTTGGTTAAGGGTAGTTTTGTATCAATTATAATGGGTTGCGGTGCTTAGTAGGGATATAAATATACCACAGAAGCTCTGATTGAAGTGAGTCGGTGTGAGCCTGCATCGATGGAGAGAACAGGTCCTGCCAGCTATGCTACGTATACATACTTGGTATGGGCGAATTCTGAGACCCTCAGTCGGAAATGAATCACTGAACAGAACTTGGCCGGTTGACCAATGACCGTTGTACTGTATACTAAAAAGTCAGTCTATCAGAACCGATCTTTATTGCATTAAGGGGGAATCGAACCCCCGGCGGGTCGAGCTAAATTTATTCAATGGCAACGACCCAGGTTACCACTACCCCATTAATGCGCACAAATAAGAGTTGCCTCTTTATATCCTAGATGCAATAGAATAAAGAGCTCAGGGCATTTTCATTACCCATTGTCTCAGCAAATGTAAGCACGGTCCCATGGGACAAATTAAAATTCACAGGAGGGAACATGTCACTTTTCACTGTCCGATGCAGGATATCCTTCCTGTGCAGATCTAGACATCCTGACCGAGCCAGAGAGAAGATTGCAAGGAACTTGCAGAAAAGCTGAATAGAATCTGAACCATTCGAAACAATTGTTAGAGTTAGCGAAAATACAAATACAATTCATTCAAGTACAACCCATACAAAGAAAAGGGTATAATCCATAATAAATATATCATCATTAAAATGCCCATCCATCACCACTGTATTCCAGGTGCGATGAAAGATCATCTTTGTTGAATAAAGTGACGAGGTCTTCCTGGTAGTTAACCCAGGTCGCCGGGACAGACCCGTTCTGAGTGCCATTGGCGAATGGTACGCCCCCAGAAGGTGGGGGAGGCTGCATCCTATGGGACGCAGCCGTCGCCAGCGAGTACAACATGTCCGCGCCGTGTGGATGTGGAATCGGACTGGTCTCCTCCTTTGGCACGCTATCGGGAATCGGAACCGGCTGCCGCGGACGTGGAAGTTTAGTATCCTCTTGGATCGCTGACTCGTCCATACCCACCTCCTCGTGGACTCCGGCTTCCTCCAAGGTGCCCCGGTATTTGTGTCTGTACATACCCTCTCTATCGTCGGTGCTCAGGTCCTCTTCCGCGGCAGACCCAAAGCCTTCGACCTGCCGATGCGGATTTTCATGGCGAGCTGGAATGGCACAAGATGCCTCCTTTAGGCTAGAATGCCATCGATCTGCCATTGTGGGCCAGACTACCGACAACTCCAATAGAAGTGCTAACGCATCCTGGATAGCAGTTCCGGAGTACTCGGCTAATGGAGGGCAAACTAGATAGATTCAATAAAATGAGATGATAGTAGACCTATGTGCAATGGACTTACGCCAAGTCCAACGCTTGAGGTATGATAACACAGACCCCGACATGTAAATAGCAAAGCCCTAAATGATATAGTCAACGAATGAACATTGCTTGCCTGATGCAACAAAGACCGTACCATCATTGGCGTCGAGCCTCTAGTAAAAGGCATAGTTGGCACCCAACTCTTTACGAGCTCGATGACTTTAAGTGCATGGGCGAACATTTCGTGAACAACGTTCTCCCAAAATCTCGGAGGTGCCACTTCAGATCGATAGTTAGAAGGATTAATCGTTGACGAATGGACGTCCCGGGCCATCATTGGTAGATATGACCGACGCAGCACGATGTGTGACAAGTGCATGATTAAGAAAATGCATCGGTAACCCTAGAATGCTTCTCAATACAAGGACAATAGTATACATAGAAGATGCATACCAGGTCCAAACTCTTGCTCTGATAAGCTAGAAGATTCGACAGTGACCACGTCTGTCTATTGGACAGCTTATTTTCCCAGTTCTGCAACTCGGTGGCCAGCTTAAAGTAATCACTTTCACTTCGCCATGGAGCTATCGTAGGTCCAGCTTTTGATCTCAGCAATGTACCTCTTGCTACTCGAGCCCAGATGTCGGCGATTATGACCAAGTTACCATAGAGCGACCGTTCACCACCATTGACGTTCGTTGCACTAGTGTCTGCAATTTCGCTGCTCAATTGTGGGTCAATGGGGAAGCGTGACTGCGGCGCTAGTCGCGGTCGCGCATGGGTACCTTCCATTACCGTTGCTGGTCCATTGTATCCAAAAGTGAAGTGATCCTCATCGCAGGGCAGTGGGATCGTCACCTTGTCTAGGTCAAATGATATGGGCCGCCCACATCCGGAGCTCAACAGATTGTCGCTCATGAAGATTACCCACCACGTCCGCCGAGATACTTCGGCGTTAATGATCTGTTCCACTGTCGCATCAGGGCCGAGGTCAAAGGACTCTTCCTGCGAAAGTCGGAGGACGGAAGCCATCCGTGCAGCGATGCCGAGAAAGATCCAGCTACGATCCCGAAATCCACTTCCCCAGTTCCATATGCTGCACAAGAAGAACGCCTGGGCCCGATCAAGCGATGCCGCGGCCAGCAATTCCTGGCCAACCAACGATTGTGCACGCTTTGCAAAGGTGTTGGCTGCATTGACAGGTGTTGAAAACCGCTGTATCAGGGTAGGAGTGAATCGCGCCGAGACTGAAAGCATCGAAAGGAGGAGAAAGGTGCTCAGAGACTGCGGGGAAGTTTGCAGCGTGTGCATAAAAGTCGGCTTGTGGAGGAAACCTGCTTAAACATGAGTAATGAGTGAAGTGGTGATTGATGCCGTACCTAGCTGAAAATAGGTTGAAAAGAACCATTCGCACGCTTCGACGAGTTCTTCGTGAGGAGGGAGCCTAACAAAGATCAGATCAGTGGGAAGGTATGGAGATACATAGCACGAACAGATCCTGGTGGGAAGACGATTTTGAGGTCAAGGATTGTGAACAGTTATCGCAAAACCGTTCAACAGGGCTCCTGTATAAGGATTTGTAAGTTTCTGCGGTGATAATATGATATGATGATATTCACTGAGGGGACAGCGGTCCCGCCTTCGCGCCATCATAGCCATCGGTATGGCGTCCTCTATAGCACAGTAAGCATCTGTTCCCATCGTGAAGAACAACGAAAGAATCGTACCCATCAAGATCCTTGGGGCGTGTCTGCCGCTTTCGATTCTGGGGGGGTCGGGGCTATAAAAGGAAGGAAAAAGAAGGTTAGCGCAGGCATTTGTACAGGCAGATTACAACTGACGGCTCTGTCGATGGCACTCATGCCTCGCGGCAAAAACTGGCATTCATTAGGCACGCCTGCTTCGATGCAGCCGCGACATCGACCTTTCTCTTCGTCTTTGACGCACTTTGCTCGGAGACGACGGCATCGTCTGCAAGCTACGCTGGACCGTTTCTGTTTCGGCGGTGGGACGAGGATCTCATCGCCGAGCGAAGTGGATGCGGTCGAATCTGGCTCTAGCATTCTCCCGTGGCGGTTGGTAGGTGACAACTTTGAACCTGGCAGGCAGGAACCGGCACGGCACTTTCCTGTCGGCAATTTATACTCAAACAGGGATGAAAATGTCTGTCTTTTGCTTCGGCGCCGCTGCTGCAAGGACGGCCGTCGCAGACAGGATACGGAGCCAGAGGGCGCAGTGAAGGTGGTGGTATGAGGGGAAAAGCAATTGCCGCCGGCAAACGTGACGTTCCTATTGACTTGAACTTTGTATTCGCTGCAAGTCTGTCCCGTACCATCCTTCTGAAGGGCAGTATCGTGCTCGGGCATGTCTTGCGCTCATGCACAATTGCTCCGATTCCATACATCCATGTTCCTGTGAGGTATGGAATATACCGTAAATAGCTAAGTCAGGCTCCTCATCTCAAAATTCGTATTCACTTTGTACGGCCCGGACAAAATGGAGCATCCTTTTCTCCGTAACAATGTGGCACAGGGTCTACAGTCCGAGGCCGCGAGGACTTGATAAAACGGCCGTACATTGTGGAATGAAAAAAATGGTGGAACAGCTTGACTGTCGAGAAAGTGATAGTGCCTTTGACATCTCCATTCTGCTAGCGCAAATGCAATGCACTGGCAGTCAGCCTGCTAGATGATCAAGGATGAATCGATGACGGTTAGAGCGGCAAGTCTTGGGAAAATCCGGCGTATCTTTGCCCTGCAATGTTTTCATGGTTTTAGGATCTGATGGATGTATTATGACAAGGCTCAATTAATCTGTTGTACATGCTCCGAAATAAGCTAGGTCTTTATCTTGGAATATTGCTTCATGATCCACGAAGGTTATCAGCCTTAATTGCCAGGTCCTCCGACCCGTATTCTATAGCCAGAAGATGGTTTGTACCCTGGTCCTTGACTACGAGTAAGTCCAAATCCATTAAAATCGCTCACACGCGCGCCAAAAACAAAATTAGATTCGTCGGGCCCAATCCAACCGCAGTATGTGGCGTTATCCGAATAAGCTCGCCCATGCGAGACGCGTCGACGCGTCGCGTTACGAAAGTCAGCGTCGATGTATGATCGATCGCCAATTCGGAAATCAAAAGAACTTCCAATTGTCACTTGAAGTTCAAGCACCGACATTCTACCTGTGCCGACGGCTCCCGTTAAGCTTCAACCTACAGTGAGAGTTGGTCAGCTCGGAGGACCGGGGCCAATCTAAAGAATTACCCGAGATATGCAAAGAGGAGTCTTGTAAGCTGTAATGATATAAGGTCTTTTAATCTGGCGAAGAGCATATGCAGCAGGAGACATACAGTCTATTCTTCGCGGCCGATAACGCCTTGCGATGCCTAGTCGAGGAGCAGACTCATGTCATTTATGGTTTGGGTTTTGATTCCTGTGTTGACAAAAGCCACGACAAAACAAGCGAAGGTGCTCAGAGGGTAGAAATAACCCTGTCGATGTCCGTGTTCTGGGAATATATTCTTCAAATGTATCGTTCTAGAAAATAGCAGCTGCTGTTCGTCCACGCACCCTTTGGATATGCACGCTCGGAGGACTTCGGACCCATCAGTAAGGTCACCAAACGGTTCGGTTTCAGTCTTCGATCCTACCTTTTTTTTCCCCTGAGCCGCATATTTTGTCTATCCGCTTTGCCTCGATCTGCCTATTCTCTTTGTCAGACTCGGAGATTCTGACAAAAGGAGAGAAAACTGGAACTCTCCGAAAGCTGACGAGGTCAGCAGCCAACAGCGTGGCTATTGTCATGACGGAGATAAAAAAAAGGCACAAGACTACTTGAGCAGTCAGCCAATATGAAACGTATTAAAAAACACTTATTCACTCACGCATTTCATCACAGCAGGTCCGACTTTGCCTAACATGACGTCGGTGATATCGTTGTCGACCGCGGATATACCTAACGGCCGTTGACAAAGAAAATGTTAGAATCTTGGTGAGTTACCTTGGATAGGACTGCTCTGAGGGTTGCCGCAGACTATGCAACTCGGATGGGGTGGGCCAAACCCGCGAGCCAAGAAAACTAGTACTTCTTGTGTTCAACAACGACAGTTTGGTCCTTTTTAGAAGGCTGGACAGTTACGATAGCTAATTAAGTTGACGGCCGTTGAAAGGACGTGACTATGGAAGGGAGAAGACAGGCAGTGCCCATGTCAGCGAGAACCAATGCAGAAATCATGAGTCCGAGCATGATGGATCCACCCACTGAATTGATACACGCGCCCGACATCTATAGCACGAATACATTTATCAGTCACAAGTTCTCGTCGGAAACGAAGTGACAAGGAAGTACCAATAGTCCAAAGGGGATGGCCAAACTGCACCTGAACTTGAACAGCTGTGTCCTTGGAATCATCTGGCCACCGATGACGAACTGTAGCAGTACCATAGGTAGCTACAAAACGCCGTTTGTCAGGGCAGAATACCTCCAGAAATTTATATCTGTGCTGCGAGCACTTGAGCTCATATCAACTTGAGTGAAAAGAAGAAATCGTAAACGGGTAGAAGAAGATCTGCTTATGTCGCACCCATCCCTGGTATAACCTTAAGTAAATGTCCAAGACACGGCACGGTAGCTGAAGATTCACACAGGAAAGATAGGAATCCCTGCGTGGCGGTATTGAACAGATACGCCAAGGTCATAAGTGATGCCTAACATTAGCAACGCAGCAACAAGGATCTAATTTAGTAATGTTCTCGCATGAGTTGGCCTTGTGTAGATCGGTCAGACGGAGCTTACCCAGGATATTCAGTTCCGCCCCTAGATAGTGGCCTAGAGTCACAAGCACGTTTCGGATGGTCAACAAGTAGAAGAATTCTCTTTGCTATACTTAGAATGCCTCCAGGGAAATCAATAGGCGAAGTTCCCGGAAAGAACCTTCCGGAGGAGAGGCCCCAATGAGCAGCAATGATGCGTGCTGGGAGGGAAAAGGTCCCTAACGACACAGGGTGAGCATAAGTGCCTCTACGATCAGACAATTATAACTGAAAACAAGGTCCCATGCACTAAGAAACTGCGGACGGGACACACCCAATGGTGAGAGTGCCATATGTCGTATTCTTGGTGCTGCCATAAGCATGATTTTCCTCTGTGGACATCGAACTTACGAGAACGTAATCTCCGATGCGATGCAAGACAACTATCCCAGGGCAGTGGAGAACCTCATTAGCACCATTTGACTAGCAGGCTGCAGAAACATAGCCGACTAGTCCGATCCTGTTCGTTTTTAGCCACATCAAACGCGTTCAGATAGGACTATCAAGTTCGCCTAGCCGCCCCCCAAGTTAGATTCGTTGATCTGAGGTAGAACCGTACCGAGTGCCGACGTGCCTTGGAGAAAGCGGGTCAGAAATTGTTCGCCGAGAATCATAGCATGGTTGCATCCAATTCATGGAAGATAAGAAGAAAATCAACTGCAAGAGCCCGAAATTTTTGAAATGAAAGCAGACTGGCCATGAAGAGTTTCAGATCTGATAGAAAACGCAGCGCCTGGGACTCGGAGTCGGCTACGGAATGTAAAGGGATCGCCATGGCAGGTATTATGGAAGGTTGTACCCTTTTTCCAGATGAGTTTCTATTGCTGGGTACCTCTGAACTTTGATACTGCCATTCAAGCTTTGGAAGACCAAGGTCAGATGCCGCCGGCAAAAATGATGATAAACGATCGAAAAAACTCCGGCGAATAAAATATATAAATCATGCCTTTTATATCTTTTCATGATATGTGCTCGTCGATAAATACGTTTACGTGGTGAATGACCGCTACTCTGCGTTTCATTCCTTACCATGGTGGGCGTTTCAAAGGTTCGACAGACCTTGTCTTCATGGGAGAACTTTAGGCGCGTTCTCCAGGTTCCAGAGGACCAGTACCACTCTGAAGGTACGTCTCGTGCGCACTTGGGCTTGCTCGTTGTCTTGACTACTTTGTAAAGGCTATCAGGTAACTTTACTCGTCCAGAAGTTCCCTTTTGTTGCTCACTGCGTTGCGTGTATCAGTGGAGCAACCACGAGTAATATCCTTCTTCTTTGTTAAATCTTCCAGACTAACCGGTTTTTAGCATCGATCCTACCCCTCCAGAGGAGCGTAAATGGTCTGCCTGGGTTTTCTCCGCATTTTGGATGGCCCATGCCATGAATGCGTCTGCTTGGACTGCGGGTTCCGCGGTGCGTCCCTCCTGTCGCTTGCTGAAACGTTTTGACCTCGTTCACTAGGCCGTGGGTCTCGGATTGAGGTGGTGGCAAGCATGGCTTGCTCTCAACATTGCTCACATTATCGGAGTATGTTCGGAGACAATCCTACGTTCTCCTACAACTCACGGGGCATTGTCCAGACACTTATGATAGTTGCAAATGGCAGGATGGCCGCCCGCTATCACATTGGATACCCGGCGTGTATAAGGGCGTCTTGGGGCATGTGGGGGTCTTACATGGCTGTATCCATGAGGTATGTCCAAGTGTCGGAATGATCTTTTCCTCGATGTTGATGTGCATGACTTGTCAGAGCCATTGTCTGTGTTAGCAATCCTCATTCCATCGCTCAATATAATATGTTGACTCATTGTCCATCAGATCATCTGGAACGGTGTCAATACATTCTACGCCGGTCGTATGGTGGATGTATGTCTTCAGTGCATTTGGCCGTCTTGGGCCAACGTGAAGAATACATTACCGGAATCGTCCGGGATCACTACCCGCCAACTAGCAAGCTGTACGTTGATATTATTCCTTTGGGTCTAGTGCGTTGCTGATTGACATCATAGTCATTATTGCGTGGTTTATCTGTTCGTGCTAACGCCGTTTTCTCCTCTCCGTTGACTGAATATTTACCAAATCATACAGTCCAATGTCTAACTTTATTTCATCCTCGAGATTTGAGAGTGTTCTATGCCGTCAAATCTTTCATAGTAGTAAGCCTGATCATCTTTGAGACGAATGTGGAGATTCAATTCATGTCAAACGTGTTTAGTTTACAGCGATGCACGCCATTTTAATATGGTGGATGAAGAAGAACGGAGGCGCGACCTTCCCTTTTGAAGCTTCGAACCAGCTGACCAGGTCGGAAACCGGCTGGTATTTTATGCAAGCCTTTAACAGCGGATTTGGGACTCTGTCGTCACTGACGGTCAATCAAGCTGATATAGCACGTTATGCAAGAAGACCCAATGATCAGGTATGTTATGATATGTCCATCTGCATCACCTTTGAACGCGTCACGACAGTTTTGGGGCCAAATCTTTATGTTCCCCATCGCGTCTGCACTTCCAGGCCTTTATGGAATCTTGGTAGCATCAGCTAGCGAGGAGATATACGGTGAGGCAGCTTGGAACCTCTGGGATGTCTGTCAGATGATGCTCGATCAATATCCTCACAATTCGGCGGCTCGCTTCGGTATTTTTCTTGCATCTGCGAGTGTCGCGCTAGCTTTGATTGCCGTCAATCTCGCTACTAACGTAAAAACCTGATTCTTCGAAAACATAGACCTCTCGTCTAATTACTTTGATCAGTGCCTGCCATTTGGAAGCGATGTGTCTGCCCTGTTTCCCAAGTACATGACTATCAGACGGGGCCAGTTTATTGCCTGTCTATTGGGTATAGCCATCGTCCCATGGAAGATTTTGAAGGATGGAACCACATTTTTAGCTTTCTTATCGTAAGCTCAGATCCTGTTCTTCTGATAGTTATCTGATGGTCTCGTAGCGGCTACGGATATTGGTTAGCCCCCCTTGCCGCCATCCTCTTCGTGGATTATTTGTATGTCTGATCCGTGTTTTATGGTGATGATGTCACTCATTTTGCATCAATACAAAGCGTCATCCAGCGTGGGAACATCATAACGAAGGACCTGTACAACGGGACACCTACCGGCCATTACTGGTATACCGGCGTAAGTTGGCCCCAACATGGTATCCTTTGGGGCTCACCTGACTCATGACATAGGGATGGAACATTCGCGCCCCGGTTGTGACCATCTTATCTTTGATTCCTTGCATGCCCGGGTGTGTATTTCCTCTTTATTTTCTACATCACTGTGCCTGACGCGCTCGTTTAGATTTGCAGCTAGTATTTCTGACTCGGTACACATCTCCGAAGCGGCTAAAGATCTCAATACATTTTCGTGCGTTCCTATCATCGTTTCATCTTTTGGCAGCCTTTACAGCGCTCCTTTAGATTCATATTGACCTACCTCATTGCCAGCTTCTTGTATTATATATCCTATCAGATATACCCCCGGGATGTGAAGTGGCGGACTGCCGAGCCATTTGAAGCAGTGGCAGATGCCCAAGACGAGGATGAGAAGAGGCGCCTTGCAAGTAAGAGGTTAGATAGTGGAGGCCGTTCGACTCCGGAGTCGGACAAGAACGTGGATGCAGGTATTTATGTCAATTAATGTAATATATTTTTCGGTTTAGATGGTTTTAATGACGGATGTATTCGTTCTAATGTGTCTACATGGCTTGGCTTAGCGTCATCATTCAGCTGCTATAGATGGAAATTTCCGTACCTACGAGACATGGGGTGGGTGGCATCTTACCAATACGGGAGCGAAACCACAAAGTGAGAGATAAGGAAACCTAAAATGAATAATACGACCGACATTATGAGCCTGGCCCTAATGGCCGGGTCTGACTAAAGATACTACGAAACATGATAATGTTCAGGCCTTACAAAAAGTTCGCGGCCCGGGCATATGCGAATCAGTTGACGACTACCTTGCCCTGTGCCTTGGACGGGTCATAAGGAAACTTTTTCCTCCAGTGTCTGGCTATCTCGTCCCTTCTCGCCACCCAAACACCTTCCTTACCAGAAATATACTGCATGAACTTTTCCACAGCAGCAAGCCGTCCTGGTCGACCCACACAACGATTATGTAGCCCGATGGACATCATCTTTGCCTGACTCATTTGCCCTTCTTCATATAGAACATCAAACGTGTCGACCTATCACTATATGAATAAGCCGCTTGATTTAGGTCAAAGGATACTAACCAGGTGTTTATAGAAGTCCTCGCCGGAAGACCAGCCCGATCCCGCGACCACGAATCGGAAGTCATTGCAGTCCCTGTATTGGTAGTTTCAATGAAGATCCCATCACAATGAACTGCCGCGCATACAATGTATACGGCAGAATTAGCATCCCCTCGTCAGGTAGGCCCTCTGACGCTAGTGGGCTTTCAAGCCAATACTAAAAAGTGATGCCTTATCAGTCAGGAAAACAGCGTTCATTTAAGACAGGTCCTACCGGCAAGTCGTCTCCGTAGCTATCGGAACTATACAGGAACTCGAGACCTCTCTCTTTTGCCGCATGGCAATACAAGCGTTGGCTGGCATTGCTCCTTCGTCCGATCATCCATCCCCTGGGTACGCTGGGATCGCCCGTGTACTTTTGCAGCCGGTCAATGGCTTGATGTACGTGCTTTTCCTCCTCCTCAGGAGGGACATCCATGAAGTTGATCCAGCGATTGCCGTGGCAGGCTATCTCAAACCCTTGCTCGACAAGCATAGGTCCCAGGTACGGGGCTCGTTCTAGTGCGGCAGCAACTGTATACATTGTCGCAGGCATGTTGTATCTGAAAATGTTTCGATCAATTAGGTGAACGGATAAGTCACCATAGTTGACTGACTTCTTGAATAAGCGCATCAAACGGGGGAGACCAGCCCGGGGACCATACTCGAATTGCGATTCGGTCACAGGGTCTCTACCACCGAGAACTTGAGTAGCATAATGTTCGGTGATGAAGTTTTCTGTAGAATCCGTTGTGGCCGGCTTGTGAGCGTCTAATCTAAATCAGGAGAGATGAGTCTGAGCCCACCAGAGCCATCGTCACCGTCAAGAATATTGCGTTCACCGCCTTCTTCCCAATTAATAACCTTTGACCCGTACGAATCAGAAAACGTAGGGGAAAGGTAGGAAACTCACGAATGAAATTGCTATTTTCGCACCGTTTGGCCATTGTGGATCGGGTTGGTCCATCCCATAACCGATTATTGGTCGTTCGGGAAGGTATTCTGCATAGCGGCTGAGAGGGGCCATGGGATATTGGTGCTCGTTTTAGCCTTTAGGAGAGAGAGAGAGAGTATAATATCGCTAGAATGCCGCGTTTGCCCAATCCGTAGCAGGAGCATTTTAAGGAGGAGTTTAAGTACTTACTCCACGTCAGAGGACCATAACCGTGTACCCCGTACGTATCTCACTGCCTGCCGCTGGAAAGTCTGCTAGTTACAATAGCTTGCTTATGCCGGTTCCTTTGCCGTAATAAATTGATAGCCCTTCAGCGCTGTAGAATTCGTCTATTTATGACAGCCATGAACGCCGCGTCCCTAGTCCACAATCCCCAGTTTAGTCATGCCTACAGCAACAACAGATTGCCCACCTTTCCTACCTAATCGCGATTTTGTGGGCTACGGTTGGGATACCCCTCAGGACTGCTGGCCCAACGGTGCCAAAATCGCAGTTAGTTTCGTCATCAACTTTGAAGAGTACGTGCCAGGCATCGTTCTCCATTCCGGCTAAGCCTTGACCCGAGATTGCAGAGGTGGAGAGAGCACCCTCGCCAATGGGGACGAGTACTCAGAAGGATATCTCCACGAAGCTTTTCATAAAGCACCATTGAAAGGCAAGAGGGACCAACAGCTGGAAACAATGGTCTGTGATTCTGTCCACCTGAATTAAAGCGGAGACCTAAACCCATAACGAGTACAGTTTGAATATGGCATCCGCCAGGGGTTACCGCGTATCCTACGCCTGTTTGATCAGTACGACTACAAGTTCACTACACACGCAGTGGCCAGGGCAATAGAGGTTTGTCCTCAATATGGGAAACTCTTGCCAAAGCTAGGTCATGAAATAGCTTGCCACGGAAACCGATGGCGCTCGTTCTATACTGCTTCTCCCGAGGAGGAGGCTGCACATGTATCAGAGGGCATAGATCGTCTTCAGCGCCTCACTGGTGACAGCAGTGTACCTAGCGGATGGTACCTTGGCCGTGGAAGCAATCAGAGCGCCAGAATCATTGCGCGGGAGCATTTTAAGCGTGGCCTACCTTTACTCTATAGTTCCGACACCTACGCAGATGATCTCCCGGTTAGTCTTCATTTTATTGGACTTGGGCGCTTCCTCACTAGAAATAACGTTCAGTATTGGGTTGAAAGTCCTCTAGCATCCGAGGGTATCGAGGATGAAGGCTTACTCATGATACCTTACAGCTTAGACTGCAGTGATCACCGATTCCTTTGTAAAGGATCTGGATGGTCAAGTTCTGATGACTTCTTTTGGCATATGAAGGAGACATTCGATTACCTCTACGAAGAGGGCCTCGAGGGAAGGCCAAAGATGATGACAATTGGGTAATGCTTCTATTAATCTTGTCATTTTGCGCACAACTTCTGATATAAACCTTCGAAGCCTTCATAACCGCATCATCGGAAGGCCCGGCAGATTTCGCTGTCTTCAAAAGTAAGCCGTTTTAGAGCTCATTAGAAGTGCGTGGCGCTTACAACTATGACAGGTTTATGGCGTACATCTCTCAGAAGCCGGATGTATGGGTTGCGAGACGAGATGAGATCGCTCACCATTGGCGTGAAAAGTTCCCTTACACCGGACCACTTAACAAAGCATGAAAATTTACAGATTCAGGTGCTTTTTCTACCAGATCTTTCAGTGAGAAAACCGAAGTGGTGTTCCCTATGCTGTCGCCGTTGATCCCGTATAAGCATGTATGGTCTCATCCGCACAACCCGCTGGAGTGTTATACGAATAGAACCCCAAATTGACGTATACATCGAGATTGCCTTGGCTATCCGCGCACACGTACCAAGCCTACCGATATCGTCAGCAACACGGTCAAGGTGGGGTGATAAACGAGCACACATTTGTTTGGGGTCTGCTGATGGTCGGAATGCTCCACTCAAGCGTGTCGCCGCTGAATACAAATGTCCCGGATGTCGCAGGGCTCTCAGACCACGACATCTTCAACATAACTACCGTATCGTTAGCTCTGTTTTCAACGATAGCGTACAACGGAGTGCCAGCGGCATTTTGAATCAGTTGGCCATTCGTAATCACAAACTGCGCAGCATCAGCGGGTTCTCCGAGAACAGCATCCGATGCCGTGTTGATGATCTCGGATCGCAGATATTTGTGGAAGTTGGGGTCTTCCTATTGAAGGTCGTGCGGTGCGTGAGTTACAGAGAGAATAAGAATAAAGGAGACCTACGACTGCGCGTATGAACGAATAACCAGGCACTAAAGTTGCCGAGCCTCCGGAAGCAGATGTCGTTGATGTGGCGGTGGAAGTCGACCCTCCACCAGCGGCGGAGGTCGTTGTAGTCCCTATTGTGGACGCGCCAGGAAGACATTGGGAGTACCAATCATTCAGTACATTGCAAGTCCATCCTGAAGGACACAGAGTAGCCCCACTCCACCCAATGCCCCCACACTGGATCGGAGAAGGTTAGGACTGGGAATTTGGACTCCGAGCAAAAGAAAAGTAGTCACCTGACCGTATTGTGCAGCTGTAGACTGTGCAAGAGCCCTCAACGTCACGAAAAATAGCGGAAGATACAAGATTTTTGCCATCGCAACAGATAGTTGTGAGCGACCCTCGCCCGCAGGATCCACTGTTATAAAAGGCGAGGCCTCCGAGCAAATGCCTTATTCTCGGAAAGACGACGCGCTCAACCTGGATCGGTGCATCCTCGGTGTGGTCAGGGTTGGACACATGCTAGATCAGCGTGAGGTTGATTCATTGCAGAGGTATTTCGACTGGGCAACCATCGAACCTGGATATACTCTGGATGATTGCTGGCGTACTTGTCTATTCTTGGTTCCTGTATAACTGTCTACCAGGTAAAAGCATCAGGGCCGCAAGAGGTTCATCCGAGATGTGATGCCTAAAATACCTTTATTCGATTCAAAACCCACATCATGAGTAGTATAGGTCAGGGATGGCTTCCCATGATGAAACTTTCACTCGAGTCTCGCAATGCTGCCATTGTTCGGGATTACGACCAGAGCTTGGTCAGCAATGGGTAGTATAGCCCGAGTCTTCGTCCCAATTCCGATGCTGACATTGATGATGATACTACACGTGTTGTAATCCTATTAACCCATACATGTTGATTGTAATTTAAAAATTCCGAACCTTTTCGTTACAAAGAGCCTGCGGCAAAATCAATCCTCCTCCTTTACCGTGACACCGTTGTCGGACTTCTCTGGATTGGAGCTAGTCGCCACGTTTTCGTGTTCCTTGTTATCAACTACGACTATGGATCCAGCGGACGCATTTGACGTCGTATCATCATCTTCCTTTACCGGCGGCTTTTTAGATCCCGAATTGAGAAAAAAGGTTTTGGTTTCATCGATCCATTCCGCAGCACCCGCTCTTCCACTGGATCGAGTCAAAACGAAGAATCTGATGACAGAGTATGCCGAGAATAAGGCAATGGTAGGGAGGGCAGCAATGCAGACGTTTATGAAGAGGACGAAGATCAAAATGCATGCTAGACATGTGACGTTGGTGAGGTGAGACGGAAGCGCAGTTGAAAGGTGAACGCACCAAACGTGAAAATGAAGATACCCGACGCCAGTATGGCCGAGCTTAGTGCAAACAATACAAAGGACAGAGTGACTATAACAGAGCAGCCGCTGTTGAAACTATAAGTGCACCGAGGCAAGACAACTAAAAAAGGTGAAGACGAACAGGAAGAGCAAAACTGGAAAGATGCTAAGCAGAGCAAAGAACAGGAAGAATACCTAGCAATACGTCAACGAAAGCGTTACAAGACGGCAAACACAACTCACAAATGGAATGGGATGCTCATTCAAGAGCTCGTTCGCAGTTTTCAGTGCCGGCCGTGCACACCCATGCTCAATGCTTGTATGTTCATTAGCCAAGCAAATTCTCGTCTCCTTCGACGACATGCAGCTCACCGGTCAGCATACGCATGGACAATCTTGGCACTGCGGTCAAAGTACGAGGCGAGGCTTTCGTCGGGATTCATGAAGGCAATCCAGTGCCAGCGAGTCTCCAGATGAGCTACTGATAATCGGACACAAAACTAGCTGGTGACCGTAGCTCGTGTGCAGCTGGTGAGATGCGAAGGCGAACCTGAGAAACACGCTGGCGTGAGCGGATGTTTGGTTCCCTTCCCATTGCACAATACTGACAAATTTTTGACATTCAAAAACCAAAGTCGAATGAATCGAGCTACTTTCGAATAACATACATGAAGCCGTCGTAACCTTTCTCATCAGCTGTACTGATAGTTGTTGCCTCAACTTCATTGTCTCCTTGAATTGAAGCGAGCAGCCTCTTAATCCCCATAACTTTCTCTTTATCATAATCGGACAGTGTATCTGGAAGACATTCCCTGGCGACATCGCCATTCAGAACGACATTATCGAGGATCTATGCATAATACATGTCATGAACATTGCTCACAATGCATCAAGGTACTTACAATAACTCCTCCTTGTTTTACCAACCGTTTCGCCTCCGCAAAGTACTCGGCCATTGGAGGCTTATCTGCGTCGATAAAGATCAGGTCAAATTTTTGTTCGGTAGGAAAATTTGCAAGATTTTGGAGCGCAGGACCGACAACGATGTCAACTTGAGAGCTTAATCCAGCTAGTGCGATATTTTCTGAGGCAACCTAGGCTGGAATAAGACTTTGAAAGCAGAGTAAGGACGATCTGCTATTACCTTAGCGTGGAGTTCATGAAGTTCCAGTGAGATGACCTTTCCATCCTTCGGAAGTGCTCTAGCCAGATATATAGTCGAGTATCTACAATAACTGTTACAAGGCAGGTCAACAGCAACACAAGTGCAATGCTTACCCTGCAAGGGTTCCGATCTCGAGGATTCTCTTTGCACCAATAGATCTAGCAAGTAAATTCAGAAATCTCCCAAGCGCAGTGCTAACGGATATTTCTGTCCGTAGACCATGGGCATCGCTATTCTGGACAGCAGCACGGAGGATGTCGTCCGTGGGCGTAAGAAAAGACCTATGGTATTTGTCTGAGCGGGTCCAATCAGTGTAAGTGGTGGCAGAGAAGTTCGCCATAACTCTGCTGGAACTCAAAAGGATGTCAGTCGACTTTTAGCTGCCATGCATTCCGAGGAAAGCGGGAAACGATGTACACCAGGAATGGTACAAAAGGAGGAGATACACGCAAATCGGCGTCGCGTTTGTTCAATTCGCAACTCTGAGATAGGATGACTCCATACATACAGTAAAAATACATCTTACGTTTCCACCTACATGTAAGCCGTTAGCACTGGCGTCGACAGAGACATGGTTAGAACCAAATCACTTCTCTCACTTCCTGATTGCGTACAAAAACCCATCATAGCTTTTCTCCCCGACAGTTCCCATCGTAATCGCCTCCACCTCGTTATCGCCAGGTAAAACAGCAAGCAGTTTCCGCACACCTTCCACACTCTCATCCGAGTAAGACGGATCCGCTACTCTTCCATTGCGGACGACGTTATCTACAATCTGTGGAAAAAGTTAAATGTACATTGGATGTCCGACATCACGTATCACCTATAACACCGCCCGGTCGTACAAGATGCTTGGCCTCAGTGAAATACTGCAATATTGAGGCCTTGTCCGCATCGATGAAGGCGAGATCGAACTTGGGCTCAGACGGAGTCTTTGCTAAAGACTCCGAAGCAGGTCCAACGACAATCGTGACCTTGAAGGCTACCCCGGAGTTGATGAGATTTTCCGTTGCAACCTACGTGCAGTTGTGATTAGGGACAGGAATAAGTCGAAACAGTATCATGTACCTGCGCATGGAGTTCTTTCAGTTCAAAAGTGACCAACTCTCCTCCTTCAGGAAGAGCCCTCGCAAGCCATGTGGCTGAATAACTGTCTGTTCTGGTTGACACAGAACGAAGTATTGCCCGAAAAGTCAAACGTACCCTTCAAGTGTCCCGACCTCCAGGATCCTCTTTGCGCCGATTGTCTTCGCCAAAAGATTCAAGAACTGTCCTTGTGCAGCGCTGATGGCTACATCTGGTAACCCTTTCGCGATACTGTTCTTGATGTTGGCTTCAAGACTGTCATCCTTTTGTAGCAGATAAGAATTGTGATATTTATCGGAGCGATCCCAGTCGACGAATGAGGTGGCTGGGTTGTGTGCCATGGTGAATGGTGTGTGTAACGATGAAAGTTGCGACCTTTATAATATCTGGGTTTGTGTGATAACCGATATAGGACATGCCGTTAATCGGCCGATACGAAAAGAAAAGAGGATGGAACCAGAGTGGTATCATTCACATATACTATGGCGTTATAGGTATGTTGAGATACATTCAGGTAGGCATGCATAGGGCGAACCGAGGAGTAGCCCCGAGCTAGAAGCGACAGTAGAAAATCTTGTCGTGGTGGCGTGTTGGTGTTGGTGGTCACCCATTAAGATTAAGGTAAATTCAAATTGCAGGTAAGCGGTCCCTCTGCTTCAGGGAGTTTCGGATTTTCACGTAGACGTCGTCGATATGGCGATTTTGGTTCTCTCACCACGGGCTTGATGGAACACTCGCTTGAGATTACTATAGGGTAGCTGCTAGCCTTTGTTGCCCGGTCAGGTGGATGCGAAAGGATCGTTGAGAATTAAGAGTGAAGGAACGGAAGTAGGGAATGCATTAATGGGGTAGTGGTAACCTGGGTCGTTGCCATCACAGAAAAGTGTCTCATATCGACCCGCCGGGGGTTCGATTCCCTCTTAATGCATACAGAGTCAATTTGGTGTTTCCTTTAATTGGTTCTTAAACTTAGTTGGCCAGTGGCCTCATGCGTTGTGTGTGCTGCGGTCTTTGAAGTCGAACATTGATCTGCTATTGTCATCAACACTTCGATATATTGTTTTTCTTTTGACCGAGTGTATAACTTTTAACGAACGTATAAATGTCAGTTCGACAATGATTTTACATCCTAAATCTTATCTGAATTCGAGATTATAGTGCCTGATATGCAATAACTATGAATTCGTCAATATCCTTTCTCTCAAGCAAATGGTATGTCGGCCGCAATGTCGAAACCATCCTGAGCTCCAGCAGCCCAGTTTTTTACGTTCTACGTGGGTCGCGACCATTGCTCGACACTGACCATATGCTAACCAATGCTGAAATAGTCAAACTGACATGCATATGACCGGGGGCTTTCTATGATGAAAAGACTTCAGGAAATCAAGTCACCCAGGTCTGTCGAGCCCACTGTAGACAATTATGTGCTTTTTGAAGGCCCCGCAGCTATGGCCACCCTTTTAACCACAAGGTCCATTAACTGAGGTTGCTTTCTGGGCTAACTTGTTCTTCTGGGTTCTTGTCTGGAAGACTTGGAAGCTCTCTACCAAGCTCAGAACCTGCCACCTGTAGGCCTCCGTGCAGAGTCGTTTACGCTCGCTATCGAGGCCCCGGTGATTGTTCTTCACTTCTATGTTACTCATGTAAAAACCTTCGACTTCCCATCCCAACGTATACTACACCTAGATGTTGTCCTCGAGAGTGACTTATCAGTATGGAGATGTTGATTTCAGAGCCGCTGGCTTTGATTAGTCCTGTCGCAACTTGCTTCCATGATCTCTCACCTCAATCTCGAGCTCGGTTCACAGTTGAGCAACGGTGCTAGGCTCTTCATCCCCTTCTTGATCCTGATACCTATCCTGTGCCATCTTGTTCTCTGTATAATGTGGTCTGACCACAGCGAGCTGCCTAGTGGCTTCTCCTACACGGTATGATACGCAACCACTGTGGCGCAGGACTCATTTCGACAATTAGTGAGTTTGAGCACAGAAAGTCATCGATCCTTCTTGTTTATAAACAAAATTCAACGTATTTCACTCACAATTCCGTCACTTAATATGGGAGTTCCAGATTCGAGGGATATCTCAGAGAATTGACTTGAAACCTGGGATCATCTCCTCGAGGTCTCTTCGATAATCATCAACCAGGGAAGAATCATTTTTCTCGAACGTCCACGGACCCGGAGGAGCGTCCTTATTAGTAATTACTAAAAGCCGTTGAAGAATAGGTCTAAACTTACGATAGTTGAATCGATGCTCCAAAGCCTAGAGTCATTATCGTTGCCTATCATGTGTTCCTTGCCATTGAGTTCAAAATGGCATGCTTCGAAATGAAGCCGGTGTTTCAGGACTTCAAGGAAGGTGTCAAGGTCTCCTGTGGCAAGCTAACCGTTCATCAGTTGCATCCGAGTCCTTATCTTGGCAGGCTCAGCTGCAGAAAACCCTGCAGCGGATGCCATGCTCAACGCTTTGTGGCTCCCATGAAACCCAATTCTCCTATCAATATCATCAGCCTCAATGTCCTTGCTAGCTATAAAACATACTTCCAGTAAGGTTTCCCCATGGTACGGTTCGGAAATCTCTCCAGGAAATGCAAAGTGTGCTTTGAACTTTAATTAAAACACTGCTTCTGCAACTTGAAGTTGGACATTTACTTGAAGAGCATTTGGGGACTCAACAACACCCTCGGTGAGGGGGTGCTCTTCGTATAAGTACGCCGAGCTCTTTGCGGGCTTCCGAGGAGGACAAGAGACCACCGCGATTACACCCCTCCCCACCATCCCCGCTATGGAATTAACTATGTTCCTCTCGGATAATATGCCAGCACGTTGCCCTTGACCCACTTTAATGAAATCCATGATGGTGTATCGTAATATATTCCCGTGCCTTATTTCTCAAGACTATCAAGGTTGCCTTGGGGTGCAGAGACCATCGCCTCTTTGATCGGCTAGTAGAGATTCGTCTGGATGATGTTCTGCTAGACTCCAAGGCTAGGGTTGCCGAGCTGTCTCAGGCAGGTTTTCGATTTGCATTGTGAGAATCGCTCTGTTCGGCTTGAGGATGTGCCTCCCTCTCAGGGATAAATATAGATTTGTCGTAGTTTCTAAGAGAAAATGAGCGCATTTTATTGTGGAAAACATGCATTTACATGGTATTCACATTCACAAACATGTTTTCTGCTCTCACAAAGACCCATAATAGCGAGTCGTTGATATTTTTCCTGTAAGAGCTTTTACATAATAAAGCTAAGCTTAATGGGCATTGATCAAAATGTGCTGTGTTACGGTGGTCTGGATCTGTGGCTGACGGGGCCAGGAAATGACAGGTATCTTGGACGCGACATTAGGATTGAGCATTTATGGCCCAAGAAAAGTTCGAAAGCAACAACAAGAATGTAAAACTAACGCATAAAATCCAATACAGACTCCTTGTGCCAGTTGCTGGACCAATGGTGTATTCAACTGGTGTCTTTATGGTATACCCAAGGAATATCAGAGTGAACAAACCCTGTTACGACTTTTTCAGTCTGAAGAGCAATGGCAGGCTCGCGCCATGTGAGTATGGCCCATATACGGCCGGCTTGGAATCTAAGCTGATAATATACAGAGGAGCTACTGATACCATTATTCCGGAAAGAAGACACAGGTCAATGTATGTAAGGTAATATCAAGCAGGTATGCTTCGTCAGATGTGCTACTTCCAATGTGATGATGGAATTGAACAATAGAATTTAAGGTGAACATCAAATTTGAATGATGGTAATTTCTGAATTATCATGAAGCCAGATACTGCATCAAATTTTATCTATTAGATGATACTGGAGCTACCTGAAAGGCAACAGTATTTCTTGCCATACGTCCGACTTAGGCTACTGCGTGCTACAAAAATGCGCTCTACTTTGGGGAGAATGCACACATTCTAATATCATTCCCTTTCACCCTCAGCTAATTTTCATTTCATGCCTGTCGAGAGTTGTACTAAGCACAAAAGTGGTATGTGCTGCCAGTGAACTTTACGATCAAATGCTCACGAGCTCCACCCTACTTACATGTACAGTAGTCCGCGCGAAACAGCAACCAATCCAACAGTCTTTGCATGATATAACATCTAAACCATGAATTATCTACCTTCAATGTGGTATGTACAGTCATTAAAGTACGCCAGACCAGAGGCGGCGCTAAAAATAGGTCTATAATCCGGACACGGAGCCGTGCCTTAAAGCCGCTCAAACCGATTTGCGTTATGCACTGTTACGCAAAACGAAAACCTGCCTGAGACAGCTCGGCAACCCTAAAGGCTCGAGCTAAAGTCACTACCATTTGGGGCAAGACTCCTTTCTATGGAAGCGTTGCGAATTCAAGCGGATTACAGGATAAGTGTACATTAAACTATGTCCCCGGAATCTGATAGTGAGTTCCGCCCTCGTCCGATCGGGACGATCGAACCGTGCCGGAGGACTTTTTAAATAGAAGTCCGGGCCGCAGACCCGAGCCCACTTTGCAAACCAACATCATGTCAGCGTTCTAAACTTGCGACTCATCGATGTCGGCATAAACACCTTAACACTGCTGGTACCACTTGCTATATGAGTATGGCTCTGAGAAACGTAATCTCCAGGCGAGGAAAATTCCATAAAATTCGACCTACAAACTTTCAGTGGCAGTTACTACACGATTTAATGATCCGGGCGCTGGTCCGCATAGCCTACCTTGTACTACGAAGACAGCATGGAAGACACCTTTGGTACAACCGCCACTTGAAACCAAATTACGTCGTATCTGGACATTGGTATGTGTGGTGGTCTAGCCTTCAATACTTGATATCCTCATTCTGCTCTCACTAGCTAGAAAACTCAGGATGCAATCTAGGGCAGAAAATGACGGATAAAACTGGGAAAAACTGGTAAAGACTTCAATCAATGCACAGAAAGGCAAGGAATGATGCATGGCAGAGAAACCAGACACGTATCAAGTATGAAAGTCTCTCTCAAATCATGCTCTCTGCCCTCGCCGAGACCGGCCAAGCAGAATCAACCATTACAGTGCCGAAGCAACGGTCCTACACTGGTAGAAAACCTGGCTAATACTCCCTGCATCGACTTTGGTATTCACGGGGTCTTAGAGAGGCTTAATGCAACACTTGGCACTTCATATACTCTGAACGGCTCCATCTTGCGCTCGGTTCTCGAATCCTTCATCGCACAAAATTACGACTTTGGCATTGTCTACACCAATTTGCGTCCTTATTGGTATGACTTGACCACCATCAGATACATCGGGGAAACATGGAACCGACACTGGGAGATGCGACAAAATATCCTTGTGAATAACATGATCTCCGGCGAAAATTTTTCACCCCGGCGAATTTGGGATCTGTATGCTAATCGTGTGGTGCCATTATGGGTCGCCTTCGAATATCCATGGCCGATTTCGTATGCGTGGGTGTCTGACGAGGAGCGCATGAATGTGTGGACGCCCATCAATGGATTTGAATGGCCAGTGCCGATCCCTAAAGATGCAAACCTTGATCTCATCCGAATTGAGATGTTGAACATCGGAGCAGAGTACGTGTGGTTAGAAGTTCTGTGTTTGAGGCAAGAGAGTGAGTGGAAGGTCGATCTGCGCAAAGAAGAGTGGAAGGTCGACGTGCCCACCATTGGATCTATCTACCGCAACGCGATGGTGGTGTCTTACCTCAGCGGGTTGGGTCGGCCTTTTTGTTTGAAGCCAGGCTATTTGGAAAGTGAGCGGTGTTGGTTCAGACGTGCATGGACGCTACAGGAGGTCAGCAGTAACTTGATAATTGGCGGGGAGACCGACAATTACTGGATCATGGAAACATCCATACGACTGATGTTCAAGGAAGAACTGCAAGCGTTGCAGGCGATGACCAGACGGAGCGTCTTTGACGTCCTGTGGCAGATGCGCAATCGCGTGTCAACTAAGCCTCTGGATAAAGTCGCAGACCTGGTATAGGTTCTCTCCGCAAAATCTATCCCAATATACGATGAGACACAATCCGAAGAGGATGCCTGGGCAGCACTCGTGGATGTTATGCCCAAGCTATATCTGCAGGTATTGCTCTTATACCTGAACCTGGGAACGGATGCAAACGTTGGCGACCGTCATGGAGCCAGGCAATGGCAGGGACACTTCCGTCATTTAGTGGGTTTATTTGGACTTATGAGGTCGTCCAGACGAGGGAGCTGGAAGGCGACTGGTATGAGGGTCCCTGTATAAAGTCAGGCAACGTGCGGGGATTGGTCGATGTATCAAAGGAAGGGATACCTCGACAGGGAGAGTTGGTGGTTAAAGACTTCACCGGGGCGCCCCATACATTCAAGATCCTTGCCAATCACGCATACCCGATACCTGATGGGTCATATACACTTATATGCAGCAACTATTTTTCCGTTTTCTCAGAACATTGGGTCGTCGGGTGGCAGAGACGGGATGGGAAATTTGTGAAGTTGTCGGTGATTCGCGTGGCGGATCGTAAAGAAGGACAGAGGTTTTATGAACTTCGTATTGCAGAACGTTCTAAAATATTTCTTTGCTGACTTGATCAGGTTCATGGCTAGCGCGAATCCAATGGTGGAGAGACAGGATGGAGAACAGTGCTGGGACGTCTTTGAGACGTGGAAAAGGCTCCCATAGTCTCGAGTTTCTTTCTATCTCTCTCAGCCTATGCTGCGATTATTATAATAATGCGGGTTTTTGTTTACATTCCCACTGACTAAATTCGCGCAACTAATGAAATTAAGAGTTGCATTCCTTCTCACAATTACAGAGATAGTGACGCAGATGGAAGAAGACCCTCAGCTTCGTATTCTTCGACATCGAATGCGGCGAATTGAGTACTGAGCTCCACACTTGTGTAGGACCTGAAAATCAGAAAGATCAGAACTCCGAAGCGACCGCGACGGAGATGAGAGAGGGGACTACGTACAGGTTGAGAGCTACTGTTATAGTTCCGATAAGTCCATCTGTGATATCGTCACCGACCCAGGTGATATCCATCTGTTAGCATCGTGTCAATAAGTATTATACACCAATTTGTTGAAGGACGTACATTAGCATTGTAGCCGGTGGCGGACTCTGTTAAAGAATATAACATAAGTTCTATCAAATGCGTTAGAGAAGAGAAAACTTACGGTAAGGATACCATTGGTCGTCTGAAGAGGACGTCGTGGGTAAGAGAGCTTCATAATAGTGAGAGCGTACCTTCGTTGCTGACAGAGTCCGACCACGATATAGCATTGGCGGCATAGATGGAATTGGCAGCAACTGCCTGCAAGGTGTCATTGTCGAAAAAGAACTGGCCTGCACTAATCCAAGAATCAGCCTGTTATTACATGTCAGCCTCGTGTATGAAGCAACGTACTGTACAGCGCTTCCACCAGCAATGAAAGTGCCGTTTGCCGCGATTTCTCCTTCAGGGTAGATTTTGATATGGAAATGTTGTGCCCGTTGAGAATCTATCGGCATTTTCAAATTTATCTCAGGGTATAGGAAGAAGAGATGCATACACCATCCAGGGAAGATTGAATACATGGTCAAATGTCCGTCCTCGCTGGAGGGAATGTCAGTTTCAGAATCACAGAGAATCAGTGATTGATGAAACATTACTCTGATTGCCAAACACCTCGAAGGAACGTGCTGTTGTCATCCACAGGTGTATTGAGCATACTGGCAGCACTTGTAGAGTCGGCGCCGCTGTAAGCACCATAGCTGGTGGTGGCCGACGTCGTGGTTTGGGTGTACGCTCCCGAACCACCAAAGCTACCACCGGCAGAGCCGGACATGGATTCCACATCTCCGCTGCCTTCACCAGAATCGCCGCCTGCAATGTATGACTTATAGAAACGTGTTTTAGAAGTTAGGATATACGTTGATTTCAATGACTTACACCCGTCTCTGCAATATATCCGGCGTAGAATCCCGTAGCATTCGCGTGCCAGGCGTCGACCCAAACCTGAACGGGGTCGCAGGTGTTGATGTCGATGAAATCAGCCTGAATTAGTCGTGCGTTAGAGTGAACATAATCTACTGGGTATAATAAAAGACGTACAGAAATTTCCAAGGGGATTCCAGCTTGTCCCTCAGTCATGTTTTGCCTCACAATTTCACCTCTAAACAATGTATTTGTTAACTAATGAAAAAAAAGATGGGGATGCAACTTACAAAATGTGGTAGGGACCTTGGGTAACCTCTGGGGTCACAAAACAGGTACTATCATTACTCGATGTTGTTCTACAATAACATTATTAGTTGGACGCCGAGTCTGGGAGAGTAAGTAGGAAATACCTAGGCATGTAGTAACTTCCACGCGACCAAAGACTTTCAGATACATGCAAAGCTCGTTTGCGCCTACGTGCAGCTAGGATGTCGCCGCATCGTTTCTCAAGAGACTCGCGCACAACAAGGTTGTCACGCTTCCAGTGTACCGGAGCAGGAGAAGCATGTGCGGTAACAGACATAACAGCTGAAGCAACCAGAATGAGGGTAGACCAGGCAGAAACCATTGTCGAGAAAAATAAGAGTTGAGTATAATGGTAGTAGCCATTCTGACAGCTTTTATACAGACATTCCCGCAGTTACTGCAATGATGCTAGGAACGCAGAGAATAACGGTCATTTCATACAACTGCTGCGCGTAGTATACGACCAATAAAAAGTAGACAATTTTTAATACGGAAAAATGTCCTTTCATGCGATGATATATGTCCGATGTACTGCGTCGTTGTTGATCATAGCATCCTTGTGATTAACGGAGACCGATCAGCATTGCTGATCAGGGTGTATATCCAAACAGCAGAGGTTGCTTTAAGAGGCTGTCGAGGTTAGAAGTAACGAACGAAGCTGTAATAGAACTGAAAACCTGATTTTATGATCGAGTAAGAACACTTGCTTGATAAAAGGCTGCTATCATTGCGGCTGCCCAACGACTAGAGTTACGTTGTCGCGCAGGAACTACGCATAGGGTTTCTGCGCTTCGGGAACAAAAACACGGAGCTGCATGGCTGTAAAGACCGTTAGCGGTCCCATCAAGTCTTGTGTGCGTGAAGCATTGACGCGATGCGTCGGAGGAAGGGGTATTCAGTTCCATGACGCCGTGTAGCTGCAAAGCTGAAAATACGAGTGATTAACCCATATCAAGTTGCGAGAGATCGGACAGAGCCAGTAACCCTAGCCTTTTGCTGCGAGAAATACCTCCGAGAGGATCCAAGTCCAACCGATGAAGCCCATGGTTTCTGTAGCGCTTGCCAGCAGTTACCATGCTGCCTGAGATATATGAATCAAGAAGCCAAAAGGTGTATAGTTAGTACATCTAGAAGAGAGGATACGTTAGGCAACCAAAGAAAGAGTTCGGACCGATCCAATACGAAATCGGAAAATACCGGTATCGACCGAAGTTTACCGCATTCAGTACAATTACAAAAAATGCACAGAAGACGTCTGTTAGCGTCTGTATTTACGCAACTCCATGCACATCAAGAATACAGCTAGTTGACATGTTCCCTAGACATATTTGGATGCCGCATGGCGTACTCGGAGACTTGATATCATGGTGACTCGGGAAATCTGATCTGGATTACCATCATTGATGGCGGCGGGACCGGGACCGGGATCTAAGTGACCGACATAGTGCATATTCTCTAACCTTAAACGTTCGCTGAAAATAATGAGAAGGTATCCTCCCCAGAATCATTGTCCACATTCTCGCGGAGACGAAAATCTAAAATGCTTCTCCTTTAGTGGCGTCCGCCGTTGGGTTGAGATGGAAATCTTTTCGGTAGTAGTATTGCCTTACATATCGTCAGTCAAAGCACACGACAGTCATCTTGAAACGCTGAGTTTCATTCGAGTCGCGTGTATTCAGAAGTCCAATTCAAGTAAATAAGAGAAAGATGGTATATACCGTAGATCAAAACTCATGCTCCAACAGGGCATAACCGGCAGCATCATACATGCTCTGAACATACTTCATGGTCTTTAAAGCGTCCTCATTGTCCTGACCTCCAGACCGGAACTCGGGACGTGCTTCAAGGAGAAGACGAATATCTGCATCCATCTGAAAAGTCCGTCAGCAGCTGCCGGAAGAGATCCATGAGCGATTGCCTAACCGTATCCCATACGTGACAAGCTTTAGCAATGATACCAACGTAGGTGTTCACATCATGCTCGTGCATGCGCATCATGGCATCTAACTTCGAGAAGGATCTTGCTTGGAAACAAGATTGCTCCAGTCTACGTCGTTCTTCTTCCACGGTCAAAAAGATGCCTGAGAAACATGGGGAACATGAGAACATGATGACAAAATGGGTGACTTTGTATTGGTCTTACGATCACGATCCTCGCATCTCGTGTACACCATGTCAGCAATTCCGCCACCATCGTGATGGGGAATAGATCTCTGCGAAGAAGACAAGGAAATATAAGAAAGCCGTACGATTAGTTGCAGATAACACGGACTCACCAAAGCTGTAAACCAGGCCGATGGACAGATGGTATGCATCAAGTCAAAGATACCGGCACGCGCCATCGGGACGCCACACAACTCTATCGTCGAAGCAATCTAGAGAAACCAGAAAATTAAATGCGTAGCATGAGAACAGGCACAGTAACGCTACCTCGCGGTCAACTCTGTAGAACATCGCTGTCAGCTAAATTTTATTGATGGAGTTTATGAAAGTATACTAACTCGTGGAGTTTGTCCTCCGCGTCCCAAGTAATAGCAGTATATTCAAAATTATTACTGCCAGCGCAGGCTTCGTTCCACTCTTCTGTCGCCTTCTTCACGGAATCCGCCAGGGTCCTAAAGCGCTCTACGAGGCGTCCAGCTTCGGGAATATGAAGTCTGTCGATGTCCTATATAATAGAACCGATGACTTGGTAACTATAAGATGGAAGTACAGGAAGAAGATGAGTACATACAGACTTGAACTTTCGTATTTCTTCCTGAGGCCAATATTCCCGCTTCTCGAATTCACCAAGGAACTCCATTGAGAACATCCAGGACGCAAGGGAAGCGAGTCGGATGATTAGCTGGGAGTCCAGGCGAGCCCTTCTGAAGTCCTCATCGCATAAATAATCAGTCAGTGCCTCTTGACTTTTGACCAGAGAATACGATATACCTTCGCGATATTCTGCCACGAGATGATGAGATCTTGAATTTGTTGGCCATGCTCTTGTAGAAAATTCCAGTCATCGCTGTCTGCAGAAAGATTCTGAAGGCAGCCTGTAATATTGTCGAACGAGGTCTCGAGCCTACGTCCGAAATCGACACGCCTTCGAGAATCTTCCACCATCTTCTGCTGTTGAACGGCGAGATTGGTAGAAATATCATCGCGTAGAATACGTCCAAAGGAGTTGGTAGAAAGAGCCATAGCAATGTAATATGTGCTTGGCTTAGAATCGGCAAGTCCTATACTTATACCCATTGCACTCCACACACGGCGAATCAGTGGATGTTTGGGTTAATATTTGTCTAAGGGATTGTTTATCTCCGGGCGGGGATACATTTCAGACGTCAACAGGTAGGTGGGTGATCCAATACAGCATCATATAATGACTCCGGTAGGCGTGTAGATCCTATCCAAACTGGGAAGATGGATGACGCAAGTAAGTTGCAAATACTGTAGAGGTAGGGTAGCAACTTACAAGATTAGATGGATAGCCAAGTCAGGAGAAGACGATTGTTGCTTACCGGTAAAGATAAACTCCTATCTGAACGACAAGCCGGTCATTGATAGGCAGTAGGCAGACGGAGGTGCGTGTGCGTGTACAATCGGAATCGCCGACTTCGTCCCCCGCTCCTTAGTTCAAGGTGACTTTGTAAATGTACACACCACGGGGAATGATATCCTGCTTCCACTTGAACCGCCAGAACAGAATAGCCACAGCTTCATCTACACAGGCGTCATGCATAGCATGTTTCGGCCACTTCAACACCGCATGCTAATCCGAAGTGCCCGGTGGTGAAAATGTCCGTGAGCATATTTCAGAGCGTAGTCTACAGAAGTCCATCGAAAGGATCGAAACTATGGGTGGTAATTAGTAGCGTCGAAGAGTGACGTAATTCCCTTTCTTTGACGCGCCATCAAGCGCGACGGTACTGGCGTTACTAAATCAAGATCTGCTGGCCTGATACCATCTAGAACTAGAAAGATGAAACGGCTCCGCGGCCATTCATATAACCTTCACCATGAAAGATCGGTTTGAGCATTGGATTATGAGCGGAGAACGCTGACTGGATGACGTCCGATGGCGCAGTTGCCACGAAAGGAAAGTCAAGTAGACGCAGCGGGTGCTTAAGAAGCAAGTATGCCTACGCGCCAATTCCGGTGAAACACCTAATCCGACTGACGAAGGGGCTAGAACAAGAGTGTACTGAGGTCCCGGCTATCGAATAGAATAGATGGAGGTAGCAAGTTGTTGGTCCTGGACGCGTGACGCGCCACCATGCGTACTTGGGTGCCTCACTGACCAACAATATCCACTGAACCGAAACAAGTGTGATGTTATCCGTGTCTCATAACAACTTCCCTATCGCATCCACAGGCCTGCCACCATTGGGGAAGAAAGCGCTCCCAATGAGTCCTGCTCTCGCCCATGCATCGATCAGAAAATTGGCCCAGCCTACCACCCAAGCAACAGTCCACATCCAGCCCAGAGCGCCCCCAACCTTGCGTCCAGACATCTTCTTCCATACACCTTCCAATACAACGCCAACACCTTGAATGACGAAATACCCCCCTACAGCCCAGAATTCAGTCTCGTGACTCAGGCCCCAGTTGCCCAGAACATGAAGAGTTCCAGAGGCCGTGAAAGCACCGAGAACTGCACCGACGCGACCGAAGCCTAGCGCATACAGCGGTTTGGCACCCACAGCAATGAATTCGTGTCGAAAAACTTGATGCCATCCTTTAGCCCAGAAACGGTTCAAGGATGTTGAGCACCATGGATGGTCGAATAGCGGAGGCCATTGATTAGAGTTCTGTTGGAAGAGGATGATACCAAAAATTGTACAGCCATCGTACATAGATTGTATGGCACAGTAGACAGCAATGCCGCTGAAGAAGGATATATATGTGGAACGTAAGTCAGGGATGCCGATGACAGTGAAAATTGTGCCCCCTTTCGGGGAACCGAACGTATTTGGTGAAAGAGATTGCAGATGAAAGAGGAGGACGTCGAGGACGATAATATGGATGAGCATGGATATTAACGTCGCCAAAACGAACATGGTCCTTGAATTCGTCGGCCGCCATTCCGGTGGTATGTGAAGCCCGGATGACCAGTTCCACTCGTGATATCTGCCTGTGAAGCAAAGCTGAGCTGCGCTTGGCTTTCTAGAGTCGATCCTTCTAGGTGGTGTGGCTATAAAAGTCCAGACAATAGCACGCATGCTAAAGAGGGTCATGCCCAACTGCCATGTGATGCTCAGGTGAGAAAGACGCTTAATGATAGGACAACCACCTACCAACAGAGCCTCATTCCAATAATTTAACCATTCATTCCGCTCTGACCCGTTCAAGCGGGATAAATCAAGCGAGACGGAGCATCTGTACAGCATGCACAGTGTTACTGGTAGGACAAGCAGGCGAACAAGAAAGGGATAGGATCGAATGATGAGAACGGCGCTCACATAGTAGCACACTAGAGAGGGAAGTAGAATTGTGGCGAAGGACGACCAGTTGAGTGATTGCCTGCTGTCAGGTTTTGTAGGTGGAGAAAAAGGCATTCTCCCTAGGAAAACGAGGATGAGAGTCAGATGGAAATCAGCAGACCACAATATAAGACTGACAATATCTGGCCAGTAGCCAAGAAAATAAATACGCCGGGCGAAACGGTGAATGATCGTGACTTGTTGTGTTTCAAGTTGTTGTGGTCGATGGCTAACAAGCCTGGGGGAGCCTGGGGGGAGACTCCGGTTAATTACACCCGGTAAGTCGAATTTAAAATGTATCACATGTCATTGACGCGATCACGGGACAACCGTTTGTTCTTTTTTTAATTTTTTCCTGACTATTTCACCCCTTGATACGAAAATCAGATAAAACCATTCTGATTCTTTCATAGATTGTTTTCGAGACGGGAGGCGCAGACGGCATGGTGTATCCCGAAAAATGATACCAGAAGTGATATATACCTCGACTCCCGATTGACCCCGACTCACGTAAAGCAAACCCTCACGATGAAGGTTGGTCACAAAATTAAATTCTAGAACATGAAATCAAAAGGAACGGACAGATAGAGGTACAAAGTCACCAATACCTAACTAGTCAGACCAGATCCTCCGAGATAATCTGCTTTTCCAAGCAGAAGTGATACCTTACAGCAACTTCCTTAGCACATCCACAGGTCTCATCCCATTTGGGAAGAAAGCGCTACCAATAAGCCCCGCCCTCGTCCATGCGTCAATTATAATATTACCCCATCCTACCACCCAAGTGACGGTCCATATCCAGCCTAGAATACCTCCAACCCGATGCCCGGTTATTTTCTTCCATACACCTTCCAAGACGATACCAACGTCTTGAATGATAAAATACCCTCCGACAGTCGACCACTCGGAATCACGACGGAGACCCCAGTGGCTCAAGAGGTGAAGTATACTAGAGGCGGTGAATACGCCGAGTACTACACCGGTATGTCCGAAACCTAGCTTGTAAAGTGGTCTGCCCCCCAAAACTAGGAACTCATGTCGAAAGACTTGATGCCATCCTTTAGCCCAAAAACGATTCAAAGATGTCGAACGCCATGGGTGGTCGAACAATTGAGGCCACTGCGTGGGATCATGTTGGAAGAAGAGAACACAGAACACGGCGCAAGCGTCATGCGCAGATTGGATAGCACTGTAAAGGACCATACCGCTGAGGAAGGTTATATACGTGGAACGGAGGTTCGGGGCACCGTTGGCAGATAAAATGGTCCCACCAGTCGGGGAACCGAACGTGTTCGGTGAGAGGGACTGAAGATGAAAATACAAGGAATCGAAAATGACAGTATGTATGAGTTGGGAGGCCAGTGTGGCGAGAACAAACATGGTCCTTGAATTAGTCGGACGCCATTCCACTGGTACATGAAGCCCTGAAGACCAATTCCATTCGTGGTATCGGCCTGCGAAGCATAGCTGTATGGCACTGGGTTTCTTGGAGTCCAGCCTTTTGGGCGGTGTCGCAGAAACGGTCCAGGCTGTAGCACGCATAGCCAAGAAGGTCAAGCCTGCCTGAGCGAATCTAATGAGAAAGTATTTTCGCAAAAAAGTGACGGTGACATACAAACAAGGTCTCATTCCGGTAATTCAAGTACTCATTCTGGGTGCCTCCATCTGTGTACGACATATCAAGAGACACGGAACATCGGTACAACATGCGGCCGAGGAAAGGGTAGAGTCGAATGGTGAGGATGGCGCTCACATAGTAGCACACCAGCGAAGGCAATAAAATCGCGGTAAAAGATGACCAGCTGGGCGGTTCTCTGCTACTAGGCGACCACATAAGTTACCCCAAGGCAGAGGTTGGAGTCGACCAGCAAAAACGAACCCGGAACGTGCCATGATGAGGCGCGGTAATAAGTTATGTAAGTCTTGGTGCCCGAATTTCTGCATTCACTAACAAAAACAAATTCCGAAGATGTACAAAGTGACTGGCCGTACTTCGAGTTTAGGTACGTCAGTATGAATGTGCATTCTTACGGTAAACAATTGTACACAGAAAATTTTTTGTCGTGACCTATTAGACGTCGAGTAGTAATGAGTACTGATTGAATAACAATGTACACGACTCCTTGGCCGCAGCACTGAATACATACATAATATTAGTTCTCGTACCAGCGCAGATATATAGATACTTAGATACATATGTATACAATATGTCCAAAATTTGCAAAATATGAACAAAAAGATCGTCCAGATCTCGGGGTCTACACCGGGATTCTCATACTAGGCCTCTTTCCCGGGATGCTTTTCCTAGCTCCACCCTTCCCCAACTGCATGCTTCCTCTCTTACCCGGCATACTCTTCCTAGGCCCACCATTAACTCCGAGCACATTTGCCTTCCCACCAGTCCCGAAACTCGAACGCACCCGTCCCCCACCATCCCCACCGACCAAACTCCTCCTCGAACCAGCAGTAGAAAGCGCAGTCGTCGGACCAGCCCTCCTAGCTGCCAATCTCGCAACCACAGTTGTACGTGATATTCTTGGCCTTCGCCCGGACAGACTTCGGTTCAACGTACCCTTCGAAGGTTCGGAAGGCACAGTCAAAGGCTGGCTGAATATCTTCTTCGGAACCATGCCTTGTTCTTTATCCTGCAAATCCGGCTCGACTTTCTCCGGAACGCCTCGCAATGGGACGTTCTCTTTTTCCCCACGCGCCACCGTGGGCTTTAACTGCCTTGATACACCCACAGCAGACGGTCGTAAGGGGCGCGTTGAAGTCACGGAGGGGCGCCCAATAGAACCACGGGTCGTGGAAGTCAGTGAAGAATTCCTCGTAGACGCGGGCGCAAGAGCAGTGGTCGAACTGAGCGATCCCCTTGTCGTAGAACTACGGGTATTAGCAGCCACGGAAGAGAGACGTGTACCAGAAGATACGGAAGACGTCCGCGCTGTGGAGTTAATGGACGACGTGCGTGCCGTCGAAGACAAAGACGGATTTCTTGTCGATACAGGGGCACGAGCAGTTGTACTTGAAATGGAACCTCTTGTAGTAGACGATAAGCTGCCTCTGGTCGTCGCACTTGATGCTGTCGCGATTGGGGGGCGCAACGCACTTGAGGGACCAGCCTTGGATGTCGAACTCATGGATACTTTTCTCTGAGTCGTGGTAGTGGGGGGACCCATCGCCCTGGTAGATGAAATGGAAGAAGTAGAGGGAGCAGAGGCCTTCCTGGTGGTCGGGGCGAAGGAGCTGTTTGAGTTTGCCGGCGCAGAGACTTTACGAGAAGGCGCAGCCATCGCCGTACTCTGAGTTGTAGCCGTAGTCGCCGCGACTTTGCCCAGCCCCAAACCCGTCAAACCTGGTTTCTTCCCCTTCTCCGGTTCTTTCTTCTTAACGGCAATATTTGAAGGCGGAGCGGCAGGTTTTGCGTCGGTTTCCGGTTCCTCCTTTTTCTTTCCAAAGAACAAGCCCTTTAAGCCCGAGAACCCAAAGTTGAAACCCTTTCTCGGCGGAGGCGGAGGAGGCGGCCTGATACTAATTCTCCGCCCACCGACTGCACTCGTTCTAGGGCGAACGCTGCTCCTCCTACCTCCATGCACACCGCTAGTCCTTCTCACGCCACTAGCACCGATAACACTCGGCCTGCCAGCACAAGCCTTCGGTGCAAGCTTTGTGCTTACTCTGCGGTCGTTGATACTAGGATCGGCTTCGATCTTCCGCTTCGCCCCGCCGCGAGGCTCATTGATTCCGGTCATCTTTTTGAACGCCGCTTCATGGGCTTTGTCGAATCGTCCTGATGCTGTGGTAACGGGAGACTTGATAGGGGGCAGAGGCGGGGGACCAGATACGCGCAGAGACTTTCTAGGAAGAGGTCGAATGAGTCTGTTTGGGTCTGTTGGCGTGGCAGGTTCACCGACGACGACAAAGGTATCATCACCAGCTGTGTCCGACTCGCCTGCGGCCCTCCGCATCATCTCTTCAAATACGCTTGCCTTGACATTCGAACTTAATCGAGGGCGGAAGACGTGTGGAGCAGGCGAGCCAAAAGTGAACGCTGGGGCGGGCGTCGGGAGCTTGGATCGGGAAGGAGTCTGGGGAATCGTAACTTGGACATCTCTTTCCGGAACACTATCCTCATTTTCGACTTTCTTCAGATTCCCGACCAGCTCCTTCTCCACTTCTGCTGCCTCGATCTTCTCAGCATCATCTTTCTTCTCTTCTTGGTCCTTTTCAGCGGCCATTATGTGCCTGGCTACCCTTGCAGAGGTATCTCCGAACTTCGCAGGGGTACCCAGCACCAGATCGAAGGTCGTCTTGAAAGCCGGTAACCTGGGGGTGCCACCCATGCTCGGACGGGGAGCAGCGACCAGACGTACTGTATCGACGTTAGGAGGAGGCGTGAACGGGGTAATCAGTGGAGGTGGAGGGGATGGTGGTAAAGGAATGCTGGCTTCATATGAGACTTGTGATGACATTGTAGATAGTAGAGAGGTAGCGGTGGTGGATATTGACGTGGGCGGAGTAGAGGTGGTTTTGCGCGAAGTGAAACCGAAAGAAGACACAATAGATTTTAATGATAATGATGCTATATTTGGGATGAGGAGAAGTTAAAGAAGTTTGTTTGACAGACACACATTTGACGCTCCCAAAGTCGCTTCCTGTTTTAGTGGTACCAATGCTGGTAACGGTGTCTTCCTTGATTGTGACGAGTTGCGATTGCGGCACTTGTTGTGTAGCTTTCAGTGGTATGTTCGCTAGACGTTCAGCAATGTCCACATTTTTCCCTGATGCTTTGACACCGTGAATCTTGCAAAGTCGGATCAACTGATCACGCTTGAGGGAGTGTAGGGCCGCAGGATTGCGTAGAATGTCTTCTGTTGCCGTCAAATCCATTCTATAGATGTCGTTCTCGTCGTATCAGCCGCTCTGGCGCGTGAACCGAATCGTCGTCGGTGGTTGAGTGTGAGTTGGACAGTGGCACGTGATGGTGTTCGTTGAAGTGGCTTCGCAAGACCGGAGATCGGACCGACGTGTCATAAGGACGGTGGCGGTGGCAGCGCCCTTAACGTGCCTATCACCTTTTAGCGCCAAACTGCGCAGTGAGTATCTCTCTCGTCTTTGGAATTCTAAAGGACGCATCAGGTACCTGCACATAACATTGCGCTACTCGCAAAATCCTTCACCCTTTTCTGTTAATACATACGAACAATCTTCCCTGTCTGTTATCAAACCCTGGACTTTGACCGCTGACGGCAAGCCACTTTGGGACAGCATGACATCTTCGACGCCTTATCTTCGCATATCATTCCGGCGCATCGAAATTCCCTCATGGGCGCCATCTAATCGAACATTACCGCTGGCTTTCAAAATGAATTTTACGCTATCATCATCCGAAGTTATATAACACCTAAGGCTATGTAAGTTTGCTCGCGTTATGTTTGAAACGCGGATGCTGTGACTTACCGACTGTTGCTCTACGTTATCCTAGAACAATCGACATAGCAATTGCGGGGTGATATATTACCGTCTTCGTCTTGCAAAGGAAGCAGGCTTCTCCGCCTAACTTTCAAGATCAGTTAGATGTAAGTATCATTGATTCTAATCACGGGAGGAGAGACCCATCGCACTATGATCCTTGGACCGGCACAGCTTTCTCTACAGCATTACGATGTGATGTCAAACTATCGCTCGAGAATCTCCGTCAAAATATTGGGCGCCAAAGTAAAATACCGCGTCTCTGCGACTTCGATCCTTCTGCCCCCCAAAAAGTCTGCTTCGACGTTTTGATCACTCAATCTACTGATGCACAGAACATCTGGAATCCATGCAACGCCAGAGTAACTGGCTTGACATGAAGAGGGGACTTTTAGGCATCGCAATCAAAACCTCTGTTCACGGATTGTTGAAACTATATATAATCGTATCATCGTCCTAATCAATAGGAGATAAAGGATGATGGAAAAGCGGTTCCAGGGGTATGCTTCGATGTACACCAACAATCATAACAATAAAAAACGCAACTTTGATTATTCTCCCTCTATTCAGACACCCTCGAGGTTATTCTCTCTGGCGAAACTTCTAGGTCACTTTCGGTCATGACACTCTGCGTAGCATCGTCCTGGGAGTTGATCTGTTCGCGATTACGCGATTGCGTTCCAAAATGAGCGACGACATCACGCCAAGAGTCCTCCAGTCGCGCGTGTCCTGCTGCAACGCGCCCAATGAGAAGTGTCGAGCTTACACCCTGGTACATCACGGTGAGATCCTTGTCGAAATCAAGAAAGTAACGGTTATTATCGTACCCTTGTAAATGCTGCCATAGTTTCTATGTAATACTTTGCTATACTCCCGCGAGCCACGAGGACGATATCCAGAAGCAGAAATATTGCATAGAGTGCTGACGATTCGACCAAAGTTTTTATAATGTGACGATAAACTTTAGTTGGTCTCTCTGATCCGGTACTAGCCTGTCCAACCCTCAATATACGGAAAATGATCATCAAGGTGCACCAGAGGGTCGTTGCAAGGATGAAACCCAGATAGAGAATCAGAGGAAGATCGGCATGGAGTTACTATTATTCAGCCTCAGGGACCAGATCTGGAAATAATGTTAATATCATTTAGGTCGATGGGCAGGTGTGGTATAATTGAGACGATGATAGATGGAGGCTGCAGCGCTGAACAGCGACGGTGATGTCCGGCTAAAATGTCTAAACGCTTCGCGATAACGTCTACGTTATAACCGATAAATCTGTTTGTAATACGAGTATAGAACAGAACGTACGTGTATGTATACAAACTGAGACCTTGCTTCGTTCATAACTACACTGTAAGAGGTCTGATCCTGAACGTTGGAACGGAGGCCGAGGTAGGATTGTAGAATTTCCGAAGGATCACGGTCAGACGGGATTGCATATACCAAAGTCGGGCGTTGTCCCAGATACAGAACCAGAGGAGCCGATGTTTCTAACCGTAGTAGAGCTCGAGTCTCGGTAAAGCATCTCGGTAGAAAGACATGAACTAATATCGCCTCCAGAATGAACCGTGACATCCAAGAACCTGCGGGAATTGGGGCCTGGCCTGGGAATTGAGAGCACTTGTATTGTGTTCTTCTTCTTGTGAGGGCCGGGCAAAGGAATATTGCTACTACCGTCTGATTAGCACACATTCAGTGACTGCAGGAGGACGATACGTACAGTATGTTTGTATGCAGTTGTATTGGCGGAGGAGAGTAGATTCGGTGCTGATGTTGTTGATTCCTGGCGCGAGCTGAGACTGCTCATGAGCGAGTTTGTGTAAACCTTGGAAAGAGGCATGTTAAAGATGAGGTGACTATTCAAATGGGACTTGAAAGCAAGGCATACGGAGTAGTTGATTACTCACATTCCTGTCGGCTAAAGAACACGAGGTCAGGAATGATGAATTACGAAGAGAATGAATGCTACTAATGACCAATATGTTTTCAAGTTGACTAGCGCGCAAACAGACGTGATCAAGCCTGTTTGAACGATGACTGTATGGAGTTACCAGAAGAAATCAAAGTCATTGAAAGTATATGCTTACTCCGAATGATCCTGTCAACCACGTTATCTGAATGCTTGAATCCAGTTTTTTGTCTTCTCTATCCATCACCAGTGTCGATATTGACTCGCGCGCAAGTAGAGGATGCTTACCCTATTATGACCGTCAGCAAACGAGTTACCGAGGCTTCGAAAACACAAACAGATGGCGAACAAGAAGAAATGTGATAACAACATCGCACGAGCGTGCGGACCCTAGCCAAATGGTGACAACGTCCTATAGTTGCACCAGCCATCATTCTCGGGAGATGTAGAAGTGCGGTGCGACTAACTCGATACCTCTGAAACTGTACGGATTGAGATATGATACCGCATTCTGCAGCAGTAGCTAATCCACCGGCTATCATATATAAGTAAGAATAGCAGATGACAAGGAGAAGAAACGGTTACCAATTCCAAGAAGAGCAAGAAGCACAACAATACCGCATAGGTAAACATTGGAAGTCAAGACTAGAATCCTCCACGCAAAGAATAGTTGAACAAGACCGGCAATAATACCCTTCATGATTCTAAGCATTGCAAAGGTCAAAAAGGCCATGCTACCGACGTACCGTCATGGGAGGATCTGGGAACGGAACAGCTCAAAATGGAGGACAAGTTCTCAGTGGCCAGTAGCGTACCTGTAGAAAATACTGGAAAAAAGTTAGATAGATGAGAACGTTGAGAACAACCGATCGTACCCCAAGTTACCTTCGTCAAGTATGCGACTTCTGCTGTGATACTTTGTTGACATCCTCTGCAAGTGATAGAAACATGCACCGCATACAAAAATGCAGGACAAAACAATCATAGAGATACACAAAGTCGAAAACGGTGTTTAAGATATCGCAGAGAAACAGTAAGAGGATCTTGTTTTAAGCGTTAGAATGCGCATCAACAACGAAATCAATAGCGCTCACGAATAGCTTGACGACAAGCTTGTCTCTGAGAAAAATAAAAATGAGAGTCAACTTCTTCGACAAGCGACTCACTGCTTGTATGCAGCAAAGTATAGGTACACCTGAGTGATCATGGTTCCATAGAGAACTCGTTGAACACGAAGCCGATAAACATAGGGCCATGTCTGGTACACAGTGGATCAAATGATTCCGCCAGCACGAGAGAATACAATGCCACGTACATGACTTCAGCTGACCCCAACATGGTAGAAGATGGAAGGAAAGGACAAGAAGATACAAGGACGCGTTGTTGTTATTTGTACCTTTACGTCATTATTTGGACAATCACGAGACAGGGTGACCGCGTCCACTGGGCTTTGAGCTTTAAGTACTTTGGTTTTATGTCGACAATTAGTACTTGTCTCCAACCTGCTCACCGTACTCAACATGCCACCCATTTTGGATTCTATCAGCATCAAGGCATCCAAGGCTGAAGAACTCAAGTCCGTAGCAGTCATGCGGAAATCGAAGGCCAGAGAGCTGCTCAAGCGCCTCAACTGTGATGATGTGAGTTGTATCATGATGCTCTTGTCGACAGCGCCATTAATATAACCGCCCCGCTAGTCTCGCGATGAAGACATAGACAAGGCAATCAAGTATGCTCCTCCTCGTACAGTCCTCTACTGCGACGAATGGCGCCTCCCCAAATACAAGTACATCCCTAAGTTTCCTGCGCCCCCCAGTGACGCCACCGATGGCGACTGTTACTATTTCTACGGCTTTGCTACGACCTTCAAAAAACTCGAGCAGATCTATCATGAACATCAGGATGAGGCTAGCAAGAAGACCTCTTTAGTGGCGGGAATTGGGCTCTTTATTCTGAAGGATAGGCTTGTTGGTTATCCGGATCTTTACCTTGTTAATGCCGAGGTTGATGAGTCAGCCAAGCCGGAAGAGATCGTGGAATTCGACGGACGAAAGATGCTGAGGATACTCGCAGTAGCTTGCACCAAGAGCAGGGAGCTGTTCTACAGGCGCCCTTCATTGAAGCAGATGCGATTACTGGGGAAATACTTGGGATGTAAGCCCAGGTGGTTCAAGGATATTGTTCCTAAAGATGAATTTGAAGGATGGGATATTGAGTGTGAGTTGCTTTCCCGAGTACAGTAGCGTCGTGTTTCTAATACACTTGTAGGATTGTGCTGGAAGTACCTGTAGCGTGTTATCTTGTCTTGAACACTTCGTTTTGATGAATGGACGTACAGACCCTAGAGATAGAACAGATACACGCCTACTTTTTTTCCTGCTTCTCGAGTCTCCCTTATACGCCGGTAAGATGGTCTGTCCCTATGGCTGTCTGGGACGCATACCAATGTGCCACACTGCGAGCACTCGGGCAGGGGGGACAAAATGAAGATGTTCCCGCGACCACGAGGCTCAGGATTTGATTGCAAGTTAGTTGGATGGAGGAGAATCATCACTTCTATGATGCACCTTTTCTCTCATTCGGTATCGTTCGATTTACAGAAGTAACAAGAGTTCAGGGAAAAGGCTCTGACAAACACTGAAGGCGCACAAAAAAGTACTATGGTTTCTCTTGAGCATCAGCTTCTTTGGGAACGGCAGCGGTCATCTTCGGGGCTGGCTGCATTTGCTCAGGCCGGCGGATGGGTGCATTAGGATCACGAGTTGCCTCCATATCCCTTCTCACTTGCTCATCGAACGAGTCCTCGTTGAAAGACTTGTCGCAGCATGACCCACAACATCCACTGGTCGAGGTGCCCGAACCGCTACCATAGCTCTCTGTGGGGGCATGAGACCGAGTTTATGTGACCATGGTAGTACGTATACGCACTGAGCATACACCAATTGCTGAGAGCCGAACACCCAGCCACGCCTATATACGACCTGTTTGAGCGAATGTGAACCCCTACAGTGAAAAGGAAAACGTACAGCAAAAACCGCAACATATTGAGGCACAGATATCACCACCGCCGTCGGCCATAGTTTAGTAAACAGAGAGTATGTTGGTGGTCAACCTCTTAGAAGAGTACGTCCTTTATACGAATGGTGCCCTATCTTTGATCTTATAACTGTAAGACTCCGACCGAGTCCGATGGTAGGAGGGAACGTGAAACGCCCGTCCTTGTCGATGCTGATCACAAGTCTCAAAAGCCGATCACGATTCATCGCATTCGCCTTGGGAAGCTTGTGGCTGTGTTCAACATATCGACTTTCAGTGCACTTCTCCACAGTACCGGCCAGGGATCTACAGCAATCTCCTCCTTGTGCAATCGACAAAAGATCACCATCTTACTGTTCCTTATTCAAGACTCGGGCAGTATGCTAGAGTATACTACGGTCTACCATCAGAGTACCTAGCACTGCAATTATGTCCGTGCGGCTGAGGTTGATGGCAGTTGAAGATATGCCTACCCGCGCTTTTCAGCGCTCAGCTGCTACCCAACGCCAACTGACTCCAGTTAACCCATTCAAGCACGAAGCCCCGTCAAGACTCTGATTCTGACCCGTTGACGCCATCTAATGTTTGTTCTCATCGGTATAAAAAAAATAGCGGAATTATGTCCTGATAACCAAGAGACGAAATTCCTGAGAACGTTCTGCGTATGTTAGATTCGACGAAGCTTGGGCTTACTAGTTCACGGTGAAACAAGATGCTTGTTGGTTAGTATCTTGTTGGGGTTTCTCCATATGGTGCACGCGACAAGATCTGTAGCATTTCCTGATGTCGCCGTCAGTGAGTATCATAGATATCTGACATAAGAGAGATGAGGGGCGTGATAGCAGGATGGAACAGCAACGCACCAACAGTTTGATATGTTATAATATTGAGAACGAAAACACAGTCAATATCGCAACACGAGGTGCACATGTCTTTACCAACAAAGACAAAAGAAGGCATGGAAGCCCTGTAGAAGAGTGCACTCGCCCCGCCAACAACTTGATGAGGATCGGTCAAGTTCAACCAGTACCACGTCCCAGAGTTCAGAAAGAATTTGGTTCGTGCATCTATACTCGTTATTTTCAAGGGTCGAAGTGAAACCAATGAACTGTTCAGGCGTCGGCATGCCGAGCCGTTTCCATCACAATACAACCGACTTCATACTTCAAGCTTCATCGAGTACACAGTTCTGAGGAATCATGCGAAATTCTGGTCGAGAAATATCATTTCTGTTGCAAAATAGCGGATACAGTCAAACGACCCAAAAACAATAGCTACAGCTTGCAGTTGTCCAAAGCTCCAGCTACGCGCACCCCATAGGATCACGTCGAGGTGCAACTATACATTGTACCACAGCAGCGTCGGAAAGGATCGAGCCCTTCCCCCGTTTTGCAGTACGACAGTACATGTTAGGTCGTTTTTTACTCTGCAAGATGAATATCATCAGACAGAGTATAATCAAGATGGACGAAAATATACGCACTGGAACGGGCTCTCATCTTTCTGCGCTTGCGCCTGAGTCTGCGAGACCTCTTTTTCTTCCACTTCTCTCTCATTCTGTAGAGGAAACGTTAGAGATAGCAACAGAAAATATTAAACTGGTGCGTACTTAGCTGTTGTGAGTGGAGATGGTGAGCTGTTGGAGAAGCGGGGTGCGGGGGTATAGTTCCGGCTGATGTAAGCGACTGTACAGTTGTTACATAAGACTATCTCACGATGGCTTTCAGAGAGTTGCCAAGCAAAATGACGAATACCGATAGCGTAAGCGCTCTTGAACTCATTGCACCGGTACGAATCTAGTTGCCACACCATTATGCCGCATTACCGACTGATTTGCTACTCAGAATATGATATTTTCTTCGATTCTATAATGACGAAAGGCAAGGGGAAAGAAAAGCGAATCCCTGTCGCACTACATAGTGAACTGACCGAGTACTCTTCACTGTTACGGGCCTTACGAACTGAGAGTACATTGGACGTCAGCAGCCAGATCTCTAAACACTTCCGGTCCACTCCCGCCATTGTGGAGAACGATGAGGATGACTCTGAAGACGAAGACGAAGAAGAGTCACGTTCGACGTCGCCCGTAGCAGGTCCCAGTTCATCTCTAACCGCGACTCTAAAACGCAAACGCAGAGATGCTGGTGCATCGTCTCCGACCCCAACACCTGCACCCAGAAAGAAGAAGAAAAAGCAGAAGCAAGCCGATATATGGACGAAATGGCCACTGCTGCCGGAAGATCTGGCTCAACCGCAGTGGGGATTGGAAGATGAGATTTCCGTCATGGTGTCGCAGCTTCAGAAGGAGAACCAGTCCGGGGGTGACGAAGAGGAAGGGGAAGAAGATACTGACGAAGACCGGGAATACCTACCACATCTGCATCTCTCAACGTCTAATTGCCTTGAGGCCATCCTTGCGACTATTGCTGCTCATACTCCTCTCCGAGCTGACAGCATGCAGAATAGGCTGAATCCCATCGATTGGCGATTTGTTTTGAATGTGTTGGTCAGCCAGGAAATTGTTCATCCCAAGTGCGTTTAATACTCTGCTCTTTGTCTTTGCTAATTGTCACTTTGATTAGGGTTATCGAGCGAGCGGAAACGCGTCTACGGGCTATGTACGATGCCAATGGCACTGTACCATGTGAGTTCATGTTAACCAGCTCTTTTCAACTATCGTTGACAATTAACTAGTGCACGCGAGTCATCGCGCTCAGCAGACAATTAACTCGCGGAACAAGTTAGCTGATCTTCTCGGGCCATATGACGCTAGCCTTTTCACTCTAGCCGAACGCCCTTCGACGCCTGAAGTCGAGCCCGAACCAACTAAGCGTCAGGATAGAACGAAACAGAAGGAAAAGAGAAGAAAACGCGTATCAAGAGTGCCGCGTCGGAAGAAAACCAGTAAGTGGAGCCCTCTATTATTCCAACCCTTCAACTCAACCTGGCCTAAGCTCGAAAACATTTGGAATCAACGTAAACGTCAACAGCGGTTCTTGTTCTCTGGCGGCGGTGTCAGTGCGAATAAAGGCAATAACATAGGTAGCATTTCGCAATTGTCTTGTACTTCGCCAGGTCTGATTAAGTCCGCTAGATACAGGGTACTTTGGGTGGCGGCAATGCTCCATACGCGAAGACCGACGCCGAGGATGGGTATCCAAAGGCTTATCCTACCTATTTCCTTTGGATACTGCATATTATCTTGCCATCGTATAACGGGCATGATTGGGAAAGAATGTTGGTTCTTTTTCTTGCAACTTTTGGATGTACATTACAACGTTACAGTGTAGGAAAACAAAAGCCGTAACATTCTATCGACATACCGGACCGGAAATGCTGACGCGTCACGCGATAGCGCGACTCTCTGATAACGGCACTCTACCCCCATCATAAGGCTCTGGAGCTGGAAAACAAAGACTCGACCCTGCAAGAATCAAGCGTCGCATTGATACGATGACGAGTAGCGACCAACGGAGCGAACAATGGGGACAATGAATGGTTGTTTGTGCTTATTTGTGGTTTACCCATTGGGAATCTCTTTTGTTCCCGAAACGGCAATCCTTTTGTGCGTTGGGCCATTGAGAAAACAATGCTTTTGCCTGTCAATGGGTACGTGAATAGACCGAAGAGATTATAAACATCGATCCTCATCCTGGGATGGGTCGTTGTTTTTCTCTTTTCCCTTCCGCGACTGGGAATCAGACTTTCCCCCCTTGACCTATTATTATGAACCCGAGCACGAAATCTGCATACCGTATGTTCCTTCGTTTTGTCTTCGCAGAAGCATAGTACTGATAAGATTTCAGACAACGAACCAATGCTGAAAAGACAAGCACGTATACGCCCACGCCGAGATCTCCAAGCTTCCACATCGGCTGCACCACTGTCGATGATTCTAGAGGAGGACGATGCAGCCAATCTAAGCAGCTCCAGCGCTTCGAGCGCTACCAAAGACTTGAAGTCACGGAGGCGACGGGCAAATATCATTTCAGACCCCTTCCATCTTACCTTCACCCAAGTGACCTATCCATTCCCCCATCCTCCAGTTCCTACTCCAAGCTCGATGCCCCCTTCCATATGCCCACCTTCACCAGGTTCATCTTCGCCTTCCACGAGCGCCACCCCTTCTCCCTATTCAAGTCCTCGATCTCACACCACTAGTCTCCCTACGTCCCCGGAAGCTTCCTCTTCGGAAGACGACGACGACGACGTTTTCTCATACCCTGCGACTAAGCCTCTCGTCATTAACAAAATCCACCGCCGACTCCACAAGAAAATCAGCTGTGAGGAGTTGAGTGGCAACCTGGACGAGGACTACGAGTACTACACGCAGGAATTCAACAAGATCATTTCCCTTTCATCGCTTTACGCGCCTGTCCACTCCCAAAGTTCCGCGTCGCGACCCGAATCTGGTTGTGCGCTTCCCAGCACCCAGAAAACGCGTCCCAAGTCTCTCACCATCGTCCGCCCACCTCCCCGCACCTCCTTACCCGTACCTGCTGAGGCTGACGAGGACGGCGCCGACGTGCTACTCTACTACCTCGAAGGCATCTCCCTCAGCTCAGGCAGCCACTACTCCGCGTCGGAGTCAAGTTCTCCATCCCCAGCACCCGAAGACGATATCTCATCCAATGTCTCACTCGTCGACTTCGCCTTCGACCTGGACTCGTCTACCAACCTTCGTTTTCCTCTTTCCCTCCCCTGCTCGCCCATTGACTTGGAAGCAGACATCCAGGGTGGTCTTGAAGAGCTCCGTGCAAAGGAGGAGGAGATTTCTGCCCAGCCTTCGTCCAATGAGCAGTCCTTCGGCGAGGGAGAACAGCCATACTACCCAGCCGAGCTCGAGGACGGGCGGGTGCTCCGGAGCAGGTTTAGTACCTCTACTCTGGGCTCCGTGAAAGAAGAACGTTCCCCGGGCCCAACCCTGGTCAAGCGCGTGTTGCCGTACTTCAAGGGAGGAAAGGATAAGACCAAGCGGAGTCCTAGCGGGAGGAAGCGTGGAAATCCTTTCCGAAGTAGCGTCGACTCTCCGACCAACTCGGTGTTCTCACCGACTGCCTCTTGGTTCTCGCAGATTGATGCTCCATCATTGAAGCGGAGAACGAGTACGAGCACTACCGGTAGCGGAACTAGTGCTGAGAGTACGAGTAGTTCCGGTTTGAGGAGGAAGCCAATTCCTATCGAGATGTTTTTGAGGGCTTGATGCTCTTGTTCTTGCCATGATGACAGTTTATGATATTTTATGCGCTCCGCTAATTATTTGTTTGCAAACGTGCATCTCTTTGTAGCCTTAGAACTCATTCGACTTCCTGATACATACACACATACGCCAATAGCTTCGAACTACAATTTGTACATTTAACATCGCCATATATCTAATGCCAATTCCTTGTATCTTCTTCCTCTACCATTTACCGGCTATCGCACTCCTGGCCAGCTTCAGCGTTTGCAATTTGATTTGACATAGGGAAGCAGCTCGTGTCACCCTGCACCGAGACACAGATATTCGTACTGCCAAACGCAAGTACGGAAAAACTCTGAGTTGTGTGGCTTTTGGGAAGAGTGTCGGTTTTGAGCTTTGCCAGAACCAAGCTGATGGCGGCTTTGCACATTCTCTCAACATCAGTTTCAGTGTATTGATGACCCGACTCTCTGTTATTGTTCCATAGAGTTTTAGGATTGCTGTTCTTCGAGGACTGCAATGTGTTGTGTCTTAGAATTTGGCAGGGACCAGAGAGAGGGTACTAACCTTCCCATCAACGGTTACACTTATACCCGTCTTCGGATTAGACTGCAACTTGACTTTAGGATTCTTTTCTAGCCATTCCTTGGTTAGATGTGTCCCAGCCGTCGCCTTTTTGGCTCCTCCAAAAACGTGGGCCTTCATGCTATTCCATGCCGCATCCACATTCGCTTGTGCCGTTGCAGCAGAGGCGTGTTGACTATTTTGCTGCGGGATGTAAGCAACGACGAATAGAGGAAGTAACTGGATATAGGGTACCTGAGAGGTGATAGCCTTACATTCGGCTGTGGTCCGTGCCAGTGGGTTTGCGCCGGCTGTGGAAAGCCCGGCACACCGTTTCGTGGTGCCGTCGTAGCCGCACGCACTTCCACTTTTTCCCTTGACCGCAACTGAAACAAGGCATATCATAATTCCTGATTAAAATATGTGTGACAATTCACTCACTGCAGGCCTCGCAAGTCGTTTTTTTTGCACACCCTCCCTCAGCCGGGTCTGCCACGCGCTTGGTCAAAGAGGGAGTAGTCAAATGCCCGAAGGGGGCCATCTGCCTTTCCCTCGTAGGCGTCGCGAGGACAAAGGAGCAGAAGAGAGCTGCAAGAATAGCAGACTGTGCGGTAAATTTCATAGTAGTTTTTTCGTGAATAGTTAGACCGGAACCTGTATTCCTGTCAGAAGTGCACCTGGAGATGGCAAATGCGATCTTACCAGCCGGTATAAGAAATGAGTTGAGGAGTATTGGAGCGACTGAATGCACTGAGATGCATGGCTCTCGCGCTTGCACCTTTATAGCCCTGGCAGATGTGAGGTAGTTAGTCTAATGGAAAAGCAGCATATTCCCATACTACGTAGCCATGGAATCGTTCGGCAATACCTTCCTACCTAGTCCTCTAAGTGAGGCGAGATGACCGGTAAGACTTTGAGGTCGGAGACACGTAGTACGGCAAGGTGACACGATGCCATGAACGACGACCCGTCGTGTTGCCCAAGAGCTCGGCAGCCCGCACTCTTCTTATAACACCGTAGTTGGGGAAAACTTGAGTCACCAGACACAAGTGGCGAATAATGCCTTCACTGCGGCCTACCACGGTCTGTGCCGACGTGCAAACCACTACTCCGCGCGCACTGCAAAACATCAGTTCGATCTAGTCGGCACTCCCATGAGTGGAAAAAAAAAAGGTCTGGAAAGCTCTTACTACGGCGGCGGCAAGTTCATTTGATTGTCGTGTAAGTAATTTGGAAGGGGATCGTGTCGGGTCTCTGGAGGTCATGATCGTAGCGATGCACCTTGCATCAAGTGCAGTCGGAACTCTTTCTGTTGAAAGGCCTCTTGTTTAAAAAGATAAACATAGCTCGTGCTACCCTAGAGCCGAACAGGCCAAATAGTTAAAATGAACTCGAGAGAGGCAATAACGAAACTTCAACTTTTAGTGTTGGATTAATGCTATCGCATATTTAGCTTTTTTAGAAACCACACAACGCCAGTGGTCGTTGAGCCACATCATTACATCTTGGCAAATGCCTATTGAATGCCCATAAGTAAATCGTTGACTGTCGCATAATAAGCGATACCTTTGCTGAGGTGCGGAAGATCCATCAACCAGTTGTAGTGGCGGTTATCATTGTCAATTGATGACTCGGCGTTGGTTATGATCTGGCGTGATGTACGCTTATGGTTCACCTTCGTAGGTATTATGCTCGACCAGAACCCGAACCATATGTCTCAAAGAGAGGGCAGGGTTCGTAATGAGTTCAAAAGACTTCCAGCTCGATGTCCTCTTGGATAAACGAAGTAATGGCATTGTGTATTAGTCGTGATGGTGCTCGCCAAAAAAAGTCTTCTGTATTGAAGGGACACATACGAATCCATGGAGTAGTGGGTCTTAATGGTGGTGGTATGCCGTAAACAGAACTTCGGCTGTCGCCGATACCCCTTTGCCCGTTACCACAATGATCGCCGGCACGCTCATGTATCAACAGTGCGGCCATCAGCAGATTGGGAAAAAAATTGCCGGGGATTGCGGCGACCACGGTCCGGCGGAATTCTTATCCGCCTCGTCAAGGCCTCACAAGTCCATATAACCAAGGCGTGATGTTGCGCCCTTTTCATAGGCTATTATAAACCCACGTAATAATTACTTGCCCTTTGAGATTGCATAGAATTATTTTCAGCTCATGTATCAATACTGTAAGCACAATAAAATATGGCCTGGCTTGCACAGACTGGTTTAAGACTGATTGAAAAATGGTAGTAAGAATTGAATTTGATTCTTACTAGGTGTCTAAAATGATGACATAAATGTATTACAGGTCAGCAAACCTCATATCATTGATGTCGAGCTCGAGGTTGTTTGACTCTACAGATCCACTGCAGAATCGGCACCCTCTATGGAAAGGCTCTCGCTATCACGGTCTTCATCACCTTCCTCTGTATCTTTGCCCATGCTAGCTTCATCGCCTGGTCCGTCGCCGTTCCCGTTTTGTGTGTGGAGGGTTGCCTAGCTTTATTTAACCCTGTAGTCGAATATTGTTCTTGAAAGTCACGACTCACGGTCCTTCGGATGCTCTACTGAATTTTCACTGTTCAGCCACACCCTGCTAAATCGGCGGGAGATGGGAGAAAGGAAAAAGATCGGACACTAAGAAAATTACGAGAAGTGAGACGGGTGCATGGCATGAAAAACGAGTATGCAATTGGACTACTTAGTGGCCCGATTAGTTGCGATCGTGTTGTGTGATGTACCACGTGATAGCTCGTGGTTCGTTCCGAGTTTATACTCACCATTACTTACTCATTTTCCTTCTCGTCGTGGAGACCTATTAGGCCAGACTCAGATCTAGAAGACCTATTTCAAACCTCTAGGCCTATTCTTCTCCGATGCGGACTCCTTCTTCCGAGCTCGGAACTCCAACGTAATTTCTTTCAATATAAATACTGTCTGAAGTCGCGGCCAAAGCGCTAATGTCTCAAGCAACGTACCCTCACCTCTCCAAGAATCGCAAATTTCCAGCCTGCCCAGATCCTCTCGTCTATCAATGCATCAAGTTCAACTAGTGGTCTTTTGAAGTGACGTATTGCAGAGTTGGAGGAGGAAGTGGTCGTGTTGAAGGGCACTCAAGTCAAGCATCGGTGAGTTTGATAATGGCTCTCTCCTTGGGATTCACTCCATAGCATCTTAGGGAATTGTTCAGGCCGATGGGTTGTGCCCTTCCCCATGCGATGTCACTCTTTAATAGTGTCCGGACTCCGGAGCATCGTGGATGAGCAGGTCAGGCGCCAAATTGAGGTGACATTCCTTTTCCTAGAGGTCTTTTCAAGGCTGAAAAGACTGAAATATCTAGGTCCCCTCCTAAGAGTAACTATGGAAAGTGATTGGTGGCAAAGAGGGAGGAGCAGGAGCGAGAACATACAGTATAAATTTGAGGTCACTTGTGTAAACCGCTGTACTTGTATTATGTTCACCGTAATAATAAATACACTGTTCTAAGCCTCTCCAAGTCTTCAAGAGTGAAACTATACAAATTATATATGCTCCCAGCCACCCAAAAACCACTAGCTGCTACGGGCCCGCTTTACAATGGTGCTCGTGTTATATTTGCCTATGGCATCAAGTAATTGTACTAATACCTTTCGAAGCCTGGCATGCATTACTGATATCGGAAATGCTCATAAGGATATGTGTAGAATTGTCATTTTTCCACGCTTCATATGGGCATATAACGCTGGTGCAATTATTTCGGAGGTTGCCACGCATTTCGAGCCTTGCCACGGGCTTATACGGCCATATATATTTTTGTTCGATTCGCTGATGGCAATGGGCTCACCTCTTGGCAAGAATGCTGACGGTAAAATGGCTTGCATGTCGAACGCTCCTTTACCGCGATACCTCTTCTGCAAACAAGTCCTTGCTTGAACCACTTTTCCCATCTTGAGGATCTTTCGCGCTCTGTCTGCAGAATTCGCATTTTCGTCTACTTGTGGTATCTCGTCAAGGGGATAAACAGTACAGTGTCGTGTACGCTGTTACCCATATAATCTTTCATAATTGAACGCAATATACTAACCCTTACTCAGCAGGTACAAGTAGTACAATGAATCGTGTCGCGACCTCTTTTTCAGTGTAATCAATCTCCTCGCGAGTGAACTGTGCTGTTCTTCGAATCCCAACTGTATCTATGAAACGTGGCCCCTTCGAGTCTATCATACTAGGCGTATTCCTCGCCGTGTCTACGTCCAAGCTGAAGATCAACTTGCGCCTACGCAAATGACTGGACTCTAGTGGAGACATAGTTCCGAGTCGGGCTCTTTTCTTCATCATAATGCCACTTTGAATAGCCTGGTGCCATCAGAAATGACGTAAATGCTCGTCTCGTCTATTAGCCTAACATCACTGCGTCATATCCGTTGACCTCGTCTTCCGTCTATGTGCACTGGTGACTGGGGATGATCCCTAAAGACCTAAAGGACGAGGAATGCCCTGAAGAATGGAATTGGCACGTGTCGATGATAATCGTGGTTGTAGAGAAAGAGGCGTCGGCTGCGACCGGAGTTCTGTTTCAAACGATCAACCACCTCCTGGCACTCGACCTTTGTGTGCGTCTCCTCATAGCGCATGCACCGTTTCTTGGGTTGATCATTCGTACCGTGGCAGATACGTCGACCCCCTACTTCGTTCATTCCACGACAATCAATGATAGGAATTTTCGAAAGTAAACACTGGATGTCTATACGGACGACTAGAGAATCCTCCACCTCTTTCTTGATGCTTCGGTCTTCATGGAGTCATTTGTTTCACTTGCTGATAAATAAAAATTCTGGAGTCTGCATGAAACAGTCGTCCCTCAATCTCTCATCACCAATGCCTTTGGTACAGCCAGATTCAAGATACGTTCAAGTAGTTTGCTGGTGGAAGGAAACAAAACTCCACAAAGAAACTATATTCGCCGTTCCATTATTGCCTGGCAGCTCCTCGAAAACTCGTCAGAGCTTACCGATGCCCATCGATACCCAAGCGGTTTTAACTGCAGAGGCTCTCCTGAGTATCGCTCGAGGCTCATTGTGCGGATTCTATATTCCTTCAGATGCTCTCGCCGACTCAAATCCGCGCAAAGACAATATTTACCGATTCACGTTTCACGGCGTGCACTCTGCAACGAATCAAGAGCCTGGGCGTCGTCTGTCCCAAGAGGAGCTCTCTATGCCGCTGAAGGAACTGGCAGGGAAAATACTATGGATCAAGGTGGAGGGGTATGTATCATGCTATTGCCTCAATATGCCCTTTGTTTACCCTTTCATAGGAGCTCGCCGCCCACCGCGAATCTGACCAAACTGCGCATGCAATTGACCGTCGAGGACAAGAGCAACGTAAGTACTAAAATTTTTGAACGTGATGACAAACGACCTCAAAGCTGTGTGTCTTCAGCACCCCAGGAATGTAAGATAATCTATGCTGTAGTAGTGATCATGATTGAAGTCTGCATCTTATAGTGGGCCATTTCTGCCAAAGGGGATTACCCTGACGCTCGCTGTCCCTTCACGGACTGCCTATTGCCAAATGCCTGTCACATCATTGAATGTGGACAGAACGATGGAGCATACGAAGCTCTACCGGGGCTTTCAAATCGTATTCATGACATCTGTTATCCTCAATTGGAGCCAACTTATAACGGCGAGCCCGAGGGTTTTCTAGATGTAAGATTTCCCATATCGGCAATAAAGCGTTACGCGCTGGGTTGGTTACCCCACGTAGAAATGCCAGTAAATGGCATGATGCTGGAGTGCCAGTTCCATGAGACTTACGATAGGTATTGGTGGTTCATATATCGGGGAGTATGCATCCTTTCCTGTGCTTATTTTGGGAAATTTTTGACTTGCGATCGACAGGAAGCCTTTTGGACTCACGACAAGCCATGCCCTCTCTTCCAGGTGTATGGTTGGGATCCACAGGTGCATCCGGCTGAACGTGATGCGCACCAAAGCGAGCGAAAACCACGGAAGATCAAGCAGGACCCTTCGCAGGTCCAGCTCCAAGATTTGCGAACGATCATTTCCTTCTACCATTCCTTCGGCACCTCTAATTATTACAACATCATAGAACGTGTAGCAGGTGACCTACCGTCTCCGAAGAGAAAGGCAAAGGAGCAAGGAAGGAGCAGGAAGCGGCCATGTTCTTGTCACGATGATGAAGACAGTGATACAGAGAGCGATTCTAGTTCCGACGATACAGAAGAGGATGAAAATTGGAAGGAAATGGCGGAAATCGAGCAGTGTAATATCACAGCGCAGACGATGCTGATATTGCTGGCGAACTGCTGGTCCATCCAGGCTGGGAGGCGCGGAAAAAAAATCCGCTCATAACGCCGAGAAAGTTGTCGTATTAGGGTCATAATACAAACACTATGGTGCAGGTTTCCTTGAATTCCAAGAGAATGTAGTATGGCCCGATTTTCGTCTTTCTACATTGTCTGTCGACGATAAGAAACAAAATAAGGGTTGTCGGTGAGGGGTACAATCGTAAAACAAAAAGTGGCTACGAATAAATGTTTGAACGAGGGAACGAGGCGTTGCCAACTATATCGTCATAATTGATCGCCGAATTCCAATAGCCTAGGAGCGCACTACAAGTACATCTAGTCTCGTCCCCATCCGTTCTGGCGTGACCACGTGTTAGTTGCCACGTGCGGCGGAGTTGAAAATTTGGTGCAGGACTCACGCCAGAACGTCTGGGGCATTTGGGCTCGATTTCACCCCTCCTCCTACTATTTTCAAATTTTACTATGATTTCATCTTTGTCATACGCGTACCGCGATCGTTGACATCGTCGCCAGCATCCTCTCTTGCCATCCGGCATCTTGGTTCATTTTTTGCTAGCTGAGTGCATCCAGAAACTCAGGCAACTAAGCCCGACAATCTTCATAAACGACAGGACTGGTAAGACCTGCTCAGCAATTGCAGTTTCCTCCACTTCGGCTGATTAATTCCCTCCTTGGGCGTGGTCTTCCGAGGGATTGAGAAAGTGAATCTTCGGGTTCGGAATCAGATTCTGAATGCCTGTCTGGATCACCGTCAACATTGTAGATCAGTGAAGTCCATTCTCGGAAGGTTCGACTGGCCATTAGACGAAGGGAGTGCTATTGCGCTACAAAAAGTGGTCTAAATATAGTTATATTATGGCATCATTATTTGGAGGAGGGGTGATATCGAGCCCAAATGCCCCAGACGTTTCAGTGAGATCTCTGCCCTCCCTTTTGTAACTCCGCTCGCGTGACACGGTCCGATCTCTCCGGACGCAGTGAGGAGGGCAAGATCTCACGAAACGGGTGGGTACGAGACTAAAGTACATCGATTTCTTAGTTAATATTACACCCGGGTACACAACAATGACCCCGTTCAGGCTCCCACCCTGTTCTCCATGTCCGAATACGCATTGAGCGCCAACTGTCCACCCAAATGCGCGTAAAGAACATTCCCTCCTTTAATTTCTCCCTTTTTAATCATATCAACCATCCCAGCAAGACTCTTCCCCTCATACACAGGATCCGTAATGAATGCGTCCATCCTCGCTCCGTACTTTATAGCCTCGATCGTCTGCTTATCGGGTATACCATACGACCCCGCATGGTACCTCTCATCCAAAATCACATCCGCCTCAGTAATATCCGCCTCACTCAACCCAATCTTCACAGAAGTGTTCTTCGCAATGCGCAGAACCTGTGCCTTGGTCTCTGCAGGCTTCGCAGACGCGTCGATCCCAATCACGCGACGGGGTGGGGAGGAGGGATCAAGCTTGGCAAGGAGCTTGAACCCCGCGATCATACCCGCGAACGTGGATCCGGTCACGGCACATACGATGATCGTGTCGAAGAACACGCCCAGTTCTTTTTCCTGCGCGGCGACTTCGAATGCCCATCGAGCGAATCCGAGCCCGCCGAGGGGATGGTCAGAGGCTCCAGCGGGGATATAGTAGGGTTTCCCACCCTCGGCTTCGACTTCTGCGGTGAGAGAGGCTGCGGTGGGTTTGTGTTCGATGCCAAAGGTGGAGGGATCCAGCCGAGGTTCGGCTCCCATTAACCGTGAGAGCTGCAGGTTTCCTACTTTGTCGTAAACGACGTCTTCCCAGTCTACCCAGTGCTCTTGAACCAGTTTAGCCTAATGCGAAGGTCAGTATTGAATGAAACTCGTCGGTGGTGTTCGAATGTACTTTTAGCCCGTATTTCGCTGCGACCGCCGCGACCTGTCGCGTATGATTGCTCTGTACGCCTCCGATGCTCACCAGAGTGTCGGCACCTTTGGCGAGAGCTTCCGCTAAGAGGTACTCTAGCTTTCGCATTTTATTGCCGCCGAAAGCAAGTCCGGAGTTGCAGTCATCGCGTTTAGCCCATATCTTGACTGTGCCGCCAAGATCCTCGGTCATCCGGTTGAGGGTATGGATAGGCGAGGGTCCGAAGAGCAAAGGCTCCCTTGGGAGCTCGTTAAATGGGGATGGGAGCGTAAAGGCCATCGTCGTGTGCGTGAAGGGAGGGAGAGATAATTCTCGCAGATCAGTACTTAATCTGACTGGAATTTCTTTATCAGATTTCAGTCAGAGTCCAGACGCCGTGGCCAAGTCGTAGTGTGGGGAAGCGGATCGATCAATTCCAAATTCATTCAATATTGCCTGTAGGCTGTCGCGACATCTATGCGCCATGGAAGGTAGTCAATCGAAGTCGAAAGATATCATAGGACCTCCATAGGTGACTGAGAAGTTGCTATCTGGAAGGAATCTGCAAGTCACAAAAGGTCATGCCTATCCAAGGATTGAACAAATCGGATTTGTCCCTAGGCGGCTGATTTCAGACCAACCGACCTAAGAAGATGCAGGCAAGCCGTGTCAGTCATCCACAATCATACGTATAAAAGCAAAGATAATTAGCTTCCGGTCTCCGAACCTTTTGGGCAGCATCTATGCGTCATAGAAGTGAGCGGAAGTCGTCTGCAAGAATAGTATCAAATAGGGTATAAATAACACGATAGATATCTATAATAACCGTGCGTTAACATGTACCTCCTGCAACATCAATGTTTGCAAGGCCGGCAATGTCACCATCCGTGTAAATTCTGTACTTGCTTTCTGGAACACCCTGGAAAGCGGTAACAAATCTCGCGTCGGTATTGTTGGCACCATCCACTTGGCGAATCCAGATACATCGGATAAAGTCGCCGTACTTCCTGTACCTGTAAGACCATCATCAATCAACCCACGCTCATTCGAGTCAAAATATCTGACTCACGCTTCAGCATATACCTCTGGGTCCGACTGTGTCGAGTCGCCGACAGTTAAAAACGTCTTGCCCGGGTATATGCCATGGACGCGATCAATCTGAGAGAGCTTGAAGTTCAAGATGTCGTTGGGGTTGAAGAGGACATCAATGACTTGGGTAACATCTTCGAGGGTCACATTCTGTGAAAAGATAGGACCGCGGCTCTTGAGGAAAGACGTATTCAAAAAGTCGCGAAGGAATGGGAAGAGCTGGTAAGGAGATCCCGTGATATAGATGAATGCAGGATCGTTGAGTGACTGAGCAAGAGACGCGTACAGATCAGGCATGCCTAGAAATCACTGAGTGAGCCTCAAGAGAAGGACTAAGCAAGCAATTGGCAAGTCACCTGATACAGGCTCCGGAGTATCGAAGAGAGTTGTCTTAATGGATTCAAGCCGGTCCAGAACGTGGGTCACTTTAACGGTATCGTCGATGTCTAGAGAAAGAGTCAGTCCATCACGAAATCAAACGAATCTAAATGGACGCGTACCGGAAATAACTCCAAAGCCATCAGTGCCTGATGGAAATATCGTTGTAGTGACCGTATCGCCAGCATGGGACAACGTCCCAGTAAAAGTGCTTCCTCCATTGCAGTGTCCCACGGATGCATTAGTCGCAGCCAATCCAAGGTCTGGTAAGCCCGACGTGGCAGACAGCGTCGCCTTCTCATTGCACCCGGCGACGTCCACCGAAAGCGACACACCTGGCACTCCAACGGCAGCAAACAACTTTAGTCTCTCCAGTGCCGTGTCGATACCGCTAACCTTCAGCAATGTCAGCCACGGGGTGAGGGTACTCGTCAAGGCCGTTAAATCGGGCTGTTTGAAATAGACGAAGGATTGCAAGCTGACGAGACTGTTGGAAATATTATCCGGGTCCTGAAAGGCGGGCGCGTCGAATAAAAGGACCTCATTCGGAGAACCGAGCGACAAGTGATATGTTACTGGCGTGGCTCGAGCAGTAGCCAAAACGAAGAGAAGGAAGATAGAAGTGAATCGCATAGTGATGGACGATGAACGAGTGAGAAAAACGAATGTGAGGAGAGTGGTAGTTATATGCTGCTGAGAGGCACAGGAATTAGTCAGCGCACCACGTCTAGAAAAACACAGTACAGAGGACGCGACTATGGCAACACTGAGAGACAAACGGTATTAGACACACGTGGGCGCGGATGTCTGTGATTGGCTTCCATGTGGTAGACACTGGTAGACATTGACCCGGTATCCTTCTGGATTCCTGTGAGCTCCATCCTCGGCAATTCCTCGGAAGAGTCGCAGGATGAAACGACGCCGCGTGGGGTGGATTCACTGAGACAGGCGCACGGACCGAACGGGAGCATCGAGACGAGACATATCAGTGTCCAGTATCGCTGCAAGACATGGCATAGCATCAGTTCCAAATTATTGAAGACACCAATAAGGACAGTCACCAGAGAGATTTGAGACAGAACATACTGGTTATCACTGGAACCGACTCACTCTTCAAACAACGGTAATAGTTGCGTGTATTTCCCATTTGTTCTTATTAACGGTGTACAAGCGATTGGTTACATCACAGAGCTACTTTGAAAATCGATGGTATGCATACGCCAAGTAAAAAGGATGGTAGTCGTCTGAGAACGGCGGTGGGTAGGAAGTGATCCACATGATGGCTGTGCAAGAGAACTACCCCAGAGTTTCTTTTTATTTATTTATTTTTGGACGGCCCTGCACCGTACCCGCTCTGGGAGTTTGTAGTAAGTGGTTATATCTCGATCCCCCACTTCGGTATCATCCGCTTCCTGAGCAACTATTCGGCACCTTGCTATTTATCTGCCGGATTGCCCCGGGGCCAGTGTTGAGTCGATTATTCAATGTCGAACTTAGACGTAAGAGGAGAAAAGGCACAAAGTCCGAACTGACATAGTATCTAGAAAATAATAAATGTACATGAAGAAATGAAAATGGATGCTTTCGAGACTCCGACACTCGAGAGAGTCTATGCATTGTCGACTCTCCAGGTATCGTGATTTTTCAGTGGTACTATGGTACTATGGTATTTTCTTGACTATCGTGGAAGTTACTGCTGCAATGCCATTGTCAATTCCTCAGTTTATCATTACATCACTGGCTTTCTCAAGACTCAAGTCCGCTTTTTAGCGTTAAACGTTAAACACTCTATATCGACAAATTACAACCTCGTTTTTAAAAATGTTACAACTGAACAACGTTGTATAATCAGTAATGCACAATAAATTTATTTGTGGGTCTAGAGAAAGCCGTGCTGTGTCGAAATTTGCACGTCGCTATCCGTTTGCACATGCCGACCACCCGCAATAAGCCAAACACTTGCCACGAAGGTGCCGGATACCCAGAGGTTCAACGGCTCCCGCAATTGGCTCCATAGGCCCTACGACCGGATCATAACCTTGTTATGGTGACGAGGGCTGAGTCGGTGTTGATGTTTTACCCCAATGAACCTTATCAAGCGTTTCTGAGCCAGTAGCAGTGTAGAAATGTCTTTTAATTCTGCTATAATCTAAAGAATACCACAACTCAGCGTACATTGCTGCAAGCCGACGGTGTCCGCGGAAGTCCGAGTAAGTCAGGCCTGATCATCCGAGTTTCTCCGTTGTACTTCGCTTCATCTGGGGCTTCTTCGTTTCAACATCCTCAGGTACCCGGGATCGAGATATAACCACTCACTCGAGACTGCCGCTCTGGTCTGTTCTGGTCAATCCAGTCGAGTCCGGCAAGGCTCTTTCGTTCAATAGCGTGTCCTTCTAGGTCGGTAATACCACCGCTTTCTTCAGCGCCCTCGAGCCACACTTGTATTGGCACCAACACCATAGACAGTCAGCTGTTAATCGCCGGTTCATCGCATCTATCCATAGGCACCGCACTTTCAAATCAGAAGCGGCTGTTAATGACTTAGGCGCCACCCACAACGTTCCAACATGTCGAACTCACAAAGCAATGCCTCCTCGAATCCAAGTGCTGCCGAACGGGAAGAGAACGCACCAGTCGCCGATCAAAGTGGGGAGTACGGACGTGACCAGACTGAGAATGGCCGGAAGATAGAAATCGAGGAAGGTGGAGGAGAGAAGGAGCAGGATGATGTCCCCGCCACCCCTGTCAATTATCCTGACAATATGGCCAATGCAAAGAAGATTTTTGGGGCAATGAGAAGATCGAATCTTACAGCTAGGAAAGGTGTGGAGAATCCTTCTTTTTCTGCTTCGTATCTTATGAAATGCTACACAGGAAATGATCAGTACAACTATGAAGAGAAATACCCCGAGGATGCCATCTATGAAGAAACAACACCGAATGCGAGGGTTTGGAGAACGTACGAAGACGAAAGCAAGATTCACGACGCCAACATGGTCGAAGAATCCCGAGATAATGTCGACGTATTGCTCGTATTTGTGAGTTTATGGTTGCCTTGCTTTACTTCGTTACTGAGCATTGTCGAAGGCGGGTCTTTTCTCGGCCATTGTGACGACATTTGTGGTCCAAACGTCGCAGAGTTTGCAACCAGACTATGCTGCCATGTCGGCTTCCCTACTTTATGAATCGGTCCTTATTCAACGTGCTATTGTCAACGGCTCCCCGGTCGACACCATCACCCCTTCTTCACTCAATCCCACCATCACTTTTGTTCCTGCTACTACGGACGTTTGGGTGAACGGACTTTGGTTCACGAGTCTGTTCCTAAGCATTACGACTGCACTCGTTGCCGTTCTCGTGAAGCAGTGGCTGCACCATTATGTTGCCCTCCCTTCAGGAACACCACGCGACCGCAGTTTTACTCGTCAGTTTCGGTATGCCGGGTTTCAAAAATGGCATGTTCAAGTTATCATAGGACTCCTCCCTGTCTTTATGCATCTCGCTCTAGCAATTTTTCTCGGCGGCTTGGTAGTTTTCCTTCATCCACTCCGGGCCGCTCTGTCGTGGACCATTTGTGCAGCAACTGCCATCGTCTACGCCGCGTATGTATCGGCAGCTATCCTCCCCATTATCTTCCCTCAGTGCCCTTATCGTACTCCTCTCTGCGATCTTGTCTACGCCTCTTTTTGTCGTATTGTCCCACGAGTGACATGGAGCAGAATACATCTTTTCCCTGATGCATGGAAGCGACGAAGCTTCAGTGACATGATGCATTGTCTCCCTCTGGAAACCAGGAATACAACGTCGCTGACAATGATAGAGTCCGAGTCCGTGCAGTGCGTGTCACTCAGTCTCGCGGCTGAAGCATTGGACTGGCTCTTCTCAGTCTCTTCCAATCCCACTGTCCAAAGTATAGTGATGCAGTCAATTGGGGGGCTACCGCTGGCATCCCAAGAAATGTTTTTTGCACTTCAAGCAGATACCAGGGCAATGGATACCTTGAAGGAGTCTTTGCTTGGATGCTGCTTGCAGAATCATGGCGGTTTTGGTAGTGATTATGAACCAGTGCCTGGCATGGAACTCAAACTCGATCGTCTACTTCGCTTCAATCCTCGTTCTACCAGAAGGGATCATTTTACTTGTTTCCACAATATTGATTCCTTTGAGCTCGCCACTGCGATCCTATCCGTCGGTGATTATGCCTTGGTCAAGGAAGATGAAGAGTTCGTCCTTCCGGGCAAATTTTTCATGGACATTGTCCGTTCTTCACAGCTGCCACCACGTTGTTGGTTTCATCTTATAATGGCGTCGATACAGGACCTTAATCCCTTGGATCCCGATAATGATGATTACACCAATGCATTTCCCCTCCATCTCTGCTCTGCCATCGTACGCTCGTTCCACACATCACAGGGCTTAACACAGGACTTCAATTCTCCATTGGTTGTTGATTTCGTGTATGCGTTACCTTATTTTCTTGACAAAATCTACGACGATGTCCTCTACATGTTCTCAAAGTTCATCAAAGATCCATCGTTGCCCCAATCTCTGAGGCTGTTTGTTGCGGTCATCAAATTCCTGTTTCATAGACTTTCTCTTCCCGATCCTGATACGTCTCATACCACCATTATTGGGATGTTAAACGATGCAACTTCTTCAATCCGTCGGAAAACGTTCATACCCCAGGAAGCTGCTGCTCTCATAACGGTGCTTGAAGATATCCTTGTTCCTTGCGCCATTCTGGAACCAGGTTCACATGATATCGTGCCACAGTGGAACGAGTTGTGCAACTTGGGAGACGGTGCAATCTTTTCCTATCAATCTTTGACTAAGATCTCCCCTTCAGCTTGTTCTTTGTGCGGTCCACGATCAATACTTCACCATATCACAGCACATTGGGACAATACGTCCCCTTCGGTTTACCAGTCCAACATAGGGTGTGACGCGTTGACAGATCTCCTCGCAAGGCGCATTCCAGTAGCTTTTTCTGCGTTCCTTGAAAATCAATTTCTGGAGTTTCTTGGAACTCACATGTTTCATGAAGCCTCCGTTCCCATGGTTAGCGAGTACGTTGCAGGAGTCTCTGCCCTGCAACACGAATCGGATGGAGCAACGCTTCGGATGCACATGGACTACCTCCATAGCCCACCTAATCTTTACACTGCGTGTTCGATCTTGGCCATACACAATTTCAAGTATACGATCCAGGATTTCTTGTACAGGGACATCACGACGCTAGTACAGCTGCGTCCACGAGATGCTGCCTGGGATGAGTGTCGCAGGAAACTTCGTGATCTGGTAGAAAGTGATGGCGAGGACCTATCCGGTACACAGCTCGTATGGCGAAATAATGAGCTTCGCCCACTGCAGACCGACGAAGTACAAACCAAAAAAGCCAACATCACATACGCGATACAGGTGCTTGATGACTTCTTCGATGGCAGAACACATACCGTAGTAAGCTGACATTCCTTTCCTCAAATGCTGCCTTTCACAGACTGTCGATCTAGGTCCTCTCTGATTCATCGCCATCGCAGCCCCCAGCAGGCCATATACATCGTTTTTTAGGACGGTGTCTTGGTCGAAAGCCGAAGGGTACGCCGGAACAGGGGCTTCAGGTTTAGCTGATAAGAATGTTAAACTTTGTGAGATAAAGATGCACCAGAGATAGCCTATCTTCAGCGAATGTTTGAAGCACGTGTCGTAGCTCTGAAATACGTTGATACAGCCGAATAAATTAATACATATACAACAAGCATGCTACAAAAGCAAGATATCTGTACATCAACCATCTATCTTCCGAATCATACGCCTATCCCTTTCTCCGACAACCTTCAACAGACCTTCGTTCTCCAGACCTTTGATGACTTCAGAAAACTCTGCGGGATCGATCCTGACGCTGCTCTGGCTGCCAAGAGCTTTGATAGCATCGGCCCATCTAACTCCCCTTCCTCCTCCAGTGCTATTCAGAACATTCAATATCTCCTTCCGCATATCATCTCTCAGTTTCCTCTGTCCTTGTCCTGTACCCGTATTCAACATGCCCATATCAATCTTCCCAGTCCGAGGATCCATAGCGCTCGTCCTGATAGCCTCACGCATTAACCGGTATGCCTCCCGTACATCGTCCACTTCCACGAATTCAGACAATCGCATCCGTGCATGGCCTTCCGACAGTCGGATCATGCTCTCCAACTGTCGAGTCGTCGCAGTAATCCGCTTTTCACTCGCGCGCGGGTCGTCTCCCATGTTGCGCATCTCGACATAGGAACGGACGAGTTCTGCTCCTGCGTCTTCGGTGATCACGGGATAGACTTTATTACGTGCATAGTCGATGTATGCAGAGAGCTCATTTACGGGCTGCAAAAAGGAAATGTCAATGAAACAGCATTAATTGAATGAAACGGGCTTACTAGAATGTCAGTATTTGCTGAAGCCGGTGTATCTTCCAGATAAAGTCCTACCAAGTGCTGTGCTAGTCGCCGGTCAAGAGTCTCATCCACCTGGTCTAGGACGAGGTATAGAAGGTCGAATCGAGATATAAGCGTTGGAGGTAAATCAATGTTCCGTGTAATGGGGAGGTCAACATCATATTTAGACCCGACCGGGTTAGCTGCGGCTAGGATCGATGTTCGCGCATTGAGGGTCGTAATAATTCCCGCTTTCGCAATCGATACAGTTTGTTGTTCCTTCAGGTATGTGTGCGGTGAACAGCATGTCACAAACGGGGGTCATCAGACTTACCATGACTTCGTGCAACACACTCCGTGTGGCATCCGCCATCTTATCAAACTCATCGATACAACAGACACCACCATCACTCAGAACGAGTGCTCCGCTGGGAACATCGTCAGCCTTCGATTAGGAAACAACAGCACCAGGCTTACCTTTGCAAAACGAGCTGTTTGGAATCCGGGTCACGAGTAACGTACGCTGTCAAACCGACAGCGGACGAGCTCTTTCCAGACGTGTATACCCCACGGGGAGCAATCTTATGCACATACTAAGGAAAAACGTTAGTACTTCTCGTCTCATAGTAATGGAAACCCAACCTGTAAGATCTGCGATTTACTCGTACCCGGGTCACCGACCAATAGAACATTGATGTCCCCTCGGTATCGTGGGCCACCTCCACCTCCACCACGAGCAATGCTCTTGTTGGTGCCTCCGAAGAGTTGCAGCAAGATACCTTTCTTGACGTCGTCCATTTCCCAGATCGAAGGCGCAAGGGATTGTGAAAGCACATCGTAGATATCCGGTCTCATGCTCAGCTGCCGAATCTTATCTTCCATCTCAGCCCTGCGAGTTTGTCTCCCATCCCGGCCTCGCTCTTCTTCCTCGTCATCAACGCCGTCCCCAACTCCGCCAACTCCTGGTACGCGGTCACCTCCGGCCGGGCGCGTCGATTTGTCAAATCCAAGCCCTGTCCCCGAACCGAGCTTAACATGAACGACATCCAAGTACGTCTTGAAAAGGCTCTTCATTGTCCTCTGGTTCGGGTTGACTCTGACGGGTACGCTGCGGAAAATGCCAGAGACGATGAGTCCATCACCGGGCTTTGAGACGTCGACGAGTTCATCGTATACGCTGAGAGATACAGTGTGAGGCGTCTGGCCATCAGGTACGGCATCAGGAGTCTCCTGCAGGCGGATAACTTGCCTGTCGGCAAATTCACAACGATTGTGGACGAGCGACATTGTCCCCATGGAGGCACAGACGTCTCGGGGACACCGTGCTGGTTCTTCGATCTTGCCTCGGTCGATTTCAACTTGGACAGTGTGTGAACATGTCAAGCAGCGGAAGAACGCAACTTTCATGTCAGGGATGACGGGAGTGGCACGAATAACAAGGCCTTTGATGCTGACAAGCTTATCCGTATCTGTTGGCATGATTAGCAATTTGACGAATAAAGTTTATGGTATTCTCACCTGTAGGATTTAGATCTCGCATATTGACTGCCTTCAGGCCAAACGGCCGTACTTTGTATACCTTGCCCATGATATCTGCGATCTCGTCGTCGCCATCAGCGCCCTCCATTCCTTCCATACCAGCTTGCTGATCCATATCCGCTGTCTCTAGCATAAGATCTTTCAAGACTTGATCCATAGCTGGTATAACTTCCTGTGGGTATTTGACCAACTGTCCATGAAGCTTCTTCGAAGGAGGATACGCCAGGAGATTTTGCATATCCAGATTCAGGTTCGTTTCGCCGGTCTGCCTCAATCGGCGCAGATAAGTCTCATACAACAACACCTCCCCTTCCTCCGGAGTGGCAAGTGCACGCGTTGGCCGACCGTGCTCACGGTCGTGAGCCACACGATACTTCGTTTTGAAGCCTTTGAGAAAGTCGCGGAAGAGCTTCATAGTTTCTGCGAGGTTGACGGTGGTACCCCAGATGGCACGAATCTCATCTGGTTCTTCGGAAGATGCTTCTGGAGCAGAAAGAGGTGGAGCGGTGTCGAGGTTAGCACCGTCAGAGTTGGAAGGGTCGGATCGCTCGACATTGGGGGCAGACCGACGGGGGCGACGTGCACTTGAGCTGGGAGTAATCGATAGAGAGGAATGGATATCTCCTCGACGGTTCCTAGGAGTAGGCGTTTGAAGGAGAGAAGGGCTCCTTTCCACGCGAATTAGCTAAGAAAAAATGCGACAAAAAATGTTAACATACTGAGGGAAATCGAGGTGGTCTGAATCTGGTGGGCCATCTGAAGCGATAGTCACGCGTTGTCTACTTCCTTTAGCAGGAGAAGAACTTGGATATGCCATTGGAGACGAGCTTCCACCTTACAGCATCGTCAGTAAGACCAGTAACAGCGCATGCCGTCTGACACACCTGCAAAAAGTGGTGTCCTCTTCGGTGTAGCCATTCCGACTGCCCTCCTCGCTATAATTCCTGTCATAGGTGTACTATCAGGCGCGTTTTGTCTTCGTCGAGACACTGGGGTGCCTGCTGCTGACGGGGTGCTACCCTTGAAAAAAAGGGGATTTGGGTTGGCATCCGATGATGGCTGAGGAACAGTGGCATCCTCCATATCGACGTCGTCGGACGGTAGGTTGATTTCGGGAGGAGAAGACATGTTCAACACGAAACAAGGATCAGATGAAGGAGTAAAGGGAAGCAGTCGCGTCACGACCGCGACGCGTCAAATGGTTCTTTAGGGCCGGTCGCAGAACCCCGGACCTCAACAATAACATTTCCACACTTTCTCCTTCTTTTCAGTCATGCCCCCGACGCCGAATTTTGAAGACATAAGCCAGGTTCGGTCTCCTGTCCAGCTCCTGCAGCGCTCGCTCATGTCAAACAGTCTGTGTTTTTGATACCTTATAGCTCTCCGGGTACGTCGAGGCCTCTCCAATGCAATTCAAGTCGTGACAGCTGTGGCAGATGACGATTCTGAAGAAGAAAATGAGACTTTCTTACGAGAGGCTCGTGATACTATTGATAATGACCTTGAAGATGGCGATCTTCTGAGGTGGGAGGCGTATCAATCTGCATGGGCAAAATGTCTTGACAAGCTTCAAGTGAGTGTCCATGCTTGCAAATCTGTCCTACACTAAGCATCTCTGTAGTCTATTATCCGGAAGCTGCATGAACCCGTTGTTGAAGCGATTGTTGAAGAAGTCAAAAGCGCGTACACAGACACCCTGCCCGGATTGCCCTATCCCGAATTACCTACCATAACGATATCCAGTACGTCCCACCCTCGCTGCTTAGAGTTCTACATTAATTAACTGGTCAGACCCCGCTGGTGGGCCGTCGTTTTTCAATGAACTCATCAATCAGCTCGACTCTTCGAACGATGAAGTGAACCCTAGCACGTTCGTCACACACCTGCATCCCGTGGAATGTTCGAATATCATGGCCGGAATGAAAACATTGATTACCGGATTTACGGACAAACCACCTGATCAAGCGAAAAGTAGGTCTGTGCGCTCTGTTTGCCCGCTTCTTGCTTCATCTTGTTGCTTTAGCCCAATTCAAAAGAAACTCAGCAACTTCGCTTGCGAGTTATGACATTAACCTTCTTGATGTGTGGTTCACAGCTGTCCGAAACGACCGAGGTAACTATCAGAATTCTGTATGAGCTTTTGCTAACGCCCTCTTCAGAAAAGCACAACACAAAAGTGCCGAGTCTAGTTGCTGTTTTGCACGACTTTGAGCAATTCAACCCATCTGTAATGCAAGATATTTTCGACATTTGCAGGTCTGTTGCCACGGCACCTTCATTTTCGTCAGGTTATAACTGTTCTTGTAGCCTCCAAATCCCTCAGCTTCCCCTTATTTTCATCGTGGCTCTCTCATCTGCCCAATCCCCTTCGTATCTGCATGTTACATATCCTCGCTCGACTCTAGCAGTTCTACGGATTAGACAATTCCACGTACCTTTCGGCTTGCATATTCTTGAAGAAATACTGCGGCAGGTATGTGCATCTACCTGATGAGAGTAATAACGTCCTCACACATTCTGCAGACCTTCTTTACTACCGCCTTCGACCCTGATGTTATCATTGGTCCTGCGGCGCTCAGTTTCATAGTCGACTACTACTCCCGATATAATCCCTCGTTGGATTCCTTATTGAACATGTTCCAGGTAAATCAAGCTGCTTCGTCAATAATATCTTCTGATTGATCCTGACTTGATAGCTCGCTTACTTGAAACATTTCATGATCAACCCACTTTCCTTATTAGCGAAGACTACTCCCGCGATAGACATGCTATCAACATCCTTTTCCTTTGTAGACACGCTGTTTGGTCGGTTGTGTACTACAAAAACCTCGGCTGCCTGGCATGAGCAACCGTTGCCTACATTGATAGCAGCGGTCGATGACGCTCGCGAAGTTTTTCATGCTCGTGTCAGGAAATCACGGATAGCTTTCGAAATAATGATGGTCGTCCACGAATTTTTCGCGCGCTTAGGATCTAAGAGTATCGAATGGGACTCTCATCACGGTACCGCTTTGTTAAGAATTGCTATTGACCTTCTCAAAGGGCGATCAACGAAACATGCTGAGACGTTAAGCTCCCTCGTCAGGTTCGTTCTTTCACCTACAGATCTCATTGCAAAGTTACTGACACATACTTATGCAGGAAATTGAAGTTTTCTGAGATACGCCCCTTCTTGGATGTCTTACATGCCTATTATCGTGATGCACCTGCCGATATTCGGGACCGAGAGGAACAACATATTGACCTTTTCATCTCGGGCTTACCGCAAGAGGACGACGATCAATATTCTGGGAAAATGCGACAGCTTGCCATTGACATAGGAGATTGGTTACTTAATTATCTAGAGTGCGTCCATCAACCCCGGTTATCCACCACATTCTGAAGTACCCTTGAAGTGAACTCGTGCAACCCCTCGAGGAACTCCCCCTGTGGGAAGTCTGGTCCACAGGGCAAACACCATTTCCAATGGAGGCACGTTGCAGACGTTCACAATTAATCCCTATTCTGATTGACATGCATAGCTCATAAATCCATCGATACGAGCATCCATCATCTCGGGTCTGCTGCGCTCACATGAGTTCAGTGACAATGTCAAAAACCCGGAAGAGATCAATTTATGGGAGCTTCCGGATACTAGTATTCTTTTCCGACGGTATCTGGACAGCGGGAAGATGATCAATGTCTATGACTGGTTTGAGTCTTTTCAGCCGGTCCTGGAGACTCAGCGCAGGGAGACCTTGGGTCCCAGGAAAGGTTCCCGGAGAAAACGGGGAAAGAAGGTAGTCGGAGGCAACGAGGACAAATGGAAATTGCAGGTGCAGGCTAGGTTCATCCGTGCGCTGCACGAGCTCGATTATCTTGGCTTTATAAAGCACACTGGGAGAAAGGCCGATCATGTCATTAGGACCGCGTTCGATGTTTGTGATATGTAATGTTGACCTCCTCTTGACTTCGAGTGTTACCTTCGAAGCCTTGCTTTCTTCGTAGGACCCAGGTTCAGAACATCGAACGCCAAGATTACTACATACCAGAAGTCTTGCAATCCTTGGAGCAAGCGAGCTTCGCACACCAGCGCACACCCTGGTGACCTGCAGTCCTGTTGATGTGACATCCGTGTTGAGGAAAATCGGTGTCTTCCAAGATTTGGGAGTCCCCCGATACCGTTTTAATAACACCCTAAATTGGCATTGGGACTGTCATTCCGTCTGATGATAAGAGTTCAGGTAGACCATCGATTATTTGTCTGTCAATTTAACCATTTAACGATTGTACTGATTTACCTTTTACTGACCGTATCGCTGAATGAATCCCCTATGGAAGGACTCAAGCTTGCCGACGTACTCCTCAACACCAGGACACAAACATGTAACACGATAATGCCACTGGCCTTCCTTTTGTCCGAACCCGCTTCCTGGAACGACACAGATACCGGTCTCGTCGAGCAGTTGCAAGGCATAAAACGCGTCGGGCTCCTTCCCAGCTTTCCTTGCCTCCTCAATGGCCTTGTCTGGCAGCGAAATTTGAGGGTAAAGATACAAAGCCCCCGGAGAATCAACACATGAGACACCCGGTAGTGCATTAAGCTTTGCAGCCATGAGTTTAGTGCGGGACGCGAGCGCCTCATGGATGGTATCCGTCTCCTTCTTCCAAAGAGGATAACTTTCCTCGCCTTCCTTGGGGGGACGCACCATGCAGTCCACACCGATTTGTCCTGTGAGCGGAGGGCACAGTCCGACCGAAACCATCTTGTAAATCAGAGCGAGAATCTCTGGCGAGAGATTGGTGCACTCAAAGTATCCACCACGGCGTCCACACTCGCCTGAGACGCCCTTGGAGATGGAGTGGAAGGAGATGAGGCCGATGGGAGAGCCCATCCGGGCCACAATCTTCTTGAAAGAAGTGAAGGGGTGAGTGGAGGGACTGTGGAGGTTAATCTGATAGACTTCGTCGGCGAGGAGAACGAGCGAGTGACGCTCGCAGAGTTTAACAACTTCCTCCTGGGTGGCTTCGTCAAGCAAAGCGCCCGTCGGGTTACCAGGGTTGATGATGACGAGAGCTTTGGGCGTTATTCCGGATTTGATGGCGTTCTGGATTCCGGCCTCGATCTCTTCAACCGACGTGGCCCAGTCGGAGGGTTCATCCAGGTGATACGGGATCGCCGCGCCATTATGCTGTGCGAGCGTTGCGGTATAGAGGGGGTACTGCGGGATTGGAATGAGAATACCAGCATGAGGAGCCGAAATGAGCATCGAGATCAGAAGGGAGACTCCAGCCGAGGCACCAGCGGTAAGGAAAATGTTGTCTGGGCTCGAAGGGTACCCGTCCCGCTCTACATATGGTTTAGCACGTCTAGAAATATGTTTTGGAAACAAGGACACGTACTCTCAATGAATTTGGCAACGTTCTGCCGGATGAAGGGGACACCCATACTGTGCGAGTATGCACCGACCGAGCCTATTTCTTCCTGGAGCTCCTTCGCGCGCGCAATAACATCCTTCGGGAATGCATTAGGTGCGAGTTCAGCCAATGCTGGCCATTCCATCAACGCCGCGACCTACGGCGCCGTCAGTCCAGTTCAATGTTGAGTCAGATTCGATTTTTTTACCTGTCTAGTGAAAGTGATCGGAGGCTGATCCAATCCCTTTTGCTGGGGATTTCCTATGTTCGAGGAGATAACTCTGTCGAAAGGAAGGCCATGGTCTGGTTCCTTGAGCTTGTTGCGGTACTCCTCAGCCTTGATTGCGAGCTCCCCGCGTACGGCGTACTGCACTTTCAAGACCGACGGATTCAAATGTTCGACAGTTAGTGAGCGATGCGAAGACATTATTGGTGAAGGACGAGGGTAGATGGAAGTTAAAAGCAAAGTGGTCTTCCGACGGGACCTCGACACAGGAACCGAGACCTGGCGAAACATGCCAGAAACAGACCAGATTATGTGTTAGGTAAGACCCCAGGAAACTCTTGGAAATGGCAGGACGCAACGAGGATCGATGGCATTATGTACAACTTTTATACGGACACGTTTGACAGCTATGACGGTGCGAACAGCAGAAACAGCAGTGGAGCTGAGAGATATGTGCTATGGGATGTTAAATGTCTCTACAGCACGTTACAGCACATTAAAGAACCTCAGCTAAAAACAAATGATAAAGCATGCTTTTTTCGAGACTTTCCTGAGCTCGTGCAATCGATAAAGCTAGACTTCGTGATGGACTGCGCCATATGGAATGGACAAAAGCGGCACTGGGCCAGACAAAAATTCCTGACAAAACGACATATACGAACAGATCCACCCACAAAATGGTGCACATTGTGATCGAATATATTCCGAATTTCGATCTTCTCGATTTAGCTAACCTTACCCGGGCTTTGCCCAGGCTTCGGCGGACTAGGAAGTATACATATTTATCCGGACAAACACTCTGGCCTACTATAGCTTAGACGGTGTCGTAAACGGTCCTTATGACTTGCCCTATAAGTCGTCGACCGAAAGAAGACGCGAAGTATTTAGAGAGTAGGGGAATTTTAGCAAGGTTGAGACTATAAATATCTGTAGCACCCAGTATAGCTTTCGCCGGGCGTTTTCAGTACATCGTGCGTCATAATCGAATGCATTTTACTAGATCAAAGATCAAACTTGAGCGAGCGCTGAGCGCTGAGCGCTTGAGCTTAGACAGCAATAACTTGAATAAACAAAGATGGTGCCAAGAGAGATGGACTGTCTTCCTCAATGTTATGAGTCGAAAGCCTTTCTAAACCAGATCGGGTTCGAAAGCACGATTTTTGACCGTTCCTCGAGCCCCTGGAAGAGCTCGGTGCTCCGCCAATTTTAGTACACGTCTGGACCAATCCTCCTTCAATTCTAATCACTGATGTCATGATTGTTTGAATAATGATTCATATTTAAGATTCCCAAGCCTGGGGGAAGGAGATCTCAACTGTCGACAACACCCTTCGCAAGGACTGCGATTCTTGTAGTTGAGAATCATCCAGATTTTGTACAAACCATATCCGATGGATCAAATTTCGTGATTCGGGAGTATTCTGAGGACAATTGTAAGAAGAGATGCATGTAAGGAGAAAACATGCCTGACCCGTGGCAGAGGAAGCAAATGCAGAATGATGTAACGAGGCAGTGTTTCCACCAGAACGAGGGCTGGCTTAGACCAGCAACATGATAAGTGCCGATAGTGTACTGCAACCCATGCCATATACAGGTTGCATAGACCGCCGCCCGCAGGAAGTTAAATTCGCCACCATCAACTGCATGACCTTGACAATTGTATGATTGTCTGCATCTAGAAGCTGAATGTGTGCAGTGAAAGATCAACTTGAGAAGTGTGAGAAGTTTTCGTAAACGAGGAAAAGTTCACTGCGGAACCTTGCAGGTGTGCTAGTAGTGAAGGTGGTCAGAAATAGTACGAAGCCAGTCTGATTTTGACCAGTGCAGCAAGACCGAAAGACAAACGGGAAACTAGGCACCTAAAGAGGGGGTATCCACATGGTAACTCCGTACACTTTCGAAAGGGAAAGACGACGTCGTCTGAACAGCGGGTGGAAGATATCGATGGCATGCTTCTACCGAGAGCGTTCAAAGCCAGCTAGGAATTCAGGTTCGTCGAACTGTAGCCTGTGGCGAAAAAAGCGCAGGTTGGGTAAGCCTCAAGGAGGCAAGGTTTGCTCCGACCCCACCAGCGATTCGAAAAACGTTGGTTCGATATCAGGAAATTCATCATCACGCCCTACATATCACCATTCAGGTATGATTGCTAACCCTTGATAGCTGGATATTGAACGTTAACCTTGAGCGCGGGGCTGCTGGGTGGTATGTATGTTGTAATATTTTTGCAGGAGGGCACTATAATATGTCGCAGAAAAATAATGGTAATCGATATGAATCGAGGAGAGACAATGAAAGACAGGCGGAAAGAGTCTTGAGGAACATCGGGGAAGTCGGACCGGTTGAGTATGGCACTGTTTGTGAAAATGGTCCGTGCGGGGACATAAATGGAGACCCGCCCGTCAACGGATGTCAACATAACCCTCCTTTAACCCCCACTCGATGTTAGTATATCTGTCGTTGAAGGTCGAGTCGCAATAACAGAGCCAGCGCACGTCGCTGGCGGGCGTACTCGCCCCAGCGTCACAGGTTCTAGTAGTCACAAAATGGTGTGTATCATTTTTCCTGTCTCTGACGCCCCGTTGACAGCAGACGTCTGCACAGGTTTTAATCAGCAGTAAGAAGTATGCATGGTCAGTCTCACCGTCTCCTTCTAGCAAAATGCGCTGACGGTCTTTTTAGTGAAACCTGTATAAAAGGCCACCGTTCATCTGCATGCAAACACACCGATCGTCCATTGTTCGAAATTAAAAAGAAAGGCAGACCAGTAACCCAGTGCGAGCACTGTCGAGAATTACGAAAGAGAAAACAAGTTCACGTTAAATGCATATGCATGGCCAAGGAGGACCCTGGGGCGTCTACCTCAAGTAGTGCGAAGAAAGGTATGCGGTACCGCCACCCCCGAGTGCGGGGGAGCTGATCCCTTCATCTAGGCCTTAGCAAGACACTGGAAACTGCCGCGTTTCCAAATGGGTTGCCCGAAGACCTGGAGGCGTCCGTGATACTGCAAGCAGCTTCAGATGGAGTATCGTCCGATTCAGACCACAGTGGTATGTCCAATTCATTGACTGAAATGTTATCAACTTAAAAGATCAAATTCGCAGGTGATAACTGTGCCTGTTTGTCTGGCGTTCTCTCCGCCGATGAGCTCTGTGCTTGCGCGACGCCTCGGAAGAGCGCTCCTCGAAGTCGTCCCAAGGTCGAAAGCGATACCCGAGCATCAATGTCCCCCCATCCTCCCGAAGTCCCATCCCCAAATTCCTCCCATATCCTTGCACGGATTGCTGAATTACGGCCTGTTCTCCCGAAGCCACCCGTTAACAGCGGTCCTGTCCATGTACCATCAGCTGGCATTAATCACATCCCGGCGGTCCGTCATCATGGTCATGACACTTCTTTCAGTCCGTATGGACGCGCCTACGGACAAACGCATGTGTCATCTAGACCTGGTTCCCCGCCGACCAGTGACATGTATAGTGCCATTCCATCCAGCTCTAGCGTTCCAATCAATCAATCTCTGACTCAAGCATTCAATACTGCTCTGTGGTCGCAACCACAGAATGCAGATACCGCCATGGAATTTCCTATGTCTTCCATGTGCGGTTGTGGTGACAACTGCGGTTGTCCAGGTTGTCGTCAACACGATCCGTCTGGCGATCGTGCTGCGTACAACTTTTTTTCCTGCTCCAATCCCAGTGCTTGTGGAGCTTGCCTTGACTGTCTTGTGCAGTCTTTGCCTTCAGTTTCACAAGCACCTCCCATGGAGACCGAGGACCCGACTAGTACACTCGATGAATGGATGCGCCAGTTTAGCACAACATCGTTCAATGAGTTGACTCAATCCGGTTCTTGGATGACCCAAGACCGGCCCAGGCTTTGTCCAATCGACAATGGCTGCCTGCCAGGGTCCTGTCAGTGCGACATGGTGAGGGATGGAAGCAATACCGCGCTTACCACCATGTGCGAGAAAGGCTGTAGGCGAAAGGAGTTATCGAACGGATTGCCGTCACCGTTCGATTATACCCTGCCGACTATACCTTTAGGTTTCGGTGCGCAAGTTGGGGGTGATGGGTTTTTGGCGGTGCCAGGGCTAGCTCGAAGTCGTTCCTCTTCGACGTCTTCCCGTTCCAGTTCTTCGGGTCGTGCGTCGCCTGGAGGTAAGCTGTCATGCTGTGGTGATTCGTCGGGGAGTATCTCCCCTCCATACACGGACAGTAACCCAGACATCAAGCTCTCTCGGTTCAGCGATATGTGAATGGACTTTCCTGCATTTCCTGCATTTGTTTTTCTCTTCGTTTCATTTCAATTTCTTCGTCATCTCGATAATTATTTGCCTTTTTTTCGCATCACGGTTATTGCCATTGACCTGACTCGTTCGTCCGACTACTTCTTCGTCAGTATTAGTATCTAGTACTTTTGATATCTTACTTGACTGGAAGCTATCTATACTAACTCATGTACAGAATATATCTGTTATTTCATGAATATGGGCTATCAGTGCGCTTAAAATCTGGAAGGTGCGACTGAAGCAGCTGGTCGCGTTTTCTTCCTTCTCTCCCGATTGGTTCCATCGGGGTATGATATAAGAAGCTTGGAGATCTGTAGCTGAAATTACTACTTGAACTTGAATCGCAGCGATATCGAGGGGCCTAGGTCTGGCCTGTACTGTGCTCCCGGAGCACAGCCACCACGTGGAGCACGCCGCACTTACAGTTGTGGACAATCAAAGACGACAATTTGATTTCCGGCTAAACCAGATTTTCTGGGGCAAAAATAAGTTCAGATTCAGAAAGCCAGAGGCCGAAAACGTCCAAAAAACACCCTCCGAAGTTTTTCCCACGACATTTTTGCGGTGCCAAAATTTTGGACCAAAAAATCGAATTGTGTGTACCCCTTTTGGCCTCGCCGGCAGACATCACTCAGTCATTCGACTCTATCGGCAATATCCACGGCTGGAAACCACATGGTGCTGATTCTGCTACCTTTCAGACATCCCTATATGCTCATCAGCCAATGACAAATTGAATCTCCGAAGATCCCATTTACTCGGCAAGCATCTTCCGTGAGGCAGCGATATTAATTACACCAGTCCTGTGCCCGGGCCCTTCACTTGAACGCTGCTGAGTGTTACAGGTCACTCAGGTAGCACTTATATTGATGGATAACAGAAGATCTGGATTGCTTTGGAGTACATCTCTAGATAAATGCTATTAAGAGTTTGTGACTTCTGGTTGCTAAGTTCTTCCTCACTCTTAGTCCCTTGGATCTGGGCCAGGCAAATACCTGGTCCTTCAATTCTCAGACACCAACTCGGCAGCATGATTTCCGAGCCCATTTATATTATGACCCGCCTATTTTGAAGCTTTGAAGGCTTGCCCCTGCCTTTCATGACGGCCGGTTTGTGGGCAAATGGCTCGATAAAATTTACCGGGTTTCTACAAAATAATGAGAATCGATCGAACTTTTTTTCGGCTGCCCAATATAGTAATTCATAGATACCGGTTTTCTTTCAACAGCGACTCAACACCAAGAGCAACAGTAATGATAGAATAAATGGTTTAGAATTGATTCCTGAAGCAGTACACAATGTTTTGGTGTCATCAAGTCATGCAATGGAGCCTGCAGTGATGAAGAAAATACCGCTGATTTGGGATTTGACAGACCAGATTAGCGGATTCATGAGGATCACAAACCAAAGGCCCAGGTTGTGATATCAGAGCCTTTGATGGATAATTTGGAGAAACATAGCCCAGTTGTACGTCAGGAAGGTATAATTCGCAGTGCTTATGCATTTGGTGGAATCCAAGATGGGGAATTACTATATTGGGCAGCCGAAAAAAAAGTTCGATCGATTCTCATTATTTTGTAGAAACCCGGTAATGATCTTGACGCCATCGGATGTGGATTTTGAAAAGGAGTCGATTGCGCTATCTCCGAAGTTTTTCCCACGACTTTTTGGGGGTACGCCAAATTTTTGGGATAATTTTCGGTCAAAACTCACATTCTGCAAAATCGGCTCGTGCAAGTATCTTTATTAAGTCTATATCTTCACTTTTATGCGAAAAACCCGGCTGTTTACCTGACCAGGGTCCTTCTAAAAATGGGTCAGATTTTTTGTCGTCTTTGATTGTCCACAACTGTAGCAGAATCAGCGCCATGTGGTTTCCAGCCGTGGATATTGCCGATAGAGTCGAATGACTGAGTGATGTCTGCTGGCGAGGCCAAAAGGGGTACAGTTATTTACCGGTCAATGAAACAGCAAAATTGGATATTTACTGTAGGTTCCAATTGGTTGGGAATTTTGACTAGGTTTGAATGTAAGAATGTGTAATACTATGCAACAATAAGATACAGTAAAAAAAAGATGCTCAAAGGTGCAGGTACAAGTCCGCTTTCACAGCATTATTGTGGCGTGGGTATTCTGGGCTATTTTGAGTCATTGAAACAGTCCGGCCCATGTACCCAAACCTCATTAGTCAGCAACTTGGAATCACTCGAGTGCTATAAGAAAGCGAGATCTCCTTTCCAGTCTCCCTCTGATATACAGCCTCGAAATCTTTGCAGATTTTTCTTGCATCTTTCTGAGGAGCACTGGGTAGTTTGGCAAGCTCATTCTTGTGTGCAATGACTGCCTTTTCCATTAGCTGGTCATGGCATTTGCAAGTAATCTGGCACTTTTTCAAGTTTGATTTAGCATGTCCAGGCATAGTAAAAAATTGAGCAAGAGGAGAAATAAAATTCGGAGGCAATGGGGCAATAATAGGCACATTGGACTGTCAGACTGTCCATCAAAGGCAATAGCTTGGCAGAACCACACTTTTATCTATGCCCTAGACTCCTCAGATAATGGGCGCCTGGTCTCAAACTTGTCATACAGGTTCTTCAGAAGGTCATTAACATTATTGAGGCCTTTGTGGGTGATTACATTCAGATGGAGGACACACATTTCTGGGTCAGATTTTGAGTTCATGAGAAAATAGATATTTTTAGAACAGAAGCCTCAATTTCTCGGAATATTATCCATGTCACATATGAAGAATTACTGTAGAACATGAAGATACAATACACATCAGCAATGTAATACAAATTAATGATGAAGGATGAAAGGAGGGAGAGCAAGAGGCTAAGTGTTTCATTGAACCATGGTGTTGCAATGACCGGTAAATAACTGTACACACAATTCGATTTTTTGGTCCAAAATTTTGGCACCGCAAAAATGTCGTGGGAAAAACTTCGGAGGGTGTTTTTTGGACGTTTTCGGCCTCTGGCTTTCTGAATCTGAACTTATTTTTGCCCCAGAAAATCTGGTTTAGCCGGAAATCAAATTGTCGTCTTTGATTGTCCACAGCTGTACCCTACCCATTAGGAAGCCTGACTTGTGCAAGCCTTTCTCGACCGCGACGGTCACCACCATTCTTTGACGGCTTTCAGTGTCTCTCTTCGTCACATACATAATCGATTAGTTCGAGGCCCTCAAACTAACACTGGTACTCAACCAATGACTTGTACACCGTGAATGAGAGAATAGATGGGAAACACTCAATCCGGGTCGACCTTGACACGCACTACTGGTGCCTTAGATTCATTCGTTGCGGAACTTGGAGGCGAAATCTTGTATGAGAAAAGGTCTGTCGTATCTTCCATCTTTATGGTGAAATTATGTGACGAATACCCCCCAGTCTGGGTTCCGCGCGATTCTTAAAGACTGTGAAATGTCGGCACAGCAATGGATACCTGGTGGTCAAGATATTCATCAAGCCAGATCCTGGGCTGACTTTGCGCAATTATCACCGTCGTTTGAAGAGTGAGTCCTTGAATGGTATCGATTAGCAGTCTCGTCTCATACAAAGCAGTCGACCGCGAGGCATTGACGGATATCGCCAATGTATATAACTATCAGTCGTTTATTGAAACGGACAAAGCAGGTTACATCATTCGGCAGTGGATTGCTAGTAACCTATATGATCGTATTAGGTGCGTTGCTTTTCTACTGCTGTGTGGCTACTTCTAACGCGTCGTTATGAACACAGTACCCGTCCTTTTCTGAGTCTGATTGAGAAGAAATGGATAGCTTTCCAACTACTGACGGCGCTTCGCGATGCTCGCAATCGCAAGGTGTCTCATGGTGATATCAAATCTGAGAACATCCTAGTCACGTCGTGGAACTGGATATATCTTTCGGATTTTGCGTCCTACAAACCAACATATCTTCCTCTCGACGATCCGTCGGACTTTTCTTTCTTCTTTGACACTTCTGGGCGACGTACGTGCTACATAGCACCGGAACGGTTCTACACGGCGGCGACGAACCCCGAAATCAGCGCGAAGAAGTCGAAGATTGCAATGGAGGACAATGAAGGCAAAAGAGACGGGAAGTTGACGGAGGCCATGGACTGCTTTAGCGCCGGATGTGTGATTGCAGAGCTCTTTCTTGAGGGAGCACCACTTTTCACGCTCAGTCAATTGTTCAAGTACCGGGAAGGGGAATTCAATGTTGACAGCTACTTGGCGAATATTGAAGACGATGGCATTCGGGTAAGCAACCCTGTAATATTTTTTGACCTCTTTCGCGATCTCATTCAGGACAGTAGAACTTGATCAAACAAATGATACATCTGGATCTCGCTGCGCGTCCGACATTCGATACGTTGCTTCACACTTCTCGAGGATCGGTCTTCCCAGAATCATTTTTCAGTTTCCTACACAATTATGTGTCTTCTATCAATGAGCTCCCCAGCATATCTCCTTTCACCTCCGGTCTCTACGCAGGGCTATCCTCCTCTACGCTAACCTCTGCCCCCTTACAGTCCGCTCGAGCGCCTTCCTCGACACTCGAAGGCCCACCCGGAGATCCTTCTAATGAGCCTCTTCCTAGTGATTCAGACCACCGCATGCAGCGGATGTGGAATGATTATGAAAGTGTAGAACCATACTTGGTTCCTGATAATACCGAGGATACAGTCATGGATGTCAAGATTGATTACAACTTACCAATAAGCACATCCAAACCATTTCAGGTAAAGTCACATTATACTTGCCATTTCACGCCGGTCATAAGCCCACAGGATATTCTCCCCGTCGAGCTACAAATTCCCAACCGCGAATCCAAACTACGGATAGCGGTAGAAGCGGGTTCGCGAGCTCCAGCAGAAGGTGAAACTTCACTTGGTACCGGAAATTTCTTATTGTTTATGCTCTTCTCTCAGATGGGCCTGCGCTGATCATCCTTGCACTCGTGACATCTAACATACGGAATTGCGTACTTCCAAGCTCGAAAATAAAGGCTCTCGATGTCTTTTTGGCACTGTCGCCTCACTTGACGGACGAAGCGAAGCTAGATCGAATGATTCCTTACATCGTAGATCTTTTCCATGATGAAGCCGCGATTGTCCGGATGGCTGCTTTACGTACGGCTATTCAAGTGGTGAGCCTCGTTTTCGTTTCTAACAAGGACACCATTCATATCAATTTTTAGCTGATGGTCGTTACCGTCATCACTCCCTCCAACGCTGCCATCTTCCCAGAATATATTATTCCCAATGTCAAATACCTGGTTCAAGACCCTGAGGTGTCGGTGAGATGCTTATATGCGCAGTGTATTGCCCAACTAGCCAATACAGCTATGCGATATCTGGAAATGGGACATGCTTTGAAGGCTCATGGTACGTTCAAGCTGTCCAGCGAGGCGCAAGAGTATGAGAATGCGCATTTTGAGGTACTAGTGTTTGATAGGGCTTGTTTGCATGGATGCTGACGAAGGTACAGGTCTCATACGATGCAAGTGTCCAGGAATTGCAGCTGGGAATTCAGGAACATTTGTCTGCACTCTTAATGGACCCCTCTAGTGTCGTTAAGCGTGCCGTACTGCACGATATCTCCTTTCTGTGTATCTTCCTTGGACGGCAAAGGACGAATGATGTATTGCTTAGCCATATGATAACGTATCTAAACGATCGTGATTGGCTGCTACGATACGCCTTCTTCGAGAGTATCGTGGATGTTGCCGCATGCGCGGGAGGCCGAAGCTTGGACGAATATATCCTTCCTCTGATGGTTCAGGCTCTTTCAGGTACGACTTTTCCTTTCCGGTACGACAGAGTGACACATTGACGAGCATCCGGCAGATGTGGAGGAAACGGTGGTAACGAAGGTTCTTGCCGCCCTTACTAGTCTGTGCACGCTGGGGCTATTCCAGAAGATGCGTGTTTGGGAATTGATGAGCGCAACACTTGGTTTCCTTTACCACCCTAATGTGTGGATCCGTCAAGGTTCGCTTGTCCGGTCGTTAGTGTACCGTTATATATTGACTTCTTGTCTAGGAGCTGCTGCTTTTATTGCTTCAGCGGCAAAGGTGCTTCCGTCAAGTGACGTCTGGTGTATTGTGTACCCTTCCCTTCGGCACTTCCTCAAATCCGATATTGCCACAATTGACGAGCAGAGCCTCTTAGCCGCTATGAAACCTCCGGTCAGTAACTCATCAGCTGCCTATCGTTACTCTTACCTTATGATCTACGTGTAGATACCTCGACAAATATTTGATGCCGCTGTACAATGGGCCATGCGCGCAGAGAAGAGCAGTTTTTGGCGAGGTGCCCGGCGCAGTAAGGTTGAAACACCAAGAGAAAGCGTGATGTCTCTTCGAAAGACTGCGACGCCTAAAACCAAATCAGACGAGTCAGTTATCTCTTCCATGAACTGGCAGAGACGATCTTAATTCGCATATCATTGCAGTGACGAAGTTCAATTATCCAAGCTGCATCAGCTAGGTATGACGCCAAGCGACGAGACTAAGCTCCTTGCTATGCGCGACTACATAACCAAGCTGGCGAACGCCATCTCAAGGTGTGTCACATGAGTATTAAATGCTTGTTTCTGTTCTCAATTTCAGTCAGCTTTGCATCTCGTCTGAGTTCGGAACCCGAGACCGATAAGAATCTCAAGACCATTGCTGACCTTGAGCTTCGAAAATTGGACGTCCAACCTCAGACGGTCTTTCTCAAGTCGCGCGGTACTGACGCTTCACCCGGACCATTGCGATCCATTTCATCGAAGAAGTCGACACCTGTGACGAGTCCAATGCCAAATCTGCATCGGGTACCTAGCGGTGATTTCAATATCAGCCAGGGCGCGCCGTTCGAAGACCTTCGTCGCAGGCTTGCGACAATTAATGGCTCTGCTTCTTCTCTCAGTGTTGCTCAATCTCCTCGAGAACCTCGCAATACTCTGTCGCCTGTGATAATACCTTCCAGCTCTTCCTCTTCCGTTTCAGGACCTCTATCTCCTACAATTGCAGAACGATCTGTCAGTCCCTCTGAGTCTGTACTATCTGCCGCAAATTCCACAACCATCCGACCGTCGAGTCGCTTACATATTGGTAGCATGGATGGCCAAAAGGCTGCTCCAGCTGTAGGATCTTTCAAGACGAATGTGGCCGGCGTGCTAGATACCCATGCGAAAATGCGATCTGAGGGTTCTCCTGAGCCATCAGGAAGATCTACGCCTCTATCCATGACCGCAACTATACGCAATCCCAGTCGGTCGCATGCCCCCTCCGTTTTGCCTATCTCTTCCTATGGTAAGCTAGCTCTGTGATCAATAATAGACCAAGCTAATTCTTATTGTGTATAGACGGCCAAGAGCCTGGCATCAACCAACTCCTGGAGAATCTCTATCTGGATAACAATCGAGAACTGGAGAATGATTTTGGGCCACGCGTGCATGAGGGTCCAGTCCGACGACGAAATCCCATTAGACAGAGTTTCACGTCTCGGGATGGCACGCGAAGGATGGAATCAACCTTGATTGCCCATCTAACATCACACTCCGAAGCCGTCACTGGTTTGGCGGTGTCTCCTGATCATCTGTTCTTCGTATCTTCTTCGGATGATAAGACACTCAAGGTTTGGGATACCGCGAGATTGGAACGCAATGTTACAAGTAAACCCCGACATACGTACGGTCAGCACCACGCCAGAGTGAAATGTGTCTGTATGCTGGAAGGGATTCACTGCTTTGCCAGTGCGGCTGATGATGGCAGCCTACATGTCGTTCGGGTTCATATATCTCAGAGTGGAGCGCTGCCGAAGTACAGTAAGCTTCAGGTGATCCGTGAACATAGGCTCGGCAATGTGGGCGAATACATCACCTGTATGGCTCATTATAACACAGGTATTCCACTTTTTTCTTGGTACTCTGTCACTCATTGACGCTTCTGAGCAGACTTAGCTTCCAATCTTGTCTATGCGACGACACATTCTGTCATTACAATTTTGGACTTGCGGACGATGTGCGAACTACAGATAATGCAGAACCCTCGTCACTATGGGCCTATAACATGCATGTGTATTGATCGGAAGCGGACCTGGATAATAGTGGGCACTTCCACCGGCGTCCTGACCTTATGGGATAGACGATTCGGGTTGCTATTGAAGAGCTGGCATGTTGGCGTGGCATCTACAGGCAGATCAATCCGGATACACCAATGTGTCGTCCATCCGTCAAAGGGCAAGGGGAAATATGTCATGGTGGCAGTCGAGGCATCCAAGTGGGGGTCCGACAAGAGTTCTACCAACCTGGTAGAAGTGTGGGATATAGAAAGGTCCGTTCTGGTGGAGACATTTGTAACGTGCACGTCTTCGTCGGCATCAGAACCGCTCGCAGATCCTCACGAGCTTGCTGGGGTAGACGCTGATACGACCTCTTCTGCGGCTATTGCGGCACTAGTCAGGAATGGGAGTGACGATAGACGTAACTCTGCTCAACTATCTACATCCCCCGCTCCCGATGTTCGCGCTATGGTCGTAGGATTTGAGTTCGGTGGTACTCACCGAACAGAGATGTACGACATTGCGACGGATGTCCATTCTACACGATCTGCCGGACGCGGGTTTGTAATTTCTGGGTCGGAAGACCGCAAGATACGATTATGGGATTTGGGACGACCTGAGAGGTCCACTGTTCTTAGCGGTCTGGAATCAGAACATGATAGACCTTCGTATAGGTAGGCTCCCTGACGGTCTTCTACTACTTTTGCTGACAGATTGCAGTGCCATGAGCAGTGGAACTGCTTCTACTTACATCGAGACGTGGCCACCGTCTGCTGCATCGAGTGGGCAGGGAAACCGCGCACCTCAGCGGATGGCTTTGATCACTTATAATCAGCAGAATCTTCTGAAGTCTCATCAAGATGTTGTTACCGCATTGGCACGCATAGATTCGCCATTCCGCGGTGGCATTGTGAGTGGAGATCGTGCAGGTATCATCAAGGTCTGGAGAGTTGAGCCAGGAGAACCGTAGCGTTATACGCTGTGTCAGTAGATTTTTGGCACTTTCGGTAGATGCATCTGTTCGCTTTATATGTATGTTGTATATATCCTTGTATTCATTGCGCAACTCCTTAGATGGAGACGATTCAGGTTTTGAAGTTCCTTTCATCGCCGTGGGACCTGTGTTGAAGAAAATTTAAAAAGCTGCGTCATAACACGTGGATGACCACGTGGCACCACCCCGGACCGGGAACCGTGTAAACAGTTAAACAATAATTTCTTTTCCTTAACCTTTCCTCGACTGAAGGATCATTTAGCTGAAGACCATTTCAGTATCAACGATGAGCAAAGTAGTTTTTGGTGAGTGCTATAACCTTCATTTTCTTCATCGTGTGGCTGAAATGCTTTTCGAACAGTTGGCAATGTTCCTTATAACATGGGAGAGGCATGTCCTCTCTTTTGCTACAATAATCAGCAGAAACCTTACTCTTTGTGCAGGAGCAATTGATAGATGTTTTTAAATCTGTCGGACAGGTTGTTGGATTCAGGTAAGCAAACTGCTGCTCTACCCAGCCACTTGCTCATCCCCCGCAGATTAGTGTTCGACCGCGAAACAGGAAAGCCTAGGGGATATGGATTCTGCGAATTCACTGGTGTGTTTCACACGCTAGATCGCAAACGCCTTCCATTCACACAACGCAGACCACGAAACAGCTGCATCAGCTGTACGGAATCTAAACAACGTTGACGTTGGAGGGCGGCCACTGCGAATAGATTTGGCTGATTCAGATCCATTCCTTGAAGGAAAGACTACTGTCCGTGGAGAACTTGTCGATGGTGGTGTCCCAGGACCAGCTGAACAAAGAACGTGGAGTGGAGCCGGCCGAGGCAGTGAAACGGATGCATTTCTAGCCAGTCTGCCTCCCGGCATCAAGTTACCTCCTGGCACGTCGTCTGCAGATGCTATCAGCCATACTCTTGGTACGATGGCTCCGAACCAACTCATGGAGGTTCTGGCCCAAATGAAGGTGAGCTCTCGTTTACTTTCCTAATAGTCTCTTCCTACTACGGTCTGTGGTATTGGTACGTTGGGATAACGTATTAGAATATTACTTACTAGAAACAACTCTTCATGTACGACTGTGAAAAAGTCTGAGCCCTCCTGACTCAATCCCTCTGCCTAGGCCTTCGTGATAACGCATCCCGAGCAAGCACGAAAACTGCTAGTCGCACATCCCCAACTTGCTTATGCGCTCTTCCAAGCTCTCCTGTTGAATCAAATAGTGGATCCTATGATTCTTCAACGAATGCTTGCAGCAACATCGGCTGCGCCTCCACCTGTGCAACAGCTACCTCAATCAACGTTCGCGCCTCCCATACAACAGTTCCCACCACCACAGAACGGCATGCCACAGGCGCCTGCGCCTTCCATGCCGATGTATCCTCAACAGCAGTTCGTACCACCGCCACAGCCGGCGTCGTATTACCGTCCTCCACCTCCACAGCAACTTCAGCCTCCGCCGCAGTTAGCTCCTCCCCAACAACAAGCGCCGGCGCCGGCGCAGTCGCAGGATAATATCAGCGAGCATCAAAGGGTCAGTTGCATCCTTGTTCTCGAGGATTTCATAGATGCTGACTTTGAATAATAGGCTATGCTGATGCAAGTTTTGGCCATGACGCCCGATCAGATTGGTGCTCTTCCCGAAGGCGAGCGTGTGGCGATCCAGCAACTTGTGAGTGTTTCATGACCATGCCGACTGTGGCTTTATTGAAGGCGTACATTTTCAGCGTGCGCAATTCTTGGGGTCACTAACTACATGAGTACTATTCCAGACATGTACTAGTCTTTTCGAGGACGGATTGAGGCTTAGTTATTTATATAATGAATCCACAGGTTCGAACTTTGATACTCGATGTATGCTATTTACAAGTCCAAAAAAATCAAAAATTTTACCATCATATCACAGATTCACAGGAAACTGGATGGAATGCCGCAGCGAATGATGCTATTTTGATTGTACTTATCATTTGAATCAGATTGAGCTAACTGGGCAGTGGTAAAACTTCGAGGATCACTGTAGGGTGTCGGTAGGATCCTAGCCTGATTTCAACTGTTGAGTCCCGAAGCCTCAGGTTCAAGCTTTCCGCCTTCGAGTTTCGAGTCTCTATATTCGGTGCCGTGATGAAACAATCGATATAGTCCAGGCGCAGTGGCGAACTACTACACACTCCGTAAGTGGTGCGCCCCCGCTCGAGTGCAACATTCCATATAGGTAATGCCGCCATGACGCGTATTTCCCCCAGGAGCCAGTAATAGCAGTTGGTCCTTTTTCAATAAAGTTGCGAGTTTTCCTTTTTGTCAGGCAAAAGCCAAATTCTCCGGGGAATCGCCGCTCCCCTTATTTTCATCGCGGTACAAACACTTGTAACGAAACCCTCTCGATAAATAATTGCTGCCTTTTCTAAAATCTAGATTTTCATACTACTAGAAACACCGGTAGCCCCCCTTGACATCATACCATCAAGTCCCATGACGATGACATAGGCCGCGAACTTTCTCCATAGTATCTAGTTGTGTACGTGAGCAACAGTTTCCGAGTACTCGTTCCCTATTCAATTGAAAGTAATGGGATTCCGTGTGATTCTGAATTCGTCTAGACTTGGAGTTATGCGGAACAGACATGATTATTGCTAGTTCTAAACACATCCTTGGTCAGATATGGTTGAAGAATTCAAACAGTACAACTTGGGTCGTCTATCGGACCCATTCAATTTCGAGGACGCTCCTAGGACGCTCCCCAGATTTGCCTTTGAGCTCCAGGACTTCCGTAATGTCCGGCCAGGCCCAGAACACCTCGACAACGGGAGTTTCCTAGACACAGCTTACTTCTTTTGTCCGCTTTATGGTTACTTGCAAGCGGCCCCTTATCTCATCCTGCTTCAGCGGTATATTGATTGAGAGTATAGGTACCTCTGTATTAGTGGAAGCGAGAAAAATGCCCTAGAGGCACACATTAAGCGATGAACCAGCTTGGACGTAGTTCCTAGAAGGCCGGAATGGTAGAATGTAGATGAATGGACAGATCAGTTACGCATTGCAACAGAAGGGGATAGATAACGGAAAAAGGACCGTGATCACCATGGGCACTACACAGAAGCAGTCCGGTTTAGGTGGAGGAGCTATCATGAGAGATGATCACCAGACAATTCTCGTAGTGCTGGAGAGACGCGAAGCGAACACAAGCGAACATTCTGGAATCATGAACGTCTCGCGGGGGGACAGCGGCGCCGACCTCCAGCTTCAGCATTCAGTCCGCATACCCTGGCAGCGCCTAGAATGGACAGTTTAAACGTTGGAGGATAACTGACAGCCTAGCCTCTGTTGGTCGTCGGGCAGCGGCACCGCATGGTGGTGAAGCAAGATGATCGGACAATAAGGACCTATCTGTCACAATAAAGCCAAACAAATATATGAAGTTGCTGTATTTCTCAGCCTCCTTGTTTCTTGTGTTTCACTACTACAGTGTCCGCCCTACTTCCTTGTAGCCGTCCATTTCCTTTCACAACAGAGCACACTCAAGATATACGAGCAGGACGGTGTTCCAGGTTCTCCTGGCCTGACCGGTTCGGTTGTTGAAAAGGCTTTGTTTTGTTGACTTCCCTGACGTTGGTTGCTATATGAGTAAGTCCGTTGTTTCTCTATCTTTCTACCTCAATAACTCTCTATTCTAGCTACCGTGTTGCCAACATATAATTTACGAGCTCCCTGAGCGATTCTTACTTCTGCTTTTCGCTATTTCCCACCACTTGCCTACGACTATGTCTATTCGCCTCATCAAGACGCCCTTTTCCTCGCCTTCTTCTCTTCATCCTCTTTCTCCACCGCCACCGGCCACGATGCAGGCATCTTTAACTCTATCGACCACAATCGTAGCCCGCGGCCTTCCACTCCCAAAACGGCCGCTGCCTTCCGACAAGCGGCTGCTAGACCTCGGGGGCCTCGACCAGGTGGTGGTCAGAGTGTCGTATCAACCTCTTCTTTCACTCAAGGGGATGGTGTGACTGCTGCGGTATCTAGGCCTAGCATTCCCAGGCGGCCCTCGTACCTCCGTGGTAGGACTAGTCCGTACGCTCACGCACTCTCTCCGAAAGGAGTTTCAAGAAACGCCAGGATCGTGCCACTGCATTCCGGAGCATCGGGCTTCAACGCTGTTCATGAAGAGGACGAGTCCGAATGCGAACCGGAGGAATCAACGAATCGGAACCAAAATCGCTACACGCACCATCACACTTACGATCCCACGACTCACCGCCCGCTGCCTGATGTAGTACTTCCATCCACGTTCTACAAGCCCCTTCCTACTGTGGATTCATATAACGCAGCTGACCCCAACGCTTTTGCAAAACAAGTGGCTGGGCTTCTACTCAGTCGCGTGCTCGATGGGCGATCCTCGCCGAGGTCCAAGGAAAACAGGTCATATGTGAAGAGCAGCTTGTCCAGAGTTGCCGTTAGCATTTGAGCATTCCCGGTAGGCACCCTTGATGTCACACGTTGGAACCTTGCTGATTCGGGTCTTCAGATATTGAGTTTGACGGAGTGGCGTCCATTGAGTGCTGTGTATGACCTGTCACGATTCGATCTTTCCCTTTTCTTGGGCTTAACTTTATAGAGGCGCTCGCGCTACATTTTTTTCCCACCTACCTGTTACTGCTGTCACACCATCAGCACTGTTCTACCGTTATGTACTTGCATCTGTATATCACACCATCTGACTAGCATTCAGTACTTCTGAAGGAGGAAATGTAGTATCAAAATATGTTCAAGTCGCATTCAATGTACCCAAGTCTCGTTTTGTTGATGTTCATTTCTACATTTCTTCATCGGAGATACTTAGGTTTGTTGAGGAGTTCGTTCCTCTCGAGGAAGAACACGCGTGAGTGCTCGCATCTACCTGGAACTATCTGCAGTTCAACACCTAGACAATTCGATGTGTTGGTCTTCGGCAAATACCGTCACATCTTCTTTCGTAATTCACTCAAACTTTGCCGGTTTTGACATGATCCTAGCGACTTCAATGCATCTTTGCCGAAGGAATGAAAGGCCTTACGTCTGCGCAACTCCGCCACCCAGGCAGCAGATTCACCTCGGTTTCTGAAGAGAGTACAGTTCTTATATGGTATCTTCGCTTCCATTATCATCGGGCCAGCACGCTGTAGTGTTATAGTTCTTGTAGGCACCGGGAGACTGTCCCTTTCTGCTGAACTATAATACCGTGAGTCGGTCCGATTCAACTTCACGTTCATGGCCTTTTCCTAAGTAATTTACTTACAGGTACCATTTGTCCCTGAGATTAACTGAAAGGATTGATATCCGCAATTGCCAAGGTTGAAATGGAGAGTCCTGTCGGATGCTATCAGCAATGGATCAAGTAAAAGCTTGTTCTGCGAGTTCCGATTTCCGAGACGAGACCGCCAGGATTTACTGACCCGACGAGTGATACTTGACAACGACCACCTGCTTCTGTCAAGCTTTCCTCCAACAGGAAATTATAAAGTGCTTGAGTAGGATCAATCACTGCTTTGTATTATGTCGCTGATGCGGAATCAAGAAATTGCCTGCCCTTATCATCAATTCGGCCGGTCGCGTGCGGAAAGAACGATAGCAATGTATGCGCACCCTTAAAACTATCGGGACGAATACACACCGACAAAAGATTGGCACGGATATAGTAACCAACCGTGTTTATTTCTTTGCTTCTCAACTCTGGTAGGACTCGAAGAGACGCTGATAGAAGCCCAAGCACTCAGGTACGTTCAAGTTCCGATTTCCAAAAATGGTCTCCGACACCACCACTTGGCATAGTCCAAGCGTACCAAGCCACTACTTTCTGTCTAGGCGCGATCACTAGCGTATGGACATCGCACGTTCGTCTATTGAAGCTGTATAAAGTAGACGGAGGAGCTATGTACACTGCGCCAACCGCCTCATCTCAGTTGCAATGCCCGCGCTTCACCAGTGGGATTACCTCTTTGCCTTTGGCACCATTTTTGCCGCACTTGATGCGTACAATATTGGTAAGTAGTCTTCTCTGCACATCTGGAGAATAGTATCACTCATAAAAATGCCATTTAAGGTGCCAATGATGTCGCTAACGTGTGTAAATTAAGTATGGTATTTGCCGCGGGTACTGACTACCAATACAGTCTTTCGCGACATCCGTATCTTCAAAGTCGTTGACTATGCTGCAAGCGTGCATGGTGGCTGCCTTGATGGAATTCCTTGGTGGCGTCCTCGTCGGCGCTCGGGTTTCTGGTACGATCAAGAATAGCATCGTTGTACGTGTGAAAATTTTGCTAGTCAGTATTACCGCGACTGAGATTACCACTGCCCGCAGCCTATTGATGCGTTTCAAAACAATGCTGGGGTTCAGTTACTTGGTTTCACGGTACGGCCTGCATCGCTTGTAAACATGCCGACGTCGGTATCCTCATGATCAAAACAGGTTGCTTTGTGTTGCTCGGCGACATGGCTCATGATAGCAACGAGGAACTCCTGGCCCGTATCTACCACATACTCTAGTAAGTGCCGAGCCTGAAAGCAATATTGGTGTGCGTGCTGAAGATCAATCTCGCAGTTGTGTCTGCTGTAGCAGGTGTCGGCGTGGCAGTCGGCGGGAAAGATGCCGTACAATGGGGCTGGAACAATGGAAGCGGTCTTGCTGCTATCTTTGCTGGGTTCGTCGTCGTGAGTAGCCTACCCTGTTCCAACTTGACCAAGTCCCTCATCGTCAATTACTCATTCCACAGGCACCCGGTATATCTGCTGGGTTTGCGGCTATCATCTACATGCTAACCAAATATTGTGTGTTGCTTCGCAAGAACTCACTTCGTGCTGGATTCTTCACTGTTCCCATATTCTTCTTCGGCGTTACCGCAATTCTCACTATGTGCATCAGTATGTCTTTTGCACCATAGATTCAAAACACTGTGATTAATCATCGACCTTCTAGTTTGGAAAGGATCACCGACCCTCAAACTCAAAGAACTTCCTGACAACATCACTGCTGCAGCGATTGTAGGGACTTCGGCGGTGGTTACGGTCCTGTCTCTTCTCTTTTGGCTACCATTTGTCTATGTCAAAACAGTTAGGAACGACTACAGTGAGCTCATTTTACTGAATATTGTTATATATTTACTCAAGAACTTTACGCAGCGGTGAGGTTTTACCACTTCTTCTTGGGACCTCTACTTTGGTGGCGCAAACCTCCTACCGATGCTCTCGTCACCGACATTTCCGCTGTGCCTGACTATCATGTAATTCATGAAGGGGACACCCGACCTTCTAGTACGTTTCTCTCCAAGCTACTGAGTATGATTTTTCAGCTTTTTGACTGATTGATATTAGACATTACAAAGGAAGAGAGATTCGCCTCGGAAGATACGTCCACCGATGAGAAAGAAGAAATTCTCGCAGGCGTACCTCCTGCAATCGAACCATCGATTCCACTTGCGTCGGTAGAAGATCCTCACCCAATCGAAGGAGCGTGGTATCTCCCCACAAACATCTATATATTCTTCCGCTTCAAGTTCGTGGCTACGTTGTACAAACTTCTCACCCACGGAATCACTAGTTTGTAGATGTCATTTAGCTTGTTAAGTACTTCCTGACTTTTTTTATCCAGTTGACATCCACAAATTGCAGACGGAAGGCACTGACCAGAGACGCCTTCGCGCCATGCATGAACGGGCTAAACAGTACGACAACAAAACGGAGCATCTGTATTCATTCCTCCAAGTCATGACAGCTTGCACAGCATCTTTTGCTCATGGCGCTAATGACCGTACGTTTTCCTCTTTATCACTATATATCTACTTAACTTTCGTTCTAGTTGGCAACGCCGTTGGTCCCTACTCTGCTATCTACGCCATCTGGAGCTCCGGCGTCGCCGCAGGCAAACAGAGCGAGACGCCTGTGTGGATATTAGTTGCAGGTGCACTCTTCCTCGTCCTTGGGCTCGCAACGTACGGATACAATATTATGGCTGTCCTCGGGAATCGCATGACTCTGCACTCACCCTCCCGCGGGTACAGCATGGAACTAGGATCTGCCATCACTGTCGTCTTTGCCTCTCAATACGCTATCCCGGTTTCGACAACGATGTGTATCACCGGTGCGACGCTAGGTGTTGCCTTGTGCAATAATGACCTCAAGTCGTTCAATTGGCGCGGTCTTGGATGGATCGTTCTGGGATGGGTTTTGACTGTTCCCATTGCTGGTGTGTCCGCTGGATGTGTTATGGGTATTATTTTAAATGCTCCTCATTTCTAACTCGAGAAATGCCTTCGCATGAATACTATATTTACTATAGATTTTATATCACTAGCTTGTTCATATGTTCATGTGCCCGCCTTTTCTCCCTGTCGTGTCAGCGAAAGAATCCCTTACAGAACTAGTTTGGAACAATGCAGCTCACAACGCTGAACACACGAGATCAGTCTCTATTTGCAAGCAAACTAATAATACGTTAAAACCATAGTTTTATTAATATTAGCCTTTACGAAGACATACATATCGTAGCCAATGTAGGGCAGTTCCGTTGACGTGATGCTTCCTGGTATAGGCAGGCTACGACTGCTTTAACAGACTTAAAAACCTCTGGATCGCGTATATAACTGTCCGCATGAGCAAGTACCTCGTCCATACTATCCCACTCATCAAGGCCTATCTTTTCCACCTCGTATCTAACGTTGAACCTGAAGTACGTACCCGGAATATCGGAATATTGTCTCGCGAGCTCGTCGGCGACTTTCTTGCAATCCATCGCAGTACTCGTTAAGACTTTAACGAGCTGCGAACGAAATATCTTCTGCATACTTTCCGTCTCCCGAAATACATACGCGTCGTTCACGGGTTGGCCCATTCCGATGCTCACGAAGACCCCGATGCGTCGGCTGCCTCCATACAACCGCATGGCCTCGTCCCTCACTTCCTTGGCAGGATTGTGGTTTCCAGTACTCGTCCCGACGAATCGATGTCTGTAATTTCCATCTCCGGTAATATCGATAGGGTTGAACAACGCTGGAGCAGCGGTGGTCGCACGGACCGCTTCCCAGATTGTGCAATTAGAGACTGGACCTCCGTTAGGCATCCTATATGTGCGGAGACGCTGAGGGTACTTCATGGCAACGCCCATTAATGCGCAGGCAAAACTGCAAGTAATGATGAGTGGATGTAAGATGAACTTAAACTTGAAGGGCACAAACGCATTTCCCATGGATTCATTGCCTGATTCAGGATCAATTAAAAGCTCATCCTCTTTGTAATCTTCCTTTCGTCCTTTAACTATGCTTTTCATCTCCGTTTCCAGAGCAGACGCTTCGAATCTGCCATCTTTTAGATGCCGTTGGTTTGTACAACTGAAGACGCGTGAAGCGATTTGATTGTAACGTCGTAGGGCTTGCCTGGTGGACATTTTTAGTCTCCCGAGCATGATTGCAATAATTCTGGAATAACACTGTCGGAATGGTCCTTAATACTTGCATTACTCTGGTGCTCACCCTCCGGTACCAGAACCACCGATAAGGTGGAAATATTCACAAGGCTTGGGTATGTAGTCAAGGCCGTTACGCCGCTTGATGCCTTTCATGATCGCGTGAAGAACAAGAATTCCGGATGCGCCGAGTATACCTCCCCCGTCTTGCGATAGCGATTATACCAGTCAAGCGACGGCCCTCCTGAGATACAGAAACTCACCAAGCGAGAGCAAGTTAATGGGAGGCTCACTAACTGTTGGAGAGGGGAGCATCGCAGCGCGGCAAAATATAGATTGAAATTTCAAGGTGCCTGTTGAGCAGTAAGATGTTGTCGAGTAAGCGAGCGCTAAGCGTCGGGCCTCGGTTATAGTGCCGAGTCACATGATGGCGAAAGCCTCAAACGGAATTAGACGCCGGAACCGGTAAAAATTTCAACTCTTGTTCAAGTGGAAATTGCGCATTGAAATACTTAATGAGCATCAGCCCCGATGATGGTGAGGAGATCCAAGATTGCCGACTCTTCCCTAGCTCTTGGGATGATCCTGCTGGTGAGCAAATAAACTCTGGGTTTAAACGACAGATTCTCAGTCTTCGGTCTATTTGTTAACAGATCTAAGGCGACATTGTATGCTGCTTGGGACACTGACCCAGATGATGTGAGGATGACTTGCCTTGTCTTATCTTCTATTATCTGAGTCCACATTAAAACCAGTTCCGTATCTCTTTGGACACGCAGTATGTCATGCTCGTAGATTGGGACTTTAACCGACCTCTAGACGTTTTGCATATGCGATTAGCCCTGGTCAATCTCCAGCGGATCGCAAAAGGTCTCGAGAAAGATGTTTTAGATACATATCCGGGTGTGTTTGAAAGGAAGGAGAAGGGAGCTTTGTTCTGTTGGAAGCATGTCGACAGTTCCACACCTGAAGAACCGGGTCCTGCCCTCGTTGACCATGTGTTAAATTGGCGCGAAGGGATGCATGGTCAGTCTACCAAGAACGATGGCGAGAGTGGCGAAGCCGACGCCAAGTAGAAACTTAGGGTATAGATGTCACCGCATCAGCCAAAATGCATGCAGTTGCCTAGAAATTTTTAACATCTACCACATACTTCAGGATGGTAAAGACGATGAAACTGCATCGATGGCTTGCGAGTCAGAATGCGGTAAATTGTGAAAATACAAATATTCTCATTATTCAACATTTTCGTGAAAATCAATTCGTCCATCGGACTCGACTAGGTATTCTCACCCAAGTAGGACACTTTGTTTGTATAGGTCATCCTGGTCATCCAATCCGGCTGGATCAGCAAGGTCCATGTTAGCAACTCTACCGACGATCCGGGTCGCAATCAAGACGACGTCATGAAGCCCGGTGTCAACGATTTTAAGTGCGCAAGAGGTATTGTGGAATCCTTTGACATTGTTCAAAATCATTTGGCGTTGCATCCTGGTAGTGCGTTTTCTGAGGATTCGGGCGTAGTTCTCCACGGTAACATCGTCGATCGCAAGCGGAGGAGTGGATGTTCTATGCTGACGAGGGGGGAAGAGAGGCACGGGATCCCAGGGTGGATATACATGGCCAAAGATCGCGGAGAACAGCTGTGTCTGATCGTGATTGTAAACATACGTGAAAATAGCGAGAAGCATCCAGAGAGATATGACGTCCACGTCCAGACTCATGATAGTAACCGGGAGCTGTCCGGGAGGGGAACAGCCGGGAAGGGGTGGAAGATCTGCACAGTGAATTGCGAGTACGTTGGAGTGAAGTGCCAGCATCCACCCTGTACCAAGCCGATTGGCAAATGCAACGGCGCAATCGGGCTCATTTGTACCACTGCAATTTGGACTGGGTACACAGAATGGAAAAAAGTTAATGCTTGTGACCGGCCATCGTTGGCGTAGAACCGATTCCAAGAGTTGTGGAGCGTTCGAGGTGATTTTGTCACAGATGTGTGGTGGCAGGTCGGGCTTGTAGCGTGGAGCTTGGAACGCGTCAGAGACTTGAAGGGGACTAACACCACATATTGCGACTGCGATGCTTGTATCCTCTTCTTTTTGGTGATTGTTGGGTGTACCAACTGTGCGCTGTCCAGTGGCAGAAGACGATTCAGCCTTGGCCTTGTTGAACATTTTGAAGTGAGATGACTGAAATGACCGCGGTTACTGTGGGATGTGGCAGAAAAACTCACCAAAAATCCTCATCTAAATACTGCACTACACAATTGGTGGTCTCTGCAGCCTCGATGGCATTCAACAAATACAATGTTTTGCAAATGCCAGGATTGTCTTTGACACCATGCGTTGTTCGCCAGGGTAGGAATCGCCTGACTAGATAAATCCAAACAGTTGCCTATTTTGGTTCCAAAACATTACATTTCTCGTCTAAGATTTAATTCTTTGGGTCCTGAAGCTTGGCCAGAAGAGGTAGTCCTTTGTCCAAAGTGGGCATTTGCGAGGTACCAAAATGCATAGACTGAGCCACCAGAATACACGTTACAGAGAGAATTTTCAAAGACAGATTTCCAAGGAGTTTTTGCAGAGTCGGGGAACGAAGCTGGTCTTTCCGGATCCCATCACCTGGACGTCTCGGAAAAAGACAGAAAACGACTAAAAAGAGTTAAGATGCCGACAGCAGAATAAGAAAAGATACGGGCTTTCCCAAAAACCCGCATATTTGAGAAACTGTTTGACCTAGATTCCCCAGATAAAGGTATTCGAGAGCAGAGTAACATCCAAGCTTGCGGACGCCGGACTCTTTGCTTATTTACTGATGTTTGCATCCCATACCAATCTTGATCACGTGTCAAATGCCACTTCGGCTAGATTATATATCTCATATACTTCGCGCGTCTAAACCCCTTGTTTCCTTCGAATTTTGAGGTCTATGGATTAGATTCAACTCTAGTAAGTCATTCGACTTTTTTTCGGATTTTTTAAATAGCAAATATGGGCATCACTGAATAAATGGCTGGAAGACCTCAGACGACTCCCCCCACAAGTTCGCCACCCAATGGCTTCAGTCAATTGGCGAGCGCTCTAATTCTATCATATAACAGACCATTGAAGCTTACTTTGTGGACAGGACAGGTTTTATCTCCTTTGACCCTGCAATTTCCAAATTATGAACAAAGAACATCTACGCCTCGATGTGATGTCAAATAATTGTCTGCATGAATCTCCACGCTAACACCATCTTCTTTGTTCAAAGACATGTTCATTAGGGCTATGAATGCATCCCATCACGCGCAATCAGTAGACTAAGACTGACAGCGATTAGACCCACATGGAGTCGAATGACCGACAAAGATATGCTCAAGGGGAGGGGGTGTGGGGGGAACAAATCCTACTCGAGGAGAAAAACACAGTAGATAGATGCCGCAGGTCAACATGAAATTGAATTGGACTGGTCATTTCCAATCAAATAAGACACTCGATTTGTATAAGTCATCCTGGCCATTCAATCCGGCCGAATCAACCAGATCCATGTTAACAACCCTACTGACGATGGAGCTCGCAGTCAAAAGAACTTCATGGAGCCCGGTGTCAACGATTTTAAGCGCGAAAGAGATATTGAGGGACCCTTTGACGTTGTTCAAAATCATTTGGCGTTGCATTCGCGTAGTGCGTTCTATGATGACCCGCGCATAGTTCTCCAAGGTGCCTTCATCAATCGAAAGCGGAGGCGTAGATGTTCTATGCCGACCAGGGGGAAAGAGAGGCATAGGATCCCAGAGTGGATATACATTGCCACCAAAGATCGCGGAGAACAGCTGTGCTTGGTCGTGATTGTAAATATATATGAAGATAGCGAGAAGAATCCAGAGAGAGACGATGTCCATGTCCATCCTCATGACAGCAACTGGGAGCTCTCCGGGAGGTGAACGACCGACAGGGGGTGGAATACTTTGGCAATGAATCGCGAGCACGTCGGAGTGAAGGGCTAGCATCCACCCAGTACCAAACCGATTGACAAACGCGATGGCCCAGTCGGGCTCGTTTGTACCACTGCGATTTGGACTTGGTACGGAGAATGGGAAAAAGTTGACGCTTGTGACTGGCCAACGTTGGCTTAGAACGGATTCTAAGAGGCGTGGAGCATTCGAGATAATGTTCTCGTGGATGTGCGGTGGCAGGTCGAATTTATAGCGTGGAGCTTGAAACACGCTAGAGACCTGGTGTGAACTAACACCACATATTGCGAGTGCTATGTTTGTATCCTCTTTCTCTTGGTGATGGTAGGACATTCGAAATGAGAGAATGATAGCGATGCATGTGACAGACCAACTCACCGTTAAATACTACGCTACACAATTGGTTGTCTTTGCAGCCTCGGTGGCATTACGATTTAATAATGTCTCGCAAATGCTTTGACATCACACATTGTTCAGTGAAGTAGGAATCAATCTATTTGATCCTTTGATCCTGAAGCTGAAGGTTGGCCTAGAGAGGTAGTCCTTCCAAAAGTAGGTATCTGCGAGGTGCTTAAATGCATCGACCGTAAGACCAAAGCCTGTCGCGTCGCCAAGAGTTCCTTCTGGAATAGATATCCAAGGAGGAGCCTCTATGCTAATCCCATGGTATTTGTTCAAAGACGGATAAAGTCGCGATCCTACCTATTCTTTCAGGGTAATTAAGGCTATAAATGCATCTCTTCACAATCAGTGACTGGGCTAGATGTTGGCTTCTACCCACCCTCAAATAAGCATGTGTCGCCCATCTGTCTACAAGGGAATATGTAGCTCTTCCAGTGCACTAGGAAGAATCAAAATTTCGGCGGGTCGACGACGACATGAATGCGACTATGGCAACGACTCCAGAGGTTACTACTAGGCCATTATTGCATCGTCCGAGTTATTACGACGCGATTCCGTCCCAATCGAGAGCTGATTTCCTTCCAGGAAGCTCGCTGTCTTCGGTTCTAAGACTAGGCATGAAACAGATAGGCTCGTATTGTCGTTCTTCGTGTTGGCAACGTCGACCTCAGACTGCTGTGACTGCTTGCAATACATCCGATAAGGTAAATCGTATAGGCTTCTGGGTTTATTTGCGCATCGCATATTGTACTTCCTCTTGAATGAGTGAAGGATTTCGATTCTGGAATTGCTGTGTGCGCCTCTCGTCTAACACTAGTGAGTCGAATAAGTATTGTTGATTGCGCTTCATAATATGACTTTACTAAGAGCTGACATGAACGGCGTTATATTTCCTTAATCGTAAGATTCTTTCCTTGAGTAAGTCGTGTATCGGCTATTGAGACGGCGGACACTGGACTACAGTTGAATAAAGGGACCTTAGGGCAAACACACATCACACACCGTAGGTATCACAACCAAAGGCTTGGAATCTACTCGAGGCCATATCACCGAACGTGCAGTCAATATCTGCGCACTCGTGACCACAATCATCTAGATGACACCGTAACGCATCCGCTTTTCAAAATCGGTCCCACATACGGGAGGGCAGGGATGGGAAATTTTTGTTGGACTACCTGCATGGTGGCCGCCTTCCACATTGTCGGCAGGTGTATGTCTCGTATGATCCTGCTGCTCGCATTCTCGATTTCTTGAAGGATAGCTGGTGTGACGAACTTCAACTACGGCAAACCAGAAGCGGAGTTCATTAGGATTCTGAACGAACATCATATTCTTCCCCGTGTCCCAATTTTGATTTTTGTTGGAGACGTACGCTACGATGCTCATACGATGAAAACATGAATACGCTTCCGCATCGCGGAACTGTAGATCTGACAAGACCAGTGTTCGACATCAGCACTAGAATTTACCAAAGAGATTGGCAAAGGAGTGTCAATGTTTCGCTCTGGGAAGCACGTTCACGTTCTTGAGGGGGTGGTGTCGCAGGTGTTCATAGGTGAGTGCTACCAAACGGTTGAATCCGAAACCTTCTAACGCGAGATATCACAGTTCATCAGGGAGCATACGAAAAGTATCGTCTTTGGAATTGATGGCAACATCCTTATTCTCCTGAACGGAGAGGGAATGCTCACCGATTGAGACCTCGCCATTTACGTTGGCGGTCCTGAAAGACCCTCGTCAGGTCAGTCGATCGGCGAGTCATGAACTTCTTGTCCTTGATTACAGGTCTAATTCATTCACACGTAGAACTTGTAGATATATATTGACTATGATACTCAAATCCACTGAGAGCGAACAATCATCAAGACGATTTGGAATCGCCCGTTCCCGTTGTCATGTATCATGTCCTTCGTTGCGTCCAGCATTCCATGGTTGAACTCCCTGACCTCACGTCAGATATATCGTTTAGCCCTAACGTGCTGGAGCGGAGATGCCCGAGGAGGATGCGATGTTTGACTCCGATCTATATTGACATCGCTACGCCACATCCAGGACAAATCACCCGGCTCTCTTGTGTTTAACAGTGACTGTGTTTCTCCATAACTTCTTCAAACTGTGATTCGCTTCCACGGAACCTTTTTCGCAGCGTCGATCTTTACGTGGTTAGTGACCCACATCCCACTCCGGAAGACATCGCCTACAGTATACGCCAACGTCACAGATACAGCAGAACCTGTAAGGCGTGGAGAAGGATGAAGCAGGTATAAGGTGCGTACTCCCTCTATCACTTTCCCGTTGCAAACTTTGTCCTACGTCTCCAGCCCTCATCCCTTCCTGCGATTTGCCTCCGCCGGCCCTACCTCACAAGGCTCATTGAACTTTTTCGCAGCTTATGTCCGGCTTGGTCCTACCGTCGCCATGCTCAGCTCCATTTCATAAGCGACGCATGTCTGGGACTCTTTGCTTCCGCAATATTAATTCTGGCGATCTGACCTGACCGGTACTAGTTTGGGTCAATCCCATGGCACAATGCGACGTACACTCCCAAACCCCTGGCGGGTCGAACACGGCTGTAGCACCAACTTTCTTTCCATATCTCGCTCTTGGTTATTTAATGTCACTAGTAGAATTCGGCTCACGATGTCTTGCTTCTGCTGCCGTCCGAGGCCTCCGAGGAACAGTTTACTCATCGATTCGTTCAGTAAGCACTCCGGATGTGCTCCCCTTCCATGACCAACCAACACCAAGCGATAGTTCTATGCTAGGATCGACACCGCTCGGTTGTATGTAACTTCTCTTCCCCGACTACACGATTTGTCAAACCCAAACATTGACCCAAACCTCTATAATGCGCATCATCTTTGGTCCTCACCTACAGTCACGCATTTTCCCCTTCCCTTCCCCCGGGCACGACGACTCCGATCCAGATTGGCCACCACCCACCACTTTGCTCCTCAATTCCCCATGTTTCCGCTATGTTTTGGGTTCAAACTGTCACGCGAGGTAGCGCCGCCGGTGATTTCCTGACGCTTGGATAAGCGCTAGTGCTGATATAAGGACGGAACAGATTGATTGCAAATAATGAGCTTTCCCTTTCACAAGTTTCGAGATGCGGTAGACAGAGTATTCTTGTATTAAAGTCATATTATGATTCGTGAATCTCCATCGTTGAATGAACAAAGTAAAATTGTCGAATCAAGGTAAAATAAAAGAACAATGATATATATTTGTCAAGCGACAGTCTCCTCGACTCCATCAATCAATTCGACTTTATCGCCTGATTCGGCTCGGGCATCCGATTCGATTTGATGGAGTTTTGCTATTCGAGTAGGTCTCTCAATCTGAATAAGCCATCGTCTTCCATCGGATCAACTTTATTATTGAGTAAGAGTTTTGTTAATAACCGCGACGGCAGTTGAGACGACCTCCTGGAAGCCCAAGTCGGTGATTTTGAATGCCCTCTGGATATCGTAGAACCCTTTGACCTGGGCCTTGGCTAACTCAAGCCGTTCCCGCCTAATGTGTTGCCTAAGGTACCTGGCAGAATCCTCCAAGACGTCGTCCGCAATGACGGTCGGAGGGGCAGATGTCTTCCGTTGGCCACCAGCAAAGGGGTACCAGTTAGGAAAGACGTGTCCGAGCACCGCGAAGAAGAGCTGTGACTGATCATGGTTGTAGAAGTACGTCATAGTGTCGAGAAAAACCCGGAGAATGATGGTATCGGTGTTTGCATAGATGACGAAGACTGGGAGCTCGCCGGGTCTGGACGGGGCAGGAAGAAGTGGGACGTTTAGGCAGTTCATTGCGAATAGGAAATAATTGGTGGCAACCATCCACCCGATGTCCCGCCAATTCACATACGCGAGGACGCAGTCGGGCTTGGGTCTACCACTGCCGTCGATGTAGCGTACGTAGGTTGGAATGTGGTCCGTGCTTTCCTCTATCCATATCTGATTATTAAACTCCTCCTGAAGGAGTTGGCCGCTCGCGTTGATACTGTCACGGGCGCCCGGGGGTACGTAAGATTCTTGGGGGGGATCCATAGCTGCGTTAAAGAGTGGGCCGAGTCCGACTGGACGAACGGGAAGCACTATGCTCTCATCCGCCCATGTCCATCCGGACCCGTCATGTCTGCGCATTTCGGCAGGGAAATATACAGTGGGAGGGACGTGCTGGTCGGACATTTTAGAGTGAGAAAACACTGAGGTACTGTGGGATGTGGCAGTCAACTCACCGAAAACCCTCAGTTAAATACTTCACGACACAATAGACGGCTTGTCCAGCTTCGACAGCATCCGACTTGTCTTTGGCATGCCATTTGGCGAAAGCCAATGCTTTGACTTGGTCAAAGATACTAGCGCGCCATTGTGGAAATTGCCATACATTCATCGCTTGTGAATTGCCTAGTTAGATATATTTTTCATATTTTGATATACCATATTTCTCGTCGAAGAATTAATTATTTGAGCCCTGAACTTCGGCCTGAAGAGTTAACTCTTTGTCCGAAAGTGGATGATCGAGGAGATGCCGAGACGCCTGAAGAGATTCGACCGAAAGTCCAGGGAGCAGCGATCCATGTTGAGTGAATTTTTTTGAGAGTCCATGTCCAAAGAGGGAAGTGTTAGAGCAACGAAGAGTGTAGGTAACCATTCGCACGGCTGCAGGGTTAATCGAGCTAGGTTTCCCTAGTACTGGCAGTGGTAGAAGCGTCGTCGGAATCAGATCCTGAGATCGATCTTTTTATTTATGCATATTTACATCCCATCTCGAACTCGATCACGTGACAATCTGCACTTCGTCTTGCTGGATGTATATCTCGTGTCGAAACTGGTACTTGGCTTTGATTCCCGGTTTTTACCATGATTTTAGCTTCTCCCAAATATTCCTATCCTTTAAAAAAGTTCTCTGAGAGGGTTTAGTCTTTCTAGAGGGGATAAGCATTTCCTGGCGCGCTCCTGTAAGTTCACCGCTCTATAACTCCAGCCAATTAGAAAGCTCTCTAATTTTATCATAGGCCAAATCATTCAAGCTTATTTTTGTGTCCAGAACAAGCATTATCTCCTTTTACTCTGTGATTTCCAAATTTTGAACAAGGACCTGAGGTATGCTTCGCGACAAGTCTTTATGCCTTAACGAGATTGATATTGAAATAATAACCTATGAACAACCTTTTTTGGACTTAACCGCATGCTTCTTCTATCGTCTTTGTTCAAAGATGCATGTCGCCACGACCCCAGCGACTCTTTTCAGTCTAATTAAACATTGATCGCCTTGTTGGCGAGGTCAAATTGTAAGCATTCTTGGGTTGATTCTGCATTTGTTACGGATCCCCAGTCACTTGCCGAAGTGTCGAAACTCCGGCTGTGCAGTGACTTTTCTTCGGGCCTGGCCTCCTGGCGTGTCACGCGCTGGCGTTTTCGCGTTTTGCGCCTGTTATTCTTAGGTCTCGATAGACAGGATCCATCCCTGGTCTATGAGACCTGATTTCTCCATAGCGACTCGTCTTCTCTTGAATGTAATACCCAGGAAGGACCATTGGGCCGGCCCTATACGTTTGGATGAATTTCTCGCTATTAACACCCTTTGCATCCATATGTTCTTTGGATAGTTATTTCAGAACCATCTCTACGAATTTACGAACGAGGATGATATGAGTCTGCGACTGATGAGTCTAACTGACTGTTTGCTTGATATGCGAAAGCTGATACGCCAGATAGCTCGAGCAAGTGACGCCCGGCATCTCGATGATTAGAAATATTTAGTTGCCGCCGAAATAATTACCTATCGCTACTATCCGCATCTACAAGATACATCGACTGCAATATCCCGCCGACGACCCAGAATACCATCTCCTCAATCAGCTCTCCGTCCACGAAGATCTACGCAAAGACCCTCCCCTTGAGAAATCGACGCCTCACACCGGCGACTAAAAGCCATCATAAAATATCATGTCAAACGGCATCGTCTCTAGTAGAGGTCATACCATCGAACGTGAAGCAAGGTCCGTGCACTCCAAACACAGGCTACACCTCTTTTCCGTGCTCGTGAGCACAACAGCTGCACGAATTTCCTGTTGGGATTGCTGTTCAGCTTTGGCATCATGTTCCTTCTCCCGTCGTTTTGAACTATATCTGTTGGAGCTCCAATCGCGATTTGTTAGGCTGCTGCGAGAAGCGACGGACGCCAATGCTACCGACTCGGTAGCCTCAAGCGATGAAGAAGATTTCGCTCGCGTAGCCCTTCACGAGTATCTGAATGACAACATTACGCGTCCGCTTCCCAAGATGACAGCCAGCGTGAATGGGAATTGTTGGACCATGCATAACACAACATCGTTCCGTTGTCGAGCGTGCATCTGATTATCCAGCGTATAAACCCGCCGGCCGCATTATCGGTTTCTTGGAGGATAGCCAGCGGAACTAGTTCCTATATGCACCAAAGTCGCAGTCATTAGAACTCTGAAAGAATATCACAATGACACTCCTCAATTCTCATGTCCCAACTTTGATTTGTGGTGGGAGACGTACGTAGCGATATTCATACGACCAAAAACTCGTATCATGAAACAGTGGGTCTTACAAGATAACTGTTCGACGCCCATACAGGAAGTTATCAAAGAGGTTGGAAAAGGACTGTAATATTCCGCTCCGGGAAGCATCTTCTTGGAGTGGCGTTACAGACGTTCAGAGGTGTAAACAACCGATATCATCCAAACAGATGTCCGTGGACGCCCCGACTGGATAAATCAACAGCAAGCCAGACCGTCATCAACTGCATTGACACGCGACGATACCAGGCATCCTCCTCCAGATCCTCATCCTCATCCTCATTGTCTCTTAAAATCGCTATTGCCCTAATACCGTGCCCGCTTCCTGTGTCTTCCCGCCTTCCTCTTTTCAGGCGGCATATGATCCGACACATCAAGTACGACTCTTTGGAATGGAGCCGTGCCAAACTGATGGTAGAGACAGACTGTTCGCAGATCGTGATCAGGGTCCTGAATGTCCTCCAACAGCTTTCATGGGACATTACACATTCAGGAGCATCTGCGGATCCCAACCGTAGGTCTCAAGGAGAGGACACGTTTCTCTATGGATCCAGAAAGCCTCCTGGTGGATTGCATGTTAACCTGACCCCGAACTCAGTTAAAGATGCGTACGAACTCCTTGATATATCACCTACCAACTTATCGTAATAGTCAAAAATATTGCGATCCGCCAACATGCCGTTAGACATTCTCACTTCGGGTGTGCCAGGTTCGCGTGAATTAACGCTGCTGGTTGTGGGCATCAGAAATCCTGGATGCAGCAGGCCGGTTCACTGTTCATCAGGTGCTTCGGTGCCGTGTCTGGATAGCAGGAATCCAGATTACAGTATGTGAGAGCGAAAGCAAGACATTAAACGCTTCGTCATGTCTGCGGTCGGGGATGCAGTGGGCCTTCGGCGCGAGGCATGCTGTAAAACGGCAGCGAGTTCGTCCGGGTAAGATATCCCTGTAGCGGCGGTTCCAAGCCGGTCCCCGATTCTTTCCTTTACTTCTGTTTTGCTCCGTCACCATTATTATTTATTTCCGGACACCTTCAGAGACACACCTACAACGCTAGTGTTTGGGCACTCCGGATTCTTAAGGGCGGTTGCTCTTTGATGTAAGTCCTCAATTAGTATCAGCGCTCGCACTTAAAACAATACGAGCATCGAGTACGGCGTCCTCAATCACAAAATAGCCATTGATATAAAATGCGCCCGCGTATACCCAGCCTGCATACAGCGCAAATGATCGCTCCAACCACTTACACACCCGTTTGAGGAAGAAAACATGAAGTTCTGAGTAGTACAATGCATCATAGTAAACCGGAAAGTCAGAAACACTGTGTCCAACGACCCAAGGAGGATGGTCTTCCTCTGCGAGGACACGGGTAACACGACACGGACATTTATACAAAAAACATGTCGCCAACCGAGCAGTGTACATGAGATATAAAAGGACAAGCGCAAAAATGCTGGGAGCGCCAAGCACAAACACTGAGAGCGCTGAGCACAGAACACAAGGAGCGCTGAGCTGCGAGCACAAAACACAAGGAGTGCCGAGTGCAAACGCCGGGGGAGGGGGGTGGGGCGCCGAGCACAACAAATAGAGTAGAACAGCTTCAAATCGATGCCGTCCTTGAATCCCCAAGAAACAGATCAAGTGTGCCTATAGTCACCAGTAAGCGTTGAACACAGATCCAAAGCCTTACCGTCAGTATCGGACGACGTATATGTGTTATACAGTGTTCCGGGCTGAATGGAAAAGATCAACAGGAAACAGCAAGCAAAAAACATGGAAACACCTGTCTGTTAGATGCCTACAACAGATTATCTGGGGGATGAAACTACTCTCCCAAGCATAGCACATTTATTTAAAAACAAGGAGTGACGTACGTGCGAACCACAAAGCGGCGGAGACATTGTAAACGGGAGAACCAAAATGGCTGAGCGGACGAAACCAACTTTATGACTCAAACTCAGCACGACGATCTCATCCTATTGGCCAGAGCTCTTGGAAAATGTGTTTGTTCGACAATATCTTGCACGCATCAACAAACTTTGACCAAATAGCCCCTGCCCACACCCTACAGTGGGCAAAACGTCGTTTTCAATTTGACAAAGCCCTCTCTTCTCCTCATTACATTCGGAAAGAATCGGGGATCCAGATATGAACAATCCGCTACGAGGTATTCAGATGCAATATTCGCGCAAGGATGGTAAAAATGCGTATTCACGTGCTGTACGTGCTGTTGAGATCGAAGTCAGTGTCGTTACACTAAACATCTACACGACTTACGATCTCCTCCTCATTTGTGCTTTCCATCAATGTCATCGAGACAGGAACCATATTCTTGGTTGGTACCAAGGCAGTCCTGGAAGGAAGTCAGAAGCAATCTCAACTAAGCAACGGTGTACACACCCTTGAAATTCAACCTTGTCCATAGCAGCTGGCCCAGCTGGCGGCCTCGAGAGTCTTCTTGGGTCAATGGACGCCCAGACTCTTAGTCACTATTCAAGTTGTGACACCGTAAAAGACCATCCTTGTCGGATTTTGGGACAAGCAAAATTTCACGGAAACATTGTAACCTCCCGGTGCTCCCCTGGCGATATTCAGAAGAGCACTAACTGGTAAATAAACCCGGGTGTCGATGTGAATTGGCGTCGACTGACGGACCCCGATAGGGTAGGGGGAATGAGGTAGTAGGACCAGGACGAAGATGATCCGCGGGGGATGTGAACCTTGAGACATGTGCATTCAGCCTTTACTGTCGGTCCTTTGAGCAAGGCAGCGCGTCCTGACGGAATAATAGTTGTTGGCAGTAAACCTTGTGAGGAAATTAGTACAGCCGAGCACTATGTCACGTAGAATGAAGCGCACCTAGTGCCCTGTATATGTCGATGGAGCACCTTCCCAGACAACAGACATGGCGAATTCAGACACTGACCGTTGTCTCGTGCAACAGGTCAGTCGTGTTCGGCGCTGTCAGGCTGAATCCAAGATGACTGCGGTCAAGATGAGTTACTTTCCACACGGTTGGTTCCTTTCCTGCTGAAAAATTTGAGGTGAAAAGATCGCAGCTAACCGTTATTTTGCAGCCCTGTCATTTCGTTATGGTAAGGACCAATCGCGAAAAGCCGACGTGTACTCACCTAGGCCCGTCCTTCCTAGCTGATCAATCGACCTGCTCCCACATAACCCAGTGCGCAGTGAAAGAAATTGTCCGTACACCGATAACGGCGGGACGAGGAAAGCGTGGTATCGCGGGAAGAAATCAAAGAAGCAACGACGGCTCTGAGGCTGCCGAACGGTGCCCACCAAATACGGTCACGTCTACGTTCTGCAAGCCTTTCTCAATTCGAGTCATTCGACATCTTCACGGATGCCTTGAGGTCTATTCTATCTCTCTTCCACATCCATTGCGAACCGCCGTAATTCTGGATAGCTTGAAGTATACATTGGTCGAATACTAACCTGGCTACAATTCATCGAAAAACTCTCACCGCCGCAATTATGGTGCTTGGAAAGGATCAGAAGAGCTAAAGCTAGCCTGAGGTCCAAATGTCTGAAAAAGGAGTTATGCAACAAAGATCTCAAAAAAAAGGTACTGTCGTCGACGACCTATATAGTATACTCGTGTGCTGATTTTAACCGTTTCCCCAGTGTTTATCGACTACGGTCAGGTTGCTTGCCATCAGAACATTACCACCTTGCAAAGAGATCTTTACGCCACTGAAAACGACTCTAATGAACCTTATCGACATCTTAGGGAGCAACAGAGGGGATTCGATTCAATCGTTGGTCGACACACGGGTCTTGCACTTCAATACTTACGACTCCATCGTGTGTAAACTCTTGCCCTACACGCATAATGAACAGGGTTATGATTGGCACTGCAGAATCTCCTACATGGGGCCCGGGTACTGTGCACGCCAAGGGCTCACGAGGCCGCTCAATTATATTGCTCTCACGATATGTAAGAATTTTTAGGGTTCGTTATCTACGAAGCAGCTCATCGGCTTGATTCCCATTTGACTGCTTCGTGGCTTCTTTCTTCCTGGAATCACTACTTAACGTTGTACATCAAATCAGCTGAACTGATGCCCATCACGGTTCTTTTTCTGATAAATGCACTTGCAGTTCAAGCTCTCACCATTGTATAACCTACCTAACGCTATAACGACCCCCCGATGGCTCCCCTCACCGAGCAGCAATCTAGCATTGTCGCGTTGTACCTAGAGAGTACGGCCTGGGGTATCTTCCTGGTCACACTCGGACTATGCCTTCGCTCTCTTCTGTTCAACAAGTCTGGCCTCAAACCGTTTTCTGAGGTCAATCGACCAATGCTGGCAGTGTGTTTGACCATGCCGATATTCGCAACGGTAAATATGGCCATCAATACGAAAAGAGCACTGGATTCTGTTGGCCCTGAAGGTATCAGCGAGCAATTCACGAACCTCGGGAGTCCTATCGAGATCGTTAAGTTCTCGTGTGTCAATTTACAGACACTTCTCGCGGATGGTATTCTGGTAAGCTTAACTCTGTGAATGAACTTTGAATATTTTAACTAGCTTTGAGCAGACTTACCGTTGTTGGATCGTGTACGGCAAGTCGTGGATGATAGTAGCCACGCCTTTGCTTCTATGGATAGGCGTTTTGGGCACGACCATCACGAACATATATTTGCTCAGCACCATACATTCCGAAGCTCTGACAGTAGCGACGAAACTTCGTCCTATCGTTACTTCATTTTGGGTCATAAGCATCGCGCTGAACATCATTACGACGTGTCCGTGGTTTTCTGGTCTCCATTTTGATTATTCGCTCACATCATTTCTATTTTCAGTTCTCATTGTAATGCGCATTTTTGCTGTTGATCGGAAATTGGTCTTCCAGCCCATTTCTGGGTTGTCGATTTCTCGCTCGGAGCGTCGTTTCAGTGCACTGCAGCGGACAATGAGGTTAGTGCACACTCATGTCGAGAGGTATCGTCCACTGATCCGGTTATTCTTTCTCTAAAGGATCATCATTGAATCCGGTGCAATCTATACCGGCATAGCGAGTAAATGAATTCGCTTCTGTTTCAAGGGTTCCTGCTAAATCATCAGCATGATAGTCATTACTTTTGCCACATACGTCTCAGGAAACGTGGGGGTGTATATCACAAGCGCACTAGTAAGGCCTGCCACAGACGATGTTTCCTTCACTGCTCACCTCGTCTGTATCCTAGGAGGTCCAAACGGCTGGAATCGCGTTTAATCTGGTCATTATCCGAGTGCATAGCAGAACTTATGAAGAAGAGACGAAACCCATGACCGCCTCATTGCGATTCACGTTACGCTCTCGTCCTTGGGACGCTGAGACCAGTTTGACGAAACCTCAAGACAGCAGGGGCACCGTCGATGACAAGGGTTCGAATTAGATTCGAGAGTTACCCCACTTAGGTGATTAATTAGAGTGTTCGTTCAACTTGTATATTTATGGAAAGAAAAGTATTAATGTTATTTTCGGAGCACTTACACTAGGCGGTGCCATGACAATTGATATGTGTCCGAGCTTCGCATTGTTCATACGAGCGTTTCATGGTCACTGGTGAGAATTCGTTTGATTTGGTCTTTTGGAATCCTTGGCTCGAAATCAAGGGCGAAGGGTAGGGGATGCAAGTTAGCCGTTTGGGTAAATGCATGGGTATCGATCGGAGATCCATCCACTTCCTTCAAGCGGAAGGCCCATAATACGAAAGCGGTCGTTATAAACAACGATCTGGACGTGTGCTCTGTCAAAAGCCTTCGTGGAAAGAGATAGATACAGACCTATTGGCTAGCTGTTGTCCGGGACAGACTCTACGTCCGACGGTAAGCTTCGGTTGGAGGCGCGCTAAGCCGACTCACCGCCTCCCAAAGCCGAAATTCATTGACTTTATGTCGTCTCGTAAATTTCCAGAGTCGTCTAACCATCTTTCCAGGCGGAACTTCTCTGGTTCAGGGAAAACATCTGGCGAGCGACCAATCGACCTGCACAAAGGTTAATTTTAAGTTGAATGAGACGTCAGGAATATACCAATGACTTCCAATGACAGTTGCACCGGCGGGGATACGGTAACCGCGCTGGAGTTTTGTTAGTAGGTTATGTCAAAGCAGCTGAAATATCAAGCTTGCCCAGATAATATCTTTCATGGCTCTATGAGGGAAGCCTAGATGGCGTTGGAATATTCTCGCCTCTTCTGAAAATGAAGTGACCCACCTGTAGCACTTACAGGTCGCCTTTTGGGAAGTTTTAGCGTGAGTATGACGAGAATCGGAGAATAGCGAGGGTTCTACCATCGATAACATTCCAAGATGAATGCAGTAATGAATGGAAGAGACGCTTCGTCCGCGAACGTAGGAGCTGACAATGACGGCATGAGTCATATTCAAAAGGTGGGTCCCTGCCGTACGCACCACGACCCTGGTCCACGACTGCGTCCAGTTGACCTTGAACTTTACTCTGGGCTTCAGGAAAGCATGCGGCGGCCATCATCATTATACTAATCGCGGAAGCAGTCTATAGAATTCATGTTATTCCTGCTGATATTGGATCCCATAACGAATGACCCACCGTATCGGCACCAGCAAGGAATAATCCTCCGGACAGGAAAGCAATTTCATCTTCGGACATGCCATTCTCCGAGTTCTTTTCCAATAGATTTTGTACGAAGTTCGGTTTGATAATGTGCTCGCCGCGGCTCTAGTGATGATGATTAGCGTTCTTGTTGAGTCGTGGCGGTAGCGGGGCAGACAATCTTTTCTTTCACTACGTCGACTGATGACCGAGAGAAGGTAAGCTCCTCCTTGTGCCATTGGCGCAACTGCGAAAGATATCCAGGCACATACTGGAGAATAGGTGCTGAATCAACCCAATAAGCACCAGGTCGCACAACAGTACCGAATCGATGCGCAAACAGCAAGATCTTTTGAACAAGAGGGTCAGAGTATGATGTCGTAGAGGGTTTTCCGTAAGTGAGTGTGATGACCACCGACGCCGCGTAACTAGAAAGGGACGACTGCTGATAAGAGGAGGAAAATGAAATAAGAAGATGGGATGTACCGCTTTGCATGATCAATATGCTGCGAAGGGTCATCCAAGAGATCCGTGATAAGATTAACCGCGTTTTTCACTTGCAGCGGCTGGTAGGTTTGAATGACCCTTGCATGAAGTTGGGACTGAATAGCTCTGCACACTCCTTCATTAAGTGACGTTATCGAATAGTTTCGAAGCGTACCTGCGGAACTTCTTGAAGCGATCTCCCGCCTTCATCATGAGTAGGCGCATATTCTTACACATCGTTTCCTGTACTGAAATAGACCTTGGACGATCTTGCAGGATTGCATTTTCCTTCTCCATTATCTCTAGCGCCGGCTGAGCCATCATCAGTGGGTTATTTCGGAATCCACGTCTAGAGTAATACCTCATATCGACCAATGATGATGATGATGTCAGTCAATCCTCGCCTCAGCGAGAATATGGGACCGTATTTTTGCGTCATTTCTTCGTAGCGCAACCATGGTCTGCGCGCGCTATGTGAATACATAATTCGAAGCCAAGTTGCGAGTCTGACTTACGATCCAGTCAGAGCTTCCGTTCCAAATAGCCAGTGATGAGGGGGACCAGGCGGCAGAGGAAGCTTAGACTGTCGATTGGAGAGCCATACAGTCAGAGCTAAAGTAAAACCAATAACCAATAGCAAGCAAAAAGTGGCTGTATCAGCGGTCATTGTTGCTTGTGAAAAGTAGGTCCTTACCAGCATGGGCGGCTGATATCGAACATCAACATCCGATAGGGGAAGCAGAAAACGTTACCAGGCTCAGGCAAACATGCACACTCTACAAGTTGCGATACAACACCCAATAAGCTCGATCGCTTTGTACGTGACAAACACAGAGTAACCCATTGAGTCCATCAGGTGCTGATTTGACGCCGCACGAACCAGCTCGACTAGCATATTTTTGATCTCACGCGATGCTGGCTAGACAACCCGACTGAACTATATCAGGGTTCTCCGATACATTTACTCCATCGTGTTCGCCATCAATCAAGGGCTCTTTTCCCTGAGAAAGGCTGCGTTATCACCGATACTGAAATCCGAAGCCCGATGACAATCAACGAGATACTTATGTCACTGGTACCGTAGATACTCGAGCATCAGGTGCAGTGGACGTCGTACAAGTTCTTCAGGCCCCCCTAAAACGAGATATGGATACGCGCATCCCACACGTCGTTGGCGCCCAGGAAAAAAAGTTCCGTGCAAAGGAGACGCCTGGTAACACAAACAAAAGTTCAGTCAAATTAATGACAGTAAGATGCAATCACGGATTAAAGAATATAAGTACACGAAGATCATTCGTTGACATAGTTAAACAACTAACTCCGTACTCCTTCATCCATCACGCCTTTGACATCAAAATCAGGAATGACACCGATACTATGATTTTGTGACTCAGTCATCGTTGAATCAATCTTGTGTCGGTCTGAATCGTCTTCGACCTGATGGTCGACTGAAACTTCAATGGTTTCCGAGTCCTTCGGAGGCATCCGCCTGGTGAAGTGTAAAGGAATAGAATGCGATTGCGTGGAGGTCTTGGTAGCGTAGGCATTGCGTCCTGCCTGACTAACTCTAATGATGATTAAATTGAATGCAATTCCGACCGTTTGCATTTCCTGGGAACGATATTTAGTATGGAAGGGGAGAAAACGCCAAGCGTACGATTTACAATTGCACTGGTCACGTAAACGCCTTGGCTTCCTGAAACATAGGTTGCGCATGTTGTAACTGGCAGTCACAGTAAGTGTCACGAAATTAATGCTTCTGTGAACGTACTAGCTACGCTTGTGTAAAGTGCTCCGGATTCGATAATAATTCTTCATAAGTCTGTCAGAAAACGTCGCCAGGGATAGCGAACAACGTGGTACCTCATGATTTGCTGTAGTCTGCTATAACGTCTCGAACGAGACGTAGAGCGGCTAGCAATCGAAAATTCCGCGTTTGAACGATCGACGCTGTATATGCGGACCACAATGAGTACTGGGACGACACTATTCAGTCGCGGAAAATAAAATAAAAAAGGTGACAGGACGAACTCGTTGCAATAATATTCAGGGCAATACTGATTGACCAGAACGATGTCACGATAGGTCGGAGGCTCTTTGCAGCGGTGAGGGCCTCGGAGTGAATTGAATGCAGCACAATGATGTTTAGAATCGCAGCCACCAAGACTCCCAGCCACAAAATCGCAGGGATAAAGGCTGCGACCCACGATTTACTGTATATGACCCAGACGCGATATGTCTTGAAATCAGCGCATCAGCCGCAAGCAGAAAACTATGAATGTTTATTACCAGCATAGCGTCAGCAATGAGCGTCTGAACATTTACGCAAATGAATTTGATGGTCTCCGTCGCACTTCCGAGGTTTGTGAATTGCTCACTTATCCCGGATGGGCCAACGGATTCTACGGCGCGAAGAACGTTGAGGCCCAGATTTACCGTGGCGAAGATTGGCATTGCAATGCAGATGGCGACCATCGGCCGATCAATTTGGGAATACGGTTTGAAGCCCATATTTGACCAGAGCAGAGCGCGAAGACATAGCCCGAACGTTACCAGGAAAATGCCCCAGAAGGCACTTTCCACAAACAAGGCGATTATGCTTGCTTCTTGGTCAGTGAGAGCCATAGTCGAGATTTGAAGCTGGTATCTAGCGCGGTTGCTGTGATATTTATCCAGAGCAATGAGCAAAGGACAAGAACATCATGATCTATGATGCCTATTCCTGGGGAGTGTAACATTGCCAACAAGAAGCCCCACCACGGCTGTACACGTAAGACATTGTCAAACAAACATTGCAGAAGCCGTAAACCTGGGCTGATATAGTGGCAAAGCTATTCAATGGAGGCAGGCTTGGTGCGGAGAGCTCGGATCTTAATGGGTAATTTGGGAGTCGGTTGCTGTAATATGTATGCACGTGAAGATTCCGGTTCCCTTCAAGCCCGTCATCAGTTTGGGACACATGGTCGAACCGGGGAATGCGGCAAGGTAGCCGGGACGAGCCGATAGCCGCAGGGAAAGCAGGAAACCGCGATACAATGCAATTGTTTGGACGTTTTGTGCTAGGAAAGGTTTGGAAGAACCCATTTTCGGGCCGTGAGATCCCAGTGTTCGAGCCTCGAGTAATACAACTCCGCTCCGCCCGGTCTCTTTTTTACACTCCAGGAAGTTGTGGATATCACGACCTCGCGTAGAAAAAGGACTTTCGGTTTGTGTTCCATGCACCTTCTCGCCCAGAACTAATCAGGTAAAAGAAATAGAAGCTGATTTGATACAAATATTGGAGTACGGTTCATGCGCTGTCAAACCAAGTTCACAAGTCATGTTTTGAAACTTTTGATAGCGCTGGAAAGCTCGCTTCTTCGTGGACTGACTTGTGTTTGATGTTATCTGTGCGAAGGGTTCGTCATCTTGTACCCTGGCCTCTCCCCCGCTGAAGTCCCGATCCGGTAGAACCGTGTCAAATCGCAGCATGTCCGAGAATCTTGATTAGCCTGTAAATTTCCTACTAACGCTCCTTGTGACAGTACTTCGTCTTACCTTAATGATAGTCAATAAGATCCTATCAGAAGAATCTCTAGCCGAAAATGACTAGGCGGACTCTTGGCTACCGCATAAATAGTATATGATCGATGAGAAGTGTTGGGCTCGCCACATTCGGCCCACATAGACGATGGACTCCAACCAACTTCAAGAGAATCCTGATATACCGCTTACGCAAATTTGTAACGATGATATTGTCCACCAGAGTCCTTCAAATTCCGATGCTGGCATTACTCACGAAGGAGTATATGCATGGATATGTCTGCTTTGCTCATTCATTGTGAACTTCTTGGCTCTGGGGTGAGCGCATCAGATTTTCGTCCAAATCTGCTACGTTACCTACTCTTTGGCTAGCATTGAAAGTACCTGGGGCGTTTATCAAGACTACTACTTCAATACGGCGGAACTTGGTCACGTTTCGAACTCGAACCTCGCGTGGGTGGGAGCTATTCAAGCGGTCGGTGTGTCGGTTTTGGGATTGTGAGTCACGTATTCTCTCCTGTTCGCACTGTGTACACTTATGATATCCGGTTGCAGTCCGGCAGGCAAGCTCGCCGAGAGGATTGGCTATCGGATGACTGGAATCATTGGTTGTACATTGATGGCCATCGGTCTTCTGGGTGCCTCGTTCTCGTAAGTGTGTGAGAGCTCAAGTGAGCAATTGTTGAACATGAAATGGCAGGAGCAAGGTCTGGCATTTGTACCTCAATCAAGGTTCTTAGTTGTTCCGTTCTACAGGTTTATATTGACTATGCGCTTCCGCAGGGATAGTCTTCGCTATCGGGAGTGCCTTTGCCGTCATCCCGGCCCTCACTATACCCTCGCAGTGGGTGAGGATACATCGGGCTTCTTGAGTATTAGAATGGCTGACATGTCGGTCTAGTTTGTCAAATATCGAGGTATACGTCGTCCTTAACTTTTGGCGAGGCCACTCCTTACGCTCCTTCAACGTAGGATTCGCGACGGGAGTCGGTGTTAGTGGGTACGGTGAGTTTCAGTCATTGTCGCAAATCAGGTTCGTGATCCGACTCATGAATGACTTAAGGGATTGGCGGACTGGTTCTTAGTCCAGTAACTGAAAAGCTCATCGGTGAACTGGGGATCCGATGGACTCTACGCATCATGGCTTTGCTTACCTTCGCCGGTATGTTGTACAGTTACATAAGACTTTATGGCCTTACGCGAGTTGTTTCCGAACAGTGGCTGGAGCCGCATTCATCTTCATGAAATCCAAGAGCATACCAGTTAAAAGAAATGATTCTATTGCGATTTCGCACCTTCTGAAAGACCCCGTCATATATGCCCTCTGGGTATTCATGCTTCTGTCCGCCTTCGGTTATTATATCCCAACTTTTTACACACCAGGTTTTTTCTTTATCATACTCCGCTGAATATTTTTGACCGTCATTGCTTTGTACAGAATATGTTAGGAATAGGCTCCAACGTACTGCGCAAGACGGTGCTATCGCTCTCGCCCTTCAGGCTGGTCTTTCCGCTGTTGGTCGCGTGGTAAAATATCTGTAAAGTCGTTTGGTAAGGGTATTGCTCATGCTCAACTTTTAGCTTACCGGTTTAATGGGTGACTACGTTGGACACCTGACGGCATTGTCCATATGCCAACTTATAGCCGGAATTGCGCAAATGGCGGTATGGCCATTTTGCAGGAGCCTTCCGAACGTTATGGCGTTTTCCGCCGTGTACGGATTTTTCTCTGGCGGAATCGTTAGCTTACCTCCAGTTGGTGAGTTTAATGCTATAGGCCGTTCTAGCACCAGGTACTTCACTGACGCTCTCACTCAACAAGTCTTGGCAGAGATATACGGCACTCAGCAGCTTGCGAGCATTACCGGCTTGATACTGTCCGGCAACATTGTAAGTCGCCATCCACTTAAATTTATTTTACTCACTTATAGTACTGATAGCCTGGAACAATCGTGGGGCCATCTATTGCTGGGGCAATTATTGACTCGAATACGTCTTCTAACAGAGAAATCAATTTCTTACCTGTACAACTGTATGGTGGAAGTTGGTTCATAGGAGGGTGTCTCGCGACACTCCTTGTCTCGCTGCTTCATAGAATCTCCAGGAAACGCTCTGTCGGAGCTGTACGGGAAGGCGAGAGCGTGAACGGGGCTCATGCTGAGGACGAGAAGCAGCGATCGAGAGGTGATAGATGTTAGAATATGTTTTTTGAAAGAACCTTTAAGTCCTGTCTGTTCTCCGCGGCAACTCCGCGGAAGATAATTTAGTTATAGAACCACCTTTCCCCAAACTTGTAGCTACCTGTTGGGATTTGGCAATCCGGCATCATGCCGAGTTTGCTTATTAAGGTAGAAGTCTTAGGAAAAGCGTGGAAAGTTCTAGTAAAAGTACATTTAGTATAAAAGTAGGTACTTTAGCGTAGATCCTCATGCGTTTGCAGAGCTCAGCCAAGCGCAATACTATTGGCTTGCTACCGCGCATGTGACACTGGGAACGAACCGATACCCCGTTTTCCAACACTACCTAAACTGGGGGGAGATGAAATAGGCACATGAAGTGAGTCTCTTGTTTCTCTCGTGAGCGAGCGAGATGCCAGACTTGGGATACGAACTGCACGATATACCCCCCATGAGGAGCGGAAAATCGGGCCGACATCACCTCTCCGGCCCGCCGGAGCTGAGGGAGATTTTTTCTATTCTTTCCTTCGTTCGTTACCGCCGTGTATATCAAACATGCGACGGGACGGGACGGGCGCTAATCATATGCTGCTGGCAACCCTTATACTGTATGCTTTGTACAGCTCTATGAGCGCACATCTTGGTCCGTTACTTCTATCTCACATTCGTTCAATGGAGACATGTCCTGCTCTTGACTAGATCTTGCTCTGGCATTATCATAGGATACCCGCCAAGATCTTTCTCTCTTATAGTGGCGGACATCACTTCGCGACAAACCTTGATGTCAATTATTATTTTGCCTAAGGCTCCCACAACTCAGTACACCTTAGCCTCTTAATGTAAATTTGAACATATCTTGACCATATGAACATTTCTACGGAGCCAATTTTTGCCTGGTCAAAAATCGAGTCAAAGTGCCATGAATTTGGCCGTTGGGTGGCTGTGCAATTCTTACATAATACCCTTATATGGCAGTTGGGTTTGAAAAAAAATTATTATTGAGTCCTTCGAGAGATCTAAAAGGGACATGACTGGACAATTTGGACTACTGCTGCTTCCAATCTTCTTGAAGCACCTTCCGTTACATGAGGAAGGAGTTGGCCCCCCAAATAGGCAGTCATGATGTCGTTGATCTTGCAGGAATTTGGCCGTTTTTACTTCTCAAAATTCCCACGGTCCAAAATGGCAGATTTGGCCTTATACATACCTAGTTTCCTTCTAAAAAAGTTGAAATCTGGGTCAAAATATCAAAATTGCGGTTTGACATGAAGTGATGTCCTCCACCATACGGCACGGTTTAATGCGCAGTACAGGACGGGAACAACTTTTATGTTTCATCATCCCTGTGCCCAAGATATTCTCATCTTCAACTCGTCCACTTTCGTGGATCGTACTTGTTTCGCCTGCCTGCGTCATCAACATCTGAATAGTGATGAGGACGTGGTCATCAGGACAAGGGGAAAAGATAGCGAAAGGAATACCTACGAATGACTTCCTTCTCTGCAAGGACTTGTCAGGTCTCTGTCGGATGCCGACTCGGAGTCGCAGTCGCCTCATTCTCTGTTCGTTGCAGTGTGCAACCAAAGTATTTTATATGTCCATGATATAGAGGTGTGAACAATAATTCGCAGTCAGTATCTATAGCATCAAATCAAGGACCTCGGCCTTGTACCTCGCCGACATCAGGCCTCGGACCTAATTCAGCTCGTCTCTGATGTGAGTTGGACACGGCAGTTGTTCTATTCATTTCAAGCCCATTCACCACGGTCGGGTGGGGCTCATCAACAGTCCTTCCCAGGGGGCAACGTGATTCTTAAAGTTATCCTTGATTGATCCATTAAGCATATGACAGGGTGCCTCGTTTCTGGCTGGATTTAAAGAGCAAGTCAACTGTTTTCTTCATCCGCTCATCGCCTACAGTCGCCACTCCACCATGGATGAAAAATCCAGTCATAAAGAGAGTTTACCTGGAGACAAGTTGTCCAATGAGGACTCTCCGAGGATCCTCTCACCATCGGTGGACGTTCGAAGTGTCCCATGGTGGAAACTAGACGTACAGATTCTTCCGGTAGTCACGATCATGTATCTTTTAAACTTCCTGGTAAGTCCGTCAACAACCACTTCGAGATCATTCCTTACGACATCTTATAGGATCGCGGAAATATTGGGAATGCTCGGGTGGCTGGATTGCAAGCGAATCTCGGAATCACGGATAGTCAGGTAGGTTGTGTTGGTTCGGAGTTGTCATCGATATCTTGTTTAACACCCTTATCTTTCAGTATAGTCTTCTCTTAACAGCTACGTTAATCCCCTATGCATTGGTCGAGATTCCAAGTAACTTGTTCCTGACGGTATGTGCCAGTACATGGTTTGTTGGAATTTACTGAGAGCGATTGCCAGCGCATCGGAGCTCACATCGTCCTCCCTACTTTGGTCGTCATATGGGGCGCAGTTACCGCATTCCAAGGTACCTTTCTGAAGTTTCGGAGTTTCAGGGTTTTTCACATAATCGAAGGGCTGGTTACTTCTTACGGCGGTCTGGTTGCTTGTCGAGTTATTCTGGGTTGCTGTGAAGGTAATAGAATGACCCATGTGCACAGTTGAATCAACTAAATAGTCATGTTTCCCAGGTGGACTGCTCCCAGGACTATCTTTATACGTTGCATCGTTCTATCCACGGAGTAAGCTTCAGCTCAGGCACGTATCTTTGTACCTTGTCGGTTCCTAGCTCATTGACACAGACTCTTACGATAGGATAGCGCTATTTTTTGCTTCTACTGCATTGGCCGGAGCTTTCTCTGGCCTGTTGGCATCAGCTATCGGTCATCTGGACGGTCATGATGGAAGACCGGCATGGAAATATATCTTCATCTTGGTACGATTGCGATACTTCTGATCTACGACTCAGCTCTAGATCCAGCTACTTTCCAGGAAGGAAGTTTTACGATCTTGTATGGACTTGTCTGCTTTGTCATTATGCCGCGTTCACTTTCGACGATTCCACTCTTGACTCCCGAAGAAAGGTCCAACGCCGAGGCACTCCTCGTTCAAGAGCATACCACACTTGAAAAAGACGGCCATTTCAGCTGGTCTTCGACCCTGGGTGCATTATTACAACCTCATGTACTGTTGTATTTTGTCTTAGGATTCTTTGGAGGTATGTATAGTCTGGATCACTGAGAAGTGTGTTTACAAGTCGTACTTATGGCAGGTCTGACACTAACCGCTCTTGCATAGTACGTCGGCTGGTCCCTCTCCACCACGTCTCTCTTACTGATGACAATACCATAGCTTCGAACCTAGTATAGTCCAAAGCCTTGGTTATACGGCTAATCGAGCGCAATTAATGTCTGTCCCTCCATTTGCCGTGGCTTGGGCGGGTAAGCTCTTCCTTCGCGAACGGGATCGGCTCATCTCACAGACTCTTTTAGTAAATATCATCACAGCTTTCGTATCCGACCGATATAGGCTGCGTGGTGTCACCATCATGTTCCACTCTATGGTGGCTACTATCGGATTTGCCGTCTTTCTCGGCAGTAAGAACCATGATGTCCGATATGGCTCACTCTTCCTGTTCGTCCCGGGTGTATATTGCACCCCTCCATCGCTTCTCGCATGGGCGGCCAACAACTCGGCTCCTCGGTTCAGGCGAGCAGCAGTGATAGCGTTCTTACTGACCTCGACCAGTTTAGGCGGTATCTTAGCAACGTGGTTGTTCGGGTCGTTATCCACGCCCCCGGATTACAACAACGCGACTATCGTATCTATAGTCTTTTCTGCTGCTATGGTAGTGGCAGCGTTGGCGAATATCGTATGGTTGAATGCGCAGAACAAAAAGAGAAGAGGGGTGGCGAATCCTGGACCTGTCAATGATGACAGAAGCGATGGCTTCCTTTACAGGCTGTAGGTCGGACGACCTGATCCCAAAAATCACAAATGTAGTATATAAATATAGTTTGCTCTATTCACGATGTTACACTACTGCACATTTTTCAGACCAAAGTTTCCGACTTCGAGATTTAGAACCAAACCGTCAACACTCTCTGCTGCAACGTGAATAGGTCCACTATACATGGTATGAACGGCCCTGCGTGCGTTGATCTCCTTCAATACCCATTTGGCCTCGTCGTCGTCCTGGGCTAAAGCCTTGATCTCATCGTCAGTCATGATTGGTACCGACGGTGAGCACAACTCCGGTCCGAGTCGTGCTCCTACAGCCTCATGCATTTGCGGGTCCGTAGGGGCAAAAATATCTTTGCAAAAGTCCATGGTCTTTTGTAATTCGTCCTCCGATACGGTTTTGCCGACATCAGCTGTGCCCTGGATCACTGATAGTAGACGTCAATAAGATCAAAAGAGAGGTTGAAAACACTACTTGCCCGGCCTAAGAATATCAAAGGCTTTATCGAAGTTGTCCTCGTCAATCTCAGACAAAATAGGTAAGTCTTGATTGCGAATCTGTTTATAGACACCCATGACAACAAGTAAAAAGCTGATGGAGGTCGTTAGTATACAGAATACTACGTTCGAAGAGAATGGCGTACCGAGTATACGCAACAGCGACTTTTTTGTCATGAAACTGAGCTGCCCGCGGTTCCGAACATGTTTTTCGGATCGAGGCCGATATCGACGCAGCAGCAGTTAGCGCACCCAAAAGCGCCAAATGAACTCCGCTTGAGAAGAAGGGATCGATGAAGGCTAGAAAACATGTCGTTATATAGTATTTAGACGGGTTTTGGCTTGGGAACGTACCGGATGCATCGCCGATGAGTCTGAAGTGATCGCCAGAATATTTGTCAGCGGCATAGCTGAAATCACTGGCTCTACGGATGCATATGGGGCTGTCCTCCCCTTGGAGGGTTGCCTCGCAGAGGAACTTCTCGCTTATTGTAGGCGCTAGTTTGAGCTGTGCGAGGTAGTCGTCCTTTGAGGAATAATGCACGCCTTTTCTCGCAGAAAGGGCCTTTCTAGCAGTGCTTGATTCCTGGTCAGTGACAATGCCTACTGAAACCGTGCTGTCGTGTAGGGGTATAAACCATGCCCAGCCGCTACCATCTGGAGAAAATAGCAAGTCAATGCCGAACTAACATTTTGATGGTGAGAGAATATAAAACCTGTTAATGCCTCAAAAAATGGAGCGTTGTCACGTTGGCTCCCTGGCATGTATCGCTTTGCCCCAGTCCAATAACCCCAGGATGCCAAGTTTCTAAGTGTGTTGTTCATCTTACGATTTTTCAGGTACTGAATCCGGGGTACAAGTTGTCAGAATACAAAGAACGATCGGTTAACTATGTACACACCTTGGTTGACATGATCCCCACTCGACCAGAAGCGTCGACAAGGTAGTCGAAGGAGATTGAATAACACTCCCCATCAGGACGACTAAATTCGGCGCTGATAGGCCTGCATTCACTGACGTTATTATCTGAAAATGTGAGGCTGGTGACCCTATGGTTCTCGAATACTTGGGCACCAAGCTCTTCGGCATGGCGCAACAAGATCTCGTCGAATTCCGAACGTTTCTGAATCAAGTTCAACTTTTATCGCAATATACACAATAATACAAATTTACCACATTCCAAGCTGCAGCATTATCAGGATCGTCGCTGCTGCCTCTAAGGGCAGAGAAGTCGGTGTCTTGAATTTCAAGTTCAGTAAGGTACACCGTGAAGAGCAATAATGCCGTACATCCTTCACGTTTGTGTTGCTGGAACTTTACCACCGCACCAGGCTGGTCAGTGACGGTCAGCCTTACGGCACGTAGTAAGATTGATACAATAGTTCTACCTTGGGACAAAATCCATGTGAAGCGACCTTTTTGTCTGCACCTGAGAATTTTAGAAATGGACGGACTGAAGGAAGCATGCTTTCTCCAATGTGATAGCTGAATTGAAGTTCTCGGTAAGACATGGCAATAAGAGATAGATATGGTACTTACCGAGGGAACTTCGTGGCCTCCAAGACGACTACGGAGAATCCTTCTCTGGCCAAGATGGAGGCACAGTAGCTCCCTGCGGGCCCGCCGCCGATGACTAGAATTTGAGCATGGGAAGGCTATAAGGCGACTTTAGACTGGTCATACGAAAGATACAGGCAAATAACAGACGGGTTGTGAGCTCATGATGTTTGCTCAGGTACTGGATTTCTCCAGGATGGTGAAACGAGTCGACTTTATATGTACAGCTCCATCCCTGCCGCTTATAAGCGCCCAGCTAGGGAGAAAAAGGCGTAGAAAGCTTCGTGACCATCTGTTGTAAACTTCCCATTGACTATTCAGGAGGTAATCTCGCGATATCGTCGCAATATCAATGAAGAAGCTAGATTTTGGTCCAAGTTCAACCGTTTGGAACAACAAAGCGGTGTTTTAGATACTTGCCGGTTGACGGCCCGGCGCTCACTCGGCTCTGCGGTAACTGCCGACTCGGAGCATCTTGTTCTTTCCATCCGTTGTCCATGGCAGATTAGATGATGAGCCCTGCAAACTGTATTCTTCAGACACTGATATGATCAAGTCGTGGCCAACAATGCCAGTCATCTTCTCGCACATATAAACCCTAGTCTTCATCGGCGATGCACACCACTTTCCGACATCATCTAGCATGTCAACGCCCAGCACAGTCGATGAGAATACTGGTATATTGTCCAGCTTTCTCAATTTGCTGAGGCAGACCAAGGCGTATCGGTATGCTATCCGCAGCTATAATTACTGATCTTGGAGTTTGATCTCGGAAATAGGAACGGAAAACCAATTTTTGTTGACGGACGATCTTTATCCATACCCGCAACGGTGGCTGTCGCACGTTATGGGATCAACCCTGAAGTCGACAACTCAGCTGAGGCAAAGGAACGCGTTTATCTGAGCAGGAAAGTCCTTGACGATGCGATATTGGTGAAGAAGAGCATATATGGCGTGAGTCCCATATCATCCACGAGCTACTTGATCGCTTAAATTTCTTCTCAAGGTAACAACCGGCGTTGGTGGTAGCGGTAAATATCTGTCCAAAACAACTTCATAATTGCCCTCAACATCGATTTTTCAAGCAGACACGCGATCCGCTGATGTCCTAGCCCTTGGGGTTTCGATTTTGCAACAAATTCAATGCGGCATTTTATCTATAGATGGAGAAAGCGATAGTCTACCGATCTCTCATAACTGCGCTGCCACACAAATGCCGGAGTCTTGGGTCAGAGGCGCCCTCACGATGCGAATGAACAGTATGATTCGCGGGCACTCGGGTGTTCGTTGGGATGTCTTGGAGAAGTTTGCGCATATGCTTAATGCGAATATACTCCCTCTAGTACCACTCCGGGGTAGTATTTCGGCCTCGGGCGACCTCACACCGCTATCCTACCTTGCTGGTGCTGCGACAGGGAACCCCTTCATTCGTGTGAACTGCGGCCCGCCTGGCAATCGTACCATCACAACATCGAAAGACGCCCTTGCTATAGCGGGGATAGAACCTCTCGTGTTCCAAGCTAAGGAGCCGCTTTCCGTAGTCAACGGAACGTCCTTCTCGGCCGCTGTAGCTGCACTTGCCGTCTATGATGCTGCTCACCTGTCGTTGTTAGCGCTTGCCTGCACTGCACTTACAGTCGAAGCCTTGCATGGGGCAAGGGGATCATTTGCTCCTTTCATCCATGCCATCGCTAGACCTCATCCGGGCCAGGTTTGATGTCGTCAATTCATTCCTACTACTAGTACTAACGTCTCTTTAGGTGGAAGCGGCTCAATGTATATGGTCGCTTTTGGAAGGCAGCAAATTTGCAAAGAACGACGACCCCGAAGTCCGCTTGAATGAAGATCCTGGAGTTCTTCGTCAAGACCGCTATGCAATGCGTACCTCTCCTCAATATCTGGGTCCTCAGTTAGAAGACATTCATGCTGCTGTAAAGACTATTGATCTTGAGTGTAACGCAAGTAAGTATAGAGATGTCAGTACTTCCATATCTATTAATGGCGATACAAAGGCAGCGACAATCCTCTCATCGAGGCCGAAACGCAAACGATACATCTAGGCGGAAATTTCCAGGCCATGGCAGTCACGAATGCCATGGAAAAGACTCGCCTTGCTCTTGATCACATCGGGAAACTCGCCTTCGCGCAATCAAGCGAGATCTTGAATCCACATATCAATAAAGGCCTACCTCCATCTCTGGCGGCCACCGATCCCTCTCTCAACTATCATGCTAAGGGATTAGATGTCGTTATGGCAGCTTATGTGACAGAACTTGGATATCTCGCAAACCCCGCTTCAACGCATTCCCAGGCTGCTGAGATGCATAACGAATCGGTGAAGTATGCGTCTCTTTGTCGTCCCCTCTGGCTATTATCAAATTTCATTTTATGAATAGCTCTATGGCCTTACTTTCTGCGCGCGCCACGATATCCTCTCTAGAAGTTCTCGCCATGTTGATCTCGTCGCACCTGTATATTCTCTGTCAAGGCAAGTCATCTGCCGTAGTGACGTCGCTATACTTATCGTTACCGTAAGCTCTGGATCTTCGCGCGATGCAGCACGATTTCCTTGCTGGCATCAAAGACATCGTGGAATCCGGTGAGGGAATGTCCTGTCCATCTTATGTTTATGTTCGTTCTGATCGGCCTAAACGCAGAATTGACGAGTGCATTCAAACTGAAAACCCCCGATGTCTTGGATCTCTCATCTTTGGTCAATAGAGCTCTCAGAGATTCATTTCATTCCACGACCACGATGGATCTGAAAGATCAAATGCAAGCAGTCGCATCGTCTTGCATACCAGTGATTGTCAAGTTCTTTGCAACCAATCCTTCGTTGTATTACCAACCAACACTTTCTGATATCATGGCAGTCACCAATTCTTTCGCTACACGCGGTATCGACCTCATGAGTCAATTGAGGGATCAATATCTTACGGGTTCGAAGGGGCGTACACCTGCTTCCCCGTATCTTGGTCGTACCCGTGACATCTATCAATTTATCCGTGTCGATTTGGAAGTCCCAATGCATGGGGAGGAAAACTTAAAGCGGTTTGAGAATGCGCCTTATGCAAACACCAATACCATCGGACATCAAGTCTCCGTCATCTATAAGGTGAGAATGGGCTTCTGATAAAGATGAGCATCAAGCGTGATTAACTTCTATCTAGGCCGTCATGGACGGGAAGATGCATGATGTTATTACAGCGATGATTGGCAAGCGGGACTTGTAATATACATAGCCAAGACACCGCCCAAGTAAACGCTCGAACTGAATAATAGCTTGTTTTGACCGCCGAACTGGCTCTCAGTCACCGAGCTGAGATGAATTAACAGAGTCCGTAACAAGATTTGTTACGCCCGTTCGATCTCACGGGGGACTCCAGTTGGTTTCAAATGTCTACTAGCTTCCGGAATTCACATTTCAATGCATCCGTTAAGCAACTTTTGGGGAAAACCTTCCAGTCGTCCAAAATTATCCTTGCTTCTGGAAGTGAGTTAGCTATGATAGTGCATCCCCGCTCAGCCCTAACCTTGTTTAATCGATGAGCATAAATGTTGCATTGATGGAAGAGCGGCCCACTGCAACGCCATCTCGATGGATATGTCTGAACTTGACGCACTGCAGAGCAGCCTAAACCACGCTCTGGATGCGTTCCGAGAGGAACTGACGAAGGCAAAACTGCCACAGTTATCAACGTTCAGTATTGAACCCCATCCGTTGGATGCTCCGGAGTTCCTGCCCTCTCCACGCTTATATGAAGCTCGAAGACTCGCACTAGGTGTGAAGTCTCGATACTGTTCTATTCTTTTTTTATATGCTTATCTATAGATTACGAAGCATGCGTTGTAAGTTTTCATGATTCCAGTCGGCGCACTATCTGACGTTGCACTTAGGGCCAACTCAAAACACTTTTGCAGTCTCCGTATGAGAAAGTAGTTGAGCAGACTCTGGCTCCTTATGACGCAGCGTGTTTGGACATAGTTCTTAGAACTGGGGTCATCGACAAGCTCTCGGAAGATGCCTACAGAAGCACCGGATTGCATGTGCAACAGCTCCACCAATTCTTGGACCTTGATCCGTTCAAGCTGACGGCAATTCTCCGGTATCTTGCTGCGGAAGGATGGTTACACGAAAAGAGTGAAGGAATATATGCACTCAATCGTCCTACATTGGAATTGTGCCTAGGGAGAAATGGACGAAAATGGGCGCTGTACGAATCTTAGTATCTTTCCGAAATTGCCTATCTTACATGACTCTTCTCCAGTACACAGGGAAAGGGTAAAATTGCAGATTCTCTGCTCGATGCTATCACCCATCCTGGTTGGAAATACTCGACTTCGCCACTGGAGACAGCTTTCCAGCTCTCCCATCACACTCCATTGTCTCTTTTCGACTACCTCAAAGCCAACCCTGCCGAACTTCAACAATGGGCAAACTCAGTGCGGGTTTGTAGATTTATTTTTTTCAGCATCTCGGGGCCTAGAGCTCATTTCCCGCTAGACTTACGGAGATGCTGCAGAATCGGCTCTGATGGCGGATTTTCCTTGGAAAAGTCTGAATAGCCAAACTATCGTTGATTGTGGAGGGGGTCAAGGATATCTTACCATCTCCTTGGCACGAATGTAAGCATTATTTTTAAGTCACATATAGCGGCATTTTGTTGAACTCAATGATTTGTAGTCTCGAAGATGTCACGTTTGTGATTCAAGATCTACCAGAAGTCATTCCTATAACAAAAGCGAACGTTAGCCGGGAAAGTCCAGCAGCAGCTCAAGATGGGCGGATCATCGTTGAAGCGCACGACTTCAGGACACCGCAAGTGCGACGATCTGGAAATACGACCTATGTGTTTCGATTGGTTCTGTGAGTTACTGTTCTGTCCTGGCCTTCTCTGATAGCCCTTACATATTCGCGTAGTCATGACTGGACAGATCAAGACTGCGTATGTCTGGCCCTCTTCAGCTTGCCATTGATACTCACTTATAGCCTGCAGACTGCGATACTCAAGAACATTCCGGCAATATATGGAGCAGTAAGTGCTCCACAGAAATCAAGCCAATCAATGCTAAGTCCCACAGACCAAAGTCATCATCATCGAGTATGTTGCTCAACCTTGCGCCATATCGTCGATGGCACAGGATCAATGCGACGAGAGCCTCAGGATGCTCACTGATACCGAGAAGTACGCTGCAACTTTACCGCCACCATACGTGCCCTTGAATTTCGGTGTTTGCGCGAAAATGAACCTTGGCCTTGGTGTCCATCTCCTCGGAGTGTACAACGCCCGTGAACGATCTTTGGTACGTTACCTTGACACTTGATGGCGCGCCGCTGTAGTGTTAATAGGCCTTCTAGCTTGAGTGGGACAATATAATTCGAAACGCGGGAATGCAAATAGCTGCAGTGTATCCGCTTCGAACTAAATTGTCCGTTATTGAATGCGATGTTGTGGCTTCAGATTGAGCGACGAGGTGGCGCTAATGGAGTAGCGCCATTAACGCTCTGAATAGGGTGTGGAGTTATCCGTGGTCAATTTAGATGCGAAGACGTTCAAGGACATTAGCGACAGTTTGTATGACCTAGAGTGAGATCGAGGAATCTGTGTGCATTATGTACCAAATACTTATGGTATGGTCTTCTCTGTAAATCCACTAGGCGACTTACTCCACTGCGACACCGTACCTTACCAAAAAATTTTGCAGTCTAGGCTCAAAATGACACCTGGCTTTCCACAACGACAGACAAGACTCAGGATCTCCATTTCGATGAAGTCTGGGTTGGTTCGGCCGTTCAAACCAGATCCAAATTCCAAATGAATTTGGGATCCTGTTTCTGTTCGAGGCTCTTTATTTACGTCCATGAGAGATTATATGCACAGAGAACAGTGTATCGTGGCGATTCACTCAAAAGTTGTTCTCCGCGAAATGGGGACCCAGGAATAACCTGCGAAATGGATAGTTTTAAGGGCTTTATTTCCTGCAATATACCTTCTTCCAAGATGGGATGGATCAAGAATAAGTATTTTTTGCATTGCTTATTATCGCATCATACGTGCAACAACTTGGTACAGACGATTTTACAGTAGCCAGTGCTAGACACGCCTCTTAACGAGAAGACCTGAAAAGACGGACCCAAAGGGCGGCCAGAACTTTATTGGACCCGACCAAGCCCGGAGTCACGATCCGATGCTCCGCCGCTGCTCCTCAACGAGCCTGGGCTTAAAATTGCTTTCTCATCCGACTCATCATGTTCCTCCCAACCTCGCTGGCAACTGTTGCATCCGAATCGACTACGGTTAAAGTCGTCGGTCGTAACCAATACAACGCTACAGCATCCCTATCTCCCCAATCCGTAGACAGCGATCCCCTCGAACAATTCAAAGCATGGTTCTCCGAAGTCTCCTCCGAGTCTTCCCCCGTATTGGAACCTGAGTCGATGGCACTTTCCACTTGCACTCCAGATGGTATCCCCTCTTCCCGTCAAGTTCTACTGAAACAAGTCGATGCCAAGGGATTCGTCTTTTATACCAACTACACCTCGCGGAAGAGTATCGAGCTAAGCGCGAATCCGAATTGTGCGTTGGTGTTCTACTGGCGGGAAGCGCATCGGAGCGTAAGGGTGGTAGGAAAGGCTGAGCGGGTGTCGAAGGAGGAGACGGAGGAGTATTTTCGCTCGAGGCCGAGGGAGAGCCAGTTGGGGGCTTGGGCTAGCAAGCAAAGCAGTGTAGTTGGGGAAGGGGAACTTACGGCTCGATTAGAAGAACTCAGGGTACGGTTCGAGGGTAAAGAAGTGGAAGTGCCGGATTTCTGGGGCGGATGGAGAGTATTGCCTAGGTGTGTCTTGTTTTGTTCGGATTTCATCTCAAGAGTACTCATCCGTGGTTTAGCGAGGTAGAGTTCTGGTCGGGGAAGCCATCAAGGCTCCATGACCGCGTGAGGTATCTTAGAAAGGCCGACGGCGAATGGAATGTTGAGAGACTAGCGCCATGATGCATGATGTATGATCAATACAGTAAAGCACTTACATTGTTACCCAAAATGCCTACCATTATGCTGGCAGATACACCTATTATACACGGATTGAATCTAGACCCGTTCATTCGATACGCTATGCTAGTGCGACGTCTAGTAATATTACCATGTATTTGAATACGCTAGTTGTACTAATTGCGTTATCCCGCTTTCGCCCATAAGACTGACGACTAGCGGCCGCGATGAATCTGCCTTCTAGATCCCGTTCCAGGCTACGGGCCTGTATCGACATCAAAATGGCGTGCAGAACCGTAATTAATTGACACCGGGTAAGGTCACCACTCATTGTATTCAAGTGTGATCCAGCAAGTAGCGCGGTACACGATTCGGAAGGCGCGGTACCTAAGCCATCCGGCATCAATTAGCAGATATGCAGTGTACGTTCTCAAAGGTGAATGAGATGGCGAGATGTCCCTATCAACGATATTTATATGTAGCCACTTGCGCCAAGTAGTTTTAGATTTTGAAAATACGCGAGGTAGTCCTGACGTTCAAACGTTCAAGTCACAGTTGAGGCGGAGCTTGAGTCAATCCAAGACATGACAAGTCGGCCAAAAGAGATAAAAACATAGATGGCAGTCTGAAATAGTCCCGAGAGATAAAATGGTAGACTCGAACTCGACTCCATTAATCAAAAACGGAGGAACATCTAGATATAAGCTGACTAACGGCGAGAGAAGTTCGTATGGGAGCATCTTAGCTCAAGGTCTGGTGAATGTTACTTGAAAGGACTGGATATATGCAATTTGACGCTGGCTCGAGCTTCAAGAGCACTAAAAAAATATTCAGATGACTTTTTTGTCTGTATATCATTTAGAATCCGTCCGCAGAAATGAAATCAAGACTCACCATTAAGCGACACCGAGACCTTGAGCCCTTCCTTCTTCATCTCCTCCAGCCTGTCTATCTCTGATAGCTTCAAATCATTCGCAAAATCAGCGCAATAGACAATTGAGCGCAGTCTCTCCCTAGAATCTCCAGTGTTCACGGCCCATCGACTGCTTATCATATCCACCATAGTATAACACGAAGAAGCTTCCTGCTCACTCGTCAGAGTATCATCACCAGGATCTCGTCGAACGCCAATATGAAGATGCCTCAGCTTTGGTAACACAGGGCTGACGTCCGCTTCACAGTGCTCCCCGTTCTGCGAGAGGAACTTGAGGAGACCCTCAAAGGCTGGCCCCGGATCTTTGATTTCGAGTTTGAGGTTGTACACCTCAGGACATAACTTCAGAACCTCATAGAGCTCATGCGGGATACCCTTGAACATCTGGAGACTCAGTGTCTGGAGGGAACAGCCTGATGTTTGGATGAAGCTTGCGAGGGGCCCCAAGTACTCTTCAGGACTGGGTCCATCGATTTCGAGAGATTGTAGAGATGGGAAGGATACGATGGGGAGAAGGATAGCGGGATAGTCTAGCCGCAGCACGCGAAGTTTGTTATGCACGAGTCTCGGGCCCACGACACCGTTCCTGTCCCACCAGATAGCGAGAAATCCAAGTTGGTGGGTTAGGCATTCGAGCTTTGTGCAGAGGGTGATGACCGACATGACTGTGTTGAAGCGGTCTTGTATGGCGATGCTCGTCAGCTGGGACCACGGGAACGAGAATGCTGAGGACTGCGGGGGTGGAGGCTGGTAAGTGACATCGTGTAGCCGGGGGGCCTGTTCGAAGAGATCGATATACCCCATACTCTGCCGCCCGAGCACCAGACGCTGCAAAGACAGCAATTTGCCTTTTGCGGGGAAGAAGTGCGGAACGAGGTTCTCCGGTACACCGGTCAGAGTAACGTGGGACCAACGAGGCGCGTGGCGAACGAGGGCTTGGATGAATAGGTGGTTGTGAGGGTATCTGCGTGTGTGGGGGGAGTAGTGGAATGTCAATCCTTTGTGGCGCGAACGTGATAGAGCCGAATTTAGTAAGAAGATGAGGTAGTCGGGGTGCAGTGAGGCACGACGGGGGTATTTTGTGAGTGTGAAGGTTGACCAGAGAGAGGCGAATGATAATGCTGTGACTCGCCAGCGACTGCAGACTTGTCCTAGCACCCATGGTACACCCTTGACATCGAAAACGTGGTACGTCTTCGTGGGCAGGCCCCATGCGAAGATAAGGCTTAGTATCTCTGGAGGGAGTCGACGGATGGATGAAAGAATCGCTTGGGGGGCTGCGATGCAACGGGCAATGCGAGAACGCTTCTCCTTGGCCAGGTTCATCGCTTGCTGCAACGATAAGATCTCCATGTCCGCTTCTTGTAGCTCAGACCGGGCATCGTGAATGAAAGACGCGATATTCCTGGCTTCTATCTCTGAGGGAGGACTGTTGCTGTTGAGAAGATGGGGACAAGTCCTGTCGAGGTACTTGTGAACCTCGTCAGTGTACTGAGACTCTGCAGAGCCGTTAGCGTAAACATTCTTATAGTTACTCTCGAGGAACACGTACCTGCATGGCTGTCGTCCCCAACACGATGCGCCTGCATAGCGCTTGAAGACCGTGGTCTTCTTTTCGCTGCCATCGACGTAACTTTAACATTGTGGTGCAGACGTTTCGAGCAGACTCGCCTTTGAAAACTGGAGACCTGACAGGTACAGAAGAAAAGTGATGCTGAAAGTGGAAAGTGGCGGCTATTTGACGGCACATCCAACCCAACCACAAATTACGACGTCAAGTCTCGTAAACTTCACTTTCACACCGGTACATACTCTGTTACAAAGAAGAAAACTACATTTATCGTTATGGACCACTTCGGTTGAGTGAAACAGTTATACAACAGGATACAAGTAAATCGACCATCTCAGCCGGGAAAGAAAATAATGATAACGACCCCAAGCCTCAACGTTTCAACCCCAACATTGAGCCCGGCGTCAGAGGCTGAATACTGTTAACCTTTTCTGACGGCCGTTGACCATCCAGAGACGAAGATCTCGAAGTGGAAGACCTCGATGAGCTGATATGGAGCAACAAGGACGCAGCGGACTCTTCGTCCAGCGTTCTCACTTCCATCGCCACAGGCCCGAGGGTTAGAGCAGGTAGAGCTTGAAATGAATGTGCAATGGGTATAAAGCGAGCCGAGGACGGCGGGGAAGGTAGCTGGGTGACTCCGTCGAATGGAGCCCGGGGAGAGGTTTGGATCTGACGCTCTGACGGCGACAATAGACTAGGGTCGATGCTCGGGAGCCACGACGATATCGATGGAAGACGCTCGGAGTCGCTTTCAAGATTGGGCCTCTTCCTTGCAACCGTCTCTCGTTCATCCTCCTGCTCCCCATCCTCCCGCTTACGCTTCTTCTGCGGGCCGTCGGCTTCTATCTCCTTCACCTTCTCAAGCAAATGCTGCATATACGCCACCGTCCTGACCAGGATCTCCAGCTTGAACTCTTTCTCTTTCTCCGCCTTCTTGCCTGTCGCCGGTTTCTTCTTCGTGCCATACTCCCCATCGTCACCGTCGTCATCGTCGTCCTCCCCAGTGGCCTGCTCCTCGGCCTGGCCAAAGTTATCGGGGACGAGTTGTCTTAGTGTGGCTAAGGCTTCGTTTATCTTGGTCCGCCGAGCTTTCTCGATGATAGAGTGGTTCAGCTTTCGCTGGGCTTCGCGCGCGCTGCGGGACATGGTCCCAGGCCTCCGACCTCGCTTAGCAGGGGCGGGGACCGGGGCTACTGGAGCCGGTGTCGCCTCCATATCTTCCGCAGGAGGACTAGGCAGACTCGGTCGTTTGGGAAGGAGTGTGGGGTGTGAGATAGGTGCAGAGACATTGGGAGCTGCCTGTTTCACCCGACGAGTAGGATTGCAGCTGGCGGCGTACGTGTCTTTGGTATATGGCATGACGGAGCAGAGGACGGGGTTATCGAAAGACAACCTTGGTATTAGAAGGCCCTGCTATTTCGCTGAGACTGAAAGGGGTCATTCGCTCGTGTGCACATGAACGTGCTCGCGCACACGACCACCTTTGGGCGTGACGTGATTGGCTGATTAGCTGGCATCAGCACACGTTCGATAACGAATGAAAATATCATCGGCTTCGGTTGTTACAAGGTAGGCGTTATCTATGAACTCAAAGTTACTAATGTTATCATTATGAAGAAGGAGATGCTGTGAAGAAGAGAACATACATGGATGGTTTACGGCTTCTATCTGAGTACACCTCCCGCTACAACCCCCAAGAAATCGCAGAGATTACGCCGAAGGCTGGAAGACTGTTAGTATATTACCTTGCGTGGTCATGCACATTGCTGGATCCAAGTCTAGCCGTTTGCCATGGACGGGTTGAATGACGGAACGGACAAATCTCTGCGCTTCCGCGCACAGCATGTAATAATGGGCCCACGCCCTTACTCCGAGTCTTCATTACTTGTGTGAGAAGTCCATTGCCGACTTTAGCCCCCGAATACTTTGATTGACAATGATGCGTCCATGCGATCGTCAGCTTCAAATAGATACCACGATATATAACGTTCGAGAAATTGTCTTCAAAGCACTATTTCATCTGGGTGAGAGCGTGATGTCGTAAGTGCCAGTGAGAATATGGACCAAACTTGTAGGGGTCTTTCACAATGGTGAGATGTAAACCTTATCGTCAAAGCCTGGACTGTAAGATACAATTCAGTAGATGCTCTATAGGACGCGAGACAAGATAAGAGAGGGCACGTACTTCCATCTATGAAAAGGCAGTGCAAGTCACTGGCGACGAATGCCACTGGCCATCAACCTGGTTTGAGGCTTTCGAGAATCCCGGACGTCGCAACACTCAGAAAGAAACGAGGGTTATACATTGTCAGGGGCTACAGCTATGTCCGATTGGTTGTCACCATCACACGTTCTGCGTATACATCCTCAATTCGTTACATCCTAGACAATTTACAAGTACACAGTTGAAAAGTAAAGAATAACGTACACAGACATGGCTGCGGATTCCATGAAGCCAGGATATCTGTAGTACTGAATGGTGCCACGACTACTGCAAGCGTGTTTCATTGCTTCAAGCTGGGTGGACGTGCCGTCAGGGCCGTAGCAATTCGCTGTCAGGCGATTGCCCATGGCCATTAGCTTTGCAAACCGAATCAAACAAAAGTAGTGCAATCTGAGTGGTCGTTTGAGTGTCTCATTCACGGCAAAACAAGAGGGACGAACGAACTTTCGACACCTTGCTGTTATCCTCCACGCATGCCGGTAAAGACTCGGCCCCTGCCTCTTCCTCGCCTGCCTCCGCCACGACCAAGGACAATGTTTGGCATCACCGAAGCCGGGAGGGAATGACTGTCATTACTCGGGTTACTCTTTTCAAGCTTGTTCACGATAACAGGGTTCCCTCCCGCTCCTTCATTTCCGTTGATGTTCAGCGTTGTCGCTTTAGGGGAATCCCGCTTCAAAATGCTGGGGACTTTGACAGAGGCTTCACCACCGTTCGCAGGAGCACCGCGCCTTCCGCCTCTCTCTTTCTTCGGGGAGATCGGTCTTTCTTTGACCTCGCGCTGCTCAGCTGGCTCCTTGCTAGCCCCAGCTTCCTTCTCTTTCTCCCCACGACGGGGACGCCGTTCACCGGGTGCTACGCCAGCTCCATTCAAAGCCGCTTCAAATTGCCTGGACGCCAGCCCGACGATAGGCCGCGTACGACGAGCGGCAGCTGCAGGAGAGGGAGGAGGCTGAGCGGTACTTGTCGATGGAGAACTTGCACCAACAGAGAGAGGCACAGAGGTGTTGAGAGTCGCAGGAACCTTCGGAGGTTGCTGGGCTGGTTGGTTGCGCGCTCTGGGAGCCTTGGGAGCCTTTGCAGGCGCATTGGAAGATGGAGCAGCACCTTTGGGTGCATTCTTCTGGTTTGCATTCGCCGTGGGGGCCGCCGCTGGGGGAGCCTTTGAAGCGCCCTTCTTCGGTGTTTCGACAGGTTTCTGGTTCTGAGGGCCACCTTTCTTCTTCGAATCATTCCTGCCATTTATCGGTTCCTTGATCTGAATGCGAGGTATAATTTCTTTCTCCTTGACCGCGTTCTTCTCTGCCTTTAATGCTTCTAGCAGAGCTGTGGTCTTGGGCTGTGGAACTGGCTGAGCCGAGGCGACTGAACAACCATGAATAACTTTGAATCTGTGAAATATTTAGAACTCACCGAGAGCCTCGACGGAAACAAGTTCGGCATTGTTAGCCGCGTTCAAGGACTCTATAAAGGATATGTAATCTTCATCTATTGAGTTATTGCATTGAGTCCAAGGCGGATAGATATTTTTGTTGGTTGACATACCTTTCTCAATGGTACCAACCCTTGCATCCGGTTTCTTCTTCTCTGTAGGTACCTTCTGGTATGGCGCAAATTCCACCACAGCTTGAGACTCAGTCCCTGTGGACGTATATAGTCAACACCTCTAGCGGTCCCAACAGCCTGCACCAACCAGCTTTGTCTTTGAATACATGGCCGTCAAATCTCTGGCCGAATTCCGCTACTTGTTCTTCAGTCTTGAATGCGATATATGCACGAGATGGGATATTCTCCTTGTTCAAGCTGTTTAAAGTAAGATTCTGCTTGATATTACTAAACAGAACAACGCGCACCGTTTCCTAAACTTGCCCGGATAGTAAGTCTTCCAGATCACAGTCCCGTCCGTGACCCATGTCTGCACGCTCTGCCAGAATATCTCCTCGGGTAGATTGGGGGGTAGCCGTCGTACAACAGTTTTGAGACGCTCGGTGGGTGCCGCTTGTGATAGCGCCCTTTCCTTCTTCTCCTTGTCTTTATCACGATTCTTCTTGTTCTTGGAAGGGGAGGATTTCGCGGGAATTACGCTAGACATGCACTAGGTCGATGAGTGTCGTGCTGGAGCTGTGACTGGATTCGGCCGGACGGCAGTTTTCTTCGGAGAAACAATTCATGACATCGGCAAGAGCGGAGTTTGATTTGCATTTAATCCGAAAAAAAATTCTCTGTTCGTCTTGTCCGCAACGTCGTCGTTTGTCCCTCTCTTTTGGTGAGTATTTCAATCCTCTTTTTCGCTGTTTCCCTGGCCCTTCTTTATATGATGAATACCTATCACATTATCAAGCTCAACAGTCATACGGATCTTGTATCCCAGTGGTGACTAACTACTTCTGCAATGCTGAATTTTTTTTCTCTGGTTCGACGCTCCACGACATGATACTAATTCCTCTCTTCCTTAGATAAAGCTGCCCATCATTATCATTGCCTCCCCTTGTTAGATACATGCCGCGAATAATACATCGTTTTGATTTATTTCTTGTGCGAGTTTTATATCTTGGAGTAGGCGCGTCGTCCAATCATGCGTCAACCTTTAAAAACAGGGTCCTGTTTATTTGTTTATCAAGTTCTGTGTGATGCGAGGAGCGTTGGATGGCTGCCTCGGGGAGCATCGTTGGAATGTCATCAACCCGGGTTTGAGGCGCACATATCAGAAGACCGTCTGCTTCCCAACAGTTTGATTCAACTGAATGAAAGACCTAAATTTGCCTCGAACCCATCAGTCCGTCACTCTGGATGTTCTACGCACGAACCATTACTAAATGACAAGCACTACTTCCAGACTGGTTCGGCTCTGGGTTGTGGATAAGATGGCCACGCGTATGCATATGCAGGTAACAAGCTGCCATGTCCCTCGATGCATCAAGTATCGGTTTATTCCTCGTTACTGTTCTGAGTGCTGCTCTATGGTTCCTCAATACACGATCAAAACTGCCGCTACCGCCTGGACCACCTCGACACTGGCTTTTTGGAAGTGAAGTCTCCATTGAGACGTAAGCCCAACTTCTTCACCTTTCAACTCGCACAACTCTAGGACTCATATATCATGTAGTCCATACCTACGCTACGAAGAGCTCACTCAAAAGTATGGCCCTATATTCTCAATGAGACGAGGAATGACAGACATCATAGTCATTGGACGGTATGAGGTATGTATATCAGGCCATTGTCGATCATGAGTGCCATTCATCCGGCTTCCAGCCAGCCCTCGAGATCATGGAAAAAGAAAATGCCATTCTGCAAGACCGCCCGAGATCCATTGCTGTCCAGGAAACGCTATGCAGAAACATGCGTATGCTCATGATGCGTGCTGGAGAGCGCTACAAACGGTTTCGTAGGTACGATGACCATCCTTTTAAGCAACCGTTTCTTTCTGACCCTAAAACGATATTTGAAGAGCTGTCCAATCCCAACTTCATCCTCGAGTCATACAGACGTATCAACCGTTGCAAGTCAAGAATGCCGTAAACCTGATAATGGATCTACTAGACGATCCTTCACAGCATATTGAGCACGCAAAACGGTGAGATTGATACGTCTCGTCAAAGAATTCGTCTTATTATCCCTATCCGCAAGGTATGCGGCGTCTGTGGTCATCACCCTTACCTACGGCAAGCCTTCCACAACGACGTATGCCGACCCCCTGGTCCAAAAAATCATGATGTTCATGCGCCGGTTCGGCACTGTCGCAAGACAAGGCGCGTACTGGGTTGACACTGTGCCAATACTCCGATATGTCCCCGGATACCTCTCCGATCTGCATAAATGGCACAAGGAGGAACTAGCCTTCTCTCGTTCTTCCGTCGACACAGTCAAAGAGAAAATCGTCGGTCTAGTTTTTCTTTGCCCCTCCCTTTCTCGCTTCTAACCCGTGTACTATAGAGACGTAACGAGGAAATTATCAAGCCCAACTTTGTCCAAAATCTGCTGGAGAAAAATGCCGAGTATCAGATGAATGAGGACGAGATTGCCTTTCTGTCTGGAGGGCTATTTCTTGCTGGGGCTGATACAGTGAGGATGCCAGTGCTCAGAGGAAGATCTCCGGTGCTGATACTCATATATCCAGACCGCTTCCGCGATAAGCATAATGATGATGGCTGCGGCGTGTTTCCCCGAGGCACAACGCAAGGTTCAAGCGCAGTTAGATACTGTCGTGGGTTTGCATCGTGGTAAGCACCTTCTATATGACAACCCTCTGCCATCGGCATCTCAGACCTTGTACGACAGCACCCACATATGCAGACGAATCAGACCTGCCATTCGTTACTGCGTTCATCTATGAGTGTTATCGGTGGTGCGCCTCTTTCACGTTCCCGTCCTTCTCATACTGATCACCAGTCAAGGCGACCAGTAACTGCTGCAGGTGAGGAGCACCTTCTGACAGAGCTGAATACGGTGTACCAATTATATGGACAGGGTTTCCTCATAGAGCAACCAAGGATATCATATGGCAAGGGTACAGAATTCCTGCTGGAGCAACTGTGATTGGTAGTCACTGGTATTTCTGTCAGTCCTTGTCCCAACACATTCTGACGGTGCATTTACATAGGTCAATCGGCCGTTCTCCAGAGGTTTTCCCTGACCCAGAAGACTTCCGCATAGAGAGGTGGCTGGATTCTGACGGCGCAATACGAGATGACCTCAAATCGCTAAACTTTGGTTTCGGTAGAAGGTAGGCGATATTTTTTTGTTTCGGGTTGCGCTCACAGCATCGTCCAGAGTCTGCCCTGGCCAGCATTTAGCAAACAAGTACGTTATGTCTGGAGCCCTTGTAGACACACCTGACATCCTGAGGCAGATCTCTGTTCATCACCACGGCTTTTGTACTCTGGGCATTCCGTCTGAAGCAAATGAAAGACTCTCCCATTGACACTCTTGCCTTCACGCCTACAGTTAACCTCCATCCTTTGCCTTTTAATGTCCAGTTCGAGACACGGATGCCGGTAGATGACTTGAAGCAGATCTTGAATGATCCCGTGTAATATCGTAAATGCCTCGACTCGTATTGTTGCGATAGACAATTGTACATAGCCCATTCTATTCTCATCACATATCATCTTCATTTTCTGACTTTAAACGGCTGATGAAAGCGCCATCTACTGGACCTATGTATGGCAAGTGAGAACAATAAATAGAGAAAGAGTTGCTGTAACCTACGGCCCATACTCGACGTCAACTGTTTCCCCCGATAAGCTGAGACCACTGGGCTTGGGGTTGGTGGTAAAGAACCAGTCGACGCAAAAGTACTGGTCGACGACCCGGGGAGAGTGTATCTCAACGGAGACGCAGTAGGATGAGGGACAGATGAAGAGGGTACGAATGATGGGTCAGAGGTTTTCTACCAGATTCATCAGTGCTGCTTGTAACGTGATAAAACACGTAACCTACTTTGGGTGTTACAAGCTCGGAGAGCCTCCGAGCAGGGGTCGGCGACGCTTGAATGGTTTTTCGCTTTGCCTTTGCCGACGAAGCAGGTGGCGATGGTATCGGGCGAGGGTATTTTATGGCATAGACGGATTGTAATATGTTATACACGAGCACACTGCTCAACGCCACCTCTTTTTCAACAGTCAGCGAAGAACAAAGGAACTAAGAAGACGCACCTAGAAGACATAGGTAGCCATATATCCCATCATACCCATCCGAGCTTGAGGATACTGCACGAAAAGCGCGAAAAAGCGATGGCACGGGAAGCAGATGCGTAGCGACTGCCAGAAGGACAAGGATGAAAGTGTTGGTTCGTATCCGAGCGATAGCTTCTGCACGATGAGGCTTGATGTAGTTGGATATCAATGAAATGTTCGTGTTCAGCATGTTTGTGGAAACGAAATAAGATGAGACGCGTCGAAGAGATGGAGCAAGAAAATTGAAGAGAGTGGTTGAAGAACAAAAGGCGTGGGAAGCTGGGACCTCCGGCCCGAGTCAAGCACTGCTTCTGGCGTCTCGATGTCCCAAACAGTCATGACTGTGAGGCCTGCCTCGGCGTAACTACTCGTTTGCTGCATTTGCTTTGTTGAATGCTTGCATAGGCATGAAGATACATATCCCCGTCGTTTTATCCTGACGTCATAGTCACCTCCCGCGGCTTGCCAGTTACCGATACACGTCCCAGTGGTAATTCAGCTGCCCCGGTTCATGTTCAGAAGTAGATGACCATTAGAATGGATTCTTACCTCGTTATATGCAAGCTCGCCAACGGCTACGCAACATAGTCATCATTTGACTCTGCTAACCTGGCACCAAGTGCACTTGAAGGAATACTTGTGGCTAAAAAATGTCAATTCATTACTATTTGCCATGTTCGTGGCCCTGTTCTTGATACCAAAGTTCCCACTGGCACTTCAGCTTGCTTTCTGAGTGCTTGAAGCCGAGCAGTCTTCGAGGCACCCGCGGGCCTGGTTGAGGCTGTGTCGCTATTTGTCCCAGGCCTGCGGAGCAAATAGCGGCCAAAAATTAGACACGAGCTATTCGCGACGTTTACACCTTACCACCATGACGGCGCTCACCCAAAATCTTCCACCTTTCGTGCGCGACTTGGGAGTCTCGATTATTGGGCAGGTAATACTCTTTTCTGATTGTTCGACCGGGTCTAACAAGAGATGACAGGAATGCTACACGTCATTGATAGAGAATTTGGACTTCAATAACGTTGAATGCATTAAATACTCCCTCTCCAAAGGCGTAGGCCTTGGAATTGTTGTTGGAGGATCGATTGTGAAGGTGCCTCAGATTATTTTGGGTACGTTCTACTTCCCTTTGTATACGGCGCGACGTTAACAGTGCCCTGTAGTCTTGAAATCGCATTCTGCTCAAGGCCTGTCGCTCGGGTCATACATCCTCGAGACGCTGTCGTACTGCATAAATCTTCTATACTCATTCAGGAATGACTTCCCTTTCTCAACGTATGGCGAGAATCTCTTCTTGACCATTCAAAACGCCCTCATCACCCAACTCATCGTGTTCTACTCCCCTGACTCTCAAGGAAGGGTAACCCTTGTCTCGGCGGGGTTGACTGTGTTTGTTTCTACGCTTTATTCCCTACCTACTGAGATCCTCTCCTACCTCCAAATCGCCACTCTTCCGCTATCGTTGTTCGCGAAAATTCCCCAAATAACGCAAAATTACCGATCGAAGAGTACGGGCCAGCTCAGTGCATTCGCAGTGATAGCTCAGATCCTGGGATGCGTCGCTAGACTGTTTACAACGACGCAAGAAGTGGGTGACCCCGTGGTCTTGACCGGCTTTGCGCTGGCCCTCGTGCTAAATGGTGTGTTGGGCGCCCAGTTGTGGATGTACTGGGGCGCACAAGCGAAAAAGGTTGAGAAGAAAGTGCCTGAGCCGGTGAAGGAAGAAGAGGTCATGACGGAGGTGAAAGAGAAGGTGCAAGCCTATGAGCAACCGCCTCCTCGTCCGCAGACACCACCCCGTCCTCACACACCGACGTATAGGACTGGGACACCACCACCATCAGGTGGTAGGAAATGGTCACGGAAATTGGATTAGTCCTTCGCATTTTACAATATTTTATGTTTGATTAGTAGTTGTTCACTATATTTATTTACTTATCCTGAAGGTGGACGTCCGCGTCATCAACCAAGGCTGATGGCTTCCTAAGTTGAAAACAGCATGGTAAGTACAATAAGCATTAGACGTCACATTAATTTTTTGAACTGTAGGTGCTAGGTTACAGATTGCAATGTTAAGGAATATCGCAGTGACGATGATCACCAGATTGACAACTAGCAGAGACGCGAGAGGAAGGTGTGGCTTCTGCTCTTGTATATCTGTCACCTGTTTCCAGTGGTTGCTTCAACCTCTGTGTCCATTTGGCGAGGCCGCTTAACAAAGTATAATGGAGTGGACACATGCATATTCCTCGTCTCTTCATCGTGGGATCTATTGTGGACCCGAATAATGATGAGGTTGAAGGCAATCCCAGCTGTCTTGACCTCCTATAGTTTTCTTCAGTACCAACTCCAAGAGTACGGTTCCTTGGCACTTGAACTAACCAAAGCACTCGTGAAGTACACGGCTACGCTTCCAGAGACGTATGTCGCGCAGGTTATAACTATGACGTCTAAGATCAATTAATTCTCGAAGACAAAAATATCGACATACTAGCAGCACTAGTATATATGGCACCAGATTCGATGATAATCCTTGATGACAGTGACGAGTGAGCATGGGGGCTGATTACATGGAGATTCCCCTCCCACCTTATCGTTCGCTGCAGTCTGTTGAGTCTGTCAGAATGACATCCTGACAAACGAGTGACTGGATGTCTGGACACTGTCCGATCAACGTTGTAGATACGGACTACAATGAGACCTGGAAAAAAGAAGGCTGGGAGTCAATGACCATCAAAACAAGTGGCTGGAAACAGACACGTCGTTATTATATTCAGCGCGATACTTATGCCCCAGAAAGAACTGATGATGGGCCGTAAGCTGGTTGGTGCGGTGAGGGCCTCGGAATGGATTTGGCTGAGAACAACAATATTCAATACTGCTGTCACCGATGCCCCTATCCAAAGGAGCGCTGGTACCGCAGCCACGGTCCAGGATCTCCCGTAAACCACCCAGCAACGATACGTCTGAAGTACAAGGTCAGGCAGTCAGTCGATTACGGTTCAACTGGGACTATCCGCACCAGAATGCCATCCCCGATGAGGGTCTGCATATCTACGCAGATGAACTTCAAAACCTCAGCGGCACTTCCAAGGTTCGTGAACTGCTCGCTGACTCTTGTGGAGCCGAGTGATTCAAGCGCTCTAATGATATTCAGAATCACCTGCACCGTCGCAATTATGGGCATGACCAAGCAAACGAGAAGCATTGGACGATTAATTTCAGGCCAGGATTTCATTCCGGACTCTGTCCAGAGGAGGGAGCGAAGGCATAGTCCAAAGGTGACCAGGAAGACGCCCCAGGCGGTGCCCTCCACGAACAGTGCTACAATGCTGGCTTCTTGTTCAGTAAGAGCCATGGACGAATGTGGAGAGATCTTTGTTTCCGCCGGGCCAGATGGAGTTTATTTATGAGGTATGCCGTTTCATATATCAGAACAGAGCTATTCAATGCGGCTGATCCAGTTCATCAGCATCTAAACAGCATCTACGGCTTGTTTGATTATGAAACGGCTTCAGGAAGCGAGTATGATATTTCTGCTTACCATTGAATAGCACTCGGCTCCACTGTTTCCCCAAACTGCAGGCGTTGCATGTGCAAATGTAGTCGAAAATACACATTCTATAGCTTAACTGTTCCCTAGCCGCTCGCATTGTGTCGGTAGGCGTGACGGTACTCTGTTGGGTAGATCTCTTGTCCTATTGTAGCGAAAATAAAAATATGGGAATGTGGCCCGTTGATCAGATAATCAACGTTGGAATTTGAAGCTTGAAATGAGGGCGATCTTCCAGAGATACGTGGTTGGATTTGAAGAACCAATAAGCTGAATATCGGCTATTGATTACTCAGCAGGAAATAGCCCCTGTCCAGACGATTGAGACAGTAGTAGGACAACCAACTGCCTTTTCCTCAACGACGATGAGGGAAAGACCCTTTACCACCTATGACTTTATTATGCAGCTCGACTCTGCCGATATGGGTATCTTCATAGAGGAGCCTCGACGAGGGGCATCATGCGCCACGCTCCTTCTCAAGACCCTCAAGACTCGTTATGACTTCCTCCTACGGGGCCTCGGAAACATTCATGTCGAATGCGTCGAATACCGTAAATCGAATTCACTTTTCGAGGACTCAGAGCATGAGTATCTGGTGGTGACGGTGAAGGAATCGTCAAGATTCATGCGGACAGGGTTCCTCTTGGTGGACAGGCTGGACGACGACCCTCCATTTTCCGACACTTCGGCTCCGTCATATTTCGGCAGTATTCTGTCGTCTATCACTCAATGGGTTTGGTCCTTGCTCCTCACTGTTCTATACTTTTTCATTGGACCGGTTCCGTGGCTTTTCGCTCCTTCCTCGACGACCTCGCCGCCCCCCACAGCAACTTCAAGCCGTCCTCATCGCCGCAGAAAGAAATGGGACCCTATCGACACCCGCGAAAGACTCGTCGTCCTGCGCAACATTGAGGACGCTCTGGATGTTCAGGGCCAATGCGCTTATGATGTTCTTATGACGATGGACCTCCGCCAGGCACCCAGACAGGTCACCTTCGAGGACTTTTTGCTCCTCGTCAGGACCACCTCGAGAAATGCCCCGCTGCACAATCAGTGCTTTTGGCTTGCCTACACTATTTGGAAGGTTCTCGCGCTGGAGACAGGAGCACCCGTAGAGCGAACAAGGCGTGCTGTACGCCAGGGCAAACATTCTTCTTGGCTGTGGCTGTCAGGTAAACATTCTTTCGACGGAGACAATGAAGTGAATGGGGTGAGTACGCCAGAGACGATCAAATTGCAGTGGGAAGTGGCAAAGGTTTTTGCGAACCAAGAATGGGCTGCGTCGCTACAGGTGAGCTTGATCGTCATTCTTCAGAAGAATAGACCCATCTGATGCGTTCGTCAGGCACTTCGTGCTCTGCAACGAAGCCCCTCAACAGGGACGAGCAGCCCGTCTACAGATAGAGGCCGAAATCAATGAGCTTCTCGCGACGATAGCGAGACTTGAACTTGAGCAGCCTGCTGGTAATGTGTTCACCAATGCTTGAAGTCTTTATTTCTCCCTCATTCACCATCTTCGACTGTTCTATGTAATACTACTTGCCATCTCGCTTTCAAACTTATCTTTCTGTCTGACTGTACTTGCCTTGTTTCTGCTATACTATAAAAATCTCTATCGCCCGACCTATTTTTCCATTGCGTGTCGGTCTCGCAAATGAATGCTTCAAAGTCAAGACTCAACCAAGTGATGGACTGTGGGCAACCGGTAGATTAATCCGTGTACCAGGACACAAACACCTCTACGGAAGTCTTGTCCATACTATCAAACTACCTGATATTTCGCGTTTATGACAATAATACCTCTTTCCAGACTGTCACATGTGAGCTCTATCATTCCTTGAGTTCAAAGTGTTACATAAGACAGTATTCTCCCAATCCCACGCCCTCTGCCATACTCGTTGTGATATTGTAGCAATGATGTTGTTCTGACTTCCAGAGAAAGGGTAAAAAGGGCCCAGAGATATTCGGCATCACCGGCCCGGAACCTCTCTTCGTGTTTGTCATCTCCAGATTCTTGTTCCCCAGATATCATGGCAACGCGGTCAATACTGGTTCTCCACGGGTGTGTTATTTCTAGAAGCTCTGAAATCCCCGAATCACGCTGAAATTCTCAAGGTAGGTATGCCCAAAATGGTTCAATCTTCAGCAAACGAGTCCGTGATATTGAACTCGCATCTTCAGTGACTCATATCGCGTTGTAGCTAGGAGCACTTCGCAAGCAATGTGGGAAGGATATAGACTTGGGTGCGCCGTCTTTGTTTTACCAGGTCGGGCACCCGTCTCATCTCATCCACGTAGTCTTCGTCGACGGACCACACATTCTGCAACCTGTGGACCTACAGTTTAATACGGCTTCCGTAACGCAATCGACAGAAAGTACGCTTTCTGCGTTTGGTGCCTCAGAAGCCAAGAATTCCGAGGATCCGTCTCTCACCCCTCGGGGCTGGTACAAAACCAATCATGACAGGACGAGAGCCATCGGACTCGAGGATTCGCTTGTGTTCCTGAGAGATATCCTCAAGGAGAGGAAATTTGATGTGCGTAGTCTTTCTCTCGTATTTCTTTACGTTTCTGACTCGCAACTAGGGCGTTTTTGGATTCAGGCATGTCGTCTTTACACAACTTGAAAGCTTGAAGTAATAAATTCCGCTAGCCAAGGAGCAGCGTTGGCCGCCTTCCTGTCAGCTTTAGTACGCTTCAAACTCAGACGCATTTTTTTTACATTTAACATTCAACAGCTAGAAAAACCAGAAGCATATCCTCCATTCCTTGTTGACGGGAAAGCCCCACATCCTCCGTTGTCAGCTACATCCACATCGATTTCATGCACTCTCTGATAAGTTCATTTAGCCAATTCTGCATTTCCGTGGCAGGCTTTAAGATAGCCGATCCACTATCAGACACCGTATACAACCCAACTTATGCCACTCCAACGCTGCACGTCATTGGCAGGACGGACATTATAGTCACCGAAGAACGGGCGAATGGTCTGTTGAAAGTTTCAGCTAATAAACGAATCGAAGGTCACGATGGCGGTGAGCTTATACCTTCTCCCTCCTCTTAAATGTCATTTGACAAATATGGACGCGCAGGCCATTTTGTACCCTCGAAAACCAACTGGCGCAAATTTCTCGTTGCTTACCTGCGCGATCCGCTAGGCAATGTACCCTCACCCAGTAACATTTCCTCAACCCCCAATTCCGGAACCGCAACACCCGCCGCCACCGATTGAGACTAATACTATGTGATTCTGAAGATACAAATGTGGTGCTGATACATATCCAATAACATAGATCCTACAAAACGACTCTGTGAACTACAAGTTCTGATAGACTACAAGTACAAATGTGCGTAAAAAAACAATCCAGGCATGTCCTACGAAACAAACGATCGTCGCAACGAAATCCGCCTGAGCCTTCTCCACACCTTACCAACCACGCTCGGTTTCGACTCCTGTTCGTCCATGGTCGAAGGAGTAACTGGAGGCGGAATCTCCACCGTCTTCCTATGTTCCATGGCCCTCAACAAAGATATCGCGATTTTCTCGTCCAGCGTCCATTCCCGATGATTTCGAGCCAGATGCCGTTTCCCCCGACGCCGCTTAAGCATATGATGATGTCTCGCTTCCATTTCTCCTTCAAGTTCCCGTGGCAAAGGCGATGCCACGCGCACAGCAATGTTGAAATTAGACGAAGGACTGAAAATCACGTTTCCAATATCCAGCCCCGAGTCCGCTGTCGAAGAACATGAGGGTGAAGGGGTATCAGAGAATTCATCACCGATGTCTGTGCAGAGTTGATAGATTGATGCGGAGGAAGGGAGGGGCTGAAGCAGGCTGTGAGTATCGTCGTCCTGTAGTGGTAGGTCGGAAGGAAGTCGGTCAAGCTCGAAATGCTCGTTTTTGTGGTACAATGAAAGTCCCACATCCGAGTCCACAGGGCCTATCGAAGGACATGGCAAAGGCGGGTGCTTCATTGCCACTATCTCATCCCAAAGATCACAGATTGGATCGAAAACAGGCTGATCCATGATATTCTGATCGTTTATCCGGTGTTGTGGGTCGTGAACGAGCAACTGTGATGGTAATCTGGACGTTAGCACAGAACTGTTGACGAAGAAGGCGATGCACAACGAACATCTCGGATGAAATCTTCGAATCTCCTATCCCACCACTCCTCAGACGACGAGATCTTCTCCATTTCACCGAAGGCATGGCTAAAATCTCCCACCGTCCGGCAGTCTCCCGTGCGAAATGGTACAGATCCCATAGCAAGCTCGTACAGCATCACGCCGAGACTCCACCAGTCCACCCTTTCGTCAAACACCACCAGTCCTTCTGTGTTACGGCACTTCAACTCAGGAGCTGCGTACAGCGGGGTGAATGTTACGACGTCTGTGGGCTGGAGCGTTACCCCGGCCCGGTTCCCACATCTGTCCATGTAAGAAGAAGCACCAAAGTCACCGACAATAACGTGTCCTGCAGCCGAGACCATCACGTTTGCGGGCTTCAAGTCCTGGTGGATGATTCCATTTTCGTGGAGGAAGAGAACCGCGAGTACTAGCTCAGCGGAGAGAAGGCGCAGGGAATGTAGTGCGGCGTGCACTTGCTGACGGCTAGGCGCTATTGGGAAGGTGTATGGAACAGAGATGGAAGTAGAGATGCCTGATATTCGACCTAGACGCAGGCGGGACGAAATTTCGAGGTCGGAGAGTGGGGTAGGATGGTATTCCTATATACACAGGTGTGAGTAATGAGCAAAATACACAGGAGATATAGCGGCGCACGAGAACGATGAACACGAAGCGCTCATTTTCAAAAGACTCCACCATATTTTGAAGGAAGGCTGCACCGTTCCTGGACATAGGTTGCTCGGCTATCAGCTGGAGCGTTCGAAGTTCTCGCTGAACTTCTTCCATCCCGTATCGATGCATTCCTCTTTTTTGGAGGACCTTGATGGCGCGCAGGCCACATCCGTCTGGACGCGTACCCAGGAGAACCTTCCCGTACGTTCCCCGACCGAGCGTCCCGATTATGTCGAATGCCGAAATTGATGGGGGAATACTCGGCAGGACATCCTGTGAGGTCGAGTCTTGAAGAAAGGAGTCGTCTAGGATTCTGGTCGAGCCCGGACTCGACTCCAGCGATGGCGAAGACGGGAGAGTATAGAATACATCAGCGATAATACACGGCTCCTGTGCACTCGTCTTCATGGAAGTCAGAGAGAGAAATCGTCCGTGCCCGAAATTGATATTGGGAGGGGTCTGTGGCCCAGCCGCAGACAGAGAAGAACATGATGTTGTGTCGCCAATACTGACTCGGAAGACGTTTTTCTTGTTCGCTTGGACATGACAGGTTGAATGAGAGGTATCGCTTTGCGAGTAGGACATATCGCCAAGAACAAAAAAAGAGGGACTACTAGGCCAGATCAAATAAAAAGGACCGCGAGCCTCGAAAGAAGTAATAGCCCGGTAGTAAGAAGTTATTAGCCTAGATATAGGTTATCGCGCCTCCAGTCCAAGTTTAACTTTCGAGGGTCGTATCGGCGATAGAAGAGTTGGTCGTCTGGGTGTCGTGCGCCACGTACAGAATACGGATGCTTCTTCGAGAAGTAGAGCTTGTGCTGGAACGACGTGGGGGTTCCTATTGAAGGTTTCAAACCGACGTCTCGGCAGTCGGATGGGCGGGCCGTGTCAGGGGAACGAACTCCTTTTTATGCGTGTCGGGTTTCTTGTACTTTGTCTTCTCGGAGAAAACAGCGGGCACCAAAGAGGTAATATTGATCATGACCTGTTTCTATCGCTACTATGTAACTTGACAAATATCACAGTTACTAGAACTCGAGTTCAGTGGCTGCATCACTACTAGTAAATATAAAAAAAATATGATACACAGTGTATACACGTACTAGGATATATCAAAGAACAATTGTAAGGGCAAATGAGTTTTGAGGAATAACACGAGGGCCAAAACGATGGGGATAACATACTTGAACCTCTGAGTCTGAGTCTAACTCGAGACACACACATCATTCAGACATTTGTAAAGTGTCAAAAGATGTCGATGAAGGCATTGAGCGTAGCAACAAGCCTTAGGGTAGAAGTAATATATTGCTTCAGCATCTGTGAGGTAGTGATACATCCTTGTATTCCTGGTGTATACTTATATCATACTAGACCGTAAATGAACAATGTCGAAGAAGCTGTCATAGAAATAGTGATTGTATCAATACTACATAAGAAAATCCTGAGTATGTAATCGAATAAACGAAGTGATGCTGCAACAAAATTGGGAGAATGGGCACGGTCGAGGCACAATGCGTTCGCGATCGTTTATTCGACGCCTCCTTGGCATGACAGTCCAGCTCAACCCGCTCATCCAACTCGAACGATTCATCCGATCCCATCAATTCAGCTGGGTCTCCCCATCCAATAGGTCTGCCGATCCAAATAGATCATCAATTACAGCCTGATATCCCCCGTTGGGAGCTTTGTTGACGATCTCGAGAGAAGTCAAGACGACCTCCTGGAAGCCCAAGTCGGTGATGTTGAGCGATAACCAGATATGGGAGAACCCTTCGACATGGATCTTGAGCGACTCCAGTTGCTTCGGCGTAATGTGCTCCATAAGACGCCTGGCAACGACCTCCAAGACGTCATCGGCAATAATGGTCGGAGGGGCGGATGTCATCCGCTGGCCAGCAGGAAAGAGGAGAGGATTCCAGGGCGGAAAGACATGTCCGACCACTGCGAAGAAGAGCTCCGACTGATCATGGTTGTACAAGTACGTCATGGTGGCGGGATAAATGCAGAAAGGGATCATGTCGGTGTTTGCATACATGGCCATGACTGGGAGCTCTCCGGGTGTGATTGAGGCGGGAAGAAATGGGACACTTCCACAGTTAGTTTCGATTATGCGGTGGTGTGTGAGAAACATTAGTCCCTCGCCCAGGCAATTGGCGAACACGATGGCGCAGTCGGGCTTGCCCGTCTCATTAGCGCTTTGGTAGGGTATCGACGTTGGAAAGTAGTCCAAGGTCACGGCAGGCCATTTTTGGCAACGAAACGACTCCAGAAGGGGTGCGGCATTCGATATGATGGCGTCGGAGTCTTCGGGCGGTATGTTGGGTGTGTATTGGAGTGCCATGAACGCGTTATAAACCTGGAAGACGTCGGCACCAGTGATTTGAATCGCTATGCGTCCTTCCGCTGTCCAGCTGGGCTTGTCATCCTTGTGCCCTCTGGCAGGGGAGTTTTCGGTAGGAAAGGACTGGTAATTGTACTGGTCGAACATTTTAGAGTGAGATAGCACTGAGGAACTGGGGTGTGGCAGTCAACTCACCGAAAACCCTCAGTTAAATACTTCACGACACAATAGATGGCTTGTCCCGCTTCGACAGTATCGGACTTGTCTTTGGCATGCCATATGTCGAGAGTCAATGCTTTGACTTGGTCAAAGTATACCTGTGCCATCATGGACATTGTCGTACACGCGTCGCCTGTGAATTGCCTAGTTAGATATATTTTCATATTTCAATATACCATATTTCTCATCCAAGAATTAATTTTTTGAGCCCTGAACCTGTGCCTGAAGAGTTAAATGTTTGTCCGAAAGTGTGTGTTCGAGGAGATGCCGAGACGCCTGAAGTGATTCGACCGAAAGTCCAAGGAGCGGCGATCCGTGTTACAGTGAGTTTTTGAGAGTCCATGCCCAAGGAGAGAAGTATTGGAGCAACAAGGAATGTAGATGACCATTCGCATGGCCTATTTCGGGCATGAAGCACATAGAAGCGAGGAGGAAGCGTAAAGTAAACCCTGAAGAAGAGTTACTACCAAGAAAAAGGCTAGGAAGTATGAGAAAAATGCGCTACCTTTGTCCAAAAACGGTAAACTTTGTCTTCGGGACACTGCCAGAAAAGCACATGCAGAGCTTTTTCAGCTAGATTTCCTAGGTGAAAGCATCGTCGAAATCAAATCTAAAGATCGATCTTTTTGTTTATACATATTTACCTCCCATCTCAAACTCGATCACGTGCCCATCTGCGTTCCATCTTGCTAAATGTATATCTCGCGTCGAAACTGGTATTTCGCGTTATTTTGGGGTACATATGATAATGATTTACTTAGATATATATCTCGATGCTCTACAAAGTAGTCTGGTAAGATTTAGCCCTTCGATAAAGGATAAGGGCTTCCTGGCGCGCTTCTTCAAGTTCACCACTCAATAACTTCAGCCAATCAAAAACCGCTCTAATTTCGTCATAGACCAAACCATTCAGGCTTATTTTTGTGTCCAGAACAGGCGTTATCTCCTTTTAATCTACGATTTCCAATTTTTGAACAAGGACAGGTACGCCTCGCGACAAGGCTTTATGCCTTAAAGAGATTGATATTGAAATAAGGGCTTATGAACAGCATTTTTTTGACTTAACCGCATGCTTCTTCTATCGTCTTTGTTCAAAGATGCATGCAGTCACGACCCCAGCGACTCTTTTCAGTCTAATTAAACATTGACTGTCTTATTGGCGAGGTCAAATTATATTCTCGGGTTAACACTGTCTTTGTTACGGAACCCCATCATTCGTTAAAGTGGTAAAGCCTTGGGCTGTGTAGTAAGTGCTCTACCGGCACTTTCACATTTTGCAGTGGTTGCATGTGTGCAATTCTTAGGTCTGGCCCGATCTCTGGCTTATTCCTGCATCCCCGTTAACATTTGACAAGGTCTTAGCTCTCTCTCTAGTGCATCTTCTTCTCTTGAGACCTGTATGGCTTCCAGCAAACTCTGTGCTTGACCGCAGAGGATTGGAAAGAAGGCGCAGAACTATCAATAAGTACTTTGAACTCCTTACGAACTATGCATCATTGGAGGTCTGTGTTTGTTATCTGAAAATTCCTTTTTCGATAACTACGAACAGGCTAAAATTGGTGGAAAAATCGTATTCCTATCCTTTGTCTCAACGATAGTCAGATATCCGGTCAAGTTTGGTGACTTCGCATTCATTTTCAATCGCGATAATAGAGCAAAACGGCATTTTACGAGCATGATATCAGCGGGATCATTGTTCCTTCGGCTGAACGAAAAGTCTATGCCTACATTATGAAAACAACCTAGGTTATCACTTCCCCGCGGAATAAAATGAGAACACACCCCGAGGACACAAGAATCCATCCTAGTATCAGCGACCTGTGTCTATGGTCTTTCTATGCGACGTCAGATCTCCTACACATATTGGGTCATGAAACAAGAACGTTCAAGAACATGCGCTCAAAACCCAATATCCGAAACTGAGGAAACATTGATACTTGAGCGTACAATCTATTCGCGAGAGATAAAATTTCCGCCCTGCGTTTTCGATTCTTTCCTCGAAACGCGAGACGGCACAAAATATAAAAATCCGCTGATTATTGACACCCAACACTATCCTGTGTTCGAGAAGAGAATTGATGGTTGATGGTCGAGAGCTGAAAGCACTTGCAACTAAACAGACGCCGAGGAGAGAAGCTGGGCGAAAATTCCGATGATTTGAAGGTTCGTCCGGACGTAGACGGAGAACGAGAACGAACTGTCCGGTGTGAGACAACCGAAGATGGGTCGGAATTCGTGATTTCTTTGTACAGCTGCATGAGTTGAGCTGCAGAGTAGTGAAAAAAAGTCTAGATGGCTCCGTACCTGGATTCAGTTTAATTGTATGGTTGTCGCTAGTCATAAAACGCACCCATCATTTTGAACAAAGAGTGGTGAGGACCGCTGTTCCGATGGCGTACAGATTTTGGACTTGTGTCATCCGTGATATCGGACTAAGACTCGTGGTGCGGAATAGAGAAGAGAAACTCTTGGTTTCATAGTTTGCCAGCCGTGTACCAGACAGGACATAAACGCCTCTACGGAAGTCCTCAGATACGGAGTCCTTCGATCGTTGATGTAGCCTCGAGGGGGAGGGGGCTCTTGGAAGGGATCTTCATCGACAAATGATTAATCGACGTGAACATGTTCTGGGACAGCAGCGGAGTAGAGACCGCCATTGATGTATGAAGATACGATGCGTGATCATTTCCGTGCCAATCATGATCACTCGAAATCGTTACGATGTAGGCTGTCACTTGCGGTAGCTATCCAGCACGTCATTGACATATTAAGCAAGCACGGGTCCGATAGACTCACCAGTCATAGTCTCATATCATGTTTGTTTGCAGGTTCACACGAAATTGTATGCCCGGCTCTCAAGTAGCGACAAAGATGTGGATTTGACGGGTGGTAACGACACGAGGAATTGATCCAAAGGCACAGGCTGATCCAATACTAGTCCTACATTGATGATTCCCGGTCTCTTAGGTGCCGTCTGTTATGAGTTCGAGAGAAGACTCGGATGCGCTGGCCGCAAAGGCAGTCTCGAACGAAGTGTTGTCCTATATAGAGAGCATGTTAAGTCTAAGGGAAATGGCGTGTCAGGAGTGCTAGTGAGGCCTTGACTTTGAAGCGAGACCGACGGGAAAATGGGTCGGGCTCCGATCCGAGTTATCCGAGTCCTTTTTGAAATTATATCGGACTTCGGAAGCAAATCGGAATCTTGCCAAGCCAGAAAATTTTTTCATCCAGTGCCTCAAAGTGCCTGGGAAAAAGTATTTTATGTGCCTGTTGTGAAGAAAGTGGTACATGATGGAGACATATCGAGTTACGAATAAACATAGCGAAAACATAGCGCGACAAAGCTAGAGATGCGACAAAGCTAGTAGAGATACAACATGTGCAAAAAAAAAGTCATAGCGAGTGTGGTGGGTTCATGGTGGTACAATGAATGTGTGTGCATGCAGAAGAATGAAGGAGAACGGTCGATGCAATGCCGAGAAGAATGATGGGACAGACACAGCGGAGAATGGAATGAAGAGGAAGACTCTTCTAGTCCTTCGTAACGGCCCACACAGCCAGCCCAACGCCAACGCCGACGACCAACAACAAAACGATTGCGACCAGGCTGCGTCGAGCCCATTTCACCTCTGCCTTCCTAAGCCTCGAGATGATCATCTCCTTCTCGGCATCGGTCTTGTCTGGAAGCCACGCGTCCGAGGGCGACGACGATGGCTCATGGAGGGGCGAAAACAGGATGAACGCGCCCATAATCCAGAATGGTGGGAACACTACACGCGATGAGAGATGAGGAACTGGATTGAGCATGAGCATGAAGAAACTCACAGAAACCGAACTTGAAGAGGTACATCGCAAGCGTGACAGGCTCGTCTTTTTGCGTGTACTCTGGAGGTGGAGCGGGGTCCGATTCTAGGTAGGAAGGCGGCATCTCCACAGAGGTGCGGTGGTGGTCATGACGGCTCTGGCGAGTGGAGGAGAGGGAGAAGTTGTATCCCAGGTCACCGACAGGGCTCATCGTCGCGAGAGAGCTTCTGTTGCTGTGGATGACAGCGGGAGAAACGATGGCAGGTGCTGAGGAAGACATTTTCGGTGGTCGATGAGGCGGTGAGTCTGCTGTCCACGGTGGATGTAATGGGGGATGTTGGGATCATCGTCTGAGGTTATATAGCGGTGAATCATTGCAGTCAATCAAGAGAAGCGAGCAGGGAAATAGCTGTATATGGGAATTCAAATACGGCCAAATAGTGGATCTATGGAAACCCGTACCAACCAATTCCCCGGATTGCCGTCGTACTTTGTAGCCAATCCGGCCAAGAAAGAATTCCCCGCCGTCTGATACAATTGGGCCTCAAGGCCTCGTTGCGTTTACGCAATGGCACAAAAGCAAGTGCCATTTCAGGCCATGTCCTTGTCGACTCTCATGAGCCGTACATCGGTCTGCTTATAATACGTTCGTAAAGTCATAAAAATCAGATTGCAAAATGTTACATTTATAAGAGGCAGAAAGGATCAAGCATAGATAGTCGTTGTGACTGCACCAATAATTGCACCAACCAACGGGAATAATCCTCGTTGAGCATTCAACCACTTCCATCGTGTCACCAAATCCTCAGTCTTTTCCGTCCTCAGCAATTCAGCCTCTTCAGCACCTTCGAGTCCTATGTCATCCACCACCCCTGCCTTATCATGCAGCTTGTCGTTGGTCTTCTTCATCACCGCGAGGGTAAAGGGCACGATGCCAAAGGTGAGCACTCCAGCGGTAGCATACCACGTGCATTCGGGGAAGGGATGCATCTGGTACGCAGCATACGTATAGGCTGTCGCAGCGGTCGTCGCAATGGGTGGGATGAGGGATTTTCCCAGGGTGTAAAGACGTCGCCATTGGACGGCGATGTACGAGTACTGGACTTTGGAGTCTGGGGGAGGGGCGACCAGCGCAGGGACGGTGACGAATGATATAGAGAGAATGGCACCTGAAGGGGAAGGTCAATTTTTATTCCCTACAGTAATCATAAGACGTACCAGACACGAATGCAGAGCCTGCGATTCCAATCACTTGAGCTGCACGTACGCTGGTGGAATCAGACATGGTGGTCGGGAGGAAGTCGTGTATAGCAAGCCGAGACCAAGCCTAGGTTGTATTGAAATATAGGAGAATTGCGTCACTTGATACGTGGTGCGTCGGCAACGGCAGCTCGTTTTGAGGCATCGTAGGCCGGAGGCAGTTGAAAATCTCAGAGGATAACGATAAGTAGCGAAGTTGCCTTAGAGCCCGAGCCTAGATAATAGATTTCGATAGTGATGAAAGGAAGGAAAGGAAGAAGCCTCGTCAACGCCGTGACAAACAGTGACCAACACAACGTGAACTCTGACCTCGACGTCCCCGTCAATGGCGAAACCAGCACCAGACTCGCCGCGCTCATCCCAATCACCACCGCCCTCAGGCCTCCAAGGCGATCTCGAGCTTGAATTACTAGGCCTCGCCAACACTCTGTACAACCTCGGGACGACAGTCATCAACGACTCGACCAAAGAGCGCGACAAGCCCGGCTCAGGCGGTGGCAAACCCGTAGGGATGAGAGTGTACGTCTCCACCCTACTCACTTCCACAACATCTGACTGTGATCCCCCAGAAATGAAGTCATCAACCACCTAGCCACCATCGACGACATGGCCATGCAGACCCCGACCCGGATCCCCATGCAGGTCCTCGCGGACATCGACAACGCGCGGAATCCGATGCAGCTCACGAGGGAAAGGCTCGAGCGTACGGCGACGGAGAATCAGTTCATGAATGGCAAGATTGCTGCTGTCGATGTGCGTGCTTACTCTTTTCTCCGTGTTGGGTTGTGCTAATAAGCTCTCCTAAAGTCGTATCGCAAATACCTCAATGAGGCTCTCGTACAAAGTTTCCCAGAGTTGGAGGAGTATCTGCAGCCTAGTGCTAATACTAATACGACGGTGGAGCCGAACGGGATTCTGCCTCCAAATGGTTACTGAGAGGTATTTTACCCGCAGACCTTGAACGCTTTCTCTCTCTGACCGCCATAAAGGGCATGATAACATGCATAAGGAGCACGCCGGTGCGAAATCTTTCTATAGGCATCAATCCTACGATGTCGCAAGCCTAGGAATCAGATTTCCTCGAGGACAAGACTCCGAGAATATCTCGCGGCAGGCTCTGGACTCTGATGTCCAAGGGAGTTTACCAGGAGAGTGAGTGGGCCTGGGATGGTGCTGTACGCAGTCTCGTGTCTACCGATGCCAAGAATCTGGTATTATGGGGGCATGTTTGTTGAAGTCAGGTTGATCAGGGCTGGGAATCTTTTGGTGGTGAATGTAGTCTTCACGCGTTTGTCATCGATGCCATTCAATGCAGTTATAATTTAAATCTCTTCACACTTTCCTTGCGTTTAGTGCGTCATATATTCGAGACTGGAGGAGATTGGCATGACTACGACGGTGATCGCACCTCGGACCTCTTTGATTCTTATGTTGGAGCCGTTTTGGCGCTGTGACACTACCGGTGCTCACATTTGCCGATCGTTGAACCTCTACTGCTAGGCCGCTACACCAGTCGCGTCAATCATACCATATCCATATCATCGCACAAAGCGATGGAAGTGTCTTCGAGACCAACACTTTCAAAATGTCCAGCGATCGTCACGTCGGAATCCTTGGTTGCCATTGCTTGTCGTCTATGTTTCGCTTCTACTCTCATTGGACAAGGCGGCTTCTCTTCAATCAATCCCTGATCTCTCTCAATATTACAACACAAATACCCAGCAGCTTGCCTGATGACCCGATCTTGGTGGGAACTGTGGAAAACACGAACTACGGTATCGACCCCGTCCTTGAATATGATGACGGCCTGTTCGTGTGAGTAGCCTCCCAGACATCCTCTTTTCATTACTCTAAACTTCTTTCATGGCAGGGGTTACACGCGCACACCGGGAAAATGAACATTTTCGACACACCTAAATTTGAGCACAGTCGTTACGTTTTGGGACCTCAGTTTGGACGTCAACAAACTTTGCCAATTTGGAGGATCCAAATCCCATAACGCCAGCCAGTGCTAAATTTCGGGAGCACACAATTGTTATGTAAAATCTCTACCAAGATTGACCACCCAAAATATCACCCTGTTGCGTATATTCTGGTTGTCCTCAAATTCTCATCTTTCCGGTGCGACGCTATTCGGTTTCCCCTACGGCCACTCTTGGCGGTGTTCCTAGCGAGAATTCGGGCCCTAGCGGAGGAGGGGAGAGTAGGGGGACCTGCCCTTGGGTTCGTACCCGTCATGAAGATTTTCCATCTTCTACTATCGCAGAAGCCAGCTCTACTTCTTCCACAATCAACTATCACACTCCCGTCAACTTCGACTACCATCCCGAAGCCAAGCCATGGTGGTGCTAAGCCGACTGTCAGCGATTCCAACGCCTCCTCCTGGACATGTTGGCATCTGAGGACCTGTTTTCGGTGGACATGATCGTGGCTTGGAAGGAATCGAGGCATCACCGTCGTCAGCTTGGTGGTGGAGGTGTTGGAGGAAATAATGGAAGAGGCTTTGGGGGAAATAGTGGTGGATATGGAGATGAAGGTAACGGAGCTGGCATCGGGGATGGAAGCCCTAGGGGGGGGGGACTGGGTATCTAGATACATGGTGCCTAGGACAACCTCATCGACTTCTTCTGGTATTATGAGCTGTCTTTGACCACGAAGATAACGTCTATCCCGAAACCTTTTTTGACATCCTCTGCCTTAGTCCTTATGACCACTTTACTGTCTACATCGGATTCTGCCTCGACCACATTAGCGGTCTCGTCTTTGTCTTCGATCTCGGCGCACCCACTCCGACCTATGCTATGCCCTTGGGCCGGTATGACGTTGCTATGTACTGTTCTAACTTGATTAAACCAACAAGGGGTACGCATGTTTGTTTTTTACATACGAAGCTCAGATGACTATAAATATAATAAAATGGTGGCTTACTTGCAATAAATTTTGACTGGCACGGACCAAGGAGCATCAGCATCAATCTCAGGATAATACAAGAGAGTATATAAGATTGATGCATATGTCAGTATGCAGTGTACGAAAGTTGCAGTCTTTTTTTCCGAACCGCTAGATTTAATCATAACGCAACCAGATTGAATAAGGACCTTTACAAATCCGCTTTGATCTCATCTGCCAACTTCTCAGCTGCCGCAAAACACGCACCCGCCTAAAAAGCGTCCAGTGACAGCCAATAAATCAAAGCAGATCAACATACCGTATGTCCTGAAACGATCCACGGGAATATCGACGCGTCACAGATCCGAAGAGCCTTCAAACCGCAGACTCGTAATCTAGCATCTACTACTCCGTTCTTTTCCTGCGGTGCCATCCTACAACTAGAAGTGGGATGATATAAAGTTTGTATCCGGGATTTGAGAATCTCGGCTAGCTCTTCATCGGATTTAAGATGCATCTTATGGTCCAGTTCGGTGTGCTCGAATGTATGATCAAGATGGGAAGCCAAAGGTTCAGTCTGTGCGATACGGAAACATAGACGGAGTCCGCGAAGGAGTTTTTGAAGGTCGTCAGGATGCTTCATGTAGCTAAAAGATGACTGAAATCAGAAATCAGTCTCACATGTTGATGCCATCCTTACTTGGGATTGACACTTGGAAGATCAAAAGGATTGGCCGATCTGAGGAGAACTTCACCACGGCTCATTGGTCTATGACAAGTCCTTTAGCCACTGGTGATATACAGATCATAATCAACTCACTTTAACAAGCAGGCATGCAAAGCCCTCGTCGGCACATCAAATAAGGCTTGCGCGTGGGGTTTGTACCCTATAGACGTGCAGAACAACTCCACGTCCGGAGCGCCCGCACCGGAGGTGCTTTCCTCCAATACCTGTGAATATTGGCTAGGCGGGAACAACTTTGGGTCGTCCGAACGAATAAAGGCAACAGCTTCTCCGACCTAAACCTACGTCAGCAGGATGGCAAAGCGAGGAATCGACGGAGTCTCACGTTCGTCGCCAAAGGACCGCCAGATCGAAGGAATTTGTAGTGTAAGAGGGCTTTGAAAAGCTTCAGTTTGTCTGCTAACGTTCGCGGTATCAGATAGTTTGGTGAGGTGTTCGTCGCATCTTTGTAAGAGACGTCTATGGCAGGGTGATCCACGAGGTTACCACCGACTCCTGCCAGGTCGTGAACAACAGGGATGTTGTATTTTCCTAGATGTTCAGCTGGGCCAACGCCTGAAAGCATGAGAATCTAAAGGATCGTGAGTACTCTACACTATGAATGTATCTGCGTACTGACGTGGGGCGAATGAATGGCACCCGCTCTGAACCCTCGTAAGCAAAATTAAAACATCACAAATTGGAACGGCCCACGAGAGTATGACTTCCTTCCGAGCACGAGAGCGGTAACGAGGGCCACGCTCTGAATTAGCGTATTCAACGCCGACCGCGCGCTTTTCGCCGTCAAAAAGTATTCGCGTCACATGCGAATTGATGGCGACTTTAAGATTTGGCCTCGCTAAGACTTGGGGGGTAAGATAGGCGGATTCTGAGGATACCCTCTCTCTGTTCTGGTCAATGTACGTCACTATACCGAAGCTCAGGTGTGGCACTTCTTGATAACTTGCAAGTACTTACTGATCTGTAATTGGTATCACCCGTCAGTGACAGTATAGGCGTTAATACCCAAATGAAACACATACTCTGCCCGCGCCCATAGTACCGTCGGGGCCATTGAAGTCTGGGTTATAGGGAATTCCTATATCGACACATGCCTTGATGAAGTCTTTCGACGATTGGGCTATGGTACCGAAATACCCAATACGTATAGGCCCTTTAGATCCGCGGTGAGCTGGATTGACATGGGGATAGTCAGGGTCTGCAGAGTATTTCTCAAATTTGTTGAAGTATCTGTCAGCATGATTTGACTCGGACTAGAATTGCGTAGTGTCCCTTCTATGACTTACAGACGAAAATTGTCCCACGACCAAGTATCATCGTGGATAAATTCAGCCCACTGATTGAAATCACTTGGACAACCGTACTGCGCCATTTGCGCGTTGATGGAAGAGCCTGGAATGGGTAGATAAGTAAGGACTGCTTTCGTGATTGTGGTGTAACGTACATCCGCCCAAGAATCTGCCTGCATACGGAATGAAGACAAAACGAAGAACGTAAACATAAGCACACACCTCGAGGCCAGAATAACTTTCTGCCATTTTTCAGAAATGTTTGAGGTTCCGTATAGATATGGTAGGTATACTTTGATCGTAGAATGCTGGCGAATCCAGATGGTATGCGACTTTCTGGTACACCCTGAGAACTGTTGTGCAAGCGGAACAAAATGAGTAGCCGATTCGCCTATGTTTCAGAAAGCACGTACCTTCCGCCAGACTCCAGAAGAAGGACGCGAACACGAAGGTCTTCGCTTAATCGCGATGCGAGAACACACCCAGCTGTCCCTGAAGTTCTCGATTAATTGAAGTAAAAGAATATACAAATAAAAACTCGAAAACTAACCACCCCCGATGATAATGATATCAAACTCATCAAAGTCACATCCCACGTCATCCAATCTGCGACCAACAGTGGTGAGATCCTTCACATACTTCGATACTTTAGAGCGTCGATATCGCAGCACTACAAGGAGGGCGACCAAGCCGAACAAGCCTCTCAATGAACTAGCGCGCAGAATGCTAGTAAAGCTCTCGACCATGAGTGTAACGAAAAGGGTTGGGTATGGGGTTCTATCTGAAGCTCTTCATTAAATGACGCTGGTACCACCTAAACCGGAGAACTCAAACCAGGTCCGAGAGGTCATGCACCATACCAGCCATCGCAGATGTGGGAAACCAAGTACCAAGATAGTACCCAACTCGTGGGCCGATAGGACACGTTTAGCAGTTTCCACAGGGAATGCGTGAGTGTACCACGCCTTGTGACTTGAAGAGAAGGAAAACTGTCCAAGGAATTTTGATGCATCATGGAAAATATGGATCGTAACTGAAAAAAAAAGTTCGGTGCAAGGAACGAGACTACTGCAGCCATACTGTTGTTTCCCAAGAGATCAAGGAAGCTGCTTCATGAAGAAAACGGTGAGATACGAAGAGACGATAGTATGTGGTCCGAGTCAGATACTAACGCCGACAGTTTTTACATCATGCAGTCGGGCCGGTTCGGGTTAATGCTGACAAATGAACTGTCATGTGACTTAGACTTGGCAGCTTACCCGGTATTCTTACCAGGAGATTGAGAGGACCCGGGATGGTATTGTACGCAGTCTTGTGTCTACCGATGCCAAGACTCGATGACAATATGGGAGCATGTTTGTTGGAGTCAGATTGAGCAGGGCCGAGAATCTTTTGGTGGTGAGCGTAGTCTTCACGCGTTTATCATCGATATCATTCAATGCAGTTACAATTAAACATCGAGTCTTCATACTGTCATTGCACTTAGTGCGTGTGCATTCTATCATATTTTCGAGGAAGACTGGAAGAGATCGGTACGATCATGATGGTGATCACACCTCGGGCCTAAATTTGACAGTCAAATTTGACTCGTTATCTTTTGCGGTGGTTTTATTTTGAAGCCAATGTTTACTTGGAGTTTTGGCACTATAACGCTACCAGTGCTCACATTGACCGAGCGTTGAACCTCTACTGCTAGGCCACCACACCAGTCGCGTCAATCATACCATATCCATATCATCGCACAAAGTGATGGAAGTGTCTTCGAGACCAACACTTTCAAAATGTCCAGCGATCGTCAAATCGGAAGCCATTGCCTGTCGTCTGTGTTTCGCTTCTACTCTCATTGAACAAGTCGGCTTTTCTTCAATCAATCCCTGATCTCTCTCCTTACAATACAAATACCCAGCAGCTTGCTTGATGACCCGATCTTGGTGGGAACTGTGGAGAACACGAACTACGGTATCGACCCCGTCCTTGAATATGATGACGGCCTGTTCGTGTGGGTAGTCTCCCAGACATTTTCTTTTCATTACTCTGACCTTCTTTCATGGCAGGGGTTACACGCACACCGGGAAGATGAACATTTTCGACACACCTGAATTTGAGCACAATCGTTATGTTTTGGGACCTCAGTTTGGACGTCAGCAAACTTTACGATTTGGAGGATCCCCCATAACGCCGGCCAGTGCGAAATTTCGGGAGCACACAAATGTTATGTAAAATCTCTCACAAGATTGACCACCTAAAATGTCACCTTGTTGCGTATATTCTGGTTGTCCTCAAATTCTCATCTTCCCGGTGCGACGGCTATTGACCCCTCTGCAAGCTATTCGGTTTTCCCCTACAGCCACTCTCACCGGAGATGGTGGTGTTCCTAGGGAGAATTCGGGCCCTGGCGGAGGAGGGGAGCGTCGGGGGACCTGCCCTCGGGTTCGTACCCTCCATGAAGATTTTCCATCTTCTACTATCGCCGAAGCCGGCTCTGTTTCTTCCACGATCAACTATCACGCCCCCGTCAACTTCGACTACCATCCCAAAGCCAAGCCATGGTGGTACGTCAGCGATTCCAACGCCTCCTCCTGGACATGTTGGCATCTGAGGACCTGTTTTCGGCGGACCTGATCGCGGCTTGGAAGGGATCGAGGCATCACAGTCACCAGCTTGGTGGTGGAGGTGTCGGAGGAAATAACGGAAGAGGCTTTGGGGAAAATAGTGGTGAATATGGAGGTGAAGGTAACGGAGCTGGCATCGAGGATGGAAGCCCTAGGGAGAGGACTGGGTATCTAGATACATGGTGCCTAGGGCAACCTCATCGACTTCTTCTGGTATTATGAGCCGTCTTTGATCACGAAGATAACTGAAGATAACATCTATCCCGAGGCCTTTTTTGACATCCTCTGCCTCAGTCCTTATGGCCACTTTACTGTCTACATCGGATTCTGCCTCGACCACATTAGCGGTCTCGTTTGTGTTCGATCTCGGTGCACCACTCCAACCTATACTATGCTCTTGGGCCGGTGAGATGTTGCTATGTATTGTTCTAACTTGATTAAATCAACAAGGGTACGCATGTTTTTTTTCTTAAATTTTACATGCGAAGCTCAGATGACTATAAATATAATAATATGGTGACTTACTTGGAATAAATTTTGACCGGCACGGACCAAGGAGCATCAGCATCTATCTCAGGACAATGGAAGAGAGTATATAAGATTGATGCATATGTCAGTATGCAGTGTACGGAAGTTGCAGTCTTTTTTCCGAACCGCTAGATTTAATCATAACGCAACAAAGATTGAAAAAGGACCTTTACAAATCCGCTTTGATCTCATCTGCCAACTTCTCAGCTGCCGCAAAACACGCACCCGCCTAAAAAGCGTCCAGTGACAGCCAATAAATCAAAGCAGATCAACATACCGTATGTCCTGAAACGATCCACGGGAATATCGACGCGTCACAGATCCGGAGAGCCTTCAAACCATAAACTCGTAATCTGGCATCTACAACCCCATTTTGTTCCTGTGGTGCCATCCTGCAGCTGGAAGTGGGATGATATAAAGTCTTTATCCGGGACTTGAGAATTTCAGTTAGCTCTTCATCGGATTTAAGATGCATCTTATGGTCCAGTTCGGCGTGCTCGAATGTATGGTCAAGATGGGAAGCCAAAGGTTCAGTCTGTGCGATACGGAAACATAGACGGAGTCCGCGAAGGAGTTTTTGAAGGTCGTCAGGGTTCTTCATGTAGCTAAAAGATGACTGAAATCAGAAATCAGTCTCGCGTGTTGATGATGTTCTTACTTGGGATTGACACTTGGAAGATCAAAAGGATTGGCTGATCTGAGGAGAACTTCACCACAACTCATTGGTCTATGACAAGTCCTTTAGTCACTGGTGATATACAGATCTTGATCGACACACCTCAACAAGCAGACATGCAAAGCTCTCGTTGGCACATCAAATGAGGCTTGCGCATAAGGCTTGTACCCTATAGGCGAACAGAAGAACTCCACGTCCGGAGCTCCCATACCAGAGGTGCTGTCCTCCAATACCTGTGAATATTGGCTAGGAGGGAACAATTTCGGGTCGTCCGAACGAATAAAGGCAACAGCTTCTCCGACCTAAACCTACGTCAGCGGAGGGACAGAGAGAGGAACCAAAGGAGCCTCACGTTCGTCGCCAAAGGGCCGCCCGAAGGAAGGAATTTGTAGTGTAGGAGAGCTTTGAAAAGCTCCAGTTTGTCTGCTAACGTTCGCGGTATCAGATAGTTTGGTGAACTGTTGGTCGCATCTTTATAAGAGACGTCTATGGCAGGGTGATCCACGAGGTTACCACCGACTCCTGCCAGGTCGTGAACAACAGGGATGTTGTATTTTCCTAGAAGTTCAGCTGAGCCAACGCCTGAAAGCATGAGAATCTAAAGGATTGTAAGTACTCCACACTATGAATGTATCTGCGTACTGACGTGGGGCGAATGGATGGCACCCGCTCTGAAATGTCGTAAGCGAAATTAAATCATCACAAATTGGAACGGCCCACGAGAGTATGACTTCCTTCCGAGCACGAGAGCGGTAACGAGGGCCACGCTCTGAATTAGCGTATTCAACGCCGACCGCGCGCTTTTCGCCGTCAAAAAGTATTCGCGTCACATGCGAATTGATGGCGACTTTAAGATTTGGCCTCGCTAAGACTTGGGGGGTAAGATAGGCGGATTCTGAGGATACCCTCTCTCTGTTCTGGTCAATGTACGTCACTATACCGAAGCTCAGGTGTGGCACTTCTTGATAACTTGCAAGTACTTACTGATCTGTAATTGGTATCACCCGTCAGTGACAGTATAGGCGTTAATACCCAAATGAAACACATACTCTGCCCGCGCCCATAGTACCGTCGGGGCCATTGAAGTCTGGGTTATAGGGAATTCCTATATCGACACATGCCTTGATGAAGTCTTTCGACGATTGGGCTATGGTACCGAAATACCCAATACGTATAGGCCCTTTAGATCCGCGGTGAGCTGGATTGACATGGGGATAGTCAGGGTCTGCAGAGTATTTCTCAAATTTGTTGAAGTATCTGTCAGCATGATTTGACTCGGACTAGAATTGTGTGTTGTCCTCTCTACTCACCGACGAAGATTGTTCCACGACCAAGTATCATCGTGGATAAATTCAGCCCACTGATCGAAGTCGCTTGGACAACCATACTGCGCCATTTGCGCGTTGATGGAAGAGCCTGGAATGCGTGGATGAACAAAGACTACTTTCAAGTTCGTAATCGCGGTGCAACGTACATCCGCCCAAGAATCTACCTACATACGGAATGAAGACAAAACGAAGAACGTAAACATAAGCACACACCTCGAGGCCAGAATAACTTTCTGCCATTTTTCAGAAATGTTTGAGGTTCCGTATAGATATGATAGGTATATTTTGATCGTAGAATGCTGACGAATCCAGATGGTATGCGACTTTCTGGCACACCCTGGGAGCTGTTGTGTAAGCGGAACAAAATAAGTAGCTGACTCGTTCGCTCTGTTCCAGCAAACACAGACCTTCCGCCAGACTCCAGAAGGACGCGAATACGAGGATCTTCGCTTAATCGCGACGCGAGAACACAACCAGCTGTCCCTGAAGTTCTCGATTAATCGAAGTAGAAGAATATATGAATAGAAACTCGAAAACTAACCACCCCCGATGATAATGATATCAAACTCATCAAAGTCACATCCCACGCCATCCAATCTTCGACCAACGGTGGTAAGATCCTTCACATATTTCGATACTTTAGAGCGTCGATATCGCAGCACTATAACGAGAGCGACCAAGCCCAGCAGGCCTCTCAATGAACTAGCGCGTTGCAGAATACCAGTAGAGCTCTCGACCATGAGTATAAAAAGAAAGGTTGGGAAGAAAGGTTGAACGAGCTTCTATCTGAAGCTACTTCGTTAAATGACGCCGCGGCCACGTAAAACGGGGAATTCAGGTCCGAAGGTCGTGCACCATACCAGCCATTGCAGATGTGGGAACCCAACAACCAAGGTAGTACCCAGCTCGGGGGCCAATGGGACATGTTTAACAGTGCCCATAGGGAATGCGTGATTGTACCACACTTTGTGACTCGAAGAGAAGGAGGACTATCCACATGAAAAATATGGATTGTAACTGAAAAAAGTTCTATGTAAGGAACAAAACCGGATACCATTGTTTCTCGAGAGATCAAGAAAGCTGCTTCATGAAGAAAACGGTGAAGATACGGAGAGGCGGTATAAGGTGGTCTTTACATCCTTTTTCATCATGGCGGCTAGTCTCGTCCCCATCCGTTCTCGCGTGACCACGTGTTAGTTGCCACGTGTGGCGGAGTTGAAAATTTGGTGCAGGACTCAAGCCCAAATGCCCCAGACGTTTCAGTGAGATCTCTGCCCTCCCTTTTGTAACTCCGCTCGCGTGACACGGTCCGATCTCTCCGGACGCAGTGAGGAGGGCAAGATCTCACGAAACGGGTGGGTACGAGACTACATGGCGGCCAGTTCGGGCAAATCCTTCTTGGTTCTGATGCTGACAAATGAAATGTCATGTGATCGACTGACAACTTAGCACTGCCACTATGCAACCTGAAGCTTTCGACTCACATATGCCTCCTTCACGAAGAGCCAAAGGGAACAAAAGGAACCCTAAAAATGCTGCTCCTGCAGCTGAGGAAGCTCCTGAAGATTCAGTCGAAGAGACGAAAATCGTAGAAACGGAAGCACCCCCTGCAGAGGACAACTCAGTCGCTGAAGAACCTTCACAAGACGTGATGATGGAAGAGGCCGCACCGACAGAAGAACAGACTCCATCGTCTGAGGAGACAGCTCCAAATATGACAATGGAGGAACGGAAAGCTAAGATGGAACAGCTACGGAAGAAATTGGTGCGTTTCTGTTCTTATGATTGTTCGCCATCGTTATTTATGCTGCCTCAGGCTGCGTCATCAAAGGCGAACCGTGCATCCCTTATAGAAGAAAGCGCCAAACTGAAAATGACAGCGCGCGACGCAGCAAGACTAGAGCGGCAGCGAAAGCTGGCTGAAACGCTACGGACCAAGGCAGAGGCAGAGGAACGCGGGGAAGATGTAGAGCGCGAGAAGAACTGGGAGTGGACAATAGAGGAGAATGACAACTGGGAGAAGAAGAAGGCGAGAAAGGCAAGAAGAGCGGATTTCGAGTTCCATGGTGCGTCCCGTCCCACATTGATGTTGTCATGGCTAATGCATTTGAATGTAGATGATGCCCATGCTGCACGACGACGATACAAGAAAGAGCTGGATCTCATCAAACCTGACCTGATAGCCTATAATAAACAGAAGGAAATTGCGATGGGTTTGGCATCAGGGACTCTGACCTCCTTTGACCCCAAGAATGGTTCAATGTCAACAGCGGTAAGACTTCCTGGTTCCTTTCTATTTATATGCTAATTTTTTTTTCAGGTCGTTCCTACGACCCTTGAACAGCAGATGGCCCATGACAACCTTTACCGCGATGCAAATACACTAATGTACGGTGATAGTAAGCCTAGCGAGGACGCCATTGATCGTGTGGTATCAAAGATTAATAAAGAGTATGTCATGTTTCGCCGCACTATAAGCAGTCTTCTCATGTTTCGTCTTAGCATCGACAAGAAGAGCAAGTTTTCGCGGAAGCGTCCCAACGAGGAAGAAGGAGATATCACCTATATCAACGAGGCCAATCGTGTGTTCAACAAAAAGGTATGGCTATCTGTGGTAAGCACTAGTGCATGACTGAATATCCTCCTAGATTGCCAGATACTACGACAAGTATACATCAGAGATTCGGGCGAGCTTCGAACGGGGCACAGCTCTCTAACCTGCCAATCATTCAATTTTGGGGCGTTATATTGTATTTTGAGTGTATTCTATTTGTTATCAATTTACTCTACATCATCCAACACGGCATTCATTCTATACTGCAGAGGTTTAAGCGCTGTTAATATGCAAAGCGAATATCAGACGTTTTCGAGTCAACGCAATTGTTCATATTTTTTCAACAGGAACCATTCAGTTCTGGCTTTTAAAGGTGACTTCTTTTGATGCGCCACATCGGGAGACGTGATTCAGCTAGCCACGCTTGGCATAAACTGACGCTCTATGGCCCTACCCGTGCTTCAATGACAGACATGCCTATCTTATCCATAGAAGTCAACTCGCTGTTCACACGAGGGTTCGACATGTGGCGTTGGATATATGGTGGACTTCTACTGCCACTTTCCCTTGTGTTCTGTTACAACCATGTCCATCGTCCAGCACTCACCTGCCTCTCGGTACACACCGCTCTGCATGACCAACTCCCCAGTCAAGATATATCACACCCACTCCGCTTCGACTGAATGGAAGTACTACGGACATCGGGGCGTGTTGGTTTTTGGCAGAGAAAGCTCCGCGACGAAAGACGACGAGTTTTCTTTCAAGCTGTTCTTGTGCGATGATGAGGGTACATGGCGAACACTCTGGGTGTTCAAACTCGATGGCAAGGGGTTCGACTACAGAGTGGACAACTTGCCAAGCTTCCATTGGTTCCACGGACTGGTAAGTGGAAAGTGCCGTGCGCAGTTACGAGAGAACTGACATTTCTTCTTTGTGTCTAGACGCGAAAATTTGGGATCCTGTTCGAAGATGATGACGATGCCAGCGTGTTCGCGAGAGTTATATGCGAGCGGAACACGAGGGCAACTGCTTCTCCTGTCTCGTTCGAAAGTGACAGTGGTCAGTTCTTCGATCAGGTTGTGGTGACAACTAACTCAACCATTGGCAGGTCGCCGACTGAAGACGAAGACTCTCGGCTCTTCCTCTGTCGTTTCCCTCCAACTCAGCATAAAACCAAGCCTAATCCGCCGATCTTCTATGGCGGCAAGCAACTTTGGGAAGAAGTCTATACCTAGAATATGGCGTTCGAAGCGTTCATGATTTGCTGAGTGTTGTCCCGGAGAACGTGCAGTTCAGATACGATTCATATACCATTTATGAAGCTCGGTGAGCTATGTATGATGTACCACTACGATGAATGCTTTACGGATAAGTTAACTATTTATCACTCATAGTCAGTATATGCGTATGTTCGTGTAGATGAAAGCTTACGAGTCTATTTATTGTCTCTATCTCTATTACTTCTATGTACAACTTATGGTCAGAATCTTGTCAAGTCGCGCCCGAATATCCCTGATGCGAAGGAAGACATTAATCGCTACTTTAAAAACAGACAGGTTAGATGACTCACAGTTCAAGAACCTGATCGACAGTAACAGAGATTCAGTAACAAGGCAACATGGATGTAGAATACGCACCAATACGTGGGGACTAGGATTCTAGCAAAGAGCATATGTGAGCTCACTAAGGCATTTCAAGGGCTGAATATGATCTTACTTGTTTCTCCAACTCAACGTTTGCGTGAAGTACGCAGAGCGCCACAGTAACCACGCTACACGACCTGATTCTTTGTTCATGAATGTGTTTTCGCCGTCACCCGTGGCTTTCGACCGGTCATATATGGCTCGCCTATTACATGGTCGACAAAACGCTGGGCTAAAGATAGAGAGGAACGTACCATCCGCCAATATATGCAAGACTGCCTCGGTTCCTAAACTGGAAAGGCTCATCAACGTGGGCGCCCTTCAAGGGTTCCTCATCTTCGTGGGAATGGCTGAGGTTAGCAAGTTTGTTAAGGGTCTTGGTAACATATTTAGCCTTCTGATTTGCGACTTCGGGAAAGTAAGTCTAAGACCCGTCAAAGCAAAAAAGTTGTGTTCACCTTGAGCAGTTGCGGGCAAAGGGTCGGACTCTATTGAGGCGGCATCCCCAATAGCCCATACATCAAGATTGGGCGTTCCGTCTACGTTCAGGGCATTGAGGTATCCATCTGTGAGTACTCTGCACAAGTATTAATGGCAAGATATGGTACGCATGATGAAGATCCCACCTGCTAGTGGTGTCCCGTTTCTTCAGTTCTGTGATAGCGCTGATAAGAGGATTGGGTGCAAGACCAGTACTCCACACAAGGAGTCCGAAAGGTACTGATATTACATGTTAGTATGGCTAATTGAATCAATCGTTCTGAAAAAGGCACCTTCTCCGACATCCTTTATGAACAATTTTCCCTGCGAGATCATTAGAATGGCGGATGAATACCGCTGTAACGAAACACATACCTTCTCAACCTTCTCAACGTGGTGCCTCAGATGAATGTTGATACCGTCGCGTCGTAATGTGTTTTCAGTATACCTGGGGCAGGGTTATCATTGGTCGTGTGAACGGTGTTGCAGACTTACCTCACAAGACTCCTGTCAAATGTTCCCAAGATACTGTCCGCGACATCATACAGATTGATTCGGGCCATCTTCGCGAGTTCCGGATGTTGATGGGCTATTTCGGTATGTAACAGATCGTGTAGTTCGGCCGCGAACTCGACGCCAGTAGGTCCGCCTCCTAAGGATCAAACACCAATAAGTCTCAAAACTTTTGGGGATGTGTGTAAAGGCTTACCAACGACACAAAAGTTTAGTAGCTTCCGGCGCTCTGCGTCGGTCATATCCGGTTGATTCGCTTGTTCAAGACCTTGATGTAACGTGAATGCTGTAGACGCGTCCCGATGATAGCAAAATCCTACATTCAAGAATCCTTGTCCTAATTCTACGCGCGTCTTTGACATCTTTCAGAAAATGGGCGTGTTCTTTGACTCCGGGGATCCCAAATGCTAGGAAACCGTAAGCTGGGGAGACTAGGGGATATAGCGGGTGGAACCGGCGCACTCTGGCGATAGGCACCGACGGCGATTACCAACTTGTCATATTTGATGGAAAATGGTTGGGGCGTAGCTGGAGGCGAGTCACCAAAAGAGACCGGAGGCGTTGCTGCGACCTAAGCTGAGTGATCAGCTAGGTTTGCCTGGTTAAAACATATCGAACGGACACATGTGAGGGTCTTGTGCTTGAAATCTTACGAAGTCGTGAATTCCCGGCCCACAGTAGTAAACATGAAGGTTTGTCTTACCGATGTTGTCGCACCAAGCCTGATAGTACGACTACCCGGGGCAAATTATTAATATCATGCACGACTGATAGAAGTGAATAAAAGACAGACCACTTTAGGTGTGTATCTGCGCACCTAAAGCCAACGTGTAAGTAAAGCAGAAGAGCAAGGTAGAATGAAACACGCACAGGTTCAACCGTACACCTGAATTCCAAAGTCCCTACAGCCGCGCTCGCCAAGAGAGGGGTAAAGTTGAAGTACGTGTTGGGAGAAATAATAGTAACGTCTACGGAAAATCAGAAAAACAATATCCACGTTAATGGGGCTTGACTCACTCCAGTTCTTCTTGTCGACCCCCCTCAAGACCTCGTATCCACCCCAGCCCGAGCCTAGGATAACAAGACTCTGCTTGCCACGCGTCGGCGGAGAGAACAGTGTACGAACGAATATCTGGGACGGCCTACTGGCCTGTTTCCTAGTCACGGAAAGCATTGGAGAGAGGTAGAAAGATAGGAGCGGGAGGATTCGGATTCGAAAGTAGCCATTTATATAGGTCCGAAATTACGTCAGGAACATATAATTGCGCACTTTGGGGACGCGACCACCACGGAGACAAAAATTTCAGCGTAGAACCGTTCCATCCACCAAGATATCCGTTCGTTTGGGGGATTGAAGTGAAAGGCAAAAGAGAAAGTTACCGCAGGTTGAGATGACGTACAAATCCGAGGGGGTGGCGGCCCGACTTGGATCCAGACCGTCCAGAACTGCTGAGAAGACTTAACATTGATTTCGTTCGATGCAGTTTACTACGACCGAGAAAACGTTAGAAAACCTTCGTTAATCCTGTTCAGACATTGGATTCACAGGAGAACTTTCGGAACGGTTATCAGCAACGAAGTGGATTTGCCTCCGGCGGGGCTCCGCAAATCGAGATTTCTTGGGCAATGCGGAGCGAGATGGAGGACTCTTCGTCCTGATCCTTAACTGAACGAATTGTCAAAAGGTAGAGGCAGCGATGGACGTATCCACTGGACTGCTCCGCTTTATTGTAGACATCTATCTCTCGTCGATAGAAATCTGCCAGCTCTCAGAGCCGGAAGCCAGCCGGTCCTTGCCGCGGCTTATGCCGGCTCTAAGGCTCACATTTGCGAAGCCGACTCAGGCCTAGGCTTACCTCTGTGTTTGAGGAGGTACAATATCCTCATCTTGGAAAGGATATTCATCTTTAACAGTGGTCTCCAATTGTAAAAGAAGTTCGTTCGAATCTTTCTTGTGACCTACTTGAAAGCCGCGGCTCTATGGAGGCCGGGACGAGCCGCGGCACGTCAAGAAGGCTGAGGCTGAGGGTCCGCTAGTAGAATGTTGCTACGACTGTCACTGGCATTACTGCTCACAACGAGCCATAGGGGAGATGGCCAATCAATCTAGCTTTCCAATTTTGCTGGGCCAAAGCCGAGACGAGCCCAAAAATCTCTACAGTTATCAATCTGTACATCAAAACTTGACATCAAATTTTTTAATCCTCGTTAGCTGTTTTTCGTAATTCTGTCCAGCCTCAAAGTTTTCTATTTGGCTATACATGTTGAATGAATATTTTCATGATTTTAGAATAATATGCTGGTCCTCCACAACTCAAACAATGCATGTACAGGCCCAGAAAGTATCTCAATTTGAAACATGGATTTAATACTAAATTTGAAGGCCCAACATGACCTGAGATCATGAGGAGAACGATATTGGTACGATGTTCTACACGGTGTACAAAGGAGCGGTGGTTTAATTGATCACTGACAAGTGATAAGTTAGTCTCGTCCCCATCCGTTCTGGCGTGACCACGTGTTAGTTGCCACGTGCGGCGGAGTTGAAAATTTGGTGCAGGACTCACGCCAGAACGTCTGGGGCATTTGGGCTCGATTTCACCCCTCCTCCTACTATTTTCAAATTTTACTATGATTTCATCTTTGTCATACGCGTACCGCGATCGTTGACATCGTCGCCAGCATCCTCTCTTGCCATCCGGCATCTTGGTTCATTTTTTGCTAGCTGAGTGCATCCAGAAACTCAGGCAACTAAGCCCGACAATCTTCATAAACGACAGGACTGGTAAGACCTGCTCAGCAATTGCAGTTTCCTCCACTTCGGCTGATTAATTCCCTCCTTGGGCGTGGTCTTCCGAGGGATTGAGAAAGTGAATCTTCGGGTTCGGAATCAGATTCTGAATGCCTGTCTGGATCACCGTCAACATTGTAGATCAGTGAAGTCCATTCTCGGAAGGTTCGACTGGCCATTAGACGAAGGGAGTGCTATTGCGCTACAAAAAGTGGTCTAAATATAGTTATATTATGGCATCATTATTTGAAAACATAGGAGGAGGTCTCTGCCCTCCCTTTTGTAACTCCGCTCGCGTGACACGGTCCGATCTCTCCGGACGCAGTGAGGAGGGCAAGATCTCACGAAACGGGTGGGTACGAGACTAGTGATAAGTAGGAATTTGAAATTCTGCTGACCGGCTGCGGGCCACTATTAGCCGGTTCGGTCTCAACCTCGACGATGTATCAGCAAATTCAGTGTAGCTCTCATTCTGCGAACATCACCGCTCTGCACTTCGAAACACTACTGAACGTGAACTGCCGTCACAGTGGCAGCAAGTCTTGGACTGCGTCGTTTTCTCGTGAAAATGACGCCTAGACGTCGGTTACACCAACTTTTAGATGGGCTAGCATCTCCGACAGGATCCATTGGGACATTGAAGCTCGGCGCTATCGAGTACCAGGTCCCAGCATCGCTAACGCCGTCAAGACTGCCGAGGTCGAAGGGTTTACTCGATATACGCGATCCCGCCAATGTCGACAACCTCCATTTCATGTTGCAGAAGTATCTTTTGGGGCAGGACGTGTTTTTGGTGTCGCAGCCTGGTCCTTATGCTAGGCGACTGGCACTTACCTTTGCGAGGTATGAGTGCTTCACTGGATTGCTTCTTGTACTAACGCCTTTGGGCAGTATAATCAATTCCGAGTACGAGTACATCGCACTGCATAGAGACGTCAGCGAGACAGAACTGAAGCAGGTAAGAGCTTTTGGTATGGTGGGACCTCTGTTAATGCTTCTTCCAGGGAAGAGAAATCAGAGAAGGTGGAAATTTGGTGTACGTGGATAGCCCAGCCGTCAACGCGGCCAAGTATGGGAGACTCTTGATCTTAGAAGGAATAGAGAAGGCCGAACGAGGAATCATGCCTGTGTGTGTACTATCCTTTCTCTTCGATTGTCATTGATTTCTGTTCTTAGGTTCTGAACAATTTACTAGAAAATCGTGAAATGTAGATAACGCGTCCCATATCATTTTTACCGAAACGTACTAATATGTCCACAGGAACCTTGATGACGGTACACATATCATACACCCACATCGATATGCCCTCTTAGATGTCGCCACCAATTTCATACCAGCGCATAAGAACTTTAGAGTTATCGCAATCGCAGCACCCGTCCCTCCGTATCCCGGCTATCCTCTTGATCCCCCATTCCGAAGTCGCTTCCAAGCGCGCTTCATGGATCCTGTAGGCGCTATGGTCAGCCTCAGCAACTCTCTAGACTCCAAGACCACCTCGTTATACACCAAAATTCGCGACATTATTCTATCCACGCAGTATTCTAGCGAATCGCGTCACGCCTTAGAAGCCGTCTCAAAATCCGTATTACCACCTTTCCCTCAGACTTCCCTTCTCAAACTTCGCGCGTTATTATCTCTATTTCCTCCTTCCGAACAAGTCACTCCCTCACAACTCGGACAGCTTTTTTTAATCCTTCACCCTGCTCTAATTCATGCGCCGTTCCAGGCCTGGGCACTTCTCAGTGTGCAGACTGAAGACAGCGGACTAGGGCCTATGGGAAGTCCATCGATGGCGTCAGAAGGCCTATTGGGGTATCGTCTTACCTCCGTCAAAAGGACGGGTGAACGCACAGCAGATGTCACATTTGACGGTCCACAACAGATAACTTGTAATGTGCCAGCAGGTCCCAAAGCGTTGTTGAAATATCCGCTAACAGACACGCCAAACTTCCATGTCACGGAGAGGTTCGTTGGGCTTTTAACGTGTTTTATGCAGGCTCACGCGCTGGGATGGGATATATCTCTTATGCCGCCTGCCCAGCCCTCAACGGCGTCGACGTCGACCTCAACCTTGGTCAATGTATTTGGACGGATACTAGGATACGAGACGGAGGCGGTACACATGTACAAGGAACTAGGAGGCCGCGAACTGGTGATGCGAAGGAAAATACAGAATGGAGGTGCGACGACTTGGGAGCCTAGGTAATACCTTTCGTAGTTCTAAAGTCTTCCGACTCATCCTGTTCAAGTCCCATCATAGAGGCAGCATGGAAAGGAAGAATGGTGCATCTTTCCGGTCTTGATGTTCTAGGGTCAACGGCAGGATCATTATCAAGGCTGCTTCAGGATCGAGAAATTGAGCTTTGGGAGGGGAAAAGGATCGTTTCTGAAGCCTCTCAAGAGGGGGTAAAATTCTTTCCTGCGTCCTTTCACTCTCACTCACAAGCCTTGTGCTAGATCGATTCGGGGGAGCTGACCTTAGCCAAACCATCATTCCGGGTCATAAGCACCGCATCAAAGTCCATCCCATTGAAAGACTGGTTGACAGAGGAACACGCCAACATGTTCTTCCCCGTCCCTAGCCAACCTATGTCTGTTGAAGAAGAGGCTCTCATCTTGCGCGGCACGGGATGTGCTCCGGCCTTCGTCGAGACCCTTTTATCCTTCGCCGACAAATACAGGCGTAGTATTTCTGCTGACAGTGTCCAGAAGCACCGCAAATTGGGCACACGTTCTTTAGTCAGAATAGCCAGACGCCTGGCGATGTTTCCGGAGGATCATGACTTGCACGCCATAATCAGCAGTTCACTTCTTGCTGATTTTTTGCCCGCGGCGGAACGTATGAATTTGGATGCATTGCTTGATGAGGCTGATATCCAGAAGATGACAGAAAAAGTTGCTGCGTTCTACATTTATTCGTCTTGTATATTTTCTGATCCTCTGCCAAGTTCCATCCAAGTCCGGTGGTTCTAGACAGTTCCTTGTACTTCCCTGCATCGACTAGTGCTGGTGCGATGACAAACCCCACGCCCATCCCTCTGTTCGATCCCTCTCAAGACCACGCGGGCGTGGAATCACTCGTCCCGCATATGGACCACTTTTATGACAATAGTTTGCAAACTGGGCTAATGCGTGACCTAGCAATCGATCTCGAGCTGATGCGCGAGCATGTTGTTCTGTTGGGCAATCAGGTAAGTACACTGACGTCTTTACTGGCACCATTCTTATCTTCTCCCAATATGTAGGGTGTCGGAAAGAATAAGATCGTCGATCGGTAAGCATCCTTGTACAGATGCGTCGAGCAATTCTGACGCCCCTGCTTGTAGCTTGTGTCAGGTACAGCTTTCTCTTGTGGTGATCGGCATGCAAATATTTACATTTACATTATTAGCTGCTTGGTCGGCCTCGTGAATACATCCAACTGCATCGTGACACGACTGTCAATCAGCTAATGTTCACTACCTCTCTCGAGGCGGGTGTACTGAAATTCACGGATTCGCCTCTTCTCCGCGCGATCACCTTTGGACGGGTCATTATCATTGATGAAGCAGACAAGGCACCTGAACACGTCGTGGCCATCTTCCGCAGTCTCGCTGGGCAAAGTGAGATGACGCTATCAGACGGACGCCGAGTATGTTCCTCTCGAGAACGAGAGGATGACATCGTTGTCCATCCGAACTTCAGGCTTGTGTTGCTTGCAAATAGACCTGGTTATCGTAAGCTTTCGTTTGATATGTTCGATGCAGCTGTCAGTGACGATGTTCGTGTAGCCTTCCTCGGAAACCACTTCCTACAAGTGCTCGGAGAAAACTTCAGTCCCCACTCTGTGCCTAACCCTGATCAAGCTTCGGAACGTAAACTGCTTAAGCAGCTCGCGCCTGAACTCCCTGAGGATGTCATCCACCGGCTGGTCGGTGCTTTCCAAGATTTGCGCGTAGGATATGAGAATGGTTCTTTAGGCTACCCATATTCGCTGAGAGGTGAGCTATAAGTTCGAGTTTCGAGTTTTGAGCTAAGTTGATTATCTTGTTGTCGGCAGAGTTGATCAATCTTGTACGGCACATGCAGACATACCCTACAGATGCACTTGGTGACGCACTTCGTAACGTCTTTGATTTTGATATCTACAAGCCGGAGACAATTGACAAGCTCGGCGAGATTCTCAAGAAGCACGGGTAAGTGAAAAAGCGATAATGATGTGTGCTCCGCTAACAATGTCCCTAGTCTTACTGTTCCACACCTTGGATTAGATGCGGCACGAGAGTCTGCAAAGAAGATACAGGATATACAATTCGAGCCCAAGGAGACTGATTTGGGCGGACCCAAAGAGGGGAAGCATGATAATGAAGAACATTCCGGTGGGAATACGTATGCAGGAGGGGTGAGCTATCAGTCTGGGGTTGTTCGGAGCTAACGATCGTACTGCAGACTGGCGGTCGAGATACAGCTGGAATAGGCGGTCGTGGTGGGTACAAGCGGCTGTGGAAAGGTGGAGATATCAAGCAGGTGCATTTTTAGTCTACGCTTTCGTCATGAAACTAAAGCAGTCCATCATGATAGATACCAGACGCATTAAAGGACGATGTTCCTGAACACATCAAAGAGAAAGCGCGAGAAATGGCTAAGCAAGAGCTACAGCGCCGACTTGAGGAGCTTGATATGAACATTCATGAGGCTAGAGGTTACGGCGAAATCATCAGAAACACGCAAGCTCACATGGCTTCCCTCTATGACCTCCTAGAGCGTAAGCGACCCATTTCAAGTATCTGGTGGTCGTTAACCTGATTCCTGTTTGTAGACCTGGCTGCGAAAGAAGAGGAACGTGTTTGGGTTAAACGTCAAACCGACGGAGAACTGGATGATACACGGTTGACGGAGGGGTTGACTGGGGAAGCGACTGTTTATAAACGACGGGGGATGGAGAAGCCGGAGTTGGGGCGGCCCCAGATCAAGTCAGCTTTTTTCAAAGTACTGTCGCCATACCTGACTCATAGGTTTATAGACCCAAACGAATCCGGTTCATCTTTGACCTCAGTGCTTCGATGTGAGCTGTGACAGAAGATAGCAGTTCTTTAGCCTAGTTAAACGCCTCTATAGGTACCGATTCCAGTATGACGGCCGACTAAAACGAAGCTTAGAGACAGGTTGGTGTACGTCTTATCCTGCACTCGTTTGCATTTGACAGATGCTTCTAGCGGCCATGCTCATGGAGACATTCGACCGTCTTTCCCGAAAAGATAAATATGTCTGGGACGTGAGTTATTATATTCTCTATTTTCTCGCAATCGCTGACTGGGATATGGTAGATGTATGGTCACGTAAGCCAGTCTCTTAATCAAGGACTTTATGACGTCTGAGAGTACCTAGTCCGGGGATGGGCCCGAGATACCTCTCGTTGAAGCAGACAAACCGCCTGTCGACCTCCGGGATCGCTGGAGAGTAATCGAGAAGATGGACATGATCCCGCAGTACGCTTTCGCTGGAGATTATACCGGTGAGATGGTTGTGCTATACACTTTCCATAACGGTAGACTGATATAGAAAACAGTCGAAGCTATACAGAAAGGCGTACAAGAAGTAGGTAAATTCGATGCAGGTAAGTGTTTTTCTGCGTATTGCCAACCGGACTGTCGATTTATACGTTGACGCAGATGATTGGTTCGTTATTGCTATCACGGTGAGTAATCTCTTTCAAGGTCAGGTCTCTTCTAAGCAATGATACATAGGATGCCAATTTCGGCCGATACAACATTACACCGGAGCAGCTATCTCAGGCAATGAAGCGCAATCCCAAGGTCCATACAGCTTTGATTTGTATTGGGGAAGGGGCTGAAGCTCCGTGGTACGTACATGCGGTACTTCGAGCTACTCATGACACTAATCCCCACTAGGATAAGCAAACAGCTCCCTGGACAAGGTTTTAGAGTTGCTAACACCAATGACATACCTACTGTCCTTCGGAGCATTCTGTCTACGATGATAGACCGTGTATAGCGGATCGTTACGATATGAAGTTATCTTCCGCTGAATAACACAAATGCAAACCGATCTATTCGAATCTGGCTAATAATCCGGGTATCTGGTATAAGTTATACTAACTGTCAGTGCATAATACGTCTATACATCTAAGCAACATTAGACTGAATATAACGATAATGCTGTGGCCCAAGGAGACTTAATGTTCCCTAAATATTCTAAGCGTGGAGAGCATTAAGCACGCGGAAGTAAACGTATCCAATGACACAAGCACCGATGTAGATGCCCAATCGCGTTTCAAATGGATTTTCAGTGAGGAAGGGGTATGGGACTGTGAAAGTCAGTACAAAAGAATCTGTATGTAGCTGAACAGAAACTCACAAATGCCATCATTTAATTTAGCATTCCGTTCGGCCCAAGAGCTGTACATCCCACCGCACGTAAGCACCACAGGAACCGCAAGTTTGACATGTTCCTGCGAGTATTTCTTCTCGAAGGCCAGGAAATCCAGCACGAGCGAAAGGCCTGGAACGACGTGCATGGCTAGATCCAGGGGCAGGGGTATCCGAGCGAGCGGCAGCGCATCATGAGACGATGTAAGCTCCGTGGGAACGTATTTTTGGAGAATAAGACTGGGGAAAAGCAGGAGGAGGGTCCAGTACACGGAGACCACGACAGCTTCGACCTAGACCGTACCACATTGAGATAACAAGGTTCTCTTAGATTATTAACAGACACGACGAACCGGCATGCAAACCATGAGCATAGCGCGCTTGAGTGACCTGAGAGCTAGAGATGATGTATCAATGCTGGTTGCCAAGGAATGGAAGGAGGGCCCGAAACCAACCTGAGATTGAAGGAAAGAGGTCGACAAGTAAAGCCACTCCCATGGTGCACAACGACGCGACCAGCCTTCACAGTTAGTGAATATAGAGTACCTAGATGATGAATAGGACTAGGCTCACCCAAGAATTGTCAGAAACTGGTAATGGCTACCGTACTGGGTCTCGACGAGAGGGTCTATGGGACTCGTTCCGAGCTGAGAGTGAGCCCAGGCCATGGTGGCTGCGGCGACGGAGTGCAGCAGGACGGGCGAAGCAGAAAATGCCATGACGGTGCAGCAGTGCGCGGTACAGCTCACAGATGATGATGGTGGATAAAGGAAAAAAGAGGTCAGGGCAGTGCCAGGGTCCAACGGATTGACGGCGCGAATCTACGTCATTGTCGTGATGTCAAAATTGTTGTTGACAATAATGAAATGAAATGCAATTCCAATTTGCAGAGTACGCGTCTAAATATTAAAATTATCTAACGATATCATGGGTAACCAGAAACTAATATACACAATGGTAAATCACCCAATCGCTCAGCCCGAGGACCCCTCCAAAGCTTTCACGATGCCGAAGGCCGCCCCGGCTGCAATGCCTCCAACGAGTAAAGTGGAAACAGCACCCCATAGAATACTAAGTGTCCCCGTGCCAGCACCTGTTACGCGAGCCTTGACAGCACCAAATATCAGGAGGACAATCCCAGTGACAAGACATGAATAGATTAGGCCAACAGCTGCACTAGCGAAGAAGAAATAGGGGAGAAGGGGTATAAGGCCGCCAAGAAGGTATCCCATGCCAATCGTGAACGCGGAGATGTAAAGTCGTTTTGTCGGAATTTCCTCTGCGAGAACATGGTCAGCGTGCAGATACGGAATTAAATACCACCGACATACCTAAGCCTTCACCAAACTTGAGTAGAAAAGCAGTCAACCCAACATCTTGACTCCAACGAAGACTTGCGCTTTCCTCATCCGACGACGATGGTCCGCCACTTTCATATCCATCCACCTCAACATCCCTCAAGCTTTTCGCCACTGCTCTGCAAGTGGGTTCGTCGACACCGATGGGTCCCAAAACCTCCGACACCTCTCTCTCCATTTCACCCGCACAGCTGCGTACAACACGAGACGCCGTCTGCGCACGCAGGTAACGGTAATGATCACGTTCAGCCTGGGAGGCAAGGAAACCTCCGATACCCATAGAGATAGCACCGGCAATCAGCTCGGCGATGCCACCAAGGACGACAAGCTTTGATTCTCCAAGGGAAGATAAACCAGCGGTCAAGGCAAATGGAACCGTTAGACCATCAGATAGACCGATAATTCTAGTCACGAAAAGAGCCAGGTTAAAAGTAAGGACGTGTTTGAAGGGTATGAGACTTACACATCTCGCACAACGTCGGGGTCAATCAAGTGACGTTCTTCGGATTTTAGTTCTTTGCAGCAGATACCATTTTCTCTTGAATTCATGGCACATTTGGCGGGTAAAGGCGTCGGTTGGGATGTTTCCGAGGCGTCAATGGGCCACACAGGTGGTTTGCGGCTCTTTATTGAGGAGTCGCGACCTGGTAGAGCAACGGCGAGGGCGGGGTCTGCCGCCGTGGACTGAGAGCTAGTAGACATGGCAGACGGCAGTGGTGGACGTGGTGAAAGGCTAAAAGGAAGATCTTCACAGCTTCATTGATTAAATATTTTAATGCCAAGGGGCGTCACGTCATCCATGTGACTCATCGGCTTCAGTAATCACTGCTATCAGCCAATGAAAGTGTGCACATTTGTGGTTTGATGTGATTGGGCCATGGGGATGCGTCATGAGTTCCTCTGCGGATTTTGCTGCGCGTGCGGCGTATTCGTGTCCTCGGCTCGAAGTTGAAAGACAAGCAGCGGTATGTATACGACATGGTAACAACGTGGCTCGTACGTGACCATTTTCTGCAGTTGTAAATTGAAATTATTCAGGACGAATCGCGCTCGTATACTTTAGCTGGCAAGTTGGTATCATATCTGAAGATCTTCAAGATATGCCTCTTCTTCATGGCTGCATCTGGACTACGATGAAAACGCTACTTACGTTGACTCAAGAAAGTCTCGACTTGAAAACACGGTGTGTATGTAACATGAACCCATGTCCTTCAACTGAATGTATACGCGAGAGGGGTTATTGATCTAGAGTTAACACCAAAACCCGGCCTAACTTCTTAATTTATTAGACCGTATCATCATGAAAAGGATCAGACAGGATTCTCAAAGGAGACTCAAACGTGGCAACAGGTCCGGTCAACCGGTCAACGATCAGCGCGAGTCAACGCGTTCAATCTCAAAAATTTAAGATGGGCAGGGTTGTGCACGCAGAAGAGTGTCTCCTGGCGTCTCCGCTCGATGATGACCCAATTGCGCCATATAGAAGTAAACTAATCACCTCTCCGACTCGCAGTCTTCCAAAAGGCCGCCGACTTCGAAATTTCCTGCCAGACAGAAACCCTTGCAACCCGGCTACCATGACTCGGACGCCGTTCAAACGGTTGGCAGCTCACGATTTGCACTTAATGCAGGGATGTGCAATTTCTAGGCACCCATCCTACGCCGCCGTGTCTGCCAAAATGATTTTGCCTCGAGGCGCGATACTGGGGTGGGAGTTTGTGCTCTTCCCTAGGCCTCTTGTTTAGCGACCATGTATTCGGTTCGGAATGAGGTATTGGCGACGGACCCTCCAGTACCTCCGGCTTTTCAAGACAAGCTTCTTGGGCGAGTGCGATGCGTTTTTTGCACTTCTGATCTCTCTGATCCGAGTACACTAGGTCGCTAGTCGTTGGATCGTATGTTAATGCGGTCAGTTGCACTTGCTTATCCATACTTCCTACCCTCTCCTCATCAAGCAGCCCTGCAGATGTTGTATATGCTGGAGATTATCCAGGCAAGCTGCTTCTCCACTACGTGCCTATTGCGCACCACATTAATTCGGGCGCGCTGGCAGGTTATTTATTTCTTCAAGCACTATCGTCGAGATCGACCACTCATCAAGGCTGGGATAATTATCAGCTTGGTGATGGATACGGTCTGTACCATAAGTCAGTTTGCTTGTGTATACTTGGTATGTCTCCATGATAACAACCCTATGAAATACGTTCACAAACCGCCCCTTAGCCCATACCAACGTATCTACTCAGTACAGGCGTAACGACCGCTGTGGTGTAATCCTTTCTGATATATCGTTTTTGGAGCTTGTGAGCGCGATTAAGCTCTCCGTTATACAGCCTAACAAATACCAAAGAACGCGCCAATGGATATTTCTGCGATACTTGGACTTGGAATGTTAACATCGGTGCGTAGACTCGTCGAATCCTACTCGGCCTATATGACATCGATTTCGCTGCACAGGCTGCCGGATTAATCGCCACTGCTGCCACCCAGATTATGTGCCCTCAGTACGCCGAACGATACAAGGGTCGCGTATATGTCACGTACGTTTGTGTGTCCATTTCCGTGGTCCACGATTAATTATCGCGTGATATTATACGGCTTCTTGCTAGTGCCTTGTGATGTTTGCATAGCCGTTAGCCTCACATTCCAGTCGAGAAAGATGAATCCTACATTTCAGGAGAGCAAGCGGTACCCTGTAAAGTGATATCCCTCTCACACCTTGTATTGACACTAAAAAAAGGGTTATCAACCGGCTCATCGGGTCAGTCATCTCTACGGGAACAGCATCTACGACCGCAGCCATCGTAATTCTGATAGGTATGTGTGTATGCTCCTCAATGCTTTAATCCACAATTTTGTCAGTTTTTCTAAAGATGCCTATGATCAACGGTAGGTCTTTGTTGCACACCAAATGACATTCTTTAATCAAGGACCAGTTTCGACCGGGGTGGCTTTTTGCTTGGGCCGCCTTTATTCGTTCACAATGGTGTGTGTGTGTGTTCTCTATGACTGACTATATTTATAACCCCCTCATGGTCGTGTCTGCAGCTGTACAGTCTGAACAAGAGGAGTGCTCTTCGTGCCGAAGGTTCCTCAGGCCATAGTAGTGGACATCAAGATCGAGCGGTCAATATTAACGCGGAACTGTTCAGTAGCGATGGAGGCATACGTAAATTGCTTTTTCCTTTCCCCATCACGTAATTACTGAAAAGCTTTCTTGAAAGACGTCCATCACACCGCACGGATAGATGTATCGGAAGCCGGTCGGGAGCGAGAGGTCGGTGATATCTTTTCTTACCTGGCCTTCTTCACTGATTTATTCGGCTCGCAGTCCTCTTCGCATTCTGCAGCTTCTGGTGTTCCTGCTCCAAAGGCAAGCTATGCTAATATTGAAGCATATCTTCTGCACAACCTTGACACAGCCGTTAACAAGACTGGTCCGGAAAACTATCAATCGGGTTGGGCTGTCTAGGCACCGTAATTTTATTGAAGTTAGTGGATTGTTATCTTATCTCGTTGACTTCACGTAATATTCAATCCGTCGCTAGTATGACTACGGTTATGATACTAGCTACTTAGTAGTAATAGTAGTCGCACTGGCAAATGGTCCCTATCAAGGGAACAGTCGAGGTTTTCTACGCCGTTGTTGACAAACAATTCAGCATCGTAGACCGCAAAAACCCATGCCGCTGTGAACATCATTGGTTTTCCGGACCAAACGCATCTCACGGAGTTGGATAACTTCGAGGAGGCATGATACAGACAAACTAGTTCTACATGGTGATAGTAGCTGGAAGAGCGTCGGTGGTGAGATGAGATGATTGCCGGTACTCGTCCAAGAATCATACAAGTGTCCGTGTCCGTCGCTCAAGTAATGTTTTGTTAAATAAGCCCTTAATCGCGGATGCTCGGGTATTGTGTTGCCGGATGATCGACCAACCATTTATGTTCAACACGACCTCTTCCATTGACCAGCTGGACTACTTTCGCGCATGTCATGCCACGTCTCGAATCTTGGAGTATCATACAGACTAACTTGTCTAACCCGGATGGCTACCAGTACCCACCGTTGATTCCCTTGGAACTACCACCTATCCCCACAGTGCTTCCCCAACTCTCGTCCCCGCAGCGTTCTCCTGCATGGCTACCTGACGGATGGATCCATACGACTCATATCGTCCCAGCGGCGTATCCTCGCTCTTCTCCTGATGTCGTACTCCCAGAGGCCTCCGTCTTTGACGCAAATTCCAACAAATCTGAAAGACAGAAGCTAACGGCTGAAAGACTCGAGCAACTACTGGCACTACGAGAGAAGGAAAACGGCAGAACTAGCCGCAACGACAAGCTCTTGTGGCTCTGTTTCAACAAATACACTCGGAAGAACACGGACGGCAAGGGTCTGACACTCTTCTTCGCTCACGCCAATGGATTCTGCAAGGAGGTATGGAACACAATTTTCCTACCCCAGCACTTGCATTCAGCATTTTCAGATATGGGAGACAACTATCTCATCCTTTCTCTCGTCGAGATCCGAACGATACGTATCCGAGATGTGGGTTTGGGACGCTGTCAATCAGGGCGATTCAGCGTTGTTAAATCAAGGCAAACTTAATTCTCTATGTGGGTCCATGACACTTCCTTGCTAGCATCTCACTAAATACTTCTGACGTTCTCAAGGCCATTGGCACGATCCTACCCGTGATATTCTCAATTTCTTGTTTCATCATATACCTTCAAAGCCGTCCTTGTCCGTCCCAACGCACCTCTCACGTGTCACCTCCGCAGAATCGGCACTTCGCAAGTCTCAGGGATTCTTCGACCGAAAGATTGTTATGGTAGGACATTCCTTTGGCGGGGCAGTTAGGTGTGTTTCGCTGTTTCAAATCAACTTCTTGCTGACGATAACCCATTCCCTGTAGCACCTTGGCAGCAATCAACTGCCCAGTTCTTTTCGATTCCCTTTTTCTCGTTGATCCCGTTATTGTAAAGCCCGGGTCCCCGCGTTCGTATGACCTTATGCGCGGTGCGCTCACCCGCAGAGACAGGTGGAAAAATAGGTAATCAACTAACCCCTTACCTGCTGACAAACGCTAACAACACTGTGCAGAGAAGAGGCTACTCTTCAACTACTTTCATCACCATTTTTCCAGAGATGGGATCCCGCAGTCGTCAAGTCCTATGCCGACTTTGGGATGTGCGAGACAGAGGATGGCCAGGTCACTCTGAAGACTCCTTCATTGCAAGAAGCGATCATGTTTGTCGATACATTTACTGGCTGCGATGAGGCATGGGTTAGATTATACAGAGGAGAGCTAGACGAGCGGATAGAAGTACGATGGGTGGTTCCCGGTTTTGGAGAGATAGAGTAAGCGCCCAGTTCATCGCCACGATAAGAATCTATCTCATGCTGCGTCAGGCTGGGCATGCCAGGAGCAACCCAAGAGCGTGTTTCCCTTCGGAAGAACGCGTCGAATGTCTTAATTGATGGCGCTGGGCATTTGATAGCCCAGGAAAGGCCAAAGGAGCTCGGTTAGTGATGACTTTTCATCTGATTACCTGCACTAAAGGAGATCGTCTAGCAAAGGAATTATCCTTGTTCTTGGAAAGGAAGTATGGCAAGGCCCAAGCAAATTTATAATCATGTTAGAGTATGAAAGAATGATTGTATATCAGGTATCAGTTGCTAGTAAGCGAAGAATCTACTGGCTAAGAATGGATGGCATTAAGTATTCTGAAGGATAAATATCCGACAGTAGCACCGCCAGCATATATACACAGCCGTATCGGAAAAGGGTTGTTTGTGAGGAAAGGGTAAGTGACTAGGACCAAAGTATCAATATTAAAGAATTTGTTGGCGCGGAGACAACTCACAATAGCCATTAATATGAGCACACCATTCTACCCAAGCGCCATATGACACAGTACACGCTACCATAGTAGGAATTGAGTATCGCGCGACGGTACGTTGAGAATATTTCTTCTCCAGCAAAAGAAAATCGGCAACGAGAGCGATGCCTGGAATCGCATGCAAGGAAAGATCGATGGATAACGGGAGAAACGGTACGGGCGTGCCATCTACAGTAGCACTGATCTTTATGAGACTTGGGAAAAACGTGATCAATGTCCAGTAGATCGAAGCTATCACGGCTTCAACCTAAACCATCATGAGGCCGCGAGGCGCAGCAGGAAGACTGAATGCTAACCGGCATGGCAACCATGATTAACGCACGCTTGAGTGTCCTCAAGGCTTGAGAAACAGTTGCCGGATTAGTACTCAAGCTGACGCGTCCTAGTCCATTGCTATTGGTATTTACCTTTGAATGAAGGCGCGAAGTCCACAAGTAGCCCTACGATCATGGCCAGAAATGCGATATGAAGCCTGAATAACAAGGAAATGAGAGATTAACGCGAATCAATACACAAAAACACTGACCCCAGGACGGTCAGGGCAGGATAGTGCCAACCATATTGCTTTGATGCGAGAGCACCCAATGGGAATGATTGATTTAACCAATTGAAGGCCCAGACCATGACGCCTGCAGCTGAACAGTGCAATAGTACTGGCCACAGGGAGAACGTCATTATGCTAAAACAACAGGACTCAGAGCTTCAATAGAGTAGAAGATCAAGGTTGGAGAGTCGTGCAATTCCGTGATTGTTCCCCGGCGAGGTCAAGGTAGTAATTCGTTTCACATACAGACGTTCCGAAAAACCTTGTCCACGGTTGCCAAACAAGGCAAGTAAAATTAAAAAAATAAAAAAATGCAAGAAAATTGTGAAAATAGCATGGTGCCTTCATTCGTGAGTATAATGTATCATAAATAGATTCGTTGAGGATGTACGAGGTGTATAGAGGTAATGTAACAGGTATGAGGCCAATAGGTCAATGGTAGGACGTCATGAGCGGGGTCTGTGCTAGCGGTAATGGGAGGCAGCGGCGGAGCATTAGAGTGGTGTGGGAGGCTGTGGAGATGTTTTCTCCCTTGTAAACAGTAATAAGTCGTTCCAAAATGAAAGTGGGTAACTTCCCTTGAAGATGTATGTTTAGCATACCAGCCACTGCGCCCTCTCCAAAGCTTCCCAGTCTACAACGCCTGAACCCCCACCAGCCCAGTCCTAACCGTGAAAACTGACGAAATAAAGCCAGGATATCCAGTTGCAGATGTCTTTGTCGCAGTGAAATGGTGCGGGCGGACTATGGCGTTGTGTTGCAGGAGACCGGGAGCTGTCGACGTCCAAACTGTGGCAAAATCACGGTGGCGGCTTGCTTGACTGAATGCAGAATCGTTCTTCAAAGCTGTCTTGTCTTTTCTTGTCTCTTGAATGAAGATGATGGCAAGAACGAAGGTGTGACCGGCTGTTCGGTGCGAGACAGCCTGAACATGTAAATCTGGTGGCGCTCACTAGTTCTTCATCGGTCAGATGTTCTTATTTCAAGTATTATCTTTACGACACACTGCAGCACCCATGGATCATTAAATTTGTATCTTTCTACTAAATGACACGCACAAATGAAGTCTGTATGCTATTTCTACGATTTTCTTGTATTTATCTGATTTTTTGATTTTACCTGCCCTTTTTGGCAGTGTGGACAAGGTTTTTCGGAACGTCTGTAATGAACGGCCCGAATGTTTTCGGTGAATTCCGGATGCTTAATTTTAGGGCAAATCAGTCTTCAATAAATCCGCCGAAGGACTGGCCTTACCAAGGTGGAGAGTAGCGCGTTCGTGGTCATCTTCAGATGCGAAACTTTCGTGTCATATCAAGCTCGGTCGTCGGTTACAGGGTATTTACTATACAGAAGGTAACCAGAAGAAAAGGTCGTTGGTCATGGTTGTGATGGTGCAGGTTGGGTGCAAGCGGAATGCTTGTGTACTGCGAGTGCTGAATACACGGTTGCGCGCCTTATGACGCAGGTGGGTAGCATTTTAAGGCTGTTTAAGGGCGTGCCGGTAAGGTCCGGACATTTTCTAGTGGCTGTACGGCGTCGGCAACTAAACTTGAACTGAGCCACTCTCTTGCCAGTGCGACTACGACGACTACTACTGCTACTACTCCGGTCTTCGGGATTTAAGCCTCAAGTATCGGGGTTTTCGTTTGAAAAATGGGATGGCTATTGTTACACATGCGACGGAGAAAGAAATGGGGTCGGGAACGGTCTTTGAAAGGACCTTCATTGACGAACAGCCAATCGCGGAGGTGCGCTGGTTCAGTGATTTCGATTAGGAATTGAAATTGTTGTATTTCACAGAGGCAGATGGTGGTCACAGCGAGGACGTCATGATGCGCGGGGTGGAGGGTCACTTTGGTGGAGTTGGGAGCAAAGACACCGAGAAAGTAGGAGGGGCCTTCTGCGGGTGCATTGGCGGGGAGAGACACGGGATAGGTTGGGGGGATAGGAGAGTCTTTGGGGGGAGTGCTCGGTGCGAGGAGGGACAGCGTGTAAAACAGACGCACACCATACTCCGAGACGATCTTGTCCTGCGCAAAGAGGGTAGACACCTCAGGGAAAGCGACTTGCGCATGCTGTCCGAGCTTGGACGCGAGCAGAACGCCTCAGATCAAGCAAATCGTGGACTGAAGAAGTTGGTATTAAAAATCTTCCTTTGCTCTCTTGTCGACTGATTGATCTCTTCTTAGTCCACGATACTGTATCCCACGAATTCGAGTTAGCTCGATGACATCGCAGTCACCTCCCTTTCCCTCGTCAATCCCATGTTATGGATAGGACGTTCCTCCAGCTAATGAGATAAGCAAGTCCCGAGGACGCAGATCTACGTCAAGGTAGGGTGGAAAAACATGAGGGGTGCCAGTGAGATTCTGTAGCGACTGGAGGACCTGAAGTTCAAGAAGCATGGTTCTTCCTTGGACAGGCTCTGTAGTGCCAGATTCGTCAAACGGGATCGATTGATCTGCTCAGGCTGAATTCCGCGTCGACACATATCCTTGTAGTTGAAAACGAAATTTCTTGCTTACATTCGTGAAGTCAAGAGTTGATACCAAAGCTGTACTTCTATATTAGCGCGAAGCTGCTTCCAGTGAAAGAGGAATCGCAAACGAAGTGCGTACGCAATGACAGCAAATGTAAATTGAATCAGAAACTCGTCTTCCCCTACCCCTCCACCTAGGTGGAGGGTACACACTTCGCGCCAAACAAACCCTCGCTCATCTCCACCCAGCAGCGAGCCCTCCGACAAGCAACGAAGAAAGGTGGGGGTCGGGAGCGGGGAGTACGGCAAGACATCTCTCCAGGTCGGCATCTTGAGCCAAGGATCCGACCGAATGTACCGCAAGCACTATGGAACCCAAAGCAGCATCCATCAACAGGCGCACATACCGTCCGTCGGGTCACACAGAGCTCTGAGAAATGTATAGAATAAGGAAGGATGTTGTATGCCTCTCCCTCCAGGCAAGGTGAGCAAGGATCGTCGCTGAGGGTAATCCGAGGGGTAGGCTAATACTAAAAGCTCGTTCACGCTGGCCAAGTTGTACCTTGAAATCGAGGCGTGAACGGACCTAAAACCTCCCAAATAGTCGTCTAGACGTCTATTCCTCCTCTCGTGATACTTTCATCTGCCCTCTTATCGCATACAATCGGACGAGGCAGAATGCTCCGCTTCCCTATCTCTTGCGGCTCTTGGTAAAAAGACGACTTTGTCTAGTCTCGGTCGCGTTCGATGGCGTAAGGTAACTGGTGAATCGTTGGAATTGGTGAGAATCGTTATTGAAATCGGCAAGTTGATCCTCAAGTATCAGCATTGGGACCTGTTTGCGTGTCAAAGAACAAATAGCAAGGATGGACGATAAGTTTTGGACAAATCGCAACTACCCACGTGGCGACCATCACCTTTGGGTTCCGACCACCACCATGTCTCTCCCTCCAAACCTACTTCTGTTTACTTCTCTCGTAGCGAAAGACTGGCAGAGATACAAGCCGATGGCACGTCGGACATGGACGACTCCTGACTTCAGGTCATCATGAACAATCTCTGACTCCGCCTCCACTTCCTGCTCGCTACACAAGTTTCTTTTGACCTCTTATGAACTGGCCACAGCCCGCATCTCTTGACCCTGGTTTGGGAGATGATTTTCGTTTTCCATCCGTTCAATTTATGTCTGTACTATGCAATAGTCAGGACACTATCGGGTTCGCGGCGTGGGCCTTGGATGTACTTTAAATCGAAGGGTCAGCCGTGGAAACAGAATCACACTGGGAAGATGAACATTTTCGACAAACCAGAATTTGAGCACAATCGTTACGTTTTGAGAGCATCGTTTGGGAGACAACGAACTTCGCATTTTGGAGGAATCTAAATCCTATGCCGCCCGCCAGAGATACATTTCGGAAGGACACTTGAAATTTTATGTACAACAATCGCCAAGATCCACCTCCCAAAACGTCACCTTGTTGCACAGGTTCTGGTTGCCCTCAAATTCCCATCTTTCCGATGTGAATGTATATCTGTTCGGATAATACGTACTCATTGATCTCTAGATCCGATTGCCTTACTCTCTTCGCGCTTTGTTACCGGTTGCGAAAACCTCAAGATGATAGCTAGAGTTAGTGACAAGATAATCTTCGCGACGCGTCCCTGATAATCGCGAAATCAGCCAGTGGCTTATTTCTTGCAATGTTTTCGACGATTGGTTTTCCTGTAAGTTCATTCCTGTCTCCATGTCCATATCCTTCTTTACTAATTCCCCAACCTAGGATTGCGATACGATTCATAGTCCACTGTCATTGTTACTTATCTATGATCGGAAACCAGCTACCCCTTACAGTTTCTCGCTCCCACCGATACTCTCTCGTCATGTCTTCAGAATTTTTACTGTGAACGTATCGCCAGTAATTTTGCTGTTATGGAATGTATATCAACACCTGGCATAACAACATCCATGGTCATATTTTAGTGGAGCTGAAGTGACGATCTACATCAGTCCTGATACCAAAGACGCGTATTGATGTGTCCTCCCGCTGTGATCGGCGTCTGAAACCGGAATCGGGGCAGAGCCCTAACAAGATCGACATACGTCGCTCCGTCTCCCAACACATCAGACCTCAGAATCTTTATGAGCGAACTCGTAAAGACACCGCCCCATACCTCCGCGCCCTTCTCCTTTTTTACCCGCTTCGCTCTTGCAACCTCATCTCCCCTGCACGCCGCTACGATCACATGAGAATCCATATCCGGGACCCAGTCCTCTACAACGACGGATCGATAACCAGGGAGGTCTTTGAGGGCTTCTTCAGCAGCGAAGAGCATATCCTTGAGCGAAGCACGCTCCAGTGGAGGAGCAGTCCGCACTCCTGGACTCAATGTTCGAGTGACACTGCCTGCGTGGCAGCAGTCCAGAATGATGGTAATCCGATGCCCTTTCGTACGAGAGATTTGGGAGAGGATAGTGTTGAGCTCTCGGTCGGTGATATCAGGGATGAGCGCCCCACTACCGTCGGCCCGGGTATTGCGATCCATTGGACAAAGCACCTCGACGAATTTACGAGAGCGTTCATTATCGTGCTCCTCGTCGAAATCGGGCTCGTCGTCGTCGTCTGACAACGGGTAGCGAGAGCCGTGTCCAGCGAAAAAGATGATGATGGAATCGCCGTGCTCGATGTTATGGTTGGTGGCGAGACCGAAAAGAACAGATAGAATGTTTGCCCGGGAAGGGGTGGAGGAAGGAGCGTTTGAATTGTCACTCCGGTCCGCCGATCCGAGAAGACATTGGATTCGTTCCTTTGGCACGAGAAGGTCTTCTTCAAGGTATTGTTTTATTGTTAAGGCGTCCGCCACGCAGCCGCGCAATGGGTAGTATGCATACCCGTCAATTCCAATGACAACCGCCCAAACTCGACGGGGGTCAATACGCGGCCGTAACTGGATTGTTCCTCATCAGTATTGAAAGTCGATGGAAATAAGTGTATACTTTGTGTATCCTTACATCCAATTTTACAAAATTGTCCATTGTCGTGCTCTTTTGCTAGCTGCGCCTCGGGCTCTTGTGGATTTATTGCAGAGTCGACGATATTAGCCCTAAGTAGAGCATAATGGTATTAGTCCAGACTCCAGAGATGCATGTAAATATGCGTACTTGAATGTTATACGCACACTTGGGTCTGTGTATGCTCCAGAAAGAAGGTAGAACTGTAGTAATGGCTAAGAGCATCTGATATGTGCTTTATAGTTGCAGCGTGGATGAGATAAATATAGCAAACCAAGACCATGTTGAAACTGGCAGCCCTAGAGATGGCCATTAAGTGCAGGAAACTCAAGAGCGCTCTGCTGACGCTGCTCTTCCAATGGTACCCTGACTTGACCCTGACAGAACTCTATCTAGTAAAGGATAAAGATACCAAACACGGCTGCCCGTCCAATGGTACCCTGACGAAACACTGTCTTCCGATATGGTGTTCTGACAGAACTCTGTCTAATCAAGGACAAAGATATTAGACGCAGCTGCTCTTCCAATGGTACCCTGATGAAACTCTATCTAGTAAAGGATAAAGATACCAAACGCGGCTGCTCTTCCAATGGTACCTGACGAAACTCTGTCTTCCAATGGTGCCCTGATGAAACTCTGTCTAATAAAGGACAAAAATATTAGACGCAGCTGCTCTTCCGAGTCAATGGTACCCTGACTTGACCCTGACGGAACTCTATCGAATAAAGGGCAAACATACCGGGCTGGTAGGCAGCTCCGGATCTTTTCAAGAACACATTGTTGACGCCATTTTATTACAGTACCTGAGTCACATTGACGACCTACTGTATGTGAGTGTGTCCTTTCATGCATAGCCATGTGCACCAAATATCATTATACTGATCATGCAGCTATGCAGTTCACTAGTGGAATGGTATTGACGCCAAGATTGATTGTCAGTCCAAGAGGCTTGCTTGTTGGGAGTTAGCATGAAATGAGCATGGGAGATTTGAGCTTAGCGTCGATGCTATGAGAAAGGTTCCACGGAGACAAATCACAGGGAGGGAAGACAAGGTCAGTACCGTTCGCTGACGCTGTGTTCTACTCATTGGCGAACAAAACCAGGTGCATCTTACTTGAGTGACTGAGTACTAGTCAGCACAGGCAAGGATGCAGGAGCGAGAGTGATAGGCCCGAAGGAAAACGTGGGCCTGGGCGTCGTGCGGCCGGTGGAGCATATCACTTTTCAACGTCAACGCTGGTTGATCCTGCATCAGTTTGCATCAGCCAGTACTGGTGAGAAGATGATAGGTCCCGCGGATGATATCGTCAACCTGGATTAAGATTCTGACTTGGTCACTCCGTATTCCGCTCTGATTCTGTGGAATGTGAGCAGAGAAAGGTGAAAGGCGAAAGATGTATGAATGGGGTGGTCCGGGGTCATTGCCATCGATTAGCGTATACGTCCTTGTCGACCCGCCGGAGGTTCAATTCCCCTGATGCATGTCTAATCAATCTGTGCATTGTTTTTTTTTTTTTTTTACTTTTGTCAAATGATAAAGTACTTTTATCGATAGTGATATGCCTGCCTGGCGTCTACCCTTGGAAAACACGTATAAATCTTAATTTTATTATCCTACAAACTACGTTTGTAGCTGTGCGAGTAAGAAAGAACCTGCAAGGTACACAGCAAGAAGTGTTAAACCCCACTGCGTCAGTAAGGACTCAGCCATGACAAGCCTAAGGGCTCGGGCAACAGACCGGTGATCTGATGACTCAGCTCGAGTGACCGAAGGTCCAGGCAGGTCGAAAGCACATGGCTCCAGCTGAACCGGCATCCCAGGCACTGATGGCTGCCTGATGGCATCGGTCTGAAAGTAAGAATAACAAAACAAAGAATGATCGTGTACGGCTTTACTTACCTGGCAGCTTTCCTAGTCTCTCAGGCAGACGGTTGGCTCACCGGGTAGATGAGAAACAAGAACCGTAACACCAGGGGCTCTGACCCGGTACAGGTAAAACTTAGTATCATGAGCCAGGACACCAGATTGTGGCACAAGATCATGATCGGGTTCACCTGGGAGCCGGGATATGAGCTCATATCCACCCGGCTCAGTCAGCAGGCGCAGTAATAGTACCTGGAAAGATTGGAAATATAGATAGGGTAGAATAGTATAAATACTGTCCATGTAACTAGCAGGAGGTCAGGTTTCTGACCCCCGGAACGCTACCAAGCAAATTAGTACGGGTTTTGGTTAAGAGCTTTGAGTCCTAGACTCACCTGGAATTGTATTTAGTGACCTGGTCACGTTTTGTGTGCAAGAACCGTTCAGAAAGCAGTCAGTTCAGAAAGATACAGACAGACAGTCAGAAGTACAGTCCAGAATCCATGTTAGCACCAGTAAAACTGCAACCAGGCAGACAGTATCAGTTCAGACACTGCACCAGGCAGTTAGTACGCATTCAGGAAACTGCACCAGGCAGCCTGTTGGTATCAGATTGTGTTCGGTAACACAGAAAGTCCAGATTTGTGTCGTTTCAGAATATTGCAATCAAACAAATTATATTCATTATCAACCCGGAACTAGTATCCACAGTACAAGCATCGACCCGGTGTAACTTACCCCTTCGAACCGCAATTATTGAGTGTGTTAGGGTGTGTGTGTGTGTAGCACTTCACCTTCCTTAGCATAGTTAGTACCTTTCATCTGGAGCCCACCGCGAGGGGGTATATATCTAGTTGAAGCTTGTATTGGAATTAATAGTTCCACAACCTGGAAGAAGATTCACGTCTTCTACCTGATCCGAATAGTGTTCAATCGCTGCAGAAAGCCGCACGAGACACACGGAAACTACAAGCAGCATGAGAGGCAGCAGAGCACAGATTGCACCACGAAGCTGAAGTAGCAGCTGGTATAGTTCCGAATGTAACACGGAGAAGACAAGAAGCAGATCAGTGGGATCTAGAAGCCGAGATAGAAGCAAACACTGCTGCAGCAGCCTCGGACCGAGCAAGGATCGAAAGAGAATTGCATGACGCTTCCCCGGAACTTGATTCACCGAGTTCTAGTCTTCCTGGTAGCACTAGGCCAGCCACCAACTTCAGTTCAAATCTGAACTCGCAACCTCAACAGAATCCTACACAACCACAGTCATTAAACATGGCTACCAAGCGACAGATGCCGATGGAGTCATCAAGAGATG